TATGGGCGCTATAGATGTCAAGTCAACGCCCCAACCCAGCCATCTTTGAGGTGGAAAGGTAGTCATGTTGTTTTGGTTGATTTTTAGGTTGTCTTGAATGTCACCTTGTAAGGACAGTGTCTATAAAGAGGATTTGAGAGAGGAACTGCAGGAAGGAATTGTGGAGGAAGGATTGAACTCGGAGGCGCAATGGAAGAACATCAATAACACCTGGCACCACAAGCAATTTATATTTCAGATAATCAGTCTTCTTGTGGATAAAATGGGTCTAGGCCCAATGTCTATGACACAAACATTGAATTTATCCAGCCGAGAAAGCTATGATGACCTAGAGACTTAGAGAATTAGACATACTAATCATACTATTATATACTATCATGAATGATGCATGATACAATCATTACCCCTATAGACACGCATGCGGAAATGTGGGTCTTTAGTGATATGATTCATAGGAAATTATATCTTTGATAAATCTATTTTTTAGTATTAAAGACTAACCTTAGGAGTTGGTTTTATAATATGAATATTATGGAACCTAACAAGAATCAAACCCCATGATTCTATAGAGTGGCAGTATTGCCCCGGGAAACCCCGGGCCGAACCACTGAGGTGGTTGGAACCTAGAGGACTCGGCGACCTTGCCTGAATCCTGAGGCTGTGCCTCACAGAGTCTTTTGAAATAATTCCAGTTATGAAGGGTTGAATTATATTTGCTATAGTAAAAGACTTGACCCTAGTTCCAGTCTGCACATATTGGAACAACCCCCATGGGATAGGCAATGGAATACATATTGAATTTATCTGATGATACATACATAAGTCCTCGGGATAAGATACCAGAACAGCATCTCATGAAGCATAAAGCAATCAAGCATAGGTGATCCTCATTGCTGTGCGTCTTCGGTCACTGGTCACCATCATGAAAGAATCACTCAATATATCTATATTTTAGTTAGCAATTGTTGGCTCAGCGCGAGGACGTATGTTTTTATACCATTGGTAATCTAGTCCTGTCACATCTGTTTCACTGGCATTTTCCCTGAGAGTGATTGTGGGAACAGCAGTCCAAAAAGTTGATTTTTCTCCAGCTAACCACAGAGCAATAGGTACCCTTCCAGTCCCCTCCATTTGCTGCACAGCAGTTCTGGGAAGCGCTTCGATCTGTACAGCCACAGTCCAATGCGGCGGTGGTTCCAAGGACAGCCAAGAAAGCCGCTGCCAGTGATATCTTCATATTGTTCGTGTAACTTGAAAGCTGGCTGGATGGCGAATGGCGAGAATTGAAAGAATTTAGTGTAGTAAGGTAAATGAGTTGACTGATACTTGAATTTAAAAATGATAATTGGGAAGTAGGAAGATATGCTGCTATTTATCCTGCTGACCTGAATGTAAATGTCATTCATCGACGCAACCGGATAATGAGGTCGATACCCCTGTTACATCAATGCGAGATGGACGAAATTCTCTTAAAAGTTTAAATCTCTCAAATTATCGTCAAATGAAACATAGCCCATGGAGGATTTCTACATTGGAAGTGGGGATGCAGTGGATGTATTTACATCATGCAGCCAGATTAGTAAGTTCAATGGCTCATATTGAAGTTATTAGGGTTGTATCTCAATTTTACCTTTTTAAAACAACATTGAATTACTGTTTTCTGGTGGGACTGCCAGAGTCTAAGCGCAAATCACAAAGTGGGCACGGGCAGGCGCAGTAAGTAAGTTGAGGGTCTCTCTAGAACGCTGTCTATTTAGTATTGTTACTCTAAATACTACAGTAGTTATTGCCATAAAATAGACCGCCATAGATAACCTGGGTAATTTCAGTCTTCCAAAATTGCTTCTAAGGACCCAAAGAAAAATTCGTTTTTCTTACATACCAAAGATTTCGAGGTATCTGATGAGGCACCAAGACATAAAAACAAACTGGTTTTGCTTATAATCTTTCATGACTATCAATGATACCATGGAACAATCCCGTGCTCCAGCCAATTGACCATCTTGTCCAGACCCAGTCTATAACGAGAAAATTTCTGTGTGACTAGTCACAGAATTAAATAAATCAAGTGAAATAGATGATACCTGTACAGACGGATGAAAAGTGTTTAAGAAGATATCTATGATACATTATCCAGTATAGCATGGTACCTTCGGGTCTTGGTAAATTTAGAGAAGATGCTGAGCGGCTCTTATGACCAGCTGGCCATATTAGATAGGCGCTGGGTGTTGTGGAGGTAGTTGCAACGTGAAGCAAGGGACTACCCAACAACAGCTCCCTTTTGATATGAAACAAAGATATGATGCACGAAGTGGGACATATTCCCAGGCTTAAGTATGAATTATTAAAGTGTGTGGCCGGCTGAGGTTTCTAACCAATCATACAGCGTGAAGTTGTGTGTAAAAGGATCAATATTTGAAACTGGGCTGACTTGGGCCCGCATACCCTCGGAACGGGGCTGTACTTGATTGGTATGAGCGCGGAATGCCTAGCTTGAGCTACCATTGGGTTGTGGCAACCCAACACATTATTCTGGGCGCTGGAACATTACGAAGTTTTGTCTCCTTGCGCCTCTGCCGAACGGGCCGGCAGCCTTAACTATGTTTGTGTGGTATGTGGGTATCTGCCAAGCCACAGCGACATTAACATGTTGACTACAAGAGCTTAGTGGAACATACCACCATGGCTGTTGAACACAACGTCTACAGTGGAGCCATAGCGAGACCAACATTGCAACGGTCTCTACACACTCCAAGGGTATGATACGAGCCGTGTGCCACAGTTGCAATGGCGAATTTTTTCTTGATGTAATGGAAGTGAGGTCGTTGTTGTCAACCCTTTTGCCCTCAATTCTAGACCTGGCTGCAAGCAGTATTGTTGCACAAGATTCCACCTCATTTCATTATGGGCTGGCTGCCTTGGGGCTTGGAAACTTGGCTGCGAACGGCATTACCCATTCTGCTTAACTGCGCTCAACCAGATGGGAATCCGTCTTCACACAACCTACTCCAGGCAGTCCTTCTCTAGTGATTACATACTATAACTTCGCAAGTTGATGGTAGATAACAGCAAAAAAAAGGAACAGTATGCAAACCCCATGCAGGGATTGTCTAAAAAGGCACTTCGTTCAACCATCCCTTTTCATACCGGGCCAAGTAATGAGAAGGTCCTTCATTCCAACCAGGATACCTTAGACAGATATATCAAGCTGGATGGTACCAGTAGGCAAAACATGACTAGAACTAGTCACATCCCGGGGTCACAACACTCTCAAACTCTGGAATATAGTAAATCAAGAACTGCTGATTTTAGAACTTTAATTACGCACTGAATGCCACTCTAATTGCAAAGCGAGCAGTGTCAGGTACTTCATGGGAATCGCAGTCGACTTTAATTCAGACCTCAGCTTCATCCAGCAGGCTGTTCAGACCTGGAGAAATGATAGGCGTGTAAGCATTCTTAACGTGAATGACTTGTGGAAGTCTCTCACTTTCTTTTCTCCTTCTACCGTGCGGTGACACCTCAACAGTATCCCATTCAATTTCTACTTGTAGACTTGTTGGCCGGACCAGCACCTGTACCACCAAGCAGGTGGTCGTAGGGGATACCTGCCTGGGCCTTATCACTGATTGTGGAGTTTCTGCCTCCCATTATATAAAATATAACCCCAAACTCCTGTGCAACAATCTCCCCGAAGGCCAACAGGTCTGTTGTTCGGCGGGAGACTTGTCAGACTACAATCTGAAGCCAGACAGTGACAGCAACTGCGCCAAATATATGGTTGCTTTGGGCGATGTGTATAGCGTCCTAGCCGCGCAATACGGCATTATCATGGACGATATCGAGCATTGGAACAAGAATACGTGGGCGTGGAATGGCTGTAATAACATGTAACCGGACAACTGGATGTGTCTGAGGTCTCTGGCTGGCCGCCGATGCCTATAAATATAAAGAATGCCGTTTGTAGCCCCCAGATGAACGACACGGCCACTGCGCTACATGGAACCAATCTCAATGAGCTAGGCCATGTCTCTCAACACCTGTTGCAATATCTAGGGCTAATGGGGAACTACGACCGACTTCTGCACGCTCACTAATTGGCCCACCGGCGCTACTGGCACGGCGGCCAACGACACCAACAGGTAAACTTCAAACTGCGGCACTCAGATTCTGGTGTCATTGCCGCTGCAGGAGTTCTTGTCCATTCCTAATACTTTCCTGTGTCGGACTGGTCGCACCCGTGTGTGACCATGTCTGTCACGGACTCACGGATATTAATAAAGAGTGATATACCCACATCCATTTGACCCTAATAAAGGGGGGCTCCTAATCACTGAGACGTTCTGTCTACTTACTTGCTTTTCTTGGACTTTTGTTATGGTTATTATATTATTGCTATAGGGGGATGAGAATTAGGGCTGGCTTACTGCCCGGTCTGATCTTCAGGGGAAGGCCACATATACGTTCACTTCCAGGTGGTTTCCAGTTGAGTAGACAATTTCCTCGGTTCAAGCTCTTTTTGAAAATTTCTTTCCCCTGGGGTTCTGTTTTATGAGCAAGCAGATCAGAATGCACTGACAAAGGTGGCAAGAGCTACTAGACTAAATCTCTGACCATCCCTAAACGGGGCCAATCTTTGGGTGCTCTAGTCCATCTAGTCTAATCAGCCAGGGTAACATTGTATTTAGTCCTGATGCTTAGTCTAGTTGATTACCAGGCTTGTTGGAGAAGAAGATATATATATGCGCCACCGATCCCCTGCAACGTGTTTGTTTTCTCCGCAGATTCTCCACTCCTCTCTTTCCGTTGGTACAAACACCCACAATAGAAAGAAAAAGAAGAAGAAAATAAATATGGGCGACGCCAGTTTTGGAATTGCCTCTGTTGGCGTGATTGGCATGACTGGTTATGACAAGTACACATCGCAGAACCAACTCGACCGCTCCGTCGGCACCAGAATTTGGCATCCAGACACCACGGCGCTCGCTCACTTATCCTAAATGCTGTATATTCCTTGTCACAATGACGGAGCTGCACACTTGGCTATCCGTGACATTAGCTCTCAGTATGCAGCGGCCACAGGGAAGCTGGCCTTTGGATCCAGCCAGTATGTGGTGGTCTTGGGGCTAATGCTGAAACCGCGCAGTGATGCAACGGACAGTACGAGCGTCCCCGTCTCATACGAGGTGGATTTGAACGGTCTTGGCGATGGAGAACCAATCGTGGGATCGGTGAGATCCCATGCTGCATCACCTGCGCGGGAGGTGAAATTGTATGTTGCATCTTCTTTTCTTTTCTTTCTCCCCCCCCTGAATGTCACCGAAAAACAGAGTAGATAACCACTAATTAACTAAGTAACTCACAGGTCCATACTCACGAACGAAGACAAAGCCACCATCTTTATGACAACGAGTGGAACCTCCGCCACGGATATTACCCTCGAAGTTACATATCCCGTCCCCTCCTCGGCCACCCGCGATGGCACCTTCAAACACCCTATTTCTCCTTCCGGATCCCGGACGATTCGTCGACCTTCGAATGGCAGATCCATCCCAGCCAGCAGGGGCGCATGCGGTATACCCTTGTCCGCCGTGCTGCGTCGGACCAACAACAGCAGCAAGTCAGTGATTCTGATATCCAGGCTATATACTACCACATCGGGGTCGGCACGTCGCTGTCCCTTTCGTATAGCGAGGGGGTGCTGCTTCTTCCTACGGGACAGGACTCCGTTCGAGAGAGTCTCGTCGTGGCTAGCGCACTGGCGATGCTACGGCGGCTGCGGGAGCTTCACGGGGGAAATGATAAGAGGGGGACCGGGACTAAGAAGAAGTCGCGCTTGGGGGCAATGAAGGGGTTGTTTGGGAAGGAGTAAAGATTAAAGAGAGAGTGAGAGAGAGAGAGACAGAGATTATTCAGCATACTAAAGACCGTCGCAATACTGTGCCTTTTCTTTTTCCTCGATGTGACGGGATTCTGGTAATGGGTGTTCGCGGTTATCCTGTCGAATACAGACATCTCCCATGGGACTAAGTCTCTTAGTTCGCCTATGGGAGTCCATGGGCCCCGCCAAGCTCATGGTTTTGGATAACGTTCCCGAATAGGATGGATAACATGTTGATTCATCTGTAATTTTCACCGATATTATAAAGTGTTTTGGTATACTACTTCGCTATGTAAATTCCTTACGAAATTCCTACCCGCCTCCACTACTTCCCCCAACAACACCCGCCCCAAACAACCGTGTTATAATGCATGTCCTTCTTGCGGAGGACAAGTAAGTATCTCATGATTCTATACTATGCTGCTTTAACTAATCTGATATGCCTTAAATAGCAATGTCAACCAACGTATCTTCACAAAACTTTTTAATAAAGTCGGCTGCTCATTTGCGATCGTGAACAATGGTCGTGAGGCCCTGGACTACCTCGCCAGTCCGGCTTGCCCACCTCCAGACATTATTTTGATGGATGTAAATTCCCTGGTTTTACATAATTAGAGTGCCCATTATACAGACACAAACAGAGAAAGAAATAATTGACACATCCTCTAGATTGCCATGCCCGTCATGAGCGGTTTCGAAGCCACAGAGATCATCCGAACACGGCTACCATTTACTAATAACCCGAAGCTCCAAATGACTCCCATAATCGCTCTCGCCGCTCACATTTTACGAGGTGACGGGGAAAGACTGATTCAGAAAGGATTCACTGATGCCTTGTCCAAGCCTGTTCGATGGACACATCTCACCCAAATTCTGTCACAGTATTTTCAATATCAGCCTACCCCTGTGGGCCCTGGCTCACCGATGCTGAAGATGACGCCTGTTTGGGGTCCTCTTCCATTGAGGAAATTTAGGGGGCCTAGGTCTCGTCTTTAAATTTCAATGCTAGGTGTCTTCAAGTGATCCGGGATTAGCGTTCTGTAAGATTGGTGGGTTATGAGACATTTCGTGTATGAGCAGACAGTGTTATTGATGGTTCACACCTGTATCATTTATCTTCGTTGGATATTTCCTTGTAAGAGGATCTTACATACAGCAGAGCATATGATGCTATTTGGCCGTGGTTAGGTGCATTCGCGCGCGAAGAATCCTTGGACATGGGGAAGGCTCCCGTCCCAGCATTGGGTACTGGGGACTGAATATAGAGAGGGTAATCACGTTTTGAAGTAACTAGAAAGTAAACATACAGAAACAACCAGCAAGTAAACTAGGTATATCAATACTGTCTCAAATCCAGGCATGGCTTTGTTCTGAGGCTGGCAGTACTTGCACATCAACTGCGTTATCATGTGATAAAAATGATTGCCAACAGGCTCTTCCGCAATTGACTGCAGCCTTCGTAAGACACGAATGCAAATTGGGTGTCGTCGTTCTGCCTTGTAAACCTCCTATTTTTGCGTGCATTTGATTGGTCGCATGATGTGGGTCCGACAATAACCTGGGCCGTCCTGTATTCGGACGGAAGCTTGATGTTGCTCAGAGGCAACTTCAGCCAGGTCGCAGTCAGGTGGTTCCATGCATCAAGCGCCGGCCTCCAAACTTGCAAATCTCGTTCATCAAGTTTTTCAAAAACCATGATCGCTCCATGAACCCCGGCATAATTCTTTGCATATTCAAATTGGTCCGTGGTATATATACCTGGGCCAAATTCATTATCGAAATTAGTCGAGCGGACCACTGGCATAAAAAAACTCAGGCACCGTTCCAGGTTGGATAAAGATAAGCCCATGAACATGAGCCCGTTCTTCTCAAGAAGCCCGCCGACGAAAAGCTTCTTCGTGGTCAATACAAACCTTTCCGGGTCTTTGTGATGCTTGCATTTCACACATCTTACTGCCTCGTTAACTCCCAACGGCCGGCAGTTGGGAAATAAATCAATAAGCCGCTGGGTTGCCACGCATGTAGTGACCTGGTGGGGAATCGCAACTGCTGCCACGATCCTAACCTGCACATTCATGGGTGTATCCATGGGGACCCTCCCCTCTTCCTCGTACCGGCGCAGGAGGAACGCAGCGGGGTCGCATCCGTATGGGATCAGCACAATCTCATCTTCCAGGACATATGCTGGATCATCAAAAAGACGGACGATATCCGGCCGCCCGCATAAATGGAATACGGTGCGGGCAGGCCCGACCATTTGTGCATGCAATCCTAGGTGTCGTTAGGCTTCAGGAAACAATGCATCGGTCTGCTATGTTACCGCAACTTACTACCAGGCCCGCCTTCTGGAAAATATTCCAATATTTCCTCTGGGATTTCCCCCGGGTATCCCTGCCCCTGATACCAAACCGGCTCGAACCGGTCTCTGTCAAAGTCGGTGTTATCATAATAAACCTCTTCCTCTTCCGAACTGCTGGGGGAAGAAGCCTCCATCTGCACAACTTGCTCGGTAATCCTACTAGGCTGGGGGGACACCGAAACAGGTGCTACACAGTCCAAGAGCGTTGTATTTATTTCGGATGCGTTTGGAGAACTGTACGTGGTAGGGGTGCTCGGGATCGCACGCCGGCGCCGACGGGGAAGGTCTGCAACTGGCGACGGCTCGCGTCCGGAAATCCGGCGAGAGCGGCGAAGATTGGTCACAATGACTCGATTTGACGTAATTATTACGGGACGGTCGGAATTGACAAACGGAATCTTTGTCGGCAGTGAGGTTGTGATTTTTTTTGATGCAGTTTTGTCTAATCCATCCAAGTGGCCCGGTTCGACTAGCTTATAGACTCTAGGGGCTCCTTGTTAACCATTTCCAAAGAGTTCAGAGATCTCATCGTGCCATTCAATTGGCAGTGACGATGAGCCGAGGGTTGAAATGGCAGGAACGTAATGGAAATCCGCGGAGGGATGCCTGATTACTAGGTCACATCCAGGCCATCTGAAAAGGCCAAAATTACAGAACCACTAGTTAATCAGGATGTTATAGCATCTTCGCGTTGAAGATTGAGTCCGGGACTTTTTACAGTAGCTAAGCCGAAGAAATCCGTGGTCCTCTTCCGGGCTGTTGAGTCTTGTAATCTGCTGGAATTGAAGCTAATTACTTTGCTTGGGCCAGGTCCGCCGGATACCATTGATTCTGTCCACTGATTTGTCCAAGAGAATACAGATTACATGACAGATTGATAAACAAATTGCTAGAACACCAGCTGCCCATATCCTGGGTGACTCAGGTCTGAATGATTCCAAGGCTGTTCCAGGGTTCGTAACACACCTTGCGATCTCACACCCGGGAGGCCTGGGACCACTGAAACAGTGAGCGACGGCGGGCATCTACTTTCGTGTGTTGACCTTAGACGCCGGCAGACTTCATAAGCTTCAGAGTGTACTTCACTCGTTCTGATGACCGCATCGTGACGTTACGTCGCTGCCAGCCAATCTCGGTTGGCATGCGTTCATTCCCTACCAAGATAGAGTCATTAGCATCGATGGAACAGAGAACCCCATGTCTGCAGGGGGTAGACTTACGGAACCAGTAGTCGATAAACTTCTTGTCCACAGTGCCAGTAGTTCCATCTGCCATGATCTCAAAGAAGGAGGCACATTCACCCCAGCTGAAACCGTCGGCGAGCAGAGATAGATCATGCTCGGGGTTTATCTTCTTTGACGTCGCTAGCCGGGCCATGCGGGCCTTGGCAAGCTGATCCACAGTGATCATTGGTGTGGTAAAGTATGAAGCTGTCTCAGCCCAGACGGTTTCATTAAAAGGGTTCGGGTCAGCGAAATACTCGTCAGAGCGGCTGTTCATGGGCCAAGTGTTAGCAAGAGCATAAAAGTCAAGCCACTGCCAGTAAGGTGCACCTAAGGCTGATATCATGCTCCAAGATACCATGGCGGCCAAGATCGGCAAGGTCAAAACTTTTCGCCCCAGGATAGTCTGGACTAGTCCTGATTGCTTGAGAGAATAGAATCACCGCGTCGGCATGCTCGATGTTGAATCCGTCGAGCATGCCATCTTTAAGGATGTCCAAAGTGATCTCTTTACCATTCCGAGGAAGGTATCCATGGTTGGCCAGAGTGTTCAAGCCTGGACAGGGTCCGCGAGCTGCATTTATCACCTGTCAGTGAGCATCATTTCTCTCCTCTGTTGTGTTCAACTTACAGTCTCCAGGCCCAGGGGCTATCCACTCCTGAGGTTCCCAGGCCTGGCGACGTTCCAAGTACTGTGGAAACGCCACCGCCGAGCCCACGAGGCCAACAGCTCCTAACAGAATCGACGTCTTCATATCGTGGGGTAGGTTCTTCGTGTAGCTGCAAGTTTGCCAAACGGATTGTTGACAGCACGATGAATGGAGAGTCGACCTGAGCTGGGGGCGCCTCAATTTATCTTTCCCACCATTCAACACCCTCGGGACTGGTCCTGACTGTGTTATGCCAGAGACCGCTACCATCTTGAAACGCCAAGTCTGACTCGGCTGTCAACACCTTCATACTGAATATACTGGATAGTGAAGCTCTAGACACCGAGGCTTAGATGCCTGGTATCCAGTCCTGGAAGTATAACGTCGGGATTTGCCAAGCGACCAGCCGAGGCCACCCTACTGCCGGAGCGACATGATGAATAACACAGAGCGATCAATCCAGTGATATCTGATGCGTGAATAGACGTGCGTTTGAGGGGTAGCTACGGTATTACCTCCGTTGCTGAAGAGTGATAGTGGTGCATGGACTACTGCACGGTATTCGACTTATCACCAGGATGGGAGAGATATAACCAGGATGAGAGATATCAAACAATAGCTTCAGTTCGGCATTTTGAAGAAGTCCAGCAAGGTAGGTCAAGTAATTCGTATCATAATCACCCCCTTCCAGCACATCCAATGGGTCTCTGCCATCAAGATAACCGTTGTAATACGTCATAATATGGTCCGGATAATTTATTTGTGGGTTAAATCAATCGTGGGATACTTTCACGATTCCGTCGTTGCCGAAACCAAAGGACCCATATTTGAAATTGAATCTATAGATGGGGGGCCCATAGTCGAGGCGGGTGGGATTCAAGGAGAGCAGCAGGCGCCCTGGCTACGCTTCCCCCTTCCCCGCTCAACCCTCTTGATCCTCCGGGGGGACAGTCGAGCCGGATCGTTTGATCCACCCCACCCCGCCGTCAAGCCCCTACGAACCTACAAATGAACGGAGTTATATTGTAAGAACATTGATTGTCAGAGCACATTCTGACCGTATTTGTGTCAGATATGGTGATGATTTTGTTGTTGATAGGTCATATTACATGGACCTGATGTGCTGATAGAGGAGGTAGTTTTAAAGAGTCCCCGTCTCCAGTATATGATTGTACAGGCAGATTTTGACGCACGACAGGAGTATTAAATGCCCGTCATTTTATCATACCTAATATATATGCATCCTGGATCTCGTTGTTGACCCACCATTTGACTGTATCTGCCGTGTTTATAACGGCTTGCAACAGCCGAGGTCAGGAAGACTGCGGGGTGCCTGATTGTTTCGGGACTCGAATGCACACTCCCGACGGCACTCGACAATCTGAAACATTACCCCAGGATTAATCAGACAAGGCTAGTTAGTAGGAACCTTGGGAAACGAGTCTTGGACGAGGGGCCTTTTCTTCAACGGATTATGAAGGAATCAGTGGGCCTATGCCCTCGTCCGGGACAGGGGGGAAACATACTCCCTTCCCCCTAGCCGATCTTGTTGTTACAGATACTTACCGCTATAAGGGATGGTCGGCTGCGAAGCGTCTCTATTAACTAGAACAGAGGGGGAATGGGCTTGTTGATCAATCTTATAGGGCTTATGACTCCAAATACATCACAGCTTCGTGTTCTCAATCTACAGATGCCAACACACACCGGCTATATAGATGTTGTCGAGGGTGTCTAACGAACAAGGATCTGACATGACACATTTGTTAATTATACATCGAATATTAGCCTGGGAGAGTTCGGCTGGCCGGTTCAGCTGTTACTTTGAGCTATCACTCGGATATTACTATCGTTGGATGAAGTAAGCTTTCTTTGATCACTTGTTCAAATGGCCCTACGCAGGAAATTGGCCAAAATACATTAGCTTGACCCCAGCCTCCCCTCTCCTTGATTTTCGCTAGACACTTTTCTGTGACTTCACTGCCCCGGGCTATGTCCCCAAGTTTCAGAATGTAGTACATACCCTGATATGGAAAAATGTTCCCATTCGGTGTATTTCTTCCTATTGTCCGGCCGAATTTATTCCATGTAGATCACATTTTCAACACTCCCCATTCTTGTCATCGCTGCATCCACAATCTTTTAATAGACAACAGTATATTGGATCAAGGATTTTGTTCTTTAATCAAGATCTGATCATCCTCGGTGAGCAGCAGAAATTCTAATCGCCGAGACTCCCCCAGGGGGCCTACCTTCCGGCATGTCAATTTTAGTATTCTCGATCACTAACCTACTGTTGGTTTCTTCGGTGAAGTTGGTTCGCTCGGCAAAAAGTTTCCCATGCGTGGTATTGATGGTGTAAACCGGCGACGGACCTCGGCCACATACGGGATTTCTTTCAAACTGAAGAATTCATCCACTGCGCTGTGATCATCTCGCGGCGTTCACTGGTGTGGTCCATGATTTGGTAGCATGGATTGACAATAGACACGGTGACATTAAAATTACCATCCACCGTAGGGCTCAAAGATCCCCAGGTTGATCATGAAGATAACGCCCACCTAGTAGGGTCTATCTGGCGCAATGATTTAGCCATACAACTGCAGTTACTTGGTAGGAAAAGCATCAGCATACTGTTGGATATCCATACTCTACCACTCACTAATGAGTATCTTTGGTCGGAGGTCAAGATAAAAGACATGGCAACACATACTCATTTGCACTTCGCATACATAATCTGCATTGCTACAAAGAGAAAAGCCTTATAAAGTAATCTCACTTCGACATGGGGTGTTATTGTGCAACTCTCAGGCAATATATATATAACAATTGGTGTGCACAATATATATATTTGCATTCTACCTATCACGTTGATACTTGTATCAAACAACCTCACTGTTAACATCACAGATCGAGAAAGGATATCCAAGAGTCGGTACCAGTGAATTGAACCATCATGGATCTCGAGCGCAGGGCAGGGTAAGCACTCTAAGCGTTTCATGTGCACGGGGGCAGCTGCAAGGCTGACGGGTTTTGCGTCCCAGAGGCTAGCTTATTAGGCTATGATTGTCAGAAACATAATCCTGCCGAGAAAAACAAGCCTGCGGCGAGCCCCCTTCTGGTCCCTAGCACTCATAGACGCGATTTAGTGCACGGCGGACACTGCTAGAAGAGACAACTCCAGACGGGGCCACACACTAGCTAGTGTGGAGGAGCGCGGGCTTCTCTACTAGTCAATGGATTGGCCAGATTGTCCTCGAGCCCGGCCACGATCCGCTACATCATGGGGGCGAAGTGGGTGCGGTGGGTTTACCTAGCCTCTGACGGACCGGATGGATACTCACAGCTCCACTATGTCGACCCTGCTCTTCCGAAGGGGTCTATTTCAGAATGCGTGCTTCAGGGGCCGGTCGAAGTGAACCTTGGAACACACTGCCTCAACGAAAGAAAGCCTCCTCTCTGCAATTATCTATTGCCTCAGGCAAATTGGCCGATATGTTTTCGAAAGGCAGCGACATGGCGTGTTGAAGCAGATGGCTTGAACTTCTTTGGATATCGAACCCGGTAGAATATCCGCCAACAAGGCCCTTCACTCCCGCCAAGGTGCCATCTCCTCTAGATAAGACTAATGCATACCACCGTGCATGAGTAGGCTGTGTCATTGGCGCCGTGCGACCGGAGCAAACAATAAGATCGTGAACATCGAGTTGTGTGTACGTCCTACGGCCTGGACGCCACCTCATGGAATCGAAACGCAGAGCTTCAATCCAAACTCCGTCCACCCTTCCATTACCACGAGGTTCATTCAGCCTCTCGCCACAAGGCGGGTGAGCTGCTGGGAACGCGATGTCTTGGTGCGTTTTTCAAGGGCTAGTCAGGGATATCCGGAACACGATATCATGGCCCAGCGGGCCTTCGAACCATCAGGGTCTAGTCAGAGTACGTGCCTGGCAGTACTCTGACATGTTTATACAATATTGCCGACACCGTTGACTCCCTCAACATCCACAATAGTTCCAATGAAGATGGCGACCACCACGGCAGGCGATGGGCGCCCTGTTGTCAATCTAGCTAGCTCATTGTCACCCCCGATACCCCCTCCCCGATTGCGCCGGCCGCGCCCCGATAATCCGGCGGTGACTTCCCGAGCTCACTAATCCCTGCCCGAAGGCCCCGTGGAGTCCCCGTTGAGCAACGGGGACGAGCACGGAAACCCCCAACCCCCTCAAAACCACCAGAGCAGTTATGATCGAGCTGTAATCATGACCGTTCGCCCATAGAGTCGCCTTGGAGATCTCCGGCTTCCAGCGGATTGTGGCGAAATCCCGATCGACCAACCGCAAGTGTCGAATGCATCTTCTCTAATGGACGGTGCTGGCGGCTACACCCCTAGTCTTCTAGGCGATGGGTCCGGACGGTGAGATGCATGATGCGCAGCCGAGTTGAGAGCGCCACCTTTCGGCTCTTTCCGCCCGTCATCAAGTCTAGAACCTTTCAAGCCACCCAGGCCGTTGAGACTAGTACGCCAAAGCTTTCTCTGGACTAGCCATGTGTGTCCAGTTCTAGTCCTGAGTGTTTATCTGTCTTTGGGGGTAGGGTCATGCAGCATGGAGACTGGGGGAAAACCGATGAAACGGTCGAAATATCAATAGATTTTGATGGTTTGTTCGAGCAGTGGAAAATCTTGCGAATAGTTGCGAACACATGAAGAGTCAAAAAACAATCTCGGTGGGAAAACCCTGCCAGTTAGCGGGCATAATGGCTGATCGCATGTCTCACAATTCAACCCCCGATGTAGTATTGTGTATTTTACCATTTGCCACCTTCCTAGTTTCTCAATAGAGTACTAGTAATGGGGATAGCCCCTTTGGAGACGTTTCCTAACGAATGTCTTGCGGTGTTATTGAAAGTCCTTTCACGGCGATCCACGCCCAGAGTTGTTTCGAGAGTGATATATATCATATACCACCGGGTATCGTATTTGCAGTCTATCATGCCTGTAATGACCAATATCCCTCCGCTGTCATATCTATAACCGTATTATATGCCAAATCATAACAATCCGAGTAACCCATCCAACCCAAAAACAAAATGATAATGATAATAATAATCAATAACAAAATAGAACAAGATCATGCCAATTTCCCGGTCGGCCCCGCCCGATTAGACTGGGGTTGGGGCGTAGGACGCTGCACCTCGAGGGCGCCATCGTGCGGTAGGATGGCGATAACCTTCTGGCAGTTGGGGCAGTGGTGGTGGGTATTGTAGGACCACTTGGCGATGTAGGGGATGACGGCGCCGATGAAGCCGCAGAAGATACAGCACAACAAGGCCGCGACGCTGTAGTGATTATTAGCGGGTTCCTTCCCGAGCGACCTTCTGACGGCCGGATTTGCATAAAAGAGACAACAACACAAAAAAAGAAAAAAGAAAGAAACATACCCTGTTTGGCCGGAGCTTTCCTGCACGACGCGGGTGACACCGGCGTGGTGACACCACTGGCATTCCACCAGGGCGGGCGACTCGCGGAGGCTCTCGCGGGGCGTCACGGTGACGCCCCGACGGTCCGCGCAACAGGGGGCGCGACGGGGGAGCCGACGGCCTTCTGGTATGAGGGGGGCAGGGTGTCATTATCGTTTTGCGGCGATCTATCACTTGTCTGCGAGCTGTCATGCGGTTAACTCTCTGCTTAGTTTCTGGTTTAAGGTGGAACACACTCGTTGGCGGGTGGGGACGGCGCGGTGGGGCTGGCCGAGTTGGGCGACAGTTCCACAGGTGCTACGCGGTCGTTGCCGGGGGCAGAGGGTTGTAGATATTGCTGGGGTTGGGTCGAGGTCTCCATGGTGACGATGGTTTGAAGAGTGTCGGTAGGAGTATGAAGAAGGGAATGGACAGAGAGCGGGAAGAAGAGGGACGGTCCACATATAAATATAAAAAACAGTCTCGTATTTCCAACCTAGTGGAGGCTCAACAAGGCTGTGCCCAGAAAGGAACAAACTAGCGGGGATGACTCAGTAATCCAGGAAGCCTCGTGTGAAGGGGGGGCAGTGCCCGGGGCGAGAACGTAGTTGGTTGTTCCTAGGCCAGGAACGCAATCTATTCCAACCAGATCGCTTCACGCCGCCAAGGATTTTAGTGTTCTAGTCGCATTGGTCGTCTATATATATACATACCCGCGCTAGATCATCCTGCTAGGGAGACTGTCGGCGTCGTGACTTTTACCAATACGAACAGTGTGGCGATCGGACCCATGGAATGCACTACCCCGGGTGCCAGGATAGGCCCGCGGTCGCGAAATAGCAGAGTAAGAAAGTCAAAAGCTTGGAACTGAGATCGGTAGAGACTGTCGACCAGGGTCCATCTCGACAGGTTGAACTGGTTGGACGGACACCTCGAGAAAACACGCCATGTTGGATGGCATTTCACACGATAGATTCAACAACAGGGCAAGACCTTACATTGAAGATATAAACATCCCATACGTTAATAGTCATCCCCGCGACTGATAACTTCCTTGCCCGACTCGCCTAGAATGATGGTCTACAGTGGATTAGCTCGGCAATGCCCAGGGTCAAGAGCAGGGCGTACGTGTTCAAACTGGGCCGAAAACGAGCCCCGGACATCCATCAGAGGAGGGTAGACGTCCATCACCCCCTTCGATACGAGGTTGTTCATCTGCTGAAGATTAGTGTTGTATCGCAAGACTTCACGGGCTACGTACCCCCGCCAGGTATCGATCGACCCCCAGCCGCTCCAGGGAGTGGCGGGAAAAGACCAGGGACCCGAAATTTTCGTTGATGCTTTTGTAGAGCGATCGGGCGGTCGCCAGCGGCGTGATCACCTTCAGAGGGGCGTCGGCACTCCGGCCGTACCCATAGACACCGGCCTGTGGTCAGTCAGTGTAGGTCAACGCCAGGAATTATCGGGAAACCTACGCCGTCGATCACAGTGCCCCGGCCGGTCGAGCCAAATGTTTCAATGGCAAAAATCTCTCCGGCTTCCATCTTGGTTTGGTCATTGTTCCTGACGAAGGGGATCGACTTGCCGCCGTGGATCTGATACTGCTTGATGTCGTGACCGCTGAGGCTGCGGACCGGTTTCACGGGGAAGGTGTGGCCGCGTATCTCCACCTCGTAGCTCTCCATGACCTCCTGGATAGCGGCGCTGACATCGCTGATGCGCACGTCGACTCCGGCCGTCTACCGTCCGTTAGTAGTCATACTAGGATAGCCGGGTGGGTGCCTACCCGGATGCCCGTGTTGGTCGCATCCTGGACGGCGGCAAGCAGTGGGTCGTAGGTCGGATCAAACGACATGGTGAAGGCGCTGTCCACGATCCATCCATTGATATGCACGCCGAAATCTACCTTCATCACATCCGTCGCCTGCAGCACGACGGGCGGCTGTCCCGGGTTCGGGGTGGAATGCGCCACGCAGTGATTGAGAGATAGGCCCGTCGGGAATCCCAATCCCGACCGGAGACCCTCGCCCGGTGCTAGGCCTGCGTTGTCCAACAGCGCGCGGACACCATCGTCGATGCCCACCGCAATGTCCATGAGGTTCTGTCCCGGCCGCACACTGGCCTGGACCCACTGGCGGACCTGGCGGTGGATCTCGCCCGCTTTGCGATAGTTGTTGAGGAAGGTCTCGTCCACCAGGTCGCATCGGGCTTGGTCGCGACTTTCTGCGGCCGTCGTGCGCGCCGTGTTCATCACCGCTCCGTCGCATTGAATCTCCCCCATGGGGTACTGACCCGTCGGGAAGAGCTGATCCACCGGGACGCGGGGTGGAGAGGACTGGTGGACTGGACCCGACGGCTTCTTCTTGGACTTCTTCTTCTTCTTCTTTTTGTTCTGGTTCTTCTTCGTAGCGGTCGAGCCGGTCAGGGAGTGGGGAACCGCACCGGCCCCGAGGGTATCATCGTCGTCGTCGTCGTCGTCGTCGGTATCGCCCCCGTCGCCCAGACTCCCGTCTCCGTCGCGGGACAGATGCGCACCGCGTGGTTCGCCGCCAGTGGTGGTGACCGCGGCCGAGGGGGCATTATCTGCAGTACGTCAGTATAACCTGTGCTGGGAGTCAGACGATACGTACGGCCGTGGGGCGTGTCTTGATGTTCGGGAGATTTGGAACCCATCGCGACATCGAGGGGAAGTAGATCGAGTCGATGGGTGTGGGATGAAGGTAGAGAAAGAGAGTAGAAGGAGGAAGGAAAGAAAAGAAAAGAGAAGAAGATGCAGGGTTGAAAGTTGGCGGCGGATGGAACCGTCGCATGGCGGTGGCAGTGTCTAGCGCTAATCCCTCTCTATGGTTGTGCTATTGCCGTGATAGCCCAGGAGATAGAACTATATCCCAAGAAACAAATGGAGATTACCGTATGTCTACTAATTTCTGCTATACCTCTTATATTATTAGAATTTTTCCCAAAATTTACACCGGATACACTTATTTATATCACCCCAGTTTATACTGCTGTGGATAGAGTGAATGTAATCAAACATGTCAGCTGACTAGCAGGGTTTTCCCCCCACACGTTTCATTCTTGATGCTTCATATTGTTTACCACTATCATAGCATTCCGAATAGCTTCACTCTCGACCAAACCAACCACTGTGGGCCGCTTCCATCGGGTTTCGCCTTGATCTAGTACACAGGATTCTGGGGCACACCAAATGGGATGAATTTTATGTGGCAGGCTATCATACTAGGGTCGAGTCTTGATTGACAAGAACAGGTCTATCTTCCGTCGAGCGACAACAACCCTCATGGCATTATCAGCCAGGCACAGGATACTGCCTTTTCGCATCAATCATTCACACCTACTAGGCGCATAACCCACTTGATTCATGTTATTACTCACTATTGCTAGACAAACAAACGATGCATCCGATCTCAATGGAGCACCGGTGGCAAGAAGGACAAGATTAGACAACCAAAGCCCTGGGCAGTCATGAAACGCGTGGACGTCACCACCACAGGGCTTGGAAACGGAAAAAGACGGCGTGATTTTCACACAGTCACCTGCACATTCTTCGACACACTGGGCACTCCAGCATTGTCCAGGACGAAAAGCATATAATACCCAGGGGTGGCGACTCCGGGTTCATCGGGAATCTGGAAGGAATATGTATTGGTCCCGCCCGGTTGCGCCGACAGCCTGACACCAATGCGTCGTTGATCAGTGTTCACCGTGTGCGTCGCGGAGCCGTAGCGAATGATCGATGCCTTGGAATTGACAGGTCGATCGGTCTGGATTGTGATCGTGGTGCCGGGGGGGCCGTCTGCCGGACTGACGCTGTTGATGACGGGGCGATCCGTTTTCTTGCTTCCATCGTCATTGAGCAGATAAGGGGGGGTGTAAATCTGCGCGTCGAAGTGGTTGGCGTCGCAATCCCCGCAGAGACCACCACCGCCGGTGAAAACCGTCCCGTCCTGCAGAAGCAGCGCAATGCTGTGGTACACTCGGGGCACGTTGTTCGGCTGCATCTCCTCCCATCGGCCGCCCTGCACACTGCTGGTATCGGGAACAAACCGTTCCGGCGTGAAGTGGGCAAAACTCTCATTGAACGGCAGCCCAATATCCTGGCCGCCGTGGGTGAAGACGGACGCGTCCGGAAGCACGACAGATGTGTGGAAGGTGCGCGTGTACTTCATCGACGGGGCCTGGTCCACGTGGACGGGGGTCTTCGGGTCCGTAAGGGTGAGGATGTAGGTGGTGTCGACAGCCGGCTTGGTCTCGTAGTATCGGGAACCCCCAAAGCCGAGAATCTTGCCGGCGTCGTACATGACCGCATTGCCACACATGGCATCTTGGTCGCCGCGCTTGCCGGCGAAGGTGGTACTCCCCGAGGCACGGGTTCCATACCAGTTCATCTGGTCACTGGGGCCCCCTTGGAAAACGTATCCATCCTTCCACCCGAACAGCCACCCGTGGTTGTCCATTCGGTACTGGCGCCGATCTGCCGTGACCATCTCGTCGACTTTGGCACCGGGGAGCATGGTGGACCTGTCGGATTTCGGATCGTAAATCTCACCGTCTTTACCGTTGCCGCCGGTCTCTCCAGAAAAGGAACCGCCGATGGAGAAGATCCGGCCGTCAGAGCACATGGTCGATGATTCGTAACCGCGCAGGGACGCCATACCACTCCGCCGTTGCCACTCATGCGAGGTCGTGTTGTACAGACTGAGCTTTGCCGCATCGTTCCCACCAAACACGAGGACATTCCCCTCCACATCACTCGCGATCCCCGAGCAGAACATATCATGATCGGTCTCGTCCACCTTGCGTTGGGTCACGGTCTTTCGCTCGGGATTCCATAGGGCTGTCTGCGTCTTCCCGGACCGGTAGCCGGTGAATTGCTTGTAACCCCAGGAGGACCAGACAAGCACCTCGCCCGATTTGGGGTCGACCGCCCCTGACACGGGAACAAGAGGGAAATCAATGGTCGGACCCCAGGCGCCCTTTTTGGGGTTGGGGGGAATTTCGTTCCCCTCGAAGAGCTTGAGCTCGGCGATTGCGATCGGGCCGTCGTTGAGTTCAATCCGCAAGTACCTCGTGCGTTCGGGTTGAAAAACGGACTGCTTTTCGCTGGCATCCGGCCACCATGTCCCATACGCCACCTCCTTCCAGGGTCCTCTGTCGCTCGGGCCCACAAACACCGAGTGCCGTGTCACCAAGTTATTCGGCTTATCGGGGGAAGGAACCACGACGAACCCAGTCAGGGTCCGTGGACCACCAAATTTGACAATGATCCTCGAGGTCCCAGAGCGGGAGGTCGACCAATCGGTCCTCACACTCCCATCCAGGATAGCGGTACAATCCTGGCCTCGAAATCCCTCGAAACAAGTGATTTCCTGGACGTCATGGGAACTGATGACATGTCCCGGGGGTCCAGGTTGGTCGAGATTGGCAACCTCGACCCCGCCAACTAGATCGACGCCAGCGGTCGTGCCTTCTTGGTACTGCTCTTCTTTGTGCATCACGTCAAGCGCCTGCGGATCCTCATCCTCGACCGCCGATGCAACGCCAAGGAGAAGAGCTGCCAAGCTCCAGTTGAACTTCATGGTGGACGATGAGGCGAGCTGCTTTGCGACAAAAGAGTGGTGTTGGATCAGACCGTCGATGGGTTGTTCATCCTTGCACCGTGAAATAGAACACGTTTGTGGCTTTATAGAGCACCGTGTATAGCCCTTGCCGATTCCCTCATACCATACGACTGAGTGTTGTTGCTTGGGCTAGGGGCTAGCATGCCGGGCCTGTATTGGCGGCAAGCCGGGGCAATCACATATTCCCGGACGTGATACCGCATACCATTGCCCAACCCCATCCATCAATTTCCTGACCTTGCATGGCCCGTATACACGGTCCGCGTTTGTTAGACCAATATAGAGGTAGGAGTATGGATGATTGAATCATGCAGGGATAACGAATCTAACTATGTCAAGTGCGTCGCGTGTGGAAGACAAGCACTACTACGACTTCGTAACCGCCAAAATTGACACGAGCAGTACAACGGATAGCTGTGCCGCCCATCCCCCGGAATGTTGGGTGTTATACATAGCTATCGCTCAAGCTAAGAATTTACTGCAATATTAGCCTGTGTCCGGAGTGAGGGGACTTCTATCAGACAATATCACCAGGGGATCTGTTCTGGTCCATAAAGGTATCCCGAACTGACGTGGAGTAATGCAGCTAGACTCTACGAAGACCAAGCAATAAATGATGGATTGACATTGCCAACATAAGACGCGGTCGCTTCGGTATGTCAACGCACTGATAGACCGCAGGGTTTTCTTGCCCACCTGCTATTTCCAAATTCTTTGCGGTCACAGACCAATGCCAACAGGAGAAGGGAGTCCTCTAGCTATCATTGAAACGTAATCATTGGCCTATCCATCCGGATCTCAGGCAATATTTGGACTCCATAAAAGCGAACGGCTGATTTGCGTTGTATTATAAACCATGCGAGTCTCCGGGCGCCACCCCGATGGCCCACCCAAAGCATGCCTATCAAAGGTACAACCCAAGCGGTCGGTACGGTTACTCTGTCCCGCTAACTCCATGTACTCCATGTACTCCATAGCCCGCATGTCACGGAATGATTTTAACTGCCGTCGCATCAGGACCTTTACCGTGGAATCCCCCTAGCTGAATGGCACCCTCCTCTTGTGTAACCCCGGTAGCACCGCAACGCGAATGGAAATGCAACAACCTGCGCTTTACATTATGATATTTCTCATTGGGAGGAATGCCAGCCAGGGGACCTTCGTCGTTACCTCGAAAAATTCATGGTCGAATTATTTTGACCGAGGCTAGGCTGCTAACGCTGGAAGGGCGACCTGGAGTTGGAGGGTACATGGTTGACGATGAATCATCATGTATTATTCCATGTCTCGGACACTGGCCGTCTCCAGCTATTCAGCCAGCCACGTATGTGATCTTTCTGCCTTTTGTATTGCTTTCCAGCTTGATGAAATCACGAGGAAGAGATGTACTGAGTAATCGAACTGACGATTGACCCGCACAATATCACGTTAAATTGTCTAGTCACAAATATTCGAGCCCGTGCAAAAGCCAGCCAGACGAGTGATGACCATTTTGAATGTGTAGAAAGCCTCTGCATCAACCCATACTATGGATTGTAAGGATTGTATATGGTGTGATGGCAGTCATATCCGGGCTGGCCAAATGCCGTTTCGGTATTTTGGTGCAGTGGCTGAGAGTATCCATGCAGTTTCCTACCCACGCCTACCGTATTTGATGCTACCCCTGCAGACAATCAATATCCGCCAAAGTGGACATGACTTGAACTGGACCGAGGCTAGGCAAAATTCATTCCTAGCAAATTAGCGTTGTAGACCTAGCTAGTGGGCCTGTTCAAGTCTGTGGACTCAGACTTGGCTTTATTGCATCCGAAACTCTGTTCCCTGGCAGGCGCCACAGTGGAGAAAGCAGAAGCTTAGGGTACACCTCGCTTCTTTCTGGATAGACATGACACCACAGCGAAAGCAGGGCCAAACGTCTCCATCCACTCATAGACGGTCTAATGTTACCTTTGACCATGGTAGAGTCCCAGACAGCATCCAACCCAAGAATAATGCAACCCTGTGAGATCATGATAGGTCTGTTTCTTGCGGTTGGTCAAGTAGGGTATAAAACCCGGGGTCGGGTCATGGCAAAGATGGATCGAGACTGAAGATTGTCGTCCTCAACCTTCTTTCAATGATATTATAGTGAACCTCTATCAAAAATACCTCATCAACTTCAATATGGCTAGCGACATGGACAAGTCCGATATGCAGGGCGATATTTGGTACGCCCACCAGATCGTGGACCCTCTACGCATGGGTGGTTGCTGATTGGACGTACAGGCCCGGACTGCTCAAAAAGTATGAGGAATTTGTCTTGTTCGAGATCAAAGACGCGGCGGATTTCAAAGATCGCCTGAAGGAAATGGTGTCGAAGAAGCAGATTACCACTGCTCAAGATGCCCTGTCCACCCGCCAACGCGTCTGTGGAAGTGGCAACGAGGTCGAGATGTCTGGCGTCAACATCGCTTTTACCTCCAAGGGAATGGTCAAGGTAACTCCACTTAGTCATTTGATGATATAGAGGGTTGATTACTAAATGTGCATAGCTGGACAGAGATGAGCTCCGTGATGATCCCTTTATCAAAGGCATGTACACGGACATGGTGTCGGAGGGCCGAGATACCGACGAGGAATGGGATAATTCCTGGAGGCAGGACGTCCACGGGGTTCTGCTGATCTGCGGCACCGAAAAGAAAGTCCAAAGCACCAGGGAGAGGATTATCAGGACGTCTCTGGGCAGTTCCATTGCCGTGGTTGGGAAGCCCATGGCGGGAGCTACGCTGCCCAAGAAAAAGGATATCCATGATCCCGAGCAGTGAGTCTTTGGATCTAGATCTTGAAGTAGGAACGCTATCTAATTCGGTGTCTAACGATCTCCAGCTTTGGGTTCCGCGATGGTGTCTCCCAGCCCATCTTGAAGGGCCTCGATGATGACAAGATCAAGGAGGAAGGTGTCCAAAAGACCTTCACCGCTCCAGGGTAAATTAACCTCACCAGGCTATCCTGTAGCCGATCCATGTGTGCTAACCTCGCCAGGACAATTCTGATCAACAATCCTGGGTTTTATGATGACAACAAAAAGTGGTGGGAGCCCGACTGGGCCAAGAACGGCAGCTACTTTGTTCTTCGCAAGATGGGCCAGGACGTGCCTAAATTTCACAAGTATGCTCCTGCTACCGTTGCATGTCGCACACTACCTATGGGCATGATCTGACCACCGTTTCTGTAGGTATTGTGAGAACAAGGCACGCCAGCTCGGCTTTACTCAAGACGAATTCGAAGCGCGCCTGGTTGGACGCTGGAAGAACGGTAAGCCACGAGGCGGGGTCAGTCAATCATGTTATTTGTCCTGGTATTGATATAGCTTCGCAGGCGCCCCCGTGGAGAAATATCCCTTCGAAAGCTCCACCTTCGACGGAAACTTGAACGACTGGGACTATGAAGATCCCAACAAGCAGACCAATTGCCCCTTCGCAGCCCATATCCGAAAGACCAACCCTCGCATTGGGGTCGGTAATACGACCAACAACTTGATGATGCGTCGGGGTATCCCGTATGGGCCTGTGTGGGAGCCCGGAAAGAATGACGAGGTTGAGCGTGGTCTCTTGTTTACCTGTTATCAGAGTGCTATCAAAAATGGCTTTCAATTTGTCATGAACCGTAAGCAGGCCCTGCCCCGTCAACTGATACCGAAGAGCATTTCTAACGAATTATTAGGTTGGGTGTACAACCACGGATTCCCGCACGACCGGAATGGCCAGGATGCCATCATCGGCCAAGATATCAAAGGCGCCGTCGAGGAGGAAGACAAGAAATTGCGCCTGAGACTCCTGGACAAGAAGGGTCTAGAGCATGAGATTTCGTTCACGACCTTCATCTCCGTCAAGGGTGGGGAGTACTTTTTTACGCCGCCGTTGCAATTCATTCGCGGTCTGTAGGGCTTGTCTTGGGGTTGGGCATACAGTATCCAAACAACTACGACTAGAGCATGAGAACCTGTGAAATAGACGCTGAAAATGGCTGGTTTTTATACAGAGATGGCTACCTTTCCACCCATAACTTAGGACGGCGAGGCGCCGCTTAACTGCCCTTCTGTCCAGTACCTCTCTATTCTAACAAAGAGATTCGGCTGAAAATAAGATGAACATCAACCAAAATAAAACATAAACATCAACCAAAATAAAACATGAACATCCAGAAAGATATTCAGGGGGAAAAAAAGAAGAAGAAATTGAAAACCACCGTCATCGCCATCATCAGAGCACCACCACCCACAGGACCATCATTCCCATCAGCACCATCGCGATGCACCGGTTAATATTGCGATCCGCATGGTCTATGCGGTTCCGAAACAGCTGCTCGTATCGGAGACCCTTATTTAGTGTAGGAAACGGCGTCTGCGGTACGGGCTTGCCTAGGAACCGGCACAGCGGCTCCCATCCATCGTGGATATCCCACTCCAGCAGCCGATCGGGATGCACGAGGCGTCGCACCCGGCGGCGATGCTCATCCAGAGCGCTGCGTGAGTTCTTCTCGAAGCTGCCGCGGTAGAAGATATTCCAGTTGCCCCGGATGAAGCCCTGTTGCATCCAAAACAGCTCGGCACAGAACCAGCTGCGAAACCAGAACGTCCAGCTTTGGTGCAGGGGGTCCAAGATCTCCATGACACTTTGATGCCAAGCATCCACGTCCTGCCGGATGTTGAGGATCACCTTGGCGTCGGGGTACGCCGCGATGAGCTCCGGCGCAAAGGCCGCGGCGACATGGTCGGTGATGCCGGCGCAGTGTCCGATCACGGCGTCAAAGTCGGCGGCTGTCAGGCTGCCGCCGCGCTCTCGTTTCAGGCGCAGCCGATGCCACCCGAGGTCATCTTCGGGATGGTCTACGATATCGAGACCATGGTAGCAGTGGTCGTAGCCGAGTTGCAGCAGCGCCGCTCGAAGGGAGCCGGTGCCGGATCGCGAGGGACCAACGGCGAGGACTTGCATGGGCACCGACCGGGTGCGGGACGGCGCCTCGAGGGCGTACAGGTGCTCCTTGAGAAATTCCATGATTTATGGAGGCAGTGAAGTAGCACCGGCGTCGCTCTCTGGCGGGGCATGCGATCCTTCCATGACTTCACGCCCTGGTCACCTCTGCACAAGGAGCCTTGGCGGGCGAGCCCCGCAGCTGCAATATCAAGGCACGGCAGAAAAAAAAAGTCGGTGTGTAGCTGCAGCGGGCAGGGCTGTGAGGTTGTGTTTTCTCTTCTGTCACATTTACCCTGTCGCTGCGCGTAGTCCAGTATTTGAAAAGTACAGCCCCGTTTCCTTTCCAGGCCATTGACTTATATCCCATCACAAATGGCTTCACTGGCGACCATCCTACAGGCCGTTCGCGTGCGATACTCGCTCCCGCCCGACGGGGTCTTTCAATCGGTGGCTGCAGCGGTGGAAGAGCATATGGCAGCGTACGATGCCTCCCACGACTTTCACCATGTCCTCCGTGTGACCGCGCTCTCCCACACTATCCTCATGGCGGAGTCGGGGGCTCATGATCCTACGGTGGTGCTTCTCGCAGCGTTAGAGCGCCTCCCCCTTTCCCACCGAGCCTGCCTGACTGACCTCCGTTTCAGACTCCTCCACGACGTCACCGACAAGAAGTACACGCCCACCGAGGATGGGTCGAAGCTGCTGGAGATACTCGCGAGCGCGAACATCTCGTCCGATCTGTCAGCGCGCGTCGTCGAGGTCGTCAACAACGTCTCCTACTCGACTGAGATGCGCAACCCGGACCGGACGCGGCAGGTGCTAACCCAACATCCGGAGCTCGGCATCGTGCAAGACGCGGACCGGCTGGATGCCATCGGAGCAGTTGGCATTGGACGGGCGTTCACGTATGGCGCAGCAAAGATGCCGGAGCTCAGTATGCAGCGCTCCCGTGATCACATCAGCGAAAAGCTGGTGAAGTTGGAGGGTCTAATGAAGACGGAAACTGGTCGACGGATGGCCAGAGCGCGCACCGAACGGCTGCAGTTGTTCTCTCAGTGGTGGGATGAGGAGTGTGCGCTCTAGTATCTAGAATTCATCGTATTCTACTTTTTTTTTTCTTTTACTGGAAGACTTCAGGCGTTCAACGAAGGAGATTTCAGATTGATACGGCCAAGTGCAATTGAGGTTGAGGCAAGTTTGCATAACGGCAGTCAGTTGTCCTCCTCCCAAAACGCCTGCCGTGGCTGCCAGTCATCCGGATAGACCCTGCATCGAGCGTCCAGCCGGCTCACGAGACGGTGCTCGTCCGGAGTCAGGGTCTATCCATTAAGGTCAAAGTTGGCGGCGATGCGCTCCTGCGTGACACTCCCGGGGATCACGCTCGTTCCGCGTTGGAGATCCCACATGATGCTGTCATGGTTAGCATATATCCCAGGTATCTAGAAAGGCGTGTAGGTGCCTACAGGATTTGCTGCGGCGTCTTGGACGTGCGTTTGGTCAGCTCGGCCGGCGTCACGCTCTCGTGCCGCTGGGGCAAACCAAAGGCTAACGGCGAATATATGATAAGTGAACCTCAGCCACTGCACTAAGATACCTACCGTAATATTGGTCAGGCATGATACAACTGATGTCCCAACAGTAAATCAGCCAGATAATAGATAACATACGTACCAGTTGGATGTTCCACGACTACCCACTGATGGTGAACCATGATGTGAAATTCCCGAGCTAGCCTGTGCATATTCTCACCAAAACAGGGAGGGGTGGTTACCGGCGTTCTGGAAACCCAGTCCGTATAAGTCCATATATCCATCTACATATATCTGCTTCCCGACACTGAGGGAAACGAAGGATGAAGAACTAAGGCCGACTACATGTCATACGACGGCCAACGGAACGGAAAACGACGCGTGATGATGCATAAGCTCTATTACTCCCGGAAAGCGCTCAAGGAAAGCACAGGATCTAATCCCTCATACCTCAACCAGCTGCTCCGCCCGACCTTCACGCGCCCGCTCAATTACATCCTCCCAGATGGGCGGCCGCACCAAGAACTCGGAACCCGCATCCTCTGCCTCCAGCCCCCACTGCAGCAGCGCCGCTTCGTCCGCCCAATCGGCGTGCCCCATCAGGCCGACGGGGACGGATCCCGGCTCACCCGACTCCGTGGGCACCTCTCCCTCGACGTAGCCGGCCGGCACACTGAGCGAGGGGACGCCGGCAAAGTTGGCCAACCAGACATACTCCATGGTGCGCAGGGTGGTGTCGCCGTCGCTGAATCCGGAGCGCATGTCCACGGTCGAGGCGATGGGCCAGCCGGCGCAGGCCGTGGTCGGGGTGACGAGGATCATGCCGGGCCGGTCGCGCCACAACGCGGCCAGGTGTGCCATGATCAGGCGGCGGAGCTTCTGGGCACGAAGGTAGTCCGTTGCCGGGGTGGCGCGGCCGATGCTCAGCAGGATGCGGTTGGCGGGCGCGATGTTGGCGGTGTCGGTCAGCACGGCGGCTGCGTCGGTGAGGATGGTCATGGCGTGAGCCGTCTGGCCCTCGGACAGGAAGGGGATGTCGACAGGGACGACGGTGTAATCGTACTGCGTCACCAGCCGGTCCAGCAGCGCACGACAGCGGCGCTGCACGGGCGGGTCGGCGCGCGCGAACCACGCCTCGCACACGCCCAGGGCCTTCTTCGTGGCGCCGGGCGCCGGGGTGAGGTCGAGCCGGCCGGGGGCCGGGAAGTGCGTGTCGGGACCGGGGGCGGCGACGAGCTGATAGACGGCGGCCAGGGAGCGGAGGTCGGCGGCCAGGGGCCCGATGACGCTGGTGGTGCTGGCGTAGTTGACGCCCGGGTAGTGCGAGAGGCGGTTGTGGGAGGGCTTGAGACCGGTGACGGAGCAGAAGGCGGCGGGGATGCGCACGCTACCGCCGCCATCGGTGCCGAGGGCGACGGGGACGAGGCCGGCGCTAACGGCGTAGGCGCAGCCCGAAGAGCTGCCGCCGGTGTAGTAGCGCGAGTGGTAGGGGTTGACGGGGGTGCCATAGTGGATGTTGTGGCCGTTGGGGTCAAGGCCGAATTCGTGCATGGACAGCTTGCCGACGAGAACAGCGCCGGCACCCTCGAGCTGGCGGACACACCAGTTGGTGATGGACGGGTCAGTCTCGGACGGCTGAGGCGTGTAGTCGTTACATGAGCCGAGGTGGGTGGTGTAACCGTCGACATCGAATTCTCCCTTGACGGCGACGGGCACGCCGTCAAAGAGGCCCCGCGGACGGTTCTCGCGATACCGCTGGGTGGCGGCCTCGGCCGCGGCAAGAACGAGATCGACGCGGGTGTCGAACCAGGCCACGGAGTGGGGGCTGGGGTTGGGCACGTCGCGGCGGATGAGCGGCAGCAGCGCGCGGGCGACATCCAAGGGGGTCAGCTCGCCACTCTTGTAGAGGGCATGATAGTCGGCGACGGAATAAAACGGCTTCTTGGTGGGCTGGGGAGGAGCGATGACGCGCTCGGGAGGATCATCAGACCGTGGCGGCTCCTCGAGTGGGATCACCGTCGGGTCATAGCGGGGCTCTAGCAACTCGAGATGTCGGTCAATGGTGCGCAGGGCGCCAAAGCCCGCATTTCGCCAGATGAGACTGGGAAGAAACCAAATCCGTTCCATGCTAGGGAGGATTAGCTATCTTCTTCTTTCTGTTGCATCCTCGACATGTGGTGGTGCACTTACAGCCAGGCAGCCACGGTCAGCAGGAACCCCCGCAACACCGGGTTGGGTTTGCGATTGTAGCGCGGAGGAACATCGGGTCTAGTCCGTCAGTTTCACTTCATCAACCTCGTAAGATCAGGCAGCGTGAGGACAGGATCAGGAAGAGTGAAGAAAGGTCAGCTCACCCCGTCTTAGCCTCGGGATAATCCCGGAATCGGACGGACATTAGGATGCAGGTATCAATACGCGTCTATCCAAGTAAAGTCGAAAGAGCAATCTAATGCAGTGTGTTTGTAAACAAAAACGAAGCAAAAGGAATGAATAAAAGCAAAGACCAGACAGAGAGAGAGGAAGAAGGAAGGAAGAACTACTTTGGAGTCACGAGAAGTTTATGTTTGTTGATCGCCGTTTATGCCGATCGGGCACCGTTGCCTGATGACTCATCTATCCACTTATGCTTCCTCCTTCTATCCTTTTTTATACTTCTGTCGACTTCACTTTGACTTCACTCTCGACACTCTCCATCTTAGATCGATTGATCAATTCCGTCCGATGCAGAACCGCCTGTACTAATTCCTCGTTCACCGGCGTCGCCACCCCCACTTCCCTCCCCCGTCGCACCCAGTAGCCATTGATGAACCGCACCTCGGTCTCACGGCCAGCGCGCATATCCCACACCATTGAGCACGTCGTCTCGGCGTTCTGGGTGAGAATGTAGCTCACCGTTTTCTCCAGACGGTCGACGGCGAACCGCTCCCGCACGCCCGACACCCCCTGCAGTTCAGGCAGTGCGAGGACGACCGCCGATATCTCGGTGAGAATGGCGCGACGGAGCGCCGGCATCGTCACCAGGAAGCCAGTTTTCGCGTCGTGCAAGGCGCATGTGGGGTTGCAGAACGCATTCAGGGCCAGTTTCTCCAGCTGCGTCTGGAAAACCTGGGTGTACGCGTCGGTGCGGGCATTGAACCGCGGGGAGCGGGGCAGCGTCGCCAGCAGGTCGTCGTCGCGAGCGGGCGCTGGCGTCCGTCCCGGCGGCGGGGGCACCCACCCCAGAGACATGGCCGCGGGACCCGTGTGTGTAACATGGAAGGGCTTGGTGAGCACCACGCCGTGGGAGACAACGCCGACGGCGTAGTGGGGACGGGTGACGGGGTCGGGAAACAGGTGCTCGGTGACAGTGTCGATCATGCCGCAGCCGTTCTGGAGAAAAAGGATGGTGGAGTGGGGGGAGAGACGGGCGCGAAGAGGTGTCAGCGCCGCAACCGTTTGCGGGGCTTTGACGCTGATGATGAGGTGGTCGATGTTGGTGGCAGTGGTATCATGGCCCGTCTCGCCGTGCCAGCGCCCGTCGCGGAGAACTTCGAGATCATAACCCGTCTGCGGGAAGACGGTTCCATCCGCGGTATCGAGCCGGATCTGACGCCCGGTGGCGCGGTAGGCATCCGCCAGGCTGGCGCGGTGGAGGAGCAGAGTGACCGGGGGTGGGTTCGGCATGGCCCGCAGGCCGTGCGCGGTGAAGGTCCCGATACTTCCCATCCCGAGGACATGGATGCGGGGGGCATCTGGTGCGGAGAGGGTGGTTTTAGGGCGGGGGAGAGCGGGGTGGAGATGCCGCGACGGGGTTGAACCACACGGACGCGTCATGGCGGGGAGAAATGCGGTGCGAGGGCATCGGATACCTGGAGGAAGGCCCGCCATCGGGGTAACAGTAGGGAGAGGTCAGTTGCATCAAATTTCAAGCGACCGTGGGCATCGAACGCGCCAGGCGTGTCTTGACTCGATCGATCCACCATGGTGTCTTGGCATCTGGCGATGATCCCAGGGTTGGGCCCTGGTGGCTTTCCTACATGGTGAGCATACAATTGTAGAGAATAACGATACTGGATTAAGTGGTCGAAATATCTACTGCGCAGGAGGATCAAACTTATTCTACAGTACTCGTATATACATCTATAGTCAGTGCTCCCCAAAGACACTAGGATGAATGATAGAAAATACAGACCAAGTCACCATCAGCTCCCCTTCCAGAAAACACGACCCTCCATCAGTCGCCGCGCCGTTCGATAGACCGTAGCATGACAGAGCGTCCCATCCTCCCCATACTCCGCGCCCACCACCAATCGCCCGCTGGCATGACCCAGAGTCAGCCCCGTCGAACTGACCCGGGTTCCGCGCGTCACGTCCGCCACGACACTACCAGGCACTTGCGCCGCCGCCGCCAGGGCCAGCGCGACGGTAATAGGCACAGCCTTGTGCGGCTGTCCGACGGAGAGCGCCCGCACCAGCACGTCGACCTCCTTTGGTGTCTGCCCAGCCTGGGCAGCCCGGTCGTCCGACAGCGGGGACGACACCAGGCCGATCTTGGGCACACTGCCGGGGACGTCTTCCAGTTGATCCGCCAGACCCATAGCCACCCCAGCCTGGCGCCGGATGGAGTCGAGCCGGGGGAGCAGCGTGGGGTGGGTGTCGATCTCGTCGGGGGTGAGATTTCCACGCACGCCCAGGTCTGCTGCGCGGACAAAGCACGCGGGATTGCTCACGTCGATGCAGGTGGTCTGTACGCCATCGAAGGTATCCGCCACGCGACCCGTAGGGAACAACCGACCGGTGCGGGAGCCAGCCGGGTCCAGAAAGTCCAGCTGAATGGGGTCAGCCGTGCCGGCGACTCCATCGATGGCAAAGTCCCCCTCGGCAGCAGCCTCACCGTCGACAACGCCGAAGCGCGCGCGGACGACCTTGCCGGTGTTGGTGTTGTGGATGCGCAGGTCGACGCGGCTGTTCGTGTCAGGCGACACGGTGACCAGCCCGGCGTCGACAGCGAAGGGCCCTACGGCACTGATCATGTTGCCGCAGTTGCTGGAGTAGTCGACGTGGTCATTGCGGACCCCGAGGGCGATGAATGTGTAGTCGATGTCGGCGTCGGGGCGGGTCGGCGGGCCTACCACGCACACTTTGGATAGACTCGACACGCCGCCGCCTAGACCGTCGAGTTGTCGGCCGTAGGGGTCGGGACTACCGATCACACGTCGGAAGATGGGCGCCCATTGCGATTGTTGGGAGGGTAGGTGGTCGCGCTGAAAGAAGACGGCGCGGGAGGTACCGCCGCGGTAGTACGCGGCGGGGAGGCTGCGTTGGGTGGACAGCGAGCGCGGGGTGCTCATACTAGATCTCCATGGTGGAATAGACCGTTGAACAGCCCGGAAGGGGCTCAATCGCATGCTCAACATGGTGGATGGGGGTGTGGAGGATATCAGAAACCCCGAACAGAAGTGGGAGAGAATCGGGTGATCGTCATTATTAAGAATGCGCCTGCGTCACATTAACCTCGGATCAGCAACTCCCCACTACATCCTATCACCACATCCATTCCACCATGGCCTCGTATTTAGTAACTGGAGCGTCGCGCGGACTGGGTCTCGCACTGGTTCAGCAATTAGCAGCGCGTCCCGCGACCGAGGTGGCCTCTATTGTGGCGACAGCACGACAACCCCGCGAACTCCCCTCGCTGGTCGAGGCCTCGCGCGGGCGCATCGCCTACGTGCCTCTTGACACGACCAGTGCGTCCAGTGTTGCGGAAGCGGTGGACCGCATCCAGCGAACGCATGGGAACTTAGACGTATTGATCAATAATGCCGGCGTGGGGTCCTACACGCGTGGAGGAGTGACTGAGATGTATGACCCACCAGATGGTAGACAGAGTACAGACTGACCCCATCTAGGGATGCAACCGATCTCACAGACGTGATGAACACAAATGTCACAGGAACACATCGAGTGACGCAAGCCTTCCTACCTCTCTTACGACGGGGAACCCGCAAGTCGATAGTCAACATGTGTGCGACCCTTATCCCATATCTGTGTCCAAATCCAGCTAACAAACAAGCTCAACAACAATGGCCTCCCTCGACAAGGCCCAAACCTATAAAGACATGCCCGTCCCAGCCTACCGAATCAGCAAGGCCGCGCTGAACATGTTGACCGTGCAATACGCGCACGCTCTCGCTGACGAGGGATTCGCTTGTTTTGCTGTCAGCCCGGGGGTATGTCCATCCATTGTCATCTCATGCACCAAGCTAACAGCAACAGTGGCTCCGAACGGATCTAGGCGGATCCCGCGCCGACCTCTCCGCAGAGCAAGGCGCAGACGCCGTCTTGGATATCGTGCGTGAAGCGAATACCGCGCAAAATGGGAAGTTTTTGAACGTCCGTGTGCCGGGGTGGGAGAACCATGAAGGATTGAATCAGTATGATGGGAGGGAACTTCCATGGTAGGCCTTTTTTCAATAGCATGTACAGTAGATATAATTGATGGATTGCGTGGCTAGGGATGCTAACTGGGTGGATGGTTATACGATGCATAAACGTAGACATGGTCCGGTCAGACTGGTTTGCATCGGGATATAAATCAGATCTACTGGGCTACAACACAAAAGAAATAGGTGTTTGTATCATCGTTGGTATCATGATTGATGCGTCTAAGAAGGCTCCGCCCGCAGAACCTACTCCTGAGACACCTCCCCGACAAAATCCATCAGCCCCGTCCCCGTTGACTCCGCCGTCCAAGTCCGCGACCGCGGCGTCGCCGTTGGATCAGGCGTCGGGCGACCGAAGGGATCCAACCCCCCCACGGCAACGGCCTCGACGTGCAGCGCCTCACGCGACAAGTGGACGGTGAGCTTGCGGTTCTTCGCCGACGGCCCGCCCGGGGTGATGAGCTCGCCGTGGTGGGGGGCGGCCGGCTCCCAGCGGCGTCCGGGCGGCGTCGCAGGGGCGGCGGCGATGGCCGCGACCACATCCAGGAGCAGGACGTGCGACAGGACTGCCTCCGCTTCGCTGCGCAGGGAGATGCGAGCTGGGGGCTGCACGTCGGGGAAGGCCGGCAGGTGCACAGCGAGGTCGAAGACGGTCCCGCCCGGCGGACCCGCGACACTGGTACGGACGGTGACGTGGACCGAGGCCTGCGGTGCGGCGAGGGGCCCGCCGAGGGTGGACTCGAGGGGTCGCAGGAGGGTCCGGACGAGGCTCTCGACGGTCGGGACGCCCGGACGGGACGCGGGCGGACGGACGGAGGCGAAGGGCGTGACAGTGCCAGCGCCCGGGAGGCCGGCGGCGCGGCGCACGCGATGCAGGTCGCCCAGGACGGCCTCGAGGGCGCGCACGTGGGCGCGGTGTTGTAAGCCGGCCAGCAGCGGGCGCAGGATGTGGTATTCGGGGGTGTGGCGGCGGCGGGGCGTCAGCGGTGGTGGAGCCTGCTCGCGTCGGTGTCGGTTCTGCCGGTGGGCGTGGGCGAGGAGGATGCGGAGGGCGTGGGAGAGCGCGTCGGCCAGCCGGTCGTCCTCGGCCGTGGTCTCGGAGTCTGCCGGTGGAGGCGAATCCCCGTCCGTGTCCACCAGGTCCAGCCAGACCTCCTGCTCGTCCGAGACGGGGACGCGGACGAGGTTCTGGCGGGTGGTGACGCCGTGGGGGGCCAGGATGCGAGCCTCGCGCATCATCTCGTGGAACAGTTCCTCCTCGTATACGGTGTCGCGCGCCTGTCGGATGCGCGCTTCGATGGCGTCGGCGTCGGATGTGGGGGGCAGAGGGGTGCGCGAGGCGCCGGTCCAACGGTCGGCGGTCTTGACCCGCACGCGGACGCGACGGGCTTTTTGCGGCACGAGGCCTTGGTTGAGCAGGAGGCTGCCATCGTCGGCGCGGCGCAGACTGGCCAAGCCGCGATCGCGGAAGATGGGAGTGGCTGTCTCGTTAGCACTCACCCACCGGGAAGTAGGTAGGGGGAGGAGGGGCCGGGAGAGAGATACCTTCTAGGAAACCGTATTGGACGCCTAACGCCTGGCGATCGCGCGGCAGACGACAGACCTTCCAGCCCTGGTTCTGGATGGAGAGAACCTCGTCCCAGTAGCGGGTCTCGGCGGCGACTTCGGATTCAAGACGGGAGGCCGCGTTCAGAAGTTTGTTGGCGGCAGAGTTGAAGTTCTGCAGGCGCCAGCCGCGAGAGACGGCCTCGGTGTCGCGACGGACGGCGTCGGGCTTCGGAGGGGGATCGACGACCTCGGGGGTCAGGGAGCCCATGGGGGCGACCTGTTTGAGATAGGCGGACATGGAGGTTTCGGCCTGACGGGGGGCATGTTGGGAGATGAGGAGGGAGACGAAGTCGAGGGCGAAGAGGGCTTCCATGTGGGCCTGGCTGGGGGGGGGGGGTTAGTCCGGGTGGTCGTCTCTTCACCACCTCGCGGGAAGATGACCTACTGAGCAAACTGGGTGATCTCGGCGCGTTTGCGATAGAGCTGGTCTAACCGCTCGGTGGTGTCGACCTCGGTGGGGGATTCATCGCCGTCGTCTGAAGCGTCATCGGATTGATCGGCGATGCGGCGGCGCAGAAAGTCCTCGGAGACGTGACGGAAACTGCCCCATTGGGTGTTGATCTGGGCGATCTCGACGGGGAGGGGATCGGGGGGGTCGGGACGATCGAGACGGGGGCGGAGGGGGAGGGAGAAGGAGTCTGACATGGTCGAGGTTGAATGGGGGGTGGATGAGGTGAGGGGGAGGGAGAGGAAGGAAGAAATGAAGTTATCCCGACACGGTCTGCCTCAGGTGTCATCACGTGATATATGCATCAACGATGGACGTCACAACAATAAAACATGTTAGACCACCAGGAATGAAAATCCAAACACTTCAAGATAACAGCCATAAGAAACTCCCGGGTGTATTCTACATCTCCGTGGTTATCCTGCCACGTCGCTGTCGCCGCTCGGTGGTACAGATATGGCCTGATCGTATACCGGGATATATATTGCCTGAGGTACCCATACTGCAACCATTTAATACCAGCCATTGCGCCCTCCACATTCTTCTTCTTTCTCTATCACTTCAGAACTACCATCACTGCCATCTTGAGCATCCATTCTATCGAAAATAACTCATTAAAAAAAAGAGAAAAGTGAAAATAGAGTGACATCACGACGACGCTAACCGGTTTGGGCTTCCCCGCACTAACCCGATCCAGTCTAGTCTCTCTCCTTCTCTTACTTCCTCCTCTTCTCTTCTTCTTCTCTTCTTACTTTCTTCTCTTCATCTTCATCTTCATCTTCATCTTCATTCTCCTCTCCTCTCCTCTCATCAACTCTCATCCCCCTCATTGGTTTCCCATCATTCGATCTGGTTGGCTGGTTCACTTCAATTGATTCTTCTGCATCGGATAGTGACTTCATACTAGCCTTCCGACTAGCTTCGGCGGGGCCCAATCCGACCAACGAGTCTGTGACGTACGACCGACGACCGGTTTCCACTCCCTCTTTTTTCTCACCGGTACCATCCACCCCCGAGCCTAACACTGCTGATCTCATAATGCTCCGGACGACATTCTTCCTGTCCGTATACTAATTGCCGCAATTCTCCCTCATCCAGACCACCCACGAACTCTCCTCACTCCCCCCAAATCTCCCCCCCCCCCACGTTCGATCCCAACCATGCCTCCGATCGAACTCCCCAAGCGCCGGCGCATTGCCGTCCTCACCTCCGGAGGTGATGCCCCCGGCATGAATGGCGCCGTCCGCGCCGTCGTCCGGATGGCTATCTACTCCGACTGCGAAGCCTACGCCGTGTTTGAAGGCTACGAGGGACTGGTGGCCGGCGGCGAGATGATCCGTCAACTACACTGGGAGGATGTCCGCGGCTGGCTCTCCCGCGGCGGCACCCTCATCGGGTCCGCCCGCTCCATGGCCTTCCGGGAACGCCCCGGCCGCCTGCGCGCCGCCAAGAATATGGTCCTGCGCGGCATCGACGCCCTCGTCGTCTGCGGCGGTGACGGCTCCCTCACCGGTGCCGACGTCTTCCGCGAGGAGTGGCCCGGCCTGCTCGAGGAGCTCGTCAGCAGCGGCGACCTCTCCACCGAACAGACGGACCCCTACCGCTCCCTCAACATCGTCGGCCTCGTCGGCTCCATCGACAATGACATGTCCGGCACCGACGCCACCATCGGCTGCTACTCCTCCCTCACCCGCATCTGCGACGCCGTCGACGACGTCTTCGACACCGCCTTCTCCCACCAGCGCGGCTTCGTCATCGAGGTCATGGGCCGCCACTGCGGCTGGCTCGCCCTCATGGCCGCCATCAGTACCGGCGCCGACTGGCTCTTCGTCCCCGAGACCCCGCCTCGGGATGGGTGGGAGGACCACATGTGTTCCATCATCACCAAGGTATTGCCCACATAACCACCGACTGCGATCAAGGAAGCTGATCAGGTAGAACCGCACCGAACGCGGCAAGCGTCGCACCATCGTCATCATGGCCGAAGGCGCCCATGACCGCCAACTGAACAAGATCTCCAGCAGCACCATCAAGGATATCCTGACCCAGCGCCTCGGCCTCGACACCCGCGTCACCGTCCTCGGCCACACCCAGCGCGGCGGCCCCGCTTGCGCCTACGACCGCTGGCTCTCCACCCTGCAGGGTGTCGAGGCCGTCCGCGCCGTCCTCGACATCAAGCCCGGCATGCCCTCCCCTGTCATCACCATCCGCGAGAACAAGATCATGCGCACCCCCTTGATTGAGGCCGTCGACATGACCAAGCGCGTCGCCGCCTTCATCGAGCGCAAGGACTTTGACGGCGCGATGGCCCTCCGCGATTCTGAGTTTAAGGAATACTACTTTGCCTATCGCAACACCGCCACGCCTGATCATCCCCGCATGCTCCTACCTGAGAACAAGGTACTGCCTCTCCCATCCCCCCCCCCAATCGCCCCCCGCCTCCACGCAAGACGGAAGAGAACTGACCAACCAGCGCATGCGCATCGCCATCATCCACGTCGGCGCCCCCGCCGGTGGCATGAACCCCGCCACGCGCGCCGCCGTCTCCTACTGCCTCGTCCGCGGTCACACCCCCCTGGCCGTCCACAACGGTTTCCCCGGCCTCTGCCGCCATCACAACGACACCCCCGTCAGCTCCGTCCGCGAAGTCCACTTCGTCGAGGCCGACCCCTGGGTCAACGAGGGCGGCTCCGACATCGGCACCAACCGCAGCCTGCCCGCCGAAGACTTTGAGACCACCGCCCGCTGCTTCGAGCAGTACCGCTTCGACGCCCTCTTCGTCGTCGGCGGCTTCGAGGCCTTTACCGCCGTCAGCCAGCTGCGCCAGGCCCGCGACCGCTTCCCGGCCTTCCGCATCCCCATGACCGTCCTGCCCGCCACCATCTCCAACAACGTCCCCGGCACCGAGTACTCCCTCGGCAGCGACACCTGTCTCAACACCTTGGTCGAATTCTGCGACGCCATCCGCCAGTCCGCCTCGTCCTCGCGCCGCCGCGTCTTCGTCATCGAGACCCAGGGCGGCAAGTCCGGGTACATCGCCACCACCGCGGGGCTGGCCGTCGGTGCCGTCGCCGTCTACATCCCGGAGGAGGGCATCAACATCAAGATGCTCTCCCGCGACATCGACTTCCTGCGCGAAAACTTTGCCCGCGACAAGGGCGCCAACCGGGCCGGCAAGATCATCCTGCGCAACGAGACCGCCTCGTCCACCTACACCACCCAGGTCATCGCCGACATGATCAAGGAGGAGGCCGACGGCCGCTTCGAGTCGCGCTCCGCCGTGCCGGGCCACTTCCAGCAGGGCGGCAAGCCGTCCCCCATGGACCGCATCCGCGCCCTGCGCATGGCCATCCGCTGCATGATGCACCTGGAGGACTACGCCGGGAAGTCAGGTGCAGAGATTGCGGCCGACGAGCTGTCCGCCTCGGTGATCGGTATCAAGGGCTCGCAGGTGCTGTTCTCGCCGATGGGCGGCGCCACGGGACTCGAGGCTACCGAGACGGACTGGAAGCGTCGTCGTCCCAAGTCCGAGTTCTGGCTGGAGCTGCAGGACACCGTTAATATTTTGTCCGGACGGGCCACGCTAGGCGAAGGAAAGATGTCATGGGCTTGCTACGAGAGTATGTCTCCTCCTTCTTTCCCTTACCCCTCCCTCTCCTTCGATCACCTTAAAAGTGGAAACTAAGGATAATAGATATTATGCCGCCCGCATCCCGACCAGGCTCACCCTAGCCACCATTCCCAACGCAATGAAGTGATGATGTATGACGAAGGCGGCGTGGTTTTACCCTCCAGTACAGTACAGTAATTCTAGTTTGATATTCTGTAGATGCAGACGACCCTGAATGCAATGTTCTTTATTTCCTATGCTATACTATGCTATCATGTTCATGTATATCCATCACACCCCATTCCCTCCAGCAGCAACATTCTGCTCGATCGCGTCTAGCTCGTCTAGGAGGGAGACCGTTTCGGCGGGACTGGCGATCCACGAGGTTGTGGATGCGAGACGGGCCTATCACATCTTGTTAGACTCTCTCTCTCTCTTCTTGATACACGGCCATGGTGTTATACTGCAACTTTATCAAAAAAGGAAGACTAACCTTGAAATCATTGGCACCAGCAGAGAGGAACTGATCACCAACATGCAATGTATGCGAAGCCCCAATCCCCCCAAAGTAGCGCTGGCAGGCGCGCACGCCCCAGGATTTGTCGCCGATGTCGACGAAGACGTCGTTGCCGCCTATCGTAATTAGCCTCGGGTATGCGGGGAAATAAAGGATGATGTAGGTGCAGCCTACCATTGAATGCACAAAACGGAAGACGGGCGCCTACGGCTGTCCGCTCCAGCGTGTTCTGCACGACTAAGACAGTCTCCTCGAGCTGCTCACGGGCGATCTTAGCCCGATCAACGGGATACACACCCACAGCGCGGTCCTTGCGCAGCACGGCGACGGGTAGCTGCAGGTTCGCGGCAACAGCGCGCAAGGACGTTTCGGCCAGATCCAGCAGGCCCGTGATATCGTCATCGTGCCAGGCGGTCATCTCCGGTAGTAGCCACTCCTCGCGGGGTACGTACGACAGACGGTACGGGGAGGCGGCGTCAAACCGGAAGAGAAAGTTGCTCTCGCCGCCCATGACAACCAAGCCAGCCTGCTGCTCAGCGGGGAGGTCGCGCACGGCATCGAGGAGACCGTGCAACCGCTCATAGTACTTAGCGGCTTCGGTATAACCAGCAGCCGTGACGATGCCAACGCGACGTCCCTGACGCAGCAGACGCAGAATGCGAGGGAGGGTAGGGTTGTCCGGGGTCAGATTGGCGCCGTCGTCGTAGAGGGTGACGTCACCGTCGAAGGTGACGAGGTCGGGTCCATTGTGGGCGCGTACGAGGCCCAGCAACTGGGCGGTGTTGAGAATAAGACGGACGTCGTTGAAGGAGGGGGCGACGAAGCGGCGGCGGCTGATGACGCGGGCGCGGTCCTGCCGCGTGAAGGCGTCTTCGAGGTGCAGGGGGGTGAAGAAGGAGCCGATGGTGGGGACCAGCAGCTTGAGTTTGGATTTACCGGGGGCGCCAATGCGGGTGTGGTGGGAATGGTCGTGGATGAGCTGTTCGACGTCGCGGAAGATCTCCGCATAGCGGTAGTGGGTGTCGGCGGCGACGACGGTCAGGGATTCGCCGCCCTGGGTGAGATCGAGGGCTGTTGGTTGCGAGTGGAGGACAAAGGGGACGGCCAGGAGGCCTTTGATCCATTCGATGAGTTGATCTCGTCGGTGGGACTGGGAGGTTTAGCTGGGGATATAGTATGTGTTGATTGACCGTCTGACCTTGAGGGCGTCTATCTCGCTTAGCCTTGGTTATGGGAATACTGCAGGGTGATACTCACATTCGACGCGGTAGCGGGTAGTCATGGTGGTTATGGGATGATGCAAAGAATAGAATGAAGAGTATGAGAAGAGAAGAGGAGCAACAGGGATGAGAAGGAGAGCAAGGAGAGAGTGGAGATAAGCGGAGTGAGATGAGGGGAAATGATAAACAAAGATAACGTGACCGATAACAGATAACGGCCAGGTCGAGACCCGCTTATGTCATGCAGATCACCCGTTGTCCCAATCGGGAAGGTCTCGCTCGCCAATCAGAGCGCCAGGACGATCCTGCCCGATTGGGAGCCCGCGCGTTCAGGCTCCCACATTCGATACGCTCTCGATGCGGCTGAGAGACGGACAAAGGAACAGGAGAAAGGTCAATTGGGGGATGACGACGACGGTTATATTAATTGATTGATGGTATGACTCACTGAGGTGTCAGGAACACAGCCGACTCGACACGGCGTGTCCTAACTCACCGATACCACTGAGTGGTTAATCCTACGAATGGGGTTTTGGACAGTACGAAGAAATGGGGATGCCTGCACTACACGGCAAAAGTACGGAGAGGAGTATTTATAGAGAGATAAAAGGCGTTGGGAAGTAGTAGGTGAGGAGTATACTCTCCAGAAATATCCTTTCCATCAAAACGAAAATCCCACAAGACAAAAACCCCATATATAATTCCATCGAAAAGAGAGTCAGCAATGAATCCACCTCTATACCCGCCTTCCTCCTCTCCCTCTCTCCCCCTTATCGATGAGAAAGTGTTCTTCTACCCGGAACATCTCCTCCAGCGCGGGCTCCAGATCCCCTCGCGAGATGACCGTCCCTCCTCGGGCTTTCCCTATCCCACCCTCCTGACCGCATACAATGTGACGCCCCACCACTGGGAGCAGTTCACGCGCGAAATCACCGATGCCGCCCGCATGACCCGGCGCCAGTGGAAGACCGTCGTCGGCCAGGGGTTAGGCGTCCTAGCCGTGGGGGGCCTGATGGTCGGCGCCCTGGGAGCCATCCCCGCCTGGTGGGTGACGCGACGGGCCCAGCGCAATCGGGAGGAGCAGAATCTTATCCACGCAACGACAGAGTCGGTGTCGTCACCAGCGTCGGGCGAACAGGAAGATGGAAGAGTAGACCGCGAGGTGGTGGCGCTGGCCGACAAGATCCAGCAATGGAACGACACCTTCTTCGAACCTCGCGGGATCGTCGTGCGTGTGGACCTGCCGTGGGAGGCATTAGAGGATTTGGAGAAGATGGATGTCAGTTTAAAGGGCAAGCGAGGCGAAGCAAAGAACGTGTCGGCGACAAATCCGGAAAAGTGGCAGGGCAAGGCGTCGCGGAGAGCGCGGATCGTGCTGATTCCGTTGGATAGAGGGGTACAGTGAAACCAGAAAAAAATGCATTAAAAAGTCAAGTCGTTACGTCTTTGGTTCTTGTAGTCATAAATAATCCTGGGCGTGCTGCTCAACCAGCTACACCTTGGTGGAACGATCAACCTGCGTCGTGCTCCCCTCCTCAACCATCTCCATCTTCTCCGATACGTTCTGATCGCGCTGCTCGGCATCGCGGTTGCCATACCGTCCGATCTGGTACCATGGCAACTCGAACAGCCGGTCGATCGTCTCGAGACTGCGACCAGCCGTCTCTGGAACCGAGAACCATACCCACACACCGCCGATGAAGGTAACGATGGCGAAGAACCAGAAGGTTCCCTTGGGCGAGATCCCCCCGGCCTCCGGGGCCAGCAGCATGTTCGGCACCGCCCGCGAGTTGCCATACTGGTTGACGAAGTGGAGGGTCATAGCGAGCGACGTGGCCAGGGCGCGGATGCGCAGCGGGAACAGCTCCGCCGTGAGCAGATACTGCATGGAGTTCCAGCCCAGTGCCCACCCCGCCCCCGAGACGTAGATCATGGCGATGGCGCCACGGCTGACGCCCCGCTTCGACTCGGGCAGCTCGAAGGTGTCATCGACGCCCATGCGCGGCACATCTGTCAGGAAGGCCGCGACGTACAGCATTGCGATGGCCTGCAGGGTGATGCCTAGCAGCAGGGCGCGCTTGCGACCGATGACGTCGACCAGGAACAGGGCACATATGATGGCGGCCACGAGCTTGACGATGCCGAACACGGCGGTGACGAGCAGGGACTCGTTGTTGCCCGTGATCCCCAGCAGGGAAAACAGATCAGGCGCGTAGAGCGTGATAGAACCGGCCCCCGACCACTGCGACAGGATCTGGGCCATAGTGGCCATGTACAAGCGGTACAGGTTGCTGCGCACCAGGAAGGCCTCCTTGAGCACCCCGAGCGGGCCCGCGCCCATGGTGGCTTCCTTCTCCGCCTCGTGGGCGGTGTGGATGGCCGTGATCTCCTGGACTACGTATTCGTGGTCCGGGGGGAGCTGGCGCACGCGTGATAGATTGGTCAACGCATGGTCGAACTGGCCCTTCTTGATGAGGAAGCGCGGCGACTCGTATTGCAAAAAGGAGAGGATGAAGATGAGGCCGGCAAAGATAATGTGCAGGCTGGTTGGGACTTCCCAGCGTTTGTGGGTGTTGTCACCCATGTGCAGCTCGCAGCCATAGTTGGTGAAGTAGGCGAGCACGATTCCGATATAGACGAACCCTGTAAAGACGCAGGTGCAGAGACCACGAACGGATGCAGGGGCCTGTCCATGGCGACACCTTGTCAGCCGATGGGTGGTATGCGACGATAGTGGAAGATAAAGGACTCACAATCTCAGCCAGATAGACCGGGGCCACGACGACCGTCTGACCCACTCCCAGCCCCGCCACGAAGCGACCGGCGTAGACAGCTCCCAGGTTCCCGTTCGACCCCATGAAGATCGCGATGCCGATGATCCACAGCACGCAGAGCTGTCGCGTGGCCCAGAGCCGTCCGATGCGATCGCACACCACGAAGGCACTGTCCGTTGTCATCGAATTAGCAAAGGATCCTTAGCACAGGACGTGAAATTAAACGTACAAGAGAGCACCCCCGACGGAACCGATCTGGACCATGGCGGACACATTGCCCTTGATATTGGTGCGCTCGACCTCGGTGTATCGGTCAAAGTGGATGGTTCGCTGGAAATCTTTGGAATTGAAGGCGCCCGAGATCAAGCCCTCATCGACTCCCCGGGCGGCACCCATGAGGCCGAAAGAGAGCACAGCAAACCATAATCGCCAATTGAAGACCTCGCGGGGATCGGGGAGATCCCGCAAACGAAACACATTGACCGGCTTCTTGGTTCCTGCCATGATGTAGAGCACGAGAATTCAGGGAAAATATGGGAGACAGCAGCCCAACCCGAGGAAGCGAGGGGCTGGATGGCTTATATCAATCAGTGTGCCAGAAGTTGTCCGTGACACGCAGCATCTGACCTATGCGGGGGGTTGACCCCCTGCATGCTCAATTCCTCATTTCTCCCTCTCTATGGATAGGAACTCTCCCCGCAAAGGAGCCAAGAACCAGAATCAAAGAACCAGGGTGCATGTAGGTCGGATTTGCGGGTTTTCCGAGAGGGGTGTAGGGTTCAGGATCCAACCGTCTTATTCAAAGCTTATACCCGTCATGATGTCGTTTGTGTATCCCTAGATGTCCCATGACCCTGCAAGGTGTGACCTATCATCCAACCATCAACATCGGTAGCTGCAAGTAACCTTTCCGCCACCAACCACCCCGACTCGCTCCGACCGCCTCGGGGATCGCCTGAGGGGAATCAGTCCACTCGATTTCCCCAGGTTCCTTGGCAGACTGGAGATATGGGGAAGTTGGGGTAATTGTCGGATTGGGTCCGGGTCGGTTATTCAGGCGGTTTGGACCGCCGTGGAGAGCCTGAGATGCCAATGGTCGAGACGCGCGAGAGAATCCTCTCCTTTCTTGTCATGATGCTGCGGGGACAACCCCTCAATTGGCTGGTCGGACGGGAGGTGGTCTCCTATTAGGGTCTGATGGGATAACCTTGCTCTCGTAGCATGTCCTGCAGGATCCGGATCCTGGGACAGTCCATCACTCAATATCCTTTCATTCCTTGGTAAGGAAGGATCTTCAATAAAGAACGTTCGGAGACAGTCCGAAGATCGGGGGGTGACCGAGATCAAGAACAAGTTGATGAACTTGACGAGGTTGATGAGGACCGATGGAGAAGAGAGTTTGTTCGCGAGAAAATGGAAGAATAGACGAGGAGTCAGGTGACTAGAGTGAATGATGGACAGGTCTGTTGTTGATACAAGACAGAGATCAGATTTGAAAAACTGAGTAAGTATTGTCTATGGAACGAATATATATATCTATATTGACAGCCATCTCCATCACATAATTATGCCAATTAACACCTTGAACAAAAGGGATGATGCCATGTTCTGGTCGATTATATATATGACTGATTGAGACAGTGATTGCTGTGAACAGCGGGCACTGGCCAACTGGCAACTGGCAACTGGCAACAGCATGACACGTGCCAGGGACCAGCCCTAATCCACAGGAACAGCACTCAACACACCTTACAATGGTCGCATGATGGAACATTGTCATATTCAATAAATCAACAAACATCATCCTACAGGAGAATGCTGCGGGAGAAGAACCAGGCCGCCTACGATATATATAACGACCTCGGCATGACGCAACGACAGGAATACCCCGTGTGAACAAACCCGCCTCGACCTCAATCGCGGATGCCTTTGCAGAAGTGTCTATTTATATCAGCCACGACATGATCAAATATCTCTTCGAGCTAGGGTGTGGTGTAGGGGAGACAGACATTACCAACTGTCTGTTTCTATTGATAGATTGGTAGTTGCCTGTCGACTCACCTCCGGGACTTCTCAAAGACTTCAAAGCCGATTCCCAGCGGAAAGGTACCGACAAAGAAGCAGCCTGGAAAAACTCCGGCTGATCGACAGTGGATAAAGCCACAAAAATAGAAACCCAGAGCCAATCATCTCGATTTCTGTCTGCGTGTCTCGGGTAATCGATCCGGGCGTTTCCACGGTTGATATGCGCGGAATGAGGAAAATCCTCAACAGCTCCACGTGGTGTGCGTTCCTACTTTGGATCTTCTTCGGGATATCAACTTACGGAAAGACCCCGAGCCGATGAGAGAACCCTGGCTCGACGGAGTAGAATTTCCCGGATCGAAGAAATTCCCGCGTGAAATGGCCAGGGAGACTGCAGCAGCCACAACATGTCTCACTTAAATCGAGTTTTAGCTCCCCATGTGGGTCCGCGCTTCTCATCCCCTCGACAAAGCATGATTGAAGAATATATAGAAATTTTGCCACCGGGACCATATATCTAGTGTTGTCGACCTGGAGTTTTTCAATCAATTCATCCATTCAATCCTCTCTCACTCCATCACAAACACAATGAAGCTCTCCATTGCCTCCATCGCTACCCTGCTCAGCGCCGTCAGCGCCGCCGCCGTGCCCGCTGCCTCGACTGCTCCCGCGCTGCCCAAAGCCTTTACCCTCGTCGCGGAGGGCGGTTACACCCTTCTGACCAACGGAGGTACGTTTACAGCGCTATTTTGATCATGGGCCCATCTAACAAACCCCAGAAAACATCTACTTCGGCGGCAACGGCACGGACAAGGAAATCCTCATCCGTAAGTCCATCCACCATCCATTCTATTTGTCCAACAAGACAACTGACAGGCGCAGTGCATTCCGGCCCGAACGGCGACCTATCATACACCCAACGGAACGCCGTTCCCACCGCCTTCCAGAACCTCTTCATCGTCGAGAAGGACGTCCTGCCCCTCGGCCTGACCCGTCCTCACTCGGGCGCGCTGCCCGAGGGCGCCAACATGACCGCCTTTGGCGTTAATGAGAGGGGATTCTTGACCCAGGGCGGGAAGGACTGGTTTGCTGTTGACGGATACGGTGAAAACCCCGTGAAGGAGGTGTACTGGTATGGACGGCACAGCTCGACGTACAAGGCGGCGCCCTTGTGGGTGAAGGAGTGCAGGGGTTGTTAGGGGGTTACTCGCGACAGTGCGAGCGAGTGGTATATATGATATGGCATTAATATATAAACATCGTGTACAGTTGTGGAGCCGATAGAGCTGCTCCTGAATAATACAAACATTTGGAACGAATTATATATTGCGGTGTAGGCAGGTATATACTCATGCGTAGGCAGGATGACGATGAGCTACTAACCGTCCTTCTTGATGGAATGATCGACCGGGGTCACATCCCCGAGCGAGGTCGGTGGCTCCCCTCGCTTCTCCTCGCGCACTGTCTGCACCAAGATGGCGGTCGTCCACAGCGCCAGGGCGATTGAACAGCCGATCATCGCCCACATGCCGCGGGTGAAGCGCGGCGCCAGATCCGCCGAGTAGAAAACCACGCTCCACCACGCGTTGATGGCGTTGTTGCCTAGGTTCATGCTGGCGATCACCACTGAGCGCTGACGTGCATCTTGCTGGCGCATGGCATCGTTGCACCAGGCGAAGAACGTCGCCTGGCAGGCGTACACCGCGCCCGCCCAGTAGTACGCCGCGAAGACTGTCGTCGTGGAGTCGAAGCAGGCGAGGATCATCGCCGAGGTGGCCACCCCCGTGACCCCGATGAAGTACCCCACGAGATAGCGCTTCCCGCCGAGCACGTCGGTCAGCGTCGCCCAGAAAAGCGTTGACACGATGCCCACGGCGGGCACCCCGGTCGGGTAGTTGTTCAGCTGGGCCACGCTGTAGTGGTTGGTCGGGTGCGCCTTCATGTAAAGCGCCAGCAGCGCATTGCTGGAGAACGACTCGGTCTCGCCGGCGATCACCCACAGCATGACGAAGCCCCACCAGTACCAGGAGGTGAACAGTCGCTTGAGGAAGGCCTTGTTGAGCGGGCTGCGCGCCGCGTTTGTATCGGGGAGACGGGACACGGCCAGCTCCTTCTCCGCGGCGGTCAGATATGGCGCGGTGGTGGTAGTGGGAGTGTCCGGGAAGAGGAAGAGCCCGTAGAGGGCAATGGGCAGAGTCATCAGTCCGTCAATCTACCGTCCATCAGTAATCGTGGCGATTAGTAGGAAGAGGGAGTTCATACGATGAATAACCAGCGCCATCCGGAGAGTCCCCGCACCCCGTCGAGGGAGGTATGGATCCCCGTCTGGATAAAGCCACCGAACATGGTGCCTGCCAACCCCGACGCCGTGAAGAGGCCACTGCGCTTCCCCAGCTCGCGCTCGGTGTACCACGACCCCAGGATGTAGTGCGTACCGGAGAAGGTACTGGCTTCGGCGATTCCCAAGAAGAAGCGGACCGCCATGATCCCGGTGGGCGACGACACCGCCGCCGTGACCATGGTCAGGCCGCCCCACAACAGGACCATGGCCGGAAAGAAGATGCGCGGGCGCCAGTACGTCAGCGCCAGGTTACAGGGCACCTGGCCCACGACATATCCCACGGTGAAGATGGCGTTGATGACAGTCAGCTGGTTCCCCTGGAAGGAGAGCTCCTCCTTCATCCCGGAGACGTAGGCATTGTTGAGGTTGGAGCGGTCGAGGTAGTTGAAGAAGTAGGTGACGCAGCAAAAGGTAAGGATGAAGAAGTCAATCTTGAAGAGCAGTTTCGATTCCGCCGATTTCCACATCGTGAGCAGATCCTCGTCCCTGGAGGCTGTGTGCGCGTGTTCCCCCAATCCACTGGACGAAGCGATTCAGGAAATCGACCGGGAGGGGAATGCGCCAGGCGACCGCAGATAAAGGACTTCCTCCGGTGAGATGTCGGCTACCTCCGAGGGTTACTCGATGAGGGGGGAACGTGGCGTGTGGGGACCCCCATTTACGAGCAATCAACCCAGAGCAGATCGCGCGGGGGGAGAAATTGGAGATTGGAGGCCGAGACTGCTGGATTGATTCTAGCTGAAGGATCCGTTGGGGTCCTTCTGCTTGAATTCCATTTGTCGCGATGTTCTTTGTCTCCGTAATTGGCCTCGGTTATCAGTAGTCACGACAGTACCCCGTGAATCCACTCAACTGATAGGGATAGGGAGGATGCGGAGGGAGAGAGCTAGCGAGTCTACTAGGATATAAAGAAAGAGTCACCGAAGTGGAGCGAGAGAGAAAGAGAGACACACACACAGAGCGCGCGCGAGAGATGTTTCTACGGCGTCAAGTTCTACTAAAGCGGCAGTGGTCACGTGCAGGGAATGCAGGGATAATGACTCAGCATTTTATCCCAAGGCGGTGAGCCTCGTGACGCCAACCAACTCATCCGTCTTGGGCCTTTTTCTCCCTTTTCCTCTCCACGTTTTGTCTGGCATTCCTTGACCTTCTTGATCCTGACCAGGATGCTGACCGGTCCTCCCGTCCGACTACAATTGGTGACACATGTGAGATCGCACGGTTGCGACTGAATCCGCTCGCCATGGGGTTGTTGGCGCCGTTTCGTGACAACCACCCTGAACGCCGGGCGGGTGTCGAGGAGAAAGCGACCGTGGTGGAGCAGCCCACCCGGTATAGTTTCTTCACGACCCGCCTAGAAGCGCCCCTCTACGCCGGGAGTACTCACGAGCTCGCCTCGACCTATACCCCGTTCGAGACCTTGTTGGATACGGGGGAACACAGTGGTCTGTGGTGGCTCGATGTGGCATCTCCGGCGGACGGGGATATCGAGAGCCTCTCGCGCGCATTCGACATCCACCCGCTGACCACGGAGGATATTAAGATCCGCGAGTCCCGCGAGAAGATTGAGCTGTTCGGGCCCTATTACTTCCTCTCGCTGCGGCCGCCGCAGGTGCAGATGGACACGGCGTCGGGTGTCCGCACCTCGTCGCTCAACGTGTATGCGTTGGTCTTTCGGGGGGGTGTCATCACCTTCACCTTTGGTGATTGTCCCCACCCGGCGCACGTACGCTGTCGCATCAAGGAGCACCGTAGCCATTTGGCGCTGACGAGTGACTGGATCTGCTACGCTCTTATGTACGTAATGCGAGGAAGCCCTTGTGGGGGGCGAACATACTAATAACCACAGTGACGATATCGTCGACGGCTTTGCCCCCTTTATCGATCGCATCGAATCCGGAGTGGAAACTATGGAGGACAGCGTGTCGATCACGCGTCCCGACGACATTGGGCTGGCCCTGCAGAATATCTACCACTGTCGCAAGGAGGTCACCCGCATCCGTCAACTGCTGCACGACAAGACGGACGTCATCCGGTCGTTTGCCCGTCACTGCGACTCTTTTGGGGCCGCGTCGACGCAGGTGGCGCTCTATCTGAGCGATATCCAGGACCACGTCCTCACCATGATGGCCAATCTGGCCAACGCCGAGCAGATGCTCTCGCGGTCGCAGTCCAAGTACCTGAGCCAGCTGTCGTTCGACTCGACGCGCATGCGCAACTCGATCGTGGCGGCGCTCAGTCGGCTGACCGTGGTCGCCTCGTGCATCGTCCCGATGCAGTTCATCACGTAGGTCTTAATCCCCGCTGAGAATCATTGGTGTCTGTTTACTGACTCGACAGGGGTTTGATGGGCATGAACGTCCCAATTCCGGGGAAAGATGCGGACGGGTTGAATTGGTGGCTGGGGATTCTAGGCTTGATTTTAGGGTTGATTGCAGTTTTACTGGTGATCGCCAAGAAGACCCGATTCTTATAATGAGACAATTTCCCCATCGACATTCATTTTCCTATAACGATAGTTTTCCACTGCACGCCTACTCATGGTGCACCGCCTTGGCTGGCACGGTGTTCACGTGCAGACTCAGCAGATCCGGCCGGGAGTAGTGACCCACCGGGTCACACATGTTTTTGGCGCCGTGGATCGCGTCCAGATCGACATCTGCCGTCAGGATTCCCTCCTCTCCTGCGGGCATGGGCTCCACCAGCGGTCTCCCATCCGGCCCGAAGATCATCGCAAAACCACCGCCGTCCTGTAGTCCGTGTCAGTGCTGTTATCGTCGGTTCCGCATCCGCTGGCAGGAGCAGGCAACATACCTTGTGGAAAAGCCCTCGGTCCTTCACCCCCATCAGCTCGTGGCTCTCGGCTTTCAGCACCCCCGTCGCGCAGAGGACGAACGTCTGGCCCTCCATCGCGACCATCTGACTCAGGCGCTGACTCGCCTCGCCCGAGTTGCTGTATGGCAGCGGGAAGTCGACCTCGCGCGGATGTGCCGCGAACGAAGGCCACGCCGCCACGTGGATCTGCACGTTCTGGCTGTACTCGTAGTATCGGAGGAGAGGCTGCAGGTTTTCCCAGCAGTTCAGGGCGCCAATCCGGCCGTGCTGGGAGTCGACGACACATTTGAGGGAGTCGGCCTGGCCTTCGCCCCAGAGGCTACGCTCCACATGGGTGGGCTTGATCTTGCGACGGTTGTGGATGATTTCACCGGATTCGTTGATGAAGGCCTGGATGATTCGAGGGTGAGTGGATGTGATCGGGAAACCGTGGTGAGGAGGGGAGGGGGGACGCCGACCTGAGCCATGTAGATACTGCCATTGTCCTTTTCGCTATACCCCAACACGACAAACACGGAATGCTCCTTGCAAGCATCCTGAATCCGTCTCATCTCGGGCGAATCTCTGGGCAACGACTGGGCGATGTACTTGGAGACGAACCCGCCGGACTCAAATGGGGATTGCGCCCAGATAGGCCTGTACGTTTGTTAGAAATCACTTCTTTCTTTCATTGAATCCGCGTACAGCGACTTCGAGAGGGATTACCAAGGATACCCTCCGATCCAGACCTCCGGAAAGGCTAGGACCTGCACGCCTTTCTGCGAGGCCTCTTTAATGAGCTCGATAGCTTTGTTGACGGCCCCCTCCCGATCCAGGTACACTGGCTCGGCCTGAATGGCACCCACACGGACAGTAGGCATGTTGAACAATGGAAATCGTATTTTTTTTTTTTGAAAAACCGAATAGAAAGGATGGTTCCAGGGAGGTGGGGTAAGGGAACAACGTGTGTGTATATATACATGCCCCTCGCGTCCCGCCAACGCGACACTAGAGTTCGTATGACAGGCGATCGGCAGGGAGTTTACTTTCTTCCCCTTAGTCTCCTGTCCTTCTCCTCTCTTCTCCTCCACTTCCATCCCATTTGGACTAGCAGCATTAGTACTGCGACCATGTTCAGCCTCGTCTGATCAACGTGATAAAATATATACACGGCGTCTGTGAAGATCATCATCCCCGTCTACCGCCTGAATAGGCGCTTCACGCCTCTGACTACAGTGTTCACTCCCCTACCCAACCACTGATAAACAGGGACGACCGGTTTCCCGACCGTCCGTACCACCGCCGCGAACCAAACATCGGGAAAAAAGCGAACAGCAATAGCCCAGGGCCAACTGATGGCCGCAACCAGGACGCAGATCGCCCACTGTTCCCCGTAGATCGGCACAATGCTGAACGCAGCCCCGCCGAAATAAGCGATAATTATCTGACCGCCCACCATGAGACAGGTGATGCCGATGAAAAACCAGTTGCGGTGGAGGCCCGTGAAGATATTGAACTGGTTATCCAGACGCCGGTTGTTGAACTCGTTGAAGATCTGCATCCACACAAATGTGTTGAAAATGATGGATCGACGTTCGGCGTCGGGGTAGGGTAAAAGGTGGTGGCCGAAGTGCAGGGTCAGGGTCACCGTCAGTTGGAAGATGGATTGGCCGATGATCATTTTCCACATTGTGGTGGATATCAACGGCGCGCCTCCTTTGGCGGGCGGTCGGTCGAGAATCTCCTCCGTGGGAGGGTCGGTCGCCAGCGCTAGGGCGGCGAGAGAATCCCTGGAAACAGGGTTAGACTGGGTTGAATCTGGAGGGATTGGACTTACATTATCAGGTTGATCCACAGGAGCTGGACGGCCGTCAGCACTGACCGCATCTCCGGGTCAGACACGGACGAGATGAAGGTCAACAAGACGGCGGTGATATTGACCGTGACTTGGAACTGTAGGAATTTCCGCACGGCATCGTTGACAGCTCGTCCCCACATCAACGCAGTGAGGATCGAGGCGAAATTGTCATCCATGAGAACGATCGCCGACGCTTCCTTGGCTACTTCCGTCCCGGAGATGCCCATCGAAAACCCAATATTGGCCGCCTTGAGCGCTGGTCCATCGTTGGTCCCGTCGCCAGTGACGGCCACAATCTCTCCCATGTCTCGGAGTCGGGTCACAAGAATCTTCTTGTCCTCGGGCGAGGAGCGCGCCAGTACTTGCAGATGGGGGAGGACTTCCATGAACTGCTCATCGGATAGCGCGCGGAACTGGGGCCCCTCCATCACCACACCCCCCGAGTAAATTCCACAGTCGGTGGCGATCGCTTTGGCGGTAACCATGTTGTCACCGGTGACCATCCGGACGGTCACGCCGGCATGCTGGCACTTGGCCACGGCCTCAGGAACACCCGGCCGAATGGGATCCTGGATGCCCACGATTCCGATCAACGCCATGTTTTCGAGAAGTAAAGATATGGTTGCCCCATTTGGATCCTCCTCACTGACAGCTTCGACCGGGGGCCATGTCGGAAAGTCTCGAAAGACTAGGGATATGGTGCGAAGAGACTGTCTTGCATAGTCCAAGATGACGTCGTCCAGACGGCTCCGTTGGCTATCATCCAGGTCACCAACATCCCCAGAAGGCGTACAGAGCCGGGTGCTATACCCTAGTAGAATCTCCGCCGCGCCCTTGACAAGAAAGCGATATCGCCCGTCCGGGAGTTGGATGACCGCACCCATGCATTTACGGCCAGAGTCGAATGGCATCAATTGGACGAGCTTTACATTCGCCCGCTCTTCCGCTAGGGAACCCATGCCGAGGACGTCGCGCGCGAATCCCAGCAAGGCGGTCTCGGTTTTGGAACCAACGAACCCCAGGGCGCCGTTTTCCTCGCCCTCAAATGCGGTCGAGTTTACGGCGACCGACTCGATCAGCATACGTCTATACTCTGGAGCTATGTCGCGCGCGAAAGCAGTTGACCGGCGTTCGTCACCGGTCTGATTCTTGTCGTCGAAGGCGTCCGCACCGAAAGTTCCCGTGACGACGGTCATGCGGTTTTGCGTCAAGGTGCCGGTCTTGTCGGAGCATACGGTGGTCGCGTTTCCCATTGTTTCGCAGGATTTGAGGACGCGGACTAGGTTGTTGAGCTTCACCATGCGCGTCGTCGCGTAGGCGAGAGCCAAAGTGACGGCCAGGGGCAAGCCCTCGGGAACGGCCACGACGATCACCGTGATGGCCACGATGAGGATATCGGTGAACTCGGACGCCCTTTCGGTGCTGCTCATATGATTGCCAGAGAGGGACCCTAGGAAACGGAACAGCAGGACAAAAAACAGAAGGATGGCGGCCGCGCTCCCAAGTTTCGCAATGGCGGTGGCCAGGCCATCCAGTTTCTTCTGTAACGGGGTGGCTTCCATATCTTGGCGCATCGCCATGAGGATTTTGCCGTAGCTGGCATTGACGCCAACTGACGTGACCAAACAGGTGCCAACGCCTTCGAGGACCTTGCTGCCGGAGATGATAAAGGGATCTAAATCTCGGAGTTGGGTGTGACCATGCTCTATCAGGCTCACCACCCGCTCTGCCCCTGTCTTTTTGAGCTGATCGGATTCGCCTGTTGCAGACGACTCGTCGCACTTTACGTTGTGTCCCTCAATGAAGACCGCGTCGACAGCGACCAGATCGCCAGGCTCAAGGTGCAAGATGTCGCCAACCAGGAGGTCATGGACAGAAATGCGGACAGCCTTGCCTGACCGAGTGACCGTCACCTCCCGGTCTTCCTTCTTTGCGTTGAGCTTCGCGAAGGCTCTCTCCTTCTGGTAGTCGTTCAACGAGCCTACCATGACAACGATCACGATGGCGACGCAGATCGCACATCCCTCGACCCAGTCCACTGACATGCCTTCGCCCGGCTTGTGCGCCTCGAAAGTCTCGTATAGCCCTAATGCCAGGGATATCATGGCTGCTGCTGTCAGGAGGATCAGGATTTTATCATTATAAGCTATCCACACTAGCTTCCAGAGCGGCGTGGGTTTCTTTTCCGGAAGCACATTGCCTTTGAAGACACGGATTCGCTCGGCAGCGTCTGGAGATGAACCCGGAGCTGCTTCTTTCGGCCCGTCACGGTCATTATGGTTTGTGGGGCCCATGGAAAGGCCCGTCACTATATCAGCGTGGATCCCCTTCGCCAGTCCCGAAAGTCCACCGAGGGCCATGAGCGCCGGTAATGACTTAGGGTTAAAAAGCTTGTTGAGTTGGCCCGGCGAGAACGAGAAGGGGTTGTTCTCCACCCGGAAGTCGGCCTCGCAGCCAGGATCGGGTTCCAGGGCATTGTCCTTTTCCTTGATCGAAAAGAGACTAGACACTGAACTTGACCGTCGCTGCTTCTCGGAGGGAATTTCCAACTGGGACCTGCTGGGCGCGACAGTGCTACCGCTCATCGCCCGATCTCGACCGGCGTATTCGCCTGCGACGGGCGTCAAGTTGCTTGAAAGGTGTTGCTGGGTCGCTCCATCCGTCAGTAGCGCCTCGTGCGGGCCGTCAGACTCGACGAGAGTTGTATTAATTTCCTAGACAGAGGTCAGTGTCGAAAGAGCAGCGAGAAAACGACCTACGACTGACGGGAACATGGACGGTAATCGCCGGCACTGAAACCTCCCTCGAGGCATCCTCGGTGTTATCCGCCGGCCGCATGATTTGGGTAGCCTGGGTATGCGTCTTGGGCTTCCATGAGGAAATCTTCTCGATATCACTGGTGTCTATACACCGGGGGAGTAAATTTAAAAGAGGCCTGCACAGCCCCCTTGACTAGGATCTGGAGCCGGGGGCGTGAAACTTTGTCAACGCGGCACCTGTGACCGAGTGGTCCCAAGAAGCCCAACGCGGAGCCAAGCCCGCTTTCCCACCGGACTTGCGGACTATATCTCCCAATTACCGGCACGGGATGGTCGTGGCACTAGCATATTATAATCGACTTACGATGATCGTGCACCCTCGACTGTGCTAGATCTGTGAGTATCCACGGACCCCGAGCACAGCCTCTCATCGCATGTGCCGTATTGCTGTGGTTACCCTGGGCCTAAGATGCGGCTTTATTAAGATCCACACGCATTGCCGTCGCACTGATGTCATCATAGTAGCTAGCAGGGAACACATCCTAGCACTGGTGGAGCCTTGAGCCTCAAGCACACCTCTGTGGAACATTCGACCTGTCGGGGATGATAAGCTACCGACTCCCTGGACTGATAGCCTCTGCAGGTAGCTCCTGGCCTCGCCCGCGGGGGCGGAGCCTTGCCCGAGCTATGGCAGGTCGATCGCCCTTACATTCTCCCCGAGGGATTCGCCGCGCAGCCTTTCCAGAAAATGTGAATGGGGCGGAGTGAGGCTGGTCTGTAATTCTACTCGGCCGGAGCCTTGGGACTGGGTTTCGCACAAGGTTTTTCAGAACTCAACCGAGATCAATGGCCTCATCCGGTAAATGGCTAGGTCCACGGGAAAGGACTTGGAGCTAAATGTTAGTGAATGGCTGCTCGATATCCACGGTCCAGTGATTCATTGAAGGGACATAAGTCATCTCAAGCCCGGCCAAAATGCCGCTCGGTATTCTAAGGCAGTGGCTGAGACTAGTGGAGCCAAACTTTGAACGCACTCTATATATTGAGCTAGGGTAGGAAGATGCCGTGTGATGAAATCGTTGACTCCCTGTGCCTGCGGTATGTTCGTGGCATTGCTCCAAGAGAGACCGATTGACGAGGCCGACCGTGGCTAAACTGCACAATAGTATGCAGACTGAACACTGAATGGTGTATTCCCCTACTGTGCCACTGACCGGATGTTACAAATGACAAAAACAGGACCCAGGTCTTCCTCATCAAAGCACCAACATCTGCTCTATATGGCACAGACCATAGATCTGCTGCGGCCTTTGGTGAGCCAATCTGTGGATCCGCAGAGTCTTCGTTCGATCCCTGTAAATTACTCGTGCTGGACCTCAGTCGGTAACAGCTAGACCAGTCGAGGGATTCGACCCGTCGTGCGATGGGAAATAATCCGCATTGCTGTCTGATGTCCACTCCAATGCTGCCCGAGAGCCGGGTCACTTCTTGCTTCTTTGATGTTCAATTCGACAATGGGAAGATGCCATTTAAACTTTGGGCCGGTTGCCAAACCAAACCCCAACCCAAGCCATCTTCTTCTTTGCTACAGGAAGAACCCACCAATGGCTATGGTCTCTGGTAAAGGATACAGCTCACCCGCACCTTTCTGCGTGGAGCGAAGCTGGATCGACGATGCGAGTGGATCGCCGAGGAGGGTCGTGGTGGCAGTGCTCTTGTCCTAAGCGGGGCATGCTGTACCCCTCGATATCTCACGTTGCACCTACCAGCCAACCCCACGAAGCATTACGATTTAATCAATGTGGGCAGATATTGATGAGTCACTTCCGAGCAGTCGGTTACTAGCTTGCTCACCTGTCATGGTAGGCCGGCCGATTGAATTGTTGTTGCTGTGCTGACCCTCGCATGGTGAAGCTGCGTTACTACCTGCGGTCACGAGTGTTACAGCAATGGATGTGCCGTCGACCTTGCCCGAGTCGAACTCCCCAAATCCTCAGCAGCATGCGACGGTAGAGAGCCAGCCGGTAGATACATGGTCACGGCCTCGATCGGTGACAGCAGCTTGTGAGCGCTGTCGGAGGCGAAAGATTCGTTGCGATGGGAACACTCCCTGTGCTACCTGCCGACGCTTCTCCATGGTTTGTATTCGACACCGCAAAGGGGAGGCGCAAGCTTGCTTGGAGAAACGGGTACAGGAGTTGGAAGCACAGGTCGCTACGCTCAGTTCTATTCTCTCAAGCATGCAAAGTGAAACCGTCACTGAGGATCTACCGGTGTGGCCGTCGTTCCCGATTGATCCCAGCCCCACAGATTCCATGTCATCTCCATTTGTATGTCCATCATTTAACCCACATGTGAATGACGGGGGCACGCCACCTTTCGACGTTCCCCGAATCCAGATCGTGGAGTGTGCGAATCCGACGCCCATGCAAACGGCAATGTCGCCATCCGGAGTTCCGGTGGCATCGGGATCAAACACGGCTTCGATGGCTATAGGTGCCCAGCTGATGCCGATGCAGCTGGGCGCCAATCTCACCCCGCCGCTGTCTGCTTCCTCGTCTCCAACATGGGAGGCGCGATGTTCTCTCCCGCCTGGAAGCTTTGCACTACCATCCCCATCGCGAAGGTCATCTGTGTCGTCCTTGACACTAGATACAAATGCGGATATTCTAAAGCCTTCCTTACCTGGAGCAGGCGATTGCCTGGTGGAAGTGCAAGGGATTGGAGTTTCTCCCTTCGGTGAAGAACCAGAGCACTTTACTGTACCCAATCGTGCCGAGGCCGATGATCTCTTAGACTTCATTTGCGACAAAGCTCCTGGGCTGGGCGTGCCGCTCAATCGAAAATCCCTTCAGGCTTCTCTCAATATTATGTATGACCGCGAGACACTGGCTCCTATCAATTCTTGCTCAGCGTCGTTGGCCCGGTTCCAGGTATACATGGCCATGGCAGCTGCACTGCGGTTGAGGCCGGATGTACCAGGCGGGGAAAGCTCACTGCTCGACAACTTCTACCGATTGGCGTTGGAGCAAATACAGTCGTCTCAATTCTGGACGCGACCGCTGGCCAATGAAACGGCGTTGTTGATGGTACTATTCGCAAGGGCCAGCCAGGAGTCCGCCGGCCTTGGATGACAGTAACTACAAAAAGGATCACTGTAAAATCGAATCAAGACTATATTTATGGCGGTCAGATTATGTTCAAAGCGCTTTTTGTTGGGATATCGGTCATATCATGGCCGACCAAAGATGCTGTTCAGTATTTTGGTGCAGTCGCTGAGACTTCTCATGCAGTGCCCCGTTAACCATACTACGCGCGTATCTCCAGTCCCAGAGACTTTTGATGCTCCTTAACCCCATTCATCAACACACTGAGGTCCTTCTCTGTCAGCTCCCACTCGCTCTCCATCACCTCCCGAGCATGCTCGCTTCGCGGCTCAAAAACCACCTGGAACGGGTCTGGAGACGATACGAACCCCGAGCCAAACGCGAGATCATCCACGGGAACAGGCTTACCCTCCGGACCCCGGGGCCGAGAAATGTTGAATCCCCAAAGAATGCGAGTAATAAGCATGAAGAGCGAGTTTTTGGCAATGTGACGCCCGGTGCAGATGCGACGGCCGAAACCAAAATAATTGGTGAACCGGTCGGGATCGTCCGACGGGGCCAGCCACCGCTCGGGGAGGAACTCGAGCGGCCGTTCGTAGTGGCTCCCATCCTGGCACATGGACCAGAACAAGGGAACGATAGTAGCCCCCTTGGGGATTCGATATCCGCCGTAGGTGTCTTCTTGCGTTGTGGCATGAGGAACGCCCTGGGGTGCGAGCGGTCGCCATCGCAGCGTCTCCTCCACCACGGCCTGGATGTATGGGAGATGGTTCTTATCCCCCGGGCCAGGCAGTCGATCGTGCCCGACTACGCGGTCGAGCTCCTCTTGGGCGCGGGCGACGAACGCCGGATACGCCTGGGTGGCAAGAACAAATATGCCCATGGCGACGGAGGTAGTCTCAAAGCCGGCATTGGCCAAAATACCAAGGTCGTATGCGAATTCGAGGGTGTCCATTTCCTTGGACTGCTTGGACTTCGAGAACTCCTTGGTCCAGTTCCAGGAATCGCTAGCAAGGCCGCGGTTCATGTTCCTGATGTGCGCCTCGGATTCAACCTTGTACAGCTTTTCGGCGACGCGTTTCCAAGGCGCTAGGCGCGGCGGCAGGGTATTGAGAATAGGAATTGCATCCACGATCCAGGTGCCTACTCGCGCGGCGAAGACAAAGTTATCCTGGACTTCACGGGCCCAGTCGAGCTCGGGCTCGGTGCCTGTCTCTATACGGAAGCCGTAGGCGAGGGCGAACAGGAGGCTGATGCTGTAGCGCTCGAATGCATGCGAGAAGTCATTGGACGAAAGCAGGTCGCGCAGTAGCTGCTTGCTTTCGAGGTCTTGGATGGGGAGATATGTGGAGGAGGCGCGGGGAGCGAGCACGGGGGCCTCCATTCTCTGGTGAAGTTTGTAACGGTCGTCATAGGGACGCAGCAAGAGATGCATGCCCTTGGTGACGTTGTCGCGGGCCATGACCAGCCATGGCCGGTCGCTGTAGATGTTGCTGCGTTTGTCGAGGAGGTCTTTCGCCATGGCGCCGTCTGAAATGAAAATGGTGGTCTGGCGCCCGAACTGAGCGCTCACGATGGGACCATATTGCTTACACCAGGCGTCGAAGGTGCGCCAGGGCAGCACTTGCGGTGCCTGGTGAAGGTTTCCAATTAGTGGCAGCCGACGAGGGCCAGGAGGAAGGCCACGGTCGCGACGATATTCATACAGCAGTCGCCAGACGACCAGGGCAATCAGCGCCGTGGTAATGGTCAGGCCCATCGTTGCTGAAGCCGAAAGAGGTCCTCTTCTTCACATCAACCGGTTGAGAATTGTGCAAATGGGCAAAGGGCAGTCGCCGGGGTACTTATGAAACCCAGCATTTTCTAGTTCGCTGGCCAACACGGGATCGTCGCGCGCCCAAACGGAGATAAGAGACATAGTAGCCCTTTTGAGCTGGCTAACTCATCCGTTTCGCCAATAACAGTGCGGCGGCTGTACTTGCGGGGTATTGGACAAGGAGTTGGCTTAGGGCAAGGCTCTAACACCGGCCACGGACTACTCACAACTCGGGCCCCATGCTGGTGTGTCGAGGGTCTCTATCTCAAGAGCGGGAGGGACGCGGCGTCTTTTCATTGGAGTTCAAAAGTCCGCCGTTGGAACTAGGGTCCATCGGCTGTCAGGCTGGGTGTGCACTCATGCAGAGTAGTGGAACCCCAGCGACATATCGATCTGATGATTGGCGGAATAAAAAGGCCAAGGCTGTCGAATCCTTCAATGCATGGAGTCTTCTGCTGCCAAAAAGGCCAAGCTCTGGGCGTTTATTCTATTGCAGTCAACGCGCCAAAGGGAAACACACGTCAATAGCATTTTCGACTGCGGGCATGAGAGATGACCTGATGGGTGAGAAGTCGGCAACAGGCCTGACATTGGTCGTTTCAACGAGCCTGACTTTGGTCGTTTCAACGATAAGACATGCCGGGGACGAGGTTTAATGTCGACCAGCTCCAGGATTGAAATGCACGCGGGATCTGGGATATCGGAATTACGGTCGAGACTTGATTGTATTTGTGCCTATGCACTCTTATCCCTGTCGGTATGTCCTGGGTCTGGGCGAAGTGCAGAGGAGCACTCTCCGCGACCCCCTGCTTCCCCGCTGCTTTCCGATAAAGGACGTGAAGGGTGATCTGGCAAGGATCGGGTCCCTGAGATCGAGCCGGACGGCGCATTCCGCTTCGAGATGACGCAAGGAGTTGCGGAATCATATCAGATGGACGTATCTTACCCTGAGTCGTCACCGGGTAGAACATCCGACGCGAGATCCACCAGCCTGGCAAAAAGGAGGATAAAAGACACTCGTCTCCGGTCTGCTTTCAGAGATTGAATTGTAAAGAAGGGCGGTGATGTCCCGATGTCCTACCATGCGTCTATGTACTGTGACTTTGTTGGCCGCCGCCGTAGTAGGCACTACCATTCCGGATGGGCAGACTCTGACCCTCAATGACATCCCCTACTTTCTCAGTGGTATTCCGGTGTCGCGGTTCCAATATGACTTGGTCGATTCCCCATTTCCATTCAGTCCGAGCGACGGGACGGGCATGGTTCCTCTCACTGTCCTCTCTGTCAACGCCACCACGCAACTCGACTCTGTTCTGGCCTCTTTCCGCCATGAAGATGATGTCTTCCAGGATGCCTTCCTCGGCGCTGTCTATCTTGCGTCGAGCCACCAGGGCGATAATGGTCTCCCGATGGATGACTTTATGCTGACCCTCCAATCAGTAGGCATGGAGACCCTACTCGCGGGACCTGGGGTGGTCGCTGGGCCTTGGGTTTCCGCAAACCTTACCATGGGCCTTTCCCCGGGGCCCTACTTTGTTTCCCAACATACCGGACAGGTGTTCCGCGCATATCGACTTTACCCCGACCATAACATGGCTTTTGTCCAGGCCACGATCAGCGACGAGAAAGGGGGGTTCATGGCGTTTCCCGCCATCACGGAGAACGCCATGACCAAGGATGTTGCCGTGCCCTCCCGGCTATATTCGACCCCCACGCGTGAACAGCCTCTGGCGGGCTTGCGGGTGGGAGTTAAGGACATCTTCCACATCAAGGGACTCCGCACGAGCGGGGGGAGTCGATCATATTACTTTCTTTATGGGCGGCAGAACGTCACGGCGTCGTCCATCCAACGGTTGATTGACCTGGGAGCTGTTGTCGTGGGCAAGACCGGCACGGTGCAGTTCTCCACTGGCGATCGGCCCACCGCCGATTGGGTCGACTTCCACTGTCCCTTCAACCCGCGCGGGGATGGATACCAAGCGCCGGGCGGGTCATCGTCTGGGTCTGGAGCGGCGATTGCGTCGTATGAATGGTTGGATCTGGCCGTGGGCAGTGATACGGGTGGCTCTGTCCGCTTCCCCGCGGCGCTGCAAGGTGTTTACGGGAACCGACCGTCGACGGGGGCCATCTCGCTCGACCATGTCCTGCCGCTATCCCCGCTGCTAGATACCGCCGGGATGCTTGCCCGTCACTCGGGACTGTGGGCGCGGACCGTGCAGTCGTGGTATCCAAACTTCGAGCGCAATTACACGTCGTTTCCGCGCCAACTGCTGCTGGCGGATGATGGGTGGGATGGCGCCGGGATGAGTCCCCATGCCCATCACCTCCTCACACGCTTCGCGGACCGGCTGGAGGGGTTTCTGCAGGTGCCACGGACGTTAGTGAACATTCAGCAGCGGTGGCGCGACACACACGCCTCCGCACCTCTGGAGCTCAACCATCTTCTGAACGAAACCTATGCTATTATAACCGCAGTGGACCAATACAATCGACTGGCCAAGCCTCTCTACGCGGACTACGCGAGCCGCTACGACGGTCGGCGGCCCTTCATTAACCCCGGCCCGCGTTACCGCTGGCAGTGGGGACAGGACCGCGGCGGGGACGCAGCCTACGAGGTCGCTCTGCGCAACATGACGATCTTCCGTGAGTGGTGGGAGACCCTTGGCTTCGGACGATCCGACGAGGCATCCTGTTCCGAGGCTCTGGTGGTCAGTATGTTTTCATCCGGTGAGGTCGACTACCGCGACGAGTACTACGAGTCAACAGTGTCCCCACCCTTTGGGTGGAGTACGGATTATGCCTCCGTCATGGCGGGAGCGCCGGAGGTGGTGGTACCCCTGGGCGAGATCCCCTATCAGAGTGCGATTACCCTCCATGAGGAGTACCTCCCTGTCACGGCGGCGCTGCAGATGGCGCGGGGATGCGACCACGTCCTAGCTGATTTGGTGGCCGCATTGGGCGAGAAGGGTATATTGCAGTCTGTAGGGGTTGGGCCTCGTATGTATTCTACCTAGGCGGTCCGCCTTTTTGTACTATACAGTGACTGTGGTCTTAGCGCTTGGAGGCCATTGTCTTCCTAGACTAAACCTACCACATACATTTCGGGATATCTCGTGGATACAACGATTACTACCTGGGCATGGGGTCAGTTCGCCCTTGCGACGGTGTATATGTAACAGTCCAATTCGTTAGCGACCAATGTGTCAAACTATACATTTTTGTGGCCAAATTCAGCCGTTGACTTGTTTGTGATTAGGGCGGGCTCAGTAGGTATTTCATGAAATTAACCGCCTCCAAGGGCGGAGTGAACGTTGCAATATCCTGAATTCCTGCTTTATGAATACTAAAAAGACAATACTTTATCCCACGCAATTATGGCCATTCAACCTGGCAAGTATACTAGGTCCAACCCAGAGCCACTGACGGACAGGCTCATTTATCCCCTACCATACATATCGGTCTCTAACCCCACGTCGTCTTCCTTGGTGGGGCCCTTCGGCATGAAAGTGTACCGCACACATCCGGCATCAATATGACCGCCAGTGCCACCATTGTTGCCTGCGAAAGTCAGTCTCGTGTTCTTAGTATCGGTCAGAGAGGCACTTACACTTCAGATAGTTGTTCAAAATGAGACTCCGACAGGTGACGCTGCTATCATGCGGCAGTGGTTGCTGCAAGCTCTGGGAGTTGCCCTCGGCCTCACATCCCTTCATCCACACTGCTCCGGTCCAGATAAACGGATTGTTCATCCACCCGTTCGGCATCGAGGAGATCGTCTTGTCCGGTGTGACCTTTGCATCTGCGCCGTGGTCGTCGCACGATCTCGAGAGGATACGCTCCCACCAATCGCTGTCTTCCTTGTATCGGGGCACGTCATTATGCCTCCACTCGTCAAAGCACACCCGCTCACTCAGCTTCAACTCGGGCTCCGGTTCCTCCTCGGGCTCTTCTGGGCGACTGATGGAGAAAGCGTATTTTCCGCAGCCGACGTCCACTTTGCCGCCCATGTACAGGTTGTTTTGCGCTCCACATGATCCGGTCAACAGGTAGAATGCGTCCTTGCATTCAAGTTGACATTCTCCGCCATCCTTGTTGGGCTCGTAGCTGAGGGTAAACTGGGCAGGGTCGTGCGTCGGAGGGGGCATGCGTTTGTTCAACGTCTTCCCGTCCTTGTCGACCGTGGTCTCCGACTTCTCGCCCTTCGAGACCTTGTCGCAGAATCCCCCGTAAATCTTGTCGGTGAAGAATTGCATTCCAAAATCGGAGGGCGTGTCATTACATTCGGCTTTCGGCTTACTCGTCGCCGTCGCCAATGGGTACGGGATTGCCGTCCAGGGTTTGAAGGCAGTGGTGGTCGTCGCTCCGGAGGTGCTGGTGCATGCGGTCGCACGAGAGCACTTGGTGGAGCACTCGACCAGTCGGCCAGCGGCCTCGCATCCAACGTTGCAGTTGGTGGCGGTGTGCTTTTTGTCCTTGTCACACTCGTCCTCGTTCTCCGTGTCAATCGAGTCTTTGGGGATGACATTGGTGCCCTTGAGGGCCTGACCATTTACCATCTTCTGCCACACCAGAGGATACAGGAACTCGGCCACCTGGGCGGCTTGGTCGGCTGTCATTCGCAAGCTTCCGGAGTGGCTCCGGACAAAGGCAATAGCCTGGTTCATGGCCCGGACGGCGTCGCCCCGGATCCTGGGTGGGACCTGTGTGCCCATGATGGTGAGCATCGTGCCGGCGATTGCGTTGTTCATCATTGTGAGCTCGGCTCCGCACACGGAGCCCGAGAGCCCACCAAGTTGGCGTTTCTTCTTCTTCTCGAAGGACTCGCCGTCGGGACAGCTACTTGTCTGGTCTTTTCCCAGGTAGTCGTCCAGAATTTTGGCGATTTCTTCGGGGATGATAATCGCGACATCGCCCTTTTCGTGGCCGTCAGCGCTATCATTGTACGTGGAAACCGTAGCGGTGGCAGTTCTAGTCGTGGTCTGTCAGCGATATCATGGCACTATAGACGAGCGGGGCTAGTACGTACGCTGAGGCGGTGGGAATAGGGGAGGCAGTGATGGTGATGGGTTTCGCGCCCTCGGTGGGAACCACGACAATCTCACTAGCCGTCGCCAGGGAGGAAGCAGTGCTAATGACATGAAGAGGAATGTGGACCGGCTGGTATCTCTCCTCGGACTTCTCCAGATACCACCCCACTCCCACGGCCATCAAGGCCCCCAAGATGGCCAGTGGCACCAGAGGGGCAAAACGCGTCTGCAGCTCCGTGTCCTGGTGCTCTATGATCTGGCGGATCTTCACGAAACATTCCGAGGTCAACTCATCCTTGCAGTCATTCTTGACGGTTTCTTGGATCTTCTTTTGCATCTCCTCAGAGATTGCTACGTCGACCCCGTAGTCCGCTTTGCCATTCCCCAGGATCTCGAGTGTATCACCTGTGGGCACAGCGATGTTTGTCTGTTGAGACATGAGTGTCTGGAGCCCTGGAACAAGAGGGGGGAAAACATACACCGGTGACTCGATAGTCGTCTGGACTACCCAAAGTGAAGGTGACCGCATCGCCCAAAGCGAGGGGAATCAAGCCCGCCAGGGCGAGTAGCGTGTGCGTGCCTCGCATTGTGTACGGTTGGTTGTGGTTGTTGTTGTTGCAATGTATCAGTCAAGAACGGACTCGAGGCGACTTATATAGTTGTCTGACGCCGGACATATTGCGTCGTGAACCTTTTCTCCGGAAAATGGCACGCCTGATGGGCTATGCCGCTCGGTGATGCTTCCGACACATCCTCCCCTTCGCCGTGCCTGCATGGTATTTTGGCCCCCATACCGATCCTGCCATGCCACCATAACCAGGGTCGATGCGGCTGACGCTCGTATTCGAGCGATTTAGTGTCAATTTTAGTAACGCTAGGAAAAAGCTGGGCAGTGTCTGCCTTGAAGATCTTGATATCCAACTTTCGCATCAATATGCCTGACGAATAGTTTGGCAAGAAACCAGTTAGAGTAGTATCGATGGCACAGCCCACCGTTCTTGCAGGGTAACCTGACGATGTTGTGCTCCGCTCTCGTTGGTCCGTCAGCCCTGCTGGTGCAGGGGCCAAGAAACACTAAACCCTAGCGATAACCTTAGTTTTCTTCAGGTGCGCCAGTGGCCCAGTCGCCGTTCGTCCTGCAGCCTGCAGGGGTTAGGTACAGCCTCCTTGTACGCCTGAGACATTGGTCATTCTTCAGCTGCATGTTCAAGCTTGCGGGAAAAACCACCATGTCTATTTTGGGTCGGATGGTGCGCTCCTGCTGGATTGTTCTCCCTGGCAGGTAGGATCGAGCGAGCACGAGCGTGGGGGCTATGCTTATGGTTGGACGCCTGAAAGATGGCCTAGAGCCCGCTGGACTGCTGGGTGGTGAAAGACGCCGGAGTGGCATATAAAACAGGATGACATATAAAAGACATCAAGTGTCGCCGACTTGGTTGAGTTCATCAACTCGAAAACCTGCACGGTACCCACCACCATGAAGCTCACACGCTTTCTTTCTCTCCTGGCTATTCTCCAGCCAGTGCTGGGAGCCCCTTATGGATGTCAGTCTTTCCAGTCACTTCCCCTGTACTCCGTACTCCACCCTCCATTGCTAATGCGTCTCTCTTGTAGGTGCCAAGAAGCTATGTAGTCTCGAATCGCGCTCGTCCCGCCCGGACACTCCTGTCGCCCTTGGGTTGGTCGAGCGCGACGGCGACGACGATGAAGCGTCTTGCACCCATACATGTGGACCCCTGGTGCGATTGCCGGGACAGAGCGACCCAGCGAAGCGAGACCTTGGCACCATTCAGGTGCACGGCACTCCCGCTTCATCGGATGAGAACCTGCTGGAGGCGCGCACGCTGAACATCCCGCCGGACAATCGACTGGCCGGCTACATCAACGGCCAGATCAGCCGCAAGACGTTCGACTTGATCGTGTGGAATCGTCACATCCCCACGGGCGACGAAGATGAGGAACCCGAGATGGAAGGCATGGGGACGTCGCGGGCTCGGGAGTTCAAAGACAAGGCATTCAGCATGGGCACCGACGGCCTCACGGGCTGCACCGTTATGACCCTCGTCAGCCGCTCGGGGGTCTTTATGGGCCACTGGTTTGAGGACATCTCCTTCACTCCGACGACATGGACCACGAACGACGACGGCACAAAGTCCCCTGGCTGGCTCAAACAATATAAGACTAGGGATAAAGCCTTTGAGCAGACGGTCGTTAACGGCCTGCGCGAAGGCGTCAAACAGGGTGAGGACACGACCGAGCCGGGTAAGCCCGAGCAGGTTCCAGTGAGCGACGTCAAGGGTGCCCTTGAGGACGGCCACGCCAAAGGCTACTTGATGGTGCCCCTGGACGCCTGCCCGGGTATGGGAGCCACGGGCTATGAGAAGTACTATGTGAAACGGTGGGAAGCGATGAGAGGGGTCGTCGCGGGGGTCGTCCCGGCCTTTGCTGACGAGGGCCTCTGGAAGGAACACAAATACAGGAGGGACGACCCCGAGGATCCAAGGAGAGCGGTGGATGGGTCAGTGCTGTTGCAGTATGACCCGGACGACCGGTACGACGCTGGAGGCAAGACGATGACTCGGAAGCGCGTGGTGATGTGGATGGGGACGGAGAAGGTGCGCGATGACGAGTGGGATAATAAGGAAGTGCCCGAGGGGCAGTAACTGGGGAGTTTAGGAACAGAGTATATAGATGAATCCGTATCGAGTGATATATAATTGGTGGGAGTGACTGCGATCGGCTGGCATGTTAACCAACCTGCAGAGCATTTCGCCCACTTTTTGACTGTTTGTATTTTGATAATTGTTATCAACGTTTTGCAATCTTGTCTATGAAGAATATCACCAAGTGTTTCATCATGTTCCCCATGGTTGAGTTATATATATAGATATATATTTGGAACGTGGCAGTGCTGAGATCAGATGCCAAGCCTTGCCCTAAATCCGCCATCGTCAGCTCTACAAAAACCCCGACTTCCCCCGCTTGATATTTTATCACCATCCTCAACATCTTTCCATCCCATCATGACCTGGTCGCACCTCCCGTCAGAGGTGCTCGAGACTATTGTGACGTATCTGGACTTGGCAAGCATCAAAGCTCTGCGTCTTGTGGACCGGGAGCTTAGCGTTCGCTGCCTGGGACCCCACTTTGTCCGCCATGTAAGGGCCAGCACAGATTTGACCAGGGACAATCTCGCCTCGCTGGACGCTCTTGGTCGAAACCCCGTGCTACGGCAACACGTGCACGACCTGACCATTTTGGCGGTTTATTATGCGGCTGATGAGGCGAATGTGCGACTCGGCCGTCGACCGTCCCCGAATGACTGGCGCGAGTGGGAATGGCCGGCACCGAACCTTGAATCGGACGTGGAATGGCTTGAGAAGCAACGCACAGCCCAGGAAGAACTGCCATCAGAGGACGTAATAGATTCGCTGACCAGGACTCTCCAGCGGTTCAAGTCCACGTCCTTGAAACGGATCACATTGGACGTGTCGGTGGTCCTGGGTCCGGGTATGCGGACCAACACCCGGCACGGTGTCTGGCTTGAGACCTGGACCACTGCATCGAAGGTATACAAGATGACCATGGCCGCCGTGGCAAGAAGCGGCATTGAAATTACTCATCTTGATATCTACCGGCAGCCGCCAAATTGCGCCGTTTTCCTTTCCAACTATACCCAGATCGGAGGACTGGACTGGAAGGCCATCGGGACGACTCTGCAGAATCTGCAATTGAGCCTGTGCACCGACATCGACGACGGGGCCTGGGAATGGGAGTACGGCCGGGAGACGAGCAGCAAGGTCATTGACCGCACCTTTGGCCATGTGGTCGAACTGCCACGGGGAAACAAGCCCCAGGCAGTCCCCGGCCTGATCCAGCTATTGCAGGCGACCCCCAACCTGCGCCATTTAGACCTCCACCTCTATCGCTTCCCGGTGAACTTTGATGAGTACCATTCTATTGTGACAGCACTCGCCGACCAGGTTACTCTCCCGCATCTACAGTCCTTTGCACTCTCTGGGTTCCCTGTCATCGAGTCGTCCTTGCTCCGCTTCCTCTCCACCCATGCCAGCCTGGAGTCTCTGACCTTGCAGGAGGTCCACATTGTCCAGGGGACATGGACCCCAATTTTCACCTATATAAACAACATGGCCTCCCTAACGAAGGTCCATCTCGATAGTCTCTGGTGGAACGTGGGGGCAGCCCCCCCAAGCGACGACGCGGGGCCGATCGCTGCCCCAAAGAAACTAGTGAATTTGCACACAACATGGGATGAGCAAGACCCTATTACCCCATCCAAACGGTTCCCCCAAGATGGTGGAGACCACTTCTTCGCTGGTCCAGGCAACTACGTTGTACACCGGCGCAGCTTCCACCAGGAGGATATTCGCCGAGGGCTCGAGTTCCGGCCAACTCCCAAGCTGGGGATGGGGTCCGCCAGGAGGAATGCGTGGAAAAATCACCGGCATCAGACATATGGCCCTCCGGAGTTCAATCTGCTTGTTCCGCCCAGACGAGGTTAGCTCTCTATCTACGCATAGATTCCGTGGAAAGACCGATGGAAAACAGTCAAAACGATGCCACAAATTGATGGTGTTGGAGCTATGAAGGGCTGCCAAATAATTGCAAAACATGCAGCAAACAACAGTTTTATGTGGATCATTATGGGTGCTACTCAATAAACATATAACATCGATCAACGCACCCTGGACGCTCTCATTGTACTCGTAGATATATCTCCGACACCTGAGGCAGCGTATTCCTGTTGACCCAGGCACTCAGGCACTCAGAAGTCACCGCCTTATCTTTCTCTTCTTCCCATCTCTTCTCTCTATCTTCTCTCCCACCCTCGAGCTACGAACTATGGTTGAAATCGATCACCATCCGCCCCGCCACCTGTCCTCGGCATAACTTTTCCACTGCCTCGGGGAGTCGATCGATCGGATACACTTCGCAGATCTGCTTCAGTTGACCCCAACGCGCAAAGTCCAATGCGGCGGCCGTGTCGCTTCGACTCCCTACCGGGGTACTCTTGACGGCCAGGTTCTTGAGAATGAAGACGTTGGGACCGCCTCCTACGGTTATTATGCCAGCGGAAGCCAGTCCAATGCAGGAAAATGCCCCCCCTAGGCAGGGCGGAACTCCTCCGCCCGTGGTTCTGGTTCCCCTCACCGGATCGTCTCTCGACGGTGGAGCTGTTCAACCCCTCCTTTGACCTGGTGACGATTTGCCCATTGTGTGCACCGCCGGCGTTGTAGCAAACATCGTGGCTGGCTATTATCTTTTGGCATGGCGCCGCGAGTTCATGAGAACCACGCTCGTGCGAGTGTCCTGTCCTGCATGGCTTCCAGAACTATTCTCGGTGTAGACCGAGATCGGAAGATGTAATGATGGGGACACTCTTGACCACTACAGCAATCAGAAATCTGTCCAGTCCATATTGTGCATACATGATGATTACATACTTTACAAAAAAAAAGGCATCCCCGCACGGCAGAAACGGAGACTCACGCATCAGTCATACAGCAACCACCCTGTCGTTCCAGTCACAAATAGGGCCATCAGGATGGTCAAGATGCCGGCCCCCGCACGGTCGGCTGTCGTCACATGCGTCGTAAAGCGTCCCGGTGTCTGCTTGGGTGGCTTGGCGCCGCCCTCGGGGTTGCCTTTACTCGTACCACCGGTGTCGTTGGTTACTGGGGGATCCACTCGAGCAATGAGGGTTGACTGCATCACCTCTAGTGCCGCCATCTGGCTCCCGACATCCCGCAAGCCATCCCACTTTTGGTCTGACCATTTCAGACCGCAGGTTGTGTGGGATTTTCCTCCCGTGCAGGTTTTGGCTGCCGCTTTGGCAGACGCCCGCAACTTGGGCATCACGCGGTCGTAGGTGAACGGTGCCATCTGCGTGGTTTTGGCCATCCACCGCGCCAGGTAGCCCTTGAAGGACCGTTGATCCACCTCACATGTGTTGATCGGTTCACATGCCCGTTCGTACATGACATCCTTGGGCTCGTCTTTGAAGAAGACATCGGTCGCCTTCAGCAGGTTCTGCGTCCGTTCCTTCCAGACCGGGTCGCCCTTGGTCTACGGCGGTTAATGTGTGACTCTCCAAGCCGGCGGATTTTGAACTCACCAAATTATACATCGTGGCTGCTCCGTGAAGGTACACCCCCGAGTTGTACGTCCACTCAATCTGGTTGAATTGGGTGCAGTTATTCCGCTCATCCGCCCCGTCGTAGAAGAGGAATTCCTCGGTCATCAAACCGATATCTATGGTCCAGTCCCAGGCACGTTGCGCCCACTCGGTATATGTGCTGTTCCCCGTGTACATGGCCAATCGCGCCGCCAGGTCGAAAAAACATCCGTTGGAGATGGTGTTCTTGTAGGTGTATCCGTTGTTCCAGGTGAAGATCTGCCATCGCAAGCCCCCGCCGCAGGTTCCGGCATCCCATCGGGCGGCTTGCGTGTTGAATACTGCTTGGACTTGGGCCAACCAGCCCGGGCTTCCTTCAGGCGGGTTGGGAAAGTTGCGCTCGGCCGCCGACATGGCGGCAAACGCCCAGAAGGCCTGGTCGTCGTTGCCTTCGGTGCGAGTCTGGTTCGTCGGCATGTAAGTCCCAAGGTCGCCCGCCTGCCACAGCAACCCTTGTGTCGTGATGTCGTTCCACGTATCATCTCCCGTGTAGAACCAGTAGTCGACCAAAGCCGTGAACATGGCACCGGCTGTCATATACTCCAGTAAGCGAGTGTCTCTCCCTTTCGTTTCGTCGCGGGCTGTGTAGACATACCTTCCCACCAGTAGTACGGGTCCGGCAAATTTCCAGGTACGTCCCCGGGATTCATCCCCGTATAATGGGTCAGCATGTCCTTGGCTACGGCACGGCATGCTTTTTTAACGTTTTCTGAGGCTGTTAGTGTCATACGGACCGTCATCCCCCGATTTCACACTCACCCGGATCGTCCAGATTTAAATCAATAGCCTGGACGCCGGCCAGCAGCGCCAAAATGGTGAGCCAGGGTCTTCGCATGGTCTCTGTTCTTCGAGCGGTGCAGAAACAGCAGCAGCGAGAGAAGAAAGTGAGATCAAAAAGATCGACTCAACAGACAATGGTCAATAGCATACCAGGCAATTGCCCCGGAGGAATGTCACATTGGCATAGAAACGCACTCCACATGGAGCCTTCATTTCTTCCCCTCGATGCGCCCCCCCAATCGACTTAGGGAGTTCTACAATGTGATTGATCCCTTTTCAATCCGAGGGTGGCATTGTTGTCGCATCGAAGGGTTGTTTTTTGGCAGGTTCATCAGCCAATGACGCGGTCATGATGTGTGGGCGGAGGACCGATCCAGGGGTCGCTGGCCGCATGCGGTCATCGAGCATTCCAGTACGACTCCTTGATTTGGTCGGACCTGACTCGGTGCCTTTTTCCTTCTCGGGCCCTATGATCTTTGGTGGTTCGGACCTTGATCGTTTACTCCTGTGCCCCTTCTTTCTCGATTGAGCCCCTGGAGTGGCGCACCCCCCCCTTCCCTCCCCTCGCCTTCCCTGCCTGGAGACAGCTTTTCGTCCCATTGGTGCAACCGTAGTTGGTCCGAAGCGCCCAAAAAATAACTTCCTGTATCGATATGGCCCTTGTATGCCGTCCAATCGGGGTTTGCCTGCCACGTCCAATTGCAGTCAACTACCAATCATCAATGCGATACGTTGCATATTGCCTTGCGCGCTCTGTCCAAACCCGCCGCATTAGATGCACCATATTTGTGATCTGTTGCGATGGGCATGAATCCACCTAAGATTGTCGCTCGGAGAATAGGGACTCCGCCACGCCATCAAGACGCCGGGGATCAAACCATACATATTGTCAGTCAACCGCGGTGAATCCTCTCTCTGTACTCTCCGCATCAGGCGATTAACCCCCGTTTCGATTTTATCGAAGATGCCATCGATGGCTAGGGGAAGAATAGAAGGATGACAAGACCGTGGGCGCGCCCGATCACGCTTTTCAACGCCTCGATTCTGTATAAATGTACTGACGGTCTCCAGTATCGCTGCTTGTTGGTTATGCTGTGTGGGAGCATGTTATATCTTCGAAGGTCGCCCCGGATTCTGCGGGCCCGTGTCAAATTCAGTGCTAGTACTCCGTCCGTCCCGGGGTGTCAATATCCTAGGTTACTCAACGTCCAGTCGGCTCCGGCATCGTTTCCAACACTGTGGCTCAGTCTCCATGGTGAATTCGTCGGTGTTTGATTTGGCGGAATCATCCCGGGTACCGCGAACATTGACACCAATCGTGGGCATGGAAATCTAAATCTGTCGTCGGTTCCATGAACCGCCTGGAAATTGAAACAAGCCAGCTTCTCCAACAGCCGCCGATCTGATGGTGATCGACATGGATGTACTCCGTAGCTGCACTTAAGATCCCTGCACCTAGCCATCCCGGTCGCCGGCCACGATGTAACCCCGGCTACAATCGTGTTGTTTGAGAGTGTATTCAACAATAATTAATTTCCCGGCGGAACACGGTGATTTGACGAGATTGCCGAGTCCCAGAGGGAAAACTGTCTAAGTACGGAGTATATAGGTTGGCCACTACCCAACTCTCACAGAACCGTCACGGCACAGTCGCGCCATTTGGCTCATGATGAATATCCGATGGCTACTTTCTTCCGTGGGGGTGGTGATTGGGGTTGGAGCCGCGGTTGCAACTCCGGGCGTGACCACTATTCCAGGATGGCATATTCAATCCAGCGCCCAGGTATCTAAAAACATCAGTGGTCTTTCACTGCCCGGCGCAAACATTAGGGGATGGCATCGCATGGGACCCCGAGGAACTGTGATGGCTGGAATGATGGAGAGCAAAGCTTACGAGGAGAAGGAGATATTCTTCTCCAATAACTTGGATAAGATCGACGTGTCGGATTTCCAAGTCCCCTGGCTGTACCGTGAAGAGATCACGCTCGAGAAACCCGCCAAAGGGCAGCATATCTTCCTCGTCACCCATGGCATCACTTCGAAGGCCGATATATACCTCAATGGAGAGCAAGTAGTTGCTAGTAAGTCGCATCAAGGCTCATACGGTGGTCATCGCTACGACATCACGGCTCTCATCAAGCCTGGACCAAACGCATTCTTGGTGCAAGCCTATCCCACCAGCTATGTTCGCGACTTTGCACAGAGCTTCGAGGACTGGAATCCGTATCCCCCTGACAATGGTACGGGAGTTTGGCGAAACATGGAAGTGCAGCACACCGGTGCGGTATCTATGTCTCCTGTGCGCGTCACAACCGACTTCACCAAGCCCGGCACTGAGGAGGTCAAAGTCGACGTGATCATCGACCTCGCCAATTATGAAGATACCCCAATCCATGGAGTCGTCCAGGGCAAAATCCAATCGGACGATGGATCGCAAACTGTCCCTCTGTCCCATGATTTCAAGCTGGACAGCAAGGGGAAAACCACCATCAAAATTACAGTGCCCCTGAATAAGCCGCGCATCTGGTGGCCCGCCGCGTGGGGTAGCCAGCCTCTGTACACCATTAATCTGGACGTCTCCTTAGCGGATGGCGGGATTTCGGACAAACTAGAGCCTACCAAGTTCGGCATTCGTCACGTCGCATCTGATCTAAACGCACATGACGACACATCGTTCACCGTGAATGGACACAAGTTCCATGTCAGGGGAGCAGGATATACGCCTGACATGTTTCTGCGGTTCGATCTTGAGCGTGTGCGAACGATCTTCCAATACATGCTGGACATGGGACTCAATACGGTGCGCCTGGAAGGCAAACAGGAGCACCCCGAGCTGTACGACCTGGCTGACAGCATGGGGCTCATGGTGATGGCTGGGTGGGAGTGTTGCACCAAATGGGAGGGATGGAAGGTGAGCCTACCCATTTTCAATGGTAGATGATGGACATTCGCTAACTTGTTTAGCACAACGATGAAGGATCGGGCGACCTGTGGACCGACAACGACTACGCGATCGCACAGGCCGCTATGGAGCACGAGGCCGAGATGATGCAGGCCCATGCCTCGATGTTATGTTTCCTCATCGCATCAGACTTCTGGCCCGATGATCGCGCGACCGCCATGTTTATGGACGTCCTGGATGGCATGAACTGGCCGAACCCGGTCATCGCATCGGCCAGCAAGCGGGGCTTCCCCAAACAACTAGGTCCCTCGGGTATGAAAATGGAGGGGCCCTACGACTGGGTACCTCCGAATTACTGGTACGAGAACCAGCTTGGCGCGGCGTTTGGGTTTGGTTCCGAGCTGGGCTCAGGTGTCGGGACACCCGAGCTCGGCAGCCTGAAGGGATTCCTGTCGGAGGCCGACCTGGAGGACCTATGGAAGGAGCCCCACAAAGACCTGTACCACATGTCGAAGGAGAGATCGAAGTTCGCCAACCGGGCGATCTACAACGACGCGCTGTACGCGCGGTACGGGGCCCCAACGGGGCTGGAAGATTACCTACTCAAGGCGCAAATCATGGACTACGAGGCGACGCGGTCGCAGTTCGAAGCCTATGCCGCGCGGCAAAGCGCCGAGAAACCGGCCACGGGGCTCATCTACTGGATGTTGAACGGCGCGTGGCCGAGCTTGCACTGGCAACTCTTCGACTACTACCTGCGGCCGGCGGGGTCGTATTTCGGGGCGAAGATGGGCGGTCGCACGGAACACGTAGCGTATGACTACCGGGAACGAACGGTGCACATCATCAATCACAGCGTGGACAAGCAAGGGTCGCGGACTGTGACGATCGACCTCGTCGATACGAAAGGGAAAACCATCGTGTCGAAGAACGCCACCGCAGACACAGCGCCTCTTTCCTCGAAGCAAGTAAAGGAAATCGCGGAAATCGGAGAATTGAAAGACGTGGGGTTCCTCCGATTGGTCTTAAAAGACACCACCACGGACACAGACCTCAGCCGAAACGTATACTGGGTGACTGCCGACAATGACGTCCTCGACTGGGACAACTCCACCTACTACGTGACGCCCGTCACCAAGTACACCAACTTACAAGCGCTAAGCAAGCTGCCTCGCGTGGAGGTGGCCGCGAAAGCGACTCCCCTGTCAGGTGAGGATAAGGGCAAGTCAACAAAGGTGCAGGTTACGCTGGAGAACCAGGCGGATACGCCCGCGTTCTTCCTCCGGTTAACGGCTGTCGACACCGTGTCGCACGAGGAGATCGCGCCTGTATACTGGTCGGATAACTACGTGACGCTGCTACCTCGGGAGCGTCACACTGTGACGGTGGAGTTCACGAGTGATCAGTGGGAGGTGGAGCTGTTTGGCGCGAACGTCGATAAGAATGTTATTGGGCATAGTTGATAGATGGTGATAGTCTAGTTGCGAATGAGTACGGTAGCTGTATTCGTGAAATGCCATAATATTGTTGCTTCATTACAGTGGTGAGGTTGTATCAGATCACTAAACCAAGTACACCTCCACCTCATGCCAACACTTTCTCCACAGTCTGCGCATACCGCAACAAGGCCTCATCCTTCATTCTGCGCGCAATCAACTGCACGTGGCAGGGGGCGCCTTCGACTTCGCTGGGATGGTCTAGTGTGGTCAGTTGTGTTATTGAGTGGGAATGGGATACATACACTCTGGGACGTATTTAACGTCTCGTACAAAAGCGGCGTCGTCGACCTCGTTGGCTTGGCCGAATGGGACTATGCACGCGGGATACTATAGAAATTAATATTTTCGTCAAGGAGGGGGAAAGTGAAAGATGGAGGAACAAAGAAGGAGGGAATGAAATGGGGAAGGAAAGAACGAGGGAAAGAACAAGGGAAGGAACGAGGGAAGGAACGAGGGAAAGAACGGAAGAAATGAGAGAGGGAAAGAGAGAAGAAATTGAGGAAGGAATGGCCGAAGCGACATACATCCAGCAAATTCGACAACACCGTATATATCGGCAGACCGAAGGTATCATGTGGCGGAGCGCAGCTCTGGAATGCAGGACCGAGAATGACATCTAGTCCGTTCTCTAGATAAGCACGACGCATGTCGGCTATGAACTTCGCGCGTGCTGCATTCAGATCGTACAGCTCGCGCAGGGTCGGCTCAGCGTCCGTTGCGACCAGGTTATACGTGAATTTGAGAGACGGCACGGGTGGCTCTCCGCCGTCAAGGATGTTCTTGACTTGCGTCTTGTCCGGGTCCATCTGGAACAGGCGCCAGGCGATCCTGGTAGATTCGCTCAGCGGGGGGATCTTCTTCGTGAGGTCGACGAGCTTGTGGCCTGCGGCTTGGAGTTTGGAGGCGGCCACGGCGAGGGTGCGGCGCATAGGGGGGTGGAGCGGGTAGTTGGGATCCTCGGGGAGGAGGCCGATGGTGAGGACGGGCTGGGCGGGCGGTTCTTGCCAGGGGACGGCGAGGGCTGCGTCGTCGACATCTTCTGGGTGGGCGTTGAGGACCGTTTGGATGAAGAGCTCGGCGTCGCGCATAGAGTGGCACAGGGGCCCCGCGACGGTGAGAATCCCCGTCAATCCAGGACGCCCTGCGATCGCCTGTCCGGCGGTGGGGATGCGGCCGACAGTGGGCTTAAAGCCAGCGAGACCGCAGCATAGGGCTGGGATGCGGATGGAGCCGCCAATATCGGTGCCGACGCCGAGAAGGGAGCCACGGAGGGCGATTAGGGCGCTCTCGCCGCCAGAGCTGCCACCAGCTGTCAGGTTTCGACGGTGGGGATTGAGAACGCGGCCGAAGACATTGTTGTGGGAGTCGGCGGTCATCATCGTCTGGGGGATGTTGGTCTTCACGTAAAGGACGGCGCCGGCGGCGAGGAGTATATCGACGAGGGCCGAGTTAGTGGTCTTCGCCGGGTGGTCTAGGAAGGAAATATAGCCGAGACAGGTTGGCACACCGCTGACGTTCAAGTTCTCCTTCAGACTGATGGGCAGGCCGTGGAACGGGCCGATGAGGGTCCCGGTGGTAGCGAGGTGATCATCCACCTCCTTGGCGCGCTGGATGGCGATGTCGAAGAACGTTTCCGTCAGACAACCTGTGAGCTGCTGGGCAATGGCGGCGCGTTTGCAGAAGGCGATGGTGACTTCGGATGAAGTCAGCTCGCGCGACGCTAGCCGTGCCAGCAGAACCGTCGCATCGACTGTCTCGGTGATGTCGAGTTCGCGCTGGGTCAGCAAACCGCATTTGCGGGGGACATCGAGCACGCTGACTGCGGGGCCTTGTTGCTCCAGATCCTGGAGCAGTTTCTCGGATAGACGCCATTCGGCGGGGATCTTGGCTGCGGCGGCGGCTTGTTTGGCCTGGGCCTTTTGTTCCCAGGTTGTGATCGTCATGGTTTGTTCCGGCGAGTAAGTGATGGAATCTTGTAGTCTGTAGACTGGACTGGTAGAATAAGCCCGGGGATATTTATGGCCTCGGCTTCCCCGCATCGGATATTGATAGACCGTGAGGGGCAGATCCAGCAAGAAGCGGGGCCAGACACTTGGTCTCACTCGGCACATCAACGACGAATAGAATGTTACAGCTCTCAGCCGTCACTTTCTTGTCTCTCATGGCGTTTATGTGTGAGGCTGGCATGGAGCTTGTCTCAAGTGAGTGGCAGTGCGGAATTTGGCCGTCGCCCAATGTCTTCATGAAGGCAACCTATTCTTTCTATATATTAATACTATCACTTCCTGGTGTTCCGTCCATAGTCCAGGGTAATAATATGCTGATCCTGCGGTCGAAGGGGCAGTAGAAAGAGGGAGTAAATATGGCGCTCTCTCGACTCGAAGATACACCAGTCAGATGGCACCATGATAGCATACTCGGCAATTACACCTATCGCTCCCCCTGGTCAGCAATATGAAGGATCATTGAGAGCGCCATTGGATAAGCTGAGCCTCATCACTGGCGGCAAATGGCTCACCTGGGTCAGTTCAGCGCAGTGGCTGTTGTAATCGAGACATGCAGAGCAAGCCGAATGAATTGCTAGGCCATTTCGTCGTAGTCAACCACGGTCCTATCGAGAGAAACATGATCGAATTCGTAGATCTCGTCCAGGAGTGGGAGATAGTGGGAGAGATGAGTGAGGAAGAAGGCTTCGATGCGCAAAAACACACGAAGAAAATCCGCCTGAGGAGTAGATCAGGTGACGGGGGTTCTCCTGATATTTCTGGCAACTGAAAGCCGATTCGTATCGACGGATTGATTCTTGACTGCTAATCGTCTCTCAGGGTCAGCTCAACCGCCTGCACAGTATTTCCATGCTTCATCATCGTCCATGGCAGCGTCTGTTTCAAGAAAAGTGGCAACCAAGGCGGGCTTTGCGTGTACCCTGGCTTGTAATGGCTGGCCTAACTGCTCTCACGATTGAGCCAGTGGACCGGCCTTGAGAACACAAACTCTCTACTCTCTACACTGGCACGTGAAGAGCCATTCACAATGCAACTAAATGCGTCATCAGAAGCCGATGTCTGCAACATAACCTGAGGTAACAGCATCGATAGTATCACAAGGTATCTCACAATGGCATATGTTGCGAACTCAGCCTGAACGAGTTCCTCGCCGTGCAGGTCAGTATATCTACCGACTTGACGGGAATGAACCCAGGATACAGGGGCCGTACATACTACGTGTCTGCGTGTCCTCAACATCGCCAGGGTCTAGGTTCCAGCCATTCCTGGCCTGTCCGAGTCGCGCGGTACACACCAGGGTCAGTGGTAGTGGACTCGGCTGTTCGCATCTCCTTCCGAAAATGGCAGGGAGAGCGTTGGAGGTCCTTGAGAGGGTTATAGGCAGCACGGGGTCGAGGATGGGTTCCACGGCATGACGATTATCCCTAGTCTATTTAGGGCCCACCTATGTTCATTGCGGGTACAGGTATATGGTCATCGTTTTCACGGCTTTCGGTGGCTTATATGTGACTTCCAGGCCGTTCTTGTTTAGCTCAACCCCTCAGAGGTATCAATTGTCGTCTACATCATTTGGCTACATTGTATGTATGGACTAGTTTTGGCATTCGAGGGGTGTATGTGGCAAGGGAAAATCAATCCATCCGGTGGGTTTCCTTCTGTAAACTACACATCGCAAGGACATGTCCTACGGAGGTCATTCCAGTTGGGATGTACTTAAGAGGTGCATTCTATGCAATCAATAAAGGATGTGCTATATACATGATATCATCTACCTAATACTCTACCAGCAAATCCGGCTAGCAGATTTAACGCAAATAAAAACAACCAACGCCGGGGAATCATGTGTATACCATTTCACGTTCCATGACATGGCATCCACACTGTGGACCAGGCCATCTGTACAATCTGTATCCATCATCGTCCACATGACTTACTTCGTTCACTCTCTCAGAAAAGAGGCATGTCAACCTTGTGATCCCAGTTGATATTATCCGGCGTGCACTCGACACGGTCCCGACAGGTTCCAAACACCCGATCCCACAGACGGGTCTGCTTGCCGTAATTGGCGCTGCTCTTCCAGCCCTTGCGGTGGTGAAGGTCGTGGTCCTCGATGATCAGCTCCGCGTTGAACAGGCGCAGGGCCCAGCTGAGGGTGTTAGGCGGGACGGCGTGCAGGCGCAGTCCACTATGGCCGGCGAGTTCGGCGAACACGACGTACTGGTGGGAGACCCACCACTCGTAGAAACCCATGGGCATACCCATGGCTTTCATGGTGAAGAAGGCCATGAGTGGGATGCCGGCGATGTCGAAGAACTCTTGCCCAAAGTCGGCGTAGAGAGTCAGGAGCGGGTTGGGGTGCTTGGTGAGGTGGTGGGTGCGGTGGTACTTCCACAGGGCGTCGACTTCGTGCATCATGCGGTGATACCAGTAGAACCAGAAGTCAAGGATAATGCCGTAAAGGCCGGCCTCGAGAGGCAGCCAGCCCCAGGCCATGTCGGCGGGGGCATGGCTGGAGCGGTAGCTGAGGAGGACAGTGAAGATGGGCCGGATAGAGGAGGTGGAGACGAGTGAGTGCACGACCTTGGCGACGCCCACGTCGGGCACGCCGTCCCGCTCGTGGAGATCGCCGTCAAGGAACCCGAGCTTATGGCCGATACGGCGCAGGACATGTAGCTCGTGGATGGCGATGAGCTTGAAGGCCACCGAGTAGAACACGAAGGCGGCGAACGGGCTCAGATTGTGGCCGGTGTAGACAGTGTAGAAGTGGTGGAGGATCAGGGGGACAACGGAATGGACGATAACCCAGCGGTGCAGCTGCCACTCCGGGGTGTAGGGCACCTTCTCGTCTTTGCTGTGGACGGGGACCTCTTTATCCAACGAGACTGGATGGATGGCCAGCAGCTCGTAGAACCAGTGGAAGATGGTCCACTCGCCGCGGTCCTGGCGGCGCCACGTCGACTTCATCGAGTCCTTGGGGTTCCCTTGCACGCTCATGATGGAAGACTAGAGTTAAATTGTACTTTCTCCGTTATGATGAATGGCTGGGTGGTGATGCTGGTGATAATAACCCCGTGGGGCGAGAGTGTGACACAGGCATCCAGGACCAGGGGGTTTATATCTATCCTGGTCGGATGAGCCCGCGCTCGGCCCATGTGAACCATTCCTGGAACCACTTGGCGGAACATTATGAATCATTCCCGATGACAATCATTGGGTTATTAGGAGCACAACGTCGTGGTTGGGTTTCGTCTAGTCTCTAGCCTGCAGATCGCTGTCCGGGCCCTGGGAGGCGAGGCCATCCGCCATCACAGCCAGTGGAGAGCCGTTTCCACCGGCCTCATGATGTCAGGCGACGATGATCCCCGCACTGGGTTTCCGGGCTGTGGGCTCACGATCTGACTGGTGGATGGGTCTCTAAATCCGTCTTAGTCCGGATGCAGTCCCCAGATTGCCCGTTCGTCGCCCCTCCTTGGGTTGGCTCAGCTTAACACCGTCACGATTATGATCGCCTGCAGAGACGATCCGTCTCAGTACCGTTAGGAAGACCATGATATCATATGGATATGTCTATTATGACCAGCGAGTATATCTGGCCGTCGTTCCATCGCATCTCGCTGCAGGCAGCGACATAGCACCATGTTGACGACCGGAAATCCCATTGAATCCACCACATTGGTAGGATGTGCGGGAGTGGCCCACGTGGACCATACTTCAAAGAGTAATGGTTGCGATGGACGATTGTTGGGATCGAGAGAAGTTTCTTCGCGCGTTCAATCGGTCTAAGATGGATGGAGTAGGGATGGACGCGGGTTCAGCCCTAATTTCCCTTTTCAGGAATGCTCTGCGAATACTCGCTCACTTAACTGATCTCGCCCGTGGTTGACAGCCAGATAGTTCGCCTCAGAGGTGTCAAGTCCACCAGACAACAGCAAGAAAGACACTTCAGGATGCTTGCTTCTCCGACCATGTGAAGGGGGTTTGTCCTGCAGAAACAACAACTCGGCCCGGCTCCACTTTCCATGTCAGCCAGCGAACAGGAAGCAGGACAACACGGATTGGCACCGTTAATTTGGCAATAGACGGTCAGGTGGCAATGTATCTACTATCGAGAGACATCATTGGTAGTAATCATCATGAGGGTTTGTATCCTCACATTGAAAGGGCCATCCATTGAACTCGACTGATGCCTTAGGCTTCTATGTTAAAGTGATTATTTATTAGTGGATAGATGATATAGTTTAGAATCTAAATGATCACTTCTGAAAGAAAAGGATTTATATTAGCTAAAGCCATGTCGCTGATTCATTGTGTGAAGGACATGTTTTAGAATGTGTCAACCATGAACAATCCGTTTCGGTGGATATATATTTCTATAGATACAAAACGTGGTTCTCACCCACCCGGCATGCCAGCCATGTCAGCACCCTCTATATCATTGTCTGTCATCCAGCGAGTGTACAGAGTATACTGCACAATATGTTAAGAATCGACACCCTCCGACTAGAGATTCTCCCAGACCGTGCGTCCTTACCGGATACGCTTGATCAAATAGTGGATATCACCGGCTTTTCCCCCCTGGGAATGCATATAGATCTGAACCTTACTGTACGGAATCCAGGGAAGCCACAACCTGGGTTAGAACCAAACGCGGACCCTGCGACTGTCAAATTGCTATGGACAAGGAGGAAATATCAACCATCGCTCCTGCTGCGAGGACCGATAGCTCGAGGACAGGACAAAACAGCAGTGGGAACGGTGTTGACCATCACTGACGCTCCCCATGTTCCATTCGGCTCACAATCCATTTTAAAGCTACAGCTGATACACGATTATATAGTCCCATCAGTGACCTTGTCATTATGACCCCAGCTAATGTGAGGGTACACCATCGAGAATATGCATCAGACTAACACGCTGCAGATGGCGTGCAGCATCCTGCTCATACTGTTCCACGTGGTTGTCATCGCGATGGGTGCCGCAATCCCGTCGGACAGCCGATCGCCTGCGCCTAAACTGACTTTTGAGTACATCGTGGTGGGAGGCGGTACCGCCGGTAACGTGGTGGCCACCCGACTGGCGCAGCGTGGCTTCCGAGTCGCCCTGGTCGAAGCTGGGGGTCTTTACCAAGCCCAGTCCCTAGAGGCTATCCCAGCAGCCGCGACCTTGTATATCGGAACGAGTCCACATGTCCGATCGGCGATCGACTGGGGATTCGTGGCCGAGAATCAAGCAGGGGTCAATGGACGATCCCTCCACTATGCACGGGGGAAATGTCTCGGGGGATCGTATGTGGCAATCAACCGACACAAGGACAGTGACTGACCAAAACAGGTCTGCGATGAATTTGATGATATACCAGCGGTAGGTGGGAGCCCGAGGAGGGGGATGGGTCGCAATATCTGACAACGGTGGATCTTCAGACCCTCACGAGGCGCCATGGAGCAATGGGCCAGTGCCGTCAATGATAGTAGCTATACATTCGATCAGGTATTGCCATACTTCAAGCGCAGCGTCCATTTCACGCCGCCCAATACCAGGAAGCGACTGCGCAACGCCACCACCAGCTACGACCCGGACGGGTATGACGCTCATGGCGGACCACTGGAGGTCTCGTACCCAAACTACGCGTCTCCCTTCTCCACGTGGGCACAACGGGGCTTTGGCGCAATCGGAATTCAGCACACGCAGGACTTCAACACTGGGACGAATATGGGAGGTCAGTTCTGCAGTATGACATTGAATGCACAATGGCAAACCCGCAGTAGCTCCCAGGCGTCGTTCTTGGCGACTCTCCACTCCTTCTCGCTGACGGTGTACTCTAACATTTTGGCCAAACGGGTGGTGTTCGACCGCGATAACCGAGCCACTGGGGTGGTCGTCCAGGGTCTGTTGGGGAAGCCCTTTACTCTGCAGGCCACCCGCGAGGTGATCCTGTCTGCGGGGGCTTTTCAGTCGCCACAGCTGCTCATGGTGTTGGTCTTTCTCTTTCTCCTCGATGGAACGTTGCTGACAACGGATAGGTCCGGCATTGGACCCGCCGCAACTCTCCAGGCCCATGGGATAGGACTGCGTGTCGATCTCCCCGGGGTTGGGCAGAACATGTGGGATCACATCTACCTGACAGTCAACTACCGGGTGAGGGTCAGCACGATCAACACGATTCTCAACAATCTGGTGGCGCTCGTCAGGGAGGCACTCAAGTGGGCGTTTTACCAGGTCGGCATGCTCACCAACCAGAACAGCGACTACATTGCTTTTGAGAACCTTCCCGACAGTGTGCGGGGTGGACTATCGAACCGGACGCGAGAGGATTTGACGGAGCAGTTTGCCCCCGACTGGCCCGAGGCCGAGGTAGGGTGGTGAAGTTGGCCTGGGGACCCAGGTAGACTGACAGTCGAGCAGTATCTCACCGGTTCCGGGTTTATCGGGGATAGTGCGGATTTCTTCCTGAACCAACCCAGAGACGGACACAATTACGCCGGCATCCTGGGCACACTCCTGACCCCCTTCTCACGCGGCAATGTGACGTTGCGATCGGCCGACACTGCCGACTTGCCGGAGATCAACCCCAACTGGCTGGCAGACCCCGCGGACCAGGAGCTGGCCGTGGCGATCTTCAAGCGCACGCGCCAGTTTTTTGAGAGTGAACCCATGGCGGGCGTCTTGGACGGCGAGGAGTACTATCCGGGGAGTGACGTCCAGTCAGATGAGGAGATCCTGGAGTACATCCGGAACACGATGAGCCCAATCTGGCATGCGTCCTGCACGTGCAAGATGGGCGTGTCGAGCGATCCAATGGCCGTGGTAGATCATGAGGCGCGTGTGTTTGGGGTGCAGGGGTTGCGCGTGGTCGATGCCAGTGCGTTTCCCATGCTGCCCCCGGGACATCCGTCGTCGGTTGTTTGTAAGTTTCCCCAATCGGACAGAAGGACATGTGTTGATCGAGAGATAGATATGTTGGCGGAGAAGATTTCCGATGCGATCATTCAGAGTCGGAGATGAGAAGCTTCATGGCTAGGAGGATATGGATAGGGACTGGGTGGATGGAAATTTTGTATAGTTAGGCTGCGGCCAGCGGACGGAACCGTCTTTGTGGATGTGATAGATTTATACTGTATAATTTTGGCGGGGAGGGCAGTAGAAGACGTTGTGACTTGAAACAAGCATGGTTAATAATCATAATGCGCAGGTAGAAAACTTTGTAGGAAGCATTATGCGCCAGCGAATCCCTGACCACAATGTTGGATACAGGCGCCATGAGGACGCAGAGAGCCTACACATATTGAGATGTCGCAATGCATAGATATAGGGTTACCTTATTTACGTAGCACACAATTGTCATCATATCTTTTGTAGCCGTGTGGAAACTCTTTGCAACCAGTATACGTAGGGGTATGTAGGGATGTGAAGCAGGCAAGCCTGTCATGTTTGGTGCAGTAGTATAGTGGACACATCTCGAAGTACGATACAGCACATGCTCTCTGTAGACAATAGGACTAGACATTGTGGAATCTTTTATGGGACAGAATCAGTGCTGTATACCAGAATGTTGATGGGAAGTACTCGCGCTTCTCGTGTTGAGAAGCGGCGCGTATAGTATAGGTTGGGAACGACCAGCCATTGCCCATTTACCTGTCGCGGGTATGCTTTATCGCGGTTACTGATAGTGAGTAGTAATTTCCGAATAGCCAGACGGAAATGCATAGCTGGTGCTACCCATGATTGATGACAGGACGATCTAACGCGGACGGACCCTGTCCACAGAATGACTAGAGACATTGCTCGGGTATATAAATGTATTTATAGGTAGAAACCATGATTATGACGCGATGTCATACATGACGACCCCGCGATGGGGCAGGAGCTCGAGAATGACTCTGCTTCGCGAGGAGGCGGTCCTCCGCCTCCAGAAGGACAGTACCTGGCCATCGTTAGGTTTACCCAGCAGGTAGTGAAGGACGCGAACCTACCGAGAGCGAAATACACGAGAGAGTCAGGGGTGATTGTGACCGGGGCCGGCGCGGAGTCGTTCCCAGAAAACGGCCCGGTTTCTCGCTGGACGAGGGTCACCAGCTCGTGGAGCAGGGCTAGGTCAAAAAACGGGCGGATGTTTTGGACGGGTCTGTGGCTGAAGATCCGTCTGTCGATGGCGGATGGCTGCATGACCAGTTGGCGGGGGGTGGTATCAACCTGTATGTGAATGATTTTGTTAGGAGTTTGAGAAACATAGAAGATGGCAGGCGAACTAACAAAGTTTTTATCCGGGAGCGCCTTGATCCGATCGAGATATCCCCTGCAGATTTGGACAGGGATGTGCTCCTCATGGTGGTGTGGGGACGCATGGCCGAATGTCTCGGCCGGCAGAACCGGGAGGGATAAGCGTTCGCCGGTCCGGCACTCGGTATAGACAGAGCTAATAGGGAACTCTTTCGCAAGGTCGGTGTCGCAGGCGGTACCGGGTGCGGCGGGGCCTTTGCAGAGGTGGTCTTCGTGGACGCGTGCGAAATCGCAATACACCTTAATAGGGGGGATCGCGTGGTCTGCAGAGGGGTTGCGCAATGCGGTAATGCTACCGAAGAGAGCCTCCATCGCAAGGTAAACGGGATGGTCATGTGCGACGCGCGGGGGGTGATGATGGTGCGGGTGCGATACGAGGGGGACGAACACCTTGGTCAAGAGATCGAGCTGACCTTGGTGTTGGGTTGTCGGGGTTGTGATGTGTTTGAGAGCGTTGAGGGTGGCTAGGGCGCTCTGGGCCATGCTCATGGCTTGGTTCATGCCGCGGTGGATAAGAGCATGCTCCTCTAAATGTCAATATTAGTAGGCTTAGTGAGAGGTTGATTGTCTCCACGTTGAAACCAGCGACCTGAGCATACCACCTTGCTTGTGGGCCGAGCCACAAGATGAGTCTAGGGTCCATGAGGTGACTGGGGTAAGGGAAACAGCAAATAGAAATAGCGAGCGGGCTCTCATGGCGTGGGGAGGGTATCAAATCAAAGGATGTCATCGAGGAAGGCGTTGACCATCCGGAAGATAATTGTAATGACAGAGTCCAAATACATGATGGGCGTTAGCAGAAAGAAAACAACAACACGAAGACTGAAAGAAAATAATATATAGAAGCTAATGCAAGCTGCAAGTTCCAGGGGCAGGGGATGTGCGGCGATCAGTACCAAACAGTCCAATAAAAGCCACTGAATTGGACATGCGATGCTCACCATGAATGATCGACAGGGTCGACCAGAATAAGCACCGGTAGGAGAGATTAGTCGGGTAGTTAATAGTGTGGTTCGCTGATGGGGGGGAATTGGGATGTCACATCTCATGCCGCGATGGACGGTGACCGTGGCCCACAGCGGGTGACTGAATGACGATCACCCTGGGCCGTAGTCAAATAATGCAGGGATCGACAGGTTGTCTGTGCAGTGATTGATGGGAAGATTTCTTGTCTTTGGATCTATTATAAATTATAAGGTGTTCGTAGTATTCATCTTGTGGCTCTATGGCGGCGAGCTTATGTATCGTTGTACTAACAGTCAGAATAGCCATTCTAGATGTTGTTAAACAATAAGCATTCCGGCTATGTTTGTTAATGGCGTCTATCTTTTAGATAGCCATAGACGTCGCTTGTTTCAGGGTTAGAATTCATTGGAAAAGGAAATCAACAAGAGTTCAGTTTCCAGTCACCTATCCTGTTCCATTTCTATATTATGTTTCATTATGTAAAAGCACGGTCGAAATAATGATTATAAGCCATCTAATCTAACACAAGAGCGCACGGATCTCAACATTTAAGGAGGCACGCCGCCATGGCTTTACCAACCATCCGAAAGTAAAGCTCGCCGCCCCCGAGCCAAGTGCTCCTGTCGGCAACAGAGTAGATCGGATGATCTGCATCCAAATGTTGGGACCGAAATCAATTGAACCTCCGGGTAGCCCTGATGGACCGGGAAGACATCCTTCCCGTCGTGGATCGATATGGATATGTGGCCTTTTTTCGGAGACCGAGAGGACACCGATATACCGTGTCTTTCTGCAGCAGCAGAACTGAAGCATATGGTATCGGGGAATAACCACGGTGTCTTTTTCTGAGCTAGAATACATCAGGGGCAGGCATAAAAATTAAAACGCTCTAGCAATTCAGAATGGATATCACAAAAAACAAACCATGAACAAGAAAAACGAAAGCATGTATAAATTTATATGCAAAATCAATGCTGCCCCTCACCCTTCGGACCCTCCGGGGCCGCTTCACTAAGAGACGGCGAAGAAGAATCGTCGACCGTCTGCTTCTGCTGCGCCCCAGCACCACTCCTCCACACACGGTAAGTCTCGGAAATCTGCTGGAACCCGCCGTCGATGACAGGGTAGAAGATGGCGACGAGCATGGTCAACCACAACCAGATGATAGAGACGACGACCCACGCAGCGAAGAACTATTGGACAGTTAGTTGGCCTGTCCAATGATCATAACAACAATGATAATATAGACATACCTTCCGTTCAAAGACATATTTCGAGCCATACATAGGCAGCGGCCAGATAACCCAATGACCTAAGAACGTAGCAATAGACCAGAACGCAGCGATGCGGCCCCAACGCTTCAAGTCCTTAGCCTCGAGTAAGGCCTGTGCCTCGGGGCCATCTTCCAAGCGATCACCAGCGTCCGAAGAGGGGACCGAGGACGCCGTCTCCTTGTGTTCGTGGTGCACAGTAGTGAGGTTTGCGTCGAGCTTCTCGAGGGCAAGTTTCTCCTTGCTGAACTCTGTCCAGTCGTAGTTCTGGGGCCGGATGGCGGTGATGACGACAGAGTAGAGGATGGGCGAGCAGGCGGATGCGACGGTACCGTAGACGCAAGGAAGAATCTCACCGGTGGCGGCTACAGAGACGGAGCCCGCGAAGTGGTGCGCTGTGCCCAGCCAGACGGCGATGCCGGTGGCGAAGCCCATGACCGGAGCGAGGATGGCAGCTGGCTTGCTTTGGCGGCGCCAGAGGATGGTGAATGCCATTGGGAAGACGCCGGGGCAGGTTACAACGCCTGGACAAGCCTGGTTAATTTTGGCTCAGCGATACGTTCCTGGTAGTGCACTTACCGAGCATGTATAGGGTCCAGCCGAGGTTGACGCCAACGTAGTGGAGCATAGTACTGAAGCCGGCCGAGAAAGCGGCGAAGAAGATAACACCGCAGTGGCTGGCGCGGATGATCTGGCGGTCGGTGGCGTTGCGGTTGAAGTACTCTCGGTAGACGTCGAAACTGAGGATAGAACTGACGGCGATGACTTGGGCGGAGAGTGTCGAGGTGACGGCCATAAAGGTCATGAGGAGCACGGCCGCGGCGCCTCCTTTTCCGGCGATCGCCATAGCGGCATACGGCAAGACTAGACCACCACTGACTTCACTCGAAGTCATTCGCTATGGAAAAATGAGCAATTGGACCCGGAGAATGGAATAGAGCAGGGCTTACCCGGGGATAGGTGGGGAAGCTGGGATGGCTCTCGAGCCCAACTGCCACCGAGCTCATGATGGTGCCTAGGGCCCACGGGATCGCGAAATAGGCGATGCCACCGATGGTGTATCCCGGAACGACGGCAGACGGTCCAGCGGCGAAGGCCTTGATAAAGTAACTAGTGTCCATCTGGGATGGTCAGAAAGATGATGGACTGCGAAGGTGGGAGAGACTCACGATGACGAGGCCGAAGTTGGAGCAGATGTGGAGGATACCAAACAAGATGCCCTGAGAACATTAGGTACTGGACGTGAGGTCTGCGGTGGGACGACTCACCCCCTTGGATGTCATGGTCAGATACGACCCTTGAGGGTTTCCTGACACCGGATGGTGCTGGGCTGCTGTCGCCACCAGGTTGTAGAGACCCTCGATGGATCCGATCTCCTCGCATGTGAAGGCTTTGATAGAGAAATAGCAGGCGATAATCAAGATGATGGCCGTGTGGAAGTAGTCCGTTAAGAATCTGACTGGTCAGTGTTGATCTACAGACGAGGAGAGAGATACTTACGTCGCCTTGATGCCTCCCACAAAAGTGTAGATTGTAACACCGAGAGGAAGCAGGAAAGTTGCTGCGATGACATGCATCCCGGTCCTAATAATTAGGGTTAGCACAGGTGCCGCGACCAAGCTCCCGCATTCACTCACATGGCAGAGACGACGGCAGCGGCGCCCAACAACATGTTGGCGCACGCGAAGATGTTGTTGACCAGACACAGCGCCATATATACAATATGCGCCGCTCGTCCATATCGAATGCGTACCACCTCGAGCGACGTATGAGCCTCGGGGATCTTGCGCTTGCAGGAGATTCCGAGCAAGGCAAAGAACACAATCATGGGACTGCACCCGGCAGCGAACCAGAATGGACCCGACAGACCATAATCGTATCCGACGAAAGACGATCCTAGCAGGGCTGTCGTCCAGAGCCATGACTACAGAGGTTAGCGGGGTAACAATATATTGAGAAGATGACATACCGATATGACTGCCGAAGCAGTGAGTCCCCTTCGAACCGACCGATTCGCAGTCATGAACCTGATCCAGGTCAGTGATGTCGCGCGCAGAGCACCCGGAGAAGCCATACATTTCTGTTCTGCTGTTGTCCTCTCCAGCGGTCTGCTTGAGGAACCGCGTCACCAACATCATCGCTGGAAATGTCAGTCATTTGCTACCTATTGACAATATTGACAAGAAGACCTACCAAAGGCGATGACCAACCCAACAATGACCACAATGACATATCCGACAGCCTGGGAGAGCGGCGGTTGCACGGTGCCACTGCTACTCCGCGCTTGGAGGTCAACCATACTGGATGAACGACGTGATGAAATTACCGACCACTAAAGGCACACAAAATACCAATACAAGAGTGATATTAACTGGCAGCTACCTAAGCCAAGCTTCTGGACGCCGGGTGGATATCATCCAGTTAAATAAATCAGGCACACCCCTAGGTGCGCAGGACTAAACCACAGCGACGCACAGGGACCCTACGCTGCAAGGATTGCTCCCCTGGACAAGCTTATTCTCTGGTAGCTGTCATAGGCTGATCAGACCGCCCCGCAATGATATGATGGACTATATGGATGAGGTGCTTCTACCCAGGAACCCGGTTCACGGGCCTCTGCTACATTCATCATGCTCGCTGGGGGGGTCGATCCCGGACATCATAGATAAGCAAGATCCAAGATGAAGTCATTGGAAGTGAAATGAGAGGAGCCTCGAATTCGAACGGAATTATGGTTGAGATGGGGTCAAAATGTCGTCTGGCTCCGAAACGAGACTCTCTGCGGGTACTAGGTCCTATACTGCGACTTAGACTCGCGGTACTAACAATATGCACCATCCACCTGTACCCTGGCCAATTTCTCTCCTTGGCATTTGATCCCAAACTTCTCCGCTATTAATGGGAGCCCATACATCACATTTCGGTCGCGAATGTGAGGTGCGTGAGTTTGCGGATACCAACCAGAGAGGAGTGATTGCGTGATAAGGCGGGTGGGTGACGGGACGGGGAAGATCTTCATCAACGAGCGAACCACCACCGCCAGATTTACGTCCTGCGGCGTCTCTAGCTCTACCGATTTGCGCATCCCTGCATCGCGTCATCGCGTCCCACGCTGATGCCAGTCGGATATACTGCATCTCTCGGGCGATAGACGCTTGGCCAAAGTGTCATACATAGTGTCCGGATTTCCCACCTACTCAGCCCTCCCCTCTCTCCCCCAATTGGAAGAACAAACTAGTTTCTTTGATCTCTCGCTATTGTCCAAGTGTTCTATTAGACTGCCTCCACAGGATCGAAGGGACTCGATTCGTGATTTTAGCCTGCGATACGCAATCCATCCCGTTCCGCGCACCGTCAGCCACACATCACCATGGCCGAGTCAGCCCCGAAGAAGTCGCTCATCCTCAATGCCTTTGTGGAAATGTGTTCGTACTCAGCCTTCTCTAAATACAGGAGCCAGCTTTTTTCCGAGTCAGGCCGAGCTCACAACATCCAGGTAGTGGCCACCAGTCGCCCGGACTGTGGCGTCACCCCGAGGATGAATCGCACCGGTTCAACGACATCGAGCACTGGACCGAGCTAGCGCAGATGCTCGAAAAGGCCAAATTCCACGGCATCTTCATTGCCGATGTTCTGGGTAAGTTGTTACTATCGACTTGACTCGTGGAAACCATGCTAACCCACCAGGCTGCTATGATGTATACAAAGGCCCCAGGAACCAGGGCCCTGCCACGGTCTCCGGCGCCCAGTGGCCGGTGAACGAGCCTATGTCGGTCATCCCAGCCATGGCGGCTGTCACGAAGAGCATCGGCTTCGGCGTGACCGTCACGACGACATATGAGCAGCCCTACCACCTGGCTCGACGATTGTCCACGGTGGATCACCTGACCAAGGGACGGTATGTACCTTCCGTCCTCTTCATTGATCTATACTAATTTCATTCATTAGTGTTGGATGGAACGTAAGTTACCTACAGCGAGGTACTCCCATGAACTCTACTAACTGGGATAGATTGTGACGGGCTACCTTGACTCCGCCGCCAAAAACCTCGGCTACGCGCAGCTGCCCCAGGTAAGCCCTTCCCTCCCTCCCTCGTTAACAATTTAATTAACGACATAAAGCACGACGACCGATACGCCGTCGCAGAAGAATATGTCAAGGTGGCCTACAAGCTGTGGGAATCCTCCTGGCGGTCCGATGCCGTCGTCCTCGACCGCGAAAAGGGCATCTACACCGACCCGGCTCGCGTGCGGGAAATCAACCACGAAGGCAAATACTTCAACGTGCCGGGCCCCCACATCTGCCAGCCCAGCCCACAGCGCACGCCTGTCATCCTGCAAGCAGGTACCTCCAAGGCGGGCAAGACGTTCGCGGCGCAACACGCGGAAGCGATCTTCGTGGCGGGCATGAGCCCCGCCTCGGTGGCCAAGAACGTGGCGGAGATCCGCGAGCTGGCGAAGAGTGAATTCGGGCGCGACCCCAAGAGCATCAAGTTCCTGGCGCTGCTGTGCCCGATCCTTGGCAAGACGGAGGAGGAAGCCGTCGAGAAGTTCAAGTACTTCCGGAGTTTGGGGTCCATTGACGGGGCGCTGGCGCTGTTTGGCGGGTGGACTGGTATTGATCTCGACACGTACGCCGAGGACGAGGAGCTGCGGAGCGTGCAGAGCAATGCGATCCGGTGAGTTCTTTACCTTGCCGTCACACTTGCAAAACGACAAGGCTAATGAGATTAGCTCTGCGGTGGAAGGCTGGTCCAAGGCTGAGCCCGGCCACGCCAAATGGACCAAGAGCACAGTGGGTCAGCACATCACGGTCGGCGGACTGGGCGCGACGCCTGTCGGCACGCCGCAGCAGGTGGCAGACGTGATGGAGCGGTGGGTGAACGAAGCCGACGTCGACGGTTTCAACTTGGTACGTCCTCTTGATATATGCGCGGTAGAGTACAACCGCTAATCCAACCAGGCATACGCGATCAAACCCGGCACATTCATCGACGTTATCGAGCTGCTGATTCCCGAGCTGCGCCGTCGCGGTCTCTTCTGGGACGACTACGCCGCGCCCAAGGGCACCTATCGCGAGAACTTGTTCCAGCGACCTGGACAGAGTGGCCCGCCGGCGGACCACCCTGCGTCCAAGTACCGCTGGAACGCGGGGGTTGACGCGGCCGACGCGCCTGTTCCGAACAACTAAGCGGACGATGAATTTTGTTATGAGATGACGATGACCCTGTACATTGCCCGGAATATGTTCCCGGGACGGATATATATGTAGATACAAATTACATAGATGGAAAATCCACCTTTCTCCCCAGTGCCTTGGCAACCCAGTAGCCCAGCGCCTTTCGGGCAATATTGTTCGACGACCAATTCCGGTCTGGATGGACACGGTTCGCGAATAGCAGGAAGAATGTGTTGGTTGGACGATCGATAACGAGCGTCGTGCCGGTGAACCCTGTATGGCTCGCCGTCTGTTATATCTATCAGCACCGCACAACACCACACATACACTTGGGAAGGGGCTCTGGGAACGAACCTCCAAACTAGCCATCGGACCAGCAGTATAGTACTGGTTAAGCTCGAAGCCCAATCCATGCTCATCGCCCTCAAAACGCTCATTAAAGTTCTTAAACAGCAGATCAACAGTGTCAGGCTTCAACGCCTGGAAACCCCCATACGAGCCGCCATTCAGAATCATCTGGCAAAAGATAGCCGTATCGGCGACCGTGGAAAACAATCCCGCATGGCCAGACACGCCCTCCAGCGACCAGGCGTTCTCATCGTGGACGACACCGCGGACGGGCTGGGCGCGACCCATGACGTCATCTGGTTGAAATTCCTGGGCCGCGACCCGGGGATACGGAGCGAAGGCGGAGCCCTCGACGTTACCTCGGTTGAAGAAGGTGTCGCGCATGCCCAGCGGCGCGGTGTACTCTTTGACGAGCTCGTCGAGACCTTTGCCAGTTACGGTTTCAAGGAGAATGCCGACCGTCATGAAGTTGAGGTCGGAGTAGAGGAATGTCGACCCCGGGGTATCGATCAGAGTGTGATTGACGACGGCAGCCTTGCGGTCCTCGACCGTCTTGTACGCCTTGTCGTACAGCGGGGGGTCCGGGTCGGCAGGGAAGCCCGACGTGTGAGTGAGGAGCATCTGGAGGGTGATGTCTTTCTTGCCGTTTGCTGCAAAATCCGGCAGGTAGGAGGCGACGGGGGCGTCGAGGGCGACACTGCCGGCGTCGAGCTGGCGCAACGCGGCTATCGTCGCGAAGATCTTGGTCAGACTGGCCATGTCGTAGATGGTGTCTGGTTCCGCTTGGATCTGCTCCGACTCGGGGAGTTTCGTGCCATCGATGTCTGCGTATAGCAGCATCTGACCGGACGCGAAATGCGACACGATGGTGTTGTCGTGGCCGACTGGGGAGAATTAGCATGGTTTCTATCCATTCAATTTGAAGGCATACTCACCGATGACAGCGGTCGATGGCTGGATGGGCCGGACTTCGCCGTCCGTAGAGTCGCCATAGTTGGCTGGTTTCTCATACGCCGATATATTCTTCTGCATATCCTTTAGGGCCTCCGGGAGAAGACCGACCGATTCGGGCGTCCCGGGGTGCAAGGTATCGTCTGCATGGCGGGTGGCGGCGCCAATCTGCGGCAGGAGACCTCCGAGGAGGAGGGATTTGGCTAGACGCATGGTGAGGTTATACTTGGCTTATCACTGCAAATTATTGATTACCTGCGACGTTCCTGGTCATTGTTTATGTACTCTGCTTCCCCGCCCCTATTTCCGGCGGCGGGTGTTGCCGCCGTGGGGATGGCCTCAATCGGTAAGGGAGGTTACATTCAACGGTCGTATATACGAGACGGTCTAGTGATAGTGGATGTTTGATCTCGTGTTTTGATATGGGCGTCCATCGGACGTCCTTCTCAATATCTATAAATATATTGATGAAGTATCGTTATCCACAATGTCTCGTGTTCAAACTCAATCCCATGCAGATCAGGTCAAGGCGATTGTATATTCTCAATTGCTAAAGCCACAACCATACTAACCATTTGATTGTCGAGGCAATACAATACGAGTCTCACGGAAACCCATCGTGGTGTCGTGCTCGCGCTATTGAAGTGTTATAGCACGAGAATCACTGCCTCCCAGTGCCAGACATGGTGATTAGAACCACGAGCGCAAGGATATCTCTCCGTGTTGATAGCATACTTGTAAGAGTATGGAAGAGTAGGGTAGCAGGATGGAGGCAGGTGATCGTCCAAACCCTATCCACCCCAACCTCAAGTTGTGCCTCAACCACTCATCTCTACCACAAGAACCGATTGTCGAACGTCTTGGAGGGCCTATATGCAATTCAGAAAGACGAGTCATGATGCTAAACCCACACCCAATCTTTAGACTCCCCCGCCGGCTCATTAGAAGCAGGAATAATACGAGCCGACAAATCCGGAGGATTGGGGAACTCCTTATCAAAGGGCCACATAGGGCGACAAATACGACGATGACCCAACCGTTCCAGATCCTGGTCGACCCCTCCCGGGGTCAGTCCCAGCATCCAATCTGCGGCCATATCGTGGAGTTCGGGTTCCAGGTACCCGATCTTAACTATCACAATGGCCGCCGAGCGCGGGTGCAGTTGCAGGTCTGTGAAGTCGTGCTCATGATGGTACGGTTTCCGCAGTTGGGTCAGGATCGCGAAGACGGTGCCCACCTGGAGGACAGCTTCGACGATAGCATCTCGGTCACCGTGCTTGATAGCATGTACCCGTCCGGTCATGGTGATCGGTCCAGCGTGTAGATTGTCGACCTCGGCTCCAGCAGTGACCGTCACGGTCGCACCCACCCCGGCCTCGACCATGGCCTGCACGGCCTTGGGCCCTGGCACACTGGCATAGATGACTGTCGGACCGGACGGACCCTGAAATTCAGAGCGCGCCAGTAGCTGCGTCAATCCCCATGTGACGTCGCCTGATCCACCAGCGGTGGGATTATCGCCCGAGTCGGAGATAAAGAACGGTCGCGCAGGAGAAGCCAAAGCCGTGTTGATACATTCGGCGAAAGACCCCGCGGGACCAACAAAGTGGAACTTGGCGCGTTCGTCCCAGAAGCGTTGCGCGAGATTCTCGGCACCACTCGCCACTGCCTTCCAGTCCCATCCGGTCACCACGACGGCTGCGCGGTTGCGAGGCTCATCGGCCCAGGGGTATCCCACCCAGATGGCAGCATCAATAACGTGCGCGAGGTCCTCTACTTGAGGGACCAGCTGGTAGAGGCTTTTGGCGGGGTCCACACGCGTGGAGGTTTGTTCCCCGGGGAGTAAGATTGGGACGGGGATCCATGCTTTCAGCGGTCGGGGGATTGGTTCGGCGCGGGTGAGTAGATCGACAAGGTTGCGACAGGCGCGCTCTTTCGTTTCGAGCTCGTCCTCATGCGGTGCCGACCGATAGCAAGTGATTAGGTCCGCCTGGTGGGCTAGATCGCGCGACACGTTCCCGTGGAGGTCCATGGAGGCAGAGACCAGGACGTCGGGGCCGATGACCGACCGAATCCGGCAGAGGAGGTCTGACTCCGCGTCGTCGAGATCCTGGACGCACATGGCGCCATGGATATCGAGCCAGAGGCCGTGAATAGCTGTCGACGCGACTATCCCCCTCAGTCGGTTGAGGATTTCCTCGACAAGAGTCTCGTACACGGATCGCACGACGACACCCCCGGGGAGGGCATGGCCAACGAGGGCGCCATGCCAGTGTGCAGCGTCCCCGAGGGGCCTGCCATTTTGCAGGAAGTAATATTCAGTGATGATTTCCTGTCCACGCTTGGGGTGGAATGCGCCCGGGGTTTCGGTTCGCGCGGGAGAGAACGTGGATGTTTCACAGGCGAGGCCAGCAATGGCGATAACCGGACGTATGGGCATGATGTGTTGTCTGTCGTTGAGTTGATGGGATGAGTAGCTTTTTAAAGACTGTGGATATGTTTGATGGGATGAATATGAGGTGTAGAAGGATCGACATCAGATCCCCGAGGCATAGGTTGGGCCGCCGTATCTACCGATCTTGGTGACATGAAGCATGCTGTGGTGGTGCCTTCCCCGCACTTATCTCATCTTGCGTCTTTCCCTCCAGTTGGTCATGATGGTGATACCTGCTTGGTTTCTGACCCAAAGTATTTTCTGCTAGTTTTCGTTTTCATGCTCAGAAATGTTGTTGGTAAGGGTTTTCCACCATTCGGTTCATCTCGGAGCAATGACAATGCTCTGCTGCGTTGTTCCTGGCATGTTTTTAGGTAGTCGCTACTAAAGAACTGTTGGTGGGCTGCGCTAATGCTGAGAATTGTTGGCATAGGTGAGGGTGATTGTTCCAGGTGCTCGAGGATCGGAAACCAGAACGGGTAAGTTTCCGGGTCCAGTACCATGATCTGGCTCGCCTTCTCACACCAGTAGTGCAGCGAATGTATTCAAGTTGGGGTACATTATCTCGCACATAAACCCCAGACGGTTGGGTGGGTTCACGGTCCACCGGCTCGGATAGAAGTCAGAATAGGAAATTATTCGGATACCGGGGCCCCACTTCTTGATAATCCTAGCTGATGCGCTATGCTATCAGCGGACACGCAGAAGTCTACGTTTCGGAGACATTTATTCCAGCTTAGCTCATTCAAACTACCTGCCGGGCTTCGAAAAAGAAGAAGAGAGATATGGAAGGGAAACATGCGCCAGCAGTTCTATGCAATTCCAGAGCTACAGTATCATAATCTGGGCCATCAGGGAAGTGACGATGGGCTGCCGGTATGAAAGATGGTCAGATGAACGAATGTTTCTCAGATATTCCTTAACAATCCCGTAGTTACATGATTTTTCAACCCTCCCTTACAACAGGTCCACACGGTTGCTGTCTATAAAAACAGCGACATTTGCAAACTCCGGCCCGAATTCAAAATCCACCGTTGTACCCTTTTTCAAGTAGATGAATTGCCCCGCATTGAGAACAAAATGGTCACCACCATGCACATTCATTTTTACCCATCCGGCAGTCACGTAGAAAAATTCATCGCACGGGTAGGTGAGAGTGGCAGTTCCGGATTCTGTAGCAGCGGCAGCCACAATTTTCCCATCTTCCGAGCGGTAGATCACCGACTTGGAGCCACCGTACTCGGGCAACGGCTCCCAAGGAAACGAAGTATAGGGTCCATAAGGGATAGAGGCGGGGGATCCGGACCCTTGCAGATTTGGAGTTGAGGGCGCCATTATTGATATGAACTAATTGGCCGGTTGAAAGGATATGTGGAGGCTCGTCGAAGGTGATGTTATGGAGGTATTGGGATTTTGTTTCCAATGAAAGGCATGCCTCCTTTTATATGGCAGTCAGAATGGCCATCCTCATCCCATAAGCGTGTTGCCATCTATCCCTGATCGCTTCGAACCTAGAATTGGAAGGTGGTAAGGGAACGCACACACGAGCCGATCAGCCCCACCACCACTATTCAACTACCTACCATGCCGCCAATTCAGAAGTCACCTAGGAAATCGATACGGAAAGCTATACAGTGCGAGCCAACCGGGGACGGTTTATTCAAACTCTCATCTTGTGAGCGAGAAAAAGTGTCTCCAACAGGTGCTTGAACCGCATTATATCTCTTATATAGATGTGACGTGACAGACGGTTCTCCCGAGGGTACAAGATCAACCCTGAGATACGCGTGCTGGATATGTGAGTAGCCAAGTCACCTTACGGTTATTTGCAACAATACCAAACAGTAGCACTTTGCTTATAATCAAATAAGGAAAGATCACCTTGAAGGGTGGGGATTCCTGGTGCGGGGTCACCTTGCGACTACTTGGGCTGGATGGAGCCCAAGTTAACGTTGGCACACGGATGATAGATGGAACTAATCTGGGAGGGCTGGAACAGCAAAAATCAATACTGCGCTATCATTCTCCCGAGGTCCTGCGTTGTTGGGCTGACCTGGCCTGGTCCCTGTGGCGTGGACGGTTATCTCCCCGCACCTCCAGCTTGATCATACTTGCCTAAAACAGTCAAGATGCGATGTGGATCCCAGTTCAACAATCGATTGACGGGTCCCAGGAAACACCAATTTTTTTTGTAGCTCACGTGGTTATTTGTTGGTGCATATGAAGATCCCAGCTTGTTCACTCCAATCTTGGTGCTGGTCTAAACTTGTCACATTTGTTCACATACCTCAGATCTAGTATTACAGATATTCAATCTACTGCAGTGTTATCATTGAAGCTAATACATGTAGGTACACCAATACTCTACTTATTTTCATTTCTTTCAAGGACAAAAGGTCATCCACGCATATGGACAAGAAGCTGGCGGCTATACATTCAGCTTTGGTGTTGCGCGGCAGGTGGCGACCGATGTTCAGGAATATCTGAGCAAGCTGCCCAAGGCGGCAGACCCTCCTATTCCTAGCAGGCTGTGAAAACAACAACCTAGAGGGCATATGGATGTAAATTGATTGATGTTTTGTGAATCTTAGCATCAAGTCCCGGGAGGTTTGCCGAAAGTGGTCTTCGAACACCTTGATATATACATAGAGAAAAAGTGCCCATGTAGTTAGGGATTGATTGACACTACAAGAAAATGTACCTGGTGAAAGATTGTATCAAGATCCAAAGTTTGTGAACACTGCAAAGGGTGGCTGCTTGTTCAAGACGCTGGCGCGTGCGAGTAAAAAATATATATACATGGTTCGGAAAATTGGTCTAATTGGTGGTCCCACAACCTGTACAATGACATCTTATCTTAATGAATGATAAGAGAGTAACAAGATGAGATAATGGAATTACTTAAAGATAATAAAAAAATTTGAAGACATAGTACCCAAACTAACAAAATAATAAGAATGTATAATCTCCGACACGGGTGTGTATGTGTATGTATATAATAATAATCAGATTTATGCATCGTGACTAAGCTAGACGCCCGTGGCAACCACTAAGAGCAGTTTACATTCTGCATTAAAAAATACTTTGTCACTATGCACAGGAAAACATACCACGCTAATCCCCCCTGAACCCACAATCCGATCATGTGGAGAACAGCCAATTCATCACCAAGATGGAACCCCCCAGACCAAGCTGAGATGCCCCCAATCCGCCTGCACCGGCGAAGCGCCGTAATGGCCGCCGCGGCTGCGGCGGCAGGCATGGCGGTGGCATACAACGTAGGCGCAGCATTAATCGCCCATTACGTGCAGCAGCGGGGACGACGGCGGCTGCGCGATGACGACTCCCCACCGCGACGGGGGGCTCGGGAACAAAACGCGCGCCACCGTCCGCGGTCAATGAAGGACTTTGACGACGCGACAGCGACTACCACCACCATGTCGAACTGCGCGCTGTTGGAAATCGCGTGTTTCAGCGGGGAGTCGGCTTTGATTGCTGCGCGGGCGGGGGCCGATCGGATTGAGTGCGTGGTTCTTCCTTACCTTTCTCTTCCCCCCTCGATGCTGAGTAAGGGGCGGGGGTGGTAACTAATAGTTTAGAGATATAAAAACGCTAACACCTCGCAGGCTATGCTCGGATTACGCATCCGGGGGGCTGGCACCATCGGCGGAGACGGTCGCGTCGGTGAAAGCCCAGGTCTCGATTCCGGTGTATGTGATGATCCGGCCTCATGCGCGGGACTTTTTCTACGAGGAGGCCGAGTATGCAGAGATGCAAACCACGCTGGAGAAGATGAAGGAGGCGGGCGCCGACGGGTTCGTCTTCGGAATTCTGCGACCAACAGATGCAGCTGAAGGAAGCGTGTTGGTGGACGTCGCCAGGAACAAAGCGCTGGTTGACCTCGCCGACGGACGCCCGTGCACTTTTCACCGGGCGTTCGACCTCATCCCGGAGGCGGGATGGGAGCGCGCGGCGGATGACATTGCCGCATGTGGGTTCCAGTCCATTCTCACGTGTGGAGGCCCGCCGGGGAAGAAGGCAAGTGAATGCGTTGAGCCGTTAGGGAGACTGGTTCATCGACAGCAGGAGCGTCGCGAACAGAACTCCGAGTCTGAATCGGTCGTTCCCCAGATTATTGTCGGTGGGGGGGTACGGTCGACTAATGTGTCGGGCATTTATCGCTCGGTCCAGGCTGACGCGTTTCATTCTGCGGCGCTGGAGGGGAAGAAGGCGTATGTGAGCCGGGGCGAAGTGCGCAGGATACGAGGCGCAATGGATCGGGTGATACGCGTCCGGAATTGGGAGTCCTTGGTTGAACCGTGGAGTGAGGATGGCCCGGGAACTGGTTGAGTGGATTATCCAGACGATCAACTTGTCTATATCATATGTTGATATCAATTCTCTCGATATCAACCATGTCGATATCACGAATGTCGAGCCTACACAGGTACCGTTTCCTGTTCTATACCTTGAACAAACCACCACAGAAGACTATGTTGAGCCCTGAATTCAATCAGACATCATATACCAATCTACCGCTCACTCTGAGATTGACCGTTTAAGTCGTTCTCGTATCATGCCACACATTTGAAATGTCACAGTCAGAGTCAAAATGTAAGGGCCAGGCAGCAGCGCTGTTCAGTCCGAAACCTTCTAAGATTCTATCCCCATATGGTCACGAAACTCATGTCAGGTGGCAAGCATCTTGCCACAGGGCATTCGCAGTATACTCGAATTAGTAAAACCAGCTCATCTAAGACACAGATTCGAGACAAATGTAACCCGTGCAATTATTGCAGTCCGATGAATTCTCCGGCCTAATCCAGGATCAAGCTAGGAGGAAGAGCAATGTCGTACCCGTCAGTCGACCATGATCGCGGTGTCCCAGCCACAGGGCGTTGTTGAGGGATATCTGCCCTACCGGATATGCTCCGAGGAAACAGTGTCTGACAGTCTATAACGTTTGAGCTTCCTAGAGTTCGGAGATTGTTTGCCAACGCAGGGTCGTTCAAACAGGCAGACGCATATTGCATCTATGGATAATTGAGCCAAGCAGCCAGCAGTAATGAGCTAAGAAACAGGAAGGTCTCATTCCATTGCAACGGTACACACATAGCTACTTATAATTGACTTGCAGTAAAACAATTAAACTAGGATTAGAATGAAATTAGAATAGAAGTAGGATAAAATTAGAATAAACTCAGTATATATGTCATTTAATGCAGGCGGCTTTCCTAAAGTGGACATCCGGTCGTGGCGGAGGATGACATCATGATGGATCAATTGATACACTTCCACCTGCTCATCAGAACATATGACACAGTCCAATGAGCCTAACAAGAAGCTGAAAAAGTTACCGATAAAGGATCCAATTTCTACGCTGTAAACGAAAAGGCTTGAAAATACCGCAGTCATCCCAAACAACAATGCGCATAGTGAATCCACACCCCCATTTTTTTCTCCAATAAAGGCATGCCAAGCGAACCGTCTGACGATCCCGAGGCTTGATTTCAAGCCATGGCCCCATAGGACGCGAATCGAAGCACAAATGAGGTGATGCATTTCCCCCTGATGATGTAACCCTCATGGTCATGCTGATCAGTGATCAACGCATCCTGTGAACGGACCCTAGTCTATCTTATGAAAACCGTCCGTTTCAGGGGATCCTCCGCTCATTATGGTCTGTTCTATTTCAGTACGCCCCGTATCCCCTGCGGATGATGGACGAGACTTGATAGGATATGATGAAGAAACGTAGCTGCCTGGTGGCAATGCACTGCCTTCACAGTCCAGACACACGCCACTGACCAACCCTATAGACATGGCCAGCGATAATGGTATGCGAACAATGCACCAGTCAGTGCGCGTAGTCCGTGCCCAACCATGGCACCGACCCCAGCACGAACCCTAAATGAACCGCGAGGGAGTCCTTCATCTTCTGTTGTTGGGTTGTGTCCACTCGGCCTTTTCTCGTAAGGACTTATATGAAATAAAACCCCACCTGGGGATGCACCTCCGATTGGAGAACGCCCCCGTCAATGCTGTCGCCTCCGGATCATACCCGGACAGAGCCACTTCGTTCGAATGGGGATATTTGTACCGTCCGCAATAAAAGGAGCCTTCCCTGACGATCTACGATCCAGCCTATCTCTATACCTCGCCACATATTGCGTCCTACCCTGTGTCAACCTCTCTCTACCCTCGCCCCTAAGGGAACACCCATATAACACATGGGACATCCACACCTCTCCCTACAAACATGACGAAACATAAAGGAGAAGCGAAACGCAAAGGCCGGGGCAAGGCCAATGCGACCAAAAAAGAGACATTAGCAGAACAGATCGGGCGCGACCTCGCCCGACAACTCTTCACCACCGACCCCCACTCCCAAGGCAACAGCCTCCTCCTAGAGAGTCCGATGCGCCCCTCCAGCAGCAGCACGAGCAGCCACAACACCCAATACGACTACAAATCCAGCTCATCCAACGCCTCCCTCTACAGATATAACTCGCAAGCGGCCGAAGAATCCTCCACCACCCCCGCCAGCTCCGACACCTCCCTCAGCGACACCCCCAACCGCCCGCAACAACGACCCACACAACCACCCTTAAAACCCGCCCCAGCGAGCGTCCCCGCATCCGACCACACCGCGCACGCCGCCATAGAGAACCTCGCCTCGCGCTACGGCCGCGTCTCCCACATGGGCCTCCTCGACCGCAGCTACCGCGTCTTCCTCAACGCAGAACGCACAGGTGCGCTGGCCTACAAACTCGAGAACCACGTCGCAGTCGTAACTGGTGACCCACTATGCGACCCGTCACTCTTCGCCTCCGTCATATGCGAGTTCGACCGCGCGCGGCGCGCCGCCCACTGGGGACTGGCCTTCATGGGCTGCAGCGCGGGGTTTCTGTCGCACATGAAGACGCAAACACAACATCAGCAGCAACAGCAGTGGACGACAATGCAGTTCGGTGTCGAGCGGGTCGTCGATCCCACGACGAACGAGGTGTTAGCCGAGCGAGCAGGCAAGCGCATCGTCAGCCAGTGCAAGCAGCTGTTGTGTCCTGAAAAAGGCGGGATCACACTGGGTGTGTACTCGCGGACGGCGGAGGGCGAGCGAGACGAAGCCCTGGAAGCACAGCTGCAAGGGATCTACGACGCATGGCGAGCGGGGCGGAACGAGCCGGCCGCGACGACAAAGACGCCGCAGGCGTTTATCACGGTTTACGAGCTGTTCGACTACGCGCGGCTGATGACGTTCGTGTACACGCGGGGGGCGGACGGAGCCGTGAACGGGTTCGCAGCGCTGCGGTGGATAGGGGCCTGCGGGGGGTACCATGTGGACCCCTGTATAGCGGGGGATGGGGCAGCGAAGGGAACCAGTGATCTTCTGCTGTTTGCGGCGATGGCGCTGGCAAGGCAGATGGGTGTCTCGTACTTGAGTTTGGGATACGAGCCGATGGGGGAGCTGGGCGAGGTGAGTGGGATGGGGACGTCACTGGAAAAGATGACGCGGTCTGTGTATGCGCATAGTGTGCGCGGGTTGCCGGTGGGCGGCAAGAAGGCTTATCACGATAAGTTCCGGCCCGATGCGAGTCGCGACTCGGCGCTGTATTTGATTTTTCCCTCCGGGTTGCCGGGGGTCAGGCGGATGGTGGCGATGGCGCATATGGCCAATATTAGTGTGCGGCAGTTGGCGTATACGCAGTCCAAGTCGAAGTTGTTGGGACGGGGGAGACGACAGAAGGGGCGGCAGGAGGAACATCGGACTCAGTCTGTGGAGACTTAATGTCGATTCAATGGATGGCGTGGATGGAGTTGTATGATACCTTTTGCTTTGGTTTGGATAGCGGCTATGTTTATAATTGTGTTTGAGCACAGTACAGACCTGGAATAATCTACCTGCATATATCGCTTGTATCAATCCAGGCATTGTTACTACGGACTTTATACTCTGGGTCCATGTTCCGTGATAGTACGATGCAAGGAAAGTCAGTGACCTGTCTAACCCTAACTACATCAAGCAATAACCCATTCGACGCTTTAATTAAGCACCATCTATTCAACAAATATGTACAGTTGAACCAATCTATCATTTACTTATTACGACTCCTTCCTGCTATCTCGTTACTTCCCCCCTAGCCGATCATGCCGGAACACGACCAACGTCGGCCAGATCTGCAACGCTACAGCGCCCAACATCAAACAGCCAGCAAAGATTTGGGCACGCAAGAACCCCGCATGAGCCATATCCACGAGCGCCCCCGCGATGGGCGTCCCCGCCAGCCCTCCAAACGAGCTGATCCCCCACATCATGCCGAGCCTAGTACCCAGGAAGTTAGCGTCAGGGCAGAAAGCCGGATGGGCGACGATGGAGGTGGGCCCCGTGACGAGCACGCCGCTGAGGAAACCCCAGTAGCAGGCCCAGACGATGAAGCCGGCGGTGTCGGTGGCGGCAATCCAGGTGAACATGGCGAGGGCGGAGCCGGCCGTGGCGGCCGTGAGGATGGCGATAGGCTTGACGTGGGGGATGACGAGTGTTACGAGGTAGGGCACCGTGCGGCCGAAGGCGGACGCGCCGTTGATGATGGCGACCATGTAGAAGGAGAGGCTCTGGTCGGTGTGCAGGCGGGTGCGGGCGTAGGCGGGGGAGTAGAACATGGGCACGTAGTAGGCCATCATGACGCAGGTGAGGGAGAGGGAGAGGAGCATGAAGGGCGGTTCAGTGAGAGCCTTGCGCTCGATGAGGCTGCGGGCGCGGGTGCGTCGGCCGGGACGGCGGCATAGGATGGAGACGGTGACGCAGGCGAGGAAGAGGTTGATGAAGCCGATAATGCGGACGGACCAGCCGAATCCGATCTGGGGTTGCAGACGCCGGAACAAAATGGGGAAGATGACGCTGCCGACGCTAGACCCGATGGCGGCGACGCCGATGGCGATGGGCCGTTTGGTGGTGAAGTACGAGGAGATGACGACTAGGGCGGGGATGTAGGCGATGCCGCCGCCCATGCCGACGCAGAAGCCCTGCGCTAGGAGGACCTGGTAGAATTGCGAGGCCAGACTGGTCATCATCATGCCGAAGACGACCATCAGGTTACCGCCGATGATCAGTGGCCGGAGGTATCCCGCATCGACGAGAGGGCCGGTCACGACGCCGACCATGACGATCATGGTGGCCTGGATGCTGCCAACCCAGGAGATGTTGGAGGGTGATTGATCGGGCATCAACGTCGTCTGGTAGTATTCTTGGAAAGCGCCATATGTGCTCAACAGGCCCCTACACTGCGGATTAGTATGGTGACACTATCACGGTCCACGCCAATGATTGACGTACCAGGAATTGACAAAGACACAGAATCCCGCCAGCACACTGAGCCAGCCATCGCGTCCACCGTCTGGGATAGGCAGCGCCGGCGCGGTCTCCCCCTTTTCCTGCGATACATCTTCAGGTCGAGACGCGACGTAAGACTTCTCATTTGGAGTTCCCATCTTCCAACCAAGACGTTCGATCTACGATCACCACACGGAGAAGTCGCCGAGAGGTCGTTCGCTTTTTGTATGATGGACGGAAATTTCTGGGCGCCAACCCTGAACGTCCCCACTGTGGATCATGGCGTGGTGGATTTCCCACGGGGTTTGTTTCTATTAGTCACGGTGGTGGATTCGGTTGGCTAGACGGCATTTGATACCCGGGGTTTACCGAGCACGTCAGGCCACTAGATGGTTAGACATATCTGGGAGTCGGTGTGCTGGGGTATGAGAAAGAAGGGTGATTGGAGGATCATGTCCGGTCCCTGGTCGTTTCACATGGTTGTCTGGGGTTGAAGCCCAACCGGCTTGTATCTCCGAGCTCGATGCCCTAACCGGCGGATGCGTTCCGAAACGGATAGCGATGTGTCCATTAGAAGATTGCCAAAAGCAACCTTCAAGGAAGACATGACAATTCCAACGTCTATTACGCCAACCATGTTGACTCAGTACAACATCATGTGTACAAATACCAAGGTTGCCACCTCGCACTCGGCATACAGGACAACGTCTAGTCAATCTTGACTAGCAACGGATGGTCAACAAGTCTTCCCATTCCGTGTATCTTCAGGTTCGACCCCAGCCAAGCGCCGGGGAAGTCTGGCAGTGGTGTCCGCAACTTCCACCAGGGTCAACAGCTGACCGAGACAAGGGATATATCCCTATCCTGATTGCAAGCCTTCCCATTCTCTTGCACGGACTCTTTGTCATCGACACTGGGGATGCTCCAGGTGTATGTGCCCTAAGAGATTCATTGGACTTTTGTCACAAAAATCAAATCTCCTGTCTGGACTGCCTCTGGTAGGCATGAATGCATGTTCAAATGCCCGCCCGATGTCATGCGGAGACGACGGGTACCACTGCAGGGCTATAATAAGCTGTCCTGTGAACAACGCGTAAGAAAGCATGAAATGGCTCATCGGGGAGGTAATTGGGAATTTTTAGAATAAAGGTGACATACTTCCATTAACCACCCATGATTCTCGGTTTAACCATCTCTCATGTGTATAGTCAGTCGTTCCCGTCCCAGCGCAAATATCCCCCGACACACTTTCTCTCACGCATTTGGGCAACAAACAACGATATAAATCCGGGTACTGGAAAAGGAAGAATTCGCATCACCCGCCGCAATAAGCACGCCTATACATTGGTGGGAACTGAAGTCTCGTCAGTCCTATACAGCAGAACTCGTTCTACTAATGATTAGAATTTGTGGATGAAATAGTCCCGAAGTTCTGAGGGTGCACCCTATATATCGTTCTTTACAATCAAGGCGGACTACTCTGTAGAGCAGATGTCTATTGCGGCGGATTAGCTCACCGTAGTCTAGACATGGCGGTGTGTCCAGGGCTGCATACGACTTCGGGAAGCAATCAATCCCGCAGATCGGATGCTTGGTGCATCCTTCCGTGGGTGGTCGGTCACGCCATGGTCTAGCAAGTGGGTATATTGCTGATGACTGTCCCCACACCTGTCTGTGGTTATAGAGCCCTAGAGTGCTATCCTATATCAGTGGTAATTTCAATCTGGTTAGGCATCAAGTTGCAGTATTAACAAGTGGAAACAGCGTAGCTATACAGTGGTCTATCATAGCAAACACCTTGATATTCCACGGGTCAACACCCACAATCTCTCAGTGAAGACACCTAGTGCCTATGAAGCATCAATGACCAATATTTTTTGGTTTAAGAAAACGACAAATCACCCCTTCTGTCAAGCTAGTTAAATACCCTAAGTGCGGTGACTACTTCGTATTGTGAATCTGTATAACTTGAGGATAAACAAGTATGATTATAACGCTCGCCAGATTCCCAGGTCACCAGGTGATAAATTACCTGTAGCTATCACGTTAATTATAGTAATATGTATACATCATTATACCTTTTTTAGTACGTTTATAAAGTCTCATAATCAATATAGTATGTACCAGTAATTTATCACCTAGCAACCTCGCGAGGTCAACCTGGCAACCTGGCAACCCGGCAACCCCTCGAGAACTCCCCATCATGTTCCAATAAGGCTGACCTGTAATGATTATGACCCTGGTATATGACACAGCAAGTGGAGCCTTCTGAAAATGTGATATCCCCAGCACACCGCCTATAAAAACTAGTAACCGATAGATCAGGGAGGATGACCATCAGAACTAAGAGATTTTTCCTTTTTGCGCAGAGAACGTGGATGCGATACCTTATCAGCACAGGCAGATAAGGCTACGGCTCAGGTCTTGCAACATCATATCGGAGAGCAGGTATTAGAGGCGGAAAAGAGGTAAAGGATAAAAGCCAGGGGACGAGAAACACGAGCTGAACAAAAAGATCATGTCAACAGTCAGGCTATACATATCAGGCTACACATGATTTGTAACATTGCACTCAGAAATCACGAATGAAGATTATATCCCCCTTGCATCTCGTGTGCCCTACATGAGTCCCAAAGTAGTGACCAGGAGAATAGAAACTCTGTCACTCGCAATCGCTACTGTGATATATCACGTAGGGATACTGTCATGTAGGTATACCAGTCATATCAATTGCGGCCAAAGGCCAATTTGGTGATTTGCTATGCATAGATCAATCTAGTGGCTGGCTGCGTATCTGTCCTTGTGGGTTATCTCCAATGTCACACCGTCAATAAAAGCTGGATCTCTCTCGATGTTTTGTGTTTGTCCATCCAGGTAGTATTTTACTGAAGAAAACCCCGAAATTCATTGAAAGTCTCAAGGTAGAGTGTGGCAATATATAGGGTACAAATATACATCCTCCTTACCCAGTCAGCCCCTGCACGGTTTTTGTACGTCAAAGATATTCGTCCCTTCTGATTTCTGGTTCGTCTGAACTGACCAGTGAAGCTAGAGCTCGGAACACCAAAGATGGACGAGATACATCAGGTGTCTGGTTCCCCTCGCCGAATCTTGCTTTTCGCGCAGCCCAGAACGACCTCATATTTGTTGACTCAAATGCTCGGCCTCAGTAACCAACCGAGTGTCCATTGGAAATCATCTGAAGTTTCCGTCTTTGCACCAACTGCAGAGCTCTTGATTGGATTGGAAGATAAACCGGTGGAGCAGTGGACGGCTGCTGAAAAAGGCCGCATCAGGGGTGGCTTCCAGCAGGCTTTCGATGCTCTAGATCGGTACCTCCGTGACGGGGAGGCAAAAGGCAAGATTGTATTTGCAAAAGATCATTGCAACCTAATGTGGAACCCAGCTGCTGGGGATGGTGGACGCAGCACCGCACCCGGGGATCCTTACTTCACGGTTGGCCCACCCGATGAAGTAGTCAACGAGAAACAGACGATCCAGAACCCAACGGTTCTTCCAGACGGGTATCTGGGCTCTTGGGTGCCCGTCTTTCTGATCAGACACCCCGCTCTGGTGTTTCCCTCTTTCTGCCGAGGGGCGCTGGAGGTCGCCGTCCAAAGAAACTCCTGTCGCGACCGGATGAAGATAGGCAAGCACCTACGAGAGCAAATGACGTTCTCTTACACTCGGTGTCTGTACGATTGGTACACCAGCTATTTCCGCAAGATCGACGAAGAAGGCCGCGCAAACACAAAAGGCCCTATCCTCCTGGATTCGTTTGACCTCATCAACGACTCCCGGCTGGTTGTTGTACTCGCGGAGGAGCTAGGGCTGGACCGGTCCAAGGTCCAATTCTCATGGGACTCGGACTCTTATCCATGTGCCGATAGAATGAAAAGGGTATTCCGTCGTACTCTCAACGCGTCTACTGGCGTTATCAAGGACAGGGCAATTGTTGATTCGAACATGGTTGTTCTAGAGCAAAAATGGAAGGAAGAGTTTGGAGACGAGCTGGGGGATGTGATATCGGATTGTGTCCGAGATGCAATGCCGGACTATGAGTATCTTAGAGACAAGAGGCTCCGTGTTGCCTGAACATGCGCGGGCAATTGGTTGGTTAACCCTCAAACGGGCGAATATACACAACAAAAATATCGAAAGTTAATGATATAGCTTGTATTTTGTGCCTCCGGGTTTAGCTAGAAGGCTAAGCAGTGTTCTGGGTTTGGTAATGGGCATGGTACCACATATAGACTGGGTTCCCTAATCAGACACCGCAAGCTAGGGCCTAGAAACCTCGGATATGTTGTTTTGCTGGTTTAGTGGTCGCCACCGCGGTTTTTGTTCATGACGGAGGATGCCGAGCCTGCTAAGTCCCGTAATAAAGACCCATCTTCTGTACATTGTCCATTCTAGATATCAATATCCCCATTGATGGCACACCTGAAGTATCTCAAGCGTGAGCGGTGATGATTTCGAACCGGATGCATGCATTCTGAATTCTTGGAACAATCACCCGCGTTATGGCCAGTAGCCGGCTGGAAATCGAATTTCCGCGGAAGATTGACATCTTGGTAGCTAATAAAAGTGAGAGAGGTATTGGTGGATATGGAGTCATCTTGTATTGAACCCTAATTAGGAACAACAGATCATCAAGTATACCAGTTGGTGGTTTTAGACCCGGCTGTAGGAATACCCCAGTCACAATCCACCGCTTCAGCGCAGCACGACGGGGTATCAATTTCGACCTTTCTAGACTCCGCTAGAATAGCTGACAAGAAATCCTCCAGAGATTGTGAGATTTTCTCTGCGACTTTACTCTCCAGCTCCCTATCAAGTAACTTCTCCAGGTCAGGACAACCGGCCACGTTGAGCACATGCGGTAAAGCCTTCTTGTCCGGCGCGACAAATTCAGTGCGAGACCTGAGGGCATCCCAGGTAGCCTGGGAGTAGTAAGCCGCCCATGACGCCGACTGCAACTGAAAAAGGCGATCAAATTCGGCAAAGGTTAACTGGGAGGCATTGATCGTTCGGCCAGACTCCAGAGGATCCAACGACAGCAGACAGGCACGGACCATGTGGATCCAGTAGCAGGCGTGTGTTTTGGAGTATGGTGGGATCCCGGCGCCTACGGCGCGCATACGGACAGTCGTGGTTTGTAGGGCTGACAGTGCTTGGGCGATAATGTTTGTTTCATCCGCAGAGGACTCACATATATACTGCATGACCGCAAACGCAAATCGCGGAAGGCGACCGGATCCTCCATGGACGAGCGGCAGACAAGCAGGTTGGTCCAGGGGTGGTGCTAGAGCTGGCAGCGGTTGACGGGAGGGAGACACCCATTTATTCCACGCGCGGTTCCCGCCAAAGAGATCACTATCTGTATAGTACGATGTCCAGAGACGAGGGTCCTGTAGTGTAGGTTGATGGAATAGGATGTCGCTAAAGTCGTGCCAACATGGATAACTATCCAGGTTGTTGTGGAGACTGTAGTCTATGATTGCTACTTGGAGCTGAACGAGCCAGAATATCGTCATGGTTCTATATGTCTTAGCATGGACCGGGATGAGTGACAACCATGGGCTTACCGGTGTTCCTTATATGGGAATTTCTGGGGCTGAATGTGCCTTAATACCCGAAGATGGGCAAGTAACGTATCCGCCATTGCAAACGTGTTTCTCTGGAATTTCATGTACTCTAACACAAGAATATAGGCCACTTTGAGATGGACGTGATGATCCCATGAAGGTATATCAGCACTCGTGAACAATGCCCAGAAAGCCGGAGCCTCGGGAGGATATACCGAACTTCCTCTTTGGATACGTCTCTCAAGGCAGGGACTGGAGATTGTGAGCCGTGGCGACGGAGAGCTAATCGATGTGGGATTCTTCCTCCTGGAAATTTCATCATAAATCTCATTGAGTATTTCCCGAGCGCCTTCGCCCGTTCTCGCGCTGATCTTGTGGTCGGCTATTCTCCACTGTATTTCCCGGCTATACCTCGCGAGTTCCTTCTCATAGAGCTTAGGCAGATTGATGGCAACGTCTCGGGCTTGGTCAGACGATAACAAATCTTGCTTGTTTGGGACAATATAGAGGAATTGGCAGCGTCTCTCGAGCATGAGCTCGACCCACAGATGAAGGTATGGGGTCCGATCATGGCTGCTATCCAACCGCGGGTCGCAATCATGGACGTAGATGACCACGTCGGTGTTCCTGAGATATTGTCGCAACTGCGGTTTGATAATATCCGATCCCACTGTCTTGTTAAATGGAGACCAACGGAATGGGAGTAAGGAGGAAACCAAGGCTGGGTCTTACATGTGACGTTCGACACGGTCCAGGAGCACTTCTGGGGGTACTCGAAGGTTTCCCTCTCGAAGGTGTCCACCTCAGACCCGAACATGATTCGGGGCTGACAGTCGATGAATTTTTCCATCTTTCCATTGGTGTAGTAGTGTGCTCTTTCCAGAGCGGCTCTCTCCAACCAGCATCACTCGGAGTTCGAGGGATTTGCAGGACCTGAAAAACCAATCCCTGTATCCCTGGGGATTCATCGCCATCCTGGTTTAATCTTATAATGGTACATGTAATGCTTGGATGTGACATACAACAGAAAGAGGTCTCCTGCGAAGAGTTCAAAGCAGAAAACGAGAAGAGATGTGAATAATATAAGTGACTGCCTGGCCTCAACCTTGACTCAGCCTCGTGTGATACTCACATGCAGCACAGGGTTCTCGCAGGCACTAGGTCTAAGCCTCTATCCAATCCATGTCAATAAATCTCCAGCTTATGTCGTCTTATTTATTTGAGAGTACTATAACGATCCATTTACTGTCAAGTGTGGCCTTGGAAGGACCTTGGCCGAATATCTCCAGATGTGCCCCGAACATCCTCGCCACTCTTCAACAACAAGTAAACACAAAAATAAGTTAGAAAAATGGAATAATTAAACCAATTGCACCAAAGGATCTGCCACTCAATTCACAAATGACAATTTCCCATCACGGTTGGTAATACGTTCGTCAAGCCTCACCCAGGCCTGCTTCCAACCGCCCCTGCCATCCGACAACTCCGCCTCCAACACCCTCCCACCATCGCCCAAGCGCACATGGCGAGCACTCGACGAGAAATTACCCTGCCGATGCCACGTAAACTCACCCCAGGTATTCGACAAGACACTATCCAGCGAAATGCGCGACCTACGAGTGGCACCAGACAAAGCGCGACAAGACGCCGACAGCATAACACCGTCAAGGGCGACATCCGACGCCGACGCCGAGAAGTTCCCCTTGAGGGGATGCGACTGAGCATGCATCCGCTTGCGCTGCTCCTCCGCCTGCATCCTCTCCCAGTGCAGCCTGTCCTGCTCTTCTTTTTCCTTTCGCCGTCTCTCCTCCTCTTCCTCCTTGTGCTTCTTCTCCCGCTGCTTTTTGATCGCGTCTTCGGCCACGGATCCCGTTAGGGCGCCGCCGATAGTGCCCAGAATGCCGTGGTTGACTTGGTGACCGGCCCAAGCGCCGCCTGCGCCACCAGCGACGGCCCCCATGAAACCTCGTTCGTCGTCTTGGGGGTTCTGCGAGGCGGAGGTGGGACGGGGCGGGTAGCCATCTTGGTTGTTATTGTTGTTGTTGTTGTTGTTGTTGTTACCCTGGTAGGAAGAGGGGTAAGACTGGGGTGGTGGCCCCTGTTGATTGTGCTGGTTCTGGTAAGGGCTTCCCGGAGGAGGGGAACCACCGTAGTAGCGCGGGGGAGATGGCTGTTGCTGGTTGTGGAACGGGCGTGGGGTGGACTCCCAAGATTGTCCGCCCGGGGGTGGCTGCTGTTGGTAGGGGCTGTTGGATCGGCCCGGCGGGTAGTTGTTGTAGCCCTCGGCGTAGGGCGGGTAGGATTGTCCAGGTGGCGGACTACCCTGGTTCCCTGGGTGCGGGGTTCCCCAACCTGACTGGGGTGGGTAGTCGTTGGGTCGGGGGGAGGGATTGGCGGGGTAGCCTGTCGGGCGACCGCCGGGACCGGGGTTGGAGGGGGGCTCGGTGGGGTTGCCGTAGTAGCTTTGGGCGGCCATGTTGATATGCTATAGATTGTGAAAAAGGTAGATCTCGCCAGGGAGGATATATGTGGAATTTTGACTAGTTTTTCTGCGATTCTCTACGGGACAACAGAAAGCTCAATGGTGAACAGATGCAGATATATAGATGCCTGCGGCGAGGATGGTGGGATGCCAGCCCTATTCCGATCGAAGCCCGGCTGCCCAAGCTCCTGTGTGACTGTCCGAGATATGTGGCTGTCCTGCTTGATTACCGATTTCATGCAACTTCATGCAGCTGCGCAGTGAGATGATATAGGTGGTGGCTATTCCATTGTTTTGATATTGTATAATTCTGTTTACTTTGCACAGGTGTTGTGATAAGTCGATTATGACCATCCTATTAAGTATGCTACTTTGTCGATGCACTGCTTAGTACTACTATAGACCACTAATGTTGCTATCCACAGCGACGAAAATACATCGTCCATCTGGAAACCCTCAATCTACCGATCACCTCCCAATGAAGCATGCACATGCAGTGACACATGGCCACATTCCCGCCAGTCATGACACTTCCTGCATTCCCTGATCCTGCCCAGTGGGCTCTGCCCAATGTAAACCTTATATCATATATATGGCAGAGAATAATCTGATGCATCTGATTGTGGACGCGCTTTCCTTTTCCGACGCAAGGATATATCCGATCAGTGGATGTCCCAACGGTCGGTGAGGGTCAGAGTTCACAAAGTTACGCGGTCTTGGTATTCTCGCTCGACTCGTAATAATCTGCATCATGACGTCGTCCCTCTCACAATCGTCATACAGCAGCCTGATCAGCAACGCTCGTCCTACTCGCTTGATTCATTCTATGTGTCTCCCCAAAAAGAAGAATAAAATCAATATAAATAGCATTTTATGCATCAAAGCATTAAGCCGGTAAATATCTCACGATGTTATACCCGCCAATACGCCCATGATATGCAACCAATCAATCTAAAATAAACAGAACAACAATCTATACGGTCTCACTGACTAGCCCGCACGCTCCTATACCAGGGTTTAGATGAAAAGGCTGATCAAGAGGCCAGCAGCACCAGCCATCAAGGCAGGACGAGTCACAGCCGCCCCGTTGGTTGAGGGGACCTCGCTGTTGTCATCTATGGTGCTAGGGAGATCGCCGTTCCCGAACGGCTTGTAGCCGCCGCTGATGCTTGATTTCTGTTTGGTGGAGCCCGGGACGCACTTGGAGTCGTCGGTGAACGCTGCCCAGGTGGCGGTCCACATGGCCGCGGGGTCCAGCAGCGTCTTGGGGGTGAAGAAGAGACGGCAGTCGGCGGCCTCGTAGATAAACTGCAGGGGAGTCTGGGAGGAGTCGCCCTTGCGGATCTGATCTTGGATCTGGACACTGGACCTGTCGTCGCCGACGCGGGTCATCAACGGCTGCGGCCAGAGATACGGCTTCAGGTCATCGTAACCGGCGATCCCGAGCTCCTTGGTGGCATTGTACATGCCGCCCGCCTCGAGGACAATCCGATTGAGTTCCATCGGGGAGCCCCCTTTGGTGCCACCGAGGGCCTGCATGGGGCCGTCGCGCGGACGACCGCCAACGACGACGGACTTAACCCCCGCGATGTTCTTCAGCTCCTCGTGTAAAGAGGCGCACGACGAGCCGCAGAGGCCATCCAGTAGCATGACCGTCTGATCCGCGGTGAAAGGGGACGAGCGGGCGGGTCCCTTCAAGAAGGCGAAGTCTTCTTCGAGGACGCTTTCTTTGTTGCTATTCGATAGCTTCGTGGCCTGTTAGCTGATGGTGCTGGTTTGGCTTTTTCCCGTCTTTCCGGGTGATAAGATGCCGGCGGAACACTTACATTGTAGCGGCTAGCGGCCGTGAACTGGTCGTCGTTGAAGGCGTGCGGTCCCACCCAAGCGTCCCAGCTATCGAACGGCTCGTTATTCAGATCCAAGAAGTTATCGTACTGCCAGTCGTAAAGACTCATTTCTGCTATTGATCAGCCTCTTGCTCATTTACTCATACATTGACTACCCTGGATTCTGGGAGCGGTGGCATGCACTTACCGCGATCTGCAGGACTCCCGAACTGATCGGATGCCGTCTCGTTATTCCGAATTTCTTCGTAGGCCTCGCCGACTAAAGTGTAGCCCTTCTGTGCGCGATAGCGCTGCGCGCTGAAAGGTGTCAGGGTTGGGAACAGTTGCATGAAGGTATCGAGGAGGAGCTCGACAGAACCGCCGCCGTTCTCGCGCAAATCCAGGACTAGCTTCTTGACGTCCTGCTTTTTGGCGGCAACCACGAACTTTTTTACCACGTCTTGGAATTCTTTGTGGGCGGTATCATCTTCTGGTTCAAAGCTCACAATCTTTAACACACCCAGCGCCTCCCCGTTGGGGTTGTCGACGATATAACCCGCCACGACGCCTTCGCAGTCCTTGGCCAAAGCCTCTGGGTAACCGTCCTCGGGGATTCCTTGTGTGCGCGACATGCACTCGCTCGGCAGGTCCCTCCTATTCTCGGGAGACTTGGGACTGTAGCCGCCGAGCACGCCGCGGCAGTACTTGTCGAACAACGACTGGCCGCTCGTGACGCCCTCGAACTCCCTCATCCCTATGTCGACGGTGTTCTCGAAGGACTTCCTGGTGCCGTTTTCAAATAAGAACACGGTCTCGGGGCCGTCATACCGGCCCCTGAAGCTCATAGGGCTGTAGGAGAAAGCCCCCGCAGACTCCAGCTTGCCAGAGCCCCGGTACATTAGGCTGTTGTAACGGGCATCTGCATTAGAATACTGCTCCCATGAGGCAAGGTCCGCCAGGTACTTCTGGGGGTCTTGTCCATTAATCTTGGTAACTGGGGAGATGGAGATGTTCTTGTGATCATTCTGGACGAGCAGGTCGCCGGCGACGTAGGTCTTTGGGTCGGTCTTGCCGTCCGGGGACACGGTGGCGAGTTGGACTGTGCGCCGAAAACCGAAGATCTTGAGGATGCCCGGGGAGTGGTTGAGATGGTAGTTGCCAGTATCCACGGTGAGCTTCTGTATGGCGAGATGGAGGTGATATTCGCTCTCAAAGGAGTCGAGGTCCTGCTGGATCTTATCCAGCTCGCCGATGAGATCTAGCGGGCCGCGGTCCCATGTCGAAGGGGGGTTCTTTAGCCACCCCGTCTCCGAGTGCCACTCCCACATCATCTTGAGTTGGTCGATGAGGATCTTATTCTCCTCGACGGCTACCGGCACCGAGCTAAGACACTGGTAGGCCAGCTTTGGGGGGACATCGTTACCATCACCCACGATCTTCGCGACCTTGGCACAGGCGTTTGCGTTGGGTGATGCAGAAGCGGATGGGGTAGCAGAGCTAGAGACTGTGTAACTGGGGGCAAATATGGCAGATGAGCTCCGGGCCGCAGCCAGAGCCGCAAATGCCAGAGTGCCTCCAATGAGACGCATGGTCGAACACGAAGGATGGAGTAGACCGAATGATTTTGATGATAGAAAGAATGCCCTCTACCGAGTGGTGCGGACGCTTGCCTTTATGTTCCACCGAAAATAAGCACATCGGCTCATTATCTTGACCTCACAGCCCCGGTTGAGGCTCGGACTGCTCGAGAGGCCAACTGTGAGGGCTGAGCAACCCTTTGCCAAGTCGCTTATGGAAGGTTGAGGCTCCCCAGCGCCTGTGGATTCGTTCATTGTCTACTGGTAACGGCAAGTCAATTACGGAAGAGCGAATCAAGACCCGTTGAGCCAGAAAAGACGGCTATTAAAAGCATGCCAAGGATCTCGCGGAGTGAGAAAACACTCTGGTTAGCCTTCAGGGGGTGTGTTGGCATTTTCCTTGACGTTCTTAGGGCGCCAGGCTGTGGGAGAATGACCCGCGAGGATGGTATGGGCTTGGGTCTAGTATCGAGTATCGACAGTCACTCTGCCCAATCTAGAAACGCTAAGTCCCACACAGCCTGCTTGACGGGCCTTTATTTTGATGGTGGCTGATTCGATCAGTACCGCGACCCACCATGGCAGCCTTGTGGTGGGCTGGTGCTGATCAATGCCTGACTTAGTGTAGGTCTCACAGCTGTGCTTTTCCATTGATAATGGCAGCCATCACGGTCAGGTTGAGAGTGATATTTTCAATTGTTGTCTGCTGCCGGCTGCTGCATCCAAAGGAAGATTCCCTCATGAGGCTCGTCGCCAAGCTGCAGCCCCGCGAAGGGGCCTCTACGAGTAGCGCCTGTTCGTGACTGTCCATGTAACGGATTGGTGTCTGAAGGGAGGGTGATCTGCCCAAATCATGGAATAGTACCATCCGCAAATACGTGTCAACCAAGCGGGCACGATATTGATGGTACTGTTCTCAGCTTGGACACCCCTCCGGGCGTCTCCTTAGTCGAGCGTTGGTGCATAATTGTATGATCATCGATGCGGAGGTTGATCCTAGTAGTCGCAATTAGCCAATTGTTATCGGAGATAATTTGTACGGCTAGTTGAGGTAATGGAAGACATACAATTCATGATGGTGAGATGTGGAGGAAGTCAAGATTGCAGACGGTGAAATGTTGCCGAACAGTCAGGTGACAGACATAAGATTAGTTCTTTAGTTGTTACTCCACGTTTCTACTACAGTATCTATAAATCCAGCATTCAAGTACGGAACATATTCAATATTCAGTATGCCGCTGCCAGTTTGGGTGGATATGATTGTGGTCGGTATCATATCTCCGTTCCCATGTTTTGGCCATGGTCTATGACAGGCGATTTCTCTGACAGCATTTGGCTAATCCAATGCAATAGAGCAAAACGCATGATGAGGTGCGACGGATCCAAACCGGTCCAATGGTCCTGGCTCCGCATTTCAATAGATAGATTATTTCGCACTTCGTCCACTATCATTAGAAGATAGCCTTCTGCCGGATGGACGTCAAACCATGACCGTCTCCACTAGATCCTTCAGTTTGGCATAAAGCCGTCCCGATCGATGATGAGTCTCAGCAGCTTCATCACTGGTCGAGATACAAAGTACACAAATTCCCAGCTGTGTAGCCCGTGGCCGTGATGCTGTCTTTCGTATCGACATCTCCTTTTAGCTGATGTTGCCCCGTCTACCGTCATGGTTCTTCCGACCGTTGGGGAAGACACAGTCTGCTCATTGTCAGTGTGTTATGTTAGTTATGTCCGGGTCAATTATCTACAATTGACAGCTGCCTGATGAGGTCATCTAGCGAGATTGTGATTCTCGATGCGCGGGGCGCTAACGCTACGTGACTGTCCACTGTTAGACACGACGGGATGACTCGACTGGTATCTCTTCACTATCCATGCAGGATCAAGTCGACATTGTATCCTAGTATGGGAATATACCAGAGTTACTAACGTGCTCAACGGAGTTACAGCCATAACCAACACTCTTGCCATGACCCCACAAGCAAAGCAATATATAACAAGCACGCGCCAATATATATCAAAGACGACCACCCTCCTTGGTCAAATAGAAATAATACGTCCCGAGTTCTCCCCCAACCTTCGTATCCATCGCGCCGGCAATCATCGTTGGCGTGACGAGTCGGAAATGATCGATGATCGGATGCAAGTCGTAGACCATGGCTGCGGAGACGACGCCTCTGAACTTCACCTCGCGTAGCTGTCAGACATTAGCATCGATCGATCAACTCAATATATACATCTGTATGTGTGTATCATCTCGGAAGGGAAGGAAAAATAAAGAAAAGGAAAATAATACCCTAGCATGCCCCCACCCCTCATCACAAACCCTCTCCCCATCCCTCGCAACAACAATAGGATCTACATCTTCCGTCGAGTGAAACGTTTTGCCCAACCAATTCATCGATCGTAGACGCTTATGGATCGGATGGCCCGTGTCGAAGCTGCCGCCGTTCCATGGGCCGCGGAGCACATCGAGTGGAACGGGGGGGAGTCGGTTGAAGATGTCTTCCAGTTCGTGGGGGTTGATCTTTCCGGGCTGTTGGGTGAGGGTGAGGAATTGTTGGGGAGCGGACCTTTTGTTTATTAGTGTTGACTTTGTTATTATTGCTGTGCTTGTGGTTTGGGTGTGGGGGGTAAGTGTGCGTACATTCTGTTTTGGGGTGTGGTGGAGAGGTGTTGTGTTGAGATGCGGAGAAGCGGGGAAGGCAGGTTATGTATATCTGGGGAAGGGCTTATATTTCTCTTAAGTCTCTTAAGTCTCTAATCAGCCCGCAGTAAATCATGAAGGGGTGCGATTATTGAAAGAACTCAATGGTACTAACTCTGGGAAATGTGGGAAATAATATCAAGAAGTAGAAATATCTGTAAAACTTGCAATGGGAGACTGCATCATCAGCTGCATGTGCAGTACTAGTAGCTATCCTCGGTCCGTCGGATCGGCTACGTCCATACTCTATCGGGCTTTGATTAGTTTCTGCGTGATGTGCAGGTAACCCTTTAAAAAACACAAGTCACAATTTAGAGAGCTATAGTACTGCATGGTAACAGGGCGAACGGGATAATTATTGCCTATATAACGCATAAGATTGATTATACTGCGCGAACCAGCGACACCCATATAGAACAGACAACTGTAATAATATCTCAAGTACGCCAGCGGAACCCAGGATGCTTCCAGTCGAGGTCCTGAATCTGCCGCTGCGTCATTCCCGCAAGCGCCTGGTCGACGTCGATACCCTCGCGACGGCGATTGTCCCAGCGCATCCACATCCAGAGCATCGCACCGAGGATGGTGGTCGCGGTGGAGGTAGCCAGGTTGAGACCGTTGCCGATGACAAAGTCCGGGCCGTCGAAGGGCAGGAAGGACCAGGTGGAGATGAGGCCGCCGATGTTGCCGAGCATGACGTTTGTGCCGATGGCGGAGGAGCGAGCGGTGTCGGAGACGACGTTGTTGGAGGCGTTGCCATTTGTTAGGGATCCGAAGGCGAACGCGCCGCTGGCGCAAAGGAAGGTCGCGCCGTAGCGGACCATGGCGTCGTGGCTGGTGAGGAACATGATGTATCCGATCATGACCAGGGGCGGGCTGAGGACGAACCAGGGCATGCGACGGTCGAAGACCCAGCTGAGGAGGGGGAAGAGGAGGGCGAAGAAGGCGCCGACGACGTAAGGGGGTACAGTGTGGAGCTGCTTGCTCACGACGCTGGCCTCGGGATAAATGGTTCCGACGATGGTGGGGGCAAAGAACGCGAGGCCTTGCACGGTGATGTTGTTGAGGAGGAAGATGAAGCCTGTGGTGAGGGTGACGGGGCACATAATGCCACGGAGGGTCTTGGCCAGGTCGATTTTATCGAGGAGTTCGGTGGTGGAGACGCGTTCGGATTTAATGCGTGCGATGGCCAGGTCCTAGATCGTTAGAAATCATCTGGTAGATTGGATGTGTTTGGGGATGGTACCTTTTCTTCCTGGTTCAGCCAGCGCGCGGTTTCAGGACGGTCGGTCAAGGTCAAAAATCCGATGAGCCCGAGGCCGATAGTAATAATGCCCTCGATGGCGAAGATCATCCGCCAGGATTTAAGGGTGCCAAAATGATCGAGCGAGAGGATGGCGGACGCAAGAAGACCCCCAAACTACTGCAATTAGGCGGGACGATCTGTAAAGCCAGGGGCGGGGGAAACGCACTGCACCGGCCAGCGGAGCCATGACCATAAACAGCGCCATGCGAAACGTCAATTCGCTGCGACGATACCAGCGCGACATATAATAGGCAATCCCCGGCATCACACCCGCCTCGAAAATGCCCAGCACGAAGCGCACGCCCGATGCGCTTTGTTTATCATTGACAAAGGCTGTTCCCACCGAGCAGATTCCAAACGCCAGGGTCGTGGCCGGGAGGAACCAGCCCGGGCCCATCCACTTGCAGGTCATGGTGGCGGGGATTTCGAAGACAATGTAAGCAATGTAGAAGATGCTCAGGACGGCATTGTAGTCGTAGTTCTCCATGTGGAGGTCTTTCTCGAAACCGGCGAGCTTCGCGTTGCCTAGGCGGACGGGTGTTAGCTTCCCTCACAAGGCCAGTAGTACCTGCGCGGGAGTCAGATCATACCAATGTTGGCCCTGTCAATAAAGCAGAAGAGGTAGAGAAGGGATACGGTCGGCACGGTGTAGAGATCGATCTTCCAGCGCAGACGTCGCTCCGCCGCGCGATCGAACTCCACCAGCGAACGACCGTGCAGATCCGTAGCAGCATGACCCTGTCCAGCAGCTTCGTGAGCAGCTCCGGGCGCAAGGAACTCCTTGTGATTAGAGAGGCCTTTGTCGTCGGCCATCGCGGTGGTGCACCTCGAGGTGAGCGCGAATGTCAACGTGGGATGTGGACGGGACAGAAACGAGGTGGATCCAGGAGAGAGATAAAGGAAAGCGACCTGTCCGGGTAATATCACGTCTTTATGCCCTACTCAGCACGAGCGTCGACTTGTCATCTCACGGCAGCTGCGGATTGACTGGCAAGGGTGGAGATAGTGGAGAGCGGACTAGGTTCCCCTAGGCGTTTTAGAGCTCCGGAATCCTGATAGACACGACAAGGTTCGCCCAATTCCACCAACCACACGACCCTTGCTCCTTGGTCTGCTGTTGGCTCGCTCTTACAGGGGTGCGCCATCTTGGCTCCTCGTCACATCCTGCGATTGGCGCAGTGCTCCCTAGCTGAGCTGCCAAGTTTCGTGGGTTATACAGAGCGGTTGGGGGTGCGAGTGGGAATAGAAACACTGCAGGAGATGGCACACGGATACTACTCCCTTTCACTCACGATGGGATAGTCAACCACTTCGGAAAGAGGTGAAACCCACGAAAAGACAAGCGGCTTGGCTGTTCATGTCGGGCTAGTCGCCTGTCTTCCCCGCATTCTAGGGTTTAGCGCCTGTCGAGATGGGCGAAGAGATGACCAGCTGGGCAGGACCCCAACTTGCGCCTCCAGAGATTTACCCTTTTCATCCATCCCAGGTTCCCTTTCCGTGGCCAATAAGACACAGACGGGTGAAAGTCTATTCATACCCAATTGCCGACCACTTGCCGATACTCGTTGATGGTCATGATCTTCTGTGGGAGAAGCCAGCGCCCCATCCTATTTAACCTGCCGTTGGCGCCCGGTCAATCATCAATCATAAAGGAGATAAACCTAATAGTATACATAGAGAGATGGTAAAAATAGAAAGTGGGACAAGTTCGAAGGAATGACAGGAGAAAGCACGAACCATCATGTCAATAGTAGAGTCGTCTCCATTCACATCAATATTTAATGACACTACCTGCCCTATGACGGGGAACCCCCCCACCGGAGCAAAGTGCAGGCAAGCCACAGTGTGTCAGCAATGACTGGACACTGTGAGCCGAGGATGCAGCTCAATTTATCCGGCTCATCAGGCACTGAGAGAATGTACATCTGCCGATGTGGGGATTGTGGGCGTTGTCTTCTGGCTTCAGGTACTTTCGTGGTTGGAATATGCTGTCAGTGGGCAATCACAGTGTTGAGATTATTGTTGTTTGATGATTTATCTCGCTGGGATGACGCGTCATACTTCGTATGTGGGAGAGTTGATGAAAACGGTTACAATCGTGATGATACTGATGATTCTTGATTCTTGAAGCGATGAAAAGCAGATATCAAGAAACAAGAAGAGTCTGAAAATGACATATAGGAGAACAACACCCAGGTCAGCTGATGCTGTCTGATTATATATATTGTGGCCGGGAAAGAAAGGCTACAGTGCGACCGGAATATGTAGATATATGTATCCTTCGTTGAGAACCGTACAGCCAACAGCGTGGTGATATCACATTACACCAACTTTATATGCCCTCAACTGTTATGACTAGTTTAATGAGTTGAAGCAAACTATATGTTGAGGCTATAAACTCTACCCCTCTCCAAGTCACCTTCACAAACCGATAACAAGCAGTGACCACAGCACTAGCCGGGCGCCGCAAGCGTACAGTAGAAGCAACCTGAAACATAGTAGAAACATGACCTGCATATAGAGTACATGCAGGCAATGTCGCCAACTTAGCGTATATAGTGTTCCCTTCCCTCTCATTTACTTAGTCTGCATTTGTGACAGAAATACATCGTCAATGATAGGAGCTCGCCTGGTTGATAGCGCGCCGGGCAGCCTGTTCGTGGTACTTTCATGTCCGAGGTATTGTTTCATCTGCGACGATCAGCTACAAGGGAGTTATCGTGTGTATCTTGGTTATGACTGGAGCGATATCAGAAACCATATCGAGAATGAGACCCTACGAACGTTTACCATGTCAGATTACAACAGGAGGATGGATATGTGCGTTATACGATTGGAAGCAACTATTACAGGTAGTCTTGATAGCGAATAACAGGAACGATCAATCCGACGGACGGATTCTCGGTCTCGGCTGCGGCCGGGAACGGCTTCACATGCCGACGGTTAGCGAGGCATGCAATCTGGCGTGGGTTGCAATGTCGATCACCTATCTTAATCGACCATCTGAATCTCCACAGAAGGGTATCAGCATGTCAGATCAGATAACTAATATGTCTACGGAGTGCAACTATCCGTGATACCATGGAGACCCCTCGATCGACAAAGTCCCGCAAAACCCCGGAAGACCGGGCGCGGAAGCGAGAGCAAGACAGAAAAGCCCAGCGCAGTGCGCGGGAAAAGAACAAAACATTGATTGCTCAGCTGCAATCGCGCATCGAGACCCTGACTCGGTTCCACGATAGTGGTAGTACGAAGGTCCTCATCGACGAGTTGGAGCACCAGAGGAAGTCGAATGAGTCGCTTAGATCGACGCTGCGGTCGCTCCAGGGGCTCATCGTTGCTGGCTTATCCAATCATGGTGGGAGTCCCGTCGTTGGATATGTTACAGTGCTAATGGTTGGAAGATCCTGCCGTGGATGCTCATGGTCCCAGATCGAGACAGAGTCCCGCGCGCGAGGCGGACTCGAGCTTGGATGAAAGCTCGAGGCCCGCTCGGAGCAGCCGCGAGCTCTCTCCAAACATGGAGCAATCGGATGACAGAACATATGACTCGTCCACTACTGCGATAGACCCCGGCCAGAATGTGGCCCAGGGGAAGATGCCATGCCAAGACTCAAACTCACCTGTCCGCCCCTCCAGCGTACACCCCCCATCGGACCCATTTGGCCAATCGCAGGACGCCCAGGGCCGACTGTTCGTGTACTTGAACGAGCTGGTGGAGCGTTGCTACGCCATTAGCCCACGTGTGACCCCAGACCAAACCACCAGAGACGCCGACATCCCGATTCGAGCAATCGTCGAGGGATGGGATGCCGTCGGCCGTCGATATGCGTTGGACCCGGTGTGGGGAATGCTGCGTGCAGCGGACGAGTCCATTTGGCGCAAGCTTTGCGGGGAAGCCGAACGACTGGCCATTCTGCGCGTTGTCAGCGCCATGTTCCGGGTAGGCATCACCACCCTCTGTGATTACTGGCTGACCAGTATCGTTCAGTACCGATCCGACCCATCTGAAGCCAACCTCCAGGCACTTCCCCGGTTCATGCGCCATCGGCCATCGCAGCTGCGGATTGTTCACAAACCGTTGGTGGACTTTGTTGTTTGGTAAGTTCTTAGAGTCTGTGTACTCCTGAGAGTATACCGCTCATTACCAAGGCCGGGCCTGCGCGAGCGCCTCGTCCTATTCCCCGACCAGCACTGCTCGGACAACTTCTGCGCCTTGTTCTGGAGCTGTTTCCGGTTCAACTGGCCGTACCAGGCCCGTCATACATTCGCGCGGCAGTCCCAGCCAGGGTTGTACACATTCCCCGAGTCGTTCAACGAGTGCTTTTATGACCTGCAGTCCTGGTGCATGACCCCTCGCTTCTTCCACGCATTCCCAGATATCGAGGCCGACGTGCCAATAGCATCGGTGGGGACTCGCGGGGACCTCTCCACCAAAGATAACGATATGGCCGTTGGTCGCGTGGGTCCGGCTGACAGGTGGGTTCCACAAGCTGCCGTGTCACCCTCGAGTGTGGCAGTGGAATTCCCGTCGGTGGATTGGCAGATGGATAGAATGGCGGTCGGTGGTGGTAGCCAGTAGTCGATAGACGAAATGCATAGAGTCGATAAATGGAAGTTTCCGTCCTTCCATCAACCTTGCTGACCCTCACATGGTAGTGCTGACAGTAGTTCTGCCCAGTAGATCTGCCCATGGGACTCGGGGGTGGACCTTTCCACCGGCCGGGGGTATCGGGTGGAGCCAAACCACCGCGTCTCCACCTGTTCGATTCGGGGGAAGGTTCCGCATGGACCTTCCATCACTGCCTCAATGCCTACCTGTCCCGTCCGAGGCAGACCAGCGTTCGGGCCAAGCCTTTTGACCGGACGGCTTGCAGGCATCGGATGTATTCCATCCAGCCGACACATTCCACGCGGAGATGGAGAAAGTCAAAATACTCGGAAAAAGCCCGTCCCGATCCCGTGACCTGGGACGGCCGAGGCACGATGCCCGATCGGGTTAAGCGTGGTGCGGAGATTAAACGGACCGGCGGACGAATGAAAAGCCGCGGTGGCAGCCTGAGGTGTCCACCCAGGCGGGTAACCCTAAATCACTCACCGACCCTGACCGAGAAGGCGCAGACTGGGGACTCTGGGGACACAATTCTCAACGCCCCGTGGGGTTGACCCAGTCCAGACTCCGTGCTAAATGATGACCGGAAGGATTGGGGAGGACTGTGTCTCCCACCACCGGTCCGTGTCCTGGGTCGAATCACTCTGTCTCAGCTGCAGCAGAAGATTCTACGCTGTCTCAGATGGGCCTTCAAACTGGCCACTATTCGCCGCCGGTGTCTTGGCAGTCGGACATCCCCTGTTCAAAATTTCTCACTGTGGCCAGGATGAATCCTTCGTGAGAATAGTGTTCCCCCCGTAGAGTTGGCCTGCAGAACTGTGACAGAGGAGATCATGTTGGCAGATCAGATGACGGGGGACTCGCCAGGTCTGAGTCTGATTCAGTTCCTGATCGTACATCCTCGGCAACCCGTGTAGAGATGGCGGACCGATAGACTCGAACATCAGGTTCGTGGACTGACTCGACGCTCGTCCATACGGGAGAAATACCACCTCGCCAGACAAGGAGACCGTCTGTCAGGTGTCCAATGTAACGGTCCCCACTTGCGATGCGAGACCCTGGTCCATAGTCCACAGTTTGACCCCCTCCTCTCATGTCCCATGGGGCACTCCCGTCTGGATGGAGCCCATCGTATCACCACGATGGTGCCATGGTGCCACCATCCAGGTTTCTATCGGCTTATGGAACATTCGATCCCACCATACAGTTCGAAACCAGGCCGCAGAGGTTGTACTTAGGCTGGAAAAAGCCACTAGGGTCGACTTCTGCGAGACGTGGTAGGCCGCAATGTCCGATCCCTGCTAACATCCTCGGCTAGCGCTGGTCTCTTGATACTGGGCCGCATCGCTTCGAACAGTGACTAGGGGGCTAGTGAATGCGACAACAGGATCCTGTACCGACTGGACCGAGCCTCTGTTTGGCCAGCGTTGTAGACGCCACCCGCTTGAGCTCATTACGGTCCGAGCACTATTGCCAGAGTCTTGCCTGCATGTAGTTGGCATGACTTGCCCTAAACCTTTCTCTCCGACGCCAATACGCTACTGCTCGCTTGTTTTCACGGGGCAATTCCCGGGGGGGCAAAAAACAAGGGGGAAGGAAATAGAGTAAAATCCAAAAAACCAATCAAACCGAAGAGGGAAATGGTCGATTCCCCAGAAGACAACGGTTCAATTCGATGAAGCAGGGAAGGTGTGTGATCCACCCCCAGGTGAGTGATTGGTGATCCCACGTAGGGAAGGAGGGAGTCCCGCGTGTGATATATAAAACCAATGCATCTCCTCCCCCTCTTATGATCTTCGTGTTTTGGTCTTCCTTGTTTCATCCTCACGCTCGTTACCGTGTCTTTCACTTCTTGACTACCCACCCGTTCTTTTGGCCGTTCATCACGAGCAACAGTCCCCACGATGGCGGGCAGCAACAGCGATGTGGGAGTCGTCGAGGCACCTGTCACCTTCAAAGCCTATTTGATGTGTGCTTTTGCCGCCTTTGGTGGTATCTTCTTTGGGTATGATTCGGGTTATATCAACGGTGTCATGGCCATGAAGTATTTCATCCAGGAGTTTGAGGGCCTGGTAAGTGTGTCACTTCTCATTCGGTCTTCCCTGCTGATGGCCGTTCTCCTAGGACCCTGTAACTACCCCGAAGGAGGCTTTTGTCGTCCCCTCGTGGAAAAAGTCCTTGATCACGTCTATTCTATCTGCTGGAACGTTCTTCGGTGCCATCATCGCCGGTGACTTGGCCGACTGGATTGGTCGCCGCACCACGATCATCGCCGGCTGTGGCGTCTTCATCGTCGGTGTCATCCTGCAGACGGCCTCAACGAGCATGCCCCTGCTGGTGGTCGGTCGTTTGATCGCCGGTTTCGGTGTCGGTTTCGTCTCGGCCATCATCATTCTCTACATGTCCGAGATCGCCCCCCGCAAGGTCCGTGGCGCCATCGTGTCGGGTTATCAATTCTGCGTCACCATCGGCATGATGCTGGCGTCGTGTGTCGACTACGCCACTCAGAACCGCATGGATTCGGGCTCCTACCGAATTCCCATCGCCATCCAGATGCTCTGGGCCTTACTCCTGGCCCTCGGACTTTTCTTCCTTCCCGAGTCGCCTCGGTTCTACGTCAAGAAGGGCAAGCTCGACAAGGCCGCCGATGTGCTGTCCCGCGTGCGTGGCCAGCCCAGAGATTCGGACTACATCGTGAAGGAGCTCGCCGAGATTGTCGCCAACAACGAGTACGAGATGCAGGCGATCCCCCAGCACGGCTACCTCGATAGCTGGTTCAACTGCTTCCGCGGCAGCATCTTCAAGCCCAACAGCAATCTCCGTCGCACGGTTCTTGGCACCTCGTTGCAGATGATGCAGCAGTGGACTGGTGTCAACTTTGTGTTCTACTTTGGAACGACCTTCTTCACCTCGGTACGTCATTCCCCAGGGAGATCCTTATGGGTGGGCTTAACTAATGGATACAGCTCGGCACAATCGAGGACCCCTTCCTGATCAGCATGATCACGACCATCGTCAACGTGCTCTCAACTCCCATCTCCTTCTGGACCATGGAGCGCTACGGTCGTCGCCCGCTGCTTCTGTGGGGTGCCTTGGGCATGGTAGTCTGCCAGTTCATCGTCGCCATCACCGGTACCGTGGACGGATCCAACAAGGCCGCCGTCAGCGCTGAGATCTCCTTCATCTGTATCTACATCTTCTTCTTCGCTTCGACCTGGGGCCCTGGTGCTTGGGTCGTCATTGGCGAGATCTTCCCTCTGCCGATTCGTTCCCGTGGTGTTGCTCTATCGACTGCCTCTAACTGGCTGTGGAATTGCGTGAGTCCCCCACTCTTCTACCTTTACTCGATCTGAGTTTTTGTTAACTAACTGAATCACTAGATCATCGCCGTCATCACCCCCTACATGGTCGACGGCGACAAGGGCGACCTCAAAGCCAAGGTGTTCTTCATCTGGGGCTCCCTCTGCGCCTGCGCCTTCGTCTACACCTACTTCCTCATCCCCGAAACCAAGGGTCTCACCCTGGAACAAGTCGACAAGATGATGGAGGAGACCACCCCGCGCACTTCCACCAAGTGGAAGCCCCATGGCACCTTTGCCGCCGAGATGGGTCTCACCGACACGGCTCTCACCGAGAAGGCTGCTATCGTTGTGGAGAACGAGAAGGTTTAGGTGGGGTGGGGGATTGTGTGGGTAGGACGGTGGCTGGCATGTGGCATGTGGCACATTAGGTTACGTTTATGTTTAATACTTTGAATGGATAGGATTGGGGCCGTTTTCTGACGCGTCTAAGATCGGGATACGATATTGATTGCTTGTCATTTGTCTCTCGTTTTATGAGAATGAATATATGGTATGGCTGTACTTCTTACATCTTGACTCCTCGCCTGATTGGCTTCCTATGTATATGTAAAAATGACTTAGTGGTTAGATGGCTCGGCAATATGATGCTCATACAATCATCCACGTATAGTATGTTTGGTACGATCTGAGAGATCCATGTAAACCAGACTACTTCGCTGTCTAGAACTAAATTGGCTCCTTTCAAGTTTTCTGTTGGAATCAAGGAATACTCCCAAATAACTATCATATTATTCATACAAACAACGACTATTCTCCCAATCCTAATGAAACAATCGTACCAACGCTTAAACCGCTTGCATATCGACCAAGATCTTACAATGCCGATCTCTCTCCTCGAGCAACGCCTTGAAGCCTTTCTCCACCACATCCTCCAACTTCACCGTAGCAGTGATCATTCCACTCGGATCAAGGAGTCCTACATAGTCAGTATCTTGAAATGCTTGTCAGTGTGTCCAAAAACATACCATCACTCAACGCCCTAACAGTCTCCACAAACGACATCTCATCATAAAGCGCAGCCTGCATATACTGCACCTCGCGATACATCAAATCATTAACCTTAACCATCGGACCCCTCTCCCAGAGCGCAATATTCACAATCGCGCCATGGGTCCGACAAGCCGGAATAACACCATTCAACGCCGCCTCCACACCAGCGGTATCGAACACAACGTCCGCGCCGTGCTCATGCGTGAACTCGCGCGTCCGCGACACGACATCCGCCTCGCCGGGATCGATGATAACCGTTGCGCCGTATTCGCGGGCGAGCTTTTTCCGACTGTCCATGGGTTCAACGACGATGATTTCCCCTGCGCCTTTCAGTTTGAGGACTTGCACTACGCAGATGCCAATGGGGCCGCCGCCGATGACGAGGGCTGTGTTGCCTGGTTTGAAGGGGGAGATGTTGACGGCGTGCCAGGCGACTGCGAGGGGCTCGATTAGGGCGGCTGTTTCGGGGGGGATGGAGTCTTCGATGGGGTAGAAGTGGCGGGAGGGGGCGACGATGTGTTGGGCCATGCCGCCGCCGTAGCCTTTATCAGTCAGTTTGTATTCATCCAGCGTATTCTGCCTTCTCTGCCATAAGAAGGTGGGAGGATGGAAGGGAGGCATACCGCTCAACCCAATGAACCCAATATTTTCACAGCAGTGTCGCACCCCCTGTTTGCAAGAGGAACACTCGTCGTCATAGATAGTAGGACGCACAGCGACGCGCCGGCCCGGCTTCAACTTGTCATCGTGAACGCCCGGTCCAACCTCTTCAATCTCGCCGCTGAACTCGTGGCCCATCGTGACGGGGCGCTTGGCGCCTGTTATCGGGTGCGGTTTTTCGGGAATGAGCACGGGGCCGGCGGAGTACTCATGCAGGTCTGCAGTGGGCTTTCGGTGAGTAGATGGCTATCGCCTGGGTTGGTATACCCACAGGAAGGGAATAGGAATATCTAGCTACCTGTCCCGCAGATTCCGACATATAATGGCCGGACCTGTAAACAACCGTCACCACCCACTCTTCTCATACTGACACTGTCCCATTGAGGATGGGAATACCTTCACCTGGCCATATCCACACGTCGGCTCCTCCACCTCGTCGAGTCTGAGATCATGGGGTCCGTGGAACCGCAGCGCTTTCATCATTTTGCCGTTTGTTGCTCCGTCAATGCCATCCACGATTGAATTCGTGGAGGAGTTCATATCAGGGAGTTTCTGCTGAGGAGGGTGCGAGTCAATGGGGAAGACCATTTTGTCGAGTATGCATTTGCTTTAAATTTGGAATGAATCGTGTAACCATCCTTCTTCCCACGCCGTGTTCGAGTTTCTTTTATTATCCTGTCCCGTGGCGCTGCATAGCTCAGGATTGGGATGACGTTCGTGTGAGCAACACCGACAGGGGTCGGGCCATGGCTTCGTCACGCGTGTCTGCGTTCAGGCCTATGGGTGTATACGAACGTATCGGGATGCAGCCGTGATTGAAACCCTGTCGTTGTGTCCATTGCGGGTATCGAATGAGGGTGCGATGGATGGAGGGAAGCATTGATTCCTCATAGGGGAAGTTATCTACTATGGTTGTACACGGAACCGGGTATCTCCACTTTCATTGCCATGGCATCGAATGGCTGTAAAGATCTAGAATGATACTGGAGAAGGATTTGGCGTGACGTCAGTTGAGCGTCATCGGTTGATACATGAATCAGAATCAGTTTATCTATATTAGAGGCTTTGTTTAGTGACTCGTGGTTGTGATGGGATAGATTTCTTGTAGTGATCCCTGAACATTCCCAAGTCATTTCTCTCTATATATCTAACTAGGATCGAAGAATGTATAAGAGGTAAGTACCTAGAGTAGAGGTTAAATGATTCCAATAAAAATAGAAAACTCTGGCCTCGGGTTAACTAGGCGCATGAATCAAGGAGGAGAGATGAGTATAATTGGCGGGTCACCGAATCGTCAAACTCAATTCTTTCGACGCGGTGGCGGAGAAATCCTCCCAGACCCTGGCCTGGCCTGACTTGACCTGGTCTGACCTGAACGTGTTCAACCCAATATATTCCAGTGGATCGGATGGTTCTAATCCAATTGTCGTCCACAGCATTCTGGCCGGAGGAAACTTCCAGCCACTCACAGCCTGTCGATCGGCCTGGCGTGGGGGTTTCTCGGCCTACGACTCCATATGCAGGTCGCATATCACCTCACGACAGACGCGTCTCAGAGGGTTCATCCCCCTTCTAGTCACTTGGAAATTTCCTCTCCTTGTCTTACTTTCCTCTCACGTTGATCACTGAATGGCCCATCCGACAAACGCGCCAGGCGCTTGTTCGCTCGGCTCGGGCTCCGCGAACCATGGCAGCGCATCCATCAGAACCAGGGCTGGTCCACTCACCCTCATACGTCATATCGCGAGTCTATCCTCGAATTTCTACGTAGTACTCTTGCGGGCCCTCGTCCGCCAATCATCGTCCTCAATCGCCTATAATGTAGATGTCCCACCCAACCCCGAGCAATGTCCATATCCCGGTCTGTCCAATCGTCAGAGGCGTTATCAGAGGGGCATGCAAATTCTATCCTTGTTATAAAACCCCAGTGGGCCACGACGGGGCATGGAAGGGGGCTAAGGAAGAAAATTCCAACGATAAGATGTTGCCCTTAAATCAAGCACCGTTGCCATCCCATCCGGCTGCAGTCGAGCCACCCGCTACAACGACGTTCCCTTCGACACCCGTTGGACAGAAAATGTCTCTCTTTCAAGGCACAGTTATTCTGGGGACCGCCTTCGAGGTCACCCAACGCTATACCGACTTGGTTCCCATCGGCACCGGGGTGTCAGGATTGGTCTGGTATGTCTTTATGTTCATGAACCAGTCCGTCACGTACTAACAGGACCAGTTCCGCCAACGACCTGATCACCAAGAATGTGGTCGCCGTCAAGAAGCTGTCAGATCCGTTCCGGACCGCTGCCATTACGCAATTGCTGTTTCGCGAGATCCGGTTACTTCGACATTTGAAACATGAAAATGTATGTTCTCTTTACTCGGCCTGGATCGAGCGACGCTAACCCAACTAGGTGGTGAATTTGACAGACATTTTCGTCTCTCCGTCAGAGGATATGTACGTTATCTTGCAAAATCTTACGGTCTTCATGGCTAACAAATCCAGATACCTGGTGACGGAACACATGCGGACCGATCTCTCCGTCCTCCTCAGCCAAGGCCCCATCGAGGAGAAATTCGCCCAGTTCTTCTTCTACCAAATCATGGAAAGCTTACCCCTCTCCCTCCACGCAATCACATACTAACTTGAAGCCACAGCGCGGCCTAAAATACATCCACTCCGCCGGAGTCGTCCACCGCGACCTCAAACCGAGCAATCTCCTCATTAACGAGAACTGCGACTTGAAGATATGCGATTTCGGCCTCGCGCGCGTCCAGGAACTGCGCATGACCGGGTACATCTCTACCCGATACTACCGCGCCCCAGAGGTCATGCTGTCCTGGCAGCACTACAACGAGAAAGTCGACATCTGGAGTGCGGGGTGCATCTTTGCGGAGATGCTGCTCGGCAAGCCGCTTTTCCCTGGCAATGACCATGTCCATCAGTTCAAACTGATTACGGAGACGCTGGGGAAGCCTCCGAGTGATGTTCTAGGGAAGATCAAGAATCTCAACGTACGTCAGCCCTCTTGTCTTGGATTAACTTCGGGGAAAGGTAAATACTGACAGCGACTAGACACTAGGATTTATCAACAGTCTACCAGACTACAAACCCAAAGCAATCGCCGATCTATTTCCCGGCTGTGATCCGAACGGTATGTACCCTATTCATGTTCCAGGAAACACAAAGTCGTTTCTAACAACGCACAGCAATCAAACTCCTGAATCGGATCTTCGTCTTCGACCCTCAATCACGTCCCACCGCCAAGGACATCCTCGAATCACCCTTCCTCGCACCCTACCACGACCCAACCGACGAGCCCACAGCAGTGGAAAAGCTCGACTGGTCTTTTCTGAAAGAAGAGCACTCGCTCGACACATGGAAGTTGAAAATGTACGCATCCCCTCTCATTATTGTTATTTTTCTGCCACGAGGTGAACTAACTCCCAACAGGTACGGCGAAGTACTAGGCTACCACGAACGAGTCACGCCGCCACAAGGCACCGCCAAACTCCAAGAGTCCGACCTGTTCGAACCCCCGAATCATATGGCACACTTCGACATGATGGACACCCTATAGACGTGGAGGATCCGCTGCATACATGCCTGGGCACGTTTCGTCTGAAACGGCAACGTGCACCATAGGCACTACTACGATTATTACGAAAGCGGAGTGAGGGAGGCGCATTTTCTTGATCCATAGACTTATATCCATTTCTCGATTGTCTGCAATGTTTGCGTTTAGCAATTGTCGCGTTGCGGGGTGCGCCGTCTGAGCAATGCTTTTTATCCTATCTCTAAATATACAAATGTATTTATGTTGCAACATTAGATGTACAAGAATTACCTACGGTGTCACGATATCTTTTGTAGCCGAGTGGTATTCTCTACAACGATACATTCCTATTGAACTGGTAGTTGCTGTTTTTCGGAGGATAGTACGCCTCATCTGTCTCGCACATTCCCGTCCCCTATTATAGCTGCAATCCCTCTTATCGTGATTTTTGTATTCAAGTTATAATGAATTTACTAAGGACCTTCTGAACTATTGATATACTCCCGATACTCACGTGTAAAGATCCACATGATATCCGAGACAAGTCAGTATGCGTCAGCTGACCACAAAACGCATTGTTTTCTGACGGCTGCACTCCTGCATCTTTTGATCCTTCCGACATATTTCCCTCTTTGACAGGATGATCACTATTGCCAACTTCATTGACTCTTGCGTCAGTTTCATCAGCTTTTGTCCAGGACAGCCAAAAGACCATGTGCTGCAAAAGGAAACAGGGAGTTGTCACTCGGATACCAAAGATATAATGACACCTTTGGCCTTCGTAAGTGTTCCTGTGTTCAGCACAACACTGTGATGGTTATTTGGTATTTCAATGTGAAATAAAATTGCGGATCCACCGATGTAGTATTTCGCTGGCTGACCGAAGTCCCTGATATGAGTCTTGCTCACCATGGCTAGAATATGCAAGACAGTCGTGCGAGATGTATGTCCGACACTCATGTTAGATATTACCTTGGCATACAACTCTGCTCACTATCAACAAGTATTCTGACCACTTAATACAAAGCTCTCTCTCCGCAACCCCGGGTCGCCACCTCGAGTCGCAACTGGACAGATCAACTTCTTCACAACCCCTACGATCAGCGCGCTATAGGACGCCAGAGACGAGAGAGCATGCCAGCAGTGCAATAATCCATCGATATACCTTGGAGAGAATTAATGGAATTGGCGGATGATGGACTAAATCGATGAAAGCGACATCAAGTGTGGTGTTTGTGATATGTTGAAAAGAGAGTTGAAACCTCCAGTATCCTGTCAAAGTATTGACACCCTATCTTTCAGCCGATAATGGCAAAATCAATCTGACCGGTTGCATCCACCGCCATAATACAATTCCACGCCGTAGGCAGTTAGATCCCTGTCATTCCATATATACACAACATGGCTAACTCTGGTAGGCTGCATCACACAGGGCTTGCGCCCCACCATTGGGACTCAAAGGTGTTACTATCAGGTGAACAGGAATTACAGTAAACCAATGATATTATGACTTTTTGCGCCCAAGGCTACCCCTCATCGTGAGCACAAGGCTGGCGTGGCTTAGTCAATGTCTAGTTTGTATTCCACCTCGATGATTCTCACCTCCTCGCCTCAACTAACAATACACCTTCAAGATCGAGTCAATCAAGCACCCAGAGAGAAAATACACATAGATACACAAAATGCCCTGTCCCGCACTTGATGACTTTGATATTGGCTGGATATGCGCTCTGGCTATTGAGGCCGCGGCAGCCAGTGAGATGCTTGATGAGAAATTCGAGCCACTACAGGAACAAGACGCCGCCGACTCCAACATCTACACCCTAGGCCGAATAGGCAATCACAATATCGCGATAGCTTGCCTACCTGTGGGTCAATATGGAACCACTTCGGCTACAACCGTTGCGAAAGATATGCTGCGCACATTTTCAAACTCGTTGCGGGTCGGGCTGATGGTCGGTGTGGGGGGAGGCATTCCATCCCCCGACCATGATATACGTCTTGGCGATATTGTGATCAGCTGTCCAGACGGTACTTCCGGAGGCGTCACTCAGTATGATATGGGGAAAATCACCGTTGGTGGTAAACTCCAACGCACTGGCTCTTTGAATAGTCCTCCAAGGTCATTGCTGGCGGCGGTCAACGGTATGAGGGCAGCAGAACTGACTGACGATCCTCGCTATCCGCAATATCTTCAAGATGCGGCTGGCAGAACTGCAAGAACCAAGAAGAATTTCAGCCGACCTGATTCACGATACGATCGATTGTTCAAAATTGAGCACCCGCATCCTGAGGCTGCCAAGAACTGCGACACATGCTTGGCCGAATGGGAGGAGCCTAGAGACGAGCGAGAGGATGACTTTCCACGGCCATTCTATGGTGTAATAGCATCTGGCAATGTTGTTATCAAAGATGCGTCGACAAGGGAATCCATTCGTTCTGGAACGGGGGCACTTTGCTTTGAAATGGAGGCAGCTGGTCTCATGCAAGATTTTCCGTGCATTGTGATCCGTGGAATTTGTGACTATTCTGATTCTCACAAGAATAAGGCATGGCAAGGGTACGCTGCCTTAGCGGCAGCATCATATGCCAAGGAGCTAGTGCAAACCTTACCCCGGGGCCAAGTTGCGCGTGAGAGATTAGCCACGGACATATGTAGTAAGTGGTAGCTAGTCTAACCCTGAACCTGTCGACGGCACGGTGGGCTCATAAAATCTTCCATAGGGTCTGTACAAGAATTGCATGAAGATGTCAAAGGTACAAATCAGCGGCTAGACAAAGCATACCATCGACAGAGCCAGTATCATCTTGATGATGAGCAACGGCAGTGTCACCAAGCTTTTAAAACCTCAACCTACCAACAGTACAAGGATAACAACCCCAATCGAGAACGAGAAACATGCCAGTGGGTTTTACAGGACCCAAAATATCTCCGTTGGAGGGACAGTTATTGTAATGACCTTCTCTTGGTATCAGCCGACCCCGGCTGTGGCAAATCTGTTCTGGCTAAATCTCTGATCGATCATGATTTGAAGAAATTGACCCCATCGGCTTCAATTTGCTACTTCTTTTTCAAAGATAATGAGCTGCAGAACAAACTTTCTATAGCACTATGCGCAATACTTCATCAGCTTTTTAGTCAACAGCCGAGCCTTTTGGAATATGCAATACCATCCTGGAAGAAAAACGGCCACAAGCTTCAGGACGAGGTGGGCGAGCTTTGGTCAATTCTGCTAGCTGCAGCATCACATCCTACATCACCGAACACAATATGTGTCCTCGACGCGCTTGACGAATGTCATCTGAATGATCGAAAGCGACTGATCCAAGAGCTCAAAGCTTTCTATACTAGTGATCAGAGTGGCTCGTCTAACCAGTCCACTTGCCTCAAGTTTATAGTCACAAGCCGTCCCTATGCTGAGATAATAAGCGAGTTTCGAGATATAACTCGATTATGCCGACATATCCACTTAAATGGGGAGGAAAGGAATGCTCTTATCCACGAAGAGATCGACTGGGTAGTCAGAATCAAGGTGCAAGAACTAGCCGAAATAACAGGTATCTCACAGAAAATGCAGGCGCAGGTCGAGCAACAGCTGCTTCAAATGGAACATCGCACGTATCTTTGGTTACACTTAGCCATGGACGATATCCTAACAATGTTCCAAGACAGCCTACGACCTACCGAGGAGACAATTTCTCTTGTACCTACTTCTGTGTCCAATGCTTATTCAAAGATTCTCGAGCGAGTCCCATCAGGTCAAGAGGATTCAGTACGAAAGATCTTTCAGATCATTGTTGGTGCACGAAGGCCATTATCTACACGTGAAATGGCTATGGCCTTGGGAGTGGCCACCAAGCCCAATGCAGTAATTTCAGCAGAGGCCATGCTACCTGAAGAAGGTCTGAAAGCCAAACTACGCCGATTGTGTGGATTATTCGTTTTCGTCGATGACGACTCGAAAGTACACCTGATCCACCAGACAGCCAAAGAATTTCTTAATAAATACAATATTTCCAGCAGTCCAATTCCATATTATCATTTTCGCTGGATCGATACCCAGGATCTGTGGGCCAAAATTTGCGTGAGATACCTATGGATGAAAGACCTCGAGGACAACCAGTTGGATGAAGGCTCCGATCTCATGGGCCTTTTGAGATATTCAGCAGTAAATTGGGCCGATCATGTACGCAACATGAGTAAGTCCTCGTACTCTGATCTGGGGGGCTTGGTATATTTGTTATACGACATGTTCACCGTGCGATTCGAGCTTTGGTTCTCCATATTTGAGATTGAAAAAAGTTTGCAATTTGACTGTTGGCCAGCGCGCTTCCCGGATCGGAAGAGACGCAACATGCATGCATTGCAGCTAGCAGCACTCAACGGGCATTTTGAAATAGTACAGAGACTCTTGTCAGCGATGCATAAGTTCGGAGCCGACCCCGGGAATCACGAGTGCAGCCTAAGGACGACAGCTATCCAGCGACACGAGCGAATAGTCGACTCTCCAATGCCCAACATTGTGCTTCAAGCGCAACGTCCGTCATTGTATGACCCAGTCGAAGAAATAACACTTGCCCTGTGTATGGCCTCACTGAGTGGATATCATGATATTTGCCAGTTGCTTTTAGAGCAAGGAGCGAGCCCGGATCCCCTGGCGTTAGTAATTGCTTCGTCTGAGGGACACTACGATACTGCGCAAGTCCTGCTAGACAAGGGGCTGGATCATAAGCTCCAACATCACCCTTATACTACTGCCCTGGAGGCTGCGTCTTTTCATGGGCATTATGGGGTCGTGCAGCTTTTTCTGCGGAGCAATATCGATGTTAATTTCTGCAGCGCTAGCAGATATGGAACGGCTCTCCAGGCTGCTTCTGCGGGAGATCGTCTGGAGATCGTTCGGCTTCTGTTAGAAAACAAAGCTGAGGTCAATACTCTAGGCCATGGGTACAGTGGAAGTCCCTTAACTGCTTCTTTACGTAAAGGGGAACCTATAATTGCCAGGGCATTGCTGGAGGCGGGCGCGAAGACCGACTATGTGCATGACTATCATGGTTCTGCCCTTTACTGTGCTTCTACAGACGGCCACATCGAATGCGTGCGGGTTCTGTTAGAATATGGAGCCGATGTTAATCTCCCTACCAGATATGGGGTTGCTCTATGCGGTGCGTGCAAAGCCAACGATTTGGAAGTTATGCGCTACTTACTCCAAAATGGGGCGGACGTTGACGGGCCTTGCGCAGCGGATAAATCAACTGCACTGATACTGGCTTCTCATTTAGGCCTCGTGGAAGCTGTGAAAGCTCTACTAGAGGCGGGAGCAAATGTCCATATCGAGGACAAATATCACAGCAATGCTCTTATCGCTGGTTCCCGTCAGGGTGATCTTGATATAGTGCAAATCCTTCTAGAGTATGGTGCCGACATCAACGCATACGTCAAATCATACTCATATGGGACTGCATTACAAGCTGCTTGCTCGGGAGGTCATGAGAAAATAGTGAGATTTCTATGGAGCAAAGGGGCCAATGTCAATGCTCCAAGTGGATTTGGTGGCAATGCCCTGCACCTCGCGTTCAGGAAGAAATATTACGGGATCGTGCAATTTCTTTTAGAAAAGGGGGCCCGTGCTGACGCACGACATCGAGGCTATGGAGATGGTCTGCATGAAGCTGTCAAAGAGGGGCACACCAGAGTCTCGGCCTTGATGTTGGAGAAGGGGACTGGTCGTGGTTGATAAGACACTAGCACGCAGCCTGCGTCTACAGGGCATAATCAGTCTGGACATATGCTCTACCGAGGGAATATAAGATCGATGATCATAATGGAGAATATATGATCACGACTCGCTGTACATCCTCACCGGCATATCTAGATATGTACTACTCATTCTGAGTCATGTAGAAGATTACCTAGAGAGGGAGGATGACATGTCTATGGTTTCCTTTCAAAATGAGGTAATTGAACGACACGCAACTATTAAATAGTGGAATATTGTAATCGGTAAACATGTCAGCCGATCTTCAGGGTCTTGCCACATATATTATATCTTGACTCTTCACGTTTTTTTTTGGCAACTAGTCGCAATATTTTCAACGTCGCAAGAATCATCATTTCCCTCGATGGATTTTGACTGTCCATCGGTACTGCCACAATGATGAGCATATACTGAAGCAAGCAATAAATTTAGAGAAGCGAGAGAAGCCAGCCATCTAGAAATACCATGACTGGAAGAGGTGTGCTTCATTACCTATGATATGATAATGATAAGCATTTTACAATCAAGATCATGATGTGCAGCAATGGCTACAGAAATAGGTATCTCGCATGACACGGGCTAACCCTTGCATTGCTTGTCCTCAGACATATGGATGTCGATGGTCATGACAGCTAAATATATATCCATTCAATGGTTCCTTAACACCATGCAGTAATAGATCCGCCTGACCTACAATCGTTACTACACACCATATCGGGCTTAGAACCCACTAAGCCATCCCGCTAGACCTTCCTACAGGGGGGGAGGAGGGCCAGGAGGACCACCAGCATCCGGATTCTCGACGCCGCCATCCTCAGTGTAAAACACCGCAGCCTTGACGTCATTACTCTGCGTGGGATCAATGCCCAGCGAGATCCAGCCAAACAGGCCAGCGCTCACGTCGTCGCCCTCGCCGAGCGTCACGTACTGGGCGAATGGGTCGATCTCGGCGGCTTCCTCGGCGAGAATGCCATCTTCGTCGTTAGTGGTCAGGGGCTGGGTGTTGGCTGCGTAGGTCTCCGTCTTCTCGACGGCGTTGATCAGCTCCTGGTCGAAGAAGATCTGCCCGACGTAGGAGGCGGTCGTGGTGTATATGTCTGAGAGGGTGTCGTTCTCGTTGGCTTTTGTGCCGCCGGGGTGGGAGAGCACTGTGTATAGTCAGTATCTTTCAGTTTCTTCATGTATATATAAAAGTATATATGTGTGTAAGTGGGATAAAGGAGTGTATACCGTGAACATGGGTCGTACGCCCAATATAATGCCCCGGGAAGATAGTCTCAAACTGCACCACGCCCTCGGCGCTTGTTTGCTGGATACCGCGAAGGAAGGTCGCGTCCAGGTTGCTTTCGTTGTCGGGGTCTCCATTGCCCCTTGCCACGACACCGGAGTAGACACCCTGTTCGCTCGCCCGTTAGCACTGGGTGTGGTTATTGAGGAGAGAAGGTAACGTGACGTACGGTAGCATTGCAGTGCCAGATTTCGATGTAAGCTTCCGGCACAGGCTCGCAGGTCTTGGTGTCGACAAGCTGGATATCCAGGAAGAGGGGCACGCCGGCCTGCTCCTCGGAGACATCGGTGCGGATCAGTTCCCCGCTGACGTCTACGCATCTCTGTTAGCAAGTCTCGACATATTAGCGACGCCGAGGAGGAGACGAACAGTACGGTCCCTCGGTGACATCGGGGCCCAGGATGCAGGTGCCTCCGGACTCGAACAGCTCCGAAGGGTCCGCCGTCTGATCGACGTCAAGATCAGAGTGGTGGGGCGAGTGGTCTCGTTTCTGGAAATTGGTCAGGTCTGCATGGTGTTAGCAGGGTGCTCAGCGGACCGTAGTGTGAGAGAGTGGACATACGCGCCAAGTCGCGTTTCCGACGCAGACTATTCGCTGCATGTCGGCGTCTGGCCATGTTCGCGCGCTCAAGGCCCCGCGCTTTCATCTGTGGGGCACAGTGCGCCAAACTGCGAGAGCTGAGTGGTGTGCGCTTTATGAAAGCTGCGCGCTCCTCAGCCTCGGCCCTGATGTCGTGGCCGGGGTGGGCGGAGACCACACTGGCGAGGCCTACAAGGCCTGCCACGAGGGTAGATGCAATTCGGACCATTTTTCAACCAGGTGTGTGTGTGTCTTTCAGGATAAGAGGGGGTAGACTTTCCTCTGCAGACTCCCTCTGCCAACGGACCTGGGATCATCGTTTCTTAAATAATGCTGTAGATCCGGGTCTCTACCCCTCGACCTACCGGGATCCACATACTGTCGCAATTTAGTACATCGGTACTACACTAGAAATGTTGGGTTAGATACCGGCAATTGCGCAGCAATCTCTAGACACGTCTAGGCTCGCTGGCGGGGTGATCCGCCTGGTCCGCGGTTGCTTCCACAGGTGCTGTCGATCAATGGTGGACTAATTACCCAGTGGCATTGAGTAAGCTGCGCATGGTTAGTTGTGGCTTGTTATTTATTAGCCGACCCTTTGGTAGACATATGGCCGTTTGACTTGTTGGGTGAGTTCGGACATTGATACACAATCAAAGCGGTCCATTCTGATTAGAAACAAGACAACCGTAACGCAAGATAGAGTAGCAGAAGTGTCGACTTCTATCAGACCTTCAGTAAGGAACACAGGAAGTGCCATTTCAGGGGAAACGCGCAGGTCATGCGGAAGCCACGGGGTTGCAAAGCGGAGCAAGCCTCCGTCAATCAAGCTCAGGGTTGGCGAAACACTTGGCGCCTGGGCACTTTACAGAGATTGATAACATCCTCACCATTCGTGGAATTTCGTCACAAGGGGGAGATGCGGGGCTTCGATTACGCCTTAAAGCACGCAATCCGTAGGTAGTCCGTACGCCGCTTCTCTTGGCAGGAGAAGCGGCCCGAGGTTTGACATCTTGCGGGGCTTCGAGGTCATAGTTGAAAAATGCATGGTATGCATTATAGTATGGCACCAGCGTCTATCAATGCGTCTATCAATGTGGGAGATATGGTCCTAAGAAACAGTCTGCAAGGTGGAGCCGGCAAGATTTAAGTTGTGGCAGGGCGAGTCCTGGCACCGCAAATCTCAGTTGACAACGGATATCCAGCACCTACTCCTGGTCTTGACCGGGTCTTGCATAGTCCTTGACTTATTCATATCTCCTCCTTGATTGAACGAGCCTATATTATCAGTTGCATATTGGCTTATTCATGTGACCATGAGTAGCGAGCATGGTAGGGTTGCATCACAGATTTTGGCACGTCACTAATGCCCTGCAGTTATTAGCATGGAATGTGCCCTCGCGTAACTGCTAAGCACTGTCCGATGCATACGTGCTTCAAATTGAGGGAGTAACATTGCCAGTCCAACGCACGCCATCAACACTAGCAAGTCGGCCGCGGTGGAGGTTCCAAATCTGTTGCGGAAACTGTGGTGATTTCACCTGATTCGGCAGACCCGATAATATCTCAAATACCAGGATTATACTCTCGATCAGGTTATGTACATGCTAAGGTTTGTGTTTCAATATGAGTGAACAGCCGGTACATCAGTTCTGTACTGACGCACCCTAATCAGGTATGAGCAATAACCGGGTTGACTCTGACTTCAATGAGCAATGAATCTGGCTGTTAGCAGTTGGTTAGAGTTATCAGATCATCTCTTCTGGCCTATCATAACATGGAATGTCAGTAAATTTATGCTACCCAAGTATGCAGTTCGTGTTTGTATAGAGCTTCATCCGTATCAGCAATCTTATCAGATTCAAACTCAAGCCATGGGCTTGAGGGAAGGAACTAATATTACATGTCTCTTTGTTCATCTTTGATGGCATGATAGGCGATTCCTGTGTCCCATCAACACGGCGGGGCGAAGGAGCCTTTAAAGATGGCACCGGTGGGGAAATGAATGCTTCCTTCCAGTGGGACAGAGTATCATGAATATGTGGAAGTGACTGCAATCGGTTGGCATGTTAGCTCACCGGTAGCGTTTGCAGAGTCCTTTTCCCACTGTCTTCCATCTTGTATTTTCAACCTTCAAGCAACCTTTTTCCATAGTCTGAATATCATCAATTCCATCCTTTCGGATGCATTTCCATACCCTATTTCCACAGAATGCGCCAGGTAAAACAGTCTGACCAGCGTAACAAACCATAGCGAAATGGATAAATTATCTATCAGTGACTTCATCAATCTCAACAATGCTTATGATGTCTACCCTGACACAGTGACTTCAACTGGCGGCATCATCCTGGGAAACGCGTAGCACCGCAGGCTCAATCATTCCCCTCGCATGCTCCGTTAACCGATCCTTTGATGGTTGTTTTGTCTCCCTTCTTTCAAGCATGGAATAACCCGCTGTAGTTAGGATGCAACCGACTCATATCAGGACGAACACGCAGAAGCTCCCACGAATATGGGCCGCTCACGCCTGCAACCCATGCGACGAGCGCAAAACGAGGCGTATCGGGAACCTTTCTGACCATGTCACATTGGGAGAAGTATGTCAATTGGGATGTGTATAAAGGAGTGTAAAATACCAATATGTGAGCAAACAGTTTGCAATCGATCACACCAAAAGACAATAGACAGCAGGGTCTAGATTAGCGGCAACAGAACCGCTGTATACTTCGAGTACAGGATGTGATTAACTCCTGCATTGATGCTCCTGTAGCTGCAATCTTCAATGAGGCTGGTTTTTATATAGTGTGTCTTGTGGCACACAGCGTGAAATATGAGAGTAAAAGTGAAGGACAATGCCTGACCCCACCAGATTAAAGGCAACTCGTGTTGTATCACCTCCAGTAGAGTTGTTGCTTCAATACATCACGATTCGTCCATTGACCTTGGTAAATCACATAAAGAAGACAGGGGGATGATGCTCAGGTAAGGCCATGATGTGTTGGTTTGGAATGGTTTGGGAGGTTGACAGGAATGGGCTTCGGCTTCCTGGCCTCCTGTGGCACAGAGCAAAGCTGCGTTACATGTGACTACATTGGTGGTAAAAGCCGTCTATGGCTTATTATTGGGCTAGATCCTTTTTGCATTGGAAGCTCATTTGCATTGTTTTGCCTTGTCGTTGTTTTTCTTTTCTTTCTTTCTTTTTTTCCCTTCCTGTTGTATGCGCATGTTATCTCCCTTGATGGCCTCTCTAAGCTGTTTCGTTTTCCATCTGAAGTCGTAAGGTACATGAAATAAAAGACCATAAACTTGGAAATGAATGAGATAAAAATGAAAAGATCATAGTAAATCACGAGTAAAAGAGCAAAGATAGTAAAAACACAACAGAAAGAAGAAAGCCATATACTCCTACAGATGTTCACTTCACAGTCACCATATTTCCAGTTCGCCATACCGTGCTACGCACCCAACAGCTGGAGATGTATCTCCCCATAGCGGTACCGTGTTCCATGCTCCTCGCTACTATCATCTTCGTAGGGCTCCTGTGCAACATTTATGAATCCCTTGGTTGCCAGGGTGAGCGTATGCATGAGGCCATGTGTCGCGACAGCACGAGAGCTACTCTCTGGAGGGATGAGCGCAGAAAACGTGATTTGCTTCACTCCAGAAGAAGTAGTACCATCAGGTCCGTGGGTGGATGCCGTCATCTGGCCGTCGACCTTGACCATGAGAAAGTCAAGGAAGTTGACGCTCTCCTGGTCCAGCGTGGAAAGATGCGTATTCTGGGAATTCAGCTGGTTTCTATCCTGAACACCTTCCATTCCGGCATTTTCATCAGAGTAGAGGTTTGTCTGGAGATAATCGCCCAAGTCGAGGTCTTCGAGATTCGCCAGGTCGTTGGCTTCGAGATCCAAACCGGTCAACACGTCAATGTCGAAAGGAAGGCTGCGGCCGGCGAGTGGGCTAGCACTTGCTTGGCTTCGTGATCTTTGACCTCGTAACTGAGCAAGATCTAGATCGGTGCCGAACGATCCCACGGAGTGGGGCATGAGTCGGGACGACACATCGCTGGCGCTTCCAAATCCGCGGAACGCATTCGCGATGGAAGAACCGAACCGGGAGCTCTGTACCGAGGCTGTGATGTTCCACGGCATCTGGGAATTTCCTTCATGAATAACCGACGAGGCTTGACGGCCGATCTCGACATTCTATGCTCTAATTGTCAAAAAACGGTACAGTCGACTGGACAGAATAGCATACCTCGCGCCAGAGATCATCGCCCTCTAACTGTTCGCCCCGGCCCAATTCCTCTTCATATTCTTCTTCCTTTGCACGTACTCGCCGTGTCTCCGAATCGGAGTCATGTTCCGGTTCAGAAGACTGTTTGCGCTTGAGTGTTTTGCTCTGTCTCTCACCACTTAGGGCCTCGTACAAGGCGTCTCCAGAGAAACAATTCAAAGGATGCTGGTACTGGGAGGCGCCCACGCCGCCACCAACAGACCCTATACCGAGGCCATAAACCCAGAGAATAGCGTTCTTCTTAGCTTGGGCTGACTGTTTGCTATAAGACTTTTGTTGCACAGCAGCAGCCATGTTCTCCACATAGCCATTGTTGAGACCTGCCAACTCTGTATTTCGCAGTGCGATCTGTTTGTCGGTAATTATGGGCCTAGGTTGGCGTTTACCACGGCCTGTAGATGCTCCGTTGCTAGCCTGGGCGCTCTCGGTCTCCACCTCCTTTTCCTCCAGAACAGGGACGCCGGGTTGGCCTGTGGTCGAATGAGCTCGAGATGACCCGCTAGGCTCCTGAACAACCATTACCATCTCATCGTCTACGGCCATCGCCTGAGGCGACAAGTCATGCAGTGGAACCTGATCATGTTCCCGCGGAATGGGATATTCACTTCCTCTGTGCCTGGTTATTTCAGAAGCGCGACGAGGCCCAAGTTCGACGATATTCCCGTCCTCGTCGAACTCAAAATCCGGTTGAAGCAAGACGCCACCCTCCTCAAAGGTAGAAGACGCAATTCCAACTAAGCCGAGGCCTCTCTGGACAGAACCGGTGGCGTCTGCGTCCGAACCGAATCGGCCCCAGTCCCTTGTGGCAATATCACTAGACGAGAAGCTGAGGCGTGGGCTGGCGCTCAGGGCAAGTGAGGATTGAGGGAGGTCGGGTGTGGAAGGTAGCAACATAGAAGACTGCTGACTCAATGACTTGTTCTCTGAGAGTAGCAAGGAGGACAGATCAAGTCCCAGTCCAGGCAAGTTGGTCTCAGGCAGAAAGGTCGGATCGTAGGGTAATATAAGCTGTTCTGGTCTAAGCGTCCATGTCAGATGAGTCAAGCAACTTGAGCGACATCAAAGTAAGGCCTTGCAGGGTTAACACACCTCGCTTTCCCAGCACTTGGATCCAGCCCGCCCCCAGACATGACCCTAAATAGAGATCTCATCCGGTCATGTATCGCCTGGACATCGGTGAGAGTATAACCGCATTGCTGATTGTGGACTCGCGAGACTCCGTACCTAAAAATTTGCCCATGTTAGCCACCTTGCATAGCGATTTGCTGTCTGATCACCTACAACAAGTTCCCCTGAAGTCTCAGCGCCATTGGAGCCTCCGGGTCCTTGATCACACCGCAGGCCCTAGTTACATCCACGTCCAGTATTGCCTTGCGGTTCAACTTCCGCGTGATAGACTTGGAGCCGAGGGTCGCCACTAGCCTAGATCTCAATAGTTAATTACCATTGCCTTTCCTGCATGAGAAACATCGCCCATCGGCACATACCATATCGTAGCAACACCATGCTCCGGGGACGTGAGAACTAGATGGAAGGAAACTTGTTAGTAAATCAAGCCATTGACTGGAGCCAAAGGATAGTGTCTCACTTTCATGGCTATAGAACATCTTGGATGCTGTCCCGACGCGTTCCTACGCGAGCGTACGTGGTCTATCGATGGCTGGTGGATGAGGGTATAGCCTCCACACCCTGACGCGTACAGTCAGTCAAATATCTCGCGATTCGTGCGCGTGTTCGCCAGATTCAAACCGATAATAATAGTATTTAGGGCTATATCCGACGTGAATCATAGTGGACTTCTCCTGAAGCTACTTGCCTCTTGATCTAGAGATGGTGTCTCGTAAGGCTGCGAATCGTCTGTAAGATGACTTTAGATGATATTGACTATGTTCAACTCTGTGACTCGGGAGAAGGGATGCTGATAAAAGTAGGGATAGTAGGAAGATGTGAAGAGAGGGAACATCGTAGAGGATGGGAAGGTAAGACAGATATTTGCTCAAGGTGTCTGCCTGAGGTAGTCAACCAGCCGACTTGCGATTTCGCCTACGATTACCAGATACTAAAGGGTGAAGATAAGTCCAAGGTCAGCAATGCCCATTATTTGACGTACTGTACAGTCCCAATACTAATCTAGACTTCCACAAACCGCAAAACCGAAAGCCATCTACAGCCAGATAGTCCAAACCGCAGGTGCAGACTGAAGACACGGGGGGGGGGAAGGGTAGCACGCTTTAAACCCAACCCTAAGTGACAGACAGAAAGAAAGACTTTTTGTATCATTGCCTTCTCTAACAACCCCCAGCGCCAGCAACATTATCCCACCAGAAAGCCCTACTTTCCCGCGTGGGATAGAAAAATGGTAAGGGAAAAAAAAGAAATATATCCACAAATAGTACAAGAAAGAATAGCCTGGCTTCTATTGGAGGAATAACAAAAACAGTCAAGAAAACAAAACAGCGACCGTGTTTGTTATGGAAAAACATATAGCAAGAGGCGATAAAAGGAAAACCCTTACATATGATCTCCCACCATAGCAATCGACGAAGATGCACGCGGGGTATGATATATGCGACAGATCAAACTAAAGGATGACACATGAAACGGAGAAGGAAATGAGAAAAAAGAGATGGTGCCAAAATAAGTGACAGGAGAGGAAGAACCGTCCGCGACTCAGACTCGAAGAGTGCAAGGTTGACGGGAGATCGGATCCTGATAGCGTAACTCTTCATATACCTACCCTTCGGTTATACCAAAATTATACGGGCTGAGACGGGCCGAGATCTATTCAAGAGGGATGCCGTCGTACTCGCCGTAGCCGAGGGCAAGGTTCATGTTCTCTGTGGAATACATTAGCAAAAGCGTAAACAGGATCACCGATCTCGGGGAAACTCACGGAGACACTGGGTGGCGGCACCCTTCAGCAGGTTATCGATGGTGGCGCAGATAACAGCGCGAGTGCCGGTGGCATCAACGGCGAAGCCGCCGACCTCCACACCATGGCGACCAGCGATGTCCTTGACAAGAGGGGGCTCGCCCACGATCTTCACCAGCTTCTCGCCGGCATACCGCTCGTGGAAGAGGTTGCGGACTTCACGGGAGGACATCTTCTCCTTGAGGGGGATGCTGATGGTGTGCTGCAGAAAGGATTAGTGATCGCTCAAGCCAAAAACCCCATCGGGGAGGGAAGGGGGGAGGTAACATACATGGATACCCTGGAACCACACGGCAACGTGAGGGACAAATGCAACGCTGGCCCCAAGCTGATAGCCGATCTCCTTCTCGTGGATGTGGCCGGTCAAGCTGTAGGGGATGATGTTGTTGGTCAGGAACTCCACGTCGTTCTTGGGGCTGGGCTTGGTGCCAGCGCCCGAGTAACCGGAAACACCGAAGATGGTGGGCTGGCCAGACAGAAAGGGGACGAGAGGCGCAATGCCGATCTGGGCAGCGGTCGCGTAGCAGCCGGGGTTGGAGATACGGGTGGCCTGGGCAATGGTCGAGCGGTTGACCAGCTCGGGCAGACCGTAGGTCCAGTTGGCGTCAAACCGGTAGTCAGCACTCAGGTCGACGATCACGTTGCCCTTGGGGGAACCCTGGTCGACGGCATCCACGAAAGGCTTGCACACGCCGTTCGGCAGCGCCATAACCCAGCAGTCAACGTCGCCGTTCTCGGACATGCGCTTGACATCCTCGGGGCTCAGGTTCTCGTAGATGATCTCACGCTTGTCATAGCCCTGCAGCTGCTTCCCCGCCAGCTCACGCGACGAGACGTGGCGCAGGTCCAGGTGCGGGTGGGCGTTGATCAGGCTGATCAGGGCCTGGCCCGTGTAACCGCGGGCTCCAATGAGGGCCACCTTGGACGGCTGGGTGTTGGACATGTTCTTCTCGCCGAGAGGCGGGTTCGGGTTGGTGGTGACGAACGTGCGCACGGCCTGCACGGGGACCGTGGGACGGCCGGAGCGAGCGGCACGCAGGGCGTTGCCGGTGGTCGAGAAGGTACGCTTCTGCTCCGTCGAGGCAGCGCTGGCGCCAAAGCCCTTGCCGATGTTGGTGGCCGCCTGAGCGGCACGGTGCAGGCGGGACTCGAGGTTCAGGTCGCCAAACATCTGACGGCCGTCCTTGTTGAACTCCTGGACCAGCTGCTTGACCTCCTCGCCGTTCTCGATTCCGTACCAGAACAGGACCTCGCCGTCCCGGCTCAGACTGCCATCAGCCTTGTCGAAGAACCAGGTCAGGTTCTCGTCGTCCTCCTTAACGGTCCAGACCAGCTTAGGGAAATCCTTCTTGATGGAGGCGAACACATTGTCGGCGACGTTGGTGAGCCACCCCGACTTTGTGATGGTGAAGGTGGCCAGGTGGGCCAGAGGGGTGGTGGCATCCTTCTGGGGAGGCAACACCACGGCCAAGGCCTCCATGGGCTCGTCGTAGTAGACCTTGAAGTCGCGCTCCTTGAGGCCTTCGACGTAGCGATCGACCGTCGCGCGGGCATCAAGTCCCTCGCGGTCACGGACCAGCACCTCCTTCAACTTCTCCAGATCCTCAAACTCGGCGAGGGAGGTCTTGGTGTGCACCTTGTTACCACGGCGGATCAGGGTACCGGCACCCGAGTCGGTGAACAACTCCTTCTGGAGATCGGCGGGGTGGATGATGGCAACGCTGGAGGTGCGCGGCAGGTCGTCGAGCAGATCCTTCATCTCCTTGATCTTCAGACGAGTGCCATGACGCACCCACCACTGCTGCATGAGGTGCTCATACTCCTCATCCAGGTTGATGGCGGAGATCTTCTCACCCGTGTCACCGTTGAAGAGGCCACCCTTCTCGGCGAGGTAGACGATCTTGAGGGGCTGAAGGGCACGAGCCAGCTCGCCGGCGGCCACGTCGGCGTTGACGTTCAGGACCTGGCCATCCGGGGTCTCGGCCATGGAGGTCAGGATGGGCAGACAGCCCGCGGAGATGGCAGACTCAATGGGCTTCTTGTTGACGCCGTTGATCTTACCCACCAGGTTGTACTTCTGCTTGTCGAGGTAGTCGGCGGAGAAAACGCCCGCGGTGACGGGACGGGCCCGCACCCCCATGCGCTCCAGCTCCTCGATGAGCTTCAGGTTCTCCTCCAGGAACAGCTTCCGGGCCAACGCCAGGGTCTTGCCGTCGGTCACGCGGATTCCGTCCTCGAACTCGGGCTCCACACCGGCATCCTCGAGCATGCGGTTGAGCTGAGGTCCGGCACCGTGCACCACAATCGGGTAGAGTCCCACGCCGTTCAAGAAGGCGAGCGCGGAGGACAGGGTCTCCAGGTGCTCGGTAATGATCGCACCACCGACCTTGATCACGGCGAACTGCTGGGAAGAGACGGAGGTGAAATGGGAGAGGTATTGCTGGACCTCCCGCTTCGAGCCGATGTTGCTGAGCAGCTGGACGACGGTGGAGCGGGTCGACGAGAATTGCGGGTCGGAGGCACGGGAGTAGTGACGACCCTGCAGCAAGGGCACGGCCGACGCCCGGAGAGCGTGGCGGGCATAGGGAGAGGACAATCTGGCCGAGGAGACGGCGTGTGGTGCGGAGAGGGCTCGAGCGGATTGTCTAGTGGCGGTCGAAGTTCTCCGCACGGCGGTGCGAAGGGAGAACATCTTGTCAACCAGCATGCGGCAGCTTCGGGACAGACAATTAGAAAGGGGGGGTAGAACGGTTGACGGGAGAGGAAAGAGAGGAGAAGGAGGAAGCCGAGTGATGAACGTCCCAGTCGAGCGAGGAGGGGAGGAAGAGGGGAGAGTGGAGGGGAGAGAATGAAGAGAGCGAGTCAAACGGAGATGAGGGAAAAAAGACGAAGTGGAGGCGAGAGGATTCTGCCCTTAGTCAGCGCACCGCCTTGACTCACAGTATACGGAGGACTCTTCATACATCTACATCTCTACGAGGCATTTTCTATCTCACTGCATGAATGGTTCACCTCTATCATATCGGTCGTGTCAATTGCTTTTCTATTCACTGGCTGAGCCATTTACCATCCAATCCCTCCCTTTCCCTCCGTCCAAATGTATGAGTGATTAATGACCCGAATCCACAGATCTTGGTCGCTGGATTCTTGGCACCGACTTCGGAGCCGAACAAGGTGACGACTAACGCGGAAAAGATCAGGCAAAAGGACAGTCAAATTGTGGGAAAACAACATGAAAAGGAAAGAGACAAAAAGAGGGGAATCAAATACATCCCAAACACAGTCGTGGTATTGAATCCACCCTGTTCATCCCGGTTGACTCTCGATTTTCATTTTCCGTCCCCACCACTGCCCGAAGCCCAACGGTGTCATTCGTCTTCCGCACGGAATGGAAATTGGCCCTGCACAGAGTCCACCCTCTTCGGGAAAGATTATGATTATCAGATCTCACGGTGGCCCACCGTTGACGAATGATGCTGGCGGATTCAGTTTGTCAAACGGGCCCTTTCGTTATCTGATCTTCTAGCGAAAGCCTCCTTCAGCCTTCTGGTCCACCATGATTCTGCTTCACCAGTCATGAGTCACGACTCGTCGCTCGTCGCCCCATTCGATGGCTTGTAGCCTTGTACACGGCGCACTAGCTCGACTCGGCCCAATCCGCGGACACTCACGAAGGTAGATGAGGAGGGTTTGTATTCGGGTATTAACCTCTCGTCAGGTAAAATGGCGGCCAATTCCGCTCCTGACGTATGGAGGCGGTCTGACATGGAACTAGCTCTGGCAAATTTTCAACACATGGCTATCCAGCAGAGATTTTCACTTCTGATCGACTCCAGGTCTGGAGCGCATTTGGCGCCGCCGCCTTGGTCACGTCTTGGCATTGCACTGGTGATCGGCGGATTTCATCCCTGTTTGAATGGTTCTTAGTTTTCCAGCCCGGATGCTCTCCGAAGGCGAAGGTATTGGGTACTGACTTGATGTGTCGATGTGGCTGTCCATTCTGAGATAAAATTATTGATCTTCTATGTGGACTTCTGCTCATCCGAAGGTAAATCGTAGTGTAGCCAACGCTTTATTACAAGAGGTGTGTCCTCCTACAATGGGATCAGCGAGACGAGCGGTGCTCTATTTATATACTTTCCTAAATCCAAGCGAATGAATCCCATGCTTAAACTTTACATTCCTCCCCTCCCACTTTCCATGGTCGTAGGCTTTTGAAGGATATTTTTAGCCCTTATAAACTGATCAAGTAGCGCGACAGTTATAGATAGTAGGAACGTCACTGAGGAGGAAAGTCATTTCCAGTACAGAAAGTTGACTGGGTGTCACCCTACCCCTAGAGATACATCATTTCATGATGGCCACGGTCTAATGGGCCATGGTCTAATATGACATGATGTTTAAACGACTGTCATGGTGATACTAAGCTCGGATCCTTTGTATACTGTAAATTTGATATATTACCCACTCAGCTGGGATTTATCTCTCGACAGTATATACTGTGACGATCCGTGTCGCTTTTCACTATTGATCAAATTAGATCGATCACCATCAATCCTCCCTTGGAGATGGCATGATAGGGTTATATCTATGATTCCTCTCACGGTTGTTATAGATGATAATATCTTCATTGTCACTCAAAACCTGTACCATGAAGAGAAATAATATAGGCTAATCCAGGGTTGATACCTACTGTGAAGTTGGCTCCCCAATATTGTCCGGCGTAGACTGGATATCAATGCTGTACGCTGTACGCCAAAAAGCTGGATTCTATACTCTGAATAGAAGCCTATTACCAAGGCCAAAACAAAAGTTCCTCCATGGATGGCATCCCTCTGACTATCTCGTCAATATGCCCACAAATATCGGGCCTATCTTGAGATAGGCCAAACGATGTTAGAAATACATTACTCAGTCTATACGACATATCTACCTGGCACTACCGAGCATGTACTAGTATTGCTGACATGCATAGTGACAGCCAGAGAGACATGCATGTTTCCAAAAATGGAAACTATTTCACGTGGGACTAGTAACTATCAAAGCCCTGTGATCAAGTGTCTTTGACCCAGATCTATATTTGGTATATACTGGCTCAATCATATCCCAGCAGATAATTTACGTACGTGGGTATCTACTTATTAGGTATGTACTGAACAAGCACGGCAGTCACTTATTCTATTCTATGAAGACATCCCTATACATACAGAGAGAGAGCATCAGCTATCATCAGTATATCAGCGCTCTCACCTTCTTATATATAAGAAGCTCACTTCTGTAGACAACGACACATTACACTTTGATTCCCCACCAAGCACGTCACAACGCTGATACTCCCCATCAACAGGATAATCAAGGGTCCAAGGCCAGAGGACCCTTAAACTGCCCCGCCCAACGAGTGGCAAACCCTCGCTATCGTAATAAGGCTACACATACCCCTATGACGGTCAACTCACCGATCCTCCTATGATTAATCTTTTTGAGCTTGGGATTGATGGTGTGTTTTGAATGTCAACAATCGGTTTGTTGTTGTAGCTGTGGCCTTTCGAAATATATATATCGGCTCATCGATCTGAGTATCGCCAACACGGGGATGGTAATGCTTCATCGTCAGTGATAGTTGTAGAATCAAATATAGTGTCTTTATGTTGATAGAATTGATTGTATGATATCATGGCTAGAGTTCCATTGCATTCCACCACCGTCCATATTCGATATGGCCGATATAGATGGGTCGTGAAACAAGCCTAAGGCAGCCACTTTCTATTTGTCCTCTATACAAGGGCGTATTAATTACGGAACCGCCATAGTTCGATACGATAATTACTTGATCATGTAGGATAGAACATTCATTATAGAGCTAAGGAAACAGACGGACATAAGAAAGAGACATAAGAAAAAAAGAAAAGCGTACTCAAACACAAGCAAGCACCGGAGTATCATGTACATCTTCACCGTCGACGGATCGTATGGCATGGCCTCATTCCAAAATCAGATCGACTCGCAGCGCCAGAGACATTCGGAGACCAGATTTATTCGTGAGGACAAACGTGGGTGACGCCCGAGGAAAAAGAAAAGCAAAAGAACACGAGGTATTAATGGCTGAGAACAAAGCTTCAACACAGATGATCCAGCTGGAAAAAACATCCATTCCCAAGAAAAACATGACGGTCGCTGCGTTCGTGGCTTATTTTGTGGTGGTGACAACTAGCGGGGGGATGTTAGCACGGTCGCGGGCATTTCCCAAAAGTCACATGGGCAAGACAAACCGGTAGGGACGATAATCACGACAAGCAGGAGGATGACGCAGATGACCAAGCATACACGCATCTTCATATCCTTCCACCACATCTGCTTTCTGACGCGGTTGGCACCCCGACGGAAACCCTGCGCCGAGGTGGCCAGGTTATCGGTCTTATCCTGGAGCGAGTCTAGACGCTCGCCACGCTCCGAGACCTTGAAAATATTCGAGCGCATGGTGTCGACAGTCTCTTGGATTTTCTATTGCGGCGATAACACGTCAGTCTAAGATGCACGGACGAACGGGGTGGCGCGACAGCCATGCAAAATCAGGGGTAGCATCGAGGGGTTCCCAAGTGACCTAGATAGCCCGTAACAGGACGACAATAGGAAATCCTATCCATCTCATCCAACCGAGCCGAACCCCTGATGCTAATCGTCTCCCTGCGGCAGAATATACAAAAGATCGATGGCTCAGCTTACCTTGTCAATTTCGCGGGTCTTGGGGTCGCCATTTTGCGCCGTCTGGCCGGGGGCCCCGTTGGAGCCGGAGGGGATATAGGGGTCGTAGGGTGGCTCAGACATGATTCCGGTTATTTAGGAGGAAGAGAAAGATCGAAGTTCCAAGTCGTAGAACCTGGTGGGTCACCAGATGATCTAGATATGGGGATTCAGGGATCGGTCGATTTCGCGCTGAGGAGGCCGAGAGAAAGGATCGAAACGACGGGCCAAGTAGCACCGAAAGCGACTCCGGATGAAGGACAGGCTAGTGACCAGGGGGAGTCGAGAGGATCGGATGGAGTGGGATGGAGAAGTGAGGGAGGTGTTGTTGAAGTGAAGCTGACAAGTCGCCGCCCGCCTTTGGAGATTACGGGCGTTTCGGTTCTGTCGGGTTCGGTCACGTGATCCTAGCCACCGTAAATGGGAAGGCAGGGTCCAGGCAGCCAATCCGTGCGCTCGTGTAGACGAAACAAAGCGACCCTGAGTTAGACAGGAGACTTTACTGTACTAATATACCTATGAATAAATGTATTTTATATATATTAGATAGATAAATACTGGTGTTTCGAGAAACCGATCGTAGAATTACAAGAAGCTGAAATTAGGTAGCAACGTAATTATTTATATCTCACTATCCGTGGCTATACAAATAGTATCCGGAGTGGAGCATCGTGCGCCTCCCAGTGGCATCATGTGACCTGTCTGATTCAATATCGGGCACTAATAGTACAGACAACGACATGCACGTTATTGAGATACTTGTTGGTACTAGGTGCTTGTGCTGGTACACAGTAGACTGGAAACTGGTTGCTCGAGAAACAGAGGCTGTGCAGGAGAGCGTCCGACCCGCCACTAGTATACAGTATGTGCCACGGTTGCCAGAGTCGGTCTGAGTCTGGAAGCCGATCAGTGGAATGATCGTGGATCCTTGCCAGGTTGACACTCACTCGTCAATGCCCACCCTTTCTGGGTTTAGCATTCAGTCTGCTATCTTCGGTTAGTCTGATTTAATTGTTTCTGCTGAATTGTACGGAGTACTCGAACTCACAGAGGTGATTTGCATCATGTAGGCCTTGTCTGGTTGAATGATTTGATCTCTATAAGTGTACTCTGTAGCGCCAGGACTTGTAATTTTGGTAATAAACATTCTCTCTCCTTGGTCGATCATAACCTATATATACGCATTAATACAAATACAAATAAATAAATAGAAATAAAAAGGATTAGAAGTAATCCATTTCCGCCACGCTGACAGCTAACGCCAGCCCTACATGCTGCAGATCGCGCAAACCAGCTTCAGGTCTATGGCGTCACTGTCAGATTTAAATTTAGTACATAGTAGTTAGCCGCCTAGATCATCAATCCGCAGATAGAATGGTCCTGCAGTAGCAGATCAGGAGCACATTTCCCATCACAGAAACCACCTGAACGCGAGCAGTCCACTTGACATACAGTTGTTTATATCTCCCAAAAAGATCAGACTGACACACTTCGTTAACTCATAAAGCCAGCTTATCGTACAAGTCAAAGGCCATCCAAGCAAAGACCCAATGCAAAGGAGAAATTTTAAGCCTAGCCCGTGGAACACAATTATAAATACAATATCAGGGCGAGCAGATCCTCAGATTTCCGTCCAAAACGAATCCAACCGACACCAGCGTACACAGCAGACGTTCGTCTACCGTGGCAGCCAATCCACCTATTTATCACCCAACAGCTCTTTGCGCATCTCCTCGCGTTGTGTGCGCGCCTCCTCCTTAGCACTGCTGCGCTGCGCTTCGACCTCCGATCGTTTCTGCTCCTGTTGTTCCTGCGCCGCGTACCAAACTAGACAGCAAACACCACATTAGACTCAATCCTTCAAACAAGTAATCCAAGGGTGGACGGGACAACGCACTCGACTTATCCGACTTGGACCACTGCTTTAACCGGTTGACGTAGTCATCGAATTCTTGCGCGCGGCGGTCACCCTCCTCCAGGCTGCGCTTCTGCAGATCGGGATTGTATCGCTTGAAGAGTTCTTCGTCGGTGGGGCGGATGGACTGGACCAGGGCGGGACCGCCGACACAGATGACGATGCCGCTGTAGTGATCACATTGTGTAAGACATAAGATTGATTGAAAAAGTATTGGGATGGGCGGGGTGCGTCTTACGTTCCCAGCATTTTCAACCACGTTCCTGCTCGCGACATGGTGGATATGTGGATGTGAGGGGAGGATGTAAATCAGGCCAATGTTTTCTGCACTAGAAAATCAAGAGTATCTGTAATGGTATGGTTGGAAGGCTGCTGTCGTATGGGTAGTCTGATGAGAAATGCGCATAGGCTGGTTCGCGGATCGGATAGCATCATCGGTGTCGGCCATGTGGCTGTGCAGGACGGTCTGTGGCTTGACCCAGAAGTAACCGTGGCGCAGTAAAAACCGCTTCAAATCAGGTACCAATCAGAACCATCCATCTGCACACTTCACTCCACATAAAAAGTTCTTTTTGCTCCACTTGGTCTGCTTTTCTGTTGGCGCTAGCTTGATCCTGCGAGGCATTTCTATCAATTTTGAGGGACTTGCGGTTGAATGTTTGGGTCTGTGGATGTCTTCTATTCCAATCCTATGACATGACTTTATCGATCGCCTCGGCAAAGGCTCGGCTCAGTCTATAGCTACTGGACAATGGCCCTCATTGAGAAATGTCAGGATGGATGTTGGGATCCTTTCACGCTAAGCACGAGATGATCATTATCTTACGGATTTGGATTTCAAAGGTTTGCTGCGGTGTTGGCACCCGCTAATAGATCCATGTGAACTCTTTGTTTGTTGGTTATTTGTTTATGCATAGGCTATTTATGGGTCATTGACTCCATCACCAACAACAGGAGCCAACATGAACATCCCTTGAATGTCATGGCACGGTCCTCGAGACCATGTTGACAATGGACCCAACGAGCATTCCAGAAGCAAGGAGCGCCCGAGGCTCCACCTCCGCGACGAGATCAGCAATCTGATACGCCCATTCTGCAAGGGCGTGTCGCAAAGGAATCCGGCGCGCTCAGGAGATAAAAGGAATCTGCGGGCTTCAATTGTAGGACAGAGTGGATCTTGGACCCTTGATCGGATTGTGTGACATTCGACTCGTGCTGTTGGGGATGTATTGCAGGGGATATTTATACAATATACATGGCGCACCAACCCCTGATGGACACTATTCAGCTGGTCAAGGGAACCACACCCACTCCACACAGATTTGCTCTGGATATAGATGTCTTTGAGAAGGAGGCATGTGACGATGTCGAGAGTCCCTCCATACACGGTCAGGCGGCGCATGTGGTATTATCCAATCGAGTCTGATATCTACTCGGAAACTTGAACGGATTATACTTCTGGGACGGGACAAGCTATATTAATCATTTAAATTAACAATGTAGAGAAACAGACGGCGGGGCATCTTGGCATAAACCCTGAGACGTGGGTCATTCAATCATTTTCTCCCCATTCATTGCCTGTTCTTTGGTTTGCCTAATTAGCAAGTCGAGGAATGTCTAACGGGTTTTTGGTCCAGTGGCAGATAAACTTTGACAATTGGAAGATGTGCAATTCCAGTCACCTCGGGAAATGAAATGCATTCTCTGTAGGAGAAATAATGATTGTGTTGGGTTTAACGTCTGGTGGATGTGAAGCTGTCTGCTGATTCTTGACCATCCCTCGACGGGCAAAGTACCCGCGCAGTACATTCATTACTTGAACGGTACCTCCACCTCCGACGCCCTCCTAAATTCTATCATTCCCCCCTCATTGCCGACTTCCTTTCCACCTCATTCTCTCTCTCTCTCTCCCCTCTCTTTTCTACCTTCACGTTTATCTTCTTCTGATTCTTTCTGTATCCTTATTTTTCACCCTCTAATTTCATTCTCCTTTGGTTTAGGAATCCTAGCCATACGCTCTTTAGCAGGGAAGGTTGTCTTCCTTTCTGTCATTATCTCCTTCAGGCCGACTGTTTGTCCTCCCCTTTCCAGGTTCCCCTTCATTCCATACGAGAAGCCCAAACCTCACGTCTGTCGCTTGGGAGTGCTGTTTCTAGGCGCTTGGGCCGCCGACCGCGCTCGGGTGCTTCGGTCATTTGCGCTGACTGTGTCGTCTTATTACTACAGGCGCGACAGGCACTGGGCGCATAAACTTGGAGGAAGTGGTCGCGCACTCTTTATGCGCTTGCTGAAGGTTACCCACGACTATCGCTCTTTAGCAACCTGAGATACTAGTAAGCGACCTGTCATGGCCGATTTCAACCCTGTTCGTGGACTAATGTCTAGTTCCTGAAATAAGCAGTGACCCAGACCTGTGACCCGTCGCCGATAAACACTTAGACCACTTTGGATTTTACTTTGGAATAGGGGGGTTCTTGTGACGGAGCCTTCTAATTGACCGACGACCCTGGTCACGTTTGACGCCTAATCCCGGTATTTGCCGCCTTTGAGGCCGCTATGGCGTACCCGCAACAGCGTGCGCCTCCCACGAGGCAATTCGGCCCTCGTCCTCCGCGCGCGGGTTATCCACCCCCGCAGCCAGATGCGTACGCCGACTACGGTTATAACAATGGGTACGGGGAAGGAGGCTACTATGATGAGGCGGGGCAGGAATACCCTCCGGAGTCATACACGCCGAGGTCTCATGGGCCTCCACGAGGAGGTCCCCCACGACCCCCTCGTGGAGGTTACCCCCCCATGGACCCACCACGTGATAGAGGATATGCTCATGGTGGGCGACCTCCGCCGGGCCATGACCCTCGTCGCAGACCGCCTCCAAGAGACCGGATGAAGCCTCGTGAGTGCGACCGTTTCGCGAGTTGTCCCTCCTACAGGTATTGACGTGTGTTTAGCTGGTCGTTCGCCCGCCGATAGGATGCCGCAGGACAATCCGTTCCCCATGTTTCCTCCCCGGGACCCCCGAGACCCCCGCGGACCTCCCGGACCTCCCGGGCCTCCTGGCCCTCCTGGACCGAGGGGGGTAGAACGGGGCATGGCTGCCATGGACATCAATGGTGGAAGGATGCCAGATCGGCCCGGGACCGCCGGCGGAAGAAGGCCGGATATGCCGCGACCGGCGAGGTCAGGGTCTAGCAGCAGGGGAAACTATCCTCCGCCGCCTGGCCCGTCCAGGTCCGCCAGTGCAGGACGCCCGCCCGGTCCCTACGCGGATCCGTATGGCGCACCGCCGGTGCCGGGCATGAACCGCAGCGCAACCATGCCCGTGGGCGCTGGGGGACCGGGCGGCTACCCTGGGCAGTCCAAGTATGAGGATACCGGCTACAGTGGCGGAGACCATAACGATACCGAGGATCTGCTGGACAGCTACTACAACAGCGCCCCAGATGAACCGGACATGCCGAATTTCGATGCACATAAGGGTAGTGCCATCGACGAGAGCCTGCCAGGTCTGGAAACGCCGTCACAGAAGAAACAAGCGGCGACATCGGCGAACCAGTATGCCGCATTCCAGCCACAGCCGGGACAAATGCACCACACCCAGTCGCAGCCGGACTTGAGCCGGGGCGACAAATCAGGTAACCAGCTCGCCCAAGCAGGATTTCAATTTGACCTCCCGGAACCGCAGTCGGCCCCGGCAGGGTATCAGGATGGGTTCGATTTCCATCAGGACCCTTATAATCAACAACCCAACGGACAGTACGGGCCACCCCCGGGCGGTCGCGGGACCCCAATGCAAGGATATCCTGGCAATGCACCCCCGCGGCCATATCGGGCCAACCAGTCGGGGTTCGTCACGGACAATGGTGCGGTCAAGGAACCAGAGGCTATGGATCCTGATCAGAACCCAGATGCGTTGCCGCACCATCCTGCGCCGTTCCGCCCGGGCCATGACCAGGGGAGCAAGCCAGCGCCGGTGCGCCAGTACAGCAACGCCGCTCCCCAAGCAGCCCCTGCGCAGATCCAACCCGCTCAGCGACCCGTCCCTAAGCCTGTTACCCATGAAGAAATCCAGCGGCTGCAGCAACAGACGAAGGGTAAATCCGCCGACCCCAAGCTCCAACTGGAACTTGCGAAGAAACTGGTCGAAGCGTCGACGGTCCTCGTGGACAATGCGCACCTGGACACGAAAGGCAAGGCCAAGGCTCGGGAGAAATATACCAATGAGGCGTACAAGATCGTCAAGAAGTTGGTGTCGAACGGGAACACCGAGGCGCAATTCTTCATGGCCGACTGCTATGGCCAGGGCCAGCTTGGTCTTCAGGTCGACAACAAGGAGGCGTACAATCTGTATCATTCCGCCGCCAAGGCCGGGCATGCGCAGGCCGCGTATCGCGTGGCGGTCTGCTGCGAGATTGGCCAGGAAGAGGGCGGCGGAACCAAGCGCGATGCTGCCAAGGCGGTGCAGTGGTACAAGCGTTCGGCGTCCCTGGGAGATCCCCCAGCCATGTATAAGATGGGCATGGTCCTGTTCAAGGGGCTGCTGGGGCAAACGAAGAACCCCAAGGAGGGCATTTCCTGGTTGAAGCGTGCGGCGGAGCGCGCCGACGTGGAGAATCCCCACGCATTGCACGAGCTTGCCCTCATGTACTCCAATGCCGGCCCCAACGATGTCATCATCCGGGACGAAGCATACGCCAGCCAACTGTTCCACCAAGCAGGAGAGCTGGGGTACAAGTTCTCCCAGTTCCGCCTTGGCGCAGCCTACGAGTACGGCCTGATGGGCTGCCCCGTGGATCCCCGCCAGAGTATCATCTGGTACACGCACGCCGCCGCGCAAGGCGAGCACCAGAGCGAGCTGGCCCTGAGCGGATGGTACCTCACCGGCGCAGACGGCATCCTCCAGCAGACGGACACAGAAGCGTACCTGTGGGCGCGCAAGGCCGCCATGGCGGGTCTACCCAAAGCCGAGCACGCGATGGGATATTTCACCGAAGTCGGGATCGGCGTCGCCGCCAACTTGGACGATGCCAAACGATGGTATTGGCGGGCTGCCGGTATGTCCCCCCTTTCTTCTCGACTGATTCTCCAATAATTCCACAAATACTGACTGTCATTTTAGCCCAAGGATTCCCCAAAGCTCGCGAGCGCCTGGAGGAGCTCAAGAAGGGCGGAGCGCGGATGCAAAAGACGCGGCTGTCTCGATCGGCGGTCAATCAGCAGAAGCAGAACGACGGCGATTGTGTTGTAATGTAGAGTGTAGTTATTATGATATGATATCTTCTTCTTTTCTCTTTTTATTTCCTTTTCTACCTTTTTTTTGGTTAATTGATTCTTTTATGAAGATGGGTGGGTGCAAGCTGAGCAGCATGATACCTTACCCTCTGAACTGGGACCGGTATATTAGCATGGCGTCAGAGTACTAATACTACCCAGTCTCAGTAACACATTCTCCTCATCACCCCCGCCAGTAACCACCATCCAATATCAAGACCATGTAGGTAGACGCAGCCCGAACTAAACCAAGACACCTGATGCAACATCTGCCTAAGGCACCAACCCACGGTCGAGGGCGGAAATGGCGCCGCCCTCCTGACCAATCCGGGCCGATCGGATCAGATAGTTCGCGAAGGGCCGATTGGACTGCCGAAACAAAGAAACGAGTGTCAGCCGGGGATTGATTTGTGATGATTACTCTACTATAGATCTGGACTTTCTTACTTTCTAATATATATACCTTTATACCTTTATACTACCGCTACAGTCAGTCAGTCATTATCATTTGAACAGCGGTACGACACAAGACACTCCCACAGCTAGCCATATATAGCCCATGTCTTCCGGTGCCACTCCAGCAGAAGCAATTCACAACCAAGACCAATACCAGCAGAAACGACCCTCCACAGTCATCCTACTCTCGCTCTTTACTCTCGTAATCGCCGTGCTCGCCGCCACATTTCTACCTGACTCCGACCCAGCCGCCAATCTGTTCCGCTTGAAACGTCTGTTCGCGCCGGCTGCGAGTGCGGGGAGGTCTTCCTCATCTTCTCTGGCTACTGCTGCTGCCACTACTACTACTGCACCCGATAGTACATCGCCAGCGACGAACGGCAAGATGAGTCGGACGCCGGTGTACTTTTTGAGTCATGGGGGGGTGAGTCTTTCTTTCTTATCTCTGTATTTCTTCTGGATATGTTATCCCTATTCGGTGCTATAGGGGCATACGTATGTAGACGCATACGTTTATGTATACGTACATGTATGCTATCATATAGAGTGTCGATAATGGCAGACATAATATGTTCATAACTAACAACAAAAGCCCAACGTCATGTACGACCAGGAACACCCGGCGTATTCAAAACTGGCAGCCATCGGGCGGGAGATCACGACCAAGGTGAAGCCGCGCGCGGTGGTGGTCTTTTCTGCTCATTGGCAGGCGGGGAGGGATACCATCCAGGTGAATACGGCTGAGATGACGGATTTGATTTATGAGTATGTTTCTTTTTATTCTCTCTCCTCTACGATCTTAAGGGTCGTGAAAGTTATAGCTAACCGGTCTGGACAGTTTCTACGGCTTCCCGTCTCATTACTACAAGGAGACATTCCCCAATGTGGGCAGTCAGGAAGTATCCGGTAAAGTACTGGGGTTGCTGAACAAGGCCGGGATCAAGGCCGAGGGGGTGAAGCGGGGGTTGGACCACGGGGTGTGGGCGAGTTTCAAGTGCGGTATGTTGTATTGATGACACTCCAGGTAGTGGTCGTGAGCTGATAGAATCAAGCATTCGAACCCGAGTCGAACCCGCTCAACGTGCCCATCGTGCAGGTGTCGCTGTTCGGTACAGAGGACCCAGTGCAGCACTACAGACTGGGCGAGGCAGTGTCATCCCTGCGCGACGACAACATCCTGATCATCGTATCCGGCATGGCGGTGCACAATCTGCGCGACCTGATGCGCGCGTTCGGCAGTCCCAAGCCCATGCCGTACACAACGAGCTTCGACGAGGCGCTGAAAGACGCAGCCACAAAGCCGCCGGCGGAGCGGGAGCAGGCCATGGCGCAGCTGCTGAAGCGCGGCGATGCCCGCCAGGCGCATCCGTCTTTCGAGCACTTGCTTCCGATCCATATCGGGGCGGGGGCCGCGGGCGAGGATCTGGGGAGGAGACTGTGGACGTATAAGGATGGGAGTATGAGCTGGGCGCAGTATCGGTTTGGCGATGTGGCGGGTGGTAGTAGCTCGCTGTGAGTGAGTGTGGAATTATATAGTGTCGCCTCTCGGAGGATATGGGATATATGATGCCGGTAGTAAGAATTTTCTTCTCCATTCATCTATAGATACAGTGGTGGACAATGGTGCATGAACATGAAACAATCTAGGTAGGGCGCTATGAAGACGCCTTCACAAGCTGGGTGACTTTCTCTTCGATCTGCTGGTCCGTCAGGCCTATAAAATTGGATTAGTAGGCGTTCGTTTGTGTCGTACACAGCATGGGAGTCCTACCGAGCAATGCCTCCTGCTTCTCTTGTCCAAGTGCTATAATTCAATCCGCGTTAGCTTTATATCATATCGACAAGCCAAAACTGGCATACCGTATCTGGCATACACCCTGGGCAGGGTGCCGCCGGCCTCTCGCATGAGGATCGGGGTGTGCGGGTTGTGCTTCTTCATGGTCGGGTAGGCGCGGTTCAGGAACGAGCTAGACAGACGGAATAATCAGAGACGCATTCCAGCGATATATCTATGCCATGGATAGTACTCACCGAACACCGGTGCTCTGCTCAGAGGTCTGACAGAAAAGGAAGCGCAGCTCCTTCAGGCCCTTGGCGAATGCGTATTTGGAGGACATTATGGCGGGAGGTCAACTGAAGAGAGGCAAAACCGGCGAAAGAGAAGACAACGCGTAGTACTGCCCCGATGAGCAATTGGGTATCTGGAGGCAATGGGGGGTAATGAGGCCGACGAGGGGAGAAGCACAGCAGGCCGACGATGAGGTCTGAGAATAGACCAATTGGGACAAGCGGGATTGTCACGCTGAGTCAGCAGTCACCACTTCCAAACAGAACAAACACATAACAGTGCAAACAACACAAACAGGCCGACACCGGTCGGAGTTCGCCATGTTGGAGAGTTTCGTTGGGATTTGAACGTCAGGAACGATATTTATCAGTTGCGATTGCGATCTCAGGTTCGTGGCTTACTCCCTCCTTACGTTATAAAGTGCGGTTGAGCGACTGGCTCAGCTTATCCATCCTCACCGAGCGTACCGCTAAGAGTGCTCACTCTTGGCAGATTTCGTTTCCCGCTCTCTTTCCGCCGCTCTTCTTCCTCTTCCTACACACCGTCCCTGGCTGGAGATATTACACCATGTCGTCGTCCCGTCTTGGTTTCCGATTCTTCCAGAACAGCCGTGCGGCTTTCCGCAATGGCGCTGGTCCCTTCCGTCGGCCTGGTGCCCAGGGATTCCGCTTCCAGAGCAGCGACGCCGCGTCCGAGCAACAGAGCACTTTTCGGCGCATGTGGGACAGCCCTATTGGCGTCAAGACGGTTCATTTCTGGTATGCCCTTCAATCCTATTTTCTGAACGAGGCGATCGCTAATGATGGACTGATGTGTGTAGGGCCCCTGTCATGAAGGTACGTTCGACCTGACAATAAGCATCGATCGTCACGCGACCATAAAACATCGCAACCTCCTTCCCTTGCGCTGTCTCCTCGAACCCATATACTGATATACCCGTCACAGTGGGCGCTGGTCATCGCCGGTATCTCCGACTTCAGCCGTCCCGCTGAGAAGCTGTCCCTTACGCAGAACGGTGCCCTGACGGCCACCGGCGCCATCTGGACCCGCTGGTGCATGATCATCACCCCGCGCAACTACCTGTACGTTTGATCCACTGCTATCATACTGGGGGTTATATAACTAACACAGACAGTCTCGCCGCCGTCAACTTCTTCCTCGGATGCGTCGGCGCCGTCCAGGTCACCCGTATCTTCAACTACCGCCGTAGCGTGGAGGGGTCCTCCAAGGAGGCCCTGAAGGAGATGGAGCACGAGATGGTCGAGCCGGCTAAGGCTGCTGCTCACAAGGTGGAGGCCGCTATTGAGAAGAAGTCTTCGTGAGCTTTCTTGGAGCGGTGTATTTATCGTGTCTATACATAGAATCTTGGTAGGGTTTTGCTCAATGGTATAAAATTCGTCAGTCAGGAGTCACCGCGGGAAGTGGGCTGTGAACAGTTAGCACTGCGTACAGCGGGCCTTACCATAGCTTATCTGTAAAGGGGCTAAATCATACTTCAGTGGGACTATAACCCATCACACCATCTCTAATTAGCCAGTAGAAAGGTAAGAGGTTTAACGAAACATGTCTACCGCTTCATTACCCAGAGACAGGGCAGTTGACAAGGTTCTGCACATGCATCCCTATGCAGGAACGGTTCAACCAACTCGTTCTGTACTACACCTATGCCCGACACTCGCAGGGAGGCCAACGCTGGAAGATACTACGAGGCAGGGCCCGCGCGCAGGTATGATTCACGATAATACGGTTTGGCTGATCATAATGATACAGACCAGCAGTGAATATACGCACTGGTGCCTTGAAAGTAGCGCTCTGCTGAGTAGATAGACATACACGATAGCAGGTGGCACGAGTTAGAGAAGGAAGGTATATATGATCAAGTGTGAGATTCTACAGATGCGAGAAGGATAGTAGACTTGGATATTAGTGTTGTCTTATCCAAAAGGGTGGAACTGAGTCTGGGTATGCGTTTTTCCAATCATGTTTGATATATCTGCAATATGATGCTCTATATCCTGGTTTTCAGGGTGAACTTCTACCAGCGACTGTGGATCAGACATGAGATGGTAGATTATAGTCAAGTGCCAGTGACTCACATACTTGCAATACAATTAGTTGAAACAGTTTAGCTAGTTGGGTTTCTATGCTAATTGAATGCAAGTAGTGAGTGCTGTGCTATTGATATGCATGAACCAAGGGAAACCTCATCTGCACGGTACTGGGCCTTGGAGGTACAAGGAGACTGGAGCTGCTTTTGTTTCAATACTCACTTTACAAAAGTAGATACTAGGCCGTCAGTAGGTGTCACTGAATTGGATATGGCATATATCCGAGAGGCACAAAATATGAACCAGACAGCATCTTCCTTGCGTTGCTTGGGACTGGATGGGTGTATACACGTTATGATCTGATGACTTGTATTCAATAAAATGGGGTTTGGAAGTTGTTATTATATGCGAACCGTATCAGAAAGACAATGGCTAGATTTGAATCTGGCTAGGTTCTTGATTTATACGATAATTCCACTACCCCGTGTCAATAGATGCCTTATATCCTATCAAATAGGCCGATTCAGGCATCGCTACTATTCTCCATCCCAACCCCTGTCGGACGAGGATCGAAAAGGATCAGGAACTGTCTTGGTACACTATATGTGCGCCGATCTCCCGTCGCTTGTCGATCTTGTTGCTAGTCTACAAAGTACTTCATAGAGCAATTTGATATCCAGCTGAGTTACGTCTATATTGGCACTTACTGAATACAACGCCCATAAATGAAAGTCTGTCAGTAATTCTTCTAGTTTACATAGCTGTCGTGAAGATGTTGAAGAGGAACAAAGATGATATAGGCTTCTGCCTGGAAAGGTGGAAACAATGGGCATGTGGCGATGAAGACCGCCTGGATGTAGATGGTAATTGTCAGTTATCACAGAATGTAGGCTGAGCCTTGCCACGAAGCTCTGCGGTCGTGCTTCCTCACTGTGACACCACATGGGCCCTACCCCACTGGTTACGACGCCTGCATATGACCTGTAATGCGAACACCTAAGAACGGAATAACCTCACGCGAAAGATTAGTAGAAACCAACTTCCCTACCCGACATTCAAGCATAACAATCATGAATAGGGCTATAATCCAACCATCCAACCATTCTCGACAAAGCCAAGCACCAGATTAATACATTGGTAAAATCTACACCGCGGCGTCTCCAAACACCAACAAAACTGCTGCCTGAAACAGACAGACCCACTCACCCCTAATCGGTGAGCCCACCGGGAGGTCAGCATGCGCGGTATGTGCAACGAAGGCCATCCAAGCCACAATGCTGCGATGTGAACTGTACAAGCGGTAAGCAGCGACCTGTATATAAAGGCCTAGACTAGCCTGCATCTTTCGAACTCTTCTTTCCCACCACACGATCCCAATCCAAAGCAAGGAAGCAAGAAAGCAAGAAAGAAAAAAAATGTCCTTCCACCTCTCCAGCCACGACGTCCACATCCGCGAGGAAAACGGCTCCACCATGCTCCTCGCCCAAGTCCGCGACCACACAGGCAAGCTCTGCTCTCGCAAGATCCGCTTAGACGACCACATCGGTAACTCGGACGGTGAGCAACATTTCCCAACCTTCTTTATAACATGACAGCCCACGAACTCGCCCGTCTGATGATGCCTGACAGGATACTTCATCTGGGACGGAGCCAACTTCACCCGTTCAGCGAGGAACATTGGGCTGGAGGCGTCGGATCGTGGCCCGAAGCTGACGGCTGATCTGGAGATGCATGGGGGTGGGACGAGAGGGCGTCAGGGCCTGTTTCTGGCGGATAAGATTGCGAATGTGGATGGACATTTGAAGTTCTTGGTATGATCTCTCATTCTAGGAAGTTGTGTTTGGGGGTTTAGTGTTGGCATTTATGCTGACTTTTGTTACTATTCTAGGGAGCTTGAGTGGGAGATTAGGAAGTGGAGTGTAGGAAGTAGTAGCACTGAAGGGTTTATAATTGTTGTTTGAACGAAATACATTGTTTATATTATCTTTTGCAGCCAGTCTTGATCCAAGATTGTCGTACCCCAGAGGGAGTCATGATTTGTAAAAGAGCAGTAGAACTAGTAGTGGACCTCTGATATGGGAAGAGTAATGAAATAGATGAGGTTGATAGAGTCTATAAGATAAGAGATGGAAAGTGGTAAGAAGAGCAATTCTAGACTAGTAGCTTTGCAATCAACTGGCAGTGGCCGTTCGACTGATTGCATGCACCATCCTGTTTCAGAGCGATAACCATTCCTTGTTTGGAGTAGATAAGCAAATGTACTTGACGTGGCTGGAATATAATTTTGTGCTGGCAGAAATGCAGTCAAGCATCTATACATCCTGCGACCAAGCTATTGCTTAGATTCGGCCACATTTGATAAACTTGATGACTACCATAGAATACTTTAGCAACAAATGTTACACATAAACATACGACTTTCTCTTATCATGTCAAGGTTTATATGCGCTATTAAATCATGGGGTGATATTGAAGGTATGAGATAGGCTTGACGTCGGGAACCACTCGACACTGTTCAAGATAAGTCCAGGCCTATGATGGCCCTCGATGGGTGAGTAGGGAAAACAATACCCCCCTCCCGGAAATCAATCGTTAATGCTATTAGACTTCTGGGGATATCCCAGATAGAGACATCTGCCCATCCAGGCAGCGCGAGAAGCTTCGGTAGGCCATGCCCGGGATGTTATTTCTCCACCACGGCCACTGGGGAATCGTTCTGACCCCATTGAAACTGCTGTTCAAGGACCACTCGATCGTATCCACCAGACTCGGCCGGAAGTATTATACCTGGTTTGCTGTTGGTGGGGATGGCCGCCTGCTTGCTGAGTAGCTTCCCCCGCACCGTGGTTCGTACCAGCAGAATCGACGGACCTGGTAACCGCGAGAACGGCAAAGATAGGAAAGCCTATGGAAGAAAATTTAGGTTCCAGACTGACCCGTGGGTAGAGTACAATGCGAATATCAGACTAGACCCTTGTGTATTCCGCAGACGGACACGCGGAGAAACATGGCGTGCATTGGCGGCGAAAGGATTGGTCTGTCATGGACAAGGGCATTCGGAATTCTTGATCATCCACTGGGTGGGATGGAGAGACATACCTGGGATTTGATGTACGCTCTACCTTGTTTGGGCAAAGCCAAGGAACTTTAACTACAGATATGGACGAACACTGGGAAGAGGAGAGTGGGGACGGGTCTGGATAACGATTCCACCAGTTGCCTCGTGGAAGAGATGTCCTACTGCTGGTGGCTGGGACAGCCCGATACCTACCGGTGGTGAGTAGATCCTCGATCGTTTCCATCGTACAAGACTAGGGCTTGACATAGAGAACTGTGGGGTCCGACAAGGGTGACTGTGGAGTCCGACAAGGGTGTTGAGATACACTAGATCCATCTATCCTGGATATCGACATGAGAATTGTGTAACATGGCCTGATCAACACCAGAGTCATCAACCCAACACACTGGTTAGCCCCGACTAACAGAGGTGGGTCTGCTTCGGCCGGTTCCAAGCTTGGATGAAGCTCTATACAAAAGACTGTCGCCACACTGACCCACAATGCTAAACCACCGTGGGGCGATCGGTCCTGCGAAAGTAAACCAGGTCAAGTCCAGAAAACAAGGCAAATTGTTCCAGGCCTTGGAATGAATCACGACATGGGAGATACTATACACGAACTTTTTCCTAGTTGGGGTTAAGAAGCTGGACGACTAAAGCTATAATACCCGGTTTCACCAATACATCCACTAGAGAGTACTAGGGTTATCCACTATCACGACTCGACTTGATGTCGCCCTTCCTTGTGGCCAGTGTCCTGTCTACTCCCTGAAGCTGTGGTCCGATTGAACAATTGACAATCGAATAACCTTATTTAAGCGAAAGTCAACCAGATACACCCAATTCCCACCTAAACAGCCTATCATGTAACTAAAGTAAGAGATGCGTTACATAATCTCCAGAGTGTATACACGTGACCAGTGGTGGGGAAACCGATTCCGATCCAATCTGAGGCTTCATCGCGCTCTCCATCCATGATTCATCTCTCTCGGGCCTCCCCGTTTTGAGGCGGTGCTATTTCTGGTCGAGACTAACATCGCACTAGTATGGAGGATCCTGCAACCTCGTCTAAAGAACAACTATACCTATCTCAGTGGGAAGAGAAAAGGAGGAATACGAGTCCACGGCCGGTTTGCCAACAGGGCAAGCAAATCCTCATCCTCGATTCCCACCAATCTGGTGCAGACGATGGCCGGGAGTAGGACTATCTCGGCCAAATGGACCCACGGAACACGGTCCAGAGAATTTGGCACGGATGGCTGACCCAGAGTTTCAAAAGCCGTCAATGACCATCATACCGTTGCTTGGACCCGCTTTTTAGGTCTCGGGGTCTAGATCTTTTCCCCCAGACGGTGGTCGGTCGGTCGGAGGAGGCCCTTATTTCAGCCCAATCTTGTCGGCTACAACTCTCCGGTTGGCGCTGTGGTTCTACTTAATTCAGCCCGGTGATCGCCGCATCCCTGTTACTCCACTGCGTTCTACTTCTACAGGTCAGACAGAGCGCTCGCACAGAAATTGGTTTTGGATGGTGCGCATTCCTGAGATACAATAGAACCCGGCGATGGTGTTATTGGACTCAGCAGATTCCCATGATTATTATACTCGGTCTTTCCCAATTAAGCAGCCGCCGTCTCCAGAGCTGCCGTGGTATGTGTGGATATCAACATCTTCCTCGTGAAGCCAAGGATGATGGGACACTGGCTAACGCTCGTTGTGCGTAGGATAAATCGTACTTCCTCCGTGACCGCGACCCATGGCCTGCAGAGTCACGGTCTATCTTCTGCCCCCCCGATGCAACGACGGGAGTCCTCGTTGACTACGCCCATGGCTGCAGATCCAGTCTTGGCTTCTCTCGCTCAGTTGGGTCTCTATCGCGTCGGGTGTAGTAACGGTTTTGTCGCCCTCAACGAAGGCCAGGAAAGCCACATCGTTGTCGGTGTAACGCCCCATTCGAGACATGGACATCACGATCTCACGGGCCTGGGAACAAAGACGCTTGGTCTGGGGCTGAAAGGCGATGATCCTGTCAATACTTCCAATGTCGCGGTCGACGTCTCGCGCCGTATTGTGCATGACATTGCCCGAGAAGACGGTCTAAGGAGCCATCCGTTCGTGCGACAACACCCGAGAATTCGATTCTACGCCGAAGTCCCCCTGTACAGCCCTGATGGGGATATCCTCGGGACGTACTGCGTCGGCGACCAGCGCCCTCGTTCGGTGTTTGAAGCGGATGAAATCCAAGAGCTACGCGATGTTTCCGCATCCATCGCAGTTCACCTGGAGGGCGTCTGGGCCAGACATAACCACAGCCGATCGGACCGCTGGTTGCATGCGTTGCTTTGCTTAAGCGACGGCTGGCCGGATGGAGAATCGCTACGGTCTACTAGCAAACGGAATAGCGTTGTGGATAGGACCTCTCGGGGATCCTCGGAAGTGCCGGAACTCAGACGACTATCTATATCGACCAAGTCGACACGCGATCTGTCGCCCAAATCGATCAAGGGCCAGCAGACGGACCATGGACCCACAAATGTACCAGAATCTCCATTCTTCAAGGATTTTTCTCCGGAGCCTATGATTCCACCAGCGAAAGAGGAACACCAGGAGCACGTCAGGCGATGTTCTGATGAACTTAATAACCGCATTTCGGTGTCCGAGGGCGGCGGTTCTTCCCATCAAGCCTCCCTACTATTCTCCAAAGCTAGCGTCTTGCTTCGGGAGAGTCTGGAGCTTGACGGGGTTATCTTTTTCGATGCCGCGCGAAGCAACTCGCGGTCCAGCTCGTCCGCCAGCGCCAGCGATTGGGACAAAGACTTTGACCCGGCTAATGCTTCCCAACTCTCTGGGTCCAAGTTTCAGCCTCGGTGGTCCAAGAAATCATGCGAGCCCTTGGGTTTCGCTCTGTCAGGGACGCTTGTCGAGAGCCGCATGGCAATGTCTCGAATCTCGGTCTCTGAGGGTCTCCTTCACGACCTGTTCACTGCTTACCCCCAAGGAAAGATATTCTATCCCCTTTCATTGAATACAGGCACGCGGAGACAAAGCGAACAGAAAGAGCTTATCCATCACACGACCGCTGCTCGCATCGCCCACGAGCTTCCCGAAGCTGCGTCGGTCATATTCTTTCCACTCTGGAATTGGGATACATCACGGTGGCTGGCGGGCACCCTCCTGTGGACAAGAGAGGGTAAGCGGTTACTCGGACCGGAAGATCTCGCATTCTTGAGGGCTTTTGGAAGCACCCTAGCTGCTGAATTCTCGCGGATGGACTGGAAATCAACCGAAAAGTCGAAGTCGGATTTACTCGGCTCGGTTAGCCATGAACTGCGCTCCCCCCTACACGGCATGCTTGCTAGCGCAGAGCTCCTTCAGACGACCAACCTCGAACCGGCGCAAAGAGATATGGTTACCATGGTGGAAACGTGCGGCCTCACCCTCTTGGATACGATGAATTACCTTCTGGACGTCACGAAAATCAACAACCTCACCCGCGTTCATAAAAACGACGAGGGGCTTGACGAGGTACACTTCGATCGCCTGGCTTCTGAATTCGCGCTGGATACTCTGGTTGAAGAGGTGACCGAGTCGCTATATGCTGGCCATCGGTCGCTCATGAACGCCTCCAAGGTCGCTGGTCGGTATCTCGCCGATGGCAATGGAGGGGGAAGTGAACCCGCCGATGACAAGCAACAGAAGAGGTCTGATAGTCTCTCCGTCATTCTCCGGGTTGATGACTTGGATTCCTGGACCATCAAGTCGGTATCTGGCGGGTGGCGTAGGCTTGTTATGAATCTTCTGGGAAATGCCTTCAAGTTCACCCGATCAGGGTTCATTGAGGTCCACCTGACCAAGGATGTGCAAAGGACGGTAGACGGCAAGACTGTGTTCGCACGCCTGTCCGTCACCGACACCGGATGCGGGATGTCACCCGATTTTTTGGAACACAATCTGTTCAAGCCTTTTATCCAGGAGAGCTTCTTGACCGAAGGGGTCGGACTCGGCCTCAGCATTGTGGAAAAGCTCATCACTTATCTGGGTGGAACTATCCATGTCAAGAGCGACGTTGGAGTGGGAACGCGCATGGAGGTGTGCATTCCCTTGGAGTTTGCGTCTCAGCCGCCCGTCCCCCAAGTCATCACGCAGGGAGCTGGCCCAGGGGCGCGGACGGTAACACGGGTGTGTTTGGTCGGATTGAGTCCCGTCGTGGACTTCAAGAGTGCCCCGGACGGTGTTTTGACTGTTGAAGCCAAACGCAAACTTTCTATTCGAGCGGCTCTGAGCAATGTCCTCCTCAGCCGACCGGGATGGGCGCTGTCGTACGCTGACACCCTCCGAGAAGCCTCCGGCGATGTCGCCGTGATTGAAGAAACCACCCTGAAAAATATTGCCAGCAATGGCCCGATGCATGCCAACTTTAGGACCATCATTGTTCTTGGGGACCAGGGAGTCTCACTACCAGAAGAATTCACCATTGAAAACGCACAGGTTATATATTTGGCCCAACCGTACGTTTCCCCAACCGGACACCCAGCTTCGAATTTACCGCTAACGAACCCCAGCATCGTCCCACGGCGAATGATCGAAGCACTGAATAGAATTCTCGTGGAGTCCCAGCAAGATCCGGGCTTCGCGGCGCTGAGTCCGGTGTTTGGACCCTTCCCGGGGACCGCAACTCGCGGGCGCAGCCTGTCGGAGGCATTTGCGTTAGCCAAAGGCATCGAGTCCCCGCCTGTGATGCGGGAAAACATGGCCGAATATACGCCACCGCCTCAGCAGCACGAACAGCAGGAAAGAGAGCTGCGTGTTTTGATAGTCGATGACAACGAAATCAATATTAAGGTGAGTGCAACTCATAACCCTGCCTCTTTGGTGGTACGTGGTACTGACAGCCCCTAGCTCTTAGCCACTTTCATGCGCAAGATTGGCTGCAGCTATGAAACAGCGACCAACGGGCTTGAAGCATGGGAGAAATACAAGACCTCCTCCGGCGGCTTCGACTATGTATTAATGGGTACGTCCCCTCCCCTCACTTGCCCTTCACACCCAATTCCACCGAAGGCAAAAGACTAACAAATTATTTAGACATCTCCATGCCAATAATGGACGGTATAGTCTCCTCCAGCAAGATCCGCGAATACGAAGAACAGCATGGCCTCGCCCGGACAGCTATCATGGCCGTAACGGGCGTCGCGTCCAGCACAATGCAGCAGCAGGCATTTGCAGCGGGGATCGACGATTACCTCGTGAAACCGCTTTCTCTTCACGACTTGAAACGAATTATGAATATTGCATGATTGTTGATATCAATACTTTGGATTGGGTGTGTATGTATGGTATGGTGTTTTTTCCCCTATACGGGGTGGTGGTGCATATGCTGTAAGGGGGTTGTATATAAGTTTTTGGATGGGAGTATATAATTATATATAGTTTAATATAGATATCATCATGATTTGATATATACAGACAAGACTGAGTGTTTCAATAGCAATATAGATCTGACGCAGTCAACTGTAGCGTCGCACGCCAGACATGGATAGAAGCGCGACTCGAAGATAACATTTCCACATTGCAAGGTGTAGTACTTTCATAAGCAGCGAGCAAATTGTGCAATTGTGAGACATGCAAACAGCCAACATTAGCTGCCTTGCAGGGGTCTTTTCCTACATAAATTACTGTTTCGACTATTCATGTTTTTTGCAACTATTTACTCCGCAACTCTTTCTACAGCTTGAATAAACATCCAATATCATCAATATTTTGACTGTTTTCATGACTCCCGCAAAACCAAGCCTGTTCGTGGGCTTCTCTGTAATTATTCTGTCAAAGTGGTTTACTTCCTGTCTCGTTCCCAAGAAGTTTCTCTAGGAAAAACTTGTTCTCGCCCCAAGGCACTAACTACTCCTTCAGCTACTAGCTACCACCACCACCCAATACGAGTCAGATGACATTTCCAACCCTAGGTGTCTACCAACCTGCCTAGTAACTCCAATCTTTAAACACAGGATTCAGTAGTCTTTTATTTCCAACCCGTTGGAGTATGTATTCTTCCTTCCTGGCTCTCATAACTGCGCACAAAAGATGACAGGCTCTTGTCTTCATCCTCATCTCCAAAGTATATGTTGCTTCACCCCCTTCCGTCGCCAAGAAAGCTAGTTACGTGACTACCTAGCTTGATATTATATCCCCTTAGGTCTATGCGGACTTGTCCCTGAATTCTCTAGTTGGAGAATACCATATATGCAGGGGCTAAATCTTCAGGAGGCCACAAATAAACGCCGATGGCCGAGGTGACCGTTTACGGAACGAGGATAATTAGTATATCTAAGTAGAAATATAACGTGTTATATCGACGTGCCATGAAGAAAGAGGTTTCCTACATCGGCACGAGAGAAAGCGCCGACGAACGACCAACTATGGGTTAGGATTGTGGGTCTTCCTTCCTAGTGGACAGAAGAGGCTAGACTGTCAAAGGATGGAGGAAAGCGAATCAGGGACTGGTGTCTGCAGTGCTAGTTCCTGGGCTAGGTGAAACATTTTGGGGCCGTTTGTACTATATAGGTCTTGTGGTTGGACTGTTTGAGCTGGGAAGGTGGCTGTGCTATGGGATGTAGACTTTTGATTTTTGAGGGGTTGGAGGAATGGGATGGATTGTATGATTTCATTCAAGGTGGATCTATGGTATTGAGATCTGTGATAATTTGGGCAAATGAGTGGGTTGTCTATGTCAGATTAATGCCATTATCCGAGCTCCTGTTAAGTAATTGCAAACATATCACTCAAACTTGCAAACATGATCGTATCCAGATAAGTACATTAGGGCCTGAAAAGTGTGTACATGCCAGGCGGGAAAAAAAAGAAACCAATTGATCCTGACTTTCTCGTTAAATCTCTCGCGGTAGTGCTTAAGCGCGGCGCTGGGAAGTCTTCTGCCGTCTTGCGAGCTTTGCAGCTCTGGCCTGTTTGCTTTTCTTGTTGCTGCACACTTTGGGGCCTGTGCCAGCGCCGGAGCCGCCGTTGGAGTTGCCGCCGGAAAAACCACCGCCAGAGCTGCTATTAGATTTGTCACCAGAAAAGTCGTTACCAGAGCCACCGTTAGAGTTATTGCCGGAAGAACCACTGCTAGAGTCGCCGTTAGAGTTGTCACCGGAAGAGCCACCACCAGAGCCGCCGTTGGAGTTATCACCGGAAGAACCGCTGCCAGAGCCGCCGTTAGAGTTATCGTCGGAAGAACCACTACCAGAGCCGCCGTTAGAGTTGCCGCCGGAAGAACCACTGCCAGAGCCGCCTTTGGAGTTATCACCGGAAAAGCCACCACCAGAGCTGCTGTTGGAGCTGTTGCCGGAAGAGCCACTGCTAGAGCCCAACAGCTTCGACAAAAGCGTATCACCCAGATCCTGGAGACTCTGCTCGAATTCATCGTAGCTCTTAGCATCCCACGCGGCATTTTTACCGGGCACGGCCTCCTCTCCGGAGAACGCGATATAAAGCACATCCTGCTCACTGTATCCAGAGTCGGCGCTGTACTTCTCCCCAAAGCACATGTCGGCCATAGCAAGACTTGCCTCGCCAACGAGCGGGTCGCCGTCGTCACCGTTCGTGTCGCCCCAAACGCCATACACCAGACGGTCGTTGCAGACGACGGCAACCACGCTCAAGGGCTCAATCCCTTCCTTCTCGGGTAGGAAAGTCGCCTTGCCGTCCTTTCGCTCATTGCCGAGTACCACGTAGGGGTGAATGTAGGTGTCCAGGTCGGGAATGCCCATCTCCTTGACCTCGTCCTTGTACCGGGTTTCGTACTGAGTGTCATCATCGCCACCACACCGGTCGTTTACGTCCTTCTCTTGTCCGTCACAGTCGATGTCCATGTTTGCGAGTTTGTTGCCGGGCCCCTTGAGGTAGAAGCCCTTGTTCTCCATGAACTTGTTGCAGTAGCCGAAGCTTGGGTCTTTCTTGTCGTCGTCGTAGAAGCCTCCTGCGAGGAGGTTCTCGCCCTTACAGTCGCCTGCGCTCTGGACCTTGTTGTAGAACTCCTTGAGATTCGGGGGGACTTCGCGGGCGGCGAGGGTGAAGGGAGCGAACAGCAAGCCCGCGAGGGGCAAAGCTGCCGTGTTCTGGTTGAATTTCATTGTGGACTTGGTTGCGGCTTTTGTCCGTAGTCCAGAAAAGTCGTTGTGGAAAAAGGACAAGCATCCATGGTTGGAGTCGTCGCTTTATATCGTAGTTCGCAGCCTTCTGATACTTGGTATTCGGAAAGAAGTGAAACCCACAGAGTTACATATTGGGGGCCGAACGTCGATCTAAATCCTTCGCTATGTCTCATGCCCACTGCTTGAGATTTGTGCCTTGGAGCGGAATTTATTCACCACAACCGGCCCGGTCTGGTATCCCCACACAACGCGCGCAGGATTGCGGCTAAACACAGTGAGTTTTCTCCGACCAGCACGACGATGTATGCGACATTCCGCCCGATAGATGTTTTACATCTGCCGCATTGAAACATAATCAACAAGGGAATAGAAAATAGAGCGTGGTAATAAGCATGCGATATTCCGGGCCGGTTGAAGACATGTGCTCGCAGGGCTTGCCGATCTGCCCCCAACAGGATTGTGTTCTGGGGAAAGTGATCAGTCGATGGGGCTAGACGCCCCGCCTCACGCAACAAGATTATGTTAAACTCAGTTACAGTCCGGCCAAATGTGGGCCTATATTCGTCATTCAATCCCTCTGGATGTCGGAGCTTCATCAAGGGATCGACCCGGCGATAAGCCAGGCTGGTTGAGAGGTTTGGCGGGGCACCCCGCGTGTATCTCCCCTTGTTGTGGGCTCTAAGCCATGACTGGCATCCTTCCGACGCGCCAGGTTGCCCCGATTTAAGGGGGTTATCAGTCGACAAGCTGTGTTAGGCTTGGAGCCAGCGCCTGCCATCCTACCGGGCCAATGATTCTTGTCTTCGGTGGGGGGTTGTCCATTCGGTGACCCTCTCTTCTGTTTCATGAACTGTTAGCCGCCGACGTACTCGCATACATATCAGGAAGGATGAAATGGTGTCAGAAAGAGTTATAGGCCGCGGGCAAGGACGTTATCCAGGGATTTTCGTGCAATTGACACCAACCCGAGGCACGGACAACGCGAAGACGCGGGCGAGCGCGATCCTACAAGCGCCCTCCTATATTGACACAATCCTTCTAATATCAACACAAGAACTGATAAGTACCGTTTATTTTCTATGGTCCGACTTTTGACCCTAGTGAACGGTGTCCACGTCCACTGTCCAGGCGATGGCTCGCACGGTGCAGCCATGCTCCTTGAGGCTGATCCATCGCTTTCGTCGCATAGTCGATAGCAGGATATTTCTGTTAGTTTATTGGATTGAAACCCTGTATATGACTGCCTAGTCGTCCTGTGTCCAGGTCAGAAGGGGATCCTTCAAAGAACGAATCATAGCCGGACCCATGCTTTTCTATGACAGAACTAGTCAAGTTGTTTGCATCGGTATTACTCCAGGAGAAATGGATAGAGTATGGTGCAGCTGGATAAGAAGATCCACGACAAGGGTGACGAGGGAAACTTTTGACAGGGTCGAAGAGTATAGATGTGCGACATGTCCAAGATGTAATCACAAATGTCACCTGATTGATTATGCGCTTTTATGCCGCTCCCGCAGTGGAGTATGAGCTGTATGAGTCCAGCTTGAAGATCAAACATGTTCAATATGCTGAAGCTACGATACTCATCTATGATTGAGATTATTATGATGTGTTATTTTCTGTCCCCAATCTATCCCCATAGATAGCGAAGGATCTACGCACAACAAAATATGCGACCGCATTAGTCAGGTTGGGGAACTCACTACACATTTTGATCATGTGAGAAGCCTGAAGCCCTAAAGCCGAAGGCCTACGTCTCTCTCTCGCTGATCAATTGCGGCTGGAAACAACTAATGAGTTGTCCCTTCGCCTCTACTAGTAATATTTCAGATACTGTGGGGTAGCTGAGATCCGATCGCGATTATGTGGGTCTTTTCCATGATAGGCAACTCTTTCTCTTCAGCTTCTATCGCAGGTTCAATGAGCCAGCGAGTCAGCCGCGATTTTACGCCGACTAAGAGCGAGCAAGAGAGAGTCCACCATGGACAAGATCGGCACCATATCGAGCAATGGGGATGCTACGATCGCGAAGCGGCGACTCAAGGGGCTGGTATGGCATCTCGAAATCGTGGCTGAGGTGGGCCTGCTCCACACCCATACTGTGGTGATGTCACCGTACCTCGCTTCTGAATGCATCGATGCAGGGCCGCCTGGATTATATCATCCACCATCGGGTATATAACGCACATGGTCACCCAGGTTTGCTCATGCGACCACTCTCGAGCTCACCAATTGTCTTCCTCAAACATCACGAAATCACCATGGGTTACTCCTTCACAGTCTACAAAGGATCCAGCGATGGGTCCATCAAACAATCCACGACGGAGCGCGGCCCCCTCGCGAAAGACCAGGTCCTTGTCAAGTTGACGCATTCGGGCGTTTGCGGCACAGACCTACACTACCGGACTGTGGACATGGTCCTGGGCCACGAAGGCGCCGGCGTCGTGGAGGAAGTCGGCCCCGATGTCCGCTCCCTGAAGAAGAACGACCGCGTCGGATTCGGATACGTGCACTCCAGCTGCGAACAATGCGAGCAATGTCTCACCGGATGGGAGACATTCTGTCCGCAGAGAGAGATGTACGGGTTCGCTGACCAAGACGAGGGCTCCTTCGGCACCCACGTGGTCTGGCGCGAGGCGTTCCTCTTCCGCATCCCCGACAAGCTGTCGAGCCAGGATGCGGCGCCGCTCATGTGCGGTGGGTCGACTGTCTTCAACGCGATGCATGTCGGGGGCGTGCAGCCCACATCGCGGGTGGGGATCGTCGGCATCGGCGGACTCGGTCACCTGGCGATCCAGTTCGCGAACAAGATGGGCTGTGAAGTGGTGGTGTTCTCTGGGACGGACAACAAGAAGGAGGAAGCGCAGAAACTGGGGGCGCACGAGTTCTACGCGACCAAGGGCGTCAAGGAGCTGGCTGTTGGCCGGCAGGTGGATCATTTGATCGTGACGACGAGCTTCCCGCCTGATTGGAACCTTTTCCTGCCCGTATTGAAGCCCAGAGCTACGATCTTGCCGTTGACGGCCGCACAGGGTGACTTCGCCGTTCCTCAGATGGCGGTCATTGGACAGGGCTTGCGTGTGCAGGGCGCTATCGTGGCCTCTCGAGCAGTCCATCAGAAAATGCTCGACTTCGCCGCTTTGCATAACATTAAGCCTGTGACTATGACGTTCCCTATGACGGCGGAGGGCGCCCAGAATGCATTGAAGACGTTGGATGAAGGGAAGATGCGGTATCGGGGTGTTCTGGTCAAGGGCTAATTGCCTGGCTCTAGTACTTGTCTAATTGTATTTGATTCTGGTATGGATGATCTTGATTATTACGCGGTTCAAGTGGAAATTTTGTTGTAGAGCTTATAACATACCCTAATAGGTGTGCTCTTGGGTGTGGACCCGAAAGTATACGTGTGGCGATATATTCCTAAACCTTTCTCCGATCTTTATTAAAGTAGCAAGTTGTTCCGAAAATCTACTTGTCAGTGTAGGTAGAACATTGCCACCAGATAGAACGAGACACAGGCCCAATACTAACAACCCGATTCAAGATAAGAATATAAGTAAAATTAGGAAGTGTCTTCTAGGATCATAAGTCGTATTCATTCTGGCCTAGTTCGTGACGAGCCTCCTGGGGCCTGTCCATAAGTGGTGCCGCAACACAACTTGATTTAAACGTCGAGGGGGGTCGCAATGGGCCCCAGTTCCGGATCTTGTTCATATGTTATTGCTTGGACTATACTTATCTCTATTGTAGTCTACAGACTAATAGTGTACGATTTCATGTGAAATAACGGATGAATGTCCCCGAAACCGTCAAAAGTGCGATGATATTGATGACTTAGAGCCGTGACGAGATTGTGGTAGCCTATGTGTTCTGGGTCTCTCTATGTAATTGTCGCTCTTTTCGACGAGGATTTGGGGATAAGAATATTTCTTCGGGTCTAGGACCAATAGTCTGGGAGTGATGGTAGTATAATAAATGGTGACAACCCGTTTTTGTGAGAGACGGCGATCTAGACGTTCCATGAGTTGTCTTGTATCATCAGTGCGATTTGACCCTTGATTGGATTTGCATTAGGCACAAGACATATTATAAGACCTATGGGGAGCTCACTCAACGGGAACTCCGTTCCATTGCTAACACCAGCTCTGGAGCCACAAGAGGCGTACGCTTTTCTCATATGCAGCACGCCAAGTGCGGTCTGGTAGCCACATGAATGCCACAGGGCCCATTTCTTCGGACAGAATGTAATATCCTATATTATTGTAGTCATAGCCGAGGGTTATATAACACCCAACCTAGGAACACCATTCATACAATGTTGGATATACAGCAGGAAAACGGTACGTAGAGACAAGCAGCGGAGAGAAATGTTCTTCTCCCGGCAGACTGGCCTCTGACTGAACAGGATATTGTCGTAAGAGCCATAAAACGCCGGCCGTATGAGGGACCTAACACATTGCCAGTCACCCCAAAGTCACCCCAAATTCCAAACCGGTGGATGATGCAAAAGACAACAATCAATCATCCACTGTCGGATCCCTTCTCTAATTCATCATCCGTATCAACCAGCCCTCGTCTCATCCTTTCCCTACGCTCAAAAAGCCGCTTCGCACCCCGCCGGGTAAGCGGCCGTCGATGGGACACAGGCCAAGCCATTTTCTCCGCTAACGAATCCACCACGACACTACGCATTGCCACCTTGCCCCAGACACGCTGCACCAAAAAGTCCATCGAGATCAGCTCGCGGCGCGTCGACCGTCTCACAAAGGTAACACTTCTCCCCACGCCAATGCCCCGCAGGGCCCTCACGAACCTCACATCAGACAAAAAGGCCTCGTCGAGCTCGAGGTGCATCAGGCCACGACACCGTCCCAGCAACTTCAAGGCTCGAACGACGACCTTCGGACGGTCAAAGACAGGCTCCTCGTCCCCGTCTTCGTCAACGCTCGTCATAAGCGACATCCTAGAAACCAAATCGCGGACCTTGGGTCTCAAAACAGACATAAAGTCGATCAGCAAGGCCGGCTCCTCAAACGCAAAGCAGTTCTCCGTCCAAAACACAAACCCCGCTTCGCGATGAATCTGTCTGTTCAAGAGCAGGGATGAGAGATCCCGCCGCCGCGCACACAGGCACCATAGCGAGTCGAGCGGCGGGCATAGCTCGCGGTGGCTACGTACACGCTTCGCATAACATAAGTCACAGAGGAAAGGGTTCGTATGCGGCGGGGCCCATTGACTTCTTGCGGGCGAGACGCAGATAGACTGACTTTCAAACTGGTAGCTCCCGCTGCGGCAGTGGGCACAGAGGTTCTGGCGGAGGTCTTCTTCCTGGAAGGGGAGAGAGGAGTAGGCTGGAGGAATGAGGCCTGAGGTGATGGTTCGGGGGCCGGGGGGGCCTGCTGACTGTAATCAAATGCATGAAAAGCATAAGCCACAAACTTACATCGGAATATGTACTGCACTACGCCAAGTTCCGCTGCAGCCGCAGCCAGCCAACCAAAGAGTGTCTCACCTGACTACATACTATAGACACAATAGGGCTGGGCACCAGTGAGATTGTCAAACCTTCTTTATACTTCCGCAATCCTCGAAAGACACATGAAAGTCATCCAATCCCCCGGACAACGTAAGAATAGGCCGGCACTTCAGTATAATCATGTAAGCGGAGGCAAGTACAAAACCCGAGCCGAGCCCTAAACCTTATAGGGCACTGATTTCCTTCCCAGAGGAGACAGGATATGGCCGATCTCCACACCAGCCCAATCAAAGTGAGGCATGTATCTCTGGTTCGGTGGCATAACTGGTTCAGATATCCGACCCACAGCGTCGGCTTTTGACGGCGGGGGAAGCGAGGGGAGTGACACATCGTGGAGAGATTGAAGAAATCTATATACATATTAGGGCGATCTGATACCTATATAATCACGCCATCTGCCCGCGGGATGAGCCACTGCTTGAGTTAAGCTTCTTGCAACCAATCATTTTTGCCTGAATCTCCAGTATACTTACCTGACCTACTAAGGTGATTTGATATCAGATCTACAGATCTATACAGATCTTCTACTAGTACCTACTACCTAGAGGTACCTACCTATAGAATGACAGTCACCGCCCAATCCGATCGCCAGGCCGATCGCCTCCTCCTGGTCAGCGTCCCCCGCACAGCCTCCAACCTCCTCGTCAAGATCCTCGACATCGACCACCAACCCAATGTCCACACCAACCAACAACACGGCTACTTCTTCTACCCGGCCTTCCTAGCCGCGACCATGGACGGGCTCCCGGCCAGACCAATCGACACCTGGCCGGAGGCCACAAAATCCGGCATCGGCGCCGCCTTCCAGTCCTGCTTCGACACGCTCGAAGAATGCGCCACCGTTGCCACACAGCAGTCCAAAACGATGTTCGCCAAAGAGCACGCCTTCTGGATGCTCAACCCCGCCGCATTCGACCAGATACTGCCGACCCCGAGCGTTGCGGACCACCACGATGCGTTCCGCCCGCGCATCCCCGAGCGCTACGGCCCCACACAGACGTACTCGCCCGGCAACGACACTGTCATGTCAGATGAGTACCTGCGCACCTGGCGACTGGCGTTCATCATCCGGCATCCGGCGCTGGCGTGGCCGAGCTTCTACCGCGCGATGTCCCAGCTCAGTGCCCTGGGGTACCTGGACGCGGACGGGGTGCGGGGGGCGTCGCGGACGAACATGACGCTGCGGTGGACGCGGGCGCTCTACGACTGGGCTGTTGTGCAGCGGCGGGAAGGCGGAGAAGGAAGCGCGGCGCCGGTTGTCATCGACGCGCACGATGTGATCCACAGTCCGGCGGCTGTGGAGCGGTTCTGCGAGGAGGCGGGGTTGGATTGGGAGGCAGTGCAGTTTGAGTGGGCGGGGGAGAAAAGCGAGTCGGGACACGTGCAGGCGGCGGAGAATGAGATGCAGGTTTCTGCGGCGAAGGTGATGCAAGGGACGTTGGATCGGTCGTCGGGGATTGACAAGGGGAAGGCGCCTGCTGCGGTGGATATTGCTGTCGAGGCGCAGAAGTGGAGGGAGGAGTTTGGGGAGGAGGTGGCTGGCTGGATTGAGCAGGCCGTGTTGGAGTCGATGCCGGATTATGAGTATCTACGGAAGAGATGCATTCGGTGATTATTCTGTGGGTAGAGGTCGCGTTGGGTGGTTTTTACCCCCCACCGGAATTGGATTGCAGCTATCCAATGCGACTCACAGGGGGAAATTATATGGGCCCCTGATAAATGGGTCCGAAAATCGTTGGTTCGGAGTGATTCTCTGGTTAGGCAGATTCTTTAAACGGTTCGAGGGGCAAAGATGACATCAGTTAGGGCTGTGGGCTCCAGTTACATCCACGACACGTCAACCATGGAACGATCTTCCTTCTTCAAGGTCCTGTAGGATGGCTAGGCTATTTTAGTACTGTGTCTTTGTACGAATGACGGAGTAAGTCAGTCAGTAAATGAGTATCGTCCCTAATAAAAAGATACAATCCTCATCCCTGATCGTCGCGTTAGTTCCCCTCTCCCAGGATCCCCCAAGGATAGGGTAAAGATCGACATCATCGCCACGGGGAAGCGCTTTGATTGCACGAGCGATGACCCACGGGGCATGCCGATCCCGAATCACAATCATAATATTAATTGCCATCCCTCCCCAGCTTAACTCCTCCTCTCCGACGTCTTGCGCCGCATCTCGTCATGAGCAGCAGCACCGCCTTTCGCCCAGCGCGCCGGACACCACGCCAGCGCCGAGTCTCCGGATTCGGCCTGCTACTCAGCCTACTCATCGTCTATTTAATATACCGAAATGTGGGCGACAGCGACGAAACCACGCATCAGATCGTCCTGCGGAACGAAAACCAACATGTCTTCCCCCCTGCATACGCACCACCCACCGCAACCGCAACAACCCCCCAAACCCCAACCCCAACCCCAACACCAAAACCCACCACTACAATGCCCAAAAACCACAACAACCCCCCTGCTCCTCCCTCCCCGCCATGGACGACATTCTAGTCGTGCTCAAAACAGGCGTCACCGAAGCGCGCGACAAAGTCCCCGTGCACCTCGAAACCACCCTCCGCTGCATCCCCCACTACGTGATCTTCAGCGACACCGACGAACACATCGGGCAAGCCCAGACATACGATGTCCTGCGCGACATGCCCCTCGCCCTTCGGGAAACCCTCCCCGAATTCGACCTCTACAACCGGGTACGCGCCACCGGGCGCGGCGGCCTAACAGACACCGACCTCACGCAAGACGTGAACAGCAACTTCGGCAAGCAAAACAACCCGGGTTGGAAACTCGACAAATGGAAGTTCCTGCCCATGGTGAACCGCACACGGGCCGCCATGCCCCATGCCAAATGGTACGTCTTCATGGAAGCGGACACCTACCCGGTGTGGACCAACCTGGTCACCTGGCTGGCGCAGTTCGACTCAAACCGCCCGTACTACCTGGGCAACCAGATGCAGATCGGCGACGTGCTGTTCGGGCACGGCGGGTCGGGGTTCGTGCTGTCGCAGGCGGCGCTGGCTGCAGCCGATAACCTGTGGCAGTCGAATGTAGCGCGGTGGGACGAGTTCACGGCGGGACAGTGGGCAGGCGACTGCGTGCTGGGACAGCTGCTGAATGAGGCTGGAGTGGGTCTGCTTTGGGCGTGGCCGCATCTGCAGCGGGAGCCGCCCGGGGAATTCGACTACTTTAACGAGGGATACGGCAAGAAGCCGTGGTGTTATGCGCCTGTGGCGTTCCACCACCTGACGCCGGAGGAGGTGCGCGAGCTAGCGGAGTTCGAGCAGCGCTGGCGCGCGGCGGGGAACTCGCGCTTGCTGTACGCAGATGTATTCCAGAATATGGTGAAGGGGAAGATGAGCGGGATCCGCGAGGACTGGGACTCGCATGGTGAAGCGGGGCCGGAGGATGCGCCTGTTATGGAGGCGATCAGTATGGTGGAGTGTCGGTCGTTGTGTGTGAGCGACGCCAAGTGCGTGCAGTATGTGTTTGCGGAGGGGCGGTGTTGGACGTCGCCGATGCCGAAGCTGGGGGCGCCGCGTGAGGGATTCACGTCGGGATGGTTGTCGGATCGGGTAGCTGCTGTTTCTGGTATGGAACGGTCTTGTCGACGGGCGTCTTGGGTTTTGGATTAGTGTATATTACTGGTTTGGAGTTTGTATATATTTATTTTTTTTAGAGCATGGTTAAGATATACTTCAAGATAATGGTCCATGGAGTCTGTAAGAGACGACTTATTAGATATAAACTAGGCTCTACTACCAGCCGGCTTTCTGATAAAGGGAAAAGTAGGAAAACCCGAATATGCTTACCACGTATTACTGGAATCTTTTAGAGACTCGTAGTAAGAGAGGGAAGTAATAAGAGTACTTTACCCTAGAGTTCAGTAGACGTTGCAGGTAAAATAACAAAGAAGAGCACGAAGGGGGGAATACAGAAGGGAATCAAAAAATAGATAAAGAAGGGATAAAGAAAGGGATAAAGAAAGGGATGAAGAAGGGGATGAAGAAGGGGATGAAGAAGGGGGTAAAGAAGGGGGTAAAGAAGGGAATAAGGATAGAACAGATAAAGAGAACAAAGAACAAACAGAATAAGGATATTAAAGAAGAAAATGACAAAAAGTTCTACATGGAGTACTGAGACCCTACACCACAGTTGACGCCCGGCAGAGCCGCGGGCCTGGAAGGCTACGAACCTCTCGGGGGGTGCAGATGCGGGTATAGAACCCCTTTGATGTGGAAGAGGTTCTCGAAGTCAAGAGGTTGTAGAAGGCGTAGATACCGAAAGGCCCGGTCTCGGCCGCGAGGGCGCGATGGTCGGAGACTTTACCCATAAAGATCAAATAATATAAGGAGTCTAGGAGTGGTGATCAGTTGTAGAGGATTGAGGGTGTTACATATGTGATTTATAGAGAGCTCTTTAAGGGAGAGGGACAAATTGACCGTAGGTTGACTGATAGAGAGCAGTATATCTGATAAATGAACTACGTTTATTATTACCTATTGATATACTATGATCATTGAATGCAGTTTTACCGTGTCTACAGGAAGATGTTTGCATGAAAATATGTAATGTTAACCCAAAAACTCCATGAACATTGAATACTGAACATTGACAACTTGAACTTGCATAACAGCCTTGAACCACCTAATACATGTCCCATAACCATGTCTCATATCCCATATCTAAATATATAATCAAATCAGTCTATATAATGCACAGCGACCCCCCAACCAATCTAGCATGATGTCCTATCCAAGTCCTCCAATGCAGTAGTAGTACATTTTTAAGTCAAACCACTATCTGTCATGAAAATAGCTGGAGCCACACGTGCACGTCGCAGTCATTCTCGCATTGATAGTCCCAGGTGTGTCAAAAGTGTGCTCGGCCCGACTGAGTCTCCTTAGAGCCTCTTGCTGCTCTGCCTGCGCCTCCCGTGCCCGTTGTCTGTCCCTCTCCTCCTGCTCTCTTCTCTCCTTGTTCCGTTTCAAGTAGTCTTTCGCGTGTAGCCCTCTAGCATCCCGAACGTCATCCTTCGCTCCTGCAACAGTAAGGGCGTCAATAATAGCCTCATAACCCAAACGAGCCGCCTCCGTCAAAGGCGACCCCTCCTCCATGCTCATCTGCGGAAGAACAAGGTCAGGCTTCGCCCCTTTCATCAACAACATGCGAACAATCGTGCTATGGCCACGACGGACCGCGAGTTGCAGCGGAGTCCCATGAAATTGATGACCGTAAAAGTCCACCGTTCGCAGCCACACCAACAGCGCCTGACATACCGAGATGCGTCCCCCAATAATAGCCCCAGGGAGGTTCGCGCGGCAGAGTTCTCTAATGAGGGTACTGGCGCGCGTGCGCGACTCCCTGTGTACGTTTTTCAATAGATGCCGTACCACAAGAGGGTGGCGATTTGTCGCCGCGGCGGAGACTGCCTCCTCGATGAAGTAAGTCGGGCAGCCCTTTTCGGAGGCTCGCAGTCCGTCAAGGATCGCCTCTGTAATTTCCAACTGCCCGTTCGAAGCGGCGTATGCAAGAAGGCAGCGGTGCGGGGTGCCGGGTTTGGCGGCGGGGTCGAACCCCATCATGACCAGGAGGCTCACGATTTCGTGGGCGCTGCGGTGCACGGCGCGGACTAGAGGGCCGTAGTTAGCATGTTCATAGACCTGGTAGCGACGGCGGGACTGGTACTGTGATTTGGTGCAAGTTATGAGGGCGGGGTCGTATGCGAACCACACGTTTTCAGTGCGTAGTTTGCGGCGCTCGAAAAGGCGGAATTGCATGTCACTGTGAATGTAGTTTCTCAGCTCATCTATGTGGTCGCCGTCGGCTAGATGCACGAGTGCACTGCCCTTACCTTCCATGATATTCTTACGATATAGCATGGGCTTGATAGTAGCGGATGCAGTAGAGTTTGTTCGTGCTAGACTGCTGATGGCGCTGACAGGGAGGTAGGAGACGATTTGGAGAAAGAGCTCGGGGGGCAATGAAAACAGTGAAGGCATCTTCAGTGGTGGATGTGTACTATATAACCGTATTATAAGATTTGGCGCTGGCACAGATACTTACAAGAGGTATCATTTCAAGTTGAAAGGGAGAGATGTGTAGAAAAGATGGAAGATCACGCTCGTCAATGGTAGTTGAAGAGGTATATATACCCGCTTTGTACTGGATAACAAAGAAGTAGTCAATGGCAAACATGTATTCTTTATATAGATCTATGGATAATGTCATTGGCTAGTGGATCTGCAGGGACTGTGTGACTTAGTTGAGACGCACCGACCCATGGAATCATATCTCTTTGCCATGTCCACAGTGGCAGTTAATATATGTCTGAACACCTGATATCATGATATGTCCTCGACAATATACACCTAAGATGCTCCGAGTCAAGAGTTTCCCCGCACTAAGCTAAGCCGAGATCCACTCGGCAAGCAGACCCACTCACCAATCACATGAGTCCGGTATCGGCTTGTAGCCGACCCTGGTCAATACGTTGTCTGACATGAGAACCGAAACTCAATAATTATACCGATAGGTAGGCGCCATGTCGCCGGCGTCCTCCTCCACCTCTGCTGCCACTCCAGAGTCGACAACCATGTTATCGCGCCGATGGTTATCCCACATCACGGCACCCAAGTATACGATGGCCATGGCAGCCGAAAAAGCCAAGAAGGACACGCTGATGATGTACCCGTTGCGGTACAGCGGGGCGTCTTGTTCCAAGAACGAGTACGTCGAGATGATGCCGCCGACTAGACAGATTAGCTTCCACACAAACAAGATAACGGCGAGAGGGATAGAAGATAGAAAAGCATACTATTTCCAAACCCAATCTGCCAGGCCGTTCCCACACTCCTCCGCCGATGACCCCCCAGGTTCATCGCGAACCAGCACACCAGCACCGGCATCGCGCTGTAGCAGCCACTCGTCACCAAAAACAGCGCACCATACTGCACCATGTGTTTTTTCGGGTCGGTAACATTCAGCAGGACGGCATAGCCGATCATGGCGATGAGCATGGGGATCAGCGCGAATGCGAACCGATGGCGTAGTCGGTCCGACAGGAACGCCATGCACATGGAGAAGCCAAATGCGGCGGCCCACGGGGGAATAGAGTATAATTGGGTTTTGACAGCTGTACCGTATCGTCAGTATATGGTGTACAGGTATCGAGTGGATAATGAGGCGAGACAAGGGGCAGGACATACGGTCGTAACCATAAGACTTAATGATCGTCGGCGCGAAATACGCATACCCATAGGCCGTAACAACCTGACCGAAATACATCCACCCGCCGATAAAGATCTTGTAATCCTTAAACACGGCCAGCACATCGCGCAATCCGAGCGACTTGTGAGCCGCAGCCTCGCCCGTATCAGCGGCAAGTTTGGCGCGCACGAAATCGCGCTCCTCCTCCGTCAACCACTTCGCGTCTTCGGGAAAGTCGCACACAACGAAGAAGGCGACAATGCCGACGACACAGGTCATTACTCCTTCGATTATGAACACCCAGCGCCATCCGCCGTAGCCACGGATACCGTCCATCTGGCCGAGGCCGTACGCGAGAATGCCGCCGAAGGCGCCGGCAAGCGTGGTGGAGCTGAAGAAGAAGCTGAAGCGCTTTTGGGCTTCGCTGCGTTTGTACCACATGCCCATGAGGTAGAAGCCTATTTGGTATTAATTATTGCATTGCAGATGCCACATTATGATAGAATCCGGTGACGTACATCCAGGGAAGAGACCCGTTTCGAACACGCCGAGGAAAAAGCGCGTGGTCATGAGACCGCCCCAGCTGGAGACGAGGCCCTGGCAGATCATCACGACGCCGAAGGCAAACATGCACAGCGACACTGTCGTAGCGTTAGTGATATTCAAGTTGATGAGAAGGATGGAGCGTACGCCAGATATGCGGCTTGAGCTTTTTCATCAGCACGTTCGATGGGATCTGCAACCGTTAGCACATCCTAGCTGAATATATTCAAACATGATTAATTAGATAGAACGGTACCTCGAAGATGATGTACGGCACGAAGAAAATCGTCAACGCCGCATTGTACTTCGTGCCCGTCTCAATGTCGAGGTCCTCCTTCAACCCGAGGATAGCCGCATTGCTAATATTTACCCTGCAAAAGTCAACACCACTCAGTACATACTAGAATCAACACGCAAAGCGAAGTTGGCACCCACCGATCCAAAAAAGCAAATAGATACATCACACACAACGCAGGCACCACATGCCAGTCGATCTTGGCCATGAGCTTGCGCTCATCGATGGCAGGCTGTGCCGTAAGGGATGGCGAAGTCGACCGTTCGGCATCTTTCTCACCCAACTGCGCGTCGGCGTCCGGTCGCGAATCGACCTTGGTTTCTTTTAAGAAACCCATTATTGGCAGGAACAGCGACAGCGACAGCAACGAGGAGAGATATGTTGAGGGGAAGAAGAAACTGGGGAAAAGATTCAGGGACCAAGAAGGTGGGTATTGGGAGTCATCGGGGGCCGCCGCGATCGGCGTGACTCCGACATGGACGGAGAAACAAACACCTGCTGGGTTGGATGGAGTGGTGGAGCCGACCCCGAATCTAGCGCTCGTTTGGGGGAAAGATGCCGATCAAGCCTAATTGGGCAGTTGATGACTTGATAGTGTTGTTTTCTGGTGGCGGGGAATGCAGGTGCATTGTATTGGCGAATCGGGCGAATCAAGTGTGGTTTATTGTGATCCTTGCATGATCGTGTAATCTTAGATGGACAACACTGCACTTATTAGGATCATACTTCTTTGCAAAGTACCAGTCGATTATGTTTAGATGCGTGGCGTGGCCAAGACGTTTAATGTTGTCCATTCTCACTAAGTGTCAACTAGGGCTAGTAGCTCCCGTGATCGGAGAGGAATCCAGCACACGTCAAAAATGTTACTATTTTCTACCGATATGACCTGTCAAAATAGCTTCCATTACGATATCATCACTGATAACCGCGTCACATTCTACTACCACCAACCCAGTCTCCTCATCAACAATCACTCTCGATGTCTGGACTCCCCGTCTCTCTTGCGGTACGACCCATACGACGAGTACTGCTCATAGCGTCCGTAGTTGCCGTAGTTGCCGTAGTTTCCATAATCCGTGGGGTCATCTTTGGGTGGCTCAGCTGTCGGGGTTGGAGCAGAGCTGGAAGGAGACGTTGCAGGAGAGGTGGGTTCAATAGGCGTGGGTTCAGGAGCCCAAGGCGAGGGCATAGCACTGGTCAATAGTGGAGCACTCGACGGGATAAGCAAAGGCGAGGAAAGAGGCCTCGACATAGAGGGAGGACTCGACGAGGGATGATAACTCGACGAGGGATGATAACTCGGCCAAGGACGAGAGCTCGGCCAGGGAACCGCCATCGAGGATGCAGAAGGTACACCTCCGTGCATCTGCATGAGCCTTTGAGATGGGCCAGTGGAGGGCTGGGCTTCGTGGCTGTAGTTGGACTGCCCGTTGCCAGTATACTGGACCTTGATCATGGTTCTATTGGTAATATGTGGCTTGCTGGGCCCATGGGGTAGGGCGTGAGCAGACAGCAGACAGCTGAGGATGAGGATAGAAGATATGAAATACATCTTGAATAGAGAGTAAAGTCGATGCGTAGGTTGATATTCGGCCGAAAATGTCCAGCAGGGAGAGTCATATTTATGGTCACTCTGCTATTTTGTAAGGAATTTGAGTTCAATTGGTTTCCGAGGCTGCCGGACGGTGAGGCTGTTCCTGGTTTTGCCTTGTTGGACAAGATGGATAGGAGCAGCGTTGTGATATCTGACTGGCTGTTCATGGCTGCAGAGTATGGAGATATCGACTTCGATAAATGAATAAATGCCCATAATCGGAACATGAGGCGGCATTAACAGTGAGTAGCGCTGTCTTCTAGAATTAGCAGACATTTATCTCAGCAAGAATTCGTTATCAGTCCGCCTCACACTGCAACGGCTGTCTCACAACCTCCCGAGTTACATCCGATGTGTCTCGCGTCTGTTGGTCGCCGCCACTGACGACCACCACAAGCTGAAGTATGCGCGAATAACACTTATCCCCCTCAGATGAAGCTAGTAACTCAATCGTATTTCAGCAAAAGACCCTTCAGGATAAACTGCTCAAACCAAATGCATCACCCTATCCCACCCAGCGAGTCCGGCGAGAGACTCCTCGCCGAAGCTTCATCCCGGAAAAGGCATTCCAAACAATATGTCATAGCCTGTCCAAGGACCGCGCTAATTGTCGTTTTCATCGTTGTCACCGCATCCGCATACGTGCTGGGGTATTTCACAGGCCAACACGTCCACGACTGGAACTCACTCTGCTCCCTCCGCACATCCAAATACTGTACGTCCACCAATCCACCAACTTCATCCCTACTAACAAACCAGGACAGCCCCGCTGGTCAAAACCATCGGCATCAAATACCATGACCAGACCTTCAACGGCTCATTCCTCAAAGAGAACATCTTCCGCCAGGAGGCCAGTCCCGCCGTCGACGCAGCATGGGACTCCATAGGCGTGAATTGTGTGTACGGTCCAAGTGTATTAGACATCGCTAACTCTACCCAGACCGCGGAATCCGCATATCCGTCCAAGAAGCCTTCAAATCCGGCCTCTCCAAGGATCACGTCCAGATAAGCCCCAGCCACGGCGGTGGGTTTCCCGCGCACGTCGAGGGTCTGCACCATCTTCACTGTCTGGTAGTATTTCCATCCTCTGTTGTCTGATGTGGAATATGTGTTAAGTGATCGCGCTTGCAGAACCTTCTCCGCCAAGCACTTTACTACAACTACGAGTACTACCGTGCACGCGGCGACGGCGCCTTCAAGAACGAGGAGTACATTGTGCGCAAACATGTCTGTGCGTTTCCCGTTCACTGCGAGGTATCCTATGTAGTAAGTGGTGCTGATATAGATAGCGCACTGCCTCGACATCCTCCGCCAGCAGCTCATGTGCACCGTCGACTTTGGCGTCTTTGGCCAGATCTGGGTGTATCCTGACAACCCAGAGCCGTTCGTCGATTTTAACTCGGTGCATGTGTGTCGCAATTTCGAGGCTGTGCGGGAATGGGCGGAAAGGAATCAGTTGCCGGAGAAGGTGTCGGGGGGGTTTCTGGTACGGCCTGAAAGGAGCAGTGTTTACGATGAGATTCCTTGAGTTCGTGGTAGTGTTGGCAGTCCACATAATTGATATGATCTTTGAGCAGGCATGTCGCTACAATAAATGAATCCGAACTTGCCGTAAAAAAACCCTGAGTTGGCTCTCCTCGTTGTAGAATTTCAAGGGTAGAGCACCCAGGTTCAGGCACCAAAGTCTTGATATCCACATCAAGCCGGGCGAGCCTTCACAGGATACACAATCATTTCGCGACGTGGTAGACACTACCCGATTGGTTGACCCTCTGGGACCTTCCACCATTCATACATTATAGGTATGACACTCTAACCACACAAGTGACACCAGCTGTTTCATGCAGAACACATCAGTCACACAAGCAAATAAACCACTGTGAGATAAGATAACGACGAATATCACCATCTAATGTCATTGGACAGGACGTTACCAGAAAGTCTGGAGCTCCCATAGTTGCACAGCTGGTTTGGTCTGTCCACTTAGCTTCAACTATGATGAGTGTTCTGCAGAATAATGAATAGATTAGTCAAAAATGGCGGTGATGATGATAACCGGAAACTATGAAGAGGGATGGAAAAGATTAAAGACAGGTTTGTGGAAGAGACTCTGCAAGTCAAATGTTGACCGATTGCGGTCACTCCACATATTACAGACCCTAGAAGTGGTTTATGGACACAGGGTCATGGTTGGCCATGTTTTTATTTTTCCCAAGTGTAGAGCGTGAGACTCCTCCCACACATGCTCCGAAGTCTACTTCTTTTCATACTCCCATATGGACGATTGTTCATCTTCATCTGTGCACTAGAATGAGTTCCATAAACTGGACCAACCCAGGAAATGACCCGCAGGGCATCAAAGGTGGATGTATTATCAGTAGTTTCTAATGCCACGGATCATAGAATAAGGGATGTGATCCAGCGCAAACCACTCCGATCTCTGGCTCACACTTAATTTGACCTCTAGGTGCGTTCGAACTGCGCTAGTGGACACAAAAGTTATGCCGGATTTCTCGTTCACCCAGACAGGCAGTCGAATGACCCCTACAGCAGACTGGATATCCAGAATCGCACCCTGCAACGACGAGGTATCAATTTCCGCCACGAAGACGCCAGTATTGCGTCGGCGAAGTAACAAGGCTCGTTCATTTGCGTCACCTGCAAAGACGAGAAGGATCAGTAAAGGGGTACATTTGGATTTGGCTGACCGCGTAAATAGCCTACCCAGGTTGTCAAATACAGATATGAACGGAGTCGGCTCGTCTGGACAATCGTTCCAGTCAAGGTGAGACTCCAGCTTACCCTTGTTGAGCCAAAATGCATATGCCATCTGGTAGTGGCCTCGGGATTCGAACCCATCCGCGTGGTCGAAAATCGTATAAGAGCCATTGTGCTGGACACGATAAAATCGTGGTGGGATTGGATTCATGACTGCTTCGTGTGGTAGACTTTCCTTGCTCAACCCTTCGACTGGTACGGGAGGTGGAAGCTGCTTAGAATATGGAGTTGCGGGGTAGGGAAGTAAGACGGTAGTTCAGGGTTGGCATAGATATCTGCTGGTTATTTATCATGCAAGGCATTTGTAGTTCTATATATGTTCAGAATGTGGGAACAAGTTCTAGAGTTGCAAAATGTATGGGAGAACGAGGTTGTGTTTTGACACATTCATTGTCTTCTATATATAACACCCAATGTCTGGATCAACCACTTTATTCTCGAATTCGCGGAGAGAAAATTCTATACTTTATTTTGAGTGTGCCTCTATCGCGAGACGTCTGATGTTACTGCGACTATATTTTCGATCCAAGGTCATCACTTCAACAATTTTCTCGGTTTCTATGACTACTTTAATTTCCCATGTCCTTCTGCTGTTGGATGTACCAGACGACAGGCAGTACCATCCGGCATGGACCTTGGTACCCGCGATTATGTCATTTCCCACTGAACTTCACCATAGACCAAGACATTGAGCCAGTCCAGTAAGAGCGGTTATGCAGCTTCGGGGACCCGAATAGGAAAGGAGTCGCGGTGGGGAAGATGGGTTTTGATGATGTGATTCTAGAGTTAGGGCTTGGCAGACCCATATTAATACCATCCCCGCCATATATAAAACGTCCGTTTCCCTCACCTGTTGACCATGTTATCCCACCACAACTACCGACACCAAGAAATATTGTAAACCTAAGATAGGTCCAGTGCAGAGTACCACCCAAAGGTTAATGTACCCTCTCCGCAACATCATGACACGAACCGGGGCTGATCTCCGTGCTCGCAGCACTCAGCATGCGCTCGTTCTGGCTCACCGCGCTGCTGCCCTCGCTGGCAGCCGCCGACTGGCAGTTTAAGTCGCGTTCGGACCTGGCTCCGCCGCGTCTGAACATCACTATCCCGGCTACATCCGATGTCGAACAGGGTTTCCTGTTCGTGGCCCCCTTCGCCGGCTTCCCCGACAAACCGGGCGAGATGCACGGCCCCCGCCAGGCGGCGCCGTATATCTTCCGCGATGACGGCGAGCTCGTCTGGTCCGGCTACAGCTACTACTCTATCTGGGCGACCAATTTCCAGATGGCGCGCTGGAAGGGTAAGGATGTGCTGTTTTGCTTTGAGGGTGACCATAATCCCGGTTATGGCCATGGTCATGGTCATACCACCTTCTTGGACCAGCACTACGAGACGATCCGCGAGCTGCGCGCTGGCAATCACAAGATTACGGATAAGCATGAGTTCCATGTGATCAATGAGGAGACTGCCCTTATCCAGATCTATCAGCCTGTGCCGATGGACTTGACCCCTTGGGGAGCGAGTCCGGAGCAGCAGTGGATCGTGGATGCAATCATCCAGGGTGAGTTCGTCGCGTGGGTTTTCTGAGTGTCAAAAATGCTAACGGATGCAGAACTCGACATCGAAACGGGAGAGCTTCTCTTCGAGTGGTCTAGTCTGGAGCATGTCCTGCCTGATGGTATGTTAGCCTTATCTATTACCCACCTAGCACCGCTAATCCAGGACAGAGGCCATCCTGCCCATCAACCCCGGCCAAGCCGGCTCAGGCTACAACTCCTCCGACGCATGGGACTACTTCCACATCAACTCCGTCGACAAAGACTCCGAAGGCAACTACCTCATCTCCGCGCGCGACGCCTGTGCCGTGCACAAGATCGATGGCTCCACCGGCGAAATCCTCTGGCGCCTAGGCGGGACGAAGTCCGACTTCGAACTCGGCGACAATGTCGCCTTCTGCTTCCAACACCACGCGCGCTTCATCTCCAAGGACGGCTCGAAGGAAGTCATCTCGCTGTACGACAACGCTGCGCACGGCACCGAGGACGGCCGCGGTCACGAGGTGCACACGCACCCGTTCTCGCAGGGCAAGATCATCGAGGTCGATACGAAGTCGTGGTCCGCCCGCATCGTGCAGGCCTTCGCGCCGCCTGACGGTCTGCTCTCCAAGAGCCAGGGCAGCACCCAGGTGCAGCCCGGTGGCAATGTCCTCGTCAACTGGGGGTCCGAGGGCGCTATGACTGAGTTCCGACCGGATGGAACGCCTATCTTCCATGCGTACATGGACTCGGGCGACTTGGGCGCCGGCGTCGAGAACTACCGCGCTTTCCGGTACAACTGGACGGGGCTGCCGCATGAGACGCCCGCGCTGGTGTCGCTGGTCAACGACGACGGGACTACAGCATATGTGTCGTGGAATGGCGACACGGAGACCAAGGTGTGGCGGTTCTACGCGGCTGTTGATGAATACGGATCGCGCGAGTTCCTGGGCGAGGCGGAGCGCACTGGGTTCGAGACGGCCCTGGACCTGGGCCCCAAGGCCGTGCATGCTGTGTCAGCTGAGGCGATCGGTGCGAACGGTCGCGTTTTGACTACGACTGCAGTTGTCAAGACGAAGGAGGAGGTGCTGCCGCCTGGGGCGGCTAAGGCTTCTAAGCCGTCTTTGTCGGTCCAGGTTGAGGGCCTGCGGGAGCAGGTGACGGCGGAGAAGACTCGCTGGGCGGAGTATATGATTCTGAAGTTCGATCGATTTGGTCGTCTTGAGCTGTGAGATAGATATATGTGGTCTGTAGAGGCTCTACTCCGTATGGAGGGATCCATCCCGATCATAGGTTTAGCTTGCAGTAAGAATATGTGGAGGTCGAGATAGCAGAGAGCAATGAAGTCGGTTGTTGTGAGTATCACTTGTCAAGTCATAGTACTCTGTAGATGTAGAGTTATTGAGCATGTAGTGTAAAATTATTCACAATATATCGATGGTCTATTATCGGTAGCAAATACAAATACATTACTATTGGGAAGGCTGTATGTTGGTTCTGTTTGGTGATATCCAGTGCAGTAGGGACATGGTTGTTGCGTGTTCATCGGAAATTAACCTGACATGTAGGTAAGCTACCTGTCAAGCAGTTTGGGTCTGAACTTGTTAGTCATCTGGGCTCGTGGTTTAGTGGTATAACATTCCATTTGCATTGGAAAGGTCCCGGTTTCGATTACCGGCGAGTCCATTTTTTTTTTCTTGTTTATTTCTTTGGGTTAGTATTTCATTATTCCATGTAGCCATGATTGTCAATTTACTGCTTGTATTCTGCCCCAGGCGTTGTTTTTATTTATCCAAAATCAACTACCAAGTTATTATTCCAGCAACACTGACCTCCTATCGGTCCAGACCAAAATAGTTGAGACAACGAATTGACAACTTCAAGGACTTACAGTAACGCCAAGAGTGACCAAGAGGCCACGGCACCCTTCATCCACTAAGATCTGTGTCTGTTGGCCATTGTGATGGAGAAGACCCACTCCCCCGAGCTTCCAAACTGGGAAGTTTCCTAACGAGATACAGTCTAGCAGGTCGCAGATTTCGATGCCACCCACATGGCTGGACCACACCGCTGGACCCGGCGATTCGCTGTCTGTTAGTTGTGGCTGTCCGCTTGTCATATATCATACAGTATTCCTCTTTGAATTCTCTCCCAGAATTCCCTCCATGGCGTGCATCTATCATGTCGTTCAATGAGCATGGCTCCGTACCTGAGGCAGCACAGAACCATATCGACGAAGAGAAGCGAATAGACGACGCGCAACAACCACTGCAGCGACTGGACTCAAAAACCATCGAGTATCTGGGCCGCAAACGCCCCGATGTCTTCTCCAACGCCTGGTCAGAATGCGCCTTCTGCTTCTCCATCTTCATGAGCCAAATTTTAGCCGAATACTACATCTCCGGCTCCAATGTGCTCCTCCCGACTCTCCTCACGGAGCTGGACATCCCCCCGGCGCTCTCCATCTGGCCCTCCACAGCCCTGTCCCTCGCCGTCACCTCCACGCTGCTGATCTGCGGCCGCCTGGCAGACATGTACGGCGGCTTCGTGCTCTACGTCGGCGGGATGGCCTGGCTGACCCTCACCTCCCTCATCGCGGGCTTCTCGCAGAACTACCTCATGCTGTTCGTCTTCCGCGCATTACAGGGCCTCGCCCTCGCCGCCTTCCTCCCCTCCAGCATCATGATTCTCGGAAGTACCTACCGTCCGGGGCCGCGCAAGAACCTCGTTTTTAGCATCTACGGCGCATGTGCCGCGCTCGGCTTCTTCGTCGGCATCTTCTTCTCCGGCCTCTGCGGGCAATTCCTCTCCTGGAGCTGGTACTTCTTTATCGGCGCCATCTTGTCAGCTATCACCGCTGTCTCCTCCTATCTGTCCATCCCGTCCGACTACGCCCTCACCCGCAAGCTGACCAGGGCGTCTATGGACTGGGCAGGCGCTGCGCTCCTTGTACCTGGGCTCGTGCTGTTCATCTTCGCCATTGCTGACAGCGCCCATGCGCCGGACCAGTGGCGCACCCCTTACGTATATGTCACGCTCGTCATCGGGGGGCTGCTCTTGCTGGCGCTAACGTATGTTGAGGGGTGGGTCGTGTCAAACCCGTTGCTTCCGGGCGATTTGTTCTCGGTCAAGTATATGACGCCGTTGGTGATTGCGTTGTTGTGTATGTATGGGAGCTTGGGCATATATTTGCTCTATGCTTGTCTATAGTATGTCTCTTTTTTTCCTGATGTCTTTCATTCCTTCCTTCTTTCTTTCGTTCATATATTCCTTCTTTCCTTCGTTCCTTCCTTCGTTCTGTCCCTCGCTCTTTCCCTCGTTTTGGCCCTCGTTATTTCCTTCGTTCTATCCTTCCTTCTCACCTTCGTTCTTTCCTTCTTTTCCCTCTCTGTCCCCCACCCCTTTTTATTTTCCCCCTTCCCTTTCGCTTTTTCTATTACTATACTCGTTGCTAACTATTACCCCCAGCATGGAACAACTCATGGGCGCCACCCCCCTCCAAGTAGTAGCCTGGGCAACCCCAATGGCAGTAGGAGGCCTCACCCTCTCCGCCACAGGCGGCTTCATCCTACACCTCCTAAACGGCACGGTCCTAATAATCATCTCCTGCCTGGGCTACCTCGGCTCCGGGCTCCTCTTCGCACTCCTCCCCCCAGGAGGCAACTACTGGGCATTCGTCTTCCCAGCAATGATCTGCGGCACAATCGGCATCGACATCAGCTTCAACGTGACCAACATCTTCATCACGACGAACCTTCCGCGTGAGAGGCAGGGGCTCGCCGGCGCGCTGATCAACTGCACGCTGCATTTTGGAATCGCGCTCATGTTGGCGTTTGCGGATATCGTTCAGGTGGAGACTGAGACGCTTGGGCTGCGGGAGAGCTATCGTGCGGCGTTTTGGTTCCAGGTTGCGTTGTCCGGGGTGGCGTTGGTGATTGTGGGGGCGTTTGTGAGGATTGATCGGGCGAAGAGTGAGTTGACGGTTGATGAGAGGAGGGAGTTGGAGGCTGCTGCTGGTGCTTAATGGGATTGTGTATATTAATTGATTATACTGTACATATAATCGTGCATGAGCTGTACTTGTAATGGGGTAGTTACTTCTACATCCTAGTCACGATTAACTTTCTAGGCTAGGGAATAAAGTTTACTTTGCTATTTGATATAGGCTTTGGCTTCAGGGCAGGGAAGTAAGTCGGACAAAAGCCCCGAGCCTATTTGAATGAGCATAAGAAGAGACAACTCTGTGTGTTCAGTGAGGTGCATTGATTTGCAGGAAGTAAAAGAAAGGAAAGAAGATAGGAAAGAAGAAAGAATATCCATGTCTTGCAGTCAGGTGACATACGATGCATGCTCCCCGCTGTTCAGCTGTTCCTTCCTACTGCTGAGCTCTTTCTCCAGTTTCTTTCCACACACCGCTCGGATAAGACAACCATCCGGGCACAGTACGAGAAAGCATCAGGCAACAACCAGACTACAGCAGACGAGTCCTACGGCTGAAAACGGGGCAGTAGATCAGTCTGTCAGGCAGACGATCGACACACAATATTCAGCCTAGCTAGGTACCTCTTCTACAGACAGAAACCAGTCCAATTGGGTGAGGGGAAGCGATCCACATCAAACACCGATGTCAAATCCCTCGTGGGCGAAACAATATCGGGGAAATCCGTTCTGCGTATGCGTCTGGACATCCCGGGATAGTGGTCACAGGACAACCCCTTGCCTAGGGGCAGGGCCAGTGGCTCGTGGATCCGACATATCCGTCCGTGACGGTGAGAATGAGTCGTATCTATTTTTTTGGCATATTTAGTCGCTAACTACATCTAAATGTACATAGGTCTGGCTTGAAGAGCCGGTAATGGGTGTTTGTTGGCTTGAGTGCATGGTTTCCCTCGGACACCCGTTCTATCCTGTGTGCCTTTGAACACTACCCACTGGGCACTGAAATCCATCCATCCAATAACATGTCATACAGGTATCTGACGTCTGAAACGCACCGTCAGTTCTAACAGGGCTAAGAAATTAGCCTCGTCTTCTCTACTTGTAAGTTGTGGCCATTCACCCCAACACCCCTCCCCCAGCCCCCATGCACCATGACAATCTAAATTCCAGCATCCAAATTTACTGAGTTTTGACAGGCTGTTAGCGCTTTGCGTCAACAGTCCTGGAAATAACGCGTCGGTCCGGCCCCATTGAGACGGACAAATGACCATTAGGTTCGTCGCCTATACAAGCGCTTGTCGATCAGTGTGGGGGCGGATCTTAACCCATGCTCCCACGAGGCCAGAACAATCGACAACCAGGAGCTTTCCAGTGGAAACGAATCCATCTACTGGCTCTAGAGCTTTAGGCAAGGGCTGACGCCCACTTGCAATGCAGTGAAACTCCCGGCGAAGGAAATTGCGAGGAAGGCCCCATCAAGTGTCGAAAAAGCGCCATATTGAGAGCGGCACCCCTGCAGCATACCCCAGTCGTGCCCTTGCCCCGTCCCGTGAACAGCTACCAACCACAGCCTCCCCTGGTGGCGGTGTAGACTAGTCATGCACGCCACGGCGCAGCTCAAACGAGGAGTCGGGGTTACCGAGTACCACGCGCGAGCTATACAGAATCACCAGTCAACTACGGCATGGTAGACAGTGATGAACATGGTCCCCTGCCGCTCGCCCGAGCCTGTCTCTACCGCTGATCATACCAAACGCTCAGCCGCAATATGCGTGAGCTTGGAGGGGCATGCCCTTGTAGCATTGGAAGGCACTCCATGATACAGATTACACTTGTGTAGTTCTGAGGACGATTCCCCTCTATATAACGCAACTCTACCCATCGAGTCAATTGTTTTTGCAATTCGAAAGACAAACTCCCGCACTTATCAGCGGTGATTTCGTCCAGCTTGCCATTCTCACACTTTTGAACTCGGCGACTAGAGAAGCCGCAGTCACTTGAGCGGCTAATACCATGTCTGAGAATATTCCAAATGTGGTTCCTTTTAGGCGCGAGAATTTGACTCTTACTCGCGACGGAAAGCCACGTTGTGTGGTACTCGGCAGCAGCATACTGAAAGTATACCGGGAACGAGAACAAGATAAAGGCAAAAAAGAAGATGAATTGGAAGGATTGGGTAACGTGGAGTACAGTTGGCGCTGCACCCTTTCAGCCAAGGCGTCCGTCGAAAGCATCAAAAGCGCCTTGAAATGCATTGACGAAAAGTTCCAATCTGAACGCCTGACGAAATTCGCCAACGACAAATCCGAATCTGAATATTTGAGGGACATCGCCACCATCTGTGTGTGTGAAGAGCATGGAAATATGGTACAGATAGCGGTGACACAATGGGAGGAGGAGCGTCAACGCCAATCTGCAAACACGCCTAAGCCACCATCAGTCACGTCCGAGTCCCAGAGCTCCAGGGCGACTACACCTACTCCTGCTCCGCTACCCAAGACCCCAACAAAGCAAACACCGCCACGGACTCCATTATCAAGTGTTAGCGTTGCAGCTCCTCTATCCTCCTTTGGCAATCTCCTATGGAAAAATCTGGGGTCCAATGATATCAAAAGCGGCTGGTTATATGTTTTCAGCATCGAGAGCCTCGAGGGATACTACAAACTTGGATACACGACTGTGAACATCACAGATGTCAGAGACAGACTCCGATCTCATTTAAAGTGCTACAAGGAAATAAACGTTGTTGCACTGATTGGAATCGACAATGTTGCGCGCTACGAACAGCTGATCTTCAAGAGCTTGTCGCAGTGCCAACGCAGTTTTGAGTGTCCGCACGCCCACCGTCCCAAGCGGCACAGGGAGTGGCTGCAAATCGACAAGCAGTCGCTACTGGAAGCCATATATTCTTGGCAACGGCTGTCTGTTGCGGGACTCTATAGCCCGGACGGGAAGGCTAATCAAGCATTTCTCCAGTCTACTTCTCCAAAATCTCCTTCCGTCGTGGACGAGGTGCTCAATGAGTACCATTATTCGCGCCTCTTCACACCCAAAAGTAAACCCCGCTCAGCAAAAGATCTCTCCAGTGACTTTGCAAACCTGTCGATGAATAAATCATTGCGCTCACCCAGTCGGGCCGGAGATGACGATGATGACGAGGAGGGTGAAGACGCAGTCGGTCAATCCAGCCCTAGCCTGAGAAAGCAGAAAGACATCAAAACTACAGAGCCCCGTCGCCGTCCCACACGGCTGATGGTGAAGGAAGAGTTGGCATACTAGATTCTACCCCGCCTGTCAGATGTTTCAGTGTGGTCCGGATCAAAGACGATGGTATTACTTGCTTGTGTTTGAGGAATCTGCTTTCTTTGAAGCTTTTCAACCTGTCCCTTGACTCGGATATGAGAAGTTGCAGTGCATGATAATAAGGGCTTGACGCATGGTTTCCTTTTGTCTGAAGGAGTTGCTGTCTATGACGTATGGTTGAGTATGATGTGTAGTTCTGCTATGTTGTAGTGATCGTTATATTCGTTATATACATTTTTCTCGGATGTCACTAGAAAAGTTGAACTCAAGTAGTCACAGCATGGTAGTATGAGGATTTCTATTCCTCCTTTCGACCCTCTTGCCTCCGCTACATAATCACAAACTAGTTCATGTGGAGGAAATAGTGGAGCTCCAAGCAACCACCCCACACCTGTCATATCTGAAGCATCTCGATCATGGCCGCTCCACAGTGGGCCCTCCATCTGACCAGAATTTGGAGTAATCCGCTACGTTTTCCATTAGGATGCTTAGCTATACGTATAGTGAAGATCATACAAGCGATATCAGCGGTAATATCTACCAAAGGCTTGTAGCGACCGCTTAAATCAGTGTCAAGTCTTGACGAAATCAACCTGTCACTATGTCAGTAAATCACTCTGTAGGAATGATCTAATTGATCTGATATGGACTTAGTCTACAAATGATGCAACAGATCACTCCGTCGACACTGATCTTCCCAATCTGGCCACCTCATGATTCCTACAGTCACCACAGCAGCGCCAGTGATCCACCACCCCCCGTCCCAGTTCTTCTCATCAACGAGTGCATTACCAGCCGTCAACCCTCTGTCAGTGAAAGCTTCAAGTTGCCTGTTTGAGGACCTCGCTTGTTTTAGGGCGCCTTGACCTCCTGGGCTCGTCTATATAAACCCCCTTCTGCTCTCTGCTTCTTCCCATCTTCTTCCTCTCTCCTCCTCTTCTCTTCGCTTCTCTCTCCAGGTGTCTTTGGTGTTTCTGTCACGTGTCTTTTATATTGTCTTCTCTCTTTCATATGTCTTGTCTTTCTTGTATTGTCTTCTGTTCTGTCTTATGTTTTCATCTCTTATGTCTTCTATATTATGTCTCTCTTGTCTTATGTCCTGCTTTATGCTTTCTTTGATATATCTTCCATCTCACATTATCACGTCACACCTTATCTGCCTTGTCTTTGCTGACTCGATGATGATAGACCGATTCGACATGCCCATATGCGCCATCCGATACGACGAACCGACCGAACGAGTACGAATACGATTCTCATTTTCAACACCGGTGGGGGTAAAAAGGGCTCATGTTTCAATGAGGAAAGAGGAGGAATTTGAGTTCTTTGGATTGCATCCAACATGGATATTAACCGGGGATGTGGTTGGGGCAGCCGACAGTGGGGGATTGGTAGGGTTGGTGGAGGGAGCGATGGACTCCGTATACGATTCCGTTTGCGTTTGCGTTTACGATTACGATCTTTTATATTCGATTTCGACTTTGAATTTGGGGACGTGGGGCAGCCGACAGTGGGGGATGGGCAGGGTGGTAGAGGGAGCGAAGGACTCCGATGCCGTATAAGATGCCGATGCCAATTCCGATTGATCTATATTCGACTTTGTAGGTGAGTTACCTTGGCTTCTTTGTTTTTGATTTGACTGACAGCGGTGCAGCGTAGGTACATACCATCTTTCTTTTATTTCCTTCTACATTTTGTCTTCCCATTCCCACACACACACACACACACACACACACACACACACACACACACACACACACACACACAACGTTATTTCTTTACATGATGAGAGGGATGGTAGATCTGGAGGATGGAAGGATGAATAGATAGAACAATAAAAAAACTTCACATACATAGTCCATATTAGAGCCTGTCGTAGTTGTAGTATGATCCATACATCTTGTCACATCCAAGATCAAATAGAGAATCTAGTAGTCCAGTCCATTAATCTACTAATATATAGCTGTATATTATACAGCGAGTCTAACCATTGGTTACCTGCCCATCATATCATGGTATTGATCTCTGACTTGTTTCTCTACTCCTACGTAGTCATTGCATGGTCACAAATCCATGACACCAAACAATCCCTCCACATAGCTGATACATGCCTTACAGCGACTTGCAGAAGTGTTGGATAGAGAAAACATCATTCATCACGGGAATAACCCAGTAGCCTAAACCTATTATCATTCCCTGATGTTCCCAGAACCAGTTCTATCTATCAAAGCGTAGTGTGCACCCATATTGAGCATGGTATCTTGGAAGACCATTACAACGGGCAGTCGACAAAGATGGTCCTAACATAGGTTTTTAGTTACTCCAGATTTTTGGACTCGCTTGGTAGGGCCAAGACTGCAGGCGGATAGGCTTGTAAAATTCCACACCATTGCTTCACACGCATCGTATACAAAGAAGGTAGTTAGATGCCGGATGGAGTCCCAGCTGAGTGTCTCCGGACTCCACTTCTGTAGCAGCTGAAGCTGTAGTCATACCAGCTGAGCTGTTCAGTCCTCGCTTTGTTTGTCTGTCCACTATATTGAGTCGCAGTTTATCGCGTGGATGGCTCCCGACCTATCTCGAGGGGACAGTAGGCTCATTCTAGTCTGAAATAAGAAAACACCAGCTGGTTGGGGATTCGCAAATCAAGATAGTGTGTGGTATGCTTTTTCAGAGGCTGATTCCACCAGAGTGGGAATACCGTCGTGCCCTATGTGATCACGACAGCCACAAATGCGGCAAACATTTGGGTCACACTCATTGTGGAGTGAACTAGTATTTCACTTCCGGCTAATTCTCAAGCCACTCCAGCTACATAGTACAACTTCTCACTCAAGGGTGCCCAATAAAGATTTGGCATCCTGGTCGAATTGACCTTTCCAGCCTCGGGTGGGTTTTGTCCAACATATGGTTTTCCCATCCTGTCATGCAAATGCAGAGGTTGTCGATCGTCCAATTTATACTAGAATCAATTTAATCAATTTGGGAATCTCTACCTAGTACTCTGATCAAGAAGTGAACAGATGTAGTTCATCTCAAAGTATACATTGTAAACTCCATAGGTAGGTATAACATGCGTCCAGACATAATATAAAGATGGTAGGAAAACAGAACACAATCACCGAACTCCTCGAAATCCCCTCCACGCCTCTCTCAACCCTTTCTTCTCTTTCTTCTTCTTATCCTTCCCCTGTTCCTTTTCCTGCCCCGTCTCCTCCTCCACAGCAACAGCCTTCTTCCCCGATGACGACGCATCACCTACGCCATCCCCCTTCCGATCATTCCGCTTCAGTTCTTCATCTCCCTCCGGTGTCAAAGTGACCTCAGACGCAGCATCATCGCCCTTCTGAGTCTCTCCATTCTTCGCCTTAGCCAGTGCCTCCGCTTCCTGCTGCTTTCTAACACGCTCGCGATACCGTCTTGCAGCAGCATCGATACCGCCTTCGCCCAGCATGACAGTGCCGCCTGGTCCGGGCGTTATTGCGGAAAGGTCGATGTTCCAGCCCATTTTGACTCCTGATTCTCAGATTTAGAGGTGGGTTGTGGTTCGTATATTTGTTGTGGTTTCAGAGGGTGGATTTTAGTCAAGCTGAGCAAGAGACACTGGATTCATAAATAGGAGAGACCGGAAGTGGATGCAATAATCAAAGTATAATATCCACAGGGGAGCCAACGTTTAAATAACCTTTGTCCATTGAAGTGTCTGCATGGCTCTGTGTTCAGTGCCGAGCATGATCGTCGTGTTGGATTTGGGGGCTAAACACAGCCACTGTCCTATATTCCTTGGGTGGATCACGGCAGCGGGCCGGTTCGGTTCACAAGGCAAAGTATGCAGAGGGTATGATGTCATAGGCTGTTGTTCGTATTGGATGAAGTTATCGTTATTCTCAAATACATTTGACTAGATTAATATATTACTGTAGAAATTATTACATTTTGATAATAGGATATTGCACCATCACGCACTCGCAGGATCCAGCACTCGCTGGAACGTCTCCAGCGTATGTTCCCACACCTTCTGAGGGAACCCCCTCGCTCGATAATCCGCCATAAGCTTCGTCTGCGTCTTATCCGCCCCGTTATAGTTCACCAGATACGACCCCCCGCCTATCTTGCCCGTTGATGCGGAAGCCGTTTTGATGCCCTCCACAAGCGGCGCTCCAACCCTACCGCCATCCCTCGGCTGCGCAGGCGGATAAGCCGCGGACGTCAAGATAAATGTATTCCAAACACCGCTCTGCTCGGCCGTGAGTGAAAACGGCCGACTGAAGAATTTCATCACGGGCGCGACAATCCCACCCACAGATTTGTTGAGAAGAGCCGTGTGGACAATGCCCGGGAAGACGTGGACGAAGCTGATGGAGGGGTGTTGCGCGGCGAGGTGCTCCATCGCGAGGGAGTTCATGGTGGCGGCGTATTTCGCGGACGAGAGGAAGGACCAGGACTTTTTCAAGTCGAAGTTGGCTTCGTCGACTTGGCCTTCTGTGCCGGGGCCGAGGACGCTTACCACGCGGGCGGGGGCGGTTGAGGCGCTGAGGAGTGGAAGGAGGTTGTGGATGAAGCGCATGCGGGAGTAGAAGCGGAGGGCGTGGTTGTTTTCGAGGCCTTCTTTTGTATCTGTTCATTTTTATTAAAATTGGATCTATTGGGAGTGGGCGAAGGGGGAAAAGGAATGCTTACCCTCCTTGGACATGTGTAAATGTCCGGTCGACAAGAATAGCAGGTCGACTGCCTTTTCGTGGGCTTTGATCTTCGAGCATGCTTCGTCGACGTTGCTTAGTAGAGACACGTCGGACTGGATGAAGTGGAATGACCCCTCGGGATTAGAGGCTTTGAGCTCGTCGATAATTTTCGATCCGGTTGTCTCGTTACGCCCGATGAGATAAATGGTGGGCTTCTTGACGACAGTCGCTAGCTCTCTTGTGGTCGCCTCGCCGATCCCGCTGGTCGCGCCGACGAAGACGGCCACGTAGTCGGGTCGGTAGTCATTGAGAGAGGCGTTCGACTGACGAGCTTGATTGATTGTTGCCATCGTTGGACAGTTTGCAGGATACGCTGATTACTCGGTGGTGTCGTTATATGGATTCTGAAGTAAGTGGACAGCTGCTGTGTTGTTGGGTTTGTCACAGAGGATGATGTCATTGACATGGGATCATCACCGTGGGTCAACCAGAGCTGAGGGGAACTTAGTCTAACCCTCGATCCGGGTGTATGGCGCTCATACTTGATCCCATCGAGAGGACACCGTTTTCGTGGTGGTAAAGAAAGGCCAGTATGTTTTGCCCGGTGTATGCCGATCTGTGCATCATTAGCTTGAGATTTCCCCCATAATCCTGTATACTTACCACCTAGAAAGGAGTCCTTGTTGCTTGTCCTCACAGCAGTACCATATGGAGCTACCAAAATTAGCACACGCACAATTATTATGCTCTAGAACATACCGATTAATGGAATGTTGACTCCAATCTGACCCACGTTGACCTTGCGTTGGAAGGTACTGGCGTGCTTCCCACTGCTCGTGAAGATGGAACAACCATTGCCGTATTTATTCTGGTTAATCAGGGCGATGGCCTCGTCCAGTGTATCAACCTGCATGCAGATGAGCACCGGTCCAAAGATCTCGTTCTGGTAGCATTCCATGTACGTCTCCACGCCGATCAGAATGCTCGGGCCTAGGAAATTGCCGTCAGGATAGTCAGGCACATGCACGTCGCGCCCGTCCAGGAGAACCATGGCGCCTTCTTCGACTGCCCGATCGATCATCTCGGTGACTTTGGTCTTTGCCGCCCGGTCGATCAAAGGTCCGATCTTGGACTGTTTATCGTTTCCACTACCGACAACCATCGACTGTGCTAGATCTACCAGCTTTGGTATCCACTCTCTGGTATTTCCGACGAATATTGCCACGCTGAGTGCCATACACCGCTGACCGGCTGCTCCAAAGGCACCTCCTGCAATCGCGAACAAGGTCGACATCATGTTAGCGTCCTCCAAGACGACCCCGTGGTTCTTGCCCCCGCACTCGGCCTGGATCCGCTTTCCAGCGGTACGCGCCAGGTCGTGAACTGCATTGGCTGCGGGTTCGGAGCCTACAAAGCTGATGGCCTGTACCAGGGGCTGCGTTACGAGATTTTGCACTGTCGATGGCCCTCCGTGGAGGATGTTGTACACCCCTGGTGGAAAGTCGGCTTGGATCATCGCTTCCGCCAGGATGCCCGATACGGATGGAGCCCTCTCAGAGGGTTTCAACACCACGGTGTTTCCCGTGATGAGTGCATACGGCGTAGACCACAGGGGAATCATGAACGGGAAGCTAAACGGGGTGATAGACACGCACACGCCCTGCCACATCAGTCAACCCAGACCCTGGGCAGAACCAATTGGGAGGAACACTCACTACCGGCTCGTAAAATGTCTGCAACAACGTGGGGTCAGACCCGAGATACATCCCTGCCATCTCGGGGCCAATCGAACAGGCAGCATGGATAGAGTCTAGACCCCGAAATACCTCTGCTTCCGCGTCGGAAATCGTCTTTCCCACTTCGCGACAGAGACAGCTCACCTATCAGCTGTCAGCATCATTCGGCTAAGATTCATGGTTGCTGTCTCACTATCATCGGAGACATATCCCGCAACACGTCGATCAATTTGAGGAGATACTCCCTGCGAGTCTGGAACCCGATTGCGGCCCACTCCGGCTGAGCAGCATCAGCGGCGTCGACAGCGCTCTGGATCTCATGGTGTGTGCTGCTGGGTACGCGCGAGAGAAGCCGTTGCGTTGTCTATCCTGACATCAGCAAGCCCATCCACCAAATCAGTCTACTGAGTGCCTACAGGATCCAAGGCGCTGGTCCAGTTCTTGGACTTGGACATCACGTGCCGATTGTTGATAAACAGCTGGGTGACCGAGGGTCTGCTGCGGGGAGCAGCGCCATCTGGCGTGGCTATACTGCTAGGAGTGTTGGACAGTGCTTTTGGTCCATTCTCGCCTCTCTAGACATCCATCGTTTAGTCTAATGGATATCACAAGGCATTGGAGATCTTATCGTGCTGTCGGATATCAACGCACCTCTAGATCTCTCACACCAAACGATAAGACCGTATCATCGCTCGGGCTAGACGAACCCCTGGAGAAGGGGTTGAAGCGCACACGGCGTGGGGACTCCACAATCTTAGGCATTTTCTAGAACAATACTGTGATAAAATACATCGAGAAAAACGATCACCATCTTGGATGATGCTGTGTCCGCGGGCGTTCTTATCAATCGCGGATGGTTTCTGATAACGATAAGGCGAGTGTGCCATTACATAAAGCCACATGATAAGGCGAGGGAAGTGGACTCGATTGAGCCTATCACCGTCGGTCAAGCATTGCCAGATCCACTTCATCTTCTTATAGTCCCGACAGATCTTGGCAGGATTCGGCTTCTAACTTTAGAGTTGGGCCTGAGATTAGGTGAATATTTCGGGGACAGGAGATCCAATGGCCTCGCTAATTTGACTTACACTAACTAAAAAGTAGAAACCAGTGGCTGTGCAATGTCGTCCATCTCTCCGCCTTTCGATCGTCTTGTACTCGCGCAGAGCCCTTTATATACCCGAGCAGTGGGTCAATATTCGGGTCGAGACGAAGCATGGACCAGTGACAAGCTCTGCTACAACCAGCAAATTGAAAAGCTGTCACCACGGATAAAAACACGGGACCAATCGTCTAAGAAAAGTGTCTATTATGTTCAAGAGATGGCTTCGAGACGTAGATATCTGCAACGCACGAGGTCGCATTCCACCTCCACAGTGGGATACTTCTTTGATGCAGTTGAATAGTTTCTTAGACTCATCATTCCTAGCGGTTCGCTTCTCCCATCCATTGACCCTTGATGATTTCAACAGTAGCCAATTTCTGAGGCTGGGTCGCTGCCAATATCAACTAGAAATGAAGGTTTCGGTTCGGCCATGCTTGATATTGAGCATACTCGGTCGGTGAGAGCACTGACCAAGTAATTACAATCCTGTAGAAGCTATACTGAAAGAATAAGCTTTTTCAATATTACAGAATCTGATCTCCATCCAGTCTCGCACAAGAGCCGAGTTGAAAATTTTCATCAAAATTCAACTGGCATCAACGCGCAGCGGGGTCAGCCGTGGTGGGGCATTGCCCTTACCGGTCAACCAAGCACCGCGTTTCGGTAATACAGCAGGTCAAGGAGTGAAACGGGACAGAGTGCAACAAGAATCAGCTGATCGTTTGGTCCTCACTTATACGAATGTAATTGAAGTAGGAGAGTCGGTGGTTGCCGTCTCGAACAGAAGTGACAGAACGCGAGCAATAGTAGCCAAGGATATCTCCTGCAGCCAAGAAGTTTTATCTTATCAGTTCCAATCGGTGGCAAGTCCGATAAAATACTCTTATCGCTATCTAATCTCCCCACCAATTTTCTGAAACACACAAAAAATAAACCCTTGTCAAGAATTCTTCCGGGATCATCCTGTTCGCTGCTCTATACTAATACGGCGATTCCTGCAGCGTCATACTTCCATAGTTGGTCACTTATAATTTTCATGCTCAATTCCATTCTACCATTCATTCGCCGTCGTCTCCCTACCTACTTGCATTTTTCAACCACAACCATGGCCGAAACCAACGGGGTTCACTCTCTTCCCAAGTCCCTCGACCGCATCACAGTCCTCGAGCAGGATCGCCAACTACTCAGTCTGATGACCATCATCCGTGATGTCAACACCGAGAATCGCGATTTCTGCTCGGCCGTGGAGAGAGTGGCCCCCAAATTGATCGGACTCGGTAAGAATCGCCCTGCCGAAATTTTTTTACCAAGTCCGATTCTTACACTAGCCCCGTTTTAAGCCATCAACCACGTTCCTGTGGAAGCGTATCCCATTCAGACCCCTATCAACAGTACATATGAAGGCCTCCGATTTACGAAGGGTGTGTGCGGCGTTAGCATCCTGCGCGCCGGGGCAAGCATGGAGCAGGCTCTGCGACAGACATGGATGTTAGTACATCCTTTGGAGACGTCAAACCGGAAACGCATACTGACAGGGTCCAGGGGTCCATTGAGCTTTGGTAAGCTCTTAATCCAGCGCGACGAGGAGACCAGCCAGGCGCACATCTTCTACTCCAAGCTGCCGCCGACCATCGCCAACGACAGTACGTCGCATCCATTCTCCACTATCATTAATGTCCTGTATCCTCTAACGAAAACAGTCGTCTTTGTCCTTGAGCCCATGCTGGCCACCGGAGGCTCCGTGATCAAAGCGCTCGAGACTCTCATCGAGTCCGGTGTGTCCGAGGACGCGATCGTCCTCGTTAATATCATTGCGTCAAAGAAGGGTCTGGCTGTTATCTCTGGGAGATTCCCGGCTCTTCGCATCGTCACCGCTGTGGTCGATAATGACTTGACTGATAAGAAGTAAGTTTTCCTCATCTTCTTATCAAGCAGCTCATCGCTAATCTTTGTGACAGCTATATCGACCCCGGGCTTGGCGACTTCGGCGATCGGTTTTACGGCACCTAAATGGAAACAGTTTTGGAGGGCGCATATAGATGGTCATAAAGGCTAGGAGTTCGGATTTAGAATTGGATTTGTCAGTTAGAAGAATCAAGTGGTGGATTTCTGGCATGGACTGGACTGGACTGGTCACTATAACCTTCTGTTTTTCTTTTTTACCGACCCGATTACCCTGGTATAGTTACGGTACAGAGCATTCGTTCCGCATTTGTGATTTTGTCATGTCTGTTATGTCTTCTTTTGGATATATTCTCACTTGGCTATGTTTATAGATAGATATGGGCAATGCAGGCTCTCATTAATAGAGTCCATTGACACGCTAATCATGAGAGCGTGTTCATCTCCGCTATCCCCGGTGTCAGGACGGATTTATCGTGTCGTCTACCGCCGCATCCACAGCGCCGACCACGGTGAACCCTCAAACGAGACTCCATCCGCGTTCGCCAGTTCTACAGAAATGGGTGTCTCGAGAGGAAGTAACCTCGCTATCCAATCATCCAGCCCCGTCCAGGCACGAACGAACGAAATTTCGATATTAGTGGGAACATATTGCAGGATACCGATCTACAGCAGTGCCAACTTCTCATTACGTCCAGTGGATCCACGCCAACGCCTGTTCAATGTGTGGTGGTTTTGCGAGGCTTGACCTTACTTTATGGACTACCGAGTCGCTTCGTCCGGGAAGAAACATTTGTGACACAGGCGTCGGATGTTCTCCATCAAGCCGATGAATATTGTCAGGCTTGAAGCAGGACACGATCATGGCTTTTTCTCGTTCTTGGCTATTTATGACAGACTCTGCTAAAGATGGACAACGGTCTTGGCTTCTTGATTTCTTGGCTAAGCAGCCAAAGTGACTTCATCGAATTCTTAGGAGTGATTGGGCAGGTTTTCAACGCTGAAATCAAATTCTGAGTGACTCTCTATTGAATGGAACGATGTGTCTGATCGTGTATTATCTAACAACGCAATTGCGAAGATAATCTCGTTATTCTGCTCAATTGTGATGCTCACGCGAGCATTATATATCTCGGAGATAACCGCGAGATCTCTATCTTATCGAAGACTATCTTATCCGATAAGATAAACACTTATCTCCCGATAAGCCCCGCTTTGCCAGGTGTAGATAAACAGATAATCAGCAAGCATGGCCATCTTTTGTTGACACTCTTCCATCCACACCATTTTCTATCCATACGCATCATCGAGTCTCTTCATCGCCAATATGACCTTAGATCCCAAAATCGAGTACCTCCTCAGCCTGAAAGCTGTCCGCGAGAGAGCCCACATCGTGTTCAAGCACGCGGAACAGGGCAAGCTGCACCACTTTGACTACCATGCGGACCGCCTAGACGAAGCCGCCAAATATGTCATGGACATTATCGAGGTGAGCACTGAATTCCTTCATTTATTCGGGTAAGGTTCTATGTTACTGACTCCCATACAGCGCGATTTCGGCCCCGATCGGTACAGCCTCATCCCGCCGCACGGCCGGTGGCAGCATTTCAACGTAGGCGGGGTAGACCGCATCAGCAAGCTGCTCGAGCAGTGGGAGCAGCAAGGCTACGATGCTCAAGAGAAAGTCCGCAGCCTGGTAGACCTGTTCTTTGTGTCGGTGTTGCTGGACGCGGGGGCGGGGGATACTTGGCGGTATGAGGAGGCGCAGAGCGGGGCTGTCTATACCCGCAGTGAGGGGATTGCTGTCGCCTCCTTGCATATGTTTCTTGACGGGGCGTTTGCGAATGCGGGCTCGGAAAGGAAGGACGTCGTTCATGGTAAGTGTTTTCATATCGATACGGCCGGTTCGTGCTGTTGCGTTGGTAGATGCTGACGACTTTTGAAGGCGAGGCGCTGGGGAATATCACGGTGGATGCCATCCGTCGTGGATTTCAGGTGAACGATGGGACGAACCCTCTGGTTGGAGCGACGGCCCGGACAGAGATTCTTCAAAGACTGGGTGCCTCGTTTCTGAGGCTCCAGGATGTGTTTGGGCCGTCTGGACGCCCGGGGAATTTGGTCGGTATGTTGCTACTTTTTCTGACCTACATTGCCCAATCTTTATCATTCACATTCTAATCCGATATGTTGCAGACTACCTCCTAAAGCAGGGGACCGGAGCAACCATCGACTACAGCGACCTGTGGAGCGCCCTGCAAAGAACCCTCATCCCCGTCTGGCCAAGCGACCGCACCCGCGTCCATGGACAGCCCATCGGAGACGCATGGCCGCTAAAGGTCCTAGCAGAAGCCCTAGAGTCCGACCCCGACACCGAAACAGCGTCCATCCAGCCATTCCACAAGCTGACACAGTGGCTCGCATACTCGCTCATGGTACCATTCCAACGGCTCCTGTCCGCGACCTGGAAAAATGCAGACCTTGGCACCGGGCTACCGGAGTATCGCAACGGCGGGCTGTTCGTCGACATGGGCGTCCTCACCTTGAAAGAGGAGGCACAGACCAGGGGCCTGGCGGCCGCGGGGAGTAGTAATGGCCTGCCGTGTTTCAGTGCCGGGGGTGATGAGATTGTTGAGTGGCGTGCGATGACGGTCGCCTTGCTGGATGTGCTGCACCAGCGGATTTTGAACAGTGGTCGGTTTGGCAGTGTACAGCTGAGTTTGCCGCAGATGCTGGAGGCTGGGTCTTGGAAGGCGGGTCGCGAGCTTGCTGCTGCGAAGCGGCCTGATACTAAGTCTAGCCCTATACTCAACTCTGGAGATGGGACTCTGTTTTGAAGGGTTGCGCTTTAGGTCTACTACCTACATGCTTTAATATCTGACGCATCGGCTATGACCAATACTCGTGGTTAGTATATCTAATCGAATGAAAAGCTGGCTGTGGAAGAACAAGATCATGCAATTGAAATCCTTGACAAACTAGTAGCAAATTATAGTCAGAAAATTTGAGGTCACAATTTGTGAGTCATCCCATCTCAGTGTGATACGGAGATATCCCCTAGGTATGTATTGAAGCCCAATCTTCACATACAGCCATGCTGGCTTGAATCTTTTACATCTGGTTGGGTAGATAGGCAGTTGGCAGGTTAGTTAGGCGTATGCATGTGCATTGCCATACAGGTCTTGCCATGGTATATTTTTTCGATATAAGGTCACAGTAAATCGTGCTTCATGCCTGTTAGTTTCAACAATGTAACCCTTGAGGATCGGGTCTAATATTAGCTGAATTGCCACCCGGCTCATAACCCTTGCAAAGAAAGCAGGAAATTCCCACTAGCTGCAAAAGATGACGCCTTCGTGCTTTGTAAGTAATCTACCACCCCTGGTCTCGTCCAGGAATGCCAACACTTCGCGTGCAGCAGTGGAGAACGGGATACGACCAACGATCAATTCCCCGATATCATTGGCGACCAACAGGCCTCAGGCCCTTATAGACAGTATCACACGTGATCCGTGTGCCGAAGATCCGGCCTGGATGCCTGGGGCCTTCGTTGCATTCCATCATCATTCGTTCAGCCTTCGACCGCGTTTGTACTTGGTGATAATTCCAGTCATTGCGGGCCTAGCCGCCGCGGAGGTTTTTTTTTTTTCAAGCCGGTTTGGTGGAGTTCAAGTCTTGACCCAGAAAAATTCCACGTCAAGCTTTCTGTGCCTGGCCAATGATGGGGTCTATGATCTCCGCAATTGTTGGCCCTGGTCGGGGTTAATCGTCGTTTATCACCGGCGGGCAATCTTTTCTCTAGGGTATAATGCCATGCCGTCCCCCATTTTTGATAGACCGTTTATCCCATCTGGTTTTGTACTTGATTCCTATTTGGTTTTATGATCATTGATTACCGACGAACTAGTGACTAAATACAGGCTATGTCCAAAGAGATCGATCATGGCAAATCGGAGTCCCTTCGTTCTCCCTCCACCTCCCACTCACACACCGAGTCGGAACTCTCGCGGACAGAGACTCAATCGTCACGTCCTGGCCTAGCTCACTCGGTCAAGTCGAGGCTGCGATCCCGTTCTAACGCCAGCGCCTCTCGTATAGACAGGGTGTATTCCGCTGGATACTTAGATGACCAATCTGTCTATCACAGCCATGATTCCAACGACGAGGATGGCAGCGAACCGGTCCTGGAAGCTCGAGACGGTATCGTCAACGAGCGTGATGTCGATCTGGAACAAGGAGCTGGTGCGCATCAAGAACTCGAGAAGTCCGGGACGGGACGGTCAGATCGATCACAGCGCGATCCATACCTGGTAAGTAGACGTTGTCTACCAGCGGCCTCGTGGTCATGGTTAACGCCCAGTAGGTGAAGTGGAATGGATCCGATGACCCAGAGAACCCGAAAAATTGGACCAACAAGAAAAAATGGGCGGCTACCATCACCGTCTCTATGTTTACCTTCATTTCGCCCGTTGCGTCCTCCATGGTTGCCCCGGCGCTGCAGTCTCTGGCGGCGGATTTGAAGATCCATGATGAGGTCGTCATCCAAATGGCTCTATCTATCTTCGTCCTGGCCTATGCTGTTGGTCCGTTATTTCTGGGCCCACTGTCGGAGATATACGGCCGAGTGATCGTCCTTCAGCTCGCCAACCTGGTCTATCTCGTTTTCAACATTGGCTGTGCCGTCTCGCAGACCACCACACAGCTTATCGTCTGCCGGTTCTTTTCGGGGCTGGGTGGTAGTGCCCCACTGGCCGTGAGTGCAACACGCCGCTATCGCCGTTTATAAGTTATGAGCTGACTAGTTACAGGTCGGTGGTGGCCTCCTATCCGACTGCTTTCGCCCGGAAGAGCGAGGCAAAAGCATTGCCATCTACAGTCTCGCCCCGCTCCTAGGTCCAGCTGTCGGGCCCATCGCAGGCGGTTTCATCGCCGAAAACACCACCTGGCGCTGGGTCTTCTACTCGACATCCATCGTGGATGCCTTCATCCAATTCGCCGGACTTTTCTTCCTGCGCGAGACGTACGGCCCAAGGATCCTGCGCGATCGCGCCAAACAGCTCCGCAAGGACACTGGCGACGAATCCTACCAAACCGAAGACGAACGACAGAACAAGACCCTCCTACAAGTCCTCCGCACATCGCTCGTCCGCCCCTTCCGCCTCCTCCTCACCCAGCCCATCGTGCAAGTCATCGCCGTCTACATGGCCTACATCTACGGCATCATGTACCTGGTCCTCTCGACCTTCCCCACCCTCTGGACCAGCCCAGAATACTACAACGAGTCCACCGGCATCGGCGGCCTCAACTACATCTCCCTCGGCCTCGGCTTCTGGTTCGGCTCGCAACTCTGCGCCCCGCTCAACGACCGCACCTACCGCCGCCTCAAAGCGCGCAACAACAACATCGGCCGTCCCGAGTTCCGCACTCCCCTCCTCTACATCGGAGCGGTCATCCTGCCCGCAGGCCTCTTCATCTACGGTTGGACAGCCCAAAACCACGTCCACTGGATCGCGCCCAACATCGGCGCGCTCCTCTTCGGAATGGGCAACATTATCACCTTCCAGTGTATCCAGACGTACACGGTCGACGCCTACACGCGGTTTGCGGCCAGCGCGCTGGCAGCCAGTTCGTTTCTGCGCTCGCTGGCGGGGTTCGGGTTTCCGCTGTTTGCGCCTTATATGTACAAGACGTTGAAGTATGGGTGGGGGAATAGTCTGTTGGCGTTTATTGCGTTGGGGCTGGGGATTCCGGCGCCGATCTTTCTGTGGAGGTATGGGGAGAAGTTGCGGAAGATGAGTCCTTATGCGGCGGGATAATACTGGCTTGGATGAGGGGTAATAGAAGGGAATGATTCATGATAAAAGTGCTTGATTTATGCGATATAATGGTTAATGGGTTGTTATGCATATAATGGACTTGATGAATATGTCAGAATAAATACCCTGCTTGGGCCTTCCTTCGCATTAGACCAATTTAGCTCTAATCCTACTAACCAACCTTTTGTCGCAATACAATTAGACAAGATTACTTACGAAGCACAAAAATGCGATCATACTTCTTGTAGCCAAGTGGTGCTTCTTTTCAAAGTTCATAAACCTCGACGCGTATCATCGGCGTTGTTCTCGCGTCTTACCTTTAGTTTGATCATGGCTGCTTTTTTAGAAGTTTCCCTTTAAATGAGTATGGTCGAACTATCCTAAATCATTAGGATACCTAGGATCCCAGATCTATATCTTAAGTCGACTATGCGATGTCACCGCAAGCTTATAAGCCAGCACCTTATGCTACGCGGGATAACACACGCTTTTCCCAAATAGGAACGCTATAGAAGATGAATACGCAATTACGTAGTAATAACAAGGCTGTTATAATATCAGACCATGCAGATCATTGCAGGCAGACGAATAGTATAAATACCAGCCGAGTAGGTCAATAGTCATCAGGATACACCCTCACTGCCTTATTAATATATAAGACCCTAGAACAAGTGCTTTGCAGAGATATCAAGATTTGCAACAATTGATTCCATGGATAAAAGACCCTATCTTACACCTATACTGCGTTATGTCTGTTTCTTTGCTCACTGTAGGATTGATTCATTCCTCGGTGAGGCTATTAGGCACCAGGAAGAACAAACACAGCCACGATCTGCGACCCCTGGGATGATTGAGCTGGACCTCCAACACTGAACACTCAACAGGTATGAGAAGGTCTAATCCAGCTTGGATCGTTCAAATCGATGTCGTAACATTGTCCAATATCCCGATGTTTCTTACATCCGACCAGCAGTATTTTCCATACTGTATGTACTTGGAGTACTCGTGGATTGGTATGCGGAAACCGAACCGTAATGGGGAGGAGACCATACGCGGTAAGCCGTATTCGTATTGCCACGTATTTGCTGTCTATCTTCTTTGTGCTGGTAAGTATTTAGAGATGATAGAGACAATAGAATACAGATGTATTACAGGCCCAGTTGATTTGATCTAGATGTCAATATTATACATCAGTGCATTAAGAAAGACCAGACGGCGTCGGGGCTGAAGCCGCGTGACGGGATTAGACTTTCTGTGTTGTCTTGTCTGTTCTGTACGCGTCTGTAGTACTGTATTACAGATATATCTTCAACACTCATAGGATTGATGTAGAATCTCATATATATTAATATCTCTCTTTGAAGACCATTTATTATTAACAAGTAAATAAGAGTATAACAATAATTAACTGGTTGATATGTACTCAAATGGAATAAATGAATCAATTGATAGGGGCGGTAAGTTATGTAAGTCTGACCCGTTTTGTCTTGTCCTGTCTTGGTCTCGTCTCGTCTCGTCTCGTCTCGTCTTGTTCTTCCCCCGTCAAAACTCTTTCATTTCAACTTTTCTTCCCTTTTCACCCTCTCCCCTCGAGTCTCCCCCCAAACCCATCTCCTCCCCCCCATCATATCCCATCATATCCTCCCCAATTTCATCTCTTTTTAATCTCTAGTCCTGTTAATCCTTTCCATCCACCCACCATCGATCTATTCAATCCCTTCGTCGTGAACATGGGTCGTACCGTCGACCAGGAAGTTCACGCGGCGTTCGTCGAGTTCCGCGCCAAGGAAGACGATAAGGTGCGTGACTGACTGCCGTATTTCTCGTAATATTTCATCCCGCGGTTCAACCCAGCGTCTCTAACACTTCGCCTTCCTCGTCCCTCAGTGTCTCTCCGTCCAGTGCATCTACTGCCAGCAGGTTCGTGCGAAGAACACTTCCCGCCAGAAGCAGCATCTCCTCGAGTGCCCCGGTCTGCGTGGCCACGCCAATCCCCAGGCCCAGTCCCAATCCACCCCCAACGGCATCACCGCGACCAACGGATACCCTCCCACCCCCAATGGCGCCGCGGCCACCGCACCAGGCGCTGGCCCGGGCCCCGGTGCCCTGCCCACTCCCAATGGACCCATGATGTCCAACGGCGTCAACCCCCATGCCACTCCGATGCAGACCCCGCTGCAGAACATGCAAGGCCGTGCCTCGCTGCCCACCACCGCTCCCACGGGTGCGCCCTCCGCCTCCTCGGCCTCCCAGCAGGCACAACGGACCACCCCCAAGTCGTCGTCCAAACCGAAGACCTCCTCGACCAGTCTCCCCGCCCCTCCGTTAGATGACGTACATGCGGCGTTTGTCGAGTTTCGCGCTAAGGAGGAAGACAAGGTAAGACGCGCGGCGGAATAAAGGAACGCGGGATGCTGATGGGAGATATAGTGTCTGTCCGTACAATGCATCTACTGCCAGCAGGTTCGCGCCAAGAACACCAGCCGACAGCGCCAGCACCTTCTCGAGTGTCCTACCTACCTCAGCGTTATGAAGGACTCCATCCCCGCCAACAACCTGCTTCACACATTCCCCGAAGGCGACGTGGCGCGTTCGCTGCAGATCCCGGCGCCCTCTCTGGAGCTGGACTTCCGGATGAGCATCAAGATGAACCCCAAGGTCGCCGTGGGACAAAGTATCTGGGGTCAGAGGGATTGGGTGACCTTCATTGGGGGGCAGTGGGCCGGCCGGTGGGGCAAGGGTATCGTTCTGGTGAGCTCTTCCTTTGCTATTAGGATTTACGTATGAACAGATGAAGCTAACCATCCTCAGCCCGGAGGACAGGATTCTCAGATCGTGACGCGAGAGTCGGCCACGAACCTGCAGGCGAACTACCTACTCCAGACCGCTGACGACCCACCCGCATTCATTGTCGCAAAGACCCAAGGATGGCTGACGGGGGCCAAGGACGTGTTGGACAAGGTCAACGACCAGACTTCGGCCGACACGGTCAACCCCAACACGTACAAGTACCGCGTCTGTATTTCGATGGAGACCGGGGACGAGCGCTACGCGTTCTTGAACACGCTCATGTGGATCGGCAGCGGGTGCCGCCGGGGCCAAGAAGGTTAGCATCATGTCCAGTGTACCGCTGCATCACCGTGCAAAGCTAACCAAAGCAGTGATCTTTGACTCGTTCCGCGTCAACTGATGTGTTACGATTGCGCTTTTGTTTGTCCGTTTTTGAGCGAGTAATATGTGTTTGATGGGGAAATTGATCTCGTCGGTTGCGCATCATTTCAGCTTGGTCCTGACATCTTTGTCCAGCGCTTCCGTCTCCAGGCGTGCCCAGATACGCATGGAGTGGCCGGGGCTGGCCACTGACCTTGACTATTTATTTCACTTCTTTACATGTGTAGGGTATTCGGTTTCCGGTGCAGTTCTTGAGCTTCGTGTTTTATTTCGTTGGTCCTTAGGCGGGATACCTGTATCTGTAACCAGAATGGAAAAACTCGTATTGATAGTGTAGAGTACCTGCCAGATAACAGGATATACAGAGTCACGGGATACAAACTACACAATACATCAAAGTAATTAAACAAATACCCAACAGACAGATTGATCTATAGAGTATATACTGGGCTGAAGAAGTAAACAATCGTACCAAACCGCGTCCGTCCCGGTATAACCCAGTACGATCGACCAGTACCTACACATGTGTATTCGGTTATAATACTCCAACCTGAGTAATGATACCGACGGAGTGATCGTTCAGGTATATCTTAAGTTGATGATCCTTCTTCACTAACTACTTTGGGTACAATAACAATCTGACAAGCGGGTCTGTCTACCTTGCGATAATGCCTCCCTGCAGAACCTGTACTCCACTTTCCGGGGCTGATCAATCGCAGCCATCTATGAATACGAACACCTCTCTACCAGCAGTACGTATACTATCTACCTACCTACCTTTACCCCCTCTCAAATTTATTCATCACCTCCCAATCAAACAATCCTTTACTCACCGAGTGAGTAGTTCACCGACCCTCCTGGCTGGACCTCCCATCCCCCTAGTCCCACCCTCTACCACGAAGAATGGATCGGCCCCAACTCAAACGGGCAAGTCATCGCCGAGTCCTACGATCTTGAACCAGGCCAGCCGGTAATAGAGGATACCGAGGGATGGCACACTATCTTCAACTCCGGCGATAAGTTCTATCTGTGGGGACGGTTGGGCGATGAGGTTGAGGAGTTTGTGGAGGGGGATATACTTGTGATTGTGGAGGCTATTAGGAGAGATGGGTTGAGGGGGTTGGAGAGGAGGGGTCTTGGTTGATTTATTTTTCATGAATGGGGGGATATATAACTCTGATTGTATCATGATTCATGAGGGTAAGTTAACTTGTTTAAGTGGTTAATAACTATCTATCTCTCTTCTTTGATTGTAGACTGACTGCGCTGGAGAGTGTGAGGGCGAGCTGGCTATTCGCGTACTCTTCAACATCCCATATCATTTGAAGATACCTCACTCACAAAACAAAACAAGACAAAATCTACAAGAACAGAAATCAAGAGAAAGAAGTATAGTTGAGTAAAGCAGTGAAAATGAGTCCGAAAACAGTGACGCATAATGAGAGTAAAACATATATACACCGAGACGCTAAACCTAAATCGATATAATACTTTATTATCCAGTAATTACCAGCACAAATCATACGAATACTATTTATCCGTACTTGTGTATATACCTTACCTGGTAGAAGAAATAGGCTTATTGCGTATGGAGTATAGTACCTAACTATCAGTAACTGTTGGATCAACATATCTCTCTATATACTTAAAACAGGTACTACGTAGATAATGTATCTACTACTTACTATCTAACTTAACAACTAACTACAGTACCTGATCAGCCACACAAGGAGGAACTAACTATCCCAGGCGACTCGTTGATCAAAGAAAGCCGTCATGCTTATGACTTCACGCATAATACCTGCATTATTTATATGCAGTATTATACCCATATCTATATCTTGGACATCTATTCATACCACTCTAGCTCAAGCCGACCTCACCACAACACCGTATACACCTATCCATTACTATACACACATACGGCGGTACTCCGTATCTGACGGCCTTTGGACCATTCAACCAGGAGTAAGCGTAACGAATTATACTAGATACTATGGGTACGTGCAGCGTCACCCATGTGAAGACAATTAATTACTTAGTGCTAGTCCATTGTTTTATATTCGCTGATTTCATTGTATTTATTTACACGCTAGAGTATGTCACGTTAATATCGCAAACCCTTTTCAGAACAACACATCTACATCATTCTCAAGGCCCTTCCATCAGTTTAGAAACCTATATCATCCGTTAGCATCTCCCATCTCAACAAACCCATCTATAGATAAACTCACCCTTCTCGGTATTCCCCTCACCCATACTCTTACTGCTGCTGCTTCCGCTCTGAATAGCACCCATAATGCCATCCATGTACGGCGCGCCGCTCCACTTCTGGTGGGTGAGCACGTCGACGCCGAGCTCCTTCTCGCGCGACTGCACCAGTTTCACATACGCCAGCATGCCTTCGTCTCTGAAGGCGCGGGACAGTTCCGTTGTGATGGTTGCGTTGGTGTGAAGGCCGGCCAGGGAGATGAGTTGCAGGACGAATCTACAGTTAATTAGCTGCCGTTCGATTTGATAGGGAGAGAAGAGATAGAGGGGGGGGGGGGAGGGGGTACCCATGCTGAGCCAGATCCCAAATGAATGACTTCAGGGTCTCCTCGGTAAAGCCCTGGCCCATCCAGTTGAACGACGGGCTCAGGTTGTATACCAGCTTCTTGCCCGGGAAGGCGCTGCGGACTTCACCGGCCAGCTTGCCCGCCTTGGCGACGTCCGGATCGCCCGTCTCCACCCACAGGAGGTCGGCGTAGGGGGCGAACTCGCGGGCGCGCTTGGTGGCGGCCGGGAAGCCAGCCTTGTAGTGGTAGAAGCCTTCGCGGGTGCGCGGGCTGTCGCAGGACCAGACAACGGGCGTCTTCGAGTAGTCGTTGGCGAGGACGCGGCGGCGCGAGATGGACAGGTCGCGGTGCTCCTGGACGTGCTTCTTGTAGGCGTCGCGGGCGGCCTGGGGGGCGCCCTCTGCTTCGAGGTGGGCGTCGACAGCTAACGCTATTAGTATGGGCGGTTGGAGTAATTGCGTAGCTTACGTACCTTGGTCGAACGTGACGAGCTTGTGCTTCTTGACCCAGTCCAGCTCAAAGGCGTCGATCTCTGAAGGGGCAGCGCCCTCCCGCTCCATGGCCTGCAGGGTCTCGGCGAGCGGCTCCACCTCCTCGGTGATACCGAGGATGAACTCGTGGTCGCGCGTGTCGATGGCGCTGCTGATAAGCTTTCCGCTTTCCGAGTCCGTACGCGCGATGACCAGGTTCTCGGCTCCCATCAGGTCCCACTGGAAACGGGTGGCCACCAGACGGTTGATGTGTTCGCTCATGGGGACAAGGACCTTGCCGGCCAAGTGACCGCACTTCTTGCCACCGTGGAGCTGGTCCTCGAAGTGGACGGCGGCGGCACCGTTCTCGGCGAAGAGCTTGGCCAGTTTCAAGACGGCGGAGAGTCCACCGTGTCTGCAAACCGTCAGCACTAGTCACTCATATTAGGTTCTTGAACCAAACATACCCAGTGTCACCATCCGCAATGATCGGCCGCAGGTAGTCCACGTAGGGCGTGGACTTGCGCTGCTCCGACGTGAGCTTCCGTCGGGTGTCCCACTGCTTCCGATCGTGCATGGACTGCGCCTTGAACAGTCGCTGGACCTGGTTGGGGACGGTGTTGTAGGGGTAATCGCCGAAATCGGGAGAAACCTCGTTGGTGGAAGTGAGCAGCGAGGAGCACGCCCAGCCGGAGATGTACAGGACCTCTTGGTTGGGGGCCTGCTGGGTCATCTGCACGGGGTCAATGGCGCCCACTGATGGATGTCAGTATTGGGAATTCGTTCGCTGTTTTTTTATCCTCCCAGTCCGGGGTTACATACTGGTATGCACCGGCTTTCCCTCCGCAGCCCGCTCATTGAGCAGATTGAACAGCTTCCGCGCCATCAACGAGCTGGGGTAGGTCTGCTGCAGCGAGCCGCGCTTGGAGACCACGTCGGCGGCGGTGTACGGACGCTTGATGCCCTCGTACCGCGGGGAGCTCCACCAGGCCTCAACATCCTTCAGCTGCTGCTCGTAGAGGGCATCCTCGGTGGCACCGGCCTTCTCCGCCAGGGGGAGAAGCTGGTAGGAGTCGGAGGGGAGGACGGTCGACACGGGCGGCTGGACGGCCGGGAGCGGTGATGGCGACATCCGCGGATAACCGCTTGTGAAGGAGCGCAGGGCGGCACGAGCAACGGGGATGCGCCGTGGGAGTTGGCGGGGAATGGATCGCAACATTGCGAATGAATTGAATTGAAAGGGAAGTACACCGGGGGAAGAGGTGTGAGAGGAGAGTGGAGGAGAGAAGAAGAGAAGAAGAGAGGGGTGTGACGATGGAGAATAACTAGTCAGCTCAGTTGATTTCCCCAGTATTGTTCAAGTAGGATGACGGCCGATCGCCGCCCCAACCTCGGCCTGAGTGGCGCCGCTTCCCCACGTTCCGTTGGCCCTTATGCCGATTATCGGATGTTCCTCTGGATTTTGTTAATATTATTATACATACCTATAATCTTTTTTATATACTTCTTTCCTATTTTTATTATTATGTTTCATTGTTTTTATGGCGTACTAAAGATCCCCGCCGAGCCTAGACTGTCGGAATGCCGAGCCCAGCCGCACTCCGGATCATGGGGAGCCGTACAATAACACCGTATCGACTTGAGATACGGTCGATTGCTTACTCTAAGGATAGCTACGGAGGATGAGAACAGGCGTGTATGATTCAACTAATTTCAAATTGACTAGTTATGATTGAGGAAATACCATCCTTGTCCGATCGCCAACCCGCTTTGCATCCTGACAGCATTACAACATATCCAGTTCACATAAGCCTCGAACCAACTCCAACTAAAACATCCATCCAGACCATTTCATTTAATAAGAATAGTGCAACGCCCCCGGAAATAGTGGCTCGCGCTTGGTAGGAAAGAAGTAATAATCTTCTTCAAAAACCCGCCAGTTAGCAGTCATCATAAACCGAAAGTCCTCATCTGCAACGATCTGGCACTCCAGTCTATGGCGCGCACTGTTCTGGCCTTGCTGCTGGCACTCCTACACAGGCAGTCAGCGCAAGTCACAAGAGGAATGCATCCATCTTTTGCTAACCTTACTGCAGTACACAATGATGCCGCACTCCGAACACCGCCGCGACGGATCCCCCATCTTCTCACATACATAGCACATGGTGTGGATCGCGAACTGCGCTGGCTAGAGTTGGACGCTGTCGCTCACTTTCAACAGGTCACCTAGTGAGACGGGAAAGATCTGCAATACCTCTCTTATTAGTCTCGCCGTGTCTCAGAGCAGACAAGCATAGTATTCCAGACAGGAGATCTCACCTTTACCCACTCAGTGTCATCAACGGGAACTATCAAAGCCGACTTATAAGTCTCACGCACCGAGTACAGCAGCGCAATAGCATGTCCCGGCACGACCTGCTCAACCGGGAAAGTCTGTTCATACTCCTCGGTTTCGACCTTGACCGGCACAATGCGGCCCACTTTGTCGCGTACCATGATGACCGTTATCTCAGCGGAGCGCATGAACGCTAGAATCTCAGCCAGTAGACACCAGTGGCGGATGGGATCGGCGTCGGGGTCGGGGTCATCTGCCACCTCCTGAAGGTCGTAGTAGGTTATGTCGCACTCGTCCTTTTCGAGACCTGGGGGTGGATCGCCGGGGAGGGTGGTAAATCTGGGGAAGGATTTGGGATGGCGGAGGTTGGCGTAGCTGGGGCCTTGGGCGTAGATGGGGACTGTAATGTTCATTGTGAGGAGGCTTAGGATCTGTGTCGTGGGTTGAGATTTGGAGCTGGGAGATGCGGATGATGCATGTTTGGTTTTGGGAGAAGGAGTTTATATTGTAGTGCGAAGAGGACAACTTGGTAATGGTGAAGTGAGTGATGGATGAGAAGCGGTTCAGTCACTGGGGTGATTCATTCATATATAATGTTACGATTCCTTAAACCAAACCCGGTGATTAGAGTACTCAGTTGCTGTACAGAAGTTAAAAATGAGTACTCCATACATATCCCAATATCAAGATCAAAATCATGCTTAAGTTGTCCTCAATGAAAAATGGTCGTCCGATCTCACATAACAATGCGGATCAACCAATCCATGGATATCTATATGCACCAATAAAGTCACAATATACACAAGAAACTGGTACTAGAACTACAAGTACAAGCCCATCTATAATCACCATCAATCCATGAAGAGGAATGATTATCATGCGAGCCCCACAGTGCAGAACAAGTGTGCGAATGGCTATTGTCTACTGGTGCCAGCAAGTGTGATACATCATGTACAGTCCATGCACCGAAAATATTCTGACTGTATTGCTTGAAGTCTAATTGATGGAAACACATCAAGACGCGCCCACTGCCCCATTCCATCCTGTCATTTTCTATTTGTGGTTTCTCATTGATCAATTTCGCTAAATTGAGATCAATACGTGGTGTCTGAAGCAAGGGATCTCAAGGTCCTTCAGAGCTGGTCATCGTCCCTGTCTGAGCGAAAGGTCTGTGATACTTTACTCCTCACTCTGGTCACTCTTCTCTCGGATCTTTCCCCCTCAGAGATTGTTCATCTTAGCTGACCTGTCTACTGTCTAGTTAGGAAGATTTTGAAATGTGTGGTCTGACAGCGTTTCTCCGACTCGGTGGGAATGATATCCCGCGGAATAGCGAAGATAACGCCCCAGCTCTAAGCAAGCAAATCGACGACAGTCTAGAGCTAGTGAAGCATCGTGGTCCTGATGCACGCGGCCAGTGGCTCAGTGAGGACTTACGAGTGGGTATGTTCAATTGTGACCGTCGTGCTTCATTTTCCACCCAACCAAAGCATACACGCTAAACCACGCCTCCAGGCCTCGGTCACGTCCGCCTCTCCATCATCGATCTCAGCCCCGCGGGAAACCAGCCATTCCACGACTCGGAGAATTCAATCCACGCCATCGTCAATGGAGAGCTCTACGACCACGAGAAGTACCGGGAAGAACTCAGCCAGGAGTACGCGTTCAAAAGCCACAGCGACTGCGAGATTGTCATCGCCCTGTACAAGCACTACGGGATATCGTTTGTCTCAAAGTTGCGGGGAGAGTTCGCCCTCGTTCTTTGGGACGCCGAGCGCCAGTTGCTCTTCTCGGCGCGTGATCGCTACGGGGTCAAGTCGCTGTACTATACTGTTGTCGATGATCGGTTGCTAGTGGCGACAGAGATGAAGTCGCTCTTGCCGTATGGGTGGAAGCCTGAGTGGGATGTCAAGTCTGTCGCTGGGCTGACTTGGGCTTATGGGGATCGAACGTTTTTTAAGGATGTGTATAAGGTGCGTTGATCCTGTGGTCTTTGGTCTATGTTGATGAGTACTGATTGTTGCTTAGGTCGAACCTGGGCAGTATCTGATTAGTAAGGGGTTTGGACCGCCTGAAGTCAAGACGTACTGGGATCTGGAGTACCCTGATAAGGTAGGAGGCTTTATCCCTATTTCCCGTGATATCATGCTTATAGTCCCGACAGAACGGTATTTACCCGGAGACTGAAGAAGAGGTCACTGAGAAAGTGAGAGAACTTCTGCTAGAATCCGTGCAGATCCGTCTTCGTGCAGATGTGGGCGTGGGAATATATCTGAGTGGCGGTTTAGATTCCTCCGCTATTGCCGGCATGGTTGCCAGTCTTATAGAAAAGGGGGAGAATCTAGGAAATGATTCCAGCAGGCGTGTTTCAGATATGAGCTGCTTCACTGTCCAGTTTGATAAAGATAGTGGACTTGACGAGACGGGTGAGTGAGCCTATTTCTCCTGCAGCCATGTCTAACGGGGCTTCCCAGATATCGCAAGACGCACTGCCGAGTGGCTGGGCGTGGACTTTCATTCCGTACACATGGACGAAGAGGCCATTGCTTCCAGGCTCGAAGATGTCGTTTGGCACAGCGAGGCCCCCGTTCCGAATGTGAACGCCGCGGGACGAATGGCAGTAGCAGAGGCTGCCCACGCCAAGGGTCTCAAGGTTATTCTTACCGGTAAGCGAATCTGCGCGAGATGACCACCGCTATAAGACGAAACTCACACCCGGACCAACAGGGGAAGGATCCGACGAGCACTTCTCGGGATATTCAGACTTCATGCTGAACTTTCTCCTTGAGAAAGACCCATCATGGCCATCCGCTATTTTCCCCGAAAGCGATGTTATTGACGCGATGAAGGACCAGGCAGTACAGAGATTGGCTGCCATCTCACACAAGTTCGACCAGAGCTTCGCGAACAACACCCCGGCCCCCACTGCGCGTATGCTTAATCACACAACAATAGCGAGCCGCATGTTTCATGTCTTGGTTTTTCCCTTGGCAGCGTGGGCTCGTGATCTCGCACAGACACCCATGGATACCTCTTTCACGGAGAGTCTGGGCGGACAGACTCTAGATAGAATCATGAACAAGTGGCATCCGCTAAACACTGCATCCTACGTTTGGACAAAGATCATCCTGGCGAATTACATCCTCCGCTATCTTGGCGACAACATCGACATGATCCATCAGATTGAGACGCGGGCTCCCTTCCTTGACCACCATGTGACAGAGTACGCAAATAACATCCCTCCCAGCCTGAAGATGAAGTATGATCCGGTTCAAAAGAGTGTCCGGGAGAAGGAGATCTTGCGGAATGCCATGAAGCCTTTCGTTACTGAGGAGATCTACAACCGCACCAAGCATCCTTTTGTCGGACCATCCAAGTTTAAGGAGGGCGGTCCGATACACAAGATGCTACAGCGTCTCTTGACGGAGGAGAATGTCAAAGAGCTTGGCTTCATGGACTGGGAGAAAACGCAGGATAGTCTCGTCCGCGCGTTCCGTGATGGGGATGCTATGGCGTTTCAGCAAGCACTCGGAACCGCACAATTTGTCGTTCTAGGACGTCGATTCGGGGTAGAGAAAGCTCACCCGCCACATAGCAATAGGGGAATTCAGGTTAGGCAATCTCCTGCGGAGTGACGGTATACATGCGAGCATAAATTTGACACAAAACTCATACTATAACCTAGACATGAACACGAGGAAAGCGGTTATCCCGTCTAGTGTTCACCTGGCTGGATAAAGTGGGATCCGTAGGTGCACTGCAGAAGCTTGACATTCTGATAGGCAGGGCATGTATTTCAATCTCAGCCGTCGGATCAGGTAGACCCACGTGTTGACCAGCAAATCTACAAGTCGGGTGTTTGACCAGTGATAAAACCAGAACAGAGAAAAGATGAAATTAAGTAAATGGTAACAAAGAAAGAGAGAGAGAGACAAATAATAGAAGACATAGAAGGAAGTCAAGCCATGTCATCCACTGATTCCAACCTATGGTCTGTCCATGAGATGAACACCCATAACCATCCCAGGTAGATGCGTGTTGTCCAGTCCAATTTCCAATCCTCTTTCCAATCAGGCGCAAAAGATGAGTAGCCGCCGCTGACGACCATAGCCTTCAATTGCAGCATCACTATGCCCAAGTCATACGGGGCTGGTGGCTGATGAAGCTTGGCCGGAGTCAAAGCTCCATCCAGCCTCGTATTCCTCAGCAGCTCCGGACCAACGGCATGGTCTGTCAGGCAATCAGAATCGATCAGTTCGTCCGTCTCACAACGTGTTTCACACGCTGTGGATGGCAGGATAACAATAAGCAGGGTTCCTCCTGCAAGGTTGATTGAATGCCAGACCAGGCGTCAGACATGTCCATGACCCATCTAGACTGTAGATGAAGACCAATACCCGCCCTGCTGGTACGTGAGATCTCGACCAGTCCCAAACTAGAGGCATGACGAGGAAGGATATAACAGGATTGGTGGATTGAAGAAGAGTAGACATACAGACTGTCAGAATCAACAGCTGAGCTGCAGAAGCCTCCGTCACGTGGGAGAGGCACGAGTCGGACTTCTTCCCGTGGTGGAAACTTTCCCAAGAATAGAACATCCTCCACTTCTTTATAATTCATTCGATATCTGGTTCTGTCCCACTTTGCCCTAGTCTGTTAATTGGCGCGTATTCATGGATTCCTCGGAGGGTTTCTACCAAGAATTCGGAGTTGCAACATGATTTGTGTCGGAGTACTCCGTGGTCAACTGTCCCTCGCATTGCCTGAAGACGATGACATTGGCAATCCCATCATGGGTAAGGTAAGGATGTCACGATGGCTACCTTACCTAATAGAATCGGCGAGCTGATCGAATGGGAACGCGGAGGAATTCCTCACCTTTCTCCCCCCCTCCCAAAGCTACCATCCTCCTTGGTGGCGTCTCCCACTTCATCTCATTGACTGCCTTCGAGTCCATCCCGTGAGTGAGACTGACAATTCCGCCTCCCATCCATGGTCCTTCCTGGTGGTGTCAAAGTCAAGAGGGTAGATTCAGGCAGAGAAAAGAAAAGCAAAAAGCAACTACAGCTCATCCGTCCATTTCTTGCCTCGTCCTGCAGGTCTCCTCCTCGCCCCTCCATCCATGATCAAATAATGCATAAAAGAGACCCAGTCCGTCTCCGACCTGACACAGTTTTCACACTACCGATGGAAACCCGGGGTCTTGTCCGGCCCAGTCCAGACCAGTCGCATCCCACCTGAGCTCGAGCCTACCGAAGGATCGGCGAATTTCCGGCCTCCAACTCGCTGCAGCAGTTTCCGCAGTTGACGGGGTTAGCGCCAGTCTTATCACGCCCATGACGCCCTTCCCCTCACCGTTGAGCTCGCTCTCGGATCACCAACAGATTATCGGGCGATTTATCTATCTATCGCTTAGGGCGTCGTCGTGGATCAACGGCTCCCCCTCACTGTATATTCTTATCTCTTCCATCGTTGGCTCGATCGTTGCGAATTAAATAAGAAAAGAAAAGAAAGGAACAGGGACAAGAACGCCCCTCACACCTCACTATTCTTTGTCCTTCTCACCGCCATCTTTTGCTTTTTTTGGGAGCCAAAAAAGAATTTCTTTTTTTTTATTTAATTTCCTGCTCTCTCAGACCCCTTGCACACTACTTGTATAGTATTGAGCCCAATTCCATGTCTCCTCGCACGCTGACGGTACCGATGTCATCGCTTCACAATTGGGAATGGAGAACATCAAGATCCCGTCCCCGTCCGCTATCCTAGACCCCCTTCCTCCTTTGGCTTCGTCTTCCAGAAAGCTTTCTCTGTCCGCCTCTACTTCTACCCGGAAAACGGCTTCGAGCCAAGCCCCGGTTAGTGGGGTAACTAACAAGCCGAAACAGTCCAAAAGTAGGAATGGTATGTCATGTCAACTCCGTCCTTTGTTAGAAGAAGCTATGGAGGAGAGCTAATCGCTTTGTTCAGGTTGCATAACCTGCAAAACTAAACGGCTGAAATGCGATGAGTCCAAGCCCACGTGCTTGCAGTGTAAGAAACGCAATGTGGAATGTGGAGGATACAAGAAAGACTTCAAATGGCGCCCTTTTGAAGAGACAAACGTTGCTGGCAAGGTTGCGACTGCGAAACCTCAAAGAAGTTAGCTCACCAATCTAAGTATCGCGGAGCCCTGGTCACTGACCGTCTATCTAGCTACCTCATCACGGTGCGGCAATGGCAATATCAGTCTATCGACAGCGCAACCAACGAGACTAGCATCGGTAAATCAACCCCGTGCGGCAAAACCGAGCCACTTGAGGCGATTGTCTGCATCCACGCATGGACGTGTACCTGGATTGGAGGGCTCCCGTGGCCACTCCAAGCGACATTCGGTTGCGCAAGATAGCTTCCCATTCCCGGCAGATGGCCTTGACGACCCCAGGTTAGGTAGCTTTAAAGATGATGCCCCTATTCCGCTGCTGCCGGAGATCATCCCATCAGACCCGTGCCCATGGCTATCGAATCTATCGCCCCCGGGTGTGGAGCTCGGGATGAGTTCTGACCAGAGCACCCTAGGCAGCTCCGCGGAAGAAAGCACCCCAGCATCAGAAAGCTTCAGTTTTTCTGCCCTCCTCGAAGGAGAGCACGATGACATCGATGAGATCATCCGACAGTCTGCCGCACCCGCGACCCTGGATACTCCTACAACGGATCTTACTTCGACTGTCTCCACGATGCCTACAGTCCCGAGCTTCCTTACGGAACCAATCTTCAGCACCGGTAGCCCAGAGCTTCTGGTAATCCAGTTCGATCGGTTCACCTGTGGGATCCTCTCCGTGAAGGATGGGGTCCATGAAAATCCTTGGCGGACCTTGGTCTGGCCACTCGCCAAGGACACCCCGGCCCTATACCATGCCATCTTTGCTCTGGCCGCGTTCCACTCCAGCAAGCAGAATCCAGCGCAGCGAGTCCACGGGGTAGATCACATGCGACAAAGCATCACCCACATGGTCCAAGATATCCAGAACATGAGGGCCGATGCCGCGTTAGCCACGAGCTTAGCCCTTGCCTTCGCCGATACCTGGGACCAACACACTCGCACATGCATCCAGCACTTGCGAGGGGCGAAAGCCTTAGTCTCACAGGTGGTCCGATACGGACTACAAAGCGGCATCACCGGGCAAGATCTCGAGCGGGTCCGATTCCTCTACAACACCTGGCTATACATGGACGTAATTGCGCACCTCACCTCGCGGGAGGGCTGCGGGGACCAAAACGTGAACGTCTCCATCCTCCAACACCCGCGGGACGCGGTGCACGAGATCGATCCCCTGATGGGGTGTGCCACCACTCTATTCCCACTAATCGACCGCGTGGCACGACTCATCCAGCGCGCCCGCAAGATGCAGTCAAACTCCATCTCTCTCGTCTCACATGCCATCGAGCTGAAACGGCTCGTCGAGCAATGGGAGCCTCCAGCGTGGTTCGAGCCACCGGAAGACCCAACCTCCGAAGTCCAGCACAGTATCCAGATCGCGCACGCTTACCGCTGGGCGACACTACTATACCTCCACCAGGCCGTTCCGGAGATGCCGTCCGAGCCGGCCTCTGACCTCGCTAAACGCGTTCTCATCCTGCTGGCGACTGTGCCGCCGAGCTCGCGGACGACCATCATCCAAATGTTCCCGCTGTTAGCAGCCGGGTGTGAGACCGACCAAGAGGAAGACCGGCAGTGGGTGCTAAATCGATGGACGGCCGTGCAGTCCCGCCTGATGCTAGGCTCTATAGATCGGTGTATTGAGGTTGTGCGAGAGGTGTGGGCTCGTCGCGATGCGTTCGAGGCAGAGAAGCAGCGACGACAGTTCTGCATTTCCGGGCGTGCAAGCTTCTCTGCGTGCGATGGTCTTGGGAAGGACGGGCTCTCGTACGGAAGCTTATCTACTGCTGATGACTGGGCTTCTGTTAGAAGTGCAGTGGGCAGCAGCTCCCGGCGAAACTCGGTTGCATCCCCATTGGAAAATATCGAGTTTGAGAAAACAATACGCGGCCGCTTACACTGGCTTACTGTGATGCGAGAATGGGGGTGGGAAGGTATGGAAACACATTTCTTCTTTTTCCCTCGCGCCTGAAGTACTCCCAATTCACTGGCAAAGCACATAACTAACTCGAGACAGTCTTTCTTGGATGAACAAAATTCACAACTAGGATATGAGGACCTGTGAAAATGACACCAAAATGACCACTTCCAACCGTAACTTTGGAAGGCGAGCCAGCACTTCACCACCCACAGTCCAAGTACCATCACCCACCTAGCGCCGTTCGTCATCATCTTCCGGCCCTGATGTTTGACACTTGCCACCAAAACAACGCCGAAAATAGCTCCCTTTTACAGTCCCGCCCAGGCGCCCTCGCTTTTCACCCTGCCTAGCCAGGCGCCTATAACATGTCTCTTCCCCACCCTCTCTCACGTTCTCCCAGTCATCTCCTCATCTCCGAACCCCAGTGGGGTTGTTTTCGGTGCGGGTTGGGTCGGGTTTCAAGGGGGGTTGCCCCTAATCCGGCCGCGGTTTGGGGGCTGGCTTCAGGATGCGCCCCGAACCCGCACCCGGCCGGATTGGGGCGGATTCTGGGGGTCTCCCCAACAATATGACTTGCTTTAGATATTTGTTATTTTCGAAAATAAAATATATAATAACAAGTACAACTGATGATACCCTTATATTATAGATTTATATCTGCAAAAGTGGTAAAGTTATCAAACTTTAAAGTTGGTAATTTTTACCCTACCATGATATATATATCTTAACTAGGTGTCTAATTAGACTAGATTGGGGTCTCCAGGGGTCTCCAGGATCAGAACAGATCCTACTTCTTGCTCTGTTAAATTGATAAGGCTTTGAGCACCGATTGGCAGCATGATAGGTGGTTGAAGAAGAGTTCTAATTAATCTACGCGTTTGAATAGGGTGAACCACTCGGTAGTGAATCATGTTAGGAAATGAAATACAATGATATGAATAAATGACTAAGCGTGGCATTGCATTAGGAGATTGTGTAGCCAAGCTCTCCAAATCCCTTTAAGTCAACATTATTGTAATCTGTTCTGATACGCCTGCTGCGATGCTGCGAACCAAGACAGGGTGTCTAGTCTGTAAGCGGTCTTTGTATGTAATGAGCGAAGAGATACTTACTCAAACGGGTAGGCAGGCGGAGGCGCAAGAAATGCGATGAAAGCAAGCCTCGATGTGAGCGATGCATCAAGTCCGGCCGTCAGTGCCACTGGCCTTCCGCAGAGCAGCATTTGGACAAACGACATCGCTTCCGGCCCCACGGATCAGCCCATGATCCATCATGGGCTGGACGATATGTCTATGGAGATACTGCGCCATGTGAACTACCTTATACAAGTCCATCTCATCAACAATTAATCATCGCGCGGGTGTTCGAATCCGATTCGGAACCACGCCTCTTAGCCCATTTTGTAGAGAGGCTTTGTCCCTTGCTATTCTTGTCCACAGGTCATCCAGCATTTCAGGGTGACTGCATCTCATACGGGAAGGAGTTAAGTGTTCGATTTGAAGCAGCCCGGACGGGCGTGTTGGCATGCAGCGCCCTACACTTATACAGCCTCACTCTGGACAGGCGACTGAAAGCAGTGGCCCTCAATTACTACTCCGCGACGGTGTCCAGTGTCTATCGGGCTTTTCAGAGTATCAACACGGCTGCCTGCCCCAACGATTTCTTTACGTCCTGCGATGGAAGATACGATGCGCTGATGCTTTCGATTGTGTCACTTTATCTTTACGGGGTACGTGCGTGCTATCGACGGTTCAGGCCCATCAGTAACCCGAATCAAGATTCAGTATGCTACTTATTTGTGCTTACTGACATGTTTTTGAAACATAACAGCATTTGACCGGAGAGTCCGATTATAGTCAAGATATCGCCCAACATGTTGTCGGAGCAATGCATTTGCTGCGTTCGCGTCTCGCATTGAAGGGAATCAACCGCCCATTCGACTGGGTGATTGCCGAAAGTATTTTCTACCAACTATTCATGCTCTCAGTCCGGTACGCTAGTGACTGGACATTACGAGTGGACGAGGAGATTTGGAATGAAGCGTTTCAATGTTCCATTTTTCCTGACTCGCCCCCAATAGCCAACAGGCCTATCCTGGGCATTCCTGTGTCCCTTTGCAGATTCATCGCCCGAATCGCACGGCTTTGCCATGGCCCTCTGCCACATTATATACCCGAATTCGTGTCACTTTTACAACACGAAATGCGCGATTGGGAGAGTTGGCTGCTTCCGCTTGCTTTCTCTGATAACTCAGTCTCTTATAACGCGGTCCCCATCGAACCGAACCCTGTGGATGATACGACTGTGATGTACGTTTTGGCTGCGTCGATTCTTCTAGAAAGGTTCAGCACATTACCGGATGGCTTAAGCTTAGAAACTTCCTTCCTATCGAATTTTGGCTCTTCGAGACGACGAGAACACGCACTGGGTCTAGTGCGCCGGCTGATTCTAGATGTGAGATGGACAAAGAACTACCTTGCGGCGTGGCCCACAATGATCATTGGGACTCTAGTCGAAACTGAGGAAGATGCGTCACTGATGAAGCAAGACTCTGACCAGCGCCAGATAATAGCCGCGAGAGGGGAAGGCATTTTCCTGAATCCTAGGACTCTTCATCCTTGGCAAGGTTGATAATAACATATGCGGTCCATTTTGTGAGGCTAGATATGCGAGAAACGGCTTTCAAATGTTCTGTCGCAAAGAATACCACTCGGCTACAAAAAGATATCTAGACACTTCTGAGCTCTGTGGGTACTCTTTTATGCACTATCTTATATTGCGACATGTTCTTACAAGACTGTGGCTCGTATGAGGGCACCAATCATTGATATTTGCGCAAAGTCCTTGACGTTCTGGGGGTTCAAGCGCCCCCTGTGAGGAAGAAGTTGGTTGATTGAAACAACCGAATAACCCAAAGCCCGAGTTATATCACTCCGAGATTTAGTTCATGCTGTAAACAGTTAGTAATCTGGCGCGGGCACCAATCACTGATATTTGCGCATTTTTGCTTGGCGATCCTTATAGAAGCCAATCGGTTGTGATTACGACCTCGGGGATATCTATATCTAGGTACGATGTTCAAGAGGCTCCATTCTTTACGGATGCATTAGAGAATGCCTGCGTGATCTCCAGTCTCAAGGAATATATAAAGTCGTACACTGTGCTAGGTTCATTCATTCTACAAGAGATTTCTGATTTCGCTCCATTACACCCTCTTATCTTCAAGTTCTACCCATCTGTCAACCAACTTGTACGCTTCGAAAATGGCTATTACAGAGGATTGGCAAGCGCTAGTAGATCAAAAGCTCATTGATCGCGCCTCACAAATTCCTCCAGCATGGAAACTTTCCAGCGACTTGACCGAACTTGTTCGTCCAGACGCTTCAATTAGTGCCTTTGACTTGTTGCGGAGAACCACTCTTCTCAGCCCAAGAGAACTTGAAATCACAGAGACATACAGTGCAGAAAAGCTCGTTGGATTGCTTGCAACTCGTCAAATCACCTCGTTGGAAGTGACTACCGCTTTCTGCAAGCGGGCTGCAATTGCACAGCAGCTGGTAAGGTTGCTCCTCGCCCTCTTCTGCTTTGACTTAGTTACCGCCGAGACTAACCTCTAGCCTTGTAGACTAACTGCCTGACCGAGATATTCTTCGAGCAGGCAATAGAGCGAGCCAAGGAACTCGACGAGTACATCCTGAAGAACGGACGTCCGATGGGTCCGTTTCACGGCCTTCCGATAAGTCTGAAGGTACTTACTTTTGCGCTCTGGGTCTGACACGTAAGATCATATCATTGACTATTCTTTGTGCAGGACACCTTCATGATAGAAGGCCAAGCAGCTACACTGGGCTTTATCTCCTTCCTCAGGAAGCCAACTGCGACCAAAAACTCTTCTCTGGTCGAGATGCTCCTCGAGGGAGGCGCAGTATTGTACGTCAAGACAAACGTGCCTCAGACACTTTTCGTAAGTTGTTTCTTCCTGTACCTCTTCACTTCTCACTTCCGGACTTCACCTGAAACCCAATAGACATGCGAATCTTACAATAGACTCTTCGGTACAACCATGAACCCGCATAACCTGAGTCTAACCGCAGGTGGAAGCAGCTCCGGCGAAGGAGCACTAGTAGGTATCAGGGGATCTATCCTAGGAGTTGGGAGTGATATCGGTGGCTCGATACGAGTCCCGTCTCTATGCAATGGTATCTACGGGTTCAAGCCCACTACCAATCGCGTGCCGTATGGAGGCCAACAAGAATTACTCCGAAGAGGGTGGCCGGGGATTCTCCCTGCTGCTGGGCCACATGCCCAATCTGCATCGGACCTGACGTTTTTTGTTCGATCGGTTCTTCTTTCCAAGCCATGGCTGAGGGACTCCACTGCCTTGGCCGTACCATGGCGAGAGATCCCGAGGAAGACACGGCTTACCATCGGGGTCTTCTTGAATGATCCGATGTTTCCGGTTTTCCCTCCAATCGCCCGGGCGTTGCAGGCTGCGGTAGCTAAGCTGAAGAGTGCTGGGCATGAGGTTATTATTGTGACCGCTCCGCCCCTAATCACAGGAGTAAACGGAGCGACGCGGTCCCTTATGCTGGATACTAATGACACGATCTCCAAGTATCTAGCAGAGTCGGGAGAAGATCCAGTCGAGTGTGTCCGCCAACTCAATCCAGCAGCTCTACTCAACCAGGATGTATATTCACTAGACGATGTGTGGCAATTCATCGCCGAGAGAGAGGACTACAGAGAAGACTGGGGCAAGGTATGGCGGGAAAACCAGCTCGACGTTCTCCTTTGTCCAGCTTCTCGGGGAACAGCCGTACCGCATGACAAGTACGGGGCTCCTGTATACACTTTGATCTGGAATTTTCTTGATGTGAGTTAAGCCCGCGGGTGACTGTCAACCGGCCCTGTTAACAAGGACATTTAGTTTCCTGCGAGCGTTATTCCCTACGAACATGCCAGCAAAGCACTGGATACGGCGGAAATGGATGGATGTGAGTTACCTTAAGAGCATGACATTACAACCCAGGCTAAATGAAATGTAGTCAACATTGATGAAGTTGACGGAGCACCTTGCCATGTGCAAATTGTTGGCTGGCAGTTCCAGGACGAGGAAGTTCTTTCTGCGACGGAGACTATTGCTGAGGTTCTCAACTCATGAACCTCTCGTTTCGATGCCAGGCTCCTTGTTTACTCAAAGAAGTAACCTCCTTCAATCTTGGTTGCTAGAAATTAATATCGGTTGCACAAATTCGCTATGGTTCATTTGTATGTCCTCGGTGAGGAGTTCAATTTAGAGAGTCGCGGTGCACATGATAAGACGAACATGTCATGTTTTATTAATATATAACTTACTCGGTTTGTTTAACCCACACTGGTTGTATACTACGAGCGGATCAGATCGCTCACATGATAATTGGCATAAGTATAATTGATCACACAAGAAAATAACACGAAACAAGAAGCCACCATGAAAAAACCATCAAATCAGGAGACCGCCATCAAGAATCCACTGAATCAGGAAACCACCATCAAAAAGCATCAAATCAAGAAGCCACCATCGATAAGCACGAAATCAGGAAACCACCATCAAGAATCCAACCAATCAAGCAAGAAACTACAACGAGCGAGTGTGCGGACCACGTCTCTTCACACCAGCCGTACGATTCCCCTTGGTCCCATTCTGAGCCTGCCGCGCTGCAGGCGTCCCATTCGCAGCGGATTCCTGGCCTCTGGGCTCCATGTCTGCTTCCTCCGGCTTGTCATTCGCGGTGTCTTTGCTGTCGAGATACGATCGCAGCGACGCCAGGTACGGCTCTAGGTCGCTCGTGATGGACACGGTTGACATGTCGACTTTTTGCTGTCGTTCGCTTTGGCGAATGAGGTGAATGTTCGTTCTCCAATTTCCACCCCACCCTGTAGATAGGTAGGTACTAAGACGAGACCGGTCAGCGCAGGCGTTTTATATTTTGCAAGGAACTGGAATGGAGTGGATGGATGGGTACATGGCTGGGAATAGCAGGTAAGGTAGTATAGTATACCCTCAACTTGGACAGTCTTGTCTTCTAATGTCTTTTCACTGCTGCTCTCGACGTTGGCCGTAGTGGTTGACACCTTTTTGTCGTTCTTACCCCGGAACGGATCTGTAGTCGCGTAGGAATATATAGATAGATAGCGATGCTATCCTCTCATCGGAACAAGACCACCCAATCGATAACTGATTTCCGGGAAGAGCAATTCCGCCTTGTGAAGCCCTAAAAGGGACGGACAACACACAACTTAACAACTGGAATTACGAACGACGAAGCCAAGAAAGAGGCCAAAGACGGTGTGAGCTTCAACTTGAAAAGGATAAATCGACTCGTCTGGTATAGTGATTTCCCGTTCCGCCTTGAAAGTTGAGAGGAATCTGCACGGGATTGAGGATGGGTGTGATCTGCATTGGGGGGTTTAGACGGTGCGTGGGCGTCGTCATACGGCTTCTTCTTTCTCTTCTTGGGAGAATTTGTCTTTGTTTTATTTTATTGTTTGACTGTTAGATTGTGGGGTTGTTGGGTTCGACGCTGGAGGGTGTGTGGTGCTGGTGGGCTGTTGGTGCAGATGGGATGATGGTGATGGACAATGGGATATATCCAGTGCGTGAGGGACCAAATGGCGGTGGGTAGATAGATAGACAGATAGATGGATAGATTTTCAGAAGTAGATATGGTTTCCTTTTGTTTAAAGGGTGGTGTAATATTTTCGTTCTTCCTTATGATTATGCGGCAAAGATGCGGACCAGATCAGTCCGTATTGTCAGTCGAATCTGGATAGAAATAGACAGAGGGACAGCAAAAGCAGTACGGATTGCAGAGATGAACAGAGAAGGGGATTAATCCTCGGAAGATGATTTGATCCGGATCGAAGCACTTTTTTCGGCGTTGTGCTTCTTGCACTGCAGTTTCTTTCTTTGTCTATGGGTGGGATTGATTGAATGGGGAGCGGGATGAGGATAGTCAAGGATGAGTTGGATGGTGATCTTTCCCTAGTTGGCGCTGTCGGTGATTCGCCTTGCTGCGTCTTATTTGTCAGTGAGCTGGAGTCATTGTCTGTGGTTACTCAGTACTTGGATAGGAAGAGATGTTGGGGAATAGCTTCTGGAATGGGATATTCTATGGTCTTCAGCCTGTTATCTAGGTATTTATCAGTGGGGGAGATACTGATACTGATAGCGATAGTAGACAGTAGTTGCGCGATCCGAGATACCAGACGGTCTGACTGAAATGACGGGGTCCAGTGCGCTGGACTGATGAATACAGAGTAGAACCGAATTGACGAGATGAATGGTGTCAATGAGTGGTGGATGATGAAAGGAAATACTAACCCATCCGGGCAAAACAATCCAGCGACTCCAACCACGCGTCGCAGAGAGAGCCGTGCTTTTACCCCTCACTCTCCTCATTCCGCCGTTGGGGATACTCCCCTCTTTGTTTGGTTTACTGGCTGACTTTGGTAGTTTGATCCGTGTCTATAGTTATCAATTGAGATAGAATGGGTTCAACAGAGGGGTGGAGGGATAGGTGGGATGGATATAAATCGTGATAGTTGGCTGTCACTCTGTTGCGTCCATTGACAGTTCAGTATTGCTCTGTATCGATTCAATCAAATCACCATGGCCACTCCCTTTGTTTACCACGCCAAGGCTCAATCCACCTTTAAACCTCCGTTGATTGCGAACGAGAATGCCTTCCTGGGTGATATCGACTCAAGGTATATACACTGACTTCAAGGTTCCATGACAATGTACAGTACTCGATACTGATAATCATAGTGACCGGTATAACCCCGACAAGCCCATGACGGCCGGTTTCTACCGCCTCGAAAAAGGCACCCCCCTAGTCTATGAATACACCTACGACGAGATGAAGATCATCCTCGAGGGCGAGTTCGAAATTGCCGACGAGACCGGCCAGAAAGTGACGGCCACACCGGGGGATGTGTTCCACTTCCCCAAAGGGACCAAAGTTACGTTTACGACGCCGTCATATGGGCTTGCTTTCTTCGTAAGTCACCCCACTTTTTGTGTTCAAGAAAAACAACTTCCAGTCCTGTAAGGGGACCGACTGCTGTCGTCATAGTCCTTTTCTGTGGCTTAGTGGCTAACAACGGCGGACGCATAGACCGGGCAACGAGCCAAGGGAGGGGCGTAAGGGAGAGATAAAGCTCCATAAAATTCTCGGCGGGTCGGTCAGATCTGGGATCAAAACAAGGAACTCGAAAGGCTGGTTAGGTTCGGTAGTGGCCCAGGTTGGGGTTTGGTTCACGCTGAAAATCTCGTTTGTTTGTTTGGGTCTCCGGCCTCGGACCATGGATCGCGTTCGGATCCCCACCGCGTCTGGCTGTGACCGTGGTTCGGTGTAAACAGCTGCCATCTTGATCTAAAGATCTGTACCAAGATATCATGCATGGGATATGGAAATATTGTCTTCTTCAATTATGGCGTAGTATGCGAAAGATATGGAAGTGGTCCTTGATGCAGAGACTAAGTAGAGCCTCAAAAATCCACTCTAAGCAATGTGCATGACCACTGGATCCCGGTCTTCCCGATAGATCGCACGATCTCGCTAAATCATGATAACACGGACGGACAAATTCATAGACACGAACTAGTGAATGACTTGCAGCCTCGTGCAGAGCCAAAGCTGTCCACTGGGTCATCTCGCACGGGTTCCATTTCCAGGCCTAAGCGCCTCGATCTTGGTCGTATCCGGGGACGATCCCGCGGCTCCTGGGATAGATTAACTCGGAATTCGCCTAGACAAGACCTGGAATGACCAGTGAGCATTTAGAATGGCCTTGAATGCTCAGAACTAGAGACTGCGAGTAAGCTGCGAGTAAGGGAGTTGCCTGGACAACGGGGCGTAAGACATTCGCAAGGCAGCTGGGGAGGAAGGTAACTTTACCCAAGAGAGATTAGCAGGAGGAAGAGAGGGAGCAAGTCGGAAATAAGACAAGGAAGGAGAAGAGTGGAGAGAGAGAAAGTGAGAGAGAGAGAAGTGTAGTGGCTCAGCTGGAATCGTGATGATTTCAAGAGTATTTGAATGAATACCTGAGGAATCAGGTCTCTTCCTCCCTCTTTTCTCCCTTCGTTCTTCTTTCTTCTTTCTTCCTTCTCTCTCTCTTCTTCATCCTGCTTGATCTCATCTTCAACCTCCTCTCTATATCCACTCCTACTTTGACGTCTACTCCATTCTCTTCCTTCCCGCCATCTCCCTCCTCACTAAAAGGATCGTCTTGTCCCCCTCGTCCCAATCCAGTCTAGGCGTGTTACTCCCCCCCCCTCCTCCCGTGGAAATCACCGCGATTGTGCTTCAGCGCGTACGCTCTCAACAAAGCCATTATTACCTTTCAAGCACGGAAGTGGCTTATACCTGTCTCAATTCATCTCTTGCGCAATCTGTCACGTTGCTGGTCTGTCGCGGAAATTTTATCCTGCTCAGCTCGTGTTGATCAGACCCTAGCCCCATTTCGTGACCCCCACACCGACAACTTGCGCGACCTTCCCTTGTGGTTTTCGCCCTTGATAAGGGTTGCGTCTCCCACGTTGACTTTGACTCATTGTGAACTTTTCCCCCTTTCATCCACTACATACAGGTGGCCATGAGCGTGGACTTTTCTTACGACCTGGCCGATCGTCCGGCTGGCCTTCGTCTGCCCAACCCCCCGCCGCTGCTGCACACCCGCTCGGGCAACGAACTCGCCACCGATCGCCCCTCCACGCCCTTTCAGAATGCCTTCACCAGTCCGGTTCAGACCCCGCAAGGGAGCCCCAGCAAAAACAGGATGCCCCCGGGTGCGCTGGATTTGCCAAATGTCTTCGATACGGCGATGAAGTTGGCACCGAGCTCCCCCACCAAGGCCACTCACAACCACTACCAGCACCCCATGTTCGCCCCACCCAAACCGTCCGGAGACGACTTCAACGAGAGCGTCATTCGCCAGCCCCCGAGTCCCACGCGGAAATCCAACAAGGAGAACACGCCACCGAGTTCCACACGCATCCCGAAACCCCTGGGGTCCAACCCGGCCGCCGCCGCTATTTCGCGTCACGAACATTATCAGACCCGCGATGTCGAGAGCATCCAGAAGCGCTCGGTGCAGATGCGCGGGCTGACGGCCGAGGAATTGGAGAAACTCCAGAATCCCCGCGTCAAGCGACTGGTCAATGTGACTCAACTGTGTAAGTTCCGGAGATTTGTTGACCTTTATTTCTGAACTAACATCCCGTGATCTGGGACTTAGATTTCCTCGACCACTACTTTGACCTGCTCAGCTACTTGAACAACCGCCAGAATCGCTTTTCCCAGTTCTGCTCAGCCTATCCGGAGCCGCCCGCCACCCCGATGGACGACTACGAGCCGGCGTTGGCGAAATATCTCGGGCGCGAACGGGCGCACCTGCGCAAGCGCCGGACTCGCCTGCGCCAGCACGATTTCCAGATCCTGACGCAGGTCGGCCAGGGTGGATACGGGCAGGTGTACTTGGCGCAAAAGAAGGATACCCGGGAGGTGTGCGCGCTGAAGGTTATGAGCAAGAAGCTCCTGTTCAAACTGGACGAGATCCGCCACATTCTCACCGAGCGCGACATTCTGACGGCGGCCAAGAGCGAGTGGCTCGTGAAGCTGTTGTATGCATTCCAGGATCAGGACCAGATCTACCTCGCGATGGAGTACGTCCCCGGAGGCGATTTCCGAACGCTGTTGAACAACACCGGGGTCCTGCACAATCGCCACGCCCGATTCTACGTGGCCGAGATGTTCAGCTGCATCGATGCCCTGCACGCCCTGGGGTACATCCACCGCGATCTGAAACCCGAAAACTTCCTCATCGATTCCACCGGCCATGTCAAGCTGACGGACTTTGGGTTGGCGGCCGGCATGTTGAACCCCGGCAAGATCGAGTCGATGCGCGTGAAGCTGGAGGAAGTCGGCAACACCCCCGTCCCGTTCGGCCGCCCGATGGAGCAGCGCACGGTCGCAGAGCGCCGGCAGGGATATCGCACGCTGCGCGATCGACAGGTCAATTACGCCAAGTCGATCGTGGGGTCGCCCGACTACATGGCGCCGGAAGTGCTCAAGGGCGAGCAGTACGACTTTACGGTGGACTACTGGAGTCTGGGATGCATGCTGTTCGAGGCGCTTGCCGGATATCCGCCGTTCGCAGGCGCTACGGTAGACGAGACGTGGCAGAACCTGAAGAACTGGACCAAGGTGCTGCGCAAGCCGGTGTACGAGGACCCGAACTACTTCCTGTCGCGGCGCACGTGGGACCTGATCACGCGACTGGTTGCATCGAAGGAAAAGCGGTTCAAGAACATCCAGGAGATTCACGCACACAGCTACTTCAGCGAGGTCGACTTCAACCGACTGCGCGAGCAGCGGGCGCCATTCGTGCCGGAGTTGGACTCGGAGACGGACGCGGGCTACTTTGACGATTTCAGCAGCGAAGCCGACATGGCCAAGTACAAGGAGGTACATGACAAGCAGCGGGCGCTGGAGGAGATGGCCGAGCGAGGTGACAAGATGAACAAGGGGTTGTTTGTTGGATTTACATTCCGGTATGTGCCACAGAAAGGGGGATCACCTATTCTCCAGCTAACCAGTATTTAGCCATCGCAAGCCCGCCGTCGACGGAACCAACCGGGGGACTCCACGGAAGCCTCTCCCGATGGACGGGACATTCGGAACGATGTTTTAAGGTCTGATGGGTTGTGTTTTAGTTTCTATTCTTGCGACGACGAGCTGGCCTCGAGCGTCGATCACTGAGCGGGTATGTCTTTAATGTTGCATGCGTTATGTTGCCAGATGAGAGGAGATGAGGTGGAGACGGAAAGAGCTGGGAGATTCATTGTATGATATGATACAGTATCGTAGATGGCATTCATATTCACCGTCCATCTTTTCTCGTAGAGTATATGTTTAATCCCCTCCTCGTAGGGTATATGTTTAGTTCCCCTCCTCGATCTGATGCACCATGCGGAGAATCTCCGACTCGTTATCACCAATCACCGCCTGCGCATTCGTCCAGTCAACAGTCTATAAAATCGAAAAAAAGTCAGCATCCATCAACCACACCACTCAACTCAAATCCCCAACCAAAAGAGAGAAGGGAGAAAGAAACATACAATCGGCCTAACAAACCCACTCCCCCCATCCTCCTTAAACTTCCTCACCGCATCCTCCGCATCCTTCGCACCCTTAATCACATCCGAAACCGCATAAGCCTTACTATTCCGGCTGGTACTCGCCGCATTGGCATCCGCCGAAACGTAATCGAGGATATTGCGCAGCTGGTCGGTTGTGGGCGGGGCGGTGGTGACTTCGAGCTGGAAGTCGCCGCGGGCGGTGGAGGAGGCTGCTGTTGAGGCGCGCTTGAGGATGTTGTAGGCGTTCGTGGAGGTTGAGGAGGAGGGGGCGTGGAAGAGGGTTATGGGGTCGAGGGTTTTGGCCTGGATTTGGTTAGTTTTGTTTTGCGTTTTTTTGATAGAGGGTTGGGTGTTGCGTTTTGAGGTGGTTGGATTGGGTTGGGGTGGTTGATTGGGATGATGGGAGTGGGATGGGAGTGAGGGTGAGGTGAGGGTGAGGGTGAGGGTTATGGTGAGGGTAATGAGGAATACATACGAAGCGGAAGACCATCTTGACGGTTTCTTGTCTTGTTTCTGTAACAATTGGTGAAAGTAGTTGTATAGTGAGGTGTTGAGAGATGGAGGGAAATCCAACTGGCTGCATGACTCGACAGGGATGCTGATTACGTCATGTTTGTCATCTTTGTCGGGCCGGTTTTTTTCTTCTTTTTACTTCTTTGATGGACGATTTTGGACGATTTTGAACTATTGTCGACGATTTCAAGACAATTCTAAGACAAGAATAGTCATGCTATGTCAAAATCACCACTTGTGTGAGGATGCTATCGCAGTAGGGGCAGTTGTTGCTGAACCCAAACAGATGTAGGATAGTGTCATATCTTATAACTGCAACGATAGAGGTGCACGATTAGTAGTCGTGAATTGTACTGTATATATTGTAGCATGATCTCGCCTTTGCTGAAGGTATTGTCTAGCTTCATATAGCGGCCAGGGCATCACGCCTTTTGTCTTTAGAAAGTCATGTGGAAACGAGTAGGTCTGAGATGTACACCTGCGGTACGACGTCCATGGTTGTCTTATCTTGGTTAAAGAAGCAATAGTGGGCATATGCACCATTGACATGGGTCTCACAGACAGGTAGAGCAGTGAATGCAACTATATGCTATATGAGTTCGTTGTATACTGTGTCAATTTGAATCAATCTTGTCGATTTCTCCTGTTTCCGCGTAATTCATTCAATCTATCTAGTTTTCTCGGTCTTCTCAACACAGTACCTATAGTACACTGCTATTCCCCAACAAGCCAATCCCCTATATCATAAAGATCAATCCAGTCTCAACATCACAACCTGCAAGTCAACTAATAAACAACCTTAGGAACCCCAGGAACAGTCCAAACCACCCTATCCATAAATCCCTCCCTCGTAAAAACCTCCACCAACCCATCCCGATCCTCCTTAAAATGCTCCCACGACTCAAAATGCACCGGGATCATCACATCCGCGCCAATCTCCCGCATCAATCGCACAGCCTGCTCCCCATCCATCGTGATCTGAATCGATCCAACAGGAAATTCAAATGTCGCGTTGCCCAGGTTCAGAAGAGCAGCCGTGACGTGCCATCTTTTCCCGATTTCCTTCAGCTCGTCGATGTACACCGTGTCGCCGGAGAAATAGATCGCGTTGGGTTTACCTGACTCTGCATGGACGCCGAGTGAGTCTGTTTCTAGAATGAAGCCGGTGACTTCGCCGACGGGGAAGTGCTTGCATGGGGTGCCTGTGATGCGGAAGACTTTGTCCCCAATGGTAGACGTCACTGTTTCCCAGGGACGCAGGCCGACGACTCCGGGCCGGGGACGCAGGTTGTTCGCGCCATCGGGTGTAGTAAACACCTTACGGGCGTCTAGCAGTTTACGACCCTCCGGGTCGAGATTATCGAGGTGGTCTTCGTGGCTGAGAAGCACTGCGTCGATGGGGGGCAGCTCGTTGAGCTGGAGGGCCGGGCCGCGGCGGTTGATGAGGTGCGGTGGAGGTGGGATTGCATCCAAGCCGAGGGATTTCAGATCGGTTTGTTCCCAGACGCGGGTGGATTCGTATTCGCTGCCGTCGATGGAGCCGAAGAAGGGGTCTGTTAGGAAGGTTGTGCCATTTATATTGAGGATTGTGGTGGCCGTTGTGATGTGGGTTATGGTTAGAGTTGGGGTTGACATGTTGGGTGGTAGTATATAATGATGGCTGTAGATGAGTATGAATGGGAGTTGGATGTTGTACACAACATTGGGGAATGTTTCTCCTTTTATAATGGACAGGAAGTCTATTAGATATCCTTTGACTGGTTTACAAACACGTTGGTAATCGTCTGCTGCTTCCATGGTTTCCGTCTATACTCGGCCATCCCACTCTATATGCCGAGTGGGTCAAAAGCTTCTAGAAGACTCGCGTCGGCATCCCGCTGGCACTGATTAACCTCGATCGATATGATTAGCTAGCAATTCGAAACAATAAAGATTAGTTATAAAGCACCTCTAATTATACTTGATGGATAATGCTGATCAAGCTGATTGGCAGTCTTTTTCAAGGATATTATTACCTACGTAGTCAATATCACCGGCATCCCACTTGCCACCAGTCTCTGCCAAATGCCTACACATCGTATATTTTCCGTAAAAACGGTAGAAATTGTCTTGCAAATGCCTTTTATTATAGAATACATAGATTGCTGCAGATAGTTGTACACATGATTCAGTCCCAAGTCATAGCAACTCACGACGAGTTTAAACTTGGATGAAACTTCACTGCATGTACAGCTCCATTCCACTGCTTGTCACTACCTCGGGTTTGGCATCGAAGCTGGGAATGTACATGTCTCGATCATGCCTTCAGTTTCTTGCGGTCATATAGCTTCTTGCTGCGTTTGCGCTTGAATGTGGGCCACTGGATGCTTCTCTGGAATGAATAGACGAGAATTCCATTTGGAGGAGGCCGTGTATGCCATTCTTAATTGATAATGGCATATATTTGAATAATTTTCATTTACTGAATATGGAATGTCTGCTGTAATTGGTATAGGACAAGCGGTGCCAAACCTCTACCACCATTGTACATCGCATGTTGAGTTAAGCATCTACATAGTTACTGCTTCCTCAAAACTATGTTCCAGTCAGATAATACAGCGGTGAATGACTACAAATATCCATTAATCATACTCATATGTCATGCCCATAATTACCATCCAAACCTCTCCACATGCAAATACACCCCCTGCGCCCCCGTCCCCTTGTGTACCGCCCGCTCATCACTCAAATACACCACGCTGCGACGAACTTCATCTGACAGGCCCACAGGCCCACACACTACGACTGCGCTCTCTCCTTCTGCTTTTTCGAGGGCTTTGCGGATGATGTTGCGGGGTTTGGGGCGGCCGGAGAGGATGTTTATGTTCTTGTCTCTAGTTGACCGGTGGGAGGATGGTTCCGTTTTGGGGGTAGGTTTTTCTGGCGTCGTGTCTGTAGTAGTTATTGCTTCCTGGGACGTGTCTGTGTCGGTTGGAGCTACATGTCCGGAACATGTGCATATTTTGTCCGCAATCTGGTCTTCATCGACAGTATCAACACAGCAGCAGCATCCACCGCCCGACCGACAGCAGTTTTCATGCGTTGACGAAGTGTGGTAGGACGGCGTTACAGAACGAACAGAGGCGTCGTCTTTGTGTCGCACCTTTTCTGCCCCTTCAGCGGGGTTCTCACCCCTCGTCTCTGCCAGCTCGTTAAGCTGCAGACACACAGTCTGCTGCACGACAGGCTCCAACTTCTCATCACAAGTAACGTAAACACTTATTTCCACCTCTCGGGTAATATCCGGCTGCTCGCGGCGACACTGCTCGACCTCCGTATGGACGGCTTGCAACTCCCTCTCAAACCAGGACAGCTGGGCTCGCGACTTGACCACCCACACGACGCGAATGCGCTTCGTGGCTGTTGCACGGGGGTTTCCTCCCGTAGCACTCTCCTTCCATCCCGCGATAATATCCCGCAGACAGGGCATGATGTACGTGGCTCCCATGCCACCTGCCAGCAGGACTACGCTGTCAAATTGCCGGAGTGGGCGGATAGCCCCGTACGGTCCGTCGATGAATACCGTGCGGGTCTTCTCTTCGGCTGGTATCTCTGACGAGCCAAGGATGCCGTGCTGCTTCGATGCGTAGCGGAAGAAACGGCGAGTTCCGCCTTTCTCGGCGCGTATTAGGAACTCCATCTTGCCGTCTGATGGGATCGAGGCGATAGTGAATGGATGACTCTGCAGGGGCACGAGCGAGTGGCACGTCAGGAACACATGCTGGCCTGCTTTCCAGCTCACCGTCGGGTTCTCGATCGTCACGCGAGTGACATTCCCCGGCAGGGGAGTGAAAGTCGCGCGGTGAGCCCAGAGTGTCTGCTTGGTGGGCGAACGATGAAAAATAGACAAATTGGCGTAAATCGCCCATGCATACCGCGCAACACGGTCAAACACCACCAACCCGATGGGAATCCACACCCAAACCTTGACTTCAGCCGGGGCATGCAGCCAAATAGCGACGAGAAACCCCACAAACAGGACGAGATGCTGTAAGACAAAGAATTCGTAGCTCAGCCGGCGCACGGGAGCCATCGACGACAAGACGATAGCAGTCAGGATGCACCACGCGCTGAACCCGCGTTGCGTCAGCGGGTCGTTGCGCAGCTGGTACACGATGTAGTCGTATTGCGCCCAGTTGCGAAACCAGAAGCCCATGTGGATGGTCGCTGTCAGCCAGAGCGTGCGGGCGATCCAGCGGTGGAGCCAGTTGAGGCGGTTGTAGCTTGTGCCGGAGAGGACGCCGATGATGTTCGCTCTTCCTGCGAGGAGGAAGATTAGGGGGAGTTGACAGATTGCGATGAATCCTGTGCGGTAGCCGACGTCTTCCCATTTCCAGCGGTTGGCTGTGTCGAGCTTGTAGAAGCAGAGGACGAGGATGATGACTAGGTTTGCTAGGATCAGGGAGACTGGGCCTAGCGGGGCGAAGTGAAATATGTACCCGCGGATGGACCGTGGGGGGAGAGTCGCGTAGCTGGCTTCGCGGACGATGGCTGTCAGTGTGGCGTATGTGTTGAAGAAGAGTGATTTTGGTTTGGATGGGGTGAGCGTTGTGTCGCGTAGTCTGTAAAGGTTAGATGATGTTCCAGATGAATGTAGAGTGAGGTACCTCTGGTATGCAAGACAGCGATTCAGAATATTGACGACTGTAGCTGCTGCGATGACGCTTCCCACGACGGCCCAGTACATGCGCTGGAGATGGAAGAGGTCGGGGACATCATCGCCCATGGACATGTGGCCCATGCCGGGCATGTTGTATTGGTCTGTTAAGACGAAATATAAAGACAGAATACAAAGACAAAATAAAAAATAAAAAATAAAAAATAAGGGTGGTTAAAATGAGGTTATTCGGAGATTGTGAATGGAGTATAGAGACAGTGGGGACGGATGTGGTGGGCCTGAGGCAGCCTTATGATATGCATTGGTGAATGCATGGGGAGACATCATGATGGTTCGAGGAAGACAGAACAGATCTATCAATTGAGATATAAGAAATCAATTCTATTAAAAAGAATTTTCCAGTTTATTGCCTATTAATCAATACCTAGGTATACCAGAATCAGCCACAAAATCAAACCGATTGAAAGATAAAGAGATCATAGACAAATGCAGTAGGTAATAATCTGCTCAAGTCTGCTCAAGTCTTTACATGCATTCAGCCACCATCCTTGTCTTTGATTGGCTCCGAGGGGAGGAAATGTGCTCACGCCCCGCCCTGGCCGGCCAAAAGGCTTGGCATGGGCCCGCCCTGGGTGTCACCATGGTTTCATTCATCATTTAACTTATATGTCCTTTCCATGCTTTCTCTTTCTCTTTTGTTTTTCTTTTCTCAACTCAATTGCTCTCTACATGCCAGTAGCTGTTACAGTTCTCTCTATCCAGAGAGATAATATCCATCATGGACATGAGCAGCATGGACCATGACACCATGGCTACCCCGTCTCCGCCTTCATCCCACTCAACAATGACCATGGTCTTCATAAACGCCCACGACACTCCGCTCTTCTCCTCGCAATGGACGCCCTCGTCCTCCGGCAGCTACGCAGGTACCTGCATCTTTCTCATCGTCCTAGCCATCATCGCCCGCGCTCTTGTCGCATTCAAAGTCCTAATGGAACGGCACTGGTTGGACGTCCACCTGAACCGTCGCTACATCGCCATAGCCGGTAAATCCACCGAAGCGGGGCGCATCGAAGCGGATCCCGAGGCGAAGAAAGCATCGCTGGTGTCGGCGCAGGGCGTCGAGGAGTCCGTCAAGGTGGTGCGACGCGCCGCGCGCGACCCTCTGCCTTGGCGGTTCAGTGTTGATTTACCGCGGGCTTTTCTTTATCTCCTCATTACGGGGGTCTCTTATCTTCTGTATGTGTTTCTGGTGTGATTGCGCTGAGGCGCTTGCTAATTGCTTTGTAGGATGTTGGCTGTGATGACGATGAATGTGGGGTATTTCTGTTCTGTCCTTGGGGGGGCTTTCTTAGGGGAGCTGGCTGTGGGACGGTATGTCCAGTGGGGAGAACATGATCATTGATTTGTTGGGTTTATGGGATGTTTGGAGTTGGGGCAAGATATTGCATATTAGGCGTTGGACTTGCATTTGTGGACACTTATTTTCGATACTTATTGTTGCTGGCAACTGGGTATCATCCTGAATTTTCCATCTTTGAGTTGTGGTCCATCTGTGTGGCTTTTCCGCATTGAGAGTGTACCTATAGAGTGATGTATAGAGCTGATCCTCCTGAGGAACCAGTGATCTCTCTCCCGTGCATGACCCATGGATCACTGCAGTCAATAAGTACCATCCATCACGTTCGTCAATAATCAGGTACCACATACCGCTAAAAACATGCGAAGATATGAGCACATTTCCTAGCCAGATATTGCCTAGTTCCTGTAACTTCGGACACATAATCCGCGATCCATGATCCGTGCGAGATGCGCCATGCATGACACTTGTATGTTGGTGTCAATAACCCTAGACTTCTGGTTGAAACCGTACTGGTACAGCATAACCATTGACCTATCGATGTTTGTGGCACGCAGTACCAAGCCAACAGACAGTGATAGTGGGATAGACCAGTACCACAGTCGATACCTCTCAAATATACTCCCATCTCCTGCATCTTTCGTAACCTCTTCTTCAACATACTCTCCACCCTCACTCTTTTATCCCCCCAACTATCAATCTCTCAACCATAATCCTCACAACCACAATCTCACAATACTTACCGTCAATCAACCACCATGAAGCTCCCCCTCCTAGCCCTACCCTTCCTAACCTCCCTCGTCTCCGCCCACTTCAGCCTCAACTACCCACCCCCCCGCGGCGAAAACAAAGACGACATGCACACCTTCCCCTGCGGTGGTCTCGCGCAGTCGTCCAAACGCGCCCCGATCGCCATCTCCTCCGACGGCAAGGCCACGTTCCCTGTCGCGGTGACAATGGGCCACGCGCACACGGCGCTTGAGATTCTCCTCGCGCTGGGTGCCAATCCATCTGATAACTTCAACATCACGCTGCACCCGACCTTTGGCGTTATGGGCCTCGGGTCGTTTTGTATCCCTGATGTGGTGGTCGATGAGGCGCTCTTGGGGACGAAGGTGGTAGATGGGATGAATGCTACGCTGCAGGTGCAGTCGAATGGGGATCCTGCGGGGGGGTTGTATACTGTATGTTCTTCTCTTTCCCTTCTCTTGTTTTCTTTTGTACCTTTCAGCTTGCAATTTTCTTTGTTCACTGCTTCGCTCTTCTATCTTTCCTTGCTTTTCTAGACAGACAATACTAACGAGTAACCCACACAGTGCTCCGACATCCAATTCTCCTCAACATTCACCATCAGCAAATCCACCCCCTGCCAAAACAACACCGGTATCTCAGCCGTGCCCTTCACCGGCGCCAGTGCCGAGCGCAACGCCAACGAGTCTACCTCAAGCGGTGATCCCCAAGGTGGTACCGACGACAGCCATAACGGGAACCATAGCGATAACCATGACAGTAGTGGTGGCTCATCGACGCATGGAAGCTCGCCTACTTCTACTTCTGCGGCTGGGGGTGTGGCGATGGAGACGGCTGCGTGGGGTATGCTGGGTGCGATGGTTGTGGGTGGTATTGTTGTGCTTTAGGGTTGACTGGCGAGTAGTTTTGTTTTGTGTTATGTGTGTTTGCTTGACTCGTGCCCTTGATTTGGGGAGATACGCGTAAGTCTGGTCAGAGGTATTCTATCCAAAATCCCATAACAAAAGTCATCATTTGAGATACTATTTTTACTGTCGTGGTGTGTTGGTAAACTATAACCTGCTAAAGCGCCAGCGCTACAACAGAGTCTATATATATAATCTGCTCCAGTGCCCAAAGTGCCCAAGACGATGCCTCAATCACTCCCAAATGGATATATCTGCATAAACTCAATCGAGTGCCCCTTTTATTATTCCGTGACAATATTTGGCTGGTCTCGTTGTGTATCTTGGTTCATCGTATCTCACCGTCAGATGGTGATCATGAGGGCTGCTTTTCGGTATGTCTCCATTGGAATTTAGACGGAGGAAACACCCTGAATTAGTAGAGTCGTATAATCAGGTTAGTATGAAATCTCTCAGTCGTCTGATAAAGAATTCATAAAGATAAATAAACAATTAAAGCAATAAAAAAAAGGAATGAATCTTCATATCCTATGGTCACGTGCATCCGGGCTAGGCATCCAAATCTGCTCGCCTAAATAAACCTGGTTATCCGTACGCGTAGGTGCAGACACGACATGGTTCCTGTGTGACAATAATAATGGACAAACTGGAAAAGCTGCGCCCAGTGGGTGAGTTGCTGTGGTTATTCCCCCCATAGAGCATAATTGACACAGGCAGGCCGGCTGGAACAATGCTCGACTGCGCGCCACGCTCTCGGGTTCTACAACAATGTGGCTGTCACAGCCAGCTACTCACTCCCAGAGTCCTATACACTCTCGGTGAAAGATTATGTGTATAAAGTCTGTGAGATACTCATCGGCCAACATCCCATTCTGTCAGCCATTCCCGTTGGCGAGGATACCAAAGAGCCGTATTTCGCGCGTCTCCCCGAGGTCGACCTGAGCACACCAGTCAGCTTCCAGGCGCGCACTGGGCCTTTCCCTGGTCCGGACGAGGCAGATAGCGAGCTGGACGCTGTTTTACAAGCGCAACATAATACACCTTTCGAAGCTCCATCGCCGCATTGGAGACTCCATGTATTAACCCATCCCGCCGAGAACCGGCGCTTCACGGCTGCCTTTGTATTCCACCATGCCATCGGCGACGGCACCTCTGGGAAGGCCTTCCATCGGACTTTCCTACAGGCACTGCATTCCATTGCATCGCTGCCTCCCGGCGAGGCCCAACAGCTGATCCGCTCACCACAATCGCCACTACTTCCGAACATGGAAGAGCTACACCCTCTCCCCCTATCCATCCCCTTCCTCGCAGGCGCTCTCTTCCGCGAAAAGATCTGGTCATCCACCGACCCCGGTCTATGGGCGGGCTCAGAAGTCCGCCTACCGCTGGAGACAAACGTGCGGCACGTAGTGATCCCGAAGGCAGTAGCCAGCTCCTTCAGAGACAGCTGTCGGCAGAACGACACGACAATCACCGCCGCGCTGCAGACACTTATCGCGCGTGCTATTCTCACTCACGCCCCCGAGCATTTCACCAGCGTGCACTTCTCCGGCGCCATGTCCACCCGGCGATGGATGCCCGATAGTATCACCGACGACTCCATCGGCGTCTGGGTCCAGGATTACAGCGAAGACTACACCCGCAAGGCCGTCACTTCGGAGACCTTCCCGTGGGCCGAGGCCAGACGCTCTCGGGAGACGATCGAGAAGGTGCTCCAGCTCAAGGGCAAGAACGCGGGCCCGAACCTCCTCAAGTACGTGGGTGACTTCCACGAAGAGCTCTACCGGTCGAAGGTGGGGAAGCCGCGGAAGGCCTCGTTCGAGGTGTCGAATATTGGGGCGTTGGGGGTTGGAGAGCAGGAGGCGGAGCGCCCGCAGATTGGCCGCTTGGTCTTCTCTCAGAGTGCTAGTGTTACTGGGAGTGCTATCGAGGTGTCTGTTGCTAGTGGGGGTGATGGGTGCTTGGTGTTGGCTTTTACCTGGCAGACGGATGTTGTAGACGCTACATTGATGGCTTCTGTTATAGAGCAGGCTACGAGGGAGGTGCATGGCGTTTGCACTCTGTGATATGAATATACTAGTGGTGGTGGTGTATATAGAGGTGGCTTTCAGTATATAGCACATTAATGACTAATATTACATGATTACCTTACAAATATCCGGTTTGCACTAAAGAATACCTTTCCTTCTATGATTATCCTATCCCCAGATGAACAGACGACACCGCTGTCTACAACGAGCTGTCCGGGCGGTGAGGCGCGGAATAACCTCGGCGGCAGAATGGCGGGGATTCACCATCACTTTTACTCCGACCTTCTTCAACCCTTCGACCTCGTTTCTACATCTGTTGATTACAATTTCAGATAAACATATACTATCAAAATGACACCTCGCGCCCCCTTTATCGTTCCCGCGCTCAAGAAGCACACCGCGACCGTGATCATGGCCCACGGTCTCGGCGACAGGTTGGTTGCTTGATGGTCAATGTTGCTACAGATTGTTTACTGACTATGGCTGGCTTTAGCGGTGCTGGATGGTATGCCTGATATTCGAAAAACAACTACAGCGGTCTGGATTGACTCGTCGCTAATTCAGACAGGATGGGTCTGGCTCAGAACTGGCGCCGACGGGGCATGTTCGACGAAGTGGCCTTTATCTTTCCCAATGCGCCTATGATTCCCATCACAGTGGTACATCTTATCTCCCCTGCTCATTTGTCATCGATGGCCTACTAACTCGCGTCCTTCTATATCTAGAACTTCGGAATGTCGATGCCCGGCTGGTACGACATCACCAAACTCGGCCGTGACGTGAGCGACCCTTCCTCCCTTCAGCGCATTCAACAAGAAGCCCCAAATTAACACCTCACCAGCTCGACTTCGAAGAGTCCATCCGCTCGCAAGACGAAGAGGGCATCCTCCGCTCGCGCGACTACTTCAACGTCCTGATCAAGGAGCAGATCGACCAAGGCATCAAGCCGTCGCGGATCGTGCTCGGCGGATTCTCGCAGGGCGGCGCCATCTCGGTCTTTGCGTCCATCACGAACAAGGAGAAGCTCGGCGGTGTGTTCGGACTGTCGTGCTACTTGCTTCTGAGCGACCGGATTAAGAACCAGATCCCGGAGGACTTTCCGAATAAGAAGACGCCGTTTTTCCTGGCGCATGGGTTGGACGATGAGGTTGTGAACTATGAGTTTGGGAAGACGTCGTCGGAGTTGGTGAAGCAGTTGGGGGTGGAGGATGTGACGTTTAAGTCTTATCCGTGAGTTTTCTCCCTTCCCTTCTCTTTCGTCTTACCTTGTTGGTGTTGGTGAACATTTGCTGAATGGCTGGACAGTGACCTTGGACACTCGGCCGACCCCACGGAAATCCAGGACCTGGAGCAGTTCCTGAACAAGACGATTCCCGCGGAGAGTGAGACCGCCGCTGGATTATGAATCCGTGATGGCGAGGGCTATGTGGGAGGAATGGGAGTACAGATGACATATGGCGTAGCTGTAGGGCTGATCCTTCTGGTGGCTGCCATATGGGCGTCGAAGGTCAGGAGCCGGGATCAAGCAGAACCATGAACCTATATTGATTGCTATGATATGTAGAGCTAATCAATAATGATATAAGTCCAATACATCCAACCTCAAGTCAGATCCGTTGCCGTAGTGTACGTGAATACCGGTAAAGGACTGGTTCATGAGGATCTCCCGAATCGTTAGGGTTTAGCCGAGCAGCCTCAGGCATCGCCCACACAAACTCACGATCTTGGATTGGAACACCACTCTCACAGACAGAACATAGGATCATGAGGTACAGAGTATCCTAGTTACTCTCTAGATATCATACGTAGTTAATATCAACCCATCTATAATTCAATCCCCCGTAGAATTGGTCCCGCCAGTGACGCTTTTCTCCCCCACACAAAAGCGGTGGTCGACGGGAATCCAATCCAACCTCACCAACTTTCTTCTCCTCCCTCCACTCTCGACTTTCCTCCTCTTCCACCTCTCCAATACTATCCAGCTCCCTCATTACACCGGTAAATACCTCCCTCCTTATTTCCCTATCAAGGTATCAATCCTCTCCAGTATTCCATTCCCTTCCACCAGAGAGAGAAAGATTGATCTACCCGCCGCACACAAAACACACCTTACCGAGTCCCCCGATCCACAATTCCCGATTATTCAATCACACCTTTCCCTCACTGACGTCCTTCACCTTCTTTGCTCTCCCTCTAGGATTCTCGAACCCACCCCCCACACCGTCATCATGGATCAGGCAAAGTTGGCTCGGATGCAGGCTAGCGTGCGGATTGGTATGTTCTTTTTATTTTTCTTCGTTTTTGGGGGATTGTTGGGGGGAGTCTAGCTGGGGAAGGAAGGGAAGGGAAAGAATGAAATGGATCGGATAGAGGGGTATGGACAGATGGTATCATGTCGCGTGGATTCGCTGTTCACGATTGATCGGTTTGCGAGATGCGTGCAAAATTCCTGTGGGCGCGATCGGTCGTTGACTGTCTTGTTCACCCCGCTATCTGAGATCTGGTCCGAGCTAGATGGGATGGATGGGGATTTCTTTTTGGGCAGGATGTTTACACTGAAATGAATTATGTCGCTAACGAGCTTACTCTTACAGGGTATGTATAATTCTAGTTCCTACATCGTTTCCCCAAAAACCACCATACATGTCGAAAGCATCGAATGTCGAATCCAGTCGAATCGCACCATTTCCCAAATACAACCACCAGATACATCCAAAATCATGAATTCATAAAAACCGATAGCTAACTGCCCAACAGAGGCAAGGGCACTCCCCGCCGCAAGGTCAAGAAGGTCCACAAGTCGTCCGGTGCCGACGACAAGAAGCTGCAGGCCACGCTCAAGAAGATGAACGTGCAGCCGATCCAGGCCATCGAGGAGGTCAACATGTTCAAGGAGGATGGCAACGTCATCCACTTCGGTGCCCCCAAGGGTGAGTTTACATATACCCTCCAGCACGAAACCAAACCCCTCGCCCAAAACGATCAGCTTGAAAAATGAAATAAAAGAGTGAAACTAACAATGGGCTAGTCCACGCCGCCGTCCCCTCCAACACCTTCGCCCTCTACGGCCACGGCGAGGAGAAGGAACTCACCGAGCTGGTCCCCGGCATCCTGAACCAGCTGGGCCCCGACAGCCTGGCCTCCCTCCGCAAGCTGGCCGAGAGCTACCAGAACATGCAGAAGAGCCAGGCCGGTGCCGAGGGCAAGAAGGACGAGGATGATGACGATATCCCGGATCTGGTCGAGGGTGAGAACTTTGAGAACAATGTTGAGTAAAGGAACCGCTTTTCTTTTTTCTATTTAAATGAATGAGCAACTTTAAAAATTCCATCACATTGGTTTATCTTTTTTTTTTCTTACTTGATTTTTTCTTGCGTTTATTATGATTTGATGGTTGAGTCGTGATATTTTGGTTTGAATCGGGTTCCAGTGATTGATTGATCGATTGTGGTGGATTATTTGTGGTTAATCATCCGCTGGCCAAAGTTGTAAAGCATGCATGACCTGGTGGTTATCAAAATCAGATATCCATTGTTCACAGTACCATGGTATCTCACCCAAGATCAATTGATACGGATTGACTCTTATGAGCATTGAAGAATCCACGTAGACATTGCTCATGTGGTGTCCACACCAGTAGATAAACCAGTTTTGATACATACGACGCAGGTATACATAGGTAGTTCACCATGCAAGATAAAAGAAAATACAGTATACTAGATTTAACTTCTGTAATAATGGAGTAACTAGCCATGTAAACACACCATGGTCATCATGCAATTATTGAAAAATTGAAAAAGTAGTACATATCCGAGCGCCACCACTAAATGCTATCAAAACGTACAGCAAGAGCTAGTCCGGTAAAAGATCATAAAAGGAAAAATTTTGCCCTCACGACATCCACCCCATCCCATCTCATCCCTACCAGTGAGTGTGGATCTCCCGAGAGGTGAGCTGTGTTCACTGGAGGTACGCGTCCCTGCGGACGGAGCGGTTGCTGCTGAGGATGGTAGAACTGCAGTCGCAGTCCAGTCATGTTGAGTCAAGTTAAAGCAGCCAAGATGTAGTCGAGATCAAGACTCCTCTCGTAGCCCGCAAATGTCTGTCCCCAACACCATATCCACCATATACCACAGTCGCCAGTACGTGTTCGACTTGTCGTAGTCGAACGTGCCGTCTTCTTTCAGTTGCGGCCCGTCGCCGACAATGTCGCCCGTGAACCAGCTGAGGATGGGGATCGAGCGGAGCACGCGCTCTGTGACTGTCGGCTGAGGCGGGAGGGCCTCCACCATAGGACGCAGCTTCGTCCGCCGGACGGTGGGGATGTGCGTCATGAATTCCGACTCAGGCTTGGGCTCCTGCGGCGCGTGTCGTTGTTGCAGCCCGGAGAACGACCCCTGGTCGATGCCGGTGGCTGTGGCTGAGCTGGCGGTCGGGGTGGACTCCAGCGATTGCGAGTGCTCTTCCGTTTCCTCATCGACGTCTGGTACGCTGGATAGATTGTTCATCGCGAACGATCGCGGTAACGTGGAGCGCTCTTGCGTCTTGCCCTGGAGGAACGTAGTCGAGTGCGAAGTGCTCAGCGTGCGCGGCGCCTTGGACGCAAACTGTCCCGCCACGGCAGACCCCTTCGGGATGGGGACATCCTCCGACGGACCATGACCACGGTACAACTCGCAGAACACCAGATGATCGTCAATCTCCTGCGGCGAGTAAAAGCAAGCCCGATCCGCAGCGGTCGTCGAGTCAAACGTGACCTTAATCCAATGAAAACCCCCAGCATAGTGCTTCGACTTGCGATTCGCATCAACCGACAAATCCTTCCGAATAACCACATCCCCACCACTAAGCAGCTGGGAGAACGAGCTCGCCGAGTTGGGATCGCTGCGCGGGTAATCCTCACAGATAGCGCCGCGCGAGATGCGCTCATACTTGTCGATAACCTTCCACTCAAAGTCCTTGCTGCTGTATCCGTAAAAGATACACTCCGTGGCGACCTTCTCCGCGACCTGCTTGCGCACGTTGTCCAGACTACTACTCGACGACGACTTGGGCAGCGTGCTGCTCCGCACTTGTTCATCCTCCTGCTGTGCGGCGAAGAGCCGCCCGAACTCGGCTACGTTGGGGTTCTCGCGCTTTGCGGGCGTGCCTGTGCGTGTGCGCGATCGGGTGTGCTCGTATCGGGCGTTTCGTCGCTTGCCGAATGGGCCGGTTTCTTCGGGTGGTCGTCGGGGGTTGCGGGATTCACTGGCTGTATTAGTACGAAGATATACAATCCGACGTTTCTGCTGAGGATTAAATCTCACTCTTTGTAAACGTAGCCCCAGGGCAGAAGATTTCCCTTCTCGTCTTTTGCGCGCTCCTCCGGAGGGACGAAGTGGTACTCCATGGTGAGGCGCTCGCTTGGGCGTCAGGAGATATGTAATGTGGAAAGGTGGGAAATAGCAAAATACAGAAAGCAGATACTCCCAGTAGAATTAGTGGAATACCCCGAGGCAGACTGGAGTCAGGATAACCGCAGCTCGACCGGATCTGCCAAAACTTTTGGATAAACAACTGTTCGCCCGGATACCGTCACGTGATGTATGCAACTATGCGCTTACCCGTTTGGGACTCACTTTACCAGTACTACGTACTACAACAACTGCAGCTCTCTTCAGGTATATCATCGTTTGAAGACATAGTTCTCTCGTTTGTCTATCTCATGGAATGCAGCCATTATAGTTCAAATTTCCGTTCATACTAATTCTGCCGCAAAAACGTAATCCCCCCTGCATCACCCTCTATCCCACAAACGTCTGCGAAATCACCCACTTCCCGTCTCCGTCTATCGACATGCTCCTCGAAATCCTTCAACGAGCAGGACATGCCAGGCCCCGATTGACAGTACGGTAGCGGCACGACCTCATCGTTGATAAGGGTACGGAGGAACGGCGTTTCATCACGAGCACCCTCACCCGAACAAACCATCCTCTCCAGCACAATGCGACCGCCCATCGGCATCACGGTCGACGTACGCCACGTACGGTCTGCAGCCATGTGCGACGTAGGCAGAGAAGGATCGTATTTGGGATCTTTCATGATATCTAGCGCGGTGAGAAACGGGGCGATGTCTCCGTCGTGGACACTAAGGAACACCGTTAGCACTGCCAAACCCAGTAGTAAACATTCATTCCAACTCACAAACTGAAAAACGTAGTCCCAGCTTCAGGCCCCTTCCGGAGTAAATCCGCCGTAGCATTCAACCACAGCCATCCCATCGCGCCAGCATACGGCGTCCCAGGACCCGCACGGTAGTAGTGGATCAAGTCACGGGCATACTCAAAGTTATCCCAGTCCTCCTTAGTAAAGACATCACACCAGGGGCTTGCACCGCGCGCGATCATCTCAAACCCACACATCTCCTGCATGCTGAACACCTCTACATTGCTGAACGGGCCCAACGCGGCATTGCCCTCGTCTGCGATCAGCCGCTGAGCGATGGGCGGGATATACGCTTGCTGGAACAGCGCCAGCATGTTGGCACCATTGTCATGGCCGGCAACCGCGTCGTCAACGTACCGCAGACACGTATCACCAGGTGTCAGCGTGTCAGCGAGCCGATCAGCCGTCTCGGGGATGATTTCCAGCTCGGCTTTTCCGTTCGCCTCCCAGTCGAGCCCGAAGAGACCCGCTGCGAAGTAGCGCGCTGATTCGATGACGCGGTTGCAGTCGCTTGCCCAAAGGCGCACCTTCTGCGGTGCCAGCAGGTGGCTGTAGCGGGTGCGGAAGCGGACGCCTGTCGTGAAGGCTTGCAGGATGCCTGCGTAGGGCCCCGTCGTGGTTAGCTGGTCGAAGTCTTTCTCTGGGGTGGCGGTGAAGTAGGTCCAGTTGTTGAGGAAGGATAGGGAGCCGTTGGTGATGACGTTGGCTTCTTTGAGTCTGTTGAGGAACTCCAGGTGGCCTGTCTCTCGCTCGTTAGTTTGGTTTACATCCATGCATACGGGCAGAGTGATGGTGGTGCTGGGACATACGGCTTCCTGCTGATGTGGTCGGGTATCGCTCTCCGTGGCGGGACATCTACATTTGTTAGTTATGCTCATAGCAGGTGCTCCACTAGTAGAACAAGATCCAAGACGGTAACAACGCAGCTATCAAACCATGAACATACCATATGAACCTGATCAACCGAGCATTCCTCCGGCGGATCCACCCCCTGCGCCTCAACCCCTCCATCAGTCTTCTCAATCCAAGGCCCATTCCCTCCAAGATGATGAAGAATATTCCACGGCCGGACATCATCATCTCTGTGTAAAGCCTCCCTCCCCCTCAACACCACCCGCGAGGGATGAAACCACGTATTCCAACTCGGCGAATACGGCGCGAAGGAAACATGACCACCACTACCACAGCCCAGCCATACCGGGCCAGCCGAGTAAAGAGCAGCCGCGATCGCAGCCAGAAACGCAAACCCCAAGGACAGAGCGCCGAACATTTTCCCTGGCTGGTTAGTTTCAAGGGGAGTGATGTTCGGTCTGGCGAAGACAGGCGAAGGCATCGCGCATGATGATCGACGGACGGGGCCTGATTGTTGGTGCCAAGACCGGTTACGGTGGGGCCCGCAGGAAGACTATTGTTTATTGGGATACGGCTCGTGCATTGGGGGGAGATACTGGAATTGATGAACTTGGCATGATTTGGATTGTTTGTGGATAGGGGCTGAGCTGAAGGGGAGCGGTTTGTCCATTTTCGTATGTATGCTGCATGCACTACAGTCTCTACAGAATATAGTCCAAACTATCGAGGGTAGGCCTGGACTACACACCTCGTCGTGGAGTGCTTTGAAACAGTATCAAATTAGGAAATGCTTGAACCACCGCTATTGGGCCCGAATTACCCCATGTCAAATACGATCATCACATAGAATAGAAAAATCGAGGGTTCTTATCCCCAAGCTCCTCGATCTGCTCATCCGTCAACCCAGCGACCTTCTCATCCTCGAGACCCTGCGCTCTGCGACTGTTCTTTCCACGATAGTAAACCCACATCAGAGCGTAGATCACCCCCGCGAAGCCAACAAGCGCGAGCGTCACGGCATTTCCACGCACGTAGCGCGGCGCTTCATTGGTCTTATACAAGAAGGGAGACATGACGCCGCTCACGTTGCCAAAAGTGAGTTGCAGTCCAGTGGCGAATGTTCGCTTTCCGTAGCGCGGTAGGTTGGTGGGCAGCCATGCGAGGGGAAGACCCACGGCGACGTACAGACCCAAGGCGATGAGCAAGGCGCCGAAGTAGTGGACGCCCGAGGACGTATCCGAGATGAGGATCCCGTACCCGACGACGGAAATGGCGGCAAAGATACAGGAGTAGAGCGCGCGCTGCTGGGTTCTGTCGCTAATCCACGCTACGGCCAGGTACGCAATGGCCCCCAGCGCGTAGCAGGGGATGGTGAGCGCCTGCACCTCGGCAGTAGACCATGAGCCCATGCCTTTGATGATGGTGGGGAGGAATGTGCTGTAACCGTACAGCATCGTGTCCACGCCGAACTGGGCGATGCAGAAGACGTAGATCCTCCAGTCGAGCGCGCCCTCTTTGACGTCGGCCCAATGGAAGTTCTGGGCCGAGGCGGTCTGGCCGGTTTGGCGGCTGCGGAGGCGGACCACCAGTGCTCTGTCGTCGTCGTTGAGGTAGTAGGCGGTGTCGGGGCTATCCGCGAGGAAGAACCAGGTGGCTATCCCGATGAGGACGGTCGGGATGCCTTCGATGATCATGATCCATCTCCAGCCCCGGAGCCCACAGATGCCCTCCATGAAGCCAATGCCGTACGCCAGGAGACCTCCGCAGGCTCCGGCAATGGCAGCACTGCTGAACAGATAACCTGTCCGCAGTGCGAGTTCGCGCTTGCTGTAGAACATCGTCAAGTACGTCACGAGACCGGGAAACAACCCAGCTTCCACGACCCCTGCGGAAGTTAGTGTGTGATATTTCCATGGGATTACAACTCGAACTAACCCAAGAGAATACGACAGGCGATCAGATCCCCATAGTTCCTGGTGATTCCTGTCAACGTGGCGATAATACCCCAGATAATGGAGATCATTGCGATATAGCGCCCAGGACGCAGTTTTTTGATGAGCAGGTTCGACGGAACCTCGAAAAACTGAAGAGCTATCAGTGGCTGCATTCAGTGTTGGTCGCCTCGACGGGCATCATACACAGTAAGTCACGAATAGAATGGACACGGCGGTTTGGTACTGGTCTCCGACCAGACCAAGGTCTTCTTCCAACCCGTAGAGTCTTGCATTGCCGATGTTTACTGAGACGGGTCAGTCAGCCGCTTGCGACGTAGGGACAACAGCGGTGGAAGTGGCGACTCACCTCTGTCCAGAAAGCTGAACAGATACAACAATACCACAAATGGTAAAATGTGCATATCAATCTTTCGAATCAATTGTTTCCTCTTCGCCTCCTCCATGGCGGACTCCTCCAAGCTTCCCTCGTCTGGAAGGTCCGAGTCGAAGCCCAATGATGGGGCCTCCACATCCTTCTGTGGTGTATGTTGTATCATGTCGATCAGCTGAGGAGTGTGTCCCTTTTCTTTCGTTGCCTCTGCTTATGTCAAGAAATGAAAAGCTTTTCAAAAAAAGCTTTGAAACAGAGTAAGGGCCTTGCCACTGGAGATGACGGTTTCGGGGGTATATGAGAGGACGAATGCACGATCAGTCCATGATAACCACCGATACGAGATTATATCACCGTGCTGGAGCTAGCCAGGGGGTCCAACTGGTATGCAGCCAGACCACAGTAGGACAAAAGTGAGCTCATGTGGGGAGTGATAAGGCGGGCAGACTGCCAAGAATCCACACCGGGGATTATCGCGAAGAGATTTTAACTTTTTAAAGTTGGGGGGTCTACCCACTCTTCACCCGATTCGCCCCTGGTTAGCGCGTCGCCGCTTGCTATGGGAATGGAAGTTTTGAATACAGTATACATCCTCCCATATGGAGGTTGAGATACAACCAGATATGGATGATCCTGCTGGTTGGCCAACGCTAAAGTGGGATAAACTGTTCAACGTTGCAGGAAGATCGTCGTTTGACCCCCACTTTTGGTACTCTAGCAGCGTCCCGACTCTGGGGAACTACTATACGAGTAATTGGCATATATTAAGAGTACCAAGAAAGTCTAATAGTATGACATGACCTGGTCGATATTTTTTGGATAGTCTCGATAGAATGCATAAACCATTGAATTTATATTGAGAGAATCAAGTGTATTGTTTTTTTATGATAGTTGGAACAACATACAGACCTGGGATGTAGACAATATTAATTTGAGGATTTATCCAGCAATCAGACACTAAACCATTTTCAATTATTATAGGACGACACAGGTGATATACAGAGCACTTTCAATCTGTATGAAATCCAAAACCAAGTGGTATTACACCCTAGGCAAATTATAAAATCATGCATGGTACCACATTAAATTCCTGCTTGTATCTTTTACTATTATGCCGGACGGTAACTTTCGATGGAGGCGTGTATAGCCCTGAGGTAATCTATATTCCTTCGTCAAGTAGACTTGGCTTCAAGTGAGGCTGTGGATTCATACTCTCTGGAGCCCTGGTCTCCCATCACACTGAATTGGAATTATGAAAAGTGCCATGATATTGTTTCCATCCAAGCCGGAATTCCACTTCTTGATTGCTACATATCCCTCGTATCGTGCCACGTGGTCGTGTTCATTGTTTACCAGCCGTGTTTGGCCGCCTGCTTGGTCTTCTACAATTCTTGACATTATACCCCCCACCGACTTACGGGGAGTACCCCGTGATAAACAATATGAGGCCGTCCATTCCTCGTTTGTCCGCCTTGTTTCGCAAGAAACCCTTTCCCATACCTTCTCCCGGGCCATCGCTACCGCCCAGCATACCCGTGGATGAAGAGATCTCGCCAGTGTACAATTCCAAGAATTTCTACCCAGCGAAGCCTGGAGAGGTCTTCGCCGATCGCTACCAAATACTAGTCAAGGTTGGCTGGGGCGCGTCTTCAACAGTATGGCTCGCGCGTGAATTGCAAGGGTAGCTAGACTTAGTGCTTTCCATTCAATTCGGAGCTCTCTCTGTCTCTAATGAACAAACAGGCATGTCGACGAGCCAGAGAGCGTCGTGGCGCTTAAAATCGCCAATAACAATGCCAGCTCTGCTAGTCATGAGCGCGAGATTGAAGAGCTTATTTCCACGGCAGACCCATCACATCGCGGTTGCTCAGTTATACGGACATTGTTAGACTCTTTTGAAGTTCAAGGCCCAGAAGGCTGTCATTCGTGTCTTGTGTATGAGACTATGAGGGAGTCATTGTCGATGTATCGGCGGCGCTTTGTTGATAAACAGATACCACTGCCCCTTGTTAAGATGTATCTTCGGGTTCTTCTTACGGGGCTTGATTATCTTCATAAAGATTGCAGAATAGTACATACCGGTAAGTTCATCTACGGCCTTGCTTCCCGTCCTTGATGCTAAGACTGTCTAGATCTGAAGCTTGACAACATCATGGTTTCAATCGAGGATCCAGCCGTTCTTGCTGACTTCATGAATTCTCAGCTTGAGAATCCGATGGCTTTCAAGACTGATTCTACAGGAAGATCAGTCTATCAGTCCTGCAGTAACTTCGGACCGCTGAAAAGCCTGAGAAGTATCCCACAACTTGTCGACTTCGACTCGGCAGCCAGACTCGAGGAAGACAATGACTATGGCATCTTGCCTATCCAGCCAGACCACTATCGGGCGCCGGAGGTTATATTGGGTAATGGATGGCAAATGCCTGCGGATATCTGGAATCTTGGTGTTCTGGTGCGTCTCGGTATTTTCCAAATCTTTTGCATCCGCTAATGCCATTCCAGTTGTGGGATATGGTCGAAGGCAAAGAGTTATTTCGGAATAGAATCCATGGTCAACAAGGTCGCTACGATGCTAAGTTACACATCGCCGAGATGATAGCCTTACTCGGGCCGCCCCCTCCAGAGGTCATACAGAGGTATCAATACACACGAGAGTACTCGTGGCCGGAACCCATCAGCGGAGAAGACAACAGGCTATGCAAGTCCGTGGAGGAGTTCTTCTGCGGACCATTCTTTGACAGTAATGGTGGGTTTCCTATCCCGAACGAATGATTCTCAGGCTAACGAATATCTTAGGTCGCTTTCTCTACGAGGACCTGATACCCGACCGGAAACTAGGCGACACGGTCTCCTTCCCTGAGGGAGAGGAGAGGGAAGAGTTTCTAGATCTCGCCAAGGGAATGCTTGTCTGGAATCCAGATACGAGGAAGAAGGCAGGCGAACTGGCGGAGCATCCTTTTCTTCAACTAAAGAAAAAGAGCGCCTGATCCTGCGAGGCTTGCTAGCGGAATGACCCGGAATCGGATCAAGTACCGAGCAGTTCACTAACAATAGACTAGCAACGAAAGGACTCGTTTAACCACAGGAGTTAATCGTCCCGAAATCAGGTAGATCAGGTAGCGTTGTCGAAGATGCTATCTGACTATCCAACTAACTGGGAAAGGGATACAATCTGATATTCTATGCTAGATAGAAACTCAATCGCTTGTAAAACATCCTTGTGGTAATCAGACAAGCATGCACGCCCACTGGGCCTATAATGTTGAATGAACTGCCTTACATGTAGCATGGAAAAAGCAAGCCCCCAATAGTAAGAAGAAGAAGACTAGTGGGTCACCTTGCTTGTTTTATAATCTCTTCCCTGCATTCAACCATGTCTGGAGGCGTCAACTGCGTTGTTCCTGTTGAGGAAGATGCCGTCGTGTGGAGAAGCCACATCTCTTAACCGCGTCAGGACACTCCCAGCTGAATACCCTTGCCGAGGCTAATAAGCTCAGGTGCGGGGGAGCATCACCCTACCCGGTCAATCCAACCTCATCTCAATAATCAACATCCCTACAACTTAGCTATACCCCAATTGAATACTTACAACACCTATTTTTCCTCTCGGATCTCGTCAAAATGCCTGAACGTTACGGCGACTACCAGACGGAGATCTATGGTCAAGGGGCCATTGCGGGTCTGCGACCGAATGTCACGACCGACCCGCGTTTGCTCGAAGAGCAGGCGAAGAAGGCCCTAGGCGTCCGAGGCTACAATTATATTGCGGGCGGTGCTGGCGAGAAAGCGACGATGGACAGCAACCGATTGGCTTTCCGTCAGTGGAAGTTGTAAGCTGTTTCTTTTCGGAGACTACTCGGAGCTAGGCTGACAATACATTGTAGAATACCCCGCATGCTGAGGCCGGTACGTGTGGGCTGTCGGACACAGTCGCTCGCGATTTACTAATGGATATCACCGATATAGATGGACAAGCAGGACCTTACGGTGAACCTCTTCGGCCAGGACTACCCTTCCCCGGTTCTCATGGCGCCGGTCGGCGTCCAGAGCATATTCCACGAAGACAAGGAGACCGGTCTGGCCGAGGCGTGCTCCGAAGTCGGCATCCCGTATACCCTGAGCACGGCAAGCACCAGCTCGATCGAAGAAGTGGCCCAGTCGAACGGAGACGGAAAGAGATGGTATCAGCTTTACTGGCCCCAAAGCGACGACATCACCCTGTCGCTGCTGAAGCGCGCGAAAGAAAACGGGTATTCCGTCCTCGTGGTCACGCTCGACACTTGGTCCCTGGCATGGCGACCGGCCGATCTGGACAACGCATACGTTCCGTTTTCTACGGGTGTTGGGTGCCAAAATGGCTTTTCGGATCCCGTCTTTCGCGCCAAGTTCGAGAAGGAGACTGGTACCAAGGTGGAGGACGATATTCTCGCGGCGTCGAGGGCCTGGATTAGCGATGCGTTTCCCGGTCAACCGCCCACTTGGGAGAGAATTGCCTTCCTGCGGAAGAACTGGGATGGCCCGCTGGTGCTGAAGGGCATTCAGCATGTGGACGACGCTCGATTCGCACTCAAGGCCGGGTGTGACGGTATCGTTGTCTCGAACCATGGCGGTAAGTTCATGAGATCTCCGTGCGTCTGACACTAGCGCATAATCCGCTGACTATCATTCAGGCCGACAGGTGGACGGGGCCATCGGCTCCCTGGAAGTACTACCGGAGATTGTTGACGCGGTGGGCGACAAGATGACGGTCCTGTTCGACTCCGGCGTCCGGACCGGTGCCGACGTCATCAAGGCCCTTTGCTTAGGGGCCAAGGCAGTCCTTGTCGGTCGGCCTTTCATATACGGCCTTGCTATCAACGGGAAACACGGTGCCAAAGCGGTGATGCAAGGTATGCTGGCCGATCTATGGCAAAACATGTCTCTGGCTGGGATCTCCGGAGTCGCCGAGTGCACTCGCGATAGGCTCCGAAAAGTCCCGTATGGAGGTGACGCGAAGGCCATGCTGTGATATCAGACGCTAGTAGCCCGGTGTAAAATAATAATCATCATAACCCAGGCGATAGGGGATCGCAGCGAAATCAGGCATTCAGGCTGTCATTCCGGCACAGCTCATGTATAATGATTACTCATCAGCTATGATGCCATCCTTGTGACGGACGGCACAAGAGACATAACCCTGCGATGAGAAAAATAGTAGCATATCTACGAAGTATCCATGTCAGATCCTCGTTAATATTAGAACATGTCATGGATCCACCCAACTAGTTTCGAAGTGATGTGGAAGATAGAAGCGGTCGGGATGATGTATGTTTCGAGCAACTTCTCCGTAGTGAGAGTGTTGAATGTTGGGGCGACCTCAGGAAAATCACATGCCCGCATATGATTCTCGCCCATCCCGGTCATTCTGTCGCCCCCCTCGACGTCTCTCGTCCAATCTCAATCTTAACCCAAATCCCAACCCAACCGATCCATACGCGTCTCGATCTCCCCCCCCTGATCCGCATCACTTGGAATCTTCTGGATTGTGACTCGCTCGTCTAATCTGGATCTACCGAGTCTCTTCTCGCCTGGACTCGACAACCGACACTAATGTAATGACAATGCAACACTACTGAGTTATCGTGCCTTACAGGTGTTTGTCAGCCAGGAACCCACTTACTGACGCAACACGTTGGTGGACTTGATTTGGCAATTTATTCTCGTGTTATCTCCAGTCGATTATATCATTATTGTTGCGGTTTCGGTTCCTCTGTGATATCGCTGCTCTCGAGCTGTTCCTCGGCAACTAAACATCCACCGTTCATCGTTCATGGCTACAAGAAAGAAATCCCCATCGCCAATGAGCTACTTAGTCAGGTCTTTCTAAATCGCTTTATCAATGACTCGCCATGTCGAGATTCTTAGGTTTTGTCCCGTCACTGACGCGCGGGGGAGCCCAGCCCAAGCGTGAAGAGGCGGTCCCCAGCGACAATGCGAGCCATGCGCCTGCAACCTCAGGCATTACGTTACTACCACGGCCCATCGCATCGATGGTGTCTCTCTTGACGCAATCGACGTCGCTCTCACTTCGGGTGGGCACCTTCTTCGGAGGGGTAGCGTTGGATGCGTCGCGGGCGACAACGCTGACAGGGTTGGAGCTTAGCAGAGGGGTGATTGAAGCCATATTGACAAGGGCTGGTCGTGATGTTGCGATTCGCAGCGGTGGCGAGCAGGGCAAGTTGGAGGCGGAGTCTCTGCTCGAGCGGAGCTTAGCCGCGCTACACACGACAATCACGTCGGCATCATTCTTCGCGGCGGCAACGTTCCACCTGTCTTCTACGACGCTTTCCTCCGCCTCGTATATGTCGCAGGCTCTCTTATCTACGCTTGATGCGCTACTTGGATCTACGGAGTCTTCGAGAGCAATCGCGGCAATCGTAACCCTCATCCGAAGGGAGTTCAAAAACCAGAGTCTGGAGGATGGGACCGAGAAAGTCAGTGCTGGGGATCTCCTAGTTGGGACAGTGGGGTTTGCGATGCTGCAGCGTTGGGGTAGGAAGAATACGGAGCGAGACATCCACGAGAACGGCGGCGACGAGATCATTTGGGATGTGGTCATCCTGGATAATGGTGCCCGGGCCGATGTTGTTGGTACGCATGAGATGTCCATGAGACAATCCCTGGATGATCCGGGTGAGAACAGGCGTTCCTCCTTCATATCGCCTGGAGCCGACGAGGAAAGATTTGACGCCGTCCGACGTCCGCCGAGCATGATTGAACCCCCTGAAAGTCTTTACTTGTCGCTCCCCACGGCAAATCAGCATAATATCTCCGACGAAGATATACGCTCGTACATAATGCGACAGCTCCCTCAAGGATGTCGCGCTTCCATCACGACCAACATGGTTACAGCTCGCACCATTACTGTCGATGTTTTCGATGACGATAACGCTGAAATTGCTGCTCCGCCGGGTACCATGATGGTCGAAGAACGTTTCCACAACAGTGACTTTGGCAATGCCAGCAGCCCAAATACACCGCAGTTGCCCAAGCACACCGTCGTATTTCGGACCGCTTTCAACAGGTCGCAAAGCGCAGACTTAAGACCGTCATCTTCAAGAAATGATCAAGCCGATGTTTACGAAGTCGACGCAGATCCCCCTAAACAGAGCTTAGATCATGACAACAACCGATCGTCCTCCAATGGCGACCCTAGATGGCAAGAAACAAACAGCCACCGGTTGTCGGAAGGAAAACCTTCTATCACGAAGCCAGGCAATCGTCACGTCCGATACTCGACGAGCCCCGACCAAAAACATGATTCTGATAACAAAACTCACGTATCGGGCTCTGACGGCTCCAAAGGCACATTTCAAAAAGGTTCGTTTTCAAGGTTGGCACAGAGGGTAAAGCCTGCTGGGCCGGGAAAAAGCGACACGGAAAAACGCCCATATCTGCGGTCGCCTTTTGAAAGATCTGAGGAACAACGTGCCAAATCATCGGTTGGCAAACCGTTACCCCAAAGACCTTCTGGACAACCTATTCCTGATGAGCGGGCAGCTGGGGTATCTGCATATTCGAGGAGCCGGCCCTCATCACCCTTGGCAAACCGAGGTATTCCAAGGTCACCAGTCCAGGCGTCACAATTACGATCCGCTCCTTCTCCAACTACACGCCGTACGAACCCTCGCGATACGCGGAACTCAATGAGTGATTTTTATACCGTCAACGAAAGGAATGAGGAAATATTGATGGCCCAAGCCGACACTCATTCAATCCACTCTATCGACGGGCGGCCAGGGTCCCCGACACTTGTGCGCAGCAGCAGTTCGATGTCCTTGACTAGATCCGAAGCAGATGTCACGTTTTCTGTCAATGACAAGCGACCGAACACCCCTATGCATCAACGATCTAAAACATACACCCCAAGCATGTACTCTGTGGCAACGGCGGGCTCGGATATGTCCCTAATACTTGCTCATCGTTCGCGGAAAAGTGCATATGATGACAACGCAACCATACAAGAACTAAACCGCAGTGGTTCAGTTCCAGGGATCTTTCCTCAAAAGCATCTTGTACAGAACATCAGACGCTTCTGCCGTTTTGCATCCGGGTCATATGGGTCCAATGCTCTCAAGGTCATGGGCGTTCCGCAGACAGCCAGAGCTCTGACCTATGAAGCACCCGATACTCAGGAGCATAATGACTTTTCAGATCATATTGGGCTTCCCGCCTCAGCAATTCTCCTGTCATCTTTTGTCGATCCCGCAGGCGGCTCTAACGCTGCTGGAGAAACCGACACCGGATTTCCTCTAGTTCATTATCTATTTCTAGACCACGAGTCAAAGGCAGTCGTCTTGACTCTCAGGGGAACGTGGGGGTTTGAAGATGTTCTGACAGACATGACCTGTGACTATGATGACCTCGAGTGGCAAGGAAAGAGCTGGAAAGTCCACAAGGGCATGCATGCCTCCGCCAAACGCCTGTTGATGGGAGGTGGTGAAAGGGTCATGATCACTATCCGAGCGGCCCTTGAAGAATTTCCAGAATACGGTGTCATCTTCTGCGGCCACTCATTAGGAGGCGGAGTTGCCGCCCTTCTTGCAACGATGGTATCCGAGCCCAGCAGCGAAGACACCGGAACGGCCTTCATAACCGCCTCATACAAATCGAGCAGACGACAAATGCTTCCCAGCGGGACTGGCGAAACAGACAGTCGCGTCGCGCATTACCTCCCACCCGGGCGTGCTGTACATGTATACGCATACGGCCCGCCCGCAACCATGTCGCCCTTCCTCCGCCGTGCGACACGCGGGCTGATCACAACCGTGGTCAACGGCCAAGACGTGGTCCCCAGCCTATCCCTAGGAATTCTGCACGACATGCGCACAGTATCACTAGCCTTCAAAAGCGACATCAGCGATGCCAAGTCCCACGTGCGCTACCGGGTCTGGGAAGGCCTACGGAACAGCATCATCAACAAATTCTACGTCAACGAGCCGCCCATGCTTCTGCACGCCGGCGACGGAGTCGGCGAAGACGCCTGGGCATGGAAAACCCTGAAGGGGCTCAGGGACGAAATGCTCGCCCCCAAACTCATGCCTCCCGGCGAGGTCTTCGTGGTGGAGACCATGCGCGTCCTGCAGCGGAACGCTTTCACAACTGAAACGAATAACGACGGCTATCTCGGTAAACCGGCGACAAGGGTGCAGCTGAAGTTCATCCGAGATGCAGAGACTCTTTTCGGGGAGCTGAGATTTGGCTCCGGGATGTTCAGCGATCATAACCCGGCCAGATACGAAACGAGTCTTGCGGCCCTTGCGCGCGGTGTTATAGACGATTAACGTGTGACGATCCTTGTTATAACATTATTCATCTTTCTTCTTTTCCTTTTGTTCTTTCATATTCGGCATATATCGATGACATTCAACATTTGCGAAGTTGGAAATTTCAGTCACCTTTCATTTGATATTATTTTTGGTTTTCTTTGTCTAGATCTGTGCTGATACATTGGCATTTCGACCGCCTTACATATTTCCTTTGGACGTTGGAATATACCCACTATCCATAGTCATAGATTAGAAATAGAATCTATTCATTTGAGATTGACTTGAGTTGATCCATCCGGGGATCTTGGTTCGTCCTGGTAAAGCAGAAGCTGCTTCCACGTGCTGGTTGAAAGGATCGACCTCCGTATCTATATGAAAGATAAGGCACGTCTTTACCTCATGACTCGTCCACCGGCGGCTGGGTCGAATCCAAGAGCGGCATTGACCCGTCTGTGATATAATTTGCAAGATTCCCCGATGAGAAGCCGTCCACGGTCCAGCGTAGAACTCTCTCATCATCTCAGTAAAGCCGGGATTGTGAGACTCGCCTGGCACTGGAGGTGGAACCCCTAACAGCAGTCGGACACCCGGGTTTTAGGCGCGAACAGAAGGCATCCAGTCATAGTGTCACAGAGGTCCCGATGTCGCCGGTCTTGAACCACCTAGCTTCGAATCTTCAATCAAGCAAGCGTCAGTTTCAAGCGGCGACCGAACGGGGAATCCGGCAGAACACATACAACACCCCTTCCACCTCAGAAGTAGGCAGGCATATGCACCTCAACCATGTATCAATCAATCACGAATCCCCATTCTTCGGACCACCAAGTCCCTTCCTCTTCTTATCTTCGACCCTCGCATCCAAGTCATCCAACTGCTTCTGCACGTGGAGCCTCTTAGACGACAGATTATCTCGAATACCCTGGAGGGTCGCGATGCGCTCGTCGAGAGAGGCTTCTTGCTTTTTCTGGACTTGCTGTAAAGTACAATAATAAGCAGTTAGCAATCCATATTTTCTTACGTCCGAGGGTGGGGGTTGTTCTTCTCGTCCACATATACGTACCTGACCGGCTTCCTGGCCGGTTTTGATCCCTGCCCCGTAGAGGGATCCCGCGATGGTGATAGCCGTGACGGCGCCCGTAAGAACAAGACGCTTGTAATTCCGAGGAGCAGGCATAGCGTTATGTATGGATAGTATATTCCAATGCGTCAATCATCCAGTTCTCAAATGTCATGTCTAAGATGCGGAGCTCCCAGACACCGCGGAGAAATGCACCAAACTGCCATTACACACCGCCTGCCCGGTATAGAAGATGATTGATCCCGCATTTGGTATCGCGTCGCGTCACCGCGTGTGTCACGTTAAACTTCCATTGTTTGAATCGAACAAAGAAAGGCGGAACAGGACATAACACCACCATTCTCCCCTCAGTTCTCTCTCGGCGGTCTTTTCAAAGAAAGAACTTACTATGCAACCCACTCAGTAACGCCTGAAATGCCTTCTGCAACGACGGTTCCGCGCCGTCGACGGCGAGACGAAGACGACGAGGACGAGAACGATATTCCTAATCCCCACGAGGACGCCTCTTCTGCTTCTTCCGCCGACACGAGGGACCCCTCGCCTGCGTCGCAAACATCCGCCCCTGACAGCAAGCGTCCACGATTATCGAATGCGAATGCGAATACGGGAGAAAATAGCGGCGGCGAAGAGGAATCTGATAACGAGGACGAAGAGGGGTCTGATAACGAGGATGAAGAAGAGAACGGCTCTGAAGATGGAGAGTCGGCATCCAACTCTGACGGCGTCAGTGAGGATGTCATGGACGCCCCAGCATCAAAGGTTTCCTCCGCAGCTGCCAGCAGGAAAGGCAGTAGCGCCCAGGCGTCAAGATCACACTCCGCCGCTGTCAGTAGCAAAGGTAGCAGTGTCCAGTCGTCAAGAACGCAGTCTGTCGCTACCAGCAGGAATGGCAGTAGTGCCCAGGCGTCAAGGACGCAGTCTGTCGCTGCCAGCCAAAATGGCACTGGACCCCGAACGTCGCAAACCTCCGCCCCGGCTAGCAAGCGTCCCCGATTGTCAAACGCAGAGGAAAGCAATCGCAGCGAAGAGGAGTCCAGTGATGAGAACGAAGAGGAGGACGAAGAGAACGGCAGTGAATATGAAGCCCCGGGATTCAACTCCGACGACGCCAGTACCATCCACACTGGCGCCCAAACGTCGCAAGTGAACTCCGCCCGTGCCAGCCAAAGTCACCCTAATACCCAAGCGTCAGGGTCGAACTCTACCAAAGCCGGCCAGAATGGCGACCAAAGCGGGGTCAACCAGGAAGGATACAAACCCGGTGCTATCCTACGCATCAAAGTCACAGATTTCGTGACGTACACAGAGGCGGAATTTTACCCTGGTCCAAAGCTGAACATGGTGATTGGACCCAACGGGACGGGCAAAAGTACTCTGGTATGCGCGATTTGTCTGGGATTAGGATGGGGTCCCCAGCACTTGGGACGCGCGAAGGATCCCGGCGAATTCGTCAAGCATGGCTGTCGAGAAGCTCATATTGAGATCGAGCTGGCAAAGGGCCCCAAGCAACGCCAAAACCCCGTCGTCGGCCGGACAATCAAGCGCGACGGCAACAAGAGCACATTCTCGCTGAACGGGAAGAGTGCATCCCGACAGGAGGTTCTCAATCTCGCGCGCTCTTTCGCCATCCAGATTGACAATCTCTGTCAGTTCCTGCCACAGGACAAGGTCAGCGAGTTTGCTGCCCTGACGCCCATCGAGCTGCTGGCTTCCACGCAGAGGGCAGCTGCCGGCGCCGAGATGACTGAGTGGCATGATAACCTGAAGTCTCTCCGCGCCGAGCAGAAGAAATTGCTGGGGGAGAATACTGGCGATCGGGAACTGCTGACGAACCTTGAGGGTCGCCAGGAGATGCAAAGGGCGGATGTAGAGCGCATGCGGGAACGAGCTCTGATCAAACGGAAGATTGAAATGTTGGAGACCCTCCGTCCGGTAATAAAGTACCGGGAGGTCCATGGGAACTTCAAGGAGATGCAAATCCAGGCAAAAGACATCGAGAGAGAGCTTGACAATCTCAAAATTGAGCTCGAGCCGGCGCTGAGAGCAGTGACCGAGAAACAAGAGTATTGCGTCCGGCTGGACAAATTCATCGAACGTCAGCAGCAAGGTGTGGACCAAGCTGACAAGGCCGCTACTGCGCTTGGCAAGAAGATCGAGCAGAACGAAGACAAGATGAAAGACCTCGACAGGCAAATTGAGTCAGAAAAGAAAATTGGCACCAAGCACCGGCAAGACGCTCAGCAGATCCAACAGACTATCAACAAACTCCGCCGTCAGTTGAACGATGAGCCAATCGAGTTTGACGTTGACTGGTACAATGAGCAGATTGTAGGTTTACCCAATACAGGACAGGTTTGACATTTGCTGACTAGAGAGTAGAGAGAGAGACGATTGCAAGTGAGGGAAATCGTGGAAAAGGCTACCCAAATGAAAGAAGAGCAAAGGCCACTCGTCGAGACGGTCACGGACCGGACCAATCAATTAAGACAGGCAGAGCAACAACTGAAAGGATTGGATTCTCAGTCAGGGCGGCAAGAAGCGAAGCTCAAAAGTGCATCCTTCGATTCTTTCAAAGCCTACAAGTGGATTCAGGAGAACCAGGATAAGTTCGAGAACGAAGTCTTCGGCCCTCCAATGGTCACCTGCTCTGTGAAGGATCCCAAATTCGCCGATGCAGTGGAAATGCTTCTATCGAAGTCGGATTTCACGGCGTTTACAGTTCAGAGCCGGAATGACTTCAAAACACTGCAACGGGCTCTTAACATAAACATGAAGCTTCACGACATTAGCATCAAGACGTCTACAGCCCCGTTGGAGAATTTCACTAGTCCTCTACCGGAAGATGAGCTGAAACAGCTGGGATTCAACGGATGGGCAATCGAGTACCTCGAAGGGCCAAGCGCCATTCTCGCCAACCTTTGCAGTGAGAATCGCTTGCACCAAACACCGATCAGTCTTCGGGATATCACGGAGGAAGCCTACAATAAGATGGCAGAAGGACCGCTCGGTTCCTGGGTGGCTGGAAAACAGCACTACCAGGTGACCCGGCGGAGAGAATACGGACCGTCTGCTACCTCCACTCGGGTGAGGCCAGTGAGGCCAGCGAAGGTCTGGACGTCTCAACCCGTGGACATTTCGACGAAGCAAGAAATTATACGGAATATACAGATGCTCCAGGATGAGGTCAAGGAAGCCAAAGAAAAGATGGAAGTCGATCAAGGCGCACTCACTCAGTTAGGCCAGGATAAGGATCGACTCGAACAGGAAAGGATCGAACTGGAACGAGAAAAGTCCGACAAACAAACTGCCCTCACCAACCACAGGGCTATCCCTGAGAGAATCCGTCAACAAGAAGCCAAGCAGAAAACCGTCCAGGACGGTTTTGAGGAGATTAGGACCAGGGTTCTGAACATCCGTGGCCAGCAAGACCAGATTTCCATTCAAAAAGCCGAGGCAGCTCTCGAATACGCTGTAAGTATTACCGTCGCGAATTTCACCACGGCTAGCTAACGAACCATAGAGCGCGGTTACGAATCTCCGTGTTCTGTATGAGGAACTTATCAAATCGAAGGTCCGGCACGTTGAAGGCATATCGGATCTGGACTATCTCAAAGAACGGAATGCCACACATAGACAGACGCTGGAGACGAAGCGTGAAGAGCTGAGTGCAGCACAAGATGAAATCAAGGCCATGTCCGACACGGTCAGGGAACTATCCAAGGAGGCTCAGAAAATCGTCAAGGCCTCGAAGAACCAGCCCGACATAGTCGAGTTGATCCCAAGTCTAGTCGAGCACACGGTCGACCAACTCGAGGCGGACATCGACTCTGAGAAGGCTCGTCTGGACCTCACGCAAGGAGGAAGCACCTACATCATCAAGGAGTTCGAGGAGCGCGAACGACAAATCAAGAAGCTTCAGGAGAGACTCACCAAGTTCGAGCAGCAACTCCGCGAATACGAGCACGCCATCCAAGAGATCCGCTCCAAGTGGGAGCCCAAACTGGACGCGCTCGTAAGCAGCATCAGCGACGCCTTTGGCGATTCATTCGCGCGCATCGGATGCGCTGGCCAGGTGTCCCTGTACAAGGGCGAGGACGAATCCAACACGAACACGGAAGAAGGCCAGCCCAGCACCAGCAGCGGCGGCACCGACTTCGACCAGTGGTCCATCCAAATCCACGTCAAGTTCCGCGAGAACGCAAGTCTCCAGCTTCTAGACTCCCACCGCCAGTCGGGCGGCGAACGAGCCGTGAGCACGATCTTCTACCTCATGGCGCTGCAGTCCCTCTCCGCGTCTCCATTCCGCGTCGTCGACGAGATCAACCAAGGTATGGACCCGCGCAACGAGCGGATGGTGCACGAGCGCCTAGTGGACATCGCGTGCGCACCAACTACCAAAGACGGCGGCGGGGGCCAGTACTTCCTCATTACACCCAAGCTTCTCAGTGGGCTGGTCTACAAGTCCGGTATGCGCGTCCTCTGCATCGTCAGCGGCGAGCACATGCCGAAGGACTACCACGAGCTTGATTTCCGGGGAGCCGTCCAGCGGATGCGAGCGATACGGAGCAGGCAGAAGGGCAAGGGACGGGCCATCGAGGCGAACCCGCACCGGGGAGGTGGTGTTGAAGCTGCTGGTTGAATTTGTTGATGCTGGGTGGATGCCGATAGCGTTTGTGATACCTTTTGTTTAGGATGATTTGGGCGTATTGTCTGGATGTTGTTTATGGTGTTGGCGGTTCCTGGATTCAGGATTTAGCGGTACATATTTGACTTGGTTGTTTATAGTTGTCTCTTGTTATGCCGTGTATATGGAATCATTTAATGATAGTTCGAGTGTGAGTACGGAGTAGATAGGCTGGTACTTTACTCTTCATCAGGAAGCAATGGTATATACATCCAACATACTCCGATTTGTTCTGATATATATAGTAGAATGCGCAATTACGATAGTCAAGCACACTAGTTAGCTATGTAAAAGCAGGCCCTTGGTCCTGTTGCTTCAGATTCTTCTGTTTTGTTTTTGTATATAATCATCACTATGCATAGATTTCACGATATCATCAATCCCATCAAGATTGATCGTTTCTATCTGTTGGATATCAGGACCCTACCACTCGAAATTGGTGTTTTGGTCAATGCTAACACTATCAACCCTTTTCCATTTAATATAAGGTGTCCTTAGATATTTGTATGGATGCTTCTCCATAATCTCATTAGATATCGACACAAAATGCGATAGATGTTTATGATCTCAAATTACAAACAGAGTATACTGTCTACTACAATACCGCCAGATACATCTACCAGTATCAAAACCAACCACCCAGCATATCCTGGGAGTCTTACTCAAGGATGTACCAACCAAGAACTCCAAACTCAATAACCGTTAGAGCAGCCACCACCCACTCGATACCACCCCGAAATCCCTCACGACAAGGCAGAACTATGCTCTTTTGCCCACCAGCTCCCACAAGCCCAAAGAAGGCCGTAATAATGGCAATAACAATGAGTCAAGGGCATATACGGATGGAATCTGACCCTCTGCATCTGCCTAAGAAGCAAATAACGCTGTATGTAGACAGAGTGCATGTATTATGCGCGCAGCAGGTAGCATGCAGTACACACCATCAAGGCACCTGATGTTGCATCCTACTCGCTGACCTTGGATCTATCCCATCCACAATGGCAATGTGAGTGGGCGGGTGCGTGGATGGATTACATACGTGTCATATCACGTATGCATCTCGTTCTTCACCTATCATGTATCTTCCATCAGACCACACGCACGCACACAGGTAGGGAGAGGAAAAGAGACCCAGGCATTTCCAACAAGTCAGTGCGAGGGGTCAAGATGATTGGCGTGTCGCCAAATATAGGAATATCAAGTTAAGCGCTTCGTTTCGTCTGGGGGGTGCTAAGGAGCCCCAAGCGTGTCCTGTCCGTCCCACCATGAACCTCCTGATCCATGATCCATGATCCGTGATCCATGTGGCCGTGGCTCTGGAAAGGATGCTGAGGTGTGACAGGAATTGAAGGCGTGCATACGGGGCTGATTCAATCTGAGGGGGTGGTGTGTGTGGAGGCTTGGAGAGGGAGGGCTTGATGATTTCATTTCCCCCTCGTCTTGTACGAATTGCATGATTTGTCTCCGTACACCGTACCCCGTACGAATGGCCATCCGTCTGCCCTTCCCCGTGTCGAGGAAGAAAGTTGTGATAGATGAGAATATCAAAAGATACTCAGCCAGCCCCTGGACCGCCTGAGGCAGCAGGAGACAAACAAAAGCAAAAGGTTGGCCTGAGTCCGAGACCCGTGACCGGGAGGATCCAAGCGCCTCCGATGGTGATCATCCCCGGGGGATCAAAGCCCCTGCTTCTTCTTCCCTTTTCTCTCTCGCACTTCTGTTTCCCCCTTGTCCTTTTGCTTCTCTTCTTTGATTAGGTGGTATTTTCCTGTTTCATGAGCAGAACCATGATCTTAGTCCACGCTAATGGTGGCCACCAACGTCGGGAATTTCCGACGCGGATCACTTAAGACGCATGGCCAATCCTTCTCGGGCCTTTTAACTTGCCAATCACAACCCCTGGCCATGATACCAGGTCGAGCTTGGGCGTCGAACGACTGGCCACCGCCAGTCTCTTGCTGATGATTATTTCCGTCCGCAGTGCAAGTGGGCTGTGGATCACACCCTCCTTCCTCGACCACTCACTATCGTCCCTCGTCCCAACTCAACTCTATCATCCTGGCGAAGGTCCATCCAACCTGCACGAATTGCCACGACACGCATCCACATCCTCATCATTGCCTTGTATGCGTCGGGGCAGTGTCCAACCAGTGTGGGTAGAAATAGCCGGGGATCGTCGTCATACATCAGGAGAGATCGGCGTGGCCACCGTCTGGATCGGGCGCGCGGGGATGCATCTCTGATTGGTAAGAAATTCTGCGAGCACGACACCGTTCAAATTCAAAATTAGGGGGAGAAAAAAGAGAAACTCAAATTGATGAATGGTCGACTGGATACATTACTTCGGTATTCCATTTTTCATTGGTTTTCCCTATCAGACGGGGATTGACTATAGGGGATGGATCATGGGAGGAAGACAGAGAGGAATGGTTAAGACACTGGGATACATGATATACAGCAAAAAGATCATTGGCTAGCCATCCCGACTACGGCTGTGTGGTAAATCATGACCACGATGGCCACGGCGTGTATATCGGCTGCATGTCAACCCTTGACCTACAAAGTACAGCCCTTCCTTGTGTCCAGCATTGTCACGGTCATGATACGTCGACTTAGGGGGTAATATGGAAGTTTCCAGCGCAAGTGACCATTGTACGATGTGCGTGCCATGCGGGAGGTTGGAAGCGTCCGGCCAGGTGATAGATATGATCCTCTGTCCTGGTTTAAGCGAACAGTGTCTGGACTCGACTGCGCCATCCAACTGCATTAGCCCAGGCACACAGAAAATCTCGCTCCCCGACATACCCCCGTCGTCGAAAAGAGATCGGTTGAGCGCGCAAGCTGACAGTCGAAAATTTCTCGACTTCACAAACCTGGCTAGACTGGGAGACTAGGCAGGAGCCGTCTAACGGCCGCCAAGGGGGTGAAACCACGCTACAGCCCAGTAGGCGTGATCGATACGCGAGGCTCTTAGCACGAGGGATGCGCGCAATCCTGTAACGGCGGAATTCAACTCCTGCCCGGGTCGTCCAAGATGCCTCTTTCCACCATCCAAACGACCCGATCGTGTTCGCGGCGCGCCTTGTGGCCCCGTGGGCAAATCTCTCCCCCCTTGAGCACGGACGACATGAGACGAAAGTATCGCAAACACGATCCCACCAACCACCAGTAACCCTCCTTTCCGCCGAGCCCAATCAGTTATCCTGGCTGTGGACAATTTAGTACGATAGCATCTCATCTCCAAGCAAGTGACTGCCTAAATAGCCGGCGGTCTAGCCTTTTACCTTTTCCTCTTCCCAGTTGCAGGCGAGTGATCGACGCGTCCTGGAGAATGCACAGTAAGGCGACGATGGGACCACTTGCACGTCCGTGGAATCCCCGGTTGGTCATCAGCCTGGACTGATTGACGTCTGTCGCCACCACCAGCAAGTAATCTGTCCAGGCAGCATGACTGAGGGGCACTGTCTCACACCAATAACGACTCACCTGTTCCGTACCAAAACAGGAGACTCAAAGCCGAGCTGCACGGAGGACTGTATACCGCCATCTGTACATCATCAGCAGTGGCATTCCGATACGAGGATCTCCCGGGGGCCCTGCCGTTAGCAATAATATGCGCATGATTGCAGTAGGGCCCTTCCTCCGTCCCCCCCATTCCAGTCTAGTAGAGCCTAAGTCGATGTCTTGGTGCCTCGACCGATGACAAAAGCAAAGGAAGGCTGAAACCGCCCATCTGCGCTTCTCGTCACAAACCTGCATTTCCCGAGATGATCCAAGACTTACTAAGAGGCCGTGAGTCATCCTGTCCGAGTCTCTGGTCAGCCATCGGGGATCATTCCAGAGAAGGAACGAGGAAGGAACTCGGCACACGCATGTGCTTGGTGGCATCGCTGCAAGATGGGGATCTGCTGCTGCGGTTAGCACTGGCGCTGATGGTCTGTGATTAATTTTTTTTCCCGGTAACGATTCAGTCATCTGACACGGGCGTCTGGTGACGCGTGCGTTGTCCCTATATTTGGATAGCCATATAATCTCGGGGATGCTCCTCCCATCACCATGACAGACCAGGAGCGGGATTTCAGGAAACGTCCACGATAACAGACAGGGGATGAATGACACTAGGGTATGAACGCCTCGTGGTGGAATTACCGCCTGGGGACCGAAGAGCCCCGAACCATCAGACCCAGCAGTCAAGCTACCGTTTCATCGGGGATGCACGGTCCTCGATGGACAAACTCTCTTAGTATTGTGTATTATCAAGCCGGTTCTCCGGTGGATCCGACGGTTTTCTCATGGGGATTACTTTCGAGTGTTACTTATTGGTAGTATCATTTGGAGTATACACTTTTGATATGTATGATCTCACCTTGATCAGTAGGTGAGGGCCACAGTACGGAGTAACTCAGATTGAATAAACAGTCAGCAGCGGACGACCTGATGATTATCCCCGCCAGACCCGTGTCGATCCTCGGGCCAAGTATAAAGTCAGGGACTCGGTGTAGGTAGGTAAATCGGGTCGGGTCGTCTGGCCTGCTCATTAGAGTAATCGCCTATATCTACCTATTTAGTATTTTGACTGAAAATCGGTCATGAATCAGTCAATCAAGTAAATCAATAAATATTAATATTAATAAATCCAAATGAAAAAAAACATTCCAGTTAAGTTCCAACTTCAAAAGCCACACGCCACTACCAGCGAATCAGGCCCAGCGAGAATCCGCCCGTCGTCGAGGCGTTTGTCTCCCATTCCCATTCCATCCACATCCCCGTCTTTCAACACCCACGCCTGCCACGCCGGCGATCTACCTGTCGCCCGCCGCTGGCTAACCCTGTTTGGGTAGTCGACACGATCGGAGTTAACCTTTTTTATCATTGTTTTTGTTTTATTAGTGAGTCTTTTTGAAAGGTTGTTTGCGAGAATTAAATAGAGTTTCATGTTTTGTTTTCATGGTTGGCATCCCATATTTGGATGGGATTATGGATTATTCATTTTTCGGTATTAATTATCTGTTCTGCTCATTCATAGAAGATATTGAGACCAGGATCGAGGAATCTAATAAAAATTGGAAAGTGTAATATACGAAGGAAGTTACGATCACCTGTAATATCATAATACAAGACAATATACATTTATTATTAGATACGAGCTCTACCAGCCACACACTCCCTGTAGCACTCTCTATAGAATATCAGACAAGATAGCACCACGGATAAATGGATCTATGGCAGAATGACATCCTTCATAAGATTAAGGAAGTAGTGTTTCATTCCTTCTACTTCTCTGTATACTCCGTATATACGGAATACATCTGTAGTACCTAGTTTTTCTCATCTAGAGATGTACCATGACTCGCACCCAGCCATGCAGTGTCGCCACATCTGCAATACCACCTCCGCAGTCGCAGCCAGCTCCAGTACCCATCGCAGGCAGGTAGTAGACACTACCTACGTACCTACTACGTCGGTACCACTCCCTACCACCTACCCACCCACCCAAGTGGCTACTGGCTCAAGCGCGAACAGATTGTAACAAGGAAGTCGATCCTGCAACAGCGGCAATGGTGGAGTCCCGCTGATGAGACTGTGGTATTACAATGTCTGCTAATATCCGGCGGACTGTCCAGTGGAGTCGCCTCGTTCGATTTGACTTTCATTGACGTGGCGTTTTGGGTGGTGATCTTGACCCGTGACTTGCTGCTTATTGAATTACAGATACTGGGACTGTTTATCTCGCTTTGGAGGAATTACTTGATCTTACTGCCTTGGCTGCAGTGAGCGATATTCGATGTGCATGCATGCGTTGAGATGGGATTATATATATACGAATGGGATTAGAAGGATGGATATACAGATCTAACGGATGTATACAAGCAAGGTAGTTACCCAAGTCGGTAGTCACTACCTCTACTACTCCGTACTCAACGCTGTATACTCATACTCCGTACTACTCCACAGTCAATACTGATACTGAGACCGATACTCAATATGGCGCATCCCCCGACCCTCAAACAGCAATAGCGGAACATCCCGCCCATCTGATCGTCTAAGTTTCAAGTCCGATCCTTCCAAGACATCACTCTTAACTCTCAAGAGTTAGTATACTACACACTGACGTCGCGGAAATAACCAGCGAACATCCCCCCACTAATTACAGTTTATACTGGGTCGATGTCTCGGAGTTGTCCTCGGCAAGGTAGGATGCCTTTTCTTTTCGTTTAATTGTTTCCGCTGTCGTCATCATACTGCATGGGGTTCTCTGTGCATCAGCCGTGGCGGGATGAGCCGATCGGTGGGGGGAGTGGTTAAGATGAAGGGGTCTTGTTGATAGGACTGGGCGTGATGGTGGAATATCATCGTGATATGAGATGATTGAATTGGGTTTGTACTTGTAGCTCAGTGTGTGACCGTACTTCGTACATGATAGTTTCTTTTGTAGTTGTTGAGAATACTACCGTCTAGAAGAAGAGAAGGAAATAAACATAATGAGCGAGTTACACAACAGTTCTATCTATAAATGATCGCCCGGAAGCACGCACATTCGCATGAAATGGTTATAGTAACACCCATTGCTACAGGAGTATCCATAATCAGTCAAGCGATATGATGATATTCATCGGTTGAGACCCCGGGAAATAGCGCGTCGAAGGATCTGACATAGCCTTGGCTATGTCAGTCAACAAATTGAATATACTAATAAATACTACTAGTTAAGAGAATATAATACGCATCCACTAGTACGTAAAGTATCGGCTTTGGTGCCAAACTCGGGAACGGCCGAACCTCAAGCTGCATGACCACCACGTGAGATGACCGGGGTCCAGACTCCGCTAGAAACGCTCCTAGGCCGCATCCAGGCGGATCTGTCTGACGCCCGCTCCAGCGGTTCTCGCTTAGCGGATGGTCTATGCCTAAAGGGGAAGTATTTCCGTTACCTTCCTTACCCACCTTACCTTACCCTTTCTCTCTCCTGACGGGGCTGGAATTCAGGGGTGTGGTGGTGCCTTAGGTACCCAGTCAGCCGAGGTGTTTACACTACCTTTGGAACTTGCTTGCGAGGAGGGTTTCATTTTCACATCCCGGGGCCGAAATCTGCGTGGTCTGACCGCGTTGAGTTCCAATGTGACCGGTATCCAACACGGCAAACGGCCTACTATTTGTTCGGGCTCGGGGGAATTAAACTATCCATTCATCCCTGGTTGCCTGTCTGAGCTGTCTCTTGGTCGTCCCGTCACCCCTAGTTCTAGTTCTATCTAGTCCCCGATGACGATCTACGTGACGCCTCAGCTAACGTGCCTTGTTACTCCTTGACTCTTCATACAGTATGATATCAAACGGGGGAGATAGTGATAACTTAAGAAGTGAAACGATGTGACCTGTAACCTGGTTGTCCTTCAGACTCGTCAAGACGTCACCCCGCGTTACGGTGTGCTGCTCATGTACGCTCAGCTCAGAAGAAGGCACCGAGTCTGCTGACGGCCAAGAAATGCACCTCTGTAGATCATCCTACCTTACCTTACCGCCATGTGTATGTCGCGCTTTGTGCGATGTATCCTACTGCGGAGGTAGTAGGTACATGGGTGTCTGACGGGTATCTCGAGGGATAGGATGGTAACAGACGCTGTCTAATTGAACATGGACATAAGAATGGAAACAACAAAAGGAAAATCGCGAAAAAGGAAGATGAGATGACCTGGGATGATCTTCCCGTCCGCCTCTCCGTGTCCATGAGCGTGGCTACTGGCTGACCCAAAGCCCCAAGTACCACTACCACTACCAACCACATGCAGACGCACCGATCCAAGACGATCCATGATCCATCACACCAAAGACGTGGCTAATGCACGCGACCCAGCCAACCAGACCTTTCACGTCAAGGCTGAAACCCCAGGTTGCCTCGCTGAGGTCGTATTTGATCGACGATCACCCATCACCTTGCAGCATCCGGTACGATCTCATTCGTCCGGAGGGAGCTGGGTTTGGTCAAACAGCAAATGAAAAACACGACGGTGCTGGGATATTAGCGGCTCATCATCATGCAAGATGTGGGAGTGGTGGCTGTGGGTACTACTACTGGGTAGGTAGATAGGTAGGTAGATGCGCGGTCAGCATGTATATGTATGTATGTATGTCACGGCTCACGGTTCACCACTTTCCTTCCTGGGTGGGAAAAATACACGATTCGGATTGACCCTGTTGATTTGAGGATTATTCCTAACTGAGTAATCCACCAATTATGGTGGCAGGTTCGATAGTGTTGTTCCATCTTACTTAAGCCATTTAGACGGAGTACTATTATTAGGGCTACACTCAAGATGATCACTATTAAAGTTTCCATCACAGCAGGAAAAAGAAAAGAAACCCAAAGAAACCCAAAGAAACCCAAGAAACAAAGAAAGAAAAAAGAAAGAAGAAAGAAAAAAAGAAAATCCGAGCCTCCGGCCCCGGGCTTCAAGCTAAGCGATGCTGATTCCCACCGGGCGCTAAACGACAAGCGGTAGTTCATCCGGGACTAGCCAGAGTCTATTAAATGATCGGACGGTATCGTATTTACTATTTACTACTTATTCACTATATAGCGGTCAAAGCTGCTGAGCGTTGGGAAGCGTTAGGATGATCAGCGCACATCATTGTCAATCTTGATTCGACCTAATGTGTGGCCCCTTTTCTGATAACTGGGTTTTCCAATCGTGTGCCCCTATTACCAATTTTGGATTTACCCTGCTGGACGGGACATGGGGAGCGGGAAAATAAACCCCAACATCCGTGATCTAAGACAGATCATGTTTATATGTCTTGTCTGTATCCGTAGGACGGAGTACTTCGGTGATGAACGACAGGTTAATCTTATTTGGTGGCTTGCCAGGAGGGAGGAGGCTTGCCTCGTGGCATGATGGAGCAAACATAAACACACTGCAGAAGCTCGGATGATCACCATACAACATGATAACAAAACTAGTACATACCTTAGTAGAATGTACAGAACAAAAAAATGATAAGCTATGAATTACACATCCTACCTCCCCCTTTATCAAAACAGGAGAGAAAACGATGGAGTAGAACGGGTGTTCGTCGTAGTATCCCAAACAAGTAACAAGCAAGAGGACGGTAGACAGGGGAAGTGTGGATGGATTTCTGCTCACCATACCGCATTGAGTCAAGGGTCAGGATTAAGTTAGTAAATGTTCTTTTTAAAGCAAGGTTGGCCCTTTTTTTTTCTCCAGGAGTCCTGGCACTGGCACTGGCAGCGAGCGTCTAAGCGAGCCAAGGTGATCGCCCTGTGGGGTTACATGATTCTGGGAAAACCATCCATCCGTAACAAAGGGGGGGAGGGGGCGGAAAGACCATGTGTTTAACTGGACTTGGTAGTTGGTTGAAGGAGCCTACTAACCCTTTTTGGCGTCTCATATCACTAACCTGTTTTATAGTTTACTTTGTCTTGTGTTGACTACGACTGTTCCAGCTGTGTTGTTCCGGTTTGGATCCCCCACAATGTCAATATGGAATTGGACAGCCATGTTTCAGTTGTTCGGAAGGGATCCGGACGCGTAGACCTCATTTTCACAGTTTGGTTCGAAGGAGCGAAGGAGGTAGGGAGGATGAGGTCGGCGTAGGTCTGGATTCACCATAACCAAGGTCCACAGACTCGTAGTCAGAATGGGACGATGATCTTCCATCGATCTGAGGAAGATCATCAGTTTGTCGTGGATCATGACAGCTTCGTTTACAGGACTCGAAGGGGAATGAGTCTATCGTGTATATTATTCATGTATTGGGTTGTATTGTTTTACCCTGACTAATTCCATGTCTGGATTTCTTGCTCTCCGCGTGGAATATATATTGATTACTGGTTGGCGGTGATACGAACCATGGCTCAATAGTACAGAACATCCGTGGTTGGAGGTTTAAATCTGACACTGTGGTGCCCTGTTATATATTAAGGCGATTGATGATAGATTAATAAAGATTAATGAGATCCAGATTGTGGTTAATATAGGTAGGGTGGTCTATGTCGTGGATAGAAGTCTTTGCACTTTATTACGACTCGGTGGCCCACCAGATTGACCACTGACCACAGTGTTTGTCATCAGTCTGGAACAACCAAGATAGACAGACAAGTCAGTTAATAAGCCTAACAGTGCTCATGAGTAATGACCACAATCAAAGATAATCATGTAGATAAAATAACATACACCCCGGAGTGTGAACAATGAGAAAGACACCTCAGATGATTAAGTTGCCTCGTACCGGTAGAAAGATGGACCCGCACCAGTGAGGTAAACCCCATGATTGGCCGTTAGGATTCGCTTCCACGAGACACGGTGGACACTGGACACCATTGGATTATTCGGGCGCGGCCGCCCACGTCGTTTATTAGAGTTTGCGAGGCGCTCACATGGATTAGATCGCCGTGGTTTCTTCCTTATATTTATTATCTTTTTTACTTCATTTATGATCATATGGATTAATATGTTAAATGATTTAATATATTAGATTATATTGATTAATTGTATGTTAATCTTTCAACACATTGTACGGGGTGAGTATCAGATTGCATTCTATACCGTTGATCAGCCCTCTGTAAGGGGTATACGCGTTGACGACTCATCCGCTCGGGAGAGTGGAATAGGACAGGCTGATCCAGGATCCTGACTGTTTCTATAATTATGCCATTGAAATGAGGATTGTCAATGTTATCTGGATAGACAGGATGGGTGATACTATTAGACTATTAGCAGTGACTAGAGATGTCACTGCGTAGCCGCATACTCCCGAACCGGAGTGTGGATAGACATCGGAGATGAGAGATGACGATGATGACAGCCTCTCTCATCATTCAGGAAATGTTAATCGAGTCAACGGGAATGTTTCCATATCCGACATGGATCGACACTAATACCACCTAGTATTAAGGTCTATCCCGCCGTATCCGGTAACCAGTGGCGGGTCACCCCGTCGTTGGCCTCCGTACGAGGTCAGCACTGTATGCTATTGAGTCTGACTGTCTGACTGTCTGGACTGTTAACCCCTTTGGTGTGGATGGGACCTGTACCCAATCAATCAAAGGATGGGATAGTAATATGAGTGGAACAGTGATGTACCGATGATCACCCAGTAGTCTGCTCTGTCTCACCTATGATGATGGATGTTTTGTTTTTCCTTTGTGTCCTAGCGCCTACCGAGGCATGCTGCCTCGTGCCCAGATGCCGGTTGTGTCTCTAGCCAAGAGGACTAACCAAGGGACGGGGGAGTCCAGGGCAGTCGATGCCCTCGTGGAGTGGTCGCGGAACCATGATCTGATGGTCGATCCTAATGGTTGGGAAATTGGTACGTCGACGTCTGGTTGATTCCATGGTATGTGATGTTCCTGATACAGTTGTTACTGTCTGTGGTTGGTACTTGATAAAGGCTTTTGTGTATCTGTACCAATACTTTGAACGGGAAATACATGATAATCATGATGACCTATCATACTGACTCGACTCACCCCTTTCTCACGACTTTCCATACTGTACTCCGTAGTATCCTGATAAAAGGTATGATCAGTGCGGCCATTTCTCCGTTCTGCAAAGGAGTCAGTACACCTTAGTCAGACAGTGGGCCTCATGCGTCCATCTCATTAGCCAACCCAACCACGATAATCTCCGGGCTCCGCACGCCGCTAACAGTCTTGGCCCTCTCCAAGCGAGGATGGACTGGAAAATCGTTCAGAGATTCCTTTCTGGGTGGTCCGGGTCTAGGCCGGTTTGGGGCGGTTTGGATCCAACCCAACTGCGCCGACTGCACCAACTGCCACCTAACGGAGCCATCCCATATGGATGGAGCTGCCATGCGCGCGCATCGTGCCGCCAATCCGTCACCCGGTTTTATTTATTGTATTATTATTATTTTTGATTTCACCCCTGCATCTATGTAGGCCTTCAAGTGGTATCACATCTAGAGATATATATAAAATTTTCTCTATTCAATAAGAAACGAGTCAGTACGAACATCCCACTGACCAAAGAGCTCAATAGAGCAATAGAATGGAGAGACCAAACTGTTGATCTGAGCGAGTCAACGGCCAGGCAGACTGGACCAGAGTCTCAGCAGGATGGAACAGGGCTGGAGTCCGAAACAGGAGATCTACAGAGAAATTTCGGCTAGAATGTGAGATCAGTTCTTGGAGGATCGTGCGATCATCTATTATTATTATTATTTATTATACTATATGATATTATTATGATATAATACAAAAGTGTCCGTGGATCTGCACTAGTGCCAGACTGACTCTAGCCGAGCCCCGAAGTGTAAGAAAGTCCCCTTGTCCACCGGTCGATCTGTGTACGACGCGGTTACGTACGTTTTATTCTTATTTTGATCCTTTATTTGTACTTGATTTTTGTATTTTATATATTGTATATAGTATAGTGTATAGTGTATAGTGTATTGTACATCATATATAATTATATCCTATCATAGATTATCCTCTGAAATTTATCCGTTACTATCTCAGTAGGTGCAGATTAATAATAACCAGTACCACGTTTAGCTCTCGTCGAGCCTACCTAAACAATACAACTAATGGCAAATCACCCTAGACAGGTTTAGTCTGATATGGAGACCCACTCTCCCAAGCAAAGGAAATGAAAGACAATGACAGATGTCGCGTGTATCTCCAGACATTATTTAAGCTTTGTATCTTTGATACACTCTTACCATGCTCCATACACCATCCATACACCATCCATACAGACAGATAGACAGACACTGAGCAGGGATAAAGTAAGATCGAATAATATCCAAGATAATACCAGCAGATCAGCATCAAGAGTGATTATAATCGACAGGATGAGCGCAGTCGGATTGTTCCGCCGCCCGATCCGGTTACCTCGTTTAGTTGACGGAAGTATAGACAAACGAGCTATAATTAACTATTATTATTATATTTACAATTATGATTTTAATACCGTATCAAAATATAAAATATAAAATATAAAATAAATATAATCTAATCTAATAAATAATAAATAATACTTCTCATCATCCCCACTCGGAAATCCACCTCGTCTATCCTCTATAATCCCCCCCCCTGGTTCTCCAATCCCACCCCCACTTGTACCTTACTCTCCAAGCCACGGCCCAGACACCTTCATTCATATATCTATCCTGCATGGCCCCGTCTGTCTTGACCTCTCTGACTTCTACTTCATCATCATCACCGATTACCTTCCCATTTTCCCACCTCCCACCTCCCACACCTATAGGACCGCTCCACTATCAACCTCATTAGCGTCCGATACATCTACCATCATGGATCTCGCCAGCCTCATCACCCCGGGTCCCGAACCCGTCCTGTCCAAGGCAAAGGCCTCGTACAGCCCCCCGGCTTCGTCGTCTTTCAAGCCCTCCGTCGAGGGCTCGTATTTCCCTACCATGCCGACGTCATACTCTCGCTCCCCGCAGCCACCTCTCTCCCCTCCCGTGGACGAACAGCGCAAATTCTCCCTTCCCTCCATCTCCTCTCTGCTCGAAGGCGCCGACGGTGCCGCCATGCACGCTGCCAGTAGGTCTTATACCAGCAGCCCCAGATGAATCCATCCACTGACGAGACTTCCCCAGAGCGCCAGCGCTTAACTCCTCCCGCGCGCCGAGAGTCCGACGCCAGGTCGCAATATGATCCCATCTCCCTGCACGGACTGCCGGCCAACATGCCGCCCACTCCCCCGCTGCGTCCGGACTCGGGCTTCCACAGCAACGGCTACTCGCCCTCCGCATCCTCCACCTCCGCCATCAAGATGGAGTCCTACCCGCAGGCCCCCGTGACGCTGCCCAGCCCGTCCGAGCGCTCCTCCATCTCCAGCCAGGGCTCCCTCCAGAACGTCTCCAGCGGGCCCTACGCCTCGCCCGCCCCCAGCGTCGCCTCGTACACCTCGCCCGTGGAGCCCTCCACCACCGCCATGTACTACCAACGACCCACCTCGTCCACCTACCAGAGCGCCGCCTCTCCCACGGCCGCTCCCATGCCCGCCGCCGCCGCCCACCAGCCGGTCATCTCCCCCGTCACCCCGGCCTGGCAGCACCACCACTACTTTCCGCCCTCCAACTCCACCCCCTACCAGCAGCACCACGACCGGTACATCTGCCGCACCTGCCACAAGGCCTTCTCGCGCCCCTCCAGCCTGCGCATCCACTCCCACAGCCACACGGGCGAGAAGCCCTTCCGCTGCACGCACGTCGGCTGCGGCAAGGCCTTTAGCGTGCGCAGCAACATGAAGCGCCACGAGCGAGGATGCCATTCCGGTCGTCCCGTGGCAGCCGCCATGGTATGAACCAACAAGAAAGAAAAATAAAACAACCAAAAACCCCCAAAAAAGAAAGAAAAACGATAAAAAAGGGCAATATTTTACTTGATTGTTCTGTTTGATGATACCCCCCTGCGTGTTTACTTTTCTTCCCTTCAGCCTTGGCTTTTTTTCATATATACAACGGGAATTAAGGTGCATACATTTCTTTTTCTCTTTACATATTTTTGATGTCGGAAGTTGTGTATATTTTATTCTGTTGTCCTTGATTGATTGATGATTGATTGACGTCGGTTATCATGTCATGTGGGGAGCCACAGGCGGGAAAGGAGTTGTTGGAAGTGTTGATTTGATTTCTTTTGTGTGTCCTTCATTTCTTTTGTTTTGATGACGTGACACGACTTGAAGAATTGCTGTATATTTCATCCAGATGAGCTGGCTTTTAAACCGGTTAAGCCTGGATTTTGTTCGAGTCGTTGATAGATTGGCTTGATTCCCGATATATATATAGAGAGAAGCATTACATGATTTATTTACTTTACCTTGGCTGTATCAGTACATGTAGACTTTGATTGAAGACGTAGGACTCAATGTTGATTGTCTCTCACCTTGGTTTGCATGTCAGGTCAGCCGTGTAATGCACCAGGGAGTTCTTGGTAGCTCTATCTATCTAGGGTATCTATCTAGTTAAGACACCTACCAGACTACCCACCAATCTCCCCTGATACCCTCTCTACACTTGTAATCTAGCAGACTTCTTTAGACTGTATATCGAGATAGATAGACAGATAGGTAACTACCAACAACACAGCCAGAAAGCAAAAATAGAAACAATGGCACCCACGAAAATCTTCCAAATGGTGTATACAATCTAGCTGACATACCATAACCCGACTGATAACCATCATCACTTGTAGCCTAGCCAGCCAGCTAGCTAGATAGATACCTCCCATCTACCTACGAGCTATTTCTAGGGGTAGTGTCCCAATACCGAGGGAGATAGAGAAACGATTGATGACATCCAGGTTGTGTAGCCAAACTAATCCCATTCTATATGTATGCAGCTAGGGCTATCCTCCGCCAGGCATCAGGTATATAAGTTTTGGCTACAGGCTACATTCATGTTAGTCAATGAGGGATAGGTAGTTACCGATCGGGTTTGTAAGATGTCTATTGTCATTTGTACAGACGGATACCGCAGATAGTTCAATAATTCAATCCTTATTCATTTGTTTTGTGACTATTATTTTGGTGTGTATTGGAAATACCGAGTTTCATTGGTAACTGCAATGGATAACACCCAGCACAAAAGCACAAACGAATGGGGCTTTCCAACTTGTGACCTCTTCTATCAGAAATCATTGCCCTAGCAGACTCCAATGCATATGAGTGCTTCATTCTTCTTCCTCTTCCTCTTCGTCGTCGTCGTCCATGGCCGGCGGCCCCTCGACCAGCTTCGTAAAGAAGGAAATGGGGGGCGTGAAGAAATACTCCCCACCACGGGGCTTGATGAAGCTGGGGAAATTGCAACGCTTTTTTCTCTCTTCTGGATGCTTTCCGTCAGGACGTAGCTTGTGAGGTTTCCCATCTTCACACAAGCCATAGAGGTTAGCGTGCAGTGTTTGATCCTTGGGATCAACGGCGCCCTTGATGGGTTGTGCCACAAGCACATCTTGTCCCGAATGCTGGAGCGGGAATCCATCATTGTTGCACCACTCTTTAGATGAGGTTATCTTGGATCAACAGGGATTCTTGGATCAACAGGGATTGTGGGATGTCTTACTGTTCATAATAGCACAGTAACCATTCTGGAGACTGCTCTGGTAGCATCCGAACAAAAGACCTCGGGGCTCGTTTTTGGTGCTTTCGCTCCATCTTGATCCGTAAGGGATGCCGCGGCGCATTATCAAGCTCAGGTCCTTGTCTTTCACCTGCCTGAAGGTGTTTCGGGGGTTGCACTTGCGGATGTGAGATCCGTACGGGCAATGCAGCTCATGGTGAGGGTCTTCGTAATCCCAGTTGTTGTCCGAGTAGCCAGGTCCAGGGTCTTGCGTTGGATACAACTCAATTGGAGCGCCTAGAAATCAACAGGTCAGTAGGTCCGTATGCAACTTGATATAGCTCTCCCTGGCTTACCGCTGTGCCATCGGCCGACAAAGCGTGCTTCCAGCTGTTTGGGAGTCATCTTCAAGTCTAGCTCCTTGTCGTTGGCAAGTTCTTCCGCGCGTCTATAATGGCTTTTAGTTATATATATGTGGGTAATGATCGCAGGGACTTACTTGTGGAATGCTTCCACGTCTTGCGCCAGTTTGCGGAAAACAAAGTAGCTGCCGTTCGTCGCCCACTCGGGTTCCCAGAGGGGGGTTCGCTCGTCACTCCCCTTCATGCCCTTGTGGTTCATGACGATGACCCTGTATGCTATCAGCTTATGTTTCTGAGTAGATGGTTGGGACGGAGGGATGCCCGTTCTCCTTACCCTGGTCTACACTGGTAATTCAGAGTTATATCACTCGAATCCTCCCATCCTTCCAAAAACGGCTGTGAGATGGTATCTTTGAACCCAAAACTACAGGAGCAAGTTAGAGACTGTCCTGATCGGTTGGGCTTCATGGCAATACAACATCTACCTTCAGAACCAGGGCTCGAAGACCCAGACCGCCGCCTGGAACCCTAAAACCCGGGGGAAGTGAACCAGACCAACCATGACATGTTCTGCCCCGGAATTACCTTCGATGAAGATGGAGATCTTGTTGTCACCGGTGGTAATAGCGCGCGCCAGACCACTGTGTATAACATCACCACCGATGAATGGGAGAAAAAATCCATTATGCGTATGGATCGGGGTTATCAGGGAGCAACCATCCTTTCCGACGGCCGTATCTTTGTTATTGGGGGTTCCTTCGGTGAGGTTGTCAACCTGAAGAACGGCGAAGTCTACGACGTCCGAAAGAATACATGGACGGAACTCCCAGACGCCAAGGTGGCCAACATGTTCACGGCTGACCGCGACGACTGGCGAAAAGACAACCATGGCTGGCTTTTCGGCTGGAAGGTCAAAACTGTCTTCCAAGCAGGTCCTAGCAAAATGATGAACTGGTACGGCGTGGACGGCACCGGGTCAGTCACCGCTGCTGGTAAACGCAATAAGAGGAAGTGGGGGGACAACATGTGTGGGAACGCGGTGATGTTCGGCTCGGGGAAGATTCTCGGCTTCGGCGGATCCCAAGACTATGAGAAATCCCGTGCCAGGAATGATACATACCTGATCTCCATCGATGAGCCGAATACCAACGCGTCAGTGGTTCAGCCAGATGGTATGAAGCATAAACGCACTTTCCATAACTCGGTGGTGCTTCCCGATGGCTCGGTCTTCACGGCCGGAGGACAAGAGCTCGCGGCCCCGTTCGATGAATCTACCAGCCTACTCGAGCCGGAGCGCTGGGTCTACAACGCGGAGGACCCGGCGCAAAGCCAGTGGGACACATGGCTCCCCAACACCGTGGCCCGGACCTACCACAGCATCGCGCTCCTGCTCCAGGACGGGACTGTCTTCGTCGGCGGCGGTGGCCTCTGCGGAAACTGCTCCGCCAACCACTTCGACGGACAGATTTTCACGCCTCCGAATCTTCTGAATGACAACGGATCCCTGCGCAAGCGTCCGGTCATCAAGTCCGTTTCGCCAGCCGACGCGAAACCGGGTGACTGGGTCCAGGTCGAAACAGATTCGTATGTCGACCAGAATGCAGCGTCCATCATTCGCTACGGCTCGGCCACCCACACGGTGGATACCGACCAGCGACGTCTTTCCGTCTCGCTCTCAAGGAGCTGGAAGTGGTTTTTCAAATACTCCTATAGCTTCCAGATCCCTCAGGAGCCTGGAGTTGCGACGCCTGGGTATTACATGCTGTATGTCCTGGATGACAAGGGAACTCCCAGCAAGTCCGAGAACGTTCGTGTAGCCGCCGTCTGAGTGGTCGATCATGATGGCCAGCAGGCACGGTATCTCTTCGATGTGAAGTGAAGGTTCCGGGGGACTCAACTAGTGTGGATGTTTGGTGTGGAAGTGACTGCAATCGGTTGGCATTTGACCGTTTGTCTTTCAACAATAGAGCAAGCTTTTTCCATAGCTCTGAATATTATCAATTTCATCCTTTCGGACGTGATGCCATCCCCATTTCCACATTTGGCATCTGCTAGTTTGATATACTTCTTTTCTACCAACTGTGGGCTATGTTGAGTGGTCTATCTTGATTCACAAGCCACTTATCCTGATCTTGTCCACAAACGTTGATTACTGGGAAATGACCATTAGATAGGTAGAAGAACACCGCGCTATCATAACTTTATTGATTTTTTCATGATATGCAAGGTACCCAGCTCCATGCACAGCTCTTAGGCAAAGAACCTCCACCAAGTGGTCTTTAGATGAAAGAATGGCGCTCATGAGAGATTCATATTTCACAATAAGTTTGGCGGGATTCGGATTGTATATATGTATATTTTATATATAACCTGGCATGCGTATATACCTACATATCTCATAATTCATCACCTGTCACCTATCCAACTACGCCTCCAGATTTAGGTCTTCCAGGATGGCATCCAGCTTGGCCATCAATATCTGATAGTTAGCAGCGTCCTTGTCGAACTCGTCGACGGCGATTTCGCCGTCCAGCGTCCGGATCACAGGGGCGTGGTGGTCCCTATCCTGCTGGGACGCCGGCGCAGCTACCTTGGATAGATCGATCGTGTCGATGCCGTTGGTGACCTTCTCAACCTCTTTCTCGGTGCCGTCTGCGTCTGCGCCGGCAGGGGGTGCTTTGTGCGGCTGCTGCGCCGCGTTACGCATCATCTCGCCCAGTCCTGCGTCGTCAAAGCGCAGGCGGAAGCGCTCGTTGAGGTAGAACCGGATATCGTCTAGCAGTTCGATGGAATCGGTTTCCTGACGGGCTTTGATGCGCGACGCAGACTCTTCGATGAGTTCCGCGAACTCAGGCGAGTCGATATGTGCCTCGAGGCGGTAGGCGAGATAGCGCGCTGCGAATTCTTCCAGGCGCTGAACGCGCGTCATCCATGCGGCGCGGATGATGCCGTAAATGTCTAGCTCTTCTTCTTCTGTTGTGCCCCGCGTCTTTGCGGCTTCGGACTGCGACAGGTTGCCGCTGCCGAGGGTGCTGATTACGACTGCGGCTTTGGTTTTGAGTTTCTCGATGAAGAGCATGTCTGATGCGAAGAGGACGTCGACTGCTACGTCGAGGGGGAAGTCGGCTCGCTCGGTGTAGAGGAAGGTGAGCACTATTTCGAGGACCTCGGGGGAGCAGTCCACGTTGACGATGTGGAGGTGGTCTTTGACGTAGGCTTCGCGGAACATGCTGGAGAACATGGTGTTGAAGAATTCGGAGCGTAGGAGCATGGCTCTGTGGCAAGGGAAGAGTATTGACTTTGGCTCGCTGCCGGGTTCGGCGTCCTCGGGGAGCTCGTCGGCTTGGAGCAGGATGTCTGCGAAGATGGCATTCTCGCGGTCCCATTTCACGCTGTTGGCTTTGGACGTCTCCACTTCCAGTTTATTGCCCAGGACGTTCGCCCGGAACCATGTCTCCAGCTGGTCCCGGCCTTTGGCAATTTCCGTTGATCGCCGCTGCCGGGCTAGCCGTCGATCTCCGCTGTCGATGATGCTGTCTAGGAGGGTGTCGATCTCGAGGTGGTGCGCGACTCGGTCGATCCCCTCGAAGACTTCCGACTCGGTGAACCCCGTCCCCGGTCCGCTTTTCAGGTCGCGGGGTGCTTCTCCGAGGTACAGATACTTGATCGCGATGCCGAACGCTTGGGGCGGGATCGTGGACGGAAGCTTCCACGAAGGACTCTCCGGGGCCGCCGCTAGCTTATTCCGGAAATACGGCGATCGCGCAGCCAGGACGAACTTGTGTAGGTGAAGCGACTCATCTCCAGCGGTAACGACAATGTCGGACGTCACGGGCTGTTCTCGCGTGAGCAACGAAGCGAGGTGGGCGGCGAGAGGCTGCAGGGGATCGGTCGATTTAGAGTAGTCGTATTCCAGGAGTAAATTGCGGATGCGATCGTTCAGCGCATTGTACAGGCAACTGTATGCAGGGTGTCTTAGTGGGCGACATTTGACGATTCAGAGGGAGACGCCGTACCGTTCTCCTTGGAAAGTATCTCGTTCACACAACGCGCCGGACTCCAGGAGCAACCGGACCACCTCGTAGTGGCCACAGAGACTTGCCTGTGTCCGTTAGAAAAACACATCTGGGTAGTCGAGGGAAACCCAAAATGTCTGACTTACCAAGATCAAAGGGGTGTAATCGTAGGCATCGCGGGCATTGATATTAACCCCCTCGGTGATCTTCTCTTGACAAACTTTAAGATCCCCCTTACGACAGGCGCTGCAGAGCTCCGCAAACGGCTCGCTCAGATCCAGGGGGTTATCATCCTTGAGGTTGCCCTCCTTGATCAATTCCTTCTCCTTGACTAGACTGATTTCCAGTTGATCTTTGCGAAGAACATTCCGATCGGTCATAGCGGCAATAGGACTGCTGTAACTGTCTCGTTCTCTCTTGTATCGCCGATGATGTCGAGAGGCGACTTGAGTGCGGGCGCGCTTTATCGATAAGGCCGATCACGTGGGGCAGACCGATCGCGTATTTTGCCCCGATCAACCTCCGAGACCTTGCAGTACGCCAGGAATATCTCAATAATCGAGTATCGGATCAATAACCTCATGTCTCTAGCTATCCCTCGAGGCCATGCATCTCAATCAAACTACAGACAACTTCCTCCCAGTGCACTGCAGTGACGCACTGTTCTGGAAGATGATCGCAACAAAGAACACACCGCCCGCCCTCACCGCCTGCGATAATAGGATAAGAGCCCTGGAGCGCCTCGTTGCTCAGCAACGAGCTCCGCCTAAACATTCGGCTCCTCTGGCAGTGCATACAGAATGCCAAACTTCTTTAAACCTGCATCTGTACTCCCATCTCCAACCTTCATCTTCGACATCTACTAACCCAAACAGCGTCCGACTCATCCCCAACGTCCGGATCATAAATGATCTAAACCCTCCTCCCTCATCTCATCTCCCTCCCCTCGACTCCTCCGCTCCTGGCGACCTCGATTTGACCCTTAATTTCCCTGCCGCTGGCCTCCTCAATTGCACTCCTTAGTCACCATGGCAATTGCGTTGGCAGAGGCAGAAAAGTATGAGGTGTTGGAGAAGATTGGTAACCACAGGCCCCTTTCAAGCAGGTCGCTGTCCTGTGGGAACTAACGAGCTCTCTGTGTCCAGGTTGTGGTTCGTTTGGTATCATCCGCAAAGTGAGGAGGAAGGCAGATGGCTTCGTAAGACTCTCAGATACCACGGACCAACAAACCTGAGCTGACCGGACCCCAGATCCTCTGTCGCAAGGAGATCAACTACATCAAGATGTCCCAGAAAGAACGGGAACAGCTCACCGCCGAGTTCAACATCCTCAGTTCCCTCCGTCACCCGAACATCGTCGCCTACTACCACCGAGAACACTTGAAGGCAAGCCAGGACTTGTACTTGTACATGGAATACTGTGGCGGTGGGGATCTCAGCATGGTCATCAAGAACCTGAAAAAGACAAACAAGTATGCCGAAGAGGAGTTTGTCTGGCGTATTCTGTCGCAGCTGGTAACGGCCCTTTACCGCTGCCACTATGGTTCAGACCCGGTGGAAGTCGGATCGAATGTCCTGGGTCCCGTTCCCAAACCGTCAGGTCTGAAAGGCAAACAGGCGCAGATGACCATCCTGCATCGTGACCTCAAGCCCGAGAACATCTTCCTGGGCAGCGACAACTCGGTCAAGCTCGGTGACTTCGGGCTATCCAAGCTGATGAATTCCCATGACTTCGCATCCACCTACGTGGGAACGCCCTTCTACATGTCACCCGAGATCTGCGCTGCAGAGAAGTACACCCTGCGCTCCGACATCTGGGCCGTGGGCTGCATCATGTACGAGCTGTGCCAACGGGAGCCCCCTTTCAACGCCAAGACCCACATCCAGCTGGTCCAGCGCATTCGCGAAGGCAAGTTTGCGCCCCTGCCGGACTTTTACTCCCCGGAGCTGAAGAGCATCATCGCGAGCTGCCTGCGCGTCAACCCCGATCACCGTCCCGACACGACCACCTTGATCAACATGCCGGTCATCCGTCTGATGCGCAAGGAGAAGGAGGTCGTTAGCCTGGCCAGGACGCTCAAGAGACGCGAGGAAAGCGCCCTGCAAAAGGCCCGGGACGTCGAGCAAGCGTATGGCAGACTCGAGAAAGAAAAACAGCAGATAAAGAACGACATCGAGAACTCGGTGCGTCGGGAGTGGGAAGTCAAGGCGAGGTTGGAGATTGACCGCCAGGTGCACAATGAACTGGAAAAGCTGCGCAAGAGATTTGAGCTCGAAGTTCAGGAGCGCGTCGCGCACGAGGTAGAGAAACAACGGAGAAACAGCAGCCACAGCAGCACCCGGGAAGACTCTGGTTTCCGGTCGAGTCGCCGATCTCAGTCCTCCGTCAGCAATAGCGACGACACGGATTTCCCGTCCAGCACCGACGTGAGCCAACTGTCGGTGGAGTCGCCCACTTCGAACGTGAACAAGCGACCCAAGAAGGAAACGCGGACGCCCTTGAACCGTTCCAAGACGATGGTCGAGTCTCCGGTTGATGTCCAAATGGCCGAGCCATCCCCGATCTCCATCGCATCGCTCTCTCTCTCCCCACGCCGTACGTCGGGGGCTCACACGGGAAAGAACATCTTCGCCGATGCGGAGCGACATAAAACCAAGTGGGAGCCGACACTGGCGTACTCCGACGACGAAGATGACATCCCTGACCTGCCCTCGCCGACTCGCGCCAAGGTCAAGCCCGATCCGTTCAAGGCCCCGGTCCGGCCTCTTCTGCGACAGAACACGGCGGCTTTCATGCAGAAGCTCAGCACCCAACCTTCCCTCTTCCCCTCCAACCCGTCTCGGCTGCCACAGGCAGCAGGGCACAGTCAGCCAGAGCCCCTTCAGAGAGAGAGCAAATCCAGGTCGCCCCACCGACGACTGTCGAAGATCCCGTCATCTGCGAACCTTGCCGCCGATGCTGGATCCCCGACTCGCAAATCCGGCGGCTCGAAACAGCCACCCTCGAAAAACAACGGCGGTGGCGAAGAAATGTTCAAGGCCGTGATGCAGCGGAACATGGGTGGCAGAACCCTGGTGGAGCTCGCTCAAGCGCGCGCCGGCGGACGTCCGATGGACGAACTCAAACGGTGTGCCAGCGACTCCCGGGCCACCGCCTGTTCGAGCATGAAGTCCGTGGACCGCGACCCTCCTGCGGTGTGGGATCCCGAACGAGACGAGATGCCCAGTCCTTTCCTCGCGCGTGGTCGCAAGGTCATCCGCAACCTGAGGTAGTCAGATGATCTCATCCTCCCGACATTCTATTCCTTCGTTTCTATCTCGTCGCCGATATTTGATTAATCTACTGCTCATCCCTTGCGGTTGACCCGCGGAAGCAGCTGCATCTGCAGCAGACATCCGAAGAGAGCCCTACCTTTTGGGTATCTAGTTGGCAGAATGCTTTTTGAAACACCATACATCTTAATAATCACCATATTTTCTGGAGTTACGGGAGCCCGGTGGTGTGCATATTCGATATTCGAAAAAGAAGCCCGCAAGCAACACCATGCGAGTCATGGGATGGAGCATATTTTGTTTTCTGCGTTGCATGTGTCGAATACTCGCACGGAGAATATTCGTCTTTTCTTCTCTTATTCCCAGTTTCCTTTGTGTTGTCACGCCCGAGATGTCTACCTGCCCCTTTCCCCCATCTTCACACTCTTCCAACCCTAGTCACTCGTTGCCTTCCATTTCCTTTCTAACCCCTCTCCTAAATTTTTCACCTCTTTGCTTTCTCTTCTTCGTTCCTCCTCTATGTGAGATGGCGTCGGCTGGATCTTATCTTCTGGTGTTTGGAGTATGAGGGATTCTCAAGTACTATATGTACATACAGGTTTTGGAGTTCCCCTTTCTTTTCTTTTTCTTTTTTTTTTTGTCTCCCTGGTGAGATTTAGGGATCACAGAATACTATTTCACCCATTTTGAACTATCTTTTATATTTAATTTTGTAGACAGTGGAGGTAAGATAGTGAGTGGCCTCGCCAGGTAGCAACCTACACACATATAACATGAGGAGCCAAAGGAGCAAGAGTAGGTATGACAAATTCCTAGTATACAAATGATATCATATTCATACATACCGCAATCAACCAATCAATCAATCATCACGAAGAAAAGACTCAAGTTAAGCCTCCTCATCCTCCACCTCCTCAATCTGCACAGACCTCAACTCCTGATTAAACCGCCTTTCCTCTTCCTGTAACCTTCTCTGGACTTCATCTTGATCTTCATTTTCCCCCTCTTGATCTTCGCCTTTTGTTTCGCCTTCTCCTTTGTCCCCTGCTCCTGCGGCAGGTTTATCCGCCGGACCAGCCTGATACCCCGCCTGTTCCAACCTGTCCATTTCCTCCGGTTCGAGGAGTTTGCCTTGTCCACGGATAGAATCCTGCTTTGTGCGCACGGCGGCAGGGACGAACATCTTGGTAGCTTCTTGGCGGAGGTTGCGGATCTCGGGCTTGGCTTCGTAGACTGTTTTGGGGGGTTCGGCTGTGGATGGTTTGGAGGGGAGAGCGTGTGGGCCTTGTGCTCCTCCACCACTGTCGTTGTTTCTGCCCTGTCGTCGTTGGTATTCTTTAGGGATGGGTGGGGGTGTATCGTGTGGCATCGGGATGCGCCGTACTTCTTCGTCGGTGGAGCTGCTGTCGCCGTCGTCGTGGAAGAACTGCCCGTGTTCGTCTCTCCTTCGCTTTCCCAAGACACCGCCGCGGCTGCTGTCGCCACGGCCGCGACCTCGGAACGATCCGCCACCCCGGCCACCACCCCGTCCGGCGTCGAACTTAGGAGCCTGCTCGCCTAGCGCCTCGCGGGCTTTCTGGACGGCTCGCAGATCGCGCTGCAGCGCCTCGAGGAGTTGCTGGTCGCGGGGGCGCAGTTTCTGGCCCGATTCTTCCGTCGCTTTGATGTCGTCGATTTGGCGCTGGATGCGGTCTGGGTTGCGGCGGCCGAGCTTCTCGTTGCGGCGGGCTTGGGCCTCGGCTTTGCTCTTTTTGAGCTGCTTTTGTTTTTCGGCTTTCCGCTGCGCCATGGCGGGGTTCATGGAGAGGTTGTCTTTGGGCATTGTGGTGGTTTGTTTGTTCGGTTCTCGTTTGGGGTGGTTTGTTCTGTTGATATGTCTTGGATATCGTAGAGGGATCGTAGGTGCAGAAGGATAGTCGTGATTCGATCGATGATTGGTTTACACCTGTACCAAGCCGAGACCCGTTAGCCGTCAGCTCCAGCCGTCAATCCGTACGTTTGTTCTCGTCGGCCGCGTTCCCGGAAGGAGGGGCAGAGAGAGGGGATAGAAAAGAGGGAAGTGGGGTGCGGTGTAGTCTACTGTCTGACTTGCTGCGGCGACCCAACGACGAACGACGCTACTCAGCCGGTGGGAATCACCGTCGAGCGGGGAGTCAAATGAGTGGATCGAAACTCACAGGTCCAGAGCGGACACCGGACGGTGGTGCAGGCAGTAGACGCAGATGCGCACCGGGATTGGTCTCGCCAGGTCGGGGATCGTCTTCTGGGAAGTGCAGCGGGAACTTCCAGCCCAATCAAGGCGACACGGCGCGGTCGCAGAGCCCCAGCCTCACGGGTTGGGCAGCGGGATTCAGAACTGGGTTGTGGAGATTATGGATTCTTTTCCTAGTGGGGAAGACTGAAGACTTTCAATTGACGGAGGGACGGTTTGATCGGTGGAGTAAAGGCGTTCGCGATTGCGGCGGATGGACCGTTGGGGTTCGCGCAGTCGATCGGAGGTCGAATCAGTCGAATCAGTGGAAGGACTGAAGGGTCTAGAGTTGACAAGAGGATAAATCAGAGAAAAGAATGGGGAGACTGGATGTGAAGGGAGGACGAAGTGGATCCTGAACGGGAGTTGTTGGTTGGAGAGAGTGAGGAGGAGAAGAAGCGGAGAGAGAGAAATAGAGAGAGAGAAATGGCAGGAAATGATCTGCTATCAAACATGATCATCACATCATTCCGACGCTACAACCATTGGATCTTTTTGATAAATGAATGCGATTATGCTTTAGTTTGGTTCTTTAGTTTGGAAAAGACATATATATCGACTATCTTCTGGAACTATTCGAGATCATTTCTCCTTCTACACTGCAGATTCTCCTCATCTCCGCATCACCAATCTCTCTTCATACTTCTTTCTTTCTTCTTCTTCCTCTTCTTCCTCTTCTTCTCCTTATACTCCTTGTTCTTTTCGCATTCTTTCTCCGATCAATCTATTGCCTCCCTCTCATCAGAGACAACTCGGACCTCTCGCGCCCTTCATTTGATAGTCAGATCTCCCAGTGTAACCCCCCTCTGGACTCTGTTGGTTAGTCTGGTCGCATTCCATTCTGACCCATGACAAATTATTCTTCTGATAATTGACGGTCTTGGATCAACCAGGATTTTGACTTTGGTTGGCGCCGACAATCCGTTTCCTCAATCGGGCTTGTTCGTCTCCCACCATCATCCCTCCTTCGTCGGCTTTTCCCCCTCTCATCTCTCTCTCTCCCCCCATCTCCCTTTCCCAATGACAGCCTGACTCGGGGACGGGGTATCTTGGTCGATCTTCTTTCAGAAATTATAAAATTAAGAAACCGAAAGGGAAGAAAGAAAAAAGAAATCAGAAAAAAACAAAATATAATAGATAACAAGCGGGAGACAGACCCCCCACACACCTGATCTCCCCCCTTCTCTCTCCCGTCTCCTCTTCTCCTCACCTTCTCCTCCCTTCGCCTTCTTCCTCCCTCGCTGGTGTCCGTGGGCTATCATCATGACCGTCGGTCCGTTCTGTCTCTACACATCGAGTTCGACCGGCGCTTGCTAGACTCCCCGTCGCGGTTGGAGCATGTCTCTGCCGGAACCAAATGTCCGTATCAGCCTCGATTCCCGACACCTCGCTTGGTCTCACTTCCTCCGAGATCCAGATCCTCCGCCAGCAGCAACAGCTGGCCCTGCAGAGTGGCCATGTCGGCAATGGGGGTTCCAGAGGCAGAGGCACCGGGCGAACCAGCAACTCCAGTTCGCGCGCCACCAGCGCCGCCAGCGCCGCGAGCAGCCAGGGTCGATTACTTCTGGATCCCATGAGCTTGCGCGCCCTGTCGCATCAGTTGGATGGCTTACAAGAACAGATTCGGAGTCGCATCGACTTTGTATGTTTTCCCTCTCCCTTTTTCTTTCTGTAATACGCTTTCTTCCCTCGTCAACACCTCCGTCGCAAGTCCCGCGCGGGTTGCACTGTGTTTCACAACCCTCGTCATATCCCCTCCAGTCCGATCAAAATCTAATACCCACCAGCTGGAGGAGCAGATGCAACTGTCCATCCAAAACACCTACGATCGCGCCGGAAATGTCATCCAGAACGCCGACGCCGAAATCGCCCGCACGCGAGCCATCCTGGCCTCCGTCGACGAGCTGGAAAACGAGCTGGCTAAGATCGGACATATACGAGAAATCGTGAAAGCGTATCGCGCGCGGATCGAAGGTCTCGACCAGCGTCTTGACCAAGCCGCCGCCCGCCGTCGACGATGATTCTTCGCTCCCGATCCTCCTCCCCACACTACCGCTCCGACATACATACGACATACATATCATCCTCTGGAATATGCACGACAGCCCGTGCCGCACATTGTTCATGCACTCGATCGATTGCTTTTTTCCTTTTACCGCTATTCTCTCGCCCCGGAGGCGCTCCGCCCACCCCTTGACCACTGTTTTTCTCCGCTTTCTCTGCTTGACCGCCACAACGGGATCGACACGATCGATACCATCTTCACTACGGCTTCGACGATCTGAACATTCCGTGCAATGTGACCAGTAACATACGATGGAAAACCTGGAACAACCAGAAATAAAACACTCAAAAAATACGAAGGATGGCTGGACGGCATAGCAACTGCGAAACAACAAAAAAACTATATACCAAATGTATCCTCACGGACTCTGTTTTATTACGACGGCATGCGGCTTTCTCCGGCAGCGTGCGTCAACACCAGACCTAATGCTCACGCTCACGCATGGTGAGATGATTCGGAAGATTTACGATCTCGTTTTTGCTTTTGATGTGCTTCAAGCGCCTTTGTTAAAGATGGGTTTGTGTGCCTCGCGGCCGTTTGCGATCTTTGGAATCACCGGGCTTGAATGGGAAGAGCATGGTGTTTCTAGCGCTGGAGTCCTTCTTTCTTCGTTTGTTTACTCTTAGTTTTATTTTTGGTATATGTTCGTTCGCGCTGGGCCTGGATTACGTAGGTCTGGCGACTTGATTATTATGTCTCACGAGAACCACGTCTTGCTTCATGAAGTCCTCCACTTATTGTATCCTCTCATGTTGCGATTCCCCTGTTTGTTCTAATGTACTGCAATTCTTTAAACACTAGTGGCGACGACCCTGTTTTTTTATTTTTTATTTATTTTTTATTTTTTTCATCTCCGACCTGTCCATCTCCGCACCGAAGATATCGCGGTAAGCGGAAGTATGACCGAGCCCGCCCTGCACATGTCTCCAAGGTAACCCCATGCTTTTTCTTTATTTCCAATTTAGCTCGGGCTATCTCACACGCCAGTGAGCCCCATAGCCTAGACTCGATAGTTCCCGAATGGCCCCGCCGGCAGCCTTGTCCGGGGTAGCATTCGCATATGATGTCAAAATCCGGTATCTGACGCTGTAGGGAACAAGGGTTATGTCCTTGTCTTTTTTTCTTTTTCTTTTTCTTTTTCTTTTTATCCTTTTTCCCGCTCCCATCTACCGGGGCTGAAAAGGAAACCCCCGCATATGCTTTCCAATCATCCCCTTCGCGAGGGGTGATAATCCCTCAGGTCTGACTTTCTGGGTTTCTCTCGCACACCATGATATCTGGTAGTAGTGACACATGACCCCCTCCCCCCGGCCTGGCGGGCTGGCGGTGTCGAGCCGATCGCGTGGCGAACGGGATTATTAGGATTGTTGGACCTGCGTGAGCCCCTTCCAACAGAGTAAAAAACCCGCAAATCGGCGTTTCAGGTTGACTGGAAGAGTGTGCCAATGAGATTCAAGACCGACTCCTCCCAACAGTACGATCCATGTCCACCACACTGACACAGAAGGCCTCAGACGGAGGGTGGGAGGCAGGTACCCTCCCTGTTGCCGAACCCTAGCAGGGTGATAGACGCTTGTCCTCCCCGAGCCCAAGTCATATGGTCAGGTCCAAGCGCGGTTGCTAGATCGGGTGTGGGAGAGACAATCAAAGATCAATAAATAGTAGCGTTGAAATAAATATTGAGATTTATTCATTTATTGTTTTCGATTTTGCCGAAGGAGGGTCCAAAATCAAGATTCGTTGCTGACATGGACCTGCTTCTGTTCCTTGTCCTTCCGACGGTCTGGTAGTTTCCGGCTACGCTTCTCCGTTTGGGGGAAGCGCTTTTCCGTTTGACAGGTGCCGCAGCGGACGACGCGCACGTCCGCCCACGGCTTGCGGCGGTCCCGGCTGGCGTTTTGGATCTCCTGTGTGCTGGTGACTCCTGGGGTGAGGATCGTGTCGCAGCGCTTGCAGAAGGATCGTTTGACGTCGATGGAGAGCCGGGTTCGGGTCTTTAGGGATACACCGCGCATTTGGGAGATGTAGTTGCGGGAGAGTTGGGTTAGGTGCTGAGGGGTAGTAGTAGTCTTGTGGTTATTTGGGGAGTTTTGGTCGGTGAGGACGCCCGTGATCTGGGGGACAACACGTGCTGTATTGGGGGACAGGTCCATGTCGTCCTCATCGTGGTCATTGGGAGTGTCTCTGGCTGGTGGTCCTGGTAGCTGGGCTGTTGATTGCAGAAAGGCAGCGGCTTTGTTTAGATAGTCCAGTCTGGCCCGGATGTGACTGTTTGCTCCGCCTGTGTTGGCTTTCTTCGCCTTTGGTTTGGCCATTGTGTGGAGTGTCTCTGGCCCAAGACCTCTGGCAGGACACGTTAATCAGAAGGTCCAATGAGCTATTATTGTCGTCATTTGGTGGAGAGACGATAGATCGAAAGCTGGAAGAGCTTGCTGGAATCGCCGCTAAACCAGAAATAGAGAGCATGACTAACTCATCCTATCACGTGATTGGACGGACTCAGCCTCTCCGCCCATCCCTCGCGAACCTGCAATCTTTCTTTCCATCTCCATCGCCTTCCTGACGCCTCCCATCTCGACCTCATCGACCGTTCAATTCATCACAGACGGATTGGAAACCGTGTTCTTGTGATCATTTCTGTCCAACCAGTTGGATTGTTCTAATTTTTCCAAGTCTGCTTCGATTTCGACCTCTAACTCCCAAGCTTCCTGTTGCCTTGGCAAAAGACGCGCCGCGACCGTTAGAGTTTTCTAAGAACCCCGTGCCATTGTAACAACTTTCGCCAACATGTCTCACGAGGAAGATCTCATCGATTACTCCGACGAGGAGCTCCAGACCACCGACGCGGCGGCGGCCACCACCACCGCGGCCGCTCCCGCCGCCAATGGAGAAGACAAGAAGGGCGATCTGACGGTGACTGGCCGTCCTGACAAGAAGGGTAGCTATGTCGGTATCCATTCGACCGGTTTCCGCGACTTCCTGCTCAAAGGAGAACTCCTACGTGCCATCACCGATTGCGGTTTCGAACATCCATCGGAGGGTTAGTTCATCACATAGTTCTTTCTCACAAGCCTCCCTCCATTGCTCCATGTTCCAACGTCCGTCCATCTCCGCGGGGGGAAATCAATAGTCGCTTTATTCTTTTTGGGCCACTCGTTTCATCCGAACCTGTGGACGGCATGAGGATGTCTGCTCGGGATGTCACAAGACTAGTCGCGCTGCGTGGGTCGCGGCACACGCTCCTGCGACTACCGTCTGTTGCTTTTGCCATGGCAAATGACCGTGAGACCGGTTTCGCCAAGACTTTCAGGTTCAAAGACCTGTAGCCACGTCGGGCCAGTCAGGATAAAGATCCCGTCCGACGGGATCTTCTACTTTTTCCTAGACGGTAGACGTCCTCGTGCCGTCTGCAGCGAGCTCGCGATAGAATCATCGCGTGCTGCAGTTGATTGGCTGCCTAATCGATACCATCCTGTTTTTGGATGGTTGAGTGCAGACACCGCACCTTGTTCGCCTGATCGATCACTCGGGGGATGGACGGACTTGACGACGCGATTGCTTTTTGATTTTCAACTGTTATGGATCGAGTGCAAGTCTAACATAACATTCCGCCTTACTACAGTCCAGCAAGTTTGCATTCCCACCGCCATTTTGAATGTCGATGTTCTCTGTCAGGCGAAGTCCGGTCTCGGTAAGACCGCGGTTTTCGTCCTGACCACCCTTCACCAGCTGGAGCCCGTGCCGGGCGAGTGCTCTATTCTGGTCATGTGCCACACCCGCGAATTGGCCTATCAGATCAAGAACGAGTACGCTCGATTCAGCAAGTACCTGCCCGATGTGAAGACGGCCGTTTTCTACGGTGGTACCCCCATCCAGAAGGACGTGGAGGTTCTGTCGAACAAGGACTCTTATCCCAACATCGTTGTCGGTACCCCCGGTCGTCTGAATGCTTTGGTTCGCGACAAGAAGCTTTCCTTGCGCAACGTCAAGGCGTTCGTTCTCGACGAGTGTGATAAGATGCTTGACCAGATCGGTGAGTTTGTATTTCTTGCGAGTGCGACTTCACGTGTCTAACCGTTGCGTTCTCCAATAGACATGCGCCGCGATGTTCAGGAGATCTTCCGCGCCACCCCTGCCGACAAGCAGGTCATGATGTTCAGCGCCACCCTGTCGCAGGACGTCCGACCTATCTGCAAGAAGTTCATGCGCAACCCCCTCGAGGTCTACGTCGACGATGACACCAAGCTCACGCTGCACGGTCTGCAGCAATACTACATCAAGCTGAGCGAGGCGGAGAAGAACCGGAAGCTGAACGAGCTCCTGGATAACCTCGAGTTCAACCAGGTCATCATCTTCGTCAAGAGCACCCTTCGTGCGAACGAGCTGGACAAGCTGCTGCGCGAGTGCAACTTCCCCAGTATCGCCGTGCACTCGGGTGTGAGCCAGGAGGAGCGGTGAGTATCTCTAGTCGGATAAGCGAGGACGATCTGGCTAATAGTCTGCAGTATCAAACGCTACAAGGAGTTCAAGGAGTTCAACAAGCGTATCTGTGTGGCCACCGACGTGTTCGGCCGTGGTATCGATATCGAGCGCATCAACCTTGCCATCAACTACGACATGCCCGCGGACGCCGACTCCTACCTGCACCGTGTCGGTCGTGCCGGTCGTTTCGGTACGAAGGGTCTGTCGATCTCCTTCGTCAGCAACGACGACGACGAGAAGGTGCTCAAGGATATCGAGAAGCGCTTCGAAGTTGCCCTTCCGTATGTACCTCCTATCAGATTGATATAGCTTACCAGAAACTAACGATACCAGTGAATACCCCGAGGGCGGCGTCGACTCCAGCACCTACATGGCTTAGAAAACCGGTTAATATCTCAAGATTGTATCTGGCGAAATCTGTCTACGTTTCATTTTGCAGTCCCCGTTCTAGTTTTTCCTATTTTCGTTTGTTTTGGCGTGATGGCTCGGTTCAAGTTTGTCTCCCGTTGTCGTTGTAATGAGGCACTGGCATGATGGCGAGCGGTCCAGGGCCAGTGCTCATGGTAGTCTTAGGTGTATTATCAATGATTCGGCAGTTTGTCTCGGTAGATCAACTTAGACCAATGTAGTAGTAACCCGTGATCTGTATAATACTAGAAGATTGGGACTAATGCCCATCCTGGAGAATAGTTATACGATATCATCTCACGTATCCCTGTTCCCCGTGCCTCGCCCTACCAGTTGATAGTTTGACCCTTGTCCCAGCTAGCTCTGTAGATGTGAACCTTCTTCTAATTCCCGCATACACCTAGCTCGTATTCGAGACCGAGTCATTCACTATCCACCGCGTGGTTTGGTCTTCACCCATATCATCTCATGTTGTAATGCTGTTAAACGTGAGAGGGGCTTTAGAGACGAGGATTATCCAGAGGAGTCGTCAGGAGAGACGTAGTCATTATTAATGTATACAATACACCCACCACCTTGTTCACCCACCCAGTGGTTATAAGGCATGGCATGGCAGTCTCACGAATACAGTCTCTGGCTTAGCTTTGTAAACCGAGAAAGATAGAGAAAGCACTGCACTCGCGGCAAGAGACTATTGCGCTACTCCAACTTGATTGTAGTGAATCACGTTGGAGTGAGTGCCATAAAGCTAGTTCCGGGGCTTGTATTTCAGGTCGTGGGGCTTGCTTACACGAAGAAGAAGATCAAATCGTTTGGTCGTATGTAGTAAGAAACCCATACGTCATGTTGGAGCTGTACATGTAGCGCGATATCTGATCTAAGCTCACCACGCCATGCTTGGCTAGTAGTGTCAAAGACAACAGCGAGGTCTAGCTTAGGTATCTTAGGCAGGCAGTGTCTGACACTGTCTGGTCATTGAACATGATAGCGATAGTGATAGCCTAACTGGCCGCCTGCGGGTTGCAACCCTGTAGGATTGCCCATCAAGACATTGCAGGCTCTGAAAAGCTGAATAGAGTGGGGATGAAGCTATTCACATCCGCTGTTGTAAAGTGTAAGGTATTGGGATGTCTAGGGTTCACCTCCACAAAAAGAGAAAGAAAGAGAGATGATAAGTGAGTTGCCGAAGAAAGAGAGAAATAATATAGAAGACAATCTCTGGGTGGGGTTACATGGAGCCTACATTCACTACTACTGTATTAAGCGCAGGTACATACTAATTGGCATTGACTTCTCACAGAGAAAGTCACTGGTCTACACAAACAAGACTCTGGGAACCAGAGTAATTATTTCGAGGCATGTGCGATGTAAACTAATATGCTCTTCAAGAGAATAAGCAAGGACAGAGGAAGAGAAATTCCACATTGGCCCAGTGGACAAGCCTCTTGAAAGCGCCCCAGTATGCCAGTGTCACTGCGAGTTCCAGACTGTCCGGCTGAGTCCGTGTTTGATTGAGATATGGATGAGAAGACCAATCTTACTGCTTACTTGGTGCTTGCTTGTTGCTTGTGTTTGCTTGGTTGATGGTGGTGGTGTGGGCTTGATAGGGATTGGATCTCTTTTTCTTTGTTTGGATTCTTCGTCAGGTTCTGTGGTCATGACTGTGTTGATGGGGTAGAGAGGGCTGTGTTTGATCATGATTTGAAGGTACCGGTTCATTTATATTCAGTATCCTCAAGTGGTTACCTAGGCAGATAGAGATGTAGGCTGTACCTAGGTATGGACGGAGCTGATCATAAATGTATTCAGTTACCTCCTGATACATAGTGTATAACAAGTGTGCAGAGTGCAGCAGTAATCATCATCTTCAAGCACATAGATAGAATAGTATCTTATACTCCACAGATAGAGAGAAAGGCATGAGCAAATCAGTAAGGACTAAGTCTTCCAGCCCAGAAACCAACAGATACACTACATATTAATATAATACTACGTTTGTCCATGCATCAACCAGCTGAGAACCCTCCAGATCTAAGCAGCCCGCATAGCATACATCACAGATTCACACCAAGCTGCATACCCTTTGCGCAGAGCCGACGATCCCTCTGACCATCAGCACACTCAGCCTCCATACATGCATATCCACGCAAGTTCCGCTGCTGTATCACATTCAGAGGAAAAGCCACAACGCCATAGGAACCTGGTGGTGTGAGTTAGATGCGCCATGATTCAGCCTTTGCTCAGCCTCACCTGAGATGGCAATCTCCAGCTGATGGGATGATGATTGCTTGTTTATACATTTGATTTACAGAAACAAACAGGACCCGAGGATTCTCTTCGGTATACACTCACATCGAGAATGGCCTCGGAATATTAATCTTCCATAGCTTTCCCTGAACAATACCTTACAGTATAAATTACATACTAGGTGTCTGGTACTGGTACGGGCCATCCATGGTAGCCAGAACTTTGGATGAATGATATGCTCTTAGAATGGTCTGCATCTCAAGTAATCCAAGAAAATCAATCTGTCAAGCACTAGGCGGATCATATACAGAAGGTCCATGGAACACATGTGTTTCGCTTTCTTCAAAGCTAGCTCAGTACTAGATCATGTATCTTATTTAGCTTTCATTGATTCCAGAGGTTCTCCGGCTCTGTTCCAGGGATGGCAGTCCCCAGCCTTTCATCCATTCTGACTGCATTACCTGTTGTGCTGTCGCTCTTTCCTCTGGCCGGAAAGTCAACATCGACCGAAGCATCTTCTCGCATGCTTTCCTTTCTTCCACTGCCAAGGTCTCCAGGCCCGCCGCAGCTCGAGGCTTCTGTATGCAGTGCTCAAACCTCCTATCCCAGGTCCTGCGCATGCCCTCATGGTCTCTCGACATCTCTGGCTTCAGGTCTATTTTCCCTTCTTCATCGAACCATTCCAGTCTTCTGTCCCATTTTCTCCACCATTCCAAGGGTAATCTGCCTAGGGCTTCAACTTGCTCCATAGTGACACGGTCGACAGTCGGGAAATAAGCTTCAAACAAAGGTCGCTGGCCTAGGATTTCCCAGATGGTACAGGCAAGTGTCCAGATGTCTGAAGCAAAGGAGAGCGGTCTATCTGAGAATCTAGCTTCCGGTGGCTGGAGGAGTGGGAGGGTCTTCGAGGAGAATCTGGGCTCTGTGTCTGGGTTGAAAGATTCGCCGAAATCGCTGAGGAGGATCTTCTCATCACCAAGAACAACCTCGTCACTAGGGACTCCGAACCAACCAGGTATGAATACACGGGCAGGTACACTGTCCACTAAACGCTTACCATCAAGTCGGATGACAGCTTCTGACTCTGGCTGTCCATATCTTTCGTATAACTCTGATGTTGGAAAGCGATCAATCATCCTAGGAAACTGGACTAGGATGTTTCCAAGGTGAAGGTCTTGAAGATAGAGTCAGCCGTAAATCTCAGCCCGCGATAGACAGATAAATAGACAGACAGATATATCACATACCGCCATGTACGATATTCTCGTGGTGAAGAAACGCGACTCCACGAATAAGCTGGGCAATAATTGACTGTGCAACATTGAGATGGAAAAGGCCAGAAATCGAAGCTTCTTTGGAATCAAACAAGCTCATTTGTGCGGGTGAAGTCACGACACATTCATGCCTTCCATTGGGGCCGGTGATCCAGAAGTCATCAATAAGAGATGGGATAATCTCTCTCCCTGGTCTGGATGATTGGCTGAGAGAGGATAAAAGACTGGCCTCATGGGTGCAACTGGCATCAGCAGTAATAACCTTCACCGCTACATATCTGGCCCTGCATAGATCACGGGCTAGCCATATGGTTGAATACCCTCCATATCCTAACTTGTTAACTAGTCGATATCGCCCACGGGCCAACTCGTCCCCGATCTGCAGAGGGTGATAGCCTCCAGAGCAATATCTATCCAAATCTTCCACATCTTCAATAAGCTGGTACTGAGCCTTGCTGGGTCGTGTGCTCGACGCACGGGATTTGCTGGAATCAGCTGTGTGGTCTGAACTCCGGGTGGTGAGTGTGGGCATCGATGACGTCTTTCGGATATAGACCTGATTGGAGATGAATCTGCATGCCTGCTGAGAGAGTCGGCGTGAGTTGATGGAAGTACGTGCGAACATCTGCAGAAGCAGCATCCAGCGCAGTGAACGGTCGGCGACAAAGTATTGTACAACAGGCCTGAGGATGTGCTGAACTTCCAGGATCTTGACTAAGCAAGTATGCCTGAGGTGTCAATTTCTAACGCCCAGGCCCCCGCCCGTTCCGTTATCAGGGTTCCATACTGGTTCGCTTTGAATCTCTCCATATTGGATCAAATACTTCGCAGTCAGAAGCGCAACAGTGTAGGCGCCCGCCACTACAGATGACCCGTTTTATTTGAACGCCCTGGCAAGCCGCGAGCCTCCCTTTGACGCTGCCCATCCAATAAGGCTCGCGAGGAAGCTAGGTACCTGCAACAGGTGTTTTTGCCATGATCATCATGGCGAACCATGGACTTCCTTATCCCCAGGGCGCTAGGGTCCTTTGACGCGATCCATTAGGGATTGACTGCACTTAATTTGGAACACATCCTAGGCTCCCTTACTTGTCAAGAGCTGTGACATAGGGCAGCGATTAGCCAGCGACTCGCCCATCTTGCATCTGGCGTTGGCGCGCGCGGAAAAGCGCGATGTTGACACCCCGTAGTCGAGTTAAGGGACCGCCAATGCACCCCTACGTGGACGCCGTCGTGAATATATAATGCCCCTCATGAGATGGTTTTTTGCCCCGGCTTTTGTTCCAAAACATCTCTACACCACTGCAATTGGGAGGACCCCGTTTTGACTTCTCCCAACATGTCTACAGTCAACATGGTCAAGTACTACTTCTACAGGAACAAGTTGCCGGATAATCCAGCCGATTTGAGAAATATGGTGGCTCTGGCATATCAAACAGCGCGAGATATGAAACTTTATCCGCGGGCGATATTGATCAGGTGAGAGGCGGTATTGCCCATCGGAGTTTTTACTTGTTTGCTGCGGCGGTGGTAGCTGATAGTTTCTCCCATCTACACTGTAGGTCCAAGCACCACAAAACCACCACTATCAACGGCAAGGCCGGAGAGGATCCGAAGGGTTGGCACTTGACATTTTGTTACAAGGATGACGAGCAGCTCAAAAACCACACGCATACAGCGTGCCATGGGTACACGAAAGACGAGTCCTCGTGGGAGCTTCTGGAGTCAACACACGTCGGAACCAAGCCAGACTCGGTCAAGCGCAGATACTCGAAGGGCGCCAGTGTTCGGCCCGGTTCTGAAGAACTGGATGAAGCCCCGGATGTTGGATACTGTCATTTTCTGTAGGGCTAAGCTTGATGCTCTGTATATGACGGTGCTGCCGCTGCTGGTATTCTTATTTGAAGCTAGCATCAGCTATGGTTTGATCTGTCTGTCTGGAGTCTCAACCAGCATCCCACTTGCCTATGCAGAGGGTTTTCGTTGTTTGGAGTGTTCTCTGATTGTTTGCGCTGCGGGTCTTTGACACTTATTTCTTTACTGGTCCACATTTGATAGGGTGCAATTGAGTATTGGTATAGTAGACCTGGTCCTCATGATTACGTCTTTACCATACTGGCAGCTTCAGCTACCTGGGATATGGTAGCATATCAAAGTAAACTTGAGCGTAGATCTAGCTAGATCAGGAGCCTCGGTTCATTGCACCAAGAGACTTTCACACGAGGACAAGTGATACGGGGGCTGGAAGTATGAAACACAGCGTGTACAAAAAGATACCAATCGTCAGATTATCCGGTATTATACAATACATGGTCTATACAAAGAGGACCGCCATTGTCCGCTAGGTGGTTGGCTCTGGGACCTGAGAAAGGGACTTATGAAAGAGCATCTAGTGGTGATCCGGTACGGCAGACAGCTCCCATTCCTTCTCCGTACATTCGTATCTCCAGGGTACTCCATAGTTCGAAGTTAGGATATGCGCCGCACAGCGATCACCCCCCTCAGGGTCCAGCCCGATAAGAGCAAAGATCGACTTGATCTGCGCGCAACGAGGAAACGCAATCTAGCAGACCTGATTGGTTTACACTACCTATGCGCACAGCCGAGGTGGAAAGTGGATAGAAACATCATATTACAGAGGAAGTAGTAAATAAAATCATATTAAGGAAAGAAAAGTAAAAGAATATGGGGTAGGGAATGGAATGTTTGGTTTGTTCCGGAGCCGGATAATGTGCTGACTACTTTCTTATGCTGACTTTATTAGAATGAGGTCGGACGCGGTAAGTTTGCATTGTTAGTGTTCAGGACCTACCTATTAAGAGATGGTAAGCTGATTCAATATATTATTATAATATTATTATCATTTCATTTGGTTATAATTCTCCTCCATACTGTAAGATGAATGCCATTGATGGTCGCATCCTAACCCGACAAGGAAACACACCGGGTTAGGCAAATTAGTCATCACCACGCCGGTCTCAGTCTCCGTCTGAATCAGTTCAATCAGGGTTCTGCTTGGAGACGAGGACGGTGATTCTTCTTCCGTCCCCGATTTGGCAAAGACCATTGGCTTGAGGGTCCGCGTCGAGTAACAATCGGCAAGGCTCTGAGGTCAAGATAGTGTAACCATTGGGTTGATCTACAGACACATTGCATCACCTCCATAGCACCACGGAGTCGCCCTAAACAGTTTTGGGTTAGGCGGTGGAAACTTGGGGCGTTGATCTCCTTTAGTTTTCCTTTCTTTTCTTGTTTTTTTCCTTCCTTGGTCTTCTTTGGCGAGGCGATCACTGACGACATTGAAGCTGTACAGATAGAATCATGAAAGTTAGCTTATTCCGGCAATTATCATCAGGAGCTTGGTTTGGAGTGAGCTCATGATGTATGGACGGATACTCTAGGGAATACATGGAAATTGGAATCCCTCTCCCAGGGGTCAGTCCAGATCGATCGTGGTGGGGCCCTTCTCTCCCTTGGTCACTGGTAGATTGATTGACTGTTCTGCTGTCCAGGGTTGACGACTCCAAGGAGCGAGGCAACTTTGGCAGATGCGACGGATGCGAACGGTCAGCAGACTGACGGTGGATATTTGTGCCAACTGCCAACACAGCCGGATGCAGGCACGGCTGTGCAAGTGGATAAGCGATGAGATCCAATCCTCACTTTCAACAGTTTCCGTCCATTGGACAGTGACACTGGACGAGATGCAACCGTCGAGCATAAAAATCATTATACTATACAGTGTACACCGCATACGGGTATAGACAGTCAATACCGCGCCGGTTTAGAAGATGGAAGGAGAAGGAAGAGAAAAAAATCAAAAAAAAAAAAAAAAAAAAAAAAAAATCAAAACTGAAACAGGATCGCCCGATTAAGTAATTTAATGAGGTTTTTGATCCGTTCGTCTTCAATTATTGGAAGAGCTCTTTTCCAGACCCCCACTGCTGATACCCATAGATAGAAACAGGAACAAGCGGACGCGATAATGTGATTTGCCTATGACCCACACCACCAAGGAAGGGATTCGACCCACTTGTCCTCCTCGAGAGGTCTGGACCATGGAATTGTCGATGGTCTGGTGTTTTTTCATTTTTTTTTTTTAATTCTTATTTTTGTTTACAGGGGTGCTTTCAGGGACTCGACGACGGAGTATTCCATACATCCAGTACTCAGAATGTATGGAACAGACGGAGTACAAAGCAATCCCCAGCTAGGGATACCTTTCTACACTTCTGGAGTGGCTAGTCATATATGTATCGGCTGTCCCATCTAAACGGGCCGTGACCTCTCCCCTTAATCTAATCCAAACGCAGCCATCAGCCACTCCGCTGGGTTCAGACCGTTTGCCGTTTCATCCATACCGCCGGGGATGATGGTGCTGACGATGAGGATGCTGAGAGTTCAGCCATCCGTGCGGGCGCGTGGGTAGAATTTGATCTCCGTCCAAAGAGGCAGAATAAAGTTTTGCTGCAGACTTCTATCTCGATCTCCAAGCGGTCGGGCTGGCCGATTGATATCGGAGAATAAATCGGTGGGAACGGTTGAGACTGGGTTGGGTTTAGAATTCCGCTTTACACGGTTGAGGATGGGTCTGGAGGTTACAGATGGGTTGGAAACTGGATCTGGTCAAACTGCTTGCGTGCTCTGCAAACAACGTATGATTGAACCGGTGACATGTTACCGTGGGTGTTGATCCTTACTGGGCGGATGGGTGGTATGCTGGTGGAGTCTGAAGAAGAATGTTCTTTCTGATCGCATTCTCTGTTCATGACTGCTGAGCAGCTGGATGTTGTCGGAACAAAGAAGAGGCCAACAATTGGTGATCCAGCCGTACTACCTGGTTCTTTCTTCTTCTCTTTCCTCCATATTGTTTGTATACACACTCTTCTGTCGAGGAGTCGGCTGATGGCAGACTGTCAGTCGCACAACCCAATGGAACAAGACATGATCGTTTGACAACAGAACAATGGTCCGCATGTCCAGACCAAGACGGGACAAGAATTCTTCTACCCATTACCCCAGAACACTCCAGTCCTGACATGATGACATACTGGGCTCTCATCTACCAAAGCGGAGAAGAACATCGTTCCTTTCGCAAGCAGCCTGATTCCTTTCTTTCCTTCTCTTGTTTCCCATTTTTCTCTTTTATTTTTCTTCTCTTGGTGGATCCATTCTAGCTTGTTACTCAAACCAGTCTAGCCCACCGGTGGACACACTGGACAGTGGTCAACGCAGCGTCCAGGTGGCACCCCTCCCTACCCACCATCATCCATCACCAACCAGTAACATCTCTCACACCGGGTTGGACACTACCTAACCTACAGTACTAACTACTAACTTCCAAGTCTAGCTAGGTAGCTAGCTACCTAGTAGTTAGCTGCCGGGCCAATCTGCCCGGCCCCGATTGCAGCGTGTCTTGAAAATCCCGGTTTTTTTTTACACGGAACCTCGACCAGTGAAGTGGAGCCTGAGCGAGACCGAGTGGTTCTTTCTTTCTTTCTTACTTTCTGACTCTCTTGATGACGGGGAGCGATGTGCGATTGTCGCCGATTCGGGGGGGGGCTTGTCGGTTTTCTGTGGTTGGCTTCGGTGGATGGTGGTGGGTTTGGTTGTCGTGTCTCACGAATTTGTTCGAATCCACCTTTTTATTATTTGATTATTTTTTTCTTCCGTCCTGGCTTCTCCTTCTGTTTATCCCCTCTGGTAGATTAGGTTGTGTCTTGGTTTGTTCTCATACGTTTCGTACCTAGGTCAGGTACTTAGGTACCTCGTACCTAGGGTACCTATTATCTAGATAATAGATACTGATTCTGTTGGGCGCTACGATCGACGTTGTTTTGACTCCTGCATGCTTTGTATGCCTAATCATCATCTCCCTGTCCTTGAATCATCAGAATGGTTCTTCAAGACAACGGCCAGAAGATCCTGGTGTAGTTCCTATAATCAATTACCATTATAGCTACACTGGATAGTAGGTACATAACGTGTACAAATTAATAAATCGACAATCAATAAAATAGAAACCAACCCATGATCATACATGGTATATTAATAGTAGAACGCTAATGCTGTGGTTGGTTTTTTTTTCTTCTGGACTATTTTAGATACCTGACAGACAACAATTCACATTCCGGATCTGGTTTGGGATTAACTGCTGAATACTGACAGAAATTAATTGATTTCTATCCTTTCCTTATTTTATCTTTTTTTTTTTTTTTCTCTAATTATGTAGAATCATCAAATTGATCGTTTTCGCAGACTCCCGTTTCCGTTACGCTGGTGGGGATCACGGTTGGAGAGACGGAGGAGATCTTGAAATTGATAGAAAACAATACAAGAAAAGAAAGAGAATCAAGAAAATAAAACCGAAGAGAGTAGAATAAATAAAATAATCAAATCAAATATTCCAGCTCGGGCAGTCCGCCAGAGAGCTGACCTTTGGTTGCTTTCAAACAACTCCTCCATCCATCAATCTAATCTTCCTCTTTTCATCCTTCACTTACTCATTCTCTCTCTCTCTCTCTTTCTCTCTTTCTGTCTCTCTCTCTCTCTCTCTCTCTCTCTCTCTTCCTATCTCTACATCTCTATCCTCCTAATCTATCATCATTCTTCCTCCTCCCTCTTTCTTCTGACCCCCCTCCTTCGTTTGTCCCTTTTCCCCTTGGCTGAACATTATCAGTTTCCCTTCGTGATTCCCCTTACTTTCGTTTGGTTGCTGTCGTTTCTACCGGGGTCTCGATTCCCTCTCCCTTTGACTTCTATTAACGTTTGTACTTCTTTTTTCTTCTCATTTAATTAAGAAGGGAAGAAAAGACATCGACCATTCTCCGCGTTTCCCACTTAATCGCCTCGAACCTCTTATCCACCGTCCTGGCTTCATTCCGCGGATAGCATTTTTGACTCCCGAGATAGGCTGCGTCAATCGCGCCTGGAATCGCTGCAGAACAAGAATCCGACCTTCCCCCCCGAACGGTCGATTGTTCACCTTTCTTTTGCGCGGGCGGATCGCTTCTTTCCAATTTTGGATCCATCACAATGGCTCCTCCACCGCGCCTGCGCATTTTATCAGGTTTGTTATCCACCCGGATTTCCCTTTCTCCCCCCGTCTCTTTTTCCCTTTCTCTCTCTCGCCTGGGGATCCCTTTTCTTGATGCCCGAATGATCGCCCGTTCCACCGTCCCCCTCTGGTTTTCTTTCCTGGTATCCTCACGATGAGCCGCCATCTAACCAAGATCTGTATAGTCGGGAGCAATGCCATTTCCGCCTTCCTCGCTTGGAGACTTCAGGCAACAACCTCGTGCGATGTGACCCTGGTCTGGAAATCCGGTTTCGAATCGGTGGCACAGTACGGTGTGTCGTTCAAGTATGTCCGACCGGTTTCCGCTCCATATCCCCCCCTCCGGTGCCGGACTGACAGCGTCACTTTAGATCGAAATCCTTTGGTAACGAGCGTTTCAAGCCTCGTCACGGTATGCTCGTTCCCCGATTTCTTATATAACAGTCCCCGTTCAATCGCTGATCTCTTTCTCCCAAAACAGTCGTCCGATCCCCCGAAGAAGCGGCCTCGAGAGAGAATGCCTACGACTATGTCATCCTGTGCGTCAAGGCGTTGCCCGATGTATACGACCTCGCGGCTGTCATCGAATCCGTCGTGACCCCCCAACACACCTGCATCCTCCTGAACACGACAAACACCATCGGTGTCGAATCACACCTGGAACAACGGTTTCCGACGAATGTCGTTCTGTCGCTGGTGTCCGGGGTGGAGGTCTCGCAGATCGGTGCCAGCGAATTCGAGCATCTGAATTCGTCCGACCTCTGGGTGGGCGCAACCACCAAACAGTCGACCATTCCGTCCTCGATTCAGAACGATATGGCCGCCGCATTGGCCATGACCTTGGCCACCGGTCAGGTGGAATGCAAGGTTTCCGAAAACATCCGCCAAGAACAGTTTGAGCGCATGATAGGGTGAGTTCCCTCCGGGCTTCCGTCCCATCGTGGCCCATCCCGGCTAACCCATGTGCTAGACCGATCGCTTTCTACCCAACTAGTGTAATGTTTGATACCCCCAATCACTCCCAACTCCTGGAGAAGATTGGGGTCCGTCCGCTGGTGACGGGCATTATCGACGAGCTGCTCCAGCTGGCCAAAGCCAACGGGTGCTCGTTCCCCAACGACTTCGCCGAGAAGGTCATCGAGAAGATGACGGCCAATGGCCCCCCAAGCCCCATGTATCAGGACTTCCAGTCCCGCCGGCCGATGGAGGTGGAAACCTATCTGGGCTCGCCCGTCAAACTGGCGTTGGAGGCTGAGGTCCCCATCCCCCGCCTCGAGACGCTCTACGCCGCCCTCCATCATGCCAACACCACCAATCTGACCAAGCCCCGCGCCAGTGATTCTCCCCGCTGGCCCTGGCCCAACCGCCCCCCCGGCTGTCTTCCGCGCCTGCCCCGAGAATGATGAACGGGCACATGCGCCCGGGGCCCGGGGGCCGGCCCGGACCCCCGGGGATGATGCCGCCTATGCGGCGCGGTCCTTCGGGTGGGCCGATGCCCATGCCGGGCCCCATGTCCCGCCCCCCCAGCACGCAACCGCCCCAGGGTAAAATCCCCCGCGAGCCCTCCTTGGAGGGTCTGGAGGAATTCAGTCACCTGGTCCTCTACGACGACGCCGCCGACGGTGCCTTGCCGCCCGCGAACGCGAACGGAAATGGAAACGGAAACGGGTTCCCGGACACGTCCCCCGGGGGCGGCCCCCCGTCGCAGGCCGAGCTGGCCTTGCGGGAACGCGAACTGGCCCTCCGGCAGCGAGAGTTGCAGTTCCGGGAACAGGAGATGAGCATGCGCCGCGGTCCCCCCCGTCCCCGCCCTCCGCCCAGCCGAGCCGCCTTCGACGAGGAGGACGAGGACGACTTCTTCGACCCCATGGAGGGCTTGCCGGTGCCGCATATTGACCCCGACAATGTGGACATGATGAGTATGACCTCGCGACGGGCGAAGAAGGGCCCCAGTGCCAGCCAGATCCGCCGAAACCCGGAGATGCATATGAACGGCGGCGGTGGTCCTCGACCGGGATCGTCGTTCCGGAACTACTTTGGCCGGAAGCGTGCCAGCGATCGGATCATGCAAGAGATCCCCGGCCTTCACGATTCGCTCATGGACAACCCGATGATGGCGTACTCGTCCAACCGGTACGGCTCGGTCGATCGGAACCAGATGAATGCGGGCTCGCGTGCCAACTCCCTGACGGCCAGCCGTATGGGCGACTACCCCCCGCACCCGCATCCGCAGAGTCGGAGAAATAGCCACTCTCCCGCGACGCCCTTCGGTCCTCCCGGTCCGGGCCCCCGCATGGGCCGGCCGTCGAACGGCCCCGATGCCAATCTGGGCCCGCCCAACGGCTATCCGCCTCGCGGTGGTCACCCGTCCCCCCCTGGACAGGTGCGCGCGCCGGTGCCCAGGTATCCCCCGGGGCAAGGTAATGCGGTAGGTCCGCAACAAGTTGAACAACATTATGGGGTGAGCAACTCGTTTTCCGCCAAGCCCACTCCCAAGCATAGAAGTCTGACCGGAAGTGCGAGCGCCAGCGCGGAGAGTGGTGATAGCGGGGCCAGTGCCAACATTGACTCCGGCAACTCGGCCCACAGCAGCCAAATCAGTCTGGGCGCGCAGCAGGCCTCGACGCCCGTCCCTTGAATGATATCGCCATGATCCCTTTTTCCTACTCGGTTTTTTGCTCGACGAATGTTCGTCTCATTACATTCCTGTCACCATTCGTTTTTCTTTTTTTTTCCCTCCTCCCGCTCGTGTCTTGGACAGAGATACTTGGCAGATGATCGGGTTGGGCGCATCTTCCTCTTCTGCTGTTTCAGTTTCTTTCTTTTTTTTTTTTTTTTTACATATACACGAGAGACATAAGGAATATTTTGTCGTTTCATGCGTTCTTTTACTGTGGGGGAGTGATCCGGCGTGTGTATGTGTTTGTTCCCGGTTGACCCTTGAACTCTTTTCTGCGAATGTTCTATCTAATGGAGGACGGGCTTGTTTCGTCTGATAAATATGTTTGGCTTTGCAGTTATACCACCACGTAACCCCTCACTGTGCATTCCATCATACGGAAGATTGCTGTACACTACTGTGCCGGCGCATCGTTTGTTTCTTTTTCTTTCCCTTTCGTCCTCTCTCTCTCTCTCTCTCTCTCTCTCTCTCTCTGCTGGTTTGTTTTGTCTACGCTGTTCTCACAGCTTTTCTTATGTCTGCCCACTACTGTCCTTTATCTGGGCTCTGTCATGGTTTGGTATCGGCGCAAAAAAAGAGCAGGATCTGATTTATCGGTTGACGACTTGTTGAGTTTGCGTTCTGAATGATATTATGAGCGGTGTTAGGCCTGCTCTGAATAGACTGATCATAGACTTGGTAGTAGATTGATAGTAGGTTAATAGTAAGGTAGCGGTGTTACAGAGCTGAGAGCAGTCTTCTGTTCAAGTAGTAGTAGTGGTGCCTGAGGCATATATAGCACGTGACACAGCGTATGGAAATCAATCAACAGACCCGCAACATCACCCAAAGCAACACTCACAACAAAGCGAAACACTCACAACAAGAACAAGACAACCCCATCAACAACAGTATACTTGAGAATCAAAATGCCCACCCACCACACCTACACAACCTCCCAATCCCACTTCCCGCGCCACTCCATGCTCCCAGGCGCCGGCGCCAACACCACATCGTCAGGACCAGGAGCAGGAACAATGTCCGCGACCAAAACCCGCCAATACGCGAGCCTACAATCACAGCTGGCGCAGTTGAATGCCAATCTCGCGGATACGGAGAATCTCCTGCGTATGACGGCTGTGCAGGCGGAGGATATGCGCTTTTTGGGAGGGTATGTGGGGGGGTTGTTTATGGGGTCGGCGAGGGTTTTGGGGGAGGAGGGTGTTAAGGGGTCGGGTGAGGATGGGGATGGGGGTAATGGTGGGGAGGGGGAGGGGAGGGAGGGGTGAGGTTTTTATACTTTTGGGATAATTCCTTGGTATTCTTGGGAAAAGATGAAGATGAAGATGAAAGATAGAGGCAGTGGGGGGGAAGATACAGAGGGGAAACCGAGAGGAAGAGGAAAGATGGAGGTATGTTTATGGCTTTCACTTCCAACCCTCACATTGAGATATTTTACTAATTTGTTCATTATAGTCCTATCGACCAAACTCTAAGTATCCACCACGAATCCTCCTCCGAGAATCACGGCCGGTTCGTCGATGTTACGGTGTTCGTAACTATTCTTCGTTAGCTGGTCGGCTTTCTCTCCTGCTGTGGGGAGCAGCATGAATCCACGCAGCGTGAAAACCACAAAAGCAGCAATTGGGAAAAACCAACCTAAGAGTCCCTACACCACCAGCCTCCAGAATCAAAGCCGTCTCCTCCAGCGACTTCCCTGTCCAGCGCATCGCAAACGCGCGGAGAATATGCCCGTGCGCGACGAGAAGCACGTCGCCCTTTTCGGTGGACCCGTCGAGACAGGGCCCGTGGTGTTTGGTTCTGATTTCGGCGATGAGGGCGTCCAGGCGGGTTATGACGTCTTTGGGGGATCTATCCATCACGTTAGTGTACTTACTTTATACAATGCGAATCATTCAAATGAAAGGGAAAAAAGAAAGAATAAGGAAAAACGTACTCCCCCCCAGGACACCCATCCTTCCAAATATCCCACTTCTCCCCCTTCCCCTCCCTAGCGCGCTGTTCGCGAATCTGCGGGCTCGTCAAGCCCTCATACTCGCCGTAGTCCCACTCGCGGATCGCCTCGGTGACCTCGACTTTGGCTTCCGTGCGGATGGGCTCCTCGTTCTCGGACTTGCGCGCTTCTGTCCAGGGGAGACGCTCGCGACAGCCGATTTCGAGGAGTTCGAGGGTGCGTTGCGCGCGGTGGCGAGGGGAGACGTATCTATCATGGTGTCTTTATTAGCATTACTCCATACTTGGGATGTATAAGTTTTGTCGTGGTAATGGTAAATCTTCTTGTGGAGAGGATATATGCCAAGAAAGTGGTGTAAAGGGGGCGTACACATGAACCAGCTTCTTCGGCGCAATCAACCGGTCATTCCCTACTAAGGCTTTACCAGTCGCTTTGATGCGCTTCTCCCCGTTGGAAGTCAGTGGCAGGTCGGTGCTGCCTGTGTGCCGGCCGTTGAGGGACCACTCGGTTTCGCCGTGGCGGATGATGAAGCAGCGGGGGGCCATTTTCTTTATTCTTTGCTTTTGAGATGGATGTTTGTTATGGGTAATTGAATGGTATGTGGTTGGGTGGTGTAGGATTTATAGGATTGGGAAATTAAGAGTAAGAGGACGAGTAAGTGGTGGGGAGGATTGCGTCATAGGATGATGAATGGGTCGTGCTGAACAAGTTTGGGTTATCGATAGTGGATGGGCTTATCTATGATGTTATTTACTCTATTCCACCCTACTGTCTTCCTCCATGCTGGATTTCTGGTTCCTGTTGATAGATGGATTGTACTCCGTACTCCGTATCAGAGTGGAGGTTGTCTGCCAGTGCTGTCTGTTATACTAGCCATTGCAGTATGGGGTATTCAACTTCTACCTGCAGGGGTCGCCCGGCTTCAACAGGCAACTGGAGATCTGACTTTGGACTTTATCTGGATTGCAGTAAGGGGCTGATTGTACCTGATCTGCATCTTTATATAGAATACTAAATGATGTAGCGCTGTAGCCTGTGTATATAGGGCTGTGACAGCAGTCTTATGGTCCGTCGCTGATGATCAAGTCTTAGAGCTGGATCGTGTACACAGCTTCAGTGAGGGAATTCCCTCTGTATGATTCTAGCTGCTGACTTGGATCTATTAGTGTTCGATAATATCGAAGTTGTGGTGTATACTTGACTGAACATACTCTGTTGGTATAGCATATTGTGCATGGATAATGATGACTAATAATGCAACACAACCCCACCATATGAAAAGCAGAGATCAACCCTCTATCATCTATATCACCTATATAACACCAAACCAAAGACTTAGAGCATGCCCAAAAACAGAAAAAACCCCCGAGATGCATCCAAGCTCTCTGGCAAACCCTTGGCCGACACCCTCGAGCCGTCTCCCATCCTGAGCCCCGAATGGACGACCTCGCGCGACCTGATCGAGCACGACCTCCCCTTCTCTCCGGAGGTCATCAAAGACCTCACTGTCTTCCTGCTGGAGAATATCAACATCAATGCGACGCACCTCTTCCGCGCCGATATCCTCTATGACAGTTGGGGTGCGCTAAGCACCCCGCAGCAGAAAGCGCAGTCGTTCGCGCAGGCGGGGAATCCCAATCTCGAAGACCCTGCCGTTGCGTCTCCGGCGCACAATGACCTCCCTGGGAGTCATGTCGACGAGCGCGTCGGTCCCCTCCCGGCCATCGATGTGCCCGGCTTCGCGCTCACCCGCACGGTGGTCCGCAATTTGATTCCCCGGAATCCCAAGATCGACCGGCCGCTGGCGCAAACGTGCCATTTCTACGAAGCCACAAACAGCACCGCAACCTCGACTACAAACCGCTTCCTAATCATCTACATCCCCCACCTCACCACAAAAGAAGAAGTCCCCTTCTACCACCCTCTCCTCCGCGCCCTCGCCACCCTCTACGACTTCACCGACACCACATCCCCAGCCGTACCTCCCTCCGACCACCCCCCGGCTAAGAAAGGATCAGGCACCCTCTCCCTCCACTTCCTCCTCTTCCCCAACGAACCAATCCCCACCCGCCTCGAACGCACCCTCCACGCCCTCCTCAGCACCCAAATCCGCCTCGCGCGCGGCACCCGGCTCGCCGACAAACCCCCCGGCGCAACAAGCGGCAACACCAACCCCATAAAGGACAACGTCATCCCGCAGCACCTCGTGCAAAACACCTACCTGCGCATCAAGCTCAAGTACGCGCCTGCTCTGTGTCGCGACTGGGTGGAGGATACGGAGCCGTCGAAGCATGTTTTTGAGGATTTGGCCATCGCGGCGTTCCTGATTGAGTTGTGGAGGAGTATGTACGGGGCTGTTCCGGGGGATGAGAGAGACTCTACACAGAGTGGTGGTGACTTTCCTGGCTTCGTGGACGTCGCTTGCGGGAATGGCCTCCTCGTTTATGTGCTCCTGCAGGAGGGCTACTCAGGCTGGGGCTTCGATGCGCGAGCGCGCAAAACGTGGGGGATTTTTCCGGCTGACGTGCGCGCTCGTCTCCGCGAGGAGATATACATTCCGAAGCCATTTGCCGATGCCATTACCAGCAACTCCGACTCCGTCGGAGAAGAAGATGATGATGAAAAGTATGACTTTGATGTAGGCGTCCCAACACACACCGGCTCCTTTCCCGCAGATACATTCATCATCTCGAACCACGCGGACGAACTCACCGTGTGGACACCTCTTATGGCTGCTCTCGCGAATCCGTCCTCGCCGTTACCGTTCTTGGCTATACCGTGTTGTTCGCATGCGTTGTCTGGGGCGAGACATCGGTATCCGCCTCCTAAGGGGAGTAACAAACACTCGAATAAGAAAAACGCCTCCAACGGACCATCCCACGATCATAACAACGAGAACGAACACGAAAACGAAAATGAAGATGAAGATGAAGATGAACAGCCAACATCAGGCGACCTCGCCGCCCTCCGGCAGAAGAAACAGCAAGCGACGGACCCGTCGAACGCAGGCTTCGACTCCTCCATGTATGGCTCTCTGACTGCCAAGACAGTCGCCGTTGCGACGGAGGTCGGGTATGATGTGGAGAGGACGCTGTTGCGGATCCCTAGTACGCGCAATATGGGCGTTTTGGGCGGGAGAGTTCGCACGACGAGGGAGTGGTGGGTTAGGAGGGGTGTTAACAATAACAATAACGGTAACAATGGCGGTGCTGCTGGGGTTGGACATGGTCATGGTCATGGTGGTGAGGGTAGTAGGTCTGAAGGTGAAGGTGAAGTCCTGCAGAAAGCAACACACCTAGTGCAAAAAGAATGCAGAACAGAAGGTGGCGTCGAAGCAGCGGCTAAGATTTGGGTTGAGAGGGCGAGGGGCTTACATCGGGGTCAGGGGAGGGGGAAGCAGCCTAAACATTGATTTGATAGATTATCTCACTTAGATAGTAGAAATATAGATAGATGGATAGATGGGTACCTGGGTACTGTGCTATAGGTATCGTGTATAGAGTTGAGAGTGATACCCGTGTTCGGTGTACATAAATACGTGTGTGTGTGTGTGTGTGTGTGTGTGTGTGTGTGTGTGTGTGTGTAGGCTTAGCTACGATAATGCTCTGCTTCTATTGTGGTAGGGTAGTCGTTGACTACGTTGTATTCACGATGATTGCACTGTAGATGCTATGAGCACCAACTAAATACATATCTATTGAATCCATCAAACCTAATCCACGAGGCCATCATTCATACACAACCTGAATAACCAGGCCATCATGACACCCATATGAACAGCTCAGTCAAACAGAATCCACTAATTCCAATCATCGTCGTCATCCTTCTCATCATCTGTCATACCAGTTAGCTTTACCACACATCATACTAAATAGAGGGGGAGAAAACCATACCACTACCCCGGACCTTCTTCTGTCTCTCCTTCAAAGCCATCTGTAACGCACCCGCCAATCCTCCCTGCGGAGCACCACCACCGCCGCCGCCGCCCGACGGGGCGGGGGACTCATTGGTACCCCCCGGAACGTGGGCCCCGCTGCGGTCTTTCTTCTCGGTGTCCTTGACCTTGCGCAGTCCGCCGCCGCGGGACCCGCCCGATCCGCGGATGGCGGCTAGCAGGTCATCGCGGTCACCGGCAGGCTTGGGCAGTGGTGGCGCAGCGCCACCAGCGGGTGGAGGTGGGGGAGGGGCAGGGGCCCCGCCGGGAGGAGGAGGCGGTGGTGGGGGGCCGCCTCGCCCGGGAGCCGGAGGGGGAGGTGGGGGAGCCGGTGGTCCGGTGCTGGCTGGAGGCGGTGGAGGCGGGGCGGCGGAACGTGGGAGGATGGTGGTGGAGGTGGTGGGGGTGGCGGAGGGGCGCCGCCAGTCGGGGGAGGGGGAGCACCGGCTCCAGGGGGCGGAGGCGGCGGCGGTGGAGGGGGACCCGTGCTGGCCGGGGCGGGAGCGGGAACCGGCGGGGTCGAGGGGGCGGAGGGACGTGAGACGTGGGTGGTGGAGGCGGCGGGGATGGTGGAGGAGGAGCCCCGGGCGACGGCGGGGCGGAACCGGTCGCGAACTGGCGGCTGGCAGCGGGGGCGGCTGCGAGGCCGGACTGCGAGGCGGGGGCGGAGGTGCGGGCGCAGCCGACGCCGGAGCATTGGGCACCTTCGGGGGCAGCTGCGGGGGAGCCGCCGGGCTCGCAGAGCGCGGTGGTGGCGGCGGCGGCCCCGAGCTACGACTGGGCGGGGCAGGGGGCGCGGAGACCTTCCGGTCGCCTTGGAAGGGCGGGGGCACGCCAAAGCGCGGCTGGGCGCCATCGTCAGGGGTCTTGGGGGTCGCGGCGGCGGCGGCGGCCCGCGGCACCGGAGTGGGCCCTGGGACGTGTGGGCAGCGACGGAGCCATGCTGGCATATTTCCCGGCGTCAGCAATCGGCGGCGGCGCACGGAACCGGGGTCGCGGGGGCGGAGACGGCTCGCGGGTCGCTGGGGGAGATTCCTCATCGGGACGCGGCTTGCGCGACGGCGGGGGCGGTGGAGGCGCTCCCCGTCGACTGCCGGAGCTCGCCCCAGTGCTCTGCGGACTGATGGCATTCAGCTTGGGCCCCGGAGGAGCCGACGGGGGCGGCGGCGGAGGGGCCTTTCCTCTTCGATCCTCCGCCGACGGGGTCGCGTTGTCCGCACTGCTCTGCTTCTGATCGATATAGGCCTTGATAAAATCGGAGTTGTCCGCGATCTGGTCCTCGGTGATGCCCATCTGCAGGAGCTCGTCCAAGAGGCCCTTCCAGGACGGATCGCTGGTGTCGAACGGCAGGTCCTTGCGGGGCGGGCTCGTCGGCAGCGGGGGCGGAGCGACGTGGATGGAGGGGGTCGGGGGCAGATCCACTGGGGCTGGTTGCGCGGCTGGGGCGGTGGTGCGCTGGGCCCGAGGCCGACCGGTGGCCCAACAGGCTACCGAATATGGAGCGGCCCATGCCATGCTTCTCGTTGTGGATGGGGGCGGGACCCTGGCCGCGCATGGAAGCGAAGGGGGTCTGGCGCGTCTCTTTGCTGACATGCTTCTCTCGCTCGTGTACCTTCTTGATGAAGGTCTTGGCCTCTTTCTCGTCGGCAAAGGACAGACCGGCGGGACACTCCTCCAGCTCGAAGGTGTGGAAGAAGGTGCGGTCCTGGTTGTAGGAGAAATTGTCATAGATCTCCTGGTCCCAGATCACACCTCTTTGGGCGGGCTGTCATTCAGGGATTCATCAGCAAGCTGTACGGAGTACTGGGGGGTGCATTCTACGGTCTCGAGAGACTTACCGAGACATCCACCAGTTTCAACCAGAGGGTGCGGCCGACCAAGTCGTTCGCCAGGACCACCGCCCCTTGCAGGCCGGTGTAGACCCACCTCTGGGGATCTGGATAGGCCACATAGAGTCGTGCGACCGCTACGGCGAAGATCTTGTTGGCGGGTTTGGGGACATTCCGCTTGACGGTCTCCTTGTCGGCGTCGGTGAGGATTGACGGCATGACGGAGAGCCGGGGAGGCTAAAGGATGAAGCGCAGGAATCGGCAATGTTGGGTTGGACGGACGAGGCTGGTTAAGTCGATTCTTAGGGTCGCATTGCAAGGTGGAGGTATAGCGCCGGTGTCGGGCACAGGCAACGACGATAGGACGGCGGCGTCTCACTTTCGGATAAGTGGGCAATTCGAGCAATCCTGAATGAGGGTTGTGGAGAATAGTCGGATAATAGAAAATTGAATCCCTCGTCAGGAGAGTGGAGAGGTGTAAATAAGGAGGCGTTGAATGGTGAAGCCTTAAGAGACAGAGTAGTAAGAGTGAGAGTGAGAGTAAGAGAGGGAGAGAGAGTTGAGGTGACGGCAACTCCTTAGTCAGGCAGTTCAATAGGGAGTTCAGTAGGGAGTCCACGATCTTCATTCTTGTATACCATACACATCACAGTCAATTGGGGTTCTATTATTCTAGAATCAATAGTCAATTCTCAGTTGACTATATTTGATAATTATTCCAACCCATGGATCCCATTCCAGCTCCACAGACAATGAAGCGAAAGATCAAGATCAGCCACTATCAGACCATCCACAACCATTTAACCATATAGAGTCAACCTTACACACAAATCAATGCACAGCCAGTGATCTAAATGACCCATAAGAAAACTCCAAGTAATAACAGCTCTGATTTGCCGTAATCTGACCAACGAGGGGATCCAACGATGGTTGCCTGCTGCTTGTTTTGCCCACCGACGTCATCCCGACCATAACATATATATCTCTCTTCTTCTGACTTCTTACTTAACCCACTCTCTCCATCAACCCACTCCACACAACATACTCTACACCTACAACCTTGTCAATATAGAATAAGAAAATAGATAAACACAATGCCCGTCATCCCCGAAGATCCCAAGAGCTTCCCCGCCAAAGAAAGCAGCAACAAGGGATCTGACTCCCAGCCGGATTCGTCCCAGAAAGCCACTATGCAAGACCATCTATCTAAAGGCCCTCAAATCCCAGACAGTTAGTGATTCAACCTGAACTCCGCTCTTCAATTCGATCTAACTAATATGTCTAGACATGCCACCCAAAGCGTCGAGGGAGGAGATCGAGGCTCGCATGAAGGAGTTGAATAAATAGCTGATTCGAGTGCTGGTGGAAAGCGTTGAACATACTTCGATTCGATACTTGAATGATTCCTGTATATGATATTATTGTTGAAGACGAACATGAATCTGACGACACTGTTTATACTACGATGCCATAAGTCATCTCAAGAAGAGAGAAACTGTGACGTCATCTATACGGACTCCATCCTCCTTATGTGGTTTTGGCAGAGATCATACTGTAGACTTTTCGAAGGAGAGAGTCGGACCTCTTGTCTATAGATCAATGATCTACAATTTGGGTACGTAGAATGGGGTTATGGCACGGACGACGCCAGTCTATGCTCTCTCGCATGCCGCGGGGTACTTTGACAGATGAAAATAGATCAGTAAATACATGCTAGTAAACTGCTTGCAGAGTAAACTCCATTGCTTCTTAGGTTGGGATCCAGATTGACATGGTCTCTGGTCATTGGTATATGACTAGCCGGATGGACGGAGTCTAGGTAGTTAGGTAGAAAGGTCCTCGAAAGATCCAGTCATCTAACACGAATAAAAACATCTACGATACAATAATTGAGTAATTCGTAACACCTTCATAATCTATCATCCAGTTTTTAAGACAAAAAGAACGAGATGAAACGACGGGAAACAGATAAGAAATCGCTAACACGAACGACCCAGCGAGGAGCCAGTCTCTGCAGACGCGTTGCAACCATTCTCTGGAAACCCGTGATGGCCTCCCACGACGGAGGAGTTTCTAGGCCGAGTGCCTACCGGAACCCCGTCGTGCAACGCCACCGTGCTTCCCCTAGCAATGATCCATACCCTGAATGTTGCGGCACCGGGCAGTCCAACGAGGCCTCTGGTGGATGCGGGTGAGGCCCCGTCACAGCCCTAATCCGTCCCTCGTCCCTCGTTCCTCATTCCTCCTTCCCGGGATCATGGCCAGCACGCCAGAAGCAACAGCCGACGGTCCGGATCACCTTCGCCACGTCAGAAGACCAAAGCTTCTCAACAAAAAGGGCGAGTCGGGTGATCCCAGAGAGAGGGACAGATTGACAATAGAGAAAGAGAGAAGAATGAAAAGAGAAGGCTGGTGAAAGAAAACCCCGGTGGGCTCTGGCAGGGCAAGGGTTGCCATGGGAAATAATAACAGGAGAGCAATTTAGAGCTCGTCGACGTCGATCTCCTTCTCTTCTTCGCTTTCGCGGTCCTCGTCGAACTCGACGTTGTCCTCGAGGCCATCCTGGCCGTAGGTGTCGGTCTCGTTGATCTTGGCGTGCTCGGGCAGCTCGCCGTAGGCCTTGAGACTACGGGCCTCGTCGGCCGTGTACTTCATGATGACGTCGCCCTTCTCGTCCTGGTAGTCACGCAGCGAGAGGAGGATGATGTCGCCCTGGTTGATCCAGACCTTCTTCCTCAGCTTGCCACGGATGTGCGCGAGACGCTTCTCGCCGTCGAAGCAGAGGGCCTCGAGACGGCCGTTACCCAGCATCTTCACGACCTGCGCATACTCCTGGCCTTCTTCCTTGAAGACGAGCTCACGCTTCTCGTTGTCGTTCTCGTTCTTTCCACGACGACGGTTCTTACCGCCCTGTTGAGTGTGTTAGCGATACATCTGTATAAAACAGGTTGTGATAGGTAGATATATTTCAGATCCTGCATGGTCGCCTTCTTGTCTTCTAACTCAACAATATGTTCCTCCTAAAATGGAGACGAGTGGACATCGTGGCAAGAAGGCCCATACAGAACCCGAAAAGTCTGACCCAAGCGGGGAAGAGGGGTTCTTTGTCAAAACAAAAGGATATGATGGAGGACACATACTTTTCCCTTGTTCTTGGGCATGGCGGAAACTTGCTAGTCGCTGAGGGACTGGACAGTCGATGCGATAAGCAGGTGTTCTGGTTCAGGAGAGAGAGTAGGAAGAAAGGTGGTGAGAGTGGGGGGGGGCGAGAATTAGGGTGGAATTTCGAGGCTTTTGCCTCTTATATAATCCGGTCGCTCGTTTGAGTGGGGGATGTGGCGGCCTGAGCCCTGCCTTAGGCTCGCCACAGGGGTCCTCCAATCAGGATGATGAAAGTCACACCGCCCGTGCCTGGCCGTGGCAGAAAACTTTCTCCTCGTCTCATTTTGTTGTTGGATTCAGAGCTCGCTAGCTGGCTTGGAATTCAATCTAGAGAACATGATCCCGGGATCCAGAAAGTGTACTTCTGGGATTGCTACGACGTGACGTCCGTCTCAGGACGTGACCCGACCAGACTCCGATCAATCTCCAATCTTGGGCCGGATTGTATCTGCCCACCATGGTGAAGAAGTACCTTACCTCACATGGGAAATCTTTCATCCTAAGATATTCCCCCCAAACCCTCATCCCGCCGGTCGCCCAACGATACCTGGACCTCCCGGTCCATCCGCTCCGACCCAAGATCCAACACATGTACGACAACCGAGACCCTGAGACCCTGTGGTGGCGCGTGTCGTTGCATCAGTTCGGGCAATATAAACGAGTGGTCCGGTCGTGGACAGCCCGGAGAGCGCGGGTCGCATTCCGGGAGGCCTTGAAACAGCATGGGTTTGACGAGGCAGGCAAGCGATTGGAGCCTGGGACTACGGGGTACGGCTGCATGGATAGCCCCAATCGGGGCTTGAAGGGGTCGCTGGAGGTGATTGTGCGGTTGGAGAGTATCGACGAGCCGTTCGCGGAAGTGCAGTCCGATATGCACACTTCATTTGCCCAGCTGGTCGACAAGGCGCGAGTTCTGGGGTCGCAGGGAGTAACCTCTTCCACCCCGGCGCGCAAAACGGGCCAGTGGCAACCGAAATGGGCGGGGACGACGAACAATAACGGGCAATGACATGTATCATAGTGTATTGATAATGTATAAATATCAGGGTTATAAATAACGAGAGACATTGGGAGCTTTTTGCACTCTTCGGAGAATTAATTTCTTGCCTAATGCGCATGAACCTGCCAAGTCGATGTGCTTTAGTAATGAGTAGCAATCTCAGGCGGATCTCCATTTCATAGGGACGCCCTGGAGAGTCTCCATGGTCTACTCCGTACAGAGTATATAATATAGTAGATATTAAACAGTCGATCCCCTGACGGCGTAGTCAGAATGGACCGCGCGGCACCGCCTCCTTGGCAGGGTCGCTAATGCCGATCCCGACAAGCCAGACAACAACATTCATTCTTCCTCTCCTCCACCTCCACCTCCCTCCAATTCATCCATTACTTACCATATTCCCCGACTTTTGTGAGACTACCCTCCTCCAATAACTACCATGTTGGTCTCCTTGACCGTGGGCAAGGTGGACGCCGGTGTCGCCGTCCTCCTGACCCAAGATAACCGACTCGTAAGCTCCTTCTCCCTATTGTGGCTGCAGCGCAGTGCATGGTCAACCCCTACCCCTGCGACTATACCAGTCTCCATCACAAGAGAACAGTCAATGAATCTACGCGCAATGGTTATTCTGCATCATACTGACTTCTGACCCCCATCGTGGCAGATCGAATTCCCCTCTGTCCTCCTCCCCAGCAACATCACCTCCGGCAGCATCGTCGACATCACCGTCGCGCGCAACCATGCCGCAGAAGTGGCCAATGCGACTGCCTTCCAGAGCCTTCAGAAGCGCATTCTCAACACATACGGAGTGAAGACGCCTTCCCCTCCAATTCTGCGACTGCGCAACGCCACGCAGACCTCCCTGGTGCTGGAGTGGGACCCCGTCGATCTGGCCACGGCCTCGCTCAAGTCGCTCTCGCTGTACCGCAATGGCTCCAAGGCCGGGTCGATCCCCCGTCCCCTGGAGACGCGCAGCACCAAGATCAGCGGCCTGGCCATCCACACCGAGTACTCGTTCCACCTGGTGCTCCGCACGACCGCCGGCACCTACCAGTCGGAGAAGTTGACCTGCCGCACCCACAAGATGACCGACCTGTCCGGCATCACGGTTACGGCGGGCGTGCTGCCGCCGCCGCAGAAGGAGGCGCTGGCGTCCGCCCTGGACCGCATCGGCGGCCGGCTCATCGACTCGGTGCGCATCGACACCACCCACTTCGTCTGCACCGAGGGTCGCGGCCCCCTGTGGGAGAAGGCCGTCGAGATGAACATCCCCGTCGTGGTCCCCGAATGGGTCGACGCCTGCGAGTCCGAGGGCACCATCGTCAGCGTCCGCGGCTACTACCTCAACGCCGACCCCAAGACCCGCCAGCTGGGTCCCATCCAGGGCTCCACCCAGCACCAGCGCACCATCTCGTCCGCCACCTCCGCTCACCGTCACACGCCGTCGTCCCCCTCCGTCCAGCCACCTCTGTCGAGCGACGGGCGGCGGCCAACCCTGTCCCAGGATCGGACACGACAGGAAAGCAACACTCCCGGCGACCCGCCCATCACCCCGTTCCCCGGCCAGCACATGAGCGGCCAACCCACTGCCGAAGAGAGCGAGGTGGCCTCCGCCGACGAAGACGACGAATCCCCGCCGCCCCCGCCCCCCAAGGACGAAACCGCCCCGGAGCAAAACGGATACGCCCAGCCTGTAGACCAGAAAGAAACCAACGGCCATCCGGAGGAGGAAGCGAAAGAGGAAGAGGAAGGAAAAGAACAGGAGGAAGAGAAGGAGCAGGAGGAAGAGGAAGCTGAAGAGAAAGAGAAAGAGACAGAAAAAGAGGAAGAAACCAAAGCGCCTGAACCAGCAAAAGCAAAGAAAGTAGAAGACCCATCCGCGGAGGACTCCTCCTCAGGCAGCGACGGAAAGAAGTCGGATTTCAACGAAGTCCCTCTATAAACATCAAGCTTATCAATTGAATCAATTGAATCAGTCAATTACCTTAACGAATGGGAAATACGGGAATTATTGAAACAACGTGAGCTTTTTTGATAGCCTCTTTCTGCTTTCTTCTCTTTCGACTATGCTCTTTGGTGCCTATTCTTCGTGTTGTGTGTTCTATCTATATCCTTTTTCTTTATCTTTATCTTTCCTTTTTTTATTTATCTACCTATTCATTTATCTACATATTTATTTATTCCTTCTACCTCAGTCTTTCTATCTGTATTTTTATAAGGCTTATCATTCCTCACTATATAGCGTTTCTTGTGGTTGTTAACGACGTATATCGTTCAGTGTGGTAGGCAAGATACCCAACGGTTTTTATAGTCATTTGCGAAAGACGGGGCAGATCTTCTCTCTTCCCTTCTCTCTTTCTCTACTAAGGAGGCTGTATATATATATTATTCCGTATCCCATAAGGCGCATAGGCGGTAGCGGGTCGATCGTTCTGTATATTATCTACAAGGTAGTTCAATATAGTTACCCGTGGGTGGTTGGTAGCCTGCTTTCCTGCTTTCCCTCTTTCATCGGCACTACTTCATCTGAACTTGGAAAATCATGCCATCGAATGAATGAATAAATAGAGTAAATAATTTAATGCTAACTTGAGTAGATAGTATTGTCTGTGATTCATCTCTCTTTAGATCTATCTTGTGTATACTAAAAGTAGGAAAACCAAACAAAGAAGAAACAATGCAAAACCAAATGCAAAATTCGTTTTCCGTTCCACTACATGCTCTCACATCGTTACAGATCGGTCGTCACATTGTCACTCATCATAAACTTAGTTGACGTTGCGCACTACGTTGTCGATGGCCTGGGCGACGTAGGTGACGTTGTTTTCGGCCACTGTGTTGATTTGTTAGTATGATGAAGGGAAAAGAGGGGGAAATGGGGTTTAACGTACAGCCGCTGATAGATGCTCGGCCGGACTTGAGAAGGTAGACGTGGTATTTGTCTTTCAGGGCATAGACTTGAGACGGGGTCAGGCCGGTGTAGGAGAACATTCCGTTCTGTGGAGACTGTGTTAGTATTATTGAGACAGGGCTGCAGTATTGGTAAAACATACCTGCTCCACAATGTGGCGCCACGTCCCCGGGGTCTGGAGGCGGGTGAGTTCGTCGTACAGCGCCTTGCGCATGGACTTGATGCGCGAGCTCATGACCGTGAGGTCGTCGTGCCACTGCGCGGTGAGCTCGTCGTCGGTGAGCACGCACTTGACGATGCTGCAGCCGCCGGTGGGCCCCATCGAGTATTCGCCGCGGATCAGATGGCAGAGGTTGTTGACAACGGTGTCGCGGAGTTTCTCGGAGCCGGCGGGGAGCACGTAGTGGAAGGCGCCGACGCGCTGGCCGTACAGGCCGAAGTTCTTGGAGAAACTCTGTGCGACACACATCTCCAGGTTGGGCTTCTCGTTGAGGAAGTAGCGCACGGCCCAGGCGTCTTCGCTGGCGGAGCCGGATGCGAATCCTTGGTAGGCGGAGTCGAAGAAGGGGAAGATCTTCTTGCGCTCGCACAGCTCGGCGATGGCCTTCCATTGCTCTTTGCTGGGGTCGAGGCCTGTGGGGTTGTGCGCGCAGGCGTGCAGCAGGATCACGTCGCCTTGCTGGGCTTCGGATTCTAGGGTGGACATCATGCCGTCGAAGTCGAAGGAGCGGGTCGTGGGCTCGTAGTAGGGGTAGCTCTTGCGGGGCACGCCGACCAGGTCCCAGATGGTCAGGTGGTTGGCCCACGACGGGTTGGAGAGCCAGACGTTCTTGGGCTTCATCTGGTGGGCCAGGAAGAGAGCACCCAGGTGGTTGGCGCCGGTGCCGGCCACACTCTGGACGGAGCCAACGCGGGCCTTGATGGCCTTTGTCTTCTCGGATGTGTCCTTGGAATCCAGGCCGAACATCAGGTCCCGAGCCAGCTCCAGGAAGGGAATGTCGCCTTCAATGGCGGTGTATTCATGTCGCATGAGGTTGTCTTCGGCGAGGAGCTTCTTCTCCGCCGCGCGCACGACAGGGAGCGGCCACGGCTTGCCCTCATCCGTCCGGTAGACACCCACCCCCAGGTTGACCTTCTGCGGGTGTGAGTCATTGACATAGGCGCGGTTCAACGCAAAGATTTCGTCCGCGGGGACGGGGGCCAGGGTAGTGAGAACAGACATGGTGACGGGAGGTAGGAGTGGTGAGTTGAGGAGAGCAAGGGAGGCCGTTAATGACGAAGCCAACTGAATCGAAGATGCAAAGCGGAGGGACAATGTCCAAGGTCTCGGGGAAGGGGCGGTGGGGCCTGGCTGAGTAGATCGGATCTTAGTCGTTTGTTTTCAGACAAACGGGGAATGATTAGAGATTCCCGTTGAAAGACTAAATGTGTGATTTAAGATCGGCCACCAAGTAGGGCGAGTTAGAACTCCGAGTCTATAGTAGAACTATAGTAAATTCATTCATGCATTAACTGAATGAGAAGAATGGGAGGAGTGGAGTCAGATGGTTTGTCCTATTTATTAAGGCTTAGTACGGGCCCCGATATCGCCATCCACGGAACGCAAATTTAAGAAAGGGAGGGAGTCATTCAGACTAACCTACCTTCTGGTATGTTTCGCGCCCTTCCTTCCTTCTTTTTCCTTTACTTTCCTCTTTTTTTTTCAGCTTCTGTCATGCAAGGGAATGCCGGACGGAAAAGCCCGCTTAGTGTAGGAAATTTTACTCCGTGGATTTGGGGACGGTGGGTCCCATGCCACATTGGGGCAACCCGACTGGGTGGCGGCGCGGTGGCAGTCCCATTGAACATGAAGGGGGTGAATGAATAAAATGCATGGCAACGAAGTGGTTGCACACGGGTCCCATCCTTACCATGGTTGGAGATCTGGCTGGAGGGACATCAATCTTGCCTTTGCTGCATGCACCCCTGGATGAGTGGCGCAAACACGAGGACAAATGCGTCCAATAGTAATATCAGGGTCCAACATCTCAGCCGTCACGAGCCAAGTATGAACTATCGACCTGAGTATCACAAACTCGCTGTAGGATTTAGAGCTTGGTGGTTTCCTCTTCTATTTTCTGTTCTTTTGTTTGATCGTGCCTCGGCCTGCCATTTAAATTATCCGTGGAGTGGCTCAGCGAGTGTCCGTCTACTCCGTAGTGGGCCCGGGGATCTGTACATTCGATCGTCTTGCTGTAAGAGATAAGCATGGCTGTCTGGCATTCAAAGTATAAGATGAGTCGACATTGTGCTGACGATGAAGTCATCCAGGATAAACTCTCGTGTCAGTCCATGGCTGATATACGATCAAGCCTAGGATATCGTGTCTCAAACAAAAGACACGCTGGGGTTAGACAGGCCGCAGTATAACCGAAATGGCTAAGAGAGCCGTGGTATATCATATATCCTAAGATGAATGTCTCATACTTATGATGTTTGGACGTGATGATAGGGGTCTCGTTCGAGACAAGACAGGCTGTTGCGCAGTTCTGAAAAGCTGACAACCATGCTGACCTTCACCTTTGGGAAGATCTGCGGGCTGACTCCTCACTCACTTACCCAACAGGGTGTACCTATCCGACCTTCTTCGACGCTTGTTTATCGGCCTGACCCAATTCGAGGAGCGAAGGGAAGGATGCGGGAGGAAGAGAGCGGAGAAATGACCGAAGAGGGGTCAGTGAGGGGAAGATAGTGGTGGTCGGAGTATATATCTCGTGCTTTACAGTTTACCGTCAACCCTCGCTACCCTCATTGTAATTGATAATATATCTTAAGCACAAGCCTATAAATTTCTAAGTCTCACTATTAGTGACATCAACCTGACTCAGGTATCTCACCATGACCGTGACACAGGACCATCCAGCAGGGAATCCGGATTTGCATTCTCTCCGACCCAAGGCCATCATTCAGCCACTCCACAATAGCATCCCCGAGGAGTTGCTCACCCGTTTTGACCCAGTCTACGTGGAACACTACAATAAGTACAACGCCGGACGATTGCATACGCATGAGGTGCCCATCGAGGATTTTAGGAAGAACCCTGCGAAGTACTTGACGGCTTACGGCCGGGCGGTAGGCCCGGATATCCACCGCATCACCGAACAGAAATGTCCCGTGGAGGGTGGGGAAATCCGAGTCCGGATCTTTGAGCCCGCCCCGGTCCTGGATGAGCAGGGGGTTCCCCGGAAAAGGGCGGCGTATCTTAATTTCCACGGCGGGGGATGGGTGTTTGGAGACCTGGGAGCCGACCATGATTTCTGTAAGCGACTGGTACATGGCCTTGATGGACAGCTGGTAGCTATCGATGTGGACTATCGATTAGCCCCCGAGAACCGATATCCGATCCCGGTGGATGATTGCTGGACAGCGTTTAATTGGGTTAGTGAACATCCCCATTATCATCTGATTCCGACACCCGGATCCATTGTCGGCTAACCCCATGCAGGTGCGGTCTGAGAAGGCAGAGGAGTTCAATATTGACCCGGATCGGATGGCCGTGGGAGGCGCCTCGGCCGGAGGGCACTTGGCAGCGGTGATCGGCCATCTCTGCCGTAACGCCGGCATCCCACTCGGCTTGCAAATCCTCACGGTGCCCGTCTGTGACCTGCATAGCATGTTCACTCCGGATGGGCAGTTCGACCGCGAGAATTGCCCCTACGAGTCGTACCGCGAGATGGAATTTACGGCCGCGCTGCCAGCAGCTCGAATGGCATACTTCCACCGACATTTCCTCGGGGTGCCCCGACCCGCTCCGTCGGACGAGGTGAGATCCACACACCTAGCACGCCTAGCACCCCTCCGGCACCTCAAACTGACCAACCTCTAGGACTGGAAGATTTCCCCCATGCTGGCCCCCGATTTTTCGGGCTTGGCACCAGCGCTGGTGATCACAGCTGAAATGGATCCTCTTCGAGACGAAGGACAGTTGTACTATCAGAAACTGAAGGCCGCAGGGAATCGGGCGGAGTTGATGGGCGTGCCCGGGATGCCCCACACCTTTGCCCACCTGGATGGGATTTTGGCGGGAGGACAGCGATACAACGAGAAGGTTATCGACACGATCCGGCGGGAGTTGTTACAGTAAAGTAGAAAAGACCTCCGAGTACTCTTGAGTCTTGACAAGGAGAGAATCCGAGTATGGAGTATGGAGTATGGAGTATGAAGTCGATCATGGCTGGAAGGAAGTCAAGGTGGATCCCTCACCGCCTGCCGCATTCGACAGACCGGGAGAAATCGGCAGGCGAAGACCGGATGAAGAGCGAGCAGTGAATCTTGGCCTGGAAATCCCGCTCTCTGCACTTTTCTTCCTTCTGTTTGCTTCTTGAACTTGACTTCCTAATCGACTTCTTTGTCGCCTTCTCCTTCTCTAGACCTTTTTATCTACTTTTTCTGAATTTTCTTCCCTCCTCATACTCCTTATAAATTGGTATACACCACCGAATCTTCAATTGGTTGGCGAATTAGAGTACTAAAGGTGAAATTATACCCAGGGAAAAAAAACACGCGCTTGTCGTCATCATGTTACCCCCCTCATCTACCCGAGTTGTGGCACGATCCATGGCCTCATTGACACATGTGGCTTCGCGCTCGACTACCGCCGGCTCCCCCGCAGTCGCTCGCAATGCCTTGGCTTGCGCTGGTCGCTTCCCCGCTTCGCTCGGTAGTCGACACATGCTGAGCTCCAATAGCCGATCCCTCCATCAGTTTCCCCGCTTCCAGTCTTTGACCAACACCAACAAGAGAGCTTTCAGCACATCTGTCACTATGGTGAGTCGCCTGTCACTGTTGAGGTCGATCTGATCGGCTGGAGTGTTGCTTGGACGGTTCAAACACGAGAGGATGCAGGTTGTGTTGGAAGTGGAAGACCTGGAGGAGAAAATGGCTGACGCGGTCGGGGTTGTAGTCGTCTAGCTACCGTGCGGAAACCGATGCTTTCGGTGAAATCCAAGTAAGTACCTCGATTCATATTGTGATACGTCGACTGGCGATGGAAGCTGACTGTCTCCTTATCTAGGTCCCCTCGGACAAGTACTGGGGTGCGCAGACTCAGCGGTAAGGATTATAGCCCCGGTCGCCTGGAGATACACTTGTGGTTCTACAAAGATGCGATTTGGAACGGCGATTGACAATGAAACAGCTCCCTGGGCAACTTCGACATCAACCAGCCTCAGGACCGCATGCCCGAGGGTGTCGTCAAGGCCTTCGGTATCCTGAAGGGCGCCGCTGCCACTGTGAACATGCAGTTTGGCCTTGGTAAGATCCCTCCGACCTTTCTTTTCTCCCTTCTCAACTGATAAATTTGCGCGACAGACCCCAAGGTTGGTGAGGCCATCAAGCAGGCCGCCGCCGAGGTCGCCGAGGGCAAGCTGCTCGACCACTTCCCTCTGGTCGTGTGGCAGACCGGTTCCGGCACCCAGTCCAACATGAACAGCAACGAGGTCATCTCGAACCGCGCCATTGAGATCATGGGTGGCACCATGGGCAGCAAGAAGCCCGTCCACCCCAACGACCACGTCAACATGTCCGCCTCGTCCAACGACTCCTTCCCCACCGCGATGCACATTGCCGCCGTCCTGGAGCTCGAGGGTGCTCTGCTGCCTTCGCTGAAGAGCTTGCGCGACGCTCTCCAGGTGAAGGTCGACAAGTTCCAGGAGATCATCAAGATCGGCCGTACCCACTTGCAGGACGCCACTCCCCTGACCCTGGGCCAGGAGTTCTCCGGCTACGTCGCCCAGCTCGACCGCAACATTGAGCGTGTCGAGAACAGCCTGCCCCACCTCCGCTTCCTCGCCCAGGGTGGTACCGCGGTCGGTACCGGCCTGAACACCTTCAAGGGCTTTGACGAGGCCGTGGCCACCGAGGTCACCAAGATGACCGGGACCGAGTTCAAGACGGCCCCCAACAAGTTCGAGGTGCTGGCCGCGCATGACGCCGTGGTCGAGGCCTCGGGCTCGCTGAACACTCTGGCTTGCTCCCTGTTCAAGATCGCGCAGGACATCCGCTACCTCGGCTCTGGTCCCCGCTGCGGTCTGGGTGAGCTGGTGCTGCCCGAGAACGAGCCCGGTTCCTCGATCATGCCGGGCAAGGTCAACCCCACCCAGTGCGAGTCGCTCACCATGGTGTGCGCCCAGGTCATGGGTAACCACGTGGCTGCGACGGTCAGCGGCATGAACGGCCAGTTCGAGCTGAACGTGTTCAAGCCGGTGATGATCCGCAACTTGCTGCACAGCTCGCGCATCCTGCGCGACGGCATGAAGAGCTTCGAGCGCAACCTGGTGCACGGCCTGGAGGCCAACGAGGAGCGCATCAGCACTCTTCTCCACGAGAGGTATTTCCTTCTTTCCCTCTACTTTTTTCTGTTATATGAATACTAGCTAACTCTCCCAGTCTGATGCTGGTGACCTGCCTGAACCCCGTGATCGGCTACGACATGGCGTCCAAGGTGGCCAAGAACGCGCACAAGAAGGGCCTGACTCTGAAGCAGAGTGCGATGGAGCTGAAGGCTCTCAGCGAGGAGGACTTTGACAAGCACGTCCGTCCGGAGCTGATGCTGGCTCCTAAGGAGATGAAATAGAGGACTGTGTTTGGTTTAGCGACCCTTGAAAATTATAGCCTATAGCCTGATAGTTTGTATATTGAGACAATCATTGTATTTTATTCATCTTCTTTCCCATATTGACTATTTTGTGAATTATTCCTTCCAGATCATTCTGATCAGGCTTGTATTGTCTCGGCGATAAATAATTGAGACTAGTGGGTCTATTTTTGGAACAAGCTTCAAATAAATAGAATAAAATAAGGATACAACAAGCATATGGACAAGGGGTTCGTCGGACAGGAACCCCTCCAATAACCCAAGGAATGTGGCAATCAACACCCCCAGTATCTCCTCGGGTATGTATGTATGTATCCAGAGAAGCGAAAGGGATTAAAATAGACACCGAGTGTGGCAGGGCAGGAGACAAGTCAGTGGGAGAAATTCCCCTGTCTCAGCCGGGCCCTCTCCGATCCATTGGACGGATGAGACTAACCCTGTTGGTCGGGATTGATCAAGTCGATTCTTTTAGCCTGGAGGGACTTATTTATCGATCTGCTGGGGCTGTTTTACTTCTTCTTTCTTCTTCTTCTTCTTCTTCTTCTTCTTCTTCTTCTTCTTGATTTAAGTTAATTCTCACTGTCCAGTCATTCGTTCTATCGTTGTTTGAAACGTATTGCGCTTTATCTGCAGATCGAGTGACTGTTCACCCCGCGATAGCCTCAGCTTGCCGACCCTGAATCAAACCTACTCAATCTCTCGACACTCAACACTCTACACAAGAAACACAACCCATCATGACCAACATCAACGCAATCACCCCTCCCACCCCGGGGTCATCCATCCCCACCCCCGACAATAATACACCCCCCTACAACACCCCGCAACCGCCAACCCGCCCAAAGAAACCCCCCTCTTCTCACCGACCCTCATCTCCCCCCAAGTCACCGCGGAACTCCCCCCAGACTACACAATCCGACCCATCCGCCGCTCCGACTTCCACCGCGGCTACCTAGACGTGCTGCGCGTGCTCACCACCGTCGGCGACATCAACGAAGAGCAGTGGAACGCGCGCTTCGACTGGATCTGCTCCCGCAACGACGAGTACTACCTGCTTGTCATCTGCGACGGGGAGGGCCGCGTCGTCGGCACGGGGAGTCTGATTGTGGAGCGCAAGTTCATCCACTCGTTGGGGCTGGTGGGCCATATTGAGGATATTGCTGTTGAGAAGAATCAGCAGGGGAAGAGGTTGGGGTTGAGGGTTATTCAGGCGTTGGATTATGTTGCGGAGCGGGTGGGGTGTTATAAGGTTTGTCCCTCTCCTTTCTTATCTTTCGTCTTTGAGTATTTGAGGGAGGGAGGTGCTAATTATGGTATAGACTATCCTCGACTGCTCCGAAGTCAACGAGGGATTCTACCTCAAGTGCGGGTTTAAGCGGGCGGGTCTGGAGATGGCTCATTACTATTGAATGAGCTTCATCAAGTGATATCCCATCGCTTTTGCATTCGTTGATTTTCCGTTTCTGGCGTTGTTTACTGTCTGTTTACTTCTTCATACACTGGTTTTGTGTGCGGGATTGAGTATACAGTGATTGATATAGAATATCTGCTTCATGTGTTGTTCATGGGTCCGACAACTGGGTCTAATATGGGTGAGCATAGTTAGTGAGTTACATAGTCTACTAAGTAATATGAACATTCGAATATTTGTTCGGTTATTAGTATATTTAGATAGTTGAGTTGATCTGTGATTAGCTTAAGTTGATACGAGCCATATATGCACAAGTCATCTGCGTGACGATTGTACCCTCCAAAGTATAGGGGCACAAACCAACGTGAGACTACTCCAGCCTGACCAGACTACGACCACCGGACAAATAAAGTAGTGACTGACTCCGACAAATAATTCCCATTCGAAATGCATTGTTCAAGCCCATTATCTAGTCATGAAGCAGCCCTCCCCAACCTTTCCAACCAAGTTCGAGTTCCTTCCGGGTATATTCCGTCCGGGGAGTATTCCCGTGAAACAACCATACTGGCGAAAGAGCCAGACTTTTCCTGGCCTTCAACCAGCGTAACAAACACAACTTGATCCAGATGATGATGACGATGATGGAACCGTCGTATGGGGGTTTCGCTCGGTCGTTATTGCATCATCTTATGTCGCTCGTTGGAAGATATGGAGAATTTAGGCGGCGCCGGGGTTGGGGTTCATCTGGTTTATGTTAGGGTCTGTTTTATAGGGGTTCGAAACAACCGGAGATGCAACTCGGCATGTCGGGTATGAACGCCTGCTGCTCTCCCAGTCGCTTGTGGGATAACGCACCTTGCGCTTGCCACCGGTCATGGTGACGTTGACGAAACGGCGAGTGTACTTCAGACGCTTCATGGCGCGGCCCTTGGGCTGCTTCTTCTTCTCCTGCTTGTCGACCTGTTTATCAAGATAAGTCGTCAGCGTTTGTTCGTTTCGCGCGTGTCGTTCGTATATAATCCATCCATCCGGCGTTCGTCGATTCATCCATCCCGATTCAATCCGTTGTATCTCAACCATCTCGATGCGTATCATCCCATCTCACAACTTCTCCCCCATCAACCGCCCGTCGTCTTCATTCCATATCCTCCCGAAATTTTCCAAGGTCGTCCGTCGAAGTGGCGATATCGTTCATCTCGAAAATCCCCCAAAAATCACGCCTTCAAGAAGAAAAAAAGAAAGGGAAAAAACCCACCTTAGGAGTCGCAGACTTGACCTTACCCGCACGGGCGAGAGATCCGTGAACCTTACCCATGGCTGCTGGTGATGTGAAGCTTGTCGGATCGAAATGGAGGAAAGGTGGTTGACTGAGTCGGAGCTTGAAGGGGAAGGGGAGGCAGATTCAATCGTACTCTTGTGGGCAAACCGCGCTAGTTGCGCCGTAAGCGAGGCCGGATGGCGAGAAATTTCCTCCACCGCCTGCTGGATGGGGGTGGATTTGCTGAGTCAGACTTACGTTGCGGGGGTGGTTTGGTGCCTCAGGCTGGATTTCTTTATTTTATCTGTCAGGGTGGACTTTGCGAGGAGGTGAATATCTAAGAAGCACTCGGAAACTGGTTTGGAATAGAAGGTGTTTTTGATACTATAGATGTTTTATTCTTATATTTCCTCGCGGTCCTTATGTATAGAGAGCAGCGCCATTGTATGCTTGAGGCTGCGCGGCTCAGTCGGCGTCCCGAAATGGCATAGTGTAGGTTTGAGCCCTAGTGTGATACGATCTGGTATTGTAATTACGACATATATGGTCTGTCCATGACTCCATGCGCTACTGGGCTGAGATTAAGACGATGATGACATGTGCCTGTGTGTCTAGTTTGATATCACGGAGCCTTATCATGGGTACTACTCGTGTAGTCTACTATCGTAGGAGTATTGATGCTTGCGACATAGAAACTCATATTGAAACCAAGTGAGAAGGACAGTGAGGAGTAGGACCCCCTAGACAAGCATGAATGCCCCATACTCACTACGAGTATCAAGTGATAGAGTCTATTAAACTCCAACCCGATGGATCTACAGGCCCAGAACGGCTCGAGCAAAGCTAACTTATCATATCACATCCATTTTTTTGGTTCCATTTCCTGGTGATATACCATTGGCGCGTAATGATAAAAGCCTATCTGAGACCATGCGGGATTCTCGTCCGCAGATACCCATCGCTCGTACGCCGATTTGTTTGCATAAAAAGTTTGTGAAGGGAATACAACACAAATTTCCAGCTCCGAAGAGTCCTTCCCAAATCCAACACACAAACGCAGACCACGCTTTCACTTCCCTACTCCCCAGCCCCAAGCCAGACCGTTCAGAGTACCATCTTAACGAGACTTGGCGGCGACCTTGGGAGCAGAGCCCTTGGCACCCTGCTTGCTCTGGATGCGCTGGGCAGGCTTGGTGGCACCGGACTTGGCCTTCTCGGCCTTCTTGCGGGTCTCGGTGGCGGCCTTCTTCTCCTTGGCGTCCTTGATGGCCTGCTGGCGGGCGGCGGCACGGGCCTCGGGGCGCTGGTTGCGGCGCTCCTTGATCACATCGAGAGAGGCACCGACGATACCACGCTGGCTCTTGACAGCACGGCGGGTACGCTTCTTGGCAACTTCCTGTTCGCAGAGTAAAAATATCCCGTCAGCAAACATATCCTCCCACTTTCCAAATCAATAGCGATGGTCTAGCCACGATTCCCGGCGTGAATCAACAGAGTTGGCGTATCTCGTTATCCTTTTCGTCTTCTGACTGTGTCCTCCTCCGACAATTGTTGATCCATTCCTTTCGAAACCGTGGCAAACCATATAACTCGAGGGGATTGAAAAAAAGGCGGTACTGACTTCAGAGATACCCTTCTTGTGCTGGCGACGGTACAGGACAGTCCAGGAGATGCGGCGGGGGTTCTTGCGCTGGAGGAAGAGGGATTCGGACTTTCCTTTCTGGAAGCGGAAGATCTTGCTGTCGCCACGGACGAACAGCTTACCCTGCAATCATTCAAAAAATAAATGTCAACGATCTACCCCAATAATTCATGCGTGAAGACAGAGCAGCATCTCTCCCACGATAGGGAGGTCCCATCTTGAAGATTTGAGGGTGTAATCAATTTGTGGCGGAAGCGTCCGGATAGCGCTCTTGGAAAGGGGTAAAACGCACCTTTCCAGGGTAGATCTTCTGACCGCTGAAGGAATCGTCGTAGGTACGCATCTTGAATGTCGGTGATGCGCAGCCGGTCTTGACGAGGTAGTGTCGGTTGGCGTTGGGTGGTTTGAGTCGAAGCGCTTCTCTACCGGCGAACTGGTGATGGCGACCGGGCACAATTGTGGTGCGGTGCGGAGCCTCGCTAAGCGGGGCACGTGATCGCTTCTGCCCTTGGCCGGCCGGCCCCCGTCACTCTTCCTTCTACTATGCAACTATCTATAGCGTGGTAATTGTAGACTGTAGAATTAACCGGTTTTTTCAAGAAATTGCTAGATTGATTGGTATCATTGTTTTTGGATTTATGCGACAGACTGCGCCCGAGTTTAGGGGGTGGTTTTCGTTTAATGGGTATCTATGTTCGTCGCCGTATCGTCCGCAGTAACTACTAGCGGGTATGACCTCTCGGGCATGTCTCTCATGTTCCACCTCTGCCATAGGCATGCGTTTCTTCTGATGAGACTGTCCCTCATGTGTCAATCTATGCTGTACCAGTCGCATGGACACCAGGGGTCGGGCTTGCACGCCTAAAACAGACAACGTCAACACTTTTACGCTAGTAAATGCACCTGGTATAAGCAAGAGAGTACTGAGACAGATAATACCTTGCATTGAACATCACGGCATATTCCATTGGGACATACACCGGCACAGTTGGAGCACACATATCGACCGCAGCCGTACCATTCACTGCACAGGGAGAAGGTGCCCGCGTTTCGGATATGAGGCCCCAAATTCTCAATCGTGTGCAATGTCGTCTTCGACTGGCGAGCCATTTCGGAACTGGGCTGGACAAGGGCCGCTGCGCGACGAGCGTACTCATAGATGCAGCATGCGGCGCCGCAGACTGGACAGTCTCCACGGCAGCTGGTGCATCTGAGATGCATCGCGCTTCGGTTTTTGATATCCTGCATGGTCTCTGGCATATTGAAGTCCTCAAGTGACTGAGCTTTTACTTCAGTTCCAGTGACAGTGCGGATATAGTCGACCTATATTTAGTCTCAGCTTGACTCTGGGCACTGGAGGGGATCGCAGGGGAGAGGTACCAGTTCCCGGAAGGCAAATGCACTCTTGTCCTGCTCGTCGAAGTCTCTCGTCCTGACCGGCTTCTTTGCCCTTGGTGATACATCAGGGCTGGTGACTTCGCTCATCGGTCGAGGATGCGTAAAGTAATCCAGGTCGACGAACATATAATCTAGAGCGGGGTACCATCAGCGCTGGGACAAAACCCTCATGGCCCTCAATGCATGCCCAACAGGCACCCTACCTTGAGACGGAGCGACATATCTCACGATCCTGGAAGGAGAAGGTGGCGCAACGGAACGCCTCTTCTTCTCTCCGCTCTTACCCCTCTTCGCTTTAGGGCTTGATTTCGTGCTGGTATTTCCGACGCTCCCGGTGAAAGTGGTGACAGAGTTAGATCGCAGCGAACGAGCTAGTTCAGCGTGTCCCGACGAGAAGCTCTGCCAGCTGACCCTGTCAGAAGCAATCGAGGCTTTGGAGTTCGAGGCGAACGACCGAACGCGCTCCCTCAGAGAACGTCTCTTCGATGGTGAGTCTTGCTTGACCTCGATATGCTCGGTTTCAGGCTGCTCGTCGTGCTCCTGTGTGTTTTGATTCGGGTTGATCTCGATCGCCGACAGCGAGAGCTCAACTTCGTTGCTCTCTATGTGAAACGCAGCGTCGAGGTGCTTCGTGAGGTCATCGGTAAACCTGCCCAGCTCTTCTTCGCTGTGTGTGGGATCCGACTGTCTGTTCCCGACTGGCAGCGAGTACTTCCGGCCCATAGTGTCTGGTTCAAATTCAGGGAGAACGCAGGAACTGAAGATTCCAGTCAGAGACAAAGCCGTCCGTAAATAGAACATGAACGGGTTGTTGGTACCTGGCATAGCTGCGACGGAACCCATCGCCATAAATGGCCCTGTCAGACTTGTATTTCCCGTCATCAGCTTGCATGACGAATGTGTTGTTATTGTTTGCTTTGCGGGGATTTACGATGACTCGAGAGTATTGGGTGTTTTTGAAATAGATGGCTGAGCTTGCAAGTGAGATTGGAAACCCTGTCCACCCACGAAGCTTAGAGTACAATACGAGGAGACCCTTGTTATGTAGAAATGGGGCAGTTCTGGGAGGGACTTCAGTGAATGACAATATCTTGGTGTAGCTAAACCCCAGATAGGTAACTCTCTGCTTCTACCTGGGATTGAAACATACTTATTATCTCCTCTCCGGTTAATATCCATGAATGTCTAGTGATTCACATGAAATATGCACCGACGGCATTACCTTGGTTGATTATTGGTTTCAGCCCAGCCGCAGCAAGCGGAGTTAGGGCCATCTATAGATTTGTACTAAAACACGTCTACTTATAAATGTCTACTAAAACTGGGAAGCAAACGATATATAGGTAAAAAAAAGGGAACACTGTAATTCTATAGAAAATGTGTCTATTGAAATCTCGAACCGTAGCATCACGTCGCGGGGGGTTATACATATAGGACTGACTGCAAGATAAGCAGTTGTCCTTCCGCGCCCTTGAGCCAAAGGGGTAACGAACCAGGCCGAACAGCTCTGAAGTATTTAGGATAGAAGCTTGAAAGCATATCTTCTTTCGCAAAAACGTTATAGATTGGTCCCCAAGTGTCAGGAAGGCGATCCAAGATGGCAAAAGCCGCAATGCTCGTAGCCGCCGAATATTCAGTGTTTCTTCATGGTCACATCACAGCGTGTTCGCTCACAATCTCATCATCATTCAAGACGAACGTCATGGCTCTGTCCATCTTCGTTTAGGTCATCGCATGGGTCCGCGTCCATTCCTTGGCAGTCTGGATCGCTGCAGGCTCATCCTCCTTCCACCGTTGAGCAACATCGTTGGCAAGCGGGTCATCGGGGTTCGGCGCACCCAGCAAAGCCTGGATGGAAAGCAGGATCGTTCGAATTTGCAAGGCAGGAGACCAGTTATCTGCAGTAGCATCGGCCGGTCAGTGGGTGCTCAAAATACCGGGAACGCGAGAGGAACATACTCTTTAACACATCCAAGCAGATACGTCCAAGACGGTCGATGTTGGGGTGGTAGATCTTGGTCAGGAAACGAATCTTGGGCGGAGTCATGGGATAGTCTTCCGGCAAGAAGAGCTCGAGACGAAAGATTCCACCTGAAAGTAAAGGCAATCAGTGACCACTCCATAACTAAACAATCCTATTTTCAATCATTTACCTTCATAGGGAGACTGCGCCGGCCCGTGGATTGATACATCGAAGTATCGCAGGTTCTCTTCATGAGGCACGGCGTTGATACCGGGGACGCTGGAAGGACGCATTAGCTGGCTACTACCACCTGCTGTAATAAAAGGGATCAACTCACGGCTCCGCCATAAGGCGCTCAGTCTCCTTAATGATTCTCTTTGGCAACGCCATGGTGTCTCTTTTGAATGCAGAGGCAAGCCGAGGAAGGAGTAAATGTCTAGTCGTGACCCCGCGTTCGGGCAATCCAAAGTGGGCCGGTAAATTCGGCCCCGTACAGTCTAATAAGGCACGACGAAGCCTCCAAATCGATCTGAACAGATGGATATCAAGGAGTATAAGATATCGAGAACACCAGCCACAGGGCAGATTGGAGAGAGTGATAAGGATCAATCAACCAGAGACCATCAAACCGCGGTCATTACCATTGAGGGGCTCAGGCTTTGAGCCCGCCTCACCGCCTTCCTCAAACGTCATCGAGAATGGCAGCCACGCTAGTCCTGATATGGACGGATCCAGGTCACTGGGTCTCCCGCCATTATCTCCCACGACGTCAGTTTATTGACCTGATTGCGGAGATGCACCGTGAACCGGGTCTCGCTCGTTCAATCAGCCCACCTTTTTGTTTCTTGAAGGTATATTATCTATTCTCCATCACTATCAGACAGTAATTTGTCTCGAGATAGATGGGGATGATTTACACGCATTAACGTCCATTGGCTTAGATCACGTCGAACCCCTACTCGGTTGCTCCAACTCTAGCTGATTGATGTTACTACGCGCAATGTGTTCGGACAGTCGCCCGAGCCCATCCACCTCGCAAGATTGATGAGACTGCTCCAGATGCCCTCGAGATGAAAGCGTCATATCGAACTCCAAGCGATCACTCCCTAATGCCTGGATCGAGCGTCTGAAATCCAACACATCGTTGAGGCGTCCTTCGGTTGGAGGCGACTAGTCCTTCATAGAGGACCAAACAAAAATTATTGCTCCAGATTTCAATTCAGCCAGTCACAACAATGGCGGATCCTACAGAGCCTCGGCCGTTGACATCGGCATACGAAAGCCCGACTTTCGGGGAGGATAGTTCCTTTCATGTGGAACAACCCGTGGGTTCGATGTCAGTCTCGCCCTGCGGACGGGATGTGGTATTGGCCTCGAAGGAGGGACTCCACATCATTGACTTGGATTCGCCATACTCACCGCCTCGATATCTTCCTCACCATACACCATGGGAAGTCGCAGATGTTCAATGGTCGCCGTTTTCGTCTCGAGACTCTTGGGTGGTGAGTACGTCAAACCAGAAGGCGCTAGTGTGGAATTTGGGCATGAAGTCCTGCCAAAACTCCATTGAGCATGTCCTGCACGCCCACACTCGAGCGATCACCGATGTCAACTTCTCCGCCCACCACCCCGATGCCCTGGCCACCTGCGCCGTCGATAGCTTTGTCCACTGCTGGGATTTGCGACTTGCGTCACGCCCCGTCATCTCATTCTCCGATTGGTTCGCCGGTGCCACGCAGGTCAAATGGAGCCGACAGGATCCCAACATCATTGCCAGCTCGCACGATAGGTTTCTACGAATATGGGACAAGAGAAAGGGGACGTACCCGATCAGATCTATCGAGGCCCACAACACCAAGATCTATGGGGTTGATTGGAATAGGGTTCGTCCAGGGGCCCTTGTGACATGCTCTTTGGATAGAACCGTCAAATTTTGGGACTACACCGTCGAGGGGGATGTCCCCGAAAAGGTCATCAAGATGCCGTTCCCAGTAAGACGAGCTAGGAACACTCCATTCGGGTGGGGTGTGCTGGCCATGCCACAGAGAGGAGATGGTGACCTGCATTTATACAGTCGCAGGGTTGAAGAAGGCATTGACGCTGACGAAGACGTGTCTCCGGTCCATAGCTTTCCAGGACACAAGGGTCAGGTGAAGGAGTTTGTGTGGCGAGCGCGCGGAGGTGAGACGGATAAACTCGACGATCGAGACTTCCAGCTCGTATCTTGGGGTACCGATCGTGAACTTCGTCTGCACAAAGTTGGCCCCGAAGTGCTGCAAAAAGTTGGATACGAAAAAGGGAAATCGTATGCCCCGAATATGAAGATAACACGCAAGGGTGCCGTTTATAGATCATTCCGGGACACAAATTCTCATCAAGACTTTGATGACTTGGAGTCCATCCCGTCTGCCTTCCAGGCCGGTGCGCCTCAACCCGCGATCGGCATGGGGCCGAACACCATTTCAGTCCCATACCCTCGTGGCTGGAATCAGCGAGGCAACGCAGATTCGAGGGTGGGGATGCAGGGCAGGTCGAACTTCCGGGCCGATACCAACCCGATTTCCTGGATGCGGGGTGTGAAGATATCTGGATGGGATATTGAGACCTTGGGAGATGAGATCACTCACGTGGGCGAGAAATTTACCAAGGTTGCCTTTGAGTCCGTTGATGTCAGGCAGCGGAAAGCCACCATATCCCTCCATGGACCTTGGGGTGTTGACGGTGCCTCTCTTTTCCTCAAGGTGGATATCAAATTCCCCGTTGATTATCCGAAGGCGTCGACGCCCGCATTCCGCGTGCAAAAAACCACCGGCGTCACGGACCAGCTGACCGATAAGATAATCGCCGAGCTCCGGACAATTTCCGAGACTTACCTTTCCCACGATCGAGGGTGTCTTGAAGGCGTTGTCCGCTATCTCTTGGGGGAGAGCAGCCTGGAAGAAAGCATCGCATGGATCCTGGGCGAGACTGCTGAAACGGTCAAGTCACCTGTCAACGGCCAGCTCGATGGAGACGAATCTAGCGATGAAGACGAGGTTGGCTTGTCCCACAGTCAGGAGCTTGGAATGAGCTCCGAACTCCTTCGACCGGTCAATGCGAATGTGAATGTCCCTGTAGCCAAGGTATGCGGTGCGCTATGGTCGAACGATGGCCGTTTGGTGTGCTTCTTCCCGTCTAAAAAGGACAAATCGGCTTCTCTGCTGGAAAACCTAGGGTTCAAAGAGATGACTAGACTGTCGAGAGCCGATAAAGTCTTTGAGGGGTTTGGTCGTTTGCAAACGAATTCCCCAGGGCCTCGGCCCACTGGAACGATTACGAGCACGGATGATGGTACATCTGACTACTCTGACGATTCGGACGCTGAATCCTCAAGCTCTTCGGGGTCTTCTGGTATCTTGTCGGGGCTACAGCACCGATTTCCGACGCCCCAAACGTGGCGCAGTGCCGGTAGCATGGGACTCTACCGACCACGCTCTACAGATAACTCCCAGAGATCTACTGCGGGGGCTATGACTTCCAAATCCTCTGATCCTCCGCAGAACTTGATCTCAATCCACGATTTAAGTGACCTGCTTCCTTCAAAACGCGACCTAGCAAGAAAGTACCGCATTTGCGGGAAGGGTACCGACGTATGTGCCCATAATTGTTCGGTAGCCCTCGATCATGGATATCATGAACTGGCCCGGATCTGGGGTCTGCTTAGATCGATCTTGCATAACTCCAAGGAAGCCATTCTCCCTCCTGACCCAGAAAATGCCGAGACCAAATATCTCATGCGGAGAAAGGACAGCGCTGTGGATTTGAGCTACGATATGAACACCAACCAACCTCCAAAAGAATCATCTAATGGGATGGTTTCGTGGGGTGATCATCCTTTTGGAAGCCGGTGGCTCATACCGGCTCTTTTTGAACATTTCGAACGGAATGGCGACGTGCAGATGGTCGCAATGCTATCTTGCATACTATATGAACGCAGTTGCGATGAAACCCGCCCGCCGGAGCGGGCGCGCCACAGAAAATCAGCATCAAGACGACTAGACCCCGGGACTTTCCCAATGTTCATTCATTCCCATGCAAGCTCGCAGAACAAGCCTCAAACAATAACGCCGCCCGGTGCCACACCGAAAGATAGCCATGCTACGCCTGTCACCCAAAGTTCCGCACGCTCTTCCTCCGAAAATTGGCGGGCTGATTCCACGCCTCCATATTCCACGGGCACAACTCCTCCGGTTCCAACTCGTTTCCCAAATACAGGCGCAGAGAGGAGGGCTATGAGTCAGACTGTGTCTATCGCTGCTTCCCCTGACCAGCAGTTGCAGCCGCGTAGTGGGTCAGGGTTCGGCTCTGTGCTGGCTTCTTCACTTTCGCGCTCCTTCACATTCGGGCCCTCATCGGCCTCGCCTCCAGGACACGCCTTGTCCAGGAAAAAGCAAAGCCCGGGCGGTAGCCCTAACGCCACTGCGGGCACCTGGGGAACGAATGCCTTTGCCGCGAAGCCAGTGACAGCAGTTCCAGAGTATCTCACTACATCAACCGCACTCACTTCACGAACGCATTCCGACAGCGGAAGCGACAGGGCGCAAATTCCCAAGCCGGCAGGAAGGCTTCAGGCGAGGCTGAAGAACCAAGGGGCTTTTGATTGTGATGGAGGGGGTTCACGAACTTCGTTCATTGATGCCAGCAAAGAGCAGTTATACCGCGCCTACCGTGTAGCATACGCTCACATGCTCTCAATATGGGGCTTACCCGTACAGCGCAGCGAAGTTCTAAAGATCGGCAGAACCAACAATCCAGGCACCGTTCCCTGGCGCTCCAGGGGCCACAAAGACTCGTTCTCATTCTCCAGTCTCCCCATTCGGCCATCCACCGCCCCAGGCACCGGTCGCGCCGAGGGACTAGAAATCCAAAGACACTGTAGCGGGTGCGGAAAGGCCCTCCAGGTCTCCATCTTCTCGACCCAAGCACTGGCAGAAGAGACCATCAGACACCGAATCAAAGGCAACACCCTACCACCCACCTGTCTAAACTGCAAACCCAAACACGCGCTCGCCTTCAAACTCCCCTGCATCATCTGCGGTGAAGTAGTCGAAGGCATGCTCATGCCCTGTCTCGGCTGCGGCCACGTCTGCTGCTTCACCTGCCACGCAGGCTGGTTCTCCACAGCCACCACAACCACCACATCAACCTCTATCACCGACGACACCCCCGCCCAAGACGCAGAGTACTGCCCCAGCGGCTGCGGCTGTCGCTGCTCCGAATACGCCGTCACAGACATCGCCGCCCCCTGGAGTCCCTCCTCCCCAACCCTAAGCAGCGACAACAACAACGGCAGCAACCCCCTCAACCGCTCGCAGCGCAACACCACCAACCGCCGCTCCGACGGCTCCAGCCGAAACGGCGACATCCTCGCCGCCAACGTCGGCCAGCACGAAGACGACCTCGACCACTGGCAGGCGAGTCCGTTTGCGTCGCTCGCGAGGGGCCTCGGGGGCGGACTGAGTCGAGGTCTGCGTGCGAAGGACGAAAAACGCAAGTCGAAGCCGGCTAGTGCTGCGACTTTTGTGCCGAGGAAGACGGCGCTGAATCAGGTTGAGTATTGATCTGGCTTCCTTCTTCTGCTTCTTCTTTTTTTGTGTGGATTTGGCGAGTGTATGCTGTTGTTGTTAATGGTTGTATGTTGTTTCTTTACTTGTTTGTTGTTATTTGCTTGTCTGTTTTATATACCCCGATGCTTGCGTCTTTTGGACGTGGGATTTATTTATACTTGTATTATTAGGAAGGAAGGTGGTGGGATTTTAATAAATGTACAACACTGTTATTTATGTTAATATATGCATCTCAACTATACTATACTAGTAGTTACTACAAACGGAGGAACTACTGAGTACAGTAAATATTGAATAACTTCTTCTAAAGAAAGGTATATCATCAATTTTCATTCCGGAAGGATAATGCCCACAGCACACTTCTCCCAATATACACATCGCAAACGCCAAAATTAAATAAACATATACCTCAGCAACGGAAAACCATGGTACACTCAAAAACAGCATATCAACCCCCAAACAACCACACAAAAACAGACATAACAACATCAATGCATAACAACAGCCACATTATCATTCATATAATCGCCAATATTCTCCAAGAAAAGCGCAGCAATGATACTCACGCCCCCGAACCCAATACTAGCGTAGTACACCCACTTGTAGCTCTCTGCGAAGGCGATCCGCCCCGCGGTTACGACAGCGTTGTAGGCGGCCTCGTTGCCTGCGATGCCGGGGATGTGGCGGATTTCGTCGAGGAGGGAGGCGCCGGTGAGTTCGATGGCCTCGGCGATGTGGGTTGCGTTGGTGATGTGGAGTTTTGTGAGCATGACGCCGCCGATGTAGTGCGTTGCGCTGGGGGTGAATTTCGAGATGAAGATGTTGTAGTAGATTGTGTAGCCGATGCTGCCGCCGACGACGCGGATGGAGAGGGTGAGGGCGGAGATGGTGGCGATTAAGTCCTGTTTTGTGTAAGTTTATTGATACTTGTGTCCTTTCTTGGTTGTTCGTTCTTCGGAGGGTAGAGAATGAGAGATTGGAATGGAAATGGTGACATACGTCTGGACAGATGATAGTGGTCATGATCGATGCCGGAACGACAATCCCACCAATGCCGAGCCCCGCGACGATGAGGGGACCCCAGACTTGGTACAAGTTATCCAGTCGAGCGACCGCGAGAGCACCACATCCTAAGATTGCTGTGAGCATGATTTGCATTGGGGGCCTCGGCTTGGGATCTTACCTGCTGTCATGAGAACGCTACTGATGATCAACAGCTCCTTGTTGCGGCCGCGGAACACACTAAGCAACCACAAGACGATACAGGCACCACCCATGATACCAAAGCCAATAGGAAGACTGCGCACGCCCACGGCCACAGGGTCATGGCCGTACACGTTGAACGACTGCGTAGGCCAGAACATGATGACGGAGAAAAAGTTGGCACCCGAGATGAAGGTGATGACCAGTGTCAAGCCCAGAGTACGAGGCTCTTGCTTCAAACGACTTGGGAAGATCGGGTATTTGGCGCCGTAGACTTCCCAGACGCCAAAGGCAACCAAGAAGGCGAAACCGAGGATGAGCGGGGCAAGAACATGGGCAGATGTCCAGTCGTACTGTGAGCGATGTCAGCGCCTGAGGCCCAAGTACAGGGGAGGCAAATGTACCTGATATCCACCCCATTGCATACCAGCCATAAACAGGATCAAACCAACAATGCTGAGAAAACCACCGATGAAATCAATGCGTTTAATCGTCTCCCATTTGTTCAGACCTTCCGAGTTCACGCGAGGAGGCGGAAAGTAAAACAGGATCGTGACCAGCAGGCCGAATCCACTCCACGCGCCGCAGAATGCACCGACGTAGCGCCAACCACTGTGGGCGGCGATAAGCTGCGCCCAGAGGACGGAGGGGCAAAACGGGACAATGGTGAAGATCAGGATAGACACATATTTGCCCCGGAGTCTGGTTGGCGCCATTTCGGAGGTTGCAGCCAGGGCTGTCAATTCATTGACACCGGCACCGGCGCCTGCAATTGCCATCCCGGCTAATTTTGGTCAGTTAAGCAGAGACAGTGCTAGGGGACAATAATACCAATGAATATATTCATCGTATTTGCGGTGCTGCTGACTATCATGCCGATGCAGACGAGGGAAGCCCCGATAATAGCGACATATCGACGACCGATCAGATCCGATAGGGAACCAACAAACGGACAGACACCCGCAAGACCTAGAAGGTTTGCCAGAACAAACCAGACCCATCTGTCTGCCCCGCCAATGCTTGCGTAGATGTATGGCGGAATACCTCCTGTAGATCCAGTTAGGACGTTGATAGGGAGACATCGTCTTTGATCGCGGAAGGAGAGAAGACGTCGTCAGATCTCATCTAATTGTCAACCCACCGAAGAGATAAACTGGAATCTGGCTGCCGGTCCATAGAAATGCCATCGCCACAAAGCCCATGAAACGACGGAAGGTCATCTGACGGTAGAGAAACCATTGGTCAGCTACGGGCCTGGACACAAACAAAGAAGCATCCGGCCAGCACTTACAGGAATCTCTGCCCCAGGAAGTGCTGCTTCATCGCTGTAGGTCTCCAAGCCAGTCACCTCGTGGTGGCTATAGTTTTGACCCTTATCGGAGGCCATTGATTTCGATTGAAGCACTTTTTCCTTTGAAGGATTGCTGCTTGCATTATCTGCGATCCCCATGTCTGCTTTCTACAGCAGAGAAGTAAAAAGAGGAAGGAAGGTAATAAGGGCAATGTGTTGGGCCGACACTTAACCCGCACTGTGCTAGCGATGAGCAATGTAGGAAAGAGACCAATATATCACCAGCTCCAGTCAAGTCAGATTATATATTCTTTGTCTCCTTTGAAGCTGGCGACGCTTGGCTATGTAGATGGACAGGCCCCCTTGATAGCGACATGACGCCCATGCGTGGGTCTGAGCGTACACTCCAGAAGCTCAATCGGCTGATGGGCCCGAAGACGACGCGTTTTAAATGCAACCGAGGCATTTTCCCAAACTCTGGTGCGATCAAGCCGCAAGACGACAATGCCGAATGCCGACCTAAAGGGACTAACAGGGTAAAATGTCCAAGTGGAGTAAGGTCGAAGGTTAAGGCGGGGGTGGAGAGCGTGGAGAAGGATCCGCCCCCAGTCAGGTGTCTGTCCCGACCAATCGACGTTCTCTCTCCCCGACAAAACACCGACTGAACTCAAGCAAACACTAAGGTATGATAGCTGGAGTGAAACATGAACTACTGGGGTAGTCTCTTTTAAAATGAGGGTTGGTGTCCAACTGTCTCGGCTCACTTTTATTGGTCTTACTATTCTGGAGTTAGAAACACTGTCTCTGCAGTTTAATTTCTTAGCTATATACATACTATGCAAATCCAGGTTTATATATCATGTACAAGGTTGTACCGGAGAGGACGTTGCACATCGACCGCAGTTAGTGTTTCGGAGATGAAGGGTTGTCCAGCCTCCCTGGGCAATTTCTTTCTCGGGGCCTGTGGGCTGTCGGATGCGTAGTGGGAGGATTGCAGGACACAGCACAGACGTCAGAAGTCCAGTCAGCCCACGTGGCGTGAATAGCGTTTGCACCAGCAGAGACTGGGGCCACCGACAGGCGCGAGATCTCAGAATCGATCTCCAAGCGTCCGGAGTTCGTATTTCTTGGGAACCACAAAGAGGCCAGATGCCTGGGCACACACTTGACCCATGGGGTCGCGGACCTCACCCGTGACATAGGCTTTCCGATCGGTACTCCGTTCCTGGTCAAGCGTGGCGTAGAAAGTATAGAAATGACCGGAAAAGACAGGGGCCCGGTAGTTGATCTCGAGATTCGCAGTGACCCCCGTACGCTCCGGAAGATGCCGTACCGCAGCACGGCCCAGATGCTCATCGATTATGGTGCCAAGAGCACCACCGTGGACAACCGTTGGCCAACCTTCGATGCCGGTACCCAGATAGACGATATTTACAGCCTTCTTCTCCTTGTCGTTCCAGAATATTTTCTATACGAAGCGTCAGTTACGTGGATAAACGTCCCGAGGCTCATGCGCCATCTGCCGGTATTCGGGCAGTCATCCATTCGGCACTTCAAAAGTGCCAGCGGAGCCAGCCCTTCCTCCACACCGCCAGGGTTTGGCTTGGAAAAAGGTGAAACAGGTGGAACTAACCTGGAACGCCACTCCTCTGCTCCCCCGCAGCAAGCCAGACGTAAATCGATTCATCTTGTCGTCATCCGAGTAGTTCACGTAGACGTTATCCTCGATGTAATCCGGGTTGTTGCGCAGTTTCTTCACGATGGGGAGCTGGTGTTCGTATACGCGATGGATGTCCTCCAATCGACGACGGTCTTCGTCGGATCCCGGTCGCGGGGGGGCAGAGACCTTCTCATCCATCCATTTTCCAGCGAATGTTCCCAGAGAGCCGAAGATGGCGGCGTAGACCAGGCGTCGCGGCCACTTGGATGGCTCGGTCGTGGGGCTCGGGGCGACAGAGCTGACGTTTCTGGAGGCTTGGAACCTGGACCGTGAAAGAGATTGAGGCGCAAGTAGCCGGAGCCGAGACTGTAAGACTCTGCGAGGACCAAACATCGTGATCACATCGCACTGTTGCACGGAGAGCCAGGAGTGATGAGCGTTTGGGTTTGGAGTTCTTAATGAGGACGGAGTCTTGGCGCGAGTCGGCGCGGCCAGGCCGAGGTTGTATGGTGAGAGCCTGAGGCAGGTATATACATCACGTGACAAATAACGGTGGAATTCGAGGTATATCATTGATACATTCATGCTGGTCGTTGTTGTACCTTCTCAGCATAAGTTGGTTAATTACTACTACTGATTCCTCTTCTGTGTCACTATCCCCTCAGGCCATTACGAATTCTGGTCGAAGCCTCATAGAATGTTCCATCTGAATAGGCTAATTCATTTAGCGATTGCTAATGCGACATGAATACAGCACTGTGTGCGTGGTTCGATAGTCAAAGTCAGTCTTCAATATGTAGACAACTTGACCATCTACACGTGGTGCTTTGCACAGTGAGACCGATGAACCACAGCATCTGGCTTTCCCGGTGCTTGGCTAGTAGCATTTTACCCCACGGCGCACGAGTCCCAAAGTCAGAGATAACGGATCAATCTCCGCTCGGCGTGGATCACTCGCAGAGAGCAGTCGTAGCGCCCGGTCAAGTTTCTATTCCATGAAACGCCATTGCTTGAGAGAATTGTTCGCCAGGAACCACCAGACCCAGTCCGAAGACGCGCCCTTTCTCCCTAGCGAAGAACAAACAACATGTCCGGGTAGAGTCAGAACAGCTGTTCCCTCAAGGTCACTTGGAGCCACCTCGCTTCTCTGCCTCGCGGCTTTCTTCGAGTGCCTTTTGAACCCAAGAGGGCGTGCCCGCCTTGTCTGACGTCGGCTGCTTGTGGCGGGTATCAACGGACCCTGGGGGAATCTGCGCTTCCCGGCGAGCGGTGTTTATAGAACTGACGCAGTAGGAGCACAGGATGACGGCCATCGAAAAGGCAGCTATCGGGGCACTGAGGGACTGTCCATATCACTGGAAAGTTAGCGTTGGTCCATTCGCATCGGGCATGAATGCTGAAGAAGGGTCGAGATAGATCAGAAATCAACCATGACGTACCCCTGGTGTCCGTCCAAAGATCTTCCCCGCCATTTCTGCGCAATTCGATGTTATACCACCAAAGCAATGACAAGCAGAGAGAACTGCTGCTACGTAATGCCGAGGATTATTCACGGAAAATCCAAAGATCCGGCCGCAGAATGGGGAAACGTTTATCAGATGGAGGCGATAAGCCTGTATTATTTGTATTATTGTATTGACCGGTCTCGCTTCGTAATGTGTGTTTCTGCTCCCTTTTGTTGGTCCGTCAGCATCTTCAAACCGGTTGAATACATCATATCCAGTCCACCAACAAATCATAGTGGAACTGCCATTGCCAACCATAGATAACAGACCAGACAACTATTTGGTACTCGACCAGTTACGCCATAATCTGCCATATCCCACTGACTAAGCCGGTTATACATCCCTCAGTCAGGTAGTTATGTGTATGTATCTCCGAGGCCGGACTTGTGGATGGCGACGGACTTACCCAAAGGGGTTTAGTGCATACATAATTACTAACGTCTAAGTTAATCAATCAGTGATTTAATCTTTCTTCCTTAAAGGTACTAGAACCAACATCGCTACCTCGGGCATCTCATCTTTCTTCCAACCATCTCATCACCACCACCACCCACCTTTATCTCAGACGACATCTATTCGAATCTATCTCAATACCACCGCCTTCATCACATACATAATGTTCCGTCGTTTGGTAACAGTCGCTCCTCGCTCGGTGGGCACTCTGGTGTCGCCTCGCGTCACCCCGGCCCTTTCCGGCCTGCAAACCGCCACCCCCATCTCCAGAGTCGCCCCTGCCTTCCAACGGAGAGGATATCACGAGAAAGATAAGTAGCTTCTGAGCCGGGATCGCTCGGCGACCTGTTTTTGTTGCGAGGAAAATGCTGACCGCATGCACTGCTCGACCACTACAACAACCCCCGAAACGTCGGATCGCTGAAGAAGGGTGACGTTGATGTCGGAACTGGCCTCGTCGGCGCTCCCGCCTGTGGCGATGTCATGAAGCTGCAGATCCGCGTCGACAAGGACACCAACAAGATTGCCGAGGTCAAGTTCAAGACTTTTGGCTGCGGCAGTGCCATCGCCAGCTCCAGCTATTTGACCGAGTTGGTGCGCGGCATGTCTCTGGACGATGCTGGCAGAATCACGAACAACGAGATTGCCAAGGAGCTGTGTCTTCCTCCTGTGAAGTGTATGTTTCTCTTATTTCGCCTGTAATGTGACGACATGCTGACTGTACCAGTGCACTGCTCCATGCTTGCCGAGGATGCCATCAAGAGCGCCATCAACGACTACTACACCAAGAACCCCAAGGCCGCCAAGACCGACCTGGGTGGTACCGGCGCTTCTCTCCCCGATATGAAGATCGAGGTTGAGAAGACCGACGGTACTCCCGCCTCCTTGTAAATCTTTTAAGGAAGCATCATAAAAGAACAAAAAAGCAAAACACCCAAAAAAAAGAAAGCATGATACCTCTTGTCGATACCAGTTGAAGAGATTTTTTTTTCCTTTGTTGAGAGTTGTATAGTTGCGCTCGTTCGATGCCTATGCTTGAAATACCGGATGGTTGAAAACGAGCGTGGCGAGTATGTTTTAATGCATGGAATTTTTGGCGTCGTCATTCCAGTAGCAAGACTGATTTGGCTTCGATTGTATAAGTTTATCTCATTTATTTCTTACTATTTTTTTTTTCTTTTTTTATTTGTCTCGCAGCAAGGAAAGGCGACGTGATATATTTGAACAGCAGCGCTTACTTGTCACATCATTAGCTTAATGAAAAGCATTACGAGATAATCCTTACTTTCTACAATAAGCAAATGTTTAAAGAATATTCAGAGAAATAGCAGAGCTTGAAGACCACGCGACAAGACCATATGCAGCACATGGAACTACTGTAATTGAGGGGGAGGGGAAGCGTCTGAGAATTATCTCTGCAGCATCACGTTCATTGGGGTCAAGTACGTCATATCCTAGGCTATATGCATGTTTACATGACCTTCATAGATAGACCCCAAGTTATACTATTTGGAAGTTGGTATTCGATCAGTCATGCCCGACTTGGATAAATACCCAACCTGAATAACTTAGCAAGCCTTCAGTATGAAGACAAAAATTCGACCAGAGTAGTCACCTATCAAAACAAGACCAGAAAAACCGATACTTCATATATAGTAGAGTATATACAAAAGCGGTTTAATCCCCCTACCACAAGTCATCATGAGTGAGAAAGATCAAATACCCGCAGGATCACAGGTACACCTGCTTGACTTGACCTCACTCTACCTTAATACTTACCCCATACTAATGTCAACGGGGTTTCCAGTATTGGTACCAGGCTATTGCAAAGACCAACATATACTATCACGATGACTACTGATAGCTCCGGCACAGACTATCTATCAATTAATATGTTCGCCAATCTATCTATCTATGTATATATATGTATGCGATGTGCGTTGCCGAACCGCCAAATCCGGCCTCTATAGACACACACTCATTTGAACTTTCACCTAGCCATCCGTCGCAATAGCCTCAAACCAGAATTGACAGACGGCCTTGTATAATAAACAATCAACCCGAAGAAAAGAAAGAAGAGAAAAACGCCAGCTGTGATACTGATGCTGATACACAGATGCTCCTCGTGTATGTATTTTCCATCAGGTCGAGGTCTTGGTGTATCTGTATCTGTATCTGTATCTTGTATCGTATATAGAAATTGTCGATGTTGTACATGTGGGGGTTGTCTAAACGGAAAGGAAAAGGGGCAAGAAAAGGAAATGAAAGGAAGGGAGGAAACAAAGAAAAAAGATACCACCGAGGGAAGAGATCACCCAAGCAATCCCAGTCGGCTCTTCAACGACAACACCGTCTCATACACAGAGAGCTTCAGCTCCACGCGCAGATAGCCAGCCCACGCTCGGAGGAACCGCAAAAAGTTAAACGGGCGCAATACCCCACCAGTCGCGTTGATATCGTCGATCTGCTCTTCGAAGACTGTGCGCGTCGCGTAACGCGCGAGGATCAAGAACGTGCGCACTGGGCCCTGGCGGGTGTGGAGGTTCTCGTCGAGGCTGCGGGCTGGATGATGTTAGTCTAGACCGTACAGTACATACATGAATTTTGATAACTTACTCAAATCATTGGTCTTCAAGATCAGCAGAATAATGCGAGGGACCTGACCCAGCAGTTCCACCAGCTGCTGCAGCATGCCGTCGCTCAAGGCGCCGGACATGTGCTCCCGCTCGGAGGCATCACGCGTCGTCGAAACAATGTCCTTCTTCTGCAGAGCAGTATAATCTCGTCCGGTGATGGCGCTCGCAAACAGCGGGAACTGCTCGTCGGTGATTCCGGCCACCTTGCGCGAGTACTCGCGCATGTGCTCCACGTCGGATTCGATCACCGCCAGCCAGAGCTTGGCGTAGTTGCGGCGCAGGTCGGTGGGGATGTCGCGGTACAGGCCGTGGTCGTAGAGGATGATCTCGAAGTTGTGGCGGCGGCCGTTGGGGTTCTTGCGGATGGCGATGTTTCCGCCGTGGGGGTCGCAGTGGAGGGGTGCGCCGTTGCCGAAGATCATCTCGTTGAAGACGTGGGCTAGTTGCGCGGATACCTCGTCGCGGTTGATCTGGTTGGCGTCGAGGGACGCCAGGTCGTCGGGACGGCAGCCGGAGATGAACTCCATGACGAGGATGCGTTTCTGAGACCAGATGACTGCGCTTGTTAGTACTTGCAGATTGATCACCAGACATCAGGAGTAGACAAACCATCGGGGATAACGACTGGCGCATCAGAGTGTTTCTTAAAGTACTCGCTAGCCCGCGTAGCATTCTGCCCCTCCATCCGGAAATCCAACTCCTGAGGCAGAGACAGGTCCATCTCGCGAGACAGCCACTCGAGATCATACTCCGGGAAAAATCGCTTCAGCATCGAGAACGTAAACCTAGTCAACGCAAGATCCAACGGGACCCACTCCGCCAGCGCGGGGTGCTGCACCTTAACAGCAACCTTCTGACCCGTTTCCTTCAGCGTACCGATGTGAACCTGCGCAAGGGAAGCAGCCCCGATAGGCACGGGGTCGAAATCGAAAAACAGATCGTCGACGCCGTGGCCCGTGTCGGCGAGGAACATCTGCTCGATGGACTCGAGCGACGACACGGGGCATTTGTCTTGAAGCGGCACAAAGGTCGTCGTCCACTCCAGCGGGAGCAGATAGCCCATGCTACTCAGGTGTTGTCCCAGCTTAATGAATATCGAACCGTTCTTCTCCAGAACGCGGAGCGTCCGCTCCGCGCATCGCTTGTGGCATGCCTTTAGTATTTCGCTCCGTTCCTCGGGGGTCGACGTCTCTTGCTTGAGCGTAACTCGGTAGCTAGATCGCACGCGTCAGCTAGATATCCCAAAACATAAACGACATATGACCATGTCACCTACTCATTGATACAGACGGCTAGAGTCCCCACCACCCGTCCAGTTCTCGCAGCAGCGCGATAAAGATGCTGAGCCTGGTCCGAAAACACCGCTGCGCCAACAACAATCGTTCCCCCAATAACAGCATATTTCACCAATTTCCTCTGCGACCGGTTTGAGCCATGTCCATCATTATGCGCCTGTCCGGGTCCGGTTGTATTCGTCGAGTAGGATGCCGCATGTGACGTCGAAGGCCAAGGTGTTCGGTAGCGTCGCGCACACGCCCCAGTCCTTATTCCTAAAGTTCCGCTCGGGGGAGATACGAGCGGCGCAGGCGCATTTTGAAAGGATCGAGTCCACGGCGCAGCGGTCGAGGCGTATCGTGGAAGTGTCGTCGTCGTCGCAGGGTCAAACCGGGACGCCCGCAGCGCAGCCGAGCGGAGCGCCGCCCTCATTCCGAAAAGTCTAGTCCAGACCAACGAGTAAGACCAGAATATGTAGGCGGGCAATGCGAGAATTCTTTCCTCCGTTTCGGTCAACAGTAAGCCATTGTACGGCGGGCGAGAGAAATGTAAAGAAATGGCGGGTGGCGTTGGAGAGAGAGAATAATTTGTTCGACAGGAGGAATAATTCCGAGAGTGAAGGTTGACCCACTGCGCGCTCTCCGTTTCGCCGCCTTCGCAACTCTTGCCTTTTTCCCGCATCATACTTTGGACCGAGGGCGTAGATTGGGGTTAACTATTGAAGGGTTTACGACCGCGGGGTTTATTCTCATTTATTCATTTAGATTCAGTGCTTACAATCCTTCATATATCATGGATCTGTACTTTGCCCGATTAATCAATTACAATAGAATAGACAGCGTTATCACATGCCGTACAATTATCTACACTCCGATAGACTGTATGTTCATCATCGATTAATACAACACAAACTCCCGATTTATCGTGAGCCGGCAAATGCAGTCCCATGCTCGAAACGACCCATGTAGCACCAATCCTGACGTCCCAGAAGGGCTCATGGCATTCGAAAGATCATACTCCCAATGCGCCATACCATGCAATGTACACCAACAACCGTCCGATGAGACGGGATCAACATGAAAATGTCAAGAACATAGCCAGTTACGCGGCCCAGTCCGTTTCCGTCTGAGTCGGGCGACGGCGGCGGGGAAGAATTGACTGTCGTCGGGAAAGCGAGCTCGCTGGTCGAGGGTCCTCTTCGTTCAAGAGCTCGGCATGAGAGAGTCTGTTGGACAATGGTCGTGACAGCCTTTGTCTCGATGCGCCCGGGTTTCCATTGACTCCTGATACTAGACCGGGGCTGGCCCCGTCCCTGCTTCCAGGCCGCAGCGCCAAAGAAGAACCGCTGAGCGCATTCCGTGGATGTCGTGGGCCCTCGCGTCCTTCATAGAATCCCTTCGACTGACTACTCCTATGCGGTGTGGATGGCGCTGATTGGTTCACGAGAAAGCCAGGGGGCGTGGCGGATGTACTCTGCCGACGTAGGCCGGGCTTGCGCTTGCCCAGACTATAGGCTTCGCTCTTTTCGTTGGACTGGATAAGCTTACCAGCCATGTCTCTCACAAGAATGGCAGGATCTTGTTCCAACTCTCGAATTGCGTCGAGTAGGTCATATCGCGCAAGCAGACCCCCTTGCTCCTCCGTCGAGTCGCAAATACTAGATATTATTCGCAGCAGATTCAAGCGTACCGCAGCCTTGTTATGGTGCAACTTCTGCCCGATCCTGGTGAACAAATCTGGTCGAGCCAAGGTGGAAGCAATCGGGGGACTGAGTCTCAGGAGCTTCTGAAGGGGCTCAAGAAGATTCTCAAAAGCATTGGCCTTAGATACGGTCAAGCAGCGGACAATAGCATCCGTAAACGATGACTTGTCAGCGCGGCCATCCAGGAGGTGCTCCTCGACCTTGGCCGTTTCCTCTTGCAGCCTGGAGAATGTCAGTTGAGGGTAGACCTTCCAAACGGAGTGGTACGGACCATGTGAAAATAGCATCCAGAGCAGTCACCTGCCAGTATGGATCAGAGAGAAGGGAGATGTAAAATGCCAGTCCTTTATTGCGCCACAGCTCACGCCGCCCAACCTTCCCAGATTGGGCCATGTCGCAAAGAATCGGCAAAGCAAACTCCTTCAGTGGCCGTTCAGTCTTCACTATCTTTTGCAGTAAAGGCACAATCCCGTTCAAGGCGGCATCCTCCTGTCGAGATTTGTTCAAACGACACATATTGTAGATAGTGTTCAAGATCTGATTAGACACCTCTCGGAAATGTGGGCGTTTTATGGTCGATCTTAGGAGTTCGGTCAGCACGTCAATCGCGTTGGAATTCTGCAGCGAGTCCAAGGTCGTCGACAACATGGACAAATTCTTGATGAACTTCAACATAGTAATCTGATGAGCAGGAGTCATGCGCTTCAGCTCCTTGAGAACCCCTTAGGGGATGTTAGCAAAATGTGACAGAAAGGGTCAAGGGCGTTCTTACTATGAAGGACAGTTCGCTCAGAGACCATCTCTTTGACATGATTCTCGGCCTGAGAGAAAATGAAAAAGATATTCGCAATCCGACCTTCAATGATCTCCGCTAGCTCCCCTTCTTCGTCCAGTACACGGCTCAAGACGAGAGACAGAGGATCTAGAACAGAATTGCGTGATAAGATTCGGCAGAAATCATTCTTTGGCGTCGATCCCTGAGTTCGGTCAGACTCCTCCGTTCGGCACGATCCGTGGAAACATGATACTCACCTGCAGCTCAAAGACATTCCAGATCCCATTGACCCCGATCAAAACAAGATCACGCTCATCTTCATAGTCATCCTCCAAAAACTCAACCAACACATTCAGGCCTCCGGCACTGACAAACATTTGGAGAGTAAGGGTAGACGTCTGATACATCTGTTGCACAAAAGCAGCTGCTTCCAGGCGAATCTCTCGCGGGTACTTTTTGGAGGCAAACTCATTAATAATAGGGATACCTCCAACAAAACACAGATTCTCCTGGATCTCATAGTCGTTGTATATGATCGCGTTGACAATCCTCAGCAGGCAGAATACGATGTCGCGGCGACGGCACATATCGAGGATTTCCAATATCGGGAGCATTCCGTGGGCACTAATTATGATATTTTTCGTTTCCGGAAGATCACAGAAGACCGTCAGAAGCTGTTCCGATATGTCTGCGAGAACGTCTTCATCCTGAGAGGTCTTCAACGAACTGACGAGTCCCTCCACCTGGTTGCGGAGCCGGGCGTGTTTATCGCGTGCAATGTTGGCCTCGAGGTCCATTTCGTCCAGCCCTTCCTCAAGCTGGGCGAATGGATCATCTTCATCATCCTGGTCTCCAAGCCACGAATTGTTGGACAGTTTGGAGTTGAGCATCAGTGTGCTCTGCCCGGAGCTACCATCACTATCTGGTTTGTCTAAAGCGACTTCACCTGCGCCTAAGATGTCAGAGAAATCTTCGTCACCTTCTTTCTCCGCGAATCGCTGGATCTCGATCGCAGAGCGATGCCGCTTGACCGAAATCCGTTTTCTGAGCTGTGGCATTTGGTCCTCCCCATCATCGGACGATTCCTGGTATCGAGAAAGATCCTTTGTAGGCGAGGATCCAAATAGCTCGTCATCCTCATCGACCTCCTAAGAAGATGTTAGTAAAGCCAAGACTTGGATACATGCATATTTACCTGAAAAGCGCTGAGTTTGTGGTCCAGCACATCCTCATTCGCTTTTATGAGATCAGAATAATCTTCGACGGCGTTCTCTTTGAAAAACGACGCGGGACGCTGCGATCTCGCCGGCGGAACAGGGTGTTGCAAAATTGGCACATTCTGCACCACTGACTTGTTGGTGACCGGACGAGAAGGAGTCTGGAGGTGCGCGTCCTCTGGAATCGCTGCTTGGGTGGGGTAAGGCCGAATGGTCTCCTGTAAATCTGACTCTCCGAAGTCTTCAAACCCATCGTCTGTCTTCAAAACTGTGCCATCTAGAGATGCAAATGCCTTAAGCTTTTCAGAGGAAAGCATGCCGCCAAAGTTATCATGTGGGCGTAGGTGAGGTAACTGCAACGCGCTAGGCGAGATAGCCGTGACGAAGTCGTTATCCCAGTTATCTTCTTCCGTAGCATCGGGAGATCGGAATCGGTCAGAAACATATTTGGAGGCTGGTAGCCCATCTTTTGTCGGAGTGCTCCGTGACGACGGCAAGACCTGTCGTAGGGGCGTTGGATTTGGTTCATAACGGAACGTCCTATGCATTGTACCCGTATCGGGGGACCGTAGAGCTTCGTTCCATTCTTGAACGCTTTTCACTGCTTCTTCGTACTCGGTTGACTTTTTGGGAACCACCGAGTCTGATCTGCGCGCATTGACGATCCATGGATGTTTAAGCAACTTCCTGGCGGATACACGAAGATTCGGATCTTTCTGAAAGCATTGCATCAAGAAATCCTTGACAGCCTATTGTGTGTTAGATATTTATAAAAGACAGGTGACCGGGAAATACAAACCGGAGATGCACCCTGCGGCAGTGGGGGATGGTCATCGTTGACAATGCGGAAAAGAGCTGGCATTGGCTGGAGATTATGATACGGCGGCTTTCCTTCCAGCAGCTCGATCACTGTACACCCAAGACTCCAGATGTCTGACGCCGTTGTTGCACCAGAAAGTTCAATGACTTCTGGGGCCATCCAGTAGGGGGTGCCAACGACACTCGATTCGCTCAAACCAGTCGTCCGGCTGGCCACGCCGAAATCTGCCAGTTTGACAAGACCTTCTTTGGTCGTTAGGATATTTGCTCCTTTGATATCTCTATGGATGACACCCTGCTCATGTAGATACAAGAGGCCATGGAGAACCTGGGACATGTACAATCCCACCAGGTTCTCAGGGAAGCGGCCAAAGTTTTTGGCGATAGAGTGCAGGGACCCATTCTCGCAGTACCTTGTTTCGTCAGCACCACTAACAACGTGAAGAGGATGAGAGAACTGACTCTAGTATGATATTCAGGGTCTCAACCGACTTTACAAATCCCTGGTACTTGACAATGTTTGGATGCTGCAAGAGTATCAGCCAAACCGCACGGTCTCTCAGTCGTAGTCCCCGCAACACTCACGTCTAAATTTTTCAGGAGATCGATTTCTAGCTGCAACACACAATATTAGCGTCAAGACTTGACCAGCCAGGGCAGAGCGCCTTACCATAATAACCCGAAGTTCACTCTTCGGCAGATCAACCAGTTTAATCTGCTTCACAGCGACCGTCTCCCCAGTATTCCAGTTCAGCGCCCTATAGACCGAACCAAATGCACCTCTACCCAAGCAATCACCCAGTTGCTTTTAACCGCCAGCGTCAGTCAGCACACCGTCAATCCCAAACGTGCGCTAGGGGCCTTTGCCATACGTAGTCTTTCAACTCTGCGACATCTTTCGCCGACGATTTCGATACTCTCTCGTCCCTAGGTCTATCCTCCCGTTTCGAGGGACTGGAGCCGGGTCTCGCCAGTCGAGATTTGACGGGGGTGCCGGGGCGTTTCGACGACGGAAGAGGCCCCTCACCGGCCTCGGAGGCTCGAGATACCATCGCGGGGTCGAAGCGGAAGAAAGTCCTCCTTGTATCGTATCAGATTCGACTTTGGATATCGACTTGTTTAGATGATTGCGTTTTAGTTCGAAGACGATGGAAATAAACGGGCAAGCGCCAGGGAATCGGTCGGATCACTCATGTCAGCAAAAAACCTGGGGATAGCGAACATCCAATCAGTAAAACTCGGAGACATTATAGCGCTTGAATTGACAAGAATAAGACAGTAAGATAGAAGGTGAGCCAGGTTACCGATGATCAAGCTATACCTCAACGCCGTGGGGAAGAAAAAAAAAAGTAAACATACTGAGCGACTCTTAATCTCTAGCCTCTAGAGCTGTGCTGGACCCACCGCGTCGAGCAGCCCATCCAGATCTCTCTCTAGACGAGAGACAAAAAACTCCTCTCAATAATGAATCAGAGTGACAAGAGAAACAACAAAACAACAAAATAAGAACAAGACAGGACGAAAGGGGCTGGCTGTTGTGCCCGCTGGCACAAATAGAGTTGGAGGGGATGGATGGATGTTTTGAAGTTTCCCCTTCTCTCCTTCTCCACAGGCCGGAGTAGCTCTTTGGGGCATGACGCACCGACCGGCGGCTGCTGGACTGTATCTCCGATTAACCTTATCGGACCCGAACTATGCCTTCATCTGGGCCTGTCGTTATTTCGCGAACTGGTATTACCCTCGCATGGTGCGCTTTTAATAGAATTAGAATAAATAAGGTGTTCTCTGCGCTACTATGGTTGATGTTCCGGAACTTACGGAACAAAGCTTCTGGAAATGGTCCGTTTGGCAACTAATCACCATGCGATTTGCTTTAACAAAAGATATCTATTTTACAAATAATCCCACATATGGCTGGTAAGGAGAGGGGTATCGCATAAAGAAGACAAATTGCCAGCATTGTTTCATAGTCGGTCCTTCTGTGCACCCCGAAGTAGGCGCAGTATGTCTGACACAAGGTAAAGACTACCTGCAATGGCCATGCTGCCTCCACCAGCCTTGCCAGAAGCCCAGTTGAGGGCGCCCAGAGTATCATCTCCGAATGACTTGACTTCCCCGATCTCAGGTATCGATCGTACGCAAGTCGCCAATTCTTCGGTCTCGGCTGCCTTGACCCAGGGCATGCCGTCGACAGGGCCAAACGTCGTAGTAGCGACCTGATCGCCCGGTTTGATGAACGAGTGGAAGAGAGATGTCACGTCCTTCCCCCGCGATGCTGCAATGACCCATGTGACGCTTTTCCCTTGCGAACGAAGCTTTTGTTCCACGAACTGCCCGAGGACCTCCGCCGACTGCGCATTGTGGGCGCCATCCAGTAAGACGGGTTCTGTGCGCGTGATCAAAGGGTTGAGAACGATCTTTTGCAGCCGTCCAGGCCATTCGACGTTGGATAGTTGCGGGATGAGGCTATCCACATCGGACCCAGGTCGGACTCGAGGAACGGCAAGTTTCAGAGCTGATACGGCACCGCACATGTTCGCCCGCTGGTGAGGCAGTAGATCGAGGTCTCTGAAAACCCCGCCGAGAGACGGTGACAAGTCACCGGGAGCGTTCGGATTGGTGTATGTCGCATTCAGACCGAGCTCTTTGACTCGAGCGTCAAGCGTCGAAAGTACTTCAGGCGAGTTGGTCCCGTCGACCACACACGGGACTCCGGGCTTTAGGATACCCGCCTTCTCGCGGGTGATCTCTTCAATGGTGTTTCCCAGCAAAGCCTGATGATCCAGGCCAATCTTGGCAATAACTGACACCAGAACGTTGTTCAGGATGTTAGTGGCATCCAGCCGGCCGCCCATACCGACCTCGACCACCCCGATCTCCACGCGCTCATGATTGAAGATCTCAAAGGCAGTAGCCGTCAACAGCTCAAACTCGCTCGCTCCGATCCCCAGCGTCTGATCGCGCAGCTTGACCTGCGCTTCTATATGGCGGAACAGCGACTCCTGGACCACGCTCTCGCCGATAGTGATGCAATCCCATCGGTCAATCAGATGAGGGGAAGTGAACCGACCACAGCAGATGCCGTCGGCAGTCAGAAGGTGCGACAGATAGGCACTGATAGAGCCTTTGCCATTCGTCCCCGCGATGTGAATAGCCTTCCAGGACAGAGGCGTCTGCTGGAGGAGGCGGCTTATACGGCTGAGGCCTAGTTCAATCATTCCCGATAAGCTTGACTATAGATGACGGACCAGCATCACTTCATAGTTTGGAAAAGATTATAAGCAGAGGTAGCACTCGTGGAAGAGGTAAGAACCAACAGAGAGCATGTAGGAAGTTCCGCCTCGCATGAGCTGTAATATTGAAGATTGTGGGGGACGAAAGAAAGTCAGTCGATCTTTGCAACTTCTTTCTTTTCCGCCGAGTTTATCGGGGAGCCGCGATAAGAGCTTTGGTGCCTAAGGCGCCTGGGTAGGGAACGTCATATAACTTCTATACTATGTCAATTGTTCTCATATTTATTCAGTCAAATTGTCAGTAATAATGTTTCTCCTGATAACCAAGCATTGTGAGAACTAATTTATCCCAAAGCTCTATGCCCATTACCCCGTTACCATCACGGACGTCATAGTATGCATTTCCCGGCCTCGGCCAGTTTCCCGTGGGAAAACACCTTCAGGTTCTGCAAAGCTTGTTCTGTCTGGCAATTGGCCGGTAAATAAAATCCGGTCTGATATGCCACTACGGTATTCGATATAGTTTATATTTTTGGATGTACATATTAGGTACCAGGGACTTTTGCGCCGCTACCAGCAACCATCAGAAGATCATGCTGTCGGCGTTGAGCTCTCAACACTTCACAAGACAATTCTTCAAGACCCAATCCTGATCTTAAGCTCCTACAGACTACACGTACACATAATTTATGCAAGATATCAAGCAACAGAGTAAGTTTCTATTTGCAGTAAATTTTCGAAGCTAAGCTATGTATCAACCCTAGGGGGATATGAGAAAGCATCAAGCAAACTCCGTAGATTAACCATGATCAGAATTTTCAGTGTATGAATAGTCATTTCCAGAAAGTGACTGGATCTACCATTAAAAGAATGTTCATCATATCAATGGATAACAAGACGGATTTCGCTTGATTCTGCGACTTTGCGCAAAAAAAAAAAAAAAAAAGCAGCCAGGAAAGAAACCTGGGATCTTGCAAGATATCAGTACGATATGGTCTGAATCATTCATTCATTATTTGATTCAATATGCCAACGACACTTCCAGACACCAATTAATGTCTGGCAAGCATCGCACAGCGTCATCTGCTGTTCTGGTGGCAATTTGTCGTATGAGAAGGTCTTCAATGAAGAGTGTGTTGTGGGAGAATTTTGAGATCGGCAGGCGACTTTAAATCCCCACTGGTCACATGATCCCGGCTTCCCTTTTCTGGCGCACCGAAGACTATTTCAGCAGTAGCGCAGTTGCTTCCTCTACTACAGCAAGGAAAGGGTCGAATACTTCCACAGGTGGCGCTGTTTTATTTTGATCTGTGGTTTATAGTGAGTACTAAGGAATGGCACAGGGTGCTGATTAAAATCCATTCAATCTGTTTCCTTACGGCAGAACGAAAGAATAAAGTCTGGGTATGTATTTCATTGATGTAGGAAATGTATAAACAGGCTATGTACAAGAGAATGCCGACATATTGTCAAAACTGAAACAACGCTCAGAACCAAAATTCTTCCGTAAAACAGCAAAGCGATCCATGTGATCATTGAGAACCGCGCGCAGTGAAATCTGAAATCTTCACATGCTAGAGTCGATGATCGCCCTAATAACAATGATGCTAGTCATCAATGCCGAGGAAAATAGCTCGTCCAATAGATGGCGTCTCTATGGAGGTGGAAAGGAGAGGAGTAGCTTCATGGGTGATGTGTGGTCGCGGGCAACTGGTCTGCTTCTATACATTGCCAGTAGCGACACTGTGTTAAGGGGATTGCAACTCATGTGGACAGCCCGAGAAGCCAGGTCGGGCCCACGACGTGTAGGTCTCGGTCGGCGAGAAGTCCGCCAACCGCTCACATACCGACGGCATCGTCAGGATTCTCTCCCAACGTAATCTGTTTTAGCCGTCCCTCGTGTTGAAGATGACCAATCGTCTTTTTGAGGTATTCATATGTAAGCATAGTGGTCATGGCAGCGGGGACAGCACGGAATAGGTTCGTGCCGATTCCCGAGTAGAAGGCGCGCCAGCCTTCCTCCTTCAGGATCGCCTGAAAAGTGCGGATCACCCCGGTGTACCGTGGGCGATTAGGCATGCCATCTGACGAAGCGGCTCCCGGTGGCCGACTGTGATCTGGGTGTTGGTCTAGTGCTCCGCGAAAGGCGATTTCCCCTGACGACGAGCCTGGGACAGAAAATGTTCTCTGCTGGGTTTGAAGTCGGGTTCGCAGCACTTCATGCGGGTACGTCGCGGTGCTCGCACAGACTTTGCTGAGGAAAGTCGCGCAGGATATCCCGATCCAATGGGAGTTGCCATTATCCGGGTGTTCCCCAATGCCATAGCCCGTCAACGCCATCTTAAAGTATTCGTAAAGTGGGAATTGGATAGCAACATGTGTCAATCCCAATAGGGCCGGTGTCAGTCCGGAGTAGAAAGAACGGAACCCCTCGCTCTTGTACATCTTGCGCGCCGCGTCCCATGTGCTTTTGTAATGCCACGGAGCCCGCATTCCTTCGCTGTCCGATCTGACACTTTGAGACATAAGTCGTGTTTTGATAACCCATATTGGGTTCGTCACAATCGTAGAGCAGGCGCCAGCCGTGACCGAGGCGTATCCTCGTGCAAGCCACCAACTGTCTGCAAAAGAGTACAAGGTCAGTAATCCACCAGGAAAAAACCCCCGTCACCCATGCTGTGGCAAATTCACTCACCGGTGGTTCCATAGAAATACTCCCGCGACCGGTCGTACACCGCTAGATAAACAGCCCAGGTCGGCAAGTACCCGAAAATCATGGGACCCAGTCCCTGATAAAGGCCGCGGAGACCATCTTGCCGCACAATTATCCTTCCTGTACCTAACATTCCGCGGTACAATGTTTTGGCGCCCACCTGCCCACCCCTTCGTGCAAATCCACCTTGGGCTTGCAGTTTGGTCTTGATCACATCCAAAGGGCAGGTCACAATACCGGATGCCACACCCGCGCTGGCCCCGCAGAACGGTGTAATGTAGGAATCCGGCATGCGCATAAAGAAAAGTTCGAGGCGATCGGTAAAAGTCGAGTTCGATGGGATTTTAGAAGCGACATGGAGGCTGGACGACGGGACGACATCGGAGTGGCTAGCCTGCTGCTCCGGAGAACCGTTGGTAGGCCCCGGATTGCCGTGTCCTTCTGAATACATCTTTCCAGCCAGTACTCCTGCAGTCTATCTGTCCGTCTTAACTGTCACGAGGGCTCCCGGACTCGAACATATCGGTGCTCGCCCCGGAACCCTAGAGAAAAGAAAGTGTTCGGGCCGTAGGGCGGAAATGTGGATGGAGTCTTTCGGTCGACACCGCTGTCGGAATGAACACGACCTGCGTGAGGGTATGAAGAGACAAGAGGAAGAAATCCAGAGACACTGATACTCTGTCGCCGCAATCTAGACTTCTGTTCACCTACTCGGAGCACAGACGGAGCGGGGTCTCTAGTAAGTTCCCTCCACAGGAATCCAAGAAAAAAGCAAATTTAACGGTGGACAATGCTCATGCCCAATAAAAAGTAAGCCGAGGAAATCTGACCAGGGTGGGAGAAAAGCCGAGTGAGGACGAGGGACGGGAAAGAAGGAGGAGAGAACGGGAGAGGACGGAGGATTGTGGACGAGAGAGATGTAGAACTGACTGGTTCGTAGTCATCGGTCAGGTGGAGTAGAAAAGGCGGCCTTGGGTTAGCTTAGCCTGCGGAAATCATTACGCCTTTCGGTCGCGCTTCACGGCCTCAGGCAAAAAGCATCCGCAACGGCAATGTCACGTGGGCCGACCCAGGGATCGGAACGGGAGTGCTGCCTGAGGCCATAATTCGGATGATCTTGGGAAAGTTCCCGCCGAGCCCGTCCATTTTGCACAACTTGAACTTCTTGTTCAGCTTCCCGGCCTTCTCGCGACCTCCCTTTCAACCCCCCCCCACCAACCACCATACCGTCAATTGAATCCCAAGGCACCACCCGTTGGGCTCATTCACCATGTCCGCTCCTTCTCTCGCTAGTTACATCGCCAAGCGCCCGATGCTGAAGCGCTGGATGATGCCGATTGCCAACTGGTACACCGATGCCGCCGGTTACAGGAAACTCGGTCTGCGGTAGGCCACACCTTCTCTCGGGCATTGTGGACAGGCGATCCGGGTTGTTGGGGTATATGGGAGCAGGACAGGTGGAATTGGTGGTGCAGCGACCGTCCACTGGCTGCCTGGTCCATATCCATATCTCCGATGATCCGGGGAGCATTTTCACGTCATCATGTCATGGACAGCCAGCATGGACATCAGCTAACAATAACCAGCGCGGACGACCTGATCCCCGAAGAGACCGAGACCGTCCAGAAGGCGCTCAAGCGTCTGCCTCCCAAGGAGGCCTACGACCGTGTCTTCCGTATCCGCCGGGCCTTCCAGGTTCGTCGACCCGCCACCGTCCCATAAAGGTTCATCATTTAATAACACACCTCACACAGTGCTCCATCTCCCACAACCTTCTCCCCGCTGCTGAGCAGGTCAAGCCCGAGGAGGTGAGTCGATTGCGTTCTCCTACGTGCCTATTTATGCCCCCTCAAAACTCCACACGCGCTATCAGCCAATCCCGTCGGCTAGATTTGTCACCTGATCTGCGCCCCATATTTGATGCCTATATCGACCGGGGCGCCATGCACGAAATGATAGACGCCATACGATGGACAATTAGAAACCGAATGTATGCTAATTTTCTTCGATAGGACGTCGAATACCTCAGCCCCATCATCCGTGCGATCGAGAAGGAGGCCGCCGAGCGTGCGGATCTCGACAACCTCGTTGTCAAGCGGTGAATCGCTCGACCCTCGAGGGTTCGTTCTGGTTAGAAAGACAAGATTCAGCGGAGGGCATAGACGGAGGAAAAGCAGGGGCTTGTTGCGAATTGCGTGCTGTGCTCCACTTCGAAGTGCATGGCCTGGATGTTAATTCAAGTGGATTTATGTCGTTCTATCATGTGTACTGATACTGTACAAATTCATTGTCTCATTCAATGTCCAGGAGTAGACCAGCACAGCGACTGTATGGCTCGCTGGCCCTCGTACCGGTCTCCAATGATTGATATAACATAAGGTACATACTAACAGCAGGGTGCCAAAGCACGCCCTTGAATGTCCACACCCAGCACATCACCACACATCATATACCCACCTATATATCCACCCTACAATATATAACACAGATCACAAAGGGTATCACCAAAGCAAGTCTCATCCCAACACAGCAACATCCACATTCTCTATCCGCCACATATACCACATGAAGAGGCTCCTACAACATCAACAGCGAGTCAACAACCGTTCCCGCTGCAGCTAACACACAAGAAAGACTCACCTATACGGGGCGAACTTCGCAGCTACTTCCAGCATTTCCTTCTCCGGCATATACTTAAACTTACCGCCTCCCTTAGCCTTAAGCTTGCTGACGTCCTTCCCCACGAACGCCGCACATCCTCTCCTATTATATCATTGTCAGTTAGTATCAGTCCAAGCAGCAGGTATACTCAGACCCGCCCATCCCCAGAAGCACAGGTAGAACCAGAAGGACAGAAACATACTGCACGCCCAAATCCCCCGTCGAAAAAACATCCGTCCGCTTCAGCGCAAAGCAAGCAAACATCTCCACAGACCAGCGCCCCAGGCCCCTCACAGCAGTAAGCGTCTCCAATAACTCCTCATCCTCCGCATCAAGCAGCATCCGCGCGCTCAGCTCCCCACTCGCGAACTTCTCCGCCAAACCAAGAATGTACTCCGCTTTGCGCTGGGACAGGCCCGCCGTCCGCAGAACGGCGATATCGCACCGTGCGATCTCCTCGGGGGTGGGGAAGTAGTCTGTTCGGGGTATACTACTACTGATACTGGTGCTACTATCGCCGCTACTGCTATTACTGGCGGCGCCTGTCTGGAACAGCGCCACGAACTTCTCTTTGATGGATTTGGCCGCTGCGCCGGACACCTGCTGCCCGATGATGCTGCTCACGAGGCTGCGGAAGGGATCGACCTGTTCTGCGAGGCCCTCTGGCGAGAATAGCGGGCAGGGGTACTGTCTGATGACGGGTTCTAGGCGGGGGTCGGTGGCGATGAGGTGCGCGGCGGCTTGTTCGAGCAGGGTGCCTGTCGTGGCTAGGGGACTGGGTCTTCGGGGTCGGCTGGTTTTGCTAGGCGAGGGGGCCTCTGTCGCGGCGGGGTAAGCGACGAGGGAGGATCCATGCGGGGTGAGGAGCATTGCATTTGTTCGGTGCGGCTCGACGGGTCGGTCAAGGGGGGGTGGGGTGGAATTGATTCTGCTGGTGGTGGTGGGCGTGGGATCCCAATAGTTGGCGCTGTGTCCTTGCTTTTGGGAGGCAGGTTGGGCTGCGGGAGTATCTTCCAGGGAAGCTTGAGCGGAGGAGATCTGCTCTATCTCCGGGATTGAAGCTTTGGCTTGACTTCCCCTTCCCTTTGCTGGGGCTTTCCGCGCGGGCTTGCTTATCCCGCTGCTGCTGCGCTGGGTTTTGCCGCGCTTGTTTGGTTGGACGCTGGGTATCAATGATGCCTTGGTGTCTGATGCGATGCCTAGGCGGGCGCTGCGCCGTAGGGCTGACATCATTTGTAGTATCTAGGTAGATAATAGAAATTTCAGATTGGCTATATATGATGTTGTTTATAGTATTGGTAGTGGGCAGATGTGTTACCCCGGAGATCTGGGTTCAGTGGTTGTTGGTGGTGGTCTGGCCATGGAACCGAACTACCCGCTTAGGTCATCACCTCGTATCCGGACTGGGATAATCATTGTGTTTGATATCTTTCTTCCTTGCCAGGATGACATCGTGTTTAGTTTGGATATAGAAAAATTTTGATCTCATTGTGTTTCGATTCTACGCTATGGGTCATTGATGACCCATACTAGGTGTATACCCAGTTGTGTAACATGTCGGATGCATCGGCTTCCGTCTACATATAATATCACAGTGCTGACGACAGAAGTGCCACAAACTTGGCATGTATAATAATCAACAATTACCATCAGACACATGGAGGAACCTCCTGATAGCGCAAGAATTGACAAGACAACCCCCATCATCATTCCCACATTCCAAGATCAAAATAAGTAACCATGGGTAGTATTCCAAGGCAACAGACCGTGGACACCCCCGAACTTACCGAATGCATCCGGCCACCCACACCAGCATTTGTCAACGGCGAAAGTGTCCTCCAGGCTGAAAAAGACCTGATTCGCCGTGTGTCACAAGAAAGAGGGTAATAGGCAGCCCACCGAAGCTTCAATTCCACATTGTTGGAAACTCAACCATGGACTGCCTGTCGTCCCAGCCAGAGCAAGAATGCGTTGTCGTGCGGGTATGCAAGAATGCGGGGTTGGGTTGGTTTGGCTTGGTCTGGGAATGAACAGCTGGTGGGTTTTAACTCCACTTGCCACCACATATTGTACAGAATACAGATGTGGGAGGTAGGTACTACAGATGACTGAGCTGGTGAAAGAAGTTAAGAGGGAAGTTACACTGGTTACATTTCTTGCGTCACCGTGGGAAGAGCTTAGGTAGTGGGTACTACGTGTGTATAATTGAAAATTTTGACTTCATGATGTTGATGCTGGAAAAGGAGGTGAGAGATGACAGCAGACGATATAAAAAAGGAGAAAAGAAAAGAAGCAGAGAAAACAAAGTCTATCATGAGATTCAATGCGGTCGAGAGTGGCCAGAATAGGGGCATGTCATGCAGACTAAAAAGCTTCGCTGGACGAAAGGGCCATCGTGTCACGGTCGTCACTCTTTCAATTACCTTGGTAAGTGATCATTACGTAGGTAGCTAGTTAGTGAGTTACTAGGTGGTGGCTGCAGTGGGCAGTGGAAGCGAGTAAGATTTAATCAACTTTTCAAGGAACCGACCAAAACAAATCCAATCAGAGAGACTAGAATGCTAACAACTCAGCAACGACGTTCTTAGCCGTCATCAAGGAGCGCCAACTAATCCTTGCAATAAGGCAGACTGAAAACAAAGGATCCTCCTGGTTGACAACATCTGTCGGCGCGATGATGATATTCAGCACTAACGAGGAGAACTAACTAGTACGGAGTCCGCGGTAGTAATACAGTGATACGATTGTTTCAGACGAATTACTTGCAACTATATGATATTCTCTTTTATTCCATTCTAATTCTTTATTCAATCTTATTAAATTTACATTGCGTGCGCCGAGACAACATCGACATCGATATCGTATGTACGGATAGTCCGTAGATCATACACTATTCGAGGAAGGCTATTGTACGAAAACAGCCAAAAAGGGTTTCATTCATCTCCTGGTGACGACTATCTAATCCACTATGCCGCCACTGCAGGAACACGCCTCTACAATATCGACAACAAGGGATGGTCAGAGTTGATCGTACGGTAGATACTAGATACTCCAAGTTACATACACATACCATGCGGATCCTTTGGTGTTCATCAGGCAGATAAACTCGTCGGGATGATGTTATGGGAAACTTATACAGCAATGATAGTCATGAACCGAACTGTCCGTAAAGTAGGATTTGAGAAGTGCTGTATTCTACTTCGTAGTATCTACCTCTATGGTAGGTACTAGGTAGATAGGGTTGGAAGGGCTATAAACGGAGGACAGGAGCTGAATCACGAAACACCCTCCATACTACCCCCCTACTCCATAGAAGTTACGGAAACCCAGAGCTGAGACGGCTCCCGCGAGGTAAAAACAAGCAATTCCAACAGTGGCCCTCTTCATTTACAGAATTCGTTATTCATAAAGCTTCCCGAGATGAGGCCCCATCTTCCAGACCCTGGACCGAAGAAGATGTCCATGATTGTCGTTGACGGTCGGCCGCAAGCGTCACTAGCACTCCAGCCAAGCCGGTCCAATATTGTGATGGACCGTTTGATCGACTTTTTGCCACAAGATCTGCCTGACGGACGGTATTCTAAAAAGATGATGGGCAGACGAATGCGTCCAGAAGGCAATCCCAGCCGCAGCTCTCTGTATCCAATGCTCGGGATACTGGATACTGGATAGATTACAGGAGAGAAGATGGGCCTGGGAGAAGTTTGAACTAGTTCATCGTTTGGTGGAGATGGATTAATCAGTCACCCATGGAAAGGGCCTAAGGACTGCAGGGGTTGGTTTGGGTCCATACCTGGTATTTTATTCATGTTTATTTACATTATTTACCTTACATCGTACGAGCTATCCAGATACGAATACAAGATTATGCACACGTGATAACAATGCCATTGGCGGGCGCGCTGGACTTGGCTCATATTTCGCCACTCAACCACGGTTGACCCGGTTTATTCTTAGCGATCTTGGAAAGGATTTGATTATTTACTTTAATATCTGGAAGGGGAGGGGACCCACTTCTAGTATGGTACCTGACTTAACCCAACTGATGGAGTTTTTATGCAGATCTCGGGTTCAGGAATAGAGATGAGGTCTAGAAGCGAAAACTCATATAAAGGAAAAAGAAAAGGCAGCCAGAGATAGAGAGGATCAGGAAGGCATGCTCTCTCTTGTCTTTTTCTTTTTCTTTATTTTTATTCTTGTTTTTATCTTTAATACTGTGCTATGTATAACAAGCGCATGACTGGCGGGACTGGATTCCTCGGAGCGGCAAGTTGCGACTTCACATACCTCCAGCTGGCTGTGAAAGTAGCTGGAGGATCAGCTGGTCGACCGCTGTAGATAAAAATTTGGCATTCTAGATCTGTCCGTCTGTTGCTCTAATCAACACTAGCATAGTAACAAGAAAAATTGCTGAAAAATAATGAGTTGTATATTGAAGTTTCATTACTGGACGGGAGATGGTGATCAGCTGTAAGAATTATATTAGACGGTAGGTTGTAATTGATTCTCGATAGTGGTATCCGTATTACAGATGCTCAAGTGGACTTCACGGGCTCTCCTGGCCCTTTGATAGCCGCCAATATGCTGATCAGCCGGTCGATAGAGCAGGAGACTGCCATTCATTTTATCAGTTGCTGCCAAAACAGAGATAGGAATGGATTGATCCATACCAGATGGTGGATAGTTGATTCGATTGATTCATTTCATGATGTTTTTGTTTTTATTCTGACATTATCTACAGAGTATCCACCGAGTATAATTTACAAGGCATGGATGTTGACAAGACGGGGTGGAAGCAAGGTATGTATGCCTGCCACTTTTGCTTTCTACCTAGTCTTTCTGAAATATCCAGTCTTTCTCCCCTTCTTCTCCTGTCATCCCCTTGCTGTTCTGATCTGGTTGGGCATCGCTGTCTGCCAGATAAGAATAGAATGGACAACATGTATTCTCACTGCGTACATTCTCCCAGTCGATCGATTGAAATCCATTCCGAATAGCAACCAGATATACGGAAGAGGGGTCACTCGCGGGGCGAATCATACAGGTCAGATCAAGAACAGATTATTGGTGAGGTGTTAGTAGACGATGGAGTCTGACTCAAAACAACGGGGCCATCCACTGCATAACTGGGCCAAAGAAATCCGGATTTTCGTTCACGATGGCCCCTTTCTAGGCGGACTAAGCCAAACGCAGAACGTATTAAACCGAAAGATTACGCTATATTACGTACCGTACTAGGTATCAGGCACAATTACCCATCCTTACCTCCCTATCTATATTTACTCCTACTACTCCGTACGCAGTAGCAGTCTAGTAAAAATACTACGGTAAATATAGATTGTAACCACTGAACAAGGAGACTGAAATTCCCCCCGGTCGCAGCAGATCCACTTTCCTTCCATCCAATCCGTGCGCCACGCCTCCTTTCTTGTCCTCCCTGAAAGCACTTTGTTTCTTCCTCTGACACGCTTCTCTCTCTCTCTTACCCATCCCAGTCCTTCCTTTTTTATTTTTCTCTCTTTTTCTCCCCCCCCCTCGCTTTCTTTCTTTCCCTTCATTCCTCTGTAAAACGTGCTTGCCTATTCCGTGCATTTTCTTTCACTCAGGGTTCAGCCATACAAAGCTTCTCCTTCGTTGAAGCTCGCTCTCCCTCTTCCACTCGTTTATCTATCGTTCGCTCTCCAGTTCACTTTAAGCGATTTCGCTTCCATTTCTTCCATATTCACATACCTAGGGCCTTACCGTTGCCCGTGATACATTAGTCTTCTGTCTTTGGTAAGTGTCTCACTCTCAATTTCAGTGTCACCCATATCCTCTCTCGTCGCTGTCCCCCCTCTGGTCTTTGTCGTGCTTAACTGGAGATCAAGTTCGCAACCCAAACTGACATTGACATCTAGTACTCATTGCGAAGATATCATAATGGTCGTCCTCAAGTACGCCCTTCCGGTTCTGGCTGCGGCCAGTGCCGTCTTTGCTGCCGGTAAGTCTACGAATTATACCTTCGAACCGTCAAAAGGAGAAGGAAGGAAACGGAACGGTGACTGACTCGTATTATGGATAGACTGCGGTAGCGGCGATACCATCAAGATCGAGAACCAGAGCGATCTCGAGAAGTACAGCAGCTGCAAGACCATCAAGGGTGACCTCAAGATCGAAAAGCAGGCCGAGGGCGAACTGAGCCTCAATGGCGTCCAGCAGATCGACGGTAGCTTCACCTCCGAGGGGGCCGGCAACGTCACTTCCATCTCCGCTCCCGAACTCAGCAGCATCAAGGAGACCTTCCACCTGAACGGCCTCACCAGCCTCTCCTCCCTGAAGATGGGCTCCCTCACCAAGGTCGGCTCCATCGAGTTCACCGCCCTGCCCCAGCTGCAGAGCCTGGGCTTCGAGAAGGGTGTCACCGATGCCGGCGATGTCCACATCGCCAACACCGGCCTGACCAGCCTCGACGGTATCTCCCTGAAGCAGGTCGGCCAGCTCGACATCACCGACAACCGGGACATGAAGAAGGCCAACGTCGAGAACCTGAAGAACGCCACCGGTCTCATGAACTTCGCCGGTAACTCGGAATCCCTCAAGATCTCCCTGCCCAACCTTGCCGGCGCCAAGAACATGACCTTCCGCAACGTCAGCGACGCCTCTTTCCCCTCGCTCGAGAAGCTGTCCGGCCAGCTCGGCTTCTGGGGTCTCAAGTTCGAGACCTTCAGCGCCCCCAACCTGACCGAGACCGGTGACCTGGTCTTCAAGGGCAACGAGAAGCTCTCCAACATCAGCATGCCCAACCTCAAGACCATCAACGGTGGCTTCCAGATCACCCGTAACGACGAGCTGAAGTCGCTCGACTTCCCCAAGCTTGAGCAGGTCTCCGGTGCCATTGACTTCAGCGGCAAGTTCGACGAGTACGTTCTCCATATCCCCCCCCCCCCCCCCCTTCATTTTTCTGGCGCTGGGCTAATTGTATCATAGGGTCTCTCTGGGTGCCCTCGAGAACGTCCGTGGTGGCTTCAACATGCAGTCCACCGGTAACTTCAGCTGCGGCGAGTTCCGGAAGCTCCGTTCCGACAAGGTCATCCGCGGTTCCTACAAGTGCGAGGGCGGCAAGAGCAACCCGACCTCCGCTGACGGCAAGTCGGGTGCCAGCGGTACCAGCAACGGCAAGAATTCCGAGTCCAGCGAGGGTGCCTCCGTGATGAACGTCGCCAACGTCCCTGCCATGGGTATGGCCGCCGTCTTCGGTGCCCTCCTCCAGTACGCCCTGTAAGGGAGTCGTCCATATCACGCCGTGCGCGATCTTTCTGTTCCAAACCGTCTTTTAAGGTTGTTTTGTAGAGTTGCCTAATACGCAATCGGGCCCTGTTTTCTCGTCCATTGCAGTTCTTATGATAATAATTGAATTCGTTTTGAGCACTTTTTGGAGTGTTTCTTGAACACATCCTTTTATCATATTTCTTTCTTTTCTCGTTCCGACACGGTTGGAGCTGAACATGAAGAAGAGATGTTGGAATCCGTATGTGTGTCTGGGGGCTTCTCTTCACCATTTGCTGTGGGCTAAGACCCATTTTACTTTACATGTTCTATAGACATTCCTTTGCCTGATTGTGTGTTTGTATGTTTGAATTACAGTTTTTCTAACCAGCAAGAGTAGACTGTAAACTTGCCTTTGCAAAGTCATCAACTCTGTAAGGCAATCAATTGTGGATTTAACCTTTAGACCGTTACACGACTACACACAGACAATGCTGTCCCAACACAGACTAAATCCTAAACAGTGTCACGTAAACGTACACAACTCCCTGCCGATGAAGTCAGCGGGCAGCAAAGGGTATGTACTTCATACATGGTACAGCATGTATGCAACATACATGTAGGCAGGTAGGGAGGGAGGGATAGGTGGGGTCGACTTTTTCTTTCTCTCTTTTTTTCCATTTATTTATTGAATAGTTTTTCTTGTCTCACCTGGCTCTTTCTGTCTGTCTATCTGTCTGTATGTAGGTATGATGTCTGTAGATGTAGGTAGACATCCCCGCGCGGTGCGGAAAAATGATTTGTCATATTTGTTCAGTTCCCCTCCTTTCTGCTCTGGGTAGCGGCACTGGCTACTGGTAGTAGGCTGCAGAGGATAGAGGGTAAAGGATAGAGTGAGTGAGTTTGATGATTCGTATAGGAGCGTGATAGCCAGTTGAAGAGACTCGAGTGGATTGGTTTGATTTGGAATTATGAAGACAAAAGTCCTAGGGAGATAGGGACTGGATACTAGTTAGCTATGTATGTATGTGTCACTAGATGTAGGGGGGATATACTAGATGAAGCCGTACCATGGTTCAAATAATGTACTAGGGCTGATTATTGAGTGATTACTTTGGGAGGTAGGTAGGTGTTGGTGAAAGTACCATTTGTCTATTGACTGACAGGGAAGAAAGTAGAGGAAAGAAAGTAAGTAGGGATTTGGTTTACTCTAGGGTGGTAAAATAAGAAGAATGAACTACTTCGTATCGTGGTCTCGAGTTATTTCCTCGCAAGCAAGCAAGCAAGCAAGCAAGACAGTAAAGCTAAACAGTGCCGATCACACAATGTACAGGCTATAGAGACCACGATGTGTGACTTGGCTTGGGGGTACTAGTTAACAGGTTAGGTTTGGAAGAGGGGAATTGGTTTTAGTACCTACTATCTATCTACCTTTAGGTGGGTGATTAGCTAGATAGGATACGAGGTATATCTTTTAGGTTTATAGCTAGTGGTAGATTGAGTTTTGGCATGGTTTTGGCGTAGTTTTGGCATGGTTTAAACATGGTTGATGGTGTGGTTAAGGTATCCCGAGCTCAACATGCTTGTTTGAGGTGCGGGAGTGAGTTACCGGTTTAGAGGATAGAGTTTGTATGGATAGTTTGGGGGCTTGCTTTGGTTTAGGTATAGTATGTTTATTAGCTTTAGGGATGTCTACTCATGAGGGGATTTGGACTTTTGTGGAGAAGAGTGGGTTTATTCAGTGACTATCTTTGTGAATTATCTTCGTAATTAATGCTATAGTGGTTTACTACATTTGATATGCTACGTGGAAGAGAATGGTAGTATAGGTATCTTTTAGAGATGAGAAGCGTGTAGCTACTTGACTTACTTGAGTATGTAGAACACATGGAGTGATCATATATGTGTTGATGCAAAATAAAATGGCGAATATCTAGTATGTCACGAGTATTCTGCCAGGAGATGTCTCTCTGTATGTGCTTTATTTAATGTGTTTTCTTTATGCTTTCTTTCCTTCATATCTACTTCTATTAGTGGTCTCTATATGTTTCTTGTAGCTACTATGTATATCTACTTGTCCATCGGACATAGTTGATAATATAGTATGAGAGAGTAAGCTATAACATCACATAGTACAGCCCCAGAGCCAAAAATCAAGTCACACCGAGCAAGCCACTTCCCATGTGGCTTATCCCGAAAACACTGCATAAAACCAGTCACCATAATGGTACCTTCGAGACTGGAAACAATCCAGCCTGTTTCAGCAGTATTTGCTGACCCGTTCCTAAGACAGCAACTCCTTCGCGTATGTCTGTAGTAGCAGCAGACCAGAGAAGAGACTGGACATTGCCCCCTCCTGGTCCCCAGTCACTGTATATCGCCACACAGCCCGAGGAAGTTGGACTAGTTGAGAAAGATGAGACAAGAACCAACAATAAGGCAGCAATAAATCACCAAAAATGATACATAAGTACGGAGTACATGTGTTGGGTAACCTCGGCATGCATACTATGTGTCGATAGACGGATGCGTCTCATAATCTGTACCCAGACGGGCATGTACTATGTACGTATTTATCCATCTCGCCGTATGCCTTGCATTGACCATAGGTGGGTGATTTGGCCTTCCCCCCCTTTTTTTCGTTTGTTCTTTCGTTCTTTGGTAGCTTCTGCTTCTTTTCTCCTCCTGGCTGGATGTGTGGGGGTTATTCAAGTGCTTTCTTGCCCACTGTCTATCCGTACCTAGATAATCTATTTCAGCGTGGCTCGGCCGGCTGACTGGCATTACGTGGAGATTCTGAGGCTACACGGGCGGGGCAGGATTGTGAATCCTTGTTTCTTTATAAATAGAAGTGATGTGTGTAGTCTACACTGTAGAGTGGACGAGAGGGAGGACGGAGTACTCCGGTGTCTCTCTCCTCTCTCCCCCTTCTTTCTGCCTTTGAGAAAAGAAAACAAATAGAGGAGGAGAAAAGAATGAGCCACAGTGGCAAAGCGCATCCAGACAGGTCCAGACTCCATTCAATCCTTGCGGAGAGAATGACGACTTTCCGTAACCAGCGTCCGAGGATAGACCGTCGAACGGAAGTCTAAGATGCAGTCTCCTTACGCAGCACCTGAAACACGGCACGAGTCATCGCCACATCCTCAGCCTTGTTTTTTCTTCCCCTCCTGGGGGTATTCTTTGTATAGATCTCGTGAGGGATGGATGTTTCAGTGGGTGTTGACATAGCATAGGTAATATCGACAAGACGAGCCGAGGTGATACGTAAGCGGTGCACGATGGATCTTGCAGGATCATCCATGCAGGGACCTTTTTGCTTTTCATTTTTATTCGTTTTTTTTTTTTTTTTTGCTGGTGATGTTGGTGTTGGTTTACTTGGTTGGTTTGATGGGGAGATCTGGGTCGCTGGGCATTATTGCGTGGATGGGAGAGAATGGAAGATGTCAAGACGGGTGGGTTTAGGTAGATGGATGATGATATGGATCTAGATGCATGGTTAGTGCGGCCCATCTGTAGGTATGAATGTATGTGTACTAGCAGGACGAAAGCAGAAAAAAGAAAAAAACAGAAACGGGAATGTACGTGCGTTGAAACGGAGACGCCGGTGGACGTCGATGGTCTAGAGACGGTTCGACAGGTAGAGAAGATAAACAATGCATTGACTGCTTTGGGGGAGTTGGTTACTGGTTGGGATTGATAAATCTGATCTATCCAAACCACTTTCTCCACATCTGTTGCTTTACTCGGTAGTCGGAATTGTGAGAGATTCTGGAGTATCCACTTGCTGTGGTAGTTTAACGGACTGTTTCACTTGGTGTTTTTCTTTTTTCCTTCATTTTCTTTTTCTTCAATTGCTTTTTTTTCTTGTAGTTTCCTTTGTGGTTTGTTTACTTTTATAGATGCAGAATCAACATCACCATCTACAGAGTACAGACCATAGGCATTGATGATAGATAGAAGTAGCACCTTGTACTTACTATGCACAAGAGAGAGAAAAAGGACAAGGGAATAGACTATTGACCCCGCTTCATCTATCGAATGCCGTGTAACAGGCGCCTCCCTGCCTGAACCCTCCATCTTGAGGAATCCGTGGTCTAGAACTAAGAACAGAAAGAAAGAGGCAGAGAGGAAGAGAGAACATCCTTGCAGCTTAGACTTCAATGGCCTCTACTCTCCCTTCTATCTGGTATACCGAGCAAAGACTGGTCGAGACCACGACATCCATCGGGAAAATGACGGAAAACTCGCTCGGAAAGCTCTCCCCGTCTACTAACCCCTTGAACACATGTGTATACGCCATGTGAGGTTCTTGCGGCGGCTGGCTGCTAGTTTTGATTTTAGAGTTGGGGAGCGGAGGTCGTATTGGGAAGGGTGTTTGAGTCTGGGGAGGTGCAACTGCGAATGGGATTGAGCAACATGTCCACATCGCACGTACAAGTCAAGACCGGGAGAGTGATCTTCACGAATTGAGGGACATTCTGTAGTCAACTCAATTGTGTTCAGGCCGCCAAGGACGGAAAGCGAGACGGTTCGTGCGTGGATGGATGGTGATGTTTTACCCTGGAACTAAAGTCTCATGTAACATTGATCGTAGATAGATAATGTCTCAAGGCTTGATATTGCTCGACGTGGGACTCATCTCCTGCCCATCCTATCTCGTCTGATCTCAGAGAGGAGGCTGGGATGGATAGATACAGGGAACGAGCTCTCTGATCCACTCGTTGGATCGGGGGAATGATAGATGAGTGAAAGGACTGCCAACGCATCCAACTAATGGGGCGACGGCGTTGCTTTGACGTTAGCCGCGGGCTAAAGCCTCCACCCAATATAGAAGATATATGAGAAGGCGACAAGAGTGGTAGCTAGTCAATGAAGCTACTGCATCCCAGTTATGCATTCGAGTGGTGGTCGTTTATCCTCAGGGCCAACAGGCGATGCCACTCATAATTGGAAAGCGAAAGCGAAAGCGAAAGTCAGATTCGAGAGCGATCTCGGTGCTCATGGACTTCCAATAGCTATTGCCTAGACAGCAAGGTTCTAGAAACCCCACATGGGCCTGATGAAACCGGCGAACAGGATGTGAAATCCGGAAATCCATGACTGGGCATGATGCCATGACTGTGGCATATAATTAACGAGAAACCAAAAACGTGGGGCTAGCTGAAGAGGAGTCAGGGGGATAAATTGAAAATAGAATAGAAAATATCGAATAAAATAATATGCAATAAATAAAAATATATCAAAAGAAATAAATAAACAATGAGGTCGGTTTCTTCATCCTCGATCCGAATATGACAGATCGTATCCGGCGTCTATGAGACCCACCTTTAATAACACTCCAGACCCGTATACGGAGTACCAAGGGGCCCATGCTAGACGTCGAGCTCGGTCTTCAGGAGCCTTTTCACTGACGTACTGGGATTTTGATTCCTGAGTTTGTCTCTGTAAGGGCGAGACGCCCTTCGTACAGGACAAGGCCCCCCAGGGAACAGCCTCACGACGGCACATCTCGAAATTTGAGCCCCAGATCAAGTTAGGACCGTCCACAAGAAAAGGCGTCCGGAATTCCCCAAATGGTCCAACTCGTATGCAAGTACGGGATACTCCGTATGGGGGATCGTATGGACAGACTGCCGTTAGACGTCGCCATTGTTATTCCAAATCATCGGCCCCTTCCCCCCACCATGAAGGGTCAAAACTAATAGACCATGGTCGAGCCCCTAGACTAAAACCAGAAAGAGTCCAGAACGAAGGGAGAGAGGAATGTCGGGTCTGACAGCCGTCAGATTTCATCCTGGTCGCTGGGATCCCCCATGACCCAGGAGAACGGGCCCGATAGTGCGGCGATCAGAGTGTTCAGGCCCTTCCCCTTGGACGCCCAGAATGGATGCGTACAATGGATTTCTGAGCTCGGCATCATTCGGCCGTGAGCCGCGGAAGAAATGACCCAATACTGCGGGGGGGATGGGATGCTTGTTATCCAGTGGCGATGGGATGGGATACATGACACTCACTCCGCACCTACACCTACATACCCGTTCCTGTGCATGACGAGGTACGCTTTTCAGATGAGCATATGCCAAATATCTTTTCTCTCTGTAGATTGCCTCTTTACAGGGGTATATCCAGTACTTTTGAACGACTGAAGGGATTGAATTCGCCATCTGGCCCAGGTGTCCTTACTTCGTGCTATTTGGTCCCGTTGATGAATGGTTTGACCCTTCGGGGGCGAAGTCTGCGCCCCGCCTGCGCATCGAATGTTTAGCACCGCACAGTGGGATTCATGACCTCGTCTAAAAGGGAGTGTAGGTGTACTTCTGATCCAGACGAACGCAGCAAGATGGAGGACGTGGTTGAGGCGAAGCAAGATCACGATCCAGATCGCGCGGGTGCATTATCTGGGCCCGGGGGGAACCGCCATGTTGCGATTGATTTCGGACTGATCGTATGAGTGTCTCCACGATCTATTCTTGGGATGTTCATTCCATCCATGATTTGTGGGCATTGCGGGTGATCCGGTGAATCCATTTGAGTTTTCTGCAGGTGATTCTTTTCCCACACGCTTCGTCCATCCCCTTCCCCCCCCCCCCCCCCCCCCCCCAATCTATTGAAGATCATCCCCTTCTCTACCCAAATGGGACCATCCTGGTGGGCTTCCAGGAAGCTTCTGGAGGGTTTCCCCGACTTGACCTGACGCATAAGCGCCGGAAGCACAGTTCCGTCGGGGCCCTGGAAGGGGGAACGGACCCATCCCGGTGTGCTTCTGGACCGGGGAACGTTTGTTTCGGGTCCCTATTTCAAGCCAGGGCTCAAAGCAAGACTATTGGGGGGAGTCGATGCAAGGGGAATCGATATCGATACTCTTTTTGCGTGGTTTTGACCCGTGTGGATCGAAGAACCCGCTGCAGCGGTTGACAAATCGAGTGTCTGGAACTGGCATCCGGGATCATGGCACGTTGATTCGTCGATCTAGATCTTTGATTCTCTGTTCTTTTGTGATAGGGATTTACTGATCTTGGGCTACTGATGAGACATCCAGGGTGGTTGAACTGGACCGGAAGGTTCCTATGGGTTCCCCGCGGTCGAGGACCTGGATGTCTATGGAAGTGTGTATATGTATGTATATCATTCGTACTGTTTTGAAGGCTTTGATTACATACACGGGTGTAGGTTGATTCTTCCAACGAGTACTAGGTTGAATAATTGATTATCTTGTACTCCGTATAGTTAAAAGTATATGTGGTTTCAAGTCTCCATCCATTGCCCTATCGTCATCCTATTCTAGACAATAATATTGTGGAGGATTATTTTTAACATACTAAACGAGGGTCAATTGATCTGTAGCTCCACCTTACTGAAAAGATTAATAAAATACATATAAATTAAAAGATAAATCAAAAATTTGAAAGAGTACGTCCCCATTTCCCCATTCAGTCTGACGCAGATCCCCGAATCTCCATCTCGAGAGCTGTCTTGTCCCACCAGTATAGTCAGTATGATACATCCTCCTTGTTCCGGAACTGAGATTTCATGTTCATCTGCAGTTCATCGAAACCTGGTCTCGAGATGCCCTAATGCACGCCTGAGCGCCACCACCAGGTGGCGCCTTTCTCCCCCCTCTCTTCAGGTCTTTTGGCTCGCTCGATCCCCCTCGTTCCCAGGCTGCAGTGAACATATAAAACATGCAGACGGATCGCATCCTTTTTGGACATTCAGACTGACAAGAAAGGGAATATCCAACAACAATCGTACAACAAGAAAGAACAAGAATAACAACCCTGTCCACTCTCCCATAGCAACCTCCCTTGATCCTATATGGGTCTCCTCCTTGTTTCCTCTCTGTGATTATTGATATCATCATTGCTCTATTGCTTCTCCCCCTTGTGTCTCGCTGTTGAGGAATCTGTCTTCTCTGTGGGTTATATTAAACTGAGACACCCGCCGTCATCTGCACTCCAACATATCGACATCGTTCAAGACCGACATTTACCTAAGACACCCGGATACTCCCGCTGACAGACCCGAATATGATGTTTGAAGACATGGCCGACGACTCCTTCCGACGCTGCCCTCTTCCGTAAGTTGTTCAACTTCTACCTACCTCGCTGTGTGTCTTAGTGCATGACTAACGCCTCCCAAGTGCCTTGCGATCCATTCCCCATGGAGCGAGTGCAGAAGTCGGGGACGACCGTCGCCTGCCTCCCCTCCCGCGGGGCGAGCCTTTACCTCGGGGTCCATTCAACCCATTCCATGCCAACCCCAACGCCCTGGCCCCCAGCCCAGCCAGCTCGCAAGACTCTTTTCCCGCCAAATCCCCCTGGCCGTCGGCCGAGCACATCGTGACGCCGCCCTCCCCGGCCAACTCCGCCGATAGTTCCTGGGCCGAAGCCATGCCGGCACAGAAGGTGTTCGACTGGCCCCACGAACTGGCTCCCACCGACCTCCTGAACCTGATCGCCCCGAAGCACATCAACCGCAAGCCGCCACTGCAGCAACTGTGCGGTCGCAAGCGCAAGGGCAGCATGATCTCAGGCGAGTCCGACGACCAGCGCGAAAAGCACCGCATCGCCGAGGGGAACCGCCGGAAGAACCTGAGCCAGCTGCACCGCGAGCTGGACGGCCGCATCCACGACTTCTTCCTGGAGCGCGCCGGATGGAACCCCTCCAAGAGCCTCCCGGAATCCAAGGAGCACATCGTCCAGGGGGCCATTTTCCTCATCGACTTCATGCTCCTCATCATCGTCCACCTGATCCGCCAAGAGAATGAGATGCCCCGGCAGCTGACCGAGAAGCTGCAGCCCCAGATCCGCTGCATGCAACTCCAGCAGCTGGTGTCCAACCTCCAGCAGCAAAACCAGTCCGTCCAGCAGCAGCTCAAGGCCGCCAAGCACGAGAACCAGCTGCTGGAAGAGCGCAACCAGGCCCTCGAGCTCCAGCTCAAGTCCTACGAGCACATGTTCCGCTCGCCCCGCAGCGAGCCCGCCGCGCCCCGGGCCCTGGCCGCCTCCTATACCGACACCCGGCCGCGGAACATGCTCCCGGGCCTGCGCGTGTTCTGCGATGAGATCGGAGCCACCGGGACGGAGCCCTCTCGTCTGGACCCGCCTCACACGGGGTCCTCTCAGTCTTTTGGTCATGCCTTTTTGAGCCACACTCCGCCGACGACGGGACCGTCGTCTCCTGCCTTCCCGCCCGTCTCTTACTCTGTGCCGGTCTCGCGGCGTCCCTCTCTGGGGCCGTCGCCGTAATCGACCTTTCCTTTCATCATTATCATCATCATTTTGCATGACGCCCGTCGCTGGGCGCCCATTTCCTGTCACGTCATGAATCTCCTTGGTCGATTCCTTTGGTTGAGAAAGTGGCAAGCGTTCTGCATTGGACATTTAAGCCTTCATTCAATATTTGGTCGTCTCTCTTGGCATAGCGTCTGCGGTGTACTATGTTTTCATATCTGTTTGGGTGGCTGAGACTCGTTTACTGTTTCTGTTTTGTTTGTTTCCTTTCTTTTTCTCTGTGCTTTTCTTTGCTTTTCAATTGAATTTGTTATTGTTGTTGTTTCACGGCGCTGGGTTTATTTTTTCTCACCGTGTCCCTCTTTATCACTAGATTTCGGCGAACATGGAGTACACGCGTTGTATGGCGAAAAAAGGGGAAGAAGCAAGAGCGAATGGGTTGCATTGGAAGGGGATTGCCTATGGATGTGTATAGATTTCTTACTTTGTGGATGTTGGGGACTGCTCTAACTATTGCGGTATCTGCAACGGATCTGGATATACTGTCATTAACTTTCAATTGGATTGACGTACATATATTATTTCTGTTTTAATTTTTTTTCGATTTTGTTAAACGGTAGAGACTTGTGGATCTGATGAGGTTCTTCTTGGTAGACCTGGCATATGTGTAGTACTTGGTGACTATTACATTCACTTTCTCCTGCCGGGTGTATTGTTGCCACTATGTTCAACGTGTCTATTTATGGAGATTTCGACAAGGTTAAGTCTGTATGATGACATTAGCAGACTATTAAGATCAGCATATAGATCTTACACTGACTTTCTAGTGCTTATAAACCACCATGATAGACTTAAAGATTGGCATGGCTTCTTCTCCACAACATCAATCTATGGATACCGGAGCATCCATTCGACTCCTCAAAGAGACACAGCACTCATAGGTCCCCATATTCTCATGATCCCCATGGTCATGGCCATGATCATGATTAGTATCAGTACCACCACCCTTCACAACAAGCACATCCGAATGAAGCGCCACCCCAGCAGCAGTAACAATACTCTCCAACAGATCCCTCGCCAAAAACATCATCTCGCAGTGCTCCAAATGGCCCATCCGATTGTACCTCTTCTCAATAACAGTGCCCCTCTCAGCAGCCAGGAACATCTTCTTCCAGTAATAAGCGCAATGCACAAGATGCCACCGGTGCGTCGTGTAGAAGGAGCCCTTTGTATCCGGTAGCCGCGCCACCTCGTCGAGGGTTAGCGTGCGCGTCTTGTTCGCGTCTGCGTAGTAGTTCCAGCTGCCGTCTGGGTTGGGGCCTGCGCGCTCGAATTGCTCGATTAGATCGTCGTTGCGGCAGGCGGGGGGGAGCCAGGCTGCTGCGAAGGAGTCGTAGCGGCAGTTGTTGGTTAGGACTTCGGCGATGGTTTCGCCGCAGTTGCAGGAGATGGGGCTCGTTGGGTGTGGGTGTGGGTGTTGGGGGGTGGTGGTGAGCTCGTAGGCGCGGTAGGCGAGGTCGAGGAGGCCGAAGAGGGCGAGGAGAAGGGCGAGGGTTTGTTTGATTAGGGGGAACCGATGATTTGCTTGAGGGGTCTTTTCATCTTGGTTGTTGCCATTGTTGTTGCTGTTGCTATCACTGGGGGAGTCAGTCATGAAGCTCGGTGAGTCTAGCTTGACGCTGGGATTTCTGTTGAGCTGCTCATATTTGATATAGGCTTTTTGCTGTCTGTTATGATTGCTGAACATGGTTCGAGCAGATATACTATATGGCAGGTGTGACGTTAATGATCCAGGGGGAGGGCCTTGTCGTGATGGGCTCAGGTATCAGCAGGACGTATACCGCTCTTTGACGTGGACATCATTCAACTGTATATCCGGATGAGAGATTTTATGTGACATTTGTTGGCGCGCTTGCCTGAGGGAGGGGATCGTACTACTCTTTCTCTATCTTTCCCCCCCCCCCTTTCAATGCTACCTTACACATGCATAGGAAACCATGTACATGTACATGTACATGTAGGTGTGGTCTTGTTCCTGACTTAATGTGCTGACCGCAATACAACTCAGATTCTCCGCCAGGATTCCCTGTTTCTTCCTGCAGCCTGATATTCATCTGGTTTGGGACTGTGCGAATCTCCATGGATTACGGCTCTTTGACCACCGGATCTTCGCACATTCATATGGCGGTAGCTGGTGATCGTGGAGAGAAGTTTACAGTTTACCGGGATTCAGTCTCAATATTTGGGGATGATCCTAACTACGTTCTAGAAAAATCAACTTGTACTACTCGACTAGAGAGTGCAGGAAGACAAGAGAAGCACGAAAGGAACACTCTAACCACGGTTCACATATCTAACCCTAGGCTAGTTTCATTCTGGCAACAATAAGATAGCATATCAAAACAAACGGCTTGTCAGGTTGCGGGCCACACAAAAGTCTCTAGTGGAGAAGAATCAAGATGTCGCTGACAAGCCGGATAGAAGCAACACGGCATTTTCTTTGAGGAATGTAGAGAACGTTAAAGTTGGATACGCGCCGTCAATCTCCAGGAGATCATAATTGCTCCGGAAGTGGACTGACTTCCTTGTCTTAGGGGTAGTAGGGGATCGCCCCGCTCTCTTCGCTGCGCTTGGTGTAATAGGGGATGGCTTCACCCTCGTTGCTGCGCTTCGGGTACCAGGGACTCGCCTCGCCCTCCTCGCTGCGCTTCGGGTAATAGGGGATGGCTTCGCCCTCGTTGCTGCGCTTTGGGTAATAAGGAATAGCCTCGCTATTTTGAGCAGCTTCAAAGTCCAGTATCAGCAAACAGCACCATCAAGACAGTACAGACGGATAATCATACGCAAAGGGGAGGCAAAAGCCAACGGCAGGCCGAAGGCCAAGAGACCGAGGAACTGTTTGAGCTGCATTTTTGGGTGATATAACGGAGGTTGAAGGTGGTATCTGATCAGCCTATTGCTTAATCACTGCCAACTGAAGACACTGAGTTGAATGAAGATGGTGGGAACTGGTTGGAGTCTGGCTTTCAGCAACGGGTTTTGCCTACCTTATAGGGCCCTGGGTTGTTGGTGAGCTGAGGATGAGCTAGAGCGGTGGTGGTTCAAGAATCGCCCATCCTGCAGCCTGATTCGAGTCCTGTGTAGCTGTGAAGTAGAAGAGGGAGGGGGAGGGGGTGCTCTTGAGACCTTGCCCAGGCCTTGCAGGATGCGATGTGACGTGGCGCGACGCCTTATCTAGCACGTAGATATCCTGGCTGTCGTTGTTGCTACCTGCAAGTCTCGTCGTCGGTGGGATAGCAAGGACGGGACCTTGACGTCAATCGATCATTTGACATATATACCAAGCATTGACCGCTTCTCATACTTCTGATTTCGTCATCTCCTTTGCATTGTTGGGGTTACTGTCTGTGGTAGGTATGGTCTACTCCACAGACACCAGGCCCTTGGCAATCGTGCACTCGCCCGTCACACTAGATCGGTGGCAGGGATAGGACAGTGCTATTGTGAACCTGCCCAGCTAAGTGCAACAGTGGGTGCGGTGATTGCGTTGTCTCCTTTATTTCACGCCTACGATACTGTAACAGCAAAGGGTCATCTGCGTCAAATTCAGCCGGACTCTGGCTCTGGGTCGGATCGTAATAGCAGCACGTCCTAGGTCAAATACTAGCGATGAGTACAGTAGTATCGGCAGGCGACTCTGATTTCAGATTCGAAAAGTTGAAATGGGTCCAACCTTCCTTGGACACTGTTCGAGAGACACAATTCAAAAAAGAAATAGGCCATGTGCGACCACCACACAACAGGGGCCACGAAAGCTGCCACGGGGGGAGAAGAAGAAAGTTACCAAGAGAGCAGCAGTCCCAGCGACAGGGACTCGGAAAAGGGTCTTTTGACGGGCTCTCTGCCGCAGGAGTCGAACCGGTGTTGCCCACGAGCAGGGCGCTGGAGCTTGAAGTCGAGCGCTTGGACGATATGGATCACCTGTTTCAACGTGGTGGTGCTGTGTGGATCGGTGATGTTCCTCATGTCCCCTCTCTCGAGCCAGGCTTGCTTGCAGCACCTGCCCACCCAGGACAAATGGAAGGCAACCTCGGCGTATGGTGAGTTGGGATTCGACTTATGGCAGACACCGACCAGCTATAAGAGGTTGACTGACATACACGCCAGCTCCCATTCTCGAACGGTTCGACATCCCGCGAGTCGATCGGATCACCAACGGTTCCCTGTATGACAGCGAACCGCCATCGATCCTCCGGGTTCCGCAGGGCAATGAGGCCGACGACGAGTGGTTCCGGATCAGCTCGGGGGTGTTCCCCATCCTGATCTCCGCCGAGGAGATCCGCCGACTGGGCAAGGACCCATCGCTCGCCGTGCGGGTGCCCGATGAGTTCGGCTTCGGGCCCGACGCTTACCTTGCCCAAACGGAAGTGTTCCACCTGCTGCACTGTCTGGACATGCTGCGGAAGGAGATCTCCTACGAGCACTACTATTTCCCCGAGTTTGGGACCCACCCCGATGCGCAACACACGGCGCATATCACCCACTGCATTGACATCCTCGCCCAGTACATCAAGTGCGAGAGCCCCGTCGACGTGATTTTGTTCAACTGGGTCGGTGGCTGGGACCAGCCGTTCCCGGACTTCATGAATAAGCATGTGTGTCGGGACTATGAGGCGTTGTTGGCGTATGTGAATGAGAATTCTGTTCCCAAGGAGGTGTTTCGGGCTATGAAGGAGCCTCCGCCGGACTATCCTGTGCAGCCGGATCCTTCGATTGCGCCGTTTTTGCCTACTGGGGTGGGTGGATGAGATACAGTAGTACCGAAAGATTGATAGTTTTGAAAAGTATTGTCTCCTGTGGATCTTGATCCCTCTATTCTTATTGTGTGATTAAGGCGTGTATACCTTGGATCAAAGAGAAAGAGAGACGATTCGTCCGTTTCTAGGGAAGATGATAGATAGTACAATGGACAAAGATATGTATGTATGTTCATTTGAAGGAGGAAAGCTGATTACAAGAATGTCGTGCATAGGGCAGTCAGCAAGGACTGTGTGGTCTTCTGAAAGGCGTGCATACATTTAGGGTTCGATAGATATTTGGAAGCTGTCAATCTGAATCACTGGCCGATCAGTCCACCGTGGGTACTTCAATAGTAGAGTCTGCAAATCTACGCGGTCTTCCGTTCATATCCAGCAGACTGATTTCAAACCGGTTGACTCAGTCAAAGATAGTACTGATGAGGCTATCCCAGACCGTTGGATACTGAAGATGGCCGGCTGCCTTAGGCTCTCAATCCTCCTTATTCATTGTTATGTATTTATATGCATTCAATTCTTTTTCTTTTCTTTTTTTTTTTTCAATTGAAAATTTCTTTACAATCTCTTTGAAATTTCTTGATTGTCTTTGATCACATAATTCCATTACAAGATATTATCCAAAAGTGGATATCATCCAAAAGATCTGGGAAGATGAAACAGCAGAACCATCTCATCCGTCGATATTATTAGATCAGTGGGGAAGACGGATTGGGATGACCGTACTGCCACGGACCTTCCATAATCACACGCACTTCATGGTAGGTACGGGAGCAAGCCGAGTGCGTCGGAGTAAGACCGGATCGGAGTCCCATTCGGACTCGGACTGACCCTTCACTGCTTTTCTTAATTTACTTTCCTCTCTCTTTCCTCCCTGATTCGTGTCTTTTTCTACCCTGGAGATCATCCTTGAACTAGTCTGCGTACGGGAGTTGACTAGCCTGTCTCTGTGTTCTAGCCTCATCTTCACTTCTTCCTTCCTCTCTCTTCCTCCCTCCCTCCCTCTCTCTCTCTCTCCCTCTCCCTCTCTCGGATCGTCCCCATCCATCCATTCGTTTGGTTTGCGTTCTCAATCTTCTTTCCGGTTTGGGTGTTTCTGTGTCACGACCCTCCCGCCACGAAAACCTTCTTTTACTCCCCCGGTCAAGGTTTCTTTGATCGGACACTTTGCGTCTTTCTGCCCCCAATTCTGGATTCTTTCGACCACCTCCACCCTCTCCCTCCTCCGTGAGAACCATATTCGGACCGTCCAATACCGCCCTTGAATTCGTCTCTTCGTGTTCACACTCGATATACCGGGTCCATTGTTCGAATCGCAGTCGATCAAGTGTTCGCCGCATCCTTCACGACCCGTTGACGCCACTATCTCCAATCTTCCACTTCACCCCCTTTTCCCTTCGATCCCGCGGCTCCTCGTCGGTTTCGCCCTCCGTCTTGCGCTCCACGTCCATACCTGGTTGTGGACTTCATCCGCTTCGGTTTGGGGATTGTCGCCTCGGATCCTTGTAGCGCTCTCCCGTCCTCAGCGCTCTCCCTTCCGTCCTCATTCATCCCGAAAATGCTACTCCCCAAGGGTGGTGTAACGTGGAAGTCCGCCAGATCCAGGCTCCCCCCCTGGCGGGCTCTCCTGGTCTTGGTGACGCGAACCCGGTTTCTGGCCTCGCTGGCCATCACCGGGATGATCATCTTATTATGGCGTGGGATCACCAGGTCGGCATCGGGAATGCAAAGGTGAGTTCCGCGCGAGACTGGATAGAGGAACGGAATGGCACTGACGAGTCTTCTTCCCCAGTTTCTACTGCTACGGTCCCTCTAAATCCCCTATGGAGATGTCCACCAACGAGATGGTCCAGTGGAGCTCCCACATGCAGACCCCGGTCATCTTCAACAGCCACCAGCCCTACGAAGTCAACAATACGAGCATCGAGCGCATGGACCTGAACCCCGTCAAGTCCACCCCGCAGGCGGTCGCCAATTCCGAACGCGTGCTCCTCCTGACGCCCCTCAGAGACGCCGCCCCCTACCTGTCCAACTACTTTGACCTGCTCTACAAATTGACCTATCCCCACCACCTCATCGATCTGGCCTTCCTGGTCGGCGACTCCAAGGACGATACCCTGGCCGTCTTGAGTGCCGAGCTGCAGCGCATCCAGGACCAGGGCGGCAAGGTCGCCTTCCGCAGTGCCACAATCGTCGAGAAGGATTTCGGCTCCGATATCGAGATGAACGTGGAGGACCGGCACTCGTTCGCCGCCCAGGGTCCGCGCCGTCGGGCTATCGGTCGCGCCCGCAACTATCTGCTGTATTCGGCGCTGAAACCCGACCACTCCTGGGTGTACTGGCGCGACGTCGACATCGTCGACAGCCCCGACAAGATCCTCGAGGACTTTATGGCCCATGATCGGGATATCCTCGTTCCTAGTATGATATCCGACTTGCCTTTGTTTGACATTGACTGACCGTTTATCTAGACATCTGGTTCCACCGGTATAACAGCGATGGCGTTGACATCGAGGGTCGTTGTATGTATATCCCATTCGGAGTCTATCAACTTGTGTGGCTAATTGATTCTAGTCGACTACAACTCGTGGGTGGAATCGGACCAGGGACGCCGGCTGAAGCAGCAGATCGATCCCAACACTATCCTGGCCGAGGGGTATAAGGAATACGCCACCGGCCGGACCTACATGGCGCGCATGGGCGACTGGCGCAAGGACAAGGATGAGGAATTGGAACTGGACGGCATCGGCGGTGTCAACATCCTGGTCAAGGCCGACGTTCACCGAACCGGTAGGTCTTCTCTTTGAATCCGCGTTATCCATCCACATACTGATCGCTTTTTTACTAGGTATCAACTTCCCCGCATATTCGTTTGAAAACCAGGCCGAGACCGAGGGCTTTGCGGCAATGGCGAAGCGCGCCGGGTATCAAGTCTACGGCTTGCCGAATTACGTGGTTTGGCATATCGACACGGACGAGAAGCCCGGGAACGCCTAATCGCGCCACCCGAGACCCTCCGGGTTGATCGATTAACGCCCCCGTCGGGTCCGCGACCCGTTTCGTTACGCCTGCCTCTGTGTCCGAGAATCAATACCCCTAATTTGTGTATCTCCGGCGCATGTCCTCTGGGTCTATGCCAGGAACGCGCCTTGCGCTGTTTCATTCGGTTCATTGCATCCATATTCGACATGGAGGAACACCATCGCCTCCCCCGGCTCCATAATTAGTGTCTTATTTCTGTTCTTTTCATGTTGTGGGATGTTATGTTTGATTCATGGCGCATGGGAAATGTTTTTTTAGCGTTGGAGTCATAGAGAGACGACTGATCTCTTATGAACAACTAGTGATGATCTCGGTGGTGTCTGCCTCTCTACCCTGCTGTGACAGGAATCGCACGCGGCCAGACACCACCGCGACTAGAACCGATCATATCTTTTTCATATTGTTGTAGCGGGATCTGCCGCAGTGCCTGACACCTTGTACATATCTAGGCGGAATGTGGGATGAACCGTTGGCTAACCAGCCTGTCCGTGCCGAGCTGCATGTAATAACTCCGATCTGCTAACCAAGACGGAGTACTCCGTACAACCACGCGAGTCAACTGACAGTGGGTCCGCCTCATGTTTGTAGCATATAAACAAATGTTCATGCCTGAGGCAGAAAGACAACTTCCCCACCATCCGTCCCACCTCGGATGTCTACACCACATAACTAATCTAATCTACACTGTTTTTCTTCCCCTCCCTGCTACCTATCCTCGAGTCAGATTTCATCTCAAACTACGAACCACCAACAACCCGATATATCACAGGAAGCAAGCATGGCTCAGGAAAAGAAAGAATTCATCTGCATTTGCCCGGATAAGCCTGGTGTTGTGGATAAGCGGATTGAGGTTCGACCGTATGTATTACCTTTTAACTTATTTTACTTTGTTTGATTTGATGCAAGAGATGGATGTATTAGGACTCTTGATGTACTGTCTGTCTGTGTGTGTCTGTCTGGTGTTTGTTTATTATGAAGGATATATCGCAGGATGGGCTTCGTTCTGGGGGCTATGTTCATATGATATGGTTGACATGATATGCTTGATTGATATGAGACAGTAGATCAAGGCGTATATGCTAATTCTTATAGACTCCATCTGGAGGGTATGAAGCCGCTGGTTGAGACCGGGGAGGTGGTCCTTGGTGGTATGTTTCTTTCTTTCTTTTTCTCCATCTCTTCCCTGTTCACTACTACTTCTACCTTGTTGCTTTCTTGGTTGCTGTATGAGTTTGCGCCTGCCTGGCTCTGGATACTATATCTGTGATATATAGTAGTTCACACTGCAACCCACTATGTTTACTACCTACTCACTATATACCACACATCCCCCACGAATCCACGGACAAAAACGATTATATATACTGATTGGTATAAAAAGGAGCAATGTTCGACCACCACCCCCAAGAAGGCGAATCCGTCCCCGCCTTCTCAGGAAGCATGTTGCTCGTGCGGGCCGAGAACACAGACGCTGTGAAGCAGATCATCAAGAATGATATCTATACGCGCAGTGGGGTATGGGATGAGGAGAGGGTGCAGATTATTCCGGTATGTTTCTTCTTTCTTTCTTTCTTTCTTTCTTTCCCCTTTTATATGTATATGTGGCGTTTTTTGGTTGGTGTGGGGAGGATAGGATGATGCTAACTTGGTACAGTTTAAATCGGCTGTTAGGGTTGGGATGTAAGGGTCTTTATGGTCTTTGGGCACTGGGTTTGGTTGTGTGGGTAGGTATCTTATATAAGAGTCCTAAAGTATTTGTGTTGGACTCTCTCTAGAGTATCTATCTAGAAACATTAAGCCAAGCTGGATAGATCTCTGTAAAAGAAATACATAAAATCCTCTAGTGTATCGATATAAGTCCCGTAGAGGCACCTGAGTATAGCTCTGTAAAACACATATATGTGGCCTTGTCACAATATAAGGTCATAAGGTCACAACGCCCAAAAGTGTTATGATATCTCTTGTAAGAAAACTACCAATTCCGCCAGCATATTGTACAAGAATTTCCCGACGCCGAGCTGCTGTACTCTTAGCCACAAGGATATTTACTCCGTGATGTTTTAACTAGAACACACTCATAAAAGGGTTTTAATTCCACCAAGCCAATCAGGTGCAGTAGAATATGTACGCTTCTTCTAACTTTCCCTTGGAGAAATCAGACCCCTATATATAGTCAGAGAGGAAGCTAAACACCAATACGAAACGACGTACTTACCAGGCACTGTTTAAACCCCACGACAGTCTCTTCCTCTTCCCCCAAAAGTATTCTCTGCTCATCAGTAACACTATCACGGCCATAGGTCTTTGCTCTGTCGAAGTCCATCCACATCACTCTCTCCGGGTCACCTCGGACGATCATCATATTCCGTGGTCTTGGATCATCGTGTAGCACCATAGCCTTGTGTATCTCCCGGACCCCCTCAATGAACCCATCCATCCGCCCTTCTGTGAAATTATGCAGATGGACCATCTCCATTACAGGGATGTATTCCAGGAAAATCGCACTGGGGTCGTATTCATCTTCGAGAAACATGTCCAGATGGGGGCTGCATATCTTCGGGTCGAACTTTCTCAGAGAGCCCAGAAAGTCGGGCACAATGCCACGATCACAGAGACCTTGGTCCTTCAGGCGGCGGTAGGCTGTTGATTCGAGAACGTGATTATCTAATTCACGATCAGGCTCGTAGTAGCGCCGTGGACCTCTTCCGCGGTGCTGTCTACATTAGTAACGTGGAATGCGACATAGATATCACTTATAGGTGGCATCTGCTCACCACCTTCATGACACAGGTTTGGTTACGCGCTGTTACAAGAAAGATAGTTGAGAATTCAGAAGTCGAAAGTTCCCGTTTGAAGATGATGTTACGCGGATCAACATCGTCTAGCTGCATTGCTTTTGGTTATGATGGGTGTCAGGAACAGAGTAGAATTCCATCATTCCATGTTCTTGGAAACACGAGGAGACTGTAGGTGGTGTTGATGGCCAAGGGACAATGATAGATCACGTGATCTTTTGGTATAATGGTGTGTTGCAATATAAGATGTATTGTACAAAGATTACCCACAAAGCGCAGAAGGTCTAGATATCTTTTATGGCCGAGTGGTATTTTTCGCAACATGGTATGGATGATACACAAGCACAAACAGAAGGACAAACGGAAGAAGAAACAGGAAAAACCATCCAGCCATCATTTCAAGCTCACAGCATACTAAAGATGCTCCAGTCAATCGATCTACTAGGTGAGTATCCATCTAGTCAGATAAAGATGCCTCGGTCTTCCGCACCTCACCCTCGGCGTAGAGCGTGAGCGCAAGCAGAATTGGCCCCAGCTTCTTCATGTGCCCAGCGTGCGTAGTAATCCAAGGGCCATATTGACACATGGTCAAGAACGACGGGGGTTCGTTATTGTGGGGTTTCTTTCGGAGATAAGACACGTAACCGCTGTCGTACTCCGCAATGGTGATGAAAATCTCATGCTGGTCTTGGGAAACATGAACTCGCCTAAGTCAGGTACGATCAGTAAGAGAACAGACGGGGAGTGGGAGGGGAAAACCAACAGCTTCTCCAGAGATGCGTTGGTATCAGTTTTGATCCAGCCGGCCATCTGTGAGCCCTCCTGCATTTGGATCCGGCTTTGACTGGCGAGCGTTCTGGTAATAGGTTTGACCTCGATCAGAGCATAAGGGTTTTCCTTGCCGTCATCGAGATACCCATCGGTCCTGGATTCGCTTTCTGCTTCCTCAAAAATGGAAACAAATGCTTGTCTGTGCATAGTCCACTCACAGCGCTCGATAATGGGGAAGTGAATCGTCAGAGCGTTTAAGAAAATGACAAGAGCAGCATTGACGATTTGCTCGTCCTTGGTAGGTGGATACATCAACTTCTGGACATCTTTAGGAACCAGGATAGCTGGTGTCGGGCCTCTCGAGTCAGATTCATCGTCTGACGATGAATCAATCTTGGGTGTTTGGGGCACTGGGATGGGTGTCTTGGATGGCGTCTTGTCGATTTGGAATCCCCTCAATGCTTCCGCCAGATTTTTTGTCGCGTGGCTGCGGGTGCGCTTGGCAACCGGGGTATCGAAGCTGTCCGGTCTCATATTCTCCCCACCGGTAGCCGCTTTTATTTGATAATGCCTGGCAATTGAAAAGATGCCCTCTGGATTTTGGCCGCTCTTGATGCCACTGCAATAGTCCGCCCAGGATTGAGATGTCGCGAGTAGTTCCTTGGCCTGGGCATGATATTTGTTCAGGACTGGTGGCAAGCGGAACAGGTGGGCTCCGACACGGGGATTCCAGAGAACACGCAAAAGCAGAAATTGCCTAAATTCAATTTTGGAAGCCGACGCAAGCTCAGCGGTATGCACCGTCTTGCCAACAAGGTTGTGCTCCTTGACTGCTTTGTGCCACTCCCCGGGATTAGCGGGCAACTTGGAAGGTAAATCAGCCATTCTGGGGGGATATAGAATCCACTTGTTTCTAGCTTAATGGTAACGATGAAGACCAGAGTGCGTTGTCCTGCAAACATGGAAGTTAAGATGGGAAGGAGTGTTCAACGCCAGAAGCTGGGTAGTCAGCGCCTTTATTTCTGTGGTGGGAGGTTTGGATAAGCAGAGAATAGGATGATGGTAACTAGTCTACCTGGCTCAAGACCAGAAAGTCTAGAGTTTTGCATAGTAGAAGAGACATTCACTGTCCCTTGAATAACCTCTCAAATGTAGGTGATGCGCCGAGTGCAGCATCCCTGGGATGTTCCAGCAATCAATCATCTTGAGAAAGCGCTAGATTGGCTGGAGTGGGGAGATATAGTGGCCTGCACATGGCTTGATACCTCCGAGAGGAGACTGGCGGCAAATACTCCATTGTAATTGGATGTAACTGTTGATCTTTGTCCCCAGATCTGGGGAATTCACAGTGGAATTATATAGTAGTAGTAGGTGGAGTGACTGGTGTTGGAGGACCCGCTGTCACCCCGCAACAAGTAGATCTCCATCACCGACCGCCCTAGACTCCGGCGGCAAAATAAAAACAAAACACAACAAAACGAAACAACTACACAACCTCTTTCCTCTCTTTCAAGGACTCATTCCTCTCTCTTCAAACACTTCTTACAATATTGGACAACTGAATCGTTGCCCCGTCGTTTTCATCAGTTTGACCCGCAATATCACGATGTCGGCCCCTCTCGAATGTCCCAAGCGAAAGGAAATGCGCAAGGCCTTGCGTAGCCTGGAGAATCACATCAAAGCGCTTGAACCGGACCATCAAATTGAGATAGGCTCAGCTGAGATCGATCAAATTCGGTTCCTGCCCATGGTCCTGGATGAAAGTTCAGAAGATCGACCTGCTTTTTTTACCCTCTTGGATGGGACTTACCTGCCGACACCTAACGACCAATATGACCAGGAGCACGAGGAGGAATATCTTCCCCATGATTCAATTTCAGAGGAGTGCAGAGACCCAAGGACCTGCGCGCAAGCAATTGACATCTACTGGTCTAAATACCTCTCCCACTATTCCGTCATCGACCAGCCCCCGGGCGGCGAAATCGTATGGTCTTCGATTCCGTAGGATAATATCCCCCTTTGCAGGCTTTCCTCATGGTCCTGACGCAATCATAGTTTGTTTAGGTCTTCTGTGTACAAGGAAAAGGTCCTCTGGCGGCATAATTACCCGGAGTTTGGACTCTACGACATTCAACAGGTCACAGAAGGGCCCTATGCACATCTCAAGGCTACGATATACAACAACCTGAACGCCGATGATGGCCACCTCCTCCAAGGGGAGATGCTTCTCATTTTACGTCTGATGCTAGCCCACATGAGAAGGTCCCGGTACATTGACCATATGGTTGTGCCGGTGAGTAGCTCCTTTCCATTCGAATCATAAAACCTCACCTCTAATCTAGTGCCCTAGGTGATGGTCTTTTCCCTAATGGGGCCCCAGCATGCTCGCGTCATCGAAGCCTACCCGGAAGGCCATACTATTGTGGTTCGCCCCACCAAACTGTACGATCTTCGCACCAAAGATGAAGCCACTTTAAAGTTGTTTGCCCAGTGGTATTTTGGGGAGCCACGCGCCCCTACCGGGACTTCGCAGTAGGTCGGCTGCCACATTGTATGCACGTTATGTTTTTGTCATGTTAGGTTTACGGCGCGATGGAGGTATTGGGAATTGGAATGGACAGGGTTGGCGTTTTATTTACGATTGACATGATGGACTGGAAGGATACCCGAGGCGGAGTTTAGTTTCTATCAAAACTACGGCCATGGCGCACTCATATTGTTTCTTGCTGGCTTGTCAGATATCTTCCAGGATTCGAAAGAATTATTCAAATTATAAAGACTATGACATAATGAGAGCATATTAAATAGTAGAAGATGCTACCGATTACCTATATATTGTGGAAGAAGCAGTGACTGGCAATCGGATAACGGCCAGCTGATCTGCGGCGTTTGTAATCCTTTCCCATACATTTGATTATCATTTGTGTTTTGACGTTTCCTGCAGTGGTTCCAGTACATGAAGTTTGATCGGGAAGGGCGGTCAAAAAGATTGCCGTAAAGTATACCCACTGATCATGTCTTCTCTGCAAAACATTTACCCAAAACATTATTTCACTTCGTTCATCACCTAGACCATTTCAGTAGCTGACACGTCATTCTACTGCATATGATAATATCATTTGCTTGAGATAGAATGCTAGAGAGCATTTAGCCAAACCAACTGTGATGCCACCAGCCTGAATGAATCCTCACGGATCGAGAAACAAACCAGATGTACTGGAATGCTGGATCGGTAATGACGTCAGGGCAGCATCTACTCTTCGATCTTTCGATCTTTCGATCTGACCGATAGTCCATCCAGCCCCTCGCCTGCATTTGCGAGTTCTAAAGGAATGGAATGAAGATACGGAGACACCTTGCCAATTACCCGCTCTCAGCTACAGTATTCTTCAGTCGATATAGCCTTTCCGCGATGCCGCCAACGAAACGCAGGGCACCCAGCACCTCAAAGGATGCAAGCACCAATGGTGCCTCGCACGCGAGCAAGCGAGGCAGACTTGATTTGACGGAACCGCATCCCAATTCCCAACAAGCCGAAGACTTCGGCATTGTCCTTCGCGATTTCTACTCACCGGAAATGAGCAACGAGCGCTGCGAAGCCTACAATAATGGGACACTGGAGCGTCCAATTGAGACTCTGCAGAAGGCTTATGAAGCAACAATGGACGCGAGGCAGTCGATTCGACCCAATAACGCCGTGGTACATTGGTTCAAGTCGGACCTACGACTACATGACAATCGGGCCCTGCGCATGGCCTACGAGGTGGCGCGAGATAACAAGATCCCGCTCATCTGCCTGTACATTCTCTCGCCGGAAGATTTCACGGCTCATCTTACCAGTCCAGCTCGCGTCGATCTTACGCTCCGGACATTGGAACAGTTGAAGCGGGACCTAGGTGAGCTTGATATTCCGCTGTACATGGAGACGCAGGATAGGCGCAAAGAAATCCCAAGTCGCATCCTTGATCTGTGTGAACGGTGGGGCGCCAATCATCTGTTCGCGAATATCGAGTACGAAGTCGATGAACTGCGGCGAGATGCCAGGTTGGTGAGACTCTGTGTGGACAAGGGCATCAAGTTTGAAGCGGCCCACGATACTTGCGTCGTAACGCCAGGTTCCCTCAGCAGTCAACAAGGAAAGCAGTACGCTGTGTACAGCCCGTGGTATCGCACGTGGCTAGCCTTTTTGAAAGAGAACCCCGAGTATCTGGAGATCGTGGAAGAGCCGGGGTCTAATCCTGGAAATGCCCGAAAACATTTTGGAGATCTGTTCGACAGCCAGGTACCTGCGCCACCTACCAATAAGCGGCTGTCCGAGGAAGAGAAGTCGCATCTTCACAAGTTATACCCGGCCGGTGAGCATGAAGCTCTCCGCCGTCTTGAGGAGTTTCTGGAAGAGAAAGCAAAGTCATACGACAATATGCGAAACTTTCCGACTGGACAGCATACCTCTGTACTTAGTCCATACTTTGCCTCCGGTGCATTGAGTGCCAGAACTGCGGTATCTATGGCGAGACAGGCCAACGGGAATCAACTGGATCGCAAAGAGCCCGGGTATGTTTCATGGATCAGTGAGGTTGCATGGCGGGACTTTTATCGACATGTGCTCGTCCATTGGCCTTATATATGGTAGGATGCCACATAAGAAAACCTTTACAAGGTCCACGCTGACAGGTATCATTTGTTTCCAGCATGAATAAATGTTTCAAGCCCGAGTTCACCAATGCCGAGTGGGAATACAACAAGGATCAGTTCAACGCCTGGTGTGGGGGCAAGACGGGATTTCCCATCGTCGACGCAGCAATGCGACAGCTGAAACAGGACGCCTGGATGCACAACCGTACTCGCATGATCGTGTCTTCCTTCTTATCGAAGGACCTCCTGATTGATTGGCGCCGCGGGGAACGATATTTCATGGAGAACTTGATCGATGGGGACTTTGCGTCCAACCACGGGGGATGGGGGTTTGGCTCCAGCACAGGCGTTGATCCGCAGCCATATTTCCGTATCTTCAACCCGTCTCGCCAGAGTGAACGGTTTGATGCCGACGGCGAGTACATCCGGCGCTGGGTACCGGAACTACGCGATGTCCAGGGATCAGCAATCCATGAGCCGTATGAGCGAGGCGCAGGCGATACTGCAAGGAAAAATGGGTATCCCAAGCCGATTGTGAAACATTCAGAAAGCCGAGATCGGGCATTGGATCGGTACAAGAGAGCATCGCAGACCAAATGATACCTTGCACGCACAGAATTTGAAATGGGTCTCGCGTCTAACTCCGGACCTAGTCCGCCATATTTTTCGCACCCGTAGTGTCAAAGTCTAAGCACACGTTCCAATGCGGAGATGCCTCGTTTTGGAGACTCCCCCGCGATTGTTTCAGCCTTTTCCGTCTCGGTTCAGGTCATCGCCGGTGGCATTGCTTTGAGCCCTCTTTTCTGTCGCATTGCGATACTTATTCATTCATTCTCCGGCATCGTCAGGCCGTATCTCTTGCGCATCGAGAAGTGCTCCAAGTTGTTGGGTTGAGGAGCATCAAATACAGCATTGAATGGCTCATGGAAGAAGATATAGGGAAAGTCCGAAAAGGCCTACATCCGCTTTTTGATGCAGAATCTATAGCCGGCGAAGTCTCCTTGCAAATTTAGGGTGGCCTCCACATTATGACAAGAGGAACTATGCTGAGGCTAGCTTGGCATCCAAAGACAGATTAATTTGGAGGATGTTTTAGGCTTATACAGGGCCTTTCCTCTTATATAATATTCTCTAATTCTAGTTACAAGATGGCTATCGAAGGGTACTCACAGAGCTCAGAAGTGTCTAGATATCTTTTGTAGCCGAGTGGTGTTCTGTGCCACAATATGTTTGTATAAGATATACATATATGTGTATATGACTACAGCTTCGCCTTCGGCTTCAGCATAGCCTCAGCCACCTTTCGCCGTTGGATCTTGCCCGTCGCCGTCTTGGGGATCTGCGACACGATCCAGACCTGCGTCAATTAGCATATTGAGTCTTCTAAAAAGCGGACACGAGGAACACACCTTCTTGGGAGTCTTGAACTTAGCCAGCTTACTCGCCACCCAAGCCTTCAACTCCTCCTCAGTAGCACCGCCACCCGCCTTCAGGACGACCGCAGCGCCGATGTCCTCGCCGTAGTGGCCTTCGTCCGGGATAGCGAAGCACACAGCCTCGCCCACCTTCGGATGATGCAGCAGGGTGTTGTCCAGCTCGATGGGGCTGATCTTCTCGCCGCCCTTGTTGATAAGTTCCTTGATGCGTCCCGTGATGATCACGTACCCGTCGGCGTCCTTTTTGCCCTGGTCGCCTGTGCGGAAGAACCCGTCCCGCGTGAACGACGACGCGTTCGCAGACGGGTTGTTCAGGTACCCCTTTGTGACGTTTTCGCCGCGCACGCAGATCTCGGCTTCGCTGCCTTGCGCGACTTCCTTGCCTTCTTGGTCGAGAATCCGCACTTCTACGCCCTGCCCGATGCCCACACTGCCTGGTTGGCGCTTCGCTGGTGGGAGTGGGTTGCTGGTCATTTGGTGGGCGGCTTCTGTCATCGCGTATGCCTCTAGGACGGGTGCGTTCAGCGTCTTTTCGAGCTCTTTGAAGGTCTGTGGGGAGAGCGGGGACGAGCACGACCGGATGAATCGGATGGAGGGGAGGGGGGTTGGCAGTGCGGTTTTCAGCAGGATTTGGTGAATTGTCGGCACGGCCGAGTACCAGTTGGCTTTGTAGTTGATGAAGTCCGCCCAGAATTCGTGCGCGGAGAATTTAGGCGGCACGATCACCGATCCGCCGGAGTAGAGGGGCGCTAGGAAGGCCGCCAGCAGCCCGTGCACGTGGAATAGAGGCATGACCAGGTACGTGCGGTCCTTCGGGGTGAGCTGGTATGTCGCTTGGATGTTCTCTGGATTTTGCGTTAGAACGGCTTTCCCCCTTCGACTGGGGTCTGCACGGGGTACATACTCATGGTGGTGGTGAGGTTCTTGTGCGTGAGAGGCACCTATACCATGGCTGTTAGCATGTCAATCCCAGAGATACTGTGACGGGACAGGGCACAAACAGCTTTGGGACGACCAGTCGTGCCACTCGTATGCAAGACAAGAGCGATATCATCAGGCTGCGCCTGTTCAACCTGCCCCGGACGGGCTCCGGCCAGCTTCCCCTGCTCCTTGACATCCAGGACCATCTCGGTGCCATTCCAGTAGCACTCGGCGATAGCCGCCTGGTACTTGCGACCCGCGCGGACAGCCGGTCCATTTTGCGCATAAGAGCCCTGCGGGATCAAGACCAGGGTGGAACTGAGGTCGTCGATGTAGAACTCGAATTCATCCTGCTTGTAGGCCGGGTTGAGTGGGGCGGCGATAGCGCGCTGCCAGGACGCAGCCAAGAATGACACGATGAACTCGTACGAATTAACCAGGGCTATCGACACCGCCGCCCCATGTCCGACCCCTAGCTTGGCGAGCTTGGCTTGGAACTCGGCGACATGGGTATGAAGCTGCTGGTACGAGACGGACAGCGGTGCTGGGCGATTGGGTACCAGGATAGCGACATCGGAGCTGTCGGATGAGAACGAACGGGCTAGAGTCGCCATGGTGAGTTGGGAGCTGTATAAGACAATTTAACAGGTGATTGCTGGCTAATAGACGAAATAGTGACTTATAACCATACGGTCATATCAAACATGCGTGAACATTAGGCAGACATCAAAACAGACTCAAAGCTATGTTATATATCGAGTCCATCAGTCATCGCTTCGTCATTTGCGATGACTAACTCAAAGGGAAAGGACACCGACTTCTCCGCACGCCCATTATCGTCTGGTCTCCACATCGGAGGAGTCCGTTGGGGTCTTCTTCTTTTGCAGTGGAGACTCGTGCGAGAGTTAGGTAACTGGTACTAGTTAGTGGTAGTTAGTGAGAACTTACTTAGTAGGCTACCGCTAATCCGGAGTAGTATACAGAGTAGTAGGGAGTATAATGATATGCATAACTGACTAAGTGCACAATCGACGAAATTACACAAATCAGTCAAACAAGCCAAACCGAACAAACGTCTGTCCATAATATCACGGCCATACTTGCGCACCTCTTCTTCCTCCATCCTCTCATTTTGTCCAGTCTGTGGACACTTTCATCATGTCGGACTCAAACCAGTCTAAACCCGGCGGGATGATCTCCCTATACGCCAACTTGCTGGATTCAAATCCAGATCCATCCCCCGGCACCATCTCCCGCGCCCCCGTCGTCTTCAAACAGTCCTCCGAAGGCGAGTCGCAGCCCGATGATTCCGCTGCCAAAAAGCAGCAACTTCCTACCGGTAGAGCTCAAACCCTTGAAACGACCCTTTGAATCCTACTGTCTTGATTTGGCGATCTGATTACTCACATGGGTTTGGCGGGTTGGCGGATTCCAGCTTCTCTCCGATTCCAACCTACAAAGCGACCACAGCTCTCCGCGCAGAAACCGAAACCGAAGCCGTCATTACCGAAAGCGACCCCTAATCCTGTTGCTGCCGCCGCTTCGGCGGCAGCTGCCAAGAGTACACTGGCGGATTGGGCGGCTACGGAGGACGATTACGATGGGTTTTATGCGGGCCCGAAACGGCAGCGGGGCGGGCGCAAGAAGCGCAAGAAGAACAAGGACACGGAAGCCTTCTTTCAGAATTGGGACGACATCTACGACCCATCCCGGCCGAACGTCTTTGAGGAATATAGGCATAGCGATGAGCAGATGAACGAGGTGCGCGATTGGAAGGACCGTCTGTACGCCCATCGCATGGTGCGGTCCCCAAGTAGGGACTCGTACTCCGATGATGGCGACCGACCTGTAAACCGTTCGTACTACCCTTGCACGTGGGTGTCTCTGTTTACTGATGAACCTTTGAATAGGCCGATTCGCACCGCCGCCCAGCTTCGCACCACCGCCAAGCTTCGCACCGCCGCCAAACCTCAACGACGTCCCACCTCCGCCGCCTAGGGATTCGCCGCCGTATGAGCCGCATGATGCCACGGTCGAGGATGCGCCAGTGTCTGGCTATGTTCCGCCTGAGCCACAGCCCGTCCTCCCAGATGACCCTTCCGGGGAGGATGCCTTCCGAAGGCGCCTACAGATGCCCGGAGCTCAGCCGACGACAGCACCCGCTGCTCCTCCTCCCCCTCCAAACCGGCCTATGGAAGCGATGCAGCCGGCTTCTGCGACCATCTCCCGAGCCCCAGTTCGTTACACTCTGCCCCCGCCTCCGGATGATATTCCCGCCTCCGAGGCGGAGCTGGAAGAGGTATTTGCCAAGGAAGAGCCCGCCGAGGAAGAGCCTGGACAAGACGACCAACGCTCTCTGCGGCCGGGGCAGCAGGGGTTCGCCGAGCGACTCCTTTCAAAGTATGGCTGGACCAAAGGGTCAGGCTTGGGCGCAACGGGATCGGGTATCGTCAATCCATTACAGGTCAAGGTGGAAAAGCAGAAGAAGCGACCCGACTCGGAAGGTGGTGGCTTTGCTACTCCTGCTGGGCGGGGCAAGATCATTGGTAGTAAGAAGAAACAAGAGGAGGGGAGCAAGTTCGGCGTAATGAGCGAAGTGATTGTCCTGAAAGGCATGCTCGACGGGATGGATGTGGATGCCGAACTGGAGGGAGATCACGACGGGGGATTGATGCAAGAGATTGGGGAGGAATGCTCGGAGAAGGTACGTCAATCAAACATTCCGCTACTTCTCATTTCTAACCCAGGTAGTATGGAAACGTGGAGCGTGTCTTTATCTCTCGTGGTTCGGGGCCCCCGGTACCTGTGTTTGTCAAGTTCGTCAACCAGCTATCAGCTTTACGGGTAAGTTCTATTAGTTTTCCCGTCTGGTATCCCTGAATCTAATAGCAACGATTCAGGCCGTCAACGCTTTGGAAGGCCGGGTATTCAACGGCAATACGATCACGGCTCGTTTCTTTGACACGCAAAAATTCGAGGAAGGCGTATACGAGGACTAAACAGGCAGAGGCGCAATACTAGTGAAGAAACTTTCTAGGTTTATGAACTGCAATGAATCGACATGAATCCCAATATATCGTGGCCTTCCACTTTTCCGCTTTAGTGATTTCCCTGTATCGAGGAACACTGAAAGATGCATAATTAAATGGTTTGTTTCGCTGAACCAACTGTGCCGGCTGTTACCATCAAAAGGTAAGCCGGTCAAACAACTCCAAGCCGTCGAGTGTGGTATCGCTTCCCGAGTCGACATCCGATTCTAGAGTACTGATATCGCCCTCATACTCTGTGGCATCACCGGTGTCTGATAATCGTCTCTTATATTCTTTCCTCATCGCTTTTCTCGTCGGGCGTGTATTGTCACGACACCCGCTGCATGCACCGAAGAGGGGAATATACAAGGGTGTTGCGTCGCAATTGTAGCCGTGCCGGATAGCCTTCGCGCAGGGGACGTGGAAGTAGTAGAGCGGGTTGAGATGCTCACAGAGGGTGTAATACCAAGTGACTTCTTGGCACATTGCTTCTGTTTTGTCGATTTGAGGATTTTCTCGGCGTTGTCTGTACTGAGGCGAAGGATTTGGGTCGCTTTTGGCCGGTTTCCTGTCGAGGGAGTAATGGTGGGCGTATGATGTTTCTAACACACATAACTTGTGAAATTTATATATCTTTCTTCAAAGCAATGTATTCATACTCCTAGATGCTTCTGATATTTGAAAGAGATTCAATGGATCATTGTTGTCGTTTCACTTTCCTGGATAATTTCCCTTTGTTCCATTATGCATTGCATCTATTTCTGGAGACGGCGTACCGCACTTGGCTCCTTTCTACAAGACAGGAGCTATTCTGACTGATTGCACCTCTTTATCCTCAAGAATGTGAATAGAAAACCACAAAGGATTACCGGCATGCCAGTAACAATGAGGCTATACTGAAGATCATGCACGTATGACGAGCAGCACACAGTCACGTGACGAGATCTATCTCCGGTGGCGCTGATTGACCATTGGCTGTGGGGCATCAAACCGCCTGCGTCAGGTCCATTCTTCCAATATTCACCTTGCATCTCACTCATCTCCAGCTTCATCGCTGTCTTTGTACTCTCTTCTCTGGCTTCTGGGCGCTAGGACCCTCTTGCTGGTCACTCACGGTAGAGAACATTGCCATTTCACCGCGATTATCTGCTCTCCGCTTCTGCTTGTTTCGGGACGCTGCGTTTGATACCTACCTACTCTGGTGGCACTCGCTTGCTGGCCAGCCTCAGTTTAGTTTCAGTGACTGACGCCTCTTCGCTGCTCCTATTTATTTTCTGCAGCTACTTTTTTCTCCCCCTCTTCCCTTGTTTTCTCTCGTCTCCCGGATTTCTTCCTTTCCGCTTCGTTGTAACGTCAGCTATCGCACCGCTTGACCTGGATTAAATCAACTGTCACCTACTTTTCTGACATCGCCTTCTCTTGTCGTCGCGACAAAAGCTGATTAATATAACTACGATGTCTCTATGTCAGAACCGCCTCGCGGAGGAGAGGTACGTGATTTTGAGGATCGCTTGGGTCCATCACCCCACCTTGCGATACCTTCCCCCACCATCGCGCCCAAACGGTAGATACTGATTGAGATGCTCAGGAAGCAGTGGCGACGGGATCACCCGTTTGGTTTCTACGCGAAGCCTCAACGGTCTCCTCAGGGTGTGCTGGACCTCAAGCGCTGGGAGTGCGCCGTGCCGGGTAAAGCCAATACTCTGTGGGACGGCGGGCTGTTCAAGCTGGAAGTCACTTTTCCCGATGGTGAGTTCACTTTTCTTTCCCCCCCTCTATATCTTGTTGCTAGTCGCGAATGGTAGACTGATCTGTTATTCTGCATAGAGTACCCCACTAAGCCTCCGAAATGTATGCGCTGCACTCTTCCCCGAGCTAGTGGGACTGTCCAACGGGACTGAGAACAGTCTTCGTTGAACGCCCTCACCTCATACCCCAGCGAGAACACCGACTAACATCACAACAGGCAAATTCGTCCCCCCGCTCTTCCACCCCAACGTCTACCCCTCCGGCACAGTCTGCCTCTCCATCCTGAACGAGGAAGAAGCATGGAAACCCGCAATCACCATCAAGCAGATCCTGCTGGGAATCCAAGATCTGCTGGATGACCCCAATCCGGAGTCCCCGGCGCAGGCCGAGGCGTACAATCTGTTCAAGAGGGACAAGCCGGCCTACGAGAAGAAAGTGCGGCAGGTTGTGAAGGATAACCCGCCTGTTTAGATATCATCCTCCTGGCTGGCTGGCTGACTGGCGGCTGGCTGGTTGTTGATTCCTATCTATCTCCCTCTTCGTTTATTTTAGCAAACCTCAGCGTGGCGTCTTCGATTTTTAACCAATTGATGGGCCAGTGGATGGCGTTTTTAAGCATTTGACGTATTTCTTTTCCTTGCTTGTTTATTTCGCCGAAAACCTGTTTCGGCGGTATTACTCAGTATTCCAGTCTTCCTATGGTACCTCAGTCTCCAAGTGGCGTGTGTCCATGGCGCCCTCCATCGACAGCTTTAAGTGGGACCGAGATGGGAACTGTGGAAGATTCGAGAGATATTGCCACAGTGACTTAGCATGATGAATCCATCTACATAGCTTGGGCATAGCATAGTCACCCATACTCCCTAGTTATGAGACACATAAGTCATTTCTAAACTACATAGGTACTCCTTGTATGCAGGGGTATGATCTATAGACAGTACTAAGTACCTAGGGACTACTCTGTACCTGTAGAGTGACCTCTTTAAATAATCCCAGTCCACCAATCAGCAGACACGAAATCCGGGCGCGGGCAGAGTTTATCTTATCGGAGGTTCGGGAAAGTGACTCAGACAAATTTTGCGACCGAAATCGCCCCTCGAAGTTCCGCCCCGCCCGGAACGGGAAGAAAGTCCATTTAAAATTCCATTTCTCTGGTCTTTTCCCTCTGCCAATCCTCTCCCCATCCCGCAATTCATCACCGCTGTGCCCAATTCTTTCCCCTTCTTTCCTCTTCATAATTAACCTTCTCTGTTGTCTAATTCTTGGGTCTTGTGGTCAACATGTGTGGTATCTTCGCCTGTCACCGGTATGTTCCTGGCCCTAGTTGTTTCGTGGACCCTGATTGCCCCGCGAATTGTCTCGCGAGGTCTTCTCGTTCGCCGTCCCCTGCTAACTCCATACCTTGCTAGGCACCCTGATGTGCAGAAATTCAAGCCCACGGCTTTGCGCATGGCCAAGGCGTGAGTATATCCTGTCGAATTCGCCATCTCCGAGTATGCGTTAATTGTGGTCCTCAGTGTGCGCCATCGCGGTCCCGATTGGAGTGAGTCACAAACACCGCCGGTATCCCCTCACTATAATTGCAGGCTTCTGACATGATCATAGGTGGCAACTTCATGGCCGACAACACCAGTAAGCCGATCATTGGGCTCTCGTGCTAATTGGAACGTCGCTGATGAGATTCAGTCCTCGCGCATGAGCGTCTGAGCATTGTCGGTATCGGTATGGTTTATGCCAAGCCCTCTTGTGTTGAATGTGCGTGCTGATCAAAAATCTGAATCTAGACACCGGTGCCCAGCCCCTCGTCAACGATGATAGCTCGCTCGCTCTGGCCGTCAACGGCGAGATCTATAACCACCGTATCCTCCGGAAGGAACTGAACGTCGACTATACATTCAAGACGCACTCCGACTGCGAAGTGATCATCCCCCTGGTATGTGGGATAGACTGGACAATCTTGTTTTTTCGGCCTTTGGGCACTGCACAATGGTGGATACTGACCGTCTCAGTACATGCAATATGGCCTGGACGCCCCCAAGCATCTTGATGGCATGTTCTCCTGGGTTCTTTTCGACCGCAAGCAGAACCGCGTCATCGCTGCCCGTGATCCCATCGGTATCACTAGCTTCTACCTGGGCTGGTCCAGCGAGACCCCCGGTGCCGTTTACTTCGCCTCCGAACTCAAGTCCTTGCACCCCATTTGCGACAAGATCGAGGCCTTCCCCCCCGGTCATGTCTATGACTCCAACACCGGTGCCTTGACCCGGTACTTCCAGCCCTCGTGGTGGGACCCCGCCAACGTTCCCTCGACTCCCGTCGACTACCTGACGCTCCGCCACTCGCTGGAGAAGGCTGTGCGCAAGCGTCTGATGGCCGAGGTCCCTTACGGTGTGCTGCTCTCCGGTGGCCTGGACTCCAGTCTGGTTGCCGCCATTGCTCAGCGCGAGACCCTGCGCATGCAGGATGCCACCAAGGCCGCCATTCAGAACCAGACCGGTGTCTCGGATCTGGTTGGCATCGACGACTCCAACGAGCTGTCCACCGTCACCACCCTGCAGCAGCTGCACTCCTTCTCCATCGGTCTGCCCGGTGCTCCCGATACCGAGGCCGCCCTCGAAGTTGCCCGCTTCCTCGGAACCAAGCACCACGCTTTCACCTTCACCGTCGAAGACGGTCTCAACGCTCTCTCCGATGTCATCTACCACCTCGAGACGTACGACGTGACCACTATCCGTGCCTCCACGCCCATGTACCTGCTGAGCCGAAAGATCAAGGCCATGGGTGTCAAGATGGTTCTCAGCGGTGAGGGAAGCGACGAGATCTTCGGCGGTTACCTGTACTTCCACGCTGCCCCCAACCGGGAAGAGTTCCACAAGGAGACCGTTCGCCGGGTCAAGAACCTGCACCTGGCGGACTGCCTCCGCGCGAACAAGTCGACCTCCGCCTGGGGTCTGGAGGCCCGTGTGCCGTTCCTGGACAAGGAGTTCCTCGAGACCTCCATGAAGATCGACCCTGCCGATAAGATGATCACCGAGGGGCGCATTGAGAAGTACGTTCTGCGGAAAGCGTTCGACACCACCGACGAGCCGGACAACACGCCCTACCTGCCCGAGAAGATCCTCTGGCGCCAGAAGGAGCAGTTCAGCGACGGTGTGGGCTACAGCTGGATCGACGGTCTGAAGGATGCGGCCGAGGAGCACGTCACGGACGAGATGATGAAGAACCCCAAGCCCGAGTGGGGTAGCGACGTTCCCGACACCAAGGAAGCGTAAGTTCTGCACATGGATAGTTCATCCGTGGAAATGATGACTGACGAAGACTAGGTACTGGTACCGCACGATGTTCGACGAGCACTTCCCTGCCTCGTGCGCGGGCACGGTTGAGCGTTGGACCCCGACATGGTCGAAGCAGACCGATCCCAGTGGACGGTAAGTCATGGCGCGTGTAATGGTCGGTCCGGACACCTGCTAACCCGTTCGTTTTCTTCCAGGGCTATTGCGACCCACAACGCCAAGTATAAGAGCGTCGAATAGATGTTGGGTAAATAAACTCTGCGCGTTTTCGGTTGGGCAATCATGGGTATAGAGGCATGCATAGATGATCTACCAAAGTTTCTTGTTTGGGGTCAAAAGTGAATTTTTCATTGGACGAGCTTGCGGGCCACCGAGCATCTGCTTTCCTGTTCTTCTAGCACTGGCATCTTCTATTTGTCTTGGGTGGGTACAGTGAAGTTCTGCGTAAAGAGCTTGAATCTGTGGCGTCAAGTCTTTTTCTAGTATCTCCTTTGCTTTTCCAGTTTTTCGGTGTCGCACTTATCATGAGACGCGAGCTTCTTTAATCAATCAAAGTTCTATCTGAAGATCATGCGAGTTGGGTTGTTGGGCCCCGTGTTGGACGATCGTATTCAACGGTTCTGCCGATCTTCGACCAGCGTGGGTGTACGGAGTAGGAAGGAAGAGGCCCAGATCAGCGTAAGATCCGAGACACAGAGGTGGAGTATATCCTGCACGGCGAAATTCGCTGCATCATAACAACCTAAACAAGATAGCTGTCCACTGTCATCGATAGCGGAAGCACCGTTCGGCAGCTCAGATCGTCTCCACGGAGGGAAAGATGACGGAATCGACGGCGGGTAATCTCTGCCCAAGGCCGCCAGATCACGGGACTTAGCGGCTTTTACCGGGACCCGACCAGCCACCAATCAGGAGGAGAGGGATTTCCCGTGCCATGATTTCCCAGCATTTCCCATTGTTTTGGCCTTAGGTAACCCAACAACGGACTTCACTTCTCGTTCTCTCGCTTTCTCCCTCTCTCTCTCTCCCGTTTCCACCTCTACACACTACTATCTTCCCCACGTAATCTTTCGACGTCACCGTCTTCTCATCTCCCCCTCTACTCATAATGTCTGCTCCTGCTGCTTTCTCCGATATCGCCAAGGCGGCCAACGACGTATGTTCTCTGTCTCTTCTGTCCTGGCAAAATTGAGGCGCCAGAGGCAGAGCTGGTCCGGCAGGGATTTTTCATGCTAATCCTCTGCGTTACAGCTCCTGAACAAGGACTTCTACCACTCCAACCCTGGTAAGTACTGTCCTTGACATGTCCTGGTTGATTTGGGGAGTTTGTTTTCGGTGTAGCTGACAAAATAACTAGCCAGCTTGGAGGTTAAGTCCAAGGCCCCCAATGGCGTCACCTTCAACGTGAAGGGCAAGTCGGCCCACGAGGGCTCCATCGCTGGCACTGTAGGTGTCTCCTTGAGAATGGTCTAGTGACATGATGCAATACTAATACTTTTGATCGCGCAGCTCGAGGCCAAATATGTTGACCAGCCCACTGGTAAAGACCCCCCAAAACGCAAACGCCCCCTAGGCAAACCACCCGATCCAAAAAGCAGGAGCATGCGCGAGCCCGGGCCCATGATGATGTTTTCATGTGCCCGGATCTCGTCGAAGCATGTCAAATATTTCGTCATGTCGCGGTTTTCCCAGCATTCAGTCAGGCTAATATTCTGTCCGCGCCCAGGCCTCACCCTGACCCAGGCTTGGACCACCGCCAACGCCCTCGACACCAAGCTCGAGCTCGACAACAACATCGCCAAGGGCCTCAAGGCTGAGATCCTGACCCAGTACCAGCCCGCCAAGCAGTCCAAGGGCGCTAAGCTGAACCTCTACTTCAAGCAGCCCAACCTGCACGCCCGTGCCTTCTTCGACCTCCTCAACGGCCCCTCGGCCAACTTCGACGCCGTCCTCGGCCACGAGGGCTTCCTCGTCGGTGCTGAGGGTGGCTATGACGTCCAGAAGGCCGCCATCACCAAGTACTCCGCTGCCGTCGGCTACAGCGTTCCCCAGTACACCGCTGCCATCACCGCCGCCAGCAACCTGAGCGTGTTCTCCGCCTCGTACTACCACCGTGTCAACCCCCAGGTTGAGGCCGGTGCCAAGGCCACCTGGGACTCCAAGTCCGGTAACTCCGTCGGCCTCGAGGTCGCCAGCAAGTACCGCCTGGACCCCTCTTCCTTCGCCAAGGTATGTTGATCTGACTCTACCGGAATCTTCACTCTGGGGTCTTGACTAATCGCTGTTCTCTTTATAGGCCAAGATCAACGACCGTGGTGTCGCCGCTCTCGGCTACAACGTCCTCCTGCGCCCTGGTGTGACCCTCGGCCTGGGTGCCTCCTTCGACACCCAGAACCTCAACCAGGCCGCCCACAAGGTCGGCGCCAGCTTCACCTTCGAGGCTTAGAGGAATTCTCCTTCCTCCGCCAGCCTCTCCCGCAGTGCTCGTCCAAGCCTAGATTAATAGTCTGCGGATAGCCGAGTCGATCAGCTAGCTATCTTGTTACTGCCATCCTTGAGTCCGGGAAGCCAGTTCTCCGGCAGATGCGCAGTTGGGAATGGATATTGCGCGCGGGTGTCATTGCCATCTGGATGTCAACGTATTAATCATGTATCGTAACTGTCGACGAGAACTGTACATCAACCTACTTTCCTTTGTTTGGTATTTAGTTATTTGGGTCTGGTGTAGTGATCTGTATCTGTATGGATTGAAAAAGTAGAGCCGTATCGCAGCCGTGTGTATGGTAAGTAAGGTACTCCTAAATGCCGCACCGCAAAGATATACAAGAATAAAGTAAAAACAAGCCACCCATCTATTCTACCCCCCCGAACCCCCATCCCTCCTCTCCCCACTCGCACCCTGTTTCCCACTCCCACCCACACTAGGCCTCCCACTCGCCCCAGGCCACCCAGCCAACGCCCCCGCCCCAACCAAAATCCCACAAACAACCACAAACCGAAACGCAAAGTCCGCCGAGCTGCCCATCTCATGCTCGCGAATCGCAGCGTTTCGTGCGTGCGTTTGCCGCTGCTGTCTCCGCTTGTCCTCCGCCGTCTGCGTGCGGTAGTGCCCGCGGGCATTGAAGTGATTCACTGGGTTGCGATTGATGAAGTCTGTGTGGTCGTCGTCGCTGCGACTGCTGGTTTTGCCCGTCCCTCCTGTCCCCCCTCCTCCTCCTGCTGCACCCGCACCAGCACCAGCAAACCCAGCACTCCCTCCATGCGGCGGCGGTTTGCGATTCCCATACCCCCCATGCGCATAAAAACTAGGCGGTGGCCCGCGGAACGCACCCCGGCGTTTACTGAGCCCGCTAGCTGGGCGGGAACCAGCGTAGGACCCCCCGCCGCCGTGGTTGTGGAGGTTTGCGCCGTGGCTGCTGTGGCTGCCCATGGGGTGTTGGCCTGGGTGGGCGGTGGAGTGGGTTGAGGCGAGGTGGGCGGCGATGCCGTGTTCGCGGTCGTAGGTGGAGCGTTTGGCGGCGTTGGAGAGGACGCTGTATGCTGAGGAGATGCGGGAGAAGCGATTTGTTGCGTGCGGGTCGGTGCGGTTTCTGTCGGGGTGGTGGCGGAGGGAGAGGGAGTAGAATTGTCTTTTTTTTTTTTTTTTTAGTTAGATTGGTTGATTTTGGGGAGGGAGGGGGAGAGGGAGGGAGAATGGGGGGGGGGGGGGAAAGAGAGAGGATTGATGGGAAGATACTTTTTGATTTCGGCCGTGGTGGCTGTTATGGGTACGTCGAGGACCTCATATAGGGTCGGTTCGCGACTTGTTGCGCGGCATTGTGAGGTTGTGCTGAAGGGCGCGGCGTAACTGGAGGGTATGGAGGAGGAGGGTGAGCTCGCGCGAAGAGAATCGAGGGGCGAGGGGTGGCGGAGTCGGATGAAGGATATCCTCACGCGAGGAAATAGCATGCCTCTGAGGTAGGCAGGAGAATAATGGAAGGGAAGACCTGAATGTTGAAGGTGTTGTATGAGAGAGTGTTGTAGGAAGAAGATGGCGGCGAGTGAGTTGGAGATGCGCCGCTCCTCGGAGGTGCGTCATCGGTCGCGGGGATCGAGCCGGTTGGAGAGGATTTAGCCACTTTTAGTTGATAGACAGTAGACAATATTGGAAATTAAAAGTATATGTTTTTGTAGTTCAATTGCCTAGAGGTATCAAGTCATTCTCAATGCTATCTTTTTTCTATTGCTGTTGCTGTATGGTGGACGTCTAGCATAGATCTATCAATTAGGATAAGGACACCACGTTGATAGTGATATGGGACATCAAATATTGCTTTCAAAATGATCTATATAGAGATATCAGATTGAGTATATAATTATTATATATTAGCATAATGATATCAAGGCATGAACGGGGTCATATAATATAAACCTGCCTCAGGCAACACTCCCGACGGAATCCGCCCGCCGAATCCCCTCTTTTTTTCCTCGCTTTTCCCTCTTCCTCCACCTCTCTCCCCACCATCTCCGACACCTTAGTATCTTCTGTTCCTTTGCCAGCAGACTGGTATTTCTCACCATGGCTGCTCAGGCTAGTGAGGATTTGAAAAAGCTTGACCGTCAGTCCCCCCTTCGTTGGTCCATCCATTCTGTGGAGCTCGCATATTCTGCCACTGATAAGATACTGCTACCTTAAAATACATGCTAATCGGACTCCCCCAACAGTGAACGGTCAGGGCGGTGACGCCAAGGCGAACGCCCCTGCTGCCGGTCAAGCTGAAGCTGGAGAGGCAGAGGATGATTCTGACGACGAGGCTGATGAGGGAAATGCTGCTCCCGAGGGTGCTGCCAGCGGAGGTACGTGATCATCCCCGCCTTTACTCCCTCCCCCCACTCCTCAGTACTCCCCGTCGGTTAGTATCTTATGGTCTAACGATCCCAGCCGCCAAGAAGAAGAAGAAGCGCAAGCCCAAGAAGAAGAAGAAGGGCGGCGCTAAAGTCCAGAGCTCTCCTCCCCGCGTCCCGGTCTCGAACCTCTTCTCCAACAACCAATACCCCGAAGGCGAGATCGTCGAATACCAGAACGACAACTCCTACCGAACCACCAACGAGGAGAAGCGCTATCTCGACCGCATGAACAATGATTTCCTGCAGGAGTACCGCCAGGGTGCCGAGGTGCACCGTCAGGTCCGCCAGTATGCGCAGAAGAACATCAAGCCCGGCCAGACCCTGACGGAGATCGCGGAGGGCATCGAGGACTCTGTCCGTGCTCTGACCGGCCACCAAGGCCTGGAGGAGGGCGATAACATCAAGGGCGGTATGGGTTTCCCCTGCGGTCTCAGCATCAACCACTGCGCCGCGCACTACACCCCGAATGCCGGCAACAAGATGGTCCTCAACCAAGGCGATGTCATGAAGGTCGACTTCGGCGCGCATCTCAACGGCCGCATTGTCGACAGTGCCTTCACCGTGGCCTTCGACCCGGTGTACGACCCCTTGCTGGAGGCCGTCAAGGATGCCACCAACACGGGTATCCGCGAGGCAGGCATTGACGTCCGCATGAGCGACATCGGCGCCGCCATCCAGGAGGCGATGGAGAGCTACGAGGTCGAACTCAACGGAACCATGCACCCCGTCAAGTGTATCCGGAACCTCAACGGCCACAACATCGACCAGCATATCATCCACGGCGGCAAGAGTGTCCCCATCGTTAAGAGTACCGACCAAACCAAGATGGAGGAAGGCGAAGTGTTCGCCATCGAGACCTTCGGTAGTACCGGCAAGGGCTACGTGCGAGACGATGTGAGTGACCTGGAATGGTGTGATTGTTCCCTTAAAGGGTGCAGCCGACTGACGTGATGCCCCAATTAGATGGAAACCTCTCACTACGCCCTGACGCCGAACGCGTCCCCGGTGCCGCTCCGACTTACGTCCGCCAAGAACCTGTTGAACGTCATCAACAAGAACTTTGGCACTCTCCCCTTCTGCCGGCGGTATCTGGACCGGTTGGGCCAGGACAAGTATCTTCTCGGGGTAAGTTGACGACGAGCCCACATTGTGTCGATCAGTCTACTAACACGCGCCTGCAGTTGAACAACCTGGTGTCTTCCGGCATCGTGCAGGACTACCCGCCCCTTTGCGACGTCAAGGGCTCATACACCGCCCAATACGAACATGTAGGACTCCCCCTTCCCCCATTTCCGCCTTGGAGTGGTACTAACCTATCGATAGACCATCGTGTTGCGACCCAACGTGAAAGAAGTGATCAGCCGTGGAGACGACTACTAAGAGGATCTTCCCATTCGAGAGATCTGGAGGAAACAAAAAAAAGCTACCGGTTTGCTTGACGTTTTGGGATGTTATATAAATACTGGTATAGAATCGCCAGCTCAACGAATCATGCAATTGACAACGTGAAAACGAGATCCAACATTATATCTTCCTACTTTGCTACTAATTCTACTAGAACCCTTATTTTGGCTTCCTATTCCGTTGTGGTTGTGGACAGGGAGTCGTCTCACGTAAGTCATTTAAGGAGTTTCACAGTTAGGAATGAGCCTATCATGATATCTTCCTTGGGTGAATGGGCCAACTTGACGTGAAGATGCGCCCACCATATACAGTCATGATTTTATCACCTTGAGCTAATCATTGTTATATCCATGCCTTGTCAACCAGTCACTCTCCCATTTTACTCTTTTCTTCTTTCTCATCCATCCTAGTGTCTTCTTTCTGACTTCCCACTTTCACTCCTATCTTCCTTGCAATCTCTAGCCTCCTCTCTCATCTACTTTCCTGAGCAGATCTCGTTTTCTGTTGCAATAGAGCAAGGAATTAATTCTCGACTACAGAAGATATCATTGCATTCACATTCCAGTCTTCATAATTGACCCTATATTCAATACGACATATACTTTTTCCATGTCTCCTTCCACCACCTAAAAGCCTGATCAGAATATGGCAATCAACCGCTCTTCTTCCCAGATTCTCGGCCGTCACGAATCCGCTGGTCTCCCCGTCTCATCTGGGGGGGATCGGCTTCATTTGAGGGCTTATGTCCCCGCCATGAGCTCCCCCGTCTAGACGGACTCATTTCTCTCCACCTACATTCGCTGAGCTTCATTGACATGGTACCCACGATGTGAGAACTAGAAGTGAAGATCAAGGAATACGAATAGGTCCCGGTTTACTCTACTGCCGGGTTGGGCGTTTAAGATGACCCAGCAATTCGTGGTGCCACGAGTTGAAAATGTGGACCTCATTCATTATTTGCTGAAAAGTCTCGAGTAGAGCGAGACATCGTCACTGCATCATCACCAGAACCAAGTGTATACTAGTAGTGTCACACACTTCGCAGGAGATAAGTTTCACGCCCAATTCAGGGACTCAATGTTTGACATATTACGACATCAGTGGCGACAGCTTGGTCAAACAGCCTTGCGAAACAAATGATACGAGACCTAATATTGGCATCAATGGCATCAACCATGGTGCACTAAAGAAAATTACGTGTGCCATTGTCACGACGTACTCTGATCAAAGAAATGGCACATTGGTAAATCGGTGATACTATCAGAGAAGCTCGCCATTGCCTGGAATAAATGGTCAGAGTTGTCACAACATTACAGTAATGACTGTTTGCACCTTTCTTCTGTCAATCATACACTGTAAGTTCTGTTGCCAACATAAAGGCAGAGAGGTTTTGTCTTGTTCTGTTCATCATCAGCTTACCTATTGCCTAGTCAATGGTATGCTCAAGTACAATATCTCTCAACTGATACTAAGGCATCTACCTCAAACTATTCCCAGCCCAATTCACCTCTCTTTCTCACTCATTCTCGTCTTCATATCCTCTTGCTCTTCCAATGGTTCTATTGTCTAGTTGTTAAGCCCTCACCGTACTTCCTATGGGGTCTTTCAAACCCCACGACGCGGCCATGGAGCTGCCTGTCGCAGCTGCATTGGTACTGAGGAAGTATGGTTGCATGGCAAACCAAACATTGTCGACCGGGTCATTATCCCGCTCATGAATCGAACTGTCAACGACACTTTCGGATAGAGATGGGATATCTATGCTTTCCTTTTGTATTAATGTTGTGATCAATTGGCACTGAACTGCCATGCTCTGCAGCAGATCACCCACAACTGATGGTCAGAGTGAACAAACAAACAAATTGCATTTTTGAGGTTTACCTCCGCTACATAATAAGGGTTCCTGTCTTACTACAGCCTCTGCCTGGACGAGAAGGATCGCGCAGATCCAAGTGTACCATAACAGTTGAACCAGGGGCAAATGTATGTGAGCCAGCTACTCTGTGGGGCCCCTTTCTCTTACTTCCGTTCGTCGGTCTTGGGCTAAACCTCCATAATATATGTGACAGCAGCTCTCTCAGGCTGGGTGGAATAGGCTCGATGGAAAAGTTGCATCAAAGCAACGAGCTGTACAAGATCGGACGCGCCACAGGCCTTGCCAAGGGGCAAGGGCGAATACAGCGGCCTGTAAGAAACCACATCGCCACCCACATTGGAGGTGATACCGAGGGCGAGCAATCAGATCCGATTACACCCATCATAGAAAATTGTAACTACAGCAATGGAACAATAAGAGACGGGTTCGTCCAAGTCAACGAACAAAAAGAGCCACTGCAATCGTTGCATCCTCCCGCGAGAGCACATCGAACTATCCCTCGAGAAGAAGAGACCCTCTCCCTGGCTAGCGCTTGACGCAAAGACAGAAGAGAGATTCGCCAGCATTTCCCCAAGGTGGGAGATCTACGCGCCCAGCACTACAATATCGGGTTTTGACGAACCGAGTCAGGGGTCTTGCGATCAGTCGATCTCTTTTGAAGAAAGTCATACCACAAACTTGACGCTGCGATTGACCATTATGAGAACCCCGATTGGAACTCGAGACAGGGGAGCTTGCGGAGATGAGCCATAGCGCTGTACAGCCCACCAACAGGGCGCGAAGAGACAGTTCAGGCCCCAAGACCTAAATACGGACATGGCAGACCCAACAAAACCCCTCGGGAAGTGTTGGTAGCCGATATTTTGACAGGACGTCCAGTTGACAGGATTATATGGTCATAGCCAAGTCAGCAACAGAGTACATCCTGTACCAGGAACGTATCTGGGAGTCAGACTCCATGGACCAGTGCAGAACTCACGGCAGCCATGAGTATGTGGACCAGCAACGGACAAAGTCATACCCACGAGGGTATCGTGTTCAACAATCAGTGTGGATTGTCAAATTGGCTGCCAACAAGATGCCAGGGTACAACAAATTTGAGCGCCAGATGGGGAGATCACCCTGAGAGCGACTTTGTCGTGCTCGGTCCCCAGTTACTGTTGTCTCGCAACAGCCTGTATGCACCCACGCCTTTGCAAATTTCCATCGAGGTTTCCCTGCTCTAATTCGGAGGCAGTCTACACAAAGAATTGATATAAATAATAGATACTCAAAACGTTGCATTGGAGGAGGCCCGTAACAACAATAGTCACCCCCCGAGTCTTGACGATGGATTTTACAGCGTGTATCACAAGATTTGAATCAAATTGATAATTATAGTGTGCTCATTGTGTTTCCAGTTTTCACCTTCATCAAGTTGTGGACTGAGTCCAGCCACGAGTGCCCAAACTGTCTGTAGTATAGCCGCCTGGATCTGTAGCCTGTAGAGATGATTGTGTCTACTAGACTACTGTGGCTCAAGATGCTGCTAATTACCTCCCAGACAGTCACTACATCGGATTCAACCTGGTGTTATCTCGAAGGAAGCACATTCACTTGCTATCTGGAACATTACTGATAGCATGATTAGTATGACTGAACAGACAGGAGGCCTATCTTGCCCCATACGAGTATTCAAACAAGTTTCTGTAGTTAGACACATGAAACCCCTATTGTGATTTTCTCAGTTTCATATGATACACTAACCAGGGTAGAGATGTCTTTGTCTTCCCTGATCAAGAATTACCTGGTAATCTGGTGAATGACATCTATGATAAGTATCCATGACCTGATGACTGTGGAGTGATAGATGCTTTCTCTTTTTCTCTCTCCCCTTATTCCATTGTACTCATCTCCAATACATGGTCTTGTTTGAAGATAATAGAGGAATTACCACTCAACTACAAAAGACATCATGAAATCTTGTGCCTCCATATATAACCCTATATTCATTGCGACACCTTGCTTCTCTTTTTCTTTCCACATCTTGAAAACTGCTTATAATGGCACCATATATAAACTGCCGTTATCTTGCAACTTACCTCGCTGAATTCGGCCTACCTCCAAGCGACGACACGCTATATAAGCCCCTAGTCCAATATCGGGCTTCTTGCTCATCAAGCAATCATAAAGAGAACACGATAGCTGTCAGGTGTTGCCCGCAAAAGAGGACGCACTCATAGTCATGCAACCCCTCTAAACGCAAGCGAGATGCAATCTCAGCATGCTTCCAAAGCTCGATATACATTTTTAAAGCATGCCAGTATAGCTGGCTCTTTCTGTTTATAAGGGTTCCAAATATTTGGAAGAAAGGTGAAGGATTTGTATGAGGACAAATGTTGAGCATGTGCGATGCCATATCCGGAATTCGCCCACGTTTTACCACAGGCGGATCATGCGGTATGTTTTGTTCTGTTATTTTGCGTAAGGAGCCTGTACACGGTAACTCATGCCACTGGTTTTAGACTGAAGTGTGGGTACGACAGAATTTGGTCAACTTCCCTCTCAATGCATATATAAATGCCATCCCTCTCTGCCCAAGTTGTCATGCTCAGTTTGACTATCATCTTGATCCTGGTTTTGCGTTCGTGCCGACAGACCTCCAATACTTTATTGATTACGAGCGCGAGGATCACCAGCGCCGGAAGAAGGCCGCCAAAGAAGGTATTGCTGTTCAGAGAAGCGTTCCTACCGCCGCAATGTACAAAGAGCACCAGTCAAACAAAGGCGAGCTCCAGTCCAATGCTCCTGGTGGCCTTTATACTCGAATATTCCTCAAAAACTATTTGCCACACACGTATCTCGGATGTCTAGAAGATCACATCACTTGGCACGGGCCACCCGTAGCTTCCCTATGGAAGGCTTTTCTTGTCCTGTCATCCTGCCGCATTGGTGGCGTGGATGAGAAAATAATCAATCAAGAATGCCAAGCCAAATGTCACGGTCTTCTATTATCCAGCCATTGCCAAGTCATTCAAAAATACCATCATGTTGGTAGGGAAGTCGGGCTGCGCTATTTTTGGGGGTTGATGATTAGTATTGGGTTCTGAGAAACCACCACCGAAGTGAGGTACTTCTTCGGCATACAGAGCCTTTGAAGAGAAAATTGGCAAAGAGGACAAAGATGGCAGAACCTGGCAGTGCCATTTAAGTCTCACTTGAGCCGCCTGAGATGTGCCCATGACATGCTGGTAAAGATACATATGAACTGGATCACAGCCAGGGATGCTTACACGGTGGCGATGTCTACCTGGCGCCAGAACTGTCGAACCTGGGAGATCGAGCTTATCAAGACCTATTGGGCAAATGACCGTACAGTATTCCCGAATACGGCGTTGTCTAACTCGGAGGCCAAGCGCAAGGTACTCTGGACTGTTGTCGCATTAAATACAGGATTGCTTACGAATGTCCAAATTGTCATGATATATGCTGCAGCCGAGTGGCGATTCCTTTCTTCTATTGCAACAACTGCAAGTAGAGATCTCTACTTTACCCAATCTGGACCAACTCAAGATGCCAGACCCTGGGCGAGCATTGCCAGACAGGCAGTTGATAGCATCTTCACCACGAACTACTTGAGTCAATCAATACATGGAATCGTTCGCTTCTGGTTCAAACACAAGCCGGTCATCAGGCATGTCTGATAGTCCTAGCCACCGGGTCAAGGTTTTGTATAAAGGAAGATGCTGGGCATGTGCGACGCCATATCCGAGTGCCTCCAACTATTACCAAAAGCGGATCATGCAGTAAGTTTCATCATGTTATTTTGTCCAATGTGATTTCATGAGGTGACTTATACCGTTGATCTTAGATCGAAGTATGTGTACGACAAGGTTTAGTTGACTTTCCTCTCGATGCACTCAAAAACGCTACTTTGCACAGAGCAGGTTCTAAAGCAGTCGGTTTACCGAACCGGGGTTCCAAAGGAAATGCAGGGGGAGCGGCTGCGGAAGATCCTCTCATTACCGATGATCCGACGCACAGTTTCATCGCGCATTCCCTTTCGCACAGGCGAAATGATCGGCGCTTCTATCCCCGGGATCCAATGCAGAAAAATCTTGATACGCGCGGATCCAAGTGAGCTTGGCCTGTACAAGCTGGAAGCGGCTCCTCTCTATCGAGGACTCATGATACAGGATGAGCGCGATCCCGATTGTTACGTGTGGAATAACCGCAAGTTGAGAAAGCTTGTTCTCGACTCGACTTGGCTTGGCTTCATTTGGCTTGCGAAGAGTGTGGGTGCCGAGATTGTGACTAATGGGCTGCGCTGCCTGGCCGAGGGAGACCTCACTGGAAGGTGAATGCAGGCCATCCACGACATGAAGATGATGGATACGGACGATGAAGTATCCCTCTCTGTCAAGTTGCCATTCTTAGTTCGACTCTCATCTGGACCCTAGCTTATGTTCAGACCGACAGTTGTAGGAACATGCCAATCTACGGGAATACGCGCAATTGAAATATCTTATCAAACATGGCTCTGTCACTTTGGGCAGCAGAAATGTTTGCCAACAGAACGCGCTCTATGACTACAAACACGAGCTCCGTCTAGTTGATATGTGGCCAATAGATGAAATCACATCCAAAATTCCAAATATACCATCAGTAAATTCCTGAAGTTGACCCCGTGGAATAGCGCGCGGTGGCTACCATTGATATATACGGCTTGTTTGATCAGACAAGAAAGCAGGCGCTGGGGTGCTGCGCAGCGATCGCGCTTGCCTTTTTTCCTCGCATGTCTTCAAAGAATTCAAAGGTTGTTCCTTCCAAGGTGAAGAGCTGAGATAGACTCGAAAAGAAGGCACGACTAGGTCACAGATAGAAAGGGTTGACACCCTCGCACTTGCCTACCCTGCGTCATCATATGTATTGCGTCTTAGCCTCACCTTGAGGATCTGAGATAGGAGAAACAGCCTTTCTTCCTCTCTTTGCTTCTGCAGCATAGAAATGTAGGTCTCGCGCAGGGAGCAGTTAGGGTAAGGAGACCCTGTGACGTGCACCGATGACTGACGGATGAGTCAGCAGTCCCTGCATCGAACAGAAAGCGGTCTAGACCGGATTAGTCATGGGCGTGCCTGTCAGGGATAAGTGATGGATAAGGAAATAATAAATAATAATCAGAACACTCGGATCAACAGATCCGCCTTTCCTTCGCTCGTCGCTCCACCTCACTCCATTCTCTCATCTGTCCTTTTCACATTGACTCTGCTTCATGGCGTAGTTTATTCAATTGCTATTCAAACCCCCATTCTTCCACTTTTCCATTGTCCACCCCGCCATCATGTCCGCCGTCCAAACCGACGGTACACCGCACCTCCGCGTCTCCGCCGCAAAGGGTCCGGACTCAGATGCCAAAACCTCCGCGAATGCTTCGACCAGAATCCCACCCCCGGAGGCATCAGTCGTCGATGACCAGTTCTTCTGGACCTATACCGAGGAACCGCATCGTTCTAGACGACAGGCGATCATCAAAGCCCACCCAGAAGTACGTACCGGGTATATACCTTGACACCTCCGTTCGATAGAACTAACACATCGCCTGTGATGATCAGGTCACCAAACTCTGTGGACCCGAACCCCTCACGAAATATGTCGTCTTCGGCGTCGTCGCGCTCCAGATCTGCTGCGCCTACCTCCTCCGCAATACCTCCATCCTGTCCTGGCAGTTCCTGGCCACGGCCTACCTGATCGGAGCGACGTCCAACCAGAACCTGTTCCTGGCCATCCACGAGATCTCGCATAACCTGGCTTTCAAATCCCCCATGGGCAATCGCCTTCTGGCGATGGTCGCCAACCTCCCCATTGGAATCCCTTATAGCGCCGCTTTCCGGGTACGTAGCCGCCAATCCCCCAGAAAAAGAAAAGGGAAAGGGGACAGGGGGAAATGATCGAGAAGCTAAAGCTAATACAACGACAGCCCTACCATCTCACGCACCACAAATCCCTCGGCGTCGTCGGCCTCGACACCGACCTCCCCACCGCCGTCGAGGCCTTCCTCCTGGACTCCCTCCTCGGCAAGGCCTTCTTCTGCACCTTCCAGATCCTCTTCTACGCCCTGCGGCCCATGTTCATCTACAGCCCCCCCTTCACCTCCATCCACTTCCTCAACATCCTCGTCCAAGTCTCCTTTGACATCGCCCTCACCAAACTCAGCGGCGGCTCCCTCCAACCCCTCTTCTACCTCATCACGAGCTCCTTCCTCGCAGGCTCCCTCCACCCCTGCGCAGGCCACTTCATCGCAGAACACTACTTCTTCTCCCGCATCGAAGCAGGCGGCACCGAATCCCTCGAGGTGCTGAAGAAGAACGACACCAAAAAGTCCCACCCCCTCGACTCCCTCCCCCCACCAGAAACCTACTCCTACTACGGCCCCCTCAACATCCTCACTTACAACGTCGGCCTCCACAACGAACACCACGACTTCCCCGCCATCCCCTGGACCAAGCTCCACACCCTCCACCGCATCGCCGCCGAGTTCTACGAACCCCTCCCCTGCCACCGCAGCTGGGCCTGGGTCATCTGGACCTTCATCCTGGACAAGAACGTCGGCCCCTGGTGCCGTGTGAAGCGCGCGCAGGGCGGTCGCATCGTCGGCGGTGGCGGCGGCGGCGGCAGTACCTCCTCCGGCCGCAGCGGGGAGGGTATCTCCGCTGCGTCAGCCGGGGCGGAGGAGTCGGGCGATGGGTGGAAGGAGAGTGAGCTTCAGAATTGAGAGTCATATTTCAATTTGTTCACCCCTATTTCTTTGTTTTATTTCTTGACATGTCCTTATTCTTTTCTTGATGTACCCCGTTATTTATCTTATAGAATCACGATGATGCTGTCGGTGGGCCCGTTTGGTGTTTAAAGGATGGACGCTTTGGAACTTGTAACTATATTATGTGCAATACCAGATATTCTTTTTCTTCCTTTTCCCTCTTAATCACTCGTATACTATTTCTATTACCCCGAAGTATGCTTATAATAGATATCATCATAAGACCGTTGGATTTTATTGTCCCAGCTAGTGAGGCTAGACTTATGAACGTAGGAGAAAAGAAAATCAGATCCGACGAGGCGGGGGGAAAGGTAATACACGCAAATTTCAGCACTGACTCGTGAGTCCGCTGCTAAGATACAGAAAGATGACTAGATCCCGAGGTGCAACCGGCCTGGCGTTGAGCTGCGCTGTGGACGACCGGGCCCCGAACACTCGAGCAAAGAAGCTCGCTGTTTTTATATCGAGGTTGGTGGTTGAGTTGCACTGCTGATGGATCACACCATATAGGATGAGGAAAGAAAGGAAAGCGAAGGATAGTAAACTGAAGAAAAAAAAAAAAAAAAAGAAATAAAGCGTATAGAATAAGTAGGTGAAAGGCCCGATCTGGAATGCCTAGGCGGAGAATTGAAGCGCAGAAAAGAAAATGGAAGGCGACAAAGCAAAGCAAGACATAACTCAATGCTGATGCTAGAAAATGATCAAAGTAGTGCTCTCCAGAGAGAATACAATTGGTGCGGGTAGGGAAAAAGCAAATAATAATGGGACGACATTAGACACGTGGACAGGGAGACGAAAAGTGCAAGATGGAAAGAGATAGTTCCCTGGTCCGTTTAGAAAAAGAAATAGGCAATCAGGAAGCTCAACAGGCACAAGCCGGCGACAATCTGCAGGGGAACACCAGCCACAGGGGCCTGGGCGCTACGCTGAGCCAAGGGAGCACCGGCACTTTCCGTTTCGCCTCCGATCTTCCTCTGACGCAGACCCTGGTCTGCCAGTCGGTCCTTGAGTCTCTGGATCTGGGAATTGGCGTCGGACAGCTTGGACTTGAGCTCCTCGGCAGAAGCCCCGGTGGGCGACCTGACAGACGAGGGTTGGGCACTGCTGGCTTGTGGGGTCGAGATCTCGCGCTTGGGTTTGTCGCTGAAATCAGGCGGTGGGATTGGTGACGTGTCCGTGGTGGATTTCGCCATGCCCACAGCGGGAGTCTGGTAGGTAGCATTGGGGGAGGTGTAGGCAGGAGGTTCATCATCGGGAACATGCTAAAAAAAGAAAGAGATATGTCGTTAGATACGTTGCGCAAGTGGAGAAAAATGTGTAGGAATATGGTACATACAATGCCATTGGTCTCCGTCCCCTCCTCGGCGCCCGAGGCATCCTCAGGCAGCCAGTTCACGCGAATCTTGCGCTCCTGGACGGCAGACTTGGACGCTTTTTCGAACTAGAGGCATATTAGTGGGTGTGACGGATATGGGCACAAGAATAGTTGCGCTTACGATAGACGTGACATTGGCAAACTCCATGTCGCGAGAGACCGAGACAGTCTGGACCAGGAACTTGTCCTTACACTTGGCATCCTCGGCCGGCTCATCTTTCATGGCCTGGAGAAGCACTGTTTCACAGTCAGCCACTGTCGTTGGATCACCGAAACCTTCGTGCCGATCGGTCTCTTACCCTGGACGTCCACATGCTTTCCGGGTTCTATCCGCCCCGAGTTGGGACGAACACAGTAACTGTTTCCACCAGTGAGCGTTCGCACTCGTATACCATATGAAATCCAACCGAGGGTGAACGTACTGCTTGGGGGCCGTGGTTTTCACCTACAAGGATGAAAAGTATCAGTATGCGATCGACGATTCAAGGGAGATTGTCCGACATACCTTGAACACGATAGCCTCGGGGTTTTCATTGTTCAGGTGGAGGACCTGGCACACCTCACGGTTAAAGGGACCTAGAACCCGTCAATATGTAGAAGACGATCGCAGACTCGCGAAACACCTACGCTTGAAGCTCAACTCTGGCGGGTCGAGAATGACAGACATGGTGACCGCACGGCGCAGGAATCGCTGACGAAGCGTCTGGGTGAGAAGGGGGTATGGTTGAAGAGGAGGATCAACGTAAAAAGCAAGAAGAGAGGAAGCGAGAAAAGGGTAGGCAAGAGTAATAACGGGAAGTGGGGAGGAATAAGATGAGACGGGAAATCACCCAAACTAAGGGGGGGGGAGGAAGATGAAGGAGATGGTAGATGGGGAGGAGGCAGAAGGTAACCGCAGTCGGATGGAGATCGATGTGCTCAGTTCGGTATTGTATTTTTCTGGGTGATTTGGTCTGTTTGGGTGCCTGGGGTGTCGTTCATTGACCAGCAGACAGCTGACTCAGCCACAGTCAGGTGATGTCATGAAAGATCTCGTGCTTTCTCTGTTTATTGTTCTCCTTCTCATGATCATCATGGCTTTCATTTGAATGATCGCAGGAACTGACTATGATCAATATCAGTGTCTAAGTATCTACCAGGTGATCAAACAGACCCAGATGACCAGTCTGTCAGATTCATTGTTCATGATTTTATGCTCATTTCCCCCTGTCTTAGACCGATCGCTCTGGATCCACCGCGACATCTTTGGGTCCTCTAAAAATAAATATTCTCCAGGCAATCCATCTGTTATGGAGCCTTAACAAGGCCCAATACATGTCACTGCATTGACATGTCACCATTGATATCGTCCAACCTGGGTTATCAAGCCATCGTTGGTCGTCCTGAGTCAAGATACAAGTAGGAACAAAACATACCAGATCACTACGGCTCTTACATCCTAGAGTGGCGCCATGGTCACTATCCCATCCAAACCACGCTGAACACTGACTCAATATCATACATCCCAATAGACCCCAGGGAAAGATCTAGACACGAGGTACTCTGTAGAACGGAGAGATACACGATGCTGGAGGAGTATAGCCTAGATGATACTGTAACAATGGTAACACAGCGTAAAGCGGGCCCTCCCGCAATCAACCAGAGAATGGATGGACACCAAACCAATACGTCACCAGGAACCTCACCAAACACCTGACTTCGTGTTTTCTTTCCCTTCTTTCACTTCACACCGTACCATTCATCACCTCATCCACAATCACTAAGAGGGTTCTTTCTTACCCTATATAGGCCTCCATTGACCATCGCTCTTCCCAAGAGGTGGCCAGTCTTCATCACATCATCCATTACCCCGCGTTGTGAACCCAATCACCCCACCGCGCAACACCTCTTAGCCCACCATGGCATCCGATCTCGATCAGCTCATTGAGATGGGCTTTGATAAAGAAAGAGCCCAGTTAGCCGTGTCAAAGACCGGTGGCAGTAGGTTTTCTCCCCGTCAGCATTCTGCCGTCTCATCTCTGACCTGACAATCTCTACAGTCCAGGGTGCTCTCGAATGGCTCGAACAGAATCAAGACAAATCGCTCGACGAGATCAAGGCGTCCAATGACGCCCAAGAGGAAGAAGAAGGACCCCCTCTGCAGCCTGGTGAAGAGGCTCGCAGCTTGGTGTGCAACGAGTGCGGCAAAAAATTCAGAAGCCAGGCCCAGGCTGAATTCCACGCTTCCAAGTCTGAGCATGTGGACTTTTCCGAATCCACGGAAGAACTCAAGCCGTTGACCGAGGAGGAGAAGAAAGCAAAGTTGGAGGAGCTCCGCCTGAAATTAGCTGAGAAACGTGCCGGTTTGACGGAACAGGAGAAGGCCGATAAAAAGAGGAACGAGGTATGACAGGCTTCCCTTACACGTTTAAAATCATTGACTGACTCCTCATCTTTGCTCCAGGAAATCCGAAGAAAGAGCAACAAGGAAAACCAGGATGCCAAGGAGGACCTCGAAAAGAAACAGAGGATGAAGGAGGCCGCGAAGAAGAAGCAGGAGAAGCAGGATGAGATCGAAGCCAAGCGACGGGTGAAAGCCAAGATCGAAGCCGACAAGGAAGAGCGCCGATTGAGATCTGAACGCGAGAAAGCGGAACGGGCGGGAAAGCCACTTCCTGCTCAACCGACGCCGGCACCCGCGCCCACATCCTCGGGACCTGTCGCATCGAAACCGGCGTCTGCTTACACGGAGACTCGCCTGCGATTCCAGACACCCAAGGGTAGCGTTATGAAGACGATGCCTGTCACCACCACACTCTTTGAGGTCGCGGCGGCTTTGAACCAAGAAGATGGCATTGAGGTGCAGAGCTTTTTGCAGACCTACCCGAGGAAGGTATTCGATTCGGAGTATTTTGGCGAGTCGCTGAAAGATCTGGGCTTGATCCCCAGTGCCAGTCTCGTCATTCAATGATGCGATACTATTGTTAACCAAGAAATGATATTCATTAAACCTTCACATGACGTGATGGGTTAATTGAGCATATTCTACGAGACCAACATAGTTTGGGGTCGAAGCAATGGTGTAGGGGTGCTGTTCGTTAGACATCACGCATTGTCGCATTACAACAGCAGTGTAATTTGTAGCATTGAGCTGAACTTAGCCTCAAATTAACCATCAGCGTTTAATCCTCCAATTCCCGTAAAAATTAGATCTAGACTGAAGACCAATGAAATACGACCAATAATCAATAATCGCAAGTGATCGAGTCAGTGCCCATGGTTACGGAATATCAGATCACGTGACACCGCGATAAGGCGTGTCGGCATCCGTCACGCGTCCCGCTATACTAACGTATGAACATGCCCTGTCAGTCAACCCACCTCACCACCAACCAGTCGTGTCCTCTTCAATGATTGCGACTGCACCCACTACACTGATCTAATATACTATGCCTGCGTAAGCAAGACCGCACCTCCCGCATCCTATCCTATCTTATCACACCCTCTCAGACTCACTAACGCGTCTCTCACTTAGTGTCGGCGACCAACATCGAGGCGGACCAGCATGCATCACGATGCCCAACGCGACCGGAACAATGTCAGGAAACCCATTTGAAGAGCCCCAGCGCCGCATGAACGAGTACACCGCTCGAGAGATCGCCACCCTCCAATCTCGCCTGGACAAGAAGCTTGGGCCCGAATACATCTCCTCCAGATCGGGTCCCGGGGGGCAGAAAGTGCATTACCTCTCAGCGGATAAATGTATCAACCTCGCGAATGAGGTGTTTGGGTTTAATGGGTGGTCGAGCTCGATTCAGAATATTCAGATCGATTTTGTATGTTGGGCTTTCTCCACCTGGTGATTAGGTGCTGAGGAAGGAGAGGCTAACTATTTCGTTTTGCCAGGTCGAGGAAAGTCCGAATACGGGGAAGATTAGTCTGGGTTTATCTGTGATCATCAGGGTCACTCTGAAAGATGGAACTTTCCACGAAGTACGTGCTATGTTATTAAGATACCGGCTCTTTTCACGAAAATTGACCTCTTGGGTTCACAGGACATTGGATACGGTCACATCGAGAACTGCAAAGGGAAAGCTGCGGCTTTCGAAAAAGCCAAGAAAGAGGGCACGACTGATGGTCTCAAACGTGCACTAAGGAACTTTGGCAACGTTCTAGGTAATTGCATTTACGACAAGGACTACGTCTCGAAAGTTACGAAAGTGAAAGCCGCGCCGGTAGGTATCTTCCATGATTGGGACTGCGGTGGTTATTGACTGTTCAATCAAGGCCAGATGGGATGTTGATGACCTACACCGCCACCCTGACTTTGTGGCTAGAAAAGAGCCTGTCCGGCCCAAGCCAACGCCGGAGGATGATGATCTTCCTCCGCGTCCGGCAATTACTGCGAAACCCGCCAATACGAGTCATAGCACTCCACCTGATGATGGTGGAGAGTTTGGGAGTACGTATAGAAATGCGGCTATCTTGTGATTCGCTATCGCTAATTGCAGCAGGTGACTTGTTCGACGAAGCAGACTTTGGAGTAGCTGAGGCTGGGAATCCCGACGAAGTTGTAATCGGACCAGACGCACAGCAGCCACCAACCCCTTTGCATGGACCTAACGCCAATCGAGCACCTCATGGGAATAACTTCCATCCCAGCGGGAGGCCAAACCCGGCTATGGTAACGCCCTCCAAACCAGGAAGACCCATGAATCCAGGGCCAGCCGCCAGGCAAATTCCCCCTCCTGCCCTCAATGGTCGACAAAATCCTCCCGCACCAGGGAATTCCAATCAAATCCGCGTTGGTCCTCATGTCCACCAGCAAAGCGTTGAACAGGCCAGGGTAGAACCACCCGGGCAGCAGACATCCCACCCACAGTTGAACAAGCCCGCGACAGCAGCCGCCGGTCCGCCGCCGGTAAAAGGAGAATTCGGCTCGAACAACCCGGACCTCAAAGCCCAGGACATGCTCCCACCAGGCAGTTCTCCCTCCGCCGGATTCTTCTCCGCCAGGACAGCCGACCTATTGCGAGAAAACCCACACAACCCATCCGCAACAGCCTTCGACCCCCACGCAGAAAGCCCATCAATCCGCAAAACCGCCGGCGTGGACCACACCAAGTCCCTGCCCGTCTCAAGACCCATGCTGTCCAGCGCCTCACCTGCTCCGAACGCCACACGCGATTTCATCAACCCCTCCCAAGACATGACCCGCAAGATCGGCGCCCCAGGCGGCAGCGGCAGCGGCATCGGCAGTCCGATGAACAGACCCCCAACAACATCATCCTTCCGCCCCCTCACACGCCCAAACATTGGCCCACAAACCACAGCAAATGCCCCAACACCAGCTGTCCCAGCACCAGCACCAGCAAACCGACCGGGCTTCGGGCCGCCGCAAAACCAAAACGGGAAACGCCCTCCTCTCAACGATGTAACGAACGCGATAACCTCCAATGGCAGCGGGCCTGCCTCCACTGTTGGTGTCAATGATCCGAAGAGACTCAAAGCTGTTGAAGCTAGCTTGGCGCAGCAACAACAACAGCAGCAGCACCAAAGACAACAATAGAATGAGTACCAGCTAGCTAGTTAGCTCTTCCATTTTCGGACATACATAGCTCTGCTCTGTTCTGTGTCTTGTGAAGGGTCTCTATCTATCTATCTATCTTCTCGGTGGCTTGGGGGTTATATGCATAGGCGTTAGGAAATAGGACGAATGGTGTTTATTTTGCTGGAGTTTTTCGGGCGTTGATGTTTTCGTTTTTGATATTGGCTTGCTTGAGCTTGTGTTCTTTTCAGTTTTGAGATTATACATTAGCCTGTCTGTGATGCGTGCGCATTTTCTCTTCTATTTGTCATATCACGCTTCCTGGCCCAGACTTATGCTATGTTACCTTCGGCGGGTTCTATATGGAAAGTATCTATATAATGCTTACTGCTTACTACGTGCAATTCGAGGCTCATTTTGCGGATATTCCGACAATGACATATCCTTGATCGATTAATAACGAGTACATACAGATTTCCATAATGCTTGAGATATTCTCCACCATGGCATCGCGCATATGCAACATTAGGAAAGAAAAGAGAGCTAGCGAGGAACAAGCAGCATTGAGTAGTGTACAGCCGTGAAGAAGAAGACCAGGCATGAAAACGTAAGCTGGAAAATATGTCCGTAACGCCAGGAACGACGGAGACACCAAGGCTGGTTAACAAAAGAAAAAGGGGAAAGCAGAAACAGGAGGAAAGAGATCAAACAACATTGCAAGGAAGCAAAACAGAAAGATAGCTTTCGACAAAATACAAAACGAGATAGCGGAAAGTATTGAATATTTGAAGATTATTATTGACCAGCCTAACGGAGAGGCCTGCGGGATGTAGATGTGGCGTATATCGAGCCTTCCAGACCACTCGTCGCTGGACGGCCGGTGGGTTTAGGCTTGGTTTCGGCGGGCTTGTGAGCGTGGACCTGTTGGCTTGTGGTGTTGCTGTTGGGGCTGGTGATTCTCACGGCGCCAGTCGGTACTGCGTTGCTGGGAGCTCTGACGATTGGTCTGGATCCGACGAACTTAGGGGCGTAGATTGACTCGCTTAGGTCATTGCCGTTGGGATCCGTAATGCGGACGGCTTTGTTCTTCGGCACCCTTAGAGGAGTGGAAGGCTCGGTGAGTTTTGGGAGGACTTGTGGTATAGAAACCTCAATGGGCTTTTTGAGACTCTCGGCGGGTCGGGGGGAGAAGGGGTTGTTCAGGGGAAGAACACGGGTTGGCTGCGGTGCCTTTGGCATGTCGAACTTGACTGAAGATTTGTCTGGAACTGAAAGAAAGTTAGGAGGCTAGTCAGATGTATATCCATGTTTGGATGGAAGACGAACCAGCAGAAGTAGACTCATTCATCGGGACTGAGCTTAGAGCTCCATGGCTTCCCCTCCTTCCAGGTAGCAAGTGGTCGCCGATGATATGATTGATATCGACAGGCGTGGGTTGGCCGGGTTGAGGAGGTGATTTCAGACTCCCAGTAGAATCACTGGAGGAACTATCTGGTGGCGAGCGATAGTTCGAGACATCGCGTGGGACGAACGGCGGCGCTTTGATATTCCACTGGCTTTGCGGGCTTGGGCTGTTCGTGGGTGCTGACGTAGGGCGTGTCTTGCTCGTCATGATTGGAGTCTGTGCCAAAGAAGATGACCTAGGACCCAGCAATTCCTCCGGTGTTTCTCGCTTCGTTTCCGGTAGAAGGGTTTGTGGGACTTTCAAGGCGCTTGTTTTGCGCTTCACTGGAGTAGATCCCGGGGATTTGCATAGTTCCGCTTCTATTTCTTTTAGCTTTTCACGGTGCTCAATGGACAGTGATGCAGATTCCATAAGTTCGCATAGTAGTTCTATGTCACGCTGGTGGGTATCATGCGGACTTGGGTGCGCGACGGGCGTTGAACCTCGAGCGTCAGTCGTGTTAGCTTTCTCTTTCTCTGCATCTTGGAAGCCCAACTTCTTTGCTGGTGCAAAAATAGAATTGCACAGTTCCCGTTGTCCCGAGCTTAGAGTACCTCTATCAAACAACATATCTTGAAATTGTAGTCCCTTGAGGTCCTGGAGTGCAGGGCTTGCCAAGTCATCTTGAAGAGAGGACCCTCGAGGTGGCGTAGCACTGAAGTCCAGAAGTATGGCTGTTTCAATGCTTGCCTTCTTAGTGGGAGTAGCCTGTCTAGGCGCCAGGGCTTTCTTCAATGGGGTCGAAGGCTGATTTTTAGCTTTAGGAGTGTCCATGGCTTTAGGAGCATCTATAACTTTAGAAGCACCCATAACTTTAGGAGCATCCATGGTTTTAGGAGCATCCATGGCTTTGGGAGAATCCATGACTTGAGAAGCATCCTTGGCTTTAGAAGCATCCTTGACTTCAGGAGCATTCTTAGCTTTAGGAGAACCTTCGCGTCTGTTCTGTGTCATAAATGCGTTACCATCAACAGACGTCTGAGTGCCTTTCTTGGCCGAATCTTCTTTGTTGAATGCAATGGAAATTCGAGCTTTATCCACGTCCTGGACTTCCCGATTTTGCATCAGCCCATTCTTATCGGTTACCTGAGTCGGCAATGCCTTGGACATGGATTTTTCTGCAACGGCCTTCTGACTTTGCACCGGCTCACAAACCGTCGTAGGTGGCGGCGTCTTAGGCTCGGAGGGTTCTCTGACTATGCTCTGGATTTGCATCATCTGTCGAGCGGCAGCCATAAAGCTCTCTGGTGGGCTGATCCTTCTAGAGAAGTCGCCCGTACCCGTACTGCGAGGATGTCAGACTTGTGGGTGTAGTCACAAAGGTTGGCACTTACATTGGCCGTCTGCTTTTGAGGAAATCCGGAGGGTTTTTGCCATGGGGGAAAGAAGATACACTTGAAGCTAGAGTGAGGTTGTGCGGTTAGTATTGTATTGCCAATATGATAGACCAGTTTGTATAAACTCACATGACGCTTTTGTTCCCTGGGAACTTGTCTCATGGTCCTTTTTCTTGACCTCTGGAACTAGCGCTGGGTCTTGCACACGCTTTCGGTCAGGTGGAATGGGAACCGAGTTCGCTGCAGTTACAGGAGGGCTAATACTTTAGTATAGAACCACAGACATACAGTCGTTCATTGGCAATGTGACACTTACTAGGGAGCGACCCGTTGGCCTCGAGTTCCAACCACGCCGCCTCCGCGCCCTGAGAATCGGGCTCCCCTCGAAGATCTTACCGGTTCGTCCACACGGCGTACGCTGGCGTTGAGATGAGCACGGTGGCTCTGGCCGTTCATCAAGTTGTCGAGATCCTCTAGGTCTTCCGTATCTCCGATAGTCTTGTGCACATCTAGTAAAGTCTTTAGAAAGCAACTCCGCAATCTTGACGCTTGTATATGTGACTTACTGGTCCATCCCGCGAGTTTATCCTTGTTTGCCTGGGCCAGACGTTGGGCCCTGGATCCGACTTTGTTCGATAGCCGGGTTGCTTCGATGTCTTCAAGACGAAGCTTGTTGAACTTTGCGCTATCTGCAGTCGAGATGTGCTCACGTCTTGCTGTTCCTAGATCGGCCTATTGTTTGGATTTCGACCAGGTATTAGCCAAAGCCCAAAGGAGAGTACAGGAGTAGATGGGTCCTCACCATTTGCAGCTTCTGGAGCCGCTCTGCGGTTACTGGGTCCATGACTAGTCGGATGATCAGGCGACAGTAACAGTATCTCAGATGGAAAGATGATGAGAAATCGGAACGAGTGGACAAAGTTCGATGAGACGGTGTTGCTTCAGAGTAGACGAAAAGATGAAGTCAACGCCAGTATTGAGCGGCTAGAAACACCCCCTAAATCCAGTCATGGGCATAAAAACAGAAGTCCACTTCTAAAGTATCAAGAGACAACAGTTTGTACTTCTTTCTGTCAAGGAAACAAAAAACTGATGTCTCTAACTGAAAGACGATGCGTGAATTTGGAAATGGATGGCGCGTGGAAAGAAGAGAGGTTGGGCCGTGGCCACAACGGAGCAGAAGAATCAGCTGAAGGCGCTCATGTGACATCAAGGTGAAGGAAAGAAAAGAGTGAATGAGGAAATGAATGAGTAGTTGCAAGTTGTGCGGATGTTGAGGGGAGTGGGTTGCTGGGAAAACCAAACGCGCGCAGGCAAACGGAGGAACATCGCAACGTCGAGTCCTGACATCCCCGACCTACTAATCCTACTGGTTCAGAATTTCTTAGGTTTGAGGAGCGCGATGTGGTCAATCGCCTAAGTGGTTTGGATTTTGTAGCGATAGGATATAAACAACGAACTAAAGATAACGCCCTATATATTTACATCAAGATCGAAATCTAGGGGCTGACAAGTCTATCAGGTGCATATGAACAATTTATGAAATGATCAAGAGCTGCAGCTACCTGAGTCACTGCCATCTATGAACAGGAATCAGTGGTTAGCGCGTCCCAGGTGGTCTTTATTAGGGTACTCGAAGCTGTGAACATACCAATGATCATGAAAACTGCTTGCACCAAGCTAACGCCGATGACAATGACCCCAAACCCAACGCACAGATAGGCTGGGATCTTCGACCGTCGACTCGCCTTGCTCAGTTTGATATAGCACAACGGAGGGAAAACGTAAGCTAATGAAGCAGCGCTTGTCGCGCCAGCCAGCTCGAGTACCACTCCGACATCACATGTGAGCAAGGACAGAGCCATTGCTGCGCCGACCAAAGCTGTCGTAAATATCAAGTGCCTGTTCATTTTGAAAGATTCGTCGGGAAAGTAATAAGTGGTCATGACTGAGCGGCAGACAAACGCTTCCAACGGCATGGTAGTAAGCATGTTCAAGCCAAAGCAACTTCTGGTGTCAGCCCAACATCTTCATCCGGTGTACAATCACAAGACTTACAGTCGAGCTATGTTGACCATGATATTATCATGAGGAAAGTTGTTGAGAACATTGCCTTGGGTCTTTGAGCCAAAGAACATGAAACCGGAGATACCCATCAATAAACACATGAAAAGAGAGACTGCAGTAGAATAGTGGGTCACTCTTGCAAATCGATCCAATGTTGGTTTCTTGAGTGAGCCGTAGATCAACAGGCTGTTATGATCTTCGATACCGTTAGTCTGCGATTATGGACGGGAGCGGTACTACATACGACAAACGAAGGCTAGCATGGTCAGTATACGATTCCAACTACACCCAGTCTCATTGATACGGGGTACATACCAAATGATATCACACCCACGGCTTGGAAGAAACCCGAGTTGACGAAGAGATAGTTCTTAACGTCTCCTCGAGATTCCGAGGGCGCACGGAATCCCTGTGTAATAACAGCCACTAATATGATCAACATGCTTACCAGCGCCAATGTCGACGCCTTTGCCAACTACTCGATGGTCAGACACTGATAGGAAGAAGACGCGGGGTGAATTTAGCCGAGGAGGACATACCTTGGCTATATCTCGATACAGAGACAGCGGGTATGAAATACTCATAATAAGGAGAACAATAATGGCTCGTCTACTGGTGAGCAGCCAGAGGAAGGACGTCTCCCGAAGCGACGGGAATAAGGCACTTAGGACAGGCGGGATCGTGTCGCCCACGATAATACAAAAGGCAATCATGCCGCCAAACGCAAAGGCCCACTGGGCGATTGAGATAGCAATCAGCCCCTTTCTCCCAAAGCAGTGCTGCATTGTAGCCTGGAACGAATCCGCGCCGCTCAATTTCGAGTTTACCACGATCAACCGGATCGTCCAGTCCACGACCAGCGTCAAAGCCACCAGCATGACCATACCCGCCACCATACCCGCTTGTTTGAGAGCGTAGGGTTGCCCGATGATTCCCGCACCTATAATACTATTGGCCATGTTCATAAAGGCCATCCGCATTCCACTCCGCGGCCTGGCACTTTCCAGGTGTTCCTCAGGGAAGAAGTCGTCCGAGGTAGCAAGGGCCACGCTGGGAGCTTCTATGTCCGTGAGGAGTGGTACCATTTGCCCAGAGCCACTCATGCCTGGCTGATTCGTCGCGCGGGTATAATCCTCCTCCTCCAGCCACGACGAGGCGGATTCCCCTGAGATGCGCTCAGGGCTACCCGAGTGGCGCTCATCTCCCGCCCCGTCTTCAATATCAAACCTGACACGATTCGTGGTGCGTGGAGTGCGACGCTGTCCGTCTGAAACCGGTTGCGACATGGAGGAATGGCGTTTGTGACCATTTATAGGAGAAGTCGGGGATGCGCTAGGTAGGAGCGAGTGAGCTGTTTGGTCGTGTTGTCCGACGGGAGACAGTGGGACTAAAGGGGGGGAATAAGGACTAGAGTAGTCATTTTGTTCGGTCAAAAGAGGAAATTCGCCTTCATCCCCAGGCATTGCTAAAGAAATTGGCGATGTTGTTGTTATTTCCATCTCCACGTGCGGGTGATGCATTGCGGCCAGATAATCCTGGGGAGGTGCACGTGATGCGCTTATCGATAAAGATTACCGTATCAGGCAACAATAAGTGATCTCATCTTATTCTTGTATCAGTTGGGTTCTTGGATCGATTTCTCTGTAAGAGAAGGCCATTTCTGTGAGGTCTTATAACTGATTAGTACAATTGCTGAGCGTTTCATATATATCAGATCTCATGATATTTCTTGGCTCCTGAGATCACCCCCTGCAGAGTATACATCTATCCCTGAATGGTACTAGTGGGGTATGTATTTAAAGTTATGAGCTAAAGCTGTATACAGATGTATAAAAGGCACACGCTGTAATGTATGACTTCGCATATGAACTCCCAATGCGCATAAACAACAATAACAATGCCAATACATCAATATTTCTATCTTTGTGCTCACCCGTAATCAATCCTCCGTAGTGACACCCCACTTTTACAACTTTATGGGGCTATACAATGACCCATACGATTGATCTGGGAGAGACATCTCTTTCTACGTCTGATCTCACATTGGAGATTACGCTCCACACATCAATCGAGGTTGCTTTTACTGGTCCATGGAGCGAAGAAAACGTAGGGATTCTCGAAGAGGCGATTCACTCAGGCAACGTCTGGCTCGACCAGACCCCCGAGCTCAGATTATACATCTACATCAAAGCTACTCAGAGCCATATCTATCCTATATCAAATGTGACATCTAATGTTGCAGACATTATCTACACCTCCAAGGTAGCCAGCCCGACGTGTGATTTCTGTCCATACATCCCTAACGGATATATATTCTGACGGAAGTGGTCTAGATCTGGCACGATTTAGGTCTTACTGTTTACCTGAAAAGCTGCAAGTATAATGAGCAAGAGGATGGGATTCAGGTTTCGCTCGGTGCGCGAAAAGCCTCAACACGATCTGCATTGGTGAAGCGGTCGAGAATTCCGACTTGGTTGCGGAATCCTCAGGAAGCTCACCCTCCTCCCGCTGTCCCAGTCGCTTCTGTCTCTACAATCAATGTTGTTCTGGGAATCAATACGTATGACGAGCTATATGCATCGACTTTCCCGGTTTGGAGCCCTGATGTTCCAAATTGGATTGAGCCCTGTGTTCCAAGTACTACACCGGTGGATAACGAAGACGGAGAGCTGAATATCCTCGACAAGCTCTATCAAATACAAGAAGGAGAGAATAGTCAGCCGGACACATATATCAACGATGACTTTACTTTCTCAGCAGAGGACGACCACAACCACACATCCCACGAATTTGTCTCCCTTTTCACAAACGGTCTAAAGGGAATAGTCGCCGGTCCATCCCAACAGGGGAACTGCCACACGACTACCGCCGAATTCGAACCCACTCAATCTCTATCCCAGATAGTCCCCACAGTTTTCAGTCCCGGATACAGAGAAGTACTGAACCCCCCCCCCAAATCGCTCAGTCAACTAACCAGACGCCCAACCCATCAGGCAATGAATCAACGCGCCCAACTAATCCCATCAATCGCCAAATCAATCACCTCCCTGCTAAAAACAACACGCAACCCCATCCTGCGCGAACAAGCCTCCAATCTTCAATATCTCTACCCCAAACTCCCAAAAGCAGCTCAAAACTTTCATCCCCCGCCAGAAACAGACATCATACACCTCCGTGACACAATCAAGACATCCCTCTGGCGCATTGCGCAAAAACAACTCTACGACCCACAAGCTGCACTCAAACTACAATCCCACCAAGAAACAACAGCAGGCCTATCCTTCGAGCGCAGCCTCTTAAGCGAAGACTCACTTCTCGAGGCATTCGGAGAGGATGTTCTCGGAGAGAATTATCCCAGAGAAGATACCATATCAGACTCTTACATCGGCACGGACGACGATGCGGCGGAAGGAGAAGAAGAAGGAGATATATGCTCACTCTTATCGTTCGAGAGAGAAACCACCATATCTCCAAGTAGTACGTTTACTCAACAAGATATCGTTAGATTAGATTTGTGTCCCGACCAAGAACCGCTGCTTTGCTCGTTGCTGGAACATGCGCCTCGTGGAAACGAAGTGTCTTTGTTGAATGGGGTTGAATATGAGATTCACAGCCCGGGATCTCTTTCGTGGCTAAGAGAAGAAAGGGATTGTGTGGGCGACGAGTCCGATTATATGCTTTGTGACTAATTACGAATATATATTTAGCTAGGTATGGTCGCGGATAATATCTCGTATGATTAAGGTGACGGATATCCAATTGCTGATGTTTGATCAGTGGGACCATGTGTCTTCTGCCAGATATAATCAGTGCAGTCTTACGAAAATGGAGGATAACGATGATAATGATAATAAGACAATATTCCCGTTGACATGATACACTAAATGCTAGAGATGAATGTATCCTCAGTAATGTGAGGAAGATCTTGCAGCTTATCTGACAAGACTAACTTTCACACTTCTCAAGACTAATGCAGGTTTCTTGCAGACAGACTCCTAGAAACCAAACAGGATGTGACCAAACTTCAAACCTCGAACAGATAAAAGCCAAGCTGAAGGACAAATGAGACCGATACACCATACCCTCCAGATAACAATTTGTTCCCTCCATTCCCAGATATTGTCGCACAGATATCCTTCAAGATCCCCCTTAACTCCAGACAATTTCGAGGGCCAAAAAAGACGGCAGCAACGGCCGACAGCGTACATGACACGTGGCGAAAATGATGGTGCTCAAGAAGTTATGGAACCTTCTAAGATGCTCGAACTTCGGATGCGCGGACTTCGCTTCGAGATGCGTAGATGCGGCGATTTGGTGGAATCTGCTCCCGCTCATTGTGTTCGGATTGCGTCTTTAGGTGCATAGTGGACGGCGCCCATGACGCGACGCCAGAGTGCTGAGCCAACTGAGAAAGCCTTGCTGGATCAAACATTCCGATAAATCTCACATCGAGTGTTCTGGACTTTGGCGTGGAGTACTTCAGGTATTCGTCAATAACATCCTGAAGCGCCCAGCCTTGCAACCTGCGGAAGCATGCAACGACACAGCCTGTACGATGCTGTTTTAAACGACATCAGTCTATATGCATAACATCGTTACCAGATGATAAACTTACTTTGCCTTTGTTGCAGTGAACGAGCACAGGATGATTTGCCTTGTTGAGCAAAATTCCAAGGATCTTGTCCAAGTCGGTGTCAGGCATTGTGACATCTGGGTCCTTGTTTGGCGGAATGATGATACGGAGATGTGAGATCCCATTGTCATTGAGGAATTTCAGATGGTCTGTAGTGTAGGGCTCCTCAATGAGAGTACTGTTGTTCGGTTGTCAGCGGATAACAATAGCTGCATAGGATATCGCCTCTTACAGGATGGTCCTCAAACCCAGTTCCTTCAATGCTTCAAAGTTTTCTGCAAGGGGGAAAGAGCTGCGATAAACACCCTTCACGACTTCTGCAAAATTGCCCGGGAGGCCAGAATCTATCGGTGCGAGATCCTGGCAATACGATCTCTCAATCTGAGCTAATGCGCGCAAGACAGTGAGCAAACAGTGGCCGTCCCAGTAAACCCCAACACATGCCAGGAAGCACTTACCGCGATGAGAGACATGGGGGCTGTTTGGCGTGTTCTGCGCCAAAGGAACTGCCATCGTAGCTTCCGGCGCAGGATGAACTGTAGTGGACTGTCTTGCTGGCTCGAGGGTTTTTCTGATGGACATGACTAGACAAAATGTTTTCCGAGATGGAGAGAATGCTATGAAAGGAGATCTTGAAAGAAAAGAACGAGTGTTGAGCTTTGATGGTAGGGGCCAAACACAGAAGCACGATGAGATAGCGAAGAAAGGAGCTGAGCAGGCTAGCCCAAGGGCGAAGAACACAAAAGAACAGTCATTTTGAATTAAGCATCGGGATTCCTGCAAGATGACGCTTGGATGAGCAGATGTGATCACGGGATGATCAAAAGAGGATAAACCTAATGGAATGGCACGGCAAAGGGGACTGATGGAGTAGAGTTACGAAGAGATGTTGAAGAGAGAGATGTCAGGGTGACGGAAGGAGTCTGTGGACAGTTATATACGGGATGCAAAGCAGGAAGGTGGCCACCGAACTCAGGCAGCCCTTCCCACGCTAACTGATTCTGGTGTTGTTTATGACATATGGAATGGCAGATGAACGTCAGTTGAGGCAGTGAATGAAGAATGAATGAGCAATTCGATCGCTTATTGGTTGATGAAAAGATGTAGATTCTGGGTCTATCAGATGAAGGCTTTGTAGTACCTGTGGGTCGTTTAATGAGACATGCCGTATAAAAACGGAAAGGAAAGTATAAAGAAGCCCATCCCGTGTTGTCTCATGTCGAGTCCAGTCAGGTGAGGCTGGAATGACATGATATGGACGTGTTGATTCTCTCATATGTAGCCCGATAGCGACAGGCCGTTCTATAAATCTGGCATCAAAGAGAACAAGATCTAAGCCGAGATTACACCGATTCTCCCAGTCCAAACATCCGAATGGAATTGTTCCAAGCCCTAGAATAGAGTGTGTCAGCACCTTGATTAGATCATAAGCCATGGCAGACGTAGAAGGTTACATACGCTTCGCAAACCTCCTCCACCGTGATCCCCTTGAGATTCGCGATAACATGGGCAACATGCGCAATGGCAGCTGGCTCGTTCCTTCCTTTGACCATGGCTCCTTTCTGCCACCTTTCTTTCTTCACGGCCTTGGGGAGCGTCGGCGCTCCTTCCAAGTATTTGGAGGACGCGTGGGAAGGTCGGATTTCACACTGACGATCGTGTTAGTGTGAGGGGCCAGAGGAAGGGATGATTCAACCACATACCCACGGACCATCCGTCTCGATCTGGAGGCGCTCTAGTGGCAGAGCTTTTACCACTTCCAGATTTTCCTCCGTCTTCAAGCTACAGCCGTTGATGCCCACGTCGAGGCCGAGAGCCACCATCCGGTTCATCTCCTCCATCGTGCCCGTAAAGCTGTGCACCAGACCCCCCTTGGGAAGTTTGGCAAGCCGTGGCGCCAGAAGCTTCTCAAAATCTTCACTGGCAGCGCGGGAATGTAGGAAAAGAGGGAGTTGGATTTCCACGGCCAGATCCAGCTGGGCTTCAAAGTACTTGAGCTGTGGCTCTTTTGCGCTCAGAAACAGTCGGTCATAGTCCAGCCCGATTTCTCCGAAGGCAACAACGTATCCCGACTGTTTCGACTCTTGAGCCAAAGTCCGGAGGTCGTCAATCAATTTAGATGGACCTCCCGCATATGAATCGAAAAGCTTTGCCTGGCAGGGGTGCACTCCAACCGTGGCATAACAGAAGCCCGCTGGGGAAGAATCAGCATCAACACAGATATAGTCATCATATCATGTCACGGTGTCCGGGGGATTGACTAGACGTACGGTAACTCCGAGCAATTTCAATTGCCCGATGCGACTCCTCCAGGTCGGAGCCAGTAACCATGAACTTTTGGCAGCCCACATCGCGGGCACGCTGGATGATATCATCCAGATCATTTTCATGGACTTGTCTGCCATGGTACTCTCCCCGGAACACGGGGTCGCTAAAATTGATCCCGATCTAGATATTTCGTGATTCCTACCGTCAGACTCAGAGCACTTGGGGTCGAAGAAGGACAACCCACATCGACGTATCTTAACGGCTGTGATTCAGACATCTTGACGGATGAGAAAGGTTTGCACCACGTCTCTTGGAATCTTGGTTTATGCAATGGATAACGAGGGGTCCAGTTACTCCAAATCACTGTTTTTGGTTGTAAGTTTAAGTGTACTATTCCCATTAACAATGTCTAGTCCCAGCAGAGAAATTGGTTATAAGGGCCATAGGTGATAATATCACTTTCCTCCCACCCCATCCTTTCTTTCACTCTATCCTGGGACAAGCTGGCACATACCTGGTTTTTCCCGCTGGAGGAAGGATGCAAACCGGGTTTGGTGCAAGACAGGATTCCCTCGAAGTGCTACACGCCTGAGACAGGAAGTATTACTAGTCCTTGACAAATTGTCTACACCAAGAGCCACCCGCATCAGAAGTAGAAAGGATTATCTTCTTGATCAGCCCTAGAGACCTTCGTGTGAGTTATCGTGCATGAGCGATAAGCCATTTGTGCCTGAAATTCCCGCCCCATTCCAGCCACACAGACTATTGCGCCACTGTGGCTAGTGCGAGCTGGTCATGTCAGGTGACAGGTGGGGTATTCGGCCGAGATGGGTTTGATTGGTTTGTTTCGCTCCTTCAGCTTCGGCTTCGGCGCTTCTCCGATTCTCCAGTTGACAGATTCGCCGGCTTTGAAATGGAACTGTTGGCAGTCTGGTTGGATATTCCAGGCTTGCGCTATGCAGTCAACCCTTTAGCCTATCATGATAAGGCTATTTCAGCTCTGGAAATACAGGCACCTCCCGTTGGAATGATCCCATGCAATACAACCACGCTATCAGTAGCGTCAGGTTCAACCGCATACAGGCATACAGTCATGCAATTGATAGATGCCAGTTATATGCTGAGCTGTTCTGCTGCTGGAGATCTTGACCGGAGTTGGACCTCTTTCCCGAGATCCAAATCGTGGTGGGACCAATTGACCGAGCTAATCTGGTTATCTCCGCATTGTGGAGGAGCTGAGGAGCTGGCGGCCAGCACTGCAAAATTCGGTCTTCATAACAAGCTGCTACCCTTTGATTTTAGACCTTGTCGCATATCCAGTGAGAGATATAGCAGTCTTTTTTTCTCTTCTTTTTTCGTCTCTTCTTTTCTTTGCTCCCATTCCTAGGTAGCTATTCTCTCGTATCGATCTCATCCCCCATATATACAGAACCGTTGGTCATGACGGACAAGAAACCCCTCTCTACCCAACAGGTTGTGGGACATAATACACCCGAAGACTGTTGGATCGTAGTAGACAATCATGTGTGGGATGTGACGGACTTTTTGGAGGAACATCCGGGTGGCTCTGCGAGTGAGCATCTCATTTGAAAAGAGTCGGAGGGACAATGCACTAACCTGCGGGGTTCAATCCAGTCATTCTGAAATACGCAGGCCGCGATGCCACCAAGGCGTACTCCGAGGTCCACACCCCCAGCGTACTCAAGTCCAACCTCCCTTCAGACAAATACATGGGAGTCCTCGACGAGTCGACGATCGACGACGAATGGACCAAGCAACCACCGAGTGAGAATCCACAGGTAGTCCTGGAGAACGAGAAACCGCCGCTCCACACCCTGATCAACTCGCATGATTTCGAATTTGTAGCTTCAAAGACAGCCAGTAAGAAAGCCTGGGCGTTCTACCACAGTGCGGCAACAGATCTTATCACCCGGGATGCCAACAAGTCCTGTTTCGACCGGATATGGTTCCGACCCCGAGTGTTGCGGAATGTCCGCTCCGTTGAGCCAAAGACCACGATGCTCGGAGTGGACTGCAGCTTCCCCTTATTCGTGAGCCCGTCTGCGATGGCCAAGCTTATCCATCCCGACGGAGAATGTGCCATCGCTAGGGCCTGCGCCAGCAAAGGCATAATGCAAGGAGTACGTTGACAGCTGCACAGTCCCGTCCAATACTAACCATCTGAACAGGTCTCGAACAACTCCTCCTACACCGTAGACGAGCTCACAAGCGCCGCACCATCAGCAAGCTTCTTCTTCCAGCTCTACGTCAACCGAGACCGCGAAAAGTCCGCCGCGCTCCTCCGCCAGTGCTCCGCCAACCCCAACATCAAAGCGATCTTCGTAACAGTTGACGCCGCCTGGCCCGGCAAGCGCGAGGCCGACGAGCGGGTGAAAGCCGACGAAAGCCTGTCAGTACCAATGGCGCCGTCCACAGCGTCGAACGACAAGAAAGGCGGCGGCCTGGGCCGCGTCATGGCCGGATTCATCGACCCGGGGCTCACATGGGAGGACCTAGCTTGGGTTCGGAAACACACGCATCTCCCTGTGTGTTTGAAAGGCGTCATGTCGGCGGACGACGCCATGCTTGCTATGCAGGCTGGGCTGGACGGCATCTTGCTCAGTAACCACGGCGGACGCAACCTGGACACCAGTCCGCCTTCCATCATCACGCTCTTGGAACTCCACAAACGCTGCCCGGAGGTCTTTGACAGGATGGAAGTTTACGTAGACAGCGGCATTCGTCGGGGTACCGACATATTGAAAGCTGTGTCTCTCGGCGCGACCGCCGTCGGCATGGGACGCAGCATGCTGTTCGCGACGAACTACGGCCAGGAGGGGGTGGAGCATTTAATTGACAGTGAGTACTTCCTTTTTTCCAATTCTCCCGTTCCATCTAACACGACATAGTCATGCGCGACGAATTGGAAACCGCCATGCGCAACACGGGCATCACCACACTAGACGAAGCCGGTCCGCACTTGGTCCATACAGGCGATGTTGATCACCTTGTTCCTGACTCGGCGAGACATCCTTATGCGTTTAAGACAGCGAAGAGCCGACGCAACCTGGGCTTTTCGAAGCTTTAACTGCGTATACATATATATATCTCTCTCTCTCTCTCTTTTCATCACGCGCAAAGAATTACGACTTTACACGGAATTGGATGCACAACGCTATCAGCATAAACCAATATATAGTTCAGTTTATATACATGCAATTTCCAGCTCAATATGGTTGATCGAGATAGGCATATGTCAAATAAACTTTTGTTTCGATATTATACCTTCAAGTCTCCAAACCTGACGCATTGCATCTGCAAGTACCTATGAAGTGTAGGTGACTTGGTTAAGTACCTCTGGTATCAGGTGGTAGCAAACAACCGTCAAGCAGCCAGCCAGTGAGATACATGGATACATATGCGGGGATCCCGTGACCGGTCGATACTATACAGATCACATTCCAGCCACCCATCCATCAGACTATCCGGTGCAAGGGAGAAAAAGACCATCAAGACCAAATTCAAATCAAAATAAGAATCAAACTTAATAAAAATCAACACATCGGAGAAAAAGGAATCGAATGAAGGAAGAATAAAAATAAAACAAGATCGTGATAAAAATAAAGCACCAAAAAATAGATCAGAAATCTAGAACGCTACCAGCTAGGCAGCCATGAGACAACATCCCTCACCGAACACACAAAACAAACCCCTGACTCACCCAGCAATCCCCTCCATCATCTTGTTGAGTTGATTGATTGACGGATCAGTATATGTTGGGGGGTCTAGGGGGTTGTTGAAGCCCCTTGTGCCTATATCTACTTCGTATATATGAGCACCGCATTCCCCATCCAACTCACCGTAACTGTAATGAACAGAAACGCGGACTGGCAGAGTAACTCCGGCAGGATCGACCTCACGTGACCGTCCTTCCCGTTCCCCACTCACCGACTTCTCTTGCAGTCATCAGAGTGGGGAGAGTGCGCGTCCTCTTGACTGGTTGCAGGTGACTCTTCTCGAATGATAATCCAGACGACAGCGACTGCTAACTAGGATGATGAGGGGGTGATCGTCTGTTGGAGAGATCTCAGTGGCTGCTGCCCCGCCCTGGTACAACTTTCTGTCCCATGTCTGTATTAAGCACACCCCACAGCTACCACATTGCTGCTTGTGGTAATTTACCCCGATTGAATCCCAGTATGGGGGTGCCACATCTCGGCCAGTGTACGAGGTGTTAATACTCCGATGGCCAGCTGATGCACTGTACTTTCTATGGTGTCTGCATCTCCCGCATATTTATTAGGCGTCACGTGTTGAGTTACCTTTCCTGTCTGGCTCACCGTTGGTACGCCGTATAATTCCTACGATGGGCCCGCGCGCTGAAACACATGGTGCTTGAAGGCTGCCCCTCGGGTCTCAGGCCGAAGGGATCAAGGCCCCCTCTACCTCTTACAACGGATGAAGATCGGATGATGATGCACGGGTGGATGGAAGCAAGCCTTGAAGAGACAGTCTTGTCGTAGTATGGAGCCGTCGGTCGACGGGGTCCTGCTCCAGTGTGGATTAGACCGGGATTATCTGGCAGATCTTCCTCTCCGAGTGATTTCACAAGCCAGGTAAACCGCGCTAGATATTTTGATTGCGAGAGTCGTCATCATCGTCATATTCATTTTCGCAACCCTGCGAGTACTGCAACAAGTGCGGGGAGGCTGTATCATGTATGGCAGATGAAATGATCGATGAACATGGGCGATGGCATGGAAAATGAGGGGAAAGGGCCGAAAGGACCTCTGAGGTGTGCTCCCCTACAACGGCAGAGGTGGGCGCATCTCCAAACCAATCTAGAGGGGAACAGCCAATGTGATTTCCCTCATGACGCCGGGATCAGCATCATCGACTGGTCGAGCTAACAGACCCCGGTACATTTCCCTCCCGTACCATGGGATTCAGGATGGCATCGTCCGATCTATTGGTTGGCCGACACACGGGGTAATGGAATGAGTGCCGGGGATCATGCATTTGCGGTTCCCCCGAGAGTTTGACCAGGAGGAGAGATGATGAGGTACAATGTTGGATTACGTTTCGACCCCTCCACGATGGTACCTCTTCGTCCTGGGGGTACCAGCACACAGTAGACTGGAGACGCTGGTTGTCATTTTGGCATGTTGTAAAAAGAACGGGACCGACCAAAATCCCCAAAAGAGTAAAAGAAAATAACAGAAAAAGAAAACATCGTGTCGATCGGAAGAAAGATGAAAGGATCCCAAAATGATAGTGGTTGGTACTATTAGGGCCCGGGAGACTTGGCCAGACCGCTGGAATGGGAGATGGGGGGATGGAAGTGCCCCGGGAAGGAAAAGGAATGGATCCATCATTGCATAGAGCTTACTCTCTCTCTCTCCCAACGGTTCCTTAACTTCCTTACTGCGGGCCAAATCAATACCCTCGATTCCGAAGTACAAGAGCTTCCCCCCCTCCCCATCCACTCCTGTAGATTCTTCCTTTCCTTATTAATTTCTTCTTCCTATTCTCGTCTCTTTCCGTCATATTTATTCCGTGCATCTAATCATATCCTTCTTCCTCGGCTCTTTTCTGCTCCTCCCATTTACTTAAATTTCCCATCACCCCCTGGTTCCTGGTACATTCCATCTCTATACCACTGCTTGTACATTCCTGTCCTCAACCTCCCCTGTCTATCTGGTTTCGACCTTTTTACAATCAACCATCCTCTTCTATCATCCATTTGATATCACATATTCTCTTCCCAATGGCAGCTATTCGTTCCACGTCTCTGCGCGCCCTTCGCGTGCTCTCTCAGCACCCTACTACACCCTGCACTCGACGGGGTCTACACATCACCGGTGCCACCTCCGCACCCCCTGCCAGCGTGGGCGACAAGGCGTCCTTGTATTCCGCCCGTAGTCTGTCGGATCTCAAGGGAGAATGCCAGACTCGGAAGCTAGGAGCGCATGGAACACAGGCTGAGGTTTGTACCCATACCACGCACGATTCCTACAGGACGACTCAAACTGACTGTATATTAAAAAAACGTTAGCTGGTCGAACGTCTGTCCAACCATGACTTCCTTCAATCGCGCGCCTTCAGCATCGCCATGAGGCGCATCAATGGCACCGCAGCAGAGTATGTTAATCCCGAGCTCATAGTTCCATGGGGACTATCGGGCTATCTTTTACCTCGGTCGAAGATCGGTTCAGCTGACATCATACCTTTTGCCGGATCTGCAGGACCAACTCCGGCCGCCAATTTAACACCTCCCGCTCCCAGAAGGCCGTGGGTGACTCATCCACGGTGGATTTCGCCTACATGCCCTCCATGTCGGAGATGGAGACCACCGCTGCTCGCCCCGATCTGCGGATTCCGATCTTTCCCGACCTCTACGCCAGACCCCAGGCGACCCTAGCGGAGCAGCCCTCCGGCAGCTCGGCTCCCATGAGACCCCACGTTTACACTGTGTCCGGTGCCGGAGCTGACATCGCCGTCAGTCCCATGACAGAGGTGGTGGATAACCTCGCTGTGGATATCGACCCGTTTTCTTTGACCGAAACGGTGGGCAAATCGCGGTTCGAGGAAGAGCTGCAGAAGCAACAGAACGGGTCTAGCACCGGGGGCGTCGTGCAAGAGTTATGGCACGGCTTCCTGGATGACCTTTTGGGTCCTAAAGCCCAGCCTTCGCAGAGACAGTGAGGGTCTGAAGTTATTATTTGTTTTTCAGCGTGGTGTTCTCATTTTCCTATGTGTTGTTTAACATGATTGCGATCTACTTTATTTGATTTACGATGCAGCATATCTGCCCAGAACCAGATTGTCACCCATCAAGTCGGTGCCTTGTATACATGTTCCTTTCCCTCTTGTAGAAACCAGCCCATTTCCGACGCTACACTCATAGCCCACCTCGTGACTGTCTTCATATTGAGATCAGCCCATACCAATGTCCCCGGCCGACAGTCCTCCGTGCCCTACCCGGACAGAGGGATAAACAAGTACCCGCACTGACTAGCCTGACAGTGGACCAACGCAGTCGATCATCACCAGCAATAATGGGGATTATCTGATCCGAAAGTCACGAGACCCTCATTTCTCCCGAATAGGAGTCATGGGCCTACGGAGGATTTCCTCTATCCACTCACTCTATACTTATAGTTGGCCTAGGCGAAATAAGACACTCTCGGCACCGTGGCGTTTCCCACTTTGTTGTTGAAATGAAAGTGTCTATTCTTCTCTTAGATTACTACTAACTAATTACTCCCTATTTTGAGTAGGTGAGTACTAACTAAGTGGTCACGAGGAATGCTAGACTAGCGTTGTCGCTGGATGGGATGATCTGTTTGTTGTTTCCCCGGGTTTCCCCGATGAGGTCATGTGAAATTGTGGGAGTGATGTGCTGGCTCCTGGACTGGGGTTATGCTGTCTATCTACCTATGTATGGGTAGGGCATAAACACATGATTTCTACACTTTCTTAGGCTAATGAAAGTTGGGGTTGACTACTACCTAGTCAATACTAACTAGTGGGTAATTCGTTGTGGGATTGATTGATTGTATTCGTTTACTTGAGTCGGGGTTGGGTTGGAGCGTTCGTGTGGGGTCTGGGGTTGTAACTTGTGGAAGCTTGGATGTTGTCCTGGACCTTGTGGGTGTGGGTTATGTATTAGTAGCAGTGGATTCTTGCTTTTTCGATGCTTTGGTATATACTAGATAACACGGTTCTTATCTGCTGAGATAGTGGTTAGGAAGTTGTTGGATACCAGGACCTACCACTCGCCAGTTGGTGTTTGGTCGAATGGTCAAGATTGGACATCTTAACAGAAGCAACGTAGGAAGTTACACACTGTCAGGCATACTGCCTATTTGGTATTCCCCCTGACGTCCGGCCCATCAAGATGGCGTGTGTGAGGAGTTGTCTTTGAGATAGATTCCTCCATCTATATGCCAACCTCTTGTCGATATATTGTGAAGACAGCGGCTGCAATCAGTCAACCAGCTAACCACAAGTAGTTCCCTTCGTCCGTATATTCTACATAATCGATCCTCCACTCAAGGATCATCATCTCATGGAATGGCAGTATCAACAAGTAATGACAATATCAACAACCCATCAACTCCAGTCACACCCACCTATCCGTCCCATATGTGTTGGTAAATTGGTCATTGGTCGAATACTCACGGGATTGACTCCGAGACCTGCATGTGTCATCTGTCTGCTACACTAGGTTGTTGTCAGTGTGGTTGCACGAAACGTTCATTGGGCTGCAGATCGATATCCAATATTGCCAAGTGCCAAATCAGATCGGAACGAGTTATCGATGTTTGGTGTGTTGTATACACTATACAGTCATGCTCCGAGGTTGACTGGAGCAAAGAAGATGAACATGATCCATTATCAATATTGATGGATTGATAATTTGATTGGTTTTGTCAAACCTATGGAATAGTTCCTTGAAGTATCAACAGCTGCAGGATAGGTATGCGAAACCTGTCTTATCCCTGGTGAATGCCTCAGGCAGCCACCGGGTATATTGACTTCTATATATAACCGGTCACGATATATTAAAATCAATTGGCATGTCTGCAAGCCACTCAACTAGGGTAACTAGATATGATACGGAGTACCTACTGTACTAATGCATGTCTGTCCATTCAATGACATGGCACTTGGACACCTCGCAGTGGCAATACAGTGGGACAGCTGAACCCATCTGCATCATCGAGATTCATCATCTGAAACCGCCTCTCAGCTCTCTCTCAGCCACTGAGACCGTTTACCATCCATTGGCGTACTTTCTCTCATCCAATCCATTCCTTCTGACGGAATATGATGCTCACCCAGTGGAAGGATTCACTGCCGATCAGAGTCAATTGCTGCCTCGATGGATCCTGTGCTGTCATGCCAAGACTGTTTGATCTGTCTTTCTTTGCCTCTTTCTCCTCTCCTTTTGCTTCACTCCCCCTTTGGAGTAAACGTACCTGTCTCACTTTTGAGTCTCTTTTTGAAACTCCTTTTGAGACTCCTTTCCTTATCTTATATCTTTTTATAACTTCTTTCCCCTTTCGTCCACTTCATGATCGCTTATCCTTCTTGTGTGATGGCTCAGGGGAACCCTTCCTCGGCTACCCCACTCACCATGGCTCAAAGAAGCTGTCCCAAGCGCTGATCCGAACCTATACCTGGATGGCGCCACGAACTAGTGGTCTAGATTGACCACTTGAGTTCGACCTGTTCAACTTTTTGCCTGAGTAAACCTGGAAGTGGGTCCTCTCCACTATCTTAGGTATCCTTGGCTACCTTTCTCCTCAATGGGGAATCCCCGTACTTCGACGAGGGGGATTTCCTGTTTCTTGGATCTCGATTTTCTTCAGGAGTTGCACAGACACATCCATCCTCTGAGTTGACTTCGACTGGTCTCCTGGATTCTGGACCGTCAGATTCTTGCCTCTCAGGTGGTGTGGTTCTGTGGCGCTGGTCCTTTGTACTCGGTCCTCGAATCTTTATATCACTCGAACCCTTATACTATTCACTACCATTCACTACCATTCACTCATTGATACATGCCGTTTTAACCTCACTTGAATGCTCTTTGCATCACAACCTGCTTGCTCAATGATTCCCACATAGACGCGTTTCATCTGGACCTGCCTTAGATCTACATCTGTTGTTTTAATCAATACTACTAATTCCCCGGAGAGTCTGGCACTCTACCCTAATCAACACGCTCACTTCCACTGTCAAATGACCCACCTTGTCATTCCTTCCTGTTAGATCCTCGTGGATCATGCGTCTTTCACCATGCCGTCTCATCGCGGCCTCCCTTTCCCTATCCACCGGTGCCCAGGCCTTTATGCCATGGACTCTGAAATATGAAACCGGCGATTCCAGCATGGGGGCAGAGGTAACAAAGGATGAAGTGACAGCCACCATGAGTGAAGGCTCCTCGGACATGAGCCTGAAAGCCCCTCAACGCCGTGACAACTCTTACAAGGTAGTCATGGCCGACACCCCATCTTCACCAAATACGGTCGCCCTCAACCAGGATGGCCGAGACTACTCCTACTTCGCCAAAATCAAAGTCGGCTCCCAGGACCAGGACATGTACATGATGCTGGACACGGGGGGCGTCAACACATGGCTCTTTTCCGCGGACTGCAAATCCACCGCCTGCTCGCTGCACAACACGTTTGGAGAGAAAGAGTCCTCGAGTCTCGAGACATCCGACGAGGACTGGCACGTCGGCTACGGGACAGGGACCGTCAGCGGCGTCGTCGGAACCGACAACATCACCATCGGCGACGTGGACGTCTGGCTACCGATTGGCCTGGCGGACACGGCATCGGACGACTTCCGATCCTACCCCATGGACGGGATCATCGGGCTTGGGCGCGCCGAGGAGGGCTCCTTCGGGCAGCCGACATTCATGGACCAGGTCAAAAAGGAGAAGGTGCTCGACTCGAACATCATCGGCTTCACTTTCTCGCGCAGCTCCGACGACGAGAAGGACGGCGCCGTGACGATCGGCGGGGTGGACAAATCTCGGTACTCGGGGGATATCGCCTACACCGACACGACCGGATCCGTCAGCCACTGGCGCATCCCCCTCGACGACGTCAGCGTGGACGGCCACGCCTGCCGCTTCAGCGACAGGACCGCCATCATCGACACGGGCACCTCATACATGTTGCTTCCGCCGGATGACGCAAAGACGCTGCACGACCTCATTCCTGGTGCGCAAGAGTCCGGAAAGCAGACTTTCGTGCTGCCGTGCGACTCGACTGTCGATCTCCAGCTCACCTTTTCGGGAGTCAGCTACTCCATCTCGCACAAGGATTACATCGGCGACAAGGCCACCGGGTCGATGTGCCTGTCGACCATCGTGGCCCACCAAATGTTCGGAGACGACGAATGGCTGGTCGGAGATGTTTTCCTGAAGAACGTGTACACGGTGTTCGACTACGACGAGGACCGGATCGGCTTTGCGACCAAGGCCTCTTCCTCGTCTTCTTCCTCTTCCTCCTCGAGCACGGCCTCACCCACCAAGACGTCCGACTCGGATAGCTCCGACAGTGACGACAAGGGGTCAGACACGAGCGACTCGCCCAGTTCGCCTAGCTCCAGTGCCTCGAGCTCACCAGACACCGAGTCAGGAGCGGCACTGTCCAGCGCGCCGACATACTACTGGATCGCAGTGTTGGGTGTCATGTTTTTGTTCTAGATAGATATCTACCGCTTTCGTTCAATTTTGGGATACTTGATAGCCTTAGACTTGTGCTTACCTGCGCTAATATACCCACTGTCTATTCAACACTCACGCGTATGCTAAACGTGGTTCCTCATTCCGGTCAATTGTATGATGTCATCGTAACATCGGTAGATCATCGGTAGATCGATGCGCCTCACCCTGAGCGATCCAATGTGCAATACGCAGTACTAAATCTAACAAATCATCGATATCATATACACAAGCAGAAAACATCCCACTCTTGTAGTACGGATTGAATAATATCAACGAACCCGGGAAAGCAGCCGGAGCGGATAAAAAAAGGCCTCGGGACGAATCAGTGACCGGGCCGGCTGAACTTAACTTACCTCAAACTACCAATCATTATCGTACTACCAGACCGAGTACCCGATCTACCTTTCATCTTTTCTCATTCAACCAATCCTTCACCATATTTGATTGATTGATTGCGCCGTGACTGCAGGGACTCCGATCCGATCGATCTCCTCTATCTTACACCCAGTTCTAGTTAGAGACATAGGGACAGCTAAGCACAATGCTCGCCCTCCACACGCGACGGTCCGTCCTCGCCCGCTCCACCCGTCTAGCTACCAGCAAAAAGGTCCTGCCCGCCACGCGGAAAACCTTCCACTCTAGTCCGGCGCACGCAGAGCGACCGACATGGATGCCGATGCGGGTGAAGACGCCGTGGGTTGAGGCGCTGACGAAGAGTCGCGACGATGCGCGCGCCCCGAAGAAGGCTCAGCCGGCGGGCGCGAGAGACAGTCTGCCGCCGAAGAGGATGGCCGATAGTTATTATAAGGCTGTGCGTTTTCAACCCTTGTAATGGTTTATTGGGGGAGACTAATTGATTGTTGGGTAGGTTCTGCCGCTGGCACAGGATAAATGGCTGCTTGATTCTTATTTGAATGCGTCGGGGCATATTAGGTATGTCCTTATTTGGGGATGCGTTTTTTTTTGGATGAGGTGCTAATTCTATGTGCAGGCTCGGCTCGTTGTTAATGGATCTGGATGCCTTTTCGGGTGTCATTGCCTATAGGCATACAGGCGACTCGGTCACGACAGTAACCGCAGCCGTGGATCGCATCACCATCGAGCATCCGCTGATGGAGATCTGCGATCTGGAACTCAGCGGCCAAGTCACGTATTCGACTGGTCGGTCTAGTATGGAGATTTCTCTGCAGGTTGCCAAGGCCCCGCCGGAGGGACAGGAGGCTAAGCCTGAGGATGTTCTTATTACGTGCGCGTTCACGATGGTGTCGCTTGATCCGGTGACCAAGAAGTATGTACTGATGACTGGTTATGTTTGGGGTTTGTTCTAACGGTTATAGGCCCGTGCCTGTCGCGCCTTTACTGATCGAAACCCCCGAAGAGCGCCTTCTCTTCAAGAAAGGCGAAGAGAACTACCAGGCCAAGAAGGCTCTCCGCACGAAGAGTCTCCTAGAAAAGGCCCCCGACGCGGAAGAGAGCAACCTCATCCACTCAATGTGGACCAAAGAGATGTCCTACCTAAGTACGTTCCCCAACCCCAAACCCACCACACGAACTCCCCCCTAACGAGATAGACCCCGAATCCCCCTACAAACGCCCCTCCAACCTAGTCTTCATGAACGACACGGTCCTCAAATCCGCCATGATTATGCAACCCCAAGACCGCAACCGCCACAACTTCATGATCTTCGGCGGCTTCCTGCTCAAGCAAACCTTCGAGCTGGCCTTCTGCTGCGCCGCCTCCTTCTCGCACACCCGCCCCAACTTCGTCGCCCTCGACCCCAGCACTTTCGAGAACCCTGTGCCCGTCGGTAGCGTGCTGTATCTCCGCGCGACGGTGGCGTTCACGGAGCCATTGGAGGAGGAGGGTCCGCTGAGCAAGTATACGAAGGTGCAGGTGCGCGTTGACTCGAAGGTTCGCGATGTGGAGCACGGCACGAAGAAGTCCACTGGCATGTTCAATTATACGTTCTTGGTGGAGAAGGATGTGCAGGTTACGCCGAAGAGTTATGGCGAGTTTATGTTGTGGACTGATGCGCGGAGACGCTCGTTGAATGCGGCTAGTGTGACGGGGTCGAAGGAGTTAAGTACGTTGCGGGGGATTAAGGACAGTGTTACTGAGTAGTGGGAAGTATTGAGCGATATTATATGAGCATGTATATTTGGATTACTTTGGATATATAGGAGATGTGTTCAATCTGTTTTACTAGTATAGGAGCTAATCCACAGCTGTCCGAAGTATATATTAGACGATGTGCATAATGTGAAAAGCGAGAACACTCAATATCCTATATCATCAAACAAATCAACGAATAACATAAAATACAAGCAATTATCAATAACAGATAACGATACATACAAGGAAAGAAAGAAAGTAAACCCCACAAACAACAGAACCAAAAGAAACATCACATGACATCACTCACCAGCCAAGCTCACTCGCTTCCCCACACAAGATACCTCCGATACTAGATAAGCCCACGCGCCACCCCTCCAATCTTACCTCCAACTTCAGCCCTATTTCCCAAGACACTTTCTCTTCTTTTTGCCAAGTGAATGTAGCAAAGAAAGCAAGAGAGGAAATAAAAAAATGTCCCTCCCAAACATCTACCACCTCCGTCGCGTAGCAGACACAGCCGCCAAGGCATGCTCCATCTGCTACAAGCCGTCTAGTTGTGTTTTGATCACGCCTGATAATAAGGTATGTCCTCCCTCACCTCTTCTTCATTATTATTATTCTTTGTCACTTTTATATATAGTTCTATACATGTGTAGAGATAGACAGACTAATAGGCGCTAAGGACTACTTCTACGTATGCGCCGCCCACCTCAAGGACAGACACTTTTGCACGCCGATCGTCGATACCGAGGGTGCGGCTGCGAAGAAGAAGAGGGAGGAGGAGGAGGCGCTGGAGAGGGAGATTGAGGTTGTTAAGAGGGAGTATGAGGAGAAGCAGCGGCGGAAGAATAAGAGTAAGGGTGAAGATGGGAAGGAGGATAAAGACGGGGATGGGGATAAGAAAGAGAAAGAGAAGGGTAAAGGGAAGGGGGATGACGGTGATGCGAAGAAGAGTGAGAAGGAGAGGGATGATAAGGTTTGTTTTCTTTCTTTCTTCCTTTTGATACTTTTTAAATGTCTTGACTCTGGCTGATCATGAGTACAGATTGATTCCCTTAAGAAATCAGCTTCGTCGGATGATACCTCGCCTCGGATATTTGCTTTACACAAGTATGTTCCTATCTCTCTCTCTCTATATATATACATATTCTATTCGTATTAATAATATGAACAGAACCTTCTACCAACTCCGCCTCGACAGACTCCGCAACGCAGAAACAGCCCGACGCAACCTGCAACGCATGCGAGATCCGTCTTTTTTCCCCTCTGTTCCGTCCGGGGGTGTTTAACTACTCTAAGGGGGCCGGGGGGCTTGATAGACTAGATCATTTATTATGGGTTTATCTATTCTCTTAATCTGATTGAGTGGATGGTGGTATTTGTGTAAATTTCTTTCAGCGTGGTTGCGCATATGTATATAGAGAGAGAGACGAATGCATGTGTACAGGATAGTAGGGCTTGGTTTAGCCTTCACTTAGTACCTATGACGTTGTATATACATACATGTAGTGCGTTATGTTTGTGCGAGGTAAGGTGCTATCGCGTTAGTACTAATTAACTAATTAGTATATAATGCTGTGCCTGTTATGTTGTTGATCATTTTTTATTGGTTGGAGTAGATGTTTTCTGGTTGTTTTTATAATAGTCGTGTTAATGACAGTATTAGATTAGACTAAACTATGGACAGTAGATAGTAGTAGACTATACACAGTACTAGGAATTGTGCACGTAGTATGCTGAATGTCATAGCCCTATATATAATTTATACCACGCATACTGACACCTACAAACCATCCAGGGTCATCATCTAGCCTTAAACTATATATCTATACACCCACTCATAGTATATGCCAGCCCAATCAGCCTATCAATCATAATGTCAAATATTAGAATAGAAGAAGAGAGAAAAAAAGACACTAGCATACAAGAGCTACCTAGCTACCTAGTAGTCAATATCAGAAAAAAAAAACTAAATAGACAGCCATCCAACCATCCAACCAAGAAACCAACAACCAGCAACCAGCAACCAGCAACCAACAACTAACAAGCAAAGATCCTCCCAACCAAACAATGACAGATCCAAGACTCCGATTTTATCCCGCCATTGAAAGAAAGAAAAGAAGGAAATGATAGGTGAGAAGAGTAGATACACTAGAAGAAGATATGACAAGAAGGTAGGACGAGATAGGACGAGATAGGATGAGAAAAAGATAGGGGATCTGAAGAGCGAGGAGCGGAACGAGTGTCATGTCATGTCATGTCATGCCGACACTGACCGTTCGGCCTCCCCGGTGTTTCTGTTTCGTATATACACCCTTGGTTCTGTACGTGGTATGTATCCATCCAACCAGGATAGACAGCCAACCTCATCGAGGTATACGTATGTGAAAATATAAGAGAGATAAGACAGGCAGCGCTGTCAACACTACTACCAGCCTGTGTCTCCGGCCAGCCCGAAGGCCGGCATTCCCGCATGGAAGAGTGAATGTGGAGTGCGTTCCGCGTGGAGTATCCCCAGTGGAGTGTCCCAGTGAAGTGTTTCCCAGCGGAGTGACCGACCAAGGAGAAGCGATATCGGGGACTCTACAGTCCCATAATCCTAGAATGGCTTTCTACCAGCCATACATTGGCGGAAATTCGCGTCCGGTGGTGCAAAGCAACCTCGAAGGAGGAAATACCAATCCTCGTCAGCAGCCACCGAGGACCTCGCTGATCTTATTGGACGTCAAGGTGCCACTGGATCCGGTGCTGCTGTTCTTAGGTTCCGGGGGCGCTTCTTCCTTCATGCACGCATTCTCCAGGATATTGGTCCACTTGCCACTCGTTCCGGCATGGCTATGTTTGAGATGCTGGCGGAAGTGGTCCGCGCGGAAAAACTTCTTCGCGTTATTACACTCGCCGAACTTGTGCACCGCTGTGAGATGCTCGAATCGACCATCCCAGTCGGGCTGAGGGAAGTTGGGGAACTCCTCGCCACAGTATCCACAGGTGTCGTGAGACGGACCGGAGCTGATCTGATTTGTTGGGGAGGAGGACGGGTGGAAAGCTGCTTGGTAGTCCGGGAGGGCCGCGCAGGACCACGAATGGCGTCTCAGATGCAGGGAATTTTGATGTCGTTCCGCTTCGTTCTTGTTTTTGAACCGGTTGTTGCAATACAGACACGAGTACTGTTTCTCCATTTCATGTGCCCTGAGTAAAGTAAGCCGCTGACCAACCAGATGCATCAGGAGACTGGGCACTTACCGTAGATCCTCAATATTCTCAAACTTCTTGGGTTTCTTGGGACAGCAATCACAGATATACAATCCGATCTTGGGTCCGACGGGTTTTGGAACGGCGGGATTCGACTGCAGGGGCAGCTTTTGCGCGCTCAGCGGCTCCAGAGAGGCGGCAGGCCCTGGGATGGTTCTGGCGACCGTCTGATTCACAAGGCCGCCAGGAGAGCTCGGATGAAGATCAACATCGGATGCTGGTGACAACCCCCCCGGGGAAGGGCGCTCATACGGCGACACGCTCGTCATGCTACTTCCGCCCACCGAGAGGGCCGCGGATGAGTAAGACCCCGATGTCCGGAGACTTACGGAGGACGCCGCTGACAGGCTTCCGTGACTCGGCGCGTACCCACTGTTGACCGTCAACGTATTGGTGAACGGGTGCCCCGTGGTCCTCCGCTGGGATAGATCGCCATTACTCGTCGTGACATGGAGCGGGTGTCGATCGTCCCCCAACGGTTCGCGGGGCGGGGAGGACGCCCTGCGTTTCGTGCCCGATTTCGACGGGTCCAGGTAGGGCGGGGTCGCTTCTCGAACGTGGACCATCCGTGGTGGCAGCAGTTCGTCGGTCGACAGATCCCCTTCGATATCCGAAAACACTCCGTGATCGTAGCTTCCTCGGTTCGATCGGCTGGGCAGACTGAGGGTCTCCTCGTACTGGCCACCCTTACGGCGGCTGGCATCCCGGAGATAGGCGGCGTGGTCGTAGTCGACGGCGGACGACGGAGCACTGCTCTCCACACTTGGGCTTCGACAGCCGACATAATCTCTCCATCCCAAGGGGGTCCCAAACGGAGCCCCGCCCGACTGAGAGCCCCCGGGCCACTTCGCATCGGGAGACAATCCTTCCGAGCTTCCGGGAGAGGGAAAGTTGGCGAAGGTCCGCGCGGACGGTACGGGGAGGGTCGCTAGTGGGGGTTTGATTTCGTTGCTCACGCTGATGGATCCTCGCGGGGACAGCGGTTTACCGATTTTGGACAGAAGATGCTGGTCGTACGCATCGGATGAATCTTTCACGCTCTTCCGAGAAAAGTTTCGCTCGCCCGTCAGACTATGGATGGGGAGGTCAGTCAAGCCTAGCCTGTCAGTCGCGGGTGCAATACGTACATCGGACTGGTGTGGACACCAACGGCGCTTCGAAAACCGTCGTCAACTGGGGGCGGGGGCGGCTCCACCTTGATGAACGTCTCTGGGCTCCTCGAGACCGGCAGACCGCTGTGTCGACCACCGAGATCGTCGAGGGCCATGGGATCCGTCCGCGGCACGGACTCCGGGCGACGATGGCCGCCGAATAGACTCGAGCCCGGGTTGATGGGGGCCAGTTTAGTGGATCCCACCGAGCCCCTGGAGTTCGCGTGCAGCCAGCCGGCGTCGTAGCCATTTTCGAGGCCGCAGATGCGCGACGGTGGCGGCAGCGGTGGCGGCGCCGAATGGGACACGGGGTTCGCGGGAATTGGCATGGGACCCGGGGGCGCAAAGGACCGCGCAGACATGGAGTAGGGGAACCGTTCCACTGAAGCGGGGTGACTATAGCCACCGTTAAAATCGTGGACGTTGATCAACGGAGGCGTGGTTCGTGGCAAGTCCATCATCGTAGGACGGGAATTGACCGGGGGTTGCAATCCAGCGGAAGCACAGAAGGTTAGAATAGCACAATAGAAAGCCTCGAGCTGATCATGAGAAGCTGATAGTAAAAATTCACACGAAAGCCGTCAGCCCAGATGCGTCATCGAAAGAGCCGTAACCAGACGGATGGCATCTGCGTCGAGCGACTCGAGAGAAGAACCGGCTTCTAGATCGCGAACTGCAGATTCCAACAAAGCCAATAAAGAGCGAAACAAGAGAAGTCACTTTGGAATAGAAATAAGAGACACTCTAGATGGGAAGTTAGCTTGACATGTGTTTACAATTGGTAAGTTCGTAGTAAAGAATAAGGCTGAAGTCTGAAGGCTGACAGGTTAAACGTAAGGCTGTTTCCTCATTTTTCCATTCATTTTCCCCCTAGTTCAAAACGGAAAATAAGATAAAACGAAATAGTGAATTCTTACCTTGGCTGAATTTTTGCAAAATAGATCAAAAGATGAAAGCGCACAAGCTTGCGAACCCGACCTGTGTTTCCATCAATTCGCCGGACGGCGGCAACTTAACGGAGACCGGCGCAAGGACCACAAAACATGCTGGAGGGTTTCTAAGGTTTTTTGGGACGGACAAGTGTATTTAAAGAGACCGGAGGAAGAGAGAGAGAGAGAGAGAGAGAGAGAGAGAGAGAGAGAGAGAGAGAGAGAGAGAGAGAGGGAGAGAGAGAGATTGCAGGCAGATTGGCAGACGGAAAGGCAGTGAGGCAAGTAGTACAAGGGAAGAAGCAGGCTGGGTTGGGTACGCAGCGTCCTCGAAAGGAGGAAAAGAGATGTTAGACAGGATTTGGCTGTGGTGCGCTTATCGAGTCACCAGTGGATATTCTAGAATCAGTCGCCTTGTCCGACGTCAGGAGCAAATGAGTTGGTCCAGGGTGGGGAGGGGAGGAGTGGATGAAAATAAAGAGATGAGAAAAGAGTCCGAGGAGAGAGGGAAAACACGTGCGATCCGGTTGTCTAGACTAGGGAATGTTGACAGGGAAGGGGAGATGTGTGTGGGGGATTAAGAGGGGGAAAGAAGGGGAGAAAGAGAGAAAGAGAGATAGAGAGAGAGAGAGAGAGAGAAAGAGGGAGAAATGAGGCAGATGAATCAGTGGATTTCAATAATGGGAGAATTGAGGCAAAGCAGAGTAAAAGTAAGAACGAGAAGAGAGAGAGAGAGAAAGTAAAGAGAGACGAGTGGAAAGTATGGACGTATCAGTATGTAATCTATGTATTCTACGATGTAATCTGGTATGTCTCCTGTTCCGTATCTTACCTTCTATAAGGCGTGAAAGAACGTGATCAGCTCTATTGGCTTTGACAGCAAGGCTGGCATAGAATGTGAAGATGAATCTTCAGATATGGCTATGGTAATTCTCATGAATAGAGTACTCCGAGTAGAAGAATAAGGAAAGAGACTTAAAAGTAAATAAATGAAAATGATGAAAAATAGAATAATCAAATGACAGAAACATGTGCAATCGACACCGTATACCGACAAGCTTACCCTGAAGAAAATAAATCAAATAAAATCGATAAATAAAAAACAATTGTACAGTATCAGATTGGTATCTGCCACAGGCCAAGGCAAGGTGGCGTCCCTGTCATCCAGCCGATTTCAAACATCGATATTCAAGAGAATGGCAGGAGATGAACAGGGGGAGGAAATAGAAAAGAAAATATGATATTGACTCATCTAAGCCTTGTAAGTTGTAACGCTTGTCAAAAAGGATGCCCCTGTCTACGTATTCATCCCTTGACGCCTTCCAAGGCGATTGCAAACCACAGATGGTCCACATCTGATTCTCGACCACGCGGGGAGGTGAAGAACTGTAAGGAATCACCCAATATTATTATCTATCGATATTATCAATATATGTTACATGTATATACAATCATACAGATATGTACAGAGGAGACGGAGTACTCCGTACCAATCGATGTGGAGAGTATATCGAAAATGCCAAGTCAACAACCAGAGCTGATCAGAGTGGGAAACTAGCAGGGCAGCCCGACTCCACAAACTTTAATACTTTATCATTCCTTTTTCGTCCGGTCCTTTCGACGGTCACCGTCAGAGTCATCGGGTCTTTCATCCACCGACTAAAACAGACCAGTCATCCTATGGGGCGAACCAAGTCAGGGCGATGTTGGAAGGAAGAGAAAAGAGGAGAAAGAGGAGAGGGAACAGGATTGGTAGCCGAGCCGACGACAGGGAACCAGGGGGGAAAAAGGCAACTGGGGGACGGCAGGAAGGGGAAGTGAGTGAGGCAGTGCTGGATGACGACTCCTGTCTTATGATACTCTGATTCGACGGTTTCAACCTCGCATTGGGTTGGGGTATTTGGGGGGATCCCATTGCATTCTCCTATAACAGGGTCGACTCTTACGATTCCATCATCCGAGGAAAATCCATACTAATGATAACAACAACAACACATCCAAGAAAAGGGGAAGAAACAATCAGGTCCAAGGAACAGGAATTCCAGAAAAAACGGCCATCCAAGGATTGAAGCAATGCTCATCCAGGGTACAAAGCAGAGGGACGAATGGATGTCTCTCCCTCTCCGCCCATCAAGGCCTAGTGGGCTCCACCGTGTCCCGTTAGATACATGCACTGCCACAATGCTGCTGTCATGACCAAATCACTGAGGAGTATGGGCACGGAGTAATCAGCCTACAAATAATATTCATTATTACAAAAATAAATAATAAAAAAGGAGTTCCCCTCCCCTTTTCCGTCTCCATGTTCAACCCTAACCTGGGTGATGCGGTACGAGTGGACCACTCGTATGCCATCATTCTTGCCCAGGAAAGGTGGCGTGCAAGTGAAACGTAGGGTGAGATACGAGGAAGAGGACAGAAGGGAAGAGAACAGAGGAGGTAAGACCTTACAAGGCGAGGGAGCACCAGTAACGCGATATACGATCTTCTCCATTCCCAGTACATCATCGGGATGAGACCTGCTGTATTTTACCTAGTTGCCATCGCTGAGTTGCCACGTGCTACGTATCAAGTCTCAAAATGAAATAGAAACAGGAATACGAGGTCTGGAGTGGTTGCCATCGCCACAAACATTACAGAGCCCACTCGACGGGAATTGGCCGGGTATTTGGCGCGGACTCAATGGTGAGAGATGAGGTTGTCTCGGGCCGGCCTATAACGACTGGATATCCAATGCAGCGGTTTTGCCTCCATCAAGAACACGCAGCCATCTCCACCACTGGCGCAAGTGGCAATCCAATGGATCAGATATAGGCCGGGTGGGGGGTTGAATCTATTATTATGCTTTACGTTGCCTTTGTCGGCTGGCAAGGCAGCGGCGTTGTCTGGCCATTTGCCATTACTCTCCCGGTTACTGGGACGGGAGACAGTACGCAAATTGGTCGATGGGATGATCGACTAGATGACGAAAGCACATGCGTCTCCGGGACGAAAGAAGAAGGAGAATAAGACCCAGATGCCGGAAGTAAGGGGAGTTACAGGATCTATGGAGATGGAGCACTCCGTAGATGAAGTAGATCGACGAGAAACCAAAAAAGAACGAACAAAAGAAGAACACAAACGAATTGACAACAGGGCAATAAGCGCTCTTGCTCTCCGTAGTTACTACCACAGTCAATAGGTAGGTACTACTCCGTAGGTAGTATCTACCTGGAACGCGGCCTAAAGCGCCGTCAGCCGTCAGCCTTCAGCCTTAGGAGGCTGCAGGCTAGTCGTGCACAGACAGCCCGATACTAGGCAGTCCTTAGTGGTACCGTCGTAGTTAGTATCATCGAAGTTAGTACAGAGGACGATGGAGGGTTACAGAGGACCGCCCCGCTAAGACGCATCCCATCCTTCGATGGTGGTCACGATACGATACTCGGATGGGACAAGGATTGGTCTTTCTTCCCAATCGGTAGATATGGATCGATTGGATCAGAATGATCTTGCAGGAGTTTAAGCGTTTAACTGAGGATCTGCGTTGACTCGTATAATAAAGTACATAACCTGCATCATACAGTTGGTTCGAGTTTACCATCGCTATTATTATCCTTTTCTCTGGCTGTCTCGAGTCTCGGAAGAAATCTGACTGTCAATACTCCGTACCAAACAGGGAATATGATTTGTTAGCTTCATCTGAACCAGGGTTGGAATATGAAACAGCGTTCCCGTCCAAACAAACAACGACAAAAGAGCTTTCTAGAATGATACTACCATCCATTCAACCAAATCAACCCGTGTAAACCCACCGAACAAGGAATGAAAATCAAATGAAATAGAAAAAAACTAACCAAAATAGGACTCAGTCATAAATCAAAACCTGGATCGAGGAGGACCCTGATGCCGATCATCCCGGATCCGGGAATAGATAAACCACCCGCCGTGCTAGACCGGAGTGGGTTGGAGGCACGGCAGTTGGCCTGGGATTGACTTGACTGGACTGAGGTATGCGTGAGAAGAGCTTATTCTTGTCATCTGCTGGCTTGGCTTTTTCTATTGTCTTCTGTTACCCTTTTCTTGGTGCCCTGGCTTACTGGTCTTGATATGAGGCTTCTTGGCTATTACCCATCAAACAAGCATCATGTCAACAGCGATGACGCAGCGTCTCGGTCGGATATCATAGTACCCTGACGAATACTGATATCAATCCTGCGCAAGGGATCAAAGGATCACCTCGTGTTGAAGCGCTAGGGCTGTCAATCCAAATCAAATCATAAAATTAATCAAAATGAAAATCAAGTACGGACAGTAACCATCACAATAATGAACAACACAAGAGAAGGTAATATAAAAAAGAAAAGAAAAGAACAAAAACCTCCACAACCCCACGAGGCTGCTTTAAGGCAGCCCCGCCAACGCGGTGAATCAACCAATGCCAGAGCGGATATTGGTTTGAGGATCTGCGTGCGTGGTTGGAGAGGGAAGATCGGGGGGGAAACTTAAGTTGACGGGGGTTATCATTGTATTCGAGATATTTAGGTCAGTACCACCAGTACCGGTAAATAACAGGAATAAGAAGGCTATTGTTCACGGCCAACCTTGTTGATATGATATCCATCGTGATAAAGAAGATACAGTCTGAAGGCAAGGAGGAAACAGTATGTCTCCTGGATAAAGAAAGTCTGGGCCTCACTAGCGCCGGCTCGGGGGCTGTGCAGACTGCTCTTACGCAACTGGGCCACGCTAGAACAAACCAACCTATACTTCGATAGGATACATGTATTCAGTACCGGTATCGTTACCTGCAGGTAAAATACCACTGGGTAATTTGCATACGGGTCCATCCACAGACCGCTTTCCACCTCAACTATGGATGGATGTTGACCTTGTTATATCTCATAGCATAAGGCCGATCCTGATCATCCTCGTCCCAGGGTCACTCTCTACTCTCCATCATATGAGATGGACGAGAAATGATGTGCGAGGGACATGACGTCATTTCCATCAGGGTCATCCTTCTGGAAGCCTTGAGGCGAGTAGATACGTTGGTATCTCCCTAGGAAAGATCCTCCAAGGATTCAGAACAATTGAGCTGCCTATGCGGAGATAGCTTCAGGCAGCCTACAATCAAGTTGACTAGTGCTATCGACTATGGAATATCCGACCATGGAATAAAAGATATCATGATCATGGAGTTCTCTGTTGTACGGAGTAAGGTATTGTGATTTTCTCTCAAGCTAGCCCAGCACTGCCTCGTTCGTGCTCCACTGTGGTGCATGAAGCCCACCTGCCCAAGTAGGTTAGGTCGGGGAACACTACAGTCGGTCATACATAGTAACCTGGATGCTGTCTGTTGAGGAAGGAATCTCCTTTACTGTTTGAATAGAAGGAGGAGGTGAACTATCACTCTTCAAGTGGGTTGAATCCCCCAGGATCCATCAACGGTGATCAGGCTTCCCCGGAGAACCTGAGTCCTAGCTTCTTACATCATATGCTATTCAATCTATACACAGTATTTTACGGCGCACTTTGTATATACTACCTATATACCAGACATTTATAACCTGTCTGGAGGATATCCCATCCCTATATCAAACCCTGTCCATCAATATAATAGTACCTTGTCTACAAGATATCACTGAAGATACCTAGCCATTTACCAAGCTATCCAGACACCTACTACCTAGATACTATATCAACGCTCAACGCCAAGCTCTAAATCACATCCAACTCATAAGCACTAAATCCTCCCACAATCCGCCGCAACACGAACAAGCCTCCTAGCCAAACCACTCAGCCGTCATGAGGCTACTTGCCATTCCAGCTCCTGGGTCTGTCTCGGACCCACGTCTGTGATGCTGGACCCGCATGAGGCGGTTTATTGACCCCATTGATCGATGCAATGGTGTTGTGTCTGTGTCTGTGTCTGTGGCTGTGGCTGGACACTGTTGACCAGTTTCCGTTCTGGTGATAGTGATGTACATATAACTATGTGTACCGAGCAAGAGGACAGATAAAGACAACGGGTCACATACTTATGTTTATCGAGTCATATTCTTCGAATGCCTCGTTTACGAATTCAACCTATGGATTTAACCCCTTACACAGTCAATCGCTCAGCCCTGTTCGGAGGCAAAAACACCATGTCGGTCACACGAGCCGATACGACAAGGCTGCGAGTGCGGGGGACGGACGACGGGACAGCGGCGTGTGTGCCCCGCGCTTGACGAAGCTGCCTATTTCCTAGTGGGTTTACTGCGCAGAATGTCTGGATAGTGGTATGGAGACTAGCTTGTGGTATCGGTGTATAGAGCACTTTCCTACCTAGGTACTTGCGGATCATGGTGTGACTGCGCCTCAGGATGGTATGAGGAGGATCCGTTGGATTTGCACAGCCTGATTTTAGGGATGGAAGGCAGACACTGACATCTACAGAGCACAGGGAGAGAGGGATAGAGAGAGAGGGGAGGGAGAGACAGGATCGAGCCATTTGCCCCTCTGTCGGGTCGGTCTCCTGCTGACGCGGACATTTTCCTGGTATCTAAGTGGCTCAGTACTATTGTCTTTCTCTCTCTCTCTCTCTCTGTGTGTGTGTACTAGGGGATGCTCGGAGGATTGCAAATTTGACAGGATACGGATAGTGTATGTCTTTGGTGATGTTATTGATTCCGGTTCTGGTCTGTTACATCCCTACATAAATATCTACCTATCTACCTAAGTATGTATATACCCGCATGAACTGTTTGCTTATCTACATGTAAGAACTGAACTGTTCGCTCACGGACATCATCGACGACCGCCTAGACTGACCATCCCCTAAAGGAATCCTCACTTGGACCTCCCATACGTAGAGCCCAGACGTTAGGGCCTAAATCATCCATCTACTTCTTTAGGTAGCTGCGCACGCACACAAGCAGAGCAGACCCAACCACCATCATGCGCGTATAAGAAAGCACGGACGTATCTGCCAGTGCGCGCTGCAGCCGTATAGTGGTGGTCAGCTAGGCCTGCCAACTGTCTCAGTCGTACTATAAGTACATACTCTTGAGTGGTTATTTATAAAGCTGGCGCTGCTTACCTTAAACCTAGTAGTATTGCCGACTGGACCTTCGGAGGCTTTCAGATAGTTTGCTTGTTGCTTGTCTAGGGTCCCGCTTGAACCGTTGCGCTGGCAATGTTGGATTGGCAGGGGTGGGTGGGTGTGTATTGATATATGTAGGTAGTATTCTACCGTCACACCATCGCTCATTGCCGTAGGGTCGAGACGCACTCGGCTGTTTATAGTGCAGTGTGGTTGGTCTGTTGTGTAAGCTGAGGGGCGTTGTCTGGATGTTCTTTTGTTTGGGTCTGTATACCCTGTGGTTTGGCGGTGTATGTTTGTATGTTGATGGCCTATGAAAATGGGAGATTGTGATCCTTGCGCGTGGAGTGTATCTCTAGATTTGAACCCGTGTAGGGTTCGAAATTGAAGTTGATTGAATTGAATAGTACCTGGACTAACGCCGCAACTATGCACAGCCAAAATTTTGACGATAAATAGAAAGAAAAAAGAAAGAAGAGACATAATCGGAAGCAATGAAAACGGGGAAAGGTCCCAGCCAGTAGTCTGGATCGTAACTTTCCTAAACACTTGGAATAGCGCAGCACATATACCACCTGTATAAGGGTGATAAGAAAGCAAAAATACATGATCATCGTAGACCAGCAAGCCGGAAGATAGGTTAGAAGATTGGTTCTTCGTCGGCTACCCCGGCTGCCTCGCGAGCAAGTCGGAGGTCTTTCCCGACAAGCCCAATGTCCCTGAGGTAGAGGCTAAATGCGGAGAGAAGCGCGGTCAGCGAATTCTTGAGCGTGTATAGCACAAGGTCCACGTCGGGGATCCGGCGGGCTTCGGCCTGAGCCTCCGGGTTGCTGGAGGGTGGGAAGTTGATGTCCGTCCAGTGCGCGTCCAGACCCCCGTGGATAAAGGGCTCCAGAACCATGATGGTCTCGGTGAAAAGGCGGACCACCCCCGGCACGTCGGCCTGCACCTTGCCGTACTGGTCCTCTTGCAGACTGGCGATGAGGAGGCCGGTGAGGGATTCGATGGCGTCGACGACGGAGCAGAGACTGGCGTGCGGTGTGCCGAGGACGATGCCCGAGAGTCGTCGCGCGTAGGTCTGGCGGAAGAGGAGGCCGACTGGAGACCGCAGGATCTGGGCGAGGATCGGGTGGACGTTTTCGGGTTTCAGAGTCGATGGCGTGCCGCCCGTGAGCAGTTTGAATTCTTGGGACGAGGCGAGAAGCTTTTGCTTGCGCTCTGGGCTCAACATGGCGGAGGAAGCGCGGTCGAAGACATCGCGGGCTCGTGCCCGGGCCACGGGGGTCCAATCTGGAGCCTGTCCGTACGACTTGGCTGCGGAGCTAACGGCCTCTTCGAGCCTTGCCTGCCGAGACGTCCCCTTGGGCGAATCCGCGAAGACATTGCCCTCCTTGGGCGGGTCGGTCAATCGCGGGAGCGTGTGAAGCACGGGTTCCGCTGGTTCCGCTTGCGAGGGCGTCGCGCCCGCTGGCGGGTTCTGCTTCTCGTTAATTCGCGTCGAGATGCCTCCGATGATCTCCGTGGCGGCCTGGTGGATCTGAGACCAGGCGGCCCCGCCCTCGCGGTCGATGTCATTGAAGATGGCCTTCCGCCGATCCGGAAACTGCTGGCTGATGAAATACAGCTCCCAGAAGGCGAACGTCTTGACCGTCTCCTTCTTCGCTTGCAGGCCCGTCAGCAGGCTTCCGTTAGGATCTTTCGCCTCGCCCGTCAGCGGCATGCCGCGTTTGAGCGGCTCCTTGCTGAGAAAGAGGGAGAAGCAGATATTCGCGGTTTGCCAGCACAGGACCAAGAGGGCGCTCGAGAACAAGGTCCGGACAAATAGTGCCGGGCCAATTGGCGGTAACAGACCTGGCGGATCTGCGGCGGACCGTGGGAAATCCCAAAACAGCCGTGCAAAGTACATGGTGAAACTCCATGCGGGCCGTCGAAGGAAGAGGGTGTACACCACAGGAGTGGCCGCAACAACTGCAGAACTGCGCAAAAAGCCGTCTCGGATCATAGAAGGGAATGCAGCCTGGAGGCGCTTCGTAATGGGGTCGGTCTTCCGCTCCGCAGCACCAATCTCCCGCTTAGCGACGGGGATAGGAATGCGATCAAAGTCGTAGTAGAGGTGGGCCGCGGACTGCGCAAGAGCAAGAAGGAAGTGGCAGGTATAGAGGTAGATAGGCCTTTCGTTGATGCTGGCCCTCTCGTGTGGCCTAGTAGTTTCGTGTCAGCAATCCTCTGCCCATTTCATAGGTATCAATCCCAGTGCAACCCTACCTTCCTCGTTTCACCCATTCAAGGTGAGCGTCCGTCGGGGCGGCGAATTTATAAATCTCACTAAACCACCAAGCGGAGAAAATATACCAGCCAACAGTTTGAATAATGTTTAGCGGAGCGAGATATTTGAGTGTGCTGAGCGGGGAAGACGTCGTTCTCGCGCCGACGTGCATCTGGCCCACTCGTAGAACGAAGATGACGAGACAGGAGATGAAAAGAAGGACAGTTCGGATGCCACATCCTCCAATTGGGAACCAAGACCACAGAACTGTGAAAGACAAAAGAAATAGCGTATTAGCTACCGGACACACTTAACGCGGCGCAAGATGACCGTGACCACAACTACCGGGGAGAGGATTTGGCTTATTGCACGTACAAGATGATTTTTGGCCAATGAGAAATGCTACGAGGTAGCAGACCAGTAGTGTGACTGCGGAGGCATGGACAAACCTCCTATGCAGCGCCGAGGTCAAGATGCGCCGGTAAGGGCGAGGCCGGGCAGTAGCCGCCATGATGCAGGTTGAACGAAGGACTGCACGAGCTCACGGAGGGAGAAGGAGGGACAAATTCACAGCATGTTCAGCAGTACAAAACAAATACAATCGCAAGCCTCAGATCTGAAAGCTCGGATGAGCGATTCGAAGGCGAGAAACCGTGGACAGTGGAGGGGGTGGAGTTGATGGAGTGAAATAATCATGAAGCTTTTTTGACGGCCGCATCAAAACATGCACCAGCCACAGCTCACCGCCTGCGAGGTCCGAGTCAGGTGACCACCAGCCACACCGGGCTTATCATCAGGTGATCATTGGTCGGCTGCCTAAGGATGCAGGCGCCATCCGCCGTCGAGCGTCATACGCCGTTGATCGTCGGGACCTGCTTCATTCTCCTCTTCTCCTCTTCTTCCTTCCCTGCTCCCCTCCACTCCCAGTCGCACCCTTCTATCGATCTCCCCAGATCCATATACTACTTCCTTCGCTATGTCTTTCGATCGCTTAGATTCCCTAGAGTCCCAGCCGACGACAATGCGCCGGTCTGATGACCCCGAGTACCGAGATGACCCGGAGTTTGATCGCTTCACCGAAAATCTCTCTAACAAGTTGTTTTCGCTCACCTCGAACATCACGCGGCTGTCCGACCAGATCGTCCTTTTAGGGACGCGACGGGATACGGAGAGAGTACGCGAGCGGGTCCATACCCTGCTGGAACAGACTCGTGCCGGATTCAAGGATGCAGCTGAGGGCATTAAGAAGGTCCAGATGTGGGAGGACGTAAACGTATGTTCTAGCCTGATATATCATACAGCACATTAAAGTACTAATGTTTTATAGCCCTCTCAAAAATGGACTCAGCAGAAACTGTCTTCGGAATTTCGCGCCACCTTGGACGAGTTCCAGACGATCCAGCGTCGCGCGCTGGAGAAGCAACGCGCCTCTGCCGTGGCTGCTCGCACCGCCGTAGAGGAGGGCGAGCTGTCTGCTGAGGGCCACGGCGGGGAACAGCAGCAGCAGCTCCAGCAACAGCTGGAAGAGCAGCAACCCCGCCTGGCGAACCAAGACGAGGTGGACTTCCAAGAATCGCTCATCATCGAGCGGGAGACGGAGATCCGGAACATCGAGCAAAGCGTCGGCGAACTCAACGAACTGTTTCGCGATGTCGCCCACATTGTCCATGAGCAAGGGGGCCAACTCGACATTATCAGCGACAATGTCGAGAATGTCACGCACGACACTCGCGGGGCGAATGTCGAACTGCGGAGCGCCAGTCGGCACCAGAAGAATGCGCGCAACAAGGCCTGCTGCCTTCTTGTGATTCTTGCTGTGATCCTTCTGATCATTGTGCTGGCGGCTACCCTTGGATAGACGGGTGTGACCATCCTCATGTGTTCTTTTATCATGGCTCGAAGACGTTGATGTGTTTTGATACGCCAGAATTTCCTATGATATCCCTCTAATGTTTTGCTCATTTTGTGTGTGGTTGTGATGTCTTCAACCACTACTGCCATTTTGCGTTCTGTCTTGGGATTTATTACATGGTCGACAGGCGCATATGGAGTGGGCATGCGCAATGACTTTCATTCATTCATTCTTTCCTTTTGGTCTTTTATTATTATATTTTACGTCCATGTCTGTCTTTTTAACTTTTTATATGTGAATGGAGTAGAACTATCATACATAGCTTCTGTTATACAAAGATTATACATCGTCATGTGCCAAAACATTATCCAAACTCCGGGTCCGCCTCTATGTGCATTGAAAGAAAGAAGAAATCAGCCTCCAACCGAGAAGCCACCCTACAGCCCAGCGAAGCGGCTGAACCTCATCCGACACCCTTCCACGGTGTTGAGTTTAGGGCGCACATCCAGGTAAAAGCTCAGCTTCCCCGACCCGGCATTGTTCGACAGGCCGGCACCCTGCGGCCCAGAGGTCTTCCCCTGGTAGAAGTCAATCACGTACTCGACGCGTTCCCCACCGCACCGCTCCACCACCCAGTCATGTCGATCAAAGGGAAGCTGGTAGCCCAACATCAAGTTGTTGAAGCGGGCGCGAGGGCTCAAGAACTCCGGGTCGACGCCCAGTCCCTTGAATGAATACAGACGGGGCCCGCCGCACTTCCGACTCCCGGGGTCCGACGCGGGCGCGCGGCTCTCCCAGTCCAGAATCTGCTTCCAGGCCCGTTCGTTGACTGCGTTGTGGATGGGGATGATGGACGCCACGCTGGTGGCTAGCTCGGAGGCAGAGTTGGTGGAGGCGGGCGTGTTGCCTTTGCGCACGAGGGCTTCGAAGAACTGCTTCTCGGACGGATAGATCCAGTTCCCTGTTGATTTGTCGTGGCCCGTTTCGGCTTCCGCGTTGGATGGCGTGCCGTGCGATGCGGCGTACGGGGACGGAGTCTCTGCGGCAGCTCCGGACGGGTCCGACGTGGGATCGAAGGCGCGCGGGATCGTGCTCACTTCGCGATCTGAGGATAGGGGTCGTTGGGACTTGGACTTGGGCGTGTTGTCGTCGGCAGAAGCCTGCTTCTGTTGTTGCAGCCATGCCTCGCGGGTTTTATGATCGACGGGACATGTTGCGGCCGAGTCGGCTGGGGGCGCAGAGGGAGTGCTCGCACCAGCTCCCATGATGATCCGTCAATGTGAGTTGTGTGTGATTGAGCGAGATAACGGAATGACAGGGACCCGGGGCTAGCAAGGGTCGACAGTGAGACTGGGATATTTGCAGTTGATTAGGAATCAACATCGTGATTATTTTCTTTGGGCGGAGAGAATTTCAGGCACTCACCGCCTTCGCGCCTTTCCGTACGGGGTAATTTAATTATTGATTTATTGTCTCCGCTTCCTCCGTTTCTCCTCTTCGCTTCTTCGTCTGACACCCCTATTCTGGTCTTTTGAATTCCCTCCCATACTCCTCGTCTTCATATATTGGATTAGTATTATTACAATGGCTGCTTCTACCGATCAGACCGTGTACCGGGCGACCACCACGGCCCCCGTCAACATCGCCGTTATCAAGTCAGCGCCCCTCCTTTTCTTGACCGGGGGATAAATCCCCCACTAAGCGCTGAGCCAACATCCCATACTGACAATAAATTCACTAGATACTGGGGAAAGAAAGATACGACTCTGAACCTGCCTACGAACTCGTCCCTCTCCGTTACTCTGTCGCAGCGCTCGTTGCGCACCCTCACCACCGCCTCCTGTGCGGGCAAATACCCCTCCGCCGACGAACTCATCCTCAACGGCAAGCCCCAAGACATCCAGTCTTCGAAACGCACGCTCGCCTGTCTGTCCAACCTCCGCGCCCTGCGTCAGTCTCTCGAGAATACCGACTCCTCTCTGCCCAAACTGTCCGCCCTCCCCCTGCGCATCGTCTCGGAGAACAACTTCCCCACCGCCGCCGGTCTGGCCAGTTCCGCTGCAGGCTTCGCCGCTCTCGTCCGTGCCGTAGCCGACCTCTACCAGCTCCCGCAGTCCCCGCGAGACCTCAGCCGCATCGCCCGCCAGGGCTCCGGCTCCGCCTGCCGCTCCCTGATGGGCGGCTACGTCGCCTGGCGCGAAGGCACCGAGGCCGACGGAAGCGACAGTCTGGCCGAGGAAGTGGCGCCGGCGTCGCACTGGCCCGAGATGCGCGCCGTCGTCCTGGTCGTCAGCGCGGATAAGAAGGACGTCCCCAGCACCCAGGGCATGCAGACGACCGTGGCGACGTCGAACTTGTTCGCGACGCGCGCCACGACCGTCGTCCCCGAGCGCATGGCCGCCATCGAGACGGCCATCCAGAACCGTGACTTCCCCACCTTCGCGGAGATCACCATGCGCGACTCCAACGGCTTCCACGCGACCTGCCTGGACTCGTGGCCGCCCATCTTCTACATGAACGATGTCTCCCGCGCCGCCGTGCGTCTCGTCCACGACATCAACGAGGCTGTCGGCCGCACCGTCTGCGCTTACACCTTCGACGCGGGCCCCAACGCCGTCATCTACTACGAGGAGAAGGACACCGAGCTGGTGGCCGGCACCGTCAAGGCCATCCTGGGCGAGAACGCCGAAGGCTGGAGCGGTCCGTTCCACGAAGCCGTCAAGAACGTCGCGGGCCCCGGTGTCGCCCTCGACAAGGTCGACCCGCGTGCCGTCGAGGTCCTCAAGGGCGGCGTCAGCCGTGTGATCCTGACCGGTGTGGGCGAGGGCCCTATCAGCGTCGAGGAGCACCTGGTCAGCGAGTCCGGGGATGTCCTGTCTCATTAGGCTTTCCTGGATAAACTCGTTCCGCGGTAATTCAGAAGTATATGTTAAGGATACCTACCCTGTTACCTTATCTTGATTCGTGGTGAAACTAGAGCGGATACCCACATTCTCTTTTGTTTGAGTTATATAATTTTGTTCGTGTGATATAGTTTGTATCGACACATACTATCGTACGTCTGTAGGCGTGCGGTGAGATCCATATATACGTCCAGCGTCGCAAGATGCTGTTAATTCCATGTTTAATCTTCGTTAGCAATATTCCACGACATCAGGTACTTGCTATCTAGTAAAGCTTTTATTTAATCATTCATTCAATGCGTCAATCGCTATACTTTACTTTTTCTTTCCCCATGTCTATAGTTATATATCGGGAATGTAGTCAACCCAGATCCCCAGGCCTTTCTCCCTATCCCAATTCAACAATTCGGCCAATTCAACAACACAACTAATTCAACAACGCAGACACCTTCAACTCCTTAACAACCGGGACATCCGTCCGCGGTTTCCCTTCCAGACCAGCCGCACCACCATCAGGGAACCCACCACCATCCGGATAACCACCACCCCCAGCATGTGCCGGCACATCACCACCACCAGCACCAGCCATCTCAAACACCTCCTCCCGACAATCACCACACAGCTTCAACACCTCCCCCATGGTCTTCTCAACGGCAGCAGCGCGCTCCCGCATACCCCTCCGCAGCAGCGCAAAGACAAGGTTCTCAACCTCCGCGACCGTCGCATTCGCACGCTCGATCAGCCGCCGCACGCTGTTCACAAGATACTCTTCCTCGTAGACGGTGCCCTTCTTGCCTGTCGCGCGTTTGCGCTCTTCCTTGCGCCGCGCTTTGGCGGTCTGCTGCGTACTGGTTGTTCGGCCCGTGCGCCCCGTGTTGCCCGTGTATCGCGTGAACATGCTCCGGCCGGCGAGGGTGGATGCGTTTGTGGGGGCGAGGGACACGTTGTCCGGGATGTCGGCGCCCATGTCGCCGGATGTGGGGTCGCCGCCGAAGTAGGCGAGGGGGTCGGTGATGCGGCGGATGCGCAGTTCGCGGATGCGGGGCACTTGGGTGTTGAGCTGGGTGCGGAAGTCCGCGAGGAGGTCCGTCATTGTGCCCATTGCGTCGGCGAGGCCGCTGTCGATTATGTCGGCGAGGAGGGACTGCTGGTTGTGCAGGGCGAGGAGGCGCGTCGCGTCTGCGAAGCGGGAGCCGCGACAGAGGAGGCGGGCGGCGGTTGGGATGTCGTGTAGGTGGTCCGCGTGGATTTGGGCAGCGGAGATGTAGTCGCGGCTTTCTTCGACGAGGGTTGTGGCGAGTGTGAGCGCGTGGGCGGATAGCTCGTCCGGGGAGAGGGGGACCATCGTCGCGCAGTAGATGGATTCGCGCCAGAGGTGGGCTAGTTGGTAGGCTTGATATGCGTCTGTGTAGAGGGCGAGGGACTCGTAGGCGATGCCTGCTTCTTTGAATTTGGACTGGTCGTGGAGATAGTCGCCGTAGAGGCGGGTGATCTCGTGCAGCTGCTCCGGCTGGTACTTGTAGACGTCGATGGCGTCTTTGTACAGCACGTGCTTGACGGCATACGACCGGAGTTCGTCGTCCGCGTTGAGCTTGTGGAGACTGTGAAGGGCCTTGGCCCAGCGCCCGAGATAGTTATCAATTTCGAACTGTCGTCGCAGCTCGGGCATCTGCTGGAGCTTCCGTAGGAAGGGGAGGTATTCTCGAGGATCCTAATTCTGTGAGAAGGTATTTGGAGGACGCGGCTGGTAAAGGAGTACTTACCCGCTGGGCTTGTTGCGCGACCATCAATGTGAGCTCTAAGTCGTAGAGACCCAGTGCGTTATCGTATAGACGATTGGCGTCGGTCAAGAAGCACATGTGTTCAACCGCGTCGTCCGCTTGCTCGGGTGCTTGTTCTGCGACTGGTTAGCTCTTGTTCTGCAGATAGTGATGCCGTCTGATACACACCTCTCAGGCGAGCAGCCAGCTGAAGACCGCTCTCGAGGTCAGGAGGGAATTTGCAAACATGTGCGGTGATAAGGTTGTGCAGATTGGTATCCAGTCGCTTCTCGAGAGTCGAAAGGAAGGCGTCGCAGATCCGGTTGATCTTGCTGCCTTTGACTGGGACTTTCGGGGCGCTGGCAGTTTCCACCCCGGCGGGAGAGGTTGTCTGGGGTAGCTTAAGGGTGTCTTTGTAGAGGGTTTGCGAGACATCCTCGTCGCTGGGAGCGTTAGCATGTTGTGCCGAACGTTTGACCGTGGACTGCATACCTCAGGCGAGAAATAAATTCATCGATGAAATCGACCTTCTTGACCTGGTCCACGAAAAGCTGAACATTGTCCATGAACTGCTGGGGCGCATAGTCGTGGAGAATATTCATATCCACCATCTGACTACGGCAAGTGAGAAATGCTCGTCGGTAGTCTTTGTTGTCAATGAAGTATCGGATCCCCGCAAGGACGAGAGCCCGTGGGTATACCGTCTCAATGTTACCACGAGGCGCCTGTAGAGTGACGGAAAAGGTGGAAGGGATGACAGACACCAAGCGTGATCCGCGCTCAATACTTCTACAGCGCTCGTCTGTCTCGGGGGTATCTGGAGGGACTTCCATATCTAGGAGCTAGAGTCAGCAAATGTGACAGACACGAGGCGCTTCGGGAATGCTCACCCTCTGGCTGAGTCAAGTGGACGAATTTGAGCAGGTGCTGCGAAGTAGTGAAGAGGACGTGAGATTGTGTGAGGAGGAAGGAGGTGCAGTTTTTGGCGAGAAGGGTCTTGTTGGCGTATAGTGCACCGGTCCTGGTCAAGGAGATCAAGATGACCTCCTCTTCAGAGATTCGAACCGCCTTGGCCCAATAGGTATCTGCCGATGGACTCTGCTCCCAGTTAGAGAGGACAAACTCATCTTGCGGAGACACTGTGATGTTCGAGTAGGTAATCGGTTGACCAGGCTGGCGAACATGAGAGAACCACAGAGCCTCATGTCCAAGAGAAGAGAAAATCGAAAACAGCTGCTCCGAGCCCGCCGTTTCGTACGCCATCTGAGTCGTTCGGTTCTCCAACGTAGTCCGCTCGATACCGGTCTTGTTGGGCCCGCTACTCCTGAGGACGTAGACCTCGGTCTCGTTGAGAAAAGCGATCTGGCGAGGCCGACTATCGCGAGCATCCGACAGCGGATAACTAGACTCTAGGATCGGGGTGACCACGGGGCGAGTCTTCAGCGACCAGAGATATACAGCAAAGCAGTCGTTCATGAGCACCGCGATACGGGTGCCCGACTTGCTGAATGCGACGTCGATGGCGTTTGAGTCCAGTGGCAGCTCGTTGTGCGCCATGGGGGGTGGGACGCCCGATAGCCGCAACGGCGTCAACTTCAAGGTTTCTATAATGGTCAGATACGTCCCTTGGAGGGCTTTTGGGGTGTAGACTCACTTCCATCAATGACTGCTGTAGCGCCAACATCTTCCGGTGCCACGGTCGACCCATGAGACACGTCAAAGACGAAATCTACGTCCAGGATTGATGCTGTAGAAGATCAGCACATGCTCGTGGGGTTAAGGATAAACAGTAAATTACCGGAGGCAGCCGCAACAAATCGCAACGCCTTCTCCTGGTGCCACTTGAAGGCAAAGGGATGCGAATATTCCGGATCCACGACCACAAAGATCTCTTGCTTCAGGTAGTAATGGTAATTGCCGACAGTCCAGAACTGAACCCGGTCCCGGAATTGGACCGCCAGTACCGTCGAGTCAACATTCCAGTTCAGCTGGATATCCGACGCCCACGACGACGATCTCTCTTCTTCGGTGACGCGGAGAGTGAATTGCCCGTGACGCAGACCATTTCTTTCGAAAAAGACGACATCAACCCTATCATCCAATCGCTGGATCCCTGCGATCAAGTTGCCGGAAGGCCTCCAGCTGAGAGCGCCCTCTAGACCATCAACAGGTTCACTCACACTGTCCAAGCTTCCCTCGCGCGAGTACACCCTAACGGCACGGCGGGCACCCGTCTCGACGCTGTTGACCGCGATGTAGGCGCCGTCTCCCCTCCAAGTAATGGTGGTCTTGCCATCGTCGTTGCTGCTGAGATTTCCTTGATCCACCTTCTCTGGCACAGTCGGATCCCGGAGCGCCTTGGCTCGCTTTCCCTGGAACTGCGTCTCACGCTTACCCCAACCCACAGAGACATGCTGCGACGCCTGGAGGTCGTCGGGGGTGAACGTAATCTCCGCGACATTCTCAAACTCCCGCGTCATGTACAACAGAGTATTGGCGCGAGTCGTCAGCGCTAGGAGCTCTTCATCGGGAGACCACGCCGCCGCAGTGATCCCCACATCGACCGAACCCAGTATCTCGATCTTGTCCTCCCCGGGCAGAGGCTCCTCGCGGACGATGATGATATCGCCTCCTTCCAGCACGAGACAGGCTGTCAGATTGTCTGCAAAATACTGCAGCGAGAGGACACGGTCGCAGGGTAGATCTGGGAGTGGACAGGGCGCGTCCCATGATGCGATCACTTCGAATTCGGTTGCGGAGACGGGCTCGGAAAAACAGGCGTCTTGTCGCTTTCTTCGCAGCTCGATAATCGCTGTCTCGGGGGTCGGTCCGAACGTGCAGACGAGGGCGTCCGAAGCTGTATCCCATGCGGTCGCTGTGAGAGGAAGGCTGTTCTGTAGGTGCACCTCGGCGAGGCGCACGTTTTTCAAATTGCGCATCTTGGGAGGTTGAGGGAGCGGCCTTTTTTACCCCGCCATGAATCAACCAATTTTGACCTTAAAATGGGACGGATTCAATGGTCAATAGAAAGAAAAAAGAATAAGATCAACCCTTACAATCTTTTCAATTCCCTATATAAGTAAAAGAGATGGGGAGAGTTGACCGGAGTGTGTGGGTGTGAACGATATCAATTCCGCCGATTAGATTTTATTTAATTTTCTTGGGGAACAAAAATCGACCAATGACTTCATCCATATTGGCCCTTATGCCTCCATCAGCCCAACACAATAACCAGACCTTTATTCTCCATCTACGAGCCTTTACTTCTAGTAATAACCTCGGGTTTACGTTTAATTGAGATAGAAACCGGTAGAAAGCCAAACTCATTCAATTCTAGCTTTATACACAACCCTCCTCGCCCTGAATAAGCGTACATTTTCGGCCATTCCCAAGAACCAAGATGCCGACACGCGACCGCAGTAAACCCTTAACGGGACTTGTAGGTTTGCCAGACTAAAGAAAAGAGCAACGTTAGGGAATCGGTCGGAGAGGAGTGCACAGGCGACAAGGAACATACCAGCAATGCCGAAGGGAAGACCGAAACCGACGGCTAAAGAAACGGATGTCAGCCATTGTGCATCGTCAATGCTTCCACCAGACCCAACCGGGTATACTCACTCATGAAGCTCCAGTATCTCCAGAAGAAGTGCTTGGTCAGGGGGTTGAAGGGGATGTTGGAGCGAGGGCCCTCGGCGTAGTGGTACGGGCTACCGAGCTGGGCGCGGGTGGTGGAAAAGCCACGGCGGGCAATGGAGGAAGTGGCCATACGGGCCCGGAGAGCGGTAGCGGCGTTCATCTTTTGTAGAGTGTCAGTATGGAATAGATTGAGAGGAAGAGAAGAGAGTTCTGTACCTTGAATTGAACAGTCGAGAGCACAAGAGTGGTACGATTGGGGAAGAGCAGGAGGGAAGTGGAACGATTCACTAGTATTGAAGTTAGTATTGAATCCGACTCCGTCCGGTCGGAGAATCCCACGTGATGAGTGGTGACTGAAATAGTAAGTTTCTCCGGAGAGCTCGGTCGACCCGCTCAACTATCGCGATCACCCAATCAAAAATTATATTGAAATTTCTAGTTGTCGAACAAGAGATCGAAAAGAAGTCGCCTGCCTCTCTCTCTTCCTCCCCTTCCCATTCCACAAGTCACTCTAGGTCACATTCTCATTTCCCGCCCGTCGCGGATGACCTTTGAGAGAAATGGATGAGCTGTTCGACGTCTTCGAGGACCAGCCCCAGGCGGGCAAGCCGTCCACCGCGGCGCCCAAGCGACAGAAGAAGGACAAGAGCAAGAAGCGCCAAGTCAATGGTGATGTGAAGGCGGAGGACAACAAGTCGGCGGAGACCACAGAGAATACCCCCATGGACGATGCCCCCGCCCCCGCCCCCGAACCCGCCGACGAAGAACTTCCCGATGCCCCGGCTCCCGACACGCCCGATGCGAAACGGCCGCGACTCGACAAAGAGCCCGAGCCGGTGGTAGCAGATCTGTTTGAGACGGCGCAGGAGCGTGAGATTGCGGGTTCGGCGGGCTTGCAGGCATCCAAGGAACCGACCTCCGTCGTGCTGCAGCACCAGGTTCGACATCAGGTTGCGATTCCGCCCAACTATCCCTATGTGCCCATCTCCGAACACAAGGCGCCCGAGAACCCGGCGAGGGTGTGGCCGTTCACCCTGGATCCGTTCCAGCAGGTCTCCGTCGCATCGATCCAGCGCGAGGAGAGTGTGCTCGTGTCCGCCCATACCAGTGCCGGAAAGACGGTGGTCGCCGAATACGCAATCGCACAGAGCTTGAGAAATAACCAGAGAGTCATCTATACGAGTCCGATCAAGGCATTGAGTAACCAGAAATACCGGGAGTTTGCCGCGGAGTTTGGGGATGTTGGGTTGATGACGGGAGATGTTACGATCAATCCCACGGCTACGTGTTTGGTCATGACCACGGAGGTTCGTTCATTATAGCTCTCTCTTATACGGAACATGGCTAACATACTCGATCGTTAGATTCTTCGGTCCATGTTGTACCGCGGCTCGGAGATCATGCGCGAAGTTGCCTGGGTTGTTTTTGACGAAATCCATTACATGCGCGATGCGAGTAAGTGATGGACGCAACTCGTCAAGGTATCTACATCGCTAACAAGACTAGCGCGTGGTGTCGTCTGGGAGGAAACCATTATCCTCCTGCCCGATAAGGTCCGATACGTGTTTCTGTCTGCCACTATCCCCAACGCCATGCAGTTCGCGGAATGGGTCACCAAAATGCACAACCAACCCTGCCACGTCGTATACACGGATTTCCGACCGACGCCCCTGCAGCATTATTTTTTCCCCGCCGGCTCCGAGGGCATGCATCTTATCGTTGACGAAAAAGGACAATTCCGAGAGGAGAACTTCCAAAAGGCCATGAGCACCATTGCCGACAAGCAGGGTGATGACCCGGCCGATGCGATGGCAAAGCGGAAAGGAAAGGGCAAAGACAAGAAGATCAACAAGGGTGGCAATCGGGGTCCGACGGACGTTTACAAGATCGTCAAGATGATCATGATCAAAAACTACAACCCCGTCATCGTCTTCAGTTTCAGCAAGCGCGAGTGCGAGAAGTGCGCCCTGGACATGAAAAGCCTGGCTTTCAACGACGACTCCGAAAAGGAAATGGTGTCCAAGGTGTTCGACAGTGCTATTGAAATGCTGTCTGAAGAAGATCGCAACCTGCCCCAGATCCAGAACCTTCTTCCCCTTCTCCGTAGGGGCATCGGTGTTCACCACTCCGGTCTCCTCCCCATTCTCAAGGAAACCATCGAGATTCTCTTCCAGGAAGGACTCATCAAGGTTCTCTTTGCCACGGAGACATTCTCCATCGGTCTTAACATGCCTGCCAAGACGGTCGTCTTCACCAGTGTGCGCAAGTTCGACGGGTTCAGTCAGCGCTGGGTGACCCCCTCGGAGTTCGTGCAGATGTCGGGTCGTGCGGGGCGAAGAGGCCTGGATGACCGAGGTATCGTCATCATGATGGTCGGCGAGGAGATGGACCCGGCCGTGGCGAAGGAAATCGTTCGGGGTGAACAGGATCGGTTGAACTCGGCTTTCCACCTTGGGTACAACATGATTCTAAACCTCATGCGTGTCGAGGGCATCTCGCCCGAGTTCATGCTGGAACGGTGTTTCTACCAGTTCCAAAACACCGCCGGTGTTGCAGCTCTGGAAAAAGGTATGTCGATCTCAGTGTGACGGACGATAATCCTCTCTCTCGCAATCGTACTAACTTGAGAATCAGAGCTGAAGCAATTGGAGGACACGAGAGCCAACACGGAAATCTCCGACGAGGGCACCATCCGTGAATATTACGATCTACGGAAACAGCTCGCGCAGTTCACCGACGACATGCAAGCGGTCACCAGTCATCCCAGCAACAGTCTCCCGTTCATGGTCCCGGGACGATTGGTGCACGTGCGGCACATGAAACAGGATTTCGGGTGGGGTGTGCTCGTGAATTACAAAAAGCGCAAGGCACCCAAGGGCCCGAACAAGGAGGAGCTGGAAGAACACCAGAGTTACATCCTGGACGTCTTACTAGTCATTTCGGACGGATCCGCGGCCCCGACCCAGACCTTTGAGGACCTCCCCAAGGGAGTGCTCCCTCCCCAGGAGGGACAGGAGACTCGGATCGAAGTCGTCCCCATGACGCTCGCCTGCGTGCAGTCCATCGCGCAGATCCGACTCCACCTCCCCAAGGACTTGAACAACAAGGACGCGCGCAACGGGGTGAAGAAGGCCCTGGCCGAGGCGAAGCGGCGATTCCCTGATGGGCTTGCCGTGTTGGACCCGATCGAGGACATGGGAATTAAAGACGACAGCTTCAAGAAGCTACTCCGGGTATGTTACCAGCCGACCGTATCTTTAGAGAGAGGAAGAAAGTTTTTACATCGCTAACATGCATGACAGAAAATCGAGGTTCTCGAGTCCCGGCTCCTCGCGAACCCCCTGCATAATTCGCCCCGGTTACCGGAGCTCTACGACCAATACGCGGGGAAAATGGAGTTGGGGACCCGAATCAAGGACACCAAGAAGAAGATCTCCGAAGCCATGTCGATCATGCAACTGGACGAGCTCAAATGCCGCAAGCGGGTGCTCCGTCGATTCGGCTTCATCAACGAAGCCGAAGTGGTGCAGTTGAAGGCGCGCGTGGCGTGCGAGATCAGCACGGGCGACGAACTGATGCTCAGCGAACTGCTCTTCAACGGTTTCTTCAACCCCCTGACCCCCGAGCAGATCGCCTCCGTCTTGAGCGTGTTTGTCTTCGAGGAGAAGACCAAGGAGACGCCCGCTCTGACCCGGGACGAGTTGGCCAAGCCCCTCAAGGAGATCCAGGCCCAGGCCCGCATTGTGGCCAAGGTTGCCCAGGAATCCAAGCTGGCTGTCAACGAGGACGAGTACGTGCAGAGTTTCCACTGGGAGCTTATGGAGGTGATTTACGAGTGGGCGAATGGGAAGTCGTTTGCCGATATCTGGTATGTGGAGACCTTCCTCATCCTAGAGTTGAATGGATTGATCGCTAACTTGTTCGTTCTTCCAGCCGCATGACGGACGTATACGAAGGCAGTCTGATTCGTGTGTTCCGGAGACTGGAGGAGTGTATGCGACAGATGGCGCAGGCATCCAAGGTGATGGGCAGTGAGGAGCTGGAGGGTAAGTTCGAGACGGCGTTGACCAAGGTACGACGAGATATCGTCGCCGCCCAGTCGCTGTACCTGTAAGCTGGGGGGATCTATCTCTTCGTATGATTATCTGTCCTGCCTTACTTTAGACCTACTTCGACTGTTGAGAAGTACTTGCACTCTGATTCGCCGGATGACGCCGTTGTCTTGGGTGGGCGCATTTTCCCTGGCGTCGGGCGACCACGGGCTTCCTTTTTCATTTCTTCTGTTTCGTTTTTAACTTTTCCCCATGTAATTATTATCTAGAATTTGAGTCGGACATGATGATGGAAGAGAAATCGACTCCGGCGTTTGGTTGCTGGGAAGAATCCCAATCGACTGATCATACTTATACTTGATGGATGACTGAGGTGTCTGGATGGCGTATGTATGTTACCGATACCGTAATGTGCTTACCGCACCAGGAATAGCGGGTTTAATGGAGGGTGCTGGAAGCATCTCTCATGGGGATGCGCCCAGGTTGCCTCCCGCAACCGTTGTTTGATCCATTGGAGTGTACTGGTTACATACCATACCATACAGTACAGGTAATCAAATGACCATGTCATCCACCGCTTTTCCTCAGTAACCTAACTAATTAACTATTGAACTAATTAACTAATTAAATACCTTATGAATCTTTCATTCTTCCCCACCACTGACAACCACTGACAACCACTGAAAAGCAACTCTCTCTCTCTCCTCCTTTCGTACCTAATCAATCCTGACCGGACTTTAAGTCTCTTAGTCTCTCTCTCTCTCTTTCTTCTTTCTCTCTCTCTCTCTCTCTCTTATTTCTTATCCTTTCTTCAACCTCCACTTTCCAACTACCGTTGTCCATACTTTTTTCCCCTTTCTATCTCTCTCCTTTCCTCCTTTATTAAACTCCTCTCCCCCCACTCTCCCTTGTTCTCGTCTTCGTCGACTCACCTCGTGCCTATCTCGACTCGACTCGACCTTGATCACGACATCCACCTCTATCTCCCGGTCAAACATCTCTCTTTGCCAACCAGCTGCTGTTGGCGGTGGTGGTGGTAGTGAACATCATCATGAACAGCCTGGTGGCCACACCTCCCATGCCTCCTCACTTTTATGAGCACTCTCGTCTCTCCCCTTCTCGCTCAAGTAAGTCTTCCTTGCCGATCTGCGTTCCCTCGTGCTCAAGCTAATACTCCATACCTAGTGTCGACCCCCAGTCATACCCCGACCTCTCGAAAACGGAAAGCCGATGATGATGGCAACGACCACGATGGACGCATGTCGGCCTCTCCCACCAACTCTCCGGCCTTTACACCTCGTTCCCTCCCCGTCGCTCGCAATGTAAAGCGAGCCCGACCGAACGTCTCGGGTCGTCCGCTGTCGCTCCCTCGCCTCCTCGAGACTCTAGACACTGATGCCCTCCGAGGTGTCCTTCGCTCCATGTGTGAACGTCACCCGGCTCTGGCGGATGAGCTCGTCCACACCGCTCCCCGTCCCAACGTCAGTTCGGCTCTGCAGGTCCTGCGAAACTACCAGTCCCAGCTCCAATCCTCCTTCCCGCTGGGCAGCAACTCCCAATCCGATTATGCCTACAACCGAGTCCGACAGCCTCTTGGGGAACTTTTGGACGCCTTGAGTGACTTCACCCCCCACTTTTTGCCGCCCCACGAGACTCAGCCGTCGGTCTCGTTGAACTATCTGGAAGGGGCCACGGACATCATCTACGCCTTGCCCCGGTGGAGCTCGCCCCAGAACAACATCGAGCGGGAGGCCGCGTACGACGAAATCTGCAAAGCCTGGATCCTGGTGATCCGGGAGGCGGCCAAGCGGGGCGGTGGCATTCAGTTACAGTACGGCGGGTGGGATCAGAAACTGGCGAAGCATAACCAAAACTCCGGCGGGAAACTGCAGGCAGCCGTGAACGAGCTTGGTTCCAGCCTGGTGTGGATGCATGGGTCGGAGTCCCAGTCCTACGGCAGCCCCGGGATGAACGACCTCAGTTCGATCCGCGAGCAGTTGCTATCGGGAACATATGGCTTGGGGACACCGGTCAAAGTCGGCCCCTGGTGAAGCCGTCTTCTTTTGAAATGACCCCAGATCCTCCTCATGTGGCACATCCGCAATCTCTATTTCCCTTGATATTGCAAGGGCGACCGACCACATCCTCGACCGTGCACGTCCACGTATGATACGATCACGATACCAACTGCATGAACTAGAGAGTTGAGGGATAGCTCGGCGTTAACAGTCTGCAAAAAGATATTTCCTTTTCTTGATTTTGTTTCCCTTCTTTTTCAATTTTCGTATCCTATCATTTTCGGAACGAAGGCTTTCCCCCTGTCTTTTTCTTCTTTTCTTTTCTTCTTCTTTTTATGTTAGATTTATTGGCAGATGTTGTCGATTCGGCTTTTTCTTTTCTTTGTCTTCTGTGCTATCTTTGTATCCGACTACCATTTATATCGTCGATACCACTGCATTGTTCCCGGTTAGCGTGGTACCCATCCATTCGTTCTGGTTTTTCTATCAACCTATCCTACATTCCGTTCTTTCACCTGTTTCCGTGGATCTGCCACTGAACATCGTCTTTTACCGTCTATCTGACTACATTTTTTTGTCTCCGTCTTCAACCCGAAGTGTCTTGTATACCCCCTTATTTAATTTCCTATAGTTTCGAAGGCAGCCGGGGGAAGGGATTTTGTCCGTTTATAACTTGGGAGGATTTATCTATCTATCTATCATTACCCTATGATGCCATCCATCCATCCATCCATCTGTATTCGGTAAATATTTCGGAACTAGACGATCCGTTACTTTTTGTTTTTCTCCCTCTTGCTCTCGTCTTATTTATCCTATTTTCCCACGGGTAAATGTGCCAGACAGACAGACAACATGAACATGGACATGAACATGAAACATTGCCAACGCAGCAACCCACGACACACCACACCACCCCATCGGCTACGTACGTCCGCTCGCCAGAGCCGTATCCGTCAGCTGCAAATGCGGTACTTAATTAGTTAATTTCAGCCGTATGACGGAACCCAGCCAGCTGTCGAGTCATGACTGGTACGATATTTTTGTTTTTTTTCCTTTCTTTCTTTTTTTTTTGTTTTCAGCAGGCTGTACGAAGGACAGAGAAGGTAGGGGAGAGGAATGCATGGGTTTGGGTGAGTGAGTGAGTGTTACGTGGGATGCTTGGTTGTAAGGGGGGGACAGTGCGTTGGTTACTTGCTTACTTTGTACCTACCTACTACCTATCTATCTATCTAGTAAATAGTTAGTTAGTGTTGATTAGCTTTTTGGGGATTTCACAACCGTACAGGGTGAATATATAGTATTATTTTGCTTGGTATGGTATGGATTTGGATTGTGTATAGTCGTAGATTTATCTTGATGGGCGCTCGATAACTATAACGACTAGGTAGTGACAAACCCAGTCTTATTAACTAGTTATAACTAAGTAACTAGCTAGTTAACTACCAAAATATAAACCTTCCCCCTTGTCTATCTGGAGCGGCTCGCCCAGGGTGAGGAGTCCACCAGTGGCAACGAGTGGTTCATAAGGGGTATGTTAACTACATGAAGCTGGAGAATATGTGACGTCTCGTATCACTCACTCCTGATCCCGATATAGATGTGACAGATCTATAGTGGGTAACTGACTACGAGCAGCGACACAGGTGGTGTATAACTGATGGTAAGAAAAAAGAAAAGGTTGTATGTAAGGTACGGGTCATATTTGTTGTGGTTTGGGGTTAGATGGGCAGGTGTGGAGATAGGTAGGTAGATAGATAGATATACCAAGGATGGTAGGGTGGGTGGTTATGCATGGATATGATATGGACTAGTCAACTAACAAGGAACAATGATGAATGCGATAAACACCTTATACCTACGGAGTAAATGCAAAGAATATGATGAAAAAAAAAAAAAAAGAGTATCAAAAGAAGGACCGCCTCATCGCCCGCAATAACCATCCGGCATCCTGCCAGCCCCCAGCCGAGGCGTCTGCTTTCTCAGTAGACACGGGCATTTCTGATTCGCTTGCGGTGGATACCGATGCGCCGTCATCGTCGTCGTCGTCGTCCTCGTTATCAACAGCAGCAGCAGCAGTAGAAGCAGTGTCGTTGTGTACGTCTACAGAACTCTTCTGCCCATCGGCAGCTGATTTGGACAGCGTCTCGTCCGGCCATTCGTCCACGCCAAACACAGTCCACTCCACCATTCGGTCGAACCAGTTGCCGAGGCCGAATCCCCGTTCTCGCGTGAGCCGCTGCATCTCCTGCTCGTCGATGGAGGAGTCGTCGGAGTCGGAGTCGTCGGAGTCGATTACCGACGATGATGGTGACCCGTTAGAAGTGGAGTACTCGTCCCAACGGTCCCGCTGCAGGGTCTCCATCTCGGCGCGGATCCGCTCGTCCACGAAATCAGGCACGAAGTGGCGTGTCTCTGGGTCTGAATGTCGAGGTGTGTGGCCGCCGCCGCTGAGCGGTCGCTGGTGATCGCGTGCGGTGGAGGTGGGGCCCGATGGCGATGACGCCGCCGTCATTTCTAACCCTGGGGTGGTAGCTGTTGTCATGGAGAGATCGGGCCGGCTGTTGCGTCTGCTGATGGGTCGCGACCGGGACCCGCGTCGGGAGAATGCTGCTGGGGTGGTCCGGCCCGATCGCGGTTTGGAGGTGGGTGCATCGATGTCGAGGTTGTTGCCGTCGGCGAGGAGGCTCGTGGAACTTTCCCGTTTAGCGAGCCAGCTTTGGCCCTTTTCTTCGCGCGTAGATGATGCGAGTGCGATGCCTGCCCGGAGCATCCACTCTGCATCGCGGCGGCCGTCTGTGTCGGATTGGTGGTGGTGGTGGTGCTGGGAGGACCTCATCTTGCTCGAGTGACGGCGGTGGTGGTGGCGGTGGTGGTCAGGGTGCAGCGGCTGGTTGGCATCCTGGGCTTCGATGTTGGCGTCACTGGCGAATCTGCGGTTGGCGCTTTTGCTCCGCGAGTGGTGTCGGGGTCGGGAGGGACTGCGCGATGAGAGGACCCCTGGGGTGCTGGGGACGGAGTAGCTGGCGAGGTACGAGGTGGTTGGAGTCCCAGGTGTTTCGTCGCGTGGGGAGAAGTAGTCCCCCGCTGACTCAACATCTTTCGCAGTATGATCATCATCGTCGCCGTCGATGGGGAATCGAGGCGTTAGGGGGGTGATAGAGACATGTTTGAGAGAGGGATAGGAGCGGCGAGAGCGGAAACTGTTTTGAGATGGGGGCTGGACATGTCGTCAGTACGTAGACAATGGCACGATGACAGTAGCGAGGGGATTTACCTCCATGAGTATCGTATCCTATCGAGTCGACCGATGGGAATTGAGAGCTGGAGAGCTTGAAGCTTCAACGGGAGGGGCAGAACGCATGCGGAGAAAGAGTGGAAGCGGAGGCGGAACGAAAGAGGGATCGATCACCTTAAATAATCGGCTTCTCCACCCGTGACATGTGAAAGTCAACCAACCTCTCCAACATCGTCATGCAACGATTGTTGATAACAGAGATCGATTTGCATTGATGGTGTGATACTACTTGATGGGCTGATAGTCCTTGAATTGTAGGATAGAGGTGGATCTCTTTGATTGTACCGTTATCGATCCATGGTCAGTCTGTCGATCTCACGCTGTTATCATCCGAGGTGTATCCAAGTATCCCTCGACCAGACAGACAGATAAAGCTACCTGATAGGTATACTACCTGGAGAATTGATACCCAATAAACAGTAGATCAACAGCGTCATCTTGACATCGGAGGACTGGGCTCATCAAAGTGCTGACCGGGGTGGTTGGTGTACTGCCTCAGGCATCCACCACTGTACTCTGGATAGCTTCATCTCCGACTCATCAACCAACCCCATCAATATTAGAATCAAATCAATGTCAAAAAGCTCACCCGCCGCGGGGCTTCCGAAGAAGGCCGACGGCATTGCCCGAGAGATCACCACTCCCTGGGCGGCTACGAAACCCCCCGCAGAGAAGGGGGTTTGCCTACAGATCCCAGTGCTGGAGGAGAAAAGGTCTCCTGAAAATCCTTAGCCAGACTTAGCGGGGAATCGTACTCATGACTTCTTGAACCTAGACACGCTCTGGCCCTGGGTTTTCACATGTGTGGCCATACTACTTGCCCAGGGTTGGTCGAGTGGTCTGACCGCTAGGTTATCAGTCACCATGAGTTTACACCTGGAGAAGATTAACTTGAATTATAAAGGAAGAAAGGGCTGCTGGATTAGGAAATGGACTTGTCAGGGCTGGAGTTGGAGTGAATGGGAGGTGGAGGGGGGTGGTTGGTGCTGGGGTGGGCTTTGCAAGACCGGTCCTGGACAAGCTGAGCAGAATGCACCTTTCGAGATGGAACTCCACTTGCATAGAATAGTGTCACGAGTGTAAGAGAATGGGATTTTATATGGCTGCTTAATTTGATATAAGCACAAATATACGTATATACATATATTTAGTAACGGGAGTATTCAGATCATCGACCGGTCGTCTGATTACACTCTTCTGATGGTATATCTTTGACTGCCGTGGTACCTATACTACCTCATCCACTTCTATATTTCTACCATAGTCCAGCATGTCCAAAATACTCCAAGAGGCTAATCATAGTCAACCACCATACTATGACATGAAAATCCGGGGTGGATCTTTAATATACGCAGGGCGAACGGCGTGTCACGTGCACCGACAGCCCTAACTCTGGGACTCGACATCAAGTGCACAGTGGTAGAATTTTGGAGCCCAGTAAGAATATAATCCGGTTTCTTGTTGCCAGTTTCTCAGCTATGTTTGACAGGATACTGGATAGAGCAATACCCACTATGCTTCTGTAGAGCATCCTTACTTCCCAGTTCCCACCGTTTACCGCAATTCGTGATGTAAGCACGGATGGGTCCGTTGGATAGACAAGGCTAGATTTTCCTGCTACTTCTGTGAATCAGGCAACTTCACATGTAGTGAATCAAACCCACTCCAATCAGAAACCGCATTCGGCCCAATATCCAGTTCCAACGTGTCGAGCATGATATAATTTGTACGGTCAGGTCGATCCCCCGTCCCAAACAGGCTAGTGGCGGTGACGTCGATCGGACGTGGTGGAGACTCGCTGACTCAGGCACACCTCGCTGGTCTAGTTCTTTTGGGCGTTCCTTTCTCTCTCTCTCTCTCTCCGCCTCTCCCTTCAATTCCAGATCAACTCTTCATCTCTCACCGCTTCATCCAGAGTCTGGTCTACATCTTTGACGCTGGACCCGGCTGCTTATTGAATTGTCAGACGGGTGGTTTCTCAAATCTCCGCTCAACGCGCCGGTTGTTCCTGTCATTAAACGTTCGCCCTCTCCGCATTTTGTCTACCCGCTTTCCCCGTTCCCACTCTCGGACCGTAGCCATCATGGCTGGAGAGGAAAGCCAACCTCTCTTGAACGACCAGCCCCCTACCTCGCCCCGTCAATCGCAATCACCGGGAAAACAGCGACTTCTCTCCGCAGACTCTGATAGTCCCTTTCGACTGACCTCCGAATCGACTCCCCTCTTAGTCCGTCGCGATGATGATCTCACTGTGTACGGGACTGCCGAGTCCGGAAGTCCCTCTCCATCGGTACAAGAGGATGATTCATCGGACGGTGACTTGAAGTCGCGGAGAACTATTTGGTGGCCAGCGTTATGCATCTCGTTGACGTTGACGGCGGTCGTGGGCATCCTTGTTTTCGCCTTTGTGGCGCCCGCGGTCGTGAGAGAGTATGCCGATAAGGCTGCTGTGTTCACTCCGAGGAATATTTCCGTGGAGACAGCGACCGCGGAGGGGTTTCAAACTAGGATTGAAGGAGACGTGGTGTTTGATGCAACCCGCGTGGAGAAGCGGTCAGTGCGGACGCTGGGTCGTCTGGTCACTTGGATCGGCCGCGAGGTTGAAGCGGATCCGTCAGATGCTGAGGTATACCTTCCCGAGTACGGAAATATTCTCGTTGGGACGGCGTCGCTACCTTCGATTAAACTCAATGTCCGGAACGGGCACGTCAACCGGGTTGACTTCTTGGCCGAACTTGTCGCTGGCGACATCCAGGGAATCCGTGCTGTGGGTATGGACTGGCTAGAGGGACGACTCGGGCGGTTGTCCATCAAGGGGAAGACCCAGTTACATATGAAGTCAGGCATATGGCGTTTAGGGGAACATCTCCTTGCTAAATCTATTGTCTTGGAAGGTAGGTCTTTTTGATCACCTCCGCATCCTTGATCGGTTCAACTGACACGTTCGATCTATAGAGAAGGATTTCCCATCCATTCCGAACATCGACATCCTCAAGTTCAATGTGCATGACGGGGCTGAAGAACTCCCCGGGGTAGCACGGACAATGGAGGTCGATGTCTCCATCGCCGCCGAGATAGCCTCCCCCTTCACGCTCAGGATTCCGCCATTGGGGTTCGAGGTCCTGGTCCCGAACTGCTCTCCTGATGATCCGTATCTCTCCCTGGCGAGTGTGACGACTGGGGAATTTCCCATAAATCCTGGCCATACGACGTTCGTCGATGTCAATGGTGTCATCAGGGGCCTCTCGGATGAGCTGGTGAAGACCTGTCCAGGCGAACAGAGTTCTCCCTTGGATTTACTGGTCAGAAGCTATATGAATGGTCTCCAAACCACCGTCTATGTTCGTGGGGCAGAGGAGCCGACGCGAGGTACGCCGGACTGGGTGGTTGATATCATGAAGAGCGTGACGGTACCAATGTCGTTCATGGGACACGCCTTGGATAACCTAGTCCGGAACTTCACCATGTCCGATGTGCACTTCACCATGCCGGATCCGTTCGCCGAACCAGACTCGCCAGAATCTCAACCCGCGATCTCCGCATTGGTGAAAGTGCTGGTTGGGGTACCCAAGGAGATTGATCTGCACGTTGATGTCCCCCGTGTTCGTGCTACGGCAGACGTATTCTACCACGGGGATAAACTCGGAGTGTTGAAACTCCCAGAATGGCAACCCGCCAATTCGACCACTGTGCCGGACGTCGACGGCTCTCCCGCCCTCTTTGTGGAATTCGCCATGAAAAATGCACCCCTAGAGGTGACGGATGGCGACGTCCTGACAGATGTCATACAGGCGCTGCTCTTCGAAGGGAAAAGTGTTCAACTCCACGTGGCGGCAATGGTTGATGCCGAGATCGCCACCGGGCTTGGAAAGTTCGCCATCCGCGGTATCCCGGCGGATGGAGAGGTCCCTGTGAAGCGTAAGTTATATTGACGCCGCACAGGCTAGGAAAATCTCCAGCCGTTGACGGTGCGATAGCGTTGGCCGGCGGCTCCATCGACCACTTGAAACCACGGGTGGACGCTTTGCAGCTTGGCCCGACGACGGAATCTTCCCTTGTTCTACAAACGCGGATCAACGTTACCAATCCGACTCCGTACGCAGCGTCGGTACCTCTGGCCGACTTCATTGTGCTTTACAATGCTACGAGTGTGGCTCATCTCGTGGCTCGTGATCTTTCTATTGTTCCTGGACAAAACTCTGGCCTTTCCATCGATCTGGAATGGCGCCCGTTGGACCTAGACGGCTCCCGGGGTGTAAGCGCTGGCCGCGAACTGCTATCACGATATATCTCTGGTGCGTATGGCGTTGCTCTCCGTGGTTTTATTTTATTAACGGCTTTAGGCTCCAATACGTCTGTGACGGTTCAATGCCATGAACAAACGATCCCAGGATTGCCGCACCTCGGTAAAGCACTGTCTCGATTGAGCTTTGAGACTCTCATTCCGAAACTCCCTGTGCGGCGAACGCCTGGTCATGACTCTGACGACGACAACATGCGGTTTATTCAAGATGCCACGGTATGTTGCCTCCCAGTCTCTTCTCCTGGGAATCACCTTCCTATAAACAGAACCTGTATCCATGGCACAATCCTTTTGAACCTCGGGCTTTATACCCCACCAATTCCTTCATCAATAAACGTATCTAACATCAATATGTTCACAGTTCCATCTCCTATCCTCCACCGCCGAATTCACCCTATCCTCCCCCTTCCCCAACACAACCTTCGAAATCACCTCCATAGACGCCAAAGCCCTCTACCCCAAGAACGAAGTAGTCGGCCGGATCGACTACGCCAGTCCATTCCCCGTCCCGCCGGGCGTGTCGAAGAGCCCGCGGTTACCGGTGGAGCTCGACGTCGGCGGAATCGGATACGATGGTCTGAAGAAAGCCCTAGGCGGATCTCTTCGGCTTGACGCCGTGGCTAGCGTTGGGGTTCGAATCCATGAATTCCGCGAGACGGTCGTGTATCGTGGTAAGGGGATTTCTTCGAATGTGAGGCTTTGACTTTATTGTTATTGTTGCGTTTTTTATTTTTATATTGGTTGTTTGTTAGATTGGCGGTGATGAGCACACGGCTTGGTTTGGTTTATTAGGGTTTTGTTTTTTCTTGTTTCTGTTGGTTGGTTGTTGGTTGCTGGACGGTGTTACCAGGATAGATTGTTGTGGAGATCAAATTGGACTTGACTTTGGCTTGATCAGTTCTGGGTTTGAAGACATAGAGTGATTGAGCACAACACAAATGGAACTCTTGAAGAGAAATCTCTTTATTGAAGCACGGCTAGTAAACAGCTCAGTTGACGCAGTAAACAAGGAAACAAACAGACAACCAACATTAAGACGAGAACAAAATTGAATGAGATAAAATAAAATAGAGATACAGGAAGAGACGGCCACATAGAGATTAGACCCACGCAAAGCCGAAATGAAAACAAAGGTTTTTACAATACCATCCAGCCTTGGTAGATTATTTAGTGATATTTTCATTTTTTTATATTTTTTTGTCCGTTGTATTATCTGTCATGGGGTCCATTCGTTTCTGATAAGAATCTTTGGATGGACTGTTTAGCCAGGAGGCAGGGTGCTGGCGTCGACCACGTCGGCGGCTTCCTTCTCGAGCTCCTCGGTCGGTTCGGACAGGGGAGAGCGAGGAAGGGCCATGAGACCGGTGCGGGTGGATTCCAGGACACCGAAGGGGTTGATGAGCTTCATGAAGGAGTCGATACGGGAGGGTTTCGCGGAGCTATCAATTATGTTAATAGAGATATCTAGATGATAGTGGGACGGGGATATGGGGTAGACGTACAGCTCCACGATGCAGTTGTTGGTGCTAATGTCGAGAACCTTGCCGCCAAACTGGTGGGTCAGACGGGTGAGGGCGTCGAGATGCTCGTGCTTGTGACGGAGGGCCTGGCTGGGAGGCAGGTTGCGCGGGTGGTATTCCGTCCGGGGGAGCTCGGCGATTCTGTCCTTGGCGCCGCCTTCGGGGAGTTCACCGGGGGTGGTGATCTCGCGATGATGCTGGAGCAGCTCTTCGAAGAACTCGGGGCCCAGGATGCTGATCTTGGCGAGGAGCAGTTCGCGCTGGACGAGGGCAGACTCGGTGTAGTCGAGGACGGCCCAGACGGGGACGAGATCGTCGAGCTGGCGACGGGCCTGCTCGACGACGCCGTCCTGACCCTGCAGGACGATGGTCATGCGGGACAGATCCTCCACCTCGGTGTTGCAGACGACGAGACTGTCGATGTTGAAGCCGCGGGCGGCGAGGATTCCGGACACGCGGGACAGCACGCCGGGCTCGTTCTGCACCAGGCAGTTCAGGACATGGCGTTTGGGCGGGTTGGACGGCGGCACGGGGGTCTCGTACAGAATGGACGAGACGGCCGTGGGGGCATCCCACTGGGGAGAGGTATCCGACACGGGCAGCGGCAGGGGCGAGCGACGGTGAAGGGCCTTGTAAGCCAGCGCGGAGGTCGAGCTGGAGGAGGCTCGCACGGTGGTGAATCGGGGGATCGAAGCGGTGGATCGGGACGTCTTGGACGCCACGGACCGCAAGGATGCGGCCGCCGAAGTGGACAGCATCAGGGAGTGTCGGAGAGCCATGGGGGATCTCCACAGATTGATGACCCGCTCAATTGAGACTGGGTGGGATGGGGAAGAAGCGGGGGAGTTGAGGAAGAAGATCAGAAAGTGGTGAAAGTGGTGAACAGCTTCATATTTTATTTCTTGCCGGGCACGGGGAGTGTCGGTCTTTCTCCGCCTTCCGACGTCGGCCAGTTGAGTCATGGTATGTAAGGTAGTGTATTGGGATGCGGATATGGGGTGTATTTGTGGTTTTAGTTGTATTACCGCTAGACCGGCTCGGGACTAGTGTGTAATAATTGCCACGTGATATGGCTTCCCGATTTGGACTTTCTTCCTCAGGCTCCCAGGCTCCCAGGCTTCCAGGCTTCCAGGCTTCCAGGCTCTCAGGCTCTCAGGCGCTCTCTTGACTACTTTTCTTCTTCTTTCATTCTCTTTACTTCAACTCTCTTCAGCTTCAACTTCAACTTCATCTTCATCTATTCTCTATCCTCCTCTCATTCTTTACTTATCAGTCCATACCTGGGATCAGTCGATCGTCCCTGTTCACCGCCTATCTCTTATCCCCCTGATTGGTCTGATCCTACACTAAGTTACTCCGAACTACTTTGCCCGACTGGGCGGACTCCACCGACGGGCATTTGCAAGAACTTCCATTTATTACTCCTTGACCATCCCAACCATCTTTCCTCCGTCTTGTCTGACCACCACATCGCTCATCATGGCCGATGACGACCGCCGTAAACGTTCCCGTTTCGATCGCACCGAACCCGAGCCTCGACGTCCGTCCCGTTTCGACCGTCGTTCTCGCTCTCCCTCTTCGCGACAGGTGGAATCCACGCGAACCCGCAGCCCACTGAGCCGGGAACCCCAGAGTCCGAGTGCCGACTCGTCGAGAAAGTCGGCCTCTGCCGATCCTGCCGCTGCAGCTGGTATGTCGCATACTCCCAGGAACAGGGTGCACGAAGGAGTGCCGGGTTGCGGATATAGACTGACGAGATGGATATGTACAGCGGCCGCAGCAGCCAAGATCAACGCCCAGTTGCAGGCCAAGAAGGGAATTCAACATGTCGATGTTCCTCCGATCCGCTCGGTATGCAGATCATCACCATGATATCTTGACGCCTTGACATACCTTGATATATCTCCCTACCAAAAGACCGAGACTAACCGTTAGTCTAGACCGCCAGCCCGGCCCCCGCTGCCTCGCCATCCGGTGACAGCGGCAAATTGAATGCGGAGATCTACGTCGCCGATGGAGACTACATCAAAGATATTGAGATCAATGATTTGCGCAACCGCTACACACTGACCAAGGGCTCCACTCAGAAAATGGTAATTACTCCTGTCGCATTGCTGATCTTCCAGGCGCCTGCTTGCCAGTTGGGTCTGCCGCGGCTACCTTGATCTATTGGATTCTTTCTCCCCTGCTTCTATCTTTGGTGGTCGCTGAGAGTTAACCCAACGGATCATTTGTAGCATGCCACAACCCCTCTTTTGCATCTGCTGACCTCCGCTGCGTGACATTTAGATCAAAGATGAAACTGGCGCCGGTACGCCTTCATTCCATACCACTCCTTGCCAACTGTGTTTACTCTAGAAGGAAGCTCATCAATCATGTCTCTAAAGATGTCACCACCCGAGGGAATTACTATCCCGACAAGAACATGGCCACCGCTGCGGTATGTCTCTGGATTTGTCGATAGTGTGTTCACTTTTCTGATCTCTCTCTCCCCCACAGAATCCGCCCCTGTTTCTCCACGTGACGAGTACGAACAAAGATGGCCTCGAAAGGGCGGTCGAGTTGATCAACGACCTCATGCAAAAGGAGCTCCCCAACCTGGTGGACGAGCGACGGTTCCGTCGCCGCGAGCCGGAGCCGGTGGAACGCGATGAATACGGCCGGGTATGGATCGGTACCGCAGGGTCCCATCAAATGTGAGACATGCTGACCGCGTCCAGCGTAAATGGCCCGAGGAGCGGATCCCCGTGGACTTGGAGCCGATTCCCGGGTTCAACCTGCGGGCCCAGGTCGTCGGACAGGGCGGTGCCTATGTCAAGCACATCCAGCAGAAGACCCGTTGCCGCGTCCAGATCAAGGGCCGTGGCTCGGGCTTCATGGAGAATAGCACTGGCAGGGAAAGCGATGAGCCCATGTTCTTGCACGTTGCGTAAGAGACCCCGCCCCCGTGGAGAGAGATGTACTGAGTAGACAGTGGCCCCGATCCCAACGAAGTCCAGAGCGCCAAGGAATTGTGCGAAGATTTGCTCGGAAACGTCCGCGAACAATACCAGCGCTTCAAGGAGAATCCGCCCCAGCACAACTACGGTGGATACAGCGGCCCGCGCGGGGACCGGTACAACAGCAGCTATGGCGGCGGCGGCGGCGGAGGCGGAGGCGGAGGCGGAAGCGGAGGCTATGGAGGCTATGGAAACCAGCAGTCGCACTCCCCGTCGGCCTCCGCCAGCCCTGCGACGCAGCAACCCGCGTCCACGGCATCGGGGGCGGGAACTCCCGCGGATTACAGCGCGCAGTACGCCCAGTACTACGGCTCCTCGGATCCGTACGCGGCCTACGGTGGATACCAGAACTACGTTGCCTATTACCAGTACTATCAGCAGGCCGCTGCGCAGCAGCAACAATCCCAGAGCCCTGCGCCGCCCCCGCCGCCGCCGGCCAGCGAAGCACCGCCCCCTCCCCCTCCCGGATCCGGCTCTCCGCCGCCGCCTCCCCCTGGGGCTTCTAGCTACGGTGCCGTAAGTGATCCATTTCTCGATTGAGCTATAGACAATTCTGACATATCTCAAGGTCCCGCCCCCTCCGGGTCTGTAGTCAGTCCGTTGGAGCACTGGTCAACTTGAATGCACTGTAAGATCAGGTGAACCACTTAATTAACGAAAGAAAAACAAGAAAAAGGACCTGCCCTGCAGAGCGGTGGAGTAAAATTTTATGACGTTTTGTTTGTTCGAGTAAACAGCTGACTCAGGATTCCTTGTCAATTTGTACCTTTACCTTTAACCTTGTTTGTGACCGGACGGACCCCGTTGCAGAGTGTAAAAGAAAATACTGGGTCCGGGATTGACTGCTTTAGTTTTTAGCATACGGAGTTACTTTCTGTTGGTATGTGCAGTCTTTTTCTTTCTTTCTCTACGTGATGATGTGCGTCTGGTAGGATAACCACAGGCGGTTTTCGTCAACTAATAATTTAAGTCCAAGGTCAAGTCCAAGTCCAAGTTCAAGGCGTGTGGACCGACAGACTATCCAGCACGTATGCATCATGATTATCTACCATCCATTGAAACAATAAATCATAAAAAGAAGAAATATCTCTATATACCAGCCGTAACGACATAAACTCTACCCTACCCATAGGATAAGATCGAACAAGCAAGACCTTTGAAGAGAGAAACTCCCATCACCAGGTCTAACCCCCATCCAACCTCCCCCCAGGAAAGATCCTCGAAAACATAAGCTGCATAGTCCCCTCCAACGCCTCCTCCACACTCCCCTCCATGTCCCCCGCTGACGCCATCAACGCCTTCCGCCTGCTGATGCCCTCTCTGCCCTCTTTACAGACATCACACGCGTAATCACACGGTGATCCTCCTCCCCCTCCTCCTCCTCCCCCATCAACATCAGAAGTATTAGCCATCTGCGACCCAGGCGGCACCTGCGACCCCATAGCCTCCAACTCCCCATCCCCAAAAACCCCCCTAATGACCAAATGCCTACACCCCCGCACCCCCTCACAATACCGCACAACAGCCTGAAAGCTCTGCAAGCGTGCAAAAAGGTTGCGTAGATTCGCGCGCTTATCGCTCACCTCGGCGCTAGCCCTTACACCTACATGTCGCCGGTTGTAAGCGTTTTCGACGTCTCGTCGGAGCCGCTCGAGCACGCGGTCTCGCTCGGCCCCGCTGTAGTAGATTATGGATGCGGCGGCGCGGCCGTCGCGGCCTGCGCGCCCGGATTCTTGGACGAAGCCTTCGATGCTGCGCGGGGGTGTCCAGTGGATGACGAAGCGGACGTGCGGGTTGTCGATGCCCATGCCGAAGGCGTTTGTGGCGACTATTATTGTGAAGGCTGGTTGTTGGGGTGGTTCTGAGGGTGAGGATGAGGAGGAGGCGAAGGGGGATGTCCAGGATGATTGGATGCGCGTGCGGTCTTGGGAGGTGAGCCCTGCGTGGTAGGCTTCGGCTAGGATGTTGAAGTCCCAGGCGTTGCGGAGGGCGGTGGCGAGGGTTTCGGCGATGGAGCGGAGGGGGACGTAAATGATTCCTGAGAGAGGTTGGAGGGGGGGTTGGGATGAGGATGGGGAGGGGCGAAGTCGGGCGAGGCGTCTTGCGTGTGTGGCTTTCAGCCACGAGACGAGGTCGTTGACTTGCGACTGCTGCGGGTCCGTTGGGTCGTCGGCGTAGTGCTGGAGGTAGCGGACTTCGTAGTGGATGTTAGGGCGGGCGGAGGGGGTGTTGAAGATCTTGAGATGGGCTGGGTCTAGACCGAGGAGGTTGATGATGTCTGCGCGGACGCGCGGGGTGGCTGTTGCTGTGAGGGCGCTGATGGGGACGGGAGGGTTTTGCAGCGTCCGCTTGAACCATGATAGTTCTTTGTAGGCGGGGCGGAAATCGTGGCCCCATTCGCTGATGCAGTGCGCTTCGTCGATGGCGATGCGGGCGAGTTCGCCTTGCGCGTGGATGGTCTGCAGATTGCGCCGGAAGGTCTCTGTTTGGCAGAGCTCGGGGGTCACGTAGAGGAGTCGTGTGTGGGGGTGCCCCGAGAGGAGGTCGGCGAGGATTTCGCGTCTTTCGGAGAGGGATGTGGTGGAGTTTATTGTTGCTACTTCAACGCCGAGGGATTGGAGGGCTGTGACTTGGTCGGTCTTGGTTTTTAGCAGGGGGGTGTGTATTGTAGTTTGGCGATGCCATACCATTAATGCGAGGAGAGGACATATCACCACGGTTACTGTTTTCATCAGTCAATTAATCATTCCTCCATGCAAACAAAACACATGAAGATGAAGCATACCTCCATGATCAACAACAGCCGGCAACTGAAAACACAAACTCTTCCCAAACGACGTCGACGCCTGTAAAAAGACATCATGCCCCTCCACAGCCGCAGTAATCACATCCCGCTGGAGAGGCCTACTCCCCACATAACAAGTCGTGCATTAGTCTTTCCCATTCTCCTCAGTTCATTGTATAGTAGGTGTTCTGGTATCATCTGCACCCACCGGAAAGACTTTTTGCGAAACACTCGGTGCAGGTAAAAGTCCAGATCTACCTTGCGGCGGCGAATGGCGGAGTCCACGACCATTCTCGGGCATCTTTCTCTGTGTCCGATTGAGACTGTCTGGATGGATGGGTGATGGACGATGGAGTTGGAGATGAGGTTTGCCCGCGCGTCACGAAACGCGATATCACGTGAGTAATATAGCCCATTTGGGAATTGCTGTCTTTACGATCGCTACTGATCATGTTTGGTTGTTGTGCATTTTACAATACCTAGATATATAGTAAGTGGGATAGGATACATCATGGAATCTATTTGAATAATTTAATTCTATCTTGACATCGCCCATCACACCAATACTGTACAGGACGGAAAGCCGTTGCAACGTGGAGAGATAACCTCCCCCTCCAAGGGTATATAAAAACAGGTCGAGAATATACAGGGCAAAAAAATAATCAAAGAGTACAATACACGGCTCGAGGTTCGCTCAATACCTCTCCTGGCCCATGTTGATCTGCTTGTCTAACTCCTCGCGCACCTTCATCACGTCAATCGCCTTGCGGCGTTGCGGCTGCCAGAGATGTTCGATCTTCAGCCACACGTCCATCACTTCGCGCGGCCCACAGCAGGAGCCGAATGCTCGGAGGATTGTGACGATCATTCGGCGACCGAGGAACACGCCGTTCTCGATGCGGTGCTCTAGTCCGTCGAGGAGATCCTGGTCGTCTTGGAGGTTGTGTGCGTGTGGGTCGAACATTTCTTCGTGGTCGAGGTGGTCCGCCCTCTCGGCGTCCGGCGGATCGCCCGCTTCGGATAGAGAAGGGCTGTCGTCTTCCGCCGGCTCGCTGGGCTTTTCCGTCATCTCGCTTAGGCGGGTTTCCACGAGGATGTCTTGTTCGGTGGGTAGCGGGGTGTAGAGACCTTTGGGCACTTTGGGCAAGGTAACCTGGCTTCCAGCGGTTGCTGTAGCCATCCAGTCTTTCACGGGGCTTTCCCAGACGAGATGCCTGTTGTGGACGCGGTCGTAAAACCTGGCTTTCGACTCGTAGATAGCGCGGAGATACACTTCCCAGGACTGCTGCAGCCGTGCGCTGGTCCACCCCCTCCTCTTCCGCGCGTTGATCGCAAACCCTTCAAAAAGCATAGTGTAGATCATGCCGCGCGGTGGAACGGTAAAGGTTTTTTCCATGTCCTGCACGACGGACATGAAGGCATGTATGTCGCCGGTGTGGTGGGCATGGTGGGAGAGCAGGATGTGGAACGTCCGCGTGTCAGGCACCATGGAAAAAGCATTCTGAAGGGCTCGGTGGTGCTCGGGGAGCCGGTCCTTGAGAGCGCCCGACAGTTGAAGAAGGCGATTTAATTCCTTGTTCCGCTTGCGATACTGGGCGAATTCCGCCGTGAGTCTCCCCTTGCCATGAATCCATCGGTCACCGTCCAGGATCAAAGTCCTTTGCGCCGCGACCATGCTCTGATACAGTTGCTCCGCCCTCTCATGATCCCCGGCTTTGAGAAAGGCCCGCAAGAGGCAGTTCATCACCACGGTGTCCACAATCTCCCCACTCGCCACGAATTCATCGAAGCACCGGCGGATCGCCTCAACGTCGCCCACCGCCCCGTAGAAGAAGATCTCGGTGACTTTGCCCGCACGGTGGAAGACGATCCCACGCTTCTGCATCTCGCGCAAGATCCGCTCAGCGACCACGTACTGGCCGGACCGGATCGCAATATCGAATAGCACGTTGAAAACAACGTTGTCCGCTTGGATCCCGCGCACATGTTCCATCTGTTGCCAAAGCCCGATCGACCGCACCAGGTCTTCTTTGAACACTTTGCCGGATGTTCGCCCGGCGAGATGGATTGCGGAGGTCCATAGGGAGCGAGAGAGGGGGAGGTTGGCCAAAATCATATCATCTATCAATGCGAGATACCGGCGAGCGTCTACCAAGCGGCGCTTGCCGGGATCGGCGAATCGGCGTAAAAGCAAGCCGCAGGATTTCTTGGAAAGGTACGAGACTCCCGGCTGCGGGAGTTCTCTGTACAGCCGAAAAAGGTATTGGTTCGACTTCGTTCCACTCCACAGGGCGTCGACCAGCTCCTCCACCGACTGGAGTTCGCAAAAGTCGTCTTCCCTACTCCGACGGACCGGGGATGCCGGGCGTGTTTTCACTTTGGCCATGGCGTCGTCGGTGGCCCGGTCAACTGCTTGCTTCCAGTCAAGCGAGTCTCCGAATATAGCCTTGTATAATTGGGAGGTCGAGCCTCGCAACTCCTCCTTGGCATCCGTCCTCCGCGCGTAGCGAGAGTCCTCCCGCCTCCCGAGTAGATTTGGCCGGGTCCCTGGTGTATCCTCCTCCACCGCCGTATCCATTGTAGTTGATTCCGCCTCGGGTTCATTATAAAACCCAGCCGTGTCTATCGTAGGCGCCGCCTCTAGTAATGATGTTGCTTTCACACACTGTGTCGGTTTCGACCGCGCATATGCATCGTGTCGCTCCGACCAGACCTTATCCCCCAACGGTCCCTCCACAGCGCGACCACCCTCCGTATCATCCTCGACCTTGGGTGCAATCCCAGAATTAAACATCCGCTGCGCCCTCGCCCGGTGCACCTGCAGACATTCTCCCGTCGCCCTGCGACAATCCAAGCGCGCCTGGGACAACTGCCTCGTAGTGTGTACCCCCCGGCCGTTCAATCTCCCCACTGCGTCATGCGGTGTCGTCCACGACATGGTCGACAGCCCCCTCGTGCGAGGGGCGTGCTCGCGACAGTGACCCGCTATCACGAGCGAACTGACAAACAAGTCAGCTACGGACGCGGCGCTGGGGCGAGCACGTCGGGGTCCCAATTTCCGCAGGAAGGAGGCATGACGAGTGGGCGTGTCGGAGTTCGACATCGAATCGTTACTGACGGACAAGCGCGTATCCACGGACTGCGAGGGAGTTGATCGCAGGTGAAACGAGCTCTGGGACCTATCGGACTGAGGCATGAGAAGGCAGACATCGTGGCATCTAGTTAGCGATGCATGAGTCTCGAGACACGCTCGAGCAGTAGGAATTTGAGGAACCAGTGTCAAGAGACTTCCTCCAACGTGGTCGACTGAAGTTGTGGGAGTGAAGGGAAGAAAAAAAACACGGTGGAGAGGAAAAAAGACGAGAGAAGGGGGAGGAGACGAATTGAGTAGCTGATGGGTCAACAGATATCAGCAATAAAAGATAGATCCTCCAGCAGAAAATACAGGAGAACCCCCAAGAGCAGGAGAAGAGGGAGACAGGTAAACCGATGGAGATGTTGAGGTTGTCGCTGTCTCTCTCTCTCTCTTTCTTTTTGGGCTTTTCCCGGAGCGGAGCCGCACTGCGCCAATCGGAGTGGCTTAATGCTAACCCAGTCTTTTTCCCACCTAACTTGCCTTAGTAACCGTAAAGGTTCATCCCCAAAAACCTCATCTCCTCTTCCCCTTCCCTCAGGAACTGGGCCCCATTGGTACTTGGAGTGGATCAATCGTTTTTTTTTTTTTTTCTATTGATTTTCTCTTCCATTTTGACCTAGTCTTCAATCGGCATCACCTCCCCCCGTTCGATCTCACCGCGACCGCAGTTATCTCCCCGTCTGTCGGCCACGCCTTTGGGCCCGCCATCTCCCCCGACCACCATGGGTAAATACAATCTCACGGCTCTTCGAGTCGGCCGATCGGCTGTGCAGCAGCATGTAGCCGGCAAGATAAACAAAGCTCCCATCTGGGTGAACACGATCGCCGAGATTCCCCCGGCACAGGCTCTGGTGCGGAACCAACCCCAGGAGCATCAACTCGTCCGACAGCGCGTCAAGACACTTCCGGGGTCGAAGAAGCCGCAGGTCGTCTTTGAGGTCCAAGAGAAGCGCAGGAAGACGAAGAAGCCTAGCCGCATTTTCCAACCCGCCGCGATCAGGTACGAGGAGGATCAGTTGCGCAAGGAGTTCTTCCGCGATCATCCTTGGGAATTAGCCCGACCTCGCATCCTGGTCGAGACGACCGGTAACGATCACTCACATTACGACTGGAGCCGGCTCCAGCAGCCGGGGAAGAAACTGGACGGTGAGAGGTATGTTGTTTGACGACTGTCATGGGGGGGCATAGGTCTGAATAATATGGATGCTAACGGATTGACTTGCACACAACAGCGTCGTCCAGCGACAACTCTGGCTCCTGAACAACGTGCCCAACCTCAGCAAGAGCGCCGCCTACGATAAGGCGCGTCGGGAGTTTTACCGACTGCGACTCCAGGAGGACATTGAACGACGAGTAGCCGCCGAAGAAGCCCAAGCTACGGGTGCGACCTTCGGACCTTCGATTCTGGAGATCGGTATGGACCTCGAGAACGCACATTACAATCGCTGGAAGGAATGGGCCACCTCTGCCGCCCAGATGGCCGGTAGTAAAGGAACTGGGGTGAGCGATGCTCCTGACGCGCAGGGCCCGGAAGAACTGCTCACAGCGGATGCACCTGTTGTGGAAGAGGGGATGACTCCGGCGGCCTGAACTGTGAGAGAGAATGCTGGTCTCTAACTCGGGTGGGGTCATAGTGATGCTTCGGTTTCTGTAAAATCTGCGATGGCTTATGTATATTACTACATCTTGAATATGATGTTTTTCCAATCAATGATTAGTCTCGGCGACTGTATAGTCTTGATGAAATTTTGAGTCTTTCGTCTGTAGTCATTCTCAATCGGATTATTTTCATTATATTATCCTATAATTCTATTGTCTTGATCATTTTATGCTTTGTTCTACTCCATACGATAAGATACTTCATGCGATATATATTCAGCTGTCTCGAACAACCCAGATGGAACGAGTAAAGATCCATAAATAAAAAAAGCCATAATAATCATACTATAATAATAACAACAACAATAAATCAATCGAGAATAAATCAATACTCGAAAGGAAAAGAAAAAGAGGAAGCGGTGGCCTAAGGTGTCGGCCCAAGGCAGCCTCTGCTCCACCGAATCATTCCATCATCTCATTCTTTCTCTCTTCTTCTCCAGTTCTCCCTCCTGAATATCTCTTCTCCATCAACACGACGACCTACCGCGCTCTATTCGCCCAGATTTCCCCTTCCTTCTTTCTCTCCCTATTCCCCTTCTTCTCCCCTTCTTTTCTGCCTCTATCGGTCACCGGTCCGGCTTTGGGACCCTTCCCATCTGACAGCTGCGACTTTTCTCCGCGTTTCACTAGCTCCCCCCCCCCATCCGTCGAATTACACAAATCCGAGGCGAATTCTCGAGAAAAGGCCGACCACGAAACGAATTTATCTTTTTCATTGCGGATACAACCTGTCATATTGATAGCTCAACTGTCGGGGCGAGGTGATCAGGACCGTTTTTGCCCCCCCTGTGCTGGGGTGAAATCCGCTTAACGATACCGCTGCGGTCTTTTGTCGCGCCGTGCCCGATCCGATTTGCTCAACTTCGCGATCCAGACCGCCGACCGCTACGGACAGGATTTTGACAAGCCCTCGGCTTATTTCGTCGCACCATCTTTCTTTCGTTATCTCCTCTGATCTCTATCTCTGTTCTGGCCGACCCCTGTTTTTGCGCGGCCAACCGTGTCGCATTCGCCGTGTCCGTCGATCATGCTACTTTCCGGCCCTCATTCACGCCTCAGGGAAACACTGGTAATTTGATCGACGCCTCGAGTTCCAGATTGTCTACGGATTACGAGCCCGACCGGAAGAACCCACGTGGTGATTGCATTGGCTAGGCTGGGGAAGATATTGTCGGTCGCCCGCCATGTTGTCCACGATGGTCCGCCCCGAGGACACTCTTAGGATGCCTCGCTCATATCATGGCGACCTTGAAGAGAATGGTGCTAGACGAATGCCAGAGCCAACCGCCGCGTCGTCTTCATCTTCTTCTATCAATACGGAAGGACTGTCAAGGAGCGAGGATGAAGCTACACTGGTCAATGGATCAATGGGTGATCATCGCAGCACCGCCTCGACCTCTGCGGGACCACGGCTCCGGTCGCCGGAGGAAACGATCGAGCTGGCTCGCCGTGCGGTGGAGAATGGCATTCAAGAAACTAAACGGTCCTTGGCGGGAAGTGAAGCGGTCAGTGATGTGGTGAAGCCCAAGTTGACCATCGACTTGGGCCATTCCAGTATCGTCCGCCTTCCGGAAGCCGTGGTGGACATCATTAAAGATGAAGTGGAGCGGTGCGTGGATTCCCTTCGCTCTATTGAAACCTTGACAATTGGGGTCCAGGCTAATAGACTCCCATAGGCTATCTCTGTCGCACAACCACCTGTTCCACATCCCATATCGCTTCGCAGAATGCTCGCATCTGAAGTATCTTAACATCCGGTCCAACAACTTCCGAGAATTCCCCAAAGGCGTACGTCTACGCATTCTGCCCAATCAATTCACATTACAATTACTAACTACTTATCAGGTATACAAGCTGCCTTTCCTCGAGATTCTGGATCTCAGTCGCAACAAACTCAGCCACCTTCCTGAGGAAATCAAACGCCTCACCTCCTTGCGTGTCTTGTCTGTGGCGCAGAATCGTCTAGATGAGTTGCCGCTGGGGCTGTCGGATATGAACAAACTCCAGATCCTCAAGGTGGCCGGCAACCCTTTGCGGCAACCCTTGCAACGGCTTCTGGAAGCACCGGATGCCGACGTGGCCGCGTCCGCCATGACGGATAACGAGAAGGAGGTTGCCCTGACTGCCGAGCTGAAGAGATTTCTCAAGACCAAACAGCCGGTCACCACCCCGGAAAGTGAAATCGCTGAGATTGTGTGGGATACTCCCAGACCTGTCAAGCAACGTGGAGTCAGCAGTCGATTCCCTGTGATCCCTAGCACGGGGGACAGTGCCTCCGACCCCAAGTCCCCGTCTCTGTCACGACCTCCGCCGATTCCGCTGAAGTCCCATTATCGGGTAGCTTCCGGCCAAGCCTCTTTCCACAACGGCATGCTTCAACGGCCTGGTATGACCCCGCTCGTCGGTCTCAACGAGCGCAATCGCAGCAACAGCGAAGGCATCATCCAAGCTTCCTTCGCGGCGCGGTTTAAACGGATGGGCGTGATCAACCGGAAGAATACCGATTTGGGAACCCTGAATGAGGCCCGGCCGTTTCGTAACAGTCACTTGCGCGGGCTCAGTCACGGGTCCATTCTCCGGATCCGCCCGTCTGCCGCGATGGGTGGGAACAATTCCCCCAGTCCCAGTAGCCCAAGAGAGCGCAGACGACTCAAAGAGGGCTTTGTCAATCGCATGTCAAGCTTGCCCGAGCATAAGAGTGAGAGGGACGTTGCGGATCCCATCATCGAGAGCGCCAAAGGGATTCTGTTTGCCTTATTCCAAGTACAGTCGCACATTTCTGCCTTGATCAACGTGATAAAACGCGATGATACTCGACGGAATAGCCTGGAGATTGTCTTTTACAACGCATCTACCCATGTTCACCGGCTGAACGAGGCACTCGAGAATGCAGAAAACCCTCGCTCGGACTGGACGCCTCAATCGAATGAGGCCGTTAGAAGGGAATGTGAGACGTGCATTATGGCGTACGCCCACGTTGGCGCCCTACTACGCAACAGTTTGGACAAGATTGTCGCCAATGGCGATCCGCGCTATGTGCGGTCACTGATGCTCATGATATACGGTGGCATTGTGGAATTGCGGAATGCCTGCGTGAGCCTTGGAGTTCCGCTCGAGACGCGGAAACGAGTCTCTACGAGGAAGCCATCCGTGCCCGAGATCCACAGGGAATCCGAGCTGTCCAGTCGTGACAAGTTCCCTGGTTCTGCGATGACCCCGACCAGAGGCCGCGACCCGAGTCTGACGGCGCGCCGGTTCCGCAGTGACACTACCATCCAACATCCTCAACTCACCGCGAGTGGACCACCACCCATGCCTACCCATTCGCAGTCGGCCTTGAGCTCGCCAGGATTTGCGCCACCGTCGTTTGGGTTCGGTTCGCGGAGTCGCTCGAGTAGCCGATCGAATATGGTCAACACATCGGTGCCTTCGTCACTTGCCACCCCGCGCTCCGGGGAATCCTTCCCGCCAATGCCGAACGTCGTTGTCCCCCGAGTCAATCCGCTCACGGGATTAGAAGAGATCGAGGAAGAGCGGATCTTCGAAAGGATCTTCTACCAACTGACATCCGCATACACGGCGGCCCTCCAAGCGTTGCCTCTGGCCCGTCGTCAGCTCATGCGGTGTTTAGAGGTGGCCGAGCAGACACGGGAATCAGAAGGAATTCAGCTGCTGTGGAACAACCTAATCCGGCGATGTCGGATCTGTCTGGAAGTATCAGAGGCGCTGGGGATGCGCCTTTCCAGCATGAAAGTCAAGGAACCTGGGGGCGGGATGCGAAACCAGCGCGAATTCTGGCAACTCTGCAAAGGATTCATGCAGTCCTTCGTTGACCTAGTGACCGACATGCGGGAAGTCAGGAGCATGCAGCTGCTCCCTCCCGACATGATCACCATTCTCCGTCCGGTCCAGAGGGCCAGCAGGGAGGCAGGGAGGCTGATCGAGGCCTCGCCATGGTCATATCTGGCCGATATGGCCGTGACCCATGCGCCATCGAATCTCTACGGACCGCCCTTGCAGACTCAACATCCCCATCATGCGCAAATGATGTCCGCCCCGCACACGTTCAATACTGATTCCTCTCCCACCCCGCTCAGTGCTGCGCTTGGCCCAGCCGCGCAGGCCACCATCCCATCCACGCCTGCAAGTGCATACAGCGACAAATTTTTCGAGGGGGATGTCTTCCAGCGAGCGGACTCCCTGCTTTCGATGCCGAAACACGCACCCATTTTCCCTCGACGCTGAAGTGCATGCCACTTTTCTTTTCTTTTTTAACATAAACTGGAATCGACCACTAATGTTGACTGTCGGTCGATATCCATAACGACCTTACTTTAACGACCCACCCATTTGTCCGTGTGCACTGTGGGCCCATTCTAGGCCTACAATCTTCTGAGGACATCACGGATCGACCACCCACTTGCATTTCATCATAGCTAGAGGTCATTAGATTTACAAGGGATATCTCCCAGAGTCTGTACGGCATACCGCGACGCGTCCAGGGCGTGACCAGACTGGATCTGGCTACTGACTCTGGACTAGGAGTTACTCCCATACACTTAGGTACTCAAATGGTGTTTAGTACATACACATATGCTAGCTTGGACCTCAATGACTGGAATGTTTATATGTTTCTTATTTTTTCATTGTTCTTTACCTTTCTTTCACTTTTCTTTGTTGATTATCATGCAGCAAGCGATACAAAAAAATAGAAAGTGAGGGCAAACACAACGGGAATAGCCTACAGGATAGTTCAGAAGAGGATGAATGTGTTTATGAAGCCCGAACAATCGGTGTTTGTCTGCTTGGGCTGGTCTGCATAGCGTTTTAGCTTTTTGTGATGTATGTAGTCTATATTGAATTGAATATTGTTGTTTATTGAGGTTTCTTTGGCTGTATTATTATTTTCTTCTAATTTTTGGTCTTGTTGGGGTCTGGATTTGTTGAAAAGCATCGTTATATATAATCTCTCTCGGTTACTTATAAGTAGTTATACATGTAACTTTGGCTCACATACTTTGGATCTTCCTCTTCTACATCTTCTGCCACCATCACTAGCATCTCCTTTAACTCGGGAATGGACATTGACCAGGTATATCAGACCAATAGAGATGCTTCAGTTACATTTACCAGGTGTAGTACAATGTTGAAGTGACTGTATTTAGTTGGCATGTCAGCTGACCAGCAGAGTCCTTTCCCCACACATTAGACTATCTTGTATTTTCACAATCTGCAAGCTTTCCATAGGTCTGAATATCATCAAATCCACCCTTCCTGATGTGTTGTCATCGCGTATCTCCACTTATTATAAGTGCAACCGAACCCAGTGTCGGTTGACCTGGGCCGTTTACTCGCGCAATTTGGATCTTGTGCCCAGCGCATCCGATCCTCCATTTCCAACTCCAAATGATGAGAAATGAATGACATCAGCGACGATCCGAATCTGGCGCTGCCACGGAGGCACGGTACAAAGCCGACAGCGCCGAGTCACGACCCAGTAGCTCGTCGGGGGAGCCGTCTTCCACTAGGCGCCCTTGCTGCAGGACTACGACGCGGTCGAACTGGCGGATGGTACGGAGTCGATGAACCACGGCTACGACGGTCTGAGAGGCGAAATGGCGGTCGATGATATCTTGCATTAGATCTTCGGTGTGGTAGTCCACGCTGGTGTTGATGGTCAGCATGTTTGTCTCGCATTTGACGAGGAAGAGAGAAGAGAAAGAGAGAGAAAAGACCAACCTGCTCATGGCTTCATCGAGAAGGAGGATAGACCGGCGGTGCAAAAGGGCGCGGGCCAGACACAGCATCTGCCGTTCCCCCATCGACAAGGAAGACACGGTGATGCAGGCCTCGAGATCACCGTCTGGACAGAGTCGCTCCCATAATCCCACGGCGCGCAGGGCCGCCTCCATCGTGTCGCTCGGGATCTGATCGGTTGGGTCGAGAGTGAATCGCAGTCGACCGGGCATCAGGAAGGGCTCTTGCGGGACGACGGCGATGCGGGACGCCACCTCTGTGATTGGGATCGCACCCAGGTTTTGACCGTCGATCTCGAGGCTCCCGCTGTGCACATCCACCAGCTGCAACAGCGCGAGGAGCAGCGTTGTCTTGCCGCTACCGGACCCGCCGCAGATGGCAACTTTTTGGCCGGGGCGGATAGACAAATTGATATCCTGCAGGATTGGCCGGGACTCGGTCCCTCTGATCCAAGAGTCAGCACAACAGCCGTATCGCTTCTCCTCGACCCCCTGGCAGTCTCTTACCGGTAGCCCACACTGACGTGGTTGATGGCGATACCCCCCTGGGCAGGCCATTCGGGAGGTAACGCGAGCGTCGGAGGCTCTCGATGGTCGGACGGAGTCTCGTGGACAAAACGCTGGACGCGTGCCACCGACCCGATGCAGGTTTCCAGCTGCGTCCAGTAGCGCATGACGAGTTTGAGGGACTGGCTGAAACCGAGGAGCATGTTCAGCGATACGCCAATGGTGCCGGGGCTTACCTGGGACGGGAGTTGGGTGCCCAGCACCACAACCAGTACGGCAACGCCAGCCGTCATCAGGTCCAGCACAAGGGCCAACCACTGTTGAATGCAGGAGAGGAGGTACTCCGGCCGCTGTGACCGGTCAACCAGCACGGCCCCCTGACGGGTCATGCTAGACTCCCAGCCCAACGACTGCAGGACGGCGATCCCCTGGATGGTCTCTAGGAAATGAGTGAATAGTGGGGCGCGCGCTTCGATATCTAGCAGACGAATCTGGCGCGATGTGCGTAGATAAACCGCTTGAATACCGTAGACAACGATCAAAATGACGGGAACCGCGATGCCTAAATATTTGGACTTGATGCAGAGGATGATGAGCTTCCCCAGACACTGCGCGAGACCTATATCCGCCGACAAAATCATCCAGTCAGCCTGTCACATCGTGCAGATCGGACTATAAGTTGGACTTACTGATGCTTGTATTGACGGCAATCATCGGGAGCTGCAAGTCAATCTGATCCATATCCTGACTGAATCTGTGACCTCGCTATCAGTGGAGCCACGGGTGGAAACAGGGGGATATCGAGGCTTACCGGTTTGTGATTTCGCCTATATCAGCGTCGCGAAAAAAGCTAAACGGGGCACTTTGAGCGTGTCAGCTTCTGTACCCGGTGAGATGAACATGCGATACCGTACCCCATTACAGCGCCGAGGAGGTGGGAATGCAGTCGAAGTCCTGTATTGGTGATAATGTTCATCATGAGAACCCTGTTCATCGTCGTCTCAGCGAATATCCTGTGCCAGATCCTGGGGAGAATCCCAGCGTACGCACCATGCCAGGGGAAATGTGGTCGTTATGGAGATTGAATTCAACATGATGTATATTCCGAGGTACATGCCGAGAGACTGGTTGGGCGTCCGGCTGTTGGCATCCGACCATTTTTGGAGCCAGACCACTGCAGTCAATTAGTTGATCACCGTCTCGTCGGTTGAACAAGACGACAAACACGTACCGGAACAGTTGGAGGCTGTCGCGTTGATAGCCAAGAGGACAAGGAAGAGAATGATCCATCGATGGCCAGCCGCCTGGACATAGTAGTGATAAACAGACCAGCTGCCCTCGCGCCGCGTCCAATCCGACTCTCCCTTCTCTGCCACAAGTCTGGACGAGTCGCCATCCTCCCGCGATGATATACTAGGGGGTTTGCTGGCTCTTGGCTCGGGGGATGGACACTCATCGTCAGGGTTCGATTGAGGCGACCCAGCGTGGGAAAGCTCGGACAACAGAGTCGGTGGTAGATTGTTGAAAGGACCGTGATAGGCGATTTTTCCAAGGTTGAGGAAAAGAATATTGTCCGCGTACTGCAGTAGGGATTCTCATCAGTGCACACCTAAGTCAGCTATGATGGTCCCACGGGGAAAGAGGTTTGAGACACACGATTATGGGTTGCCAGCACAACGGTGACCTGGGCTCGGTGGCAATAGCCCTCGGATCCTAAGAGGCGGCGGGAAATCAGAGAAACCGCGTGTGCATCTAAACCACTGAACACATCATCCAGAAGCAGCACCGGTCGACGAGAGAAGATCGCCCGGGCCAGTCCCTACGCCGTATTGTTAGCGACAACTGCTCTACCGTCGGGTACGTGATTGAATGTCTTACAATCCTCGCCCGCTGTCCACCACTCAAAGACACACCATTGCTTCCGGCGACGGTCTCATCCCCCTGCAAAAGAATAGATAGATCGACGTCGAGGGCGCAGAGCCACAGCACGTGTCGGTACCAAGCTTGGTCGAACTGGCCGAACCCGGTGATATTCTGCTGGATCGACTGGTTCAGAATCCACGGCTCGGCCGGGCAGTATGCAGCCCGGGGGTTTTGAGTCAGAATGTGACCGGCCACCTTTACTGTGGTACCAATCATGCTGGCCAGCAGTGCCGACTTGCCCGCGCCCACAGGCCCAACAACCATGGTGACGGACTGGGGCCGCAGCGTGAGGTCGAGCCCGTGCAGAACCTCTGGCTCCTTGGAGGCCCAGGCAAATCTTGCTCCGCGACATTCGTAGACCATCGAAGATGACTCTTTGGGCTCCTTCTGTTCCTCCGGCTGGGGCGGGGAGACGGGCGATGCGGGGGCCCCGATGTCGCAGAACTCCTGAATGCGCTCAAAGCAGCCCAGACATTGCATAAATGAGGGAACTGCCTGCATAAAGATAATCAAGGGGGTGGTGAGGATCGAGATCAGGGAGAGCGCCGTAAAAGCGCGAGACGCGAGCAGAGCCCGATCCGGGTGCAGCGCAGCTAGAATACTGTACATGGCGAATGTCGCCATCGGGGCCAGCTCCGGGGGCAGATCTGCCAGAAACAACTGCCAGATAATCACGCGCCGCAGCCGTCGTGATGTGTCCAATTCCACCACCCGTAGCCGGTGGATCAGATTCCTGGCGACCTGGGGCAGTCCTAGCATCTTCACGGCCTTCATATTTTCCAGAATGACCGTGGTGGTCTCTACCCGGTGTTGGATCCGCTCGACCCACCGCTGTTGTCGGGGCTTCCCAAGCACGGAGACACGGGACATGGCTAGAAGACACCCTAGAGGATCGAGAAATATCCAGCGTTAGAAGAAGCGGAGAAGCTTGGTTGGCGGGGGGACGGGGGGGGGAGACAAGGAGATCGCACCAAGGGCCACCACCACGGGGACAACGCCGGCCACGGACAACTGCCGTTGCAGGAGCCAGACAGCAACCCCGACATCCAGAGGTGCAGCCCACAGCTCATGTACAAACCGAAGGCCGGAGAGGATGCGCTCCACATCGGTGCTCATCATGGTCAACGAAGCTCGGTCTGCAAGGGCTGCCGGACTCTTGCGGATGGACTGCTCATAGAGCAGTTGAATCAATCCTGCCCGGACGCGGGACTGAAACCGGAATGACTGGCGCCAGTAGACGGCGTTGGAGAGCTGCGAACGCCCGTCAGCACCGCTGATCCAAAAAAAAGATATAGACTACCGACCCACCGCCAAGCCCACGTAAACCAGCAGGAATGCTGCTATCAGTCCTCTGGACTTGTTGGAAGCATCCTCAGAATGGCCGTCCTTGGTCAAGAATCGCACAGCGGCCGTGATGAGAAACGGTTGGCAGAATGTGAACGCCGAGACACATAACCGCGGCACGACGGCAGAGAGGAAGGACGCGCGAAAGGCCCAGAATACAGCCCCATGCGCATCGCGCAGGCGACGGACGGCGTCGTGACCCTGCAATGCCTTGTCCACTTGGGGCAACTCGTCGAGATCGAGCACGGTGGAAAATCCACGACGGAATGTCGTCCACGTCCAGGCAAAGAGAGCCCGAGTCCAAAAGTCACACCGCTGCTCGATGGTCAGCCCTGGCTTGCGCAGCCAACGAGTCTTCCACCACGACTCCGTGACCAGCACGGCCAGCGTCAGGATCGTCTTCAGCGTGCCGAGGATGGAGACGGCCGAAGACCCGGTGATCAGCCAGACCGAGCGGGTTTGCGGCAGGATAAGCACCAGCTGCGCGCTTAAGTAGAGAACCAGCACGACGGAGGGATCGACACGATGCTGGTCCTCCCAGACTGACATTGCGAGTGCCACGGTCAGGCCAACGATATTGACGATGTCGACTGGAAGGGCCCAGGTGGTCTGCAGGCGCTCGTCAAGAGTGCGCAAGACCGTGTGGACCACTTGGACGGCTAATAAAGACAGTAGTGTCACCTACTCCGGAGGATGTTAGGGACAATGGATCCGGGCAGGCTTCGTAGCAGGAGAGGGTTACAGACGACTTTCACGGCCGCCAGTCGACCGGAGTATAGCTGTCTCGGCGCGTCTCGTCCCCACCACCACACCGTGGGCACCAGGAGCAGGAATATTGCACTCGGGGGAAGGCCGAAGACAGCATCTTCGAAGGCCAGCGTGAAATCGAACGAGCGGCAGTGGGAAACTACTCGTGGGCCCCAGTGGCTGTCGCTCCCGAGCGGACAATCCATGACGAATGGAGGAGGATGGGGTAGGGTAGGGCGAGAGGAAAGAGGATCGGCGACGATTCAAAATTTCCGGCTGGAAGAACCTATTTTATCGTTTTTCATAGTCGCTGGAGTTTGTCGATCCACAATTTGCCCCTTGCAGCACACCAGGTCGGCCACTGTGCTCATTTATGAAGTTTGGGTGCCCCTGTCCCTGAACGAGCTCCTCAGCACCTCGGTCATGAAAACCGCCGCCGTGGATCCAACCGTCAAGCAAATAAATTCGGCACATATGAGTCGATGTTTATGTCTATATCACACCCAGGCGCAGTATAATTCTGAGCTATCGGTGGATTACAGGACGGGAGGGGAGAATTTACGTCGATCATCTTGCATTTGTTTTGCGATTTTAAGACTAATAACTGCTACATAATCCGACATGCCTACTCGATTGAAGATGAGACTTTTATGAAATGCCTGTGATATTTCCCGATTGGGGAGAACGGCAACGCCTTTAGACGCCATAGGATACGCCAATGGTCGCGAGATGGGCCCAAACGGTCATCGACTGGTCCCGGGATGAGGTCGGGGGACATTCACGATATCTCGTCTGAGCGTGGGCGCCCTGGACCCGCTCACGTGGATGACATGGAAGGGCATACCGAGCACTTGGTCGGACTCTGCGGGCGCAAGAGGTGGAATGCTGGACATTGGTTAGCGTGTGTCGTCCAGGCCGCCGAGGATGTCCTCCCACCTACCGTAGATTTGTTCGTCATCCATCCATGTCTGCTCGACCTGCAAGTGTGCGCCGCGGGCCACCGCGTCCATTTGCTGAGGGGACCATTTCCCGCTTGTGATGGCGCGGACCTTAGCACCTGGTTGCAATGACACCGGGGGCCGTCCATCTTCCACGTGGAAGACTAGCTCCCGTATCGGCATGTAGGAGACGTCGACCATACTGTGCTTTGCATCATACTGTGCGTGGGCGGTCCAGTCGGCCGGCTGAAAGACAGGCCGCCCTAGCACCCGATTGGCGTTTTCTAACCCATGGAGAATGAAGTCCCGGTGGTGCGGCACAGCCACGTCATACGCGTCCATGAGGCGCACTGGGTCCTGGCACGCATCGCACGAGACAAGGAATTGGACCCCGAGTCCGTTGCGCTTACAAGCAACCGCCGCGTCTCGCAAGACGGCCTGCGCGCTGTCGAAGCCTCCGTTGGTCATACTGTTTCCCATCCAGAGGAAGATGACATCTTTGCCGAGGGATGCGCCTTGGGAAATCCAGTGGACGCAGTCGTCGTATGTCCCATGTAGCCCACGGATGTCAACGAAGGCAGCGCCCTCAAACTCCTGCTCCAAGGCGTCTACGCTGGCGGACAGTTCCTGGGCTGAGACATCAAGCGCTAAGTAGGAGACGGCGCGGCGCCGCTGTTCGAGCGCAGAGAGAATCAGGCGCGTCTTGTAGAGATCCCTGCCGTTATGTCAGTACTATCGGGTAGATATTCTGGGGAGCGGAGCTCACTTGCCCACATCCCAATTCGATGATCACCGCCCCCGACGGAACTTGCGCCGTGATGGCCGCTACATGTTTCCTCAAGATCTCTCCCTCCTTACCCCCGAGATAATAGGACTCGGACTGGACCAGGCGGTTGAACAGCCGCAGACCCTCATCATCCCACAAGAGCAACGAGGGTAGCTGGGCTGGGTCAGCCTGGAGACCCTCTATGATTTCCGTTCGGAGGTCGCCTTTCATGGCTCCCCGACTAATATCAAGGATTCTCGTTGCCGGGTCGGTCATTCTGTCGTGAGTGCGGCCGCCAACAATGAGAGTCGTGTCTGTGGTGAGGGTCTTGTGTGCACAGGGAGGGAGGGAGGGGGAATCTATCTGCGATTCTAACGGTGCGACAAACACGAATGTCCGTGGTCAAGGGGGTTGATGCGCAGATGGCCACTCTCCTTCATCCCTCACAGAAAGGTTGGGGGCACCAACCCCATTGCCAGTATCAGCGGAGCATGCGCGAAGAGACCTTCGACTTGGAATGTACGGGAAACATCACCTCGGTACGCGATGAAGCGGTGAGCTGGGGAGAAGGGCTGCCTGCCATGTAGCCTCTTGACGGAGAATCATCCGCGAGCCTTGAGAACGCGCGGCGAGAGTGCATACCAGTGTATGCAGGGGCATCAAGTCATATCAAGCAAGGAGGCTTGACATTTACATTTTCTAGACTAGTAATGTGGCTGCAATGCCACGAAGGGCGTTATAACACTGCCAAGCAGTCCCAGTAGCACGGGGAGAGTGGGCAGAGCATCAGTGTCTCCGAGAGTGTCTCCATACCGATGGCGAGATCTGCCCGCGGAGGAAAGAGATCGCCACGCATGCCCTTTGGCATCAACACGATTGGTACTTATGCAAGGTGTCTTCTCACAACTACAATATGCTTGGCCTGTCCAGGGTTTGGGCGGGGTCTCTCACCGTCGAAACCTCATTCGAGTCGTTTGTGGACTTGACATAGCTATCCCTTGTCCATAGACATATTTGGGATTTTGAGATATGCCGCATACACACACACACACACACACACACACACACACATACATATATATGTATTTGCATGCTTCATTACGGAGTACTCGTTTGCATCCAGGTAAGGATACTGTGGCGGTTTTGTGGGATTTGATACATTGTTTCTGGTTCAGCTCAGCCCTGTAGCCATATGTATGTAGGTACTTGTATTGCTCAATATAGTTAGGTTATTTGATTTATAACTACCACCCTTGGGAGTTGTTCATGACATGTTGGTTACATACAATGAGTTTATACAAGGGAGAATACGGTCGCCTTGGGTGCGAGAACCTTGCATCGTAGTGCCTTGGCTCGGTAAGGGCCCCGCCCCGTGTCTATGGAGCTTTAACTCAATTTCATCCCGACATTCTCTCTCGGTGATGGTTTACGCTGATAATGCTAGTAGGATGAAACTTGATCCACGGGTTACGGATCTCTATCTGAGCTTTGGTAGACATGATACTTTACTATACGGCGGGACCACGGGACTATGGGGCCATATCAAAAAGAATAGGACCGAATGGATAGAGATCACGTTAGAGACATGACTGTCAATATGTCGACCTAGTCAAATCCTCTCTGACAAGCGTACTGGTGATTGAACCATCACCACACTACCCAGAATCCCATGTCCAGCGCTTATATCCCAAAACCATCATTTCCATAACTCCGAGACCGACTTAGGGCTCCCCCTATCACGGGGTTTCGGGTCACATGTTCTCCTACTGTAGGCGGTAGTAGATCCAGATGTTGGGCTCCACGTACACTCCCACCTCATTCTCCGGCTGGTACTCTACCGGCACCAAACCCCCGGGGATCGGAACAGGGAAAGATTTCATCTTTCCTCGGTCGGGAGCTCGTTGCATCTCGAGGTGCATATCGATTCCCACCCACGACTTCCACTCCTCGCGCGTCCCCGACACCACCATGCTTCGGGTCGCGATTTTGGCCACCTGTCCCCCGAGACGGACATGCTTGCGCAGCCAGGGGTCCAAGGGGAGTCCCGACTCAGTCGTCCAGTGCAGGTACTGCTCCATGGGTACATCGGGAAAGCGGGACTTCTGCGTGGGTCGGAGGGGCGCGACGAGGATAGAGAAGCCTTCGAGGAGGGCGGCGCGCTTCATGGTGTCAATGATCAGTTCCGCCAGACCGGTCCGTCGATAGTCTGGTTGCACGGTGACAGAGAGCGCCGACAGCGCGTTCGGAGCTGGTCCATCGCCCTGACTCTGCTGCACCCCGGTGGTTAGAATGGCGCTGTATCCTTGCGCAGGCAGCGAGTCGAGGACCTCCGGCCGCCATCCGGTCGTGCCAACGGTCTCTAGCTCAGGCCAGAAGAACGGGATCGACCGTCCGTGCCCGGCGATAACCTCCTGGCCCTGTGGACCGACATGGACGAAAGCAAACTGGAACCGTGCCAAAGGACCCAAGCGAGACAATACCCCGCAATATCGTGCGTAGGCCACATCGTGATCGAGAAACTCGGGCCAGACGACGTTGAGAGGGTGCTCCGCATCATCAAGGGCCTCCCACAGGTCGGGGCGTTCGATCGGCGTGTAGACGGCGTAATTATACATGATAAGGGGAGGGAGACGACACCCACGACGACAACAGCGACGACAACAGCGACGACAATGATAATAAATCGTGACGAAGACCAACAAAGTCCGATCTCAGGGCGGCAGTGTGGGCTCCTAGGTTACTTCCACGACAGGTTAGTCGGTCCCTGTCTTTCTTTATTTCTTTATTTTATTTCAAATTATCTTTTTCATTCTTCTGCTTATTATTGTTTTTTATCGCCCGCCCTGTTCAGCTCCCCCTGTCGTGGCCCCAGAGACGCAAGGGACAAATTGGCTGCATTCCACCCAACAAGACCGAATATAGGTATGGGTCTCTGAGCATGAGAGACATGGTAGTGATTGCTAGTCACGAGCTTGTCGCCCGGCAGTCAATGATAAACAGGCCATCAAGGGTTCTTGTGAACGATATCCAGAAACGAAGCCAGATTGTTGTACACTGAGCTGTGAAGAAAAACAGGCCACACATGATTATGATTGATTTTTCCAACCACACAGATGAGCTGCGCCGGCAGACGGACATCCACGACCTGCCGGCAACAAACCGTATCACGAGTATCGCGGACCGTCTCGACCTTCCCAGTGACACAATATTCCATCTGGCGTGGGGAATCGCGCTGGGCGTCCATCAGAACATCGATGTGGTGACCCTTGCCTGCTACACGGATAAAACAGGCCGACAGTGCCAGGTCGCACGGCCCAGCGACAAGACTCTGACGGCGGCGCTGCGCGAAGTCGTCGAGACCGCAGAGCCGACGGATGGAATCGGCCGATGCCAGGCTGCGGTGCGTGTCAGCTCTTGCCTTGAGGAAGACGCCGCGGCGCCACATCCAGTATGCATGATTCTTCTCTCCCCACCCTTGACGATGGCGGATCCGGAGCACTGACGCCGGGTTTTAGGTACTGGAGCTCGTGGTCCAATCCACGACGGATCCAATGACGGCCCAGCTATGTTATTCCGAGGGGGCTTTAAACCCCCTGCAGGCTGAGGGGATGCTGCGAGACTTCTGTCGCGTCGTCGACGACATCGTGTCCCACCCGGAAGTCACAATGGGGGATCTCCGGCTCTGGGGCTCCCGGAATCTCGACCAGTTCCGCCACTGCAGCCCCCCGGCGCGGACGAGGTCTGGCTATCTCGATCGCCGCCCGTCCACTCAGCTTGCCGCAGACACCCTTACGGCCGTCCTCACAAGCTGCCGCGGCAGCAGGACGAGCCCGCCCGCCACCCCGCGGGGCGAGTCGGAGCTGCAGCTGCAGCGGCTCTGGATGGAGGTGCTGCCAGAAGCCCCGGGGGGGTTCAGTGGAACGGCAGATTTCTTTCAATGTGGCGGAGATTCCATGGTGGCTATGGCTCTGGTCGCCCGTGCGCAAAAGTGTGGACTCGCCCTTACCGTTGATGATGTTTTCGACCATCCTGTCCTCGCGGACCTCGCACAGGTCATACAGCCGGAGCGGGCAAAGGCGCCCCCGGTAGTTCCATTTCAACTCCTCACGTCGACCGTGTGGTCTCTACAGCACCTAGCCGCCGAATGTGGTGTGAAGCCGGCTGAGGTTGAAGATGTCTATCCTACGACCGCTGTTCAGGAAGGCCTCCTGGTCCGCACGGCGCAACGGCCTCACGATTACGTGGATCAAAGAGCGTTTGCGCTACCCGCCGACATCGACCTCTCACGACTCGTCGACGCATGGAGGGCCGTGTCCAGCGCCAATCCGATTCTCCGCACACGACTGGTCCAGTTAGGCCCTGGCGACATGGTGCAGGTCATACTCCACGCGCCGCTTGCCTGTTCGGTCGTCGAGGGCCCGCTGGACAACTACCTCGACCGAGACTGGGAAACCTCCTTCGGCCCGGGAACCCCACTAGTGCGCCTGGCCGTAGTCCAGGAGGAAGATCGAGCATTCTGCGTTCAAACCATGCACCACGCCGTCTACGACCACTGGACCTTACCCCTCCTGCGACAGCAGCTCGAGGCGGCGTACGAGGGCCAGCCCCTGGAGTCACGTCCCTTCAATCACTTTATTCGGCATGCTCTCGACAACCGGACTAAAGCAGAGGCCTTCTGGCGCAAGTCACTTGCCGAGAGCGAGGCCGTGCCTTTCCCCCCGCGACCCTCGGGACAGTGGGCGCCCACGGCGCAATCCAGCGTCCAACAGTCCGTTGCCCTGTCCCCGCACAATGGTCGAAGGGACACCACAATCTCGACATGTATACAACTGGCATGGGCCCTAACGGCCGCCCAGTATACCGGCGCGGCAGAGGTCGTATTCGGCCTGATGCTGTCGGGCCGTGACGCCCCGGTACCTGGGATCGACCAGACGACGGGTCCCACGATTGCCACCGTCCCCTTGGCTGTGGCCCTGGAGCGCAGAGACACGGTCCAACAGGCTCTGCAGCGGGTGCAGCGACAGGTTCAGACTACCAGTGACTTCGCACAGCTAGGGTTGGTGCGTATTGCCCGGTTGGGAGCTGCCGCAGCGCAGGCGTGTCATTTCGAGACGCTGGTGTCCGTGCAAGTAGCGGACCACGCTGCAAAGCCCGTGCAGCCAAAGATTCTGGGCCAGACCCATCACCACCGCCGGGCCCTGCCTCGGGAGTATGCGTTGTCTCTGGAATGCATCATCTACGAGGGCCATGTCGCGGTTCGAGCGGAGTTTGACTACCGCGTACTACCGCACCGCCAGATGGACCGCGTGCTCGGCCTGTTTGGCCACTTCCTGCAGGTGGTGAACAAGCAGCCCGACCTGTCGTTGGCCGACCTCCCAGTGCTCCCATCCTCTGACATGGCCGAGCTCTTACAATGGAACGGGGCCCTTCCCGAACCGGCCCGGACGAGCATCCCCGAGACCATCCAGCAGCACGTCCGCACGAGCCCTGAGCGCCAGGCCGTGTACGCGTGGGATGGATCTTTCAGTTACCGCGAGTTGCACTTCCAGGCCATGCGCCTCGCGCGCCGGTTGGCCGCCGTCGGTACGGGCCACGGCTGCATCGTCCCGATCTGCATAGAGAAGTCTCGCTGGGTCCCCGCCGCCATGCTGGCCGTACTGCTGACCGGCGCGGCGTTCGTGACCCTGGAGCCCTCTCAGCCGGTGGCTTACCGTCAAACCGTGTGCCGGCAATGCCGGGCTTCCGTAGTGCTCACAACGCAACAGAGTGCGTCCCTGGCGGCGCCGCTCAACCTGCCCACTGTGGTCCTGGTCGACCGCGACGATACGGCCGGGGCACCGGCTGACTGGGCTGATGCCAGCACGGCTGATGCAACAGCCTACGTTGTTTTCACCTCCGGATCCACTGGCACACCCAAGGGCATTCTCGTGTCACACGCCGCTCTGTGCAGTGGCGTCCGCAGGTTGCACCGAGACGGCATCCTGAGCGCAGACACGCGGACCCTACAATTTGCGTCTTATGCCTTCGACATCAGTGTGATTGAGCAACTGGCCACATTCATGTTCGGTGGCTGTCTGGCCATTCCCTCCGTCTCCCAGTGCCAGGATGACCTGGCGGGGGCGCTACGTCACTTCCAGGCCGACACGCTGCTCACCACGCCCACCACGGCCCGTCTGCTGCATAACCACGCTGCAGACCTCCTCCGACACCTGTTCTTAGGTGGAGAGCCCCTAACGCTTGCGGATCGGGATTACTGGGCTCCCCGTGTGAACCTATGCCATGGGTACGGACCCGCTGAGTGCGCGGGCATTCCGGTCATGGAGTTGTCGCTGGACTCGCACGCGGACCCGCGTTGCATCGGGCGATCGACCACCGCCGGGTGCTGGATCGTGGATCCTGAGTTACCTGACCGTCTACTTCCCATTGGGGCTGTCGGCGAGTTGCTGCTTGAGGGGTCGTCCCTGGCGCGGGGCTACCTGGACGATCCGCTCCGCACTGCGGCCAGTTTTCTTGATGCCCCAGCATGGCTACGTTCTCTCCGCCCTTCAGCGCGCCTGTACCGGACGGGCGACTTGGTTCAATATGCGCCAAACGGATCTCTGCTATTCATCGCCCGCAAGGACAATCAGGTGAAGCTGCGGGGCCAGCGTGTGGAGCTGGGCCACGTCGAAACACACACGATGGCCGCCTTTCCGGGCCGCCCACGCGCCGTGGCCGAGATCGTGGAGCCTGCCGCAACCCCGGGACGCCCCGTCCTAGCGGTCTTTGTGCAGCGCGCGGTGGATCCCTCCGCGTCCGCGGGCCCGGCAACTCTGGAGACTCCGTCGGCCGAGTTCCACGATGCCGCTACGACGGCGTACACGGCTCTCGCGGCCCAGCTCCCCCGGTACATGGTCCCGGGTCTATTCCTTCCAATCACAACAATCCCATGTGGAGCCACAGGCAAAGTAGACCGCCGCACCCTCCGCGAGCTCGGGGCTCGTATATCCCGTGCGGACTGGGAAGCGTATCAGAGCCAGTCGAGCAAGAAGCAGGCGCCGGCAACCCCAACAGAGCGACACATTCAGAAGCAAGTGTCGCAGCTCCTCGCTCTCGCACCTGACACGGTGGGCATGAATGATCACTTCTTCCGACTCGGGGGAGACTCGCTGCATGCCATGCGCCTGGTAGGCTTGCTGCGTGAGCGCCACCTCGTCCTCCACGTGGCGGATATATTTGCCAACCCAGTTCTTGAGGACCTCGCTCGCCTAGCTACCGAATTGCTCTCCAATGCAGACTTCGATACATGCCCGTTCGCGCTTGTCGATAGCCCCGATGTACAGTCCCTGCGCCAATCCGCTGCCGTACAGTGTCAAGTGTCTTGCGACGCCGTGGTGGATGTATATCCGTGCACCCCCATGCAGGAAGGGCTGTTCGCCCTCAGCCTGAAGCATCCAGGTGCATTCTGGAACCATTTAGTCTACAAGGTGCCGGATGAACTCGACTTTGTCCGCTTGCAGTCCGCGTGGGCCACGGTGGTGCAGGCGCAACCCATCCTGCGCACCCGCGTCATCCGTCTTGAGGCCGATGGCGATCTGATGCAGGCGGTGCTGCGCGAGGACGTCGTATCGTCTGGGCCAGTGCAGGACACGCCTCTGACGGAGGGCGCCCCGCTAGTCCGCGCGCGGTGGGTGCCGGAAACCCGGCAGTTCCACCTGTCGATACATCATGTCCTCTACGACGGCTTCTCCATGAGACTACTCCACGCGGCACTGCAGGATGCCTACCGCGCGACCACCAGGGCCCCTACTGTATGTCCTTTTCGGCACTTTGTGGAGTATACCCAGGGCGTGCCACCCGCTGAGGTAGAAGCATCCTGGCGGGCGCAATTCAAGGGGTTCACAGGAGCTCCGTTCCCGGCGCCGCCAACGTCGCAATATGTTCCAAAACCACGATCAAGCCAATCGCACACCACGGCGCTCTCCTTGAACCACGCTCTCGGGGCTACTCTGTCCACGGTATTGCGTCTGGCCTGGGCCCTGACCGCGGCACAGTATACCGGATCGACGGACCTGGTGTTTGGCGTCGTCATGTCCGGCCGGGGGGCTCCTGTGACGGGTATCGACGCGATGATTGGGCCCACGCTGGCTACTGTCCCTCTCCGCGTCCAGTGGCAGGCTAGCGATAGTCTGCGTCCGTTGTTGCGGCGAATTCAACAACAGACAACGGCGATAATGCCCGTGGAGCAGGTCGGGATCCCCCGGATTGCTGGTGTGAGTGACGAGGCACGGCAAGCCTGTCAGTTTCAGACGCTGCTCGTCGTGGAGCCGTCCGGAGGCTGGTCTTCGGGTTTCCTTGAGCGGACCAAGGCCCCAAGCGACGGTATCCCAGCGGAGGACGTGCAATTCGACACGTACGGGCTGACACTGGTGTGTGAACCAGACGCCGACTCGGTCACGATCCGGGCCATGTTCGATGCCACGATGATCACCCCACAGCAGATGTCTCGCATGCTGCACCAATTCACCACGGTGATCCATGCTGTCAATGACGAACGGCTGTCCATTGCACAGTGCCCACTGAGTGCCGATGACAAGCGCGACCTGGTCCAGTGGAATGCGTTGCCGGACCGCCCTAGACGGACGATGATGGATCTGCTGACGCCGCGTGCTGCTCAGCAGCCACCGTCGCTGGCGGTGCACGCCTGGGACGGTGACTGGACGTACGACGAGCTGTGGACACAAGCCTCAGGCCTTGCATCCCATTTAGTGGCTCAAATCCCCATGCATGAGAATGCCATGGTGCCCATCCTGTTTGAGAAGTCTCGCTGGGTGGTGGTAGCCGTGCTAGCCGTGATTCGTGCCGGTGGCGCCTTTGTACTTCTGGATGCATCGCAGCCCCAAAGACGCCTCGAGGAAATCTGCCAGGAGATCAATGCCCCCTTTATCATCTCATCCGCGGCGTGTGCGAGCATTGCGACAGCCCTCGCCCCACAAGTCATTTCCGTGCCCCTGGATGGCGCGATGCCCTGGACGAGCACGAACCCGGACGTCCCGCTACCCGCCGCGGCCCCCCAGGACGCTCTATATGTGGTGTACACGTCCGGCTCAACCGGGCGCCCCAAGGGCATCGTTATTGAACATGGCGCCTTCGCGTCCAGCCTGCAAGCCTACCTTGAGACCGTCGGCATGAACCCGGACGTCCGTGGCTTTCAATTTGCCTCATACGCCTTCGACGTCAGTGTGACTGACCTCCTGGCACCACTCGTGGCCGGCGGGTGCGTATGCATTCCCTCAGACGATGATTGCCAGAACCGTCTGGCACATGCCGCAACTTCCTTGCGCGCCAACTGGGCAGACTTTACACCATCCCTGCTTCGGAATCTCGACCCGGAGGACGTGCCCACAGTGACGACTATCGTCGTGGGTGGCGAATCACTCGCCCACGGCGATATCTCCAAATGGAGTCCGCACAAGCGGCTAATCAACATCTACGGGCCGGCGGAATGCTGCGTGCTGGCCACCGTACAACCGACCGTCACCACGGCCAGTGATCCCACCAATATCGGGTGGCCCACGGGCGGCGCCTGTTGGATCGTCGACCCCGCTGATTCCGACCATCTACTGCCGATTGGTGCTGTCGGGGAGCTGTTGATCGAGGGGCCGATACTGGGACGAGGGTATCTTGGCCAACCCACGCGGACTGCGCAGTCGTTTGTGGCCAGTCCGTCATGGATCCAGCAGTTTCGCCCAGCTCCGGCTTCACGGCTATATCGCACGGGGGATCTGGTGCGCTATGGGCTGGACGGATCCCTGCATTTCGTGGGCCGCACAGACACCCAAGTCAAGCTGCGCGGACAGCGCATCGAACTGACCGCGGTAGAATACCAGGTCGAGATTTCGCTGCCCATGGCGCGACAGGTCGTTACTGAGGTGGTTCGCCGTGAGGACACAGACATCTTGATGGCATTTCTCCTCCCAGGAGGGGAAGCAGAACCCCAGCCCACTGTCGGTCGTTTCCTTGTTCCAACGCCAGACCAGCTGGACCAGATAAATCAAGCCAGAGGCGAGCTTCTGGCACAGCTCCCACGATACATGGTGCCCTTGCGCTTCCTGTGCATTCAAACGCTCCCCATGACGGTGACGGGTAAAACCGACCGCCGACGCCTGCGTGAGGAAGCGTCACAGCTGTCCGCCGAGGACCTGGCACAGGTGTCTGCCGGATCGCACAATCATCGACGCGCACCAGCCTCGACTGATGAGGAGACCATCCAGCACCTATGCGCACGCGTCCTCAATCGTCCTACCGACGCCATCGCCTTAGATGACTCCTTCTTCGACAATGGCGGGGACTCTATCACAGCGATGAAGCTGGCTTCGGTCGCTCAGCGACAGGGCATACCGCTGACGGTGGCGAGCATTCTGGGCAGTCGTCAGATATCCAGGTTGGCCGCCACGCGCGAGGAACGCCGGCCAGCAAATCAGAATATTAGCGCCCCATTTGCGCTTCTTCCTAAGTCCAGCCAGGAGAACATCATTAGAGCAGCGGCGCGTCAGTGCACGGTCCCGGAGACCCAGGTCGAGGATGTCTACCCCTGCACACCCATGCAGGAGGGTCTGTTGGCCGGCACGAGCAGGGACCCCGCTTCCTATGTAGGTCAGATAGACCTGCCACTCCGCGCGGATGTGGACCGGGAACGCCTGCGCAAGGCCTGGGAGCGTACTGCCATCGCACATCCAATTTTGCGCACCCGATTCGTGCTCATCGAGAGAGCCATGTGGCAAGTGGTCATCACGGACTTCGGAGCGTGGGATCACTCCTTCGATGAGGCTTCCGCGGAGAGCATGTTCGGGCGCCGTTTGGTGTGTCTAAACCTGCCAGCGCGCGGTTCACCTGTCTTCCTGCGGCTTACCATCCATCATGGGCTTTACGATGGCATGTCGCTCCCACAGCTGCTCCGCCAAGTTGATATCGCCTACAAGGGCTTGCCGCTGACGCCCTCGCCCTTCAACCGCTTTGTGGCTCACCTGCAGGAGACGACAAACCATGCCGTAACAGCTGCATACTGGCGCGAACAATTTCGGGGCGTCCAGGCCGCCATCTTCCCAGCGCCTCCAACGGCCCGCTACACGCCGCAGGTGACCTCGCGGCTGGACCACAAAGCCACACTACCGGCGATGCGCTACCGCAATTGTAGCCTGGCTACGCTGGTGCGTGCCGCCTGGGCCGTGATCGCGGCGCATTACACCGACGTCGCCGACGTCGTTATGGGTGTGACCCTGGCCGGCCGCAGCGCGCCGGTGCCGGGGATTGACTCCCTCACGGGGCCTACGTTCGCCACCGTGCCCGTGCGGATCCAGATAGATCCGTCCCAGTCGCTGGACGCCTGGCTCCAGCAGGTCCAAGACCAGTCGACTTCCATGATTCCTTTCGAGCATACGGGGCTTCATCACATCCGCCAGCTGGGCCCAGACGCGACGCGTGCCTGTGGCTTCCAGACGCACCTCGGCGTTCAGTTCCCCGATGATGACGATGGAGACGATGACAATGCCACCGGAGGTTCATCTGTCTTTGTCCAGACGCCTGCCGGGCGAGCGCCACCGGGCGTCTTCGCCAGTTACGCCCTGGTCTTAGTTTGTACCCCTTCCACGGACGGTCGGTCGATACATTTCGCTGCACACCACGACCCGCACGTGCTGTCTGTGGACGAGACCCGTCGTCTTGTCGTGCAGTGCGCCGGTGTCCTATACCAGCTTGTCGACCGCGCCGTGCCACGGGTGCAGGACCTACAGATCCAGACACCAGACGAAATTGCCCAGCTCAGCCGGTGGAACGCAGAGGTGCCGGAAGTCGAGCGCCGGACGTTAGTCGATCTGATTGTCGCGCACGCGGACTTACACCCAACGGCACCCGCGTTAGCGTTCGAGGAAGCAGAGACATCCTATGCAGAGATGTGTACCACAGCGTCGCGATTCGCAGCGTACCTCCGCGCCCGCGGCGTGCGGGCTGGCACCATCGTTCCGCTATGTTTCCCAAAGGGTCCGTGGACAGTGATCGCCCTACTGGCAGTTCTGATGGCCGGGGGTTGCTGCCTACTCCTCGATGCCAGCCACCCCCGCGCGCGCCTAGTTAGCCTCATGCGCCAGGTGGGGAGTCGCCTAGTACTAACACACTCGACGACTGCCGGCCATGTGGCGGACGAAGAGGGGGTGGAAGTGGTCGTCGTCTCGCCCGATTTTCTCGCCGCGTTGCCCCCTCTGGGTGGTGCTATGCTGTCGGATAGCCGATCGGATAGTGCAGCCTTCCTCATCTTCACGTCGGGTAGCACCGGGCAGCCTAAGGGCATCATCCTGGAGCATGCCCAGCTTTCCACGAGCATCCGGTACCATCGGGACGGGATGCGGTTGAGTCGCGCCAGTCGCAGCCTGCACTTCTCCTCGTATGCCTTCGATGCCAGCATCTATGAGATCTGTAGCACATTAGTGGCGGGCGGCTGCGTCTGCATCGTCTCCGAACAGGATCGCCTGAACGACCTCGCTGGCGCAATGTGCCGGCACGGTGTCACCTGGGCGACACTGACCAATACCACCGCACGCCTTCTGCATCCAGCGCAGGTGCCCGACCTTCAAACGCTGGCGTTGGGCGGGGAAGCAGTCACCCAAGACGTTGTCGATCGCTGGGCGGCGCACGTCACGCTCGTGAACGGCTACGGCCCAGCGGAGGCCACCATCTGTGCGCTGGGTGACATTCCCCCCGAGGGCTGGCGTCCCGGAACCATTGGCACGACAGTAGGCGCTGTCAGTTGGATCACCACCCCGTCCAACCCAGAGCAGCTGGCAGCCATTGGAGCGGTGGGGGAGCTCTTGCTTGAGGGCCCAGTGCTCGCACGCGGCTACCTCGATGACCCCGAAAAAACTGCCGCAGCGTTCCTGCAGGGGCTACCGTGGCTGGCGCGGTTCCGAGACGGTCGTCGAGACATCCGAGTCTACCGTACGGGAGATCTAGTGCAATACACGCCCAAGGGTGAATTGCGCTATGTGGGACGCAAAGACACCCAGGTCAAACTCCGTGGGCAACGCATCGAGCTGGGGGATATTGAATGTCGTCTATCTTGCTGTATGCCCCACGTCCACGACCTTGCTGTGGAGGTTATTACGCCGGTCGACGGCGCCCCAATGTTGATGGCGTTTGCATATTGCACTGGCGACGACGTTACCGACGATCTTAACCACCCGTCCCTCTTCGCTGCGCCGTCCGAGTCCTTCCGTCGTACGGCCAATGCCGCCCTAGAGGATCTTAAACAAACCGTCCCGGGGTACATGGTGCCAAGCGTCGTCGTGCCACTCCGTCGACTACCTCTTACGCCGACCGGTAAGACCAACCGCCGTCAACTGCGAGAAGAGGCATCGGCACTCTCTCGCGACGACATCGCCGGGTACATCGCCGCGGTACAACCGATGCGGATGCCCACCACATCGACCGAGTGGTTACTTCAGGGCATCCTCGCCAACATTTTTGACAGGCCCGCCCAGGAAATTAGTATGGACGCTGACTTCGTCCAGCTTGGGGGTGACTCAGTGACCGCCATGAAAACCGCCGCGCATGCGGGTCAGCAGGGCCTTCCACTGACCGTCGCCGACCTGCTACAAACCCACAAATTGAGCGAACTGAGTGCCAAGCTAGCGCAATGCAAGACACCGGCAAGATCATTGGCCCTCGAGGACCCGGTACCAGCCTCATACTTCGGCTTCCCGACGCCGCAGCAGTTCGTCCAGAGCGTCCACCAGGAGTTGCCTCAAGCCTTCACATCTGCAAACGAGATCGAAGATATTCTGCCAGCAACTCAGGGCCAGGTGTATTATCTGAAAACTCCACTTTACTATCTGATCCTGCAGACAGCCAGTGGTGTGGCGCCTGAGCGCCTGGTGGCCGCCAGCACGGCGCTCATCCAGCGCCATAGCATCCTCCGCACCGTTTTCTTTCCCTACCGCGACCACGTCGTCCAGGTTGTTCTACGCCAGCTGGCTTCACCAGTTGAGTTCATCACCCTGCAGGATACGTCGCCGTCCGCGGTAGACCAGCATTGTGCCGCGCACAGTCCCCCCACGCCGATATTCGCCCAGCCTGCAACCAAATGGATCATGGTCAACTCTGGACAGTCGACTAGTGCTTTGATCTTGCGCCTGTCCCATGCTCAATACGACGGCTTGTCTATGGGGCTCATATGGGAGGAATTTGCTGCGCTGTATCATGACCAGCGCCTTCCCGATCCCGTGCCCTACACCACCCACCTCCACCGCCGGCTAGCGGCGTCCACGCCAACAGCGCTGGACTACTGGCGCACTCTCCTGGCGGGCAGCAAGTTGACCACCATTTCCCCCAAAGCGCTCGCTGAAGATGCGCAGGAGCAGTTCCTGCTCGCCCATCGGATCGCCCACATCCCCGAGCTGCCGGCCGGCATCACCAGCGCGACGATGGCGAAGGCCGCCTGGGCGGTCACCCTGGCCCTTCACACAGGAGAGAAGGACCTCGTCTTTGCCCAATTGATTCATGGGCGCGACGCGGCGACGGTCCACGCCGTGGGCCTCTGTATCAACAAGCTGGCGGTGCGCGTGTCGCTCGCGGACCTCGCCACGGGGCAGGATCTCCTCGACTGCGTCCACCAGCAACAAATTCAATCACTGCCCTTCGACGGTCTGGAATACGCCGACGTCGTCAGGGAGTGTACCTCCTGGCCAGTCCACCACCCAGGGTCCTCGCTGGTCATCCACCAGAACCTCAACCTGGACAAGCCGCTCCAACTGGATGGGGTGCAATGCCCTCTGCGCAACTGGACCTTGGATCTTCCTCGCTCGATCATCGGTATTGAATCGACCCCCGGCCCCGCAGGGCAGTGGTGCTTGCGACTGACTACGTCAACGGGGACATTCAACCAAAGCGAGGCTGACAGCTTGTTGCGACAGTATGAGCGTGTACTCGTGCAACTCGCGTCAGCGCCAACCACCTCCCTATCCCACTTCTTCCCGCCCTCATGAGAACCGACACCGAAGCCGCGGCATGGTGTAGTCTAGCGTTGCCCTTGTTTTTTGCTGCTTACTGCTTTTACAACCCACGCTCTCTATTCTTTCGTTGAATCATTGTTCACGCTTTCTTGACGTCCCGTAATGATGTTTGTTTTCCATCGCTCGTCCTGGTATTGACTATCCGGCTTGCGATACGGGTCTGTTATTGTCCTTGTTCGTTTTGTTCACTTTTGTCTTGGCTTTCTTGTGGTTTTGATCCGTGACTTTGGATTCATATGCGTATAGTTATTCGGAATTTCATCGCGGGGCTAGTCCCTACCCTGGCAAAGGGGTTTCTCATCTAGTATGTGTGGTATCGCAACATAAAATGTGTCTTTTTAAAAAAGGTACCCAGAGAGTGCAAAAGTGTCTAGATACCCTTTTCCGAGTGGTATTCTTTTCGACATATGGTAACTCCAGGCCTGGGTTTGTCTTATTCGTACAGTATCCTATACTGATCAGCCACAACATGTGTGCACTGTAAACCACAGAATTACTGTGTTCTTGTGCAGAACTCTTCCTAATTTATTTCGCCAGTCAAGACCTTTTTTGGATCGATATTCCAGGTACGCCTCTTCAGTACTCTTCATGTTATTGCACCCAGTACTACCATCATGGGCCTCGTGAGCCTGGACGGTGTCTTCCTGAGACTTCCAATGCTGTATATCCTGGACCAGCTGGTATTGTTCTCACAATCAAACCAGGTATTCCCACCCCCGGGTTCTCGGGGGCATGTTCCTTATGAGAAAACCTAGAAGATCTACCGCTATTTGAAAAGAAGGAGGATTAGGGAATATTAGGCCCATATCCAATCTATCTATTGAATGGTGTGGTTTCACGCCTCCAGTATTTCCGTACACAGCAACAGTCACTACCTAGTTCTCAAAGGGGAAGTTAGTTTCTCGAAGAATAACAATTTCAAATTAAATATCAAAAGTAATAATTCTTCCCCTCACCCAGCAACAACTACATCCCGCACATAAGCAAACATCTCCCTCGGCTTCTTAGCGAAAACAGTATGTCCCGCCCCGCGAAACAGATGATAACTGACTCCACGCTCAGAGACCCATGTCCCAGCCTCCTCGCAGTCTGATACCCCCCCTCCACCTCCACAGTCGGAACCAGCCGGTCCACCAGCAGCAGCATCCACATAGAACACACTACTATTCAAAGGCCGCGAGAACCCCTGCGCCCCCTTCCATGTCATATTCTGGAGCGCGAGCTCCGTGCCGATATGGTTGATGAGCATGTCGTATTCGCCGGAGTAGACGTGCACGGGGAGGTTGTGCTTTGTCGCGATGCGCGGGAGGAGGCTGTAGGCGGGTGGTGTGGGTTGCTCGGCGAGGAGGGTGTCGAGGATGGTTTTGTTGCAGGGGCTGTATTCTCTGGTAGGGGCAGCGGGCAGGTTTAGTGCCTTTTGGACGTCCGGGCGGCTGAAGTAGGTTGCTTGGAGGGGGAGGGGGTCGATGGTGTTGCAGTCGTTGTTGATGTCGTAGATGTCGAAGCAGGTTGCATTCTCTGTGTCTGGAGGGTCTGTTTCGTTGGCGGATGCTTCTGCTGCTGTGTTTAGGTAGTTGATGGCTGTGGCAAAGGTTGCGCATGGTCCGTTGCAGGTGGAGTTGAGGATGGATGCTAGGACTGTTTCTTTCGACGTGGGGTAGATGTCGCATGTTTCGTTATAGAGGGTGCCGAGACCGCGCCGGTAGTTCGCCCCCTCTTGATGCTGCTGCAGCCCATCGCGTCTGAAGTTGAGGTTCTCCGGGTTGCCGGGGACATGGAACTTCCCCTGCGGGGGAAAGTGGTTCGCTTCGTGTACGAGCTTGTCGTAACCGCAGGTGTGCTCCGCCTGGTTAAATGCGGAGAGAATCTTGTCCGGCATGCGGAGCAAGTCGCGCTGTGCGCGCAGGTAGGGCGCGATGGTGGCGGCGGACATAGCGGCGGGGTTACCGATGGTGGCGTCGCCGAGGGAGATCGAGCGGAGATCGATGGGGAAGGAGTTGTTGTTGTCAAGGATAGCCGCCGCGAGGTAGGGAATGTAGATGCCGGCGTAGGATTCGCCGATGAGATGGATGCGCTTGGAGCGCAGGTGCGAGAAGCGCGTCAGGAACGATTTCAGCCATCGGTAGAAGTCGTCTGTCGCGCGGTCCTGGTCTTGCACCGGGTATGGAGTACTTGCGGTCGAGAAACCGGTTCCGGCCGGTTGGTCGACGTAGAGGACGTGGCCGAGCCTGGTCCATGAGTGGGGATTGCGCACGAGCTGTGTTGAGGTGCCGTTGAATAAGATGGGTCCGGTGCCTGTTGTGAGGCCGATTAAGGATGAGCAGCCTGGGCCTCCGTTGAACCATACTATAGAAGATACAGTTAGCTTGGGTGCGTTGTCTATATGTTCTCATGGGGTAGTACCACTGACTGATGAGGTTCTCGTCGTATGCAGAGTCTTCCGCCTCGAATAGCCAGAAGAACAGGGCATTTCCCTCCTCGGTGTCGGGAATCGGAAGCCTTCCTGCCCAGCTGGGGGGCAACGGTGCGCTATCGGGTAGCGAATGAACTTTGAACTGGGAGATCCCTGTAGATGAGCGCCCTGCGCTGGAGAAGAGCGCCGTTGGCACCGCCCATAAGATGTACAGGAAGGTATAAAACGTCGCGATATCCATGCTGAGGGGTTATCTCCAAACGATACCATTCATGCACGGTGGTAAGATTGCGATAGAGACCCCATCGGTTCTATTCAATGCAACAGTCAAGTACAGCCATACCCGATGTTGGTCTCAATAGAGTCAAGTCTATTGATATGGTTGTCTACTCACATCGTAGACCAAGGGATTTCCTCCCAGAGTTGTTCGACCGATGTGTAGCAAGTCTGAATCGCACTCCAAGTGAATATGCTTCTTGCATGATTTATACAATATAATAATTCTCCGCATTATGATCATCAACTTCATCTTGAGTATCAACATTGATACTGATCGAACGCTCGATCGAGCATCAATAGGATCACATGACTAGGGCACAGGGCTAGGGCCCGCCATCCAGGCGCACATGACCGGGGATTACCCAAAGCGGTAATTTGGCTCTCCAACTTCATCTTCGACCTTCTGACTTCTCCTTCATCCTCTGTACGAGTCTCTCCATCATCACAACCAACCATACGTCAGAGCAGTATCACATTCTATCAGTGTAGTACGCTTGTTGCGGTCTAGTCTCCACTCAAGCAGGGCAGGTCGTCTGTTAAGCCACTGAAATGTCGGTGTCTCGGGAGCCTCCTGTACGATGATGCTGATAGTGATGATGATCCTCAAACGAGAGAAAGACACTGTTCTCGCTTTGCCTCTGCTCGCTTTACCTCCTCGCCCCGCCGGAGATGGAGATGTGACGGTGTGCCGAAAAGAGACTAAGAACAAAGGAATCGCCATATCACCGCCCTCATTTTTTTTTTTTTTTGTTTATACAGATTCGCTGCAACCGAGCTGGCTTTCCCCAATTGACTGCTCTCCCGGCAGCTCCGGGAAAAAATGAGGCGGCCACGCGTGGAAACAGGCCATCCAGTGATCCATGCGCTTTGCTCACGATCTAAACAAACACTAAAAAGAGGGAAAGAAAAAAAAAAAGTGAGGCGCCATTTGATTGCGATTAAACCCCTTGATTCACCGTTCTCATTCGGTCCCGTTTGGATCCATTGGCCATTCCTTTCCTCCCATTCGTTTCCCTTTTGTTTTTTGGCCCCTTTACGAGCGGAAGCAAACTTCGACCTGGCATTTGCCGTCTGAGTCCCCGTCCTTGTAGTCCCTGGCGCAAGATCCAAGGTTTTAATATCATGGGAAGTCCTGGATCGATCTTCAGGGGGAAGACGGTGTCGAGGCAATAGTCACAGCCCGCCTCCCCGTATCCAGGTCGATAAATCTGTCCGTTGGCTGAAACCAAACGGACTGGTCGAGTGATGGAAATTCACCACGCATGATCCACTAGGACCGAGACCTTTTTCAAGATTTATCTATCAATCCGTTAAGACATGTGTGGGCGGTGGGTCCGCTAAAATAGCGCCCTTCCATGTCCCGGATGCGACCAGGGACAAGGGACTGAGAGAAGGGGGGCGAAAGGCATAATTCACAGGGGACCTCATGCAATCGGGTTTCACACGAATTATGCTGGCTACTGGCTCAATTCCCCATTCCCTGGGACTTTTGTTTTTCCCTTGGATGGCTCTCCGTCCGACCACGGCGACCAGTACTCGACGAAAATGTCGGTGGGCACACCATTCGCCTCCAAGTCAGGCGCACCGTCGCTTTGGAAATAGAAGTAAGACGTCTGGCAATATTCCTTGAGTTAGTGGATGAGTGGGACCGGCTCCACGACAAAGCGGATGTCCATCGCCGTGGTCTGTTTTAGTCTCGGCCACCGATCGGGAACGACAGAGGTACCGTCGCGAGGGCCCTTGTATATTATCTTATCCGCTTTTCTCTCCAGAATCAAGGTACCACGGGAACCCTGGTCTATCTGATGGTCATCTGCATTCCCATGCTGGCCAAGAGTCTTGAAGAAGAGGGGTTGTTTGATGTGAAGGAGAGGGGGGCACCCCTGACCGAGAAACACAGTTTCGGGGTCATCAAGAATGTCTAGAGGGGATGGACGCGTGCAGGATTGAAATCCGACCAGACCGTTGACGCTTCGAGACTGGAATGTCGCCCTGTCTTGGGGCGCCTATGCCCCATCCAGCCATGCATACAGGAGAGGGTAAAGAGAGAGGCAGCAGACTGGCTTCCAGTCTTCCAACCCATCGGAAACACTGCGAGCGGAAGGCTGCATTTTCAACCTGGCGATTCCACCACCCACGACGTTTTCTGCTTCTTTTGCCCCTTTGGGGCCTCTTGGGTTTGCAGTTTGCATTCGGCCGCCACTGAGATTACAGTTTCTTGACATGATCAAGATGTAATCGAGGATTAGTGGCGCATGATTGGTTTTTTTCTCCCTATCACATTTTTATTATTATTTTCTTTCTTTTTTTCTTTTTCTTTTTCATTGATAATGATTATTATTTTGCCTCCCTGTTTCCCACGCTTTGCTTTGTTCCTCATCTCAACAATCCCTCTTGAACCCCAGACTCAGGACAGGGCAAGTACCTGACCTCCCGGGTAACAGCAGCAGGGAGCAGGGCATTCGGCACCCAGCCGGGTTCAGACGGTACACAGGATCGTACAATGGAATGTGGTGGACAGGCGATCTCCCAAGGGGGTTGATCAGAACCCCTCTCCACTCCCCATGAACCCGACTTGGGAGATGGGATTGTTGTCGATGTCTCCACTTGGGAGACTTCCCCAGTATCCGATCAGCCCTAGATGCTTCACCGATCCACCTCTGGTTTCGGAGATCAAGAAGGGGACTATAGTATTGCAACGTTTTTAACTGGTATCTTCGGGTCCATCTTCCGGAAACGAACTTCTCCGTGAATGTAGTTTCAGAGGGGGGGGATAGAGTGAGAGAAAAAAGGAAAGAAAGAAGTAATCAGATCAAGATCCAGAGTAGTAACGCGCAAGAAACAGCAAGAGACCTAGGAAAGAAAGGGAAAAGAAACCCCGGCGGACCCCAACTTCAGCCTCACTTTTACAGAAGCAGCTCGAAGGGTCAAAAGTGAGGTTGAAGTAGAAGCAGAAGCAGAAGCAGAAGCAGAAGCAGAAGTGGGCATGATTGATTTGATTGCTGAAGACGGTGATGCTTTGCGCCCCCTCGTGACCCGCAACTGCATTCGATTTCAATCGTTCTTTTTGTTCTCTTCGTCGATTCTTTCCTTTCCATTCCTGCTCCGTCTCCATTATTGATTCTTCTCTGCTATTATTAAGTCGGTGGATTACTACTGTTCACGCATGGGGTAATCCCTTCTTTTTGACTCCCTCTCTTGACTTCCTTGACTTCTCCTCTCTCTATCCTGGAATTCCGGTAATGCGACAAGAAGGGAGATCAACCCCACGCGCCCTACTCGTGCACTGACTGGACCTTTCTTCCCTGGTTTATATCAGACCACGATCATCCCGGTCTCTTTGTCAACCTGGGTTTGATCTTTTCTCTTTTTGATTTTCATTTTTGGGGTTGATTCTTTCGCCGATTTGCCAGTGCTTCTGTAGTTGTTTGCTTTCCCTCTCCATCCCTCTCTCTCTCTTTCTCTTTCTCTCTCTCATCTTTCCTTCCTGATCTTGTTATCATTACTCTCCTCTTTTATCCGTTTATTGTTATACGTGACAGCCGATCTGATCCGTCCCCGGTCCTGCGCTGATTCAACGGATTTATTCCCTGAAAGAACACTGTGGGTCAATCAGCAAAAGAGACAAGAAGAGAGACAAGAAATACAGAAAGCAAGACAAAAGACAAAAGGCAAAAGACAGACAAAAGACAAAGACAAAGAAGAAATTGGGTCCGACAAAAAGAAGGGGAAAAGGAGAATATTTTAGTTCGTGATCGACATCGCGATCGACAGGCGTCAGTAATAGATAGCAAGGTGAGTAAACTATTTCCTTTCCCCCTCGCCGTCGACAGGTCGGAGGTAAGGACTGATTCAAGGAGTTGCTCCACCAAGGGGGTTGTTCTCCATCCCATTCTCCCCTCCTTCTCCTCCCCCAGATCGTCCCGCCAACTGGTGGAGGGTTGCAGTGCCTTGCTTCAGCTGTCGAAAGGGAATGCCCGAGTGAACTTTCACGATCTCAATTAGTCCGGTCTTGCTTTCACCTCCCTTCTCCGTTCATCCTCTTCTCTCTCTCTCTATCTCTCTCTATCATTGAGCTACTTGTCAGTCAGTGGGGTACGTGGATTGATGGAGATGGACCTCCAAAAGACAAAGGAGGCCCAGCGGGACACGCCGCGGAAGCAACAGGAGGAACGAGGCAGCGAATGTCCGTTGGAAACGTACGGGGGATCAGGTCACTCGAAGGATTCGCCCAAGAACGACTCGCTGGACCACCGCGACGCCAACCGTGCCCCGGCTCCACAGCGCCGACCGAGTCGGTTCGCCCTAGCCAACGATGCCGCACCGTCCCTATCCCCAGCCGCCTCGTCCCAAGTTATCGACATCCCCGCGGCGCTCAACCTCGCGCACAAGGAGCACAAGCTGCTCCTCACCGCCAAGCGATTGCCCCCCGTGACCAAGGGCACCCTGAGTGAACTCGATCTGCCCTGCATCATGAGTAATATCAACCTCCGCATGGACGCCAACTTCGATCGCGACCTCCACTTCAAACCGGACCTCGACGGGGAAAAGGGTCGCCGGAAGCGGAGGGAGGCAGCCGAATACTGGGAAGCCATGGCCACGGAGATCACCATCTACGCCTGCCACGCGTCCCAGGGGATGGCCGGCGATGCTGCCTCGCAGGAAGATCTTCAATCCTCCTTTGAGCCGCGACTCCCCGCCATGTTCGAGACCCTGCAGGACGTGCTGAAAACGCTGGTGCCCGAACGAGATCACCCCAGTGTGATGCAGAACCTGGACGTGGCCCTGCTGATGCAGCAGATCCAAAAGGGCGTCCTGGACATGGTAGGCGTGGCCCAGTGGCTGGCGGCGTTGCTCAAGACCCATTGCGCGCCGATGCGCGACGAGTGGGCCGATCGGATGGTGGAGCACATCAGCGTGGGGTCGCAATCCCAGGACTCTATGGAGATCGTCCGGGGCCTTCAGACGCTGTTTGCGATACTGGAGGCCATGAAACTGGTACGCCGAGAGGAATCGCAAGCCCCACTCCCGGTCGAACGAGGGCTAATGTACTTTGCAGGACGTCGCCAACCACCAGATCCGCGCATTCCGGGTGCTCCTCATCGAAGACACCATCCTCTTTCTGCAGGAGTACTTCCGCGGGAAAATCGAGCGAGACAACTTCCGCGTGGAGGCCTCGCGCCTGTGGTATGAGGATCTGCAAGACCGGGATCTCCAGCGGCGACACCACCCCGCCCCGGCGGACGGCTTCCGGCCCATCTCCCTCCTGTTCCACGGCCTGTCGGACCTCCTGCTGCAATTCCACAGCCCCGAAGGATTTCCCGAGACGTTCGTCTTCGACTCCGACCGCCTGTGGCAGCTGCGAGCCTGCCTACAGAACCTCATCAGCCTAGACATCTGCTGGCTCATCTTCGAGATCTTTACCCAGCAAACCCCGCAGAAGCGCTCCCTCCCAGCGGCGACCGCCACGTACGCCTCGTTCCGGTCGCGCATCGGCACGCTCATGGAAGAAAGCGACGACAACCCGCGCGGCTCAGTGCCGTGGGTGAAGAACGTGCGCAGCATCGCGCTGGAGATCGCGCGGTTCGTCTACGCCGCCCGCGGCGGCAGCAGCAGCGGCGGCATGGCATCAGACGGCATGATCGGGCTGATCGAGCGCGCGCTGGAGTGGCACTTATCCAACGAGACAGAGCTGTTCCAGTACTTCCAGCGAGCCCTACGCGACAAGCTGCTCGGATCGACGTTCGCGTCGGCGCGCAAGTACCTGAACATGTCGCCGCTGGCCATCTGCGAGTCGCAGCGGAATTACCCGTCCACGCCCATGCCGCACCAGCACTACGATATCGACCGGATCTCCATGCGGCTGGCGCATTTAGGTGTGCTGCACTGGCGGGTGTGGGCGCCTATTCTCTACGTACGGGAGAGCGTCGTTGAAGATGTGACTATGTCTTAGCTTCACTTTCTTCTTTCGACAGGTCGCCGCTGTCGTGATCTTTCTTTTTGTTGTCCTCTTAGACTTGTAATTGCAGTTCAGCGCCTTGCATCGGTGATTCTGGGACCGGCGTTGGGGGATCTTCTGTTTTATCTACCTTGATTATTGTTTTTATTATTACGCGGTGTTAAGAAGGATCCGGGTCTCTGGGCCTTGGGTAATGTTGGATTGGGTTGATTGATTGGTTGGTTGGATAGAAAATAAAGGCATACTTGTGTATGAATATGAGGGAGGATGTTCTAGATTAATACATTAATTTTTATTTATATTTATATTTACTATCTGACTATCCTCTACGAAGTACTCTGTAGATCTGGTATATATATAGTGACATCAGGGTAGGATACTTAAGTAGATCTCAGCTCAACCATTCGCTCCACCGATCCACCGTAAAAGCGGCGAGTGATAACAGATCACACCAAACAATCCATACTACAGTAACTACCATCCATCCATCCAATTCTACCCAGACAACCTTGAACCAACATACAATCTCAACAACAACAACAACAAAATGTACCACACAAAACCCTCCAAATAAATAACAAAGAGAGAGAGGAAAAAAAGATGAACACCCTCAAAGCAACCCAACTCCAACGCCTCGCCCAAGCAACAGGCATCAAATCATCCGGGCCGAAGCCTGTTCTCGCTGCGCGTTTAGCGGGGGAGCTGGGACGGGTTCGCAGTCGCAGTCGCGATGGGGGCGAGGAACAGGGACAGGGGCTCAGTGTGTTGAGTATTGATATGGGGATAAGGAATTTGGCATTTGCGCATTTGGTTGTTCCTTCTCTCTCCTCCTCTTCTTCGCATTCTTCTTCGTCTACTTCTCAACTGGACGAGACGAAAGGAGATTATACGGGATATACAGACACGTCTAGAGACAATGGAGGAGGAATATATCTCAACGCATGGCACCGTCTCCCCATAACAGACGCATCTCTACAAGAATTCGCTGCTGCCAGCCAATCATCGACACCACCCCCCCAAAAACCAGAAGAAGAAGAAAAAGACCAAGAAGAAAAAGAAACATTCACCCCAGAAACATACGCTCCCCGCGCCTACACCCTCCTCACGACCCTCCTAGCCCGCTACCGCCCCACGCACATCCTCATCGAGCGCCAGCGGTTCCGCTCGGGCGGCGCCAGCGCCGTGCAGGAGTGGTCGCTGCGGGTGGGTGTTTTCGAGGGCATGCTGCATGCGGTGCTGTTTACTTTGGGTCAACAACAGTTGCAGATGCAGCGGAAGCTGGCTCCGCCGGTTGTGGTTGGGGTTGAGCCGAGGCGGGTGGGGAGGTATTGGGAGTTTGTGAGAGGGGTGTCTTCTCTTGAGGATGGGAAGGGGGTGGGGAAGGAGGGGGGGAAGGGTGAGGAAGGGGAAAAGAAGAAGAAGAAGTCGGCGAAGGAGGGGAAGAAGGTTAAGATTGCGCTTGTTGGGGGGTGGCTTGAGGCTGCTTGTTCTTCTGCTTCTTCTTCGGCTGCTTCTTTGGGGGGTATGGCTTCGACAGCGGCGTCGTCATCTGTTACCTCGGTGGGTCGTACAGGTGCTGCGTCTTGGTCAGGGCTGGGAGGAGTTACATCTGCGTCTACATCTACCCCTAAACACACATCTACAGCAACAACACCCACAACAACAGACGCTCCGCCAGTATCAATCCAACTAGGCGACTCGCCCCACCTCCAAAAAACCATAACGGCCTACCTAGCAAAATGGCACGGCACTCCCAGAACACGGAAGAAGAAGAAACCCCTAACGCCCGTCCCCTCGGAGATGGCCGACGGCACCGTGGGAGGACAGCGTGGTGACACAGACAAGGATGTCGACAGGGAAGAAGAACCAAATGTGGAGATTGAGAGTGAGATTGGAGTTGAAATTGGGAAACTGGATGATTTGGCGGACTGTTTGGTGCAGGGGGTTACGTGGTTGGAGTGGAGGGCGATGAGGGAGAGGGTTGTTAGGGAGGGGGTTCTTGGGGAGTTGAGGTGATTGTTTATAGATTCATGTATAGTATAGAGTTCATATGTAATATAGGGGCATGATGATATTTGGAAATACGATGGATACACACAGTAATATAAGATATAATATACGTTGGGATATACGAGAATATAGACGAATGTAGGAGAAATTGACTATGTAATGTTGTGATGTACACGTCCAAAGAATGAATGAGTGAATGGACCGATCAAGAGAACACCACGTTACATTTGTACAAGAATTCTAAATTCTCCCGGTTACTTTTATCTTTTGTCAAGCGTTGGACCGTCCCTTCCACAGCGTCAATTCACCCAGCATTTCACCAGGAAAAGAATAGAAGAACCTCAAAAAAAAATGGAAGAAAAAAAGGCGGTACAAGGTAAAACTGTCCCAGGGCGTGGTTTACCCCGGCAAGAATTGAAGAACCACCGACAGGATCACCCCATCGGATAAGATGAGAACGAAAAGTCTAGACGCATCAAATTTCTCCAGAGAAGCTCAGATATGAACGACCGGGCGAATCGCCCCGTCGAGGGACCGACCAACGGTTTTCTTCACCAGGGTCCCCGCCTTAGTTGCTACGGCGGAAGTTGGTGGGGGCGGCCGCCTTGCTGCTGGTCGCGAAGCCGCTGGACTTGGCGACGCTGCTGCTGGGGACGCTGCTGCTGCTAGGGATGGGGATGCTGCTGCTGACGGGGACGCTGCTGCTGGGGACGGGGACGGTGCCATTGCCGGGGAAGGGAGGATGGGGCAGGCCGGTGGGACGGGGAGGACCGTGGTGGTGGTCATCCTCATCCTCGTCCTCGTCGTCATCCTCATCATCACCCTTGTCATCCTCATCATCCTCATCGTCGTGGCCGTGGCGGTGATCTCCGTGGCCGTGGTGATCGCCAGACGAACCCGTCGGGGTGGCAGTCTATCCATCTGCGTTAGCACTTCGCTCCAATTGAGAAAGAAGCATACATACCACAGTGACGGTGACGGTAGCGGTGGGGCTGCAACCCTCGCCGTTGCCGGAGGTGACGGGCAGGAGGGTGGCGGTGCTGGTCGAGCCAGACTCCTCGCCGTTGCCGGACTCCGAGGGAGTGGGGGTCTATTGATGTATAGTTAGCACCCAGCTCTTGCTTAGGGAAGCGTTGGGAAGCATACGGCCGTGACGGTGTGGACAGCGGTCGAGGTGCGGTGGATGGTAGTGGTCACCACAGAGGTAGAAGAACCGGTTCCCAGAGTGTAGGTGACGGTGATGTCGCTAGCACCGGCACTGGAGGAGACATCGCTAGAGGCGGAGCTGAAGCCGGGCAGACCGGTGCTGAGACCGGCGCTCGTGGTGGCCGCGCCCGAGGACGAACCGGCACCGACGGCGGACGAGCTGGGGTAGAGAGGAGTGGAGGAAGCCACGCCCGAGGAAGAGGCGGGGGTGGACGAGACCGGGGTAGACGAGACCGCAGTGGAAGAGACAGCGGACGACGAAGGAGAAGACACCGGCAGGCTGGAAGTAGACGAGACCGCCGAGGAGGACGAGGGCTCAGTGCCGTTCAGACCACGGGGGTGGAAGTGACGGGCATGACGAGCGTGAGTGCTGGCGTCGGAACCCACGGCCAGAGCGGCCATCAGGGCCACGGAGAGCTTGTTGGAGAGCTGCATGGTTGCTGGTTTGTTGTTTTCTTTTGTTTTTCTTTCTTTTTTTTTTTTACTTTAGATCGACAAGACAATCAATGTCTGTTCTAGGAGTACGAGAGACCGAAAAGGGAATGGAAGGGCGAAATCGATTCGCAGGCAAGAACCAACCACAAAAGAATGACCGTGGGCGGGGGGGAGAAAGAATGAACGAGGTCTCTGACACTGAGAAGGAAGAGAGAGGAGGAAGAAGAAGAGAAGAAGAAGAAGGAGAGGAGAGAAGGGATTAAAAAGCCGGAGTGGACTGGAGCTGCGAGGAGGGAGATTGCCCTCCTGCACGGCCAGAATCTCTGCTGGTCGACCATTCTAGATCCCCTCGACAATTTCCTTCCAGTTGGAACACAATCAACAGAACCCCCAAAAGAGTCTGACAGGTGGGGCGGTCATCCCGAAATTGATTTCCTGCTGGAGGGGATCCACGGTTGGGTTGGTTTCAGATGCTGGTGTCACTTCATCTGTCGGGTGGGCTGCACGGGGGGGGGGAATGTGTTCATTTTGAGATCCCCTTGATTTCATTTCACCTGCATTGGTCTTGCATGTTGTAATTTGGCCCTTACTGAGGGGAGAGGACATTGGAATGAGCGGAGATTAACTGGGATGCGCGAGCGATGAAAAGATGAGGTATAAAACGAGGAAAAAGTTATAGATCGAGATCGCTGACATAATCAGGACCTGTGGTTGATGAGATTGATTAATATAACACAATATAACATAATATATATATATATATATAAATATATAGATAATATAATCATATAAGGATGATAATAAATAGAGAAGATAATATAATATTGCTCTCAGTTACAGAAGACCAGGTTCAATCAACCTGCGACACTCGATCCTCCACCCCGACCTTTCCGGTTCGCCGCATCTCACTCTCCTCTCTCCACCTCAACTCTCTCCGACTCGTATGGAAGACAACCCAGTCCACCAGGTCTGTCCTTGACCCCCTGAAAAAAGATCTTTCGACATGTCCACTCCTGCCGCTTTCCAGTCGCTCAAAGCGCAGTATGGTTCCACCCTCCATCATTTCATCACCGCGTCCAGGACCTTTGACCTCTGCGCCTCCATCCCGCCATCCACCCCGTCATCATCTCCCGCTCCCTCCCGTCTGTACGTCTTGGACTCCTCCTTTAATCCGCCCACTCTCGCCCATCGGAGAATCGCATGCTCGGCCTTGCGGGAATGTCGGGACTCGTCCAGACCCGTCCGGTTACTGCTCCTCCTAGCGACCCAGAATGCCGATAAGCCCGCCAAACCCGCCTCGTTTGAGGACCGTCTGGCCATGATGGATCTGTTCGCCCAGGATTTGCGCGCCCACCTGGCGAGTCTCCTCCGCGAGGATGGCCACAACGATGCCAGCGAGGAGTCCGCCTTGCCGGCAATCGACATTGGCGTCACCAAGCTGCCGTATTTCATCGACAAGGCGGCGGCCATCGACGCCGCCGGGGTCTATCCCTCCGCCCTGGAGCAGGTCCATCTCACGGGCTACGACACCCTGATCCGGATCTTGGACCCCAAGTACTATCCACCCACCCACACCCTCCAGCCGTTGGTGCCCTTCCTCACCCACCATCGGCTGCGCGTCACCATGCGTCCCGACTCCGAGTGGGGCTCGCGCCGTGACCAGGAGGAGTTCCTGCGCCGTCTGGCCCAGGGCGGTCGGGAGTCCGAGGGTGGTCGTCGGGAATGGGCGCAACGCATCCAGCTGGTCGAGGGTCGACAACCTGGTGATCCGCCTGTTAGCTCGACCCTTGCCCGCCAGGCATGTCTCTCCCACCCTGAGGATCTGGGCGGGCTGGTCCCGGGCCCTGTGCGGCAGTTCCTCCTCACCCAGCATCCTTACTCCAGTAACTGAATCCTCTCGAATGAAGAGGGTGATCGACTCGGAACGCATCATATATATCACCAGGCGACCGGTCGCGCCGTAGTAGTACAGTAATCGTCGTATCATACATATCATACAGAATAGATCGATGGATCGATAGACCGCAAGGATCACGCGATCCATAACATCTGCCACTTTTTTTCTTCTCCCACCCATCCTCGACCCATCCCCTGCCGTGTCCTCATCCCACCATCCTTCCATCCTACCACACCCTACTCATCATCCTCCTCCTCCCTCTTACCCAACGTATAAGCCAGCCCCCCGCCCACCATATTCACCAGACAGAGACCCATAGTCGCCCCGCGGACCATCCCCCGAGCGCCCCATTTCTTCATGAATTGCTGCTTCCGTCGACCCGCCAGCAGCAGGTACAAACCCGACCAGGCTGCCTGGATCCCGGCGCTGTCGGTCTTGAAGCCCTGCAGGTTGGCATAGCTGGTGAAGAGCAGGACGGGCGGGAAGAGCATCGGCAGGGCCTGGAAGGGTCGCATGTACTGCGCCGTGATCAGGGTTGCCAGCAGCGTCGGGGGGAATGGGTTTTCTGAGTAGACATAGTATGTTAGAGGATTGTCTGGATTGAATAACTGGACTGGCAATGGTAAGAGAGGACTCACCTCCCCAGGCTTGGAACTGGCGCACCAGCGTCTGCTTGGTTTCTTGCGCGGTGTCGGGGTTGGAACCGGCCATGGCTGCAATTGTTATTGTGGATAGACAATGAAGAGAATGCGATCGTATTCGAAATATTAGGATGCCTCGTATCCAGACAATTGGAATATAGTCCAGAGAAACGATAGTCAATGACCGAATGACGAAAGAAAGTGCAGTGGATGAGGATCTGACTAACCGCATCCTTCGGGTTTAGCGTTTCCTCCATCAATGGTTCTCCCCTCGGGCCAAACCTCCGCAAAAAGACACCACGTTGATCCATCATCACACTGTCGCTCCTCGCTGTTTCTTCTTTCTGTCTTATCGGGGATTGTTTTCGTACATTTTCCATACCATCCTAACCCTCTCTCCTCCTCCTTCCCACTATCAAACACCACCGGCCAATATCCGCGACCAGCTCCAAAGAAAAAGGACAAAAAACACATCCCCTCCGCACGGCTCCCGCCACCAACTACCCACTCACCCTCTCGTTAGGGAAGCAGTGGTAGTCTCTCCAGGACACACCAGGTCCAGTCGCACGCAAATTCGGTCGATCGATCCACCGCTGCCATGCCGTCCGCCAGCGCGTCCGGTGTCGATAACGGGGGCTCCGCCAAATCCCGCGAGCACAACCAGGGGAACCAGGATCGCAAATACACGCCCGATCAGAAGGCCGCCGTGCTGCGGATCCGGAAATGCGACACCACGGCCTTTTATGAGATCTTGTCGATAGAGAAGTCCGCGACGGATGGCGAGATCAAGAAGGCCTACCGCAAGCAGAGTCTCTTGACGCATCCTGATAAGAATGGGTATGAGGGGGCCGATGAGGCGTTTAAGAGTGAGTTTCGCGTTTTCCCTGGGAATTTGTTTCGATAGTTATATCTATATGAGGGTTCTGTGGGCTGCGTGCTGACAACACCAGTGGTGGCGCGTGCTTTCCAGGTTCTGTCCGACTCCGACAAGAAATCCAAGTATGATAAGTTCGGCGGCGACCCCGACAGTAGGTTTACGCCCAGCGCGGGCCCGTCCGGTGGCTCTCCCTTTGGTGGTTTCGGCGGTGGCTTCCCGCGGTCGTCGGCTGGTGGTGCTGGGTTCGAGGACGAGATCTCGCCCGAGGAGTTGTTCAACCGCTTTTTCAACGGTGGTTTCGGTGGTATGGGAGGTGGCTTCGCTCCGTTTGGTATGTCCCGTTCCCATCCATAAACCCTCCCCTCCCCCGAAATGGGAACGCGACTGACTCGTCCAATCTGCAGGTGGTCCCCAGTTCGTCTTCAACATGGGAGGCGGTCCCGGTTTCCGAGTGCATCAGTTTGGTGGTCCCCGTCCGCGCAGAAGGCCTCGCGAAACCAACGCCCAGTCCGAACCCGCCCCCTCCCCGTGGGCCATTCTCCAGCAACTCCTGCCGCTGATCCTCCTCTTCGTCCTCCCTCTCCTCTCCTCGCTCTTTACCGGCTCCTCCACCCCCGCCGGTCCGTCCTACCGATTTGACCCCGTCCCACCGCACACGCAGCATCGGACCACGCCCCGGCTCAACCTCAACTACTACGTCAACCCCAGCGACGTCGATGACTACAGCAACCGCAAATTCCGCCAGTTGGACCAACGCGTGGAGGTGGACTACGTCTCCAAACTACGGTACGAATGCGAGAGCGAGGTGCTAGCGCGGGACCGGATGATCCAAGACGCCCAAGGCTGGTTCTTCCCGGATGTCGAGAAGATGAAGGAGGCGCGGTCGTTGGAGTTGAAGAGCTGCCGACGGTTAGATGCGCTCAAGGGGAAATTCTGATAGAGGGCCGAGTTCTGTGATGCCGTCGCGCCCTTTCGGTGTTATAATTAATGTTCTCCTTTTGCTTTCCGACTCTCCCCTAATGTCTTTCTTCCTCATGTGTTTTGTTTTAGATGATGTCCATACGTGTTTTTTTGACGGCGTCTTGGGTGAACTGGTGGCGGTTGCCCCAGGCCAGTCCTTCTGTACATGGAAATACCAATCGAGAACCATTACCGACTATCTCGCCTCTAAGTAGTCTATATTTTATATCTGCATATAATCGTATATATTGAACATATTCATATTGCAATGTCTAATACTAAGAACTGGCTGCTTAGTTAATCCGACCCGCTCACATAATCAGTGCCTGGCGAATCTCACAAACCATCACCGAAGCATTTGTCGTCCTCCATCAACCCTTCTTCCCTGTCTCCGATTCCCCGAGATTCATTTCGTCGTGGGTTTCTTCGTGGTATCAATATTCTTGTGTCGGGGTTGATCCATTCCTCTCGTTGTCGACTCTCCCCGTGGACTGGTCGTTGCACTCACACCGTGCCCCGGCCGTCACAACCGATTCTCCGCACTGTTTGCCCCGCCGATTCGACCCAGTACGTGAGGAGACTAGCCAGCTAGTTCTCTTGCGTCGTCTATCGTCAGAAGAAAATGGCGGATAATATGTCAGACGCGGAGAAGGTTAGTGGCACCGACGGTGACTGTTTCGCCGAACGCACAGCTGATACAACCGTGTTATAGATCCGCAACAAGCGGTTGGCAAAACTCGGCAATCCGCCACCGTCCCAGTCTCAAGGCGCAGGAGAGTCCGCATCCAGCTCGTCGCCTTCGTCGCCACAGTCGACTTCCGCCGATGCGCCGTCGCGATCAGAGCCCAAGGCCCCGTCGCAGCAGCCGCCCCCGCAGTCCGACGAAAAGCGCGTCAAGATCACTCCCTCCGGCGGGAGAGCAACCCCCGACCGATCACACAATGTCACCCCCGTCTCCTCCACGCCGCCGCCGCCCAAGGCCGAGGAGAGCCTCGCCGCGTTCGAGGACCGCACCTGGTGTGCCGTGTTCAAGCTGACGTTGAATGAGGAGCGTGCGCGGGACATCCATGGTCAGAAGCTGGCGTATTTGCCGGGTCTGCGAAGCGAACTTGAGAGCCAGGGTCAGGAGCTGCGTGTGGACGCGTCCAACTTGGATCAGGCCTTGCTGGAGGCCGCATCGAATGCGCCCCGGCAGCAGCCGTTGGATTATCTGCTCCCGTGCTGGAAGAGGATCGCGAAACTGCATAAGGGTTTCCGTCGCGCTGGGGATGGTGATCCTAAGTTTGGCGCCATCTGCGAGGCTAGGCGCTTGTGTATCAGCTACTGTCTGTTTGCGATCACGATGCCCGAGATGTTTGGGTATGTTCCCCTCTCCCTCCTGGCGCTGCTTTGGTGAATGAAAGTTGGGTATGAGACTGACGGGGCCACGTTGGTTTTGATCAGGCTTGAACCGTCCGCACAGTCGCCTCTTCGGCCCTATCTGCTGTTGGAACCCGAAGACGACAAGGGCGTGGACTTTGAGTTCATGAGCGAGGCTGTGAAGCGGTTCGACGAGGATGAGAACATCAAACCGGCCTTCATTGCTGCCGTGGAGGGGCTGAGTCGCGAGCTGGCCGAGATGAGCATCAACGATGACTACAAACCCTATGTCCTGGTATGCGAGATCGACCCTGTGCATGGTCTGGATCGATTTGCTTACGAGGATAATGACAGGCGCTGCGCAATCTCGTTCGCCATGCGGTCATCGGCGCCGCACTGACCGAGTCGGAGATCTTCAACGCGTCTCGCGATCCCGCGACGTTCGAGAAGAACACCCTGCTGGGCCCCTGGTTTGCCCTGTCGCCGCTGCAGAGCAGTGTCACCATGTCATACTTTTCCAGTCCGAAGACGAGAGACCAGTCGTATATCCTGAACGCGCAAAAATCACTCCGCATGATGCAGCAGATTCTCAGCTCGGACCTGCTGGATATCGTCAACCACATGATCAGGTCGTCGAAGGACGCCCGGGAACGCATCCTCGACTGGGTTGCCACGGCGTTGAACATCAACCACAAGCGACGAGCCATGCAGGTCGACCCCAACACGGTCTCGTCGGACGGGTTCATGTTCAACCTCACCACATGTCTGGACCATCTCTGTGAGCCGTTCATGGATGCGAGCTTCACCAAGGTAGGCGTCTCATGTCGCTTCGTGCGACTCCCTGCAATGTTGCCATGTATCTGACCTGCGGTAGATCGACCGGATTGACGTGGCGTACCTGCGTCGAAACCCCCGCGTGGATCTGAGGGACGAGACAAAACTGAACGCCGATCAGCATGCGTCCGACGCGTATTACTCGCAGAAGGAAGATGGCGTCTCCAACTTCATCACGGAGATCTTCTTCCTGACGGTCGCCGCACACCACTACGGCAGCGAGTCCCTCACGGCCAAGATCGAGCAGCTGGAGAAGGACCTGAAACACATGCAATCCACCATTGACCGGTTCGAATCCGAGCGACCCCGGTGGGCGTCCAATCCCACGCAGCTGCGGGTGTTTGAGCAGGCTTTGAAGAAGTACAAGGACAAGCTAGACCTCGGGATGGCGTTGAAATACAGCCTGCAGGGGGTGCTGTTCGACGAGCAGTGGCAGGCCCGCTCCATGTTGTTCATGCGCTACGTCACCGTGTGGCTGCTGAGGCTGATCTCCGGGAAAGATTTCCCGCGGGAGCAGATCAAGCTCCCCCTGGCGGAAGAGCAGCCGGAAGTGTCCCGATGCCTGCCGGAATACTTCCTAGAAGACATCGTCAGCAACTTCAAGTTCATCATGTGGTGCATGCCGCAGATCATCACCGCCACGCAAGGCGACGAGCTGGTCATGCTCTGCATCACCCTCCTCGAGACCACGAGCTACATCAAGAACCCGTACCTCAAGGCAGGCCTCGTGTCGATCCTCTTCCGGGGGACATGGCCCCGCCCCGGCGGCGCCCGCGGGGTCCTGGTCGACCTGCTCAACTCGATGCCCTTCGCCAACGACTACCTGCTGCACGCGCTGATGAAGTTCTACATCGAGGCGGAGCACACAGGCACGCACACGCAGTTCTTCGACAAGTTCAACATCCGCTACGAGATCTTCCAGATCATCAAGTGCATCTGGCCGAACACGCTCTACCGCAACAAGCTCTACAACCAGTCGCAGAAGAACCACGACTTCTTCGTCCAATATGTCAACCTGCTCCTCAACGACGTGACCTTCGTGCTCGACGAGTCCTTCGGCGCCTTCATCACCATCCACAAGACGCAGACGGAGCTCAGCCGCGACGGCGCAAGCATGGACGCGCAGACGCGCCAGCAGAAAGAGGAACACCTGGCGTCCGCACAGCGCAACGCCAAATCCTACATGCAGCTTACAAACGAGACGGTCTCCATGCTCAAGCTGTTCACCGACGCACTAGCCGAGTCCTTCACAATGCCCGAAATCGTCCAGCGTCTCGCAGACATGCTCGACTACAACCTCGACGCCATGGTCGGGCCCAAGAGCGCCAGCCTCCGCGTCGACAACATCCAGCAGTACGGGTTCAACCCGCGCGCGCTCCTCAGCGAGATCGTCGACGTCTACCTCAACCTAAGGAAGAAGGAGGCCTTCGTGGTGGCAGTCGCCCGCGACGGCCGGTCCTACAAGCCGGCGAACTTTGAGAAAGCGGCAGACATCCTCCGCAAGTGGTCGCTGAAATCTCCGGAGGAGCTCAAGCGGTGGGAGATCCTGCAGGGTAAATTCCGCGACGCGAAGGCCGCTGACGACCAGGCGGAGGAGGACCTCGGCGAGGTTCCGGATGAGTTCCTTGACCCGCTGATGTACACGCTCATGGAGGACCCGGTTATATTGCCGGCGTCGAAGATGTCTATCGACCGGTCTACGCTCCGGTCGCATCTTCTGAGCGATCCGCATGATCCGTTTAATAGGACCCCGTTGACGATGGAGGATGTTGCACCTGGTTAGTCTTCTTCTTTCTTTTCTTTGCCCTCTTCACCTCCTTGACCCTGCACAATACTCTCTCCATGCCATGCTAACTAAGTTACTTGCAGACACCGAATTAAAAGCCAAAATCCAAGCATTCAAGATGGAGAAATTGACCGAACGGAGGAACGAGCGGGCACAAGCCGGGGGCGAGGGATTGGACCAGATGGATACTTCCGGTTAACATAGATAATGTTTTATTCTCTCTTTCTTGTTTAGATTACTGGTCTGGTGTTCATGATGATGGTAAAAGAACAATGGCATGCTTCAACACAGATATGGATGTACGTACCAATGAGGTAAGTGGGTCAATTTATAGTATATCACGTGATATCAATATAAGGGGTGACATCACGGCTTTATCTAACCCTCCCTCTAATCTACCTTGATCTACTCTGCATGTTTTGATTGTATAGCATTGCTATCGTGTCTACATATCAATCACCATGGGCGCTATCTCATCTACCATCCAATCCCTCCCCCCACTGGGGGATTTCATCCGGCTCACGCCAGATGCTTACAGGGTAGCTCTCAACATCTTCCAATACTTTCCACTGGTGAGCTTCCCCTCCATATCAAAATGAACAGATCCCAGTCTAGTGCATCATCATATGCAATGCAACCCCAACCTAGCCCATACCAAACCAAACCAACCCAACCCAACCCAACCCAACCCAACAAACTCACTAACAAATGCAAAAAAAAAAAAGTTCACAACCCTCGAATGGCTCACCCCCTACTACCCCGCCGGCAAAAGCTCCCTCCCAAAAGCCACCCTCAACATCCCCGGCCGCCTCGGCTGGATGCTAATGGAGCTGATCGGCCCCCTCAACCTGCTTTACATACTACGCACACAATGCTCCAACCTCGGAATCGACTCTCTGCCCCTCCCCAACAAACTCGTCGTCGCGCTTTACCTCATCCACTACGTGAACCGCGCGATCGTGTCGCCCTTGATGGCGCCCAGCGTGTCGCCTACGCATGTGTTTATCGTGGCGTCGGCTGTTTGCTTCAATTGGTTGAATTCGACTTGTTTGGCGGGGTGGGTGCTTGGGTATGAGGTTTTGTGGGAGGGGTTTGAGGATCTGGCTTCTTCGGGTGCTGCCGTGTCGGCTGGGAATGGGAATTCGACGGCGGTGTGGGTTACGTCTCTGCTGGGGACGCTGGTGTTTGCGCTGGGTATGGCGGGGAATATTTATTCGGAGAGGACGCTTTTCCGTCTGCGTCGGGAGGAAGTCGCCAAACGTTCTTCCTCCTCATCTTCATCTACCTCCTCCTCAGCCCCCACCGAAGAGAAAACCACCTCTACACCCAAAGACACCACCAACAAGGAGTCAAAGAATAAATACTCCAAAGTCTACGTCATCCCCCCGCCCAAAGGCCCCTTCACCTCAATTCTCTACCCGCACTACGTCTTCGAATGGGCCGAATGGTTCGGTTTCGCTCTCGCCGGCACAGCAATCCAGCCACTTCTCATTCCCTCCTTGCTCGCAGGTATCGGGTCCAAGACGGCTGTCACGGCTGTGTCGCCGCTGCGCCTGGCCCCGTGGTTTGTGCCGGCTGCGAAGGTGGCTGGTGCGCTTGGTGTGCCGTTGCCGCTGGCGGGGTTGGCGTTTGCTGTGAATACGGTGGCGAATCTGTTGCCGCATGCGAGGTGGGGACGGAAGTGGTATGTTGGGAGGTTTGGGGAGGAGGGGGTTAAGGGGAGGGGGGCGGTGGTGCCTTGGTGTCCGTGGCTCTAGGTTTCTGTCTTGGGGGATGTAAATGGAGATAGACCCTTGTGAGGTGAATGATGGATGGTCTACGCTTATAGGTCTACAGGGAGGTAATAAACAATTACATATGAAACACATAGTTATAATTAATCTAAGCCTAGGCAATCCTGAGGCAATATGTTGAAATTTGAATTTCCATGTTGAAATAACTCCATCCCGGTATCTCTAGTACAAACCATGAACCCATATGTTGAACTTTTGGTATCATCATCGTAACTCATCACACAAAAACACGAGACCCTAGCGGTGACGGGTTGAGAATGTCACCGCATTGGCAGGCAGCGGTTGTTAGGTTTGCACATATTTATTTGGCATACTTCTGGCGGAAGGCCTTGGCCGCGTTGACCATGTTGGTCAGGGCGGCCTTGGTCTCGGGCCACTGGCGCGTCTTCAGACCGCAGTCGGGGTTGACCCAGAGCTGGTCGGGGCGCAGGTACTGGAGCATCTCATCGAGGCGGTCCTTGATCTCCTGCTCGCTGGGGACACGGGGCGAGTGGATGTCGTACACACCGGGGCCGATGTGGCGGGGGTAGGCCTCGTCGATGAAGACCTTGAGGAGCTTGGCGTCCGACTTGCTGTTCTCGATGGAGAGCACGTCGGCGTCCAGGGCGGCGATGGCGTGGAAGAAGTCCTGGAACTCGGAGTAGCAGAAGTGGGAGTGGATCTGGGTGCCGTCGGTGACGCCGGCGGTGGCCAGGCGGAAGGCCTTGACGGCCCACTGCAGGTACTTCTCGCGCTCGGAGCCGGTGCGCAGGGGCAGACCCTCACGGAGGGCGGGCTCGTCGACCTGGATGACCTTGATGCCGGCGGCCTCGAGGTCGACGACCTCGTCGCGGAGGGCCAGGGCCAGCTGCTGGGCCTGGACGGACTGGTGCACGTCGTCACGGGGGAACGACCAGCGCAGACAGGTGATGGGGCCCGTGAGCATGCCCTTCATGGGCTTGTTGGCGACCGAGACGGCGTACTTGGACTCCTTGACGGTCATGGGGGCGGGACGGGAGATGTCACCGACGATGATGGGGGGACGCACGCAGCGGGAGCCGTAGCTCTGGACCCAGGCGTGGGTGGTGAAGACGTAGCCGGTCAAGCGCTCACCGAAGTACTGCACCATGTCGTTACGCTCGGGCTCACCGTGGACGAGCACGTCGAGGTCGAGCTCCTCCTGGATCTTGACGACCTCGCGGATCTCCTTCTCGATGAACTGCTCGTACTCGGCGGGGGTGATCTCGCCCTTGGTGAACTTGTTACGCTGGATACGGATCTCCTTGGTCTGGGGGAAGGAGCCGATGGTGGTGGTGGGGAAGAGGGGCAGGTTGATGGTCTTGCTCTGCTCGGCGATACGGGTAGTGAACTCGGACTTGCGGTTGTGCATGGCGTCGGAGACGGCGGCCTGGCGCTCCTTCACCTGGGGGTCGTTGGTGCGCTTGGAGGAGGCACGCGACTGGACGGAGGCGGCGTTGGCCTCGAGCTGCTCCTTGACGGCGGCGGGGCCCTCGGTGACGGCCTTGGCGATGACGACGACCTCGGCGGTCTTCTCGACGGCGAAGCTGAACCAGTCACGGACCTCGGCGTCGAGGGTCTTCTCGCTGGCGAGAGTGTGGGGGACGTGCAGCAGAGAGCTGGAGGTGGCAACGATGACACGGTCCTTGCCGAGCTTCTGGATGGCCAGCTCGACCTTGGCGATGGCGGCCTGGAAGTTGGTCTTCCAGATGTTACGGCCGTCAACGACACCAGCGGAGAGGACCTGGTTGGGGCCAAGGGCACCAACGACGGTGTCGAGCTGCTCGGGGTGGCGGACCAGGTCGACGTGGATGCCGTGGAGGCTGTGCAGGGCGGGGAGAACCTCGATGTTGTGGACGATGTCACCGAAGTAGGTGGCGAGGAGCAGGCGGGGGGCGGAAGCACCCAGGGAGCCGAGCTTCTCATAGGCGGGCTTGAAGGCAGCCTTGGACTTCTCGGGGAGGTCGAAGACCAGGACGGGCTCATCGATCTGGACATCGGTGGCACCGGCCTCCTTGAGCTTGGTCAGGAGCTCGACGTAGGCGGGGAGCAGGGCATCGATCTTGGAGATGGGGTCCAGAGTCTGGCCACGGTCGGCCTTGGCGAGGGTCAGGAAAGAGACGGGACCCAGGATGACGGGGCGGGTGATGACGCCAGCCTCCTTGGCCTCCAGGAACTCGCGGACGGGCTTAGGGTCGGCGTTCAGCTTGAAAGTCTGGGTGTCCTGAAGGGTGGGCTTGACGTAGTGGTAGTTCGAGTCGAACCACTTGACCATTTCCTGTGTGATATTAGCCTTGCACTATAGGGGGAGTACTGCATTCTATATGGAGAGAACATACCAAAGAGGGAACGTCAATGGCCTCCTGGCCATCCTTGGCGGGCTTCTGGAGACCACGGCCCATGGCGAAGTACTCGTCCACGGGGTGGAGACCATACTTGCTGTAGCGCTCGGGGATGACACCGAAGAGCTGGATGTGGTCGAGGACCTGATCGTAGAAGGCAAAGTCGTTGCTGGGGATGACGTCGACGCCGGCATCCTTCTGGATCTTCCAGTGCTCGCTACGGAGTCTCTTACCCTCGGCGAGAAGCTCATCGCGAGAGATCTTGTCACCCCAGTACGCCTCGGTGGCCTTCTTGAGGTCACGCAGGCGTCCCATACGGGGGAAACCGAGAACGGAGCTGAAGATGGACAGTCAGTCATTGGATCAGACCAAAGATGATCCCAGGGGTGTTGAGAGGGTACTCACGATTGAACCATTCTGACTGATGTAAAGGGGGAAGAGGAGAAAAAGAGGTGAGAAGAAAGTAAACAAGAGACAATCCAGAGATCTCTTGATAGGGGGAGGAAGAGAAGAAAAGGGAGAGATGAAGAGAAGAAGAAGAAAGGAGAAGAAGAGAAGAGAAGAGAAAAGGAGGGGAGGCCGAAGAAATAAGAAGAAAGGGAGGGGAAGAAAGAGGGGTGGAGGGGGACCGATTCTTCCTGACAGAATTCCAAACCTGCCCCTCCGATCGTCCTGGATGGAAGTACTGGAAGTACCGGGACCGAACCGTACCGTACCTGACCGTATTGTGTACCCCGGTCTGTCAGGAGATTGACCAATCATGTTGTAGATTTGTGCAATGATCAACCAATCAAATCAGACTGTCAATACAAGCGTTTGATCGTCATGAAAGTTACGGTCAGAATACCGCAGACCAATCCCCGGAGCGACCAATGGCGTGATACCCAAGCTGTGCTCTCCACACTAATCCCCATTAGGATAGAGAGGTCCGGGATCGGCCTGTTTCCTTCGACTACTCAATACACACTACTAATCTCTATCTTCGATCGGGCTTCATCTTAATCTGACTGTATTCGGCGACTTTCTGCCTATTGAAGCGAGTATCCACTTCCTTCTCTCAATCCCTGGATTCGCCTCCACGTCGGCAATGGCTCTCTACTACTCGGGGCTTTCCAAGTCCCTCCATCACGTTGACCTAGAACCAGACCCTCCCATATACAACATGGATAGGAAAGAGGAATTTCGAGCCTTTTGAAAAGTCCAGGGAATCATTGGAACATGCTTTCCCAGTTTCTAAATCGAGCAACTCGAATCCTACCTTTGAGATGAGAGTCTAACCCACCAACATGTCAACATCCGTGCCGCACTGGACATGTACAAGACCGGACAGCTGGAGTACGGATACAAGTTTATTACTCTTGTCATCCAACGGCCTCAGAATCTGGATGAAAACCCAGGGTTAAGCTGACTGTATTCGGTGAATTTCTACCTATTAACCTCAGTACCCACTTTCAATCCCCTCCCTCAATCTCTGGATTCGCGTCTCCAGGTCGGCAACCGCTATCTCCTGCTGTCGGGGCTTCTCAAGATCCTTCTCTGTCACGTTGAACTGGAACCAGACCCCTCCTTCATATCTGGGTTCGAAGCCGAACGCGGGGATTCCCTTACCCGCCTCCACTGCTTCAAGCGTGGCCCGGAGGAGTGAGATCTTGGTGGCATATTCCCCGGGGACAGGGACGAACATGTATATGCGGAAGCAGCCTGCATGACGGGGAAGATAGAAGGGGTCGAGGTCGTACACCGTGTCGGAATATATAAATAAGGGCATGGTGGTCACTTGCCTTGGAACTAATCATTAACAGATGGATTTTGTTTGATAACTGGTGGATTGGATGAATGGGGATTGGATAAACTGGGATAGACTAATCTACAGATGGGCGTCCTGGACATTTATACCCGACACACTGCACGAAGAGTCAAATACCCGCGAAGATGGCACACTCAATCAGACAAAGACAAACACAAAAAGAAAGATCCCAAGAAAGAATGAAAGAATGAAAGAGATAATGCTAGGGTATAAAGAGAACAAGCCCATAGTCAAGACACTCTACCCATGCAAGACAATACTCTACCCATACAAAATCTCCACCATCCACTCATATCCCCACCACACGCAAAATCCGCATCTTCAGCTCCGCCATCGCTTCCAAGCGCAGTCGGGGCTCAATAAGTCCCTCCTCTACCACATCAAACCGGAACCAGACCCCTCCCGCACGCATGACATCTATACCGGTCGCGGAGATCCCCTCGCCCGCTCTCACGGTGGAAAGCATGGCCTGGAGGAGGGACACCTGGGTGAAGTAGTACCCTGTGAGCGGCACGAACATGAACCGTCGGAAGACGCCCGCCTGGCAGCGTGTAAACCCGCGGTCAAGGTTGACTACCGTGTTGGAGTCAATGTGATAACCACGGTAAGACATGGTTGCTTACTTTTAGGCTGGTTGATTGATCGATTGATGGGCTTTCTACTGATGGATTGAATGGAATGGGTGAACAAAGATGAACGGGATACATTGGTAATTGATTAATCTACAGATAGGCATCCTGGGTATTTATACCCCGACAAATCTGCAGTTCCGGATAACAATATGAAAGCATTCAATCAGACAAAGAAGGTCTACAGAAAGAACGAAAGAACGAAAGACAGAAAGAACATCCCCATAATCAAGATGCTATATCCATGCGAGATGTCCACTCACTCAACTCCATCAAGCCCAAGATCCTCTTCTCTAGATCCGCCACCGCTTCCAGGTGCTGTCGGGGCTCGATAAGCCCCTCTTCCGTCACGATGAACTGGAACCAGACCCCGCCCAAACGCGTGTCATCTACTTGGACCCCGCCGATCCCCTCGCCTGCCTGCACGGTCTGAAACATGGCCTGGAGGAGGGACTCTAGGGTGAGGTAATCCCCAACGAGCGGCACAAACATGTACCGTCGGAAGAGGCCCGGCGGACAGGGGACAAACTTGGTATCAATGTTGATCGCTGTGTTGGGATTGATGTAGTAGCCTCGATGAGAGACCATGGTTGCTTACCTTTGAATTACTTGGTTGGTTGGTTGGTTAACAGATAGATAGATTTACGATCGATGAACTAGATGGAACGGATCAACAAACTGAACTAGATAAACTGGGTATAGACGGATCTACAGTGGGCATCATGGGTATTTATACCCTGCTCACTATACGCAAAGACTCGGACAGCAACATGAAAACACTCAATAGGACAAAGAAGAACCACAAAAAGAAAGAAAGAACAGACAACCCCATAGTCAAGGTACCCTACTCATGCAAAATCCTACCATTCAATCCAAATCTATCAAACGCAGGATCCGCGACTTCAGCTCCGCCATCGCTTCCAGGTGCAATCGGGGCCCGTCAAGTCCCTCTTCGGTCACATTGAACCGGAACCAGACCCCTCCCACACGCGCATTCATGTTGCGAGCGGCGAATCCCTCGCCCGCTTTCACATCTATAAGCATGGCGTCTAGAAGGGCCTCCAGGGTGAGGAAAACCCCGGTGACCGGCACAAACATGTGTAGTTGGTACATGCCCTCCGGGCAGGGAGCATCCTCAGGGTCGAGGTTGGTCACTGTGTCGCAGCCGATGTAGTAGCCTGGAGGGATGGGCATGGTTGCTTACCTTTGGACTGGTTGATTGATGGTTAGCAGGTAGATGGGCTTTCGAGTAATGAACTGGATGGATGGATAGATGAGCTGGATAGCCTGGATATGGATTAATCTACAGATGAGCATCAGGATGGATATTTATACTCTGACACTATGCAGATATGAATAGCAAGATGAATGCATTCCACCGGACAAAGAAAACTCCAGAATGGATGAATGAAAAGAAACAACCGCCTTTTGAATATTAAGAGGACAAGCCATAGTCAAGGTCCATCCCTGTACAGGAAGGAGCCGGTCGGTTCTTTCTTCTTTCATCACGACAATGGCCATGACCCCGAACCATCACCGTCAATTCCATTGACAGACTTCACTTCATACAACCTACTACCACAGACACATCCCCCTGCAACCCATCAGAAGAGATGACTGTCTCCGCGCTGCTCTCCTTTTGTCCTCGCTTCCGAGGGGGCAGATCCACGTCTGGGTCCACCCTCATCCATGATGCCCACGATCCACCGGCGATCGATCCTCTGGAAAGTGCCCATCTAGCAAGAAATACTAGTCGTACATCCTCCTCCTCCGACTCGGTCGATGCCCCCAGACTCCATCGCCCCAGTGACTCGTCTAGCGGTCTCTCCAAGAAGCTGCGCAAACGCTTCTCCCGGGAAGGAAAAGGCTCCATCTTTCCCTTTGCCAGATCCACCGGCCTCAACGCCGCTCCCATCGCCTCAGGCGACGTGGGGAGTAGTCTGATGAGCGAGAGAGGTTATGATAGTGACGCTCAATTCATATCCACCCCAAAACAGCCCAAGCACACCCCCGACCACCCCTCCTCGACCGGCACGGGAGAGAACGGCGCTCCACACCAACAGGGAAAGAGCGAGCCGCTGGGTGTCCTGGTGGAAGAGCACAGCAGGACTGAAAGTGAGAATTCGGGGATCTTTCCCAGGAACGGCGACAGAACGAAATCGTTCCTGTCCTGGGGACATGGACGCCTGCAATGTTCCCCCAAGTTAGACCTGGTGGGCCTCGATCGACTCCCATCGAGTGTGGTTGATCCGCTACAAGACCCAGAGCCAAGTGACAATGGTGCCACAACAGCGGAGAACGATTTGCCCATGCCCAATGTCCGTCATTCGAGACTGCAGACGGACATCCCCAGCGCCTCGCTGCCGCTGGGCCCCAATAGCGGCCGTCTGTACTCGTCGGTCCCCTGTCGCGGGCATCCCCACCTAGTCTCCCCCGTGCCTCGGGGCTACAGGGTATCCACCGACTCCTCGAGAGGGACCCCGGATATTGTGATCCCCAGAACGCGAAATCGGCTTTCGGCGCAGCTGGTTGGGCCTGCCAGTTCGCCTCATCTGCAGGACATGAATATCCCACACATGCTGGCGACGACCTCCATCTCTTCCCCGCTTCGGTCCAAAGCCCAGTCGCTGGATGACAGGATGATGGACAACAATGAAGATACCAGGCACCTGTCTCCTCCATCCGGCACGCGGAAAGAGCGGGGACAACCAGAAGTGCGAGTCATTCGCATGGCCACACCGTCCAGTTTTTCAACAGCCACCAATTACTCTGATGGCGGAGCGAGTACTTCCCAGGGCAAATTTACGGAGCATTTTGAGTTCAACCCGTCGACCGTATCCCTCAAGCCAGATTGTCAAAGTGAAGTGGGTTCTTCCTGCAGTGTCAGCGTCGGATGGTTATCGGGAGGACGTCGCATGGGCTATGGGTACGCGTTGGTTCCTTCTACCAACGACAGGCCATCCCAAGATGGCAGTGTGGGGCCTATGATTGATGACGCGGACGCATCTCATCAAAGAGCAGTTGGAAACCAATCCTCTGTCTCAGCCGGCAGAGATACTTCGGACGAGAATGTGCGGACATCTTCAAAAACAGCGTCGTCGAGTCTCAATGTTCCAGGCTTCGCCCGTCGCTGGAGCCCCCGCAACCGGCCTGGGATTCCGTGCTATAAGCCAACTAGTATCCATAGCACAGGCGGGGAGTCACCTTCCCTGTGGGACAGAATATCACACTGGAGGGGGAACCAGGACACCCGGGAAGCGGTGGAGACAGACTTAATACCCCCCTGGGCTCACTTTTGCGGCGTTGGTCCAGCAAGCCCGGCATCGCAGAGTCAACAGAGGACCGCATCTGCCACCACCAAGAACACCGAAGGACCCCTTTCAAAGCGGCAAGTGAGACTCCGCCGCGCCAAAAGTCTCTGGGCCAAGAGGCGCGGGGTGGCCGAACGGATCTCTAGTCTGGACGCAAAAGCGCCCATCCGAAAGGGTTCGAAAGAGGCATATCCCGTTGTCCGGAGACGGGCTTCGCGGGGAATTCGGTTCAAAGTCCGGGCTCGCAAGGGGCGTCATAGCACGGACGAGAGTGACAACGTTCCGATCATTCCGGCTCGAAATTCTGGGGACACTGGGGTCTCGCAGGTGTCGCACGAAATGACCATGCCGGAACCCGGTCAGGGCGAGTGGCAGGAGCGCCTCAGCGACGAGACCGTGGTGAGCGAATGGGATGCGTACCAGGACTGTGTCGAAACGCAGTGACCAGATAAACTTGGAGATGGAGAGCAGTTGGACAGCAGTTGGTGTCTGCCGGAGAGCATGGACGGGCGGTAAAGAATGAAAGTAGAATGAAAGCATCGATCAAGAAATTTCTACATGTCGATTAAAAAGTGTAATGAATCCCATCCAGTCCGTCAACGCCTATCCCATCCATCCCAGTCGTACATAGGTATCTTACAGCACAAAGAACACACGCATATAAACAATCAATCCGGAAGACACGCCTAGTATCCGAAAGACACACCTATTTCCGCTGCCTCTTCGAGCTCTTATCACTCCCATTGCTCAAAACACTAGCAGACCGCTTCTGCGACGTAGACGGCGCCTCCACAGCCTTACTGTCAGCATCACCCGCTGAGTTCTTGTCTCCCCCAGCAGTAGAAGTAGTAGTACCATTAGCCGCAGCAGCAGTATCAGTAGACTCCGGCGGCAACTGATCATCCTGCTGCTCAGTCTTAACAGGCTTCTCCTTATCCTTATCCTTAGCCTCGCGAGCATCCCGAGAAGCTTCCAGCACGCGGATCTCGCTCTCGACCTTCTCAGCGACCTTGCGCGCGTCGAGCAGCAGGTTAACCGAGTGGATCAGCTTTTCGAAGCCCTTGCAGACTCGTTCGGTGGGCATCACTAGTCGGAGGGGCACTTCCAGTTCGGCGAGGGCGCCGGCTAGCTTTTGTGTTTGGACGTTGGATTTGGCTTGGGTGAGCTTTTGGGCGCGGTCGCTGCGGAATTGGACGCCTGGTGCGAGGCGCTCGTGGTGCTGGACGCCGTAGCGGGATTCTTCGGTCGCTGTGAGCGTTTTGGTGGCTTGTTGCGCTTCTTTGTTGGCGGCTGCTGCTGCCGCTGCTATGGCCTTCTTGTTTGTGGGTCCGCCCGCGGCGCCTCCGGCTGCTGCGGCGGCGGCGGCGGCGACTGTGCTGGGGGTGCCGGCTCGGCTGTCGCGGGCGTTGGTGGGTGCGTTGGAGGTTGGTGTTTGGCTGGCGGGGCTGGCTGCGGCGCCGGCTTCGGCGCCGAGGATGGAGCGGCGTTTCTTGGTCTTGTCTGCTTGGAGGAGTGTTTGCAGGAGTTGGGAGAGGCCCTGGCTGGATTGGTACATGGTGGTGTTGCCGACGCTGACGGGGACTTCGAGACGCGTGTAGAGCTCGCGACGGTCGTTGATGAACTCTTGCTCGCTGGCGGTGATGCGCTTCAGTTCCTCGAGGAGGATGCTCTCCTCGCGGACTTCGTCGGCCGTGCGGTTCAGCTGCAGGGCTGCTAGCTCCTTGCGGGCGCGTTCCCGGTCCGCGTCGAACTTCATCATCTTCTCGTGCAGGTCGAACTCCGCTTCGGACATTTCGGATGGCGGGTGCTCGAGGGCTAGCATGGACGCGGATACGAAATAGTACCGCCCCTTCATCTGTTCCATGGTGCGGACCCGCTTGGCCGGCACGAGCGCGCCGGTGTTGGCCTCCGCGTCGACCGGTTGCGGTTGGAAGTCGTAGCGGTCGGCGATTACCACCCAGCGCAGGTCATACTCCTCGACCAGGTCCACCAGGTAATCCGTCTCCTGCCGCGACCAGTCGTCGTTCTTCAGGTGGCGGTTGTACTCTTCGTCGGTGTAATGTCGTGGTACACGCGCCTTGATGTTGTATTTGGCGAACAAGGATTCCTGTCCTAGGGCCTGGGGTGTGTTTTCTTCTTCTTTCGGTCCGTCAACCTCCATCGCCGGTCCTTCGAGTGCTGGGGCTTTGGACACTTCGGGTTGGCGCTGCCAGTGATTGAGAATGAGGCCGTCCGATCGAGCGCTATTGGAGAAGGGAGTCATGCGCCTAGAGATCACAGATGGTCAGAAGTGCCGCTGATATCAGTGTGAAGCGAACAGAGCATACCATGGGCGCACTCTCAGCTTGCTCATCCATTTCGGTCGGCCCTTGTATCGGTTCTCGCTGATGGCGATGGGAGGGGCCCTTTCGCCGAGAAGGGCAAAGAGCTCTCGGGTAATACCCTCTGCAGACATCCATTAGCCTTTGATACTCCAGGCCATCTTTTTATTCTCCAGACGTAACCCACCTGGCCTTTTCTCGACGACTTTCTGCTTCTTATGCGGTCGCGGCTGGCCCTCCGCGGGCAAATCCAGCATGTCCCGAACATCGGCGGCGGCCATGGCGGGGCCAGTGGGGTGGGTATCTCAAATAAACTGAATAAAATATAAAGAAAATACACCGAATCGGTCTGGCGTAAAAGATGGAGATAGAAGCGATGGAGTGGGGAGTATCAAGAAGGAGAAGGAGGCGGAGAAGAGACGCAAAGGGAAGAGAGAGAAATGAGTCGCGCCAAGACCGACTCCCGTTGGAGCCAGATCGATCAACCAACAAACAACTTCATCTTCCCATCTCCCTCTCTCCACCACAACCCTCGAGTCTCCTCTCCCACCACCCCTTTTGATCTCTCTCTCTCCTCATCATGGCTCGGTCCAATCCCTCAGCCTCATGGCTGTCCTCTCTGGTGGCCCTGTGTGTCATCCTGTGTCTCTCCGTGCCCACCAACGCCCTCTACTTCTATATGGACGGTCGTCAATCCAAGTGTTTCCTGGAGGAGCTGCCCAAGGACACCCTCGTCGCTGGTACGCCTTCTCTTTTCTGCCAATCTGACATGGAATACGTTTGTTAACACGGTATAAAAAAAATCAGGAAAATACTCCACCGAAGTCATCAACACCCAAACAAACACCTACGAAGTCGACGCCGGCCTGAAAGTCCTCATCACCGTGGACGAGATCTTTGACAACGACCACCGTGTCGTTTCCAAGCGCGACAACCACGCCGGCCGTTTTACCTTCTCCGCCGCCGATGCCGGCCAGCACAAGATCTGCCTGACGCCCGAGACCAACGTCGCGGTGTGGATGTCCGGTGCCCCGGGGGCCCTCCGCGTCACGCTCGACATGGCTATCGGCGAGACCAGCAAGATCGAGACGGAGGATAAGGGTAAGATTCAAGATATTGTGCAGAAGGTTAAGGACTTGAATGGTCGGTTGCAGGATATCCGCCGGGAGCAGGTGTTCCAACGGGTGAGTTTTACATTATCATGTGATACACTATGGAACACTAGTCGTATATGGGTGTCTGTCTATGAGCATAGCTAACCTCCCCAGGAACGCGAGGCCGAATTCCGTGACCAGTCCGAAGCGACCAACTCCCGTGTCGTCCGCTGGACCCTGATGCAGCTGGCTGTCCTCTCCGCCGCCTGCGCCTGGCAGCTGTCCCACCTGCGCTCGTTCTTCATCAAGCAGAAGTTGACGTAGGTCAATTTGCCTTGACGTGGTAGTGTGAAGAGGGAGAGTCTACATCTATCTATATTCCGTACCTACATTACATGCATACATACCTATCTACCTACCTACTTCCTGAACGCTCTATTTATTTTTGGATGGTTAGATGACTGTATCTTCTTTTTCTTTTCTTTTTTTTCTTACTCTGCAAGAAACCTGTCACTGCAGATAATAGGATGGTTCTTCTATAGGTTTTAGTTTGTGTCTTTCTGCTTATGTAGCGTTTTCGTTTCAGTCTGGTTAATAAAGTATTCACCACGGTGGTGTTAAATCTTCCTCTAGATTAAGCCCTGTATTAGATTATCCAAGTCTGGCTGCTATCTCCTAGACGCTGTACACACCTGACAAATTCTTTACTCATATAGTAGTTATTATAATTCTAACAAGACATATGAGCCTAATGTGAGTTACAGAATGATAATAATAGTTAACTTGTCTCTGTCGCAACGGCATGAATAGTTTGAGAGTAGCCGCGCCAATGGGCTGAATGCAATACCAGATATTATACCCCTCCTGGCTATTTACATCGCAGGCTCTGTTGCTTTTGTTATCTTTCAAAATGAAGAAAACAGAGCACTGTTACCAGTATATTTCACACTGCGTGGAATGCATACAGCTAGCGTTTCTCGGAGCAGAAACCAAACTCGAAGCAAGTTTATGTCGTTGGCGTCTGCTCATGCCCTACCATCGACTCTCCGGACGAGAAGTGACATCGCCATGCAGGGTCAGGGCAAGTGAGTGCCCCAGGCAGCAATATTCCGAAAGCGGCAGAAAAGGAACGAATACGACGACTTGCCATCACCACATCCTCCAGCATTTGTATACATCACAGAATGGATATGGACAGCGACCAGATCAACCAGAAGATTCGATCGCGACGGACGCATCGTAAATCTCGCCTCGGGTGCGGGAATTGCAAGAAGCGCCGTGTCAAAGTAGGCCCTCCCAAGATTGATCACCATCCAGAGAACTGATTTCAATCGCAGTGCGACGAAAAGCAACCAGTTTGCAATAACTGCTTGGTGCACTCCATCAACTGTGACTTCCAAAATTCATCCTCAAGATCCCCTTCAGCCGGCTCAACTCCACCACAACGGTACCAATTCCGGCAGTCAAAATACCAAACTCTCGCATCCTCGCCATCGCAGGAAGAAGGGAATTACCGCTCTGTCGCAGTACAATGCGATCCTCCTTCACCCCCAACCAGGCATTTGCATGGAAGCCCGGAGAAGGGATCTCCCTAGCAGACCTCCATCTCTTCCACCACTTCACCACAGCAACCGCCGGTACAATTACAGACGAAACAAAAGACCCTCAAAAGGTCTGGCAAATCCACGTCCCACGATGGGGCATGTCCTTTCCCTCAATACAGCACCTACTTCTCACACTCTCGGCGCTCCATCTTGCATATCTGAACCCCGCCAGACGGGGAGAGTATACGCGTCAAGCAGATGATCATTTCACGTTCGGCGTGCGCTCTGTGGCGACTGTCCTTGCGTTGGATACGCTGGACTCGCAGAACTGTCAGTTGATCTACATCGCGGCTGTTATGGTTTGTTTTGCATATTTTGCGCGCGGACCTCAAGATGGCGAGTATTTGGTGTTCAATACCAACGGGAAGTCGGAGTGGCTAGTTCTCTTGCATGGGGTGCGTTCAATATTAGCACAGAGGCATGGAGAGATCTTCACTGGCGTGCTTAAACCGCGTGAGGAGAGTCCGGGCTTAGATGATATCGACGTTTGTGCCCCTGAACTGGACGAGGAATTGTCTTGCCATATCCAGCGTCTTCACGAGGTTGGGGAAATGGTCATCCTTGAGGTAGAAGGAGATAGAGAAGTCTATGTTGACGTTGTGGATAACTTGGTTGAATGCTTTGAGGAGGCATACCGCCGACGGAGGACCGGGTGCCACCCAACGGACCTGATGCCGTATACTATGGGATGGACGTTTCGATTTCCCGATACGATGATCACTAAACTGGAGGAAAGGGAGCCAATTGCGCTTGTTATCCTTGCGCATTGGGCGATTTTGCTGCGGTATATGAGAGACACTTGGTTTATGGAACGGTGGGACCATCATATCGTGTCAGGGATCAAGGCCTGCCTGCCTGAGACATATCATGCGTGGATTGAGTGGCCGGAAGAGGTTGTTGCCTATGTTCCCTGGTGAATATGTATATATAGATACCCAATTACAGTATTTCGCCATATCAACGACGTCGATGGGCCCCCACTTCAAAGAAACTGTAGGACCAAGGTTATCAGATTCTACTGTTGCCTTGATCGGAGATTGCCCAATAACAAAGACACAATATAGTTTGATACTGACCAGTAGAATGGAAAAGTGCCGATCGAGTGTATAATGATCCTAAAAATAAACGCGACTCCATACAGACTCTGCACGATCCGCCCCGACGCATTTGTGCTCCACCCGTATTCGTTTCCAGATTACCCAAAACGGCAATTAGATATAAAACGCTCAGTAGACCCTAACTACGTATAAAGGACAGCCCATGCTATCCTAAACAGCTTTTCTTATCCTGAATTGCAGCATCCTTCTAATTGACAGTGCTTTTTCATTTATCAAAAATGGACTTCACCTTCCACCCAGGCGTCAACGGCTCAGACCCCTGGGTCGAATTCTACCCCTACAACCCCTCGCTCACAGCGGGATACGCCTTCATGGCCATATTTGGCCTCGCAACGCTCGCACACATCGTGCTCATGCTCGTATATAAGGCAGCATACTTCATCCCCTTCGTCCTCGGCGGAATATGTACGTCTTAAACCCCTTCCCTGCTCTCAGTTACACCTCCATCAACAGCGTCAAAGAACCCAAAGCCTTACGGAAACTAGGCGAAACATTTGGCTACTACGGCCGCGCACGCTCTCACAACGCCAGAACCGAGATCGGCCCCTGGGCCCAACAGCAGATGCTCCTCCTCTGCGCGCCGCCACTCCTAGCCGCTAGCGTGTACATGACGTTGTCGCGGATAATCACCGCCCTAGGCGCCGAGCACCACTCGCCAATCCGTCCGAAATGGCTGACCGTGCTATTCGTGCTGAACGACATCATCTGCCTGTTGACGCAACTCGTTGGCGCCGGGTTACAAGTCACTGGCGACGCGCAGATCATTGATATCGGTATTAAGGCGGTCCTCGCGGGCTTGGTGTTTACGCTTGTGGTCTTTGTCGGGTTTGTGCTTGTTGCTGTGAAGGTTCATCGGAGGGTTGCGGCGCACCCGACCCGGGTTTCTGTTGAGTTTGATGGGAAGGGTGCTGGGTGGAGGGGGTATATGTGGTGTCTCTATGTGGTGTGTGGGTGTATGATTGTTAGGAATTTGGTAAGGACGGTGGAGTTTGGTGCGCCCAAGGGGGCGGATGTGCGTAGGCGCGAGGGGTATATTTATGTTTTTGATGGGGCGTTGATGGCTGTTCTTATGGGGGTTTGGATTATCTGGCATCCGGGGAGGTTGGTGAAGAGGGCTAGGAGTGTGAAGAGAGGGGTTGATGGGAATTTGGAGCTTTTGGGTAATAAATAGATATACTAGATATGGATAATCTATGCGGACTTGCCGTACACCTTGACGCGGTCGTCGATAGGAGCAAGGGCCTTGTTAAGAGGACTAGAGGTAGGGGGACCAAAGACCAGCTGGGCGTCGAGCTTCCAGTTGGCAGGGATGTTCCACTGCTTCTGGATCTGCTCGTCAATCAGGGGGCTGTAGTGCTGGAGGGTCTGTCCAGAAAAACAATGCCTCTTACATATAAAAGTTTTCAAAAAGTTCTTGTTTTATCAAGGCTGGCTTACTTAGTATACTCACCTCTTGCTTCATGATCGCCTCAGGCTGCTTAGATCTACTCAGGGAGCAAAAAGCGGCGAGGGGTGAGCCCTAAAACGGAAAGGGAAAGACTTCAAGCGGGCGAGATATTCCTGTACGTATGTATGGGTGGATGGGTGATGGATATACACGAGTCGATACAGATATGAATATGAATATGAAGGTGGATATGGATATAATGAATACGTTATTCGGGGTTTTTCCCTCTGAAACTTACTTACGTATCAAAGAACTACTCATTACCCACCTCCAACCGGCTTCCATCTGGGGATTGGACCCGAATCCATACAGCAGGTATGGGCAGTAAGATATGATACTAAGATACAGTAGAAACCATAAACCCGGTCATTTCCATTGTGATCATATCTGTATGTGTGTATCTATCTATCTTATCGTTGCCTGTCAATTCGGCTTCAAGATCATCATCATGATGGGTATATACCATTTATCACTGCCAACCGTAAACTCCAACCCGAGTCTGAGTCCAAGTCCATCGTACCCAGAAAAAGAAAAGAAGAAAGAAAAAAAAAAAAAAACAAGGTATCCTTCGGAATCAATCATCCACTGTCATTCCAATTCCAGTTCTAAAACACAGCTCAAGATCATGCCATGCAAACATCCATCGGATGAGAGGCAACCGGTCCAGCCGCGTCGCTGCAAAAGCCCACAATCAACCGTTCGAGATCCGTCAGCTTGTACGGCTTCGTCATGTACCCCTTCATGCCCACCTTAGACGCCCGGCTCAGGGCCTCGTCTGTGACGTCCGCGCTGACGGCGAGGACTGTCGGGGTGGGGCCCGGGAGCTGCAGGATGTGCGATGTCGCTTCGTACCCGTCCATCTCGGGCATCCATAGGTCCATTAGGATCACATCCACCGGGCGGTCGTGGGGCGATCCGGGAGTAGGGAGGCCGTTGGCGACACCGGCTCCGGCGACGGCGCCCGGGCGAGGCGCGTCCAGCACGCCCTGCATGGTCCGGACGGCCTCTTTGCCGTTGCACGCCTCGTAGACGTCGTGGTACCCCAGCCGTTTGAGCATGTTCACTAGCACCCGGCGGTTGATCTGGTTGTCTTCGGCGACCAGGAAGGTCAGCGGGTGTTTGACGCCGAGCTGGCTATCGTAGGTATTCTGGCTGAACGAGCGTCGAGACAGTTGCACGCTGGGGACGGAGCGCGGCGGGGTGGAGGTTTGGGAGGGCGGATCTTCCGACAGGCTCGGCGATGGCTGCTGTACGGGGGGCAACTGGGACGGTTCCAATTGCGGCTCTGGCGTCGTCGTGCTGCGCCCGCCGGACGAGGAGGAGGAGGAGGAGGAGGAGGAGGAGGACGTTGATGATAATGATTTCGCAGGATCGCCGAGCTGGGGCGGCGTGAGCAGTCGTGCCGTCGGCGAAGCTGAACCCCCCGACGGGTCCGACGGGTTGACGGGGATGCGGATGGCGAACTCGGACCCGTGATCGGGCCCCGACGTCGCGGACCGCACGCAGAGGAGGTCGCCGCCCATCTTCCGGGCCAACCCCTTGGCCACCAGCAGTCCCAGCCCCAGGCCGTCCTTGCTGCGGGTGGTGGACATGTCCTCCCGGGCAAACGGCGTGAACAGCTTGGGCAGAAAGGCGGTCGGGATGCCGGGCCCCGTGTCCTGGACGCGGATGAGGATGTCGTGGCCCTTGCTGCCCCCGCGCGAGGCGCAGACGTTAATCGTGCCCGCGTTAGTGAACTTGACGGCGTTGAGGAAGACGCAGGAGATGAGCTTGGCGAGGTCGCGGTCGTCGACGAAGAGGGTCTCGGGCAGGGCGGGGTCGACGGACCAGTTGATCGTCTTGGCGACGACCTCGCCGTTGGACAGCCGCGACCGGACCTCGATCGTCTCACCGCGGTCCGTGGCGCTGCTGACGGCGAAGTCCGGGCGGCCGCCAACGTGGAGGGACTCGTTGATGACCAGGCGCAGCAGGTCCCGCAGCTTGATGAGGCGCAGGGAGCCCTGGCGGTGGACGTGGATGCCCTCCAGCATAAGGTGCGGGGCCGAGCGGCGGACGGCCAGAGAGGGCCGCGGGTGGCCGCCCACGTCGGCCATGACGGCTTCGATCGGGTGGTCCGGGTCCGCCTGGACGATGCGATCACTCTCGTGGACGGCGATCTTGACCTCCTCGCTGCGCGGCGAGAGCCCCTTGCGGGCGACCGACGGGGCGCCTTGGGGGTCGCGGTCGACCCTGACGGCGGGGGCGGAGCGTCCGCCGGGTTGCTGCGCCGGCGCTTGTAGGGGTTGGCGGGGATGTCGCTGCCTTCGATGAACAGGTTGGGGCGGCCCTCGCGGGCGGGGGTGGGGGCGAGGGGCGACGGGGCGGCAGGACCGCCGAGGATCTCGCCGTCGCGCTCGAGCTGGGGCGTCTTGGGCACCTGCATGTTCAGGTCGTAGGCGTGCACGACGTTGTCGGCGGCCTCGACGGCGCGCCGGGCGCTGTCCTGGACCATCTCGATACCTTCTTTGAGGGACTGGAAGACGCCGCCGGCCTCGGCGGGCGGCTGATCCTGCAGGGCCTCACGCACCGTGGCGTGCATGACGTCCAACATGCCCACGATTCCCTGCATCGGGGTCCGCAGCTCGTGGGACAGGCTCCGGGCGTAGGGCTTCAAATGCTGCGAGGCAAACTCCGCGGGTGCGTGGGCGAGGCTAGCGAGAGTTTCGTCGACGGTCATTTCGCCGACGGAAGGTCGGCGGGGGTCGGGGACCGGTTCGACGGGATGGCCGTCCTTCTGGATCCGTGCGACGACCAGATCCTCCAGGGAATAGAGCACCATCTCCACGAAGGACCAGGGCAGACTGCGCTGTTTCAAACCGGCGGCGGACCACATCAGGCCGAAATGGGCTACACACTCGGTGCCGGCGAACACGGGGACGGACAAGTAGCCCTCAGCGGCGAAGGGGAGCTGGTCGGCGCCGAACGAGGTAAAGGCGCCCAGATTGTCCGGGATTAGGCAGGGCTTCTCGCGGTCCATGTGGGACAGTGGGTTGCCTCCGGCGAAATAGCGGTGACGGTGCAAGCCCACGGTCTGATGGCCATCGTTGTAGTAAAAGGCCGTGCCGAAGATGGAAGGCTTCCGCCCGGCGAGGTCGACGACGGGCTCGTCGGGACGCACGCGGCGGGCGACAAAGGCATACTGGGCGCCGCAGATGGAGGTGACCTGTTCCATCAGGCGGATCCAAAAGAGGCCCGGGTCGACGGTCTGGATGTCCCGCTTGAGGGTGACGAGGCGCTCGATGGCCATGTTCTCGGCGACGCCGCGATAGTGGTGGTGGGCGGCGGGGACGGTGTGCGGTTCGTCTTGACCAAACGAGGGAGCGACGGCGGGGTCCCCGGCGAGACACTCGGACTTGCAGGGGAGCAACATGGCATTACGCGGGGGGACAGAGACCAGCGCGGGGGACCATTCTGACTCGACTGATTGGGACATGATATTCCGGATGGTGAATCGGAGGGAGTCGAATCGACAGGAGAGAGGAAGGCTCCTGGTTAGGGGATGGGGGTGTGCCAGGATTCGGACTGAGATGGATGAGTATCACGCAGCCAGTGTCTGGGGGAATCACAGGGCATGGCGTTCCCGCTGTAACGAGGTCAGCAAGGGAAAAGCGACGGTATTGGAGAGGGGACGGGGTGGTGGAGAGCGAGATGGAATGAAACATACAATCGAATCCGAGGAGAGTTTGAAGTGGAGAAATGAGCCCCCAGTCCAGCCACCGGAATCGGGTTGGACTGTACCGGAGGGGGTAATATTATGAGGGAAGGATGAGAGGAGAGGGGGGAAGAAGGGAACGAAAAAGACGTGGGGAGGGTGGAGAGAGAATGAGGTGAGGTGAGGTGAGGTGAGAGAGGTGAGAAGTGAGAAGTGAGAAGTGAGGATGAAGATAGACAAGGTTGAAGTGAAAGAACAGAGAGGAGAGAATGAGAGGGGAAGAAAGAGCCTGAGGAAGAAATCCTTCGATTGGTCCGTTCCATCGCCCGGTCTAGACGCGGGGTGCATCAGACCAATCAGGGGGTGAGATTGGCTGAGTCAGACGTGGCATTACTTTCACGTGCGTGGCATTATTTATACTTACTTTATACCTTTATACATCATACAAGGACAGATAGTATGATTGATTTGATTATATGTGTGTGTTATATATTTTTATATCGATGTTTATAGTTATATTGTATTGGTGTATTTTATATCTGTTCAATAGAGTCATTGCAATTGTGGTCGTTGGTAGGGATATATATCTATAGCATCCTTTTATACCCAGACTGACGATATATATATCTTCAGTACGAAGAAGAAAGAATCCCCGAAATGTACTCTATATAATTTATTAACCCTTATTATTGATACCTGTCATTATTCTCATCATTTGATTCTAATAAAAATACCAGATAAAACACCCAAGATCGCCCCTTTCCCCTCCCTCTCCCCTCCCCAGGAACCGAGGTAATGGATCGTCAACATAGAAACATATAAACCAGACCAAGACAGCACCAGAGCGACCAGGCACCTCCCCAATTCCCACCCCTCACCATAATCATGGAGTCCATCCAACCCTTCCAAATCAATATTCCAGACGACGACCTCCGTCGTCTCCACCAGAAGCTCGACACCGCAACCTTCCCAGACGAGCTCGACGCCGCCGGCTGGGACCTGGGCATCCCCCTCGAGCAGATCAAACGACTGACAACCTACTGGCGAACGGGCTTCAATTGGCGCCGACAGGAGCAAGAGCTTAACAGCCAATTGACTCAAGTGCTCGTCCCGGTTACCGTTGCGGGGTTTGGACAGTTGAGTATCCATTGTGTTCATCATGCGAGTCCGAATCCGAATGCTGTTCCGTTGCTATTCCTTCATGGATGTATGTTTTTTCTTTCTCTTCTATATCTGTGGACAACGTCAATATTGGTGTACCTCTAGATGGTCCATGCTTAGACCCAGAGAATTGAATATAGAGGTAGAGAATAACATCTGCAGGGCCCGGCAGTTTCCTCGAGGCTACCAAGCTCCTCCCATACTTGAGCAACGATGCCGACAACGCCCCGGCTTTCAGCGTTGTTGTTCCCTCTCTGCCTAATTTTGGCTTTTCTTCTGGAGTGAAAAAGGTTTGTTGACATCCTTTATATATATATGTATATTCACTGTAACGATAGATACTAACATCCCCCAGAAAGGATTCGGTCTAGCCCAGTACGCCGAGTGCATGCACGCCGTCATGTCCACCCTCGGCTACCACGAATACAGTTCGTCTCCCACATAACCATATATACTTAGTTGAAAAACACTAATTGAAGACAGCCATCCAAGGCGGCGACTGGGGCAGCTTAATCGCCCGCACAATGGCCACCCACTACCCAACGCACATCAAAGCCGTACATCTCAACTTCCTCCCCGTCTCCCCCCCTCTCCCCTGGCGCAACCCTCTCGTCTTCCTCCAATCGCTCCTCACCATCCCCTTCTCCGCCTCCAGCAAGGCCCACCTAGCCACCACCCGCCGCTATCTCGACCAGGGCAATGCCTACCTCCGCCAGCAGGAGACGCGCCCCCAGACGCTGGGCTACGCCCTGCAGGATAGTCCCGTTGCGCTGCTGGCGTGGGTCGCGGACAAGCTGCATGACTGGTCGGATGGGTATCCTTGGACAGATGATGAGATCTTGACGTGGGTGAGTATTTACTGGTTTTCGACGGCGGGCCCGGCTGCTTCGGTGAGGATTTACTATGAGGCGGCGCGGAAAGGTGATGGTGATGATGGAACCTCTGTGATGAATGCCACTCCTGGGGTTACTACGTATGACGTGCTGGGTATGACGGCGCCGGCGGGGGTGCGGTTTGCGGTGGCACAGTTTCGGGAGGAGTTGATCAAGGTGCCTTTGTTTTGGGCGCGGATGATGGGTGATGTTGTTCGGGAGAATGAGTTTGATTGTGGTGGGCATTTTGCGGCTTGGGAGGTTCCGGAGTTGCTGGCGCGGGATTTGAAGGGGTTTTTGGGGAAGGGGGGGCAGGCGTATGCGGTTGTTACGGGGAGGGATGGTTATTAGATTGACCGTTCATGGTCATGTAGTGTGGGATGCAAGTAGAATGTGGAAGATGAAGAGACATTCAATTAGAAAAAAGTACCGGACATTACGCTCTAATCCTGTCGTCCCTTGAGTAGCCGCTGGGTCACCTTGTCCTTCTCTATGATGTACACGTGGGCGCCCCAACCCGACAGGGCATCTCGGTCCACGGCACTGAGGAGGGCCTGCGAGATGGTCTCGAAGAGGTCGTCCGCGGACTGGTTGAAAGAATACCGTCAGCACATAAACCGGGGATATAGAGAATGAAACATACCAAATCAGGCTCCCATAATCCCTCGCATGTACCAAACAACTGATCACTGGCCGTCCCACTGACGATAAAGTCCTTGGCGAAATCAATACACCCGATACTGTCGAACCCGCAGATGAACGGTTTCCCCGAGGTCGAGTTGATACCGGCGATGACCGGGCTCACGAAGAACGGTCCGAACCGCTTCTCGTACAGCGACGAGCTGACCAGGTTGGCCAGCGTTTGGGGCGCGATGTTGCGTTCCTCCCGGAGGCGGTACATGTTGACCTTGTAGCGGAAGAGATCGGACACGGTCGACACGTCGGTGGCCAGACCGGTCAGACCGAGGAAGGTGGATGGGCCGTAGTTGAAGATCTTGGGGAAGTTGTTCGAGACGGTCAGGGACTGCATGCCTAGACGGAGATCACAGGCGATTGCGACACAGTCCTTGCCGACCATGGCGACACAGGCGCCGCCATCTGGAGAAACGAATCAGTGTGTGTATAAGGAAGGCCGGAGGAGGAAAAGATGGGCATACTGATGTCGAAAGGGGAGCTCTAGAGAATGGTCGGTCAGCTTGATGGATGGTTCAGGAAGGGCGAAAGCAACGTACCATGATTCTTTGTGTCGTGAACGAGTCCCCAAATGAGAATCAACCAAAGTAAGCCTAAGCAGAATTTCCTGACAAGGAAGAAAAGAAAAGAAGAAAGAATTGGGTGGAGATGGGGAGATGGAGGTGGAAGATGGAGGATGATGGGGTGGGAGGAGAGGAAGCGGATGAAGCTCTGGCTGTCTCTCTCTGGCTGTTCTCTCTGTGGAGCGACTCAGCTTGCGGCCGATGACGCTGCCTTGGCTGCCTGAGCCTCTTCCTCCACCACAACATCCAACAACATCATATCCAACATCACTTCCAACATCATCCTCATCCCTCCTTTCCCTGGATCTTACGTGTGAATTGGTCTATTTATTGCTCACCATTCAAAACATAACCCTGAACATTACCCAGGAGAATCACGCTGAAAAGAAATCTACACTATATCAACATCCAGAGCCCCGCCCGATAGAACGAGCCACCATGAGCTCTCATGTCGTCGTTCTCGACTCGACGGCGCGACGAGCGACCATAAAAACCACTCCGGGCAAACATCTGACTGATATTCTACAAGAGGCTTGCACCAAGCTGGGCGTAGATGCCAGCCAACATGGGTTGAAGTACAACACCCCTCCCAAGAGTGAGAATGAGAGAGAGCCCATGAATCCAAACTAACAGGTCGTTCAAGATACAAAGGAAAACAGCTCGACCTCTCCCTCGCCCTTCGCCTGTCTGGTCTTACCTCCGGCGCCAAACTAGAGCTGGTTCAACTCTCCCGATCGCCCTCCGTCGTCACCGTCGCACTGCAGCTCCCCGAGTCAGAGGTGCGAGGAGCGCCCAGTGGCCGTGTCCTAGACAAGTTCCCAAGTACAACAACGATCTGGTTGATTCTCCGCAAGTTTGAGGCCGGCGTGGCTGGCAGTACAGTGACCCGGAATCTGACCGGGCGAGGAATCCCCGTGACAAGCGACGGCGGCGGCGCTGGACGATTATTCTACGAAACCCCAGTCGTTCAGGCCCTGGGGCGCGAACTCTCCTCCTTTACAGATTTGCAGAAGACCCTGGCACAGCTCGGATTCAACAGCGGGAATGTGTTGCTGCGGTTGAGTTTCCGACGGACGGAGGAGCCGCTGGAGGAGGCCATGGTCAAGATCCAAGAATTTTTCAAAGCGTCGGGCGAGGAAGACCACCCCACCTACGAGAGCGCCTCCTCAGCCACCCAACAAGCGCAGACGGGCAGTGAACACGATCAGACCGAAACACAGCCCGCAGACACAACGTCTGACACGCACACGACTCCCTCCGAGCTGCCCGGCCCGTCATCCTCTGCCGTCGGCGAACCTACCGAACCCTCTTCCGCTGCCACAGGTCGACCAGTGACGGTATTCTCTCCTCCAACCAACACCACCCCGCAGTCCGCGCAAACGAACTACAACGACTCCGACTACATCCCATCCGTCGACCATGCACAGGCCCACCAGCGCCGCCTCAACGCCTCCTCCCGTAACCAACGGCTACCCACAGACGCAGAGATGGCCGCCCAAGCCGCAGCAGAGGAAGAGCGTCGAGCAGGCGTCAAAGAAGTCGACGTAAAAGTGCGACTACCAGACCAAAGCCAGGTCGTCGCAAAATTCAGCCAATCAGACACGGGAAAGACGCTCTACGACTTCGTCCGGAGCTGTCTCGCTGCGCCCTTCGCTGCAGAGAGTTTCGTCCTCACGCAATCCACTGTGGGCCCGCCTGCGAAAGCCACAAAGAAGCTACAGAGCGCCCTGCCTGACTCTGACAAGAGCCTTCTCATCAAGAACCTGGGCCTCGCCGGCCGCGTCCTCATCAACTTCTCCTGGCACGAGTCGGCGTCGTCCACCGCCCGCCAGGCGAAGAAGGATCTCTTGAAACCGGAGCTCCGCACCCAGGCTCAGGACCTCAAGGTCGAACAGCCTGCCGAGATGATGGATACCTCTGAGGACGGGCCCGCACCCCAATCTGCGTCCGATCGTCAAGAGGGAGGAAAGCCAGCTCGCAAACCGGGTAGTTTACCGAAATGGTTGAAACTGCCTGGCAAGAAATAAGGCGGGTGAGATAGTAATGTCGTGGCTGAGGTGGAAACGTTGGACTGTATTTATCTTCCTATCTCCAAACAAACCTCTTGGGTCTGCGTAAATTAGACTAGGCTATGATAAGGCTTATGACGATCACATTTAGCCTTCCTAAGTATGTATAGTTATACCGAGGCAATTACAGGATCAAACTGAGACGATAACGGGCTGCACTACTGGGTTTAGGCGTGGCATGAGAGAAAATGTCGTGGTATAGCATCGAGTCCCAGGACCTTTTCGACTTTTTTTCTTTGTTCCTTCTTTGGATGACTATTTTCGTAGCCACGCTTAAATGGAGACCTCTCTACCAAGCGCCAACCGACCAACTCCCACTAGCCGAGGGAAGAGCTAGGGAAAAAAGAACAGAAGAAAACGACCATATGCCATTCCATCCTCGTCAATATTTCTTCTATGGGATATAGAACAAAGACAAGAACGACACTACTTCAACCCCACCCCTCAGGTCCAACAACACACGCAACATACAAGCATGCGCCGCCATTTCAGTAGCCGGTCCGATCCCGGTTCCATCGACCCATACCACCCAAAATTCTCATTTTTTGTTGTTTCGTTATCTCGTGGGCCCCAAAGGGAGGGTTTTTAGGAAGAAAAAACTTTAAAACGGAAACGGAAACGGTATCGCGGTGTGGTTTTTTCAAGAGGACTCGTGCGAGTAGCTTAGTGGCCACCGACACGGCGGGCCTCGGCGATGACGCGCTGCATGTCCTCGACCTTGGCCTTACCGCGGCCGAAAGTACCGAGCTGGAGAGTAGTATGTTAGTTGTGTGTAGACATGGTGGGAGGGCGAGTTGATCGGGCAATTTGCGTGACTTGGGTTGGGTTGATATCATCGGAGAAGATAACTCCCCAACCAGTCGAGCAAATGCCAGAACCCCATGGCAGGAAGACGTACTCTCTTCTTCGCGAGCTTACGGGCGCGCTTGTCCTGAGTGTTTCTCAGGAGTTCGATGATGCGGCGCTCATAAGGGGCAAGACCGACAACCTCGCGGGCAACCTCACGGACAAAGGCAGTGCGGCGAGACGACTGGCCCTTGGTGCGGCTGACGCGGGTCTTGGGGGTGTTGAGGGGGGTGGTTTTCTGCAGCTGGTCAGTATTGCGACATGCCAATTTCAAGACACTGTGTCTGGTAGAGTTGGATGGAACAAGTCGGTGTCGAACGGATGATTCAATGTCGAGTGGTCAAAGATGCAATTCGGTGTCCCATAGTGCTGTTGTTTTCCACGTCCAATGCTGTATCGTCTTCTTTCGTCCTTCTTTCAGACTTTTTTTTCCATCTCTTCCCATGTCTTGAAAGATCCCATAGGATCTCCCAATCCGGCCCTGCTCCAAACGACCGACAAGAACTTCCCTGTGTACATCCACAGCACACGCAATTCATCCGCCTCGACTCGATTCGACCACTGTTGCATCCGACCGACCATCCGACTCATTCCACCTCCAACTCAACCACACCGTGCCAAAAAGACAGGAATAAAAAAGGAAGAACGTACGTGACCCTTGTTCAGGCCCACCGAGATTCCGGAGCGTTCTTGCGCCATCACGACGGTTGTGAGGACTGCGACTGAGGGGTTGGCGACGACGGAGTTGCTAAAGGGAAAAGGCGAGTCGAGTCGAAGTCAAAGTCGAACGGAGTTGGATGGATCGGTGCGCACTCCGCTCCGCCACGCCCTGTGGTTGGTCGCCCGTAGCGAGGCCTAGGGCTTAGGGCAAGTCTGTTGGGGACTAGTGTTGATGCCTTCCGGGTCAGGCACTAGCTTAGTTACTGCCTGAGGTGTCGATCTCATGCCCTAATTGAGTATCCGTAAATTACTGCGGCATCTGGTATGGCTTCCTAGTCAGGTAATACCTGCTTGGCTAATCTTTTTGATACTTTTATCTACTTCTTGGATCTTCGTTGACGTAGTAAAAATCTGACACTCATGAATTCAACGCGGAAATACCCTGATATATTACATAGTTCTGCTGAATTGGACCAATGCATTGATTCCACATCGAGAACCAGGTAACCAGGTTTGCATCGCGTGGAATTAGACTTGTCCTTCTCACCCTAAGATAGGAGTCATATTGCTACAAAGCACACCTCTAACTTGTTTCTTCCATGTTGCACACTTGCCAACTCACGAGCCTTTCACCTCTTGGCTGGTCTCATGTCCAGCCCCTAGGTCGTTGCTGAGCTTGGGCTTCTCCATAGCAGCTGCGGCTCGCACCGCAATCTCATTCCAGAGCTCCTCTTCCTGAGGGCGTAATTTCCCTGGGAACAACACCCCGAGCATACTCCGCCCCACACCGTGGTACTTTGCTTCGACCTCCAAAAGTGTCTCCATGACCTTTGGCCGGCAAATGACTGTCTGGAAGCTCAGCGATATACCAAATTGCTCAGGAGTTCGAGAAACGCCGGCAGCAAGGATGTTCTGGAGCATTCCAATGCCCCCGACCGCTAACAGATACCAGGTATCCTGTTTCAAAGCAGAGGCAGCGATAAGAAGGAATACCCAAAGAAGAGTTAACAGTATAACAACAACCCTGGTTACCGTTGTAGTCAGCGTATCCGTTATAGCGGGACTTATGGCCAAAGCTTCAAGATCAAGACCGCGTGCCTCCCCGAAGACGACAATTGCATGCTGGCTACCATTGCCTTTTGTCAGAATCACTGAATTCTGTTTTCCAGAACGGCACGCCCATTTTTCTTGCTTCCACTGGCCCAGCGAACCCATGACAAGCGACAGCAAGATCCCAACCGCAGTGATCACCATAATTCCCCAATTGCCATGTATACCACATGGGATAGCTGCAATACCAAGCTGGACGACACCAGTCATCAGTCCAAAGTAATAGATTGCATCTCTGCCAGGATGTCCGGGAAGGACTCGTTCAGAGTTGTAGATTGATACACAGAGACCGGTCTGCGTAGGTCGAGGAGGGTCCGGGTCTCCAGGGGACTTTCGACGCTTTTCCTTGTTCCACCTTTCAACAATTATCCTCTCCAGCTGGTGGCGAGTATCATCATGCATCCAAGATCCATAATCTCGAACCATCCGACCAATGATCCAGCTGTGGTTATCTCGCACGTATCCTGTTTGGCCATTGATGACCATGCAGGGACAATCCGGAGCGGGCATGAGTTTGTTTGCCCCAAAGACAGACACAACAGCGCTGACAGAATAAGCAACCCATCCTGAAGAGATAGATAATTAGTAAGACCGAAAATCAAAGGTCTTCCTAGGTAACTGAATAAGTAGAGATGACTTATTACGAACCAAAAGAGAACGCGACAGGCGTCACCCGTGACCCCGAAAGTTGGGCCAATGCCCGAGCCACAACATCACCCCCGAGAATCAGCAACACCGAAAAGACATCGGCAGGATTATGCCACTGGTTAAAGAATTCCGCCGAGGTTGTGCCAGGGTTCCAGGTGCGAGCGAGTAGAGAAGGAAGCATGGGAGGCATATCAGGAGTGGCTGCAGGGTCAAGGCATTAATCAGTTACGAGATTTTGACATATAACCTGTTCAGAAACATCCCTCAAGCTATGCCTCTGGTCCCTATCTTGTGGCAGGGTCCTTCTTTGATGTCAGCTTTTTTTGGAATTCTAGCAGGATGAGTATCACCTAGCCTTGTCTAGACTACCCTTCCTCATGGTAGCCCCGCATTGCCATGCCTTTTTGGGTTACTTACGTGACATGGCCACTCTTTAGCGCTTAAGGTTCCTAGCTGATTGGATCACGTTCTAAATGTGCATCTATTCTACATTGATCCATGAGGCTGGTCCTTTGCGTGCCCAGCCTCATGGAAGTAGGTTGCATCAGTCGCCCCCAGGGCCTTTTCATCAACAACATATCATGGACCATCAATCAAAACTACCATCTACGTCTCATGATTAGCAAGCCGGGGTTGCAGGAGTTCGCTACACATATCGCCTTCGCGTGTCGGCGAATTTCCAATACACTGTTAAGCTTACGGATGAGTTTGAATTCGTTCGATAGTTCCAAAGCCAACCATGTGATGACAGCCGCGGTGTTCAATATCCTGGTATTGAAGGAAAGATCATGTTGCTTTGCGAGCAAGGTGACGACGACCAATTCTTTAATGGAAGACGGATGGATTCATGCCTTGATTTCAAGTCGAGCTAGCATAGAGCCGATTAACAAGTATAGCTTGGCCGTCTAGTATAATAATCCCGGACACATTCCTAGACGGTATTATCTTCAGTCCCTAGACATGCGGCCGCAAAAGATTAAGAGCACCGCCAACGAGATGCAAGCTTCCAGTCACAAAGACGTGTGCGCCGCCCTTTTCCGAGCCTATGCTTTCAGCAACTTTGATGGCGCCTTCAATGCTTGGCTCGACGGAAACAGTAGCTTCGGCGTCCATTTCCTTCCACAGAGAAGTATAAATTGCACAAAGGTCTGGATATGGCGTCTCGGGGGACTTGAGCGTTTTATCTGTCATTTAATCAGCGAGGTTGATCTCTGGGATTAGTTGATATAGTCGGAACAAACCTATTCTTGTGGAACCGTCCTGTCTTTCTTGATATGTCGTGAATATGACATACTCTGGCTTCGCATTGTTTGCAAATAAGGCGCGCGCCAGACATTCCATAAGGGTTACTCCATCTCGATTTTCTGAGAAATGGCTGAAGATAAGGACAATAGGTCTGCATTTGAGTTGTTAGCTAGTTGATGGCATGGGTTTCGGGGGGAAACTTACTTTTGCGTACTTGATGCACTCAGGGAATTCGAAAACCATGCCGCAGCTTGTTCCAGGCTCAAAGGGTTATGTGCACCATCCAAAAACCATTGGGTTTTCCCGTGATCTATGATTTCGAATCGCCCAATCCAAGAGAAATTCTTTATACCCCTTGAAATGTCACTGGTGTCCAATGTGTGACCAGGTGCTTTCAGCTGCAAAAAGGTCCTAGCTAATTGCAAAGCCAGAGAACAGTTTAGTCGTTGTACTGGGGCACTCAATGCTTTTTCGTCAGCGGGCAATGAATTATCAACCGGGACAAAAGTCAAATTGGTCTTCTTCTCAGCAGCACGACTTGATATCACTTCAGCACAGCCATCATCCTGGAGAACCGAGAAAGCAGGTGACCCGGGCTTGAATATTCCAGCTTTATGCCAGGCAATATTCTCGATCGTGGGTCCCAGTTGGTCAATGTGGTCCATTCCGAGGGATGTTATCGCAGTCACCACAGGCTTCTGAATCACGTTCGTCACGTCATACTCTCCACCATGATGCGTTTCGAATACTGCCGCTTCGACGTTTTCCCGGATGAATGTATGGAACGCCAACAAGGCAAGGAACTGCAAATACCGCGGCTGTCTCGTGTTCTCGGCTGCTTTCCCTGGTTCGGTCTGCAACAGACGCTCCCATACTTCGTAGAAGTATCGTGTAAACAGCTCCTCCGTGATGGGACTACCGTCAATCTGGATCCTCTCTCGGATACACTGCAGATCAGGCGAGGTATACAATCCGATTTTCTTCGGGAAGCCCGTTCTGAGTCCATGCTCGCGGAGAAAAGAGCGGGTGAATGCGCATGTGCTTCCTTTCCCTTTGGTGCCTGCGACATGGACGATGTTCAAGTTATTCACATCAGAGTCCTGGTTTGGGTGAGCAAGAGGATTGTACTACATAGCAAGACCTGGAAGCTTCATACCGAGTGTCCTAAAGCCTGTAGCCATTCCCTCATGCCGACCAAACTCGGCACGCCTCTTACATTTTGATTAATACTAGGAGTCGGGGCATCCAATAGAGCGGGAACTTTCGGTCGGGCCTTTCTTCTTCGCGTGTCTAGGAGTCTGAGGGCGTTCTGCATGTATTCAGTCAGCCGGCAGGACTTCTAATGCAAATGGAGAATTTACCTCGTAGCTACGTTTCATTATGGAAGGCTGCCAAGATACGGGGGAATGTGGAGTGGTCGTCAAGAGTCTCCGAACCACGCTGTACGAACTCCGCGGGGTCTTGGCTGATTGGCGGTCCGCTGCTCTGAGGTCACCTGACCAGCCAAGCACGGGTTTATATGTGATAGCTACGGAGTAAAGGATGTCTATATTACTTTATTTTTATTTATTATCTTAATACTCAAATCAATTCACTAGATAAGAATTAATTGTTTTATATAGACAGCTGTGTCGGCAGCATAGGTCCTTTCCGCCGTCACCTACAGTTCCTCCATACCCTATACAAAAAGTGACTTACTCAATACACGCACCAGGGATCGAAACATTTCGGAGATAACACGTCTTACTGTTCATTATATGTACACTAAGCAACTCCTATCGACCTGGCCCTGACTCCACATCTACCTCGACGATCTTCAGAATCCCCTCTTGATTGCCTTCACGTATTCGCTCCGCCGGTGACCCCTCAGCCCTGGCCTCACTCATGGTATAGCTGTTTCCCTGGAAAACACACGGATGGTCCGAGTTGCCATCACGCTCAAGGTCTCCCATTTCCCAGCTTCTTTCGGGGGCTGCCTCAGCAACCTTCAGCGGAGGGGTGTTATGGATGGTTGTCTCCATGGCGCTGCTGGGACTACGGTTGCCGCAACTAGGGACGGGGACGGGGGCTTGTGCTCCAAGGGTGAGCCTTTGGAGGAGGATAGACACGGTGGGTAGGCAGCTGACGACGATCCCGGATGTGACCTCTGCGGAACTGGACAGAGAGGTTAGCCTGGAAGGGAATGTAGAGAGGAGAAGGGAAAGAAGAAGGAGATGAAGGAGCTCATACGTCCACAGAAACTCTGGAAACCAATCGTGGGTCCAGTCATTGGTGGTCTCATTCCGTATACCAACTTCCAGGCGCATGATGCTGCAAACGCATGCACTGTTACAACTGATTAGGACCGATAGGGCAAGATGGGAGGACTTGCAAAGGGGGTCTCACAAAATCCCCACCGCAAATGCGATAGCCGCGCTTATCATATTCTGGCGGAGGCTCGACTGCAGTCGTCGTATGCAGAAAACAGGCAGAAGGAGGATTAGAAAATTTGAGGCCATGTTGATGGTTGACGTCGCTATCATCTGTAGCTTGACGTTGATGCAGTGCCCCGGTGTGTCTTTATGCCAGATCTTCGATCTCGGCGTGCATTCCAAGATCTTCACCAGAGTCAGTGCTAGGTAGAAGGCGAAGTTCAGCCAGATAGTAAGCTGGATAAAAACCAGGGTCTTGCGCTTGACTAATGGCGCGAGTACCCGACGGTACAGTAGCAGGATGGACAACTTGGTGAGGAATATGAGCGGACCGTATACAATTTGCAACACATTTGCTCGCTATATCTATTTAGTATGCGGTAAGATTGTTAAAATCCGATGTGGTGCTCACTTTGAAAAACATGGGCAGATCGGACGCGGCGACTGTCTGCTGATGTATCCCATTGCCATACTTGTCGGCTTCGAGGGTAATGACTGCATAGTTGAGAAGCCCCAGCTGTATAACTGATGAGTCAATGTACCTCAACTAAGAGATAGTGCAAAAGCAACAATACATACCCAGGCCAAAAAGCAAGTGTCTGTGCGGGTCAGCACGATGATCTTCAACCAAGCGCCTAGGCCCACATACAGTCTTCCAAGCCCGGAGTTCTGGTGATCAAAAGTTTGGTGTAAATTCGTATCCAGACGCAGAAGGTGCTGACGGTTAGGCATACGGCCTGGATGCCGATATCCCACTGTCGCGGAGCATTTTGATAGCCGTAGATCAAACTCGACTCGGGAGACCCAGCGTCAGCCCGGCTGGCGAGAGCAGGGGCATTCATGGAACCGACTAGTGTTGGAGGTCCATAGGCACGAAATTAAATGGGAAGCTGACAAGAAAAAAGGGCTCAACTGCTGTGTTAGCAGCATGAAACACTTAGATCTGAGAATCTCAGCCTTAGGGCTCAGTAGCGAAGAAACCCCCAAGGGACACCATTGATTATACGCCCTTGGAAGACAAAGTGAAATACCTCAGCTCCAGGCAGCAGTCTAAAAGGACCGACAGTGCAGATTTGGTCTCAATATAGACGATTGAATGTCACCGAGTAATGACACACAACCGGAGTGGCGGCAAGAACTTTCTCGACCTCAAACCTAGAAGCAAGGGAGGTCCACCCTTCTTAAGAGGATCTCTAGGGTCTCCACGCGAAGAAGCACGCATCAGAAACATGGACTGCATCGAATCTTTGTCTCTTTGTTCGGTCTCGTGTCTCCCTTGTCGAGGAAGTGAGCGAGGAGCAAGGAGCTCGGGACTGCATGGACATTGTAACCCTGCCAATACCACTCGAGTCCATAATCTTGTCTCATGAATGATGATCAAACGATGATCAGGACTACCAACCAATCAGCTGGAAGGTCACCTTGAAGACAGGGCAAGGGGAAGGGATAAGCCCGCCCTTGCAGCGGCCGGTTGGCATTCCAGACTTCAACCTCGTGCAAACATGGAGAAAAATATTCGCCTACCTTGCCTTGGACAACGTGGCAGAAAGTACGTTCTATTACTAGGGGGTAGCAGATTTGCAAATGAGAAAAGGGGGACATAGAGTCAGAGAAGTAGGTTGTTGGTGGTTGATGGTGGGAAAATCTATAGATGGAGAGAGGAATGGAAAGAAACAGTTTGGCGGGGAATTTTCCATGCCAACTGGCATGTCTAGTCTTTTGGGTTGCTGTGCTAGTGTTCCTGCGGCATGGTAGACATGCCCAATGATCTCAAGCACTCATGTGCTGATGCGTGCGCTAACTATCATGAACTTAGTGATATCCGATTCTCTATTCACAGCGCCACCTTCAACAACCCATCCAAGCCCTCCTCCCAACTCTCCAACAGATCCCCACAGAAAATCTCCAACGCCGCCGTGTCAAGCGTCTTGTTCAGCGCAGCCTGGAGCGGCTGGCTGTCTGGGCTGCTGCTGGGGCCAGTCGTGATTAAATCGACGAGGGACCCGAGAAGGCCGGACTGGGATTTCAGCACACGGGCGTTCGACCGGATGGCCTCGTGGACTTGGCGCACAGAAATCTCCAGGCGTTGAATCTGGTCTTTTGGCACCTTGGGCGCCTTGGAGCCTTTCCTCAGTGCAACAGTGCAAACCGCCGAGATGGCCTTGAGCAGTTCTAGGGTGACGAAACTAGAGTGGAAGTAGTTCCAGGACGGAGCCGAGGGAGTGCCGGACTCAAGAGTGATGGCCGTCCTTGAGAGGACTGGGGAAATTTTGTTGTCGTCCATTGCAAGCTCCTTGGCTTGAGCATTCAGCCATTCCTCCACCTCAGAAAGGGCACTTTCCACATGGGCAGAGGTGACGGACTTCGACCCTGCAATATACGACGTCACCTTCAAGAGATGCAGGCTAACCTTGGCACCCTCAATCTCTGGAGCGGTCATCTCGGATGCAGCGTCTCCCCCGACCAGTTCGTCAAGGCTGGGCACATCGATTTCGGCCGACACTGGCTTCTGCGCAGCCAGAGATCTGAGAAGACCAAACAGCTGGTCAATCGCCCTGCTGGACTTGACCCATCGTTCCTGAATTTTCTTGTCTTAGTTGCAGCTCCATGTTCGTGCGCGAGGGAAACTTACCTTGGGCAGAGGTCCCAGTCGCACTCGCTCCTCAAGAGTGGACTGGCCTGGCGCCTCGCAGTTCATGAAAGCGTCGAAGGCTCGCTCATCAACCAAATGGGACGCGTCTCGTGCTGCAGGATAAAAAAGCAAGTGAGCACAAATTCCAATATTCTGCTTGCACAAGTAGTGGGCATGACTGACCTAAATCATCATATTTGCCAGTGGGATCTCCACCGACCAACCGTTGCATACGCCTCACGTCCAGGGCGTACATCCGGCGACAGATACTCTGCTTCAGGCGTTTTTGAAGTGCGATGGTGCCTTCAACGTTCACATAGCTGCCGTAGTCAAGCCCATTCGAGCGGTTCCTGGACGAGGTGACGTCCGCGGTCCGGTAGAAATAGAGGGCCTGATTGAAGGCAGACTGAGGGTTGAAATCCTTATACTCTGCCCCTTCAATAGGGGGTGCCGAGTGCGGATGAATCGTCGCGAGTCGTGTGAAGAGATTGTGGGCCACGGTTTCAAACTGGACTTGTTTGACCGAAAGTTTGCTAAAGGTCTTCAAGGCAAGAGATCCAGCCCCCAGGCGAAGATAGATCCGCACAAGAAGCAGTAATGCGTGGTAATTGTGCGGCGAATCGGCAAGCAGGCGGTCCAGAATCGCCGCGGCACGAATAAGAACGGTATCTGGGACCTGTTCTTCGTTGCCCGGGATCCACGCCCCGCTGAAACGAATCAGGCCCATGGCAGCCAGGAGACACACATCATCGGTGGGTTGGCTCTCGATGGTTGTCTGGCCATCGCTGGGGGCTGGGCGCTCATATGAGCCGTAGGTCTGTAAGCAGCGTGAGACGAAATCTTCGACCTTTTCTTTCGTTGCATTACTCTCGTCCGCTGAAAGCTGGAAGCAATACTCGAGTTTGAGGGCATTGATTGTAGCAACATTGTTGGTCGCCGCATTTTGCTGAAGGACGTTAGCTCTGATCGGACAAGTATAGGATTCTCTGAGCTTACCGCACTCGCGTCTTTCTGCACCGTAGACGATGCATGTGCTACAAACTGCGAGACATGATTTTTGTCCAACGCGGAAAGATAGGTGACTAGATCACCGAAGCAATAAAGCTTGCTCTTGTTGTTGTCAAAATATGTCTGGCAAGCCGATAGCAGATCCTCGGGCTTCAAGTTCCCCGACGTGAACTCGGAATGAGTGAAATCGAGACGGGCCAGCTGGGCATTACGGGATTTAGGTTCCGATTGGATAAAATCATCAAGGAATTTCTGCGTCTCTGCAGTGGTCCTGCAATATACTTTGTCAGTTTCTTCGTGACCACCACTTTCAGTTTAGCAACGAACTCTTTTGTGTTGATGTTCCGTGCTGCAGCAATGAGGATCTGCCAGACTGCCCAGTCGTCACGTTCCTGAAGGGCTTTGCGCTCAGATTCGTTGGTGGGAATGGCAAGCAGGCTTCTTGTATAGGCCAAAGCCTCGGCCCACATCTGCGCCTTTTCCAGGTTGAAAAGCTTCGTGCCTACAAAAGACCACTCGTTCTGAACGACACGCGAGTCGAGGCCCAGGTTCTCGCTGTCAAGGATTTTCACGACCTCGCCGTAGCATCCTTGGTGCTCAAAAATCTTGACTAACAGCAAGAGTTCCTCCGGAGTTTGGATAGCTCTGGGAGGGCTGAGCAGTTCTTTCTGTACACGGAAAGTCAATATTATGATCACATCCAGTCAAATTGATGTCGACATGGGTGATCAAGAGAAAGATGGAGATGAAGGTGATGTGCAAGTTTGCAGAGACGGGGAAGTATCGGTGACCAAAAGACACATACCGGATCGGCAGGGACGCTGTCGGCAGCTTTAGAAACCATGCGATAAGCCAACGTTCCGAAAAGCTTGCGATCCATCTCCGAGCTTGCTGCGTCTGTGGCAACCAGATAACTGAGGAAGATCGCCCAGATATGGTATTTCCTGTTCTTCGGGAAGTTGTTCTGGAGGGTCATGGCCGCCTGTCATTGTTGTAATGCAGCCCGGTTAGCTCTGGGAGAAGCCAATGTTAACTAGAAGAGGCCAGGAAGCGGCGATATGCAGACCTTTTGCGCAGATTTCCAGTCATCATTTTCAAAAGAGAGGTTGAACCATCTCATTTGTAAGTCCAGGTCCTTGGGCTTCGCCTTGGACGCCTTCTCCCAGAGAGCCCTCACGATATCCGGCTGGTCACCCATCAACTGCAACGTCTCGTTTAGGATGTCAAGAGTGTCGAGGTCGGTGGCTGGGGGCTCGGCCTTGCACAGGTTAAGGGTCTCCGTGACACCACGCTGGTGATGGGCTTCGTCGGCATGGCGAAAGAGGATATGCGCTTTCCAGACCTAGAAGATCATATCAACAATCGATGTCAAGAATCCAGGCACACCTTTGCCTGCACGTTTAGGTCTAGGCAATATGGAACGTACATTGAGGAACCTTGTGTTTTCCCCCTTTTTCACGCGCTTTTCAATCAGCTGCAGGGCCTGCTTCAGGTTTTGCCCATCAATGGCATCCTGGATCTGCTTGTTGCGCCGGTGGAATACGGCGTCACTGGTGGACATGGCGGGGAAGAGGGGACCGCAATCCCAGTTGAATGACACGGGGCACGGATCTTGGGGACTGGTCCAAATTTACTATAAACAAAGTCTGCGTTTAGCACACTGCACAGCAAAGTACGGGACACAGCGAATGATGAGGAAATTGGTCTGACAAAAGAACGAGACCAGGAAGGGAGGGAAAGTTGGATCGATCATTGCTCGTTGCATTGGGGATTTTGTTCCGCGGAGAGTACCAAAATGGAAGGCGGTGAAGGAGCCCCGCTGATGTCAGTCAGGCACATATAGTCCTGATAGCAGAGATCGGTCGTAGCAATATTTGTAACTATTTTGGAAGATTTGTCAATAGTATTGATAGAAATAGGAACAGGATTATATTATACAAAATCCCAGCTATAGATAGGTTCGACGTGAGGAGATACCATCATACAATGGCCTAGTGATGTGATAAGACAGGATATATGAAATACAAATGTTGAAGCGTTGTCTCCGTAAACACCAATGGTTCCAACCAGGACAACGCATTCAGAAGGAGATTAACCGCTAGTATGAGAGAGAAGTTCATAAAAAACCACGATAACGCCGGATACCGACAATGGTAAGCCCATTGGTCACCCAGTGGATCATTCCCTCGTGAGTAGTCGGCCCATATGCCCAGGGAAGACGCCAGCTGGGCCATGTTATATACCCAAGTTCACAGAGGGATGGAAGATCGAAAGGCTTTGGAGGATGTCGCTACTAGAGGGTGAGATGATTGCCTGTCCCTCTCACCCAACCCCACGACTGATCCATGAAGACTAGGCGAAAGTGGCGGTAGCGAACCAATGCCGGCGTGATGCTTTACAAAGCCCGGGATAGATTCTTAAGAAAACTTCTTTTGCGTCAACTGCGCGAATGTTAGAACTGCTGATAAGTTTGCCTGGGACAAGGTATGCGGCCAGGCGTATGCAGGATCCTGTCGAGGATGGAGGGGAATATAGCCCAGTAGACACCTACCCAATTCTTTTTACAATCCCGATAAGCCCTGCGTTCTTCCGTTAGCCCAGTCCATAAAAAGCCCCAAAAGCATAATTTCGTATCCGGATATAAGCCTCGACAGACACAAACAATACATCTGTAGTAAAGTCCCGGCTATGACGAGGGGCTCTTCAACCAGATCAAAGGGGAAAGCTCACTGAAAGTAATCGTGACACATCTCACGATCAAACGCATTGCGCTTCATACATTTGAGACTCCGATCTGCAAAGTCCTGGCATGGATCATAGTATTCGCTTGCGGATTTACTATGTAGAGAGTGTATATTAGCTTGAATACGGTACCCTGCGAGAAAAAGAATGATATAAAAATAGAGGGAAGATAAAGAAGATAGCAGCAAATCAAAAGACGCATGGATTGAGGTATTTCTCCACCCGTATAACAACCAGGCGCTAATAATCAAGGTCGAGTGGCCGAGGCGCTTACTTGGAGAACTTCCTTTCCGCCTTGTCCCAGGAACCGCCTTGTTCGGGCTGGGAAGGGGGATTTTGAGTGGATTGGGATGACATGTTCTATAAGAGCCGACAGTAACACGTCAATGAGTGACTATTGTGGCTAAATCGCAAAGGAAGGAAGGAAAGAGATCGTGATGTTGACCATGAAGGCGGATGCGACTCCGGGATGAGGAGATTCCGCCAGTCTTGGCGTGGAGACTCGGCGATCCGGCATTGCTGAGTCAGATGCATACTCATTCTTATCCTATTTATCCGTGTATATTTATCCACGTGTATTTTGTTCATACTTTGGATAAAATCTTCCCGTGTGACAGTCAGATTCAAGAGCAGATTTGATGACACTATTTTATATGTAAGAGTTTATTTTTCAGCTATAGAAAATACACCAAAAAGGGAAATAAGTCAGGCAAAGCATTCGTACCTGACCATGTTTGTCTGGTTTGACGACTAATTTTTCTGCCGGGACCCACCGCGCGCCGCCTTGTCGATCGATCGAGCGCCCATTATTGCTGCATTGCTCACTCGTCTATTCTTACTTGCTTCATCGGACAGCTGGGGTTTTCTTGCGAACATTCACTTCTATACATATACGCGACTTGACTTTTTACCTTCACTTGTGATCACTTGTTTGAGTGCTTTTTGGGTGAAGTACCTTGTTGAAACGCCTTCACCCCCACCCCCTTCGGAATTGGCCTCGAACCGCCCGCGCCATGCCGACCTCTGTCGCGTTTCCTTGAAGGAAGTCGACTCATCTCGTTCACCACGGTATAAGACACGTCTTCTACTGTTGTGCTGTGCTCGGAACAACCAATTTTCACGCCTCGGTCTATTCGATATCGCCATCTAAATTCATCCGATTATTCTGCGCAAATGTCGAGGCCCGCCGCTGGCGCGAATGGCGCCACCGCTGCAAAGGCTGCCGTTGGGCCGGAGCATGACGCCTCGGGAGTGAGTTGTTCCTGAAGCTGTCACGCATGAGGATGATACTAAGATTGTATGATGTCTAGCTCTCCCAGACTTTACAGGGCCATATCGACGATATCCGATCCCTAATACAGTGTGGCATCTGTATCCGACCACTCTACGAACCCTTCACCCTTGCCTGTGGGCATACATTTTGTTACAGCGTCAGTCCTATACGGTCCCCGAAAACGATATTGAACCATGGCTGATCCACACTACAGTGTCTAACATCATGGTTTGGGACCGGAAGGTCCAACAAAACATGCCCCGATTGTCGGTCTCCCGTGAAATCGCAGCCGGCACCTGCTTACTTGGTTCGCTCTTCCTAATACCTCCCTATGGAGAAAGGGTTTTCTAACTTGAATACTACATAGGTCCGCGCAGTCGTTCAACTGTTTACGAGCCGACCGGAATTACTAGAAAAAGGCGAGACCACCGCTGAACATGGCAACAACCAACGAGCAGAAGCAGATCGAGTGGAGGTGGACAAGAAGAATGAACATCCCCGGGAAGGTGGGCTATTCCGGGGCACATTCAACAGGGGGAGGCCATCGGCACAGCCCATCGTGGATCTCGAAGACAATGTCATGCGATGTCCTGTCTGTTCGTGGGAACTCGAGGAAGATTCGGCTTGCGAGCAATGTGGATATCGTCAGAATGACGGCTCGGTGTCGGATGTGAGCGATTACCTGAGTGATTCGGAGCTGAACTCGGAGATGACCGATTACATGGACGACGAACTGGAGGATGGCTTTGGCGGAATGGATGATTTCGCATGGAACGGGCTGTATGACGGAATCCCCGTTGAAGCGCTGTCTTTCGACATCCCTCACCAGCTGTACGGTTTACACAGGAGTCAACATCACCCCATTGCGTCGCATCGCCCCGCACCCTTCGGATACATACCCGAACACCATCACGACCACTGGCCCGGTGATTCGGCGTCTTCCGCCATTCAAGACAGCGAAGATGATTCCGATGAGGATGATACCGACATGGACTCATTTATTGACGACGACGAGCACTTTGGCGACTACGGCACGGGATCGGATCGGTCGACAGTCGTTGGAGGTCCTGACCACACGCAAGATCACCACGATGACCCCCACAGCGGCACCGAGGTCTCCGTGGCAGACACATATGGCGGATTGAGTGAATTAGAAAGCGAAGAGGATGACGAAGACGAGGAAGACCAGCCTATTCGTCCCGCTACCGGTGCGATTCGACGTCGGCGAGTACCGACGATCCACATCCCCTCCAGCTCCCCGCGTAGGCCCAGCGCCCACCTCGCGGCTGACTCGTTCTTGGATTCAATTCTTCGACAGAACCGTCGGCCTCAGCCTTCCCATTCGACCGGATCGTCTGTTAACAACGCGATTAGCTTAGAGGACGACTCGGACGAAGGCCCGGTTGGACCCACGCGGAGGGCGCGGGGCAGGGGCAATCGCTGCTGATGCTTCAGGTCCAGTTTTCAGTGACATGAAGTGGACGACCTTTATTTCTTCTCCAGTTCTATTAGCGAATACTACCAAATCTCTATGATATCCACCCGACGACTCCGAATGGCCAGACACAAGGCCCTCCGCAGTGGCTCACCATTTTCAATGGAACCTCTTGATGTGTCTTACTGCTATGTTGATGTTGGCATAAGGCAGAGAATAACCGTTCCCTTTTGATTGAGGAAGGACAACACTGGTGTCATAACACTGGTGTCACAACACATTACAATACCCTAACCGTCTATGGTGTAACTTGTGATTCTTTGTTTTCTTTTATTGGTCGAGAATCTTACCTGTTCCTCATTTCGATCATGGAGCCATCACTTTTTGTGCTTTGTTGCGGTCACACTGGGATGCATATATTACCAATCCAGCTATGGAATCAATCGTACCTAGAGTATTTATTCCGAAGGGTACCTCTAGCTACCTAGTGATGCGAGAACCAGTCCAGTAGTTTATAATAGCGTCATGATGCTAGTCATCTATCTATAAACGTCGCAATACCCTATCCTCAAACAAATTGCAGGAGTAAAAATGCTGAGTCGATAGACAACTTACAACTTCCTGCTAAAAACACAACCTACACACTAACTAAAATTCTCACAGTCACAGTCAAGTAATTGAATTGGGAAAATGCAGAAGTATATACAGAGACAGGCTGAAACAAAGCACCAAGTGGAAAGAAAATAGGACAAAAAGAAGAAAGGAAAAAAAAAGTCGCAGTGTGTCAAGAAATCCGTCTGATGCCCAAACTTTTGTTTTTTTCTCTCTCTTTTATATCGTCAAAGCAATATGCAAAGAACCCCCACCCCACCGAACCCCGGGAATAAGATACAGTTGTAGTTGTAATAATGTAAGATAGGTAAGGTAGGTAGTAGTTAAGAGACGGATGGATGGATGGATGATGTATTACAGACGCCGCGTCACAAACCATTCGTTCGTTCGTTGCATGTCCCTCCCGACCAAGCGATGCAATTACGCCTCGCGTCGATTAGGTAGTTGGGATAGCATGGGCACTTCGAACACGATGGCTCCGTTGCGGCCCTCGGCTGCTGGTCCTTGGTTGTAGTTGTTTGCGAAGCACGACCAGCGGCCTAGTCGGTGCTCTTTGCCCACTGCTGCCACGATACAGAGACCGCGAGGCTCGGGCTCGGGCTCCGACTCCGATGACTTGGACTTGGGCTTGGATCCCGTCGATGAGTCGGTGGGTTTGGCGGTGTCGAGACGGCGCTCGAAGACGGCAATGTCGTTGACGACGCCCTTGATCAAGGGCTCGGGTTCCCCGGCCTGGCTCGCGTCCACGGCCATGGGATCCGCGCCGCCGGAGGGAGTGTCCGAGGCGAGGGTCTGGTTGAGCTGGGCGGATGGGTCGTCGGGGGACGGCCCGCCGACGGGGCCGAGTGCTTGAAGCGTTCGCTTGTCCTCTGATACCTTCCATGCGCGGATGAATCCGTCCCAGCTGCCGCTCAGGACGATGTCAGTGCCCGGGACGGTGGCCAGGGCGGTGATCCAGCGCGGCGTCTGTCGGAGGTGGCGGGAGTTGCTTGCCGCTGTCTCTGGGTCGACCTCCGGAGAGAGCTCGTCCAGTGGGGGGATGGGATCGAGTCCGTGGGCAAGATGGACGGTGTAGAGCGGCTTCTTCTTGTACATGCTCCAGAGGCAGATGGACCCGTTATCCGAACCGGTCACGAAGTGGCTGGGGGGCAACGGGGCCACACAGTCCGTGTTGTTCTCCTTGTATGCGTCCTTGTTGGAACCTCCACGGAAGATCAATTGCGACTCTTCCAACACTTTCCACAACCTCGTCGTGCGATCACGCCCCCCAACGCTAACACACTGGTCCAGCGCCATCGCGCCCACGGAGACGACATGGTCCTGATGGCCGAATAGCGTCTCCAGGTAGGCATGACCGGCCGAGCTCAGGGACCACGTCTTGATTGTCCGGTCGAACGATCCCGTGAATAATTGCTCTCCGGAGCTCATGGTGGAGATATTCCGGGCGAACGCGAGCCCGCAGACGGCATCACGGTGTTGCGTGAAGGTCTTCGTTGGCGTCAGCGTCGCGGCGTCCCAAATGATCAATTTCCCGTCTTTTCCACCAGTGGCCACAAACTTGCCCGATGGCGAGACCGCCACCGACAGGATGCTCTTGGTGTGGCCATGCTCTCCCCTGCTTTCGGCCACCTTTTGCAGTCCACGCGTGAAGCGGACCTGTTTCGGCTTTGTCCGCTGGGGTCTGGGCGGGCGTTTCGACTTCATATCCTGACCATTGGCTGTCGGCGTTGGGCTCGGGTTCGGCTTCGCCAGTTCCCATTTGATCAAGGTTCGGTCCTTGGAGACAGTGTAGACGTAGGGCGCGTGCACGGCAACAGACGTAGTCGTTTGAGTGTCGGCCCGGAAGAACGAGTTGGAGGCATTCGAGAAGGCCAAATCCGAAGCGATCTGACGGTACACCCGTCCTTTGAATTCGTCCTATTGCTGGTCAGCTGTGACTGATTCTGGGTAAAGAAAATTCGAGGTCTCCGCGCAGCACATACCACATCCTCCTTCAGCCGTTCCGCGATCAAATCCCGATCAATCTCTGCCGCATCGAAACCGTAATCATCCACCTCGTCTCGCACATTGTCCAGGTATCTCTCTGCCAGCTTCAACCTCCGATCCGCGACCGTTTCTCCCTCGTCCGATTCCGCGTCGCTTTCCTCCTCCGAGACGCCGGACGCTATGCTCCCATCCTCGTCGATATCGCTCCCCGAGATGGACTCTTCGCGCTCTCTCGACTTTTTGCTTCCTTTGCCACCGGCATCTTTTTTGGCATCCACTCCTCGCTTCTTCGTGGCGGGGGCTCCAACGCGATCCTCTCTCTTCCGCTTCCGCTGGGATGCGGGCAAAGTGAAAAACGACGACATCTCCCGATGACTATCTATACCCAGTAGTATATCAATTGGAAAGATTAAATATGAAGAAGGGGGTAACCGAGGGAGATCTCCAAAGAATTGAAGCCGGACGATAATGATGCAGACCCGCAACAATCTTCTGCTCGATACTTTTTTTCTGCCGGGTGGCCCGTGCAGGCGGACAGACAGAGCACGGTCTAACCTATTCCGGTTAGTGATTGCTCATCCATGGCTGACTCAGCGAGGCAGCTCTCCGCCTCAGGCAGCTAAGCTTCAGGCAGTCAAAGCTCCGCGCGTGTTCGTCATCTACGAGCTCCTCACCTTCTTGTCGCTGTCAATCCCACCACTTCTCCGTTCCATCATCGTCCTTCGCTCTACTACCACTCTTTTTTGATCCGTACCGATCTTCCGTTTGTGATCACTGCAGATATGTGAGTGTCTGGGACCCTTGACGGTCGATGGAACCCGCTAACGGACTGCCTGCAGGGAGGTCCTCCTCGGCATCACTGGCAAGGACTTTGTCCTTCTGGCAGCGTCTAAGGCTGCCATGAGAGGCCCGACGATCCTGAAAGCGACGGATGATAAGACACGACAGCTGAACAAGAACACGCTGATGGCGTACTCGGGAGAGGCGGGAGACACAGGTCCGTAGAGACACTGTCAAGTGATCAAGACATCAAGACACAATGACTAACAGCGGTCTGGAACAGTGCAATTTGCGGACTACATCCAAGCGAACATCCAACTATACACGATGCGAAACGATACCGAATTGGGCCCGGTTGCGGTCTCCAACTTTGTGCGAAGCGAGCTGGCACGGAGCTTGCGATCTCGGAGTCCCTACACGGTGAACTTGTTGCTCGGCGGCGTGGACCCCATCTCCCAGGAGCCTCATCTGTATTGGGTCGACTATCTGGCTTCGCTGGCTCCGGTACCATATGCCGCTCACGGTTATGCCCAGTAAGCTTGCTCCCAATAAGACCACCATCTGGCGCCGGTCACTGCTAAACGGGGATTGTAGATACTACTGTTTATCGACTCTCGACAAACATCATCACCCCGACATCAACCTCGAGCAAGGCATGAAGCTCCTCGAGATGTGCACGGATGAGCTGAAGCGCAGACTTCCAATTGACTACAAGGGGGTATGATATTCCTGGCGCTCCCATCCCTACATTGAATGATAGACTAATGGCTCCCCTTAGGTTTTGGTGAAAGTGGTGACCAAGGACGGTGTGAGGGAATTAGATTTCGATAACGATCGTATTGTCAAGAGCGCTTAATGAGGGGTTGTATCATACCACTGTTTGTCTTTTGTTTTCGGTTTCAACGGGACTTGGTTTTCAGACGATCGGTTGCATCTAGTTCTCTCCCCGCGATGCTGATCGGCAAGTAGTGTCTCGTCCACGATTCATTGAGTCCAAAAGAGATTCAATAGGGATGATTCTTCCAAGGAGCCTGATCCAGTGGTGGTGTCACTTGTAGTCGTACTAGTAATATGGAGCGAGTAGAGTAGACTGGATGAGGCGATGACGCTCTCTGCGGCTGGTGTTTGACGGGTTTGCATCCCTCCGCCTCGCCCATCGCGACTTTCACCTTCACGGACTCGCCGCATCCCGACCACTACGCTGCCCGCGATCATCCCCGACCAGTTATAATGTCGAAACGACCAGCAGATGCTTCACTTGAAGGAGAACCTCCAGTAGGTTCTCCCGTTTCGAAAAAACCCCGGGTAGAAGACGATGTCCCCGAAGGCGACGATGCGCGCCGTGAAGCTCTCCCGTTACGCCGAGCCAACGCCCACCAGTGGGAGCAAGATGAGCGGAATGGAAACGACATACTCGCAGCGGCGGATCAAGAGGCCGAAGAATTAGAAGAGGGGACCCGGGATGACGGGACAGGCTTATCGGATGAAGACGACGACCGACCAGCGATCGCTGCGCCGAAACGCCAGAACGCACCCATGGAAGGCTACGGGGATTTGTACCTCGATACGATCAATCGCGGCGTGCTCGATTTTGACTTCGAAAAGCTGTGCTCCATCAGTCTGTCCAACATCAACGTGTACGCGTGTCTTGTCTGCGGGAAATACTTCCAAGGCAGAGGCCCCAAGTCGCACGCCTACTTCCACGCCCTGGACATCGGGCACCATGTCTTCATCAACATGGGATCTAAGAAAGTTTTCGTTCTTCCAGAGGGCTATGAGGTCAAGAATAAAAGTTTGGATGATATTAAATATGTTGTCGACCCGCACTACGGCAAGGACTATGTCTCGAAGCTGGACAAAGAGGCCCACGACTCGTTCGATCTCGCAGGCAATCGCTACAGACCAGGTAAGGGTCCTCTCCTTTTTCTCATGGTAGCTGGGACTGACCGGTTTGCTCTCTAGGTTTCGTGGGTATGAACAATATCAAAGCCAACGATTACCTGAACGTAGTGGTCCAGCTGCTGGCCCACGTCCTCCCCATTCGCAACTACTTCCTTTTACATGAATTTCCCGCCCTGGGAACACCGCAGTTGGCGCTCCGCTTCAGTACGCTGGTACGGAAGCTATGGAATCCCAAGGCATTCCGGTCTCACGTCTCACCGCACGAGTTGCTGCAAGAGATCGCTCTCAGGTCCTCGAAGCGTTTCACACTCACTCAGCAGTCGGATCCCGTCGAGTTCATGTCCTGGTTCTTGAACAACCTGCACCTTTCCCTCGGGGGCTCCAAGAAACCGTCCAAGACGCCCACTAGCGTGGTCCAAGCCGCCTTCCAAGGCCACCTCCGGATCGAAAGCCAGGCGATCACCGCCCATTCAGATACCCAAAACGCCCGTCTGGTTTTCACCGAGTCCGCCGACATCAAGAGCCAGACCACCCCCTTTCTGATCCTCACGCTGGACCTCCCCCCAACACCCCTATTCCAATCCTCCAACCGAGAATCCATCATCCCCCAGGTCCCCCTAACGACCCTACTAAACAAGTACAACGGAATCAGCGCCTCCGAGAAACTCTCCGACCGAGTGCGCCACCGCCTCCTGCACCCCCTACCCCCCTACCTCCTCTTCCACATCAAGCGCTTCAGCAAGAACCGCTTCGTCTCCGAACGAAACCCCACAATCGTCACATTCCCCTCCCCCAACAACCTAGACATGTCCCCCTACGTGGAGCCGAACCCGAACGTCTGGCCCCCAGGCGAACCGATCATGTATGACCTCGTCGCCAACATCATCCTCGACCCTGCGGTCGCTGCTCCAGGCGCCACCGAAGACGCAGCAGGCAAGGGCGTCAACGCCGCCTCGGGCGCCGCGTCAACGGGCGCAGGCGCAGGCAACGAGAAAGTCTCCTGGCTCGTCCAGCTCCACGATAAGGCCATCTCCGCGGAGAGCGCGCGCCACCAGGGCGAGGGCAAGGGCGACCAACGCGGGGCAGAGTGGCTGGAGATTCAGGATCTGTTCGTGAAACGCGCAGAGAGCGAAACGCTGTTCACGCGTGAGGGTTACCTCATGGTTTGGGAACGCCGACGGGTCCCTGGGATGTCGAATCGGCCTGGGAAGGCCGCTGCGAAGTGAGTGCATGAGTGTGAGTGAATATGGTGGAATATAGGGCATTCTCAGATAACTTTGTCATCTACACCGTGTATTGAAATGTAGCATGGAGTTTTGTATTATTAGAGTTACGATGATGATTCGATTGATTCTTTGGTTGCTCTTTCTTTTCCTCCATCTTTTTCTACTTTTCCTTTCTGGGGGAGGACCTTCATGATTAAGTATCTCTCTACGATGTATAAATCGATTAGAAAAGGTTCTCGCGCTGGTTTTCTTTACTAGGAACCAGGTCGTCTTATTGAAAGTTGAGTTACAGGGCGTAAATTTGATGTAACCATTAGTGTATATGACCGCCCAATTTGATTACTACGATTTGTCTATTCACAAAGTCCCCCACCCACAGAACTTCCTCCCGATCTTGATAGCCGAACCGGATATGATTCCCCAGACACTGGCATTCACGGCCGCTTGAATGCCGAGCATCAGGGTCATCTTTCCCAAATATGTCAGCTTATCAGTCCGAGGGCCACCGCCACCCCACACACCCAGGCCGCGGACATTCGCGAGCTGGATAGCCGGCGCGCCGGTGGAAGACAGGTATGACGACGCCAGAGAGCGAAGGTATAAGGATTCGAGGGGGAGGAAGAGGACAGTGGTGATCATGGATGCGAGGTGGGAGGCGAGAGAGTCGACGGGGTGAGAGGAGAGAATGGTCACCCGGTGGGCCGCTGAAGCTGAGCCGGTTGTTGTTGTCATTGGCGCTTCCCTGACGGCTGTATCTGATATGCCATGCATCAGTTCCGAGTCGAAATCGGTTTCGAGGGTTTGCACGATGTCGGGGGGTGGTTCCTGCGTATCATCGTGAATTGGCTCTTCAACGCTGTCTGGTAGGATGTTGGAAGAGACTAAGAGGGACTCTCCGAGATGGAGATTCCCAGTCGGGGGATCCGCGCTTGCTATTTGCGGTTGGTCTTCGACCTCCACTGCAGGCGTAGGCGGAATGTCTCCAGGAGTAGGAGACAGCCCCGGAGTCAGGTTTGAAAGCCCATCACTGTCTATGGTGTCAGAGTTGACGATCGTGCTGAGATTTTGCCCTTGGTTAGATAGCAGAGTATCTAAGAACTCAGAGATTGACCGCCGGTCTGCCGGTTCCCCCTCGGATGTGAGTTGTTCGATCTGATTACCGGTCCTGGGATTCAGTTGACCGTGGTTCTGCAGGTTACGGCTTCCGAGCAACTCGAGTTGCATGGTAATCACATCGGAGTTCTGGTGGATGAGCGACGCCCGAACGCGGGGCGAAGTCGGAGACGACGTTTCCGGAGAGGAGGGTCGGGAGAACAGTGTGTTCGAGCGGGAATGACGCCGATTGTCGGTGTTGTTGCCACCATCCGGTCTTGTTTCTGATACGTTTGCCGAAGTGGAAGGCTGGCCCGCCGTAGGGGCTGCGGCTCTTGTCCGATCTAGAGGCATGCCGGTAAAATCTTCGGCGCTCATCTCCGCAGGGGAATGAGACATTCTATCCTCTTCATGCGGAAGAACGCGGCTCCCACCGAAGTCGACCCCTGAATCCGGCGAATGAACAGGGGCTGGGGTTTGCGGCGAACTAGTGCGTATGGCTGCGAGTTCTGGGAGCTGATGCTGTGGAGGCGTCAACTCCTCTGCCCGATGAGCTGTAGCCTGGAGCTCGTTCCGCAGTTGTTCAATATTCGGCGGCAAGGACTCCGACAGCTGTCTATGGCGGGCGTCTGCTGCCTGTTCCAGCGCACGTATCGTTCGCTGGGACTTGAAGCCCACCCACGACAGCGCCCAGTCTTTCAGGAAGCTGATCTCATACATGACATCTTCCAAGAGTGTGAGTGAGTTGCGACGGTTTTCTTCTTCGGATCGGCGCCCAAGCGTTGGCACCATCCAATCAATAAGGTCATTGTCGAAGGCCACCTTGATGGAGAGCTCGTCCGCCAGAGTCGGCTTGGGCAGTCGGCGACGGATCAGACGATAGAGCCGTATCTCTATCACCGGACGTAGGTACACATAGAGGTACACCAGGAAGGACGGGGTCTTGACGAGATGCAGGGCAAAGCTGGCCAGCGATGTCGGCGAGATGTCGGTTGGCAAGGAGGGAAATTGCATGGGTGCGAATTCTCCAAAAGGAATGAGAAAATGGAGGCCTGGCAGCGCGTAGGGATGGACCAGATGGAGAGATTGTAGGAGAGAGTACATGTATGTCTGGATAGCCATTATAAGGAGTGTGCCTCGAGTCCTAAAACATGGCGTAAGTAAATACACCGGTCACTTGGAAGGCTTCAAGTTCCATACGCAGAATGTAGGAGGGTGAAAGACGATCGCACCATCTTCGACCATATGTCATCACCAGGGAAGCGATTTTGCAAGGACGAAATGAAGCGCTCGAGCGGATGGTGTCGGCAAATGGATAAGCATGTCGAGATTGCCCAGGACGGAATGCCGGCGAAGTAAAAGCCCACGATGCCCACCGACGCTCGCTCACGCCGGAGTATGTTCATGAGTGGCTCATGTGTATAACTCCGAAAAGTCTACAACAGCGATGCGATTAGTCTTTGTGTTTTGTTGCAAATGTTCGAGGGCTACAAGTAAGGCTCACCTGTATGCGGCCGGCGAGCGATGAGGTCCACCACGACCCCAGAAAGACTGACACTTGGTCCAATGTCGCCATGACCAGACCATAGTCATTCTCCGCAGCTATCATGTCGACCTTCTGCTGTTCACTAGGCCCACTGGCCTTTGCGTCCTCGCTGACGACAATCCCCATCGTTGAAAGAATGTCATTTTTGGCTCTCCGAAGCTCTCGTCCAAATGACTTGGACTCTGGATTGACCGGATGGCCCCGGTCATCGTAATGCTGAACATATTCATCCGCGTGAGTCCCCGAGTCCGTGCGGTACGTTGTCCTCGCTGTTGACCCTTCTGGGCGCTCCGGGGCTTCATAGGGCGATCGGCCCTTGAGATCGGTTAGCTCATGGACCCAGTTTCTGTCATTGGCAATGAATGCGCGGCGGACACGAGACCCAGTACATGGGAGTAACTATCCGATGTTTCCACAGTACGATCGAAACAAGTGTACGTCCGACAGACCGACACACGTCCACGATGGGCGAACCGAGTATAGATAGGAGAGTGTGGAGATTCGGAGTAGAGGGTTGAAGCCTACCAAAGCCAGCCTGTTCAGATACGCCTGTCGCCCCATGGCGCGGCTCCACTCAAGGAATGACACTCAAAGACCGTTACGGCATGATTTAAAGTCCGTATGGAGCAGTCCAGCAACTGATAGAGACGATGGCGATCAATGACATGGAGAGATATGGAGGAATCACGGAAAGCCGCCTCACGTGGGCGGTTGTCGCGTCAGATGCGGCTGGACGCACGGACCCGCGGGGATCGGCGGAGACAAACAGGACAAACCGAACAAACACCCGTCCCATCGAAAAAAAAGATCGAAATACTTCGCTCCGTCGCACGCTTTCTTGGACGACACTCGACGATCTCCCCCCCGCTACTTATTCTCTATTCTTTTTTGGGTGTGATGGCGCAGTAGTTGTTTATCTACTGACATCACTGGAACCTCGTGCGAATCATGTCGAAAGCCGTGGTGAAGACGACCTTTGAGGCGTCGCGGACCCTCCGTCCCATCTACACCGGAGGAAGTACGGCGCTGGATGCGAGTGGCCGCATTCTGGTCACCTGTGTGGGTGAGGATGCGCTGGTTGTGGATTTGGAGACGGGCGATCAACTTGCCAGCCTGGAAGGGGTAAGATTCGGCCCTAGTGGTGTCAAAACTCGTTGTCGCTAACGGGATCTCTAGGATGGCGAGATCATCACCAGCTTGGCGAGTAAGTAAAGACGGTTTCAGGATCAGTCGTGCTTTATCTGACGAATTCATAGTTACGCCGTCGGCTTCACACGTGGTGGTCTGTTCGCGATCATTGTCCATGCAAATCTACTCCCTGACACCTTTCGACGACGTTTCCCGAACCATTGATGCGAAACTTGTGCGGACCTTGAAGCCGCACGTGGCACCCGTGGTGACCACCGCCATCGATCCGACCAGCACGCTCCTGGCGACCGGTGCGGCAGATGGCTCGGTGAAGATCTGGGATATCCGGGGCGGCTACGTCACACATACCTTCCATGGACACCGCGGCGTCATCTCGGCGCTGTGCTTTTTCCAGGTGCATATCCAAGATGACGATGCGGCAGCGTCGTCCAAGAAGAAGAAATCGAAGAAAATCGACGACGATGAGGAGATGGGTGATCTCACCACCTCGGGAAGCACAATTGGAGGGTTCCGGCTGGCGTCGGGAAGTGAGGAAGGTAAAGTGCGCGTGTGGGATTTGAACAAGAGGAAACCGATCGCGTCCCTGGACTCTCACGTCTCGGTGGTCCGGAGTCTGTCGTACTCGCCGTCAGAGAATGCGCTGATCTCTGCCGGCAGAGATAGGACCGTCATTGTGTGGGATGTCCGGACATTCAAGACCCGCCGCGTGATTCCCGTCCTTGAGAGCGTGGAGGCGGCGGCTTTCGTGGGTGACAGTGGACTGTGTGTCGTCGGCGGTGAAAATGGCAAGCTGCGCGTCTGGGACTGCAACCGTGGAGGCGAGGTCACCGAGGACCAAGAGCCTGCCCCTGAATATGAGGCCGTGATGGCCATCCAGTATACCCCCGGTTTGGACTTTGCGATGACTGTGCATGCCGACCAAACCATCCGGCTCCACTCCCTCGATTCCCTGTCCGGTTATAAGCCTGGGTCGCGATTGGACCCCCTGCCGGTCATCAGACGTATTTCTGGAAATGACGACGATATCATCGACCTGGCCTACGTCGGGCCTGATCGGTCAATGCTGGCTCTGGCCAGCAACACGGAGGCGATTCGGGTCGTATCAGTGGGGCCGTCCAAAGACCGGCCGTCCCAGGGACAACAGGATTATTTCGGCGCCGACGTGACCTATCTGGAGGGTCACGACGATATCATCATCTGTATCGACGTGGACTGGTCCGGTCACTGGCTGGCCACCGGCGCAAAGGACAACACCGCCCGTCTCTGGCGGCTCGACCCGAAGTCATCGTCCTATACGTGCTTCGCAGTGTTGACGGGTCACGCAGAGACCCTTGGTGCCCTCAGCTTCCCCCGCGAACCCCCGCCCGCCGACACGCCCGCCCGCCGCGATCCGGTCAATCACCCGCCGGCATTCCTGATCACCGGCTCCCAGGACCGGACCATCAAGCGCTGGGATCTCGGCAAACTCGCACCGCTCGCTTCCTCGCAACCGCACCACCCCAAGGCCATCTTCACGCGCAAGGCCCACGAGAAAGACATCAACGCTCTGGACGTCAGCCCGGGCAACACCTTGTTCGCCAGCGCCTCCCAGGACCGGACGGTGAAGATCTGGTCGGCCGAGGACGGCACCACCGTCGGTGTGCTCCGCGGCCACAAGAGAGGCGTCTGGTCCGCGCGCTTCTCCCCGCGCGGCACCCCGTCCATCACCAACGACACCCGCACCAGCACCAGCCGAGGCATGATCGTAACCGGCTCAGGTGACAAGACCATCAAACTCTGGAGTCTCTCCGACTACAGCTGTCTCCTCACCTTCGAGGGCCACACGAACAGCGTCCTCAAGGTGCTGTGGCTGCCCCCTCCGGACCTGTCCGGCACCGGCGAGGACGACGACGAGGAGGGCCGCGCCGCCTTCGCCCACGCCGCGTCCCAAGCCCGTCCCATGGTGGCATCCGCCGCCGCAGACGGCCTCGTGAAGATCTGGTCGCCTTACACCGGCGAGCTCGAGACCACGCTCGACAACCACTCCGACCGCGTCTGGGCCCTCGCGAGCCCAACCCCATCCGGCAAACGCGATGACGCAGTCTCCCCATCCACCTTCAAGACCTCCTGCCCGTACGCCCTCGCCTCCGGATCCGCCGACTCCACCGTCACCTTCTGGACGGACACCACGTCCGCGACCTACACGGCAACCGTCAGCGCGAACACCGCGCGCATCGAGCAAGACCAGCAGCTCGAGAACTACATCCGGGCCGGCGCCTACCGCGAAGCCATCACGCTCGCTCTCCAGCTCAACCACCCCGGCCGCCTCCTCTCCCTCTTCCAAGCAGCCGTCGACGCCGCGGACGACCCGCACGCCACAGAAGCGCAGAAGAGCGAGCGAGCCAACAGCCTCACAGGCGACCCCTCCATCGACCAGGTCCTCCAGACCCTCGACCCCGAAAACCTCCGCACCCTCCTCCTCCGCCTGCGCGACTGGAACACCAACGCCCGCACCGCCCCCGTCTCCCAGCGCATCCTGTTCGCCCTCTTCCGCTCCTACCCCGCGTCCACCTTCATCGAACTCGCCACCTCCAGCATGGCCCGCAGCTCTACCGGCCGCCGCACTGCAGCCGGCATGAAGGATATCCTCATTGCCTTGTCCTCCTACACGGAGCGCCACTACCGCCGTATCGAGGAGCTCGCCGACGAAAGCTACCTCGTCGAGTGGGTCCTCGGCGAAATGAGCGGCGGCGTCGGTCTAGACGGGTTGAAGGACGCCAGTCACGACGATGACAACGTACCGGAGCATGAGCAGGACGTCCTCATGTTGGGTGTGTAGACATCTGCAACCATCAAAATAAAAACAAAAAAAGGGAAAGCAAAAGAATATAAAGAAGGGAAAAACAAAAGAATAAACGAGAACATGTATAGATAGATCCAACGGGGTTGTGTGTGGGTAAAATGTGTTGTTGGTCTTGTCTTGTCTTTTTTTTTTTTTTACTCTTTTTGTGATATCACGGCGCTGTTTGATGGGGGTATTTATTTATTCATATTACTATTTTATTTTGCATTTGCATCCAATTGCTCTATTTTATTTATTTTATTTATTCTTGTATCTTTTCTTTCTCCGTTCTTAGATGGGGTGGAAGTAGCCTGTATATAGAAAAGTCAAGCTTGTCTGAAGTTCTACTACTACTCTCTTGAAGCTACTACAGTAGCTCTTCAAGCTTAAATGAGATCAAAGCCTGGAAATCATATCTTGAGCTAGACACTCTATCTATCCAAAATCATCATCTCATAGTTATCCAATTTACAAGCAATATAGTTAATATTATCCTCCAAGCCTGGAATCAAACAGCCCTATCATGACATGGTATCAACTAAACCTTCAAACACATCTACCCCGGGTGACTGTAAATAACGAATCACCTATCATCATACCTCCGTCGCCGATGAGAGTCACGATCACGGTCACTGCCACGATCCCGATCCCGCTCTCGATCTCGTCCGTGCCTACTCGACTCTTTCGACGAGTGTCGCGAACTACTGTACCGGTCATCGTCTCGGTAGCGGTGGCTCCTGTCTCTGTCCCTGTCGCTGTCACGGTCTCGCTCGCGACGGCGCTCGCGATCTTTATCATCTCGATCTCGGTAGTATCTATCGTCGTCGTCGTCGTCGTACTTCCGTCGTCGGGAATGCCGGTCACTGGATGAGCGGCTCCTGTCTCGTCGGGATGATTTTTTCTCTGAACGATCGTCGTAGTCGTCGTCTCGGCGTCGTCGGGAGTCGCGGTCTCGATCACGGCCACTCTTTTCAAGATTCCGATCCCGTCGTTCCTTCCACTCGTCATCGTCGGTTTTCTTCGTCTTCGAGTCCTTCTGCAGAGCCGATAACTCCTCCTCCGTGATGATCTCGCCCGTTTTCGAATTCCGCATCATAACAGGCATATAGACGCCCTCGGTATTCGGCTCGCCCTCCTTCCCAGACTTCCTCGACCCCTTGCGCATAGCCGCCCTCCCCCAAGCCCCAAGCTCCGCCTCCGCCCCCTTACCCCCAGACGCATCCTTAGCTCCGATGCCCAGGAACCCAGGCCGTCGCTCAGGAACCTTTGGGGCTCCCACCGCTTTGGCGTTGTTGCTGCCGTACTTGCCGCGTCCGACCGCTTGGCCTTCCTTCCAGCCCATCCCGCGCAGCAAGGCAGCGCCGAAATCCTCGACGGGGATAGCGTTGTATTGGTCTAAAGACGCTGGCTCGGGTCGCGCTGCAACATCTGCCTTGAACGACGTCGTCTCGTCGTATCGGCCGTCGGCGCCAGCAGTAGACTCGATCACCAGATCCGATCGACGGGCGTCCCCCGCATCGCCTTGAGTCTCGCGAATCAGCGCCTGCAGCGCCACCTCATCCTGCGTGAGCGGTTTCCTCGCTGCTTGCGGTGTCTCCCTGTCAACGGGTTCTGCGTCCGTCATCAAGCGATCCCCAGACTCGTCACCCTCCTGCCCCGCCGTAGGCTGCGCGAGACTCAGCCCATACGACATACTCGGCCCCTCCGTCTCGACATCCCCACCACTACCAGCATTCGCAGCCCCCCTCCTCTGCGCCTCCTGCATAGCCTGCACCTCCCTCGGAAGCAAATTCTTCTTTCCCTTCGGCCGTGCAAGGTTCACACCGGGACGATCGCGCCAGTTATTGTTGCTAGACACGGGGATAACCAGCGGCTGTTTCTCATGTGAATTGTCGGCCGCGATGGCAGTACCCGTCATGGTGTCAAACCCCGTGACCTCCTGGTGAACGGGCGCCGCCTCGTCATCATTATCATCGTCGGAGTCGCCGCCGTGGAGGCCGTGATGCGGGCGGCGGGCAAGTGTTCGTTCGGGCGCTCGTGGCGTCGGCGTGTTGCTGCCGCTTCTGCTACTGCTCTGGAAGCTGAAGGCTGTCTTTTTTGGTGCGCCGTTCGGTGCTTCCGAGGCGGCTTTGCCTTTGCTGCCCAGGGCCATGGAGATCGGTTTGGTTGGGGGGTTTGATGCGCCGTCGCGCGGCTGCTGCTGCTGGGATGACATCGTGTGGGGCGTTTTTTTTGTGTTTGAGTGGTGGGAAGAAGGGGAAATCACACGGAGTGTTGAGAGCTTTCTTGGTCCATTTATGGGAGAATAGCAATCAGGGCGTCCATCGTTGTTGAGATAGTAAAGCAGTTCGCTGGAGAGGAAGTACTTGGATGGATCATTTGATTGATGATCAAATTACTCGATGGCGGTCCGGGCGGTGTGGAATGGCGGGAGAAAACTCACCGCCTAGAGCTGATTAAAGATACCTGCCTGAGGCAGTACATTTATATCCGATCTTACAATATGTATGCAATTCAAATCAACGTCTTCAAGTATAGATGTGTGGTTCATTATTAATGTATTTTTGTTCTCTGTTCCCTCGCCAGTCAGGCAGGGAGAGTGTAAATGAAAGAAAAAATAAAAATAAAAAGAAAAAGAAAAAAAAAAACTAATCGTACAATCATAGTCATTGATCGCTCTTGGAACTCATCCATTCCAACCCCGCCTTCCAAAAGTACTTCCCTGTACCTTTTTGTTAAATGCGTCCTATCAATACATGTGGTACAATAAAAGAAAATGCGTGAATGTTGAAAGTAGAAAAAAGAAGAAAAAAAACCCAATCCCGAAGTAGAGCACTGGTATCACGTCCATGCAGCCAGCGCATCTCGGGTAAATCCGACCCATGCCAATACAGCATGTCAATAAAAGTAAAGAAAGAAAAGGAGAAATAAGGAAAAGAGAAGGGGATCGAGGGTAAATGTGACTTTCATCGTAAGGTACGGCCGTCACAGGAGAGGTAAAGGTGGAGGAGGGATGGGGAAAGAGAGAGCAACGGATAGAAGGGTTTGTAGAAGGTAGGTAGGTAGATGGAAGGGTAGGTAGTGTAGAGTCAAGGAGTAAAAGGGGAGGGGAATGAATATGTACAGAAGAAGGGTAATAACCGGTGGAGGAAGCCGAGAGCAGAGAAGGTCCCACAGCATCTTGCAACTTGCAACTGCAACGCTCAGCTCCCCGCAGCAGTCTGAGCCTTGGGCGGATTGGGGCTCTTGCTCGACCCCGGCATCTGCCCAGCTTGAGCACTCCCACTGCGTTGAGTTTGTGGCGTCGCACTCCGGCTCGGTTGAGGGACGGCGCCGTTCACGGCCGGAGAACTCGTCACGCCCGCCCGATTTTGCGGTGTCGGCTGGGGCACGCGCATCATCGGGGAGAATCCTTGCGCGGGAGGCACTTGCATCCCCGGGCCACCGTTGATCCCGGGCGGAGGGGACTGGAAGTTCCCATCGTGCGGAATCTGATAGTTGGCCTGAACCCCACCCAGGTTGCCCGCGGCGGCGGTCATGGCCACCTGCGACATGCGCTGCTGCTGGTATTGGTGCAGCCGGTCCGTCGCCAGCTTGGTCACCTGTTCCGGGGGCATGTTGGGGTTGTTGCGCTGGATCTGGTTCTGGATGTTGCTGATCTGCGGCACCACCCCGTTCGACAACAGGTTCGGTTGGCCCATGCGAGGCGACGGCGTGGACACGCTTTGCGGCGTCGAGTGGTGGAACGACGGGCTCTGCATGCCCCCGCTCGCCTGGAGAGCCGCCATCATGGCGGGCGTGTTGGGGCTGTTGCTCACATTTGACATGTTCAAGTTCGGCGAATGCGATCCCTGGGGGACAAATTGCTGCTGGTTGTGGAACGGAGGTTGCGCCGGCTGGGCCGGGGTCTGCGATGGCTGGTGTTGCTGATGGTGCTGGTGCGGCTGCGACTGCTGCGGCTGCGGCTGGTGTGGCTGGTGGTGCGTGTGTTGCTGCTGCTGTTGCCGGGATTGCAACATCCGCTGTTGCTCTTGCAGACGGTTGGCTTCCCGGATGATCCGAGCGTTGTCGGGAGACGTCTGCATGGGCATTGCCGGAGGCCGCGCCCCCGGATTCTGCTGCATCCCGGAATGAGGCATCACCTTCATCGACATCTGCGCTGTTCCCATGGGCCCACTGGTCGGTCCAGGCATCCCTTGCAGCTGAGGGCGGCTCTGGTTCACACCAACCCCCGGCGGCATCCCATTGGGCAATCCGTTGGGCATCCCATTGGGGTTGTTGCCGGGAAGACCGGGAGTTCCCGAGGAGTGAGGCAACCCGTTCGGAATCCGTCCGGGCGGGGCATTCATGACCGCCTGCTGCTGGTTGGGCAGTTGACCGGCACGTTGCGCGGCAAGATTGGCCTATAGAGATTGTCAGTCCGCTAATGTCGAGGAGCCACGCGGGAAGGGGAAAGGAAAGGCTTACTCGTTGCTGCGCGATCATCTGCTGCCGGTACTGCTCTTGCCGCTCCTGCAGCTTCAGCTCGCGTTCGTACTTCATGCGGCTGAATTCAGCGGGGGTGGAGATGGGCGGTTTGGGCTGGTTAGTCTCGTTGACCTTTCTCAGGGACGCCAGGTGGGAAGCTAATGGGAAAATCCATGATTAATACACCGGGCCCCCATAGATCAGCGGACAAAGGGAGTCGTCTACTTACCATGCTGTTGTTTCTGAAGCATAGTCTCACGCTTCTTAGCCAGTTTCCGCATGGCATCGAGCAACGCCAGATGCTTGGAGGCCCTCTTGCGATCCACACGGACCGGCTGCGTCGTTCGTCGACGGACCGGTGGGAGGGACTGGGCGTTGTTGGTGCCTTGCTGCGCTTGCTGCTGCGGCGTTTGCTGCTGCCCTTGCTGTTGCTGTTGCTGCTGCTGTTGCTGTTGCTGCTGCTGTTGTTGCTGTTGTTGTTGCTGCTGCTGCTGTTGGGCCAGCACGGTACGTTGGGCCGTCTCAAGTCGCTGGTGGTATGCTCGGAAATATTGGGTCTTGGACATATCAGCAGGGAGTCCTTCAAGGCTGATCCAGCGTTCAAAGCATTCCCAGGGGGTCCGTCGCTCCGCGCCCGACGTGAACTGCGAGGCGGGGGAGAGGCAACTGGAGATGAGAGACCAATTGTAGGAATAATCCTTAACGAGACGACGGAGCTCGTCATCTTCCCCGTACGTCCACTGGGATGACTGCCGCGACTCGAAGAATCCCACCGAGGGCATAGGGTATTCGGTAGGAGGTCGGAAGGAGTGTCCCGGATGGATCCGGTCGCGAATGTGCTTGTTCTCGGGTCGAAACAGGGCCACGTTGGTCTGCTCGGCCGGCAGGTCGATCAACCGGTGCTCAGGCCCATTTTGATAGGACGAATAGTCGTACCGGCTGCGCTTCCGCGGCGGTTCGTTGTCGTGGAACGTGATCTTGCCGGCCGCATATTTGGAGACGGGGAGGATCTCCGTCTTCCACACCGCATCCGGCGGCTGCTTGAAGGCGGGGAGGTTGGTCTCCGGGGCAAGCTGGACGGGCTCGTAGATGGGCAACTCGTCCAAGAGCTTCTGCGCGGCCGGGGTCATGTCAAGCGAGAAGGTGAATTCATCCGAGCCGAGAGAGAAGATCGCCGCGGGAGCCACGGTGTCCCCCAGGTCGGGACGGAGCTCCTCATGGTACCCGTCGCTGACCGAGTCCTCCTCGGTCGAGGGCACCAGGTCGGGCGTCGCATGGGAAATGACCCCCGGCATCATCTCGTCGCTAGTCTCCTCCGGGGGCGACATCATGTTCGCATGGGGCTCCGTCTTCTTCCGCGCCGGCGCCGGCGGGGACGGCGTGCGGACCGGCACGCGCAGCAGGGCCCGGTGCTCCGGGTCGCTGTGCACATACTCGGCGCACCATTCCGCGCAACTCTTGGCGGCGGCGATCTTCCACTTGCGCTCCTCCCGGAAATCGGTGCGCATCCACTTCATGTGGTCCAGCAGGGCGTCCCAGTGCGTGGCCTGGCGGGGGGGCTCGAGCGACCGCTTCAACTGGCGCAACGGCCACCGGTTGGCATTCTGGAGCGAGTAGATGCGCCGCAGCGTACGGCAATCCATCTGCTCCTGGTACTCCAGCAGGTGGTTGGCCGTGGTCAGCGTCTTGTGAGCCGACGCCAGCAGCGTGCTCAGATGGGTCCCGCGCGGCGGGGAACAGGCTTTGTTCTGGAACAGGGTGAACAGATAATCGTGCTCCTCGTTCAGGCGCGCAACGTCACCAGCCTGCTGGTGCACCAGTTCCACCGAGTCCGCCTTCTCGGGCGGCGGCTGCTTCGGGAAGACGACGGCCGAGAGCTTGCTGCGGTCCTTTTCGCGCGCCTTCCGGTCCTTGAACCGCATCTTGGCCGGCGAGTCGGGCGCCGAGGCCGACGGGGACGGCGACATGACGGTCGGCTTGTCCCCGTGTGGGGAGGTCTGCCGGGGGCTTTCTCCAAGGATCTCCGAGATCGATTTGTGCCGGATCGCGCCCGAGGACACCCGGGTGGTCATCCGCTCGGTGGGGATGGATCCGGGCGGTGTGGCCTTCTTCTGCGTGGGGATCTCCGGGGCTGGCGCCGGGGGCTGCTGCTCTGTCTTGACCGCCGACGGGACCGTGTCCCGCGCGTCTGGGGCCGGGGGTCTCTTGGATTCCTCGGGGGTGGGCACCACGCCGTCGGACGTCTTGGGCTCCAGGGGCGGGGCCGCGTCGGCGGCGGCGGTCGCGGCGGCTGGGGGGGACTCGTTACGGGTCGGCCGACGTTCTCGTCGATGACTTCGTTGGTGATGGGGCCACTTGCCGCCGCGTCCCCAATGGTGTTGCTGGCCGTCAGCGTGCGGTGCTGCAGGGACTGCGCGGCCTCCAGCTGCAGTTGCTCATCCGGCGTCGAGGGGACCAACCCGGGCGGGACTTGGATTGGTTCCTCGGGCTTTGGGGTCGGCGCCGACTTCCTCGCAGCATCGGCGCCCTCCTCTACCGGACTGGTATCCGGGGACGCCGCGACGGGAACCGGGGTGTTGTTGGAATAAGGACCGGCCGACGAGACGGGCGACAAGGGCTGGTCGGGTCCCTGGACCGCCCGTCCCAGGACGAGCGATGGGCGCATATCCTGCTTCTTCTGACCGGGAGTCAGGTCTGACGCAACGACCCCGGCGGGGGGGGGCTTCGTCTGCCCGGGCGAGCCCGCAAGGTCGGCCCAGTCCTGGCCCTGGCTACTCCTGGGGGTTTCCGGGACGGAGGGGATGGACTTCTGCTCCCCCGACGGACACGGGATTGTCTGGGTAGCGATCGGGGTGGGAAGGTCCCGTCCTTGGACACCATCCGAACCGACCCCAAGCGCCAGTTTGGGGGGGCTCCAACCTCTGGCTTTCCCGCCGGCGATGAGCCCGGGGGCACCTGCACCGCTGGTCTCTGCCCGTCCACGCCAGCGGGAGAGGCATGGGCCGTGTCTACCGCCAATGGGGGACTAATTGGGGCAGCATCTTGAGCTTTGGCGGCGGATTCGACCGCCGAGGCGCTCTCCTCCTTGGGGGGCGAGACCAGATAGGTGGGCAGTGGTGGCAGAGAGGCATCATTGAAGTAGCGACCTCTGGGGAGGGAGTCAGTACAGGTAAGGGAAGAGATGTATATCGATATATCAACATGAACATATCAACCTATCATATATAGATAGGTAGACATCAAGAAAATACGTTTCATCCACGCGACAGGTGAACTGTAAAAAAAAAAAAAAAAAAAAAAAAACAAGGAACGAGAGAATAAAGAAAGAAATGAAAGAAATGGATAAATAAAATAAGAAGAAACATACTTTTGGAGATCGTTGGCGTCCAAAAAGGCCTGTTCCTTTTGATGGTATACGGACGGGGAGACCGCGGACTCGGTCGCGGTCGCGACGCCCACGGTCGCATAGTAAAGCTCACTCAATTTGCGCTTCCGCGACAACAAGCAACGTCTGAACAATTGTCATCAGCGACACCACGATATTGCCGGGGGGTGAAACCATAAGTTGAGTCGGTGGAGAACATTAAAAAAGGAAAAAATAATAACATACGAGATCTCATCTTTCTTAGACCTAAGGAGCTCGTCCCGGAGCATCGAGTTCTAATTCGGGAACACCGCATCCGATTCACGCGCTAAAAATTAAGGGAGTGGATAGAGCGAAGTCATCCAGACCGGAAAAATCGCTCTAAAATGATAAAAAGGATGGGGAATGGATGATAAACGGGGGGGGAAGAGGGGGCAGTGTGGATAGAGGAAGCGATTCACGGACGGGTATTTTGGGGGTGGATGAATTGAAGGGATTTTTTCTCGGTCGGGGGGGGGAAAGATTAGTGAGGAAGAGAGAGTAAGAAAGGGAAGTAAAGAAGTCCGTTAGAGGGTGAGTTAGAGAGAGAGAAATGGTAAAGTAAGAGAGGGGGGAAAACAGGGAGAAAGAGAGTCAAAGGGGAAGAAAGAAAAGGTGGTCGGTAATGGAGTGTATTGTATCAAGGTATGTCCGTCCAGGAATGAGGGATGGAATGCATCCGGAGGGGGATTTGGGGGGTCAACCACAGATACCGGACGGTATTCATACGGTATTCGTACGGTATCCCGCGGGTGCCCCATTGGCACGGCCGCATCCGGTAGGTGGACACCTCAGGCTGCACCATCGAATTTTGACCATTGCATCTTAAGATAAGTACTTGTAGGTGAATAATTTCATAAATATCACGTAGATCACTTGGATCACTTAGACTAGTCTGACAGTATTCTATCTAGGTGGGGAGGTAGGTATGACGGACAGAGTATATCAACTGTCGACTATATATACAACTAGATATCGACTATAGATTATAGATATCAACTATAGATATCAACTATAATTATATCAACTATATCCAGTACTACTTCGGAATACCCAATATTCATCTATACGGCTTTGAAGAATTATGCATGTGAAATTGAACCTTGAAGGACATTCTACGATCATACATGAAGCGTTCCACGATGCCTCAGGCTCCCTATTCATATACTCCAACTACGGAGTACTCGAACCTTTAGGGTTATGGTCCATACCTAATGCAGACCTATACTCTATACTTCTATGCTTCTATGCTTCCATGCTTCTATGCTTCTATACTTCTATACTTCTATACTTCTCTATTCAGGTTCACAGAGCTTCACACCAATTAATTTTGAGAGATCGAAGCGATTCCGATAGCTCTCTCTCTCTTTCAACTTTCTCTGGAACTCACTGGCTTATGACCATGAGTAGAAAGATACAATAACAACAGGGAAGAGATCTGGGTGGAAATATAGTATACTACAATAAATATAGGACGTTTGTTGTGTCTCCTACAACGAGATAGGATGGATATATACTTCACTAGCTTGGAGGTAGTACCTTAAACTGACTGGACCAGTGAGGTAACTCTCTTCTCAATCAAACAAATCATCATCAAGATATCTGGTAACCTTCATATACCTAGCTCATATAAACAGATAGACAGACAGATAGATAAATATAAGAATGATATACTCCATACTCCATGCTGGATTGATGAGTCAACGGGCAGAAAATCAAAAAAATTCAAAACCACACACCGCCCACCCTCTCCGCCAATCAACAGGCAGGAAATCCCCCACCAGACAAACCCACCACAAGTTCAATCTGTGACCACCAAATCATCATATACGCCTGCAATTTTCATCCCATCAATCCATCTATCAATCCAACCCCACCCCCTCTCCCCCCTCCCCCCCCCTTCTCTTGATTCTCTTCATATTTCGATAGAGATAGCGTTGGAATCACATACCCGCAATCATGGCGACCAACGGTGACTTTTCCGACGACGAGTCCCATCCCGGTTCCCCCGTCTTGGGCGCCAACGGTCATGGTGAGGTTGAGGACCAGGAGCCCCTCGATCAGGGCGAGAAGCCCGTCAAGTCGGCCATGAAGAAGTCCGATGCCCCTCAGCCCCCGAAGCGCCCCGTCCTGCCCGAGCAGCCGGACCCGACCACCCTGGACCTCTCCACGCTGACCCCGTTGTCCCCCGAAATCATCGCCCGCCAGGCCACCATCAACATCGGTACCATTGGTCACGTCGCTCACGGGAAATCCACCGTGGTCAAGGCCATCTCGGAGGTCCAGACGGTCCGTTTCAAGAACGAGCTGGAGCGCAATATCACCATCAAGCTGGGTTACGCCAACGCCAAGATCTACAAGTGTGACAACCCCGAGTGCCCGCGCCCGACGTGCTATAAGAGTTTTAAGAGTGAGAAGGAGGTCGATCCCCCGTGTGAGCGCGAGGGCTGCCAGGGTCACTACCGTCTGCTCCGCCATGTCTCGTAAGTCATAACTTTATCCGCGGTGTGTGTCTCGGGGTGATGGAGAACCCGCATGGCTGATATCTCTCATATAGGTTCGTTGACTGCCCCGGGCACGATATTCTCATGAGTACCATGTTGTCGGGTGCCGCCGTCATGGACGCCGCCCTCCTCCTGATTGCCGGAAACGAAACGTGCCCGCAGCCCCAGACCTCGGAACATTTGGCCGCCATCGAGATCATGAAGCTCAGCCACATCGTCATCCTGCAGAACAAGGTCGACCTGATGAGGGAGGATGGTGCTCTGCAGCACTACCAGTCCATCCTGAAGTTCATCCGCGGTACCGTCGCCGACGGCTCCCCCATCATCCCCATCTCCGCCCAGCTCAAGTACAACATCGATGCGGTCAACGAGCATCTCGTCACCCACATCCCCGTCCCCGTGCGCGACTTCACCGCCTCGCCGCACATGATTGTCATCCGTTCCTTCGACGTCAACAAGCCCGGTGCCGAGATCGAGGACCTCAAGGGTGGTGTCGCCGGTGGCTCCATCTTGACCGGTGTGCTCAAGCTCAACGACGAGATCGAGATCCGTCCCGGTCTCGTCACCAAGGACGAGAACGGCAAGATCCAGTGTCGCCCCATCTTCTCGCGCATCGTCTCCCTGTTCGCCGAGCACAACGATCTCAAGTTCGCCGTCCCCGGTGGCCTGATCGGTGTGGGTACCCGCGTCGACCCGACCCTGTGCCGTGCCGATCGTCTCGTCGGTTTCGTCCTGGGCCACCGCGGCCGTCTCCCCGCCATCTACACCGAGCTGGAAGTCAACTACTTCCTGCTGCGCCGCCTGTTGGGTGTTAAGACCGCCGACGGCAAGCAGGCCAAGGTCGCCAAGCTGAGCAAGAACGAAGTGCTCATGGTCAACATCGGCTCGACGGCCACGGGCGCCAAGGTGATGGGTGTCAAGGCCGATGCCGCCAAGCTCAGCTTGACCAGCCCGGCCTGTACCGAGGTGGGAGAGAAGATCGCCATCAGCCGGAGAATCGACAAGCATTGGCGTCTGATTGGATGGGCCAACATTGTTGCGTAAGTTTTTCCTTCCCTCTCTTTTGTTCCACGCGCCCCCTTTGCTCCGTGTCTTCTGTCCTGGCAAATGCAGATTCTAATGACGAACAGTGGTAACACCCTCGAGCCCATCCTGAACTAAACGAGCCGAGGCTCGTGGATAGATTCAGCTCGACCCAACCGGCGGTAGAAGGGAGGGGAAGAAGATCCTCCGAGGCGGTTGAAAAGATCGATCTCTATTTCCTTCCCTTTTCCCGTGCGATTCTCGGGCAGCTCCCATTCTCGTGGGGAAGAGCTGTCAAGAATCGGTTACGGTCACGGACAAGGATTTCTCAGGCTCACGCCCTGAAATCACGAACGTAGGAGATTGTCGGTTACCCTTCTGGTAACCCGGATGGAGACTTCCCCCGATTGTCTTTGGGCGTGTTTTCCCTTGCATCCACCGGGATGAGTTGGGTTGGGCGGATGGAGTAGAACTGGCTCCTTTTGACGTGTGTTATGACGCTGTTTCGTGAAAAAATTTCCTCATTCTACTTTTTTTTTTTCTCTTTCCTCTCCGTTCTATATTTCCTTGGACGTTTACCCTTTTCTATTTCTTCTTTGAACATGCATGGACCTCTGTAGATGTCACTGGTCTTTTATGAAGGGAGAGAGAAGACAGAACGACGAAATGCGATGAGAAATTACAGCATTGTTAGAAAATATCATTCCAAAACCCTCGTAACCTATATAAATAAAAAAAGACAGATCGAATCGTCGGACACGAGTGGACGTTGATGTTGATCTCGTATATCTGGCATGTCAGATCCGCGGGAGGGCTTGTTTGTTGACTAAGTGGCATTAAGTCCGCTTACCCTGAACACTCCACCTCTTCTTCTCTTTGTTCATCCACCTTCTCTCCCACCAACACAAACAGCATAACACGAATTGTTGGTTGTGCTGCGCGTGTCATCATGTATATTCTCGAGGTACTTCCCCTCTCCTGGAGAAGGGAATGTCCGGTTAGGGACGTGTGACGATGTATAGAGAGAGCTAACCTAGTCCAACCCGCTGCAGCAACTGGCGCGTCTGCTGGACCGCCCACTGTTCCCCTGGAAGAATGTCCTCGTGGGATTCTCCCTGGGCCAGTTCGTTCTGGAGGGACTTCTGTCGTTCCGTCAGTTTAAGGTCCTCCAGCGCACCAAGCCCCCGCAGGTGTTGAAGGAGGAGGTGTCGCAGGAAGTCTTCGACCGCAGTCAGGTAGGTTGCCCTCAATCCATCGTCATCTAGCTGGAAGACGGTTGCTGATGATTGGAATCAATAGGCGTACGGTCGCGCCAAAGCCAAGTTCAGTTTCTTCTCCGGTCTCTACGCACAAGTCCAGAACCTCGCGTTCATCTACGGTGACTTTCTCCCCAAGCTCTGGGGCGCCAGCGGGTTCTTCCTGGCGACGTATCTCCCTACTCGGTTCCAAGGCGAAATCACGCAGACGCTTCTGTTCGTTTTCGGATTCAACATCATCTCTACGGTCTTGTCTCTCCCCGTCTCGTACTACAGCACCTTCGTCCTCGAGGAGAAGTTCGGCTTCAACAAGCAGACGCCGAAGCTCTGGGTTACGGATATGATCAAGGGCCAGTTTCTGGGTATCGTTCTGGGCACGCCTATCATCAGCGCGGTGCTCAAGATCGTCCAAAAGACCGGCAACTCGTTCTTCTACTACCTCTGGCTCTTCGGTGTGTTCGTGCAGGTCTTCGCCATCACCATCTACCCGATCGTTATCCTGCCCATGTTCAACAAACTGTCGCCTCTCGAACCCGGTGCGCTCAAGTCCGGCGTGGAGAAACTGGCCAAGAAACTGGACTTCCCGCTGCAGGAGCTGCACGTCATCGACGGCAGCAAGCGCAGCGCCCACAGCAACGCCTACTTCTATGGACTCCCCTGGAAGAAGCACATCGTCCTCTATGATACCCTGATCGAGAAGAGCGAGCCCGAGGAGGTCGTCGCCGTCCTGAGTCACGAGCTGGGCCACTGGAGCCTGAGCCACACCACCAAGCTGTTTGGTATTGCGCAGGTACGTGATTTGATCCCTATTGATTATGACTGAGCTGATTCTCTGGATAGTCCCACATGTTCTACATCTTCGCCCTGTTCTCGGTGTTTGTCAACAACCGGTCGTTGTACGAGTCGTTTGGCTTCTACAACGAGATGCCCATCATGGTTGGATTCCTGCTCTTCTCGGATGCTCTGGCTCCGATGGATGCGGTTGTCAAGCTTTTGATGAACATTCTCAGCCGTCGCTTTGAATTCCAAGCTGGTATGTTCTCTCTCTGTCTATTTTTGGTGAATTTGGTTCTGACCTTCATAGATGCCTTTGCGGTGCAGCTGGGCTACTCCAAGGAGCTCGCCTCGTCGCTGCTCAAACTGCAGATCCAGAACCTGAGCACCATGGATGCCGACTGGATGTACGCCAGCTACCACTACTCGCACCCGATCCTGTCGGAGCGACTGAAGGCGCTGGGCTGGTCGGGCGGCAAGGTGACTGGCGGTGTGACCGAGGATAGCGAGAAGCCGGTCAAGGCCAGTGATCGTGAGCTGTAAGGTCATGATTGACGTGGTCGTTTAAACATGATCGGGGAGTTGAATATGACATCTGGTGTATTTTATAGAATGACACTCAACATCAGAAATAAGATAGCCCAACTCCGTCTAAATAAGAATACAAGAAATAAATGAAAAACACGCCCATGCAGTATACCTTTCCACACCAACATAAATCATTCACCCAAACAACAAGAAAAAAGAACCCAGTTAATCCTTATTCTTATTCATCTTGGCCTTCTTCTCCGCCAACCTCCTCTCCTTCTTCTTCCTCTTCCTCTCCTCCTTATCTACTCCACCCTCCCCATCACCATCAACCTCCATCGGCACCCCTTCACCCTCATCCTCATACTGCACCACATCCGGCTGCTCCTTGACCTCAAACTCCTTCGCATCCTCCCATTCCGCCCCGCCGTTCGTCTGCGCCGCACCGCCCTCAGCGCTCAAGTTCGCAAGCGCAAGATCCCTCCCCAGCACCTCACCCGCAAGACCGGCCTGCACGCGCTTGAGATTGTGCAGCATGAGGTTGGGCGCGGCGGCCGTCGTGCGCGAGACGGGGCCGTGCTCGCTGATGCCGGCGTTGGGTTGCAGTGCTGGGTCCGTGTTGGCGCGGTCGAGGTAGGCGGCGAGGAAGTCGTGCGCGGTTGATTGCGGGATGGGTTTGCTGGTGAGGATTGTTGTGGGGGGGAGGGGGGCGGGGATTGTTGTCATTTTGCTTGCTTTATTCTTCTTTTCTTGCGGATGTTGGTAGTGGTAGTGGTGGTGGTAGATTGTAGGTTGTGTAGATAGGTAGAGGTCGTAGGTAGGTAGATGTCAAGTGTCGTTAATCGAGTGTACTCCGTAAGTGTGGATCAATTGAGTAACAATACAAAATAAAAAAAATCTCCCTGTCTAGCAGTTTTGAGATATGAAGTTGTATATGAAGACTTGGGAAAGAAAAAAGTTCGGCCGGGATGGTCTGTGCACGTGCTCCGCCGGAGATTCGACTCAATTTCCAACTTCATCTCATCCACTCTCAATCAACCAACTCAACCTGGACACGTCCGCCACCACAACATCCACAACATCATGCTCTGTCTCCGGTGCAGGGCCCTGCCCTCTGCCTTTAAGGCTCCTGCTGCGCCAATTGCTCGGTATGTCTCTCAATCAGACAATTCAATACTCAATCTCCAATCTCCAATCTTCAACCCAGCCACATCGCAACACTCTCCCTCAACACCGCTCCTCACTCCCCTAACAACCCCCTCCAACAACAAAAGAAATACAATCCTAACCAAATAATAGATTCCAAACTCCCCGAGCAATCCAACCCACCCCCTTCCGCACCCTCTCAACAATCCACACCCCCCAACAATCCGTCCTCTCCGCCATCCGCCGCCCCTCCGCGTTCACCTCTCCCTCTCCCTCTTCATCTCTCTCCCCGAGTCTTCCTCTCTCGCCTAGTCTCGCCCTCCAAACCCGGTCTTTCTCAGCGAGTGCCCCCCTGACCGGCAAGCGCGCAACGTACAACCCGTCGCGACGGGTGCAGAAACGCCGTCATGGGTTCTTGGCGCGCCTGCGCTCTCGTGGGGGGAGATTGATTATCCAGCGGAGGAGGGCTAAGGGGAGGAAGAGTCTTAGTTGGTGATCTATTGGTTTATTCTGGCTCTTGATGTTATCTTAGGGGGTGAATACTTCTTCGATCTTGGCTTGTCTTGATTTGGTCAAGGGAAAGGGAAGGGAAGGACTGGGGATGATGATCGCCTGATCGCTACAGGCTTTCTTTTCTGTCCTGGGTTGTGTTCTTATAGATGTGTTTTCTTATTTTATTCTCTCGATTACGGGCCGAGGCCTACTGCTGAGTTCGTGCTCTTGAGATATGTCTTGCTGTGCCCTGCCTGGCCCACCCCGTGTACTATACATACATACATATGTACCTGTTTGTTTCTACTTCTACCTATCGGTATCATCCTGTCTCCGTGCTTGCTCTGATCTATGATTCCATTGTGCTAGAACCAGGTAAGACACTGCTTCGTAGCCGACACAGGTCATAAGTTACATATGGTCTATACAAAGTCACGTTCTACCCCCCAATGAGTAATACGCAGTAAAGGGAAAGCCTGGAAACAAGTCCATTTGTCTTATTCTTTTCGTTTCTCTTCTTTTCTTTTCTATCATATAGATCTAACAGCGGATCTAACATATCAAGCATCACTCATTTCCTCATCATCTTCAGATCCCGTCTCATACTCAGAGTCCTCCTCGGACTCCTCGTCGGCTTCTTCGCCGTCGACCTTCAGCCCGTAGTCGTCTTCAAACTCCTTGAGCGGCTGCACCTGGGGCTTGAATCCGGATTCTTGGAGGCCGTTCTTGATGTTCTGTAGTATCTAGTTAGCATATCTGATTGGGGGGAAAGATTCGAGAAGAAAAGAAGACGGGGGAACCATACCTCCTCCATCACAGTAGCACAAGTAACAACAATATTAGCCGTGTCCGGCGCAAACAAAGGCAGGATAATCTCCCTCAGAGCCTTCTTCACGTCCTCCACGCCCGTGTCCCGCACCTTCCGGAGCAGCTTCTCCTTGTAATCCGACGGCAGGTTGCGCACCACCTGGCGCGTGAAGCTGCCCAGCGCGGCGCTGGCGATCGTCGCCTGCTCGTTGGCGAAGCCGACCACGATGCTGCTGATCGCGCCCTCCATCATCAGCGGGTCGAAGGGCATCGCCCCGGATAGGTGGTCCTCGACGATCTGCTTGCTCGCTTCGAACGCCTTGTGCGCGTTCGGAGACCGGTACACGTCGAAGTTGACGAACCCTGTCTCGACGTTGTAGGCGAAGTTGGTGCCGTATGCCAGGCCCTTGCCGCGCACTGCAACCCACAACGGTCCCTCGACCGCGTTCATGTAGGCTGTTGCTACTAGCAAGGCGGGGAGGTTCGGGTCGTCGTGGGAGTCGAGACCGCGCGCGGTGGCGTACGCGAACGAGGAGTCGACGGTCGCCATGGGCACCACGTACGAGTGACCACCCAGGTTCCGGCCCGCTTCGCTCAGCAGAGGGCGTCGCGCGGTGATGGGCTGGAGAGCGCCTGGGGCGCCCAGTCGGTCGGTGAACGGCTTCCAGGCGGACACCGGGTTCGGAATCCGCTCGAGGTCGCCGATAACGAGCAAGCGCATGTTCTCGGGCTTGAAGATCGCCTCCCGGATCTCCTCCATGCGCGCCACGACGGTGTCGGGCTCGTCGGCCAGCTGGCGCTTGATGCGCTTGAGATAGCGAGCCTTGACCAGAGTGCTGCGGGCCCGCACGATCGACTCAGGCGCGTAGTGGACCATGACGTGCACGGCTGCGAGCATGTCGTCGCCGTTGCGCTTGGAGTCGGGCACGTCGGAGAGCAGGCGGCTGGTGATGGCGCGGAGTCTCTCCACGTCGAAGATCGAGTTCCAGGAGATCTCCTGGAGCCAGGCGATCGCCGTCTCGTACTTCTCGACCTCGACCTGGAAGGAGATGCGCAACATCTCCGAGTTGCCCATGGTCCTGGCTCCTTCCATAGTATAACCGACCGTATCGCGCTCCATCTCGACCACCACCTGCTCGAAGCTAATGATCTTGCCGTCGCGCTTGATCGGCACGTTGAAGAACGCTTCCGTGTACACGGACAGGAGGGGGCGGAGGTGGACCGGCACCGATTGGGCGGAGATCAGCAGGGAGAGCTGCACGAAGCTGCTGGGGATGTGCTCAAAGTGGATGAACAGCGGCAGGTCCGAACCGTCCGCATCGACGATCTGCTGAGCCTTGTGCACCGGGCGTCCCGCCTTGAGGGCCTCGCCGGATCGTGCGGTGGTCGACTCCACGAAATGGATGGACTCGATGCCAGGAATCTCGAACTTACCCAGCATCTCCTTCGGAATATCCTTATCGTTCTCCGCCTTGGCCTTTTCGAGGCGGTCCGCCAGCTCTTTCAACCCCTTCTCGCCCAGGCGCTTCTTCTGCGCTGCGACGCGAGACTCTTCCTCCTGTTTCAGCGTGTCGGACATCTTGGTGGACGGGACACCCAGGATGGTGACGTGGGGCGCATCAGAGATCCATTTCTTGATGAAGCTGCGCCATTCCGTCTCCTTCCATTGCTCGAGGGTGTCGTATTCTTTCAGGGTGGCAACATCCAGCATGGTCGAGCCGTCCCGCTTGCCGTACAGGAAGTCGGAGATGGCATACTCCGCAAACGAAGACGCGGAGCTCTCCGTGGAGAACTTCCAGGTCCGCCTCTGCCGGTCGATGCATTCCTTCAGGTACCTCATATCGAGCTCCTTGTCCATGGCTTCCTTAAGCACGTCGAAGAATCGCTTCTCCACCTCGGCCAGCTTCTCAGTCTCCACGCTCGTCAGCGTGAAGCGGATTTCGATGCTAGGGTGGTCGTCCGTGGCATAGAAAACCGCACTGGCCAGCTGCTCCTTTTCGACGAGGATATTATCCAGCAGGGAAGCAGACGACCCCGCCAGGTACTGAAGGGATACATTCAGCGCACCCGCTACAATGGCATGAGCTTCACTCTATCAAATGTGGCTCCTTATGAGGAGCCGGAGGGGGTGGGGGACAGGAGGTACTGACACTGAACCGGGTCGGAGCAATCAGGGCCCAGGAATCGAATCTCTATTTCACCAAAAGATTCATCTTCCTCCGGAAACTCCACCCTCGATAGGACTGACTTTTCCAGCGGCGGAGCCTGCTTCGAATCCACCCACGGGCGCTTAAAGGGCGACTCCGGGCTGGGAATCACGTCTAAGATGGTGTCTTCGAATTTATCCAAGACCTCCAGCATGTTCGCCTGGTCGACCTCACCGGTGATGACCAGACACAGGTTCCGCGGCTGGTACATCTCGCGATGGAACTCTCTGATGCGCTCCGCCGACAGGACCCGGAGCTGCTCCATCATCCCGCCGGTCTCGTACCGGAATCCGACTCCGGGGGGGTACGTCAATCGCCGAGCGGTCAGATCCATCAGCTCCGCCGCATTGTTCTGCACGCCCTGCATCTCCGAATAGACGACGCCGGCATCGTTTCCGGTGCCATCGATGTGGTGCACCTCGGTGTAGCAGCCCTCGTCGGTCAGGGTCGGCGCGATGACATGCTCCAGATAGATGGGCAGGATCTCCGCGAAGCCTTCCCAGCCTGCGGTATCCAGCGTATACGCGGTGTGATCGGTGGCTGTCCAGGCGTTAGTACTCGAATAGACCCGCGTGGCGAGCTTATCGAGAAATCCCTTGTATCTGTAGTTGCGCGACCCCATGAAGCACAGGTGTTCTAACGTGTGCGGGGCGCCCGAATCATCGGTGATCTCGGTGGCGAGGACGAAATACCCCGTCACCTTGGGACCCTGCTGGTCAATGACCACGACTCGCATGCCCGTGCGCTCCGATTCATATTGAACAAATTCGCTAGGCGAGTACTCCGGCTTGAACTTCTGGAGCAGCTTAAAGTGGGTTTGTTGACTGGGTGACATCTTGCGGAGGGAATTGGAGAATCTCTGGTGGCGTGTCTCGATCCGAGAACTGATCGTGACTTCTCGGAGCAATCTAGCGGGGGGCAGTCAGCCATTTATCCTTTCATGGGCTGTATGAGACGGGGGCGGGTGACGTCGTGAGAACACCATCCTCACGACCAAGTGGGGAGGGTCCTCCTTGTAGAACTGGAGGGCGACGAAGTAGAAAGAGGGGCAATAAAGCCAGAAGAATGACCCTCGAGGTGATGTCTATCATAGCCCTTCGGTCTCGTCTTTCGCATATGTCTTAGGCAGTCATAGCGCCGTCGTTCGTTCTTCTTTTTCTCCTCGACTTTTTCTTTTCCCACCCTTTCTTTCACTTTTTCTCCTCCCAAAGTCGTCTCCGTTCGCGGAATAGTAAAAAGAGGAGCAGACCAACTTACATTGAACGAGAGGAAAAAGCCCCAACCAAGCCTCGTAGGAACAAACGAAACGACACGTTGGACACTTCTTCACACAAGAGATGTATGAAACAGGAACAATTGGGTGAGAGAATGTCGGAAATGTGTCGTGGACCACGGACAGTTGACCTGCTGGAGAGGGGAGAAGTGGAGTTGACTCCAATCCAATCAAGACGAGTCCCAGAAGTATGTCCTTGGATTCAAGAGTTGATCACCAGAGAGCCTCAAAGGGGGTGATTTATATGGCGAGGAAGGTGTCCACATGGTCGCATCCTCTCCAGAGACGGATTTCATCAAAGAAAGAGCCAGAAGCAGCATTCCCAGACGACAGAGACCGAGTTGAACGCGTAGAGAAGAAGGGAAGACGGTGGATTCCATACGATGATCGCCATTTGGGCCTCAAAGGCGGTGAGGCGGACCTTCATCTGGCCTCTCTGCGTTGCTGTCTTCTTCACCATCCACTGCTCCACCTTGACTTCTGGTGACCCGACGTGTGATTTTCTCTCTGATCTGGATTATTTGTGGTCGGAAAAGACAATCGTATCCCAAGTGGAAACATGACGTCGAAACCGTCGGAGCAGGAGGTGTGCCAATCCGTCCTGGAATTCGTCGCCGATGGCACCTATCCAGCGTCGGAGCAGGTGATCGCCGCTGAATTTCCGGCGTCGGCTCTCAGTAATGAATTGGAGCTATTGGCAAAGGCGAGAGAGCAGGTGGAAGTAAGTGGAGATGCTCTACGGAACACGACGGAGGACTAATCCCCTACTTTGAATGACAGGCCGAGATTAGCTCACTGAGCCGGGGAAATGATTTCGACGCAGATGGATGGATTTCGCAAGCGAAGCAGCTTCATGCGGACATAGAACGGTCGAGGGTCACGGCCCGGGAGATTGTCGCGCAGCACGAGAACAGTAAACCGCTGCAGATGAAGGTCGAGGATGCCGCAGCCAAGGTCGGGTTGGTCGAGACGGAAATCGTGTTCAACGAGGCGGTGACGCGCGCCTTGGAGGAGGTACAGCGACTCTATCAGCAGCTCGAGGCTGGGCGGGGGACGCTGAGAGAGGGGCGGGTGATGAAGGCCATTGACACGTTGGAGGAGGTGGAACGATCCGTCAACCAGGACAGGCTGTTCTCCAACACCAATGTGATGCACGTCCTCTTTGAGAATGTTGCCGAATTGCGACGGGAGATCATTGTGTCCCTTCATACGCGCTGGGCGGAGCAGTTGAATGTCGACAAGAAACAGCGCAAGTTGGAAGTCGTGGATAACAGCGGTAAGGGTGTGCTCCAAATACATGATGGGCGACTCGAGTTAAGTGTTTACTAGGAAACTCTCTCGACGAGACTATCTCGGCATTGTCTCGTCTGAAACTGCTTGCGGCGGCCAACGACAAATTCCAGAATGACCTCATATCCGCAGTTGTCGAGCCTATCCTGGTGCCGAGTCGCGATGGGTACAGTCGCGCGCTACAGGTGAACAATTCCTCGCTACAAGTCGGACCGGAGCCATCGGAAGCAACGGTTTCTGAGGTCCTGGACCGCATAGCCACGGTCTTGGATTTCTTACGGCAGTGCCTCCCGTCGGCTGTTGTCGACCCCTTCTCGGCGAATTTCATCCCGACGCTCTCCTCCAAGGTGATCGCGTCGTGGTTATCCTCGGCGATTCCTACAGAACTAACCGGCCTGGGCGACTTTGAACGCATGTTGGACGATGTCCTCGGAGTCGCCAAGAAGATTGAGTCCCTAGGGTGGCAAGGTCAGGAAGAACTCGTTTCCTGGGTCAACCAAGCGCCTCGTCTCTGGCTGGCCCGACGCCGGGTCGATTCGTTGGACCAGGTTCGCAAAGTCCTTGCTGCGAGCCAAGGTACCACCCAGCAAGTGGAAAGGGTGGAAAAAGAGCAAGTCTCCCAGGAAGACGATGTCTTACTGGAGAAGGCCCCGTCCGATGACTGGGATGCGGAGTGGGATGACGATGAAGACGACTCCAAAGCACCGAAGACGAACACACAGGACGATGAGGAAGATGTTAGCGCTTGGGGGCTGGACGACGAAGCGAAAGAGGAGGCTGGTGCAGCCGCTGACGACGATGACGAAGCTGATGCCTGGGGCTGGGGTGACGAGGATCAGGAGGAGGAGGCACAGGAGGATCCACCGCACAAGAAATCAAGTGCGGCCAACCCGGTGAACGGCAAGCAGTCGGCGCCCTCTTCTACTTCTCCCAAAGAGATTACCCTGAGAGAGGTATACACGGTCACAGACATCCCTGCGTCCATCCTCCGGATTGTTCTGCAGCAAGTGCAAGACGCAGAGGCCATTTCACAGCCGACGTAGGTCCCCATCAACTCCCAGTGCATGTCGGTTACTGACCTATCTTTTCCAGACACTCCCACCCCCGTGTGGTCGCTTCGGGGGCCGGTCTTCTCGCCCTTCCCACGCTGGTCCTCGCCATGTTCAAAGCCACGGCGTCGTCCTTCTACGGCATGAAGCTGAGCTCCGGTCAGATGTATCTGTACAACGATAGCCTATACCTAGCCGATCAGATCCGTGGGATCGTGGAGGAGCATCAGCTCACCCGGCTCGAGCCGGACATCGAGGCGCTGGCCAAATTCGGCAAATTCGCCTACACCAAGGAGATGCAGACGCAACGCACGATCGTGACCGATCTCCTCGACGGCGCCCAAGGATTCGGCCAATGCTCCGAGCAACCTTTCCTAGGCGAGTGCGAGAACGCCGTAAGCGCCGCGGTGGACCGAATTCGAGACGTTTACAAAGAGTGGCAACCGATCCTCTCCCATTCCGCACTCCTCCAATCAATCGGGTCGCTGGTGTCCACGATAATCAACAAGATGATCATCGACATCGAGGACCTCGGAGACATCTCAGAGCCCCAGTCTCAACGGCTGGTGGAATTCTGCAGTCGGGTCTCCCAGCTGGAGGATCTGTTCGTGCCCCGATCGTCTGACCACGGGGAGCGGGAGCCGGTCCCCATGACGGCAGTCTACGTGCGCAACTGGCTCAAGTTCCAATACCTCGTCAACATCCTGGAGAGCTCGCTGGCCGACATCAAGTTCCTGTGGGTGGAAGGGGAACTCCGGCTGGAATTTTCGCCCGACGAAGTCGTCGACTTGATCGAGGCCTTGTTCGCCGAGTCGGACTACCGGCGCAAGGCCATTGCGGAGATCCGGCGTGTCTCTCGACAGGAGGGGTTGGGGATGTGAGGAGACTCTATATAAACCACATTATTTTGCATATACGGGTCAGCTAAGCAGTTGAATTATAATATTTCTCATTTATTACCCCACCTTCCGTCTATGTACATCTCTCTATGAAGGCACGCGCCAGGACAGATGGTGGTCAACGATAGGCAGGCGTAAGGCAACAATACGACTAGTGAGTGAGGCGCAGGCAACCAGTAACCCTATAGACGCTAAAAGAGTTAACGCGCTCCAGTTTCCGCCGCATATGTATATTAACCCATCTATGTCCCGTTTACGGATCAACATTTCTATTCTCTTTATAACTGCATTTGAATACTCTTTCATTGTCGTGTCGTTGTTGATTTGACGTTTTGGAACATCATTTCTCGTCAGGATCTTTCTCAAAAGGCAAAATCATGCATGCCTATCAGTCTTCACTCTCATTCCTTTCCCTACCTGCAGAGATCCGCCGTATGATCTATGTCGAGTATTTCAGACCAATCTCTATGGGCCGAAGACCCTACCGTCGACTCATCAACAAAGACGCTCTCGCTATCCTGCGAGTCTGTCGTCTGGTCTATCAGGAGGCAGAGCCACTTGCGATCCCTAATTTGGAGATTAAGTGTAATGGAAACGCCGACGTGATCGATCTTCTGAGTAAAATGAGCCCGGTACAGATCACCCAGCTACGAAATCTGAGAGTTTGGCAGTTTGCCGTGGGCTTCAAACTTTTTTCTGGTGACGACGATTCCCAGTCGGATGCACCTGAGGGAGGCCGGGAAGACATGAGCATCAGCGACGACGACGACGACGACGACGACGACTCAGCGACAGAAGCTGTTCAGTACTTCCATCTCGGCGCGGTCCTTGGACTGTTTCCGGGCCTGCAGCTTGACCTCCTTAGAGTACACTGCGGAGTTGGTGGAGGCCCTTACACGGCTATACACAATTCGCATTGCTTCCAGTCTCTTCTTGAGGCTGATGGCTACCAACGGCTGTGGATGGATGCGACGACGGGCGACTCGGAGCCATGGGATGACATATTATCTTTGGAAACATGGCACGACAGTATTATCACTCGGTTCCGCCCATACTCGCATTGGAGAGTCCGACTGAATGTGCCTTCCTACGCAGACGATCTAGTGGATGGATTACAGCAAAACAAAGAATGGGAGAGTCTCCAGGCCGGGAGGATCGATCTGGTAGTGAACGAAGACAGTGATGAGAGTGACGGCGACAGTGATCTTGACACTGACTGCGAAGGTACTGTGGGCATTGTGATTGACCGAGGTGATGCGGACGTTGCGGTCAAGCGAGATGACTCTCCAGTATTGAGATGCGTTTACGTCGACCGCAATGGTCCAAGTCCGAGGTTCTACAAGAAAGTATCGGACGCTCTCCGGAAGCTGTTTCGTGAAAACAGCTGGGAGGCTATCAAAGCCATGGATGGATTTTACGATGGCGCTGCTGATTGTGATTCTGAGGGAGGTACGGTATATGCAGACTACTGGTGATGAATTTTTCTACAGGTCGTAATAGTGTACCAGTTCAATTAGTTGGCAACTATAATATTTCCACTGAACCTGCGTGACTGCGCAAATTGTTACTATCTAGCATCCATGTTGATGATTCTATAGAGGATCAGCAGGTTATACGCAGTAGACTCCCATCTACCATAGAAAACATCCAAAGGTGATGAAGCAAAATTTATGTAGATTATCCTAATATTATTCTAAAAATGAAACCACAATCAAATTATAAATACCTATAGCATATATATATTTGTATCAATATCAACATCTACAGTAGATGTAGGCGGGGAATCTCCGCGCTTGGCGCAAGTGGCCGCATCGCCGGCCGTAATTTTTTCTCTTCCTTTTGCGCTTCATTTGCCCGCCTCATCGACCGAGATTTCCAACCCAGTTCAACCCATCTTTCCACCCTTTTTTTTTCTCGTCACGTCGTCAAGATGAACGGGGATCACGAAATGTCAGGCGATGCCTCGCAGGCCGCCCAGCGACAAGTTCGTGTGCAGCTCACGAGCAAACAGGAAGATGTCGCCCTCCCCGAGAATACCGGCCCCATCTTGGTGCCCACCGGTGAGTTCACCCTGCAGGTTCATATGGAATATCAAGTAGGCCAATGCTGACGAATGGCTCGGTAGGTCTTCGGAGATATGCGCTGTCGACGCTGGTCAACAACCTGCTGGGGAGCGAGAAACCCATCCCGTTCGAATTTTTGGTGAACGGCGCTTTCCTGCGCACCTCCATCGACGAATACCTGACGGCCAATGGCATCTCCGCCGAAACCACGCTGGAGATCGAGTACGTCCGGGCCTTGATCCCGCCGCTACACATCGCCTCCTTTGAGCACGATGACTGGGTCAGCTCGGTGGACGTGCTCTCTGCGACGTCGCCCGCCGCCTCGAAGGCGTCGGCGACGGTGTCTCCCGGCCAGGAACGGATCCTGTCCGGCAGCTACGATGGTCTGCTCCGGGTGTGGAACATGTCGTCGCAGGTGGTCGCGACGTCGCCGGCCCCCGCGGACGGAGGACACACGGCGTCCATCAAAGCGGCGAAGTTCATCTCGCCCAACGCGATCGCATCGACCGGGCTGGACCGCACGGTGCGCGTGTGGAAGTACGCCGAACACGCCGACGGCTTCTCCGGCACCATTACCCCGCAGCTGGAGCTGTACGGCCACAAGTCCGCCGTCAACTCGCTGGCCGTGCATGCGCCCTCGAACCGCATGCTGACCGGCTCAGCCGACCACAGCGTCGGGTTCTGGTCGACGAAGAAGGGCGATGCCCCAGCCGCGCCGGAGAACCTGCTCCCGTCCGTCGCATCGAGGAGCGCCAAGCGACGCAAGGTGGGCTCCTCCGTGAGCGCACCGCAACGGGGTCCCCTGTCGCTGATGTCGGCGCACACGGCGCCCGTGTCGGCGGCCATCTTCGACGCGACGGACGCCACGGTCGGCTATTCGACCTCGTGGGACCACTCGCTGCGCACGTGGGACCTGGTCACGGGCTCCCTGGTCGACACGCGGAGCACGGCCCACGCGCTGCTGTCGCTGGAGCATCTCCCCGAACACCACCTCCTCGCGGCGGGAACCTCCGCGCGCCACATCACGCTCATCGACCCGCGCGCGTCGGCGACGACCATCGCGGCAATGACGCTGCGCGGGCACACCAACGCCGTGGTGTCGCTCGCACGCGACCCGCAGAGCGCGTATGGGCTCATCAGCGGGAGCCACGACGGGACGTGCCGGATCTGGGACATCCGGGCGACCAAGACGGACAAGGACGGGGTGGTGGGCGAGAGTGTCTACTCTATCGGGCGGAAGAGCCAGGAGGAGGCGGGGCGGGGCGAGGCCAAGCGCGTGGGCGGCGAGGGCGTCAAGGTGTTTGGCGTGTGCTGGGACGCGGCGGTGGGCATCGTCAGTGCGGGCGAGGACAAGCGCATCCAGATCAACCGCGGCGAGGGGGTGCTGTCATCGGTGTAGGATTGAGGCGTTGCACATATGGGCCGGGCGTTTGGCTGGATGAAAAGTTGTTTTCTGTTTACTAGTTTATTATCTTGACCTTAATGCTGGTTCTTTTTCCATCTTCTTTTATTGTTCACTCTAGTTGTACGTCGTAGTTGATTGTCAGATGTGGTATCCGTTATTGATTGATAGATTCAATATCTACATATAGTACATTCCACGAAAAGAAAAAAGCGAAACAAAACATAAGTACAGAGATAAAAGATCAACGCCATTCCACGCCCTCATAAAGGTCAACCATAGGAGGGAACAATGCCAGCACCAGACAGACAGACAGCTCAAAGTCTCCTGTCGATACGGTTGAGCTTGACCGCGTTTTGGATCTAAAACCAATCATTAGCACATATCCCCTCATCCATGTACAGCAATTGAGCGCAAGCACAACAACCCCATCCAAAGAAACCAAATCAAACCAGAAGAAGGGGAGAAAAGGAAGAAAGAAAAAAACAAACCTGGCTTCTCGTCCGCTGCCCCCTCACCGGCAAGCCCAGCGCATGCCGTCTCCCACGATAAGTGCCCGTCTCCTTGAGCCGCTTGATATTATCGAGGACGGATCTCCGGAGATCGTTCTCGATCTTCATGTCGGAGAGGGCGGCGGTGATGTCGAGGACTTGCTTGTTGGCGAGCTCGCCGACTTTGCAGGTGGGGTGGATGTAGAAGCGGGCGAGGAGACGGGAGGAGGTGTTGTGGCCGATGCCGAAGAAGGATTCGAGGGATTTCTGTGTATTGTATTTCAGTTAGGAGGGGTTCGTTGGGTTGTGCTGGATGGTCGCGATGGTTGGTAACGGTGGTGTGGGTGGTGTGGTGCTTGCCTTGACGAGACTCCGCTCGGGGAAGTTGACTCCTAGGAGGAAGACCTATATTTGTTAGTGGATTGAGTGGTGGGATTATGGAAAGGGATATACACTTACCATGTTGACGACTGGACGCGATGAGAGTGTCTGTATATCGTCCAAATCAATACACCTCAAGATGAAGCGTAACCAAGGAAGAAATTCAGCCAGGAGGAATATTTCTCCGACCAAGATAGAGCAGGCTTGGCATTCTCCGCATCTGGCCCGCACCCTGTCTATTGCAAGCTGTCCTTGTTCCCTTCCCTTCCCCAGTCCTTTCCCAATCTCCCTTTCTCATCAATCTGGTTTTCCTTCAATTGGGTTATTTGAGAGACAACCATGAATTTCCGCAACCTTTTTCTGACGGTCTTTTTGGCCTTTGCGGTTGGATTCGCTCTGGTCCATGCTGAGGAATCCAAGGAGCCGCGCGGGCCGAAGATTACCAGTAAGGTGGGTTACATTACATTATCTACGTTGATTGTGAAGGGACATACTGACAATGGATGATAGGTCTACTTTGATATCGAGCATGGTGGTAAGCCCATGGGCCGTGTCGTGCTTGGTTTGTATGGCAAGACCGTTCCCGAGGTATATTCTCTTTACCCCCGAATACAGATGCGAAAGCTAATGGTTGATAGACTGCTGAGAACTTCCGGTATGGAATGAATTACCCATCAAGATGAATGTTCATTTCTAACTGTATGATAGTGCCCTCGCGACCGGCGAGAAGGGCTTTGGCTATGAGGGTTCGACCTTCCACCGCGTTATCAAGAACTTCATGATCCAGGGTGGTGACTTTACCCGTGGTGATGGTATGTCTTACTACAATCGAATGATCAAAGATATACTGACGATTTCAGGTACCGGTGGCAAGTCGATCTACGGCGACAAGTTCAAGGACGAGAACTTCAAGATCCGTCACACGCGCAAGGGCCTGCTCAGCATGGCCAACGCCGGCAAGGACACCAACGGATCGCAGTTCTTCATCACGACCGTGCCAACTCCGTATGTTCTACCCTTACCCCCCCGCCCCGCCAGGAGGGTCTTCATTTGCTGATAGTGTGAAGCTGGCTGGATGGCCGCCACGTGGTGTTCGGCGAAGTCCTCGAAGGCTACGAGGTGGTCGAGGCCGTGGAGAACGTGGACAAGAACCCCGGCGACAAGCCCAAGGAGACGATCAAGGTGGTGAAGAGTGGCGAGCTGGAATCAGGGGCCAAAGGTAGCCACGAGGAGCTCTAAACGCCTGTTCCGTCCCCCTCCCTCTCCGTGCTGCGTTCCTGAAGATATCCACCGTGTGCTGATGGGTGTTGGGGGTTCTTCTTCCCCTGGTTGCGTTGGCGCTTGAAGACGAGACTGCCGACGACTTTGCCGAATACTCGGACACCGTGACGGAGGCGACAGAGACGGAGACGTTGACGTCTTCGTCTTCGACGTGGTACGTGGGGAAGATGCTGGTGTTGGTGGTGCTGGTCGGAATGCTGGTGGTGTATATCAAGAACCATGGACAGAAGAAGGAGTCGGACCAGAAGAGCATGGTGTGATGTATTTTTCAGTGACTAACCATTAACAATATGAGGACATTGCCACCTAGTGACATTCGCCGTAAATTCGGGGCCGTAATGGAGGGGATAGAGTTTGGTCGGGACCAACGCCGTGGCAAATAAACAGGGAGATAGTAAGGTGGCGAAATCCTTTGGACGGTGGTTGGCTGTATGCATCTATGGATGGAGAGAGAGAGAGAGAGAGAGAATGTGGGGAAGACATCCAGCAACCAGGATGGGGATAGATCGGCTGCATGATGCATTCAGTCTATCTAGTTAATGGTTTGGTCAATAGTATTATAGTATTATAGTAGGTAGTATAGTAGTATAGTAGTATAGTAGTATATCTATACCTGGAGGTATCAGCAGAGACTGTCGGTATTGAAGGTATTGAAAGTATAGAAGAAAGGCTGGACCGTTTCGAGAATACATCGATACGGGGACAAGAACGAGGAACTCGGTGGTTCCTCTGGTACGCTGTGGGTATCGTATTTTTCCCCTTCTTTTTTTTCTCTTTTTTTCTTTCTTTTCGCCTCCAAAGACACAATGATTGTTAAAGAAAAAGATCAAATAGAATATATATCATGTATAATAAATATAAAATCATTCGTCTATATAGAATATTACAAAAGAATTGACAAGAGTAAAAATCGTGACTGTCAACAAAAGAAAAAAAAAAGAAATCAAAAAGAAAACCGACCGAGCTGGAATTTGCCCGTCCGCCTTTTTTTTTTCCCACTTCGCCTCTTTCTTCCTCTTCCTCTTCTCTTCTTCTCTTCCTCTCTTCCTCTCTTCTACATCCATCTTCATTCAATCACTTCTCTCTCTCTTCTCTCTTCTCTTCTTCCTTCCTCTCCTCTCTCCCATCATCTTGATTTCTTTCTCATCCTCTTGTCTTGATTTTCCTTCTTTCCTTTCCTCCTTTACATTAGAGGTTTAGATCCGGAAGATCACTTGGCTTCTTCATCTACATCTTTTTTGATTCTTGTTCCTCGTTTTACTCTTCTTCTCCCTCTCTATTCAGACCTTCGCTTGATCTTCTTTGGTCCGGTACGTCTTGACTTCTAGTTCCTCCCTGTGTTACTGCTCGACTCTTTTTCGCTTCGTTTTATAGAGAAAAACCGGATTCGCTTTCGGCTTCATCTCCCTCTTTTTCACCTTCCGGTCTGGTACACAAAACTCACCGTCTCTTCTCTGCATAGATACACATCTCCATTCCAACAGAAAAAAGTCGATTTCCAACCCGTACGTTGCTCCTCCATCTCTCTTCCTCGTTCCCCTCCTTTTTCCCTCCACATCTGGTTTTTTTTTTTCACTTTCGTTTCTTCGTCGTTCGCCCCTGGGTCTCTTCTATCCGTTTCTCTGCTTCCCCCCCACAGTTTTCTCTCCCATCATCACACTAACATCTCTCTCGCTAGAAATCTTCATCATGGCCGACGGTTTGCAAATGGGAAACCTTTCCCTCAACGAGTCTCAGCACGCGCCCGCGGGTCCTCCCCCCAACACCGGCCGCGCTGCCTACATCCCTCCCCATCTGCGTTCGCGTCCCATGGGCGCTGGCGCCAACTTGGACGGTGCCGCTCCCCCACCCGGTCCCGCCGCCGGCCCCGGCTACGGTGCCCCTAGGTGTGTATTCTTCCTTATTCTCAATCCCCCGCCACCATCCAAGCATAGATTGTGCTAACCGGTAGATTTCGTCCGTCTTACAGAGGTGGCTCTCGCGGCGGTAACTGGGCCCATGCCAACGATTTCAGCCCTCGCGGTCCCAATGGTAACACCAGCTGGAGCTCCACTGAAGGCTCGCGCCATGCCTTTGATCCCAATGCTTACGGAAACCCAGGTCACGGAGGTTCTGGTGGTGGCTCTTCCTACGCTTCCCGCGGCGGCTCCGGCGACGGCCAGTGGCGCGATGGAAAGCACATCCCCGGTCCCGCCAACCCTCGCGTCGAGATCGAGCTGTTCGGTGCCCCCGACGACCCCTCCAAGCAGAACACCGGCATCAACTTCTCCAACTACGACGACATCCCCGTCGAGGCGTCCGGCCAGAACGTCCCCGAGCCCGTCAACGCCTTCACTAACCCGCCCCTGGATGACCACCTGATCACCAACATCAAGCTCGCCAGCTACCAGACCCCCACCCCCGTCCAGAAGTACTCCATCCCCATCGTCATGAACGGTCGCGACCTGATGGCCTGTGCCCAGACCGGTTCCGGTAAGACCGGTGGTTTCCTCTTCCCCATCCTGTCCCAGGCCTTCCAGAACGGCCCCTCCCAGGCCCCCGCCCAGGCCCCCGGTCAGTTCAGCTACGGCCGCCAGCGCAAGGCCTACCCCACCTCCCTCATCCTGGCCCCCACCCGCGAACTCGTCTCCCAGATCTTCGACGAGGCCCGCAAGTTCGCCTACCGCTCCTGGGTCCGTCCCTGCGTCGTCTACGGCGGTGCCGACATCGGCTCCCAGCTGCGCCAGATCGAGCGCGGTTGCGATCTGCTCGTCGCCACCCCCGGCCGTCTCGTCGATCTCATCGAGCGTGGCCGCATCTCCCTCATGAACATCAAGTACCTCATTCTCGATGAGGCCGACCGGATGCTGGACATGGGTTTCGAGCCCCAGATCCGCCGCATCGTCGAGGGCGAGGACATGCCCAACGTCACCGACCGCCAGACCCTCATGTTTTCCGCCACCTTCCCCCGCGACATCCAGATGCTCGCCCGCGACTTCCTCAAGGACTACGTCTTCCTCTCCGTTGGCCGTGTCGGTTCCACCTCCGAGAACATCACCCAGAAGGTCGAGTACGTCGAGGACCAGGACAAGCGCTCCGTGCTGCTCGACATCCTCCACACCCACGGCACCACCGGTCTGACCCTCATCTTCGTCGAGACCAAGCGCATGGCCGACTCCCTGTCCGATTTCTTGCTCAACCAGCGCTTCCCCGCCACCGCCATTCACGGTGACCGCACCCAGCGCGAGCGTGAGCGCGCCCTCGACCTCTTCCGGTCCGGCCGCTGCCCCATCCTCGTGGCCACCGCCGTCGCCGCCCGTGGTCTGGATATCCCCAACGTCACCCACGTCATCAACTACGATCTGCCCACCGACATCGACGACTACGTCCATCGTATCGGTCGTACCGGTCGTGCCGGTAACACCGGTATCGCCACCGCCTTCTTCAACCGCGGCAACCGCGGCGTCGTCCGCGACCTGCTCGACCTCCTGAAGGAGGCCCACCAGGAGGTCCCCGCCTTCCTGGAGAGCATCGCCCGTGAGGGTAGCGGCTTCGGTGGTGGTCGTGGCGGTAGCCGTGGCGGTCGTGGTCGCGGCGGCGGTGCCACCCGTGACGCCCGTCGCTTCACCAGCAACCCCAGCGGTGGCGGTGCGCCCTCCTTCGGCGGCGGCGCCAGCTACGGCGGCGCTGGTGGTGCCAGCTACGGCGGTAGCTACGGCGGTGGTGCGGCCTACGGCGGCAGCGGCGGCTACGGTGGCGGCTACGGTGGTGGTGGTGGTGGTAGCTACGGCAACCCCTCCGGCTCTACCGGTCCGTCGTCCTGGTGGTAAATATTCTACCATCTCCACACAGTACACAAAAAAAAGTTGTGGTCTCTTGACGAGGCTTTCGGGTCCGGTTGATTCCTTCTAGGTTTCTTGCCCCCCGTTGTCTGTTCTCGATTTGTGCTTTTTGACGGGATACGATCAAGTCCTCCTGAGTCTCTTTCTGTCTCCTTTTCTGCTCCCGTGTTCTGCTTGTCTTTTTTAATCCCTTTTTTTTATTTCTTTTTTTATCGTTCATCTTCATTGCTTATTTGCAAAAAAGGATCTCGGGACCGGCTTTGTCATGACCGCCACGACTTTTGTGTTTTTTTTAGAACACCTTTGCTTTATCTTTTCCTTCTGTTCGTTTTCTTGATGTTCCTGCTTTTCTTGCTCGCTTTTTCCTCCTGCTTTAGACATGGTCTTCGATGTGGTCCGATCTCATCATCTTGCTGCTCCTGATTGTATTTCTATTATGATCGTGAGCGTCAAGATCGGCATTGCGTGGATGTCATAGATTGCGTTGTCTTTCTCCTGCGACCGCTTGCACCAGATACCCTTTGTTGTTTTCAGGCGGCCATTGTGGAGATTCCGCTTGAGGGACACATGCCGGGCCGGCGAGCCGGCGTTTCGTGTTCTTTGAAAACAAAAGTGCTGTTTATGATTTCATCTGCTTGGTGCTGTGGCAGCTACATCGACCGTGTCTTCCAACATAGAATTGACCGTTTTATCAATTTCTTCTTCTGTTTTCTTTTTTGTTTTCGGTCTTTCCTGGCAGGTTGTCTGCTTGTCTTCCATGTTTCTCGCGTTTCTGCTCTGGCTCGTGTTGTTCCTTGCTGGACTGTTCCGTCTGGGATGTACGGGATAGAGGGAAAGGGAACTCATTGCATTTCTATCTGGCGTTTGGCTGGAGCGTGCGGTGTCCACATGAAGGAACGGTTTGCTAGATTGGAGGGTTTCCCGCCTGGGTGGATCCTCGTTGTCTAGTTTCTGCGTCGAACCCGGGGAGAGTAGGCGCTTGTATTCGCCAAGTTCTCCTGGGTCTGTCGCGTCCATCGCAGTTTCGGTGCGCCGGAGATGGCCCTGTTTCAGGGGTCTCGCGAGCCGGGGAGTTAGCATTGATCCAAACAAAAAGTTTGATGCTCGTCTTATTCTTTTACTATCTGCGTAGGGTTTCGTAAATGAGGTCGAGGAACATCCTTAATCCCAGGTTATGGAAGTTCGTAGTACGATCAGGATAGGTCTTTTCTCCACGCAAAAATACAAGCGACGACATTATATAGCCACTAAGACTTCAACATCCCCTAGTGCTAAGTATGGGACAATTTCTTGTCCTGTATATGTTCTTGTAGCAGTGGTTTAATCGTTTGATTTTGTACGGAATACACAGGTTTATATATATGTAACCCGGTGTCCTGGACTATGTGGGTGAGGATTGATGAATGATCAAAGTTTAATATGGATGGTTTGAATGGGATAATTGCATGAAGAATTCGAGGTGTCGAATATACAGCTAGGAGGAAATGCTGTAATTATGTGGTCGGTGTTAGTTGGACTGGCTATATATATGGCGTGTATGTGGGTGTTCCATTATATAGACCTGGTTATATGAGGAGACACAGATATATATCACCAAGACAGAGACATATCAACAGGCTTGAAATTTGAAAAAATGTCAAAATCATGGCTTTTGGCGATTGAATCTATTATTACAAATTTATTTACTCGAATTTATTATTTAAAGATAGATCAATGTTGAAGTAAAAGCCAACCGTGGTGTAGAGTCGTACCCCGGTAGAGAAAAGATACAGAATCATCGGGAGGGATCACACCTCAGGCTCACCACCGGAATTTCATCCATTCATTCCTTTCTTTCTCCTCCTTGAACCTCATCCTCTAATTCTCTTCCATCCCCCCCTCTGCCCCCCTTTCTCATCCCAATTCCCTTCTCTTTTCTTTTCTTTTGTTTCATTTTCTCCCTCCCGATGACGGAACCTGTTTAACCTCCATCATCACTCACCTTCCTCCCAGCCAACTTCCGCTTTTCCTCCCCCCGACGACCGTTCCCAGCCTCTCGCCCTGCTAAACCGGCCACACCCTACGACAATCCCTTCGCCTCCCCCATCAGGCTCATCGGACTAGAAAGTCAAGCAGAGCGGTCTCGCTCACCACCGGACGGAAAAGCCATTGCGGACTGTGACCCAACAACCCCCTCTCAAATCCCGCGATGGCCGACGTCGAAAGTACGGTCGCGGACGACTCCTTCCCCCCCTCCGAAGCCCAAGATGACCAGCAAACGCACAACATGACGGTCGGCACGAGGCGCCAGGCGAATGGCACGATCGGGTCGGTCTACTCGGGCAACAAGATCCGACACCTCAAGAAAGAAGACGGTATCCCCCTGTGGCGCAAGGACATCCAGTACCAGTTCTTGAAGAACGTCTTTGAGGACAAGACCCCCGTCTTCACGCGGTATCCGGACGGCGAGAAGGGTTTGGACTTTGCGGATATCTATATCGATGCGATGGCTAGGAGTAGCAAGACGAGTAAGATCTTGAAGGATAAGTTGCAGAATGATAAACAGGCGGCGATCAGTATGGCGATGGTGTGTTTGCTGGTTAACTTTGGGAGGATGAATACTACGCTCAATTGTATGTGTTCCTACCTGCCTAGATATCGGCCCTTTGGCCGGTCCCTTCGCGGCCCCTTGTGATCGCGTACAATACTGACACCATGACCTCTGCAGTCTTCCCCGAAATGCGAGCCCAGCTGCGAACATACCACTCCATCCCCTCGCTCCAGGCGCACCAGGATCCCAATGCCTACAAACAGCTACAGGATGCGCCTCGTCTCAAGTCCATCCTCAAGGGCGCATCGGAGGATGTCGACCAGCCAAATACCCTCGAGAAGATCCGACGCCATAACGTCCCCCGAACCAACCCCGTCAACCTCATCTTTGTGCTGGCCCAGTACGCCCCCAAGGTGTCGGAGCTGCACTTCTTCCCCCCGCGCGATTTCTTCGACCTGGTCATGAGGGCCACCCTCAGCAGCAAGACCCGGGCGCGTGCCTTCCTCTGGCTGATGTGGTGGTATCTTGAGAGCGATTTCTCCCGGGAGGCGGCCCTCAACAACCCCTTCGGTCCCGGTCTGGATGGCGAGGGAACCGGCGGCTTGCCCATCAAGGTTCCCAATTTCGAGAGCCTCACCGAGGAGCAGGCGAACGAAGAGAATGTGGATACCCAGGAAGAGATGGAATACGGAGAAGCCAAGCGGTTGGAACGGAAGCGTGAGTTCCGCGAGACACAATCTTTTGAATGTTCTCCCCCGGACTAACCCCCAACTCTTAGGTATCTTGGACGAGGATGAGCCTCTTCCCCGGGTGGTCAAGCGGCCCAAAAAAGGTATGCCGGCACACCCACCCGTGGACGGAATCCATGTAACTGATATACGGCGCTACAGAATTCGGCTACGATGACGACCAAGCGTCGGGTGATCTGTCGGGCATCGCTTCTGGTAAGTGCTTCCGGTGACGGAACACAGGCCCGGCTGTAGCTGACATCTATCCAGGTCGCGGCGATGGACGTGGCTCGGCCATGTCAACTCCCATGCATCCCTCCGCAAAGCGGTATCCACCCGACGAGGATGAGGACCTCTTGACTCCCGCACAGTCAGCCCGGTCGCGGTACAAGCGGCCAAAGCGGGAGTCCTCGCTCACCCGCGCCGTCGGGCAGCAGCGTCTCATCCTCAAGACCAAGATGGAACAGACCCCCGACGGGTCATCCCCAGCACCTCCAGGTTCTAGCCACCCAGTGTTGAACCGTTTTGTCACGGACTCTTCTCTGACGCAGCAAAACACAGCGCGCCGTCCCCGTCCCTTGACGCAGCACCAGCTGGCCGTCGAGCAGAACCGCCGCCAGCGCATCGAGTACATCCTGGCCAAGCGAAGGAACGAGGCATACCGGATGCTTCGCGCGAAACGGGAGACGGAGATCCCCTTCGCCCGCTACGGCCGTCTTCTGGAGCCGCTGCCCGACGGCTACGACACGGAGGATGACGAGAGCTCCTGGGGCAAGGGCGGGATCCTCCCCAACCCCGAGGAGGAGGAGGACTACGGCGAATGCGCCAGCTACTACCTGTCGGTCGTCCGCAAGGCCTCCCGGCGACTGGACCGGTGGGACTACGAGGACGCCAACGGGCCGAAGAAAGACCGCAAGAAGGAGCGCGAAGAGCGCCAGAAGGCGAAGCAGACCACCCTGGCCCTGGAGCATTCCCTGGACCTGGGGGGTCGGGCCCCCACCTCGGCGCGGAGCCGCGCCCGGGCGGCCCGCAATGCCCGCCGCAAGCTCGCCGAGGCCGCGGGTGCGACGACCGCCACCGGCGCATCGGGCTCGACGTCCACCCCGCGCCCCAAGAGCAACCGCAGCCGGCCCAGTCGCGGGGGGCGGGGGCTGCCGCGAACCCCGCCGGTGACGCCGGCAAGGACGGACTCGACGCGCGACACCTGCCGGACCACGATGCCTCGTCCATGCCCGCCGATGGCGAGGACGGACTGGACGACATCGACCGGGAGCTCCTGGGAGAAGGCAGCGGCGACGAGGACGACGGGCCCGTCGTTCGCGACGACCGCAATGCCCCCGTCGGGGAGCGAGGCGACGCGGACAGCTTCATGGGCGAAGTCGGGGACGAGGACGCCGACGCCCTCTCGTCGGACGATGACGGCGACGACGATGATCTGGACGAAGGCGACGCCGACGAGAATTCATCGACGTTCGACGGAGGCCATGGGTCCGGGGCTAGCGACGCCTCCTCCGTCGCGGGCGATGGCCCTGGCCCCGCCCCCGACACGCACGACAGCGCAGATCGTCACCGTGCCGCGGACGACCAGGACCACGAGACCATGGACGACCGGGAATAAAATCTGGTCGGGGGTTGGAAATGCTCGACGGGGTGTGCTGAAGTCGTCTCTCTTACTGTTGCACCATTTTGTTTGCTCTCTTTCTCTTTCTCTTTTCTTCGCCTTCTTCTCCCCATCGTTAATATTTGTTGTCTTCTTTACCCCCGGTCCTCCTCGATGGGCGAACCGTGTGTATTCTACGACTGGTCTGGATCGGATCTGTTTATCTTCTCCTTTCTTTCCCACTTCACCATACCATTTACCTTCTTCATCTCCTGTGTTAGCAATTGCAGATGTTATGATATACAACCAGAGCTCTGGATTTGAATGAATCTCCCCACCGAGAACCCCTCTCCGACGTAGGTTGCTTGGCTTGTGACGGTGCTCGGCCACTGCAGGGACCAGGGTGTGCATAAATCACATGTCAGTATCGTATGACTAAACTGTGCTGTTTGTTTTGTTTTCACCTCTTCTTTTCTCTTCTACTTCTGTTTCTTCTTCTTCTTCTTCTTCTTCTCTGTCTCTTCTCTTAAATCGTCTTCTATCATCAACATCCACCCCCATCAGGCGGTGTAGATTAACCGACATCTCAAACGACAGATGGTGTTGACATCATCGCACTAGGGGTAATTAACCAGAGACTCTGACGACGAACGGAGTTTTCCCACCACCGAACCCGCCGATCCCCTTGGCAAATCGTGTGCAGGAGCTCCACCCCCGACACAAGTGCACGAAACATATCGCTTCCAACCTCCTCAGTATTACTTATTCCTGGTCTGATTTGGCATCCGTGCAGTGCATCCGGCGCCTAAGTGAGGGAAAAACAAAAGGGTAAAAAAAGGGAAAAATTAGAGGACCGGGCGTTTTTTTGCTTCCCTAACTGGACTCAACAACATCATTCGACTCCACCCCGTTTCTTTTCTCCTCTTTTTCCTTCCCCGTTCGTTTCCCCTCTTGTCTACATCTCTCTCTCTCTCTCTTTCTCTCTTTCTTCTTTCGCCTGTATCTGTTCGTCATTGTTTTGGAGAGGAGTTTAGCTTTTAGCGCCACTGGTTTCTCTTCTATTTTACTATTTATTGAGCCTTCGCCGACGTCGCATCGCGGTTGAATCATAAACACGCTTGTTTCTTTTTCCGGAGAAATCTTTACCATTGTCGCTTCTGCCTGTCATGTCGGACGAGCCTCGGGTGCTACGCCCCCGTCCGCGTCGCGTATTCGACGTCGCCCCCTCCAACGAGTCGTCCGAAGCGCCCACGCCCGCCGAGCCGGCCAACCCCGACCTGCTGGCCCCCAAAGATGCCGGGTCCGCCAGCGTCAGCCGCAATGGGTCGATCATGAACCTGACCTCGTCGACGCTCTTTGGTATCTACTCCCCGACGGCGTTTGAGGGCGTCCGGGACGACAACAGCCCCTGGGGGACGGAAGTTCACACGCCCTTGTCCGAACATCCGCCCGCGATCGCACCGCCCGAGTCGCCGGATCGACTGGCGCGACAGCGCACCCGGTCGGCGCGGTTGAGTCAGGGGTTGTTCCGCGGGGTGATCCTGCCGCAGACGCTCAAGAGCGCGTGTCTGGTGGGCTTTGGGATCGTCTACGGGTTTATTACGATTCATCTGCACGAGAACCACTGGATCACGCCGGTGAAGCTGGATAACACGCACTCGAGCGGCTCCTGGGAGTACCTGGTGTCGTGGGCCGTGGTGGGGGTCGCCCTGGGCAATCTGCTGCCTTGGCTGGATCTGTTCTCGGAGGATGTGACTCGGGCGAAGAATGACCAGGAGACGGAGGATCGGACGCTGTCCTGGGTGGCGGTGGTGCGAAGCGTGGGGGCTTTTGTCGGCGTCGCGTTTGCCATGGTAAGTCTCCAGTCTTGATTAACACAATACTCGGGGTGTCTGCGACTAACGGGAGTTTTTTTTTGTCTAGCGACGACTACCGTGGGAATCCACCACTCAAGCCTCGGTGACGCTGGCTCTCGCGAATCCCGTGCTATGGTACCTGATCGACCGCACCAAAACAGGCTTCCTCCTCTCGACGACGGTAGGAGTGGCGGGGATGGGCATCGTGCTGAGCCTGAAGCCGGACCTGGTGCCGGCTGCGACGGAGGCATCGCGGGCCACGATCCCCGGGCTGAATGCGACACTGCGGGACTACGGGTTGGTGTCGGGGGTGACGCAGGAGAGCATCGCGGTGCGGACGTGGGTGGCCAGCGTGCTGTTCTGCGCGTGCGTGTGTTTTGGGAATATCGGGCGGCAGCTGGCGATTGGCAGCAGCCGACGTGATGGACTGCAAGCATGAACAAAATTACTAGAGCCGTATATTTACTTTTTGGAGGGTTGGGGCTACCAGTCATTCTACGACTGTGTCTGTGCCTGTACGGAGCCTTATTATTCTTATTCTTATTCATGATATCGTGATATCCTTATTATTCTTCTTGTTATTTCATTCTTATTAATTAATCAAGACCTCTCATCATCAAATCAATCTAAACATACTACCCAATATAAAAATATGAATAGAAGTAGACAAGATGTCGAGTCAATCATTGCAGTCTCTGTCACTGTGATCAAGACACTGCACCCAAGATCAACCCTCTGCGAATAAATCGCAGTCCTTCTCCATTCTTATAGACGATTTCCGTATGTCATCAGCTATCCCCCCTCCGTAGAGAAAGAGATACCCTCGTAGGAACGCTTTTGAAAGAACGTGATATTTGCGTTGTTCATGAAGAAGGAAAAAGAAGAAAGGGAAGGAAAGGGAAGTTTCCGATGGAGAGTTTTTATGCTCGGGGGTTTCGCCTAGCGGCATCACGTGGGTTAGCCGAGACGTTACTGCCTTGTTTGTCAGGTGTCTGCTTGGATGACTCAGAGATTACTAAGGATGCTTTTTGTGAAGTGTTATGCGGATGACTCACCTATACCGCTGTGCAGGTGTTCCCCGAAAGCGGAGGCAGAAATGACGGATTGAAGTGAACCCCGCGTGATCTTTCATTTCTTCTTTTCTTCTCTTCTTCTTCTTCTTCTGTCTTTCTGTCTTTTTTCACTTCTGCTCTTATCCTGTCCACTATCTTCAGGTATGTCTGCTTTACCCCCCGTGTTATCCCCAATTGTCAATCCGTGGAGAGCATCCCATCGTCGTCATACCATCCCCGGGGTCCTCCGTACTCCGTCACATGGAGGGGCATCTCCGAGGGAAACGAAAAAAACTTCTGCCCCTCCTGCGTCCTTCCTTTGCTCTTACCACACGGCCCCCAGCGTTTTTTGACTCATCAAGTGTCTGGATCTAATTCAATTCCGTTTCTAGTGTCTTGCGGCTGTGTCAAGATGTCTCAAAAGTCCGGTAAGCTGTTTTCTTGTTCGGTTGGGGTGGTAGATGTATGCTTGTTTATGGGGTTCCATACTGTGGAGAACGGGGAAGCAATATATACTACCATGGGGAAGGAAAATAAACAATTATAAAGGAAAGAAAATGAAGGAACAATTTAACTGACTCTACAGCTATCATCTCCGTCTATGACAAGACTGGTCTCTTGGACCTGGCCAAGGGTCTTGTCAAGCACAATGTTCGTCTCCTGGCCTCCGGCGGCACCGCGCGCATGATCCGTGACGCCGGATTCCCTGTCGAGTGAGTTCTTCCTGTATTCTGTCAACTTGTCCGGTGAACGTACTGACGATGATGATAACAGAGACGTCTCCGTCATCACCCACGCCCCCGAGATGCTCGGCGGTCGCGTCAAGACCCTCCACCCCGCCGTCCACGGCGGTATCCTGGCCCGTGATATCGAGTCCGACGAGCGCGACCTGGCGGAGCAGAAGATCGCCAAGGTCGACTACGTCGTCTGCAACCTCTACCCCTTCAAGGCCACCGTCAACAAGATCAACGTCACCATCGAGGAGGCCGTCGAGGAGATCGATATCGGCGGTGTCACCCTTCTCCGCGCCGCCGCCAAGAACCACGCCCGCGTCACCATCCTGTCCGACGCCGGGGACTACCCCGAGTTCCTCAAGGAGCTCGAGGCCGGCGAGATCACCGCCGCCAGCCGCAAGCTCTACGCCCTCAAGGCCTTCGAGCAGACTGCCGACTACGACGCCGCCATCGCCGGCTTCTTCCGCAAGCAGTACGCCGGCAACGGCGAGCAGTACCTCCCCCTGCGCTACGGCACCAACCCCCACCAGAAGCCCGCCGCCGCCTTCACCCTCCAGGGCAAGCTCCCCTTCAAGGCCCTCAACGGCTCCCCCGGCTACGTCAACCTGCTTGACGCCCTCAACTCCTGGGCCCTCGTCAAGGAGCTGAAGCAGGCCCTCGGCTACCCCGCCGCCGCCAGCTTCAAGCACGTCTCCCCCGCCGGTGCCGCCGTCGGCGTGCCCCTGAACAACAAGGAGCGCAAGGTCTACATGGTCGACGACATCGCCGGCATCGAGTCCTCCGGCCTGGCCCAGGCCTACGCCCGTGCCCGCGGTGCCGACCGCATGTCCAGCTTCGGTGACATCCTCGCCCTCAGCGACATCGTCGACGTGCCCACCGCCAAGATCGTCTCGCGCGAGGTCTCCGACGGTGTCATCGCCCCCGGCTACTCTGACGAGGCCCTGGCCATCCTGTCCAAGAAGAAGGGCGGCAAGTACCTGGTCCTCCAGATGGACGAGAACTACGTCCCGGCCGCCGAGGAGACCCGCACCCTCTACGGCGTCCAGCTGACCCAGCACCGCAACGACCTCGTCATCTCCCCGCACAAGACCTTCTCCACCATCGTCACCCCCAAGGACCTCAAGGTCCTGCCCGACGCCGCCCTGCGCGACCTCACCGTCGCCACCATCGCGCTCAAGTACACCCAGTCTAACTCGGTCTGCTACGCCCTGAACGGCCAGGTCATCGGCCTGGGTGCCGGCCAGCAGAGCCGCATCCACTGCACGCGCCTCGCCGGCGACAAGGCCGACAACTGGTGGATGCGCTTCCACGACCGCGTGCTCAACATCCGCTGGAAGGCGGGCACCAAGCGCGCCGACAAGAGCAACGCCATCGACCTGCTCTGCTCCGGCAACACCCCGCGCAACGACGCCGAGAAGGCCGAGTACGAGCGGGTCTTTGAGGAGGTGCCTGCGCCGTTCACCGCCGAGGAGCGGGAGAGCTGGCTCTCCCAGCTGAGCGAGGTGGCCGTTTCGTCTGATGCATTCGTATGTCTCCCCCCTCTCTTTTCTCTTTCTACTCCCCCCCCCCCTCTGTCTTCTATGAACCAACTGACTAGATAGTTCCCCTTCATCGACAACGTCTTCCGCGCGGCCCGGTCCGGTGTCAAGTACATCGCCGCCCCGAGCGGGAGCCAGAACGACGGCCCCGTGTTCGAGACGGCCGAGAAGCTCGGCATGGTCTTTGTCGAGCAGGGCAACCGTCTGTTCCACCATTAAGTGGAGGTCTCTGTGCCACGTGCCTTGTTTTTATGAAGTATAGAAGGAAAGAAAAAAGATTCCATATGTTAATGATATTGGATATTCCAGTAGCGTAATAGATTGCCAATCTTACCTGTAGAGGGGTATATAGATCGGGCACTCCGTGCCTCCCGTGTCTTTGGTAGCTGGGAGGAAGGTAACGTTGAACCAGCAAAATCCAAAGCGTAGTACATAGAGCGCTAGAAAAAGGATAGAAATCAACCAGCTTCTATAACTCAGTTGGTAGAGTGCATGACTAGTAATCATGAAGTCCGCGGTTCGAATCCGCGTGGAAGCATTTTTTGTCGTTTATATATATATATATTCTTTTTTAGCTGCTACGGAGAGGGGGGGAGCTAGCTACTTCGCATTCTAGCTGGATTATCTATCCTATTTAGTATATTTTTCTGCTTTGCTGAATGATTATTATTATTACTGATTGACGTTGTTTTCTTGTTATTTTATCTTGTTTGATTAATTACTTCCTTGGTCGTGTGCCCCTGTTTCGAGTGCGATGATCTCCTTTCCGCAGCAACCGTGGAATGCCATGCCCCATTCCGGATACCCACGGAGATCAATCAATTGATCGATGTTGCATCGATAGACAGACAGGGAAAACGGTGACTGGAATGGGTTATGATAGCTTGACACTCGAGGATACCATTCCTGGAGACTAGAGATCTGGATGTGTTGCTGTAGGCATAGATCCCCGGACTCCATACCTTCATAGATGGAAGGCTGTGCTATTTATATCCGTCTCCGTCACCAACGGTCTTCATTGTGATGACTCTGTTGAAATGGATGTACAGAGAATCTGTTCTAGAGGAGAAGAGTAATATATAAAGTATAGAATATAGAGTATATACTGTAGTGTTATGGAGAGTAAGGTGGTCAATGTAAAGTTGTCCCCCTGACCCCACGTGACCGCCCCAGGCCGCAACAATAAGCGACACCTCAGCGGTTTCTCTCCTGAGGTCACTGACTGAACTCCGGTCTGGCCATCTCTCACTTTCCCTTCCACTTCTTCCTCTACTTTGACCTCACTTCTTCTCTCCTCACTTTACTCACTTTACTCTCCTTCTCCCTCTCCTTCTTCTTTCCTTCTCCCCTTCTTCTTTCCTTCTTCTCACGCTTCTTATTTATCCTTCTAATCCATTCCCGTCTCCTTTCCGTCTTCTCCGCCCCTATCTTCCCGGTCTCTTTGCGCGGCGTTTATTAGGTGGATGAGGTCCCCTGGCGACCTTGGTAAATAAACATGGCTCCTTTACCTATCAAGTTTACGGAGCTCGTTAATGTACCTCTCCTCTCTTTACTTCCTGTCCGATTGACCCGGTCCCTCTCCCCGGGTCGATCAATTCCCCGTCCAAGAACCGCATGGCTAACGCATCTGCTCTCCCTTCTAGTTGACAAATGTTGAAATCGCGGTACGTTCGCTGCAGCCGTGGACGCGCAATCCTTCTCCTTGCATCACCACGCCAATACCATAACCTCTGTGACTGACAATCTAACCCCCCCCTCTAGCCGGCTTCAATCGGTTTCAACTCCTGTGTGAGTACCCCCCCCCCCCCCCCCCTCCTCTCCACGTCAGGTACCCACCGCATGGGTGGGTTCCGAGAGACCAGGTGGCTAATACCCCGTGCCTCTCTCCCAACAGACTTTAGAGTCGGATCACTTCGTGTGCGTTCGGCAAAAATTGAGCGAGGATGACAAGCCCCAAGTTATCATCATCAACCTGAAGAACAACAATGAAGTCATCAAGCGGCCGATTAACGCGGACAGTGCTATCATGCACTGGACCAAGAACATCATCGCCCTCAAGGCTCAGGGCCGTACCGTCCAGATCTTCGACCTGACCGCCAAGCAGAAGCTCAAGTCCGCCGTCATGAACGAGGACATTGTCTACTGGAAGTGGTTCAGCGAACGTTGCCTGGGTCTGGTCACCGAGACCTCCGTCTACCACTGGGATGTCTTTGACCCCACCCAATCCCAGCCCCTCAAGGTCTTTGATCGACTGCCTAACCTGAGTGTATGCCTTCCTCCCCCTCCTCTCCGTCCTCCTCAGCTCCCGACCCCCGACTAACCACGGTGGATACAGGGCTGCCAAATTATCAACTACCGCGTGAATGATGATGAGAAGTGGATGGTCGTGGTCGGTATCAGCTCCCAGCAGGGCCGCGTGGTCGGTTCCATGCAGCTCTACTCCAAGGAGCGCGGCATCTCCCAGTTCATCGAGGGTCACGCCGCCACCTTCGCCTCCATCCGTGTCGAGGGCTCGCCCCTGGAGCACAAGCTCTTCACCTTCGCCGTCCGCACCCCGACCGGCGCCAAGTTGCAGATCGCCGAGATCGACCACCAGGAGCCCAACCCTCGCTTCCAGAAGAAGGCCGTCGAGGTCTACTTCCCCCAGGAGGCCGTCAACGACTTCCCCGTCGCCATGCAGGTCTCCCGCCGCTATGACGTGGTCTACCTCGTCACCAAGTACGGGTTCATCCACCTCTACGACCTCGAGACTGGCACCTGCATCTTCATGAACCGCATCTCCAGCGAGACCATCTTCACCACCGCCCCCGACTCCGACTCCGCCGGCCTGGTGGGCGTCAACCGCAAGGGTCAGGTCCTCTCGGTCAGCGTCGACGAGTCCACCATCGTCCAGTACCTGATGGAGAACCCCGCCATGTCCGGCCTGGCCGTCAAGCTGGCCTCCAAGGCCGGCCTGCCCGGCGCCGACCACCTGTACCAGCAGCAGTTCGACAACCTGATCGCTCAGGGCAACTTCGGCGAGGCCGCCAAGATCGCTGCCAACTCCCCCCGCGGCTTCCTGCGCACCCCCGAGACCATCAACCGCTTCAAGAACGCCCCGCAGACCGGCCAGATGTCCGTCATCCTGCAGTACTTTGGCATGCTGCTCGACAAGGGTACCCTCAACCGCTACGAAAGCGTTGAGCTCGTCCGCCCCGTCCTGCAGCAGAACCGCAAGCACCTGCTCGAGAAGTGGATGAACGAGAACAAGCTCGAGGCCTCCGAGGAGCTGGGAGACATCGTCCGCCCCTACGACATGGCCCTGGCCCTTAAGATCTACCTGGAGGCCAACGTGCCCCACAAGGTCATCGCCGGTTTCGCCGAGACCGGCCAGTTCGACCAGATCCTCGCCTATTCCAAGCAGGTCGGCTACCAGCCTGACTACACCCAGCTGCTGCAGCACATCGTGCGCGTCAACCCCGAGAAGGGCGCCGAGTTCGCCTCCCAGCTGGCCAACGAGGAGTCCGGTGCCCTGATCGACCTTGACCGCGTCGTCGACGTCTTCCTGTCCCAGAACATGATCCAGCAGGCCACCTCCTTCCTGCTCGACGCCCTCAAGGACAACAAGCCCGAGCACGGCCACCTGCAGACCCGCCTGCTGGAGATGAACCTCGTCAACGCGCCCCAGGTCGCCGACGCCATCCTCGGCAACGAGATCTTCACCCACTACGACCGCCCCCGCATCGCCCAGCTGTGCGAGAACGCCGGCCTCATCCAGCGCGCGCTCGAGAACACCGACGACCCCGCCGTCATCAAGCGCAACATCGTGCGCACCGACAAGCTGAGCACGGAGTGGCTGATGTCCTACGTCGGCCGCCTCTCCGTTGAGCAGACCGTCGAGTGCATGGACACCATGCTGCAGGCCAACATCCGCCAGAACCTGCAGGCCGTCGTCCAGCTCTGCACCAAGTTCTCCGACCTCCTGGGCCCCACCCGCCTCATCGCCCTGCTCGAGAAGTACCGCACCGCTGAGGGCCTGTACTACTACCTCGGCAGCATCGTCAACCTGAGCGAGGACCCCGAGGTGCACTTCAAGTACATCGTGGCCGCCACCGCCATGGGCCAGATCCCCGAGGTCGAGCGTATCTGCCGCGAGAGCAACTACTACAACCCCGAGAAGGTCAAGAACTTCCTCAAGGAGGCCCGCCTGACCGAGCAGCTGCCGCTCATCATCGTCTGCGACCGCTTCAACCTCATCCACGACCTCGTCCTCTACCTCTACCAGAACCAGCAGTACAAGTCCATTGAGGTCTACGTGCAGCGCGTCAACCCGTCCCGGACCCCGGCCGTCGTCGGCGGTCTGCTGGACGTGGACTGCGACGAGGCCATCATCCGCAACCTGCTGAGCACCGTTGACCCCGCCGTCATCCCCATCGACGAGCTCGTCAGCCAGGTCGAGTCGCGCAACCGCCTGAAGCTGCTCCTGCCCTTCCTCGAGGCCACGCTCGCCACCGGCAACCAGCAGCAGGCCGTCTACAATGCCCTGGCCAAGATCTACATCGACAGCAACAACAACCCGGAGAAGTTCCTCAAGGAGAACGAGCTGTACGACACGCTGACCGTCGGCAAGTACTGCGAGAAGCGCGACCCCAACCTCGCCTACATCGCCTACCGCAAGGGCCAGAACGACCTGGAGCTCATCGGCATCACCAACGAGAACGCCATGTACCGCGCCCAGGCCCGCTACCTGGTCGAGCGCGCCGACCCCGAGATCTGGTCCTTCGTGCTGAGCGAGAACAACCAGCACCGCCGGTCGCTGGTGGACCAGGTCATCGCCACCGCCGTGCCCGAGTCCACCGAGCCCGACAAGGTCTCCGTCGCCGTCAAGTCCTTCCTCGAGGCGGACATGCCCGGCGAGCTGATCGAGCTGCTGGAGAAGATCATCCTGGAGCCGTCGCCGTTCAGCGACAACGGCAGCCTGCAGAACCTGCTGATGCTGACCGCGGCCAAGGCCGACAAGGGCCGCCTGATGGACTACATCCACCAGCTCAACGAGTTCAGCCCCGACGAGATCGCCGAGATGTGTATCTCCGTCGGCCTGTACGAGGAGGCCTTCGAGGTCTACAAGAAGGTCAACAACCCGCTGGCCGCCGTCAACGTCCTGGTGGAGAACATCGTCAGCATCGACCGCGCCCAGGAGTTCGCCGAGCGCGTCGAGCTGCCCGAGGTGTGGAGCAAGGTCGCCAAGGCCCAGCTGGACGGCCTCCGCGTGTCGGACGCCATCGAGTCGTACATCCGCGCCGGTGACCCGTCCAACTACCCCGAGGTGATCGAGACGGCGACCCACGCCGGCAAGGACGAGGACCTCGTCAAGTACCTCCGCATGGCCCGCAAGACCCTGCGGGAGCCGGCCGTCGACACGGGCCTGGCGTTCTGCTACGCGCGTCTGGACCAGCTGGCGGAGCTGGAGGACTTCCTGCGTGCGAGCAACGTGGCGGACATCGAGGAGTCGGGTGACCGTGCCTACGCCGAGGGCTACCACCAGGCGGCCAAGATCTTCTTCACGAGCATCTCGAACTGGGCCAAGCTGGCGACGACGCTGGTGCACCTGGAGGACTACCAGGCGGCGGTGGAGTGCGCGCGCAAGGCCAACAGCGTCAAGGTGTGGCGCGAGGTCAACGAGGCGTGCGTGGCCAAGAAGGAGTTCCGTCTGGCGCAGATCTGCGGTCTGAACCTGATCGTGCACGCGGAGGAGCTGCAGGACCTGGTGCGGCAGTACGAGCGGAACGGGTACTTCGACGAGCTGATCGGGGTGCTCGAGGCCGGGCTGGGGCTGGAGCGGGCGCACATGGGCATGTTCACGGAGCTGGGCATCGCGCTGTCGAAGTACCACCCGGAGCGGGTGATGGAGCACCTGAAGCTGTTCTGGTCGCGGATCAACATCCCCAAGATGATCCGGGCGTGCGAGGAGGCGGCGCTGTGGCCGGAGCTGGTGTTCCTGTACTGCCACTACGACGAGTGGGACAACGCGGCGCTGGCGATGATGGAGCGGGCGGCGGACGCGTGGGAGCACCACTCCTTCCGGGACATCGTGGTCAAGGTGGCGAACCTGGAAATCTACTACCGGGCGCTCAACTTCTACCTGCAGGAGCAGCCGCTGCTGCTGACGGACCTGCTGCAGGCGCTGACGGCGCGGATCGACGTGAACCGGGTGGTGCGGATCTTCCAGACGTCGGACAACATCCCGCTGATCAAGCCGTTCCTGCTGAGCGTGCAGGGGCAGAACAAGCGGGCGGTCAACGACGCGATCAACGACCTGCTGATCGAGGAGGAGGACTACCAGACGCTGCGGGACTCGGTGGACAACTACGACAACTTCGACGCGGTGGCGCTGGCGCAGCGGCTGGAGAAGCACGATCTGATCTTCTTCCGACAGATCGCGGCCAGCATCTACCGGAACAACAAGCGGTGGGAGAAGTCGATCACGCTGTCGAAGCAGGACAAGCTCTACAAGGATGCGATCGAGACGGCCGCTCTGTCTGGGAAGTCGGAGGTGGTGGAAGAATTATTGCGCTACGTATGCACCCCTTTCCCCTCCTTTTTCTTTTCTTTTTCTTCTTTTCTTCTTTTCATACTGACTGGAATAGTTTGTGGATATTGGCAGCCGGGAATGCTACGTGGGTATGCTGTACGCGTGCTACGATCTGATCCGCGCGGACGTGATCCTGGAGATGTCGTGGCGCCACGGACTGCAGGACTTTACGATGCCGTTCATGATCAACTTCCTGTGCGAGCAGACGCGGACGATCGAGATGCTGAAGCGGGACAACGAGGAGCGCAAGTCGCGGGAGGTGACGCAGCAGACGGAGGAGGACAACACGCCGATCCTGGGCGGGTCTCGACTGATGCTGACGCAGGGGTCGGGGCCCACCAATGGGATGACGCCGCAGGCGACAGGATTCCGCGGGTTCTAATCTTTCTTCTGTCGACCTTTCTATCTCGCTTTATCTCACCGGGGTTCATGTGTGTATGTATAGCCGCCGTTCGACCTGCGATGTGATCCTGTGCCGGGGATCTTCCTTTTTTTTCTTTCATTTTTCATTTTCATTTTCATTTTCATTTTTCTCTACTTTTACTCCCGACCGACATCGTGATCTCCTTCCTTTTATTTTTATTTTTTCATATCTGTGGTTGATTCTGTTTTGTATTTGATCCGAATTTCATCCCAAAAGAAGCAGCGGTGGAGGCACTGCCGTAATGAATGACATCGTATTTCTTACCTTTACTGTGGCGTAATGGACCATCCCGATTAGACTATAGACTCTAGAGTATAGACTATGTGATCAAAGGTCAGGCGGACGACAGAGAATAGAGAAAGCGGGTCTGTAGCAGACCGTGGGGGTGGTGGAAGTGGGTCAGGGAGGGTTGAACGTGCACGAGGTCGAAACCTTGCTGGCGGAGAGATCGCTTCTAGGGTCTTGGTCCAGCGGACCTCCGGTGAACGGGGAAGGGAAGTTGATACCGGACGATGGATTCGGTAAGGTTTTCCATCCGGAAGGTCCCAAAGAGAAGAACCAAGAAAAGAAGCAATGGAAGGAAAGGAATGGGTTCTCCGTCTTGGCCAGACCAGCGGTCCACCGGTCGATGGATGGAGAAATTGATCATAGGTCCACCATTCCATTCATTCCTTGGCTTTTTTTTTTTCAATCAATGTGATGATGCGAATCTCTGAGTCACCAAGGCCGAGGTTCGGCCAGAGACGCCGAGTTGCGAGCGAAGATGATGGAAAGAAAGGGGACCGGAAAGCGTTCTCCGGCGGGGCAATCTGGGCGGGGGATGTCGATCTTGGAGGGACTCGCCTATTCACGGAGTGTCTTGAGGAATGACCTGGTGATATGGTGGTGGATTGCCGAGACACCTGGATCACCCGATCTGCAAGAGACCGGAGGGTGTAGACGTGAAGCTGTAGATAGCAGATGGGATACTAGAGAGGAGAGAGAAACCGGTGAACCGGTGAGGAAGGGCTGGCCTGAGGAACCGCCGTCCCGTGATCCCCTCGATTTCCTGATCCGGATCTTGATTTGACTGCACTTCTTTGACCTCACTTCTTCTACTTCATCTCTTCTTCTCGCTCATCGATTCCTCTCTTCAATCCTCCCTTCTCCATCTTCTCTCCCTTTTTCTATATTCGCTCAATCCTTCGTATCTCTCTCCTCCACCAATCATTCTCTCCCCCGATCCTACTACACCCGTTCCCCGCCTGTCTGTTCCGATACCCGGTCTTTTCTTCCTGATTCTCCCCGCATTGTCGCGGTTGAGATACTCAGATAGACGGATACAGACACGGACAGAGTGAAAGATAGAGACCGATTGCCAAGGTACGTATAATGTGACAGACATCCCCACTCCGAAAGGTCCCCCATGCGTCATCTCCCTCCTCTGCCCCGCCGTGTCCTATATTAACCAAGGTTATCCCCCAGTCCATCTCGTCTCCCGGTCTTTTCACGTCAATCCGTCTTCTTCCTCGGTTCCCACCAGTCTCCACTTCTCCTTCCCTCCTTCTCTCTCTTCTTCTCTCCCTCATTCCCTCTTCTCTGCTCCTCTCCCTCTTCCTCTCTCCCACCTCCCGTCTCTCCCCCTCTTCCCCTCCTCCTAGAAAAAAAAAAAGAAAATGGCTGCCCCCCGTCAGCCAGAGGAGGCTATCGATGACTCCCAATTCATCGACGAGCATCATCATGAGCACTTCCGCGATACCGTCCACAACCGCCTGCGGGCCAATTCCTCCATCATGCAATTCCAGAAGATCCTCGTCGCCAACCGTGGTGAGATCCCCATCCGGATCTTCCGGACGGCTCACGAGCTGTCCCTGCAGACCGTCGCGGTCTACTCCCATGAGGACCGCCTGGGCATGCACCGTCAAAAAGCCGATGAGGCCTACATGATCGGCCACCGCGGCCAGTATACCCCCGTCGGCGCCTACCTGGCCGGCGACGAGATCGTCAAGATCGCCCTCGAGCACGGCGTGCACCTCATCCACCCGGGCTACGGCTTCCTGTCCGAGAATGCCGGCTTCGCCCGGAAGGTCGAGGAGTCCGGCATGGTCTTCGTCGGCCCCTCCCCCGACACCATTGACAGCCTGGGAGACAAGGTCTCCGCTCGCCAGCTGGCCATGCGCTCCGAGGTCCCCGTCGTCCCCGGTACCCCGGGCCCCGTGGAGCGCTTCGAGGAGGTCAAGGAGTTCACCGACACCTACGGCTTCCCCATCATCATCAAGGCCGCCTTCGGCGGTGGTGGCCGCGGCATGCGTGTCGTCCGCGACCAGGAGGAGCTGCGCGGCGCCTTTGAGCGTGCCACCTCCGAGGCCCGCTCCGCCTTCGGCAACGGCACCGTCTTCGTCGAGCGCTTCCTCGACCGACCCAAGCACATCGAGGTCCAGCTGCTCGGTGACAACTACGGCAACGTCGTCCACCTCTTCGAGCGTGACTGCTCCGTCCAGCGCCGTCACCAGAAGGTCGTCGAGGTCGCCCCCGCCAAGGACCTGCCCGCCGACGTCCGGGACCGCATCTTGGCCGACGCCGTCAAGCTCGCCAAGTCCGTCAACTACCGCAACGCCGGTACCGCCGAGTTCCTCGTCGACCAGCAGAACCGCCACTACTTCATCGAGATCAACCCCCGGATCCAGGTCGAGCACACCATCACCGAGGAGATCACCGGCATTGATATCGTCGCTGCCCAGATCCAGATCGCCGCCGGCGCCACCCTCGAGCAGCTCGGCCTGACCCAGGACCGCATCTCTATCCGCGGCTTCGCCATCCAGTGCCGTATCACTACCGAGGATCCCGCCAAGGGCTTCTCCCCCGACACCGGCAAGATTGAGGTCTACCGCTCCGCCGGCGGCAACGGCGTCCGTCTCGACGGCGGTAACGGCTTCGCCGGCGCCATCATCACCCCGCACTACGACTCCATGCTCGTCAAGTGCACTTGCCGCGGCTCCACCTACGAGATCGCCCGCCGCAAGGTTGTCCGCGCCCTCGTCGAGTTCCGCATCCGCGGCGTCAAGACCAACATCCCCTTCCTCGCCTCCCTGCTGAGCCACCCCACCTTCGTCGACGGCAGCTGCTGGACCACCTTCATCGACGACACCCCCGAGCTCTTCGCCCTCGTCGGCAGCCAGAACCGCGCCCAGAAGCTGCTCGCCTACCTCGGCGACGTCGCCGTCAACGGCAGCAGCATCAAGGGCCAGATCGGCGAGCCCAAGCTCAAGGGCGACATCGTCCGTCCCACCCTGCTCGAGCCCCAGTCCGGGAAGCCCCTGGACGTCTCGGCCCCCTGCCCCCGCGGCTGGAAGCAGGTCCTCGACCGCGAGGGCCCCGCTGGCTTCGCCAAGGCCGTGCGCGCCAACCAGGGCTGCCTGATCATGGACACCACCTGGCGGGACGCCCACCAGTCGCTGCTGGCCACCCGCGTCCGCACCATCGACCTGCTCAACATCGCCCACGAGACCAGCCACGCCCTGGCCAACGCCTACTCCCTCGAGTGCTGGGGTGGCGCCACCTTCGACGTCGCCATGCGCTTCCTGTACGAGGACCCCTGGGACCGTCTGCGCAAGATGCGCAAGGCCGTCCCCAACATCCCCTTCCAGATGCTGCTGCGGGGTGCCAACGGCGTCGCCTACTCCTCCCTGCCCGACAACGCCATCTACCACTTCTGCAAGCAGGCCAAGCGCTGCGGTGTCGACATCTTCCGGGTCTTCGACGCCCTCAACGACGTCGACCAGCTCGAGGTCGGCATCAAGGCCGTCCACGCCGCCGAGGGCGTCGTCGAGGCCACCGTCTGCTACAGCGGGGACATGCTGAACCCGGCCAAGAAGTACAACCTCGCCTACTACCTGGCCCTCGTCGACCGCATCATGGCCTTCCAGCCCCACGTCCTCGGCATCAAGGACATGGCCGGCGTGCTCAAGCCCCAGGCCGCCCGCCAGCTGGTTGGCGCCATCCGCGAGCGCTACCCGGACCTGCCCATCCACGTCCACACCCACGACTCCGCCGGCACCGGTGTCGCCTCCATGATCGCCTGCGCCCAGGCCGGCGCCGACGCCGTCGACGTCTGCACCGACAGCTTGTCCGGCATGACCTCCCAGCCTAGCATCGGCGCCCTGCTCGCCTCGCTCGAGGGCACCCCGCAGGACCCCGGCCTCGACCGCGCCCAGGTCCGCGCCCTCGACGCCTACTGGGCCCAGCTGCGCCTGCTCTACTCGCCCTTCGAGGCCGGCCTGACCGGCCCCGACCCCGAGGTCTACGAGCACGAGATCCCCGGTGGCCAGCTGACCAACCTGATCTTCCAGGCCAGCCAGCTCGGCCTCGGCCAGCAGTGGGCCGAGACCAAGAAGGCCTACGAGTCCGCCAACGACCTGCTCGGCGACATCGTCAAGGTCACCCCGACCTCCAAGGTTGTCGGCGACCTGGCCCAGTTCATGGTCTCCAACAAGCTCTCCGCCGAGGACGTCGTCGCCCGCGCCGCCGAGCTTGACTTCCCCGGCTCCGTGCTCGAGTTCCTCGAGGGTCTCATGGGCCAGCCCTTCGGCGGTTTCCCCGAGCCCCTGCGCTCGCGGGCCCTGCGTGACCGCCGCCAGCTCAACAAGCGCCCCGGTCTCTACCTCGAGCCCCTGGACCTGGCCGCCATCAAGTCCCAGCTGCGCGAGAAGTTCGGCGGTGCCACCGAGTACGACGTGGCCAGCTACGCCATGTACCCCAAGGTCTTCGAGGACTACCGCAAGTTCGTGCAGAAGTACGGCGACCTGTCCGTCCTGCCGACCCGCTACTTCCTGGCCCGCCCCGAGATCGGCGAGGAGTTCCACGTCGAGCTGGAGAAGGGCAAGGTGCTGATCCTCAAGCTCCTGGCCATCGGCCCGCTGTCCGAGCAGACCGGCCAGCGCGAGGTCTTCTACGAGGTCAACGGCGAGGTCCGCCAGGTCAGCGTCGACGACCAGAAGGCCTCGGTCGAGAACGTCGCCCGCCCCAAGGCCGACGTCGGCGACAGCAGCCAGGTCGGCGCCCCCATGAGCGGTGTCGTCGTCGAGATCCGTGTCCACGAGGGCCACGATGTGAAGAAGGGTGATCCTATCGCCGTTCTCAGCGCCATGAAGATGGTTCGTCCTCTTTCCCCCCTTTTTTTCTCTATACTGTGGAATACATTGCTAACAATTCCTAGGAAATGGTCATCTCCGCCCCCCACAGCGGCAAGGTCTCCGACCTGCAGGTCAAGGAAGGTGACTCCGTCGACGGCCAAGACCTGGTGTGCAAGATCACCAAGGCTTAAATTAAATCTTTATTTAAAAAAAAAGAAAAAAGGAAGAAAACGGTTCCATGCGGGATGACTTGCTGTTTCGATTCGAGCGTGTTTGGCCTGATGTACATTTCTGTTTATCATTTATCTAGTCTTTGTCTCTGTTTTTGGCGTGTCCCTGAATAGCAGTTCCCACCCCCATACAATTAGGTGGTCGTGTTGGGTTCTGTGCCCGCTGATTGGCATCGCGGGTGGATGTGACTGGTGGCCTCGATGGTCCCTGCCGTCCAATCTGGTTCAGTCAGAGGGGGACCGCAATTGGATTACAGTACATTATCTGTTTTACTTTGATCTCTGATTCTCTTCTTGCTTGTTCTGACAACAGTGGATCTCCGTACGACGTAGACTACTACACTACTACTAGATAGTACCCAAAGGGATGACGAAAGTAATCTACAGCCTCGGCGAATACACCCCCGACTCACCCACCCCACGCAAAGCCATCCACACGCGCATAGCCTCGTCCCACAACTCATCCCGACAGATCCTCACCGACCCATCCGGCATCAGCGTGCGCATCTCGCGCGGGCCATTCGTGCCCCAGCCCAAAACATCGTCAGTGTCACCACGAACAAACCTCGCCCAGGGATCGATCAAGGCAGCCCGGATATCGCGCTTCTCAGCCGGCTCGAGCACTTCCCCGTTCCCCCAGAACCAGAGATACATGTCCGTGGCGTGGGTGACGCCCCACTCGCGCGGGATGGTCTTGGCAGCGCAGTTGAGGCGGTACTCGATGCGGTAGCGGTGGAGGAGGTGGGTTGCGCCGTTCGCGGCGAGGGACTGGATGAGGCCGCGCTGGGTCGTGTGGACTTGGATGTCGGCGTAGATGTGGCCGAAGGTGGAGGGGGGGTATGTCTTGGTGTTTGTGGTGTCTGAGGGGGCGTAGAGGTGTAGGAGGGTGTCGACGATGGGTTGGGGGTAGTCGGCTAGGAGGCGGCTGCGGAGCGAGGAACGGCTGTTGTCCGGTGGGGGCAGCCAGGTGGCGTAGAGGTTGTGTTCGTCGCGGCATTCGCCGAGCATGATGTGGATGTTGCGCGCGGCGAGGCGGCGCGCGAAGGCGCCTGTGTCGAAGGACTGGAAGAGCGTGGGCTGGATGAAGGTGCTGTCTGTGGTGGGGCGGAACTGGTGGAGCGAGATGCTGGTCGCTGCGGAGAGGACGGTTGCTGGGGGTAGGGCGCGGAGTTGGGTGAGCTTTTCGGATGCGGGGAGGGAGGTAGGGATGCGAAGGGCTGAGAGGAGCTGGTTGAATTGCGTTTGGGCTGTCGCGGGGCTTTTGGGTTGCACTGCTGGGCTGTTGGACCAGATGCAGGCTCGCTTTATGATGGAGTTTTCGGGGGGTAGGTGGATGTCGTAGGCGAGCTGGTAGAAAGCGGAGTATGCGCCTATACGGTAGGTGGAGGAAAGGAAGTTAGGGTTAGAGATGGTGGATTGGGGCTTTCGGGGCTGGCCTACCGGCGGAGTACCCGGAGAGAGTGATCTGAGCGGGATTGCCTCCGAAGAGGGCGATGTTGTCACGGGTCCATTCCAGAGCTAGACGCTGGTCCCAAAAGCCCTGGTTACCCAGGGGTTGGTCGGAGTCGGCGATGTCCTGTTGGATCTCGGAGGAGGACAGGAAGCCGAAGACTCCGAGCCGGTAGGCGGGCATGACGATGATGGCCTGGAAGTCGGTCTCGCCTAGCAAGGCGGCCGCGGAGAAGGTGTTCGGCGTGCCGAATTGGAGGAAGCCCCCATCTGCGTTGTATGTTCAGTGTATGCTCAGTGGACATGCCAGCGAATGGGGTCTCTCAACGGTTGGGAGTCACTGACGGATGAAGAAGAGCACCGGCCACCCTGTGTACAGTCGTTAGCATCTTGGACGGTGGATTCATTTTCAATCAAGCCGTATGTACGGAGGCTCGGACGTACCGTCCTGCGGGGGCTCGCCCAGTGGGACCCAGATGTTACACTGGAAGCAGTCCTCCGTCCAGTCGTTGCCGGACGAGAGGGTCAGGAAATCGGGTTGGGGGCACACGCCAGCCAAACCACCACACAAGCCGGGCTGGTCCTTGGTGCCGTACGAGTAGGTTGGCGGCAGCTTGCGTGCCTGGCAAAAGCGCTTGACTGGAGGCAGGGCGTAACGGAGACCTCCGAAGTAGTGGCACAGGGGTTGGCAGGAGTCTTTGGCAGAGATGGTCACACCCTCGACATGCCCGCGGTAGGCGAGGGCCTTGCGATACGGATCTCGGAGGGTTTCCATGGCGAGACGTTCTATATCCTTTGATTGATTGGTTGAAAAGAAGCAGATGAATATGCTCAATAGAGTAGAGGATTCAGGGCATGGTGGTATGAAGAATGAGGGGTCGGGGGTTATTTATGGCTCTCTTCCCCGCATGGTCACACAGCAGATAGCCGAGCGAGAAGCGGAGATAGACCGAAGAGAACAGAAGAAGATGTAGAAAGAAGAAGTGAAGTTATCCCCATCTATGAGAGTCACGGGATTCTGGTCTGATGGAGTCGAGGGTGCATACAAGACATACAGAACATACAAGACATACCGAGCATACCGAGCATACAATGCCTACAGAACATACAGGACATACGAGACATACATCCCCATCTTGATCATCAATAGATTCATCTTATCCTTAATCCACCTGCTTGATATTGACAATAGTATCTCCAGTATTGTCTTCCTGGTCAGCAAATGGACAATCGGTCTGATCCATAATCAAGGGTGAAAGCTCAATCACCTGACGTCAGACAAAGGCCCGCATTCCCCGGATCAGCAACGCAACGCATCATTCTCATTGGCGAACCCTCCGGATGCCTTGGATGGAAGAAAGCCTAGAGAGTGGGATTATGATCCCAGCATGATCGATGATGGATGTCCAGTCGAGTCACTCGGTGGCCAGAGCCGTGCTTGCCTTTCCCTTATAACGCAACCCATCCCCTCATCGGTCTGTTCTGCCATCCAGTCATCCATCTCTCCATCCGGCGTTTCATCCAAGCTATCCATCCACTCATATTCTTGATCTACACAGTTAGTAAGTATACATCCTTGCTACTCATGACGTCGTGAACACCTTCCCCTCCTTGCCTGGACATCCTTTGTCTCACTGCTGTCTGTCATACTTCCCCTCTTCCTACTTCCCTTCCCTCCTCAACCCTTTATCACCCTATCAACCTGAAGGAGTGAGAAACAAAAGAAAGAAAGCGAAAGAAACAATATCAAGAATCAGGACAAGAAAAAAGAAGATGAACAATACCCGTGATTCCTCCTCCTCCCCCCCTCGCCACTGGCACGGGTCTGTCGGGGACCGCTATGAGCATCACAATGTCTGGGTGACTGGCGGTCCCCCCGGCCCATATCGACGACCCTCTTTCCTCGAGTCCTTCCCAATCGACCACTGGGTACGTCCTGATCTGACACTAGTGTCTTGCGTTTCATCGTTCATCTGCACTGCATCTGTCTTCGCTATCTTTTATTTTGAATTTCAAGTTCACCACATGTGATGCAATCTAACCCTATCAATACAGCCTTCCACATCCTCCACAATGTCTAGCAACTCCAGCAACTCGAACAACCCTGTCGACAGCCAAGCCAACCCTCCCACAGTCCAAGACAACAGACGCCGCTCCAGCGGCCATGGCCCCTCGACGCTGTTCGAGAGTCTGACCAACCAGAAGCGCAAATCCGGCGATGTCGGCGCGACTGCCCGTCGGGCCAGTTACAACGAGCAGGGTACCAAGGGCGGCTACTTCGCCAAAATGTGGGATGAATATACCCGCGGTAAATAGGGGGTTTAACTTGTTTTCATCTTTCTCTCCTTGTATCAGTGGCTTCTGTTTTTGAATATGCATTGTGAGAGAAAGGGAGATTGATGTGTCTTTATACGCATGTTGGTCCCTTCATCTGTGGTTGCTATTCCAGGATGCTTGAACTTGGCGGAGCTAGATGCAGAATGATGTGGGGGGATTAGTCGGGTATGTGCATATGTTAATGAATGTCAATGCAACTTCATCGTTGATGGATCGTAATCTTTCCGCTTGAGGATGTAGTCGTAGTGTCACGGATGATAGAAATAAATTACTTGACCGGGGGAACGGCAACGATAAGTCGACCTCTTCGCAGTAGTGGCTTGTGTGCAACCAACACGTAGGAGCTGGGAGCGGGAAACGGAGAGCTGGGCGTTGGTACCAATAAGGTACTTACGATATCAGGGCTCATGTTGGGTCTTGAGCCGGTCTCTTAAGGAGAACAGACTACATGCTCAAGACATATTCCACTACGAGACCACACGGATACCCCGGGCAATCTACATGAAAGACAGGGTCTGTCCGGTACCACTGGGTTGGGCCAGTGATCCCGGAACATCCCCCAGCTACGCGAGAGGGGTCAAGGTTGAATAGACACCCTCCCATGCAAACACACAGCTTGTCCATGCGAACACGGAAACAAGCCCAAGGCCAGAAACAGCAACGCATCAAACTTGAAGAGTCCCCCCCGTAAGAGGGACTGACTTTTCACCAATGGTTAAGCGGAATTCATCACCCTTCGTGAAGCCTGCATTGTGTGAAAAGTGGATGCGTCCGTTGGAACAAGAAAAATTTGCTGATTTGATATGGTAGATCTCTCTAACACGCCTAATATCCTCATGCCACGGATCACAAGGCATTGGCACATCATAACGCAAAGCATGTCCCAGCAGGGAGAGATCGCCTGCTGTCGGTGGTTTCGATCTTCAATTTTATTTTTTTGTCCATCGAATCGTCATTAGAACGCTACCCAGGTTCGTTTCCTTTTCCTATACCCCCCGTTGATTCCCGAGACTTGAACGGTACATTTACCGGACAATGCCGTCGAAGCGGTTCTTGAACCACTTGACGGTCTCGTTCTGGTTGATACGGTGCTGGAAACCGACACGGGCCTTGCAGCGGCGGCGCTTGGCAACACGCTCACCGGGGCGGGTCCTACATGGTCTGTCAGTTCCTTTTCTCGAGAGAAATTCCGGTTCCGGTCGCACTGCCGACACCGATTCAAGAAGAATTCCCATCACTCACATGCAGCAGTAGAAGTCCATGCCGTAGATACCGATACCGGGGTCGTACTTGATACCCAGATCGATGTGCTCGCTGATACCGAAGCCGAAGTTACCGGTCTCGGAGAAGTTGCGCTTCCGGAGCTCGTACTCCTTGACCTTCAGGCCACGCTCGAGGATCTCCTCGGCCTTGGGGCCACGGACGGTGACGTGGACGGCGATCTTTTCGTTACGGCGGATACCGAAGGTACGGACGGTGTAACGGGCCTTGCCTATAGTCGTGCGGAAAAGTTGTCCCGTCAGTCTCCTGTTCTCTCTGCTATCCGAATTTTTGATCCTTTTTTTCGTGATCTGTGCCTGATCGATTCGGATGTGGGATATTTCAAGGCGCCTTACTGTAGACCGGAGTCTGACCGCTCAGCTGCTCAAGCACCTTCGCAGCACGGGTCAGTCTATCACCAGACTCGCCGACACTGATGTTGAGCACGAGCTTCTGGATGCGCAGCTCGCGCATGGGGTTGGCGCTCTTGTCCTTTCCTTCCGACTACATTATCTGTTAGAAATTGCTGATAGCCACGGCGAGAGTTTTCTGCTGGCTCAAAATCGAGGAGCAATGACAGTGGTGGTGATCATGATGCTGGAGAACATACCATGGCGACTGCGTTTGGCGTTGAACTGGTCGGACTCGGTGAACTTGAAAATCGACGGGACGAAAAAGTGTGGGAAGAGATGGACGGAAAGAGGAATTGTGCGGGTGGGAAGCGAGAGCCCTTAGCGTCTTGGCGTCCAGAGCCGCGGCCTGGCTGAGTCACGGCTGAGTCATATTTGTGCTGACTTAAGCGGCCGGCGAAAGCTCAGTCAGCCCAGCTCCGGTGGTGATAACTTCACGAGCCACCAGTCCACTTGTCTTTGCCTAGTCGTTCGTCTCCTTCCCCGCCTCTCGCCTCCCCCCTCCTCCGTCGCTTCTTTTAGGTTTTCCTGTCGACGCGTCGCATCCCGCGCCTCATTCTGCCACCATGGCGGCCAACAAGCAGGGAAAGATGGTGAGTCTCCGAGTTGATTTGGTCGTGTTTGGAGACACGAGAAGTCCAGGATGGAGCACTAGGAAGAACGATCAAGCTAACTGTCAATCTCTTTTTTCTTGTAGCAAAACCTCGTGAGTGATGACTGTAACTGTCGCATTCTTGCCCCCCTTCTGACCACCCATATAGATCAATTATCGGATGAGGGTTACCCTGAACGATGGCCGACAGATGACGGGCCAGATGCTTGCCTTTGATAAGGTATGGACTCGCAGCGCATGCGGGAGGAAGATTCTCGCAGATCCTCTCTCGTCGACATTACTCTTCTTGATCCTAGTACGATGCGCGTACTGACTGGTCGTCCGACAGCACATGAACCTCGTCCTCGCCGACACGGAAGAGTTCCGTCGCGTCAAGCGCAAGTCGAAGCCTACCGCTGGCCCCTCCAACACCCCCCTCGTGGAAGCCGAAGAGAAGCGAACTCTTGGTCTGACGATCGTGCGTGGAACTCACGTCGTTTCGTGCTCGGTGGATGGTCCCCCGCCCGCCGACCCCTCGTCCCGCTTGGGTTCCAATGTCCCCGGTGCGGCTTCTGCCGCTGCGACCCTCTCCGCCGGCCCTGGCATCAGTAAACCCGCTGGCCGGGGTCTTCCCGTCGGCCTGGGCGGTCCTGCCGCTGGCGTGGGCGGCCCTCCCCCTCCGCCGGGCGGTTTCCCGGGTTTCCCCCCGGTGGCTTCCCCGGCGCTCCTCCGGGCTTCGCTGGCCGCGGTGCTCCTCCTGGTGGACCTCGTAAGTGAACACCGAATGCTGTGAGGCAACAAGAATACTGACGGTAGTCTAGCTGGCTTTGGCCCTCCTCCCGGATTTGCGCCCCCGGGCGGCCCTCGTAAGTTTTGACCCCCGTCTTCTCCCCTCTCTGTGGACCGTGGACTAACGGCTCGATTGCTGCAGCGGGCGGATTCCAACCTCCTCCTGGATTCCAGCCTCCGGGACAGGGTCGTGGGTTCCCTCCCCCCTTCGGAGGACGGTGATTTGATGGAATATGGAAACGGCGTGATTGCTTCAGGTCTCCGACGATCATGAGAGATGTATGCTGGCTACGCGTAGCTGGGGAAATCCACCACCGAAGAAAGAATACGGAATCATTTATCACTCATCAACCATGCGGACTGGATCAGTATCGCACCCCGAACATACCAGGCAAAAGGCGTTGCGGCGTGTGCGGATGCAGGGAGAGCCAGAAAGGTCGAGAGCGGTCCTGGACCGGTAGCGGTAATGCTAGACGTGATTTCTACTTTCTGTGATCTGTGAATTATAATCATTTGGGATTTCTTTATTATTGTTATTATGACTATATTACCCTGTCTTTTCTTTTTCCTAGACAGTAGCATTAAACCGTACGGAGTAGCCAGTTCTGGACCGAGCGCGACTCACCGAAGCAGGGGCTCACGTGACGGCACTCCGCCCGGCGATGATTCCGCAGTCGGGGATCCATCAAATCGAAACCTTCTTCACTCTTCGTCTCTCTCTTCCTCCTCCCCTCCTCCCTTCCTATTCCCCCTCCCCCGTCTTTATTTTCCGCTCGTCAAGATGGCCGCGGTGATCAAGGCAATCAACGCGAAGATCCGTTCCAACAAGGTTCTGGATTATGTCTGCTCAACACGTACGTGCACCCCGAGATCGGCCTGCCATGGCTTTGGATCCATTTGATTGGGCGTCATCATGGCCCCAGAAAAAGCGACCAAACCCATTGGGAGCAACCAGATGGGCGGAATGAAATTTGAATTGGCGAAAGCTAACAAGGAGGTATTCATCGAACAGATTTCTGGGGACCGGCCTCCAACTTCGGTATCCCCATCGCGGCGGTGATGGACACCCAGAAGGATCCTGAAATGTACGTCCACCGAGCCCGGTCTCTTTTAGAATCCCCGGCGAGGCAAAACTCCGTCGCTGCGACTAGTTGTCTTGCCGTGCCATATGTGCGATCAAATCGCTAATCCCCTCCCAGCATCTCTGGCCAGATGACCGGTGCCCTGACCATCTACTCCGCTACCTTCATGCGCTACGCCCTCGCCGTCTCCCCCAAGAACTACCTCCTCTTCGCCTGCCACGCGGTCAACTGCGGCGCCCAGATGACCCAGGGTTACCGTTACCTGAACTACTGGAAGTACGTCACCCTATGAGATCTCTGGATTTCCCCTTCGAGAAGGCATTGCGATGCGCACGCATACACACACACCGCAATAGGGTTCAATGAACGGTCGCTAATAAGTACACAGCTGGGGAGGTCGCGAAGCTCAGCTCGCCGCTGCGGCCCAGCAGGGCAAAGAGGCCACCGAGGCCGGTGCATAAGCAGCACGTTGTACATCGCGCATCGGACGTTTATAAATTCAATGCAAATGAAAACAAAAGAGCCATCATCCCATCTATTCCGGCCCTTACCATCCGGCGTCGTTTAGGGAAGGGGGAGCCAGAACTCGATGCTAGCCAGTCCCCTGTCATTCCCGTTGTGACTGTAGTAGAGCTGCGCTTACCTACACCTTATCTATCTGCCCTTACCATCCTACTTATCTTACTTGGACATCTTGCTTGCTTAGACAACGTTACAAATCGGATTGTATATTGGACAGATTCGAGAATAGACTATTGTCTGATCAATTGGTATCATTGTATTGGGATGAGAATCCGTCCATAGTTCGATGGGATCTGTAGTGGCTGCCCCTGGCTTCTATGTACTATCTTCCGCTGGTAACTAAATAGTCGATAGAAAGATCACTGATCTCCAAATTATGGCGACTTGCAGAGTTCTCGGACGACATATCGCCGCTTAGCTACCTGTATATATATCTGTATAGTTATATATATCTTGCTCATATACCGCAAGACTAAACTAACCAATCTGGCTCCAACCTCTACCCAGGCGCCTAAGAACAGAATAACCACAAAGACAGAAACGAGAAAACCAAACGCAGATGCAAAAGACAAGTACATGCTTAGGTGCAGTGGCTCGGTTCAAGGGAGTCAATCATGCTCAAGACAAAGAAAAGCAAATACAAAAACAAAAACAGGAGAAATGATCAAGGATGGTGCAACGTAGCATCAGTCATTCATACAAGTATGCGTTTCTATCCGAATTGTCAAGGTTACTGCGGGTGAAGGTCCCCCCCGCAAGCGAAAGATCAGAACTGTAGGGATCAAGGGATCACTGCGAGTCGCAGTATCCCGGTGCCTTGGTATTGTCCCCGTTTACCCAGTTAACCATGGTGAGGGAGGTAGTGTAGACACAGGAGACTACTCCGAAGATGGTCAGAGCAATATCGGCGATCTGCTGCTTTCTGGAATGAGCGCAGGCTCGAAGATGCAAGAGAGGCTAAGAGGAGGAAGATTGCGTTAGTCTGATGATTCATGAATGCCGATAGAAGGGGTTATTGTACTTACGGGATAGACGTAGATCAGTGGAACGCAGGCAAAGCTACCGACGAGCGAGACGAACTTGTCGAGATCTTCGGCTCCGCCCCATGCGACGAAGGCGCAAATCATGACCAGGAAGAAACGGAACCCGTTCTTCTGCCACTTGATCCTGGGATTGTACTTGCCGCTGCGCGTGAAGAGCTCGTTCTCCATGATTCGAATGGCGGGGAAGAGTTGCAGCGGTGTACTCAAGAGGATTGCTAACGAGTAGAGAAATTGGACGGCATTGACAAACTTGTCGTCTTGGGGGAGGTTGAGGAGGATGACGGTCTTGGTGGTAGATCCGTACGCCGCGTAGCTGAGGGCTCCCGCAGAAAGGAAAATGATCGTGATGATCACCATCACTCCGGCCAAGACCCCAGGGAACTGCTGTGGACGTTTCATGGACTCCTGGATTGGGATGATGAGGCCAATGCCCTCATAGGTGAAGATGGCCGTTCCGATAAAAAGGGTCCACGTGGAAGGGTTGAAGGAAACAATGTCGGAGATGCCACCCTGGGTTGCGATGGTCAGGAAATCGTAGTAGTAGAGATAGATCAGCCCCAATAAGATAAAAAGATCGGCGACCAGGGCCGTGAACCCCAGCTTGCTGATGTCTCGAATCAACGACAGGGGCAGGAAGATGACCAGCTGCATCAACACCATGAACTTGATGTCGATGAATGACTTGCAGTTGCTCACAGCCAGGACGAAGGCCTGCAGATTCTCCGCCGTGAATACGATGTACGCCGACACGAATCCCAATTGACTCAACACGATCGAACCGAGAATGATCCGCCGCATATGCTTTCCGTATAGCGCGCCACCGATGTCGCCAAACGAGCCATTGATCTTGAGTCGCGTGTTCACTAGCAAGATAAAAGCGTAGAAACTGAGTAGGGACACCCCCAGCAAGACCATGCTGCTGAAGAGCATCCCTCCGTTCAAGAAAGCTCGGGGCAAAAACAACACCCCCGTCCCAACAAAAGACTTGAGCAACAGGAGGGCTGCGCCAGTCCTGGTGGTATTGCCCGTGCCCCCACGCGGCTTGCGTATCCGCCTGCCAGCGGTTCCGGGACGGAGGAGGGCGGACTCTTCCCCGGGTTCCTCAGCGCCTTCCTCCCAAGTCCCCGCGGAGAAGTACTCGTTGGGCCCCAAAACTTCGTCGTCCTCCTCTAGTTCTTCACCCGCGAAGTGGCCAAAAAGGGTCAAAAACTCGAGGAAGCTACTGGTCGGTAATTGAGGCTGACCCTGCTGCGACTGCAATTCCGGTCCATCGGCGGCTCCAGGCTGAGGGGAGCCTACCGCTCGCCGCAGGTAGTCTCTCCGGAATCCTCCCGGGACGCGGATGGTGTTGATGTTCATCGTATCATCCTGGGGCATCGGTCGATCGAGACTGAAACTCTTGCTACGGGAATTCTTCTGCCCCAAACCCCCTTCCTCCGCGTTTTCCGCCCATTTGTAGACCTGCCGCGTGATGTCTCCACCCTGTAGTTGCAAGCTCGAGAATTCATCATCCGCATTGCTGGTGACATCCGCCCCCGAAGATTGAAGGTTCCGGCTCTCCGTTCCCAGTTGTGGTTGTACCAGGTGCCTCCTCACCACCTGAGGGTCCTCATACGGGCCCACTGAATACTCCGAATCAGCGTTGTTGTTATTGTTGTTGTCAAACGAGCCATAGATGGACCTGACGGGCGGGGTGTGCGACACCGCGGGCGATGCCGCGCGTCGAGGCGGAGTTCCAAACCTGGGTGGTGAGCGTCCAAGATTGTCCTGAAGACCCGATGCGATCATCGACTGTCCGGGTCCTGGTAGAGACGATGGGTCATCGATCCTTTGGAGCTTTGGCTCCGCGCTCGTCGGGGCCTGAATGGGAAATGTGGACTGCCTGGGGGCCGAAGCATTTGATGGCGAAGGAACCGGAGAGGCTAATCGAGCGATCGACGCCTGTCTGGCCGAAGCGTCAGGCGTTGGAGACCCCGAGGGAAGACCACTCGCAGAGGCACTGGTTGAGATCGGTGCTGACCGCTGGGGCTGAGTAGAGGAACCTTCCCCGTTCTCTGGAGCTGGTGATGAAGCCATGTTGGTAACGGCCAGATTAAATCATCCAAAGAAGCCCAAACAGTGATGGTTTGAGGGGAGACTCGAGGGTCTCGTTAAGATTCCGGGATCTCGCTCTAAAAGTGATTGCCGGTGCGGAGACAGTGGGAAATGGGTGGAGATCGGGGGAGAAACCGGTGAGTAAGGGGGGCGAGATAGGCGAATCGGGGATCACCGTGGTGTGGATTGATAGACAATCGAGTCTCGACCCCTTATCAGCGATCAAATAGCAGGAAGAGTACTGAAACTGGATGAAACGAAAACAACCGCTGAATGAAGCCGCCGAGAAGAAGCTGAAAGAAGAGCGAGAGAGATTCAGCTGGAGTCATTTTGCACTGTTTGACTCTCCACACGTGCCCGGGTGAGTAAGTGAGGTCATCGGCGCGTCGATCCCATCGCGTTTCATTTCCCTGGTGGATTGATTGAATCGGGATCGATATCTCGACCCCATGTCATGATTAGGTCGTTATCCACTTCCATCTCCCGACTGTTATCTTCATGGTCGTTAACCGCTCAATAAATCCATGTTGATTCCGTCTATACCTGCGACAGGTTGTGTGAAGTCGGTTCGGGTCCTCCGAGAGAAGATCTCAATCCATTCTTCAATCGTCCTTTTCGATGATGGGGATCCATGATGAGAGTGGCTCACAGTCAGTGTCTCGGAAACGACCGAATTTTTCGACTCGGGCGGCCGCAGAGGATGAGTCCCGACTGGCTCCCAGCGACTCCGCGCATGCCTCCCCCGAGGAGAACTTTCGGTTCCTCAACTGGAGGACGGCTTTCGCGCGACCATACGAACCGGTGGGTTCATCTCGCCTTCCGGCGGGTCACCGTCACTCGCTCCCGTCAAATTTTTGGGGTCAGGTTTCACGATGGTGGGATTGGTCGACCAGCGACAGGGGATCCAACGAGACGAGTGACAGGGATAGAGTTCGTGCCAACGGACCCCCAGGGCCGCTCCGAGATGCCAGCGTGAACCCAAAGGAGCGAAATGACCAGCGGGGCCGCAGTTCGGATGGCGTGGACAAGCTGGGGACTTTCTCTGGCGTGTTCGTCCCCACGACTCTGAATGTCCTAAGCATTCTGATGTTCTTGCGGTTCGGCTTTGTTTTGGGACAGGCAGGCGTCCTGGGGATCTTGGGATTGTTAATCATTTCATATACGATCAACTTGGTGACCACCATGTCCCTGTCGGCGATCGCGACTAATGGAACAGTTCGAGGGGGTGGTGCCTACTACCTGATTTCTCGGTCATTAGGGCCGGAGTTCGGCGGCTCAATTGGCATCGTATTTTACCTGGGCTACGTGCTGAACACCGGCATGAATGCCGTCGGTCTCGTGGACTGCTTCACCCAGAACTTTGGAACCGAATCCGGTACGTGGGCCAACTTTCTCCAGGAAGGGTTTCTCTGGCAGTACCTCTGGAGTACCATTGTCCTGATCCTGTGCACGGGGATTTGCTTGGCCGGCAGCTCCATGTTTTCACGGGCCAGCAATGGCCTGTTGATTGTACTGCTGGTGGCGACACTGAGCATCCCAGTGTCCGCCGTCTTCATGCAGCCCTTTAGCATTCCGAAGCTCGGGGTCCATTTTACGGGGATACGCCTACGAACATTGGTGGATAACCTCAAGCCGAGGCTCACCAAGGGGGCAGCGGGAAGCCAACGAGAGGGGAGAGAAAACTTCCAGGACCTCTTTGGGATTTTGTTCCCCGCTACCGGGGGTATCTTTGCGTAAGTACACGGTTCGCCGGACGAAAGCAGACTCTAATGGAAGTATAGTGGAGCCAGTATGTCTGGTGATTTGAAGAACCCTAGCAAATCAATACCCAAGGGGACGCTTTCGGGGCTAGCCCTCACATTTATCATATATACCGTTGTAATCCTTGCAATGGCTGCGTCGATTACGCGGGAGTCATTTTATAAAAATGCCAATATTGTGCAAGTGGTAAGTCCTCCTTAGCAAGCCCAGCAAGACACGTTTACCGACAAAGTATCAGGCCAATCTTTCTGGGGTGCTCATCCTACTGGGGGAGTTTGCGACCTCCTTTTTCTCCTCCCTGATGGGGGTCATTGGCTCCGCGAAGTTGCTGCAAGCCATCGCACGAGACAGCTTGCTTCCTGGCCTAAAGGTCTTCGGCAAAGGGACTGAGAAGCATGACGAGCCCGTGTACGCGATCATCGTCACTTTCGTGGTGGCCCAGCTCACAATGCTTTTTGACATCAATCAAATTGCATCCTTTGTGACCATGACATATCTGATGACATTCTTGGTGACCAACCTCGCCTGCTTTCTCCTGAAGGTCGGATCTGCTCCCAATTTCAGACCGTCTTTCCACTACTTCAGATGGCAGGCTGCAGCGGCTGGTACGCTGGTGTGCGGAGCCAGCATGTTCTTCGTAGATGGCGTGTATGCCACCGGCTGTGTGGGAATTCTGATAGTGCTCTTCCTTCTGATCCACTATACCTCGCCCCCCAAGCCATGGGGTGATGTCAGCCAGAGTCTGATCTACCACCAAGTGCGCAAATACCTGCTGCGCCTGAAGCAGGAGCACGTCAAATTCTGGCGCCCGCAGATCCTACTTTTAGTGACCAACATTGACGATCAATTCAAGATGGTGTCCTTTTGCAACTCCCTAAAGAAGGGAGCTTTGTTCATGCTCGGCCACGTGGTCGTGACAGATGATTTCTCTGCGGCGGTGCCCGAAGCGCGTCGACTGCAGACATCGTGGACCAGATTTGTCGAGAACTTGAAAGTCAAGGCTTTTGTCAACATAGCTGTAGCTCCGACCGCCGAGTGGGGGGTCCGGAATATGGTTTTGAATTCGGGCCTGGGAGGCATGCGACCCAACATTGTGGTCATCGATCAGTACCGCCAAGGCCAGTCGTTGGGGCAAGATCTCCAGCTCTCGGGTCGTCGAAGAGAGTCGTCTGTGGGAAGAAGGAGCTGGCGGGATAACACCCCGGAGACCCCTGGGCACGACGCACCTGAACATCAGATAAACTGTCAAAGCTACGTGACGATCCTGGAAGATCTCCTGTTCAAGTTACGTATCAACGTCGCCGTGGCCAAGGGGTTCGAAGACCTCGAGTTACCCGGTCCAAAAGGACAGCACATGAAGAAATACATCGACCTGTGGCCTATCCAGATGTCTGCGGACCTGGGGGCCGACCACGAGAGCAAAAAGAATGTCTTGACCACGAATTTCGACACATACACCCTGATCCTCCAACTGGGCTGCATCCTCAACACGGTGCCGTCATGGAAGAAAATGTATAAGCTGCGTGTGGCGGTCTTTGTCGAGTACGAGACAGACGTGGACGACGAGCGAGGACGAGTAGAGGCTCTCCTCGAAAAACTCCGGATCGAGGCAGAGGTACTGGTGTTCTGGCTTGCATGCGGCGACATCATGGCATACCGAGTGATTGTCAATGGTGATCTCACCCCAGAGTCGGATCCCATGCGGGACCGGGTCCATGGAGCCTTGAAAGACGAAGACTGGTGGCAGGACCTCCTCGAGGCCCGCAAAGGCTCGCTCGAGCGCCATAGGCAACACCAACCGCGCTGGGGTGGACTGCTCTCTGATAGACCACCTAGCTGGCATGGCCCTTCTAGTTTGGAAAGTAAAAACAAAACACCCAGCCAGCTGCCCGATGAGCTGAAGCGCATCATTCATGGTGACCGGCGCCGACGGTCCATATCCAGTCACAAGGGACTCGGGAGCGTCAACCTGGGCATGCAGACGCACCGTCTACTCGATGCGTTTGTGGACTATGATGAAATTGACAGCAACGGCAGCAGTGACAGCAGCGAGGACAATGATTTTGAGCCTTACCATAGCGACAGCGAGGAAGAAAGCGGCGAAGATGCAGGAAGCACCCCACCCGAGCCTATTCCCCAACCAAGCCCACCGGCACAACCAAGTCCCTCAAACGAACCGCGCGAAAGAGAGGCGTCTCCCCGAGCAGACATCCCAACAATCATCACCACCGGCGAAGACGCCTCCCTCAAAAGCCCACCCGTCTCTCCTCACTCCCGACCCACAATACACCGCTCACCCTCCTCCACCAACCGATTCAGCTCGTCGCCGATCCCAGAAGCCCACGTGAATACCGAGTCCGAAGAAAACGCCGGTCCATCAATTATGTTCGCCGCCAGCTCCTCGCCACCTCGGTCCTCGACCCGCAAACGGGCCGACTCGATCTACGCGCGACGGTCCTCATCCAGCCCATCCGCAGCCTCAGCATCAGCCTCAGCATCAACCTCAGCATCAGGCTACCCCCGCCAAGCATCGATGCCCCTCTCCTTCAACGACCTCCCCAGCCGGGCACAGCACCTGATTCTCAACGAGCTGATGGCGACGCACAGCGCCGACACGGCCGTCATTTTCACGACGCTGCCGTCGCCGCTGGAGGGCACTGCCAGCAGTGAGTCGGCGAGTGCGTCGTATCTGAGTGATTTGGACGTTCTCTGGCAGGATTTGCCGCCTTGTCTGTTAGTGCACAGTAACAGCATGACGGTGACGATGAATCTCTGATGACGTGATGATTTTGTGTAGAGATGTGATTTGCGATTTGCTTTTTACTTTTCATTTATATATATATCGTGCTGGAGGAAGATCTCGGGGGTGTAAGTATATATATTTTGTTTTTCGGCGGTATATATACTCGACAACGTTTAGCGTTGATGTTTGATATAGAATTTTGGTTTAGTGCAACTCTCTTACTTCTATTGTAGTATGGTATTATAAGAGAAGGAAGAGGCGAAGAAGTATGTAATGCATATAACAAGAGAATCCCCCAGCTATTCATATCCAACCGTGATCACCAATATAATAATTTCCACGTACAAATTGTATATATACCTCGCCCAAACCCCCCAAAAACAAGCACTATCTACCCCAGACTGCTAAAAAAAAAGGAAGAAGAAGGCCTATAGCCTCATACCACATATAGACTCATCTCTATGCATAACCAGCCTACTAGTTAGTATCTACCACATCCTCCCCAACGAAACACAAGCCACAGCGCCTGCTAGAGCGAGCCCCACAAAGACCACCTCCAGCCCATCGAACCCGGCCGCATTCTCCACGAACCCCAGCAGCAAAGACACGACAGCGGTGCTGGTGTTCAGCACGCTGGCTACGATACCGTACCCGAGGGCCGTGGCGCCGCTTTCTCCTGCGGAAACGGGCTTGTCTGCGTTGATAGCTTCGTCTGTGTCATGTGGCCGGGTGAAGGTGCCATACGTGGAGTCGTACGGGGCGGGTTGATCGTCTGGGAGGGGCGTGGGTGGAGGTGTTTTCTGTGGATGTGCAGTGGTGCGGTCTGCTTGGAGGACGCAGCGCGCAAGGCCGGACCATAGGGCTGCGCTGTAGAGGGCGAGCGCGAAGCCGAGAAGACAGAGGGGAAGGATGGGGGAGGACAGGTTGGAGAGGAGGCCTAGGTGAACGAGGGCGAGGAGGACATTGGCGAGGAAGAGAATGGATGGAGGGTTGCCGATCCAGCGGGGGTGGTCGAGGAGGAAGCCGAATAGTGGGAGGAAGAGACAGGAGATGGTGAGGGGGATTCTGCTTCCAATATGCGAGATAGCTTCGTTAGGTTGATTGGTGTCTGGTGATGCAGGTGAAGGGGACGTACCCCATGATTGATCCTGCGGCACTCTGGTCGCCTTGGTAGAAGCGCGCGGCAAGAAAGCGCTGCGCGGAGTTGGTGAACGTGTTGATGCCTCCGTAGCCGAGCAATGCGACGACGACAATCTGCCAGTAGACTCGGGGAAACTGTCGAATGGAGGGCGTTTCTATTCGCGCTTGGACGTCTGTGGCGAGGAGCTTCTCAGGGACGTATGGTCCGGCTACGGCGTTGCTAGTTAGGAGCTGGCAGGTGGCTAGGATGAGGATGCCCATAGATAGTGCGGAGCCTATCCAGTTGGCGCAGAGGACCCCGTATGTCTGAACTAATCGGGGGGTCAGGATGGAGTTGGTGACGCTGCCAAGCTGCCAGGTTCCGGTCATGAGGGCCAGGGCTAGAGAGATTTGTCCGTCCCTGCATGAGTCGGATTTTCCGTTAGCCGTGGAAGAACGGAATGACTATAGGGGAGGAGATAGACGACCTGAACCAGCGAGTGGCGATGTTCGTGGCCAACACGGTCGACGCCTCGCCTCCCAACCCGACCAAAGTTCGTCCGAGGATCATCACGGACCAGACTCCGCTTTGTACGGCTAGACAGAAGATGAGTTGTCCGCTGATGATGCTGGCTGCGGTGGCCAGCAGGATACACCGCTCGCCATATCGATGGACCGCAAAGCCCGAGAAAAAGGGCAGGACCGTGTTGGGGATACAGTAAGCCGTGTAGAGAGCGGAGACCAGGTAGGCAAATTGCGAAGCGGACAGTCCCAGGTGGAGCTGTAACGGAACGGACAGCGTCGCGGGGAGATCATAAACTACGGCTCACGGTTAAACCATGATATACTGTGATTGAAACGGACTGGAGAACTACCAAAGTAAGTCCCCCACTGCAGACTGGACACCGCCAGCAAGATCCACCAAGGCTTCAAGCCGACGGGGATTTCCATCTCGCTCGGTTTCTGGGGGTTGTTTCATGGAAGGGGCTGAGGCCCGAGATAAAAACTGATATCGACATAGCAGGCATAGTTGTCACAAGAGGAGAGTGGTGTGGCTAGGAACAGGGAAGTAAGGAGTGGATAGATTAAGTGAAAAGAGAAGAGACGAGACAAGGTAGGTCCGGATGATGATCATGCAAGGTAATGATCAGTTGATGCTCCCTGTGACTGCGCGTACCCTAATAGGGTGTGATAGGTGGGGAATTTTCGATGTCCATAGAGAAAGGGAAAGAAGAAAACGATATCATGACACATCCACCTGCCGGGTTATGAGCTGTTGCATATTGACCTGGAAGTCTTTGAGAACTCTCAGTATCCGACGACGATTGCAAAAGACACCGTCCACTTCGTCCAACCGCTCCAGCTCCAGACAGATTGCCTCCCAGTCGAGCTCCGGTCCCGGAATGGGATCCAAATCCTCATCGAGGAGGAGGGCCGCGCGGCAACGCCAGTACCCGCCCATGGAGGGCCATGCCACGGCCTTCTTCAGATTCACGAAGCTCTGCCAGTCCAAACAATCAAGGATGGGCCAGTAGATCTCCTGCGGCAGACAAGAGAGACGGGATGGGAAAGTACTGGCAGAAGGGGAGACTGTTGTTCTCGCAAAGTTCTGGGAGAGTGTTTGAACGATCCCGGGGATTTTATAAGGCTCTCCAACAGGTATCACAGGTTAACACCTATTCTCTCACTAACGGAAGGGATTGAAACGCCTACCGAGACTGGTGATCGGGGTGGGAAGGCCAAGTTTCCCGATCAATCTGACAAATCGGTCACGCAGGACGGTCCAGAAGAGGCCCAGGTTCTGCTCCACGGCCGGGCCCAGCTTGATCTTGGCCAGACTCCAGCACCGCATGTGGATGGGGAAACCAATGTTCGCCCCGGGGGCGTGACCATCGGCAGTGGGAGGGATGTAGGAGCAATTATGAACCTGAAAGCCATCCACACCAGGCTCGACGAGTCCGATCACGGCCTTGGTGGGATCAATTGGCACGCGGAAACAGGACAGACCGCACTGCTTGGTATACGCTTGATATCCAATGCCCGAGAGATAGTAAATGTCGGTGTCTGGTACATGGGTGACTGGAGAGACCATCAGCGGGGTCGAGGGAGAGCGAATATTACAGGATCGGTACCCACTTATGCGATGGAACCCACACCATTGATGCTCTTCATTCAAAAGATAGTTGTCCTCCAGCGCTGCGGCATCCACGAGGCGGTATCCGTGGGCATCATTGACCGGCTGAGCTCCCTCGACGAGGCGATTCCCAGCCTGATCGATGACCCCTCCGCAGAGCATACACCACAAGTATATGGGCAGAACCATGCTGATTGTTGGATCGAAAGTATGATATGAATCGCCCGTGCGATGCTAGGTAGGGGGGGGAACCGTACTGGTTATATATATACTTCATCGAAGTAATCCTTGTCACGTCATCACGACGTTTGATTAGATGGCGAGCGTCCCAGGAAGGTTGCCAGCCATTCTATGCAGGAACCATCGTCATCACATTGTCCTGTTCCTGATCCTCGCCTCTCTGGAGCCAGGGAAATCGATCCTACGTTCCAGACGATCTGAAAGTTACAGCACCGAACCACCAGAAGAGTGTCAGGTAGCCAGCGCCACCAGACCTTGGCTCGGATCTGACCCAAGGATACTGCAGAGATCAGGGATCGATGATCAATTTAGGATTCTCTGGTCCATGAGACTGTTTGGCTGGTACCCAGCTGTGCGCCGATCAACCTGGATAGATCAACGGATTGACCGTGGGGCCGAATCGATAGACCTTGGATGGAGTTTGGCATGACGAGGGTGCCTATAATCAGTGTGGAGATAATATATTTAAAGTATTACATTGAATGATCGACTAGAGACAGATGAGGGAAAGTCAGGATGAGTCGGAATCGAACCATGAAATGAAAAGCGTTGGCGATGACAGTTGGGACCTGAGGCATGACTCCAGCATGACGTGACTTCTTTCTTTTTCTCTTTATTTTCTCTTCTTCTCTTTTATCTTCTCTTCTATATTCTGACTGAAACAATACCATCCGCATTGATGTCAGCATTACAACCTCACAAGTATCCAGAACTCCTGCTACAACGCAGTAGTATTATTGTACTCCTTCCAGTGCAGCTATCATCACCCAGGCGTTTTCCCAGGATTCAGTCGCATGAAGCTCCTACGCTTCGGACGAATCCTTCCGCACCATCTAGTGGAGCGTCACTGGCCAGTTCGCATTGGTGAGATTTGCTATGCTGATAGCGGGTTTTCACCGAACTAGATTTCGTTCCTATCCCGGGATGGCTCCTTCGAGACCCACAGTCCGTAGGTCCTGACCAGAGCCACATCAGAATGAACAAAGACAGGATATGATGATAATTCGGATGAGCAACACGACAGATTCTTCGTTGTGCACACACAGGTGACCGCTCTCGATGTGGAATTCGCATCACTGGAAGACAATCCCTGGCAGTCATGGTGCAAAACCAATGGATCTCATAGCATACATCCCGGTCTCTTCGGTCAGCCGGCTGGGATCGACATCGGAGCCTGGAGGCCGCTTGCCCGCCGTCTGACTGGACATGCTGGAATTGGTCTTTGATGGCAGGCAGAGTATAGGGATATTCGTCGACCTAGGCTTCCACCTCGTCTCTCGTCACACTCTGGAAATTGCGCCCGTCACCCTGGCGAGGAAATGATTGCTCTTCTAGGATCGAAAGTGACCCAACCTGGAGTCGAGTGTAATCTGTTTGACTTGACTGGTGTAAATCCGGCTGGCGACCAAGGCAGTAGAATTGTGTCAGCCCCGCCCAGGACGCCTGTCAGCAACGGTATATTATTTATCAGTATTATCAATAATCAATTAAGATAGAAACAATGATAGTAATTTAATTCGTTAATCTATATCCATGTCGAACGAGGGAGAAGGAACTGAATCCCGAATAGCGACCGAGTGCCGGCTTATTTGTTATGCACATAATTCGCGCATCCCGAGCGTGACTTCTTCTTCGCAACCTCATCTTCTTCTTCTTCTCTGCTTCCTCTTCTTCCACTTCATCCTCTTGATCTCTCCCTCTCTTCCCCCCCCACCCCTCCACTTCTCCCCACTTTCCTCTCCTCCACATTCGTCTCTCTCCCACGCTCGTTCCGCAGCCCTTTGACTACCCCTGACCGGTCGCTGACTACCGATACCAACCCCCGGAGTCGCCGCATTCCTCTCCCCCCGCCCCCTCGTCAGCGTGGTACAAAGGACAACCAAAGGGATAATCATTGATTTTTTATAAAAAGAAGAGACAAAGATCATGTCTTTGTCGCCTCCGGCCTTCTCCTTCCGCCCCAAGGCGTCCCCTAGCAATGACAGCCTGAGCAGCGCCGCGTCCAGTCAGTCCCCCCCGAAAAAACCCACCATGTCGCGAAAAGCCTCGTCACCCATGGCCCCTCCTTTCATGGTGTCGGCCCCCGGAAAGGCCATCGTCTATGGGGAACATGCCGTCGTCCACGGCAAGGCCGCAATGGCCGCCGCCATCTCCATGCGATCCTACCTCCTCGTCACCACCCTCTCCAAATCGCAGCGCACCATCACCCTGAACTTCCGCGACACTGGCCTGATCCACACCTGGGACATCGACGCTCTCCCCTGGGATCTCTTCAATCGCCCCGATAAGAAGAAATACTACTACGATCTGGTCACCACCCTCGATCCCGAGCTCCTCGACGCCGTCCAGCCCCATGTCGAACCCGTTTCCCCCGATGCCCCCGAAGACGCCCGCAAGATCCACCGGCACTCCGCCGCCGCCTTCCTCTACCTCTTCCTCTCCCTGGGATCCCCCCAGCACCCCGGCGCCATCTACACCCTGCGATCCACCATCCCCATCGGCGCCGGCCTCGGCAGCAGCGGCAGTGTCTGCGTTTGTCTCAGCGCCGCCCTCCTACTCCAGATCCGCACCCTGGCCGGGCCCCACCCCGACCAGCCCCCGGACGAGGCCGAAACCCAGATCGAGCGCATCAATCGCTGGGCCTTTGTCGGCGAGATGTGCATCCACGGCAACCCCAGCGGTGTCGACAACACCGTCTCCGCCGGCGGCAAGGCCGTCATCTTCCGCCGCGGCGACTATTCCAAACCCCCGAGTGTCAAACCCCTGCTCAACTTCCCCGAGCTGCCGCTGCTGCTGGTCGACACGCGGCAGTCCCGCTCCACCGCCGTCGAGGTCGCCAAGGTCGGTCGCCTGCGGGGGGATCACCCCGCCGTCACCGAGTCCATCCTTGACACCATCGATCAGGTCACGCTCTCGGCGCAGACCCTGATTCAGCAGTCCTCATCCGCCGGGCCCGATCGCAGCGTCTCCAGCGACGTGCTTGAACGCCTGGGGACCTTGATCCGCATCAACCACGGCTGCCTCGTCTCCCTGGGCGTCTCCCACCCCCGCCTCGAACGAATTCGGGAGCTGGTCGACTTCGCCGACATCGGCTGGACCAAGCTGACCGGCGCTGGCGGTGGCGGCTGCGCCATCACCGTCCTCCGCCCCGACGCCAGCCCGGCAGCCATCCGCGACCTGAAGCAGAAATTGGACGCCGAGGGGTTCACCCGCTACGAGACCACCCTGGGAGGCGACGGCATCGGCGTCCTATGGCCCGCCGTGCTCCGCAACGGCACCGACGAGGAGGGCGGCGAAGAGATCGACCAAGAGAAGTTCGAAAACGCTGAGGGATCCGAGGGCATCGACCGCCTCGTCGGCGTCGGAGCCCAGGAGAAGCGCGAGGGCTGGAAATTCTGGAGGCGTGCCGCTGTCTGATCCCCGTCATCTACCTTTTTCCTTTTTTCCTTTTCTCCATCTCATCAAGGGTCTCTACATCGCATTTTATGCTATCTTCTTTTATCTATTTTTTTTTGCAACGACATTGTTCACTTCTTGAAGGCCAGCGGACCATTGGGCACCTTATATGCATTTAATCGACTCTTTTTGCATCATGTTTCTTTTCATTTTCCTCATCATATTTCTTTATCATATTTCTTTGTATAATATTACCCTTTCTTCTTCTTCTCCTTCTTCTGCCGTCACTATCTTGATTGTTCTATACCTGTTTCTAGATGATCTTCATGTTAAAGAGTCACGTAGATGGTGATGTCCGAGTGGAACAAGCTTGGGTTTTCTTCGGATGATATATGCGAGCATTGCTGTATCTACTGTGCATAGGGGTGAATATGTATTTATTCATTTATTTCATTATACATTGATGTATTGATATGTCTTGATACGGAGTGGTCAGTGAGGGTCAAATTCAGACTCCAAAATAAAGTCATTACAGATAAACAGGGTATCGACTATCGTCAGTTCGTGCAACATGCCCACTAACTACCCCCCTAACCCATGGTGGTCTCCCACCCCTTCTCGATCATCACATCCATCCAGTACGCCTCCACTTCCCCTGCATCCATCCGTCGCCAGACCTCCTCCACGAGCTGCAGACACACCTGGATGGGTTTCGGTGGTAGCACGTGCAGGAACGAGGTGAGCCGTCCGAGCACAAAGCGCCGGGTCCGCGACACCTCGATTGCGTGCGACGAGATGCTCGGCCCGTGCTCGTCGCATCCGTGTGGGGCGTCGACTGACGGATCATCGCTCCGTGGGAGGCGGAGCTCGCTGCTGGCGGCGACGAGGAGGAACGGCTGCAGACAGCGGGTGCGCGACTCCAGCGGGATGGTCTTGAGCCGGGAGAGCGTGGTGAGGGCGAACTCGGTCAGCCAAGTGTCGTGGTAGGAGGCGTCGGGCGGGGGTTCGTCGGTGGGGGGCGGATTCGCGGGATTCGTACCCTCGGGGGTCGGAAGATGCGACGGGTCGCAGAACCAGGCGGTTGCGGGGTCGGTGTCTACATCGACGGACAGGAAGGGGTCCGGGAAGGGGACGGACGACGAGGACGGAGGCGACCGAGGGAGCCGGCGCTGAAGAAGATCGGGGAAGGCGCGGTAGAGCTGCATGAGACCCGTGCAGCGGTAGACCTCCGCCATGGTCAGCAGATGCCAGACGGGGGTTTCATCATCCCCGGGGGAGACGATCTCGGCTTCTGCCGGATGGGCGAATCCGAGCAGTCGTTCCTCCAGCTCGCGGGCCTTCTCCAGGGCCCGTCGCGCCTGCGTGACCTCGCCATGGGAGGTGAACCGCCGCGCGCGGATGCGTTTCCGTTCCCGACGGACAAGCCGGCCCACCTCTTGCATGGTGGATTGGGTATCGCGGGCGATGCCGGTCCACGGATGGGGCACCCGTTGCAAGACGAGGGACTCGCCCGTGCCGGCCGTGGAGGGTCCGGACCGGACGGTGGCATCGTCGGCGACAAAGGACAGCAGCATCTCCCAGTAGACCAGGGCTTCTTCGAAGAACTGGTGGTTGTTACTTCGCCCAGGGTCCCGCGTGACGGATGGTTTGGAATCGAGGTGATCCCGCAAGAGGTTGAAGAAGGAGATGCCCAAGTCTGTCGAGTCGTGCCAGCTGGCCGTCTGGCCGAGCATGAGGAGGGCCAGGAGTGATTTGTCGTCCAGGCTGGGCTCCTTGGTGATGACGTCGACGGCCTCATTTCGCATCTGCCGACCCAAGGGGCCGAAATGTGGGAAGTCATTCACGAGGGTGGCTGCAGCCATGCTTTGCATCGTCTTGCACATGGCCAAGGAGGACCCCCACAGGCGCGACACCGTGGTGCGGAACGGGTTCATCTGGCTATCATAGGTGGAGAATAGTGCGGCGACTTCTTTGAAGTAGTATTCGATGAGCGTCCAGGACGGATTGTTCAAGGGCTGTGGGATCGAGGTGAAGTCGCGGAGGGGCGGGGGCCGCGGACTGGACGGTGGGTATTTCCGGACAATGTTCGACGGGGAAAAGCCCGGGTAATGGCGTGACTCGTCCTGAAGTGAGGGAGCGGCCATGGACAGGAACTCCACGTTGGACTCTGAGGGAATGGGCGACCCGAGTTCGAATATTGAGCTGCCCCGTTGGGACGCCCTCCCGGTGGATGCTACTGGAGAAGCGGGGCATAGATCTGCCAACTCTGGGAGGGTGTCTGATTCCTGGAGGCTCCAGAGGCTATCACATAAGGCCGCCGTTTCGTTCGATCGTGAGTCTCTCGAGCCGGGGAAGACTTGGGTCGACGGGACATTGAAATCCCCATCCCCCGCCAAGGTCTGGGTCAGAGGGTTGACGAATGGAGTCGGGGCGGCCGATGTTGACCGAGGCGCAACGGGCTGATCTGACGGGGATGGGAAAGAGGGTTCAAATTGAACACCGTCCTTTCTAGTGGTGACATCCTGGTCTAGAATATCGGGAACCGATTCTGGATATTTGGTGACCCAACGAAGCGACTGGACGTAGCCGGGGCATCTCACCCCCAGACGGGTGCATCGTCCGCACTGCGGCTTTTCTTCCCCACACTTGACCTATGACATCCGGCCTGTTAGCTGAATTGATACTTTGGGGGTAATCCCGCTCCAGGCTGTCCCCCATCCCCAAGACTGGGAGAGTCTGATGGGGTTTGAGCGGCTCGGGAGATGACATGAGGGGCAGTAGAGAGAGATAAGGCTCACTGACCCGTTTGCTCTTGCAACGAGCACAGCCGTTGCGGGATTTCTTCACACGTCTCATCATGGACTGATCCCGGACATAGCAGGGAACCGATAAGAGGAAGAACAGAGCAGCATGAACATGCTACGGCTATCCAAATAAAGCGAGATAGGCGGAGGATGAGGCGGACCGGGAACTAAGCCGGCGTGCGGGGAATGGATAAGGTTCTATTATCAGTGGCCGGCCAGTTGGCCAATCACGGACCGTAGGGGACGGTTTACCCTGTTGGGGAATTGGAGATGTCCAGCATCCATCGTAGGTAGTGGTCTGATGGCCCATGATATATAGGGTTCATGATGTTGTCTCGAGTCGGGGGACCGAGAGTGACCTGCGTTTACCCTGGTCCAGTGTAGCGGAACTCTAGGGTGTGGGGATCGTCTTGCTCATCCGATTGGGAGAACGTAATGGATGTAATAGATGTACTGTATATGAGGTTAATGACCTAAACATCATGAGTCAGAGTCTCACGCGAGGAAAACAGTATGAGAGGAGAATGGTGAAGTGAGGGGAAGTAAGAGTAAGAGTAAGAAAGAAAGAAAGAGAAGCGATTGTTGTTGTTGCTATTGTTGTCTGGCGGCCTCAGGCAGAATCCCCCACCTGACAGCTTATCTAATCGCCCCGTTCATTGTTCATCCAAGCATCAAATAAAAGCTTCATGCTCGACCTTCATACTCCATTACCCCCAGTATTCTTGGAGTCTGCCCAATTGACTGCCCTGTTTGACAGTATCTAGAGCTGGTGATTGTCACGGTCATGTCGAGTTCATATGCGTCGGACCCGGAATGGGCCTCCATTGAGCCCATTCCCCTGGATGATGGCGCCGACGCTGGTGCCATGCCGTTGGCCACGATCGCCTATCCCCAAGAGTATCTGGAAGCGACCTCGTACCTGCGGGCAGTCATGGCAGCCAATGAGATGTCCGAGAGAGCCCTGAAATTGACTGAAGACGTGATCTCCATGAACCCTGCCCACTACACCGTCTGGTGAGTCTCCCCCACCTCTTCATAATATTAGAATGTATAGAGCTGACGGAATCGATCTAGGATCTACCGGGCCAAAATCATCTTCGCCCTAGAAAAGGACTTGCTCCAAGAGCTGGAATGGCTGAACGGCGTTTCCCTCAAGTATCTCAAGAACTACCAGATCTGGTACGTCACACGTGACCCCATTCGAGACCGACACACTCACCAGCAAACAGGCAACACCGCCAGGTAGTCATGTCGTCGCGGACATACTTCCCCGAACCCCCCGTCAAGGAGCGCGATTTTCTCATGGAGATGTTCGCCCAAGACTCCAAGAACTACCACGTCTGGACCTACCGTCACTGGCTGGTGCGTCACTTCCGGTTATGGGACGACCCGCGGGAGACGCAGGACATCGACGCCCTGCTGACGGCAGACGTGCGCAACAACTCCGCCTGGAACCACCGGTTCATGCTGCGCTTCGGTCCCCGTAGCGACGAGCCCGACGCCGGCATGCCCAACTGCACCGCGTCCGACCCCGCCCAGAAGGGCCGTCTGGCCGTCGTGGACGAGGACGTCGTCGACGCCGAGCTGCGCTTCGCCCAGGAGAAGATCCTGCGCGCGCCCGAGAACCGCAGCCCCTGGTCGTATGCGCGGGGGGTGTTGCGCGCCGCGGGCCGCCCGCTGGCCGAGTGGGAGGAGTTTGCGCGGCAGTTCGTGACTGTCGGAGAGGAGGAGGCCGAGGCAGACGTGAAGAGCAGCCATGCGCTTGAGTGGTTGGCGGATGTGTATGCGGGCGAAGCTGGCAGTGCGGACGTCCCGCGGACGGCTGGGGCGGTGCGCATGCTAACGCTCCTCAAGGAGAGATTCGATCCTATCCGGAGTAGCTATTGGGAGTATCGGATTGGGATGATCACGCCGGACGTGGCTGCTTCTGCGTAATGAAGTTGACGAATGAACTTTCTTTTCTATTACTGCTACTATTAGTACCATTATCTCGCATTGCATCTGTATCTGATATCGTATTCCGTGGCTGTTGTATCTTGTACCACTACGAAGATAGCACAATGTGATACTAAATCACAGATAGATAAATCTATTACCCAGCCCAGTCCACGAGATTTTCTATATACAGGGCAACAAGCAAAAATTAAAAAGCCAAGATAAAATCGCCAACCAATGCAAACAAAACACCAAAAACAACCAGACAAAGAGCTAAAGCAACAAACTGAAAGAAAGCAAACAACAAGAAACGAGAACAACCAACCAAAGCCGTCTAGACATAGGTATAGTATAGGTATCATTAAATCAAGCCCCCCACCCCTCCTGCAACAACCGACGATACTCAGCCGCCATATCAATGGTGACATTGCTTCCTCCACAGACGATAATCACTACCCGGCTATCGGCGTTCAAGTCAGGGACCAGCTGCTTCAGCCGCGACTGCAGAGGATGAGAAGGGGAAGAAGACTGATCATCGCTGCCGTCTTCAGGATCGGTTTCGTTCTCCGCCACCGAGGACCGGTCGTCGCCGTAGCCTTCGTCGCGCACGGAGGGATGCGGCTGCTGCTGCGGCTCCGCGGTGGTGATCCTCTTACGCTTCCGGCTGGGTGATTGTTGGGCGCGGCCGGCGTCTCCGACGGCTGCTTCCACGCAGACGCCGCAGGCCAGCTCGACGAGGAGACGCTCGTCGTCGGCGAGACGGAGGACGCCGCGGGCGGCGTCCGCGTCTGATAGGACGGTGCTGTGGACGGCGATGCCGGCGGGTGGGGCCGTTGCGTATTGGAAGGTGCGCTCTGAGACGCGGATAGCGCCGAGAGAGGTAGCCTGGGAGCTGATTTTGGGGAGGGAGACGAGGGACTTTTGGGCGACGGCGGCGGCTAGGGAGTCGGTGCCGATGGTTTCGACGGCGAGGAGGTGGGTGGGATGCGGGGAGGGGGTTTTGTTTTGCAGGTTACGGTGGCGTTCGATGCCTGCGATGAGGCCGTTGAGGAGGCCGCCGCCGCCGACGCTGCAGATGAGGGCGTCTGCGGCGAGGGGACGCGCGTTGTAGAGGGTTTCTTCGTCGGCTCCCGCCGGTGGGGGCAGCTGGTGCACCAGTTCGTCGATGATGGTGCTGTTTCCTTCCCAGATGGGCTCGTTGTCGAAGGGGTGGAGAGCGATCTTGGCCACGTTGGCGGCCTCGCCGTCGCCGGTCTGCTTCATGATGACTTCTCGCATGTACTCGCCGGCCTCGAGGAACGTCACTCCGTGCTGGATGACCTCCGCCGCGCCGGCTGTGCGCAGCTTCTGCACCATCAGCGGCTTTGTTGACATTGGCACGACGACCGTGCAGGGGTATCCAAGGCTTCGAGCGGCGCAGACGGCTGCCAGGCCCGCGTTGCCACCCGACGAGGCGTAGAAGTGCACTGGTCGGTTGGCGTTCTCCGGCTTGACGAGGTGGGAGAGGATCTGGTTGCCCATTGCTCGGGACTTGAACGACCCGCTGGGCTGGACGTTCTCCAGCTTCAGGAAGACCCGGCAGCCGGCCATACGCGAGAGCGAGGCCGATTCCGCCAGGGGGGTCTCAACCCATGGTGTCTTGAATGTGGGCTTGCCCTCGATGGGAGCGATGCTGCCCATGGTCGTCGACTTGGACTGTGTAAAGATGCGGGAGAGAAAAAGAGAGGAGAGGATTTGTATGCTGATTTCCAATGTAGTATACACAAGGGGGAACTATAAACAGATATCACGAATGTTGTTGTTTCACGGGGAATAGAGCCACGGGAGAGGAGAAAAAACACCGAACCAAAGTCAGGCTTGAGGAGTGATATTAAGATCCAGAAATATCAAATCAAATACTGACCAAACCCCTCATTCCCGTGCGAATACCACGCTGAACTCGCCGTCATTCTGATATGAAACGGAGTGATTTTCCGACGCCTTCAAAGTTTGCCGCGGGGAACCAAGGTTTCCCGACACGGGCGATTGATATCATACTCCACGACCGCCCAATCTCGAATTTTCCCGCCGATAACCTTGTGGACACCGTCAGAGTACTTCATTGGCTGTGACATAACACAAACCGGCTTGTAGCGGGCGGTCGTCGTTCGGAAGGTCCTCTGGAGGCCAACTCCATCGTCCGGTGAAAGCGGGAAAGCTTCTCCTTGCGGTGGTGGAGACATCTCCAAATAATCTCATCCACCAATTCATCTTCCCTGAAACTGTGATTGGGCCTCGGGAAATTCCTATGACCACATTGAATGCTAGACGGTGGGCTTATTGTTCCACGATCAGGGGGGGGAACAGCAAGCTTTTTTTGACGCCCTCTCCATACTCGGGATCCGATCCGTACGCGGTGGCCGAGAAGCCCCGCTTGGCCACGGTATTTTCGACGCGTAGGAGATCTAGCAGCTGATTGGACTTGCTGGGCATAAATGGCTGTAGGAGGATACCGATGATCCGTAGCGACTCGGCCACATTGTACAGCACCAGGTCTCGGTTGGGTGGGTTTTCCCATGGCACGGTATTGTGGAAATACTTGTTAGCCTAGAAAATTGAGCGCGTTAGTGAGTCCATTGGCAGCCGGTGCGGGCCAAACTGACCTGCTCGACCACGCTCATGATCTCCTGGAGCGCCGCCCGAGGGTTGAGGCCCTCCATCTGCTCGGCCACCTTGCTGGGCAACTCCTGCAAGGTCCTCTGGTACTCCTCATCCGCCGGGGTCTGTCCAGGCAGGGTACCCGCTGCTCCCTCGGAGATGAAAGACCGGAGGTTCTTTTTCGCCAAGCCCAAGGTTCGGAGCGCGATATTCCCAATGCCGCCTTGAAGAAGCTTTTTGTAGTCTCGGATGATGTAAGAGTTGTCGTAGTCGGCGTCACTCGCCAGGCCGCCCTGGTAGGCCAGGAAGAAACGCATAGTATCGACCCCAAACCGGTCAATCGCGAAGAAGGGGTTAACCACGTTCCCCGTCGACTTGGACATCTTGGCATGGTTCATTGTCCAATGCCCGTGGACGAGGACTTTGCGGGGAACAGGCAGATCCAACGCCATGAGGAGTGCGGGCCAATAGACGGCGTGGAAACTAGATCTCTTGTCAGACTTGTACGCGAACGCACCCGCGCAAGGACAAAACTCCTACCGAATGATATCTTTGCCGACCACATGCACGTCAGCTGGCCAGCCCAGGCGGCCTTCTTGGCCGGGCGTGAAGGGATACCCGGCCTTGGTCAGATAATTGACCAATGCATCGACCCAGACGTAGATAGTCTGCCTGTTGTCGCCGGGAACCGGAATACCCCAGTTCAAGCGCTCCACGGGTCGGGATATCGACAGATCTTGCAAGCCGGACGAGACCGACTTGATCACGTCTGTCGCATAACTTGCAGGGGTGATGAAGCCTGATTTGTACAGATCCAATAGTGGTTCCTGGAAAGCCGACAAGCGGAAATGATAGTTGGTTTCTGACGACCACTCGACTTCCTTGCCCGTTTCTACAGACACCTGTTTGGTATGAGCACATGGGTTTTCTCAATTGCAACCACGTTCACCGGATGAGTGTCGGGAAATACCATTCTCTTACGCCCGGTAGTTGGGTCCAGCGAGTTCTGCACTTGCGACTGAGGGTAGAAGGTCTCGTCGCTGACGGAATACCATCCTTCGTGCTTAGCCGTGTAGATATAGCCCCGGTGGTTGAGCATTTCCTAGGAGTGAATTAGACCTGTCACTAAGTCTCCAATGAGTTCAGTCGTCGCTTACCCAGAAATACTGAACGGCCTCTCTATGCGCTGGTTCTGTCGTCCGTATGAAATAATCATTGTCCAGGGTGGCCGCTTTCGCCAATTCCTACATCCACGGTCAACACACCCCTACCAGATAACCATCAGTAAGAAGTAATGGGTGCAGAACCAACCTCGAACGTCTTATAGTTCCGGTCGCAGAAAGCCTGAGTGTCCATCCCTGCAGCGAGAGCGGCTTGTTGTATCTGGAGGCCGTTAACATCGTGTATACTTCCAACCGGTCCTGTCCATCTTGTACCTTCATCCCATGCTCATCGGTCCCCGTCAATAATTGTGCATCTGTGGCCCCATTTAGGGTCCGCCATCTTTTCAGTATATCGGCAATGACCATTGTGTACAAATGACCGACGTGAGGAGCTGTCGTCGACAAATTCGTCAGCCACTGAGCTACCCAGGTTCCAGCTCCATTCCTCAACATACCAGCATTCACATAAAAGATAGGTGTCGTCACATAGTAAGGCTTCTTTGCTTCAGACGTCGTGGTCGCGAACCGACGCGGAGAAACGGCGACTCCCGATCGCGCAATTCTGCACGAGACGCATTTCCAAGAAGGTCGTTCATGGAACAGGCTCTGCCTGGCCCACGACAGGGCACGAACTCCGCCATTCGAGATCGCCATTGGGCCAGAGGAGGACGAGGTGAGCGAGGAAACGGATCATGGGTTGGGTGGTTCGTTCGGAGTGCACTTCGGAGTTGGATCGTCTCCGAGGTGGTCCAAGCTTCCGCACGGCTTTTTTTCCGCCGCGGGTGCCTGGATTTGCTCTTCTCATCCTCTTCATCCTCGTCGTCCTCCATCTCAGACAGAACGGCTTTGGGTTCGCATCATCTACTTAATATATATCACTTATATTTATCCTGCCGTATTTTATCGATCTTTTGGACTTAATATATTATACTTCGAAACCTACAATCCCTGGGCTATTTGATCCCTGCCTTCCACCATGGCCGGCCGCAGTCAAGATGTACTGACGAAAGTGTCTACGGAAGGTATTCTTGTGCCCATGGAAGAAGCCTCATGGTTTGCGCAATCTGATACTAACCTTTCTCATTTCCAGCGGCCACCGAGTTCGTCCACTCGTTCTACCCCGCGCTCCAAAATAATCGCGCGGCGATCGCCTCCTTCTACAGCAAGCCTACGGCAACGATCCTATTCAATGGGAACCCCGTAGCAGACGGGGCGGCTGTGCAAGAGATCTTCGTCAATCAAATGCCCCCGGCACATTATGAGTTCCAGTCGTTCGACTGCCAAATCCTCAACCCGACGTACCCGACCCCGACGCCAACTGGGGTCAAACTGCCGAACCAGCTGTCCGTCAAGGATATGTCGATTCTCGTCATCGTCAGTGGACATGTGCGATACGGCGAATCGAGAGACCTCCCGCAGCGCGGATTCAGCGAAACTTTCATCCTGGTGCCTAACCCAACCTCCGATGCTCCGAAAGGACGGCGCAAGAGGGAGTGGCTTATCCAGACGCAAAACTTTCGACTGGTTGTTTAAGTGATACCATTATGATAGGAATCGTACGCTGTTATGAATAATGGTCACGGTTTTGGATAAAATACAAGATGGACAACATCGGTGCAGGGTATTCACAAGTTCACATAACTCGCTTGGTTCATCAACGGACCGAGGAGGGAAAAGAGAAAAAAGGAGGGAGAAGTTTTGAAACAGCACGCTTCTTGGAAAGTGCATGACTTGGGAGACAGCGCCGTGAAGCGCCAGAAGGGATTGTGCCAGGATTGGCCGGAGAGACGAGCATCAGGTAGATGTGTTTCGCGGTATACGCAGGTTGGCTTTCACTCGCTCGAGCAGTTCATCGCGTGTGGCTTTCCCGTCCGGCATCAGACCTCTCTGGAATCCTATTAGGTGACTTGTTGATGGGGATGGGGAGTTGAGGTAAGACCGGGGGTGGGACATACCGCGCGCAACCAACGACGCATCTCATCGACCGTCCACTGCTCAGGGTCTTCCGCGACATTAGTTCGAAAATTTCTGGACCAGGAATTGGAAAACCTACCTCCGGTCGGATCTGCCTGTTCGGGAAACATGTCATTGCCCCAGATGGCCCATGCGGCTGCTGCTGTGACCATTCCCGCAAACCCTACATCAAGGAGTTCCGAATGAGCTGTCTGCTATTGTGATTTGTTGATACTCTGGAGCGGGAAGGTCATACCCATGAAGAGGTTCTAGGATCGTCAGCCGGGATCTACAGAAGGCATGATGATATCATGTGGATAAGGATATCGGGAAGGTACCTTGGAATGCAATGCTCGATCGAGGGGGGTAGGCATATTGGATAGTCTGGGAATCAAGATGTTGGACCCGTTTCAACCGTAAGAAAGACACGCCGATTTATAGATCTGGCCCGATGAGGTGGCAACAATGTAGAAGGACAACGTTGTAGCCTACAGTCCTTTGGTACTCCCGATATAGACTACCTGCCTCAGGCGTATTCAGCCACACTGCACCGCCACGGATCAGGGTTTGCCCGCACGCTAAACCCAATCGGGCCGTCTCCCACACAATTCATCCACTTCCCGCCCGTCCAATCCACGTCGAGCCGTCCAAGTCGAGTCTCTTCCTCAGTCCTGAATAATCCATTCCTTCTTCCCTCCTTCTCTCTCTGTAACGTCAAGTCATACACCCCCTCAACACCGCCCACCATGCCTCGTGAAGTCTCCGACATCAAGCAGTTCATTGAGATCTGCCGCCGCAAGGATGCCTCCTGTACGTCTTCTCGGTCTTTTTTCGGGTGTTGAGAGGTGGATTCGGAGTCGGAGAGTGAGGGAGCTTCGGAAGCTCTCCCCGCTGGAATTAGGAGGGATGGGAATGTTGATGTGCCATTGTTGAGGATGCTAACGGTTGTGTTATTGTAGCGGCCCGCATCAAGCGCAACCGCAACACCCAGCAGATCAAGTTCAAGGTCCGCTGCCAGCGTTTCGTCTACACCCTGGTCCTGAAGGACTCCGACAAGGCCGACAAGCTGAAGCAGAGCCTGCCTCCTGGTGCGTTACTTCCATAATTCGCCCTGTACATGTGGCGTTTGCTACTCGAGTGAGGTGGAATGGGAGGAAAGGAAATGATTGACATGGATGTGGTCTGGACTCTCACTGACGTCAATCCTTCATCAGCCCTCCAGGTCGCCGACGTCTCCAAGGGCGGCGAGAAGAAGCGCTCCCTGTAAATTGATGTCCTCCGCGACGGAAAGTAGGGCATGACGGGGGTTGCGCAGCTGGTCAGTTGGAGTGAACTTAGCATGGGATGTGAAGGTTCAGTGTGGGCCGGCACAGGGACGGTTCCCACTCCCCAGTCCTATGGGCTGCATGGGTAGGACGTTCCTGCGTCCGCTGCTGGTGCGCTGATGTTATGATCAGGACAGACGAGTGTCTGTATTTACGCGCCAGCCGGACGACCCGCATCTCTCAATTGTGTGTCTGAGGTTGCTTTGTCGGAGCTTCCTCCACTCTACCATATAATGAAGATAAAAAAAAAAACAGTTAAAAACAGCTGTCCACACGTTCGGCTTCCCGATCGCCCTGATATGTTATGATATGATTCTTCCGGGTTGCAGATCGCACGCAGGTCCTTGTTGCACTGGATGGCGCAATCTGATCTATGTGCGTGATGCTGCCTTGCATAATTCGCTGTGATAGCGTGGTCGTAATATACTGGAAGAGTCTTCCGGAGTAGTTCCGAACAACCCTAAGTTTGAGCAGGTCACGGAGGGATCGACCGTTTCAAACCCGCTCCTGGATATCCTGTCATGAAACGTCTTAAGTATGGTCCATGCGGTGAGTCTGAGACAGGAACGTCTAGGCAGAACTCCACGTGAACCAAATAGCCTATAATGAAGCTTGGCAGGCTGAGGTTGAAACGTCTCTTGCATCTTCCTCCCTCCACTTTCCCCTCCCCTGTCACCGTATTTCGACTTCTCTTGAGTGCACCCCACGATGTGTCGATGATCCCAGTCAATCACAAGGAAATCAGGAGTGTTACTTCCCCTGAGCCAATCGTGTTGAGTGACAGTCTCCATCCGACTCTCCCGTGCCTGTCATTAGGGAAGATTGGCTATATTCATGGAGAAGATCCTCCTCGAATCAGAGCGGCGGGCCCATTATCAGGCGCCAATCCTTGCCGTTCAGGACACGGCTTCTCCTAGTCATCCAGATGTCCGACAAGCTGCCAGGCCTTCGTCCCCCTGGTCTTGAAGACCCAAGACCAGCAGCGCCATGCTGTTCCAGGGCTAGATCCGGTTGGCGCCAGCCCTGGGCGCTCCAAACTACCGTCATTTCGGTACCCTCCTCTGCCATGCGCAGGCTGTCGAATATTGCCGCCGGTCCGTCATGCCGGCCACAGCTGGTGGCGTCGCCATGGCTGACCACCCCACAGCGGACCATGTTGAAACCCATCTCCATCTCCTCCCAGGGAGAAAGATCGGTCGGCCACGTCTGATGGGACCAGGCCTGCTGTACCGGCAGGGTGCCAGAGACACCGGGCTCTTGAAGGAGTCACAGAGGAACGGTATCCAGGCTGCTTCCCATCGTAGTCAACTGTCTCCCTCATGGCAACGGTTATACTCACCGTATGACAAGATGGATAGAGTACTATTGGAGATCATTAATTTCACAGGTCCCATATACTCCACTGGAAATTGATTAAACTTCGACGGCGGTTTGTCTTATTGGTGCGACGTTTCGACGTTCGATATTCTTCCGAAATAGATCAGGCGCTCCTGGCCTTGGTCCTAGGCCGGTGTCCTTGATCTCCGGATAATTTCACCCATGATCTGGCGTTACAGAAAAGAGGACGTGCCAACGCTGTGGGGGTCTTTAATCTATTCAGCAACGCCATGGCGAGACGCTTTCTTCCTTGAAGAAGTATAAAAGGGCCATGCTCATCGCCCGTCTCTCAGTTGCCCTGCAAGCCCAATTCCATCATCATTCTTTCATTCCGCCTTTGATCGAGCAGGCTCTTTACACTCATTGGCTTACCTTTGATAACTTGTTTCTATCACTTCTATCCTCACTTTTCCCTCACCATGAGCTTCTCCAAGATTGCCTCTCTCACCGGCTTGCTGGCCTCGGCCTCGCTCGTTGCCGGACACGGCTACGTCTCCGGTATCGTTGCCGACGGCAAATAGTATGTCCCTCCAGAAGATCAGACCATCCATAGCTTGAAACGTGACTAACCTCCATTCCAGCTACGACGGATACCTCGTCGACAAGTACGCCTACGGAGATGACGCCCCCGACACCATCGGCTGGTCGACCACGGCCACCGACCTAGGCTTCGTAGACGGCACCCAGTACGACAGCGACGACATCATCTGCCACGAGGAGTCGAAGCCCGGTGCCCTGACGGCGCCCGTGACCGCCGGCTCCAAGGTCGACCTTCAGTGGACGGAGTGGCCCGAGAGCCACCACGGCCCCGTGATCACGTACCTGGCGGACTGCGGCGCCGACTGCTCAGCGGTCGACAAGACGACCCTCAAGTTCTTCAAGATCGACGCCAAGGGCGTCACCGACCCGGAGGCTGCGAACCCCGGCGTCTGGGCCTCGGACGACTTGATCGCCAATAACGGCACCTGGACCGTGACGATCCCAGCCGCCATCGCGGACGGCAACTACGTGCTCCGCCACGAGATCATCGGCCTCCACTCCGCCGGCCAGGTCGACGGCGCGCAGAACTACCCCCAGTGCGTCAACATCAAGGTTACTGGCGGCGGTGACGCCAAGCCCGAGGGAACCGCGGGCCCTGCTCTGTACAAGGACACCGACCCCGGCATCCACTTCGATCTGTACCAGGGTGACCTGACCAGTTATAAGATGCCCGGGCCGGAGCTGTTCAAGGCTTAAGCAAGATTTAAGCCGGGGGGGACTCTGTCTATAGTGGTGCTGTTGTGTCATGTATATATTGATTTAGGAGTTGTTTGCAGTCATGTGGAGTGGATCTTCCATACTTACCTTCATCTTCGTATCTGTGTTTATACATGGATCGCATCTTACTTTAAGTTCGATGTTTTTAACCACTGTATATCTTGATTGTTTAGGAATGGCAATATCTCTTCATTCCAAATTAGTCCTCGCCTCTAAGCATCAGTTGTAGTTGTCATTAAGCACAGGTATAGCCGTAGATGTATTCCATATGCAAAGAAAAGAAAAGAAACATGATAAAACCAGCACAATAAACCCAACTCCAAAGCCAACGAAACACATCATGAACAACACCCACAAACACATATATGTATACCTCTATAAACATCACTCCCTCAAATACTTCAGCTCAACATACCCCAAAACCCCAGCCTGCCCCAACTCCGCCTCCACCTCCGCAACAACCACCCTCTCCCTCCTAAGCTCAAACTCCCCAAAATAACTCGGCTTCTCCGACACCTTCTGAAACAGCGCACTCTCAAACAGCGCCAAACTGCGCCTATTCTCACACCCAATCTTCACACTCAACCGCGACAGCCTCGGCCGCCCCCACGCTCCAAAAACCCCCTCACAGACGGATCCTCACTGCCGATAAACTCGTGCGCAATCTCGCTCTCGTGCGCAGCGACGTACCGCAGAAACGACAGCAGCGTGGCGCGGCCGAACCCGCGGCCCTGGTTCTTCTTCTCGGCGATCATGAGCTCGACTTCGCCGGCGATGCGCGGGCCCGGGTCCAGTCGGTCTCGGGCTTTCTCGGCTTTGAGGTCTTCTTCTTCGGCGTCGGAGTCTTCTTCGACGCGCAGGAAGAGGTTGATGTCGCCTAGCATGCGCGGGGGACTGTCGTCTTCTACGTTTAGTTGGTGATGGCAGTGGTTTTGCTCTCCTTCTGGTTGTTGATGCTGCTGCTGCTGCTGTTGTTGTTGTTGATGATGTGGTTGAGGCAGACAAACAATCAACGTAAGCTTATCAGCATCATTGCGCCAGCTGCGCTGCATAGCGTATTCGCCCTCCAAAGTGAGAGGTTCCGAAGCGGTGGCTTCTTGGATTTCCTGGAGAAAAAAACAGGTAGGAGTACTTTGCATACGATACAAGGAAAGGGGGATCAAGACCTCAAGGCCACACACACCTCGTCTTGCATCCATTCGTGGTAGCGGGGGACGTGCCAGCTGTAGTAGGGGACGAGGAGGACCGCTGACGTGGATATTGCTGTTTTTATATGATTAGTATGGAGTATTTGGTTGAATTGATGCATGTGGGATGTTTTCTTGGACATGCGGGGAAGAGAGTATTTGTGGGGCGTACCGGTTTGGGCGTTGAAGAGCATCTTGCTGGGGGTTACTCGAGATAGTTATATATTTGTATTATACAGGAAGAAGGTGGTGACGGGCGTGTCTAGATACGAAAGTGGTTGCTGGAAGTTGCGAAAGTTGAAGCATCGAGTGGGCGAAAATCCCACACGAATTGCGGTCTTGGCATTTCCATCCATGCCTTCTATGTGGGTGGATGTTGTATGTGGATATACCACCCACGGTCTAGAATCTACGACAGGCTCGATTATCAGACTCGTTCACGCATGATATACTCTCGTTCAACTTATTTTTTCTCTTCCTTGCCCGCAAATGTCCCGATTTGCACCACCTCCACCTCTAACGTCTCCGCGTCGACCAGGACCAGCTCGCCGGTCTCTCGGAACCGGGGCACCGATAAGAGACGCACGCGAGGTCCGCCGCTGGGTTCATCCGCGTCGGTCATTTCGACGTCTCCGTTGAGTTTCAGCGGGGAGTCGCCCTCGATCACTGTCGTCTTGAACCGTGGCTGGTTCCCCGCGAAGAAGAGGTGCGGACAGGACTCCATCACAAATGGGTCGTGCGATTGGAACGGATATGACCCTGTCGAAAGCTATTAGTACATGTAGAATCAGACGAACACGGTCAGGGGTTGGAAGTCTTACAGAGTGTATCTGGGGCGGTGGGAACGCCACATCGCCAGCGGAGCATGGCCTCCATGACACGCATGCGCGGCTCGGCATCGCCCTCGGGGTCGTCGCCCTCCGGATCGCCGAAATCCAAGTACCGGAGAACGTCGTCGACGTTCTGGCCGCTACTGCCCCAGAGCCGCCACCCGTCCACGTCGCCCTCCCAGGGGTTCGTCACGCTGTCAAACCAGCCCGGCTCCGGCTCTCCGTCGCCGGACGGAGGCGGGGCGCAGTACGCCCGCGCCCGAGGAAACATGGCCCGGTGAATGGGCTGCTGCGGCAGGGCAAAGTTGGCCGGGTCGCTTTCGCCGGACATGAGGGTGACAGGGATACTGGGGAGGAGTTCGGCGAGGAAAGCGTCCAGCTGCGTGATCGGAGAGGGGTTGTACGCCGAGGCGTCGTATCCATATTTCCTAGGGCCGGCCTTCTTCTTACCGGCCGCGCTGTCAATCGACGAGCCCGTCGTTACCCGTGCGCCCAATGAGTTGCCGGCGATGACCAGTCGGGTGATGCTCGAGGGGTCCGGTAGTGCGCCGTCTTGTGCGGCAGCGGTCGTAGAACCGGTGTAGCCCAGCAAGTAGTCGGAGAGGAGCTCCAACGACAGCGTATCGCTCGAGGTCCCGGTGATTCCCAGACCACTGACGAGCGCAATCTTGCCCTTCCCGGTCCTCTTCTGATCGGCGTCCCTCTCCCACCGCCGGGGCTGTGGCGCGAAGTCCGGGACCTTGATGTCGATGGCTTCAAAATCGCCGTTCCTATTTTCCGTGCCCAGCACGGCAACGATCGCGCCCGTAACCAGCGGAGTTGACCGCAGCATGTTCCCCGTCAGGCGCAGCCGGCCCGACTCGTCTTCCAACATGATCTGCGTGGACTCCGGATGTGCTAGGTCGAGGTAGGTTGGGCGTGGCGGAGGTGCCAGGGTGAAGTTCTGCCAGAATTCCGATATTAGCAACCGACCGACCACCGCAACCAGGGATAGGAAAAGCAAACGAACCTCTTTCGTAAGATCATCCAAAATATTAGGCTTAAGCGGCATATCCATAAAGATCGTCCCCGCAACCCAGCACAGCTCTCCCTGTCTAACGTCCAGGACGCGATCCACCCTCCGCGCATGTTCCCCCGCAATCTACCCATCGTCAGTCAGAACCGGATGACAATATTCAAGAGTGCAATTCCATACGCTGAACCCATCCCATGCTTCCAGGGCAATCTGCTCCGCGGCCGGTTTTAACTTGGCCAGGCGCAGGAAGTACATGTCGCCATATTGTTGCTGGTAGTGTCGGTCTTGACCGGGGGGCAATTGGAAGGTGTGGAGGGGGTTGTAGAGGGAGGTTTCGCGTTGGATTGGCGCATATTCTTCATCACTGGAGTTCGGCAGTTTAGATTTCTTTCCTTTTGTCTGGGGAAGGATGTTAGGTAGGCACACCTCGGCGGGCGCAGAAACTGCGTATCGGTCGCCATGGTGGAGAACAGGATGGATCTGAAAGGGCCAGACCAATTCCTGGCAAGTAACCAATATTTCGTTTATGATCTTAAGCTAGACGGGGTGTATGAAGGTAGAGTTGGGGGGAGGTGGAATGGTGGAAGCAATGGAGATGTTCCTGGGCGGCGGACGCGAACCCCACGCGTCTTTTGGCGTTCCTCTTTATGACTTACTACTTTACTACTCCATACTTACTACTCCATACTCTACCACTTTATTAGTTCACTACCTTACTCCCAAGTCTTACCAAATAAATGAAATATACACACTTGAAAAGAAAACAAGAATTCAATTCTATGCAAATTCCCCTCTAATCAATCTAACCAAGGACTCGACCCTTCACAGACCATAAAAACCCAAACCAACACCAACCAGGTTACCAGAAACAACAAGCGAACGAGAGACCCTCACGAACAGTAAAGCTCGATGGGCAGGCCGAGACCGCACTCGAACTTAAAGTTGGCCGCGACGCGCTTCGCAATGAGAGTAGCAGCACTGTGGATGGCGTCAGCCGTGTTCTCATCCGCCCAGACCACGAAAAAATAGCCCGGAGGCTGCCGCGCAACGGCCTCCCTGGTCGGGTAGACATGGTATTTCCGGGATTTGATCCGATCGAAGAAATATTGCAACGGGTCGGACTTTCCCAGGTCGGTTTCAGGAACATCGAGGTAGATGTACCACCGCCAGCGGTCTTCAATCCTCCCGTACTCTATAGTGGGGAGTGGCGCTTGGTTTATCTCCAACTGTTCTTCTATGGAGGGGAGTGGCTTTTGATTCATTTTCACTTGTCAATTGGGGTGAAGGTCCTGTCAAGGTATGTGTAGCTTAGTCGGGAAGGGTTGTTGGATGGGGGTGAGTATGAGTATGAGGAGCGGATGATGCAATGCTGAGGATGAGCAGGAAGGAAGGTCGTATTTATACCAAACCTAGGATGAGGCGTAAGATCAGGAGAAAGAAAGAGTCCACAGTCATGTCTGAATGAACTCCTTTGTCGATTGAACAACAAAGTCAAGACACCCAGCAAACTATATAATAAGGCGAATATTGACACCAAGGATAAAGCACAGTCCCTTAGTCAATATAAACAATGGTTTGTTCTTGCAATTCAAGGCAAACGAGTATGACCGCGAAGCACCGGGCTTTAGCAGCGGCATTGTGCGTATCCAGGGCTGTCCACTGCAGAATATCAACCAACCTTGAAAGAATCGAGCAATGGTGGTGGGGAGAATCAAAGGAGTCTCAATATCTAAAGGAGCATTGTGTCCCAAGACAATCAATGTATGGCCTCTCCAAGCGCCAGGATGCATGTCAGTATTCGTTGGTCGTCTATGGTTCCTTCAATATGATAGGGACCCGTGATTGAAGAGTTGAATCATTCTTCCCGAAGCTGGATGTTTATTGTTGATCGTCGAAACCAGGCATGTGTCTCAGGATCCATCCGTTGGCATGTTGAGTGGGACTGTTGAAGAAGGGGGAGGGGAACGACCCTATATCCCATTCCCAAAGGCTCTGCATCTGCAGACTGCATACTGTTCATCTTGGGTTACCGTCGAAGCTTCATGATTCCATTCAGCATGAGGATCATGTCCTCCACCTGTGTGGCCTTCTAGGAAAGCTGACAGTCCTTGGTCTGCTCTTCTGTGCCTTGACGACCGCCATCAACTTGGGAACCTTCTTACCTGACCTGAACCCGAGATTTCTCGTCCAAAGTCTTCCTGTATCAGCGGAGAGCACCACATACACACCTATTATCAACTACCAGGCCGCAAGCTCTGTAACCGACCCTCTTGCGCCGGGTGTAGCTCTGGAAACGAAGGAGGCTCCCATCCCAACAATCACAACCACACCTGGCTATATATCCCCCACGTCCAGACAGTCCGCACAGACAGCGAACCCAGTAGTATGGAATGAGTGAGTCAAGCAGTGGATCCAGCGTTAACAGAACAAGCTAGTGACGAGGTTACAGGCCTCCGAATAAAGTCGCAGTTGTAACAGGGACAGTGACGCAAACCGCGGGGGTCATGAAAGCGACACACTCGGCGGGCGCTCATCATCATGTCATATGGAGCTCAGCTGGCTATTGGGTTTCCTTGTGCCTGTCCATATTGCGGCTCCGAATGCACTGGCTAATAGGTGTATGAGGTTGTCACCATTGGAAACAACTAGTATAGTATAGCCAAGGTGATTGACAGCCGAGAACCGACAGTAAATATCAATCAGATTGAAAAAGGAATCCTAGACCTAACCCAGGAAGAGTAGAAGTAGAGGAAAGAAAGAACCTCGGTCCGGCCGGCGATCAACAACCAACTAAACCCTTCGTTCCTCCACTTCCCCGCATGCATTTCCCCTCTCAGCCATCTTCATATGTTTCTCCTTTCTTCTTTTTTAATTGAAGAGAAAGGAAAGAAAATAATAAAATATTATAGAAACTTCATTTTATCTCAATTGGTCGCCTTTTTCGGTCATCTTCCCCCCCTACTACTTCCCCTTCTACCACTAATTCACGTCGGCCTCTCCAACCGCGGTTATATACAAGACTGGCCCGAACACCGAGTATGACAGATTGCAATCTTTCTTTTAAACTCTCCAATTCAGATCAGGGAACTAACACGGACAGATATCACTCCATCCATCGACATCCATACCATCTAACCGCTACATACCCTGTCCTCACACCTCACCGCCAGTCCTCCCCACCAACCCATAATCATGTCTCTCACCACCCCCCTCTGCAAGCTGCTTCAAATCCAGCACCCCATCCTGCTAGCCGGCATGGCACGCGCCTCAAGCGCCCCGCTAGCAGCAGCCGTCTCCAACGCAGGCGGCCTCGGCACAATCGGCGGACTAGGCTACACGCCCGAACAGCTCTCCGAAATGCTAACGGAGCTCAAAGCCTCCCTGCGCGACCCCTCCCTCCCCTTCGGCGTGGACCTCGCCCTGCCGCAAGTCGGCGGCAGCGCGCGCGCCACAAACCACGACTACACGCACGGCCAGCTTGACGAGCTCATCGACGTGGTGATCGCGCACGGCGCACGTCTCTTCGTCTCCGCCGTGGGTGTGCCCCCCGAGCGAGTCATCAAGCGGCTGCACGACGCGAACATCCTCGTCATGAACATGGTGGGCGCCCCCAAGCACGCCGAGAAGGCCTTCAAGCTCGGCGTGGACATTGTGTGCGCGCAGGGCGGCGAGGGCGGCGGACATACAGGCGACATCCCGTTCTCGGTGCTAGTCCCCGCCATCGTTGACGTCGCGCGGAAGTACAAGAGCCCGCTGACGGGGCAGCCCGCGCTGGTAGTCGCCGCGGGGGGCGTCAACGACGGGCGCAGTCTGGCGGCGTCGTTGGTGCTGGGCGCTGCGGGTGTGTGGGTGGGGACGCGGTTCGTGGCGTCGAAGGAGAGCGGCGCGAGCCAGATGCACAAGGAGGCTGTTGTGGGGGCGCAGTTGGGGGAGACGACGCGCACGCTGGTTGTGTCCGGGCGGCCGCTGCGCATGCTGCCGAATGATTACATCAAGGAGTGGCATAAGCGGCCGCAGGAGATTGCAGAGTTGACGGCGAAGGGGATCGTGCCTATTGAGCATGACTTTAAGAATGATGTTGACATCGACATCCCGTTCTTGATGGGCGATGTGTCGGGCATTATTAAGGAGATTAAGCCTGCGGGGGATATCGTGCGCGAAATGGTTCAGGAAGCGGTTGTGTCTTTGAATAAGGGGGTTTCGTTTGTGGGGCGTCGAGCAAGCTGTGATTTCTTATTTATGCCTTCTTCTGTTGCTTTGGTTTGATCGGTCGGTCGGTCTATTTATGGTTAGATTCTTATTCCCAGTGACATAGTGGTAGTATATAAGTATACATATGAATATGGTACGGACTGCATTGAAATCATAACAGCATGAGATGTTTCAGACGAGAATAGTCTAGCATGTACAGATACATGAATGAACAACAGAATAGGCAGGATGACCCTGTGCGTCCAACTTCCCATGAACCAGCACAAGTGTCCCCAGGATGAGAAGAATATGCAAGTCGACTACAGATCACTCGAACAGAACAGACACTGGGCAGATATCCGGTCAATCCGCCAGCAAAACAGTAGAGGGCAGGACTGAACGATGATACTCCATCCAAACCAGCTTAGCCGAAGGCCCCCCCAGAAATGAAAGAAAAGAAAAGAAGTACCATTGCAAAACAAATACTAATGACATCCATTGATCATGGCCTTGTTCCCGTTGGCACGCGCTTCCAAAAGATTCGGCGGCGGCGGCGGTCCAAAGACCGGCTTTTCCGGTTGCTGTGGCGCGTGACGGTCGCCGTTCAAGCCGCGGTTCGGGCTGTCCAGCTCGTACTCCTCCTCGTCGTCTTCGTCCTCATCGTCGTCGCTGATGCCCTCCTCGTCGTCTTCCTCGTCTTCGTAGTCTTCGTCATATTCGCTCTCCGTCCCCTCGTCATCCGCGCCCAGCTCCGCGGCCAGGCCCTGTCCCCGACCCTGGGCTTGCATGCGCCGACACAGGGCCTCGAGATGGTGGCTCTTCTTGCGCCACTTTTCCAACTCTTCGTGATTCCGTGTGCGTTCCTCCGCCATCTCCAGGATATTGCGATTGGTCTGGTCGTGCTTGCGTGTCAGGGTCAGATTCTCCTTCTCCAGGCGTTTGGTCTTCTTCGACATCTCCTCCATCTCCTTGCGGAAGGTCAGAAACAGCTCGTTACTGTTGTTTAACGTATCTTCCACCTAGAATCAATATTGTTACCAACGCATCCAACACGAGGGTGGGACGTGGTCCCCGACAACCGTACCTGCTTGAACTTCTCGACGTAGATGTTGAGCTGGCTCCGCAATTCGGCTTCGGTTTGTGAAAAGGTGGACACCTGCGAGCTGAGCGCACGGCATCGGGCGGCTTCGTTCTCTGCGGCTCGGCGTTGTTCTTCGTACTTGGCGGTCAGGCATTGTATCTCCGCATCCTTGCTCCGAAGGAGGGACTTGTAGTGTAATTCGCGCATTTCGAACTTTTCGCCGATGGTCTTGATCTTGGCGCGCAAACTAGAGGATACTCGTTCAGTAACGGAAGCCCGTGTGGAGGTGTGGGATCAATCGTACGCTTCGTCCAAGTCAATATCCAACTTCTCGTTGCGGGGGTTCCCCTTGGCGGCCATGACATCTTGAATATCGTACAACAGCGAGTCGAGGCGTTCGTTGACAATGAGCCGTGCCTTCTTCTCCGTCTCCTCCAGTTTCTTGTTCTCGTCCTATGCAAGCGGTCCGTCAGCCTTCTCCCATCCTACCTCGCCGGACGGGCGCGGAATCCGCAGGGAAGACGCACCTTGACCTTCTTGTTCTCCTTGGTGAGTTCGCGGCATAGTTTCTCCAGTTTGTCCTTCATGGTGACCGTTTTATTCAACTCCGATTTACCCTTGTCCTGATCCTTCTGCAACTGGTCGGCTCGCTTCTTGCTCTTGGAATAATCGCGATCCAACTTTTTCATATCGGCGAGCAACTCGGTGTATTTCTTATGGACGGTCTCCAGTCGGGTCATGGGGGATTCGATGTTACTCAACAGTTGATTGAGGTCTCGAGTGGCTTTCTTGACCTCTCGCTCTGTAGACACGCAGGTACTGGTTAGCTTGTCCTGAAGATCGCCAGGAAAGTCCTGAAGAAGTAACAAGAGCAGAATGAAACGTGAAGAACAAGAAGTTGAAAAAGTCACTCTCCGGCGATTTCACGGTTGAAAGGGAAACCACCCACCAATTTCCTGCTCCTGGTCCTTTTCCCCCGCAGCATCTTGTTCCAACTGGGAGATTTTGGCCGCCAACAATTTCGAGGTCTCGTTCGGGTCGGCGACCTTTTTACCCTTGTTCTTCTTGGACATGGCAGCGGACGACATGGCGATTCGGGTTCGATCTCGGATATTCTCGTCAACCAAGGGAGGTGATATATGACGGTGGTCGCGTGGACTTGTTGAACGGAAGCTTGGGAAAGATGCGAAGACGCTCGGAACGGTGGGCTCGACAGTCGGAATGGAACCCGTCGGGGAGAGAGGGCCTTGTCACGCAGGCCGCCACAACGGTCACCCAACAGCACACAAGATACCCCCCGAAGGACCACGGGAAGGGTTACAGGGTCGAACGGCGCAGCACGATCGACCAGGAACGGCGGGGCAAATCCCTTCCAATGATCGGAATCCCGGACGGGGGTGTCGTCCTATTCCTCCAATGCAGGCCGGTAGGGAACTTCGGACGGGGGATTGATGGGCGGATCGGGGAACGGTCTTAGATCCCACGCAACCCAGTTCAGCACCGTCGAGAAACCCTAAATAGACAGACAATCCTGAAGAGGATCGGTTGGTTGATTGAAGCGGGTGGAATAGAAGGGGAGATCTGTTTGGTTGGTGGAGGAGCAGAGGCAGTTGGTCAAGTGTGGCTGATGACTTTCTGCGTGTGGAATTCGAGGATCTTTTTGCCGGGGAAAGAAGAGGATCACATCGAGTAAGTTCAGTAGTCATCAGTGTCTGGTTGGAGTGCACTCGGGACACTAGTCCTAGAAGGGCAGTTGATAACAGACGCTAAACTGGTTTGGGCTGTGGTCACGGGATCGTTCTGATATGGCTTCATTTCTTCTCCCTCACAACTGCATCCACCAACGTTCAGGACACAATCTTCACTCTTGATTGGGACAATCCCTCTGGTATGGGTATTTCTATGCTACCTATTATGTTAGGGTCAGCCATATCACCCTCTTGAGGATTTTAAAAATGGTGACAGTGTCAAGACTCATATCGTGCCAGGAGAACCCAGACCTGTGGACTGGACACGCACGTTTCATGAAGATCTATATGCGGTCTCTTTGAATCAAACAGTGGCACTGCTACTATGGTAATGTTATAAAGCCTGAGATTACTCTACATCGTATTCGGGGCGACCTCACCCCCCCCCCCCCCCCCATCCAACCCCCTATCCAATCCCCATCCACGCGCGTTCAGAGCAGATCCTACCGATCTTCCCGACCTTATACCATGGTCGTCTGGAAATCGGATCACCTCCTGTCCTAGGACGGAGGCAAGCGCAAGAACAACAAAGACCGTGAACCCCAGAGGTACACGTCCCTTTCCGCTTTTCAGACCCTCCCTGATCACCTATCAGCCTACGCAGGGCGGACTAAAAGTGCGAGAACACGCGGGTTTCGTAGTTATTGGGGAAGAATAAAGAAGACTGAATCTCTGCAAAGGAATCGAATTCCGTCCAGACCACGTGGCTGTAGTATCTATCGCACTAGTCCGCAGTGAGCTTTAGATACGCCGAGGTCATCCTAGCATTTGCAATTCATCTCAGCCTCATGGATGACGTAGAAGTGAGGGGGTTAGACAGGACCGTGACGATTCTGACAGTGATCAGATGGAATGCGAGGTCGACAGCCCTCCTAAATGGCGTCGATGCTGCTGCCAGAATAACTCTTCCTCGGTCCAAAATGGAAAGCACGCACAGGCCTCCTAGTATAGGACCGGCGCTGTCCTTCCCCGCACGTAAATTGGACTACTCCTGGACTATCTTCGATCAGGGAATCATATCCCTCGTCATTCGGCCATTGCTGTTTGAGGATATCCCAGTTGGTGCCGCAGATACTGGCGGGAGGCTGCCCGTTGACAACACCAGCTTGGTCCAAACCTGACAGATAATACCGCGGGAGATATGTTGTGATTACGCACGTACCTCCGGGAAACTCGACTACAGTCTACACAGTGAGCAGAAGGTAGCCAAGGAGTAAACTTCCATTTGCATTTCAAAACATCAGGCATAGTGGGTCACATCATGATTCGTCATATTGTACAGGGGTTGTTGTCTGTCCAGAGCACAAGGGGGTTTGGCCAGCAAACCAGGATTACGGAGCGTTCGCTCGCTCATTCGGGTATCACTCATCGCCGGGTTCAGTAGGTGGCCCACGGGAATCGTCAGAAGGGCCTGCACGATCGACCGATGTCATAGCATGACCGGAGGTGGTCTCACTCGGTTCAGGAGACGGACTGAATGGCATCGGCGGGAATGGTTCTGTCTGTGACTGGTCTGTGGATAATCGACGGTCAGACGAGAAATCGCTCGTACCGGCAGATTCCATCGGAGTGCTGAAGGGGGATCCACGAGGGGCATCGGAGTGAATCGTGAGAGGTTGCGGCGGGTGCGATGACGAAGTAGACTAGAGCAAGTTAGCACGACAATGACATCCATAACACATCAACTATGAAACTCACCTGGTGTTTCCCCGAGTTGAGGCCACGCTGTGCGGCGAGCTGTCGGGCCGCTAGTCGTCTCTGGATGATCCGAGCTTCCTCCTCTATCGCAGCCTGCTGCTCTTCTTTCTGTAGATCTTCCATAGCCGAGCCCGTATTATCCTGGATGACCTCCACGGTGGAGCTCGGCGTCGAATGCAGTCGGCTGCTCTTCTTCTTCTTCGATTTCTTCGCTTTTCTCGGTTTCGAGTCCTTAGATTCCACGCTAAACGTTCCAGACATGGACCGCATGCTCTCGGGCTTGTCCCCCAGATAGTCATCGGACTCCAGTCCGGTACTGCGACGACTTGCCAGAGTCAGAGCAAACTCATCGTCCAGCGGCACCGCATCCTCTTCCTCATCACTTGGAAATAAGTCACCCCGAGAGCTCAAGGAATTGGCCGTCTCTCGCGATGACTGCGTCGAACTGCGATACCGCCCGTTGCCCCCGGCAGCAGCCTGCCCCTCATCTTCCTCACCCGCCGCCTCCTCCAGTAGAGGCTCATCTTCCTGCACATTCCGCCGCAAACCCGTCGGATGTTCCTGGAGATCCGCCGCCGACGGACGATACTTCACGCCCCGCGCGCCCATCCTCCAGGGAAACCGCTCCAAGAAACCAAGAAACGAGGAGCTAGGGATGACCGTAGGATCCGACCGGCTATCAGGCGCAAGCGCGGTACTCTTTCTGCGCACGCGCCGCGCACCGTAGCTCATCCTCCGCTGTCGACGGGGCTGTTCGGCGCCCCCGCGCGTTAACCCGCTGCCAGCCAGCAGACGGTCAAGCTCTTCCGTCCCAAACCCCAGCAGTCCACTCTCGACGCCCTCCTCATTATCCCAGTCATCGTAGAAGTCGAAACTCGCCTCTGCGCGATCGCGCCGACGACGCCGAATGTGGTCTTGGCGGGTTGGAAGGCATGGCGCAGCACAGGCGTAGACGCAATTCCCGATCGAAGATAAGCACGGAACAATATAGTCATGCGAAAAAGTGTAGAGACCCTCCTGGGCTGTTTCATTCGCCGTCTCGAGGTTGTGTGATATCTGGTTGATCCGCTGGCGGACGCGGGGGTCTCTGGGTCGTATCATTCTCGAGACGTTTGGTGGAGATGGCGGTATGTATTGGGCGGACGGGCAGGAAGTAACCGAGGGGTGGGGAGAACCCAAGGACAAGTCAAGGAACGTTGGGAATTACGTGGGGTACCGTCTGCAATAGCCAGACACTCCCATTGGAATGTTGGTGAGATAGTTATATCGAGACGATGACATGCGCAGGGAGATCCGGACGGTCGAAGGTCGATCGATGCAAAAGACCCACGGGTGGTTGACGGATGCAGGCCTGAGGAAGCCATTCCCGCCTTTTTCTCCACGTCGATGTCATCGCCTTAGTCATCGGCACGTGCCGCTCTTTTTGATATTCCATCAATGGCCTCACTTTTCTTACTTTGTTTATCCCGACCCAGTACGAGCGGAAGCTTTTAAGTCATACACCCATGGTCTACTACATTCGGTTTCTAAAGACCCCCCGGGTCCAGAAGCAGAAAACAGGCGCCCTCAGCGTATCGGCCCTCATCTGCATCACCACGGACTTAGGCGACGCTTTCCTAGCCGAGGATGTGGATCTCCTGATATCATTGAACGCCTCCAATGCCGATCAAGTGCTGTACCAAGAGCGCGTGAAATGGACAGCCAGCAAGCGGGAAGTCCCCATCGCACTGGGCCCATTCCCACCGCATCTATCCAAACACACCCTGGTCCTCAGTGTCACCGCGCCAACAGACCCGCGCAAGCCTCGCGCCCCCTCCGCAGACACCCTGCCCCCTAGTCAGCAGCATGCTGCTCCGCTAGTGATCCCAGGCTGGAGCGCACCATTCGGCGGGTCCGAGTCACCCGTAGCCGAAAAGCTCGTAGAGCGACGATTCGGCCCGCAGGGTCTCCGAATCTGGGAGGAAACGGGCAACAGCATAGCGCGACACATCTGGTGAGATAAAACAACCTGCAAAACCCAACCAGCCTTTTTTCCATCTCTAAAACAAGCGCTTCCCCGTTTCTCCAATTTCAGGGACGCAGCTCTGGCATCCGTGACCTACCTCCAGCAGCTTGCAACCGCGGTGCCAACAACAAAAACCGACGCCGCACCACAACCACCCGTGTTGCACGATCTCCTGACGAACTGCCAAAACCGCAGCGTCACCAACCCGCTGCACGCCGTGGAACTCGGCTCCGGCTGCGGCATCGTAGGCATCTCGCTCGCACAAACACTCCCCAACTGCAACGTGGTGCTCACCGACCTCCCGGAGGTAGAAGACATCGTAACGCAGAACATCTCCGTGGCGCAGCCAGCGCCCTCCTCAAGGATCACTTTTCACACCCTAGACTGGGACGATGAGAACCTCCCAGAGGAAGTGACGAACGGGGGCGCAATCGACCTGGTCCTTGTCTCGGACTGCACGTACAACGCAGACAGCCTGCCGGCGCTGGTCTCCGTGCTGGACCGCCTCGTGCGGGCGTCGCCGGATGTGCTTGTTATTGTGGCGCTCAAGCGTCGACATGAGAGTGAGGAGGCGTTTTTTGACCTAATGCGCGGTGCAGGGCTCTCCAGTTTGCATCGGCATTGTATGCAGCTTCCGGCGCAGCATGGTCTGTCGGATCAGATTGAGATTTATTGCTATGCGCGGGCGGATGGGCATTAGGAGATGTGTGTCTGCAGTGTACTGATTATATGACACTCTTGGGTCTGTTTGTTTCTTTGTACTATACCCCTATGAAAATCATGATGGTCGTCTACGATACTATATTTCTCATCGAGGAATGCTGTCCTGGACTCGGAGCAAAGTGTCCATGAAGACCCTTTGCATTTTCCGTTTCTTGCCCCTGTTTTTGGGACATCCTCAAGAATTGCATTCTAATAGTACACCTAACCTACTCCGCTACAACATATTATGCATGCTCATATCTGTATTCTACCGCCACTGGTTAACCCCATCCGCCAGGGAATATCCCACAAGGACCATTCAGTCAGAAAAGACCAGCCATCGCATGCTGGAGGCAACAAACCCGTCCAACAAAGCTGGCCACCACATACACTATGAGAACGCTTAAGCAATCCTAATCAAATTCTTCAGCCGCTCGCTAGTCGAGGAAGAGCTCCTCCGGTGCTTGCCTAGGTAAAGTCGGCGTCCATGGTCAGAGGTCTGGGAGTTGGAGCTTCGATGGCGAAGACGGGAGAAATAGCCATTCTTATCTAGGTCGACGCGCCATGCATCTGGCAGTTTAGGAACATTCCACGATTTGTGCCCTGACACCCGACTTTTCAATCGACGTAAACGCTCTCCTTTCTCTGTCAATCGCGCCATCACATGTTCCAAAGTGGAGTCTAGGGGGACAAACTCCGTATCCGCCTCGAGAAATGTGTTGCTCAGACTGCCAAGCGACATGTTGGGAAGAGAAACACCGGGCTTCGTGCTCTGGAAGATCTGTTTACTCGCGTTGATGCTATGGGAACGGGGTGGGGGCATGACTGGAAGTCCGTTGCCAGGGTGTACTGGCTGGCTCGGATCATCTGAGTAGGACCTATAGCACCTTCGGGCAAAGCCACTGAAGTTTGCCGCCAGGGTAACGGCGCAAAGAGGAAGGAAGCCTAGACTCGTCGTGTTCCGGCCCGTCTCATCAGTCGCACATTTCTCGGGGAGGGTAAGAGAGACTTTGGCACACAGGGCCCACAAGTCGGCATACAGGCGGCAAACGACATAGATTTCGCCAGCAATCGGGTGAAATTCGTCGGCTAGAGTCTCGCGACGGTCGAGGAGGGTATATGACGGATCTAGACATATCACCAGCGACCCTTCCTGGATGGCCCATCTCTCCCCCAGTTCCAACCGAACATCCTTGTATGACCGCAAGCGCGTACAAAGCTTCAAGGCAGTCTGGCGCAAGACGCTCCGGGGTGGACATCGGCTTGACCACGTTCTATCTGATGCACGATCGCTGGTCCCGTGGAGATGCTCTGGAGGTGGAAGGCGACCTCTGGTCCCGTAAGGTCGCCATCCTCTCTGACATCGAATCAGCTCGAGTGTCTTGTCCCCGAGACCACGCCACTTACCAGCAATGGTATGTCTTGGTCCGACTCCCACGAAAGAGACCTCAAGCCGGCTAGGGCATTGGCAGAAGGAGCAGCCAACTTCCAGGAGAGGTGTTGTTCCCAGCTTTGAGGGGAGAAACTCCTCGGCTCTTCAAATATGTCGAAAGCGCCATCACGATTTAAACTCGTCGACGTGTACCTCCCATGCAATCGAGGGTCTTCAACGTCGTCGTCAAACGCAGAGGAGACGGTTTCGGAAGGAGACGCCGTCCACCAAACGGGAGGGCGGTGGAAATACACACCATGCCGACGTCTCTTGCTGAGCGAATCTTGGATGGACTCAGACTCTGTATCGTCACTGAAGTCATCTGTGAACACTGTAGGTCCACTGGTCTTCAAGGAAGGAATTGGGATGGGTGTCTGTGAACCGGCGTTAACCGAGTCTAGACGGTCAAGCATGCTCATTGGTAAATCTGTATTGTATACTAAACTCGCAGTAAAGTCACCCCGCAGAAAGAAACGATGCAATCACGGTAATATCTGCAGTGTAGATCCTGTAGCAGAGCATGCTGTACGGAAGAAACCCGAGGATCCATAATGCTGGACCATTGTTTCTGCACTGACGTCCATCGCAGCTTCCTTTCTCGTCCAAATGAAGAGGAAGGAACGTAAAGAGGAAGGAACGATCGAAGGTTCCTCAAGACACCCATGAGGGATGAATTGACTCCAGTCCTTGTAAGCGCGGGCTCGAATCAAGGCACGTATGGGCGTATCCTGGCACCGTTGCGATTCCCCAATTGGATCGAGTGGAGCGACGCCGTGTGACTGATTGGTCACAAAGTTCAAGAATCAAGTAGGAGGTCCAATCTGGACGCCAAGTCAGCGTTGACTGGGGTTGAGACATGCGTTTCTGATATGTAGCGGTGTGAAAGGGAGGAGGAGGAGGAGGAGGAGAGGAAAGAATTGACTCGCGTTTCTTTGTTTGGTGGACGCCTGATCGCTCAGTAACCCAATCAGGCATCCTCATATCTACTTCGCTTCTATATAATCTCTCTTCTCTCCCTCTCTGATCCTCCTTTCCCTTGTACAGCTTTGATCTTCATTCCCACATCTCTTCTTTCAATTGCCCTTCCTGTTATCAATCGCCAATCAATTCATCATGTCAGACTTGCTTGCAGACTCAACATACTCTCCACCCCGAGGAGAACCCGATCCCTACCTGGTGAGCTCGTCGCCAGGGGACCGCGAAGGACTACACGACGCAGCAGTTAAAGGGCAATTCGAAGAGTTCCGGCCCGCCGCAAATAACAAGACATGGATCATCAGCGAGAGGTATTGCCGCATCGGGGACTCGGTCGACTCCTTCGAGCCCATCCTGCACAACCTCTGGTATCTCTACTACCAAGGGGGGCGGTACATGTCCCATGAAAGCACGGAACATGACCGACTGGTGCTGGACGTGGTCCGCACCCGTGGCCTCGGCCCTCTGACCAGGCCTGCCCCTAGCGGCTGTGGCATTGACATCGCCCGGACCCCCGCGGGGCGTTGTGGAATGATCTACCCTATTTGGCCACGGACATGACGGACTACTGGGTGAACGACTGCGCGACGATGGACGCCACCCAGCGCGTCAACTTCGCTTCGTTTCTCGCCAAGCTAGCGTCGACGCGAGTGGACGGGGATCGCCTGTGCCAGATTGCTCTAGTGCTCTTCCGCGATGCCCTTGAGACGGAACGAGAGTTTGGCACTGCCAAAGCGCTTGCAGATGCCGACCCGCGACGCACGATGCTCGATCTTTCTATCGCCGCCTTGCTCCCGGCCGTCTGTACGTGGCTCAACGAAGCGGGACGCAATCTGCTCCTGCTCTCGGACGCGTCCTGGAATAGTTGCCCTGCGACCATTGCCCAATGCGGCGAAACCTTCATCGAGTCCGAGCTCGGTCGACGAGCACCGGCGGGGTTCAGTCCCTGGAGATGGATGTACTGGCTGAAGCGACTGCATGAAATTGGTCGCCTTGCTGATGAGGCGTCCGAGAGCGGTCTGAAAGAGTGCGCCCAAGACGCGATCGAGACCATGTTGGGGCATGTGGAGGAGAGGAACTCGAAGATTCTCCGAGTATTCGAGGGAGTGGACGATAAGTTGAAGCAGGATCCCGACCTGGTGGGGTTGAAGAATTTGATGAAAGAGGATGAGGGTGATGCTTCTGAGTGAATTGAATTTCTGGATAGATTTATTTCTCTTTACTTGTCGCAGTGAATATATATTTTGGGTTCTACTCCACAGACTGTTCTTTTGCCGTTGAGACCTTTGAATTGCTAGATCGTTTGAATCTCACTTTAGTCTTTGTATAAGTCGATGAAACTGATGAATAAATGCAAAAAGCTACTCATGATGTACTCAAGACACGCAACAAAAGTTTCAGACCCTGCTTTATCCAGAAAACAACCAAGCATCTGACCGGTTCCATGTCCATCTCCACAAGTTCCACATCTCCAATGCCACTCCCATGGCTCCCATACTGCATCAACAAGACGAAAATAAATACGCAAATAACAATGAACCTAGGTAGACAACAAGCTTGTATATTCACTATGATAACTGGAGACCATGCACAAGCCGACATGTTGAATGCCACACTTGCACTATTGCAGCCAAGCAGAGCCAACTATATATAGCACCCCCGAAGGAGAACCCAGCACAAACCATCTAGATACACTTGCAATCGCGGCTATAGCTATCAAAGTGGCACTTGTTGCCATCCTTGCCGCACTATAAACACGAACATCACATCAGCAAAAAACCCAAGGCCCCCATAGTACTAGATCAGGACCGGTTTGGGTATACCTTCTTAAACTTGCAGTGGCAGAAGGACGTCTTGCCTTTCTGGCCTTTATATTTGCATGAGTTGTTCTTCTTGGAGCAGGACTGTGGAGAAAAACGAAGTGGGTGGGTGGGTTAGTGGTGCTCTTTTCATCATGTAGGATGCCTTGGCTGGGTGGATAGAGAGGAATTCACTCCGTTGTATGTGATCAGTGTGGCTGCTTCGTCGTGCACCTCCAGATTATCATTGACGTCGAGGGCGTTGTTGTCCACGGGGCTGGCGACTGCGCCGACGGCAGCGAAGAGGACGAGGCCCATGGAAGCGAGAGAGATGAGCTGCATTGTGATGGATGGGTTGGTGGTTTTGGCTTTGAACTGGGAGGACTTGGCTGAGTACTATTGTAGTGTCTTGAGAGGATCTGTCTGTCTGGATGATGCTACAAATGTCGGGTCAACCACCACCTTATATACTACCGATACCTGAATCTTCTGCTCGAGACAGCTGCCATGACAAAAACGAGGTATCCACGCCTCGGCATTTTCCATGACAAATAGTAAAGCCAGAGGACGTGGAGTAATCCCGATTGACCGCGTCTTGTGATCAAGCTGCTCCCCCAACTATACGAATAGTAGACCACCAAGCCCTAACAAAGACATCCATCACTTGCGTGGTCCATGAAATACCAGCTCATAGAGCCGCATGGTAGTGGCATACCCAATCGGAGAGTGACCGGGTATCCCTCGCACGAATTGGCTTGGACGCCTGGTCTGGATTACCGCGCGCCCTGCAGGGGATATTACACTTCCGTATCTGTAGGGCGCTGGGTGTACCTATGGGGTAGCATGGAGGCGCATCTCTAGCCCGGGTGATGTGGATGTGATAGTGATCCGGGGTTAGGGCTGAACAGGTACTGAAGTGAGACAGTAGGATCTGCATCCTCAGTCCCGTGAACCATGTAGACAACATGCAAGGGTCCCGTATAAGCTAGATGCTGTGTGATATTCTGCACATAAGCACAGGCAAGAATTAAAATGCCGTTTGCCTGAACTCTGGGCAGTCTTGGGTAGAAGATGATGGGACTATGCGGCTAGCCCTAACTCGGCAAGCCGCACGAGGCATTCTGCAGAAAGCAAACACCGGCGTTTGAATGATTGGCTGCTGCAAGGAATAAGCACTGTTTGATCGTCACAGAGCACCAGTGAGACACCGGTGATCATCGTTCCATTCGTCTGTCCAGCAGATGTGGAATAAGTTCCAGCACCATCTCTGCCGACCAGAACCTCGTGTATAGATCGGGCCTCGGTAATAACGGCTGACTCAGCATGCGGGGAGCATTTAGAACATCAAGCAAGCAGGTAAGGGGCATCATTGCTCAATCGTAGCAGTTATTCTATAGACAGTGAGCCAGATACCTGTTAGAACAGTCTCGACAGGAAGACTGCAGTTATGGCACCCCCCCAGATCAAGCTCTACCTGGACATTGTGAGCCCATTCGGTTACATTGCCTTCCATATTTTGCAGGTAAGAATGGCACTATGCAAATGATAAGCACCAATGCAATTATCCATGCTGAAATCCACCGAAGAACTCCCCCGTTTTCGCTAGCTGCAATGTGACATACGTCCCTATTTTCTTGGGGGGCCTGATGAAAGCCTGCGGGAATACGCCTCCCATCCGGGTCAAGAGTAAGTGCGCCTCCATCCCCTGGATTTGACATCCTCCCTCCCTGGTCGGTTTCATTCGCTGAACGTTCCATAGACAAGGATATATGGATCAACGAGGAACGACGCCGATGGGCTCGCTACTTCTCCATCCCAATGGTCCATGACTCTCCCGAAGGCTTCCCGCCAATGACACTAGCCCCGCAGCGCGCTCTCTGCGCCATCTCCCAGAAGAAGCCCGATCAGTTGGCGCCGGCCATTGGAGCTCTCTACCATTCGTTCTGGACAGAAGGCAATGCCAAGATCGGACAGGTCGAGGGGTTCCAGCCGGTGCTGGAGAAAGTCCTCGGAAAGGACGGCACGCAGGAAATCCTTGCAGCGGTGTGTTCCCCTCCCCCCACTCCCTTGCCTCCAAATCCGCATCTAGACACTCGGGTCTTCCCCGTGGGTGGCGCAGCGCTGACACCTCGTAGGCAAACGAAGAAGAAACCAAATCCCGCCTGTCAGCGCTCACGGATCAGGCATTCCAGTCGGGCGCGTTTGGTCTGCCTTGGTTCGAGTGCACCAATAGCCAGGGCCAGACTGAGGGATTCTGGGGCATCGACCATCTGGGACAGGTTACTGATTTCCTGGGGTTGAACCGAGCTACCGATAAGGGATTCAGATCATTGCTGTAAATAATAATATAAAAAAAGAATAAAGATATCCTTCTCATTGGCTGTCTGGGTATATGTCCATGCAAATGTCAATTTCAACGCGCGTACAACAATATCCACTCACACTCACTCCTCCCACTTCCACACACAGGGGTCTAGTCCGCTAGATAGCCGGCTTCGGGGCATCGCTCCGATGTTTCTCGCGGAGGAACTCAACGATCTTCTCCTTCTCCATCTCGTCGATCTGGCGGTTCTCTTCGGGACTAGGCGATGGATGACGGGTTACTGGCGGAATTTTAGTCGTGGTCCACAATCATAGTGTATATCATTCGCATATTCTACAGGACAAAACACACCTGGTTCCGGAGTCTCCCCCTCCGCAGGACCAATCGTCGCCGAACGAATCTGAGTCCAAGTATTCTGCACGTGTTCATTCGAGGCAACATTGGTCGCAGTAGATTTAAGTCCATTCCACGACGTTGTCGCGAGATCAGACACACTGTCCCCGATGCTGGAGACGGTGTCTTTGGCGGACTCTGTGGTGGTAGTTGGTTGTTGGGGGGGTTTCTCGTGGAGTTCTTGTACTGGATGGTTTGTGGAATTCATCGTGATTGTCGTTCAATAGGGGTATGTAGTATAAGAAGAAGTTGACTCTTGGGTAGGTATTAATGATTGAATCAATTGATGTTAATGTCAAGATGGTAAAGGTAAAGAATGACATCAGCTGTTGGAGCAGGATATAAAGGATGATGAGATCATTGTCCGCCCTACAAGGCTGCCTTGGTCAGGGTCAATCCACAACCATGATCCAATTACAAGGAATAAAACTATATTAGTCAAATCAATCAGGAACAGAGCTCATCTACCTATCTCTTCGATGCAATGGCCATTGCACAGTAGAAGCTGACTATATCAAAAAACAATACATATCATGCCGTCTAATTGTGCAGATTATGCACATAATGACATCATCTGTGCATTGGCGGGGCATGTCCCAAAGCGGACTAGCGGCTGCCCCTCCGATTTCCTCCTCGGATTTCCATCTCACTCACGAACATACCCGCAATTCGGCTTCATCTTCTTTTGACTATCATTCTGTCTGTCTGTCTGTCTGCGTTCTTGTCGCATAGATTAGATTGTATTTTCTCATTTTTTATTCTTTTCCCTCATTTATAGAATCATCCAGCATATAGATCCATCCCATTCCCAACCCCACCATCAAAACATCCCAATCAATCATTCAACCCAAACAAGATAACAAAATGTCCCCCATCCCCATAACAATCATAACCGGCTTCTTGGGCTCCGGCAAAACCACCCTCCTCCTAAACCTCATCCCACAACTCCCCAAAACCTACCGACTCGCGCTCCTCAAAAACGAATACGGCGACGTAGCCATCGACTCGCAGCTGGCCTCCACAAACTCCATCTCCGGCGTCCGCGAGCTCCTCAACGGCTGCATCTGCTGCAACCTCGTCGGTCAACTCAGCGACGCGCTCGACCAACTGCGCGAACAAGTCCAGCCCGACCGCATCGTGATCGAGACCTCCGGCAGCGCATTCCCCGCGACGCTCGCAATGGAAGTCAACCGGTTGGCGCGGGAGCAGCCCGGCACCATCGCGCTAGACGGGGTCATCAGCGTCATTGACGTGGAGAATTGGGAGGGGTACGAGGATACGTCGTACACGGCGAAGCTGCAGGCGAAGTACACGGATCTGATCATCTTCAACAAGTGGGAGAATGTATCTGAGAGGGAGTTCGATTTGTGTCTTGATCGCGTGGGCGATCTGGAGGTTGATACGCCGTGGGTGAAGAGTGAGAAGGGACGGGTTGACAAGGATGTTTTGTTGGGGATTGATGGCGCGTTGTTCGCTAAGGAGGGGGATGACGCTCAGTTGGCGAATGGTGGACATGATCATGAGCATAAGCATAAACATGACCACCAGTCTGAGGTGGAAGTGCTCTCCGTCACGCTCAAAGCGCCTACCCGACCAGACGCCACCGTCGACGTCGAAGCCCTACAGCGCTTCCTGCGCTTCCCGCCCAAGGAAGAAGTCTACCGCATCAAGGGCATCCTGCGCTGCTCGAGCACAACCCCACCCATCTCATCATCCGACGACGACACATCGAACCCCGCGCCGTCTTCGTCCTCCGCAGGCCACAACCAGCACTACATCCTCAACTGGGCCTTCGGCCGCTGGACAACCACACCGTCTGACACCGTCGGCCAGACAGTCGGCCCAGACGCCGTAGTCCGCATGACGCTCATCCTGGCGCGGTACGAGTCCGCGAAGTGGACGAAGAAGCTGGAGGCGGGGGGTTTGGTGCAGGCTGTGGGTGAGAGTGAGGGGGTGGAGTTGGTTGTTGAACGACTTGTCTAGATTCAACTTTTATGTTCTTTACGGATATATGTTCCTTTTTAGATGAAGGGCTGAGATGGATGGAGCTGGCTCCGCCCGAATATACAGAATGTATATATATACGACAATAAATGTTGAGGCTTTGAGTAAGACATGGGATGACTTGTCCATACAGACCAGATCCGATATTACGCAATACGGATGCATGAAGAAGAATGGATATAGAAGTCTAATCACCTTTCAATATACTTAGCAAGGCTAACAGCCGGGCTTATAGCTTAAAGGCGGAACCAAATCTATAATAGAGAACCCGAAAACACAACATCAATTACAACACAACCAACATCTACTCTACCGAGATTCAACAAAAAGACACAACATCAAATAAACCACAATCAAAGACACAAGCAGACTCAAAGAGTCACAAAAAAAAAAAATTAATACTCCAAAAGGGCAGACGCGCCCGGCTCGCTCGAGATGTAAATCACCTCGTGGTTGTCGGAGAAGCCGTTGAAGCGCGTGGCGCTGCACTTGGTGTAGGCGCCCATCTCCTCAAAGTACAGCCAGTCGCCGACGTCCAGGAGACCCGGCAGCGAGATGCGCTGGTCGATAACGTCGATGCCGTCGCAGGTGGGGCCCCAGATGGAGTAGGCGACGCCGTCGTCGGACGGGGTGGCAGTGGGGGCCGCGGCTTGGGGATCGCCGGCGCAGGTCAAAATCTGGGCCACCGGGTGCTGGTGGTCGAAGATGATGTTGGAGAAGTTGCCGTAGACGCCGTCGTTGAGGTAGAGCATGTAGGCGTCGTTGGCCGGGTCGTCCGGGTCGCGCACATCGCGGCGGGCGATCACGTTGGCGGCCAGCGTGAACGCGTTGGCGACGTAGTAGCGTCCGGGCTCGGCGATGATGCGGACATGCGGCGGGAAGTACATGTCAAGGGCTTCGCCGAGGACGGTGGCGAAGCGCTCGAAGCTGTCATGCATGAACCCGCCGCCGACGTCGAGGGTGTGCAGCTCGTGGCCGATCTCGGCGGCCTGGTCGAAGACCAGACGGGCGTCCTGGACGGCCTTGAGGAAGGCCCCGGCGTCCTCGGCGCCGGACCCAACGTGGAAGCTGACGCCCACGACCTTGAGGTCGAGCTCGCGGGCCCGCTCGAGCAGGGGGCGGGCCATGTCCATGGAGGCGCCGAATTTCATGCTCAGCCGGCACAGGCTGGTGGAGTCATCCGTGAGGATGCGCAGGTACAGCTCGGCGTCGGGGAAGCAGGCCTTGATCTTGTACAGCTCGTCGGCGTTGTCAAAGGTCATCTGCTTGACGCCGACATTGGCGGCGTGGCGCAGGTAGGACTTGGTCTTGCAGGGCTGGGCGTAGATGATGCGACTGGGGTCGATGCCGGTCTCGAGGGCCAGGTCGATCTCGGCCTTGGAGGCGCAGTCGAAGCCGTTGCCGAGCTGGGCCATGAGGCGGAGGACTTCAGGGTCGGGGTTACATTTGACGGCTACATTGATTAGCTGTGTTCTTCGCATGGAATATATATAATGTATGAATAGATCTCACCATAAAAAGGTCGGACGCGGCTGAGGTTCATCTTCCAGCGGAGGTGCTGACGGTACACCTCGCCCATGTCGGCGACGTAGAAAGCATCCTCCTCACCGGGACCGCAGTGGTCGACGTTCACCTCGCCGGCCCGTCGACGGAGGACATCGTGGACGAGGTCCTTGGCAGCCAACCTGGATTGCGACAGATCGTCTCCTCCATGACTGACGATGGGACCATAATGCGCGGGGGCATTATAGTCATCTTTTTCATGACAGAATTTTGTCATGCATACTTCAGCAGGGACACACGCAGTCGGTGCCATAACCATGTGTGTGATTGAGCACACAGGAACGGGATATTATAAAAGAGAGAGATAGATAGATTGAACGCGACTGCGTGTTAAGGAGGACGAAAAGTTTCGCAACCGAGGTTGACTGGACCAAGCCTCCTCGACCCTTCCTCCTTAAGAGGAAGAACCGGCAGAGAAGTCCTATGCGGCAGCTCAAGAGGTGAGGGAATAAGATGAGAGGGCGTCAACGCGCTAACAAATGGCGCACCGGCGGAAAAGGCGGGGTTGGACAGGAGCAGGAGGCGGGATGTTATTAAGAATGTCACGAGGTCTCCAGGGAGAGACAATTTGACGGAGAAGCACACGCGAGGCTATGAAAGCCGTGATGGAATTGGGAAGCCTTTGGAACTGGTCGAGTCCAAAGGCCGGGTTTCGAGGATGGAGGAGAGGGAAAAGGCTGCCAAAACCTGGCAGGGAAAAACAAAAGAGTCAAACTCAAAATCCACTGAATCTGACCGGAAGAATTAGTGATCAGACATTCAGAGATGACAGGTTTTAGGTAGAAAAGAAAGGAAAAAGGGGGGAAGGGTGGGGGGTAGTCAAACAGGAAATGGTGAGGTATTTATGGGAAGTGGTGAGAGAGGGTGGGTGCAGAATTTTAAGCCTACAGAGCGAGCTTAGGGCAAAGGGCTCCCGGGCAAGGCAACCATGACAGGGGGGAAAGGATGACCGATGGAGGGAAGAAAGGGAATCGAATGCAGGAAAGGGAGAAAGTGCAAGGAATCAATGGCTAAAATTAGGCAAATAGAAGAATCAAATCACTCACATATAAGGACAATGGCCAAGATGGATGGAGGAGAAAAGGCCGCGATGGAGAAGCGGGAGAGGAAGAAGTCGGGTGGATGAGAGGTGCTGAGTCATCATGTTGATAAATAGACCATATAACAGGTATAATAGGACCATGTAATATGATAGATAGTCTAATACCATAATAGGTTAAGTATAGTCATCGCGTAATTCATCTCTAAACAATCAACAGTCCATCCATCCAGTCTTTGACTCATACAATTAAACGTTTCAGCTGATGATGATGATCGCAGGCGGTGTCTTTCTGCCTCTGACGTCGTCGAGTCCAGGCACTCAGGCAGATCTTCCTACTATAAATGGTCATCGGATTCTCTACCTCATGATTGGCAGTCACTATCAATCCTACGAGGGATTTCCCATAATAATTATCTCAGTATATCAACTGGAAGGAAAACATATCTCAAGTGGGATATGAGATAGCAGGTAGCCAGAACTACACATCAAATAATACCTGTAAGATCGTACCAGAATTCATCGGCACGGATCATGGAAGATATCATATGGTACCGTGGACGGAATCCGGATAGACAGCAGACACCTTATTTCTTAGGGATAGAAGTACAGCTTATTTCATTCTTGATCATCTCATCTACTACTCGATATATTAACGTTCATATACTCAATATATTAATGTTATCTTTAATTCGCAAGATCCTTATAAATGTTGATCAGAATTATATGTACTATGATCATGATTTTAATTATATATTCACATCTTTCCCACGATCTCATCGGCAATACATCCCATCGGTGATGATTCTACTTTGCATAGAAACAAGTACGGAGTAAGACAGAGTGTGTTCAAGAAGTCAGACGGTCTCCCTATCAACCGGATCTACAGCCGAAGATAAGAGAGCCCAAACTAGGTGGGAAGGGTGGCAAGAAGCGGGGGAGACGCAGGCAGACGGGGCTAGGGTTCTACCCTGCCATATTGATAGACAGCTTGAAGATCAGGCGATTGTCCTACAAGATTTCTAATATCATGCCATCTACAATGGGCGTCCCAGAATAGGTCGAAATCGTGACACGATATTATATAATGATAGCGTACGACAGTCGTCGAGAAGACAGATAGCGAATGGAAAAGAAAAAGGAAACAGAAAAAAAAAAAAAAAAAGAAAGGGAAAGAAAGTGACATGCATTCAGCCCAACAGAAATAGACGCCGGAAGAAACAGAGGCAGATAGAGGGGCACACAGAGATAAAAGAAACAGATCGCAGGCACAGTCCTGCTGCATAATATCTAGAGTGCAGATCCACTGGGCAAGGATGATGGCAGTCCGTAGACTCCGTCTTCCACAGTAAAGACCCCACATTAAGGTGGATCAAACCAGACCCCGTCCATCAGAAGGGATCCCATTGTCCATAGCAAACGCCGTCAATGAGAATACTGTCGGGAGAGTATCCTGCGCACGGCAGTCACGGTATGTCCACTTCCACCCCGCCAGAGACCTGCACCCGTCGCATCTAGAAAACATGGAAACGAACGCGGAGTCGGACATCAACAATTTCCCACCACCCGACAGAACAGCTTAACATTGGCAAGCTCCCGCCCCCTGGGTGCCGGGAGCCTCCGGCCGCAGGTCCACGCCGGGCCGCGGGTTCGTGCGCAGGTTTCTCGGGCCCGCTTGGTCGAGCGGCAGTTTCTTTGCGATCGCGGTGAACAGCTCCCGTACATTCGACGAGGTCTTGGCGGAGGTCTCAAAGAAGAGGAGGCCGGCCTCGCGGGCATAGGCCTCGGCATCGGCCGTCGGGATCGCACGCTTGTCCGGCTGCTCCGTAGCGAGATCCAACTTGTTGCCCGCCAGAGCGATGACAATGTTCTCGTTCGCTTGACGCTGGAGTTCCTTCACCCACGACTTGGCCTTGTCCAACGATGACTGTCCCAGATGGCTCCATTAGCGACCTATCCACAGCTCCTACTCCATTCGAAGGGTTGAGAAGGCATACCGCTTGTGTGATGTCGTAGACGACGACGGCGCAGTTCGCATTCCGATAGTACATGGGAGCCAGCGACTTGTAACGTTCCTGACCGGCGGTGTCCCAGATTTCAAATTTGACTGTCGTGCTTTCGTCCAACGAGATGGTCTGTGTAAGGAAGGCAGCGCCAATGGTGGATTCTCGGTAATCATCGAATTGATCCTGGGGTGGTGAGCTTGATTCATTTTCGGGAAGGGATCTCCTAGCATGCAACCAGGCGCGAGGGACATCGGTTGACACTCACTTTAACGAATCTCAACACGAGCGAACTCTGGAGGAAGGGGGAAACCTAATCAGCGACCAACCGGGTTATATCAAGACGGGGATATATCAACCTTTCCGACCGCAGATTCTCCTATGGAAATCAGAAAGCATTAGCATGCCATCCCGTGATCCCGACGTAAAGACCACAAAAACATATAAAGATAACATGAAATAAAATAAACCGAAGGAATAGTGGGGGACAACTCACCGAGCAGGACCAGCTTGAACTGAGCGAACCTCGCACCGGGACGGGCGCCTGCTGCGGCTCTGGAAGCCATAATGACAGATGAGGGATGAAACCACCGGTGAACGGGGAAATAAAAGGGGGTGGATGATGGGAGATATGAATGAGAGAGAGAGCGAAAGATCCAGGCAAAAAAAAGAACAGCCAAATGAGATAGATAGGGGGTGGGGGGGAGGAGAGATTGATATGGAAGGGCGAGATGAAGAGAGGAGTGAAGAGTAGACGGATGGATAGCGGGAAGTTGAGTAGTCAGTAGTCAGTAGTCAGTAGGTCAGGTCAGTAGATAGTAACAGTACTACGGTAACTGGTAAGGTAAGTCAGGTAAGTAAGGTAAGGTACTAAGAGTACCTAGGTAGAGAATGACGATGATCAGCCACCGAAGAGGTGGGCCTGTGGCGGTCTTAGTCAGGATGTACGGTACCTGTTTGGTTATCATGTTACATTTGTATCAACATATATTACATCATTCAATATGCCTGTTATATAGATATATACAGTATGTAATACACACCATACAGTCACATACACCACCTGTGCCTGGATGGTCATTCTCTCCATCGTCGTCATCCTGTCGTTTTCTTCCCTGCATTGGATCTTAGTTGGCTACTCTCGTACTCTCGTACTATCGGACTTCGTCTCTCGTTCTCCTGAGGCTGATATGCGTTGTTGATCTGCCTCTTCTTCTCTTCTCCCACGCTCATTACTGGACTGCTGTCGTCCATCTCACTCACCATTCCCGACCGTTTTCGATCCCTCCCTTACTTTCGCCTCATCCCGTCTCGTCTCCCCTTCCATTCATCCATCCATCGTTACCCACCAGGCACTACCATCACGACCACCCCTTCCCCCCGGTGGTGATCGTCAACCATGACCACCTCCGTCCTTCCCTTCCGTGATATTAATCTCCATGCCTCATCCTCGCACTATGCCTTCACCTCCCCGTCGTCCCCGGATGCTCCCACGCTGGTCGTCGACCGTCCGACCGGTGATTTGCGACTGAACAATGGCACGCTGTCCGGTGCCAGACGCATCTCGAGTATTGCTGGCATTCTGGGAATCATCAAGCTGAAGCTGGGTAAGGTCGTGTTGGTGGACGAGAAGCCACGTGGAACCCAACCCTGGAGGGCTAACGATCGCAGACAAGTATATCATCGTAATCACCAAGGCCCAGCCCATGGGGCGCATTCGTGGCCATATGGTCTACAAGGTGGCCGGCACCGAGTTCCTCCCCATGCGGGAGCGTTCCCTACACGACCATGACGAGGATACCTATCTGGCTCTCCTGAAGGAGCTCCTTCGGAAGGGGCCCATGTACTTCTCCTACGCCCTCGACCTCACCAACTCCTTTCAGCGCCAGTCGCAGAGCGACCCCAGCCGCCCCATGTGGGCGCAAGCCGACGATCGCTTCTTCTGGAATCGGTTCATCCAGTCTGACCTGATCGATTTCAGCCTCGGAGTCAACGATGCGACGGGCGTTCGCTACGCCCCACAGCCCGCCGTCGACCCCTATATCTTGCCCGTCATGTACGGAATGCTCCGCATCTCTCCCGCCCGCGTGAAGTCGACGTCCTTTACCTTCGCCCTCATCACGAGACGCTCGAGGCACCGGGGCGGTACGAGGTACTTCTCCCGCGGCATCGATGACCACGGGAATGTTTCCAACTATAACGAGACCGAGCAGATCGCCATCTTGAACGATGCGACCGGTGGGCTGTCGGGCTTTGCCGGTGGGCAACCGATGAAGGAGAAAGCTGCCGAGGTGGGCCGCGATCTCCAGGTCTTTTCCTTCGTGCAGACTCGAGGCAGCGTTCCGGTATATTGGGCCGAGGTCAACAACCTTAAATACACCCCGAAGCTCCAGGTCCGCCGCGTGGAGACCGCCCTCGAGGCCGCTCGCAAGCATTTCGACCAGCAGGTCCGGATCTACGGCGATAACTACCTCGTCAACCTCGTCAACCAGAAGGGCCGCGAGCAGCGCGTCAAGGAAGCCTACGAAGAACTGATTCGGATACTCCTTTCGGCCCCCGCCGACCGAGGCGAGACCGCTGGATCCTCCGAGAAGATCCAGGCCCTGGAGCCCAGCCAGGAACAGAAGCAGATCGACCGACTGCACTACATCTACTTCGACTTCCACAACGAAACCAAGGGTCTGAAATGGCACCGCGCCGAGCTGCTGTTGGATCGCTTGCTGGATGGCCTGAACCAGGGCGGCTACTTCCGGGGCGTCGAACATCCCGGTCTCCCGGGTGGGCAGTTGGATATCCGTTCGCTGCAGGGCAGTGTGGTGCGGACCAACTGCATGGATTGTCTGGATCGGACCAACGTGGTGCAGAGTATGCTGGGCCGGTGGGCCCTGACCCGCCAGTTCACCGACGCCGGCATTCTGCGGCCCGGGGAGGCGGCCAACGACGATAGAGACTTTGAGAATCTCTTCCGCAACGTATGGGCCGACAATGCCGACGTCGTGTCCAAGGCCTATTCCGGAACTGGCGCCTTGAAGACGGATTTCACCCGGACGGGGGAGCGGACCCGCGCCGGGATGCTGCAGGACCTGAACAACTCCATCACGCGGTACGTGCGGAACAACTTCCTGGACGGGCCCCGCCAGGACGGGTTCGACGTCTTCCTGGGCACCTACCTGCCCCCGGAGTCGGCCCTGGGCAGCCTGCAGCTCTTCCTCGACCGCCGGCCGTTGGTCGTCCAGTCCGTCCCCTACCTCCTGGCGGCGGGCGTCTTCATGATTCTGGTGTCCTTGTTTACCAAGCGACTCCCGGACTCCGCCGTCTGGCCCTTGCGCCTCTTTGTCATCTTCTGGCTGATCGTGTCCGCCTGGAGCGCACGCTTCGTCCTTGGCCATGGGATGCTCTATGTAAGTGTTTATCTGTTTATTTGTTTATATGTTTTGCTATCCATGCTGACTGATCAACCCAGGTGAACTGGCCCAAACTCAACACGCCGGCCGCCGGCTCGGAGGGCTACCAGGACGCCCTCATCAAGGCCCGGACGGATCCCATCGTCGGCCAATTCCTCCCCGCCAAACGGCACCAGCGCGGTTACAGCAACGCGCGGTTGGGCTTTCTGGAGGAGGGGAAGACTAGGATCGAGTAATTGCAGCCCGCGATCCGTTCGTCTTTTCGTCTTTTGCGTTCTTTCTCTCCGTACCTTTTCCTTGATTCGTTTATCCTTTTATCCATTACTCTATTTTCTTCCTATTACATTTTATTACATCCCCTTCTATCACCTTTCGTCCGCACTTTTCTATCACTGTAGGCATGTTTGAGCAAGTTGTACTTGTATTGTCGCGTCCCCGAATCTTCTGCTTAGACCTGTCCTGTTCGTCTCGTTTTCGCTTTCGTTCTAGATCACCGCTAGATCTGGACCCGGTGTTGTGGCCACTGCTTTACTTCGAGTGTATAAATTCAACTATCCTTGTCCTTCCACCTCCGCATTCTGGAGATGATCGTGGCATATCTATAAGATATCTATAACGTAGATCAAGACACACGTGACCACACCCCGGATTAAGTAAGTCCCCGGATGGACTCAGGCCTTCCGCCCACTCCGACCGGTGTCATTGGAGCATCTCGTCAACTAGTAGTCGACGAACACCCAGAGACCCTAATGCGGGGTTTGCGCCTACTATCTACATTTCTCAGCCAGTCCCATCAACTGCGTACCTTTTCGTCGCGCCCGGCGAGGATGTCTCGCAACTATGAAGTCAGTCCCACCCGTGAAGTCGGCTCCGACGGTTGTTCATTGCTGATGCGGGGTCAAAACAGGCTGCCATTACGGCGCTCAATTCGCTGCAGACCAACTTTGCGATTGTGCAGGAACTCCAGAAGACTGTGAGTCGAGAGGATAAGAATCTGCAGTCGATTCCGGAGATGGTGGAGTGGTTGAGGCGGATTGGGTATAAGGTTTGTTCTTTGCTGTCCTTCTATAGCTCCACGAGTGCTAATGGGTATCCCCTTAGCAATCCGACCTGAACCAGATCAACCCCGTGCACGTCGCCGGCACAAAAGGCAAGGGATCGACCTCGGCCTTCATCGCTTCGATCCTATCCCAGTACACCGCATCGCAGTCAGATTCGCCCCGAACGCTCAACAAGATCGGTCTGTACTCGTCCCCGCACCTGCGCTTCGCGCGCGAGCGCATCCAGATCGACGGCGCGCCGCTCTCCGAAGAAAAGTTCACCAAGTACTTCTTCGAGGTCTGGGACCGGCTGGAGGCGTCTGCGCAGGCGGCGGGTGAAACCCCGACCGCCCCGCAGACGAAACCGCAGTATTTCCGGTACTTGACGCTGATGGCGCTCCACACTTATGTGAGCGAGGGGGTGGATGCTGCTGTTATTGAGTGTGGGATTGGCGGCGAGTATGACTGTACGAATGTGATTGGGAAGCCCGTTGTGGGTGCGATTACTAGCTTGGGGATTGACCATACTGCTATGTTGGGCAATACTATTGAGCAGATTGCCTGGCATAAGGGTGGTATTATCAAGCCGGGGGTGAAATGCTTCAGTGCTCCTCAGCCTGCTAGTGCGGAGAAAGTCCTCCATGATCGTGCGGCGGAGAAGGGAGCGCAATTGGAGATTGTGAAAGAGGGACTGCCTGAGTCTGCTAGTGGGGGCAGTTTGAAGCTCGGCCTGGCGGGTGATTTCCAGTACACCAACGCTGCTGTTGCGACGGCTGCCGCTGCGGAGTTTCTCAGGACGGTAGGCATCGCGGATATCCCGGGCGACGTCCTAAGCAAGCCCCTTCCGGCGGAGTTCGTGAAAGGTCTGGAGTCCGCTCGACTGGGCGGTCGGTGCGAAACGAGACACGAGGAGAATGTCTCCTGGTACATCGACGGAGGGCATACCTTGGAGAGCATCAGACTGGCAGGCCAGTGGTTCGTGTCGCAGATCCACGCCAACTCGTCCTCCACCACCGCCGCCAACAAGAAGCTGCGTCTCTTGATCTTCAACCAGCAAACGCGCGACAGCAACGCCTTGGCCCGGGCCCTCCACGAGACCCTGTCCGCAGCCTTGGGCTCCGAGCAGCCATTCACGCACGCCATCTTCTGCACCAACGTTACGTACAAGGACTCGGGATACCGCCCGGACCTGGTGAGCATGAACACGAATGCGTCAGACATTGAGAAGCTACAGGTTCAAAACAGCCTCGCGGAGACGTGGCGATCCATCGACCCCCACGCCGAGGTCCACGTCTACGCCACCATCGAAGAGGCCGTCGATTTTGCCCGCGCTCTCGCCCTCAAGGAGAGGGGTCTCGTGGGCAAGGACGAAGCTCCTCTCACGACCTTTGTCACGGGCAGTTTGCACCTGGTCGGGGGGTTCCTCGATGTCATCGAGACGAAGCCCAGTGGGGCTGAAAAGTCGTGATTTTGATGAGTTTCTACTGTTCTTCTTTGTATTCTTTTGTCACTTCTTCCTGTTCCAGTATTCAACAACAGAGCGATACCCGCGAGGACTACAGTCTTTGGTTTCGGTGTGCATGTTTGGCGTTAGTATAGAGCTTCAACAATCTCATTTCCTGTTAGTGGCAGGTCTTTACATATAGAATTGGCTTAATACTTTGAAACGTAGATTGACACCCCTTGATGTAGATATAATATCTGTATCTTGCAGTATTTGTTTCTCTTGTTAGTGGAGCTAACGTGCCGAGGTAATCCTAGAGTGACGCTGTGGCGGCGTGATCACCAAGAATCCCACCCCAACAACCTGAATAAATTGCTACCCATGCGCTAAACACATAATAAGACCTGCTGTAACGACCTCACTCATGATCATGAACAGCACAATATGTACGTACGCCAAGTCCAGAACCAAACTGGTGACGTGACGTGGGGCTGGCTCCGCGTGAAACTTCCCGCACCGCACGCTAATCCCAGGAACGCAATCTCTCTCTCTTTTCCCAACAATTCTCCCCCTCTCCTCCTCCCCACACCACCCCCCCAATCGCGCAAACCACACCCTCCCAACCGCCCCATCATGGCCGACAACAAAGACACCAAGGGCAAAGCGCCCGCAAACCAGACCTCGGAGTCCGGATCCAGCCCGAAACCCTACTCAATCGGCGACAAGCTGACCCCTAAAATGGCGGAGTCGCTACTGGAGAACAACCCCGCCTTGAAGAACGAGATGGCGGGGCTGGGCAAGGACAAGACCGCCGAGGCCCTGCGCAAGATGGACATCGCCGACCTGCTGACGGGTCTGGCGGTGGGCGGGAAGAACCAGAAGGATATGGCCTCTTACAAGTTCTGGCAGACGCAGCCGGTGCCGCGGTTTGACGAGACCGGTAGTGAGCCGAGTGCTACTGGGGGTCCGATCAAGATGATTGATCCGGAGAAGGTGTCGAAGGAGCCGGATGCGCTGGTTGAGGGGTTTGAGTGGGCGACTCTGGATTTGACTAATGAGGTGGAGTTGCAGGAGTTGTGGGATCTTTTGACGTATCACTATGTGGAGGATGATAATGCGATGTTCCGGTTCCGATATTCGAAGGCTTTTCTTCACTGGTATGTATTATTGAGACGACGGACGAAACTCGGAGGTTTCAGAATTGCATTGGTTGGTCGGGTATGAGTGTGTGACTGACATCTTACAGGGCGCTGATGTCGCCGGGCTGGAAAAAGGAATGGCACGTGGGTGTGCGCGCCACCAAGTCGAAGAAGCTGGTCGCCTCCATCTGCGGCGTCCCCACCGAACTCCGCGTGCGCGGCCAGAAGATCAAGGTGACTGAGATCAACTTCCTCTGCATCCACAAGAAGCTGCGGTCGAAGCGGTTGACGCCGGTCCTCATCAAAGAGATCACCCGCCGCTGCTACCTGAACGGCATCTACCAGGCGATCTACACCGCCGGAGTGGTGCTGCCCACCCCGGTCAGCTCCTGCCGCTACTACCACCGTCCCCTGGACTGGCTGAAGCTCTACGAAGTCGGCTTCTCCCCGCTGCCGCACGGCTCCACCAAGGCCCGCCAGATCACCAAGAACCACCTCCCGAGCAACACGTCGAGCCCGGGTCTGCGGCCCATGGAGCTCAAGGACGTCGACGCCGTGCAGGATCTGCTGGAGCGGTACCTGCGCCGGTTCGACATGAACCAGGCGTTCACAAAGGACGAAGTCAAGCACTGGCTGGTCCACAGGGACAACGACGAGCAGGAGCAGGTCGTGTGGTCGTACGTGGTGGAAGACCCGGAGACGCACAAGATCACGGACTTCTTCTCGTTTTACAGCCTTGCGTCGACGGTCATTCAGCACCCCAAGCACAAGGACGTGTGCGCCGCCTACCTCTACTACTACGCCACGGAGACGGCATTCCAAGAGGACATGAAGACTCTCAAGGACCGGCTCCAGATGTTGATGAACGATGCGCTGATCATGGCGAAGAAGGTAGGATACCCCATCTTGAATTTTCCTCGTGACTTCCCATGTGACTGACCTGGTATTCCTCATGTAGGCCCGCTTCGACGTCTTCAACGCGCTCACCCTCCACGACAACCCCCTGTTCCTGGAAGCGCTCAAGTTCGGCGCCGGCGACGGCCAGCTGCACTTCTACCTGTACAACTACCGAACGGCCCCTATCCCCGGCGGCGTCAACGAGAAGAACCTCCCCGACGAGAAGCAGATGGGCGGTGTTGGTGTTGTGATGCTGTAAACAAAATAAGGGCATGATACGAGATACGAGGGTCGATTCTACTCTCGTATACTCCCAGTACTAGTACTTGATATTGGCTGAAAATCTTTTGAGCAACAGCGCAACCAAGCATGATGAAAATGAGATGATATCCCACTATTTATGATTGATTATTGCCTTTGACTTGCATATATCCATCGAGAGTAAATCAGATTTAATCATTGGTAGATTGTAGATGCAGATGTATAGTGTACTGTGCCTGAGTGCCAAGGCTCCGGTTGCGGGCCCCGTGACGTTAAGTTGTCCAGGCTGCCAAGGCCCGCCAAGGAACCCCAATCAGCTTATCGCATCGTCAGTCCATCTCCCCTCCTGCCTTCGTTCATCCTCTCGACTTCATGATCGTGTCTGTAACGGACAGTTGGACCAATACACGCCATCGATGTAATCGGTAAGAGGTACCGATCAATGGATGAGTCACGTACCATAGTATTCCCCTCGAAACTGTCGTCCAATCCTCTCCACGAGAGAACTGACAATGGGTGTGGGTCCCTCGACGGAAGACGGCCAAGCTGGGTCGCCAGGTGAGTCGTCCCATATATCACAGTTATGGGATTGAGATTGAGCGGCGGAGTCGTCATCATCCATACTAACTATATCTGCAGAAGGACTCAGCTACAGGCTAGCTGAGCGCTTCGCGGCCAAATGCTTCACCCCGCTGGAGTTGACCCACTTCAAGGACAACTTCTTTAGCCGCGCGACAGACCAGGACGGGGTCAGGTACTGGAACGAGAAGACGCTTTCTGACTTTCTGGGCATCCCGGACGGGGACGGGGACGGGGACGCCGGCGCGGGCGCTCCCCACTGCCCGTTGGATGCGGGGCCGGTGGTCTTCCGCATGGTTTCGTATCTGGGGGCGTTTCCGTTCCAGAATACCTTGGCGCCTAGTGTTCTTACCTTTGAGGCTATGGTTAAGGTTGTTGTGTTGCTGACGGAGCGCTATGGGAAGGTGTTGCGGCGAGCGCGCAAGGACCGGATTAGGCTGCTTTTTGGGAGTCTGGCGGATGTTCAGAGGAAGGATACGTGGTCCCCGGAGACTCATGAGGATGAGGATGAGGCTGGTGAGGAGGACGGCGGGACTGCCTCTCCGCCGAGGTCGCACGCTCCGGGTTTCCTGATTGATGAGCCTGCGAATGATGAGTACGAGGATGATGATGACGATCTTGCTCTCGCTGCGTTGGAGTCGTTGGATGCCATTGAAGTGTTCAAGCATGACTCGCGCATCGATAAAGCTGTCTATGAGGCTCGCGTCTCCATCACTACCCTCCGTCGTCTGGTGATGCTGTTGTTGGTCATCTCGCCGTTGAAGCCGCTGGAGTCGGTAAAGCCGTATACTTCGGAACTGAGCGAGCAGCGCATGGAGGATATCCGCAATGAAGCGGAGACTATCCTAGCCGCCTTCGGCCAGGAGCCGTCGGGCGGTATTAGCTACAGGTCTTTTGCGCAGACTGTATCTACGTCGCTGCCGTATTTGTTCGACCCGTTAACCCCGTTGTTTGAGCATCTTTTGTTTAGTAAGAATCTGGATCTTTCGCAACGCAGGCGTAGAACCGATTCTACAGAACCGGAACCGGAACCAGAAACAGAACCCGTTGAGGAAGAGGTTGGAGAACCAGGACCGACGCCCTCGCCGTCCGCGCCCTTCTCAATCACCCTCCCGGGGGACTTTGAGTCCGCTATACTGAGTCCAACCGTCGTGTCTCATCTCTCTTTCTTCCTTCCCTCGACATCGGCCGATGTGAACATCCTGCGCGGCAACGTGCGTCTGCATCCCGTCTTCTCGACCGCAGCACACGGGTCGTCTTTGACATCATTCTCCCACAACGTCCTCACCTGGCAGTCGAGCACGCTTCTCCTCCTCGACGGAACCCTCGATACCGGAAAGCCCATCACAATAGGCGCATACCTCCCACAACCGTGGAAATCCAGCACCTCAATATCAAAAGCCTCCGAAACCACCACCCTCCCCTGCCTCTTCCAGCTCTCCCCAACGCACACCGTCCTCCCAGGGAACTCATCCCCATCCGTCCGAAACGTCCCCAACGCCCCCGCAGCCTACTTCTCCACCGAAACAGGCCTCGCCCTCGGCTGCCAAATCCCGCCAGCATCCCGCTCCCAAAAACTACCCCCAACCCCCCACGGCGCAGGAAGCCTAACAGTCGACACGAGTCTCGAAACCGCCGACCTCCACATCTCCACCATCGGCTCCAACGGCGTCTTCCTCCCCCCACCCTCCTCCCCCTCATCCTCCCAAGACCACACGACCTCAAAAACCCAAATCAACATCCTCAACCTCGAAGTCTGGGGCGTGATGCCCGACCCCGCAACCGCATCTTCAGAACAAGGCCAAAGCGCCATCGAGAAACAGCGGCAGAAATGGGACTTCGAGGCGCGTGAGGCTGAGCGTCGACGAAATCTTAATTTGAAGGCGGGGGCTGGTGACCCTGCGAGGGAGAGCGCGCGCTGGTTGCTCGAGACGGCGGGGCTTGTGGGGGGTGAGTCGAGGTATTTGTAGTTGGATGTTTTGGTTCATTTTCTTATCTTTATCTTTATATATTTATTGTTTTTATTGTGTTTAATGCCCAGATCCCGATGACTGCGGCGAGGGAATCTCCCTTAGACTGTGAGAGCTACCCACCATACTCAATATGTGAGTATGTATACTGTGGGCGCATTGTTCGGGTTATTTTCTTGGTTTGATCAACATTATTGGAATAGTATCGGTGTTTTTAGACACAGGCAATTGATAACTTGGATATTTCTATATTATATCATACAGTGTCCTGTCTTTCATAGCCCGAGCATCAATACAAAATGAAATGCATATAAGCAGTCAAGGCCCACTACATGTAGTTACATACTACGCCAATCAATAAACCCCCATAGGCGAAAGCCCCGTCGGCGGACCATAATAATCCCTAAGCTCCTCCTCCTCTTCCTCTTCCTCCAGCGGCTCGTCCTCGCCCGCAGTATCCACCATCTCAGCATCCGACTCCGCCGCCTCAGCGACCTTCCCTCTAGAATGTCGACTGCGGCTGCGACTGCTGTGCGGAAGAGGCGTGCTTCCTTTCCGGACTCGTTCCTTTTCCCTCTCCTTTTCTTTCTCCTTGTCGGCACTGTCGATTTCCTCAACAGGACGATCCTCCCGAGGAAGACGGAACGCGAGGAATCCATCCGGCGCGCGCTCCGCACGGTCCATGATCTCGTTCATGTATTTGCGGACTTCGTCGGCGGGCTTGACGATGCGGCTGAGGGGTTCGAGGACTTTGGCGTTTGTGGTGTGGATGCGCCATGTGATGGGCTGGTAGTATTCTTTGAGGTTGGTATTACTGATGGGGTCGGGGGTGTCCTTGGCGTCGGAGGATTTTTCCTTGGTTTGGTCTTTTTCGGGCTTGGTTTCTGATGATGCGTCCTTTTGGTCGGGCTTTTGGAGGTCTTGTCCGGAGGTAGGCTTGTTGTCCGTGGGGCCTTGCGGGTTCGGGGTTACTTGGGCGCTGGAGGTGGCATCTTTGTCTTTTCCGTTCGTGTCGCCCTTTTCCTTGGGGTTATCCTTGCCCTTGTCTTGCTCTTTGGTGTCTTCGGCGGTCTTCTTCTTCTTTTTGGATCGGGATCCTGCCTTTCCTTTTGCCCGCGAGTTATTCGTCTCCGTTGGGTTCTCGATGGGAAAAGGTGCGTTTGGGTCGACCTTCTTGACGAGCAAGAACGATGCGAGTACCGTGGTGCCACCAGGGAGATATTCTAAAATCGTATACTCCGGGAAGAGGTAGCGGTCTCCAGAGCCTGCGTGGCCAGAAGTGCTGCTTCCATATGGTGTCAAGGGGGAGGTGAATTCGAACACCACCGACTTGTAGTTGATTCTGGGTGGGGCCGGCGGCGGCGGTGGCGGGCCAGGGTGGTAGTACGGAGACGGGGCCGGAGAGTTTTGTTGTGGGGGTCGGGACTGGATTGAGGGTGGAGTGGCCTGATGGGGCGTTTGCGGAGGGGGATAGGGTGGCCCGGGTTTCGGTCCCACGCTCTGCGGTTGGGGCGGGGGCGGCATTGGTCGAACGGCGGGACTGGATGGGTTCGGGGTTGCACTCTGTTGCGCTGCTAACGGTGGAGCAGGCGTGATACTAATGTTAGATGTGCCAGCCGGGGGCGGTTGCGCTGGCGGTGCCCCGGGCTCTTGCTTCACCTGCGCGGCTGTACTAGGCTGCTGGGGCGTGGGGTTCTGGGGGGATTTCGGCGGGGTTGATGTTGATGCCTGAGGGGTGGCAGGAGCAGATGGCGTCAGCCTCGGAATTTGCACCTCGACGCGCTGCATTTGCTGAGGCGGCCTTTTCTGATCATTCTGTTGGGCTGGCTGCGGTGACGGCTGGGGAGGGTGTGGAGTGCGGGGCGCGGCTTTCGTTTGAGGGGTGGAAGGTTGCGATTGCTGCGGTTGTTGCTGACGCTGCTGCTGTTGCTCCCTGGCACGAATGATGGCATTGAGCTCATCGATGTGGGCCTGAAACGCTCGAAGTTGCTCCTGCGATGCCTTGCTCGATGCCACCACCCTCATCAGAGCCTTCAGTTCCGGGTCGGAAGCAGCCCTTGTTGCCAGCATCTGAATCACGGGGTCTGGACTGGGTTTAGCAGGTTGGGCGGGTGGAGGGTGTTGAGCCGGCGAGGGTCGCTGGATGGGCTGGGTTGGCTGCGGGCCGGAAGGAGGACGGGGAGTTTGGTTGGGGGTCTTTGCCGGGCGTGCAGGGGGTGGATGCGGCGATTGGTAATAACCCGGCTGCGGGGGAGCTGGGCTGGCGGGGGGGTGTTGGTTCGACTGCTGTCGTTGATTCTGCGATGGAGGAGGCTGAGGCTGATACTGTTGGAAATTGTTTGGATGGCCGTAGTGAACCATCGGTCGTTGGGGGGGAGTGTATTGGATCGGGGGCGGCGCATTGGGGTCTTTGACCGTGTAGACCATGGCATCGAAGAGATGAGGCCCGACCACAACGCTGCAGGGCCCGACCTTCGACATGGTCTCCTTGGGCGGATTCTTCCCTTCTATCTGCTCTCTCTTGGACTTTTTCGGTTTCGTCCAGTACCGCACGAGGATGCCATCGCTCAGCCATTTCTTCTTCGACCGTTCCAACGAAGCGAGAAGCACAGCACTATAACGCATCAGTCACCCTGTTGTTCTTGAGCAGAGCGTATATTCGTCTCCCCGCTAGTCGCATAGTATCAAGCATACCTTTCCGCGATTGACTGATAGTCTGTGGACGGCAGGTTGTCAGGCTGCGGTGCTGTCAACGTCGGCAGCCCTTCTCCGTCTCGAATCTTCGTCGGCAAAGGTGGATCGACGGGCGCTGGCGGTGGCGGCGGAGGGGGCGTCGGAGCAGCAGCGGGAGTGGAAGCCTTCTTCTTGGATGACTGTTGGGGTTGCGACTGAGGCTGGGGCGTATTGGCTTCGGAGACTCGCCGTTTGGCCGCAGGTTCGCGACGGTCACGAGCAGACAACCGGCGTTTTTCGGCCATCTTGGGAATCACTGGAATTTAACACAAAGCAGAACAACAAGATAGACCACCCGAGGAAATTGTAAGCATCTCGAGGGGAACTTGGCGACAATCGGATGAGAGGGAGACGGAGAAGTGAAAGAGACGCGACAAGGAGAAAAAGAGGAACGTTGGACCATCGTCACGGGCCCTGTTCACCGCCTTCCACCGGGGCGGCAGAATCGGGCGTTATCAACAACTCCATCACTATCGCTCTATCGCTCGATCATCTCCACACTTCCCATTGTCCCCTGACGAGATTATCTGGCCATGGTGGAGTTGCAATCCATCTTCAAAAAGGCCTACTGGTCGCTGGCCGCTGCTGGTCTTGTGTACATGAGCTTCGTCTGCTCCATGACCTATCCGACCGTCCAACGAGCGTAAGAGCTCCGATCCATACGGGCGATGGAGACCGCTGATGCGCAATGACAGAGCTCTCTACGTGAACAAAATCAACCCTGCGCTGTGGCAAGATGTCAATCAAGTAGAGAAATTCGGATTTTTGAGTAGGTCAGAAAACTTTTCTCAGAAGGCGCAAGCCATTGACTTGGCCAGAGACACAGGTTCAACCCTTCAATTTGACTACTCCGGATAACGAGTCGCTCTACACATGGCATCTCCTCCCACTCCATCTGTGCCGGGAGCATGAGGAACTGCTCAACGCGAATGAGCCGTCGGGCCCCGCAGAGGACTATACCCAGAGCCCGGCGTTTCGACTGTTGGCGGACGACCCCAACGCTCGTGTGGTAATCAGCTGTGCGTAATCCTGGACGGTTGAGACAAGCCGTGGGCAATTCACTAACGATCTGTGCTGGTCAGTCCACGGAAACGCCGCCCACATTGGCTCCGCGCAGCGACCAGAGATCTACCGTCAGCTCCTAGGTCTCTCGACGCCAGCGAACCCCGTCCATGTATTCGCAATGGACTACCGCGGATTCGGCATATCAACCGGTTCCCCAACCGAAGAAGGCCTGATCACAGACGGAGTATCCCTCGTCAACTTCCTCACCGCCGGCCCTCTCAAGATCTCTCCATCCCGCATCGTCATCGTCGGCCAAAGCCTCGGAACAGCCGTCAGCGCAGCGGTAGCAGAGCGGTTCGCCTTCGGATCTCCCGATCCGACAGCCATCCAACCAGCAATCAAAGACCCCGAACCATTCGCCGGCATAGTCCTCATGGCATCATTCAGCAACGTCCCCAGCCTCATCGACTCATACAGCCTCAAAGGAATCGCACCCCCAATGCTATCTCCCCTCATGGGCTACCCGCGCATCCAAAAGTGGACAAAGGGCCACATCCTCGACCGCTGGGACACAGCCGCGCGCGTCGCACGACTAACAGGCACCGGGCCAACCGCCGAGGAGGACTCCAGCAGCGCATACGCACAGAAGGGCCTGGACCTGGTCATCGTCCATGCATGGAACGATGACGAAATCCCATGGTACGAAGGCCACCGGGTCTGGCTGGCCGCGACGGGCGGAAAGCAGAAGAGTCCCCCGGGTACTATTGTCTACGAGCGAAAGGACGCCAACGGCCCTAGCGAAGTCCGCGTCTGGGAGAACAAGCTGGCGGATGCGGTGAAGAGGGTCCGGTGGGAGCGGGTCACCTACGGTGGTAAGTGGGCAACACTGGATACAGAAGAACACGGACGCTAATCTCACATGCGCTGCTATGTAGGTCATAATCGCGTCGCTACTTTCTCGGCCGCCACACTCGCTGTGCTTCGGGCTTTTGAGGAATGATCCACCTCTGCTTTTAGGATCACCTTGGTGATGTATAGATTTGCTACATTTGGTTTAAGACCACGCGATCTATAGCAGACGGTGCTTGGCACCAAAAGACCCTTACAATAAAAACCACACTACAAGAACAAACCCGATCTAGCCAAACAAACACCTGAATTCATATTGACACAATACCCCAACTGCAGTTATGAGAGGAGATAAAAACCTAACCAGAACAAAATTCGAAAGCATACATATGTACATATAGAGTGTCTGTCTGTCTCACCTGTCCCGACGACGATATAACACACCCATCCGGTCTATATCATACACAGAAAACAGACGCAGTCACATTTCGTTCTAGAAAAAAAAAAGAAAAAAGCGAGAAAGTTTTCGATATAAAACGCCCACAGGGTCTATCTGTCTGTTGTTGTTGTTGGAAGTAATACATGGCGCCAAATTAAACGGTTAGGGAAAGAATACACATCGACTTCGTTTGGAATACATGTCGAGAAGGTAGGAGGGGAAAAGGGCGGGGCGATATGTCCGAGATCAACTGGGCGAGAGCTGACCGCGGGTTATGTAGTCGAGGGGGGGAGAGGGAGCGAGGAGAGTTGGCCATTTATTTCTTGTGGCGGTCGGCCTGGGCCTTGAGGTACTTCTGGATGAGTTCCTTCCTGTAGACGCGATATGATTAGCATTGAGGGCGGACAAGAGGAGATTGGGGGAGGGACTGTAAGGGCTGAGTGGAAGGAACGTACTGTAGGTGACCAGGAGCCCTCTCGTAATGGCTGAACTCCATGCTGTATTCACCCTTGCCTTGGGTGGCAGCGCGCAGGTTACTGCTGAAACCAAACATGCCGTTCAGACTGCAGTCGGCATAGATGGTGACTTCATCGACACCGACCTCGGAATCGTTGATGGTCGCACCACGCTTGTTCAGCAGCGAAATGAGATCACCCTGGAACTCGGCCGGCGCGGTGACAACGGTCTTCATCAGAGGCTCCAGGACGGAGGGGCCGCTCTCATTGAACGCCTTGCGGAAGGCCTGCTGCGTAGCGTTCTTGAAGGCCATTTCGGAGGAATCCGTCATGTGGGTGGCACCGTCGTTGATCACCATGCGCGTACCAAGCACCTTGTGGCCGATCAGAGGACCCTTCTCGCAGGAGAGGTGGAAACCCTTCTCACAGGCGAACAGGAACTTCTCCGAGATGCTACCACCGACAATCTGTTCCTCGAAGTTGTTCTCCTCGAGCTTGCCGGTGGGTTCCATCCAGCCGACGACACGGGCGTAGTCACCCGGACCGCCGGACTGCTTCTTGAGCAGGTGGTCGAACTCGACACGGCCGCCAATCGTCTCGCGGTAGGCGACCTGGGGCGGGCCGGTCTCGCAGTCCACGCGGTATTCGCGGCGCATGCGCTCCAGGTAGATGTCCAGGTGCAGTTCACCCATACCGGAGATGAGCGTCTGCTCACTCTCGGCATCGTGAGTCACGCGGAAGGTGGGGTCCTCGCGCTGGAATCGGGCCATGGCCTTGGAGAAGTTGGCGCCGTCCTTGTTGTGCTTGGGCTTGATCGACAGGGAAATGACCGGCTCGGGAACGAACATGGAGGACATGCTGTAGCCCAACTGCCCGTCGGTGAAGGTATCACCGGAGGCGCACTCCACACCGAACACGGCACAGATCTCACCGGCTCCGACTTCGGAGACATCCTCCATTTCGTTGGAGTGCATGCGGACGATGCGAGGGATCTTGACCTTCTTGTCGTTGCGAGCGTTGAAAACATTCATACCCTTGCGGAGGGTACCCTGGTACACGCGGATGTAGGTCAACTGGCCAAAGTTGCTCTCCTCCAGCTTGAAAGCCAGACCAACCATGGGAAGCGAGTTGTAGGGCACGAGTGCCACGGAAGCCTCCTTGCGCTTCTTGTCCAGGGCGAGATTCTGCACCTCGGAGGGGTTGGGCAGGTAGTCCACCACACCGTCCAGCATCGGCTGCACCGACTTGTTGGCCAAGGCCGTGCCCATGAACACGGGAGTGAACTTAAGGCTGATGGTGGCCCGACGAATGGCGGCTTTCAGCTGGTCCTCCGTGGGCTGCTCCTCGAGAATGAAGAGCTCGGCAATCTCGTCATCGACATCGGCGAGGGTTTCGATGAGCATCCTTCTGCGCTCGATGGCGATATCCTTCACCTTGTCGGGGATCTCGTCCGTCACGTGGATTTCCTCACCACTCTCTCCCACGTTGTAGTGAGCCTTCATGTGGATCAGATCAACAATACCCTCGAACTCGTCTTCCGCGCCGATGGGCACCTGGACGGCAGCCGCGGGAATCTTCAGCTTGGAGTTGATCTGGTCGACGGCCTTGAAGGGGTTGGCACCCATCCGATCCATCTTGTTGACGAAGGAAATACGGGGCACGTTGTACCGTTTCATCTGTCGATCCACCGTGATGGTCTGCGACTGGACACCGGACACGGCGCACAGAATCATGACGGCTCCGTCCAGAACGCGCAGCGCTCGCTCGACTTCGATGGTGAAATCGATATGGCCGGGGGTGTCAATCAAATTGATGTGGTACTTTTGGTCCTTGCCCTCGGCGTCCTTCTTCACCCAGTCACAAAAGGTGGCAGCGGACTGGATGGTAATACCCTTTTCGCGCTCCAGGTCCATGGAGTCCATCTTGGCACCCACCGCATCACGACCACGAACCTCGTGAATGGCCTTGATACGACCGGTGTAGAAGAGGACTCGTTCGGTACAGGTGGTCTTACCGCTGTCGATATGGGCCTATCGTGAAACTCTTGTTAGTGGATCGGTCCGGTTTGTTGCCCCCAACGACCCGGAAGCCTTACCGCGATACCAATGTTTCGCACTCGGGACAGTCGCTCGGCCTCGACGGGATCCAAGTTCTCGATGATGGCCTGCTGGGACAAAGTCTCGGGGTTGGCGGCGGCGGCTTCAAGACTAGAGGAAGTAAACAGATTAGCTTGAGTAGACACCAAGAACAACGAGAACAAAACAGGCAACAGAAAGAGAAAGAAGGGCATCTGTTACTCACACCGCCGATGCCGTCGCCGAGGCATTGCGTCTCTGGGAGAAGTCCTTGTTCAAGACCGCAGACCGATAGAGCGGGACCGCGGAGGGCGAACGGAAAGCGGCCGTGGACGCGCATCTCTGGGACAAGAAGGTCTGAGACTGCAGACGAACAGGAGCTTTGGTCAGGCCAGAAACGGCACGGTAGGGCAACCGTGTAAGCGAAGGACACCTCATGGCTATTTAACCCCCAGAACACCGGGAAATTGATCGAGCGCAGGTGCTTTGGGGAAACCAAGAAGAATCCACGCGCGAGAAAAAAAGTTCGGGGAAGCCAGGAACGGGTCACGTGGGGAGCCGGATTGGCCACTCAGTGACCAGGATTAAAACGATATCAGGCCATTTACTATGACTATTTTATGACAGCTTGGAATTGGGTGAGAAATAATAGACTGAACTGAACTAGATTATAGAAATATTTATATAAATTTACTTTGATTCGATTGACTGTCTACAAAATTCTCCATGTCTACATCTATACAGAATATCCGTATCATACGTGACAATACGTGCTCACCGCCTTCACTTCCGCGGATATCATGATGTCTTGGACCAGATGGAATACCTCCAATTCTCCAACTGATTCAATGCGATCTGTTCGCCACTCTGGTGATTGTCTAGAATAGTAGACCCAGCGATGCGACAGGGTATGCGATTGCTCGCGGCTGTCTCGCGTGGACAGTCGTCGAAGCTGAGGAAACCGGCCGTCAGCCTAGACCATGTGTGGACTCTTGCATAGATCTTCTGCAGCTGCACTGCTAACACTAAGAGACAGTTTATTCAGAGACAGCGGGTTCTTGGTCTTTGGCGGGAGATTGTCAGGGCGCTGCACAGTCAGTATTACCTTGCTTTATGTTATCTTTATTTTTATTTATCAAAATTATCGTACTTCGAGTCCGTACGCTGACACTCGCGCAGAGATCCCACCGTCATCAACTCGAGATGAACTGCATAACTATGCCCGACATGAGTTCGAGCGACGTCGCGACATCACAGACTTGGTGAGTGGCCAAGCTTTCCGGTAGTAATGAATGTGCGGTACTGACAGGATGCGCAGCAACATATCCGGTACTTGCTTTCGGTATGAATTCCACCGGACCTTTCGAGATCCTAGGCATCTAACAAAGAGCAGACAGGAAAGGCCGAATTTGACACCATGAGACGGTATATAGACGAGCAAGTTGTAGGCTGAGGATGAGATCAAACCACGTCAAAGACCGGCATAGAGTCGGGAAGGCTTCTGGATATTCACTGGCCCCAAAAAAAAGAGAGACATATGTACAATAAAATATGATACCCAAAGAAACATCAGACGGTTCCAATTTCTGCATCAATCACTACTGTCTCGACCACAGCAGCTTCACGGCATCTAATACCCCCACGGACTTCTCCTCGGAGGCCTCAATAGCGGAGCGAGCGGCGTCCGGCGGGGACGGCTTCTTGCCAGCCTCCTTGGCGGCCGCCTCAATGGCCGCATGACGCTCACGCCAGTCGCGGTCCTCCTTATCGCGAATCTCCAACTCGCGCAGCCAGGCATCGCGCTTCTCCTGGCTGTGGCGCTCCTCCACCGCTTGGTCGAACTCACGGCGCTGCGTGCGCTCGACCTTGTAGTACATGCCTCCGGCAACGACGGCGAACAGGGTGAAGCCTTGGGCGTAGATACGGGCGCGGAACATGCGGTTCATTTCGACCGAGTCACCCACTTTCATGGAACGATAGGCGCGGTAGAGCGCATAGCAGGTAGCGGCGCATCCTGCGGATCAAAAATACCAGTCAATCGATGGGCTCGGTCTTGTATGGACATGCAAAGGGTAATAAGAGTGGAGAAATTACCCAGCGGGATCAATGGCTCCTCCTTGAGTCTTCTGCGGAACTTCTGAAGCGACGTCTCCTCTTCAAATTGACTAGATACTCGTCAGAGATGTCCGTACTCGTACACTGTCGGAGTCTCCGGATACGCACGGGCTATCCTCGAAGGACGAGGGAAGAGGTTCTTTGCTCATGCTGACGGTATACGACCAGTATTATCCGTGGACGAGTGCTGTCTGAGGTGAGGATTTTCGATCTTTGCAGGTACAGAACGAGACGACGGTCAAGCAACCGGTTGGAACGCGCACCCTGGGTTCGAGTCAGCAATCCCCTCTCGAGACAACGCACACAACCACACCAATCAAGAAAGATTACCTTTGTTGTGAGACTTGACTGTGCTCCTGCGATGGATCGAGGAGAATTGAACTGTTTTTCACCAGGGACGAACCATGGCATGACGTCGCTCGGGACCGGGGCGGTAATTTTGAAATCCCAGGTACGCTGCCGTACCGGACGGTATCTTTTGTGGTCTCGACTATCATGCTATGCACGATATACAAAGTCAGATACCACGTTAGATATCTATGTATTGGATTATTTCAGATATATACTAAATTGCAGGAATAATAGATAGTCTTCTTCTATATCCTACTATCGTTTACCTATTTCAATAATGATTTTCTTCCCTTGTTTGTAGACAAATAAACAACCAATCGGAGTGGACTCAGGCAGAACCACCGGAATCCCGGCCGTACAAAGTTCCGGACAGCGTTTGCTCCGAGCAAAAGCGGCATCTCCGTCAACACTTGCGATCATCGCTCTCCCCCAGTCCATTTTCCCGGCCCCAATTCCGCCTCTAGATCGGTCTCGCATCTCTCTATCGGCGGCTATAGAGGATCCCGATCTCTCCGCCACAATGCTGTCCTTCCGCTCTCTGTTGCGCCCCTCGACGGGAGCCCTGCGCCAACTTCTCCCCTCCATGATCCGCCAGCCGTTCTCCCACGTCGCCCGCCCATTTACGCAATTAACACGATTGTCTCTCGGTAACGGTCTGCGGAGTCTGCGCGCTGGAAAGGCGCAGACGGAGAATGTGTCTGTTGCGAGTGTGGGGTCCACCGTCCGACAGATTGAACAGGTCCGGGGGATGAAGACACGATCGTCTGTGAAGCGGCTGTGTGATGGGTGCAAGGTATGGATTGGACAATATAGAAGTGGACAGTCTGTTGAGGATTTTTACTGATACTGTGATTCAGCCCGTACGGAGAAAGAACCGCGTCTATATCATCTGGTAAGTCTACGCTCGAGGGACGCTCTGACATGATACTCACAGTTCGGTACAGCTCGAAAAACCCCAAGCACAAGCAACGGCAAGGGAAATAAATGTCATGAGCAGGGGAGGTAGAGAGGAATGCGGAAAGTCGTCGGATGGGACTTCTAGGCTCTCGAGACCGCGGCTTGAGGCATAGATACGTTTGTGGATATACGGCATCGTCTGGATGCCCTTCGGGACTGTTCGCATGTTTATTGTTGACTGGGAATCCACCAGCTGGTTGGTTACGGCGCTTATGTTGAATACTGCTTCATATATGTATAGTACAATGTGCATTTCAATTTTACTTGGACTTTTCACCTGATAGGCAACTGATTGAGCCGCAATCTGCACTGTCTGGATTCGCACCCGCTATCCCTCTGTCATATGGCAGTCAGAAAAGAAAAAGACCTGCCACTAGGCAACTCACTCATTCGGAATGTCAGCCACCGCGGGCCTTGAATGTCGAGCAGTCATATCTGTCTGTACCTCTGAGAACCACAGTGCCAACGGGGGATGCGCACCAGCATTCCCACCAGCCTACTTCTAAACAAGACCAAGGTCAGGAATGTGTCTCCTGGGCTGTCTTTCGCATTATAAAGCTTAGCCCCCAGGATCCTCCTCTGACATCTTCTCTTCCCTCCGCTAGCATCTACCCCTGACCTCTATTTACCATGGTTCGCTTCAGCACTGGTCTCTGCCTCTGGGTCATCCCAGCGGCACTTGCGTCCCCCTTTGCTGGCATATCCCCTAAGAGACACCTTTCCCTGCATTCCGTCAGTGATGACGACTCCATCAAGCACAGCGGAGGCCGTGGCCCATACCTGGATCGCGACAGCGTGGGCATAGACCGCGACACACCAGCAGGATGCTCCGTGGACCAAGTCATCATGATCAAACGCCACGGGGAGCGCTACCCAGCAAAATACGAAGCCAAGCCCATCCTAGACGCTCTGCAAAAGGTGCGCAAAGCAACCATCACCTCCGACAGCGGCGACCTCGCCTTCGTCCGTAACTGGGAGTACTACGTCCCCGACGATTGCTACGATGTGGAGACCACAACAGGCTCCCATGCCGGCCTCCTGGACGCTTACAACCACGGCAAAGAGTACCGCGAGCGGTACGGGGGTCTCTGGGATGGGGAGAACGTCCTGCCGCTGTTCGCGAGCGACTTGCATCGAGTGATTGACACGGCGCGGCACTTTGGCGAGGGCTTTTTCGGCACGGAAGAGTACTTGTCCAAGGCGGCGCTGAATATCATCTCCGAGTCGACGGATCGAGGCGCTGATTCTCTGACGCCCAAGTGTCGTGGGAGTAAACCTGCCTCGGAGGAGATTTGCCATGGTTGGCCGCATGATCTGCCGCAGTTTCATCCGGCTGCGGAGCGCTTGAATGCTCAGTATCCGGGGCTGGATCTGGACTGGAAGGATGTCCTTTGGCTGATGGGTGGGTAGCTTCCTTCCCTATAATCAGGGCTTCCTTTGCTGATTCTGGCCAGCTATGGCCGCCTACGAGCTGAACGTGCGTGACCATTCCGAGTGGATCAAGGTGTTCACCATGGACGAATGGGTCAATTTCGACTACGCGTGGGGGATGAGTTTCTACTATTGCTCTGGGTGAGTATATCCCTGAATTATTCCTCCAGCTTCAGTTTCCACAGTCTTTAACAGCTACGACAGTCCCGGAAACGAGCACTCTCGCGCGGTAGGAGCCGTATACGCCAATGCCAGTCTCGCCATGCTCAACGACGGCCCTGCAGCCGGGAGTCTCGTTTTCAACTTGTATGACACCCTTAGTCCCATCCATCACTACCACCCTCCCCTACTAACCAACCACCCCAGCGCCCACGATGACAACATCACCCCCATAATCAACGCCCTCGGCATAGTCAACCCAGCACACGACCTCCCCGTAGACCAAATTTCGTTCACGGACACCTGGCCACTCCCACAGCTCGTCCCCATGGGCGGCCGGCTCACCATCGAGCGCCTGCAATGCGACGCCTCGGCTCTGGGCGCCGGGGGTCCCTACGTGCGTCTGGTGCTGAACGAGGCCGTCGTGCCCTTCCGCAACTGCGTGTCGGGCCCGGGCTACTCGTGTCCGCTGGGCAATTATACGGAGATCTTGTCGAGTGGGTTGCCGGACTTTGCTGCCGAGTGCGCTGTTCCGCCGGAAGAGCCGCAGTATTTGGACTTTTGGTGGAAGTATAGTGGTTCTGGTGCTGCGAATGATTATGTGTCGAAGGAGTTGCAGAATTGCCATCCTCTTGGGGCGTGAGTTAGGCTGTGATGGAGTTTGTGTGGTTGGGCAAGCACAGTGTGCTGTGATGCTCTCATTTAGTGTCTTGTTGTAACTCTATATCAGCCAAAACCTAATCTATAGTATAATGGTATAGTCGGAAATCAAAAGTGCCTGCACTTCCCATTAGCCGACCCGACTACTAACACTCTGATACAGCCAGTCTCTCCACGTCGGGTCGCCCAAGATCGACCTGACACGGGCTTCGAGCCATTCAGTGTTTCCCCAGAAACCCCAGGAGGCCTGAAATCGGCACCAGTCCACCAAGGCCGTCTCCCAGTGCCGTTTGAAATCTTCCCATTCGTAGCGATCGGGTTCTTCATTGCAGAGGAGACTCTGGCGATACCGCTCCAGCAGTTCCCTCTCACGATCACACATCGTCAGCTCCTCCGGCAGAGGCTCGTCGACATCATCATCAAGCAACATATGCAGCGGGACCGAGCACGTAAACAGCTTAGCCAGGTCACAGACTCCTAGACCCAGTCCAACGTACTGGAAATCAAAGAACGCCACCTCATCTCCTTTGGTCGTGGTGAAGAGATTCTCCGACTTGACGTCGCCATGGATATATGACTCAATATGCCGTCCACAAGGCGTCAAGACCAGCGCTGCCATCTCAGCAATAGACATCGCGGACCCCTCCGGCACCCTGCACATGGCGTCCGACCACTCCGAGTAAGAATCCTCCGCCAAAGAAGCATACTCTGTCCGCCGCGTCGCAAGGTACGTGTACCCGCCATTAAGCCACAGCTTGCTTCCACCAGCAGCATCCTTGCCCCTCCTCCTCCTGGACTCTTCAAGCGGCGGCAATAGATATGCCCCCGCTCCTCATCATCATCACCACCCCGCCGCAACAGCCCCCACGAGCGAGCATGAAAACGCGCCAACCAGCCCAACGCCCCACGCACCTGCACACAATCCAACGCACTCCTCTTCCCACCAGCAACCGGAAACCGCGGTCTCAAATCCGCCATAACAATAGCCATCAGACCGCGGAGTTCCTCCTCCTCCTCTCTCTCTCCCGATCTCACGCCGTCACGCGTCGAAGTCAAACACTTCGCAACAGCAATACCATCACCCAACAGTGGAACCACATCAGCGTAGAAATGTAGCTCCACCTCATAGCTCAGCATCTTCCTCAAGTGGCCCTCGTCTTCATCTTCTTGGCCGCCAGCACCTTTGCGCAGCGGCGGAGGGGAAATGAGCTTCAAGATAAGAGGATACGTGCTCCCCGCTGATCCAGTCGGTACAGCTCCGCACAGCGCGCTGACGTGCTTCGCTGCGGCGTCGGTCGTTGCGCGCGCTGTTATGGCGCATATTTGACCGTAGCCTGCCCATAGTGTCTGGAGTGTTTTGCATGAGACTAGGTCTAGTGAATGGCGTGAGAGCAGGATCTGCGCGACGCGATCGGGAGTCGGCGTCATGGTGATTTGAGCGGGCCTGGCCAAGAAATCACCGCGGGTGTATATCAAGTTGTTGTGTTGTTGAATGGTCGGTTGGAACGATGCCTGATATGTGGAGAAGCCGGGTGGATATCACGTGATATTCTTACATTGATGTAGTAGATGGGTTTAAGATGGGCGCACTTGGTGCAGAAAGGTAATTTAGATTCACTATGGAGTGTTTTGGTCTGATGGGATTGAATCAAGTACATAGGGGTTCCAGGCTCACTTCAGAGTAAAACGAAGTCCACGGTTCCAGGATATCAAATGGTAAAGTGTATAGTAGAGGATTTGTAGCTCTCAAGTAAGCAAGTAAGGTATAAACAGTATTGAATCAGACAGCAAAATCTATGCAATCTCAATCTCCTCCTTTGAGAGTTCCACAGGTGAATTGGCCCCCGAACCCCTCGGCGTCAGAGACACCCCCGGATGCATTCTCTGGACATGCAGGTTAAGATTCCACCGCCGCGAGAACCCATCAGTGCTTCGCTTGCAGGTCCTGATGGGGCAGATCAAGTCTTGCTTGCGGTGCCGGCCTTTGCCCTTCGGTTTGGACCCGTCGTCGTCCGTATCTGGCGCAGCGGAGCTGTTCGCACGCGAGTGTGACTGTCCCTTTGTCGAGATAGCCCGGGAGTGAGGCCGGCTGGATAGAGGTGGTGGTGACGCCGGGGGTGAGGGCCTGGTTTCCTCTTCTGACTCGCTTCCGATATAGCCCCAGCGAGAGCTTTCTTCTCCTTCTTGTTGTACCTCTTGTAGCTTGCCCTCTTTGAAAGTCTGGAAAGACATATCCTCCCCGAATAGCGCCGCGCAGCGCTGTGAAGTTCGCATTACCGCGGCAGAGGGCAGTCCAAGCATGGACGCCACGCCCAAGACCTCACTCCAGTCTCGGACGCCGAGACGGACGCGGCTACGAGACCGGCCTCGGTCGCTTCCGGGAGACCGTCCCCGAGATCTGGTTGAGTCTCGCGACTTCGAGGCGCGGGCTGAATGCGCGTGAGATGTATGTACACTTCGGGAACGAGTGCCGGTTGATGCGCCTCCCCTGGACGCCCGTCGCGTGCGCTTCCTGCCTCGCGACTGGCTCCGTTCTGCGGAAATGGCTGTGCGTTTTTTGGGCGATGAGGTCCCGGAGGCTATACTCTCCGCGTCGGTCGGCGGCTCGCTGGCGCTGTCGTCGGCGGCGAGTCCGCTTTGCCGAGCATGGTGTAGGCCCATGAGGAGACGGTCCAGCTGAGTGAGGACGTTCCTGGTGATCGGACATAGCTGTTGTCGTGAAAGGTCGTCGTCCGCTTGAACAGCCGGTCGTAGAGGAACGCCGTCGATTAGCTCCGGGTCGCTTTCCTCCTCCATCACGCCCATACTCTCATCCTGCGTTTCCGCCTGCGACAAGGCCATGCCCCCTCTCTTCCGAACCAGGGATCTCCCTCTCGACCGCCACGGTCTCGCCTCGAATCTTTCCTTCGCTGTCTTTAACATAACCGCCATGACTGACTCCTCCAAGTCAGCGCTAGGTCGAACATCCGGCTGCATTCGCAGCGTCCACGCTGCATCCTCTTCAATTCGAAACCGCTCATTAACCCTAGGCACCTCGCTAGAAGGTGCCGGCCAGGCGGCCCACCGCCTAGGAGGGACAAACGCATCCGACTCACTCAGCAGCGTTTTACTCCGCGCGGCCTGCCTCGCAATGTCACGGGCCCGCAGCCGCAACGCAAAAGCGTTATACAGATGGGCCGACAAGTCACGCGCACGCATCTCCTCTAGAGCCTGTGCATTCTGACGGTCCTCCGCGGTGATATTCCGCCAGGTGGAGTCCGGCCCGCGGAACCTGTTAGGTCGGTACTCCGGCGATGAGGACAGCGCACGTTCCGGACGGGCGGGAGCCGCCGTCGTCGCATGCGGATTCGACATGTCGTCGAGCATCTGCTCGGTGTCGGTGTCGTCGTCGGTTCCCAGACCGCCATCATCGTCATCATCACTGGCCGTGTACGTCGCGTCGTCGGAAAGGTCGTTATCGATCAGTGGCACCTCTTCCATGATTGCGTCCAGGGCATCCTGGTCAGAGGCGGTGTGCCCCTGCTGCGTCTGTATCGCGGATCCATAATAGTTCAAGGAGTCCGGGATATCCTGACTGCTGGGTCCTCCGAATAATGATTGGTATGGCTGCGCCGACTGGGGCGGTTGCGTAGACCGCGGCGAGCTATTGGCCGGCAGCGAGGACATGCCTCATAAAAGCGCCGGTCACAGACAACCCAGCGAAGCAGTCAAGATCGTACGTGAAAATGCTCATAAGATTTGTACGACTGTAGCTGGAGCTGGTCGGAATCTTGAAATCCTAATCGAACCGCAACTATGGATGAATCCGGGCAAACTGTAATTGGCAGATTTTTCGCGGGTCACCATGATTTGCGGCCGAGACGTGCAGGTACCACACTCGTACTTAATTGAAAGACAGCACAGGCAGTGCCTTTGACATCATCGAGTGAAATAATAGACCATGCGATGGGAGACAGGATGGAATGTCAGTGATCGCTGGACTCGTCGAAAAAAGTCATATCACGTGGTTTGGTGTTTAAAACGCGGGTCACATGATGTATTTTTTGGCATTTAAATATTCAGCCTTCTTCATTGATTGGTGAATGTACCAATTTGTCGAAATATTTGCTAGGTTCTGAAAGCTGGATACTACAAGATACTCTCGTCTGGTACAGGGTTGTGGTGGTTTACGGACTCGCGTACAAAGATAGATATGAAAGCGCAACACATTACTCTATGAACTCCTATAGACAGTACAAAGACGCCATGATGGCCAACGGATATCGTTTCCTCCAAGAAAATGTATAACTTTTATTGCACCGCTTATTTCTCCGACTTCTCCATCTTTCTTCTCTTGGACCGCAACTTCGCCGCCTCGTCGGACGTCTTCTTGTTCGAGTGCATCATCTTCTCGAGCAGCTTCCGCTTCTTCCGGCTCATCATCATCTTCTGTCTCTCCAGCTCCTCCTCTTCCTTGCGCTTCTTGGACGCCATCTTCTTGGCCTGAGTCGACTTCTTGCCCTTCTTGTCGTCGGCGGCGCCGCCATTGGACGAGAACGGAAGACCGGCGGCTTCGGCCTCCAGCTCCTTCTGGTGACGTGACCGCGCAGTCTCCTCCTCATCCTCGGACTCGGAGGCAGCGTCGTCCTCGAGACCGTCAAAGTCTTCGATCTCCTCCTCGCTTCCGCTCTCGTCATCGTCGGAGTCAGCAACGTCCATATCAGGGTCGGAGTCATCCTCCTCGGAGTCGTCATCTTCCGCGGAGGCTTCAGCCTTGGCATCCGCCTTCTTGTCCTCGGTAGCGTCCGCCATCTCTTCGTCGCTCTCTTCCTCATCCTCGGCGATCTCCGCTTCGCCTTCCTCCTCCTGCTCGGCCAGAGTGGCGCGAGGATCGTAGCCGCCCTTGGAGGGCTTGACCCACGGGCTCAAGTGAGGGGGAAGTGTGGCACCGGGGGCGTACAAATCAGGACGGAGCAGCTTTCCGTCATTGATGCAGTCCCACACCCACTGGGGCTGGACGTAGGTGCGACCCGGGATGCGCGTACCGGGCTTGACCTTCGGAGTGGCACTGTTCTCGGCCGCGGCCGGGATGGGGGGGAGGGCAGACTCGGGCAGGGCAGGTCGGTCCACGATCTGGTGAGTGATACGGCTATCGGTCTCGTCGTGAGTGAAGGCCCCGCTACCCAGCACTTCGTCCCAACCAATCCGTTTGCAACCGAACGAGCGCAGAAGGAATTCTAAAGGCGCCTTGGGGGCTTCGCGGGAGATGTAGAAGGTGAACGGGGCGAAGAGCGCACCGGCTTCCTCGACACTCAAATCGGGCTGGGGCAGGGTATCGGCCTCGGGCGCAGTAGGCTCGAATTTGTCAATGGCGTCCGTCGATTCCTCGGTCGTGTCCACCATCTTCTCATCCTTGGTGTTATCAAGACCCGCGGACTGGATCACCTTGTCCACCTTCTCCTGGACCTCGCGCGAGACTTCCTGGTTGGCAGAGCTGCCGTTGGTCTGCTTGTTGCTGGCTTCGACGGCCTTGGGCGCGTCACCGACGGAGCGACCTTCGAGGGTAAACGCGGCCAATTCGGCACCCGTGTCGTCGCTGCGGGTGTCAAACTTGGGCGGGTATCTCAAGCCGAGGGTCGAGTACAGACGGTAGTTGACGAAACCCAGCAAAGTCGTGTAGAACTCCACAAACGTGGCCATGATGCGGTAATCGACGTCTCCATTGACGCGCTGGACGAAACGGTAAGGCACCAGCCACATGATATCCTGACCCTGGATGGTCGCCTGGTAATAGATACCCTTGATCGACAGAAAAGTCTTGCGCAGGGAGTTGGTGGCAATCAGGTAGTGCTGGAACTCGTGGCACAGGCGCTGGCAGAGCGCAATGGTCTTGGGGGGAACATGCGTGGTGGACGGCAGGCTGGCGAACAGGAACAGAAGCGACAAGGCATCATCGAGGTCTCTGAGGGCGTCGATGAAGGTGGGATAGCGCTCCTTGACGATGTGGTCCAGCGTCATGCGAGGCGCATGGTGCTTCTCCAGGCGGGATGCATCGCCGACTTCTCCGCGACCCAGAGACCGGGCGATCTTCTTCGCAAGCGACTTTTGCTCACGGAACTTCCTCAACAGCGGCTCATGGAGGAGATACTGGATGTCTTTGGTGTAATAGAACGTAGTACTCGGGGTCGAGGTCTTGGAGGCCTTCTTCTTATTCCGCGGCTCACGAGGGTAAATACCTATTCCAACGCACGAGCTTCGTCAATATCGGTAACCACAATACCACAGGGAGTCAACCATTGACCGCACACAGCAGATCAATGCGACCAGGACAAGACATACCCTTGAAGATGCATAGTCGACGGAAGTCGGGCAGCGAGATCTGAAGTTTGCGCACCGCCTGTGTTCTGGTGATATAGTTTTTGGCCTGGCCAGAGGTTCCTAAAACCAGTTAGTTTAAACCGAAAAGATCCGTAAAGTCCATTGAATCAAATAGCATACCCTTCTTCTTGATTTTGCCCATTCTGATGGATGATGGTGTGGTGGTAAGGGGGTTGTTATGGGGAGGGAAAGACTAGAAGAGAAGGACCTTTTTTTTTCTGATAACAGAAATTTTGCCTCGATAAGTTTTTCTCTTTTTTTTTTTTTTTTTTTTCCGGAGCAGGAGCCTGAGGCATGAATGGTCCGTGCACCGCGGAGGTCCGATCTTGGCAGCCCAAGGCCACCTACGGGTAAACATCGTCAATAGATTGACTTCAAACAAGTCCAATCTGGTGGATACAATGCTCTTGGGGAGTGTGTTCTAATTTTCGTGATGTCGCTCGATCGCAGAAAGGCTGGGGTTTTTGCCGCGGCTTTTCTCTTGCGCCTTCTTCTTATCGTCCTTTTTCCCTCTCTCCCTGACTTGTTGACGGGCCGAGTTGAGGTCTCGACCCCGGTTAGCAGTTTCAAGAGACGTGAGTAGTCGCGCGAAGTAGCGTTATAATATTTGGGGAGCTGCAGTGCTGATATTTGTGGAATTAGTTCAGGAAGGTCTTTTCCTATACACGCGGAATGTGTCCCCTTATGATGGAGGTGTCTTTCACCAGGTATGAGCAGAGGCGTGGAGCCCCAGTCGATCGTCCGACTCCCTCGTGCTGACTCTATATGACCGATAATAGGCGCCACTTCTCCTTCCCATTTTTGCTCTGCTCCCCAATTCGAGGGATAGTCCGCTGCCGAGTGTGATCTTCTACTCGTTGATCGACCTGTTGAATGCGAATGCGTTGATCGCCATCTCCGATTCGGGACAAGCGGTTTCGGGGAGGTTCTACTCGGCACTACGGAAGCATATCAGATGGGACGGGTTTGCGATTGCTGCATGGTCGGTTTATTCTCAACATTGGGTCACGGAGGGGTTTTGTGCTGACGAGGGTCTAGGTTTTTGTTCAACCCCTTCACTATCGCAACATGTTTGGGCCGGTCAACCATGGTGTTCACCACCAGCGGAATCCTCTACGCAGTCAGCAGTGCGGTCAGTGGCAACAGCTTCAATGCGATGCTGGCTTTGGGATGGGCGTCGTACCTGTCCATCTACCCCGCGCTGTTATTCATTCCTTTGGTTCTCCTGTGCTATGACGTGCGCGCGCAAAGAACCAAGGCCGCTCCTGGACTCGCCGTCTTCGTGTTGCAGCACTTGGCGGTCCTCCTATTGAGTGTTGCCGGTCTACTGGGAATGTCCTTCCTGATTATCGGCAACTTTTCACAAATCATCTCTGCCACGTACGGCTTTCAGCTCCTCGTGCCGGACTTGACGCCCAACGTCGGCCTCTGGTGGTACTTCTTCATCGAGATCTTCGACTCTTTCCGAGAGTTCTTCCTCGGCGTTTTCTGGCTACATCTCACCGCATATGTGGGTGGGTTGACCGTGCGATTGCGACGTCAACCGCTTTTCGTCTGTACGGCTCTGCTGGGAGTGTTCGCCATCTTCAAACCCTATCCTAGTATCTCCGACGCTTCCTTGTTCCTCGCACTTCTGCCACTCTATCGACACCTCTTTCCATGTAAGTCCTGGTCAACCACTTGGCTCGCGCTGTACTAATACCAAGCAAGTGATGCGCTATACGTTCTTCGCGGTCGCGGCGATTCTGTACGCCACCCTTCTGGGTCCCGCGTTCTACCACCTGTGGATCTACGCAGGCTCCGGGAACGCCAACTTCTTCTATGCCATCACGCTGGTGTGGAGTCTTGGACTTTCAATCTTGCTGGCGGACACCATATTCGCCGCCCTCCGAGACGAGTGGGAGCTGGAGAACCCACATCTGCGGGGCAAGGATGTGAAACAAGTGTAGTGCACAATTCCGTAGCTTCATCATATATACTATGTATCTGCATCATCCACGCCACCCGGCCAAGCCATCGAGATCATAAGCGTTTAGACAAGATCATGTAGTCCGGCTCATGTACCACTCCGCTCCGCAAACGGCGCGGCCTTGGCGAAGACTCATCAACCACATATCCAAGCGCATTATAACACCGCACAGCCGCCTCATTCGAACAAAAGCAAGTCAGCATCGCCTGCTCCAGTCCGACCCTGCGTCCTACATCCTCAAAGGCCAGCAACAACCACCGCCCCAGCCCTTGACGCTGCGCCTCAGGCTTGATATGGACCTCGTAGCAGTAAATAACCTCCTTCCCATCCTCATACGTAACCATGAACGAAAGAAACCCCACGAACGGATCCTTAGCCTTCCCACCATCGGCATCGTCGCGGGCAGTCGATGGCGACTCGCGCCCTCGAACAACAATATACCTCATATCGGGCAACCGCATCTCCTTCTTCTTCGCCACAGGCGCCCACCCAATGCTAGAGTTCTGGTACGCCTCAGCCGAAGTATGCTCGATGAGCTGAAAGCACGCTTCGAGCTCTTCCGCGGGGATATTATCCGCAGTGTACAGCTCTGCAGTGTACGCCTGACGAGACTTCTCCGACTCATCGTCAGCCCCTCCCGCGGTGTCGTTAGTGGTCCGAGGAGGAGACTCGAAGTTGAGGCCCTCCAGGGGCACATAACGCGAGATAAACTCGTCGATCGGGAGTTGGTTGGTGCGCTCGACTAGCGGAAATGGCTTGGGTTCTGGGACGCGTTATAACGCGTTCTATGGGAGTGATGGTCACATAATGGTTGTGGGTTACTCACCCTTTGTGGTGGTGGTTGTCTTGCTATCGTTGATTGTCTGCTTTTTGGCAGACGTTCGTCTTGCTTTGGTTACTCGGGCTCCCTTGACTGGGGTTGGCATGTTGCTGTTTCTTTTTGGTTCCACTGTATAGTACGTGATGCAATTGTCGAATCCCACTAAACTAAAATGCAGATAATTGGAATTTTGAGTGTATATTGGTTGTTGGAGAGGGGATGTTGTTTGGTATGGGGAGTGTAGAAATGAAATCGGGTTACAGGATACATCCTGTCCGACGCTTTTCTCGGTTCCGCCATTGACCAACAAACAGGATCATCATTACAGACAGACCTTTATTGGTTTGACCCTTTCTTTTATTTGGCTTGAAGATACCTTAGTCTATTTTCAATCATGTATTTTGTGGTAGAGTTATTTCTCTTTTGGAATATTCAATGTTTCTCCTATAATATTTCCCTGTCTTGGATATATAGCGTATGAGACCACCACTACTAGACTATATATATTGCCCAAAAGAGATATTTCCCCACCAACACTACTATCAACGCTGCGCAGCAGCATGCTCTTCAGCGCGCCTCTCAGCTTCCTCAGCTCCGACTTCACCAAAAATATCTACTCCCCAGCGGAAAGGAAAGTTATAACGCTTATTACGATCCATATTGTTCAAGGCTTCGAATTCGGCGTCCGGGATGACGAAGTCTGCGGCTTTTAGTTTAGGCAACCTAGCATAAAATAGAGCAGCAGGAAACTATACCTTGAAAATTGCTCGCAATCCTCGAAGGCGTGACGCTTTTGGAGAGGACTCCTGTACCGCGCTGGACAGCCCAGGAGATGAGCAGTGCGGCCGGGTCTTTGTTCAGCTTGGCTGCGAGTTCCTGCACAGCAGGGTCATCGATAACTCTGCTCATTGTCAGTGGTGTCTTATATTATATGCAAAGAGAAGAATATACCGTGGGAGCTTATGGCTATTGTTACCCAGCGGGCTATACGCGACAGGAAGGATATTCTGCATCAACGATCAGCATAGTGGCCCACAGGTACTGTTTGAAAGCCGCATACTTTCTCCTTCAGGTAAGCAACAAGTTTAGGTTGTTGGAGATAGGGATGGGCTTCGATTTGATTCACTGCCAGTGGGATCTTGGCAGTCCTGAGGAGCTCCTCGATCTTTTCGATGGTACAATTGCTCACTCCGATGCTCCTGATCTTTCCTGCCGCGACAAGCTTTTCGAGAGCTGCCCATGTGTCGCCGATGGGAACGTCTGCCAACCGGAATCGCTTCGTCACTGGGTCGGTCGGGGCAAGCGTTTCGTTGGTATACTCGAACGCCACGGGCCAATGTATCTACAACTGTCAGAAGACGAGGTTGTCATCGGAGCTTTGTCAGTCGCATACTAGGTATAGATCAAAATAGTCCGTCTGCAGATCCTTCAAGGACTTGTCGACAGCTTCTTCAACATGCTCGGGATGGTGATGGGTGTTCCAAAGCTTGCCGGTAATCTGCCAAACACAAGGAAATGTTAGCGCTGACCGATTGTTTCAGTATAAACTGGACAGAGAAACATACAAAGATCTGATCGCGGGGAACGCCGGACTTCTTCCATCCATTTCCCACTTCGTGTTCATTCAGATAATACGCGGCAGCATCGATATGACGATATCCCACGCGTAGGGCCGTTTCGACAGCATTTTCCACCTCATGTGGTTTTGAGAGCTATCCTTGTCAGTATTGTTGACTAGGAAGAAGCTTATGTGGGGCTTTACCCATGTTCCGAGACCGATTGCAGGGATGTTGTATCCCGAGTTAAGCTTGAAGCTTCGCCCTTGAGCCATATTGCTAGTTCAACTTGGTGGGAAGATAGTCTCGTGCTTGTGTCTACGGAGTTACAATTATAATATGGACATTGGACATTAGGAGATGGTGGAGGAAAAGAGAAGTGAGATATGACGCAAGAGGGGAATATCTCGGGCATGAAGTATGCAGCAGACTCTTTACCCCTCATCCTTGCAGCTCCCGCCGGTACGATCACACCTTCTTACAACTACACCGTCGCAAGGCGAATAAGAAGAGCTTCTTGGATTATTCGGTCAATGGGGGCAAATGGTCGAATCTGGAGTTTGAAAGAGAGATCGTCGGTACAAGTGTTTCCCCTCTCTACATATTTCGAGACCTTGGAGCCACCCCGCAAAATAACCTCACTATCTCGAAAGATCATGATCACATTGCTAACATCACTTGCTCAAGTGGACAAGAGGTTTCCATTCATACCATGATTCAGTCCTGGGATCACGCCAACAATATCACGTGTCTGTCACCTACGGCTTCGATATTCGGATACCGCAAGTCGTTGGACCAAATGAGCTGAAATTATGTCCCTGCCAAAGCAAATGGTGAATCTCTCCTCAGACTTCGGACTGCATGCATCCTTTATGGTTGTCTGATCGTATCGACAAACTTTGCCTGCCATCCTCACGACGCTGTTCTGGTCTTAATCAAAAGATGCGGCATACCGGAAGAGGAGGGTAAATCCAAGCCCGAAAGGATCCGAGGGACGCCCGTCCCACTTGAAGGATCGTTTCTATGCCGACCAGAGAAATACCCTGTCAATCATCAAGAAGACCCTAAAAAACGTTCTTCGTGGAGTCGATATCCCCCCACCCGAAAAGCTCTACAAAGAAGTTGGGCGATTGTATGAGACCTTCGGGAAGTTTTCCCTCACTTTTTGGCCACTTCGGAGGGTTTATGGAGTGACTTCAGGCCGATACCCACTGCATCTGTCACCCACGAGTCCACCACAGCAGCTCGACTGCCAGATGAGGAAATGAGGACGTGGGTCCGTTTGTCAGCGGGAAGAGCTTCAGTGGAGACCGAAAGATTCTGATTTGCTGATAGCGACGGAACTCTTCATCCAGAACTATCCGGTGCACCGGTGGACCGGCAGTGGTGAAAATGGACTTGTGGGCATTCATCATAGTAGTCATGGTGGGTGGGGAGAGGACCCTTCCCCACTTACGTCAAGACGCCGCAGCTTCTTGTATTTATACTCCGCCGTCACCCTCATGTTGAGTAGCGAAACTATTATACAGAGCCAATATTTCACGGCAATCCATTACACAATGTCATCTCAGAAGCAGTGGACCGTCCTGAACAAGGAGAATGATTTCAATGGCCTCGTCCTCGGTGATGCGCCGGTGCCGAAGTGCGGTGAGAACGATGTCCTCGTGAAGCTTAATGCGGCCTCTTTGAATTACCGCGACCTGATCATTCCCAAGGTGCGTTCTAGCCTTTCCTCCCAGAGACCGTTGTTTATCTTAGCTCGTTTCCGTTGGTCACCAGACTAGCCCCATGTCCATCAGCTAACACATCCAACAGGGAATGTACCCTTTCCCTCTGGACCTTCCGGTGGTCCCGGGCTCTGACGGAGCCGGTGAGGTTCTTGAGGTTGGAAGCAAGGTCTCCTTGTTCAAGAAGGGAGACAAAGTGACTACTTTGTTCAACCAGCAGCACCAATATGGACCTATGAACTCCATTGCCGCCCACTCTGGTCTTGGTGGTGTCATCGATGGCACTCTGCGTCAATATGGTGTCTTCAATGAAAATGGCCTGGTTCAGAGCCCGAAGAACCTCAACGATCTGGAATCAAGCTCTCTTACCTGTGCTGCTCTCACCAGCTGGAATGCCTTGTATGGCCTGAAGCCCTTGCTTCCCGGACAGAGCGTCCTGGTCCAAGGAACCGGAGGTGTCAGCATGTTCGCCTTGCAGGTATGCTCCTTCTAATTCTCCCCAGCAGAAGCCAATTTTCGATCTGACAATCGTCCCTATCTGTCTAGTTTGCCAAAGCGGCCGGCGCGACTGTGATTGCCACGACTTCGTCCCCCGAGAAGGCCGAGAAGCTGAAGAAGCTTGGCGCCGACCACGTCATCAACTACAAGACCCAGACCAACTGGGGCGAGATTGCCCGTGGTCTGACGCCTAACAAGGAGGGTGTTGACCATGTCATCGAAGTCGGAGGCGCCGGGACGCTCAAGGAAAGTCTCAAGTGCATCAAATACGAGGGTATCATCAGCGTCATCGGCTTCCTTGGCGGTGGCAACCCGGCGGACCAGCCTGTGGTTCTCGAGGTTTTGAGCAACATCTGCACCGTGCGCGGTGTCTACGTTGGAAGCAAGGCCTTGATGCAAGATATGATCAAGGCTATTGAAGTCAACAACATCCACCCTGTGATCGATGACAAGGTCTTCACCCTTGACCAGGCCAAGGAGGCGTACAACTACATGGTAAGTTTTTGTAGATCTCGTAACGTGGATTTTATGCTAACAAATACATTCTAGTGGGCCCAAAAGCATTTTGGCAAGCTGACCATCAAGATCGATTAATTGATACTATAGCGTACTGTCTATAGTATAGTATAATGCTGGCTGTGAATGTTCTCAGCAGGCAATTATGTATGTCACGAATAAATATTAAAATATTGATCCCATTAGTATCTGTAAGCGAGTAGTGCGTGTGAATGCAAAAGTAGCCCCCTGCATTCAACGTTGTACGGCAGGACTGTTGGTTCCCTGGGAATATACCTACCTATACTACGGGTACTTTTCCTCTGCCAATATATACCCTGGCATTTCTTTGATACAATTAGTACATGTTTCCCCTCACCGCATCGTCACTGCCAGTCCAGCTCATCGTGCATTAATGGCCCCGCCCCCTACCTCAACACCCTTGATCTTTATTACTATATACTGCCTAGAAGAGTAGGATTGTCTGTTCCAATCCGTTCATCGAAAACCAACGTTGCTCTATTACAGCATATAATATCGTCGGGCGGAATCCAAACACTCAATGCAGGCCAAAGCGGGGAAGACTACGTCACTTCCCATCACCGGCCCGGGCCCCAATTCTACCCCATCACGAATTCATTTCGCAAGTCCGGCGCAGATGGGATTGTTCTCTCGAGTGACATGTTATCCGCCTCTGGGACAAGTCACTTGCGTAAAGAGACCGTACAGAACGCTGGGTCGCAAGGACGACGATGTTGTGAGTGCTTGATACTACTAGGTAGTTGAAGTACATGAGACTGAACTGACCCGCTTATTGTGTTCACAGCTTCGGTTCACGGTTGTCATAGAATCAAGCAATACATTCCCGGAGCAGAACTGGGAAGCGCAGATATGGCATAACGTCGCTGGTTCTGATTGGGGAGCGCTTCCGCTCGAGAAGTGCTCCTCCTCGATTGCACCGTTGATGAATGGGGATGAGGGCAGCTACAGCAATTATCGTTACGTCTTTGCTGGGCAGATAGGTCTGTTACAGAATGGGGGAACGGCCCAGTTTACGGTTCGGTTTCGAGCGTGTCCCGATGCCGATTGGGAGTGGGTGAACGAAAAGTATCATGTAGCCGACGGGGAACTGGTCTTCGGCGCTGAAGAATCCCAATTTGACCTGATGTCTGGATTGCCGGATAGAGAAGATCTTGCTAGGTACTTTGAGAGTCTTTCGTCTGAGATTCGGGTTGAACCGCGCCAGAGTGAATCTCCTGGTTCGAGGCTATGGTGTCTTTCAGGGAAGGCTGATCCTGCGGAGGGGTCACATTCTCGGATGACCAATATATCCCTCGGTATACCATCTTCGATAAATCGATATTTTGCTCTAGTGCGGTCGTGGACTCCGTGGCTGGCCCCGAGGCACGGTAAAGAAAAGCTGAAGCTGAATGAGGACGCACTGTTCTGTTCGTTCCTTCGCCTGGATGGAGTGCACGTTGTCCTCCTGCCAGTATCGGGAGTAAATAACGTGACGACTTTGTTGAAATCCGGAGACCTCGGAGAGGTCCTTGTCAAAGCGCAGAGTGATAACACCGATGCATCGGATTTCCAGGTCCTCGCTTCTGTCGCGGATGAATTCGATATAGCCATGTCTGCCGTCATATACGAGGCACGGAAGCTGACGAGACCGTATTCGGCCGATGGCCCAGCCGATCGAGTCCCGACTCCGGTATCGCCCCCAGGAGACGACGAGGTCCTGGTAGAGAAGGACCCTCACGCACAATGGTTGTCCGAGTGGTATGATGGATTGACGTACTGCACCTGGAACGGGATAGGCCAGGACTTAACCGAGGACAAGATCCTCAATGCGCTAGATACGTTGAAAGCTGAGGAGATCAACATCGCCAGTCTTATAATCGATGATAATTGGCAGACTCTGGATGGTGAGGGCGAGTCACAATTCAAGCGTCGATGGAAACAATTTGAGGGTAACCCGAACGCCTTCCCACAGGGGTTGAAGAAAACCATTGACACGATCCGTTGTGTTCATCCCAAAATTGAACACATTGCCGTCTGGCATGCATTACTCGGCTATTGGGGCGGTATCTCCCCCGATGGAGACATCGCTAGGAAGTACAAGACCAAAGAAGTGAGCATTGAGAATCCGGCAGCAGGAGGGCCTCTTGCACAGGCATTTGAAAAGGGTTCTCTGCTCGCCGTGCATCCGGATGATGTCCAGAAATTTTATGATGATTTCTTCCGTTACCTTACATCCGTTGGCGTGGATAGCGTCAAAACAGATGCGCAATTCTTTCTGGACCTTCTGCAAGATCCAGAAGACCGACGAAACTTCTTGAACGCTTACCAAGACGCTTGGTCAATCTCATCCTTGAAGCACTTCAGTTCGAGGGTTATATCGTCTATGTCGATGTTTCCTCATGCTATCTTCCACTCCCAGCTTCCGACTAACAAACCTAGCATCCTTCTCCGGAACTCCGATGACTTCTTTCCCGACATATCTGACTCTCACCCATGGCATGTTTTCTGCAACGCGCATAACGCACTTCTGACACGTTTTTTGAACGTGATCCCCGATTGGGACATGTTCCAGACAAGCCATCCGTACGCCTCTTTTCACGCGGCCGCAAGATGTGTGTCTGGCGGCCCGATCTGCATCACCGATGTGCCAGGCAGGCATAATCGATCACTGATTAATGAGATCACAATGCCTACTGTTGATGCACGAACGGTCACCCTACGGCCAAACCTCGCAGGGCGCACACTTGACATGTATCACGACTTCAACGAGCGTCACATTCTGCGTGTGGGTAGCTACACCGGATGGGCACGAACTGGTAGTGGGATAATGGGATTGTTCAACGTCTCGGACGTTAGCAGCTCCGCCATAGTTCCTCTGATGGATTTCCCGGGCATCCATGAGGGCTACACTGGCCAATACATCGTTCGGGCGCACACAAGCGGCAAAATCACCCAACCGATGCAGCCAACGGAACATGAATCCTTAGTGTCGGTGCAACTGGAGCCAAAAAGTGCTGAAATCCTCACCATGTACCCACTTCAATCCTTCAAAGTTCGAAGGGGACACGGGCGAGAAACGAAGGTAGCCATCCTCGGACTACTAGGCAAAATGACCGGCGTCGCAGCTCTCGGGACCTCGGACATTGAAGTTGAGACCAACGGGCGGCTCAGATTTGAAGTCCGCCTCAAAGGCCTCGGGCAACTGGGGATCTATTTCTCTGATCTGCGTGACTGGGACATTGACGATCATATTATGGTGATGATCCTGGGTGAACCTTTACCCCGGAAGACGGTGTGGAAGCAGGGAGGCAACGAGGCTACAGTCCTGATGATAGACGTGTTGACGGCATGGAAAGACTTGGGCCTGAGCCCAGGCTGGAGTAATGATGTTCTGGTACAAGTTTTTGTCGGTTAATGCAGCAAAAGTCGCTCTGTTGAATCGGTGAGCGTCCTTCGTGGTTCAAGTTACTATGTTTTCGATGACTCCAAACCGTATGATGCAGTGGGCTCCAAAATTAGTACTGTAAGTATTGTCAGTAAAAAGGCGCTTCGTATACTCCGTACAAAAGCGCGCTATCCCCGAGAGGCCATAATTGGCGAAGCCGAGGGACAAGCGATGATAAACCGAAAACAAGGTAAAGACGCCAAGCCACAGGTGGAGACAGTCATGTGGGGGAATCCCGTCGGCGCAAATGACTTGTCACCATCACTCACTCCTGCCATCTCCATCCATCAGTCTGACTATAGCGTCACTTCCATACTCATTGATTCATAAGAGCTCTCTGGGGAGGCCAAAGATGACATACAATTTGTCGTCCGACTTGTGCTTTCTAATATGAACCATGAAATTACCCAGACGGACACAACGCCTCCGAAAGCGCACGAGGCATGGAGATGCAGCGTTTGTTCATCGGCTTTTTATCGCATTGATCACTACAAACGTCACTTAGATACGCGTATGTCAATGATTTTCGAAGAGAGCAAGAATTGCACACTAAATGCTGGTTGGTTGTGATTCTTAGACACGAGGGATAAGCCCTACAAATGTATCTTTTGCGAGGCCCCGTTCAAACGAGGGTAGGACACTACTATCAAACCGTCAAGTAACAGCCTACTAATTGGAACTTGCACCAAGGGATGTACTGCGCCGGCACTGGAAGACTTGCGCCGTGCGCAAAGAATCTGGCAGAGCTATCCCAGACCCGCGGCCAGGTGGGAAGGGCAAAAAGGCATGCGATAGCTGCGCCAGACTAAAGAAGTCGTGTAACGGAGAAGCGCCTTGTGTGGAGTGTCAATCCCGACAGAAACAGTGCACTTATCAGCGGCTCTCTGAGACGCACGAGCCTGATTCCCGTGTTCGGCGTTCTTCACGAGAAGACGATCACGAGAAGTCTATTGAAGAGGACAGCCAAGTTCACGATGCAAAGCAGTGGAGTCTTGGACTACAGACCTTCCTCCCGCCTGTGCATGCCTGGTACGGAGAACACAATCGCTCTACCTAATTTGGTTAGCTGCATGCTCATGTTGAATGACGTAATATTACTGGTATATATCATGGATCAGGGTCCAAACTTACTGCGGAGTCAATTTGGGGCAGGAAAATGTGGAAAGATCAAATCGCGAAGATGAACAGAATGATCTTAATTGATTACAATAGGGAAGCAATTTGGAACACAATGAAAGCTTAGAATTGGACTCTACCAGACCGAAGCCTCGGCCCTCATGCTAGAAGACTCTGAATTGTTCCACGGACTTCAACCTCGGAGGCATCAGCATTTTCCAAGTGATTACAGAAACAACCTGCCATATATTTGCCCATCATCTCGTCTGAAAAAGGAAACGACCGTCGCATAAGCTCTCAGCCTTTGCCGTCTCCCGCTGGTGATTAGTGTCTCCACCGTCGGGATTTCTCCACGCGGGGCAAGTCAGGGACGGACGTTTCATGTTCCAATGAAATGCTGTGTTTATCAATGGCACCGTTCTTGTGCCTGGCCCATAAATACTCCATGGTCGCGCTCATGCTTGGAAATATCTTGTTCAGCATATAACCGTCCTCTCCTCTGCTTCCCTTCCATAGGACCGATAATTTATTGCAAGGCAAGCTCACTGTCCAACTAAGATGTCGCCACACGCAACCGCCGATCACTTCAATAACTGGCCTAATGACAAAGGGGTAAGTCTCGAAATCTCCACCCACAGGTTTATTCTTACTTATCAATCTTGCAGTTCGATGCGGACTCCGAGCAAAAAGATCCGGTCGAGCTGCCTGTGACTGGCAAAATCCCACCTTATGTGGCCGGCACTCTCTATCGCACTGGTCCGGGTAAACGGACAGTCGACACAGAGCAGGGTGGGTCGTTCAAAGTAGACCATTGGTTCGATGGGTTCTCCCAGACACACCGATTCCAACTTGTTGCCACGGAGAACGCGGATTCTCCCATGCGTGTTTATTACAATTCCCGTTTCTCCACGGACAAATTGATCGAAGAAGTGCGGAAGACAGGGTCGGGCGAGCGCCTGGTTTTCGGACAGAAGCAAGACCCATGCAAGGAAGCCTACAAGAAGGTTCAATCGGAGTATGTCCCTGCGCCGTCCGAGGTCAACGTTGGCGTGACGCTCTCCGTGAACATGCCCGGTCTGGGGGCATTGGACGGCAGCAGCGTCGCAGACGGGCGGTGGAACACCTCGTCCGGCATCAAGAACCTGTACGCGAAGACAGACTACAACATATTCAAGCAGCTTGACCCCGAGACTATGGAGCCCATTGGGCTTGCATCGCAGGGAAACTTTCATCCCGACTTGAAGGGTCCTTTGTCGGCATCGCATGCACGGTCTGACCCCAAAACGGGGGATGTGTTCAATTTCAACTTGGGATTCGAACCACTTCCCACGTACCGCATCTTCCGCGTCTCTGCCGCTACCGGAACGACGGATATCCTGGCGACCTTCTCCGCGGTTCCAGCGTACCTTCATTCCCTCCTTATCACCGAAGACTATGTAATCCTCTGTGTGTGGAACTCGCATCTGTCCCCCGCCAAACTCCAGACCGGCAGCTTCGTAGACGCGATGCAGCCGTTTGATTCATCCCAGCCGGCCAAATGGTACCTCGTCGATCGCAAGACCGACAAAGGGCTCGTTGCAACCTACGACAGCGCGCCATTCTTCAGCTTCCATACCATCAACGCGTGGCAAGAGCCATCGCCCAACGACCCCAGCAAGACCGATATCGTCGCGGAAATAGCGACCTTTGAAAACATGGAGTTCGTCAAGTCCGTATACTACGAACGGCTCATTTCGTCGTCCCCCGAGGCCAAAGAATACAGGAAGCTCCGCTCAGAGCAGGCCAAATCGAGCCTGACCCGATTCCGGCTCCCTAACATCCCCACCACGCCAACGGAGGCGGCCCAACCCGCCACTGTGGAATGGTCCGAAGGCAAGGAGCTCTCGCCGGAATTGCCCACACTGAACCCCAAATATACCACCCAGAAGCACCGCTACACCTACGGCATTATCGACACGAACGAGTCGACCTTTTTCGACGGGATCATGAAATTCGACAGCGAGACCAAAACGTTCCAGACCTGGAAAGACCGCGGACACTCGCCAGGCGAGCCTATCTTCGTCGCGGATCCGAACGGTACCAACGAGGATGACGGCGTACTTCTGAGTGTGGTTTTGAACGGCCCTAGTGGCAAGAGTTATCTTTTGTGCCTGGACGCTCACAATTTGAATGAGCTCGGTCGAGCTGATGTCGATGGACCGGTGGCGTTCGGCTTCCACGGCCAGCATGTTCCCCTTCGCAGTGGAGCGCCCACTGGCGATTATTAGGGGGATGAGATTGAAGCAGTATTGTGATCTAGCCCTTATTCGGCTGGTTAACGATAATGAATTATCCTTGTTGACGTGCTCTATTGTAGTGTCCTTGATGGATATTTGGCGTACACAGGGAAAACAGTCGAGCAGACATCACAGCTAAGTCGAACATTTTAAGATGATTGAAGTGGATTCCAATCACTACGGTATCGGTATATACTTTATATACTCCGTTACCAGGTACCGTACTGCACATGGTTTCGGTCCGAATTTAGAAACAATTAATTAAGTGGATGGAGACATAGAAGGGCGTGGACGAAACGGGCCATGGCACGGGAACATAATATATAGCATTCAATTCTTGACATGAAGTTCATAGTAGTGAGAATACAACAGACTTGACGGACCTGATTTCGGATTGTATATGCAGAAATCATCCGATTGATCAAAGGATCAAACAAGGGACATATATTCAGATTAGTGTGGTGGTATTATGCATCAGGTGCTGAAATCAAAGGTCAAACTGGCCGTCCAAACGATCAGGCTCACGACGTTGTCCCTCAATATCCCACTTGCGCGATGGACTGACCGTCGGGCCTCCCGGGTAGCCCTTGTACAAGCAGGATTTGTCTTTTTTCTGAAAGTTGGCAATGGCCGCCTGGCCTTCACCACCGAGGACCCAATTGACGAAGGCCGTGGCCAGGTGTTCTGTCTCGCCCTTGGCTTTCGTAGAAATGATGATATCCGCCGGGTTGAGAAGCTCAGGAACCTTATCCCCACTCTTATAGATCTTGAATCTGTTGATGAGGCCTTCGTCTTCGTCCCTTAGGGTGAGGAAGGTTCCGCGGTCGGTAATGGTAAACTCTTCCAGCAGAATCGCCGCTTTCAAAGCCTGGACAGGATATGCAAGATATTGGTGGTACCACTTTGAGTACGCAGTCGCCCACGGAACCTGTTTCTGTGTGAGCCTAACACCTATCTCTAGTTGACATTGAAATTGAAACAGCGACAAACCTGTCCGATATTGATCCACAGCTGCGCATCCTTAATGTTGGTGGCCGACTTGTCGTACCGGCTGAGGAAACGGACAGTCCCATTTTCGGCCGCGTTGTAAAGCTTTGAGAAAGTGGAAGTAATATCATCAGAGCTCTTGATGTCTGGGGTATTGTTTTTCGGACCAACCAAATAGAAGTGATCACGGAACATGTAGCATGGTCGTTCAGTATACTCCTTGCACTCACCGAAGCAGGGCATCCCGCTGGTGGCATTCCCATGATATTTGCAGCCCTTCGCGATACCGGACTTTATGGCAATGTCTTCGGCTGCAACACTGTAGGTGATGCCGATATCGACCTTGCCGGCGCCCATATTGCTTATGGTTTCCGTAGTATCACCTTTGACCCACTCCACCTTAAAGAGATCGTGACTGTGGCAATCATCTGTCTGGTTTTTGATAAACTTGTCGGAAAGCTCTGTCGATGCATCAACTGTTAGCATCGCGAGATGTCTTCCCTTTGTCTCTGAGAGAGCATAAACCCACCTTTGACTAGGCCACTTTGGCCAGCGCCACCGTTGCCGATACGCAGCTTGACAGAGGAGCTTCCGGTGCAGCCCCCGTCATATACATTGGCAACGGCGGCCTCAGTATATAGGAGCGCTCCTAGACAAGTACCTAAGCTGTATGAGGGAGAGAGACTAAGGAATCGCATTCTGAAGAACCAAAATCTGAGAGGGACTGAGTGGATGGTAGATTCCTTTCACGAGACTTCATGAGACAAGAATCTGATGGGATACGAGGGGATTTATAGCTCAGAAAACCACCCATCGGATTGTTCTTCGTCTATGTCCGGCGTGAGAGGGGATTTCGTCGCGACCACGCTTTCCTCTGACTGGCTATGAGAAGTTCCAGTCACACCTTACTAACTAATCGTGACAACCTCACTGCGCCAAGTAGGTGAGCTACACGTGCCGATCATAAGATTGCCAAAGCCCTTAGCTCATCACTGGCTTTAAATTGTCGTCTCAATAATATCCATCGGCCGATCTGTCTCGATCGATAGATGGCCTGAACACATCTACAATCGATACTTCTGGGCTACTCGCATTGAGAAACTGCCGAAGTATGTCAGAAGCCCATCGATGGAGCAATTGAATGTGAACGTAACACGAACATGCAGGCCCCACCTATGCTACTCCACGTATTAGCAAACTACTCCGTAGATAACAAAGAACAAATTGCCATGCCGAACAGCACGGACCCAACTCCAATCCACCGAGCTGAGCCCGAGAACCTTTGACTTTCAAATATTGAGTCTGAGCTGATATTCAAGCACTAATTGCATCATCAAAGCCCGACAGTTTCGTGCGGCATGCTATCAGAATGGCGCTAGCTCTCAGCCAGGGCTGAGAGAGTGTGGAGATCCACCTTGTTCATGAGTTCCACAGCCGATCTTCTCACTTAGAAGCGTCAGCTGGAATTGTCAATCTCTAATCTTCAATTCGAATATATCTGTAGTCTTGTGGTAAAAGAATCAAGGTGGCTGGGAATCATCTCCGCGACGGTCTGAATGGAATCATTGGCCCGTTATAGACCAAGGAGTGAGAACGGGATTTGCATTTCCCAGTCTCTCGTTTCCAAAACTGCGGGGTGACTGATTCGACTCGCGGAGCTGACTTGATTGATGCGTGGAGATGGAGGAGGAAAAGGTGAAGAAAGAAAAGAATGAGAGATCATGTGCTCTGTCATTCTCCGCCAAGAACTCCAACTCCGCCGTCATTCTTCTATACTGCTTTCCTTCCACCACTCTATAGAATACCTCAAGTCATGAAACGCAGTCACCAATCCCACGCCCGTTCGTTATCTCCGCAAGAACAACAAGGCTCTCGCGTTCTGTCCAGTCTCCATGCATCCGTATCGCCTCCTCGGAAGAGATCAACCCCCGCCAAACAACCCCATCTGGCCGCCATCGAAGCTGGCCAAGTGCAAGTCACGGACCATCCGGCCATCATCTCATCACGACTGACTCAATGCATTCGTCCTTTTCCACCTGAGTCTCCGTGTCTAGATGTTGCAGCATGGCTAGGCTTATACAGGCGCAATGTTCATCCCAGGGGACGGCACTTCGTCGTCCACCAGCACGATCACCCCATTGCTGGGGTGCATTATGATCTCCGACTGCAGTTTTCCGAGACAAGCTCTGTCAGCTGGTCGATCATGTACGGTCTTCCTGGAGACCCCAACACCCGGCGTCTGAACCGAAATGCGACTGAGACGAGAGTGCATTGCTTATGGGTGTGTTTCTGGCTCCTCTTGATGGGGACATCAAGGTGGAAGATGAAGAAGCTGACAGGAACAGAACCATTTGATTGAAACTGCATCTGCCAGAACAGGTAGTATGCTTATCTGGGATACGGGAGAATATGAAATCCTTCCCCACAAGATGGACTTGGTAGGCCCGGAAACCGATGACTCCGGAACCGATGACTCGTCAGTCCCGGCGTCTAGTCCAGTAGATGACAGGAGCGAGAGCGAGAAGCTCTTCCAAGCTTTTCACGATGTATGAACGCCATCCAGCTAACAACATATGCTTGTTGTATGCGCTACTCACTATTTGACAGCGCAAAATCCGTCTCCGGCTACATGGCACCCGACTGCCACCCAACTACACCGTCACCCTGCGTCTCGACAAAGCTAGCAATATCAAGGGACAGTCGCCGCGGACACCTCATAAACGACGTAGACGCATACCGCAATCTACCAGACAAGCCAGCACACCTCCACCCGAATCATCAAGCCTAGACTCCAACACTGAAGACACCCAAAAACTCCCAGACCATTCAGACGATGAGAACGACGAGGTAGATACTAAGATTCGCGCCGAGAATGCCTACCCCGGCTCCGTTAACACCATCGGGTCGATCCACCAACGCCGCTGGTTTCTCACTCTTGACCGAACTAATTCCGGGTTTAAGGACGAGCCGGGATCTGGACCGGCTGGCAAGCGGTGGACAAGGCAGCTGGATGCGAACCACCAACGGATGCTGGGCTTCGAGCCGTTCTACGTTCGGGGACCTGAGGTAGAACGGAGTATTGTGACGGGGAGATTGGGGAAGGAAATCCTCGAGGATGAGGGCGTGCAAGGGTTTCTGCCAAGACGTGGGTGGAGGCCGATTTTGGAGTGATTTAGTACGTTTTTCTTGAACTACGGTGTCATGCCCGCGCGCGCGGCCTGCCTTGCTGATAAGTCAACGTCAGAAAGACTGGCATGATCCTCATTTGTCACCAGTCATTACTGTCAATAAATTCTACGAAATGGACCTAGTGCAGAGAACAATATGTGGAATCGGGGACCTTTAAACCTCGGGGAAGTCGATCGCCGACTCCATTTGGTAATTATGATCTAGTACGGAGTACAACTTGAGGGTTCATCCCAAACAAAGAATTGTCTTATAACAGGTTAAAAAAGCGCCGTCATACCTGACACTTCGAACCTCTTAACATGCCAACCCCTTCACCCGTCACCATTGACCACGGTCCGAAATTCCATGGGCCGACCCAAGGTTCACTTCAGGCTCGGGGACCATCTCCACACTCTCCGGACTCTCGGAAGTCGTTGACGCCATGAGAGTTAATAATTGATGGTCCCCGATTATCTCCTCTTCCCGGGGAAGTAAAAATTGAATCCCTTACTTCGCAAGTTGGGATGGCGAATTGTTCGCTCATTCTTATTTCTACCTTGAGTTGATATAGAGTGACGGGTCGGCACGATTGTCGCTCAACCTCGCTTCCTACACACTTGAGCACCATGTTCACCCCGGTTCATACCTCCCTGGGCGCTCTTTTGCTCTACCAGGGCTCCTCCGGCCTGCTGTTGCACAATGGAGCCGTCTTCGGTATCTCGTCCTTCCTGTCAGGGTGCGTCTTGAACCCCAACCAAGACAATGTGCCCATCATCGCGGGCCTCATCTCCAGCATTGCCCCGGTCTATCTATTCGCCCCGTCTTTGCTCCCGTCATATCCGGCTTCGCCGTCCACGTGGGCCGCGTTGGCATCTACCGTCGGGACTGGATTCCTGCTGGGCTGGGGAACAAAGGTATAGTGTGTAATGGCAACCAGAGAGGAGAGGCATCGGCTAATCAGACACGACAACGAATAGAACGGTCGAGGCTGCACATCGGGCCACATGCTGTGTGGTCTCTCGCGCCTGTCCCCGCGCTCGTTGATCGCAACCGCCATCTTCTTCACGACCGCCCTGCTCACGGCCAACTTCGTCGGCGGAGGTCAGAACATCCCGGCCTGCGCGGGGGGCATTCCCTGCTACACACCCGTCTACCCGTCGAGCCACGAACTGGCAGTCATGATCGGAACGACCATCCTCACCTTCATCACCAACTTCATTGTCGTGCCGCGCGTCCTGAAGCGATCCGAAAAGTCGAAGACGATCTACTCGTACATCGCCGGTCTGCAGTTCGGCATCGGCCTGATCTTCTCCGGCATGGCCGACCCGGCCAAGGTGTTGCGCTTCTTCGCCATCCTGACGGACCCGTCTCGCTTCGACCCGTCTCTGGCCCTTATCATTCTGTTCGGCATCGGCCCGTCGCTGATCACGTACCTATCGAAGAAACCGGGCCAGGACACGAGTGACAGCGCAGACAAGCCTACGAAGCCCACTTTGGCCGAGACCTGGCGGCTGCCCACGGCCACCGTCGCCGATATCGACTGGCGGTTTGTCACCGGGGCCGCGGCCTTCGGGCTCGCCTGGGGATTACGGGGAGTGTGCCCGGGTCCTGCAGTGCTGCGCGCGGTCCTGCAGCCCGTGTGGGGAGTGGCAGAGATGGCGGGGTTCATGCTGGGCAGTGCACTGTAGATATCGGAAGTTCCACGGTTCATTATAATAAAACAAGCCGGGTCTTTCCACACATACATAGCAAAAGCATAAATATCACTCGAATCGTATTATTAGGTATAAAGCCTAGCAATCGGTTCCTAATACAAGAACAAGAAAAGCAAAGGCGCCAATCAAGAGCTATGCAAGTAAATTACCATCAGCGCTCCTCAGTCATAAATAGTAGATGCATAACGAAGCGTAGAACCTACAAAGCAGGGGATATGGTGCAGTACTAGTAGTATCAAAAGCCAAAAAAGATTCCAGGGCAAAGCTTACAATTCAGTCTTCCTAGCCCAATTCGAATGCTTCTCATTCTGATGCCCCGCGTCCTTTGTCGAGCTATTCCCGCCGCTAGCAGACATATACTCCTCAAGCTCCAACCACTCGGCCGCAAACGCCGTGACAAGCATACTCCAGTCTTCCACGGTGTCCATATCCAGATGCTCCGCATCGTCGTCGATGGTGTGCCACACCGCAGGGAAGGGCATCCCCGAGCCAGAGGCGGCGTCAATAATGTGCAAGATCTCCACGCCGCGGTGCAGAAACGGCACATGGTCATCGCCGATGCCGAGGGACTTCGGGATCTGGCTCTCCGACTTGGCCGCGTCGGGGAACCACGGCCGGGGCGTCGTCGACTTGAACTGCTTCAGGGCGCGGAAGCGGCGCTCCAGCGCCGCTAGCTTCTTGTACGCCCAGTGTGTGGCCTCGAAGTAGGACTGGATCGTGGGGTCCTTGGCTCCCAGCAGATCCAGCAGCATGAATACTGATATCGACGACAGAGGCGTCTTGTAGGTCGACAGCGCCGGGTTGACCTCGGAGTCCCATTGCTCGGCCAGCGCGCGCGCCCCGTACAGGGAATCGTCGTCGGACCAGCTCTGAAAGGCCTCTTCCCCGTCCATGAATATAACCTGGATGCCCTCCGCGTCCTCGAGCGTGTGGCCGGCCACGCGCATCTTCTCCCATTTGGCGGTCAGGGCCGCGTCGATGCTGCGCATAGCGTGCATGATCATGGCGCAGGGGGCCGCGCTGTCGATAGCGCCGATGAAGCCCGTCGGCTCGAGCTTGCTGTCGTAGTGGGCGACGAGGTTGAGGCGGCCGATGTCGCCTTTGTTAGCCCAGGGCGGGTCGCGGCTGGCGATGATGTTGACGAACTTGACCGGTGTACCCTTCGAGACAGGCGTCGTCGACGTGGAGTTATGCAGCTCGATGTGCCAATTGGGGAGTGTCGTTCGGACATAGTTCACGAGGTGTTCGAGCACGGCTGTTGCGCCAGGAGTGCCGGGGACGCGGGGTTGGAGGATTGGCGCGAGGAGAGCCCCGTTATGGATGTCGAAGTCGCCGTTCGGACGCGGGAGAGAGGTCAGTGTCGCGTCGGAGATGTCCTTGTAGGCTTCCCCGGGGATGAGGAGGAGGAATAGCGCGAGGCATATCGAGAGCAAGGGATGGTAGAGGCCCCCGGTGGCCGACAACATGGCGATTCAGAGCGCGGGTGCGGGCGCGGTCATTGCCTGAATCGAGATCTGGCGTGGACGACGGGGGAGGACGTATATGGAATGGCGACGAGAGGAGTCGACGTGGAGGGATTGACGGAGAAGTGGAGATGAGGCCGCGACGGAGATGAAAGAAAGGCCAAATCGACGCCAAGCCGGCTTAATTCTGGTCGGAGATCTTTCCTTCCCCAACTCATCTCTGTTCTTCATCATTCGACTTTTCTTTTCTCCGACACCAGTATACACCACTACAGGGAGCTGGTCATGTCCTCGAGTCCATCATGAGTCGCCAAATCCTACTCAGTCCGCTTCTGCGAGCCTCGCTCCCTCGCGCCGTGCGGAGAGATCTCACCAGTCAATGGTTTCCCCGGTTGAAGACAACGAACGCCGCCCCAAAACCGCCCAGGAACGACGTCCCATACCTCAAAACGAAACAGACTGATGCCGTACCGCTTCGCACCGTGAACAAGTCGTCGACGACGCATGCGCACAACGCCCTGCGGAAAGGCCTCGGAGGTACGGGGTTCCCGCAACATATTCGGAAGGTTGGAGGATGGTGCTAAATAGATCGTCTAGGAATGCCGGAGCGCATCTTGATCTTCCATGCTGGAACAACCAAACCGCTCTTCTTAGGGGCCATACGGATCACGGCCCTTTGCCTTATGGTAGCTTCGGGTCTGCTCATCGTGCCGGCCTATAAAGAAGGCCAACTCCCGTTGTGGCTGGCGACAACCCGTCAGTCTCCACGGTCTTCCCTCCAGCATTGGATATGATTGATTGACCAGTTCCTACAGTTGCCATAGGATCCACGATACCGTTCTTCGTGGTCACTTGGACCTCTGCACCCTTTGTGAACTTTATCTATCTCTCCCTCCCCATGTTTGCTCGACGATCGAGGGACCAAACCCTACAATATGCGAAGAACCTGCCGCCGACAGCGACGCTCAGTATAATCACCACGGATGCGACCTTTGTTCCCCGCACCACCACGGTCCGTCTTGGTGACCTTGTCCCTGGCAAGTCGACCCTTCGCCCGGTCGACTTTCGCGACACTAAGCGTGGGCCCGCTCTTACGCTGAAGGGGACGCCCGATGTATTTTATGCTCCCCCGACCACCAAGAAAGGCAAACAAACGCCGGCCTACTGGCCCGGGCTGTGGGATCATGTGTATCAACAGATCCAGAATAATACCCGCCGGACCTGATTCTGAGTTTCGAGTCTTTCTTGCAACCGCTCTTTGTAGTTCTAGGAAATACCACAGCGTCCAGGATTCAAAAATACCCGGAAATCTTCTCTTCTTGTTGTCATCACTTGCCATTGACGGAAGTGCCGAGACTTGGTTCTCGTGGGTTCTTGGTTTCCAGAAATTGAATGGGTGGTTGTTTTGACACGGTCAATCAGACACCCAAGTCCGGTTCATTCATCGACGTCTGTCATTCACTGGCCAGCTGAGACGACTGGGCGAGACGCTTCACTCTTGCTTCACCTGTCCTTCCACTCATTTCTCCTACTCCTGGACTTATAATCACTTGTTTCTTATTTCCCTTTTCAGCTGGGTTTCTCTTTCCTTCTCTTCACGTCTCCGTTCCTCACTTCACATCTTTAACTCTGCTACCATCCATCTCCATCTACACAGTCTCTCTTCTTCCCCTGTACTTCGCTATCATACCTTTCATTCTATCATATCCTTCATTCAGTCAAGCCGCTCTTGGGCTCTTCACGTTCTGAATACGAACCAATGGCGACCAAAGGGAAACCCGAAGGCCTCGTGGGTCTCTCAGTGGCGGAAGCGAAAGTCCTCCTTTTGGGTATCCTGTGCACCGACAACACTGGCAAGGTATGTCTTTAGGCCAGCCCATCAATATATTGCCACGAGTCTCACACAACACCGCAGCTGGACGGTGACAGGCTGGCCGCGAAAGGCAACTACAAGAACGGCGCCTCGGCCAAGACCATGCACCGCGTCGCTAGGAAGGCTCTCTTCGAGAGAAACCTTGGGGAAGACGAGGCATCCCCGTCGGCCACTACTGCTGACACCACTGCTCCCGCCGATGGCACCGCAGCCCCTGCGCCCACTCCCAAAAAGACCCCAACCAAACGCCGCAAGAAAGATGTCGCAGCTGCGGAGACAGGTCTGAACGGCGACACGGAGGACGAAATCGTGACTCCCAAACCCAAACGCCAGAGAAAGACCCCCGTGAAGAAGGCTGGGGCTTCTACTCCTGCGCCCAACATTGAAACTGGGTATGATACATCCATTAACTCTCTTCAAATCTATTATGAAACACCCGCTAATAGATCATCTGGTGAAAATGTAGCAACAGCGGAGTCCCACCCATGACCAGCAATCCTCACAACAAAGGCATCAAAGTCGAAGACGACACAAGCGCCCTGACATCTTCCCATCCGGCCCTGAAACTCGAAGACAGCGACTCCACGACTACCAGTGAGCTCATCGTCAAGGGCGCGATGGATGACGGTGACGCGATCATGACCAACGCGGAACTGGATGCAGAGCTCAATCATCTAGGTGACGACGCACGCGTTGCCATTAAGATGGAGGATATCGAGCATGGAGTGGATCTCTAGTTTGTTCTTTCTTTCTTTCTGTGTTTTTGCAGGGGACTAGTTTGAACGTCTTCAAGGCTATGACTTAGTGGACTATGGCTAGTCAAGGCGGATTTGTGCTTAATCAATGGAGAATGAAGAATGGAGACAGTTGACACAGGAGTGGATAGGGATTCGTTTATTACTGGCGTTTACAATTTCTGTTCGGCTTTCGAGGAGCAAGCGCAAGCGCAAGAGCAAGAGCAAGAGCAAGTTGATCCACAATGAAGAAATGGAATTCAGTTCAAAGCAAGTTCACCATGTTTTAAAATTGCAATTCACCTCTAGATTCCACTGTGAGTGTCTTTTTCGAGGGTATATACCCGAAACCATATAATTCAGACCCATTAGCTTTCCACCGCTCAAGACCACATCCTTATAATCCATCGACCATATATAGAAAAACACAACAACAACAATAGTAACAACGAGACAGATCACATCATATGTCAATCAAATAAAACAAACCACGCCGATCCATAATAATAAAACGTATAAGCAAAGTCAAGAGCTCCCTCTATACCGTCGATGCTCACAACGCTTCAATAGCTCTACGAAGCACCTCCAAGCTCCTCTCACTAGCCTCTCCACTATTCTCATCCGTCTCAGCCGTAGACTCCGACTCGCGCAAAGCCCAAGCAACATCACTCCACCAGCCCAGCGCAACGAAGCCGCCGCCCTTACGACGCTCGAGACTCTCCTTAAGCCGACTAGTGTGCTCCCACTGCTGCGCAGCATTCTCCGCAGTCTGAATGACCTTCTCGGGAATACCGCACATAGCCGCGCAGTGCATGCCGAAGCTGCCCTCCGCGACGCCGTCCTCCAGCTTGTAAAGGAAGGTGATGCGGCGATTGTCGTCGTCGACGTGGATCTTCATGCGCTTGGGCGCGATCTCGGGGTGGTTGTCGAACTCCGAGGCGAGAGAATGGTAGTGTGTGGCGAAGAAGCCGAGCGCGCCGATGTGCGTCGCGACGTGGTGCAGGACGGCTTGCGCGACTGCTACGCCGTCGTAGGAGCTGGTGCCGCGGCCGAGCTCGTCGAGGATGACGAGGGAGCGAGGGGTTGCTTCGGAGAGGATTTTCTTGGTCTCGGAGAGCTCGACGAAGAAGGTTGATTGCGCGGCGAAGATGTTGTCGTTGGCGCCGAGGCGGGACATGATGCGGTCGACGGGGGTGAGGCGGGCGGATTCGCAGGGGAGGTAGCAGCCTATTTGGGCCATGATGACTGCGACGCAGGTCTAGGTAGGTTAGTTAGATTTATCTATCTTCTGATGTTTCCCTTGTGGGAAATGAAGGGGGGGACATACCATGCGAAGAACTGTAGATTTACCAGCAGCGTTGGCTCCGGTAAGCAGATCGATGTTAGGGCGTTCGCCGCCGAGTTGTATATCGTTAGGGATGAAATCGTCAACAGACGAGAGGAGGCACGGGTGGCGCAGTTCTTCGAATTCGAGAACGCTTCGCTCAGCTTCCACAAACTGAGGACGACAGCTGGGCTCACCCAGGGAGGCAGACGCCTTGGCCAGACTGATCAGGCAGTCTAGCTGCGAGATAATCTTGACCGCCGCCAGCCAAACAGCGTAGTTCTCGTCAAACCGGGCATAGAATCGTCCAGCGACCTCCTTGACGATCTGACTGTGTGTCTCTTGGGCCTCTTGCAGCTTGCGGATCACACTGCGCAGCTCGGGAAAGTAGTACCGTTTGACCTGCTTGGTGGCTGACATCTGGTCCCATGATTTGGGCACGTTCTTCACCTTGATGGGAACCTCCATCTGGTAGATCTCTTTGCCGTTGTCCCTGTAGCAGATGGCGCTGGAGCCAAGCTCGCGCCGAGTGCGTTTCAGGAGATCTTCAAGGTCCTTGTGCAGCTGCTCGATATACCCCTGAGACGTGTCAAAGTCCTCTTCAACACCCGGTTTGGGTACGAGGATTCCATGCTCTCGCGCCTTGGAGCGGTCGAATGCGGTTTTCCAGTATTCCAGCTGGTCCTGCAAGTTGGGCATCGCGTTAATCAGTTGGCCAATGACCCCATCGCCCGAGCCAGTTTCCTTGAGAAGGCTCATGGTGTAGTCAATCTGCTCGAAGCCTTCCAATACGCGCAGAAAATCTTGCGCTTTGCAGTTGGCAGCGTGAATGCGGGAAATGAGTCGCTCGAGGTCAGGCATTTTGACCAACTGCGACGAGAACTGATCCCGAACGGTAGGGTCGGCATTGAGAGCTTCCACGGCATCCAGTCTTGCGTTGATCTTCTTTGCATCCACCATCGGGTGGCAAACCCACTGCTTAAACAACCGTTTCCCGAAAGGCGTGATGCAGCGGTTGAGAAGCTGGAAGAGCGTTCCCTCCGAGCCTCCGTCATAGGAGTTCGCGAAGATTTCCATGTTTATAAGCGTTTGACCGTCGAGGACCAAGCTAGATGTCTTCTTTATCGGATCGTACCAGGAGAAGTTGCCAATGGTAATCAGATCACGCTCAATCTTCAACAATCTGAGGTACTGCACCAGAGCCCCAAAAGCTGACATGACAAGCTCTTTCTCGCGGGCCTCGCGAAGGGCCGGGGGCCAAGCTTGGATATTGTCCGCATCATCCGAGACGAAGTATTCGCTCGCATCCAATTCTCTGACTGTAATGTCGGCCTCCCAGAACTCCTTCCCAGGCTTGAGGTGGTTCCAAAGCGTTGTAGGCCCCGTATTGTTTTTCAGAATGCGGAGGACCTTTTGCGATACCGCAGACTTTTCCAGAAGCAGCTCTTGCGGACGGGTCTGCGCGACGAACGTCTCGAACCGAGTCATGTCCACGTCGTCAACGAATTGTGATAGGAAGAATTGACCCGTGGCGGTGTCAACGATAGCCAGTCCAAAAGCAGGGAGGTCATTGACAGTTGATTCCTTGATGGCGACACAATAGGTGGACATGTCATCCTGGAGCATGGATCCCTCGACGAGAGTTCCAGCCGTAAGGACACAAGACAGTTCTCGCTTGATGACTTTGTCCTCCTTCCCTGGCTTCTTGCCATCTCTCTCGCGCATCTCCTTGCCCAGGGCTGACTCGATCTGATCCACGCGGGCGATTTTGAAACCCTTGGCTACGAACTGATTTGCCCAATGGTCCAAGCTCATCTCGGGCACACCGACCATACGCATGTTGACACGGTCCGTAAGCTTCAGGTCAAACAGTTGGTGGCCGATAGTCGCGTCGTTCTCGTATAGCTCATAGAACTTGCCCTTCTTGAAAAAGACAACGGTGTCCCAGAACTTCTGCTTGATCTCCCAGTATTGCTTCTCGAAAGGCGAGAATCGAGAAAAGGCCAGAGGCGGGATGTACAGCGTGCGGGGATCATAATCAGGATGACCGAGAGGGTTGCCGTCAATGTCTCGAATATTCGCAAGCCAGGAGTAGCGCTGCTCCGGCTCCGTCACATGTGCTTTCTGTTTCTTCGCACTGGAGGGGGTCTTCGGTGTCTGTTGCGGGGCCCTGGCCTGGCGAGGCTCCGAGCTGTTGGGGTCGTACGTCCATTTCAACGCGGTGCCACCCGATGCCTCCGGAATATCAAGCTCGATCTCATGGTCTGACGATGGCGGCGGAGGCATAGACGAAGATTTGTTTCGTGGCTGAGAGGCCTGCTTGCGTTTCCTTGGTGCTTTGACTTCCTCGTCCGACTCGTCGGCGACGATAAAATCGTCCATCTCTGCAGACCGTCAGCTTCTTCCAGAACAGTAATGGACTGATATAAAGCGAATTACCATCGTCTGAGCCACCATCTAGATCTTCTGCCCCCTCGAACTCGTCGTCGCTTTCCGGAGATAGCCTCCGTCTTTTGTTCGCTCTACCATTCCTACCGGTCGGGCGAAATATCTTATCGGTATCACCCTCGCCCTCGGAGTCGGACTCGACATAGTTCACTTGCTTCTTAGCCTGCAGATACACAAATCAGTATCGTATGAAATCAACGCAAAGGAGAATAGTAAATCAACTTACCCGGCGAGACGGCGACGTCGCGGTCTTATCAACTGGCTAAACAACCGTCAGCAGGCCCACCATCTAGCAAATACAAAACCCAATGCCTACCGGAGCATTATCTTCTTCCTCCTCAGGAGCCACCAAATCGCTACTGGGAACAGGCGGCAAGTCCTGCGTAAATTGCGGTACACTCTTCTTTTTCGCGACGCTCTTAGCCGACCCTGCCCCACGTTGAGCGGAAGCCCTCTCAGCGGGCGACGAGGCAGGCTCTCTGCTTCTCGCAGCAGATGGCGTCGACGGAGAGGACTTTTGGAAAAATCCCAGAATCGACTTCTGGCTTTTCATGTTCTGGGTGCTGGACGTGGTGCGTTTCAACGCCGCGGACGGAGGCGTTGCGGTCGTGGGCGACGGTGCCTCGGACGGTCCTTTGGCCATTCTTGGAGGATAGTTTGTTATGGTCGTAAATCGTGGGGATGGGACAAAGGGATCAGGGCATGTCGGATGGGAGAAGAAAGTCTGGGGAGAGTGGCAGGGTCAGATAGGGAGGGAGGGAGTCGCACGGAATTGATAGATCGAGCGGCCCGGAGAGAACAAGGGCGTCACGCGTGTCGACGCGTTTAGTGGTTTTCTTTTTCCGCCGACATTCTTGGCTCTTATCACCTCCGCCTGTTATCGCCCACTCCACGACTATGATCTCTACGTGATACTGACGGATCTGAACAAACTTGATGAATGGAATCGGTGATGGTATACATATATGTGGCTTATCAACAGAGCTACAGGTCTAGAAATACAGTATAGTTTCAGGTGGCAAAATGGCCAGGGTTACCAGAACGCCTTGCTCGTCTCCGGTCAACTGCTCCGCCAGACGATCATGCTTGTCTTTTCGTCAACTGCAGGGTTACCTTAATCCGTCTTCTCGGGGGTGGTCTTGTCGGACTGGGATGCGTCCGACTCGGGTTCCCACCCGGGCGCAGTCAGCCCACGCGCCTTGAACTCCTCGTCGCTGACGATGTTCACGATCTTGAACTTCCACTTGCCCAGCTTGAGGAACAGATGAGTGCCGTCGTGGATGAACTTCTCCGTCTCTTCGGCTTTCCAGCTCGTGATGGGCGTGAACGTCAATTGATCCTCCATGGCCCCGCTGTTACCCGGGCGGCTTCCCACGTACGCACCCTTGTTGTTCACAATCCGGAAGCCCTCCGCCTTGGACGTCACCAGGCCGGCGGACCAGAGGATCTTGTTGAAAGTCTGGCCGTAGACCAGAGACCGCGGAAGCGTGACGTTCACGCTTGGCATGTTGGCGAAATTGGTTTGAGGCGCGTACTTGTTCCCCGATTGGGGGTTCGAGAAGCCGAAGACCGGGGACTGGGGATGGCCGCCGGGGCGTTCGGCGTGCGAGGGAGTGGCGTTGGCTCGGCGGTCGAGCTGCGGGGTCGGAATAATTGCCGGTGCTGAAGGGCGACCGTGTCGGCCTCTTCTTTGCCGTGGATGAGTTCCACGAATTCCGCGGCCAGGGCATGCTGGGCAACGCGTGTGGACGGGTCTTTGTTCTGTTCCTCCATGATCTTCGCGATTTCGGGCACGGGCAGGAAAGTAAACATCTTCAGGTAACTTTCAACGACGTTGTCGGGCGTCCGGACGAAGAACTGGTACAGCTCGAAAGTGGACGTCATGTCCTTATCGAGCCAGATCGCGTTCCCCGCGGACTTGCCAAACTTCTCCCCAGACGGGGCCGTCAGTAAGGGCGTAGTGAAGCCGATCGGCTTGTCCACGTCGTCGGTCAAGGGGTTCCGTTCCTGTTCCAGAACGGTGGTTTTGCTGATTTGCTTGACTGCGTCCATTCCAAAAAGGATGTTTCCGTACTGATCCGTGCCTCCCACCTGCACTTGGCAACCCTTGCGAAAGAGCACCCACCAATCCCATGCCTGCATAAGGGGGTATGAGAACTCCGCAAAGGACATGCCGTCGCCTTGTAGTCGGGTTTTGACACTAGACCGTCGGTCAGATACTGTGGTGCGTGCAGGGAAACCAATTGACTCACTTATCTCTGCCGAGCATGGGGCCCAGGCGCACGAGGGAGCCCAAGTCCCGGAGCACCTCGAGGAACGGGAGTCCGTTCCACCACATGTTGTTGTTGGTCAAGGCCCGTCGCGAAGTCCATGTCTTCTTGTATCCGTGTCTCTCGCCGTACTTCTCGATGCTCATGCCCAGCTTCTTGAGCTGCATGTGCATGCTCGCCATGTTTGCTTTCCGAACCGACGAGTGAACCTGCTCCCGTCCCTTCAATCGGCCTGTAGGATCTCCAATCCGGGAAGTAGAACCACCCAGCTTCTCTGTATTAGCGTTGTTGCACATGCCTTGGTGCGGAGTCGAGATGAGAGGCACGAACCAGGAACGTAACCGGCAATTTCCACACATAACCCCAAGCCAGAACCATAAACGGCAGCATATGACCGACATGCAAAGACGGAGCCGTTGGGTCCACGCCCACGTAGATCCCCGCTCTTTTCTCCGTGAAGACACGATGAAGAATGTCTCGTTCTCTGTATAGTCATAGGATCGCAAGTCAGTCGACAGATCTAATCAAAATTCATGCAAATGATGGCGGTCACTCACCCAACGACATCATGGATCAATCCTCTCTCCTCCAAGTGTTCCACAAAACTCTGTCTCTTCCCAGCTTTGATCTCCTCTGCGAATTGCGCCCACTCCTGCTCCGCTTCCTTGGTGCGTCGGACGTAATTCTGAGTGATCCATCTTTTTTGCTGGCCCCCGGATCCGATTATCGAACTCCCCAGAGTAGACTGTAACCCCGTCGGACGGACAAGGCCTGTGTTCACGATTTCCGCCGTCCGAGCATAGTTACAAGCGCGACATACCGTCCGTCCGCCTTGCGCAAAGTTGGACATGCGCAGGCGTGCCGCGGTAGGCAACGCGCCGAGATGGGGCCTCATGAGAGGAGGCTAGAACCCAACAGTCAAATACAATAATTGTCAACAAATGAGTAATTAGCCAGACAAGGGAAATCAAACGGTAAACTTGGTCAAGTAGAGGGGCTTGAACGATTCGCAGTGGTTGCGATTATTTTCGCGACTCCGATAAGAAGCCGATCAGTCACTTCCCCGACGGAGAATCGTTGATGCGTCTCGATTGGTCCGCGGAATAATTGTCCCAAGTGGTGAAAATTTCAACATATTTGAGAGCAGACAGAGTTCTTCTGGGAGAAGAATATACAACAGACAAAAAGAAAGTACTGGGGGAATCAGCTCCAATTCTGCGCCAGGTTCTTGGTTGTTGTTTTATTCTCGTTATACACCGATCAAAGGCGATCAACCTAATCTACTGCGGCACTCGCCAAAGATCCATGATTATCAATTACATTATTGTATTATTATTCTAAATCAGCAGCCAAGATACGTAATCCGGCTATAATATCATATATAAAAGTCCATGTTGAGAGCCCTATCATCAAGGTGCCGAGACTATAGTCAACACCTCTCGAGGGTCTACAACACGACCCTGCTCCATCGAGCCAACACCGCAAGTAATATGTGATCAGAGATGCCTTCATCGCGTCCGTAAAGTAACAAGGTGGTGTGCCGAACGCAGATATCATCCTCCCTCCACCGGAGCCCAGCAGCCCTTGAGCCTCGAAAGGAGAGCCACAAGGCTCCAGGAGGAGAGATTGAATCAAATAGAACACGCTAGGCTTTCATCATCTGAGGAATGTTAGTTACAGATCATACAACTCTAAAAAGCAAGACAGCAATAGCTATCCAAAGGTAGGACTCACGGTTATAAAACTTGGAAGGATGGAGAAGGAAAAGAGAGTGTGAGAAATCGGCGGATTTTATACGATTCCGTAGTGGGTCATGTGATACTAGCCCGTTTGGGAAGGCGGTACAGTTCTGCCGGTGGCTCGATGCGCCATGATTGATTTCCTCGATGGAGTCACTCGAGAACATCTTCTACATTGCTGATTGTGTCTCGTTGATGCTTTGCTTTACTCTTCTCTGATTTCTATTGACCGGTAGAGAGCATTGAGACAGCATGTTTGTCGCCCGCGCGGGGAGAGTCGCCCCTCGTCTTTCCTCCAGCTATATCGAGATCTCCAATTACCTCCGCGGCCGCCGAACCGGATTCCGCGCCGGAGGGTATGGTCCCAGGGCGACGACGAGGCCCTTCCATCGCTCCTCCTGTCTTCTTGAGGAGACCAATGGCCAAATTGATAATATTCATTTTCTAGAAAAGTACAAAAAGGCCGGTACGTTCGTCGCCTGCGCAGTTACACGCGAGGGATCCAAGCTACTCTCGTCCAGACGTGCTAATGGTCACTACTCCAGTGGAATTCCCACCGGCGACGGCAGACTTTGAGACGTTCTTTTCACAGGCAGCCGCGGATCAACAAGTTGTACTTCATGGCTATCTGGGAGTCCGTCGTGATGTCTCCAAGAAACTGGCCTTTGTGCGCCTGACCGACCCGACGATGAAGCACAGTATCCAGCTGATCTCAATGGCAAACAACGGTTCCTTGGAGCAACTCAAAGCGATCAGAGCCAACAGTCCAGTCGCGATTCAGGGCAAGGTTCAGCCGAAGAAAGCCAAAGGCGCCGAAATGGAACAAGCCGAGCCGTGGGAGCTGTTCGTGGAGGAAGTCCACTCTCTCAATGACTTCCCGAAAGACATCCTGATGAAGTCGGACACCAATTTCGCCCCAAAGCACCGGTATCTGCAGCTGCGCGCGGATTCCGACCTCCGAGATGCCCTCCGCTTCCGAGCCCAGGCCCACAACGTCTGCAAGCAAGAGCTGGATGCGTCCGTACCGCCTTTTCTCGAGGTCGAGACGCCGATTCTCTTCAAGTCCACTCCCGAAGGTGCTCGCGAGTTCCTGGTGCCTACTCGGAAGCGTGGGCTGGCGTATGCGCTCCCGCAGAGCCCGCAACAGTACAAGCAAATCCTCATGGCCAGTGGCATCCCCCGGTACTACCAGTTTGCGCGGTGCTTCCGTGACGAAGACCTCCGTGCAGACAGACAACCAGAATTCACCCAGCTCGATCTGGAAATGTCCTTCGCAACCGGAGAGGACGTAATGAAGGTCATCGAAGGAGTCATCCGACGACTATGGTCGACATTGATGCCGGAGCCAGCTCCCGCAGGCCCGTTCCGCAGAATGGGCTACCAAGAAGCCATGGCACGATACGGGTCCGACAAGCCCGACACCCGATACGGCATGGAGATCTCGCGAATCGACTACATGATCCCCGTAGACCTAGTCAACAAGATCTCGGACCTCGACGAACCCATCGTCGAAGTCTTCAAGATCGAAAACAACGAAAACGACCCAGCCGCCATGTCCCAATTCATCCGCGACTTCTTGGACTCCCCCGCCGGAGCCCCATTCAACACCAACCCCGCCGGGGCCCCAGGCGTCTTCGTCTACGACGCCAAGAGGCCCCTCTGCGGCATGACAGCCTTCGGCTTCGAAGCCGCCGAATACATGGAAGAACAACTCGACCTCGACCACGGCGACCTCATCGTGATCCAAGCGCGCGAGAACGCGCCCTTCTCCGGCGGCTCGACCCCCATCGGCGACCTCCGCCGAGCCCTCTACACCGCCGCCATCACCAACAACTTCAAGCCCGCCCCCACCGGCTTCGACTTCCTCTGGATTAACGACTTCCCGCTCTTTTCCCCAGCAAGCGACACCGAGCCCGGCCAAGGCGGCGCAGCCGGCATAGCATCAACGCACCACCCCTTCACAGCGCCCAAAACTGCCTCCGACGTCGACCTCCTCCTGCAGGACCCAACAAAGGTAGTCGCAGACCACTACGACCTGGTCGTCAACGGCGTCGAGCTCGGTGGCGGCAGCAGACGTATCCACGACGCAGCCGTCCAGGAATTCATCCTCCGCGACATCCTGCAAATGAAGCCCGAGCGACTGGCTGACTTTGCGCACCTGCTGGAAGCGCTGAGAGCCGGGTGTCCGCCGCATGCGGGACTCGCGCTGGGCTTCGATCGGCTGGTGGCTGTTATGTTGGGGAAGGAGTCCGTGCGGGATGTGATTGCTTTTCCGAAGATTGGGAAGCTGGGGGAGGATCAGATGGTTAAGGCGCCGAGTGTGGTGAGCGAGGAGGCGTTGGGGACGTATCATTTGAGATGGAGGGAGTGAAATCACCTTCTTAGCCATTGGGAAGATGTTTGGACTACTGTATTTGTAGTGTATATATATGTGATTAGTGTACTGATAGTGATAGATGCGATACCCTCTCACCTTTCAAACCTTTCAATTGCTTGACAATCAACCAAGATAGATTATATGAGTTTAAAAAATACTAATGGATAAGGCCATAATAATATAAATGCTGCAACTGCAATTCGTAACTCAATCAATATATCTACACAAGCGGGTCGCAGAAGCCACACAGATGCTGTTATACAAAACGCCTTCCCACAAACAAACACAACAAAAAGAGAGGGAAAAAAAGGGAATCTAATACAAAGTCACGAAAGATATAAAAAAATCAAAGTGTGAAACACAACTTAAGCAGCCGACGCAACCGTCGGCGACTGCTCCTCCTCATCATCATAGTACAAATATTCGTCCTCGTCCTCGTCAGGCTCTCCCTGTCCGAACGCACTCCGCCAGACACCATCCCAGAGGCCCTTCTTCGTGGCCAGACCGCCGACCAGCAGGATGGGCAGCTGCCAGATACTGGCCCAGAAGAGGCCGCGGGCGGTGCCGTGGGCGCCCTGGTGTTTCCAGAAGTGGTAGGCCTCCTTGACGAGCCAGCCGTTGGCGACGGAGCTGCCGACCAGGAAGCCGTGGCCGACGACGCCGACCCACCAGAGGCCGATGGAGATGGGGAACATGAGGACGGAGTAGCGCAGGGCGACGCGGGCGTTGCGGGCCGGGTTGGTCCAGCAGAGCATCTTGTAGCCTGCGGCGCGGTACTCGTCGCGGATGGTGTGGGAGAGAGCGTTGAAGTGGGGGAACTGCCAGGCGAAGAGGATGCCGCCTAGAAGCCAGCCGCCGATGCTGTCCTCGCTGAAGAGCATGTCGCGCCAGGTGTCGTGGCCCGGGGTGGCTGTCTGGCCGGCGGCGGCGACCCAGCCCATCAGTGGGGGGATTCCGCCCACGATGGCGCCCACCCAGGTGTTGATGACGTGCAGACGCTTCAGCGGCGTGTAGACAAAGGCGTACAGGAAGATGTTGCTTGCCGACAGGGCCGCTACCGTCGGGTTCGTGCCCAGGTAGAGCAGGCCCAACCCTGCCAAGGCGGTTGCGATCGCGAAGACCACGGCCGCGCGACGGGAGATCAGTCCGCGGACGAGGGGCCTGTTGCGCGTGCGGGACATGAGGGCGTCGTATTTCGGCTCGAAGATCATGTTCAGGGTGTTGGCGCTGCACGAGGACAGGAAGGTACCGGCCGTCAGGTAGAGGAAGGTCAGGGTGGAGGTGGAGAGGGTCGGCAGCGGGGCGATGGACGGGTCGAGGGTTAGAAGGGACGAGATCGGGTACATGCCGTACGCGGAGGTGGTCGTGAGCACGATCAGGATGGAGAGACGGGGTTTGGTGAGAGCGAGGTAGGCGGCCATGTTGCGACGGAGGGAGGACTTGGGGAGGGCGGAAGAGAGATTGGACAGCTGTGCTGAGGCATCAGGTGGGATGACATGGTCTGGGTCATCCTGCCCCTGGCGAGCGGATTCCTCCTCCTTCAAACGTTTCCTCCGACGATGGGGTAGCTCTGCTGCCGCCGTATCCGGGCCATTGGCACTCCCATCTGTGGTCTCCGCCGTACGCGACGAGGCGGGGTTTGACGATTCCCGCGCGGCATTGGCAGCGGATAACGACGCCAGGAGGCCGTCCTTAGTACTGGCACCATCATTGTCTCGATTCGACGAGAAATAGGACTTGTTCAAAGTGGAGGCCGCAGGTTGGCTCGGACCGACGCCGGAAGACCATCGGGAGGACGAGAGAAAGCTGCGGACGGTGGGGCGATGAGGACGCGCACGGAGGAGGCATTGCGAGCAGATACGCGAGGGATCCCGTGGGGGAGCTAGCCTCCGCAGTGAGGGGTGCAAGAGGAAGACCATGACGGGGACATGGGCCAGGGATAGAACGACCACCGAGCGTGGAAACAATGGAGATCTTGATGCGGATGAAGTCCTCGAAGAATACAAAAGGCGGTGGGCAGAGGCAGAACCCCACCGCTTATTTTGATCGCGTTTTGATTGACTCGGGACAACTTCACTTCTAGACAGACCACGCACATCAACGAGGAGCCGACTCCCTTTATTTCTCTAGTTTCTCTGGTACTTGGTACTATTCAATACGTGCAAACATGGACTCTATCCAGCAAGCGGTTGTCCAACCCCTCCAACCCATCCTCCGACCCATCGCATCCGCCCTCCCCAAACCCGTCCACGATACCATTATCTCCCTAGTCGGTGCCCCCTGCCACAGCACCCTCCTGGTCGATCTGGACGTCGCCAAGGATCCCGAATGCACCTCGCTCGCCATCTCCAAGGCGCTGGGGATCGCCATCGTGGGCGCCAGCGCCATCGTCAAGGTGCCGCAGATCCTCAAGTTGATCAAGTCGCGATCGTCGGCCGGGGTGTCGTTTGTCTCGTACGCGCTCGAGACAGCCAGCCTGCTGATCACGCTGTCGTACAGCGTGCGCAATCAGTTCCCCTTCAGCACCTACGGGGAGACGGCCCTGATCGCCGTCCAAGATATCGTGGTGGGCGTGTTGGTCCTCAGCTTCGCCGGGAAAGGCACCGCCGCCGCAGCGTTCGTCGCCGTGGTCGCCGCTAGTGTCTATGCGCTACTGTTCGACCAGACGCTCATCGATGCGCAGACTATGGCGTATCTGCAGGCGGGCGCGGGAGCGCTGGGTGTGGCCAGCAAAGCGCCGCAGATCTTGACCATCTGGCAGGAGGGCAGTACCGGGCAGTTGAGTGCCTTTGCTGTATGTTTGATCCCGTCACTTTGTTCAAAGTCACATTCCCGATAATTAACCATGGACAGGTATTCAACTATCTCGCCGGATCCCTGTCGCGCATCTTCACGACCCTGCAGGAGGTGGACGATCCGATCATCCTGTACGGGTTCATCGCAGGGTTCAGTCTGAACCTGGTGCTTGCCACGCAGATGCTGTACTACTGGAACAGCTCGCCGGCCCCGGCCCCGGCCAAGAAACAGGCCCGTTCGAAAGCCAAGGCCCAGCTGGAGAAGCCGGTGGCGCAGAGCACGGGGGCATCGCCCAAGTCGGGCAAGGGGCCTACCACGCGGCGACGGGGTTGATTCCCACTATGCTTCTTTTATCATTTATAATCCATAAATCATAATGTTTTGCACCACACAATGCATTACACCATCATCGTAGATACAATCAAAAGTATCACCGCTGACTGGGCTGTGCCCCAGTAGTCATAAACCGTAGAATGCCCTCCAAAGGCACAACAGGCGCCATCACCTTCTGCACACCAACCCCATCCTCTCCCCCAACACCACCCGCACCATGCGCGCCCCCAGCAGCAATATCAAACTCAAGCCCACCACCACCGGCAACAGCCCAGCGCCAGGCCTCATCCTCACGCCCACAACCTCCATCTCCTCCTCCTCGCCCTGCCCCTCATTCCCCTCGCCCTCACTGCTCCCACTCGTACTCCCCATATCATCCTCCCCGTCGTCCAGCACGCGCCGCAACCCAGTAACCACATTCGCGACACCGCCCTCCCTCTCCTCGAGGGTGTAATCACCACCCCAGTCGCGCTGTCTCGCTTCCCGGTTTGCTTCAACGGGCGCCCAGTGCCATAATTCAGCTAGATCATGCTCGCTTAAATCATGATCGTTATCGTTCTCATTGCCGTCGTTGTTGCCATTATCATTGCTGTTAGTGTTGGTATCCGGAACAGCCCGTCGCCTCCCCCGCGCAACCCAATCCTCCACGCGCGGATCAAGCTTCGTCCGCAGAAGCTGCTCAAGCGTCGGCGCTTGCGTGCGACCCGGGAAGTCCGGGCCCGGGTAGGCGACTAGCGAGGAGAGGAGGGGCTGGTTCTCGGAGAGGTGTTCGGAGATGGAGAGGAGGTTGTTGGAGAGGATTGTTGCTTGGGATTGGAGGGAGGGCCTTTTTTTTCCTTGTTAGTTCCCATGTTCATAGATATAATGTATGACATATCAAGATGTATATGTTAAGAAAGAGGACGGAATGAGGAGGAATACCAAGACGGAAGAGGATCACTCTGGTTCAAACTTCCGATGAGCGAGGCCAGCGAGTGGGTGAGTTGGACGAGACGTTGGCGGGATTGTTCGAGGGCTTTGATTTGGTCTTTTGTGGGGGTGGACATTTTGTATTATCTTATATCGGTTTATTATGTATTATATGTATTTTGAGGGGTTCAAGTATGAAGATCAATTGAGGATTGAGGGGAGCGGAGAAAGATCGAGATGATGATTGAGTTATGGTGGTGGATTGGAGATGTCCTAAAGGGGAATAGTTTCCTGTTTCTTCATCTTATACTGTCTACTCATGTGTTTGATGCTCTACTTCTATATCACTATATTATAATGATTATTGAGATAATTTGTAAATGATCAACAGTCATAAAGGAATATATTTATAATAATAAAGAATATCCATGATAATCCCTCCTAATGAAATAACGCCGAACCTTCGGCCGAACGACCTTGGCAGTCGTGTTTATTTATAGCAGGCGCCTAATGATACAGAGGATCCTGGGTGCAGGAAGACGCGGGGGTACTGGGTACATAAAGAGAGAAATCCTCTGTTTGTATTTTCTGTACTTGTTTCTACTAGAATAAACAAGTAGTCCATCTATCTACTTGTACCATCGAGTGTATACTATGTGGTATAACATATTATTAAGATCATGAGGGTATATGACATCTTCTCATCCATGCATCTCCACCTTCCTATAGTGAACACCATCCAAACTCATATACTAACCTTTCACAGGCCCCTTCTCCTTCTCCTCCTTCTCAGGAGCATATACCGTTCCAGGCACAGCCACTCCGGTCTCTGTAGCCTGTGCCTGCTTCCCATACCCAGCCCCAACCGCACCACTCCCATACGCATAAGGATGATGCATACCAACCGCCGCAGCAGGATCATAGCCACCCTGCACCTGCGCCTGCGCCTGAGCAAGGGCATCAGCATGGGGATGGCCCCACCCAGCATGAAAACGGTTCAACTCTCGCTCCTCGCGTATCTGCCTAGCCTTCTTACGACGGTGCCGCACAAAGAAGAAGCAGCACACCGTCAAGGCACAGACCACGATGACGAACGCTAGGATGGGAATGGCAATGACGACCGCTAAATTTACCCCTTTGCCGGACTTAGGAGCCAGCAGGTTCGCCGTTGACGACGGCAGCATGGACTCGCTGAAGATGCGGGCTGGGCTGATGGGGAAGGATTCAGTGGGTGGGGTGCGGAAGTGGCAGTTGTAGCGGAGGGCTTCGAGGACTGATTTATTGCAGGTTAATATTTGGCTCGTGTGTACTGCAGGGTGCAGTGCAAAAAAACGGAAGATGAGGAAGAGACGTACAGTTCGACATATAATTCTGATTATCAGTCAGGTTATAACACTGCTCACACTGACTGATAGCATTATCGGCGAACGCATTCGACCCGCACCAGGTGTCAAGATTATCCCCGTCAGGGTCGGCAATCTCAAACTCCAGCGCCGAGTCCAGCTGCTGACACGACACCGTGCACTGGGTGGAGATATTGTTGACGGACTCGGGAGTGCCGAATACGCAGCTGGTGAAGGCATATCGCAGGTTATCTACCCAACGTCCGATTAGAACATTCACCCAGACTCAGATATCGAACCATGGAACGAAAGCAGAGGATAACATACACAAGGACCACTCGACATCCGACTGCTTCGTCGGCGTGTCGTGGAAAGAGCTGCGCAGTCCGCACTCGATGCATTGCTGGAAGGTGGACCCTTTGTCTGTCTGCGTGAACTCGCGGTCCAGACAGGCTATCTCTGATCCCGTCGTGTTGGACGAATGCTTGTGGCAGACTTCCTCACAGGGTGAACCTGGCGTGATGCGCAGGGAGAGGATGGGGAGGGTCTGGGTTAAGACGACAAGAGCAGTCGCCCACGTTGAAGTCCTTCGACCCAGCATTCTGATGTTTCTCTCTTCTTATGCTTCAGTCTACACCAGCCAAGGAGCCGAGCAATCTCAAATGAGTCCGACCATGGAAGTGTAACCACAACACACCAAGACAGAGGACAGCAGCACCCGATGAGCGCAACAATATATGCAAACGAAGAGAGGGATCAATACTCTGTCAACGACACCAACAAAACAGAATATATCAACTCAGAAACCCAGCCCACAGCCGGTAAAAGTACCCATCAAAAACAACCAGTCAAACCCCCCCAGGCCAACCGGACAGCCAGAGCTTGATAAAAAAAAAGCGCCCAGCCCAAAAAAGACCGGGGTGTGATCACCGCAGTGCATCCACGACCAGGAAGTCAAGTTGGAACAAGCATATGCGAGTGGGGGGCGGAAAGAGGGGGTGTATGGATACTGGATAGGTGGATTGGGGGGGGGGTTGGCGCTTAGACAGTAGCCTGTCAGTAACTAGCCTGTCAAGAACGACCAGAGAGAAAGGCGTGAGTGTGGGCGAGTGTGATGAGATGGCGATTGTGACTGTGACGCGCACTGCAGCTGTTAGTTTGGCTTCGTTTTATTCGTCGTTCTCGTCGACCCCTCTTGAGTCTGGGGGGGTGATTGGTTGGGGATGTGTGTCGGATGGGTTGGTCCGGATTTCCATTGTGACATCTATATTTTATATTCTATTATATATTAGAGAAATAAACTGAAATCGGAAAATAAAAAAAAATAAAAAAATAAAAAAAAAAAAACACCAAATTAGTGAGCCCAGATAGCGAGTCGTGACCGGGGAGAAGTTCAAGTCCAATGTGATAACAATACTCCAAACGGAGTCCGCCAACCCAAGTGGATCCCCCTTGGCGCGAACAGATCGATCTCTTCGAATAAGATTTACGAGAACAAAGAAGTCAAAGGACCGATAGAGCCGGAATCAAGGAAAGGATCGACAAAGTTGTCTCATTCTACTGAATCGGGATCGGGCTCAATAAAGGATAAATAAACGCAAATAAACAACATCAAACAAAGAAAGACAGACACCCTCCCCAGACATAGTCGAGACGCCACCATGCAAGTCGTACGGTACCTGTTGCCATCCCCCGGGGTGGTGGTACAGAGAACTCAATTTGGGCCCAGGATGAGGAAAAGGAGAGCTTGATATCAGGAGAGCCATATTGCTGAGAAACAAGAATAGTAAATGTAAAGGAATGGGATGCTAGAAGCACAAGAACGCTATAAATTCGAATCCATGTATCATCCGTACAGCTCCTCATAGGAAGGCACCAGTTCCTGTTCAGTCGACTCGACCTCGGGCGCCCGGTAGGGCTCCCGGCCCCGGGGCTGATGGGGCGGTTGCGGTGGCAGCTGTAGCGGCGGAGGGGGTGGAGATTTCACGAAAGGAGAACGAGGACTCTTGATTTTCTCTTGTTGGGTGGGGAGGTGGAAAGATCGAGGCCCCTCGCTCAGTGCGGAGGGGACCGTCGAGGTGTAGCTGGTGTGTTTGGAGCTGGCCGTGACCGGCATCGAGGCCGTGCCGTCAGTCGTATTGCTCTGGATGCTGCAGCGTCGCATCTTGGAGGTGACGGATAGCGGGGGCGATTTGGATGCAGGAGGGTACCGTCCCCGGGATGGCCCCAGCTCCGACACGGGGTCATCGTCTTCAGACGTATCGCTGGACGGGTCCTCCGAGGCGGAATCCTGCCATGTGCGAGGGGGATCGCGAGTGGCGCATAACGGGGCGGGGATCTTCTTCGTGGGTCGATTGCGCAGTTTGGAGTCATAGTGGCCTCGCGGGATAGTCAGGGACGAGTCTCCCGAGGTGCGATTGACCGGATGGCGCGGCGAGGACCAGCTGCGGCGATCGGTCGTGTCAACAGAGCTATGTCGTCGTCCCCGTTCAGGAGACCGGGCCACCACACCGGCAGGCTGATCCCACTGGCTCCAGGACCCCTCGGTGGGATAGGTGATGGAGACATCTCCCCACCGCGAGTCCAGTTCCGAGGAGAGCTTGCGCTTCCGGCGCAACTTCCGGATGATGGCCGTCATGATCCTCCACGGGCTTCTCATCAAACAGGGTTAACGCGACATGTACCGGCCAGAGAAGTAGGTGTCGATAGCATACTATCAGGAAAGTCCAAGGTAATAGTAGAATACCAAAATGGGACGAAAGGGGGAGAATCGGTGAGTCAATCCCCTTCGACCATATAAGACCCCACGAACAGGTCACCCACCGGCGGAAGGGGAGAGGGGCAGACGACGAAGACAAAAGATGAAAGACACGTTCCCAGCCAGCATGAAAGAAGGAGATATATCAGAATCGGACCATCGAAGCCCGCCGGTCCAGCGACCACCGCATACGAATCGCTGAGGAAAGTTTCCGACAGGAACGTGATCAACCTGACGGAAGGGCGCCATTTCCTCACGCCAGACTTGACCTGACCTGACCTAACCTGACCTGAGCTAACCTGAGCTAACCTGACCCAGAACTTCGCCCGGGGTGAAGGGGGGAAACGGGAAAGGGGGGCGAAGAGAGGGAGGGGGGGTAGTGTGGACGCCGCAAAGCAAAGGTTCAATCATTCAATCACACGGGTTCCGGGGGGGACGGACGCGTTGCTTTTTGGACCCGACAGTCTGGTTCAGCCCTTCAGGAGGCCTCGTCTGGTGGAGGTGACGGTCCGCGCCACCTGCCGTGCACAGGATAGTACGGACCGGATGATCTCCACTTGTCTAACCAGGCGTTGGGGGGTGTGTTACCGCGACGGATTGGAAGCGGGAAAAAGAAGCGGCAAATGAGGGGAGAGCCCTGGGGAGAGCCCTGAAGGCAACGAGGAACCGACATATCGAGGAGGGATGACGGGAGGGGAACGGAGGGGAATGCAGACTACGGCACAGTCATGCGTCAAGTTGTCCGTCCGCTTGGCGTGGCGCTTGCTGGAGAGAAACAGGGATGGAGTCAACCTTCCTAGGTAATGTGGTGAGAGGAGAGAGGAGAAGGGGTGGGGGCCATCGTCATGATCCCTGACCGACGGGTCATCTATGACCGGATATCGCGAGGAACAGAAAGTAGGTTGAGGATTCGGACCGGACGAGGCAACTAAGAGACTAGTGAGGTAGCAGTGGAGACGACAAGTCCACCAATGTTGTGGCGCGTATAAGGTCCATTTATGCAAGAACCCAGCCAAGACGGGGATCGACTCTTAATAGTCAGTGTTTATTACTCCGTGGTTGATGAGTCTGAGTTGGATTTTGGGTTAGGTGGTTGGTTGTTGGTTGGTTGGATGTAGAATGGATGGTATGAGTATAGTTGAAGTATACTCCGTGGACAATATTGGATAGAGTCGAGGTAGAGAAAAGCCTCACTCAGACAATTCCAAATCAAACAATCAAGAAAATAAATCAAATCTAACAAGTAGGGGTAAACGGATCACGCCGGTTTGATCGTCACGGTTGGCCCCGAGCCATCCACAGAGCTTATCTACGCGCCGTGATGGGGATTGTCTCGCATAAGAGTAGCTGATTTGTCGTCTTCTCATACTAGTGTGAAGCTATTGCTGCGGCGCAATATAGGCAAAAGAGAGACTTACGTTGCCCTAGTCAGTCGGATTGCCGTGTTGGGAAGTAGACAGCATTCTCTAGTAGTACCTTGGTAGTTCACTACATAGATACTAAATCACTGACTGACTGACTAGGCAACTAACTAGGTACTCAGTTGGGTAGCGTCAGACTGACTCACTGAGCTAGATCTACACTAGTCCGGTTCAGTTAGGAGGCATGGATCATTAGGGTCTTCAGTTGGGAGTCCCTCTGAAAATGTCTCGGCTTAGACGCCTGAGAGAACGAGAGACCGAGAGAATGAACCATGACAAGGGTTGGTCGAGGCCAAGAGATTGAACCAGGATGGAGAGAGGGGAGAGGAGAGGGGATTCCCAGCCTGTCTCGTACTATACTAGTCTGGTCGGTCACAAGTCCATTGTCCCTCTTATTTGCTTGATTGCATATATTCTGTTGGGAATATCTGACCAAAATGCTGTTCGGCTTTTGGTATAGTTGGTTGAGTGATTATGGACAAATTGATATGTCCTAATCCACTACCAACTATACCAGAAACATTGTCTACAAAGAACAAATCAGTCATAATCATTATATTTCATGGTTATACCAGTCATCATGAACATCGTTACCGCCAAAGCAAGACCTTCAAGAACATCAAGTCAAAGAATGACCTGAAAAAAGAAAGGAATCAAGTCCAAACACCGAACCAACCCATCTCCCCCAACACCAAACCCAATCCCAAATCCCAAACACCATAAACAAAATCAAACCCGCAGCTACACAATCCTCATCCGCTAACTATCCCAAATTAGTGATCAATCGGGACAACACCGGTCTTTTTCTGCGCGGTCGCTGCGTCTCTCCTGTCGGTCTATCGTCTTCTGCTTCTCCTCCTGTAGGGGGAGAGTTTGCGGGTGAAGATGACGCCTGCGCCGCCCGAGCAACAGCAACATCCTCCGGAGCCATCTGGGCCCACGACTGTCGCGGATCAAACGAGAAGCGGTTCGTGTTGGTCTCACTGTGCGGCACAGCAAGTGGCGGCTGGGGGTAGGGCACGGGGGCCCCATCTGCGAGATAATACTGTTGCTGCTGGTGCTGCCGGTGCTGCTGATGCTGATGCTGTTGCTGTTGCTGTTGCTGTCGCTGTCGCTGTTGACTAGGGACGAGGTAATTCGGGGTGGGATGAGTCGGAGCTAGGTGAGTCGGGGCTGTGTGTATCTGCGTCTGCGTATGCGTATACGCATGCGCTTGCATATGCGACGGCATCGGCACAGACGGCCATCCCATCTGTTGCTGCGGGGCGTCAACCCTCTGATACCGCGACGGATCATACACCGGAAGACGAGGCTGATACGCAGGCGGCGGCGACGGAGACTGGTTGTGAGCGCGGGAATCGATGCCTGCGCCCACCGTGTGGATGGGATGGGGAAAAGATAAAGACGACGAAGGGCGTTGCGCTGCTATGGCATCGTCACGGGATTTGCGACCGTGTCCGACGGAGCCGTGCAGGGCGAGAGTTTGGTCGTCGTGCTGGGATGCGCGGTTGCGTTTACGCTTTTTGAGGAAGTAGATGAGGATTCCTGCTGTCACTGTTGGATATATATGTTAATATGGTATAGGGTTGTTGGTTATGGGTGGGGGGATGAGGGCGTACTGGCGATGACTGCGACGCCGCCTACGACGACTCCGACGATGACTTGGGTGGTGTTGTCGCTTGGGTTACTGTTCGATCGGGTGTGTAGAAGTGGATAGGAAGGGTGGATGTTGTGGGGGAGGATCATGCTGATCGATCTGGTAAGATCACTCCACTACCTATGCTAAGGTATATTGATCGAAGGATATCTCCGTCACGAATCCCACGACAAGTCAAAAGAAGACTAAAGAATGAAGCGATACATCCATCCAGAACACAGGACACACGAAGTAGTTATAAAACATCCTCACCGTTTCAACACCCGCATGTTGAAGCTATTTTAATCCGCATCGCGGCTATCTCCTCGAAATAGAAGCATCCAGGTCTCACATCGTGGGTGTCGGATCGGCGGGAAGAGACAAAACAGCCAGGCTGAAACAGACTAAAGCACAGAGCTCGTTCCTCCAGAATTAAAAATAGCAGGTGGGAGGGGTCGAAGGATCCGGTGTGCTTGTTGATGTTATTGGTGGTGGGTCGTGGTGGAAGCGCCGGGATTGTTGCCGCAGCGGTTAGTTTGGTGGAGCACTTAGGGCTGGATGAACAGTTGTCTTGGAATGAGACATACACTGCAGTATAGAGAAGAGAAGAGATATACAGTATAGAGAAGAGAAGAGAGAGAGAGAGAGAGCTCTTTTAGAATAACCAGTGTCATTAATTCATCATTAATCCGCTCAATAATATCATATCATAGTATCCCAACATTCGCTCTAACTCCTATAATGCACCAACAAATCCCAACCAAGCAATAAAACAAAGTAAATCATCCATAAATATCATCCGAATCAGGAACCATAGTCATCGTCAACGTCCTCGTAGCCCGTTTCTTCTTCTTCTCACTCACACCCACACTAAACCGCCGACTATAGTCCGCACTACCTCTATACTCCGACCGACGAGATCCATCATCATCATCCTCATCACTATCCCCATAGTAAACACTCTCCCGACACCGCGGCGCTTTATCCGCATACTCCTCCGGCCAAACAGTCTGCACACTATCCCTCACACTTGCGCGTCCTGCAGAAGAAGATCGGGTAGACTGCGCAGTGGCAGGAATATAACGGAACCGCTGCGACGGCTCGAGACTCATTCTGTGTGTAGTGGTTGACGCCACCTCGGCGGGATAATCCTGATGGATAGGACGGTAGGCAAAATCCGGACGCCGCTCGATGAGCGGGTGGCAGGAGCCTGTTGGGCTGGGGAGTTCATCACTTTCTGTGAGGGTGGGGGTCTTGCTGCGGGGAGCGAGGCGCATTGAGAGACGGCGGGGGTTGAAGGTGCTTAGTCGGTTGTTGCTGCTGTTGCTGTTGCTGTTGCTTCTGCTGGGGGCAGCATGTTGCTCCGACACATAGCCTGGGCCATATGCACCACTGTGGTGGTGGTGGGTTGGTGGTTGATGATGAGGGGTAGAGAACTGATTCCACGAGCCACCTGTAGGAGCAGAGATGGATACATCGCCCCATCGTTCATGAAGACGGCGATCTCGATCCGAGGAGTCTTGCTTGCGGAAGCGGCTGAGAGGGCGGGGGATGATGCTTGCCATTGTTGTATATTAAAGAATCGATGATAGAGTATAATGATCGATGAAGGAGAGGAGAGAGACAGCCTGACTCGACCCAGGGTAGAAGTATAAGAGGATCAAACAAAGGATCGCTAAGGTTCTGACCAACCCAGCGCAGACCAAAGCGATACTCTAAATCTTTAAATCTTTCGTCCAGTTTCAGAACCCTCAGGAGGTGGACGGATGACATCCATATAAAAGCTTGTCCCCAACAGCCCTAACTTGGCAGCGAGCGGAGAGCGGGACCGCCCATATCTCGAAACGCCATGATGATCACAACAGACTGACCCATCATCCCTGTCTAGAAACTAGGAGGGTTACATACATACATTTGTTCCCAAGTATAGAAGCAAAGCAAAGCAAAAAGCGCCCCTAATGGTCTAACCGCCCGCACGAGTGATATAATCTGCAGGGGACCGGAATGAATTAGGGTTGTGATTGCTGCTCATTCCTGGCTAATTGTTCTATAATTATGTCTCATCTGGGGGGTATTAACCTGCATAGCGGGGTAATTAGTCTTACTGACAGGGGGGTTAATATGACCAAATTTAGAAGCAGATTGAGCATCCCGGTTGATTACCTGGTTACTTTTTTCTTATTTTAGCATATTTGGCATGCAGGTGGGGAGCAAACATGGCTAGTTGTGTTTCTGAGCGTTCCCCGCGAGGCGCCTGCAGTGCATTGTCATCACTCACTCACTCACTCACTCACTCACTTACTCACTCACTCACTTACTCACTCACTCACTTACTAGTGCGGAGTTGGGGTCGGGGGATGCCGAGGGCTTGTTTTGTTTCATAATCCAAATAGAATCAATCAAAATGATAAAGATAATTCTTGACATGCATATTCGTAACAGATCAATATGAACAACAGGAGCACTTTCTATATACAAGACAGTAGTATATGTTGACCCACTCAAGCCGTAGTAGTATGCAACAATCCACCGTAATATCGTGCCGCGGGGCTAGATCTTCCAACAAAGTAAATGCAACCAAATATGAGGTTAAACAAGACAGTAAAAAAAAAAAAAAAAAAAAGACCGATATAACCCAAATCTATGCTACGCAAAACACCTACCCAAATTCATCAAGAGAACTATTGGCAGGGTGCATCAGGTCATCAGACAACCCCTCTCACCCCTCACCCCTCACAAAACATGTTTGGCTTGGAATGGCCGGATCTATCTGCAGGACAGGGTTCCTCTGCAGCTCACCGGACACCCCAGATCGACGCGTCAATTCTTCGGACGAGACTTGGCAGGCGTCATAAGCAACATTGTCTGAGGGTTGATCGGGACAGATGTCGCAGGACGATTCTGGCTCGAGCGCAGGTCAAGAGAATAGTCCGTAGCCGTCGGAGACGTCACATCAGCCAGGGTCTCCTGGAAGTAAGCGGGGATGGACGACGGCGGCCAGGCCGAGAGCGAGTCATGCGCGGCCGACGAAGATTCCAGCGAGTCAAACGTCTCGTCGTCGATGCCACCGTAGAACGGCGGTTCCTGTGCGTCCGGGTAATAGCTGCCCTCGGCCGGCGGCGAGTCTTCCACGCTGGTCTCGTTGGGATTAGCCGGGGTCATGGTGCCCAGGCGCGCGGGCGACGCCCCGCTCTGCGTCCGTCTTAGCAGCGGGCGGCTGCGGAAGTTGTCTAGCACGCCCTTCTTGATCTCGAACTCGTGGCTGTAGGAGCTCCGTCGGTATGTTACGTAGTCCGAGCATTCACCCTTTCGGTTGTTGTTGTTGTTGCTGTTGCTGTCGCCTGACACGTCCATCATGCAGCTTAAGCGTAGCAGGTCGACCTCGCTGCGGCAGAAGGCTAGACGCGCCCGCACGCGCTGGATGGCTGAATCCAGCGCCATCTCGATGGCGAGGTGGTTCCGGATCCGTGCGATCTTGGGCCAGGTGGCTCGCTGGCCGCGGAGGCAGGACTCGGCGATGAAGTCGGAGGTGGGGTTTGTGAGGACGCGGGGGAAGTCGCGCAGGGGGATCTCTGGGTAGATGGTGATGTCGCCGGAGTATTTTTGGTCCACGATAGATGCCAGCTTGGTCAGTGCTGTGGGGAATAATCCCATGTCAACTGCTGTGTTGATGCGATGCACGATCTCGTCTCTTGTGAAGCGCACTAAGGAACCGACCCATGGCTGGCTCAACGGGGATAGACGGCTTGATGCGTGCATCGCGCCTTCGTCCTTGGGGAGGAAGGGGACTACGTGCGGGTTGACCTGGGAGACGATGAAGTGGTTGACGTTGAACATCTCTGACAACCGGTCCATGGGCAGGTCGCTGTCCACCGACCCGTCGATGTATTTCCCGTGGACATCACTCCATGGGACCGGGAGTCCAGTCACCGGGTCCTTGGACATGAGGGCTGGAGGTGAGAAGACGAAGGGAACGGAGCAGGAGACGGTCCTGAAGATTGTTAGTCGATCCATCGCAACGGGTGACGACGGCGAGTACTTACACGGCCGACCAGATTAGCACATTCGGGGCAGTGATGTAGTTCAAGATCCGGGGAAGCTCAAAGATCCCCGCGCACGAGACACAGATGTTCAGGACACGGCGCGTGCGGTTGTACGCCTCTTGAAAAGTGAGATTACCCAGCCAGCTCTGGGTGGCGATAGACAAGTGGCTGATATCCATGAACGACCCATGATTGTAGAAGCGCGAGATCCTCTGGAAGATATTGGGCTCCTGGCCCGGCTCGCCAAACACCGACAGATTGTCGCTCGAGAACTTGTCCAGCAGGTCAGGGAGCTCATCGTCGGTGTGACTGCAGAAGACCGCACAGACGATGCTGCCAGCCGACGCGCCTGAGATGACTCTCGGGAGCATATCATGGTCATACAGCGTCTTCAACACGCCAATATGGCTCATGCCAAAGGTAGCCCCGCCGGAAAAGAGCAGGGCACTCTGACCAAACGCCTGCTTCGCCGCCAGCAGCTGGTCGAGGATATACCGGAGTTCTCTCCGATCGCACCGGTTGTTCCCAGAGAGGTCGACCAGCGCGGAGATGGTGTCGACAGCCGTGGAGATGTAACGCTCGATCAGGTTCTTGGTGCCCCAATGCGAATGCCGGTAGAGGGAGATCCGGCCCATGAAGCCCAGGTCGCGGGTCAAGGCGGTGCGCACCAAAAACAACATCCGACTGATGTCCCACGCCTCGCGGGCTTCCTCCAGCTGCTGCAGGCGCTCCCGCACCAGGATGGCATTGTACTCGTCGCATTCATCAATTTCCTTCCACGCATCATTTCCCTCCAGTCGATCGAGTTCCCGGGCACTCTTCTCCCAAGCTTCATACGTTCTCGCCTGCGAACGTGAGTACAAAACAAACAAGAGAGAAGGAAAGAAAAAATACATTCTCCATATCGTAATACGCAACCTGCTTCCGCTCCCCCACAACCAGCGTCTCCTTCTGCTCCTCCTTCAGCTTTCTCCACTTGGCGTCCCTCCGGGGATAGAGGGTATCTCCCGCCCACGAGAGCGAGTCCCGCACGACGGAGGACAAGGACGGCACGGAGATCGAACGCAGACGCGAGTAACCCTGCTTGACGGGTCCATTCGCGGAGGGTTTCGCATCACTCCTGGCCTTTCCACTGCAGGCGGCGTGGGCCAGACTGGAATCAGGAAGTAGTGACATGACCGTCATGCATTTGCGTGTTACTGTCCTGTATTGAGAGTAATATTGGATGAGATCGAACAGGGTCACGATAGTTCAGAGTCAAGATGGAGCATGTTATCGACATTCAACCATCTCCCACAGTAAGAATAAGAATAAGAATAAGAATACAAGAAGAGAAGAATGGAAAAGTTGAAACAAGGTAGTATTCAGAGATCAACGTGTTTAGTTCAGTCCGTCCGTCAGCCCAAATAGATCAACGTCACGAGGCCCCCTGGTCCATTCCATCCGGATTGGCCAGTTGCCCGACTTGATCGCCACCCCCAAAGAAGTTTAACCCCGGATGGATTTCTACATTCTTTTGTTTGTATTCACTGGAATCTATCTCTTCTCTTTTACAGTGAGACTGAGTGAAGACTCTTTCTCTCAGTATTACTTTACCTGGTCAGACTGGTAACGAAATGGATTTGACTAGATTACTGACCGTGTCCGAGATCAGTATGCCACATGTTCCCATGTTCTTCAGCCGACCTACGGAGCAGAGTCCGATGATCTCATTTCCCCACATATCCATACTAACTACGGAGTATACTATACTGTACTGTACTAACGAACTGTACTGAAACACACCTTTTTAGTCCCACCATAGCCGGCTGAAAAAGACGGTCAACTCCCTGGTCTACCTAGGAGGGGTCCTCCGATTTCGCTTGAGATGTCGCCAGAGTCGCATCTGGTTAGACTATCTATCAGGACAGGGGTGGCAGGACGACAAGCGAAGAATCGTACACACTACACATTGCCTCCATGTACAAGTCCATACAGGAGGATCTTTGTATACTCTTGTTTATTACTGACAGACAGCGGGGCATTCACTATAGGCGGCAAATACAATGTGGGGTTCCGAGTGGATCTATAGACTCTCGCCGAGTCTCCCTCCTACAAATGCTTAACATGAAGAATCATTATGACCAAGGACACCCAAGGTGCATGGATCAACTATTCTCATGATATGTAAAGGGTAAAACAGGCTGAAGGCCGAAGATCAATCCAGGCGTCGAAGTCATTAGCCGGTGTGGTCATTTATGACGGCACTGGGTTGATGGATATCTCGTTCACATGCGAAGGCCAGCCTTGCATGTGAGAGGCCATGTCAGATGCCCAGCTTGTCTTGAACTAGGAGGGTTACTGTCGAATCTGGATCTACACGAGGATGAGATAACCATATTTTTCAGTCCGTTGGGTACAAACTATTATTAATCCTGTTTTGACTTTTTCTTTTTCCTTCCCTGACTATAGGGAAATAGAAATGATAACACTCATGGGATCTGCCGTACCCAATTGCGGAGCGCACTTCTCGCCCGCGCCTCTGCACCATCCTCGCGCCAGAAGTGGCCCACCCCGTCCACCTCAACCGACTGGAATTTGCTGCTCGCGTTCTGAGACATGTCCTGTGCCCAGCGCCGTAGCTTCTGCGCAGAGGTGAACGTGTCATCGTCCCCGTAGATAGCCAGCGTCCGCTGCCTGCACAGCTGGTCGGCGGGCTTGGGACAAGGGACATGCTTCTTGTGGGCCGCGCCGGGCGTGCTCACTTCCAGCGACAGGTTCGAGAAGAGAGTGAGAAACAGGTTCACGGGGGGCAACAGGGGCGACACGAGCAAATACGACGCATCTACCTTGGAAACGTCCATGTCCAGAGTGTCCTTGAGTCTACCCAGACCTGAAAAGCCGCCGGGAAGAGACAGTGATTGTAGGACGGTCTCGTCAGACACCCTCTTCGCCATCTGCCAGATCTGGTCCGCCGGTGTACCCAAGACGTTGGATCGGAAGAGATCCATGACGGCTTCTGTCGTTGGGAGATGCGAGGCGATTAATGACCCGTAGGAATAGCCCCCTAGGATGATCCGGACATCTGGGGCTGTGTCTCCTGATGGGCTCGCCCCTGATGGGACCCGTCCAATTCTTAGGATATGCAGGTAGAGAAGCATGAATCCATAGAACGATACATAGTCTCCCAGTTCGGGTTTGGCTGTCCAGCTTGTTCGACCTTCTGAGCTGCCCGCGCCGCTGAAATCCATTGCATCAGCATACTAAGTCCAAAATGGAATAAAACAAAATAGAATATCACACTAATATATATCGAGACTATACCACGAGGCAACATCTGGTACATACCGAAAGTTAAAAGTCCCCACCACATACCCCTGCTCTAAAAGCTCCCCTCCCACAAAACTCACTACGGGATCATCGCAGCACCCACCCAGCGGCGCGTACGGATGAGCGACTATCGCGCCGCGTACGCGCCAGGTCGGTACGCCGTCGTCCGAATGTGTGAGTTCGCGGGGCAGATACACGCGACAGTCGAGGTGGATGCCGTCGTAGATCGACGGAATGGTGAAAGTGGTTGCTGACGAGGGGAGATACGTCATTTCGCCGCCAGGTTGCTTGTGAAATCTTTCGTTTGGAGGGCTGTCAACTACATGACCGGGGGGGCATTGAGATTGAGTGGTTTGGGTGAGGGTTGGAGAATGGTGGGTGTGGTTTGAGGTGGAAAGAGTGGTGGTCTTCGGGGAAGTGACGAGGTTGATGGGTTCGTTGGTTTGGCCAATGCGCCTGCCGTCAGCTGGAGATGCTTGGGCGCTGGAACACAACCACTGTCTACTAGTTTAACAACGTCTATTACAGCATCAATAGAGTATTTATTATACTGGACTTGGTGAATTATGCGAGAATAATTGGATTACTTTTCTGGTGTTGTGTTCGATATACGCTTGAATATTGATGTGCATTGCTGCAAATATATATACTTCACACTAATCTATATTGAACGGTCTAATCTATACTCAGGCTTCTGGGAGTAGCCACGCTGGGTCAGGTTCATCATCATCGTCTTCCGACTTAAACCCCGTGCTGTGGGAATGCGCGTCTGCGTCCCTCAACAAATCCTCTGGGGGCTCGGGATTGTCGACACCAAGGGGATCCGCCCAGGAATCAATATCTCCATCAGTCTCACTGTGAGCTCGGGGCTCCTTGCCCTTCTCATCTTCAGACTCATCCAAGACACCAAAAGCGTTCAGGAGCAAACTCCGCGCTTCCCGCAGAGCTTCCAACTCGGTGGCAATGCAGCAGACGAGCAACCGCCAATCCTTGCTCTCCGCCAGCCTCAGGTGTTGTTCCACGCGTTCGGCGGTGCTTCCTAAATCTTCCAGGATCCCACGTACGTTGTCTTCCTCTGATTTACTCCCAGACGGTCCACTGGGCTGAAGAATTTGCGATCGGGTCTGGACAGAACGGCGCATGGCAGTTTTCAAGCGCCTCTCAAAGCCCGACACCTCCCAGACGACTTGCTTCCACACGCCACCCCCTTCCTCGAGCGCCGCGATCTCCGAATCGACTTCCCCCTGTCGCCTGCGCAACGCCGACTGCTCTTCCTTCCAGTATTCTTGGGCCATGTTGAGGGTCCGGCGTTGGGGGTTGAGGGAATAAAACGTTTGCTCATTTTGGTCGGTCGCCTGGGGCCCGACCGGCGGACTTGCGAGGAACTTGTGGATATCCGACTCCAGGATGGACAGAGAAGCTTTGTAAGACGACAACTTCGATTCCACGGTATTCTCCACATGTGATAATTCCTGCGTCACTTGCCGATGCCGTGCTTTCATCTGGGAGAGCTTGTTCTCCAGTTCATGGATGTCCGCTTCGAGCCTGTGTTCCTCCTCGCGCAATTCCCGGGAGCGCTGGCTTTCTCGATCATTCTCGATCTCCAGGATCGCCTCCTCCAGTCCTGCCTGTTTTCTGGAGAATCCATCGATATCCTTCAGAGCATCTTTCCTCTCACCCACCCGAAACGTGAGGACCTCTCGTTCTTCCTCCCTCAGTTTCAGCAAGTCGTAGATGGACTTGAAGATGCCTTCCCGGGCGGCACGCAGTCCAATCCTCTCCCTCTTCGGCTGTCTGACCGGAACGGTTGACGGGGCTGTCAGGGTGCGACTCGAGTCTGGGGTCGGGCTAAAACTGCCATTTGATGGGGAGCTTATGCTCTGCTGTGGAGAGTCGGTGAGGCCAGCTAGGAGGCCTTCACTTTGGGCATCGATTAGAACCTGCAAATTACGCTGAATATGCTTTGCCTGACGGCCAATGTAGAGCAGGGGATCCTGATAGGAGTTGAGCGAACTGGCAGGTAAAGCCTGCAAGCTTTGGGTAAGGGTTGGTGGTAATAGTGTGGACATGTTGTTTGGGGAGTTGGAAGCTACTGCACATTAGATTAAAAAAAAAAACGATCTGGAAGGAAATCAATGATTTGGACCAAAGGAAAGAAAGAGTGTCTAGAGAGGGAAATGACAGGAAGGAATCAGATTATATTTGCATCTTAGAGGCCAGCTGGATCATCACGAGTCACCAACTACAAGCTGGTCGTGTGAGGAACGGAGTCCAGTATAGTTACAGTAACCGTTGGAAGCCAGGAATCCATGGCATTCCATGGTCACGTGCTCCTAGGGCGGACGGCAGCAACCAAGGCAGCCCAAGGCAGCCCGTCCCGAGCGAGCTTCCTCCGTTGACGTTGACGTGTGCCTCGCTGCTGCTTCAAAGCTTACCATCTTCAATTCACTCTATCTTTCCATCAATTTTCTTTTTTCTTTCTTGTTTTCTATCAGTTTCATCGGTCTCGTTCTAGATCTATTGATCCTTTCTTTGATCTTCGCCCAGTCTCTCCAATCTGGGCCCACCTAAGCCGTCTGAGCTTCTCTCACAGCTATCGCCTCATCCGTCTTGCGATAGCAGAATCCTCCAGAAATGGTTGGACTTGCTTCGGCCGCTGGCCTGGTAGGCTTTCTGTCAGAGCCGGATCCCGAGTTGCAGGTCTTTGCGTTGAAGACCCTTGATTCGCAGATCGATCTACTTTGGACAGAAGTCGTCGACGCCGTCCCGCAAATGTTTGTCTCTCATTGCCCCAACGTCAGCATGCGAAGCCTGCATATCGTCCCTAGTGGAGAGTGCCTGCAGCATATTTCTATTGAGAACCTACTAACGCGGAGAACAGAGAAGCACTCTACGAAGATGAGTCGTTCTCGGAACGCGGGCTCGCTGCTCTGGTAGCCGCCAAGGTGTATTATCATCTCCAGGAATACAATGAAAGCATGGTGTTCGCCCTTGGGGCTGGGAAACTGTTCAAGTTGGATAACGGTGGCGAGTTCGAGGAAACGATCATCGGTGAGTTTGTCTTACTTCGCGGTGCTGAGGTGTAAGCAGCAAGATTCTGACTGGTTCGCCTCCCCCTTCCAGCGAAATGCGTCGATACGTTCATCTCCCTCTCCGCGGCCAAGCGACCCGCCGCGGGTGACCAGCCGGCGAATCTGAATACCGCTTTCCCGACCTCTGCGGAGGGAGCCACCAGCACTTCCGCGAGCCTGACCTCGCCCATCACACCGTTTTCGCAATCCGCCCTGCCGTCCAAGTCGCTCCTTTCTCGCCAGGAAACGCCTGGCTTGGATGCGACCCATCCGGGCGGTGATGATGCCAGCGTTAGTCAGGTGGAGACCCCCTTGGTTCTCAAGCGTGGTGTACAAGGTCAACTGCAGGCGGTCATCGAGCGCTTGTTTGACCAGTGCTACCGGGAGAAGCGCTATCGTCAGGTGATCGGCATCGCCATCGAGGCGAAGAGCCTGGAAGTACTCCGGAGGACGATCATCCAGGCCAGCGAGGATGAGAAGAAGCAGTCCGGTGAATCCCGGGAGAGCGAGGAGCTCTTGGAGTACGTCCTGGACATCTGCATGGGTATTGTGCAGGAGCGTGGCTTCCGCAATGAAGTAGGATTCCCTCCTCGCGACCGGAGCCATCAGCGCCATACTAATGCTATATTCTAGATCCTCAAACTCATCCTCGACCTTCTCAACGAGATCCCCTCCCCCGACTTCTTTTCCATCGCCAAGTGCGTCGTCTATCTCAACGAGCACTCCATGGCCTCCGCCATCCTCCGCCAGCTGGTTGAAAAGGGCGACGCCCGCTCGCTCGCCGTGGCCTATCAGATCTCCTTCGATCTGTACGACAACAGCACACAGGAGTTCTTGCAGAAGGTCCGTCAAGAGATGGCCGAGCTCGTCCCCGACGAGCCGGAGAAGGATAAGGAGGGACAGGCCGATGCGGAAGAGCCCAAGGAGTCCGATCGGCTGCTGGACGACCAATCTCAGTCGATTGGTGCCAACGACGATGCGAAGGTGTTGCCCGAAGCCCGTACCGCGTTCAAGAACATTCTCGATATCCTCGATGGTCTCAAGTCGATCCAGCTGAACCTGGAATTCCTCTACCGAAACAACAAGGCCGACATCAGCATCCTGAACAAGGTTCGGGATAGCTTAGAAGCCCGGAATTCCATCTTCCATACGGCCGTGACGCTCTCCAATGCCTTTATGCATGCCGGTACGACGCACGACAAGTTCTTCCGGGACAACCTGGAGTGGCTGGGCAAGGCTGTCAACTGGTCCAAGTTCACCGCGACTGCCGCGCTCGGTGTCATCCACCGGGGCAACCTGAGCCAGGGCCAGAAGCTCTTGCAGCCGTACCTTCCCCGAGAGCACATCGCGGGCGTGGGCGGCTCGGGCTCCGTCTACAGCCAGGGTGGTTCGCTGTACGCGTTTGGCCTGATCTACGCCAACCACGGCGGCATGGCCGTCGACCTCATCCGTGACCACTTCAAGAAGGCTACGGAAGAGGTGGTGCAACACGGTGGTGCGCTGGGCCTCGGTGTGGCCGCTATGGCCACGGACGACGAGGGCATCTACGAGGATCTACGCAACGTTCTGTACACGGATTCGGCGCTCAACGGTGAGGCGGTCGGTCTCGCGATGGGTCTGGTCATGCTGGGCACCGGGAACATGAAGGCCCTCGAGGACATGATCCAGTACGCCCACGACACGCAGCACGAGAAGATCGTCCGTGGTCTGGCCATGGGTATGGCGTTGATCATGTACGGCCGCCAGGAGGCGGCCGATGAGCTGATCAACGGCCTCCTTGGTGACCCCGACCCGACCCTTCGTTACGGTGGTATCATGACGATCGCTCTGGCCTACTGCGGCAGCAGCAACAACAAGGCCGTCCGCCGACTTCTGCACGTGGCCGTCAGCGACGTGAACGACGACGTCCGCCGGGTGGCCGTGCTCAGCTTGGGCTTCATCCTGTTCCGGAAGCACCAGAGCGTGCCTCGGATGGTCGAACTGCTCTCCGAGTCCTACAACCCGCACGTCCGATACGGCGCCGCCATGGCCCTCGGTATCTCGTGTGCGGGCACGGGGCTGGATGAGGCGATCGACCTGCTGGAGCCGATGCTCAAGGACTCTACGGACTTTGTGCGACAGGGCGCCCTGATCTCGCTGGCCATGGTCTTGGTCCAGCAGAACGAGGCCATGAACCCGCGGGTCACCTCCCTCCGCAAGACCATGATGAAGATGCTGGGCGACCGCCACGAGGACGCCATGGCCAAGTTCGGCTGTGCCGTCGCCCTTGGCATCATCGACGCCGGTGGCCGGAATTGCACCATCAGCCTGCAGACCCAGACGGGCAACCTCAACATGCCCGGTATCGTCGGCGCCGCCGTCTTCGTGCAGTACTGGTACTGGTTCCCGCTCACGCACTTCCTGTCGCTCAGTTTCGCGCCGACGTCGGTGATCGGGGTGGACCAGAAGCTGGAGGTGCCCTTCTTCAAGTTCCACTGCAACACGCGACAGAGCCTCTTCGACTACCCGCCGGAGCAGCAGGTGAAGACGGAGGAGGCGCCGGAGAAGGTCAAGACGGCCGTGCTGTCGACGACGGCACAGGCCAAGCGTCGGGCCCAGCGTCGGGAGAAGCAACAGCGACGGGAAAGCATGGACGTTGACCAGACGCCCACGACCCCGAAGGTGTCGGATCAGCTGGCGGAGCGCATGGATACCGAAGAGAGCGCGGTCAAGGAGGAGGACGAGGCCAAGGAGGCGGAGAAGGAGGCGGCAGAGGGCCAGAAGAAGAAGATGGAGCGGGAGAAGGTGGGGTACGAGCTGGAGAACATGTCCCGGGTGCTTCCCGCGCAGCTCAAGTATCTCACCTTCCCGGATCCACGATACGAGCCAGTCAAGCGGGTATGTAGTCCCCCCACTTTTCAGTCTAATCATTGTTTCCTGTGCTAACGAGATTCTTTCTAGCCGACGGGTGGAGTCGTGGTGGTTCTTGACAAGAACCCCGAGGAGTCCCGCGAGACGATCGAGATGAAGGCCAGCAAGGAGGCCAAGCAGCCCGCGGCGACCCCGGAGACGCTGCAGGATCGCCTGCAGGCGGCCATCGGGGCTGCGGCACTGCAGACGCCGCAGCGGGACTCGGGGCGCGACGCGTCGGCGGGCGCGGCAGCGGCAGCCGGAGTGCTGACGGCGGTGGATGAGGATGAAGAGGGCGACGAACCGGCGCCAGTGCCGGAGGAGTTTGAGTACGAGACGGAGACGGAGGACGAATAAATGGGAGGCAGTGTATTACTAGAATAATATGGATTGTCATGTGTTGCACTTTTCCTCTTTTCTTTATCATTCAATATATATCATCTGTATATTTTTGGTCATACCCTTGGAGTATGTTTTGAATCCAAATTGGAGGGGTGTCCCCGGATAGTACCTACTACGTAGTAGGTAGGTAGGTAGTAGTCTGGCATGCGGCACCTACCAATACGACCTACCGATCCAGAACTAGCCACAGTGGGCAGGTGATGCGATCGACCAGATGACAAGCCAGATAGACGACCGGTTGATATCATCCTTGCCTCTCTTATGGACCGAACTAGACTCAAAGGAGGAGGGCTTTTGATCCCAATACCCCAATTATTTCCCCCTCATGCACGAAAGTCGGGGAAAGAGTAACTACTAACTAACTAAGTATATCGTGGAGGTTGGATAGTGGATGTGGGATGTGGATTACGGGGTGGATTCATGGTCTGAGGGATTGAAGCAGGGGGCAACAAATCAGGGGGATGGTGATGATAATGCAATCCACTGATCGGGGGGGTTTTATTCAATCATTCGGTTCATGTACAATCACATGGAGTATACTCCGTACTTGTTGATAGAGATCTTTTTGTTAGTTCCTACTATGTCACTCCAGGTAAGGAGAGTCCATATGCCTCATTCTGCAGCCTGCCTCGGCAGTTACCCAATGCGGTTAGCAGCTCCACCTGACCTGGAATGACGCAGTGCAAGCAGTCCACCAATCAGCAGCTCCAAACTCGCTGACCAAGCAGCCGAGGTGCAGTGCTGATTGGACAAAACTAGCTGAGTCAGCTTCTTGGTATGTGCACATTGGGTCGTTTTGTTGAGACATGTGAAAAGTCGATGTTTTGGGCCTTGGGACCGACGACCTCTGGTTCCATCTTGTCTGATCCGGTCTTGTCATTGGATCTTGCACTCCTGCGCTTGTCATTTGGAAATTGGATATGGAGAGTTGGATTTGAAAGCTTACTTGCCTAGGCTCACGACTTTTTTCCCCAGCGGTGACGGATTACCCGTGCGAACCCCCGAGCTTACCGTATATATCGCTTTCCTCTCCTCCATTTTTTATTTCCCCGGGCTTTCATTATTTATTTTATTTAGCTTTATTTTTATTATATTTTTTGATTTAAAACCTGTCCTACCCCGGATTGCTTGTCTCCGGATTCTCACTCCTTTGTGTTACTCCCTACCTATATAGATACCCCTTGAGCGACCTCTTTCTCTACCACAATGTCCAAGACCTTCTCCAAGGACGACGTCGCGTCGCATAGCAAGCCCGATAACCTCTGGGTCATCATCGACGAGGATGTCTATGATTTGACCAAGTTCCAGGATGAGCACCCTGGTAGGTTCTCCAAACAAATTGCAACGATGCGACAGTGCTAACATGTTTGTGTGTATAGGCGGAAAGAAGAGTATGATCCCAGTAATACCGCGACCCGACGGAAACCCCCACTAACATGCCATAGTCCTCAACCGTGTCGCTGGCAAGGACGCCTCGAAGCAGTTCTGGAAGTACCACAATGAGGGGATCTTGAAGAAGTACAAGGGCAAGCTGCAGATCGGCTCTCTCGACTCCAAGCAGGCCGCTGAGCCCGCCGCTGCCCCGGCCAAGTCCGAGGCCCCGAAGCCTCAGGCTGCTGCCCCCGTCGACGTCAAGTCCGCCAAGTCCGACGAGGCTCTCGAGCCGTTTGGTGATCTCATTCCTTTTGCCGATCCGGCCTGGTACCAGGGTGTATGTATTTCTTTTCTATTGGTGCCTGGATGATTTTTGGTGTTAATACGATTTGCAGTACCACTCCCCCTACTTCAACCAGACTCACGCCGCCCTCCGCGCCGAGGTCCGCCAATGGGTTGAGACCGAGATCGAGCCGTACGTCACCGAGTGGGACGAGAGCAAGACGGTGCCCGCCCACATCTACAAGCAGATGGGAGAGCGCGGCTACCTCGCCGGTCTCCTGGGCGGCAAGTTCCCCGTCGACCACACCCCCTACCGCGTGCAGTCCGTGGCCCCCGAGAACTGGGATCTCTTCCACGAGATGCTCCTGACTGACGAGCTGTCCCGCGCCGGCAGCGGCGGTCTCGTGTGGAACCTGGTCGGCGGCTACGGCATCGGCTGCCCGCCGCTGGTCAAGTTCGGCAAGAAGCCCCTCGTCGACCGCATCCTCCCCGGCATCCTGGCCGGCGAGAAGCGCATCTGTCTGGCCATCACCGAGCCCGATGGAGGCTCTGACGTCGCCAGCCTCAACTGCGAGGCTAAGCTGTCCGAGGACGGCAAGCACTACATCGTCAACGGCGAGAAGAAGTGGATCACCAACGGTATCTGGGCCGATTACTTCACCGTTGCTGTCCGTACCGGCAAGCCCGGCATGAACGGTATCAGCGTGCTGCTCATCGAGCGCGAAGCTGGCGGTGTCAGCACCCGCAAGATGGACTGCCAGGGTGTGTGGAGCAGCGGTACCACCTACGTGACTTTCGAGGACGTCAAGGTGCCTGTGGAGAACCTGATCGGCAAGGAGCACCAGGGCTTCAAGGGTGTGTTTTCCTCTTCCTCTTCTTCTTCTTCTTCTTCTCCTCTTGGGACCAAGGGCTAACTGTCTATTGTCTAGTGATCATGACCAACTTCAACCACGAACGCATCGGCATCATCATCCAATGCGTCCGCTTCTCCCGCGTCTGCTACGAAGAGTCCATGAAATACGGCCACAAGCGCCGCACTTTCGGCAAGAAGCTCGTCGACCACCCGGTCATCCGGATGAAGCTCGCCGAAATGGCGCGCCAGATCGAAGCCACCTACAACTGGCTCGAGAACATCATCTACCAGTGCCAGTCGATGGACGAGACGGAGGCGATGCTCAAGCTGGGCGGCGCCATCGCGGGCCTGAAGGCCCAGAGCACCCGCACCTTCGAGTTCTGCGCCCGCGAGGCGTCCCAGATCTTCGGCGGTCTCAGCTACAGCCGTGGTGGGCAGGGCGGCAAGATCGAGCGTCTCTACCGGGATGTGCGTGCCTACGCCATTCCCGGTGGGAGTGAGGAGATTATGTTGGATTTGAGCATGCGTCAGAGTTTGCGGGTGCACCAGATGTTTGGCATGAAGTTGTAGATTCCCCATTGATTTGTTTGCGTGTTTGGGTTTATATATCATTTTCTGCTTTTTTTCCTGGATATGATTCCTCTATGCTGTGCATCTCTATATGACCATTGGTCAAATTCAATTCATGTATTATAACACTAAAGACATAGTGTGATATTTTTGAATGGTGCCTATCACGTATATTTTCAACTGTTCAACTACATGTAGATATAAAGTAGAGGTGATACCATGATATTGTTCTGTTGATTGTTAGAATAGATAGACTAAGTAAATTTCAGCGGAACAAGACATTGAAGACTCAATCCAGCCACGCAGTCCGACCAACCGCGCCGGCTTTCTTCTCTCTTCTCAGCTTACTCTTCCTGTCTTTCTTTTTTCATATTTCCCATATCTACAACTACCTATTTCTTCTCTACTGACCTCTTGAACCCAACGGAGTCGTAATACCCTGTGTTGGAGCCATTTACTACATTGGTAGTATTCGCCACACGTGACGACGGTCGCGAAAGCCGCCGCGAACCCCGATCGGAGAGCCAGCGCCGCCTTTCCTTCCTCTCCTCGACAATTCAACCTTTGAACACGCCAGTCGAACACTCGGTGCTGATTGTATTGGTTTTCTTTTTCTCTTATTCTTTGCACTGGGATTTTGGGGCTTTTTACTTTTTTTTTTCTTTTTCCTTTTCGTCTCGTCCTCCGTCCCGGCGAGAGAAAGGAACGCCTTCCTTATCCTGACGCCGGAACAAGCTGGTTCACCTGGTTCAATCGGACTACATATACGAAGAGGACACCATGTCCCGCAATCTATTGGATCATGACTTCGGGTCTGAAGATGAGGACGATGACTTTAACCCCGCTCCGGCGGAAGAGTCGGGGAATGAAGAGGACGTGAAGGTTTGTTTGTCTTGCTTGCTGGTGGTAGCTTGGGGGGATACAAGGAATCGCGCTGACATAAGGGGTTTGAAATAGCCGAATGTGAGCCACGATCAGGATGACGACGATGATGACGAGAGTGTCAAGGCCGATCGATCTGCCCACCGACGGAGTAGTGACCGCGATGTGAAGCCTGACCATGGGGGCGATAACCGTGATGAGGATGGGGAGAATGATGAGGAGGAAGAGGAGGGCGAGGGTGAAGGGGAGGAGGGGGAGGAGGATGAGGAGGAGGAGGAGGAAGAGGATGATGATGATGAGGATGCTGTTTCTGTGAGTCGTCCTCCTTGATTTGATAGGGTGAGCAGTGCTGACTATCTTGTCACTCGATAGGGCCGCCCCCGGAAGCGCAGAAGGAGGGGAGGTGTGCACTCTTTCTTCGAAGAGGAAGCCGGTGTCGATGAGGACGAGGACGAAGCCGAGGATGAGGAGGACGAGTTGGCCGAATTCGGTGGAGAGATGCACCCCGACGATCTGGATGCCCTCCCCGTCGGGGCCGAAACGGACGACCGTCGACACCGACAGCTGGATCGCGAGCGTGAACTGGAGGCCAGCCTGGACGCCGAAAAGCAAGCACAGCTGCTCAAGGAGCGATATGGACGAAACCGCGCGGCGGCCACGGACGCCGTCGTCGTGCCGAAGCGACTGCTTCTCCCCAGTGTCGAAGACCCTAGTATCTGGGGTGTTCGCTGCAAGGCTGGCAAGGAGCGGGAGGTCATTTTCTCAATCCAGAAGCGCATCGAAGAGCGGCCCCCGGGGTCGCGCAACCCCATGAAGATCATATCGGCTTTCGAACGAGGAGGTGCTATGAGCGGCTACATCTACGTCGAGGCACGCCGGCAGGCGGATGTCTTGGAAGGGCTGCAGGATATGACCAACGTCTACCCCCGGTCGAAGGTCATCTTGGTTCCGGTGAGGGAGATGCCGGATCTCCTCCGGGTTCAGAAATCCGAAG